GGGTTTCGGGTGCTCTTTCAATGGATCTCGGGGCTCTGCCTTCTTTCATTGGCTTGTTGGTGGTTTGGAAATGAGCTTGTTGGTTCTGATGCATGATCCTCGGCTTCTCGACCTATCAGAGACCGTATTAAGCGCGACCCACACTGCAGGGAGCGAGGAAACACAGTGCCGGTTTCTCGCTCATCAGTCCAAAGCTGCAGTAGTGCACAGTGCGATCGCGGCAATCGAGAGAATAGGGGATGAGGGGTCCCAGAGGCATGGTAACGTTTGTGATTCGACAGCCTAAAACATCACGGACCAGCTTTGGGACCCTGCGCACAAAGGTGGCGTTCAAGACCGCAGCTTCAGCGAGACACATCCCCCATGTGCCGTTCTCGGGCGAATGTTTCGAAACACGCGGGCGGCGGGTCTGCTTTAAGGATTTGTCGCAGTGAGACCGATCGGACATCAGCCGTGATACGGTCAGTGTTTGGGAAATGTCACCATTAGATGCGAGCCGTCGTTGGGATGATATCATCGGAGCGCCAGAGTCGCCGCGGCTTTCCGAGAAGGCCGGCGGCATTCAAATCTAATTGGGCTCATTTCTCATCAGTCAACTGCGCGGAGTCGTAAAACGAGACAACCAAATCGGTACCTGGGGCAGCATTAGGCGCGTGCGATGCAGCTTACTCTTCACACCACACTATCAATTAGCTACTAGTGTAATCTGTTCCAGATTCCCGCGCGAGATCATCGGCACAGGCCTTTTTGACTTTTAGAGTTGTGAGCTCACCCACAGGAGCGAGCCAAGCTGCCGTGCATGAGGCTCGATGGCAGCGTGACTCAAGCCGCCAGTATGACAAATGCGGTGTATCTGCAATCTGCAGCACGAACTGGGCTCTCCCGTGGCTGCAGAAATGTGGGCCAATTGAGGCTTGTGCAACGTACGATTTGGCCGATGGGGTCGACTTTCTCTTTTCAGAATCCGGCACCTGATTGGCCAGATCCGCTCCGACCCATCCCTACATTACCTTAATCCCATTCTTCAAAAACCCGCAGGAGCGGAGGGGGGGCGGAGGCCCCGGAAAGAGCCACCCACTCATGCTTGGGCGATCTGGCTGTCACCTCACAACATTTAACCCCACAACAGACGTCGAACGCGTAAATCCACAGTCTTGCCGTGCTTCTGCCTTGCCTTCAAGGCTCTATTACCTGCCTACCTCTCATGTATCCTGCCGGTTATGTTATCCTTGCCAAGCTCTGTTCTGTGACTTGACATCGGCCTAGCTCAGGTTGTCTAAATTGTTCTCTGGTCGTTTCATTTTGCTCGGCGCATTTAACGTCATAGCCTAGTCTAGTCTCCAGAACTAAAGTAAGGCACCCTGGGGAGGGTCCTCCGTGATCAGATTAGAGCAAACTGTGGCTAGCAAGACGGTTGAGGCGCCGGCGGATATCCCGCACGCGAACGCAGCCACCCCTATAAGCCACCTTAAGGTCTCGAATTTGCTTCCTGGCCACCCGTCCTGCTTCAGAAGTGCGTTCAGCCGTCTCCATGTCGACGGGCGCAGCCGTTTCATGCCAGCCAGCAGTGTCAAAGGCGAGTACCATGAGATGAATGACAGGCAACAGAGACAGGGCACTTGACATAGCTCTCGCCAATTTAGAAGCGAGCAAGCGCATCACAGTTGAGATCTTGTTCATTCTCCCCATCTCGGCAGTTACCCTAGAGAAGATTCTCACAGGCCCAAGGTAGTGGCTCCCCTTGCCCCCTTAGACTAGGCCAGGTTGACTGTCCTAACTCGCTTTGCGCTGTATACAGGCATAGACTTGTATCCGTAGGTAGCCTCAATATCTTAAGCCCACGTTGTCTGCCTGTCCGGTTACGCCGAGTAGCTTAGCCATTCAAGGCCTCTCTAGCGGCTCGCCCGAGAGGCCCCCATCTTGAAGGTGGCCATGTGTGGACAGGACAGGACAGCGTGCGGAGGTCCGCTAGCTACTGCGGGCGGCCTTTCGACTAGAATCGTATGAAGTGGGCAAAGTCCCGTCGGCCCTGTCATGTCATGTCGCTGTCTCCCCAGGAGTGACCGAAGCGGCCTCGCCAGCCCTGGGTCGCCAAAGTCCGAGAGCGACTTAAGGTGTGGGGTTTCATAGCCATGGCTTCCGGCCCTGGCTCGGCCAACATTGCCGGAATTGAGGTCTGTGAGGAAAAGCAAAAGCTTGAACCAGTCTTCAGCCCAACGAGACTCCTTCTGGCGTCTACCAGCACTCTCCGACTGGGACCAACCGAGCGAAGCAACCGAGCGAAGCGGCGGCTATCTGCCCGCTGCCGCTGTCTGTCCCCCCCCCCCGCTGCCCGTTCTGGTGGCGTCAACAAGGGTTTTGGTCTTGCCTAACACGTCTTCCCCGATTCTCCGGCAGTTAGGGTACACGTACGTACTCCGTACGTACGGAAGGTACGTGGAGGTGTACAAGTGCGCACGGCCTGAACCTGGCTCCCCGGTGGTGCCCTTTGACTTGGGCACTCCGTGTATTTGTCACGGTACCTCGGCGCACCCATTGGCTTGCGGTGTATGGACAGACATGCCTGTACAGTACAGTGCTGTACTTGTACTCCATCAGGTCATGGAGGTCAGGTATGGAAGGAACCCACCCGACCTTATTCCCAGTTCCCACCTCCCGTCACTGGGCGTTGAGTTGCGGGAAGTGCGATGGTCCCCTTTGCGGACAGGGCATTTGGTTTGGAGTGTTAGCGGGAACCCCCTGTCATTTAGCTGTCCCATGCGGCCCCGCTCGAATCCCTTGGCACTGGCACTTTTTTTTTTTGGCGGCCGCTGCTGGATGGCCAGGATGCTGTCCCGCAACCACGCCTCCTTCACAATTCCACTACCCAATGCTTCCGAGTCGAAATAAATCCCTACTAAGGACAGGTGCAGCGCCGGCGACTGCGACTGCGACTGCGACCGCTACTGCGACTGCAACCCCGAGTGCGGGCTTTCTCGCTGGTCTCCCAGCCCTGGACTGGACTGAAAGCTGCAGACCTAAACAGCGCCAGCGTCGATTGCTATAGAGATTAGAGAACCATCCCTTGAAAGCGCAGCGCAGCGATCCAATCCTATGTGCTGCCCACGGTGGGGTCTATCCAATGGGGCCCTTCCATCTCTCGGCTCATTTCTCTCTCTGCCTCTGTCTCCGTCACGCTCTTTCGTGTCTGCCCTCTATCTTGCTCTTGACTCTCTCACCGCGTTTCCCGTCGAACGAAATTACGTGGCTCTATCCGTACTGCATCAATTTATTGGCGAAATGGTCGAGTTACACCGCTCCGGCTGGCCAACTCCTCCCCGTCTGTCTGTATGTATGTACATGCTCCGTAGGACCCGTTGAGAGAGAACTATATTTCGTGTGGGTGTGAATGGCAGTCAGTGTCAAGCAACCGAAAAGGCAAAATCAAGCACGTACAGACTACAGTGCAGTACCGTCCCCTGCCCCGGCGTGACTGGCAGGCTTTATTACTGGGGAGTCCTTTACAGTAGCTCGAGTGGGTGCAGATCTCGTCTTACTGCCTTCAGCCCAGTTCGGCACCGTTGCGATCCAGTGGAGAGACCCCTCGCTCCACCGGGACTAGGTACTACGGTATCTATCCCTCGGGTACCCTGTGTGGATTTACATCCATACACGCTGAGGATGTTCGTTTTGCCCCCTCAACCCCCCCTGCCCCCAGCTGCCAGTTACGTTGAACCAGGAACTATCATTCTGTGTTCTGTCCGTCCCGCTCTGCTTCTGCTAGCGGCGGTCGGCTGTCTTGCTCTGCACATCGGTCAGCCACCAACTCGCTCCCTCCCTAATACCTTGCACAGTAGGCTAGGCGTGACGGCCCCATCCGCGGGCGTTGAAAGCCTCGCCCGTCGACGTGCAGATTTGCCCTAGTCTCGTCAGAGGTACGGAGTCAGGTAGGTATACTACGGAGAGATGGGAACATTTCATGGTCGACGCTTGACGGAACATGAAGAAAGCCTTGGCCAGTTGTCGACCGCCTTGGTTTGTCGGCCGCCAGCTGTCGGCCGTCGCAATTTGGATGGACAGTCAGTCATATACTCTCTCCACTCTCCCTCTTTTGCCCAGTCTCGTCTCGTTCATCTCTGCCCCATCAATGATGGCTGCTAGCATGGCAGATTCGAAGCCGTGCTGTCCGTCTTGCATTGGAACGAGCTGTGACTTTGTCCGGCACTGTTGTAGCGCACAGTCTCCAGGCACAGTTTGGGCGCTAACTTGTGCATGTCGAGGAGGAGGCATGTACCCAGGTACCTACCGTGACCACCCCATGGCAAAGCGAGAGTTGAGTCGAGTCGAGTCGGGCAGGGGTGTGCGCGGCGCGACCACCCCTGTCCTGCCCTGTCCACCCTACCCTGGCATGCCCAGGCTTATCCTGGACCTGCAAGTCCAGGATTGAGCAAAAGGGGGCTTTGGCTTGTATGCACTTATGGGGGCGGTCGACCAGCCCAGCACCTGGGAAGAAGACACTCACACCACACCCTCCATGGCGCACCACACCGCACGCACCGCACCATGGATGGCCGCGCCGGGACCTGGGGGAGCTATGTACCTACTATGCTTGAAAGCAGATGCAGCCCCACCACCCGGGTCCCTTTCACACGCCCACGCCCCAAGCTCCATCTCCATTCTCACTGATATACAAAGATCCCCTACGTCTCGAGTAAGGTAAGCCTCCTCCTCCTTATGCTACCATTCTCCTCCCTCGCCGCCGCCGCCGCATCTCACGACCCACGACCCTAAGATCCACGACCCACTGCCCGCCGCTCGCCTCGCCGGCCCAAGTCGGACTATTAAGGTCAGACCTGCCCTAATTCTCACCCGTCCTGGCTTCGCGACCGCAAGAGAAGGCTTCATATCTGTCTCCGTTCTCCCCCGCGTGCTCTTGCTGGTCTAGAAGCTCGCCCTGCCCTTTTGCCCAGAAACTTCTCTTAATCAGACTGTGTGAAATCTTGACGAGGACACAAGTTAAAATGGACTCAGACAGGAAGGAAGAACAGCCTGCGTCGCCAGTAGTCGAACCCGCGTCGCCGCTGATCGACTTGCCCTTGCTCCGAGAAGGCGACTTGATCCGAGAGGAACTCCTCCAAGACGACGGGCTCGGCTCGGACTGGGAGGACAGCAGCACTGCAACCAGTCCTATCAAGCCATTTAAACGCCTGCGTATTCACGTCGACATGACCAGCTCCCAGTACCTCACACCAGGTGCGCATCACCACAGCGAGCGTCTCCAGGCGAACGGGTTGCCCACCTGCTCAAGCGGCCCGCCCACGGGTGCTTACACGTCTGCTGCCGACTTAGACCCATTCAGCGCTGTATGTAGCCAACTCCAACTCTCTGCTCGTCCCTTTGGGGCGAGCATGCCAGTAGTGGCCTTTGCTCACTGTTCCAACAGGCCTCGGGAGTGTCTTCATTTAACTACCCAGCAGCCGCAGACGCGTCGCTCCTGACGCCGGTGTCAAGTGCCGGCAGCCCGCCCTTACAGCAGCAGCAGAGGCCGGCCGTGAAGCCCTTGCGCGGATACCACTCCTCGCAGACGGCCACGGCCGCCGACACCCAGATGCCCACCCCTCCCAACACGTCCAAAATGTATTACGGCTACGAGATGAACTCTAACAGCCAAAGCTCCTCCCCAATGACAACAGTGCATCCCCAGGTAACAGAGGGGGGCCACTTCGACATGACTCCCTATATCGCCCAGTCCCCCGTTGGCACCCACAACCCGTCCTCCCCCAAGATCGAGGTCCCGCCGCCAATTGACCCTTACCTCGGGCACTTCACCGTCTCGGGTGGCAACGAGGCCGATGTGGCTCACCACTCGTTCCACGACTACCACGCATTTTCCAATGTCGAAGTCGACCACAGCTCCGGATACCCGTTCCGGCAGACACCGCACGTATCCGTCAGCGGGCCGCACATGCACCACCGCATGCCCTCTAACGGGGGCCAGGCGCCCATCCTAACCCAGCCACACCCGTCCCAGTTCAGGCCGCAAACAACACCGCGGGTCGGCGGGATTGAAGACCTCCGAGACCCTTCTATGCTCATGGGCGCATACCCGCCCCACACATCTCTCAGTCCCGGAAGGAGAGTGCAGCCGCGCAAGAAGCCCACACCGGCACGGAAGCCAGCGCGCACACCCAAATCAACCCCGAATGTGGGTTCGTCCGACGGCCAGGGGGTCAGCGACGAGGATAGGGAAGAGCTCACGCTGCGGGAAGACGCGCCCGAGGACGACAAGTACCTATTCCAGCTCCGGAAGGAGTTCATTTCGGAAAAGGGCAAGGGGATGTGGGAGGAGATGAAGGCCAGGTACTCGGAGAAGCACCAGGGCAACTGGGAGAAGGCAGCCCTGCAGATGAAGGTCTCACGCGCAGTGGCAAAATTTGGCGTGTGGCCAAAACGAGAGGTATGGAAGAGCCCCCCCCCCCCCCCCCCCCCCCCTTGCGACTTTGCTCCCATTTCGTGCTGACAAGAGATTTTCTTCAGATCGAACGACTCAAGGAGGCCCACAGGTATTACGAAGACAAGCGATACCAACTCATCCTCGCCCGCATGAAGGAAAACGGCGGCTGCAGAGTGTGGGACTGGAAGCCGCAACATGTCGAGGCCATGCTCGTCAAATTGGGCATGGAAGAGCCGACAGTCGACGAAAAGACGGGAACCCGGCGCCGCAAGAACAAGGCAGCCCGCCGGCGCGCCGGCTCACAAAACGGCCACCACCACGCATCCAACGTCATGAACGACTGGTCCAACGGCCTCGGCCTGCACCCCGCTTTCCAAGGCCACCCACACCACGTTGCGGCCGCCCGGCAGGCGTCGTTCGACATGATGAGCGACGACGCCAGTATCGCGCCGACATTCTCGTCGGAGCAGGAGAACGAATACCTCGACCATATCTTCCAAAAGCAGGCCAAGGTCGAGCACAGCCTAAGCCCCGAAATCATGGAGCTCTCATACGAAGACGACGGGGGCAGCCGCCCGCCAACTCGGGACCTCAACCATCAGCACAGCGAGCGCGTCGCCCGGCAAGCCTGCGAGCAGATGATGCAGCAGCAAACAAGTGTAGAACCCTTCGCCGCGCAATGACAGCCGACTCAACACAACACAGGCTCTGGCACCTCAATGGCGCGATAATATTCTGTATTTTTCTCATTTATGACTTTTTTCATCTTTTCTTGTTTTCTCTTCCGACGACGCCATGTCAAAAACCAAAAGATGGAAAAATGTAATGCCCAAGCGGCAGATGAACCCTTTTGTCTTTACTCCTTATTGTTCACTTCCACTTTGGGTCACTTTTTTTTTACAGTTTTTTTTTACGGGAGTTCCGGAAGGTGCACACTTGGGGTGTTTGTGCTTTTGGTGTTTGGAAATACCTAAGGTAGCAGGTACCGTACCTTGCCTACCTTGATGGCTCATTCTTTTTTTTTTTGGGGGGGGGGGTTCCTTCTTTTCTGGGGGTCTAGGCTTATTCGCATGGGAAAGAAACCCTGGAAACCTGTACTCCCGATGGGCCAGGTACCTTTTTTCTTGGTTCACGGACAGTCGCTTTTTACACTACATCCATGGGGAGGTGTGTACCTAGGTACCCAAAAGGTACTAGATACCGTACTCGATAGCTTTTGATAGACGAGGAGCTTTTGACAAAAAGAATTGTACATGTCCATCGAATACCCACACAGATCCATGCATACCTACTTGCCTTACATTTGCGCGCCTTTCGCCCCTGTTTCTGCACAATGCAAAAGGCAACCACGTTGACTGTTCTCGCGAGTTGACGTTGCGTGCTTCATACAGTGTGGTCCGAGTATCCGAGTTCACTGTGCAGATCCGGAGGGTGGTGCATCTCGAATCAACCTCTCACGGCCAGATTCTGGGCCTCGGCTGCCTGTGGGCTCTCTCACTTGCTCGCTCGGCTGAGTTGCCCATTCTCGAAGAACTGGGCCGGCATGCAGGCCGGCTAGCAGGCTGGCAGGCAAAGCGGGAGGCTGTTTCGTTTCCGACTCCCTTCGGCAGTCAGTCAGTCAGTCTCAGTCAGTCGGTGGGTGTAAGGTATTCTCTTGCTTGTATCCGCAGTTATATGCAACAATGGGGGTGGGCGGATATTGACCGTTAGACATGTGAGTAAGAACGGATCTCTCTTTTGCTTTTTTAGGCTTCTGAGCATTTGGTCTTTGCATGCAGGCAATTACCCTAAGAAAAAACGCTCGGATTATGGAATAGCAAAAAGACCTGCAGCCTGCAGGTAAGGTAATGTACTTCGTAAGGTAGGGCCAGCTACAAAGCGAGCTCTCTCTACCCGGGCTGATGGCTTGCTTGCTGGCTGTGCCTGAACATGCGGGAAAGGAACGAGTCCAATCAAGCCCACCGTACTGAATCAAGAAACATTCGGCCCCCCGCCCTCCTCTTTTATTCTTGCATTGTTTGCTGATAATAGAATAATAGCATGGATCTCGTGTCATGGTCTTTGTCTCTGTCTGACTGACTCCATCTCGTTTCTCCTCTCGTAATTTCTCTCTTCCAAGCCTTTTTGTGATTATTCCCGACTCGCTGTGGCTTGCTGCTGCCTTGGATTGTAGGTGGGAACTTCTACCGCTTCGGCGTCTTATTACCTAGAACAGTGCTCCGTACGGGTCGGGTACACTAAGATTTTTGAAACCGCGGGGATTGGGATTATTTGGCAGCTTACGCTCCGGCGGGACCTGACAGGAAAGAAGATTGGGGGGGGGCTCGGATCATGGCACATCACATGCTGAGGTGGAACTTGGACATATCGCTGTACAGCGCATACGCTGTACGGGGATAGGCAATTGTAAGTTATTTGGAAGATCAACCACACCCCCTTCCGTCCATCCCATCTTGTTGCCCATCCGCCGAGGGCAAAGCCAAGCTCAGAAACGAGCATCGGAAACCGAAGTGCGCGAGCGAGCGCGCAACCTGAAGCAGCCACCCAGCCCTATCTCGAGCCCCTCCATTTAAGCGCGAACGGCGCGCAATTGGGGGGAAGGGGAAGGCGAAGGCGAAGGCTTCCGCCCCCAGAGCCGAGACTGGAAACTGGAGACTGGAGACCAATGGGTTGGTATCGGACTTTTGGAACATGCACATCACCTTCGTCATCCATCCATCGGTCCCCCATGCCCGGCCCCATTCCCCGTCTCCATCCCCAGGGCACGCCCAGAGATTTGGATCGAGAACACAGCAGGAACGAAAGTTTGGTAGAAAAACGGAAGGCACGGATAGCAGGACAGTCTCCGTGAGATGTTCATCTCGGTCCCGACCGACTCTTTGATCAAAAAAGGCACCCGCTTACTCACTCAGGAGTTTGGAAATCAGCGCCGCGGCGTGCCGTGGAGATGAAATTCGTGGTGTGATGAAGTGCAATTCCGCCGAAAGCATCCACTGTTACAAGTACGAAGGAAGTACCGCCTGGGGGACGAGGATTAGGAGGGGGTGTGTGGGGAACGCTGGAAAGAAACAGCAACACTGCCCCCCGACCTTGACACCCCCGGCCCGCCGCCTCCCCCCTCCCGGTCATGGATGAGGACGGGCCCCTAGAGCGGTCCCTGCTTCCCATCCCTCACGGCCGGCTGTTAGGTTGCCAGATATTATTTCCTCCTGGTTACGTAGTGCATCGGTCGCACTGCAGAACGAGAGAGGGAACCGTGGGAATGGGAGAACCATGGAACAAGCGAAAAAACCGGGCTGATGAGGCACATAGCGATTGATTCCACAAGCTGTGCCGCCCCGAGGGAAGGGGGAAGGGAGCGGAAGGAAGCAGGGCAGCGCGAGGGAGAGAGACACGCAGAGAGAGCCTCACCTTAATCATAAATTTAGCCAGGCACATAGAACCTACATACATGGACACACGATACGGTACCCTGACCTAGAATGTTTTTCCCGCACCCGTCGCGCGTTTACCTGTTTCTGTTTTGTCTTTCCTCATCATCCCGACGGATGATATACCTACAGCACACAAGATCACGGCGTGGCGTGGGTACGCCGCAAGGAACCACAATAAAAACTCCGTCCCCTACCTGTCTAGTTCCAGTTCTACATACCCCCAAACTTGGGAAGAAACACGCGTAAAAGACGAAATTAACACGCGCATACTCACACGCACACACAAGGCTCAGAGAGACACACCGCGGGAGAGGCAAGGAAACGCCCGGCATTTTTAGGGAGTCAGCGAGCGGCGGCGCCGCTGTGCGCGGTCCGCAGTGAGAGGCCAAAAAATGTAATACATTTTAGCTTGCTCGTTTCCGAGGCCGGCCTGCACACCCGCGCATGTCGCGCCGCCGCGCGTATTGTAAATCCGATGGGCTGCAAAAAAAAAAAAAAAAAAAAACTAAACTTGTAACAGAGAGGCTTTTTTAGTCATTGGTTCCCAAGTTCCTTCACGGTCTTTTTTTGGCCGCCGCCAGCCACGGCTTCAGGTTAACAAGGTTAGGTAACCTGGGCTGTTCTCAGGAAACAAGAGTTTCTTGCCCCCTTCACAACTGTTCCTTGTGTTCCTCGATAGCTACCTATTAACAAGAGTGGGGAGAATGCGCGCCTAGTAAAACATGAAAAATGATCCTTTTTGTTTTTTTCCTTTTGTTTCCCTGGGTCTCGGCGTCTTCCTTCGGCCCGTTTGTACGCTCGCTCTCCCATCCCTTAGTGGACATGGTAACATGCGAACAGTGGGAGTGGGATCGGCAGAGCCGACAAAACCCCACGCACTTGCGGCACCGCTCTAGCTTAGTGGCATGCAAGAGCCTGCGGGGATGATGCATCTACGCAGTATTGATCCATCCATGGATGCGGCGGTGGTCGACGGATGCCGGGGCGGAGTTGCGAGCGACGGGGAGATGGTTAGGATGCTCAAGACGAAAGACACAAGACACCTGTTGCGGGTCTAAGTGTCTAGCTCACGTGAATAAACCAGTGATTTCCCGGGCCCCACCTGCAAGTTTGTTTCTGGTAGGTGTGTGCTCAGGTGCTGTAACTTTACGGCTCTGTTTCGGGGCTCGGGGTCGTTGCCGTTGAGCCCTACCAAGCCCAAGGAGCCAGGGGTGCTCCCGTTCACAATAAGCGCCACATCCGCGGCCTTGGTGCCCCGAGCTTCCATTGCCGCCCCACGATTTGCCTTCCCATTCTTTGTTGGCTTCGAGTTTGCGGGACAGATGGCTGTATCCTTCTCTAGTCACGGATCCTTTTTCTCGCTTCTTCTCTTGTCCCTATTGCGCGATTCCCACGTGTGCCTATTTGACTAGCGTGCGCCAAAGAGGAAGGCAGGCAGCCGAGAGGAAGCTTGGGACCGACCCTTTCCCCATTCTGGGAAACGTGGGAACGAAAAGACGGCTCCCGGGACGCTACAGCTCGTACTCCGTGCCTGAGTCCAGACCCCTTAGCTCTATATGGCGTAAGGTAATCTTCAAAGATGCCAGAACCGCCAGAGGCCGTATTCCGACCCGTATTCCGACCCGTATTCCGGGGTGTCGCGCCTAGCCCCCCTCCACCCCACCGGCGCCGCGCTCGGCAAACCAGGCCCCATTTCCATTGCATTAAGGTACAGATACATAGCGACGGTATCCATTACGCTTGGCTTTAATCATCGGCAACTGACAAATACCTGCCTCAGATGCTACTTGGATCTCACCTCCTCTATCCGCTCTATTCTTTCTTGCGCTGGCCTCCTTGATACACCAATTTGACGCTATCTAGAAGAGCATTTCCGCCAAGCTGTAACTGGAAGCTGGCAAAGGGGCGCAAATGGAAGGCTGCTAGGGCGTGATACGGAATGTTCCGTACCCCTGGAAGAGAACCGGTCAGCTGCTGACTGCTGCCCTAAAATCCTCTCATCGGCTCGGGCAGGATTTTTCTACCAAGGTTACGTACACATTTAGTCACTTTCGGTTATAACTATCTTCGTCTTTCAAGGGGCTATTTGGGGAAAAGGGGACCAGACTGGGATGAGCTGGGCCGGTGACCGGCTGCTCTGTATGAACGGATACATACATACCTGCCTAGGCGCATACCACATCTCTGGACGTGTGTGTCTGTGCTCAGGCAAGGGCAGGGAGACAGAGGGGAGAGGAATGCTGCCGGAGCTCACTCCGGGCAGTCGCGCGTAAACAGGCTCTCTCCACTGTGGTCGCGACCCCGCAGGGCGCCAAGTCACGGCAGCTTTGCCATGCCACAGTCACAGTGTCTTCCTTCCCCTAGCTACTATATACTAGTAATCTATCTGCCTTACCTACGTATGGTATGGTATTGGTAGTTGGGCGCTTCTGGGTGCAACGAATGCCCTGTATATGGGACGATGAACGCTGCATTGGGCCGAGGGACGGCATCAGGGCCGGGGCGATGCGGCACTAACGGCGTTGATCCTTGTATCAAACTCATTGAACAACCCGTCAGCACTATCGCGGATTTCATATCTCGGTCTAGCGGAAATGGAGGCAGTCGACACTGAAAGGGGGAGAGGATGAATGACTAAAACGCTGATTGTAACTTGGATTGTTGCACGCACGGATGTGAGCATCCTTAGGTCGTTTCCAGGTCTTTTGTCGCAATTTGTGATGCTGCCTCGACTTTGTATACACAAATTCAGCATTCAGCCCGTTGTACTTAGTACCAAGATTAGAGTGTAAAGACGGACGGCTTTACTGGCGGATGCGCTAGGCAATTGACCTGGTATGGGATGGCAAGGCAGCCCGGGTCAGGCACGTATCTACTACGTATTTACCGTAGCATGCACTTAATCTAATCCTTGGATGGGCATGGCATGTGTGACACAACCTTAATAAGCGGCTCCTTTTTGTTTTTGGGCTTAAAAGGAACTCCCACCTGGCTTGGCTGTTACTTCACCCTTCAATGGAGCTTCCTATTTTTGTAAGACAGCCCGTTTGAAGTGCCGGAAACCAAGGCGTCGGGTTGCCTTTGCAAAAGGCCCCGGCAGGAGCGGCGTGGCGTCGTCCTTTCCGTCCCGTGTCGAACCATAACTAGCCCTAATAATCGGCGCGGTGCATCACGCAAATTTCCCGTGTGCAATTATCTGCTTTGCTTTTGCCTAGAGATGGCGGGCCTAGACAAGGAAGCAAGCAAGGATAAGCAGGAATAAAAGAAATTTCAGGTGGCAGGGCGTGAGAGCGTCCCCGGCTTGGTTCTAGACTCGGACTTGGGGGGAGAGGCTCGATCGGATCGCCCATCTCGCAATTGAGACCCCTGCGTGACTAACAAATCCGATACACGGTTTAGTTGAATAAAACCAGCGCCCTGTTCGGATTCTCTTTCATCGCACCTACCCTCCCCTTTTCATCACGCGCGCTCACCTCCTGCTCGGCTTTCGGATGGCCAATTGAACTTTTCCCCAAACACAACCAACAAAGATATGGAAATAACCCAAGAAATGAAAAACACTATGGGAAAGAAACAACTCTATGCACAATGGAGGCAGATTTGGTGGGGGAGGGACAGAATGGGAATGGGTTCCCCGCCACCACCACCACGAGTCCATCCCATCTCGCTACGTTGATCTTCTCTTCCTAGACCTTCTAGAAAACCCGGAGAGAATGGAACCTAAAGCCCGCTCAGGGCACGGTAAAAGCCATCAAGGTAACCCTTCCCTCCGAAAGAATAATAATTTGCAACTTTGCCTTCCTATATCCCCGTCGGGTGGGTAAGAAACGACTTTGCATCAAGGGTCTTCCCCCATATTGCATCTTCCGCCGCGCCACATATTCGACAAGATGGCGTGACACGGTATCTCTTTCCGACATCCAGTGGCATCGGGAGGTGAATTTGTAGATTAAGCCTCAGGCAACTGAGACTGAGACTGAGACCGAGACTGAGACCAAGACCGGTCACTGACCAGGCCAACCCACCTTGGCCAACATAATATTTTGCGTAAGTCGAGGTCAATCCGTACTTGTTTCCTTTGTCATTTTTATGTAGCAATGCAGGTTGATTCCAGGTCCAGTCGACTTCATCTAGCCTTAACATATAATAGGTCTAAGCCACAGCATAAGAGAGCATGAATGAATGAATGGAAAGACGGATGAGTTCATATAACACCAAACGCCTTACCTCATCGCTTGCGCCGCGCATAGGGCTCTGATATGACGGGGAACAGATGTGACAGCAAAAAGTCTTGACTCTTTCCCGCCTTAGTTTGGGCAAGTAATGGGCTGCGTTAATGGGCGATGGCGTACGGCAAGTGGGTAGCACAAGAACTAACTAGAAGCCAAAAAAAAAACAGGCCGACCTCATCCTCCCTCCGCCTCCGCCTCCGCCTCCTCATCCTCTTCCTCTTCCTCCTGCTGCCCTCTCACTCTGCCCTATCCCCGCCCCCCCCCCCCCCCCAATCAGCCTAACCCATACCCATGTGAGTTACCATCCACTAGCATTTTTTAGCAGGCAAAGGCACATCTTGTTTACCGGCTGTGGTGCGTCGAGAGGGGTCTGTGAGCTCCCTGTTTTATGGTACGGAAGAGTAGCGGGTGCTTTTTAGTGTTGTTGCGGGATACACTGACTTCCCGGTTGGGTAGTCAGTTTATTGGTTGGTGTGTGTGTGTGTGCACAAGCAAAAAAGATGGAGGAAGAAAACAGCTACTGCCTGCCCAGAGCCAGTGGCGGCGGCGTGGTCAGTTTGTTTCTCTGGGTGGTGCAGGGGGAGACCAAAGGAATCAGCGAGCTGTGCCGCATGCGTGCCGTTGCAAAAACCGAATCGTCTTTTTCTGCCTCAATCCCTCCCTCCACACCGTCCGTCCTTCAGTCCGTCCCTCACTCCCCGCCGGCCCATCTCGGAAGAGAAACACCGAATCAGGGAGTTGTTTGAGGTGTGAGTAGCGAAGACGGCTTTGCAGAGAGAGTGTCTGTGCATGTATAGCATCAACATGCCTACATTAGTGTAAACAAGAGCGAGCACGGGGTCCTGCGTCAGGCAAGCCCACTCCATCCTTCTCTTTTGGCACGATGTTATCTCCTAGATACGCAGTAGGTAGGTCTCTAACCAACAAACCTTACCCCTCCCCCCAATTTCATAGTCCGTCTCCTCGGTCACCTGCCCGTGGCCGGGGCCAACTTGGCCAAGCCGTGGTCGCCGATGGCTTGTTGACGAAACGGCGCAGGTCAGGAAGAGAGAGAGAGAGCAGCAGAGGACCGGGTGTATGTAGATGTAGTATGTATGTACATACCGGAGAGGAAGAAAAGGGGTGGTGGCAGCAACCCTGAACCCGATACATTGGAGAGGAGAGGAAACGAGATGCACCCCCATTATGACGCCCTGAATGTGATGTCCTCGTGGAATTGCAGGTCTTGGCTGGCTGGGTGCAGTCCGAGTAGAGGTTGCCTTCAGTCCGAGAACGGACACAAATTCTCCATGGACGCCTGCTCGACCAGGTAGGGGCTTAAAGTTAAGGTATGGTTAATCGTAAGATGCGCGCCTCCCTTTTCTTTTGTTTTAACCTCTGTTTCCCCGGTTCCGTGGCTGTTTTAGCAGCTTTTGATAGGGAGGTATGAATAAGGTTTCCGCGTACGTAGCATGTAATCCCTTATTAAATCCATGTTCAGCTGTCTTCGGCGAGCTTGGGCTGCATAGGCACCCTCCTAAAGTGTGATTCAGACAGCAAGCCTGCAGGCTGCTTGTGAGAGACAGGGACAGAGAAGAGCGAGCGGCATTCGCATTTTCTCAGAAGTGCGAGAGCCAAGACCACAGCTCCGACTGCAGAGATTTGGGTGACAGCGATGCTCTGCCCTGCCCTGCCCTGCCCTGCCCTGCCCTGCCTTGGGCATGATGGTGACGACTCCCGTGGATGGTGGATAGATACCGCCGTCGGTATTGGAAGTGACCGACACTCCGCCCGGACCCTCTCTTGCGTCTCGGGGCCAGACAAATGCTTCGGTCGCGGCTCGACCTTCGTCGACCATGCATGCAGACAGACTCTGGGTGGTACACTAGTATTCGGCGAGGCTCCGTCGACCAAGCAAGCGGGCTAACGACGATCGACGACCTAAAAGCATGCGAGCGCTCAATTTGGCTGCAACCAAACACCAGACAACCCTGGCGGAGGGGGGGTGGAGGTTGAGGGTTGCGCTTGGATTGCTGATCGCTCGGAATCCCGGGCAGCTCGTAAGCCACCAGCCGTCAACGCCCGGTAAGTTCCATCCGTGGATGGCCAGGGACGGCCCAGGGACGGCTCAGGGACGGCTCAAGCCCGGGTGCCCGCTATTGCATATTCCGGGGGAACAAGGTACAATACTGCAGCCCGCAGATGTACGTACTGTACGAATACATACTTACATGCCGTGCAATCATGTAGACGCCGTGGGGCTGAGGAACACGACCAACAAGAAGCACGCGCTTCAGGGCTCTGTCCGAGTGCCCAGTGGTGCAACAGTGACAGCGCAGGCCCTCCCTGATTCCCTCTGCAGCCCTGTGAGCGGTGAAAGCCAACGACATGCAAACTAGATGGCTCCCCGGATGGGAAATGCCGTGGGAATCCCGTCGAGGCTCCTGGAGCAAAGCAGTGAGGTCTTCTCCATTGCGTTGTGACGAACAGAATGCCCCGACAGTAGTGCTGGCGCCCTTTGTGTCGTGGCAACTACCTTGCAACCGACTTGCAATCAAGGCATGTCGGTAGGTATGGATGTATGTACCCAACCTGGAACGCGAAGAGGAACAGGATGCTGTATTCCGTACATACCTTAATTTGCAGTGCAGCGAGTGTACCAGAAGAAAGACCATCCACGGATCCATGCCAGTATGGATGTCGGTGAGAACTCAAATCTGATGTGTTAACTGCCAGCTAGCAACCTGGGGTTCTAACGGCCGCGATTCCCGCCAGCCTCAGCTTATGGCGGTTGGCGTTGGGTTTCGGGGAGCAGCCGACACTTCAAACCTGGTCAGCCTCCATTTAGACCTTTGACCTTGCCTTCCCGATTAGGTTCTTCATGTCAGGGTTAAGCCACACATTGAAACGGCATGCAAAGTCGCCACAACGGCGGGGGAAACGGCCGAGCCACAGCGGCCCGCGCTCGCTGCAGTCAGTGTGGGGCGATCTGGAGAGGCCAGCAATCAACTATGGCAGGCGCAGGCCGCCGAAGGCCCGGAAGCTCACTGGTAGGGCAGTTGTCGACGGCATCTTCGACGCGGCCAATTCATCGAACAATCATTTCATTCCATCAATCTCGAATCAGCGCTGTCGTTGCCGACACACCGGGCCGATGGCAGGCCTATAACTCCACCACAGCGCGCACAACATCAAGTTGCACAAAACACAGACACGACACATGTGGCCGTCTCGCAGTTGCAGCATCCGCCGCATTCGCAATTTGCAATCACATCCGCATCCGCATCCGCATCCGAGACAGGTGATGCCTCTGCGGGCATGTGCTCATTGGCTGCCGGTTCTCATGGCTCCCAGCCCGCCCCCGCCTGCACCTCACGCCGATTACGCCTGATGCCGCCGTCGCCATGGCCTCCTCGTTGGACCTGGACCTGGACCTGGACCTGGTCTCTCTTGCCATGGCTCCTGGCCCTCGTCCTTGTTTCGTGGCCGCCCCCCGCCGCGGCCATGAGACCCGGCCGCGTGCGCGACTTGCGCCAGGAGACCGCCGGCATGTTCTACCATGGCTTTGATAGCTACATGGCCGTCGCATTCCCGGAAGACGAGGTATGCACACCCTGCGCTCGCCCTGTAGGGCGTGCCGTGGCCACCCTGGCCACCCTGACCCTGACCCCGACCCCGACCCTCCGGTCTTGTGTTTCGGGACCATGATGACAATTATCATGAGTACGATGCTGATGCAGAAGCCGCACAGCTACGCCCCGTATCCTGCACGCCCCTGACGCGCGATTCAAGGAACCCCCGAAACTTTGAGCTCAACGACGTGCTCGGGAACTACTCCCTGACCCTGATCGACAGCCTGTCTACCCTGGCCATCCTTGCGTCCGCCCCTCCGGAAGACGGGAACACGGGCCCCAGGGCCCTGGCCGATTTCCAGAACGGCGTGGCCCACCTGGTCCGCCAGTACGGTGACGGCCGCCCCAGCGCTTCGGGCGTCGGGCTGCGCGGCCGGGGCTTCGATGTCGACAGCAAAGTCCAGGTGTTCGAGACGGTCATCCGGGGAGTCGGAGGCCTGCTCAGCGCCCACCTGTTTGCCATTGGCGCGCTGCCCATCACCGGGTACCACCCCCGAAGCCCGGGAGACGACCCTCTGCATCCGTCGCCCGTTGCCTGGCCGAACGGGCTGAGATACGATGGCCAGCTGCTTCGCTTGGCCCTAGATCTGGGACAGAGGCTTCTCCCAGCCTTCTATACTAAGACTGGCATGCCGTACCCACGCGTCAATCTGCGCCACGGCATTCCCTTCTACGCTAACTCGCCCCTGCATGACGTGCCCCCGGGTGCTAGCGGTGCCGAGGGACCTCCCGAAATCACCGAGACGTGTAGCGCCGGGGCCGGCTCTCTGGTGCTGGAATTCACTGTTCTTAGCCGCCTCGCTGGCGACCCGCGCTTTGAGCAGCTTGCCAAGCGAGCCTTCTGGGCCGTCTGGTACCGGAAGAGCCAGATAGGCCTCATCGGTGCCGGTGTCGATGCCGAGCACGGACATTGGATAGGAGCCTACTCCGTGATTGGCGCCGGCGCCGACAGCTTCTTCGAGTACGCTCTGAAGTCGCACATCCTCCTTTCGGGCCATGAGCTTCCTAACAGAACTGCTGCTGCCCTGCTGCACCCCGGTGCCGGGTCTGACTGGATGGACCCGAACACCCTCTTTGCTCCCCTCAGCGACACTGAAAACTCACCCGACTCGTTTCTCGAGGCTTGGCATCACGCACACGCCGCCATCAAGCGCCACCTCTACAGCGAGAAGGACCATCCCCACTACGAGACGGTCAATCTGTGGACTGGCTCGCTAGCGTCCAATTGGGTTGATAGCTTAGGGGCTTACTACTCGGGCCTCCTCGTGCTCGCCGGCGAGGTAGACGAAGCTATCGAGACCAACCTGCTCTACACTGCCATATGGACCCGCTACTCTGCGCTTCCAGAGCGATGGTCCATCAAAGACAAGACTGTCGAGGGTGGCCTCGGGTGGTGGCCGTTGCGGCCCGAGTTTATCGAGTCGACATACCACCTGTATGGTGCTACTAAGGATCCCTGGTATCTGTACGTCGGTGAAATGGTCCTCCGGGACATTCGGAGACGGTGCTGGACCCCGTGCGGCTGGGCCGGTCTGCAGAACGTGTTGGATGGGGAGAAGAGCGACCGCATGGAGAGCTTTTTCCTGGGCGAGACAACCAAGTACATGTACCTCCTCTTTGATGACTCGCATCCGCTGAACAAGCTCGACGAGGCCTATGTCTTCACCACCGAAGGCCATCCGCTTATCATTCCAAGAGCGAGGCCGAGCGGCAAACCCCGCCGGGGGCCGCAATCTGGCGGCAAGGAGCTGGCAGTTTACTACGACGAGAGCTATACCAACCAGTGTCCAGCGCGCCCGGCCGTCACCCCCCTCACAGGCTCCGTGACGGCAGCCAGGGAGGACATATACCACGCTGCTCGGATGCTGGACCTGCATCTGATAGACAACTCGGGCTCGGATTCCGAGTCTGACAGGCCTGCTGCCAAATCCGAGTTCACGCTCTTCCCCTGGACGCTTCCTCCCGAGTTACTTCCGGGCGATGGCATGTGCTCAAAGGTCTACCAGCCTCTCGAAGTCACGTTGGAGTTTGCCGCAAACGCCCAGCAGGTAGTCGGGGGTAGTGCCTTTAACTTTATGGTGGGGTCCCAAAATATGGAGCGCTTAAGCGCAGATCGTATCCGAGTGTCCAGCCTCTCGGGCTTAAAGGTGGCGATGCGGCTGGAGGACGACGCCGGGGATCGCGAGTGGCGAGTTAACCGCATCAATGGCGTCCCGCTGGGTCGGGACGAGTTTGTCGTCCTGGACCGAGCCATCCTCGGGGATCTTTCGGACCCTAGGTTCAATCTCGTCCGAGACCAGGTCGTCGTGAAGCTGCATCAGCTGCACCAGGTTCAAGTGTCCCGCAACGAGTCAGCTGGCGTTGATGCGCTAGATATGCAGCACGAAGAGGATGAGGATGTTGAAGATGACGATTTCGACGATGACGTGGATGCTGCATTACAAGACGACTCTGATGCCCGTCCATATACAGCCACCTCGCGAGTCACCGAGATTGGATCCTTTGTAAAGTCACTGCTTAGAAATGTGGTCGCCTCGTTGGATCTCCAGGTCTCGAATGCGTCGACAGCCGCCCTTCTCGGCAATAAGGGAGGTGCCGGCGGCCGACCCCAACCCTACAACCTCGTCATAAACCAGACTGCCGTGACACCGACGGGTGTGGGCGCCGCGCCGCTACCCGCCGTCAACGTACCCTCGGGCGCCCACGTGCCCGAGCTCGGCCCCGTCCCCCGCGGCATCTTCCCGTGGACCACAGTCTACGCGGCTGGCGACGCTTGCGCCGGGCCGCTCCCAGAAGCAGCGTCCCGCGACCACCAGGTCATGGTGATGCGGCGCGGAGGCTGCAGCTTCAGCGCCAAGCTCGCCAACATCCCCGCCTACCAGCCCGCGGTAGCGTCGCTGCAGCTCGTCGTCGTGGTGTCGGACGAGGACGAGGACGAGACAGGCGAGGCCGACTCGTACCGCGCCTACGCGCTCTCAACCGCAGCCGCCAACCTCGTCCGCCCGCTTCTCGACGAGCCACAGCTCACGCCCGGCGGTATCCCCCGGCGCCACCCCATCGCAATGCTTCTCGTCGCCGGCGGCGACAACGCGTACCGTCACCTCGCCATGGCTGATGCAGTTGGCCTATCGAGGCGGTATTATATCGAGAGCCAGGGGTCGCGGGTCAGGAATATCATTGTCGACGAGGGCGACGCCGGTGCTACCCTGTGAGTGCGCAGGCCTTTGTCTATCGAATGGAGAGAGTCAAGGCGACTTTTGGGGACTCGTTTTGTATGTTTGTTTGTTTGTATGTATGTATGTCTGCATTACCTGTACATAAAGACAGCATTGTTGGCGATGGCCAAAGAAGCGGCACCATGATAATGAAGGACAGTAGAGTCCGGGAGGAGCATTTGCATGCCTAGGTAGCGTTTAAAAATATGGGGTTTTCTGTTTAAGTCTTTTTCCCCCTTTTTTTTGTAGATATAAGTCTTGGCCGTTCTCCCCTCCTAGGGATCAACTGTGAGATTGCATTGCATTTCCTACTGGATTTAGTACCTCGAGCGTCTCTCCCAAGTGCTGTAGGGCAGGTTCAAAAAAGGGGGTGACAACAACCAGAGAATCTCCCCTGAATGGTTGCTTTCAGCAATGCTTCGTGCCTCATCAATTGAGGTAATGGCAAGCCGAAACCAAGAAAAAAACCAATACTAGATAATTCCAGCATTGTTTAAATATTACCACGGATTATAGATTTGATTTTTAAAGAAATAAATATTTAGATTGTATGTAGGTGGGTAGCACGAGCTCTCCAGCCACAGCCACAGCTAGAGGGGAGCTTTCCCGGGAGCTAGGGGTAGCTTAGCTCTTTTAGCGTACGGTGAGTGGGGCTAGAACGCCCCAATAATGACGGACGATGCGTGGTTCGACACCTTGGCGGAAGGTAGTCTCAATTTCGTCAGACCGGATCCCGTCATCTCTCTTGTGCAACTTCAAGAGCTACATCTACTACCAATAACATAACACCACGCCACCGTCCCCCCGCCCCAAAGATAAAGCCCTCGCCTCTTCAATTGTGCGAACGAGGATGGGCGCATCCGCCTCGAAAGCAGCGCAGAAAGGCGCGCGCAAGTTCCCCACGCGCGCTCCCGGAGCAGGAGCAGCAGCGACGTCGACGACTCGCCCACCACCACCGCCTCGTGCATCTGCATCGCAGTCTCAGCCGGCGTCGCATACCAAGGACGACGGTATGTAACGGAAGTTTGATTGAAAGAAGAGAAGAGGGACGACTGACTGGCCACCACATTGCATTGCATTGCAGCAACAACACACACCCCAGAGGCGGGCAGCGGCCGCCCCGACAAGACCTCGACGATAAACCCGGCGTTTGCTCACCGGCTGCGTCAGATGGGGGTGGCGGAGCCGAACCCGACGTACTCGCCGTCGTCGATCGCGACACCGGCGCCGGACCCATCAGCGTTCCGCCAACGCGACCACGGGCACGCGCCGTCGGCGCCGCGGTTCGCGCCGGCCGCGGGCAACGCTACGCTCGGCGTGCTCGAGGCTCGCCAGCGCCTCGAGGAGCTGGCGGAGCGCGAGTTCGCCGACATGGGCAGGTCCGGCGGCGACCAGGGTAAGGAGTTCCTCGACGTCGCGACGATAAGGGACGCGCTGGTACTCCGGCAGCGCGGGACGCCGGCGGCGGAGATCGAGAAGCGGCTGAGGCTCAAGCAGGGTGTCGTGGCTAGACTGGGCCGGCCGGGCCTAGTCTCTCCAACATCATAAAAGAAAAGGGAAGAAACAAAATCAAAAAAAAAAAATCTGCAAGTCTTCTTTGCTATTGCGCAGCGTCAGTCTGTTCTGGATATCGTCTTGTGCCAGTCTTTGTTACTGCCCACCGCCGCTCCTCCGTCTTGCCCTCCCCGGCGTGTATCATCTGAACCAAGGATACCATGTCATCACATGTCATATGTACATTTCATTATTGCCGCCCCCAGATCCTGCTCGGTACCCAACCCAACTCGCACGACGCAGCTCTCTCACCAAGCACAGTGACCTCCGTCGATTCTCAAATCAGCCCCCGTCATAAAGCTGCTGGCATCGCTGAGCAGAAACACGGCGGCCCCGCGGTACTCCTCGGGGTAGCTCAGCCGCTTCAGCATGTTGGCGTCGGGCCATGCCGTCCGCCTCTCGGGGAACGCCTCGAAGAGGCCCTCCGTCATAGCCGTGACGATGTATCCCGGCGAGATGGTGTTGACGCGGATGCCGTGCTCGCCCCACTCGGCAGCCAGGTTGCGAGCCAGCTGGAGAACCCCAGCCTTGGAGGCGTTGTAAGCGCTGTGGGGGCCCGTCTCTTATGTCAGCCATCCGTTCTCTGTCTCTCACACACATGCACACAACATCTCGCAGCGCTTGGGGGGGGAAGAAGAAGACGGCACACGTACGGGCATATCAGACCCCTGTTCGCGACGGTGCCGCTCATGCTCCCAATCAGGACTAGGCTGCCCTTTTGCTTGCGCTTGATCATCTGGCGCGCGACCGCCTGGGCCGTCATGAACACGCCGGTGATGTTAACGCCGAGCATCTTGTCCGAGTCCTCGGCTGTGTACTCGAGTGCGGGGGTCTCCTGCTGGATGCCCGCCGCGGCGATGAGGCCGTCGACGTGGCCCTCCCTGTCGGCAATGCCCTCGACGATCTCGTTGAGCGTCTTCTGGTCCCGCACGTCGACGCGGTGGTACGTCAGGCTGGATCCCAGCTCCGATCTGGCCCGCAGCGCCACGCGGCCGAACTCGCTGTCCTCGGCCGGGCGAGGGAGGCGGTCCAGCGCGTGCACGATGGCGCCCGCCTCGAGCAGCGCCTCGGCCTGCGTGAGCCCGACGCCCCGGCCGCCGCCCGACACGACCACCACCTTGTCCTTGAGGCTGAACTCTGCGAGCAGCGTGCTCCGCGCGGGGGTCTGGGCCTGGGGCGGGCTGTAGCGTCTTGGGCTCTGGTGGAAGGCCCTGGCGAGGACAGTTGGCGTCATGATCCGGAGCGACTTCCGCGCGAGCAGGCCCCGAGGCACCATGGTGGCCACAGCCGCGGCCTTGGCTACGAATCCCGTCATGTTGACGAGCAGGATGGGCGATCACCGAATGCTGATCAGTGTGATGTATGTATGCGTCTACTTGCTATGAGCACGTCCCCGTATCAAAATGGAATTTCGAGCTGGGCTGCTGCTTCTTTGTTCGGCCGGAGCTTGGGCTGCCTTATTTATCAGCTACCCGGGCTGTCTGCCTCTTTGTCGCACAACGAACCGGGAAACGGTACCTGGCTGGGATATCTACCACGTTTGCTTGTGTGTACTTCCGGGGCGTCTGCTCTAGCTGGGCTGACCCTACCTTGTCTAAGTGCGATGATGTGCCAATGACGCTATGGTTTGGTATGTAGAGGGAAGGAGCTCGTGTGACCAAGTTATCAAACTCCGAAATTGAAGCAGGATCTCACGTTGGTGCAGTCCGGGAGGGCCGATTCAGAAAGAAGGAGCGAGCACCCAAGACCGAGCCGTCGAGTCGTCCCCCGTTGCTCCTTCCCTCTTTTATACCACTAGGGAAATCCCATCCATCTCGTCTGTCTGTCTTGAGGAAGGTACATGGGCCCAAGGTCGATGCGAGCCACTTACTTCCATGAATCCGAATAGAATGGAGACCCTGCAAGACCATCTCCAGCACACGCCATTCCCCTTCCAGTGCAAAACCAGTAGATTCTGTGGACTGCGGACAAGCACGGCCACCTCAGTCGACGATAGCGGACAGCAAAAGACGTCCAGTTCATGCCCCTCACCTGCCCGGTCTCAGGTACGCTTCCTTTACGGGCCCAGCCAGGATCACCACACTACGCTGTGTTACAGCTCCCTGGAGCTTCGGCCCAAGGCTAGACTCGACCTTTGTGCAGCCGGTGAAAGCCCCCCCTGGCGAGCCGGTGAAGCTGAATGGTTCCCCATGCTGCCGGGTAGGTCCAATTGGATGGGGAAGGGAGCTTCTTCATCTAGAGCATGCAATCAATTCCGGCTCTGCGACTGCTGCTGCTGCTGCTGCTGCTGCTGCTGCTGCTGCCCGCCGGTCTCGACTATGCCGTAGTCCTGGATACAACACTGCAGCCAATGTCGGCACGGGTGCGACTTAGCGCTGATCTTTTCTGTGGGGAAAACAGAACGAACCACCATAGCTCGGGCTTCCTCTTGCGGAATCCCGGCCGTGTGGAGAAGCCGGCGAGCGAGGGGCTCGCCGGTCGACGCCTAGTAGGCGCGACAGGCGACACCAGGCAAACCTCATTGCAGCTTTTTCGACACGGACATGATGAAGGAGCTATGGGGGGGCATGGACGCCGGATGCTGAGCTGCTAGCTCGACATTGGCAGCAGCCCTCGAGCGAGGGCCCCGTCCTGTCGGCAACATCCAAGCGCTACGCTGCACTCGGGCAACGGCGGGGGAGGAGGGTTGCCATCTTGGGCATCTTCGTTGAGAGCAGCCGGGCGTGTAGGTGGGTAGTGGGCGACCTGTGGGAAGGATCACACACGCATGCCCGTCCAGCTTGACAGGTCGGCCCTTGGTCGAGCGAACCAGACGGTCTGATGGGCAGCATGCCGACAGAGACGAAACTTGATCAAGAAAGCCCTCCTTTCACGACCGATGCCTAGCCCGACGCCACCCGCGGGTCGAGATAGTGTCGGCAGAACAACAATTGGGTGTGCCCAAAGTCAAACACGCCCGGTGTGGTGCCGTAGGTGCCGTGCCTCGATAACGCTCGGCTGGCGATGCCAAAGGAAAGGGTCCCCCTCTCTCTCTCTGCAAGCTGCCAAGCCTCGCGCCATTGGTTGTGCTGCAGTGCAGAGAGTGAGAGAGAGAGCGTTTGGTCGCTAGGGCATGACGCACTCTGCACTCCGCATGCGCTGTGAGTGGGTCTCTCAACAGTTCGGGCTCCCGGCTCCAGGCCCTGCTCCAAAGCCAGAGAGCAGACAGGGATGCGGCCCTCAATCTTTCCCCCCGCCAAGGGGCCGGGCCCTGGGAAACGATTCGCCGTTGATGCCGATGCTGTGGTGTGCAAGACTGCAAGTTCGACCGACAACGATAAGGAAGGCCGAGACCACAAACCCTCTCTGCTTGCAGCGCTTTGCAGCGCTTTGCAGCGCTTTGCAGCGCTTTGCATTGGTGCTTGATGTGAACTCGTCTCGCCTCCGCTTTCCGCTTTCCTCTTTTTGCCTGCCAAGTCCGTTTGGATCACAGCAAGCCACCATTGCCGCCGCCCCGCCGGGAGCTGCCGAAGGGGAGAAACCGCCACTGCCGGCCGCCGTTGAGGATCGGCCTCAGCGGGTAACGTAACCGCGTCCACTGCAGCGTCCCGCTGCCACAAAAAATGGCAAAGCCATCCAGTTTTGGTCACGTCTTACTGGTCTGAAAATGTTTGACTTTCTACAATGCACCTGCGAAGGCAGGATGCAGCTGTGAAATTTCCGTATCACCGCAACGTGTGGTCGGAGATCTACGGGGAAATGGACGGCACCCCCGCCGCCTATCATAGCCGGATCTCACCCTCCACCTGGTTGACCTTCGCTCAAGAAGGATGACCGATGAGTTCAAATGTGAAAGAGGCTATATTCTCCGTCTGCTATTTCTGACGGTGAGGAATAGTACCACGAGCCTCGCGGAGAACCTTCACGGCCGGCATGGAAAGAATGGGAGAGGGTGCATGACCTATCTCGTTAGTTTCAAAACCCAGCCTGCCTCGCATGCATCTCAAAGGCCATAGCGGTGTGGTAGCCCGCAGCTCGGCATCCCGGACGGCGACTCTCGAGGTTGCGAGTGCTTCCGTCTACGTAACCGGTGCCGCCCCATTCCACCCCATCAGAAGTTCACGACTTGGCCCTATCAGATGGTGGCTCGGGTTGTTTTGTTCCGATATTTTTTCTGCCTCCGGTCCTTTCTCTAGTACCCGGGCCCTGGCAGGCTCATTTAATCATGGTTCGATAATCGGGCGATGACGAAGTTGTGCGAGTCAGCTAGCTTAGCTGCACAGGTTCGTCCTGTGCCGTCCCGTCTGTTAATTTGTGGAAAGACTCTGTCTGAGACCGTTTCCAATGTTCCACGGTCGAGTGTGGAACAAGTGGGCCAGCGCTGAAATGTCCCACAACACCAAGCCGTTTCCCGTTGGGTTGGACCACACATGGTGAAGACTAGACCGCCGCGAACAAGTCGAGAAGCCGAACTCTCCAGAACACGCAGCCGTTCGAATGGAGGTTTTGTTAGAATGCGATGCCCAAGTTGAGAAACCAAGCCGGTGCGACTTGGTCTGGGTTGACGCGCAAATCTGGGCTCTCGTCTTTGATATTTGGGCAGAGCGACAAGCAATCGCGGGCTAGGGGGGAGCTGGGGCTCTTGCGAGACTATACCTACTTGGATAATACGGGGTTGTATTGGTCAATTACCGGCGTTCTGCCACATGGCAACTTGAGCCGGGGCCCCGACCTCGGCCCCGGTGGAGGGCGGGCCATCGTACGATGCAGTAGCCATGCATCGCAATATGACTCGCTGAAATCTCTGGATGTTGAAAATATCGAGCGGTTAGTGCTTCGAAACGAAGGTCGGCCTTTTATTTAACAAGCAGGCAAGTTTCTGTGGCCTATCGAGGGCCTCTATGCTCGTTTGATACACTTTTTGTTTCAGAGAGTCAAGCCGGCCACCCGATATCTCGACGCCGTCCACACTTATATCATGGCTCTCAACTACAAACAGACCAAGCTGGTGAAGGACACCGTCCCGGCCCTCCGGGAGCACGGGGAGCGGATCGCGTCGATATTCTACAAGAACATGCTGCGGGCCCACCCCGAGCTCAACAACTACTTTAACGGCGTCAACCTAAAGAACGGACGGCAGCCTCGGGCCTTGACGGCTGTGATACTGGGGTTCGCGGCCAACATCAACAACCTCGCGGAGCAAATCCCAAAGTTTGAGCGCATGTGCAACAAGCACTGTTCTCTGAGCATCAGGCCCGAACACTATGAGATCGTCGGCGAGTACCTCATCCGGGCATATGCCGAAGTGCTGGGCCCCGCCATGACCCCCGAAGTCCAGGTCGCGTGGGAGAGGGCGTATTCAATGCTGGCCAAGATGCTCATAGGGCGCGAGGCCCAGCTCTACAAGCAGTTCGGGAGCTGGTCGTCGTGGCGCAAGTTCAGGGTCGACAAGGTCGTGCCCGAGTCGGCCGACATCTACTCGTTCTACCTCGTGCCGCAGGACGGCAAGCCGCTGCCGAGCTTCCTTCCGGGCCAGTACGTGTCGGTGCAGGTGCCCATGCCCGACGGCTACCTGCAGGCGCGCCAGTACTCGCTCAGCGAGGCCTGGAGGCCCGACTACTACCGCATCAGCGTCAAGCGCGACGAGGGCCCCGCCTACGCCAACGCCGTGTCCAAGTCGTACCTGCACCCGGGCGCCGTGTCCAACCTGCTGATCGACAGCGTGGCCGGCGCCGCCGTCGACGTCTCCCACCCCGCCGGCGAGTTCTTCCTCGACACCAAGGAGACCGGCATGCGCCCGCTGGTCCTCATCTCGGCCGGCGTCGGCGTCGCGCCCATGGTGAGCATCGCCAACGCCGTCACACGGTCGCAGCCGGGCCGCCCCATCTCGTGGATCCACGGGTCGCGCAGCGAGCAGGTCCCCTTCCGCGACCACGTCGCCCAGCTCCGCGCGCAGCACCCCGCCAGCTTCCGCACCGCCGTCTTCAAGTCGCGCGTTGTCGAGGGTATCGACGTCCCCGGCGTCACGTACGACTTTGCGTCGCGCGTTGACCTGGCCCGCCTGAGCCCCGACGAGGACCGCTTGTTCCTCAAGCACGGCGGCACCGAGTACTTCGTCTGCGGCCCCGAGGCGTTCATGCACGACGTGTCGCTCTATCTCCGGGCGCAGGGCGTGGCGGCCGCACACATCAAGATCGAGACGTTTTCTACGGGCGATGCGGCGCTCGAGCAGAAGTGAAACGACGATAATAAAGGGGGGAGTGTTGGCGAGCGTGTGCTTTCTCTCTCTCGCTCTCTCTCTTTCTCTCTCTCTCTCTCTTTCTATCTATCTCTCTTTCTATCTATCTCTCTCTCTCTCTCTCTCTCTCTCTCTCTCGGGGCAGGCCTCGAGCGGGACGGGAAATGAAATGCACAGCGAGAAACGGGACTATCTTTCGGGCGGACGGCCATGTTTAAAGACAAGATTTTTGTGTAGTATCTATTGTTTTAATATCTAATAGAGTAGAGTAGACTTGGACAATTCTATAGAAATCCGGAGCTCCCCTTTCCCCCCTTTTTTTTCTTTTCAGTTTCGGTTTCGGCGCCTTGCGAAATAGAGGGGGTGGACAAGTGAAAAGTCAATGTATATGTTTTTTTTTGTTTTATTTCTTCCTCCAAATGCGGCCGGAACAACAAAAACAAAAATAACACAGCCCTGTTCGACCTTCCACAGCCTCTCTTTACATAGTAGAGTTGAGCTACAGCGGCGATGAGAGGGGCTGCGGGTTTGTTTATCCCTCCTTCGTGATTGGATAGCTGGCTACAGTGACTCAAGGAAGCTGAATTCTGGATGTTTGCCAAGTTTCGACGCGGAAATCATGCCAAGAGCTCTCGCCCTGCCTCTCTCGTCAGTGCGAGTGGCTTGCAATCTGTGGCAGGTTTCGTCTCTTTCAGCCCTCTCGGCAGCAGCAGCAGCAGCAGCAGCTCGTCGGACTTTGGGCCCCAGCCTGCCAATCATGTCTCGCCATCAACGCCAGCAACCACGGTGCCAAGCACTACTTTTCTTTTCACATGTCCTCTTCCGCTCAGAGGGATTTCGGCAGAAGAACTCCCAGGCCTGGCCCCGGCTCTGAAAGAGCTTGCTGGCCGCCTGTCTCGTTGCCTGGACATGCATTTTATTCCCGTCCTTCTGGGAACTTGAAACAGACAGTCACAATCCGTGTGCTGTTGCCAGAGCCTGGACCGACGCTGCGTTGTCTTCCTTGGCAGCCCTTTTCTCGCTGCGCTGGGCTGCGCATGTCCATGTCCGATGGCTTGCATGCAGCCCCGGGGGGTCGTCCCGCGCCATCGCCAGCCGATTGGCTCCCGGCCGGCCTGGCTTCCGCCCAGTGGCTTGAATGGTGGCGAGGCAAGTGTCTGTGGATAGGCCCAGATCTCTCGGTCGGTTCCAGAGGTCGCGCGCCCAAGCAGATAAGGCGCTCTTGGCAGGGGCGCTGGTATGGTAGTGCTGCTGCTGCTGCTGCTGCTGCTGCTGCTGCTGCTAGCGTTGAGGCTATGGTTTGCGAGCTCCGATGTTTTCTTGGGTATGAAAGGTGAATGGGCCGCGCCCGTCGACAGACTCAGAGTCGAGAGACTCCATCTTGCGTGTATTGCGACACGGTCGTCGGGCGTTTGTGAACTGACGCGGCAACGACAAGGTCTAAAAGCTTTGCTCCGAGGCGCCGAGTCGGCACTTGGCCGGCACTTTTAATCTCTCACAATGCGCGTCGCATCGATCTTGGCCGTTGCCGTCACGGCTGCGGCGGCGGTAGCGGCAAGGTTGCCGGCGGCGAGGAGAGCAGCGCACAGCTTCGGGGACTTTGGGCAGATGGTGAAACGCGACGGGCTCGCGGCGTGCACAGACCTGACCATCAACAATAACAACGGCGACCGCAAGGTGGCCATCGTGCTGGACAGCTCGGGGTCCATGTACTACAACGACCCGGGCGACCTGCGGCTAGCGGCCGGGCGCGCGCTGAACGACTTTCTCATCTCGAATTCCGAGGCGGCAGGCAGCGGCACCAAGGCGGATCAGGTCGCCGTCATCGGCTTCTCGGACGCGCCCTACGTCGTGTTTGGTCCTGGCGACCCGGGCAACTCGACGGCCGACAGCTCCTTCAGCGAGATCGGCGCTGACGGCGGCACTTTTATTGCTGGCGGCGTCCTCGAGGCCATCGACCAGATCGGGAACATGTCTGGCACCACGAGGGACAGGAGCGCCATTGTTGTCTTTACCGACGGATCCGTGAGTGTTTTCTTGTTGTGTCCTTGCTGTCTCCTTGTTGTCTCCTTGCTGTCTCCTTGCTGCCCCCTTGCTGTCTCCTTGGAAAAGAAGGCTGGCTGACTTGTTTGTTGTTTAGGACTACGACCAAGAGGCGCTCGTCGACGCCATCAACAACGCGACGGCGCTGGGGATCCGCGTGTCGTTTGGCTTTCTCGACCCGTCCGTGTCGTCGCAGGGCCGGCCGGTGCTGCTCGCGGTGCGCAACTCCAAGGGCGTGTACGCGACCATTGCGGTGGCGGCCGGGTCGCAGAACTTCATCAACTACGTGCTACTCAACGGGCTGACGGCCCAGGACAACGCCCAGGGGGCCGGCAACCGGCTCCTGGCCGGCCTCGCAACGACCCTGTTCATCAACGGCACGGCGCCCCTGACGTCCGTGTTCCCCGTCGGGTCGGGCGAGCGCGTCAACTTCACCATCCAGAGCTTCACGGGCGACCAGCTCGACGTGCAGCTCAAGTACGGCGACCAGGTGCTCGGCAACTCAACCTACTCCATCACCCGGAGATCGTTGATATTCCTCAACGCGACGGCCCCCGGCGACGGCCAGATCGACGTTGTTGTGTCTGCCCGCAACTCGCCCACCGACGGCCTCGTGTCCATCCTGCCCGGCTCGTCGGTGCCCATCAAGAACTGCACCGTTGCCGTGCTCAACGGCCTCGCCCCCGCGAACACCGGCCTCAGCACCGGCGCCAAAGCCGGCATCGGCGTCGGCGTCACCCTCGGCGTGCTAGCCCTGGCCGGCCTAGGCTTCCTCGCCTTTGCCAAGTTCTTTGCTGGGGGCGCGGGCGGTGCGGGCGGTGCGGGCGGTGCGGGAGGAGCCGCCGGTGCAAACACGACGGCGCCGCCGCCCAACCTGGTCAACCACACGGCGCCGCCCAACGGATTCGACGGCAACACGACGGGCTATAACCCCGGCGCCGAGAAGCTGGCGCCGCATCCCAGCGTCAACCCCGTGTCCAACGTGCCGAGCGGTGGCGTCACGCCGTCGTACTCGGTCCCGCCCAGCGGCTACGAGGCCAATATTGGCGGCCAGGGCCTCGCCCACGGCGCCGTGCCCTCGGCCTTGTCGTCGGGAGGTGTCGGCGGCGGTGTCGGCGGGTGGGGCGCCACGGCGAGCGCTCCGGCCGTGTTTATTCCGCCCATGGTGCCGCCCAACGCCTTCCAGAAATCGCACCACGGCTCGCAGCCGGGCCCCGAGGAAAACCACACCGCGTACAACCCCAACCAGGGCCAATATCAGAACCAGTACCAGCCGCAGCTGGGCAGCGGCGGGCCCGACGGCGCGCAGCAGAACCTCGGGACCAACCCCCACCCCGCGTCGCAGACCCCCTACGGCGGCGGCGGCGAGGGGCACTACTACCACAGCACGCCGCCGCCGCCGAGCACCGTGTCGCCCAACACGACGGGCTACTCGTCGCCCAATACGACCGGTTTCGATCCCACTGGCGGCGGTAGCGGCGGTGACGCAAGCCACACGGGGTTCGACACAGGGGACCACACGGGCTACGACGGCTTCAACACGGGCCATCACAGCGGCTACGACGGCTTCAACACGGGCCACCACAGCGGCTACGACGGCTTCAACACCAACAACGCGCCCCCGCACCCAGCACCAAATCAGTTCGACCAAGGCGGCAGCAGCGGTCTTGGCCACGGCGGCGGCGATACTGGCGGACCAGGAACAGGATCAGTTGCAGGTGGAGGAGGGGGATTCAACGTCCCCGGCCCGCCGTCGTGGCAACGCTCCGACGACGACAACAAACACCACCACCACGCCTGGCTATCGCCCGACACGCCGTGCGACCACCCGGCCTGCCCGCTGCACGCGCCTGACCACGAGTGCGCGCCGTCGCGCGAGGCGTGTCTGTGCCGCTGCCGCAACCCAGACTGTCCTGTCGCGAGGCGGCAGTGGAGCTAGTTGCCTCCTCATTTTCTTGGTTTTTTTTTGGTTTTTTTTTGGTTTTGGTGGTTTAGTTTATTCCTCCCAGAGGGGAGAAAGAGAAAGAAAGGAAGGGGGGGATATTTATACATGTTTCTTTCTCCCCAAGTAGGGCTGAAGCGTTCAAGCGTTGGTGTTCTTTCTTATCAGTTACTATATTTATCTCTCTATATATATACACATGTATATATATTCATCGATCGTCACAATGTCCACCTTTTCAGCATCATTTTTTGTAATCCGAGTCTTTCAAACACACACACGAGAACTCGGGCTACTATTGTGAAATATCCAAAACAATGTAAAACTCAAAGCAGCCATACGGAGTGATTTTATTCAGGGGCTGGAACAAAGCAAACGTAATAAACAACTACTATTCTCCGAATTCCATGTCGCCTGTTTATTTCACCACGAACATGTCTACTTCTCCTACATCCAATTTGTCTCTCTTTACTTATCAACCGCTAGTTCTAGGCATTACCCCAAAGTTAAAGGGGCGAGTGAACAACAGGTTGATTGGATAAGGTACCTCATCTTCCCTATTCAACGATACAGGCGTATAACTGCCGCTGACGTTCTATGCGCAGACATGAGGCATGAAAGGTAATCCGATGACACTCAGCGACCGAGGCATAGAATCGCCAGTAATGTTCGATCCGCAGATATGAAGCATGAAAGGAAATCTGATTACTAGCCACGTTGGCCTGAGAAACTTGTTTCCCAGTTAACCTAATTTCGTAAACTTCAAGCGCCCTCCTTGCATGGCAAACATCGCAACAGTCACTAACCGATGAGGTGCGTGTTGAAGATTTCGGCTATGCACGAGGTCTATCTTCTCCGCACTGGCAACAAATATGTATTTCCGGCTCTCTCGACATGACATCCCTCCATTTTCTCGTATACTTTAGACTTTGTTTGGACGACTCCATCCCCATCACCACCCGTGTCAGAGTGGCACCCATATAGGAGAGTCCGCACAGACACATAGACACAATTACAGATACGAGGAGTAGGAGATGCGGGCACATGTGATAGTGGCCATTGATACGTGTGTGGCATGCTCATTATTAAAAGGTAGCACAAAGAAACAAGCCAAGTCTATATGCACGCACTCACCCCAAGTCTGATCCCACCCACCCCTCCATTCCAATTAACCATCCTTGACATAAATACCTTTTGAAGCCCAACGCCAGGTATGTGCAAAAATCACAGTAGTAGACCACCTCCCTCACGAAACTTGACAAGCCCACCCCCGATCGCTCGGGGACAAGCATGCAGACATGCTGCGGGCTGCTGTGCAGAGCCCGCCCCCCCCCCTATTAAAGACATTCGGTCATCGAAGTTCACAAGACAAATGGTGGATATTAGTGGATATCAGACGGGTGAGTGATGTTTTGGTCTAATGACCACGTCGAGGCCAGCGTTCTGACGGGTGTGTCGGAGCAAGCACCTGGATGCCTTTAATCATCCGTCTCAAGAAGGGTGACGGTGGGCACGCCGTCGAGCTTGTCGCGTCCCTTGAGGAACGGGATTTCCAAGATGAAGAGGTATCCAATCAGATCGCCTCCAAGCTGTTTGACGAGAGATCCAGCAGCGGCAGCAGATCCACCTAAAAAGCAACGAATTAGCCTGGAAAGAATACAAAAACGAGTAGAAAAGATGTATGACGTGAGGGATAGGAACGGGCGCAGGACGATGAGTCAAAAATCGGTGTGAGAATTGGTGCTCTGGGGAACGCGGGTTTGCAGCCGGGCCTTGGCGAGGGCGTGTGCTTATTGGTGGGGCGTTTCCGTTCGGCGCGGGATGGCGCAATGACGAGAGCGGGGAGAGAAAAAAAAGAAAAAAGTCAGTGCTCTTACCAGTTGCAATGATGTCGTCCACAACCAGTACTTTCTGGCCCGGCTTCACCGCACCCTCCTGCATCTGGAAGTAATCTGTGCCGTACTCCTTCTCGTAAGCGGCCTCGACACAGGGGCCGGGCATCTTGCCCCTCTTGCGGACGGGCACGAAGCTGGCGTTGAGCTGCAGGGCCAGCGAGGGCCCAAAGAGAAAACCCCGCGCGTCCAACCCCACTATGACATCGGGCTTCGCCAGGGCGGCGTTGCCCGCGCCGGCCACGTCGGCGCCGAACTGGAGAACCTGGAGCTCCAGGGCGCGCAGCAGGGTACGGTGGATGTTGGGGTCCTGGAACAGTGGCAGGATGTCGATGAAGTTGATACCCGGGATGGGGAAGTCGGGGAAGCGCTTCAAGGCGCCGTATAGGCTCATCTTTGTACTGGCGAGTTCGGCGGCACCGGCGGTGGCGGCGGGGGGCTGTCGTCCCGAGGCATCGTGGCTGGCGGCGGAGGAGGCCGTGGCGGCGGTGGTGTCGGTATTGTTAGTGAGAGCGTGAGTGGCGGTGGCGCCGATGATGGTGCCACTGCTAGCCAGGACAGCAGCTTCGATCGTCGTCAGGGGGGCTTGATCGCGGCGAGACGACGACGCCAGGTTTTGGGCAACGTCGGCGGTTGAGCTCATGTTGCAGAGGGAAAAGGGAAAGGGGGAGAAGGAGGGAGGGGAGAGACAAAGATAGGTAGGCACTCAGGCAAGCAGGCAGGCAAGGCCGTCCCGTATCTCGCAGCGTAAGAAGTGAGCCACAAAATTTATTACTGGCGCGGCGTGTCGGAGCGGAGGGTGTGCAGCACGAAATGGCTCGGGGTGTCAGGTCAGCGAGCGAGCGTGAAATCTGGATGGATGGGAATGCAAGGGAAACTTCGAACGGGCGAATTGGACACCCTGCCTGATGGAACCCGCGTGGCTCGAGCTGAGGGCGAAAAAAAAAAAATCGACCCCCTTGCAACGAAGGAGTCACGGCAACCTGGAAGCCCCCATCCTCGCGGTGGAGCCGGGACGGGAGCGACAGGAACTAGACTGGCTGGACAGTCGGTGAGAAGCAGCCCCCAAGTTGCGACATGTGTGTGCACAACTCCATTGCTCTCCTGCCCTGCATGACTGACTGCCCTGCACGTCCACGCCGGACCAGCCCGGACATGGAACGAGACGAGGGAGGAGCGAGGCAGGCCACCTCCATAGCGGGCGGGCAGGGCAGGGCAGGGCAGGGACGAAGGCCCGGCTTCCTTTCCTCCTACCCGCATCCATGTTACGGGCGAAGTCGAAGCAGGTGCGGTGTTCTCGACATCTTCTTACACGGAAATGCCCAGTCCCGTACTGGGCTTCCTTTCTGGGATGGTCAGACAGCTCTTGTCATCTATCTTATCGCCAGCAAAGGCAGTCGCACCCACGACAAACAACCCACAGAGCTTCGGCAACAGTCTAGAGACTGAAAAACGATAAGCCCCGCCGTCACTCGGAACACTTGGTACAAGGTGGGGTTGGTGAGAACAACCCCGCCATCTTTCAGACGCATGGCCAAATCAGGGGGCACTTCAGGTACAGTAAAGGAGGTACCTTGAGCAAGTACTTGAATCACTGGCAGGCACAAGACAAGGCAACCAGCAGTCTGGCTTCCCCATTGACGAAAGAACGGATGAAAACTTTCCTAGCACGTACTCAGGTACTTCGTACTTCGTACGTACACGGCACGTCTCATACCCACACTCATGCTCGTTGCAAAACAGGAATTGCCAACGCAACGGCCGACCCCTCGCCTGGAACACGGCGGAACAAAAAGCTAACTGCCGGCTCTCAAGCTCACCGAGCTCCGGACTCGGTGTACCTTGGATATCCCGTCCATAAGGTAGTAGGGTGGTATGTCTGTCTGTCGCTATGCACATTATATGTCCGTGTACTCCGTACTGTACATACGGTAATCCGTACGTCCGGTGTATCGTGGTACTGCTTTCCACGTAGTTCAACTCACGGCTGTTGTACCCATAACCTGCTTCTCACTAGAGTTGACCACCATAAAACCGACGGACTCTACCCCTCAGAGTTGTAAAACAGGCGTGCCACGTCTATAATGGGGTGCCTCAGAAGCCAGACGGAACCGGCCGCCGTTTGGACACGCCAGAGCCCAGAGCTAGCGAGGTTGCTCAGCTCTCCTCCCAGAGGTATGTAATGCAAGTTAGCTCTTGTTCGCAGCCTCCCGGATGATGGGCATTCACTTGCTTTTCCAGCCGGAATCTGTGACTAAAACTAGTCTGAGGTGCCACAGGAGCGGCGGCTTTAGTTTGCAGCACCTGCATGCATGTGCATGTATGTAAGGTAAGGTAAGGTATGGACGGCAGCTGCTGCAAAGCAAGCTAGGTATATAAGTGCTACCCCTCCGTGCTCGATTTTTCCGGGCCTGCGCTGCCTAGGACATGAACATGAGGCGCGATGCTCCCTGACTATTGGCGCGTCTCCTGATAGCCTAGACAGCCTTGGAACTAGTAGAATAGGCCTGTTCCTCTTCATCCGATTGTTGGGGACGCGAAGCGACTCTTAACAATCTAACCTCGTTGGCGGGTGGATACGCAGTATTTTTGGCGCCCGGATATGTACGAATGTACGGAGTAGGGAAGGAGCAATATAAGTCGTGACTTGATCGATGTTGCAGGCGCCACCAATCAAGACCGAATATGTACTCGTTGATTATTACGAGCTGTCTGCCGAGGGGCAAGTCACCTAGAACCAAAGCAAACCCGCGTAGAGACAGGCCCTGGATAAATTGGCGGCCTTTGAACGGTATCGCAATTCGCAAAGTCAATAACACGCTCCCTATGGATGGCTTGGCATGGAGCCACTCCCTGGTTGGCGTTGAGTACAGCGGGTGGTTCAATCAGCCTCAGCCCGATTGGAACGCTCGGCCGATTCGCAAACCCCGCCGCCGAAAACACCTTATCGGAGGGCCAGTTCTCTGGCTCATCTCACCTCACACCCACCCCCACACAGGCGGTGGGCCGTAGGCGGTAATTCACGCTCGCAACGCCGTCCTCCATCAGCAAACAAGCTCACCACCGTTTCAAGACGTAATAGGATAGCCGGTCCCTTCTGGTCAGCCCAGACCTGGACTCGCTGGGGAATCCGATCTGCCTTGGGGCCCATTTTTCGAGTCTTGACACAGTCTCTGCCATTTATTCCGTACGTACGGATACAAACCGACTCTCCAAGTCCTTCGTACCCTGCACCTCATCCGACCATGGAACCAAGCAAAAAGCCGCAGCCGGAACCGTTCCAGCCAGCTCTCGAAAATCACCACACCCCGTCAAGTCCAACGTTAGTCCGTCCCATATCGGGAATTATTTTCCGGGGTTTGACTGGACGCACGGCGGGCGCGACCCGGCAAGCGTCGGTGCAGCACCATGTTCGCCCGTCCGCCCGATATCTTTTGAGGCCGTAAGCCGCGTCCGAGCTGGCACCGGTCAAAGCTTTCCCACTTGCTTCCGAGACTGGCACGGCACACTTTGTCACCCCGCGGGATGTTGATGATGATGGTTGTTTCTAGCGGGCACTCCTCTGACCGCCCATCTGTCTCTCTACCCTGGGATCCCTTGAGATCTGTTGTCTTGCTTCCCACCCCCCTCAAAGACTGACTGTAACCCCACCATCGTCGGATGCTAGCAGATAAAGTATCCGTACAATACAGCACCTAGTGTGCGCCAGCCAGTCCGGTTGTCTGTCGTTCGCCCATTCAGCCCGCCCACACCGAACGGGTGGGAGCCTACCATGACTGCAACCCCAAGAGTGTGGAGGGGCTGAGTTGCCTTAGCTGCGAGGGATAACATCAGTCTCTCTCTCCCCATCTCCCAACTCTCCACATCCCACTACGCGGGATTGGGGGCTTTCCCAGATCGCGGGAGACGGGAGCCTTAGACAGCGCAGATCGTGCTGGCTGGACCTCGATACCTGAGCTTATTATTGCTCGTCGTAAGGCTGGAGGGGCGTCTGATCTTCGTCCCAGCAAGTGCTATCCCAGGTAGGGGGTAATCAATATTCCCCTAGCCAGACTTGGCCTAAGAGCCAGGCAATTGATTCCCGTCTGTTTCGTTTCTACGGATATTCCTACCCTACTACCTAAGGTATCTGACATCCCACCTCGGGTTAGTTCGTTGCCTCGAGCTATCCACAGCGCTTCAGATAGCGCTTTGTAGCACCAGTGGAAGGTGCTTCGTTCTTGCCTCGATTGCAAGTTCCCTAGTTCTATACACCTATGCAGCTGCCTCCGCCTAGCTTCAGATTAAAGTTGCACCTTCTCAACCTTGCTTCGGTCCGGCATCTGCACCCCCTCGTTTTCGGCCTTGAAATGGCCTTTTCCATCGACAGGCAGGTGGGGGGAGGGTTGCGATGCGACCAAGTCCGTATCGAGATTTATCCACGACTACTACTACCCGCCACCTATGGTCTCCAAGCGAGCCGCACTGGACGACGTGATACATATTCGCTCGGTTTGTGATAGCGGCTGCGTTCCCGATTGCCCTGCACCACCTAGTTCTAGAGTCCTGTGTGGTCATCGATGCCCAACCCCAAGCCAGCCCGCCCAACTCGCATATGTCAGGCCCGTCTACTGCTCTACCCACATGCTAGGTAGGTACCTCCCTATGAAGTCGTGCAATATCTCTCTCTCTCTCCCTCCGACTCCGCAAAAATAGGGAAAAAAGAGCATCATGGAAGCCTCGGCATCCAGCCCACCCCCCCTTCACCTCGCTGCTATGCTTATGTGTAAGTGAGGTACTTCCCCCCTCCTCCCTACCACCTAGGTAGGGGTAGCTTCAGCGGGTGGTCGGTTCAAATTCCCATCTCTGGCTCCTTCGGATATTAATATTTCCTTTCGGGCTCGTTCTAGGATACCCGGTTTCTTGTTCCTCCACGGCTCGCGATGGCGGGCGCTCGCTCGAGGTAACGCCTCTTGGTGAGCAGGAAGTACTTCCGAGTGAAGTAGGAAAGATTCGGTCGGAAATGCATTTCTTTGCGTGTATATATTCCTCCTACCTCTCTGAAAAAAAAAGAAATGCAATGTTTGCTTGTGAAATTGGTTGAGTTGCGCCCCCAAGACCTCACAGCTCCCTCACCGCCTCTCTAGTGTGTAGGTTAGCTGTCTCCTTTGAACCCCCATTGGCCGGCGCAGCTGCATCTTAGCCTCGACCTAAGGTAGGCAAGGCAAGGCAAGGCAGCTTGCCCCCGGAACAGCTCCTGCGTTACGGGGTCCTCACGGCGAGGCGTGGGGATAACGGAAGGAAACGGGATGTGTATTCTCCCGTCCGTAGGTTTGTGCAACGGTCGAATTCGGGCCAAGTCCTCTCACCCATTTCCCTTTGAACCTACATTACTAGTGCTTGTACGTGCGCGCATGCTTATATCGCCGTCATTTTATCGCATGTACTGATGAGTGGTCTGACCTTGCCAAATTTAGAAAGACTAGGAAAGGAAACAGAAGACGAGAATGTAAATTTAACAACGACAGGGAAAATAAATGGACAAAGCCGGGGCGTTCTTCTTTATTTACCCTGTACCTGTCAAGTAAGGAATATAGGGGCTGTGCCATTCTGCAAAAACAATAACAACAACAGCAACAAAAATCAAAAAGTCAAGAACCAGGTTGAATTAATTATCATAGAAAGAGTGAGAAAAAAAATGAAACGTCCACGATAAGTCTCTACCATCTACTATCCACCAGCATATCTACTGACTGGTCCCGATTTCTCTATCTCTCTTTCGTTCGTTTCCCCTCCTTCATCATTATCCCTCGCGCCCACTCCCTCTTCAATGGGGCACAAACAATCAAACAAAAGGCTCGGCAATGCCAGTAACAACAACAAAAAGTAAAAAAAAGGGTATCATGCAGCTGTAGTCAGAAGTTTATCCCAGTGTCTTTTCCCCCCTGTCTCTGTCTAGGGAAAAAGTGAAAGAAAGAAAACAAAAAAGAGAAGATAGGAAGAAAAAAAAATCCAACGCCTAGCCAAGGCAGCTTGGACTTCCATGCGTTGCTTGCTTGCCCTCAGCCGTCCTGCCCTGCCCGCCCGTGAATATATGTATTTACGGTGTACGGGCGCAGGTTTCCGGAGGAGCGGTTTTGGTGTCAAGAGGATTGGAGCTTGCGATTAAAACACAACCAGCAACGTCCGCGTCACGTCAACTTTGTGCGCGATTTTCCCAGAAGAAAAGGGAGTACCGGCGGCGTTTTAGCGAAACTGCAGGCGGATGATGGAGAAGAGCATGTTCTGCAGGACGTGCAGCACGACGGCGACGCTGGTGGGCAGCAGCTCGGGCCAGACGGCGAAGTCGAGCTTGCCCTCGGTGACGACGCTCACATCAAAAATGTAGCGGATGAGGCCGGCGACAATGAAACTGGCGGCGAGCTCGCAGGCCCAGGTGATGGACGAGGCGTAGAAGGTGAGGCCAAAGTCGAAGCCGTTGTCGCCGCCGCTACCGGCGCCGTCAAAGGCAAAGTAGGGGTAGACGTCCTTGTTGGCGCCAAAGTGCAGCACGACGACACTCCCCAAAAAGGCCAGCATGGACGCGTTCTCGGCCACGAAGCGGATGAAGACGTTGCGCACGCACATCTTCTGGTACGCGCCGTAGCTCTGGCCGTTGACGCCGATGACGCTCAAGAACCAGTGCACCGGCGCCGACATGAGGATGGGCGTCACGATGATCAGCCCGCTCGACGACAGCACCTGCAGCAGGATGAATTGCGACGGGCTGCGCAGCCGCGCGTACAGTGCTCGCACGTACGTCTGGTACGTCAGCATGAAGTAGCTATTGTCAAGTTGCGTTAGTGTTTTAGCCCACAGAGACAGAAAGAGAGAGGCGAGGAAACATACAGTTTGAAAGTGAAGCTCAGGGGATAGCTCCCGACGCGCTCGCCTTCGTTACCGCCAAGGATCCAGCCCGTCAGGCCGTCGAGCAGGTGCACGGTGGTGATCCAGCCGTAGACGTAGACGATGGTCTCGAGGTTGTTGTGCGGCAGGGTGCGCAGGTAGATCTCGGCGTAGGCTTCTCCTATGACGTACGCCAGCAGGCCGATAGACAGGGCGAGGCAGAACCACACGAAGCGCACGAAGCTGGCGGGCAGCCAGCGGCGCTGCAGCCGGGCGGCTATGGAGGGGCGGCGTTGGTAGTTGCCGGCGCGGGCGCCGCCGCCATCGACAAAACCAACACGAGAGGAGGCGTCGATGGCGGCGTCGAACGAGTCGCCGCTCAGGGCGGCGCGGGCGCGGCGCGGGTCGCGACGCGAGATGGTGTTCTCGGGCTCGCCGGCCCACCACGACGAGGTGAAGATGCGCTGCGTCTCGGAGAGCGAGTGACGCAGGCCGAGGTGGCGCTCGTTAGTCATGAGGATGAGGAAGGCGATGGCGACGGGCATGGCCATGATGACAAAGGTCCAGGTGATCCAGGCCGTGTTGTGGACCGTCAGGAAGCGCGTCTCGGGGATCAAGTAGACGGGGATGGGCGCGGCCAGCGAAAGCACGGCGATGGCCGACACGGTGACGGGGAAGCCGAGCGACTTGGGCCACCAGTTGAGGCTGTACAGGTTGAACACCTTCGTGATCCAGATCAGGGCCGTTAGGCTGTAGAAGCTGTAGTAGACAAACAGGAAGAACCAGAAGTTGACCTGCACCCGCGCCGCCCCGTGGCCCGGCACCTTACGCCCGGCCCCACCTCCCGGAGCCTGTCCGGGCTTGCTCGGCGCTGTCCCGTCGTCGCCGTCGTCGGGCAGCGGGTACTGGGGAAACGGTATGGCGCACCATGCCACGGCCTGTTACGTCAGCAAGGTCTCTGGATTGTTTCCCTGTGCTCCGTCCGTCCGAGCCGTGTCTCGGGCTCGTGCAGCACAGCAGCTCCCATAAAAGCAACAAAGAATAAAAAAAATCAAGCAAGTGGGGAAAACCTACCAACGACGCCGGCAGTACCACCAACACGGCCCATCTGCTCCACCACAAATCGACGAGCCTCTTGACGGCGCTGGCCTTTGGATTCACCCAGGTATCGTCAAGCTTGCGCATGGTCCGACGCGCCCTGCGTAGGAGCGTGCGGGCAGCAGCGGGGCGCTTACGCTGGGCGCCGGCACCACGGCGCACCTCGCCGTCGACGCTCTCGTCCTCGTCGTCGCCGTCCTGGTCTTGGTCGTCGTCGTCTTCTTCATCATCACCAGCCTCGGCCTCGGCCTCGGCGGCGGCGGCGACGAGCGCGCCGTAGCCGACGTGGACGCTCCCGCGCCAGCCGGCCGAGAGCAGGCCCAGCTGGTTGGCGGACCGCATGCGGCGCGGCGACCGGTCTGACGGCCGCGGCACCGCGCGGTACCGGCCCAGCAGCGGCGACGCCTCGGTGTGGTAGCGGATGTGCTGCGCACTCTCCGAGCCCTGCTGGAACGAGAAGAAGGAGGGCGCCGGCGCCGCGGCCGCTGCCGCCCCTGTTATGCCCAGTATCCCTCCATGCTGCCCTCCTCCTCTCGGTCCACCTCCTCCCCTACTTGTCGCTGCTGCTGCTGCTGCTCCTGCTCCCGATGCGCCGACCCCCGGCAGCCACTGCTGCGACTGGCTCTTGCTGCTCGACGTGCCCATGAAGTAACGATATGCCTTTCGTTATGTATCCTGAAAAGAAAAGAAGAAACCCAAATGCTGGGGGGGTACGAGCAAAGTCGCGCTACCGCCAGGTGATGTCTATTGGCCGATGCATTCCCTCGTCCTTTTTCCTATTATTCTTTCTTGCCTTCTTTCCACCTTTCGTCCCGTGTATAGATGTGTGTTTGTGGGCGTGTGCGTAGCGTTGCGCGTGAGAGAGAGAGAGATCGGCGGCCGTCGTCGCTTTTCGTCGTCGCCTCTGGTCGTGCTTGTTTTCTATGCGTATGTAGGTATAGGCAAGTGTGTTTGTTGATTTTTCGTTATTCTTTCGTCAAAACCTTGGGGATTTCACCGTTCCTCTTCCGTAAAACCAGTAGCACAATCCGTCTCTCTCCTCATTGATATGTCCACGACTGGTAGGGACGAATTCAAGCTTTCTTGTTTTTTTCGGGGCCGGCGTGGTGAGCGATGTTTCGACCGCGTTTCGTTTGGCTGACGTTTGGGAGGGGGGCCGGGCACCCTTATCGCGACCATACCAAGGTTAGGTTGCCTACATACCAAAAACCTGGGGTCCAAAAAGTTAGGGGTCCATCCCAGCTCCCCCCAGCAGATTACACCACCGGTCAGGTTGGGGGGCCTGCTGGGAGATAAGATTAGCGGGCCGTGCCCACTAACGCACGGGGAATCAGGCTGCTGCTGTGGCGCGTGCGACCTGAGGTCCCAAGCCGTTGTCAACCGTCATAACGGCGGGTGGGTCGGAAAATCGCCGACCACGCAGCTTATCAAAGTTGCACCTCACAGGAAAAAAAACGAAACGGCGACCGTTGCGGCCTCATCATCTGATAAGCCCTGTTTTAGGGAGGTGGTCAGGCCGGGCTGGGCACGATGATGAGATGACTTCGAGTACCACATATATACGCACAATACCTTGATAAATCACGGAGTGCTCTGAAGTTGCCAACGAGACACATTGCTATCCATAGCATTTCTTGTTGCGGAGTGCTCACGAGATATGTCGTGAAGAAACAGTCGGGGAATATCTTAGGTAACTTGGGCTCGTGAAAAAGTATTATACAATACAAGGACGTTACAGCGACGCCCTGACATATATTGGGCAATCAATTACCCATCCGGCTCCGCATATATGTACACACTCTGATAACCTGTCTTCACGGCGCTGTGCCGACGTTACAAGTCGGTATCGCCGCCTAGCTCGTCCTCTTCGGCTTCGTAGTCTTCCGAGTCGGCCGCGGAGGAGCCGGTGGATTGGTCTGGTAGCTCTTCCGGCAAGGGGCCCAGCTCCTCGATGCTGCCCTTGTCGAACCTCTCGACCAGCACTCTGGAGCTGCCGTCCCCGGCGTCGTCGTCGTCGTCGTCGTCGTCGGACGCGGGCTTGACGTCGTCGGCAAACACGACCGTCTTTGTGTTTGGCGATTTCGCCGGCGACTCCAGCACGTCGCCGGCCCACGGCTTGCACTCCTTGATGACCTCGCCGCACCGGAGGCACGGCCACCCGTCGCCTTCCTCGCGCTCTATCCTCGTCGCCAGGCACACGAAGCAGTAGACGCACCCGCACGGCATGGCCTCGTAGGGGTTCGTCACGTCGGTCTGGGCCGAGCCCACGACGCCGGCGGCGCTGCTCGGGGCCGCCGCGGCGAGGATGTCGTTTTCCGACACGGCCGAGTTCTGGTCTTGGTAGCAGATGGCACAGGTCCTCTCGGGCAGAAAGGCGTATTCTCCCTTCTTCTCGTCGCTGCCGCCCTCGCCACCGCCACCGCTACCGCCCGCCCTGACCATCTGCTTCGTCTTCCTCCACGTCCGCATGAGCCACCGCCTCCACCGGCTGATGCCCACAAGAGGCAGCACGAAGAGCAGGAACTCGGTGAACGCGTGCCAGACAAGCTGCCGGTTGAGGTACTCGAACGACACCTCGCGGCTGACCTGGCTGGTGGGCGGTGCCAGCCGCATCCTCAGCACCCTGTCGAGTAGGGTCCGGTACCTGCCGTGCAGGAGGAAGACGAGAAACGAGGCGAGAGCGGCGGCCGCGTGGACGGTAGACAGCGTCGATGTCAGGTGCGACAGGCGCTGCACGCGCGGGCTCGGGTCGTCAAGCCCGTCGTCCTGGTCCAGCAGCCAGTCCTCCCACTTTGCCCACAGGTATTTGCCTCCGACGGTGACGAGTCCGTACATGGACTTTTGCCACCTTGTCGGGGCGGCCAGGACGCTGCCGTCGCGTCTCGCGTCCGTGTACTTGAGGTTCTGCAGGGCGGCACCGTAGGTGGCGTCGTGGTCCCAGACGGTCAGCTTGAACAACACGGCGCGCAGGGCCATCGACAGCTCGGCGCCCCACTCCTCCTTGAGGTTGTTTGTGTTAGTAGCGCCGGCGCCGCCAAAGTAGCGCAGGGCGTCGCCGACCTGGCCGCGCAGCAGCTCGACGAGCTCCTCGTCGAGCAGCTCGGCGTCGACCTGGCCGACGCGGAAGGCGGGGCGGGTGCCCTCGCGGCTCGATATGGCGTCCCAGAGCGACAGGGTCGACGAGCCCAGGCGGCGCAGGAGGGGCGACTGTGTCGACGCGATGCGGGCGCGCAGCTGCGACTCGGAGCGCTTGGCGGCGATGCGCGCGGCGGCCTCGGCCTCGCGGGCTTGGCGGCGGGCGGCCAGGCGCCGTTGCGCTTGGGCAAATGAATTTGTCTCGGTCATGTTGTTGTCTCGAGGGTGCGTTCCGTAGAAGAGCATGTGCCGGGTTCGGCGAAGGGCATCGTCATGCGAAGGGGCGTAAGAGCTTCAAATTATCATCGGGTCATCGTGGGGTTGAGATGGAAGGCGGGCATGCGATTGTTTGTCTCGAGAACTTCTAGTTGATGGGCAGCCGAGGTTCGCAGTAGGTCCGTCCAGTGCCCGCCCGGTTTGTTCGAGGTTGCCAAATAGAGCTCAACTGGGGCGGTCGCAGAGCCCCACAAACTCACATGCTTCAGGTGGGTTGGCCACTGACGAAAGTTGCAAGGGTGCCCTGCTTGTTTTGCAGATTGAGTTTGGTGCAGGGGGCTGTTGTCCGCTAGAGCACCCTGCGCTCATCCGTTCATCCACAACTTTAATCTCATCTCCTTCAAGGTTCACAACTTCACACAACCTCACGACAAGAGAGAAAGCATGCAGCAACAGCTACGCATTATCCGTATTTGTCAATAAATCCCCAAGAAATACAACATGTCAATGCGTAATATTGCTAATTACTATACTATTTAAAGAACCCAACTCTCTACATTTGCAGTACTTCCGTTGGTCAGTAAAGTGCATCCAAGCTCAACGCTAGAATAAAGCATCTGCAAACAACGAGGACCCGGCGTCGGACCATGGCCGTCCTAGGTAATGCACACTCGGAGCCGCATGACGACGGTTGGGGGCGTTCGCTTTCAGTCGTGGCCAGTCAGCAAGGTGTACATGTAATTGTTTGGTCATGATGGGCTCCAGTCTCTTCTCTCTCCCCGTCTCGACGAGTTTACATCATTCCACCGCCTATTTTGCATGTTTTTCTACCTACACTACAGGCATCTCATAACAATAACAGGCCCGGCCGCAGCCTCCCCGCATCATCATCAACATGGCTTCCTGGGAGCTCCCGTCCCCGGCCAACAGGCCGGTCGCCATCCTCGGGGGCGGCGTGCTCGGCCGCCGCATCGCCGCGTGCTGGGCGGCCGCCGGCTACAGAGTCCACATCCGGGACCCCGACGCCAAGCAGCTGACCGGCGCCCTGCAGTACGTGAAGACGGAGCTGTGGCGGTACAAGCCGACGGTCAGCGCCGACCGCGTCGACGTCGAGGGGTTCCGGGACCTCGCGCCCGCCGCCGGCGACGCCTGGCTTGTCGTCGAGTGCGTGCCCGAGAAGCTGGGCCTCAAGATCGATGCCTTTGCCGAGCTCGAGAAGGCCACGCGGCCCGACGCCATCCTCGCCACCAACTCGTCCTCGTTCAAGTCTCGTGAGCTGACGGCCGGCGTCGCCCCCGACACGGCCAGGCGCATACTCAACGCCCACTACGTCATCCCGCCCGATATCCGCACGGTCGAGCTCATGACGAGCGGCTCAACCCACGAGGCCATCTTCCCATTCCTCCAGCACCACCTGCGCGCGTCGGGCATGCTGCCCATGGTGGCCCACCGCGAGTCGACCGGCTTCATCCTCAACCGCGTGTGGGCCGCCATCAAGCGGGAGGTCTTGATGGTCGTGTCCGAGGGCGTCGCGTCGCCTGAGGAGGTCGACGCCGCCTGGACCGAAATGTTCATCAAGCACGGCGTGCCTCCGTGCGAGCTGATGGACTCGGTCGGCCTCGATACCGTGTCGCTGATCGAGCAGCACTACATCGACGAGCGCGGGCTACGCGATCCAGGCGTCATAGCCTTCCTCCAGAGCTACATCGACCAGGGGCGGCTGGGCGCAAAGTGCAGCAAGGGTGGCCTGTACCCGCCCGGGCACTGCACAAAACCCCCCGGTGACGAGCAGGGGCCGTACGACAACCTGCACGCCCCGGCGCTGTACATCCTGGACATTGGCCTGGCCAACGAGCCCGGCGGGGCTTTCAAGAAGGGCCGGATCCTGCTGGGGAGCGCCGACGGCGAGGCGCCCTTGCGCACGCTCGTCGACGGGCAGCCCATGCCGGACGGCATCGTACTCTGCCTCGCAGCTGGCAAGATGTTTTGGACCAACATGGGCACGCCGGGCGAGAACGACGGCAGCATCCTTTCGAGTGACCTCGACGGCGGCAACGTGCAAGTCATTGTGACGCCGGGCACGGCGCACACGCCCAAGCAGGTGGCCGTGGACCAGGACTGCCAGAAGCTCTACTTCTCGGACCGCGAGGGCATGCGCGTGCTGCGCTGCAACGTCGACGGCTCGGCGGTCGAGACGCTGGTGCAGACGGGCAGCTGGCGCGACGACGGGTTCCGGGACCCTACGCTGTGGTGCGTCGGCGTGGCGCTGGCGCCGCGCGAGCGTATGCTCTACTGGACGCAGAAGGGCCCGTCAAAGAGCTCGCAGGGCCGCATCTTCCGCGCCGCCATGGACATGCCGGCAGGCGCCACGGCCGCCACGCGGACCGACATCGAGTGCCTATTGGCGGGCCTGCCCGAGCCCGTCGACCTCGAGATCGACGAGGACAGCCGCACCCTGTACTGGACGGACGGCGGCGAGCTCCCCAGGGGCAACAGCCTGAACCGTGTGTCGCTCGATGCTGTTGACAACAGCGGCAGCGCAGACGGCGCGGGGGGCTATGAGATCCTGGTGCGCAACCTGCACGAAGCCATCGGGCTGGCCATTGACAAGAAGAATCGGCATATCTATGCCACGGATTTGTAAGCCTCCCTCTCCACCTCTCTCGCACACATCAGATGGATTGAGGAGCCTGCTCTGGCATTTAATTTGCTCTTCCTTTTGTTCATTTGCCCCTGCAAACAGGTGCACCGGCCCAATGATAACTGACATACGAATATCTCTGCAGAGGCGGCGCCGTGTATCGCTTCAACATGAACGGCAAAGACAAGAAGAAGCTGTACGAGGACCAGGGCTCCTTTGGTGGGATCGCCTTGCGCGACAGATAGACACAGACGCTCATGGCGTACCTACCTAGGGGCTTCCTCTTGCTTTTCCTTCTCTCAATGTAACCTGTTTGTACTTTGTATGTAACAGGTGTCCATGGCCTATCCTAGATAGTCTGAAATTGTCGAGTGAGACCGAATTCATGGCCCAGATTCACGAGCCGCCCCAGCTCGGTCGACCCGTCGGGTCGTATACCGTTTTCCGCGGCGTCTCTCAGAATCCTGTCAATATACCCGCCGGCCGCCGAGAGGTACAGGATGTGGGCAATGGCATAGTGGATGGCGAGAAGTCGCGCCGACGGTGGGTCGATAGTCCGGACTTCGGCGAGGTAGAGCGTCCGAGTTATGGGCAGCCGAGGGTCGTCCACAAGCTGGCGGAAGAACGAGTCGATGCGAGACGTGTGTGGTGGCTGGCCCGGAACAGGCTCGAAAAAGAGATTGAAGTTGCCAAAAAGATGGTGGTGAAGCGAAGTGAGTGTGATGGCGTTCTGGGGCCGGTCAATCTCGGCGCCTTCTATCAGATAGACAATACCCACGTCAAACATATTAAGGATGGCCAGGGCAGCTTCTCTAGAAGGGTTCTAGATAGTTGGGACTTGGGGTTAGTTGTAAAGCATATGTAATACTATCGACAAGGTAGCTACTTACGAGTAGAGCATCCGGGTCGACTTTAGTCAGCGAGTGCGGGAGGATATGGGCTACTTCAAGCCGGTCAAACGGACTGACGTTATTAAGAGGAAGCCCGTCGTCGTATCGCGCATCGTCGCCGTCCGCCTTTATACGTTCTATCGCCTCTACTATGTCGAATCTACGTGAAACCACGCAGCGTCGGCGGTCGCGGATGAGACAGGCGCCGCGCAGAGCCGAAACGCGATCGAAACGCGATCGGGCGTCCCGACAAGTCCCTGCGGTAAGTCCGAGCCTTGCGCTCTCTGGACGGCGGAATGAAAGGCGGGAGACGGCTGAGGGGTCCTGTTGGAAGATGCTTTCACTAGAGGCCCAAGCAAACGGCAATAGAGATATATGTCAGCATTCGATGCATCGAGCAAACGGCAATAAGGATATGTTTTAGCACCAGAGGCGTCGAGGTAGACTAGGTAGAATGGAAGAACGCTTACACGGCAAGAAAAAGTTATCCACGAGGTACTCTGCGAAGCCATAGAGCCCGGTGCGGAGCCGTTCCTCGACGTGCTCATTTCTAACGTCGATATCATCATCGTTCGTATCTTCGTAGTCCAAGTCAAGGGCCATAGACCGGAAAAGAGTAACGAGGAAAACATCCCTCGACTCTTCGGAGCGCGCGTACTCGTAGGTAAGGCGGACGAGAAGTGGCCGGTTGTAGTAGATGCCGCGTTGACTGCCCCGCCTGGCGGCGCCTGTCTCTGCAGTTTCGAAGTGCTGGACAACGTGGTAGAGCCTGCGCCTGGCCCGCGCACGCGCATCTGCTGTTAAGGGCGAGGTTGCTGAAAAATCAATGGTGCCTTCGAGGCTGTTTGCCTAACGGCGTGTCCATGGTGTCAATAATGTCTAAGGTCATCCGTTCTTGGGGAGGATGATGAATCCATTGATGGATGGAGTCGGTTACCCCAGAGCCCAGAGCTCAGACGCACCAAGCCGCTTTCTAGGTTGCACAAACATCCCTTTTGCCCCACAGGGCCCACCCACCCGTAAGGCAATCGCAACTCCCTCAACAAGGTCGCTCCGCCACCCCTCGGATAAAGACTTGTGCTTGCAGAGACAAAGCAATGGGGGAGTCTCCTCTACACCTCGATATGGAAGGATTTGACAGATCAGTGCGGTGGTGTTAGGAGGTATTTTAACAGTAAATATAAGCCAGAAATACAGGGAGCTCGAAGTCACTTTCCTTGCAGGTTCTCACCAAAAAGTCAAGTGGTGGTTCGGCTGTATCACATTCCATAAGCTTTCAGTAAGTGTAGAGTTGAGCTGTTTGGGCCGAAATGCACCGGAACTGCGCGAGACTCCCGATCCCCAGGTGGAGCGGCAAAGGATCATGCAGTCGCTGAGTCTGTCGTTGTCCACTGAGGTGTTGCAGTGTGCTTAGAACACTAGAGCAGAGGGAGGCCATCCAGCGAACGCATCAGCTCGAACAGCGCACCCACATGCTTGAGAAGTTGGTTGAACAAAAGACTGGCAAGTCTGCTGGTGTTGCCTTGCAACAAAACTACCTTACACTGCTTGTAGATGGTATCTCCACCTCCCTTGCATATGGTGTTCTAGACCATCTCATCAGCTTGAGGCCAACGGGGACTTTTACACTCGGCATACCGATAAGAGTTTATCCTCGAGCTTCTGAGGCGTGCGAGGTTGAGTCCGCGAGCTGTTTGAAGCGCCATACTTGCCCTACGGCCCGACGATCTCCGGTTCTGGTACCTTGCTTGGGCTGAGAGCCGGCGCAAGGAACGGTGTTCACCTACCTTATGCAGACGACACTTCGAATGGCGGTGAGTCGTCGGATTGCTTCTACGAAGTGGCTCCAGCGCGCCTGCCGAAAGCGACGCGTCCCCAAAGGCGCATATGTACTGTACATGTACGGAATATGTACGGAGTACAGGCAACGCGCGGGATAGGCAGGCAGCGGGGGGCTTGACGTTCGTGCCTGCCTTAGGTAAGTAAACGATGTCCGACTGTGTTCAGGTCCCGTGGCCTTCTTAAAGAGTGACCTCCGGGCTCGTAACCCGGAGATCTGAGACTATGTTTTATTCCTTATCATCATTGTTCGTGTCGTTCTCTTCGTTGCCTTGTACCTTAGTCTCAATTAGCAAAGAACCAACTGGAGCAACTGTCATGAGTTTAGACAAAACGCTGGGCCTAGGAAGTAAAGCTCCCTCTAGGTTCAGATATAACGGAGGTATTTATTTGGCGTGTTTTTGTCAAAGGGCGCTCTACAATACACCTGGTCTGTTCGGGCTTGACCAGCCATCTAGACACATTTGGGTCAGAGGGACTTTTCTGTCCAGTAATGCCTCACAGCATCGGTTTGTTTGCTGTTCAATTCTCCAAGCATTAATCTTCCAAGAAGACGAAGGGCGATGGATGATTTGGTGTGTTCAGTCCAGTGTTTTCATCAGCATTACTGGTGGACGTTGTAAAGCGTAAACAACCCCCAAGGAAACACCGGAGAGCTCCGTCAGAAATAACCGGAGTGACGGGTAATTGCATCGGAATGGAGAGGTGTCGGAAAGGTCCCGTGACAACTCCACTATCAAAAGGGCAAGCCGGCAGCAGAGGGTTTGTGGGGCGGAGGCCTACCGATGCCTCTCTCTCTCCCCTTCATTCAGCCCACGCAGAGCCGGCTGATTGGTGCGGATGAGGAGCGTCAAAAGTCCACCGAAGTCGGGTTCGGTCTTGTGACTGCCGAGCCGGGTCTCAGTCCAAACAAACAGCTCCCCTCAACGCCATCTCCCCCCGCAGAACCCGCACAACCCGCACAAAAAAAGCCAACCCACTTCTGTGCGACGTGTCTGTTCCTGGGTAAGTGGGAAAAGCGGAACACGCCTAATAGCTTGGGGCGCCTTTTGTGCTAGCTTATCGACAGCTTTTTGTCCGCTCCAGGAGGGAAGCTGTCAAGGTTCTCCTGGAGCAAAGCAATCCCCGATCTCTTGGGGCTCGCTCTTTACTCGTGCGCGTGTTAAATAGGCGTCGTTGCCAATCCCCGTCAAACCATGCCGCCCATCCATTAGTCGGTCCGACGTCGCCGACTGGAAGATGGGGATGGGAGGGTAGGCCTGGGCCTCTGGGGGAAAGTCCGCTGGCCACTTTATATAAGTAGCAAGCTCGACCGCTCCTTGTAGCAGCGGTAACTGGTAGACTAAGATACTGTATAACGAACGCACTTGCACAACGGCGAACACGTGTATAAAGACACACGCCTCATCCACGCCCCCCGCTTCCCCACATTATCTTGACTGCGGAACTCTCAACTCCCAAGCAACTACCTTACGTGCAGCTGCCTCCCTTTCTCTCTACACGGTTTATCAGGAAGTGCTCCAACATGAGCCCATCAGCCATTACCGGGGCCGCGGCCCCGTCTGGCACGACAAAAAAGGCGTCCAAGGCCAACATTGGCGTCTTCACAAACCCGAAGCATGATCTGTGGATAAGCGACGCGGCACCCACGCTGGAGAGCGTACAGAAGGGCGAGGATCTCAGAGAGGGGCAGGTCACTGTTGCCATCAGGAGTACGGGTATCTGCGGGTAAGTTGCACAACTCGACTGTGTGTCGTCACTGGTCCCACACTACGCCTACCGTTATATAACCTAAGAAGTGAAAGACTCAAGCTTACGGGATCCTTTTCGGTGCTGCAGATCCGACGTCCACTTCTGGAAGCATGGCTGCATCGGGCCTATGATCGTCTGCAGCGACCACGTACTCGGCCACGAGTCGGCGGGCGAAATCATCGCCGTGCACCCGAGCGTGAAGAACATCGCAGTGGGCGACCGCGTGGCCATCGAGCCGCAGGTCATCTGCAACGCGTGTGAGCCCTGCCTCACGGGGCGGTACAACGGGTGCGAGAGAGTCGACTTCCTGTCGACGCCGCCGGTGCCGGGGCTGCTCCGGCGCTACGTCAACCACCCGGCCGTGTGGTGCCACAAGATCGGCGACATGTCGTACGAGAACGGCGCCATGCTGGAGCCGCTCTCGGTGGCGCTGGCGGGCCTGCAGCGGGCCGGAGTGCGCCTGGGCGACCCGGTGCTCATCTGCGGAGCCGGGCCCATCGGGCTGATCACCATGCTCTGCTGCAAGGCGGCCGGGGCGTGCCCGCTCGTCATCACCGACATCGACGAGGGGCGGCTGAGCTTCGCCAAGGAGATCTGCCCCGAGGTCGTGACGCACAAGGTGGAGCGGCAGTCGGCCGAGGATGCGGCCAAGGCCATCGTGGCGAGCTTCGGGGACGTGGAGCCGGCCGTGGCCATCGAGTGCACGGGGGTGGAGAGCAGCATTGTGGCGGCCATCTGGGCGGTCAAGTTCGGCGGCAAGGTCTTCATCATCGGCGTGGGCAAGAACGAGATCCAGATACCCTTCATGCGGGCGAGCGTGCGCGAGGTGGACCTGCAGTTCCAGTACCGGTACAGCAACACGTGGCCGCGCGCCATCCGCCTCGTTGAGAACGGCGTCGTCGACCTGACCCGCCTCGTCACCCACCGCTTCCAGCTCGAGGACGCCCTCAAGGCCTTTGAGACAGCCTCGGACCCCAAGACGGGCGCCATCAAGGTGCAGATCCAGAGCCTGGAGTGACGTGACGACATGAGTTTGGGGGAAGAGACGGGGCGGGACGGGACGGGACGGGCATCAGACGATAGCTAAGGTACTAGCTACTACAGTTTGCAAGAAGGCTGCATCATGCGTGTTGACATAAGTAGCGTTGAGATTAGTTTGTTGTTTGCATTGGGATTCGTTTTGGAATCCAGTTCCACCTTTTCTCTTCTTGGTCCTGCTAAGTCTGATTGCCAAAGTCAAGTGACCAAATACCGAGGTATTCATGTGGATCGCCCCATAACCGTAACGACACAGAAATTCTTTAGGCTCCTTGAGAAACAGCCGGCCTCGCACTGGCTGAAAAAAAAAAAAATGTCCAGGTGCAGGCCGAGGCACCGCCTCCGGTGCCTCCAAAAGCAGCGCAATCCCACCAGGTTGATTGTGGACATATGAACAGCGGGTTTGGCGGCGACGGTACAGAACAGAGATGGAGGTTGAGAATTAGAGGTGTCGCAGGCGTTGCAGGTAGCGTAACAGGAAGATGGAGCTCAAGCTCCCAAATCGTCCGAGCTTTTCCACTCCCAATTGGCGATTTGATTGGCCGCAGGTTGCCGAAAGGTGGCAGGAGCCAACGAATTGGCGAAATCTTCCGGCTACCCGATTTTTTTCCTCGAATTCCGCCCGGCGACCCAACTCTCGAAACGCTGCGCGATAATAAACCATAACCGAGCACAGGTAGAGCAGCATCGCCATCCTCGACTCAATTGCTCGGTCGCGCCCAGCCTCTCCATCGCTCCCTCCCACCCCCCCTGCCGCCCGTCGACCGACTGTGTAGTGCAAGCAAGTGCAGGGCTTCGGCTTCATCAGCAGCCCGGACAACAAACGAGACACGGACAGCGAGCAACGTCGCCCACCTCACTTCCAATCCTCCATAATGTCCTTCGCTCTCGTCACAAGGCGATCGGGACTCTCGCTAGGCCGCCGTATGGTGCGCTTCGAGTCGACCTCGACAACAACAAAGGCCGCCGATGCCGCCAAGCAAACCGCCTCCAAGGCCGCCTCCACCACGTCCGAGTACGCTGCCAAGGCATCACAGGGCCTCTCGCGCGTCACCGCGGCCGCCGGTCCTGCCATTGCCAACGCTGCAAAGGGTGTCACGGGTGCGCTGGGCCGCGTCGGTGGCCGCACCGGCCGATTGGTCGCCTTCGTCGAGCGTACGATGACCCGCTCCCCTTTCCCAAGCACGTCCACGCTACCGCCGCCGCCGCCGCCGCTGCTGTTGCTGCGCTAGCTTTGCTACATATGTTGCTGCTGCTCCTGCTGCTGTTGCTCTCACCGCTACAAGGCCGCGGCGCGCGCGCATGCGTTGGTGTGGGTTGCTTGTGTGTGGATCTCAACGCGACTAACTCTCTTCTTCCTCGCCATAGGTCAAACCCCCTTCGTCGTCTATTACTCCAAGGTCGGCCTTGAGCTAGCCAAGATCGTCTTCAAGGGCCAGAACATGACCCCTCCGTACGTTGTGCTGTTTTAGCGGCCCCAAACGCGAGAAACCGACATGTGTACTGACTAGCCCTTTACCCCTCAACAGGTCCGTCTCGACTTTCCAGACGTACTTCCGCAACTTCTGGGCCCGCCTCCAGAACCCCGGCGCCCTCTTCCAGAGCGCCCTCTCCTCGTCCAGCTTTGCTCTTAACGTAGTGCGGAACGTCTCGAGGATACAAGTAGTATCGGTCGGTGTCATATTTGCCGAGTGCGTGGGCTTCTTCACCGTGGGCGAGATGATTGGCAGACTCAAGATTGTCGGCTACCACGGCGAGCCTCCTGTTGCCCACCACTAGGGGACCCATTTTTGAGAGAATTAGAGAAGGAGGGGAGAAGAGAGGAGATGCTAATACAGCTAGGTAACGGAACCCTCCGAATAGCTGGCCTGGCGGTAGAAAGAAGGGCGTGAGGCGAAACTTTTTTCATGGGAATAGAGATAATGGCGTGTTCGGGACTTTGCCGCTCTCATCTAGACTCGCTCGGCCTTTACTGGTATGGCTTACCCCCTTTTGCTCGCACGACAGAGATACGGAGAGATATAGAGAGGGATTGAGGGAAAGAAACAGAGCGGACGCGGCTGCTGCCCTCATCGGTCAGAGACAAGCGAACCCCAGGCCAACCCTATATCGGGGCGTCTATTTTCATTTCCATGAAAGAAACGCGGGTGAGGGCCAGACCGTAGACGGGAGAGCAAAAGGTCCCCCCGTTACCTCTTTTCCTTGCCCCTTTTCGACCTTCTCGTCTCTCGCTCGGGGCAGGCGGGGTTGTGGTTCTTTGTGTTTTTCTTCTTCCATTTGTGTTTTTGTCCCGTGTACAACTACAGCTATAAACCCGCATCGGAGAGAAAGAGGTCAATCAAAAGCAAGAAGAGAAAAAAATCAAACCCCGACTCCTAAGGTGGTTACGGTATAGTTACGGTACCTCCCTACCTACGATAATCATAATGGTAAGGTAAGGTAGGTAGTTATCGGTGCTCCGCGGCGTGCGTGTGTCCTTCAGCCTCCTTAACTAGATGTTGCCCACAAGCTTTTATGCGCTTGTCTTTATGGTGGCGGTTTTATTTCCAACCAGTCCCCTTTCTTTTTAGGGGGTTAGAGGGAGGGAATTATGGCTTGTTATGGTGGTGGGAAGCCCCCTCCCTCCCTCATCCGTCCTCCATCTTCGGAGCAAGCCTCTGCGTGTCTTCTTTGGTCTTGGGTTCGCTGTAAAGTCGGGCGGAAGAGGAGGTAGGGAGATCGGAGAAGAGAAGTTGAACTGCTTGCGTCCTTGCGTATGGTGGAACGGATAGCTTCCTCCTGGACACTATTTCTCTCTCCATTTTTCTTTTCTTTTTCCTATGCTGCCTCACTTTTTTCAACTTCAAATCTTGATCACCCACCCGCCTACCTACCTTACCTGCCAGGTAGTAGCTGCCCCAAACGGGGAGACCAGGCCGAGCACCCAGCATCCAACAGCAGCAGCACCACGCAGCATGCAGGACGCAGCTCTGTCAAGTGACCGCCCTTCGTCTTCACCCACCCCTTTACGTACTCCTCGGCTGCCCTCAAAAATGGAATGTACGGGTTAACCCCCCACTGTTGCGGCATGTTGCCAGCTTGCTTGCACACCCCACTTTGAGGGTAATTAAGGTAGTTATGTACGTAGAAGATATACACACACGTTGATATACAAGCGGTAAACCGCACATCCTCCTCCTCCAGCAGGCCATTGCCGCCGCCACCACCACCGCCACTGCCACCGCTGTGTCTTTCATCTAGCCTATTACGCCATCCATCTTAGCAAGAGAAAGGGAGGAGAAGAGAAATCCAAGCTCGGAGGGTTGAGTTAGTTTCTCGTGTTTGCAAGAGATCTGCGGGGCTGTCCTGTCCTTCCATTCCCCGTTCGGGGAGACCCGCATGACGTGGTGGCCGCCGTCCCCGAGGCCCGCATTAGTGGGTGGGTGTGGGTGGGCGGCCGGCATGACGGACAGTTAAAAGCTAAAGTAAGGCTGTGTGTGGTGGGAGCCCAGACTGGCCGTGAGGGGATATATGTATGTATGTATGTGCATATGTGTATGTACGAACAAGCGGACAGGCACTGTGTGGGGGAAGATAAGGAACCTTTTTTTAGAGAGGGGGTTGGGATTGGAATTAGATGGGATGGGAGTTGGGAGAGAAGGCCGGTGAGTGAGTGTGCATTCAGAGGCAGACGCAGACGACACAAAATGTGAATTCCCCCAACCCAACGGGGGAAACTCCGCCCCAATCAGCGGTGTTCTTTTTTCTTCCTTGCCCGTGCTTCATTCATCATGTTTCACCTTCGCCTCTAATCCCGTCCCTTGATCTAGTATTTCCGACTTGGGGGTTTCTTTAACTAGAGAGAGAGCAAAAATGTAGGGGTAGGTAGAAGAGGGGGAAGTCGTTTCTAAATATCATATCACATTTGCCCAAGAGTAAACAACCCTGCACATATGAACCATATTACCCCCTTTTCCGAGGCGAGTTATTAAGCTTTGACAATTACCCATGGTCGTTCCAACAAATATTGCATCACAGAGACGGACAAGGTCGTAGTTGAATAATTCCCAAGTTCTTTGTACGAAGCCAGAAACCAAATGGCCAAGTCAGCCACAATATACCCAAGCAAACCCTTCTCCGGCTTTCCTCTCACGCAGCTAGTGGGTATCGTCTGTCAGAAATGGCGTTATATACAAGTCGAGAAGGTAAACAGAATACCAGATGCCAATTTTTTTTAGAGCCATAGAACCCAACCTTTTTTGCCAGCCCGGTCCCTATTCTAAAAGACCAACAAGATTCACACAGTCCACGGGCGCACACGTTGACGCTTGACATCTGCCCTCGGAGCCCTCGGAGCCCTCGGATGCCATCCAATCATGCAGTTCGATTTGTTTTCGTCGTCTCAGGGCTGCCGGGCCTCTCCAGGTGAGACTAAAAGTCGAAGGTAGGGAGAAGCAGTGAGCTGAGCGCGTCCTGCACCTTGTCCCAACCCCAAGGAAACACTTCACGTTGTTCTGTGCTGCACCGACTCTCCCAAAATGTTGCCTTCACAGCTAGCCACAACGCTGCAAGGCTTTTTTTTTGAACTAGCTAGTGTCGCCGAGTGCAATTAATGCTGCTAGACGCGGCGAGTTGTCGGACAAATCGAATGATGCTGCCGTCGAGAAGCAGAATCTTGTTGCTGAAATTGATATCATAGGATAAGAGTAGTCCCTCGATATTCATGCCTCCGTAAGGTAGCGAGACAAGAGCGAACCCCGTGAGGAGGCCGTGGGTTCCAGAGTCAACAACACCCATAACAAGCTGATTGGTGTGACGGATATTCCAGTCTTAGCAGAGCGAACGTCTTTCGAAGACAATTCGGCTTGGCATGGAAGACACGGGGGATCTGTATACCGTCGGGAGATAGATCAAGACGCCAGAGACTAATCAGTTGTCTCACAGGTCGGGGAGCTGGTCTCATGCTGATGTTTGAAGCAGGACTCGATGCGCCCCTCCGTAGCCCACCTGGGATTAGGGACGCATTGCCAGAGGGCAGCTGTTAGCAAGAACCGGCTGGTCAATCGGTGTCGGGTGACACTAGGCAACCAAGCCAGCCTTCTACGGCTTTCTGGCCGTGTAAATATGTCTGGTGGAAGTTAGTGAGTTCTTGGTTGCCGCGGCGGCTCCAAGTTGAGGGGAGCTTACACATTGGCGTAGCCATGTACTTTGCGAGACCGGAGTTCCTCTTTAACTTGATCGGCCATTTCTTTGATCTCGAATACGGTCCTGTTGTGGCCTCGAGTCAAAGGCGCCATGCAGAGACCCGCAATGCCATGTGTCAATCCAATGTTGAACCATCGGCCGGCCTCAGGATCAAGGTCGCTGTTTGGATCTGTCGCAGGCCATCGATTAGTGGCGAGCCTGACAACCTCCTCTTTGATGTCGACCAATCCAGCGTCAGCCATGCGTTGCTTAGTGAGTGCGCTGTCAAGGCGCATCGGGCGATCGAATCCGTCCATAGCGTCCAACAGCTCATCCAGCAACTTGGCAGTGACCGAGTTGGGGCTAAATGACCCATCGTCGCTTTTCAAGACCCAGTCGATTTCGATTTGCTCAATGACGCCGTAGTATGGCCTCAGGTGCCTATGGCCGTGAGCAAGAGTTCACGGGTCAGCAGCGGTGATGGAAACTCACCTGGCAACTTCGGCGTACACCCTTGGCCAGTTGGAGTTTGAGATGCTGCCATGCATCATGCCGATGTGGATGAGATCCCAGGAACCAGGTTCAAGATCATTCTGCCAGGAGACTTCAATATCTCTTTGCATGAAGCGCGTATTTGCAGGTATGCTGCCGGAGAAGGTCAGCTGAGGTCTCACTTTTCACACGGGAGGGGAGGATCTGTACTGACTATTCGGGTTGAATGAGGCTGAGATCCAGGCCGAGATGGAAGCCTTGAGGAAATTTACTGACAACCACAAACGCGATCAGCATTGGCCCAGCGTCGACCGACCGACCGCAGGTCCGGACCGAAGCAATGCAAAACTTACTCGGCCATATCTATGGTCCATATGCCAGTGCCGCATCCCAGATCGAGGACTTTGGGGTTTTCCTGGTTGTGTATGGAGACGGAAATGAGCTCCTCGTTGCGGACAGTGAGAAACATCGTGTGGAAGAAGTCCAGCCTATCTTGTTCCTCCTTTGCGTCGACATGTCAGCGAGTTCCACGGGAATATTCGAGAGCATTTGAGGCAGCAGCAAGACGCAATTAGCGCAGTTTTACGTCATGCCGGCATGTCCAGGGCGGGAGTCGAGGCGGCGGATGCACAGTCAGGACAGTCCTACCTCGTCAATGGGGAACATGTACTTCCCCTTTTTGAACGTGCCATACCATCTGCCGTTTTCCTGATATACCTCGTCGTTGACGCGGTGCGCTATTGTTTGGGCCGTGGATCCCATGGCGATGCTGGTGAGGGGAACAAGTCCTGCGTTAGTTGCGGGCACAAGTGATGTTGGGGGTGTGTGTGTGTGTGTGTGTGCGTGTGTGTGGTGTGTGTCAGGTTATTATAACAGAGACGCTCTCCAAAAATCTTGGTCCTCGGCGAACGCGCCTTGACCCTGCACCACCCAAATCAACCCAACCCTGCTTACCTGAGGGGCCTGGACATTGTATGGCTTTCCATTTCAGAGAAACCGGGGGGGGGGGGGGGGGTCTCGGTTAACACCTACAGTGTATGGATTACGGATTACCCTGATAGGTCCAAAAGGGCCCGAACAGCGACCTCGCACAGCTGCCGAAGCCCTGCGATCCGCCACGGACGCGCCGGCTGTGGTGCCGACAGAAGCAAACTGTATGGCTCTTCTCTCTGCAGAACCAATAAGGCCATGTTAGAACGTAACTCGCCGTCTCCTCCACATCTATTTTTTCCTCCTCACTCGGGATACATGGATGATGCGGTGGCAGGGGCAAGTGAAGCAGGGGTTATGAGGGTAGGAAAGAGAGGCTCAGTGCGGACCGTACAATTGTATCCGCGAAGCCAGTTTTAGCGCACTGCGGAGGACAAGAGGCAATCGAAAAGAAAAAGGAAATTTGACGGTAAATCATGGGAGGTGGATAAGGGCCTGAGGTGCGGCTGGGCGGGTAGGAGGGAATGCGACGATCTCGGGCCTGTTGCGGGCAGCAGGGGCTTGACGTAGGATACCAACTGGAACTTCAGTTGACGACGGTTTATTACCGCTCTTGTGGTCCCCCACCCCGACAGCCGCAGTGGGTAGGCCATGACGAGGGGCCTGGGGGCAGTGAGGTGGAACGTCCCGAGGGCGGTGCAGTCTGCAGGCCCGAAGCGCCCGTCTCGGATAATGGAGAAGAACAAAATAAAAACAAATAAGATAAAGAAAAACAAATCGACCAGAGGCTGAATGCCGTACCTAGCCGGATGGAAGAGGCGCTGCAAAAAAGATTACTGCCTCGGACCAGCGTCAAAAAGGAGGGACATACACGAAAAGGAAAACCGGATGCATCCTCAGTGAGGAAGGTATGGAAGTCGCCACTAACCTAGATGGTTCTTGCTCATACAAGAAGAGTTGGGACCAAGGCTCCGGCTGGTAGCAACGGGACCGATGGCATGCCGCAAAGTGGTGCTGTGAGATGAGGCGAGGCGAGATGAGAACAGACGGCCGGAGCTCGGTTGTTGTTTTAGACTTCAGTGACAGACAACTGGGCTCCGAGTCTCGAGGCTTCTTCGACGTTGTGGTAGTAGCTGGCCGCACTCCGGACCTGAAATAGTGGTGGTGATGGTCTGCACTTGGGGCCAACACGAACGCTACGGACTATGGAAGGTATGGGTCGGAAAAGGAAGGGGCAGGGTGCCTTCCTAATATAACGCCCGAACTGTCGCAACGGTGCAGAGCCAGGGTTGTTGATGGGCTACTAGTATTGCCCGCAGCCTGCGAAGGAATCCAGCTCCTTCCAGGGGAGTTCCTTCCCTCTGTTGGTGCCAGGCCGGTGAAGCTGAAGCGGATGTCACCCGGCAATGGCGGTGGCCCACGGATCCAGGGGGGCAAGGTACCTAAAGGAAGGTACTGATGAGTGACTCAAATCGGCCCTAGCAATTTGGCGGGACTTTTTCTGTCGTGTCATCGGGTGGCCAGCCCGATGCAAGTGCCGCTGCAGAGGTTGGTTCAGGGGCGTCTTCTCGGGTCGATGGCGGGCATCGGATACCTCAGGCTCAGCCAATGCAGGTTTCCAGGTTCTTCGGCTGGGCTTCCAGTTTGTCCGACTTCCTGGGCTTGAGGAATCGTACTGCTAGTACTGACTGTACGAAGTGGAAACTTGAAGACCGAGACAGAACTTTTTGGGAGTGGAAGGCGTGCGGGGCGTCGGGTTCAGTTTGTGGGGTAGGGGGCCATTAAATGCAAATGGAATGCTTTGCCTTCTTAATGAGGGATGAATTACATACTAATAAGAGTATGCAAGGTACGGACGGATACACCTACTCTAACTTCCGCCTGCCTTCCACATTACCTCCCTGCCGGTACGGAAGGCACGCTTCCATTCCAGAAGTTTCGTTCAATCTTCAGAACACGGCGACCCAAGGTGACTCTGGGTGCATATCCGTAGGTAAGAATCGGACCTTGGACAAGAACCTACCAAACACCTGCCACCAACCTACAGACTCCTTGCTTGTACAGTGCATTGCTGTACCACAAACGAACGAAAGCGACCCAACCGTCTGGATTTATCGCACCCGACAAGAGATTAGAAACACCCGTGCCAAGTAGATCTAAGGTTAGCTCCTACTGCCTCAAGTTCCTGATATCCACTGCTTCAGCTGTTTGTTGCTGCTTGGACTACATACGAATACCGTATGGACATTCAGATGTGTACATACAATACACGGCACTCGCGGAACGGATCCCAGCTCCCACCCCCACGACCCGACACTCGGGCGCCTGCGCGCCCTAGTCGCCCATTGTTCTCGCGGATGCAAGTATCCAGGTTGCAGGCGATCGGAGAGAAGGGCCTCGTCTCCCAGTGTGTGTAGGTGGGTGGCGTTAACAACGCTCTCTCACTGCGTATGAAACATGGTTTCAAAGTCGCTGGGGCCAACCACGAAGTGGCAGCAGGAACAGCTGACCGGTGCCCACAAATTGGCATTGACCCTCGAGCATTGGCGCCGAAGATGGGCCAGAGGGCCAGAGGTGCAGAGAGGTGTGTGTACGCAACGCGGCTGGTCAAGTTTCTTGACTATCTCAGAGAGGCAAATACATGCCCTCCCAAGGTATCCGCAGTCTCGGCGGGATGGCGCTAAGGCCACGGGAACCTACCAAAGTTCTTTGTTCGGCCGTCGTCGCAGAGCCCATGCTAGCCGACCTCGATGGCTCCAGATCTGCCTGAGACTGACATCGGATGACGGTAAAGAGAGGCCACCGTGTCCATTTCACTCGCTCAGCAAGGGCTTAGACTCGGTTCATGACAAGACGCACAACAGCTAGCTTCCCGACCAGACAATGGCAAGTTGGTGGCCTCGCTCGGGTGTGTGGCCCAACAGGTCTGCATCTGGTCACAACGAGTCGATCGTTGCCTGCCGATCGAGCACTTGGGACTCTAGGAATTATAGGACTGGGAGGCTAGTGCTGAGAGTGGGCGGCCAGCGGGCAAGAATGGCGTTATTTCCAAGCCGTGTGTGCATGGTGGTGTAGTGGGCTGTCTCAGAAAGTACAGTACCCCCGACGGCGGGACTCTGCTGAGAGGTACATCCAGGGCATGTTTGTCGGGAGCATGGGTCCCCTGGCAAAAGTCGTCAAGGCGTCTCGACTGCCCACTGGGTAAGCCAGATCCAGACTGTCGGGTCCAAGAAATCACGGCGCATACAGCACTGTTCAGAGTGCCCAATCAACGGCTCGAGACGCATGACCAAGGGAAGCTGGAGTGTTAGGCATAGCCCGAGCAGAGAGCCGTCGACCTAAATTAATCGCACACACCTCGGCAAAACAGGCAAATCGACCGCCGCTGGTTATCAATCACTATTCCGTACACGTGTCCACGATGGCACGAAGCCTATTTCGTCTTATTAGCCACCCGCACTCAGCTTACACTCTAGCATGCGCCAGGACGGATTCGAATGCAGATGCTTCATAGAGTTGCTATGGAGAGCACGGATTGCCGTCTCTCGAACTGCCGGCTCGTGCATGGCAAAGCACCTACCTGTCTCATCGCCTCACCGCTCACTTCTATCTCCCCACCCGTGACCGGTAGGACTAATAATCGGTATCACGTAGGAGACAGTGGAGACAGTGGCGGCAGAATGACACACAAACGTCGTCATGACCATGCACAGACAAGGACCATAGAGGCTACTGTATTGTATGTATGTGCAATATTCATACATACATTAACAGACTACGTGGCACAAGAACCAGGAGTAGGCATCCTCCTATAGGCTGGTACCCGCCGGCGCGCGGGTTGTTGAATTAGAATCCTTCGTGAAACCTAGAGGGCTTCAAGTTGGGTACTCCTGTTACACAGCGCGCATACCAAGAAGCCGCCTAGCGAACTCTTCAATACCAAGATCCAAGACAGCTTCCGAGGACCCAAAAGAGACTAGACTTCAACGACCAACCTCAGTGTGGTAAGCACTTCAACCATGCTATCCATACCGTTGGTTACGGCCTACACACTCCGTAGCGCCAAAATCCAGCCCAAGGCCACGGAGCAGGTAGAGTCACTGGAGTGCGATGTAAAAATGAGAGCACGAAGGATCGCCATCCTAGGTTTTAGGTTCGGGCAGGCAGTCTCGGCGACTCTCACCGACAACTCTGCGTTATTTATGGATAGACTGCACCTCATGGGATGGGACACGACACGATACCTTACTATGTATTCGGTTCTCCATCCCTGCCAGCCGCTAGTGTCAACTTGGAAGTTTCCAGGGTGGTTTGGCATTTGGGATCATCAGTTGGTCTGACCGCGCTCCACTTTCATCTCACCTACCAAGCTGCGCCCCCTTGTCGGAGGAGTCTCTCTCTGAGGGCTCGCCATTCGTTACCACTGTGTCGGGTCGGCCCTGGGGCTCCACTCGACCTACTGGTCTAGCCGAGTCGACCAGAGGCGCAACAAAAGGAAACAAAAGCCTCCAAGAAACAACAGATTCGCATACCACTCGGGCGCGTCCCGGTCATGACAAGGGCTATTCGATGGCGGCTTGAATACGCGGATGCACCGTGATCGAGCGGTCGTCCAATCGGCACAACACAGACAGTCGACCGAGGTAGTTTATACTTTGTTTTCAATGGCAGACATCTGCGCTGAAGCTCGGCATGGAACTTTGGCACTAAGGTAGTGGTAGCTCTGGAGAAGGCCGACCAACAATTGCTCGTTGGTGACGAAATGTCACGCACAAAAAGGCTCACGGTGCACCTTTGGTGCGTAACATTCTGTTTGAGTCGGCAGCCCCAAAGAAGAAAATTCGACTAGGGACCCCCAACTCGACTGGTTGCCAGACTACCGAGTGCTACCTCCGGACCAATCGAGGTTCTTAGTACCAAATTACGTGTCCAACAGGGCTTCCCAAAGGGCCGTTCCGCCGGCCACAGGAATTTCTTGTCCAACCGGGTCCCTCTCTTGTGCATGGCGAGGGTGGGAGAGATGGGATACATACTGTGTGCCATGCCGGTTTGACCGCTTTCGTTGACGGGGTCGCCTACAGCATTCTTCCTTCTCCGCCGGCGGCCCACTTGGAACTTGTCCGCCGTCTTCCCCTATCCCAGTGTTCCCCAGCCCCGTGGTGCTCGGTGCCCTATCAAACAAGCTAAAAAGAAACTCGTGCTTTTCGATAAACAAAAAAAAGGAGATCGCTCTGCTGTGCCAGTTCCTGCAGGCCCCGGAAGCAGCTCATTATGTCTCGTGCACTCCCCATCCATGCCGTGAAGAGTTTATCATTGTTGATGTTGACAGATGGCGAATGCGATGTGTCTCCTCATCCTATGCCGTCACGCGCCTAACTCACAGTCCCGCGAACAAAGGCTCGCAATCATTTCGTCATAGGAAACCAACCATGCCATACGCTACGGCTAACCCATACCCCAGGGTTCGACATGTGGCCATGTCGCCATGGGAATCTGGCGCAACGCGAAGAGTATCGGTAGTCCCCCTCCTTGGCCATGGTGCCCTGACATTTTTCCTCGCTAGTCTCCCTTTATTCTTGAACCGACCTTCTCTGAGCTAGGTTATGTGGGTATGGGGAGCGAGCCGGCTCGACTGATAGATTGGTATGTATACACACGTACTGTAGAAACTCTGAGCGGAGGGATGAAGAATGGGGAATGAGGGAACCACCTGACTGACACGGCACAACCTGGAACCTGGGGCCTTTGGAAGGGGGGGGAGGCTGCAAATGGCACTTTGTACCGAGCCAAACTGTCGGAAACTGTCGTTTAGGTTGGGGCATGTGCTAATATGTGTAGACAATACGATTAAACAAGATTCTCGTCTTTGGAATCCCGGCGAGTGATGGTTGACCCGCCTTTACTCTGGCACCCACTCGAGTGCCACACCCTCTGAGTCTTTGATCTCGTGTTCGCCCGGAGACCTAGGCTTTAAACCTCAAGAACTGGTTTTGCCCAGGACACCGGTAGGCAGTAGGTAAGGGTCCTTTTTCTTTGGTCTAAACTCTGGATTACGGCTCATCGCGGCCACCGGTCTCCCTCGCAAGTAGCGGCGCTTCGCATCTCCCCGCCCCTTTACTTTTTTTTGTCCTCCATTGCTAGGTCCCAGCCAACCTATTCGTGGGCCTAGAATCTTTGGGCCTTTGTTGTTGGGTGGGGCCTGGACCCCGGCACTCCGGACCCGACTACCTGGCTCCCGGTTCCGGTTCCGGGTGTGACAAAACCGGAACAAACAAAGAGAACTGGGTTTGTTCTCCTACGAATCAAGGCAAACAACTGAGTGTGGGGCAGAGGGTTGATATCACGTCTTCTTGATGGCTTGCTTCAATAAAAAAGAAAACCTTGTTGCCTGCCTCCTGTGCGATGGTGGGTTGGGATAATCCACGCACCCTGCTTAATGGTACATGTCATGGTTCTCGGGAGTGACACTTGCCAACTCCTTTGAGGAGGTGAGCTTGGGCAACATGCTGTTCTGTGCCCTTTTTTCTTTTCTCTCTTTCTGTAGGTACCTAGGTAGGTAAGGTGGTTTTACGGCTGCCTGGCTTCCTTCCTTCTAATAATCATGAAATCGGACGGGCGGCTCGTATCCAGCTCCCTGCCTCCCCGGTCCCACCCCTCTCTACCTTAACTACGCGCTGCACAGTAGGTTTTCGCAGGGCACTCACGGTCTTGTTCCCAGTGCCATGGTTAGCTGCCTGCCGAGGCGTTTTTGTTGGTTGGCGGCCGCACCCACCCACCACCCCCTTTCTCTCCTCCCTCCACGACCCCCCCTGTGCCGTAGCTAGCCAAACCTAGGTATGTATGTGCAGTACTGGTTGGCTCGTTTACGTTTCCGAGAAAGGGCTCGCCCGCTCGCTCCCGCTGCTGAGTTGCGCCCACGTACGGCGCAATACATTGTCGGGCCATCCTTCGTCACCGCGGGCGGGCCTCGAGTGCAGGCCGCGAAGGATTCCAATACTAGACAGCTAGCCGCCATCCTCTTTGCTCGATATCTGCTCGATCGCTCGCTCGCCCGCCGTAAACGGATGTCGTTGCCACAGCTAGAGCGCGAGTGGCGTGGGAAGAGGAGGCTGTGGTTTTTTTTTACAACGCAGAGGAGAGACGAGGTAAAATGGCTATCTTGTGAGGATTGGGGAACTGCCACTTGCTTTCAAAATGGCCCCTAGAAACGTCAACTTGAAGCTGCTGGCCGGTCATCATGCATGTTGGAGCGCAGAGGGAGACTTGGCGGGGCTGTGTTGGATCTTCTGGAATGTGTGTTGTACTGTCGGTGCGATTTTGTAGTTATTTTCGGTTATTATCAGGAGGCCTTGAGAGCTACCCGAGATAGGCAAACAGGTACTGTACATACTGTGCCTGGCCTATCGGCCTGTCTAGAACACGTTCAGCCGATAATTGGTCATAGTAACCCAACCCCTGAACCCCTTTTATTCGTAGCAAACCCAAACATTCTTGTCCTCCGGCTGAAAACCGAAAACTCGGCAATCCGGGAACGTGTTAAAAGACTCTGCCCCTCAAGTTCTCCCTGTACACAGAGGCCATTTCCCCGAGGTTTCGGGCCACGGGTAATTCGTATTTTTACTTTTTCGGTCGATTGCATTTGGAGCTAGGTGGCTGGCTGGCTGGTTTGCTGCGCGAGAGCGAGAGCGAGAGCGAGCGGGATTATTTACCAACCAAACTCTATCCAACGCACTCTCATGTCCCAGACAGCAACCCCCCCCCCCCCCCCCCCCTTAGATAGGAAAACCCGCCGAAACTGGCGCAGCCGAGGAGGATGAGCAGAGAGCCACTTATAACCTGCGCGCCACGGGCCGACATGGGGTCAATACTACTCGTACATGGTTGCCATTTGTGGCGAGACCTTTGCTTGACTGGGCGCGCACGCATCTATCGTAAATTACCTACCTGCTTTAGCTATCTAAGGCGCTTCTGCAATCCACATAATTCTAGAAGCATGTGCGCGTTCGGGACGAGTTTCGTAATAAACGTGTCGATATGTCCGTCCTGAGCTCAAGTCTACTCTACTTCACTGTCTGCCGCCATCTGGCCGATATGCGGTAGTGTGGTAGTTATTGTTGGATACCATGGTAAAGGAATTTAGTAGCATGGCACGGCCAGTGAAATTTGAGTATGTACTGGCGGTTCGATTCTGTAATGAATTTTATGCCAACTGTGTGGCCAACTTGAATGTAGCATTTATTCGATTTTGTGAAGGGATGAACACTACGGGTATCATATCGTCTACCTTAGATATCCGTCTTGTTTTTCTTTAAAACCCGAGAAGCTCATCAGACCAGTTGGCTTAAAACAGAATACAGGTCTTTTACTGGACTTCCTGTGTTCTTCTCAACTCTTCGTGTTCTCGCTGTTTGCTATATGTTGTTTGTTTTCACATTCACCTCTTCATGTTCGTCTCTCTCGTCACTGCTTTCATATCCACCCCGCCCCGTACCGTGAAGGCTGTCAACGAGGTTCTACTCACTTGGCAGCTCCTAATTTACCTCCATCAGCGGGAATCATATCACACACTTTTGCCAGGGTAGACCACAGCATCGCCGGCAAGACCTTTCAATGCACAGATCTCGACAATAATTTAACGTGGTTATCGCATGTTATGCATCCCACAGATAGAAGAAAGGCATATGAATTGTGTATAATGACAAGTAGCATTGCTTCAGGGAGAGCATATTGCATGCTCGTGGCGACGAGATAGTGAGAGAGACACTAACATTCCGGTAATGTCCTATTGGCTCGCATCCATTCCATTTCCTGCTGTTACTTGCCCGATGAGCCATTCGACTCTTGAATCAATGCCGCTATATCACATAAACCATGTATTTCTGCAATATATCCGTCGTCTCTCGCTCAGAGGCGAACCGCCATCCCAGGCCAAAGAGAGCTGCACTTTAAAAGTGACCGCAGCATACTCAGGCAGTCTTCTTCTCATCCTCTAGCGTCGCCGGTATCGCGGATTCCCCCACGGCGACACCGTCGGTATGGATGTAGAGACGCATGACCTTTGGTCCGGGATAGGCGGTTATGGCGTGGACGACCCACCAGAAAGCCGTGATGGCGATGACGCCGGCGAGGATCACGCTGTTGTAGTTCATAGTCTCCACGGTGGTGGGGAAGACATAGGCTATGCGGAGAATAAGAGTTGAGCAAATCTTTGTTCCATGCTATCGGAGAAAGGACTGAAACACCAGACTTACGGAAGCAGTAAAATATATCAAACAGCGTGATGAAGAGAACGGCCAGAATATTGACGGGCGTGCCAAACTTGCCCAGGTGAAACGGCCCTTTCGGGAAGTACTTGCGGCCAGTAAGGACATTGGCGGCGAACGGGATGGCGTACGACACTGTGGTGAGGATGATGAAAGAGCCCGTCAGGTTGACGAAAGCGGTCGGGCTTCCCAGCGGGATGGCACCAAGGCCCGTGGCGACGAGGGCTTTTTACTAAGGGTAAGCATTTATTTATTCGCCATGTCATGGGTATCCTAATGACCAGAGAGAACACGGAAAGGGGCCAGGGGTAAGTGGCTTACCAACAAACAGAGTAGCCGGAACGGGGCAGCTCAGTTTCTCGTTGACCTTGCTCATCAGAAACGACAGCGGTACGGCATTGTCGCGTGCCAGCGCCCAGTAGATGCGCGAGTTTGTGAGAACAGTGCCGATGACGCAGAGTATGGTCGACCACCAAATGATGAACAAGAGGCCGAACGTCGCCCCGAGGTTCTGGTTTCCATCTGCATTGGCCGTGGCTTGAGCATAGATGTTCGCCAAGGGATACCCGTTGAAGCCGCCGCTGGTAAGGGCGCCGATATCGGTGATGGCATACGAGAGGGCAATGGCGAAAGTGAATGCGTCTAGACCGGTGGCCAAAGTCAGTTACAAACTCCAATTCTTGCTTCCTTCAGACCAAAAGCAGCTGCACCAGCACCAGCATGACAGCGTCGGCAGCAGCAACCTACAAAAGAATCCCAGACCAATCTGGAGGCCAATAGCAATAGGTAAATCCCTCTTGGGGTGAGGCAATTCCTCTGCCATATGGGTGATAGCGTCTGGGGTGCCCACGGTGAAGGCGCCGTTCAGGACACCCAGCAGAAAGGCAACACCGCCTTGCCAGCCCGTCAGGTTGTTCTCGTCAAAGGAGCCCCAGACGAAGTAGTTGGACGCGTGCTGCTTGGGCATGGCGGCAATGACAATGATGGTGACGACGCCGCCGACGATGACGAAGAACATGCCCAGGTTCTGGGTGTGCGGTATGATCCTGTTGGCGAATATGACCAAGGCCACACTGAACCACAGGATCAGGAGGTAGGCCACGTAGACGTGCCAAGCCTCGGGCACGTACGTGTCCTGGTGGTAGACGGTATACATGCTGACCGAGATATTGGCGCAGATCTGAACGAGGGCGGCCAGATCAAACATCCAGCCGTAGAAGTTGATCCACCCGGTGAAGAAGCCGAGGATGCGGCCATATCGTGGACCGCCAGCAACCGTGGCCCAGTGGTAGACACCGCCAGCTGTGGGGACCGAAGATGCCAACTAGAAACACACCTAAGGTCAGGAGCTCGGTTCTGCTTTAGGCTTTAGGGTGTATCAAGCACAAAAGGCGTGGCGGGTCTGCTTGTGAGGCTGACCAGCCCAACGTTCAGCGGTGTTCAGTCTTTCATACCTCGGCGAGGCTCAACCCGATAAAGGAATAGTAAAAGACAGCGACGATGAGCCCGAAGATAAGACCGGGCGGGCCTCCATTGACTGCGTAGGCATTGACTCGTCAGGGCGTCTGCTCAAGGAAGCTAGAATGAGAGCAAGGGGTGCATACGGATAGAGACGGAGATGGAGGAACCCAAAGCGACCCAAGCATTGTCGACCGTCAGGGCGATGCCGGCAAGCCCCAGAAGGCTGTACTGGCGCTTCAGCTGATCTCTGTAGCCCGAGTGGTTGACGACAACCCCATCCTCGACGGCAGCTACTGTCTCGTCTTCCGACCCGCCATCCACCGCGTTTCCTTTGGTGACGGCGGGAGTCTTGGCTTCCTCGCTCATGCTGGAGTGTGGGGTCCAAGTCTCGACGGCTTCGCGTCAGAGTGAGAACGGGGAGTGAGAATGCGGTGATCAGGCTGTCTACAGTGAACAGACAAGGCAGTTAGTAGGTAGCTCCCCTTATCGATGTCACTTTGACTGATGGAGGAAAGGCGAGTACCGAGTATCAGGTAGTGAAAATCACAATTCTCACAACGGTCAAACGGATGGAAGTGTGTGCCTGAAACCCGATGGAGGTGGGGGAACAAGCCAGAAGCTGTATCGATAATACATAAACACAGGACAAGCAGACGCGCATGCGCGCGGGCCTTCCTTCTTCCTGGGCGTGAATGGTCTTTTCCCTGTTGGGATTTATTACTCGACTGATATGAATATTCTGGGCTGGTCTTCTCCAGGCGTGTTTGGGGTCTGGTACCCTTTCAGGCGGCTGGTTTGCGCCTTCTAATTAGGTAGTATTTTGGTTTTTGTCTGCCTTTGGCGGTCCTGTCGTGCTTCCAACAGACGACAGACTGATAGCCCTCCAACTCACAGCTCTCAAGCTGACGTGACGTTATCGAAGATTCTGATGCTGGAAGGCTGATTGATAAGAGCTGTGACCTAAACTTTCTTCGTTGGCGGCAGTCTAGGCCAGTGGCGGGCCAGGTCAGAAGGGCCATAGCTCCGCTCCAGCCCTCGTCCCGCAGCTCCCGTGTCGGGAGTCTTCGACACATGGGCAGGGGGATTAGGGCCCCGACGTATCAGGGAGCAGTGGTCGACGGCGACAGGGGGCGCAGACAGCGGGGAGGAGCGCCCGCCTGTTGGGGTATCTCCCCGCTAGGCTCGTTTCCGTTCCCGAAGCTTGTCACGACGCGAGATCTTTCTTATCAGCCCAGAGTGTGGGGGGTTGCACAAGCAGCGCTCGATGATGAGAAGTCCTAGACTCCCAAGGGGGGTGTGACAACGATGCCCGTCTCGTTAGAACTTTGCGGTATCCGAAGATTAGCAACCTCACCTGCAAGCTGCAGCAGCAACAGGGCAAGCCAGCCAGGAATCAATCGAGGAACACAACAACTCAAACCTGCTTCCACACTGGGGTGGTGCCAAGAGCGATGCGACTTTGGTTGTTGAGGGCCTGGAGGGAGGGCGGGGAGACCCTGTAAATTGCCCACCCCAAGCCTCGAAAGCATTGGGCGTCCCATCTTAACATGATTGGCGAGTATCGACATCGATCAATTTCAACACAACTTTGGTCGGAACTGATAAAAAAGAGTTTAATGAGATGGCGGGAGGGTGATCGTCAACTTGGGAAGTTGCGAGTGAGTGTTCCTGTCCATCGTTTTGAAGGGCAAAGCACCCCACTTTGAGGTCTCCGTAATACCGGAGCTAAACTGCCGCGGGGACAAGCTATACGGGTCCCGAAAATCCCACCATCCACAACCACAACAGCCAAGCCCAAAATATTACCAAGAAAGAAGAAGAGAGGAACTCCGTATGTTCCAAATTATTATTACCGACACGATCAGGATTTGAACCTGCGCCTCCGAAGAGATGAGATTACTACGAATCTAATGTATTCGAGTTTCACGCTTTAGACCGCTCAGCCATCGTGCCTAGGTTGTTTTTGAGACTTTATCGTCACCAATAGCCTCAGAGTCCAGTCTCCCGACTTTGTATTCTTTGCATATACTATGCCACAAAATCATGGGACAAAACAAAATGACATTATGGATTGCACAAATTCTTTTTCTTTTTCTTTTTTTCTTTTTCGCGACTCCTACGTTACCTACCGGAAAGATGGAGCGCCACGACTCATAACGTAGCATACACCGCAGCCAGACCATCAACAATCCACACCTCGCAGTGGAAAAACCCGCCCCTGTAGCTTAGGGGTAGAGCATCAGCCTCATATCTTCACACGAGAAGAGAGGGGCGATCTGACTACGCTGGTTCGATTCCAGCCAGGGGCAAAAATCCATCTTTCTATGCGTTATTTTTAAGAAAAATTTGGTCCTTGAGAATATTACTCAGTACTATCTTTTGGAACATCCGAGGCAGGTGGGCGCAGAGCCGGGCTATTTACATTCACTTGGGGAACTTGCAAGGCTTAAAATCGTGTTACCTTTCGCCAACTGTGCAAGGACGACGGAACGACGACCCTGATAGCCTTTCCAAACTCCTTTTTTATTAAAAGGAAATTGTGATATACCTAACTGTGGAAGTCCCTCTTTGAGCAGACGAAAAGAACAAGAAAGATGGACATTGACCTACACCTCGACCAGAACACAGACCAAACTAAATACAAGCAGAAAATTTTCCCCCTCTTAACTAATTTAAAACCGGGACATAACCGGGGCATAACTAGGATATCACTGGGACATAACTGGGACACAACCGGGATACAACTGGGTATGTATGTACACACAAAGGAGGACAGAAGCCGGTCCTTTCCATCCACCAACTCCGTCAGAACTTGGATACAACACCCAAGAACAAAAAACCCGAAATATTCTTCCTTCCCCAACGTAGCTCGACAGACATGAACTAGAGTAGAAAGAACACTATACCTAGTCTCGTTGCCTTACTCGATACGTAGTTTGACAGAAAAGCTATGGCCGCCTGGCTCAGCCGAGCAAGTCTTACAATTCCAAGTCTCTGCAGTAGATGGGAAACGACACGCGATTTGAAACGACCGGCATGACAAAATAATGCTGATATTGTCCTCGTTGTGCTGCCGCTCTCTCTATACATCACTGGATTATATCTTTCAAGACAACCAAGGTTAACTACAAGAAGCTCTCCACTGGCAAAGTTCACAGCCCACCATCTGCGAGAGATACTTCCTGCCACACTCGACTTTGGTTATCAAGATGTAGCTGTGTACTGTGTAGAGAAACACGGAAGATGAGCCCCCTTTTTTCGAGGCAGTGTATTGCATATATATATATATATAGAGTGGCGCCATCGCAGGTCCAGCCCCAAGAGCCGGCCTCGGCTTAAACGCTGGCCGGCCCGTCGTTGCCCTGTGGAGGAGACAAGCTACCTCAAGCTCACCTGTCCCACTCGCCATCGGCAAAGTAACGCGGGGTCAAGTCGACGTCCCAGCTCGGCCGCTCGACGAGGGCGACTTCCAGCGGCACAGGATCTCTGTGAGCCGTCGCGCCGTTTGCGGTCCCCGAAATTACTGCTCCGTCCTCCTCCTGCTTGCTTTCGATGGGCACTATGCCTAGTATTGGGCGGTACTGGTACGTGTGCCACCATTTGGACTTGCGCCCGTCCTCCCCATCCACGCCGCCTTGGCGGTCTCTCATACGCTGCAGCTCGCCGCCGTCCGTCTCGTCGTCTTCGTCCGTCTCGTCATCGTCGTTGTCTTCAAATCCGCTGCTTGCGCCAATGCTCTTCTGGTCATCGGCGTCGACCATTTCCACATCCGCCCATTCTGCGCCGTCGGGCCCGAGAGCCGATTTGACGTGTTGTGGGACCAGGGAGTGCTTGCTCATCTTGCCTCCAGCTCCACTGGCCAGGACGTCCCGCTTCCGCTTGGTCCCGTGCTTCTGACCACTCTTGTGCTCGACCACGTCTTTGTCTCCGTCAAAGTCTTGGGATAGATCTAGCATGAACAGGAATGAGATGCCGTAGATCCAGGCCCTTGTGCCCTGCCATACCACGCCCTTGACGAGGTCGCGCGTGACACGAAATTGCTCGGGTAGTTTATGATAGGTGTTCCGGCGAGACCACTCTGAGAGGGAACCGCGAAGGGGGTTAAAGACAAAAACTTGCTTCATCGTGGTGATCGCCAGAAGGGCGTAGTCGCCATCCGCATGACCCGGCACGGCCGAGTCGGGCCCAGAGGCGGTAGAAAATGAGAGCACCACAGGTGCCGAAGTTAACTTGGGGAGCAGAGCTGCCTTGGGATTGCGAATCCACCTCTCACTGCCCTCGTCGACTCCCATCTCGTCGTCTGACGAGTCGCTCGAGGATTCATCGGATTGTTCGCCATCTAGCGCTTCTCTACTGGCAATGTGCTCCTTCTCGTCGGGGGCGCGTAGGACCCAGGTGTCGATGTATCCAGCCAGGTCAGCAATAGCGAGCATCCTGCTATCGGGGGAGAAGATCATCTGCGCGACGTTCCGGTCGTAGGACCCGAGGCCGCCCAAAAGGAGGTGCTTGGGGATCTGGCGTCCGAGCCGGTGCAGCTTTTGTGGTGCGGAAATTGCGTAGGATGACACACTCGTCGCTACTCTAGCAATCATGACTTTGCTCCCCTCTTCAATCCATGATACCCAGAGGCCGTCAGGAGAGATCTCAACCCTGGTGGCGCCACGCGTTGCGACTGTCATGTCCACTTTCTTGATCTGGAGTTTGCCTCCGTCAAATTTGAGTTTAAACGCTTTCAGTTCCGTAGCAGTCGAGGCGACTAAAAGAGTGCCGTCCTGGCTGATGGCGGCAGAGGCAATGTCGGACTCCCCCTTGACTAGAATCTGGGCAAGAAGATTTCGGTTCTTGCGCGAGCTGGTGGCATGCGGATCGTCCAACATCTCCTGGGCCGGGCTTGCTAGATGCCAGATTCGAATCTCGTTGCCCCACCAGCTGAGCATGAAACGGGCCTTGAGAGCGCTCCGCAGAGGGATGTTTTGCGGTAGATGCGGCAGCGTTCTGTGGAACTCGTTGCCTGCCCCGCGAAGGGGGAAGACTATAGGGCTTGCATCGGGGCCTAGGGCGCTGTTAGCGGCAGTCCTCAACACGTTTGAGAGACGGCGACTTACCTCCAGACACGACGATGCTCATCCCCTTGCCCTCAAAAGAAGCCATGGCCTTGACGTCGTGACCGTGGTACCTCCGGTGGAACACCTTGGACCAGCGTCCGGCCTGGCCCGCCATGGGCTCGTACAGGGCTGTCCGCCGATCCATGCCACCCGAGACAATCTTGGAGCCGTCAGCACTGACGGCGAGGCACAGGACATCCTGACTGTGGCTCTGTATGCGCTGCGCCTGTGTATATGTCCTGCCATCCCAGATGCACACCTGGCCGGTGGAGTCGCCAGATACAATATCGCCGCTGGGCAAGCACTTGACGGACCACACAATGACGTTCTTGGGGCCGCCAGACAGATCCGAGCCCAACGTCATCTGCCTTATCAGCGTCCCATTGCGGATGTCGTAGGCGTATATTGTGCTGTTAGAACAGCCGACGATGACGACGGTGGGCGACTGGAAAGCGATGCTGACCATCTTGACCTTTTTGGAGGGGGTTCTGATGAGGGACTGCTGGAATTTCAAGTCGCCGCCCTCGATCGAGTAGAGTACCAAATTGCCGTCGACGGTGCCGGCAACCAACTTCCTGGAACCGGGGTTGATGACGGCGGTCTTGGCCTTGGAGCCCTTGGTGGTCGTGGAGAGAGGCTGGGCACCGAGACACCAGATGTCGCCGTGTTGGCCGCTGGCATGCTTCTTGGCACAAGCCTTCTCGAGATCCCATTCTGTGATGGCGGTGGTGTAGCCGATGCTGAACAGGCGCGACCTGCCGTGGAGGGTCTTGCCGTCGGCCAGCTCCTCGTCGGGATCCGTGACCCAGACCAGGCCGTCGACGCTGCGGTCTTTTCCGCCGGGGATGACGAGCTCCTGGTGCCAGGCGCCATTGAGGGGGTTCCAGATCTCGATGTCGCCGTTGGCTCTCCCAATGGCGAGGCGGACCTGGATGTGCTTGTGGAGGAATTTCTTGTTGGCGCCGACGGCCGGCAGCGACGCGTGCGTAAAGGCGACGGCGTTGATGGCCGACGCAGGATACCCCACGAACCGGCACCTGTGGATGTCCATTATGTTGGTATTATTCGTTCGGGCGAGAGAGAGAAAGAGAGAGAGAGAAAGCGGGCGTCGATGGCGGCCAGCTCTTGTGAGGCGGCGTCTCTCTCGTAGATTAATTTCAAACTTTTGGTCTGAAGCTGCGCTGCGATGCTCTGGGCTGCTGCCCATTCAACTTTTTTTTCTGCCGCTCAGCGGGACCGTGACCTTTCGGCAGCCTTCCAGCTCGGGCAGTCGGTGAGAGCATTTAAGGTATGGTCTGTGCTGCAGCGCCGTGAGCCAAGGCTGCAAGAAATACACCCCACCAACCCCACCATGCCGCCGCCCTCCATTCCCAAGCTCCTCCGACGTGTGTGTCATGGACCTGCAGGCAGCCCAGGCAAGGCAGCTTGTTCAGTCCCAAGAGCGCAACGCAACCGTTAATTGCGCAGATAGTACTCAGCCCAACCCAGCTATCGTGACTCCGCCGCGTCGCTAGCAGCCTCCCTTACGTACCTAGCACTCACTGCTCAGTGGAGGAGAAAGTGATAGGACAGCCGCTCATCCGTTCTTTTTCCTCTTACTTAGTAACCTTCCTTCCTGAACTCGGATCATACCTAAGATAGGATAACTTCATAGGTTATTTTTCGGCCTTTTAGGTTCAGGAGCCGACGGGAGCTGTACCGCTGTCGCAGTGCAGCTGTATTCCGACATATTAGCTCAGACTCGGGTTGCGCCGCATCGGTTGGTTTTGTCTCACAATCACATCTCGGAACAGAGTCAGCCAGACGACCTGCGACGGATCCATAACTCTTTCTCTATACGACACTCTGTACCCGGGAGATTCTTTTCCAGTCCAATTGGCAATAAATACAACAATCTGCATCTCTCTGCAGAGCTAGGCAACAGACAACCGTCGCCTGCCTGCCTACCTACCAACCTTTGTCACTTCCGCTCGCTGCTCTGCTTCATCGTCTTTCGCAAAGCCTGGCTTGGCTCGCACTCTCACTTCTGTACCTTTCCTTGGTCAAACTCGCCCCGGCGGCCATCTCCGACCATGGACTTCAACAGCGCCTCGCCCTACCCCGAGGGCGTCATCTCGTTTCTTGACACGGATCTGTACAAGTTGACAATGCAATGCGCCGTGCTCAAGTATTACAAAGACGTGCCCGTCACATACTCGTTTACCAACCGGACGCCGGAGAAAAAGCTCTCGAGGGCCGCTTTCCTGTGGCTGGAGGAGCAGGTCAGGAAGCTCGGCAACATTTCTCTCTCGGCCGAGGAGCACCAGTACCTCACAGAACACTGCCCCTACCTGACGCCCGCCTACCTCGACTATCTCCAAGAGTTCCGCCTCAGGCCGCGAGACCAGGTCGCGCTCAAGTTCCTTCCCATCGGCCAGGACACGGGCGCCGAGACCGATGTCGGCGACGTCGACATCAAGGTCAGCGGGACCTGGGCCGAGACCATCCTGTACGAGATCCCGCTGCTCGCCCTGACGTCCGAGGCCTACTTCAAGTTCATGGACCTGGACTGGACCTACGACGGGCAGGAGGACCAGGCCTTTGAGAAGGGCATGCGGCTGCTCGAGGCCGGCTGCGTCTTCTCCGAGTTCGGCACCCGCCGCCGCCGCGACTACCACACGCAGGCGCTGGTGTTTAGGGGGCTCACCAAGGCCAGCAAGGAGGCCGAGAAGCGCGGCCTCGCGGGGAAGCTGTCCGGGACCAGCAACGTGCACCTGGCCATGCGCTTCGGCATCCCGCCCGTCGGCACGGTCGCGCACGAGTGGTTCATGGGCAACGCCGCCATCGTCGGCGACTACAAGGCCGCGACCGAGGACGCCCTGGCCCGCTGGGTGGGGTGCTTTGGGGAGGGCGTTCTCGGCATCGCCCTGACGGACACGTTTGGCACGCCCGACTTCCTCAAGTCATTCAGCAAGCCCGTCAGCAGCGTGGCCGTGACAGCCGACGACGGAGGCGCGAGCCCGAAGAGCGCGCGCAAGCACAGCGCCGCCGACTTCTTCATCCAGGCTGCGACGCACCTGCAGTCGGGCACCAAGGTCAAGAAGACGTACGCCGAGATCTTCACAGGCGTGCGGCAAGACTCGGGAGACCCCAAGACGTTCGTCAAGACGATGCGCAAGTTCTACGACGAGCAGGGCATCACCGACAAGAAGGTCATTGTCTTCTCCGACTCGCTCAACATTGAGCGCTGCCTCGAGTACAAGGAGGCGGCCGAGGCGGCCGGCTTCCAGCCGACGTTTGGCGTCGGCACCTTCTTCACCAACGATTTTGTCCACACGGCCACGGGCACCAAGTCGACGCCGCTGAACATTGTCATCAAGCTGAGCTCGGCCGGGGGGAAGCCGGCGGTCAAGATCAGGTTAGTTTCGGCATAATTTTCTCTTGTTACCATCAGACAACTAACACGGGCTGTAGCGACAACATTGGCAAGAACACGGGCGACAAGGCCACGGTGGAAAAGGTCAAGCGCGAGCTGGGGTACGTTGAGAAGGAGTGGGAAGACGGCGACGAGACGGCGCGATGGGGCCGCGAGGAGGCAGCCAAGGCGTGACGGGACCAAACCAGCATTTTGGAATCTTGGGGGCGGCAAATAGCGTGCATTTATTTTTCTCTCTCCCTCTACGGTATAATCTGCCCCGTGTTTGGATAGAGGAGCATTATTATTCGCCTTGTCGTAACTTGGCTGCATTGGGTTTGTAGTGGAGAGGCCTTTTGTGATTTGCACCAGCTGCTGCAGGGAGACGTATTTTATGTGTGCATCCAGCACGAATAGATATCAGTCGCGTCATTGACTTTGTGTGGTCTTATTGCCCAGCGGCTCCTTTGTTTCCTTTTGTATAGCTGTCTGTCTGTGGACAGACTTTCACATTCTCTCGGGACGCAGCAACGAGTAGTAATTAAGCACTTCAGCTGTCTGCTCTGCACGGCGCAGGCTCGTGAAATGGTAATCCGAAATCTAAAAAAGATATATATATCCCCCAATCTTGGATATTCAAGACGCAAACAATAAAAAAATCTATTTATGATATTGGTTCGACACGAGCAGGATTCGAACCTGCGCCTCCGAAGAGATAAGATGAATCGATACATGGAAATATTCGAGTCTCACGCTTTAGACCGCTCAGCCATCGTGCCTTGATTGGATGAGGGTTGATTGAGCTATTGGGCATCATAGCTAGGTGGGGGAGGTACTCCATACTCATCAAACGGTTCTAGGATATCTATCTAATAGACTGGGAGGCATTTGTGTTTTTCCCTTCTTCTTATGATGCGATTTAGATAATTAGAGGTTTGGCGCGACAACTGTGCTGCGGCACAGCACCAGAGCTCGTTTTGACTTTTTTTTCCTTTCGAGTTGTTACGAGTCTAGACTCGGAATCCTACATAACCAACTGAATACTTCACGGGCGAATATCTAGTTGCTGCTAGTGTCTACATGTAGGCCGCCAGGATAGTTTGTTATCTTTTTAGTCAATTTTTGGAAATAGGCATCAAGCAAGTCGCAACGCCAGCTAGCCTATACATGCGCACAGAAACTCACGCATTTCTGCAACGGCAACAGCAAGAAACCGGCAAAGAAAAAGGTATTTATTTCTTTCTAACGCAAAGTGTACCTGAAGTCATAGATCCTAGCCAGCACAAGCGTTCATTAATTCGTCATGGTCGTCGTCATGGTCGTCGTCGTTATCGCCTTCCTACTATCACCAACACCAGGCCAAAACGCCAAAAAAGAGCAAACAGTTTGGAAGTAAAACCATTCTCACACAAAGTCGGTCCGTCATTTGGAAAGCTGGCAAGAAGGAAAGAATACGATCATGAGAATCCAGCAAACAAGAAACGTCAATGCAATGGAAATGACACATCCTGGGTGGGCAACGCAAAGTAAAGTAACGCAAAGTAAAACCAAGTAAAGTAGATAATTACGCGACGAGCAAACCCTGAAATAAAAAACCAGAGATACAGTACCGAAAACCCGAAAGAAAGTTAAACACACACAAAATAGAGCCATAAGTAAGGTAAGGCAAATAACCTAGGTTAGAAAAAAAATTGATAAAAAAACTCCATCCCCAAGTTCCCCTTCTTCCATTCCCAATCCGTCCCATCCAGTTCCAAAACAGTAGGAAATAAGTTGGACAAAGAAACAAAACAGCACAAAACAAACAGAGCTCTTGGTATATTTTCCACTATCTTCCAACACAGACAGCACACAAAACACAATCACAAACACAAAAGATCCATCATTTCTCCGTTTTTTGTTCCGTCTCCAAGAATTACCTCCCCCTCTCAATTCCATGTCATGTCATGTCATTTCATGACAGAATATCTCAGATATACCCCCCAGCGTCCGCCATGCCGACGTCGCTGGCCTGGTCAGCGGGGGCGCTGCCGCCCGGGGCACTAGCGTTGCTGCGGGCGAACAGGCTGGCGCCGCCGGCGTCTGAGCTGGGCGTGACCATGCGGACCGACTTCTTGCCGGACTGGGAGGCGGCGGCGCTGGCGGCGGTATTGTGGTGCTTGGCAATGAGCACCTGGGCGGGGCAGACGACAATCTCGTCGTCGCCGCTGCCCGAGTCGTCGCCCTTGCGCACGACGAGCGGGAAGAGGACGATGCGGACGGTGGCGCCCTGGGCCTCGAGGTCCTCGTTGGACACGCGGCTGGCTGCCTCACCGGAGCGCTCGTTCATGAGGTCGGCGTTGAACGAGACCGTCTCGGTCAGCTCGCCGGCGTCGTCGTACTCGGGCTGCAGCGGGGGCAGCATGACGTAGTCGGCGCGCTGACAGCGCATCTCGATGGCGAGGTCGACGGCCTCGGCGACGACGCGGCGTAGCTGCTTCTGGATCTGCTTCTCGAGGTGGTCGGGCGGGGGCAGGATGGCGCTGAGGGCGTCGAGGACGGCGCCGACGACGGCCTCGGTGTCCTGGTCGCGCTGCTTGGCGAAGGCGGGGCGGCGGGCCAGCAGGGTGAGGGTGACGGCGCGCCACTGGCGGACGGCGTGGGCGGGGCCGACGTCGGTCAGCTGCTTCTCGAGCGTCTTGAGCTTCTGGCGCTGCTCGCGGTCCATGCCGAAGAGGTAGCGGGTGAAGACAAACTCCCAGATCATAGTCATGGTGACGCTCATGAAGATGTCGCGGCGGCGGACGCGGTCCTGCAGGTAGGCGTCGACGTCGGAGCCGTCGAGCACGGCGTTGTCGAGGCGGTCGATGAGCTTCTCGTCGTTGATCTGCGACGTCAAGAGGCAGGGCTCGAGGTCGCTGAACTTGCTGAAGCGCAGGACCCACTGCTGGACGTGGACACACAGCTGCTGGCAGCGCGAGTCGAAGTAGTCGACGTCGTGCAGGGCCAGGAAATCAAGCTGCTGCTGGTCGTCCGACGACGAGACAGAATGCGACTTTGCCGAGTCGAGGATCTGTTGCTGCAGGTCGCGGATCTGTTGCTTGGTGGCCTCGAGCTGGGCGCGCAGGTCAGCGATCTCGGCGTCGCGGTCGGTGACGGTGCGGGCTGTCTGGGCGTGTTCCGACTCGAGGCGGCGGACCTCTTCGTGGTGCTTGACGGCGATGGCCGAGGTGGAGCTGCGCAGGCCCTCGTTTGTCTGTTTGAGGCGCTCGATGACGTCGTTTGCCTCCTGTAGCATGCGCTTAAGGGATTGGATCTCGTTGTCGCGCTCGGCGGCCTGGGAGGAATTGCGGCGGGCGAGCGACGACTCGGCCTGGGCGCGGGCTTCGGCTAGCAGGCGGTTTTCGGCGGCGAGCTGCTCGACGCGCGACTCGAGCTCGAGCACCTGCATGCTCTGGCGGCGGCGCATGCTGTGCGGGCGCGTGGGCGACCGCGGCGAGCCAATGCGGCCTTCGCCGAACCCATCCTGTTGCACCAATCAATTGTCAACCAATTCTGTCTGTCGCGATTTTTTTAAGAAAAAAAAAGAAAAAAAAGAAGAAAAACTCACGTAGACGTCGGTCATGTCCTTGGCGCGGACACGGCCTTCGTTGGCGACGGGTGTGGTCGTGCTCGAGGTCGACGAGGTTGCGTTCCAATCTTTGGCATCGTTATTGTTGGAGGAAAGCAGCGCTGCGGCCGCTGCAGTGCCAGCCACGGCGCCCAGGCCCAGGGCAACGGCGGCACCGGCTGCTGCCGCTGACGAGTGGCTCGTGCTCGCAGAGCCAGAGTCCGGATTGGGACTGGGGCTGGAGGCCTTGGCGGCACTGGCCAGGTCTCGTTGGCTGAGCGACACGGACCGCAAGTCGCCGCTCACCCGCCTGTCGACGCGCCTGAGTGGGGGGGTGCCAGTGTATGAGCGCAAGCTGCCTGGACTGTCAGGCCGCCATGTGTGTGGTTCGGGTGTGCGCAGTCGCGCGAGGCTGGTGTTGGACGCCGATCGCCGTGGTGTGGGGTCTGCGCCAATTGAAATCGCTGCAGACGGCCGGACCGTGCTGGGCGATTGCTGCGATTGGCGCTGTTGCTGGTGCTGTTGTTGTGAATGCGATTGCGATTGCGATTGCGATTGCGATTGCAATTGGCGTGATTGGTGCAAATCGCTGTTGTTGCGCGGTGCGACGCTCTCACCTGCAAAGGGTGCTGGAGACAGCGCTGGAGCTAGCGCTGTTAATGCCCGGGGGGTAGTGGTTGACGCCACTGAACGCGCTGTAATTATAGGCCCTGATGCGAGGTCGTGGCCGCCGTGCCCGTGGCCGCGATCGAGAGAAAGGGGTACCGGAACAGGCTTGGACCGCTGCTTGGCGACGGCGAGACTCTTGTGCTTCTCGGGCTCGGGCGTAGTGTGACCGGGTGGCGAAGGCTCGCGCAGTCGCGGAGTCTCAGGGCCCACGATGCTCAGGGGCGACCGTCTCTGCAGGAGGCGGCCTTCCTTGCCCGTCTCTTTGCTTTGCGGCGTCTGTGTCTGCTGTTGGTATTGTTGATGGCTGCCACTCTGTCTCTGCTCGTTGCCCTCAGGCAGCAGATGTATGCCGCTGTCACGGAGCTCGCCGCCGCTGTGTACGAGAGAGCGTCGCGAGACGTGAGGCGAGTCGGACCCGAAGCCGCTGTCCCTGTGGCCCTCGGGCGTCGCTGTGCTGCGGCGTACCCCGAGCCGGGCCGTGGGGGAGGGCGTGTGCTGCTTGACGGGCTCGTCGTCAGACCCGTCCTCCTCCTCCTGCACGGGGGGCAGCATCGACTGCGTCGACCGCAGTTCCGTCATGCTCGACACGCGCGGGATGCTGCGCAGCGCCTGCTCTAGTGTGTCCTTGTCTAGCAGCTTGTCCGTCATCCTCTTCATGGCGTCTGGCTCGGCCGCTCGCGTGCTGAACGCCTCTTCGTCGGCAATGTCGTCGGGGAACGAAAAGGCGCGCGTTGGCGGCGACGGCGACGATGACGGCCGCTCCTTTGGCTTGGACCATGTCGACTCGTCCAGCATGCCCATCTCCCGCATCGACTTGGGGATCGTCTCGGAATCCTGGCGGCCAAGTGTTGTTGCGGGCATCGGTGCTGGTGCTGCTGTGATCACTGCCGCTGCCGCTGGCTCTGCCACCACCGCAAGTTCGTCTATCCTCTTGTGCCTGCTGACTGGCGTCTCCATCACCACCTCCCTATCCTTTATCTCCACCACTTCTCTGCTGCTCTCTCCAGAAGCCACCTGTTCTTTCTCCATCTCCTTGTCCTCTTCCTTGTCGGGAACATCCCAAAAGTTGTCCTGGGCTGCCTCCATCCTGGACCCTTCCTCGAGGGGCCTCCGCTCGGCCCCCTCCCACAGGGCAGCGTCATCAAAAAAGTCGTCCTCTCTGGGCGACCTCTTGTCCACAATCTTCTTCTGCTTGCCCCCCTTCTTCTTCTTTGCTGATGCCGACCCGCCAAACTTCTCGGCCAGCAGCGCCACTCCTCCCGTGAGTGCACCCGCCGCCGCCGCCAGCGTAGCACCGTCTACCGCTTCCTCTTCCTTCGCCTTTCTACCCCTGTCCTTCTTCTGCTTCTCCTTGGGTTCCTCTTCCTGCTTCTTGCTGTTCTTCTTCTCCAGCCGTACATCCAGGAACGCCGCGGCAGCCTCGCGCGCCGACGATGTCACAGGCGCCTCCTCTGCAACCTGTTGTCTCGTAGTGGTGGTGGTAGTTGTAGTTGTAGACGTAGACGCAGCAGGCTCTTTATGGAGCGTCATGGCGCCCGCGAGATCGACGGCCGGGCTCGCCGTCCGCTTCTCGAGGAACGCGGCCGCCATGTCGCGAGACCTGCTTCGAGACGACCTGGTCACAGAAGCGCTGCGGGCGACAATCTGCTGCTCATGGCCTCCTCCTACAAGCTTGGCTGTCTCTGCTGCCGTGTCTCGGCCGATTGACTCGAGGTAGGAGGCCGCGAGCTCCCGCGACTCGCGGCGCTGGGACTGGCTCCTGCCTGACCTCCATTCCTCTTCATACTTGTCTTCTGGCTGCGCCTTTACGCTCTTCTCTTCGAGGAACGAGGCTGCAATATCGCGCGCCGAGGCTGCGGACTCTGTAAACCCGATGCCGCTGCCCAGCTCCCTTGGTTCGGTCTTTCTGCTTGCCGCGTCCTCGAACCGCTGCACGACATGGCTGCTGGTGTTGAGGGCTGCCGGGGACTCGTCTGCAAGGCTGGTCTTGGCCGGGAACATTGACTGTATAGCCGCATCCAAGGTGCGCGCTTCTCCGTCCTCGGACTCGCCTGGGCTCTCGAGAGCCGGCAGAAGCTTGGGTGATGGCGCATCTTGCGGTAACACGACCGGCGAGCCGGGAATCAGGCCGAAGCTGGGATCTCTGGGCAGCGTGATCGGGCGCACGGTCGGCTCAAAGCCTCGGTCTGGCGATCTCCTCAGCGCCTCCGAGACGGCCGGATGAACCTCAAACTTGTCGAACGGCTCGACGGGAGTCTCCGGCACCGGCGCGTATGTTTTGTCTGAAGGCTTGGGCACAAAGTAGTCGTCCTTGTCCTCCAGGTCCTCGGGATCCGAAGACGTTTTGAAGGTGCCATCTTCATCGAGTTTATCGCTGTGCTCCCGGACCAGGCTGGATTCGAGCATCTTGTCTTCTGGCTCGTCAACAAGCCCCGGAGCATCCCGACTTGTCGTGTCCTCCTCCTCAAGCCATGACGGGGAAGACTTTGCCTTTTTCTTGTCTTTCTTGGATTTCTTGGGCGCGAAGCCTTCAAAGTCGTCGGCAAAGGTCGGTTTTAGTGTAGGCTCTTTATCACCAAGGGCAGCATAACCTACAACCGCGGCTGCGGCTGCGGCAGTAGCAAGGGCGGCCCCAGGTATGGCATCAGTAACCGACGTGTCCTCGTGGCTTCTGGGAGTCGCCTCGCCAGAGGTGGCTTCGTCTGGAGAGCCACCTTTCTTGCCCTTCTTTTTCTTGTCCTTCTTCGACTTTTTGGTGCTGAACTCGGGGAACTCGTCTTCCATTGCTGGCGCGTCGTCCATGGTAATTTCGCGGTCGAGGGTGGCGGTTTGGTTTCCCAAGAGGGCCAATGGGGCCGCCACCGAAACGGGACCAACTGCATCCTTGGCTGTGTTGGGAGTAGCAGCACCTGAGACTGATTCAGAAGGCGACTTCTTGCCTTTCTTCTTGTCCTTCTTCGACTTCTTGCTAGGCGCCGCCCATAGGTCATCCTCTTCGGCTTCGACCAGCGCGGGATCGCTCTCCTCGCGACTCGGCTCGAGGACGGGGATGATTTGAGCGTCCGGGACGGCCGAGGTATCTTCCAGGGAGCTTGGCGTGGCAGTGCCCGACGCCTGCTCAGAAGCCGACTTCTTGCCCTTCTTCTTGTCCTTCTTGGACTTCTTGGCCGGCAGCGCCCAGGCATCGTCGGCATCTTGTTCCTGCTGTGACTCCGAGGCAGGCGCTTCGATGCCGAGTTCGCGATCGCTAAACTTGTCAAGGACTTCGGCGTCCACGGCCGTCTCGTCTGCTGTGGAGGTTACGAGGGCAGGCTCGTCGCTGATGTCTACGCCACGCTCGGCGGAGAGCCAGGCCACGGGCTCGGTGGGCTCCTCTGTTGCCGGAGTCGGTGTGCCGGAAGCGGCCTCGGATCCAGCGTCGGGGATCTTGGAGCCCTTGCGCTTCTTGTCTTTCTTGGACTTCGCCGGCGCTCCCCAAAACTCTTCAGGCTGCCTCTCTTGCTCAGCAGCGGCGGGTGTCTCCTCTGGGGTGTTTTCAGGCTCTTTAGGAGGCGAAACATCTGTGACTGCAAGGCTAGTCTCGTGGGAGATAGCAGCTGGTTCCTGGACGTCTACAACATCAAAATCGGTTAGGTGAGATGCGGTGGCGGGTTCGGCAACGATTTCTGGAGGGCTTAGGATGGACTTGTCGACTACGGATGACAAAGGCAACGGTAGGTCTGTTTCTTCGCGAGCAGCTTGAGTCGCAAAGTCGGGAGTGTCGATAGCGATAGTGCGGGGTGCGTCTGGTATTTCACTGAGACCTTCCATGTCGGCCGGGGCGGGAGTATCAACTCGAGCATCGGAGATGGTTGTCTTGGGCAGTTCGGAGGCGTCGTGTGCAAAATCTAGAGGAGTAGCCGAAGGCTCTTCCACGGCTAGGTCCGTGGCATCGCCGGACTCTAGAACCGTAGTAACTGTTGGCGGCTCCTCTTGGGCAGCCGGGGTTAAAGTCCTAGAAGCTGGCTCGGAATCGGCTAACTTGGAGCCCTTGCGCTTCTTGTCTTTCTTATCCTTCTTGGACTTCTTGCCTGGAGTGTCCCAGAGATCGTCTGGCTGAGCATTTTGCGGCTGGGAGGCTTCAGTCGGCTCCCTGACCTGCTCCTCGAGAGCAGCTTCTTGCGAGACCGGCTTGCTCGTGTTGGCTACATCCCGAGCTTGGATATCGAGAACATCGTCTTGCTCCTCGACGGCTGCAGGAGTTGCAGCGCCGGATGGCGGTTCAGACTCGGAGAGCCTTGTGCCTTTAGCTTTCTTGCCTTTCTTGTCCTTCTTCGACTTCTTGGTTGGCGCTCCCCAGAACTCTTCAGTCTCTGCTTCTGGCTCTACAAAGTCAGGTGCTGGCTTGGCCTCGTCGGAAACATCAATCGGCTCAGTCTCTATTGGCTCAGGAACAATGATTGGTGCCGTAGACTCGAGCTCGCGGTCTAGCAAATCAGTTGACTCGACAACGCCCACACTGGGTTCTTCGACGGCCACGCTGGGTTCATTAGCAATGGCGCTGGGTTCATTAGCAATGGCGCTGGGTTCATTAGCAATGGCGCTGGGTTCATTAGCAATGGCGCTGGGTTCCTCGACGATAAAACCTGGCTCTTCTACGGGGGTCCACGTCTCGGGTTCTGGCTCGGCGAACTCGGAGCCTTTGCCCTTCTTGCCCTTCTTGTCCTTCTTGGACTTTTTGACCGGCAAGCCCCAGGTATCATCCGATTGCGCCTCTTGCTGCTGCACTTCCAAGTCTTGCTGAACAACCCTGGGAATTTGCGCAAAGTCCGAGGAAGAAGGCGCCTCCTCCGCCACAGGTGTTGCAGCGCCAGAAACTGGTTCCGATTCACTGATCTTGGGGCCCTTCTTGCCCTTCTTGTCCTTCTTAGACTTCTTGACCGGCAAGCCCCAGGTGTCTTCGAGTTCCGCCTCGACCGGTGTCACCTCGGGTCGAGCTTCTGGCGTGGGCTCTGGTTGCGCCTCTTGCTGAACATCCCTGGGAATTTGCGCAAAGTCCGAGGAAGAAGGGGTTTCCTCCACCACAGGCGTTGCGGCACCAGAAACTGGCTCTGATTCGCTGATCTTGGAGCCCTTCTTGCCCTTCTTGTCCTTTTTGGATTTCTTGGCGGGCAAGTCCCAGTTGTCTTCGGCCTGCGCTTCAACAGGTGCGGCTTCTGGCGTGGACTCGGGCTGCGCCTCTTGCAGCGTGATTGCCTCAGGCTCTGGCTGCATCTCCCGAGACACAAGCAGGACGTCGTCTGGTTCGCCGGCAGGCAGTTGGACGTCGAGGGGCTCCGGCTTGGCATCCTCTGCGAGAGCAATCGGCTCGTCAGTGGCGGAAGTCGGGGTTGCAACGCCGGAAGCGGTCGCTGAATCGGCCGACTTGGAGCCCTTGCCCTTCTTGCCCTTCTTGGATTTCTTGACGGCGGGAAAGTCCCAGGCATCGTCGGGCTGCGCTTCAAGTGACGTTGTCTCAGGTTGTGGTTTCAGAGGGGCCGTTTCGAGCTGTGCTTCTCTTTGCGTTGTCTCCGGCGCTGCTTCTACGGCGGATGTCGTGTCAAGCTGCACGTCAGGTATAGTCTCGGGATGAGCCTCGTGCTGATCAATATCGGACTCCAGTCCTCGCGGCGTGATCTCAGGCTGCACATCGACCTCCACTGCCTCAGCGTCGGGATGCACATCCTCAGACGCAGAACGGAGGTCACGTTGCTGGCCAAGGCCTTGTCCAGCATCTCCCTGGCTGACCTCGACAGGTTCTGAGACGGCAGCCGGCTCGGCGAGGACACTCGGCTCTTCGGTTGCGGGGGTTGCAGCGCCCGACGGCGTCTCGGAGTCAGAGAGCTTAGCTCCCTTTGTCTTTTTGCTCTTCTTGTCCTTCTTGGATTTCTTGGCTGGAGGGTCCCGGATCTCCTCAGGCACCGCTTCCTGCGGCTGTATTGTCTCTATCGGCGGTTGGTTGTCAGGCACATCCAGAGACGCCTGGTGACTTGGGCTGGCGTCGACGATATCGAGAGATTCAGAGACCGTGGGCTCTGGCTGCAATTCAAGCGCTGGCTCCGGGTCTGTAAGAGCGCTCGACTTTTCCACTCTAGGCGTCACTGTGCCAGATGCCGGAGACTCGTCCTCAAAGGCGGGGACAGAGGACTTGCGCTTCTTCTTGTCCTTCTTAGACTTCTTAACCGGAAGGTCCCAGGCCTCCTCAGTCTGTGGCTCCTGTTGCGTCGTGTCAAGCTCGGGCTCTGGTAGGCTGTCTCCCGGTGCAGGTGCAGGGCTTTCTTGGCTGAGAACCACAGGCTGCAGTTCCGGCTCGGCCGCCTTGAAAGACGAGCTGGGTTCTTCTTCAACGACAGGAGTAGCGACGCCAGATGTTGGCTTGGAGCCCTTGCGCTGCTTCTTATCCTTTTTCGACTTCTTCGCCGACTGGCTCCAGAAATCCTCAACCTCAGCCTCGGCCTCGGCCTCTTTGGCGGACGCTTCGACAGGCAGCGCAGAATCTTCAACGGGCTCCAAGGCGTCGGTGGCGGACGGCAGCAGTGGCGTCGCACCCTCAGCATTTCCCAAAGCATCAGCGGCCGGCAGCTGAGGCGGCAGTGGCGTAGGCTCGTCTTGAACATCAGCCGAAGAAGGAACGGGGGTGGTCTGTTCCTCGTCGACAAGCAGCGGCGTTGCAATTCCAGACGGGGGTTCAGAGTCTGACTGCAGGGCCCCCTTATTCTTCTTGTCTTTCTTCGACTTTTTGCGGCCGAGGGGAAGCTCTTCGGCTTCGACCTCCAGGGGAGGCTGGGCAGAATCCGCCGCGAGATCGACGTCGCGGCTGGCGTCGGCCTCTGCAATGTTGGAAGAGAGGTCGCCTGCGGGCTTCTCGTTCAAAGTCGACGGGGAATCCCAGTCGCCCTGCTCCATGGCAGCTTTCTTGCCCTTCTTCTTGTCTTTCTTAGACTTCTTCGCCAGCAGGAACTCAAAGGCAGAGACATCTGCAACATCCCTGCTCTCCTGTTCGCCCTGAGCAGAAGACGGAGCAAAATCTTCAACCTCCTTCCCTTTATCCAGCACAATCGGGGAAGTGTCGGCGTCGGCGGTTGGATCCGTGACCTCAACTTCTTGCGTGGCAGGCTCAGAAATGGCGACTGGCTCAGGAGATATCAGGCGGTGAACTTCTAGAATCTCTGGCTCAGCCAGTGCAGGCTCAGGTGCCGAGATTTTATCTTCCTGGAGGCTTTTTAAGAACGGCGGCACAGCAGCGGGTTCGTCCTTGACGCTTTCAACATCTGGCTTTGGAAGCTCAGCTTGCAGATCATCAAGATCTCTGACAGCCTCGTGTTCGGCAGATGGCGGCACTTCGGCAACGGCCTCAACTAGCCCCTTCTGTCCGGTCAGCGGATCCTCGGCCGGCTCGCAAACAAGGTCTTCGGTGCTGCTGGGCCACGGCTCGTCCGAGGGCGAGCTCTTGCGGCGCTTCTTCTTTTCCTTTTTCAGCCTCTTGAGCGAGTAGATGTGGCCCTCGCCGAGTTCAGCATCGTCGTCCTTGTTGTCCTGGTGGTCGTCGGCACTAGAAGGAGCCTTGGTGGTTTCCTCGTCGGGGAGCAATCCTTGCTCTTGCGCAGAAGACGCGGCGCGCGACAGCACCTCCGAAACCGCCTGCTCGTCACGAGACTCATCCAACTTTTCAGGCGCCGTAGCAAAGTCGCCAATCTCGGTCGGGTTGGCCGAGTCCATGAACTCGGACTCCTCCTCGACGGTGCTGAGCTGCTTGAGCAGCCTCTCTATCCGGGGGCTCTCAAAAGGGTTTTCATCGTCGTCACGAGAGCCGAGCTCGGGGGACCCCATGGGCCAGGGTTCCGGTTCGGCTTTGGGAGCAGCAGTCGCCTTCTTCTTCTTCTTATCCTTCTTTGACTTCTTGATGCTGTAAGGGGTCGAAGGCTCATCGTCGGCCGACTGCTCTCCCAGAGCCTGGGAGCTTTGGGCAGGCATTTGGTCGGACGCGGGCTCAGTCTCAGCCTCGCGCTCAATGGGGCCGCCGTCGCTGGGTGAGGTCTCTTCCTGCGGGCTGTCTGTTGGTGGCACATCTGCGACTTTGATTGACAATGCCGGCAGTGCGTCTTGGTGCTCTGAGCCACTGGGTCCGTCGGTTGCACGGTCAATGGCCTTGCGGGTAGAGTCTTCTTGAGACGGTGCAGCCTCGCTTTCGTGGACCGGCAGAACCGGGAGGGGGGCCTCTTCTCGTGAAAGAGGTTGCTGGCCGTCAGCAGTCACTTCAGGGGTTGATGTCTCGGCGATGTGCTCTGAAGGCGGCTCCCGGTCGAAGTTGTCGTCAAGTTTGCTCTTGTGCTTCTTGTCTTTCCTGTCCTTTGATTTCTTGGAAAGGGAGGGCTCGGCAGGCTCTTGTATGACGACTGGTTCCTGGCGGGCGCCTATTGGCTCTGGCTCGGATGTGATTGCACCACTTGTCGCTGCTTCAGTGGCGCTTTCGTGTGGGGTATCGGTATCCAAACCTGAGGCTACACCCTCGCTCCCTTTGCCAGCCTGTGCTTCCTCCGCGCTCAGCGGCTCAGCGACTGGCTCAGCGGCTGGCTCTGGCTCATCGCCCACTCGGCTCTTGCGCTTTTTCTTCTTGTCCTTCTTGGACTTTTTGGATGAAAACGCAAACTCGTCCTCAGACACCGCCCGGCTTTCCTCTAGTGCAACGGGAAGGCTGGGCTCAGGTTTGTCGTCGGCCACTTCCTGCAGTTTGGGCTCACTGGCGACATCCAGTTCTTTGGTTGCCGGTACAGCCTGCATGCCAATATTGTCTTGCGTGAGGGGTTCGTCCAATGAGGGTTCCGGATTGACGGCCTTTTCGCTAGGGAATTGACTAACTGGCGACGACATATCTTCTGCCGAGGCGTCTTCTCTCAAGTCATCAGACGCGAGGTCAAGGCCGCGTTCAGATTCAACTCCCGGTCCGCCTTCCGCAGGAGCCCCGTGATCTTGTCCAATCTCTGCATCCGCGGGCAATCTGTCGAATTCGTCACCCTTGGCTGTGCTGGGCGACGTGTCGGCAGCCGTCTCCCAGGAAAGATGCGAATCACCAAGCGGGCTAATTGCGGCCACGTCTCCGGCTTGACTGTCGTCGGGAAGGTGTCTGTGTTCCTCGAGAGGGTCTGCAAAGGTTACACTCTGGCGCTTCTTCTTGTCCTTCTTGCCCTTCTTGGTGGCAAACGATGCGTCATCCGTGTCTTGGGCTAGCGGGGAGCTGTCCTGCTCCGGAGCGTCTGCTGAAATCGCAGCCGGCGTCGGGCTGCTTGCAGCGGCCGGCTCGCCGTCTGTCGCAGCCAAAGCGCCCTTTTTATTTTTCTTGCTCGTCTTGGAGGGCGCCCACGACTCAAAATCAGGTTCCGCCTCAGCGGCGAGGTCAAACCCCTCACTCACTTTGGCTTCAGCGTGGCTGGAAGAAGATCCAAATTTCTCAGAAGCGGCCACAGACGTTTCGGCCTCGGGGAGTGAAACCTGCGCAGGGCTGTCGATTTCCATCTCACGAGATTCTTCGGACGGAAGTGAAGACTTGGAGCCTCGTTTTTTCTTCTCCTTTTTGCCCTTTTTAGTGGTGACGGCAAACTCGGGGAAGTCGTCAGCCTGAGCATCTGCACCGCTCTCGGAAACGGAAGGAGGGCGTTCGGCGGGCTCTGGCAAAGCTTGCTCCTGCCTGACATCCATTGCCTCGGGTTCCTCAACAATCTGAGCGGGCGAGTCATCCGAAGTCAAGATGCTCGTCGGCTGGGCAACGTCTTTGCGTTTCTTGTTCTTCTTGCCCTTCTTGCCCGAGCTGCCGGCATCAGGCCACATGTCGTCTTCGGCAGGTTGAGACTCAACAATGCCGGCAGAGCGAGACTCTTCCGGAACTGTCTGGGCTTGGGAAACTTCTGGCAGCGCGTCGGATTCGGCAGGCTCGCCAGTTGTTTTATCGAGGATTGTTTCCGGCGAGGCTTCGACGGGTGCAGATTCCGAAGCTTCTTGGGTGCTCAGTCGCTTCTTCTTGTCTTTCTTGCCCTTCTTGCCCGACGTCGTGGGCTCGGACCACATATCTTCTGCAGCGGCCTCGGTCGGAGCGCTCTCTGCGGGCTCCCTATCAGTGTGTTCCAGCAGAGCCTCTGAGGCGACTTGGTCGGGGGACTCTGCAGGCCCTGCGCGCTCCAGCTCGGGGGGTTCAGCCGCAGGGTCTCGCTCAATAATCTCAGGAGCAACATCTTGGAGATCTCGAGGTTGCTCTGCGGAGTCGTCCGCTGCTTCTGCAGCAGGAGACGGCTCGTCCCAGGCGGGAAGGGGGTTCTTCTTGGCTTTCTTGTCCTTCTTGCCTTTCTTGCCCTTCTTCCCGGCAGGCTCAGTAGACCAGAAATCCTCCTGCGCTGGCTCTTCGGAGGCCTGGACAGACGTTGAGGCGGGCTCATCTGCTGCAGTGGTCGACTCAGAAAGTGCTGGCAGCTGGGAATCCGTCTCCTGGGAAAGCGAGACGTCTGGTGCTGGTGGCTCTGCAGGCGCAGGTTCATCCTTTTGAGAGTTTTGACGCTTGCCCTTGCCTTTCTTTCCCTTCTTCCCGACAGGCTCAGAAGACCAGAAATCCTCCTGCGCTGGCTCTTCAGGAGTTGACGTTGTCGCTACCGCCGCATCCTCAACGACAGTCTTGGGCTCGTCAAACTTGTTCTTCCCTTTCTTGCCCTTCTTCTTCTTGCCGGCAGAGCCAGCGTCTTGCTCCCAGTCCATGACTTGTTCGGCTGGCTCGACGTCGTCGTCGTCGCCCAAGGGGGCCAGTGCAGCTGGCGAATCCTCCTCTGATATGGCGAGGGCAGCAGCGCGCTCATCTTGTTCTGGCCGCTCACCTTTTTCTTCGCCGAGGAGAGACGCCGCAGACCGGTCACTGGGCAATTCTCCAATGAGTTCCGACGGTGGCAGCAGCCCAGTAGCATCATCGGTCGACGGCGACGAACCGGAGGCGAGGCCTAACGTGGGGGCGATGGCCAGGGGGGGGAGGAGGACCCGCTCGTTGGGCACAGAAACAGCGGTGTCTAGCGGGCCGCCTGTTGTGTCGCGCACTGATTTGTCGCCGGCTGCGGGCTGGGGCGCTACCGCTGCAGGGCCCGCAACGGGGATCTGACTGCGAGGGCTAGGGGCAGTTTCGTCGCCTAAAGCTGTGTAATAGGCCGTAGGAGGCTGGTACTGCAGCTGGGAATGCTCCGCCGCGGGCGTATCCGCTTCCACTGCCGCCCCTTGCTTTTGTTGTTGTTGTTGATGATCAGACCCAGCACGCTGCGCTTCCTCTGGCTCGGCAGCCTTCTCCGAGGATGACTTGTCCGCCTCCTTTGCGTCACGCCTCCCCATGCCGAAAAAGGACCCGACGCCGGCCATTGTCGACATGCTAGGGAGCCTGGAAAAGGTAGACGCCACGATGCCCTTCTTCTCGTCCTTGGCTTCTTCGGTGGGGCGGGCCTTATCCGCTTCCGTCGCTGCTGCAGAGCTGGGTTTCGCGTCAGCAACGGCGGGCAGGTGGCCATCCACAGTGGGCTCAGTGGGCTCAGTGGGCTCAGTGGGCGTCAGGCCGTCTTGCGCAAGCTCACCGCCGCTAGCTCTGGGTGTTTCTGCTGCAGCGACATGGCGCGGCTCCACGTCCTTGTCAGCTAATGGAGACGGCTTGTCCACGACTCTCTCTTGCACGTCCGGTGGAGCAGTTTCGGGCTGGACCTGCTTGGTCGTCTCGACAGCGAGCACCTCGGCGGCTTGGAGTGGACCGGCTGCAGAGTTGGCTTCTGCCACGTCGGCAGCAGGCTCCCAGCTGAGATCGACGGCCTTGCCTTTCTGCTTCTTCTTGCCCTTCTTCCTGCCGGGCGTCGAGAAAGCCTCCTCCAGAGGCTCATTGGAGCTCGACTCGGCCGGTGTTTGCTGCGCCAAATCATCGACGCTCCGCTCGAGTGGAAGGCCGGCAGACAAGTCTGCCGAGGACGCAGATTCAGCAAGAGGTAGGCTTTCCGCGAGGACGTTAGGCTTGTCTTTCCTGCCCTTCTTGCCCTTCCTGTCCTTTTTAGCAGTAAAGAAGAAGTCCTCGGCCTCGGTCTGCGGCGGTGCGTCGACCGATGGCTGCTCGATAGGTGAGTCTGAAGTTGGAACTTCATCTTCACACGTCCGCACAACCGCAGTAGTAGACTCGGACTCTGGGAGAGGCAAAGAAGCATCGTCGAGGGGGGGCACATCCGTAACGCCCGCGGCAAGCAAGTCTGCCGAGTCAGAAGTAGAAGAAGTAGGGCCATCTGCCGCAGTAATAGACCTCTCAGAGACGGCCGCAGCCTTTTGATCTTCTGGACGAGTTCCTTCTCGTTCGTGTTCCTCTTGTTGCTGCTGCCGTTCTCTCTCGAACTCAGGCTCACGCTCAGGCTCACACTCAGGCTCCAGGTCGAGGCCAGTAAGCTCTGGCGTCCACGAAACGCCCTTCTTGGCCTTCTTCTTCTTCTTGTCGGCCTTCTTTGACGAAGACGAAGCAGCAGCGCGCTCGGGGAGCGGAGACGCAGAAGCCTCGGGCTGTACCTCCTGGACTTTGGCGGGAGTGGGAATAGCCTTGGTCTCTTCTGGCTCGGGCTTCGACTCGAGTGAGCGACCCGCAGCAGCCACGGCCTTCTGCTTCCTCTTGAGCTTCTTCTTCGACGTGCCCGAGACAGCCCAGAAGTCCTCGCCTTCACCTGCAGCGACATCGTCTGCAGCCGCCTCTTGAGCAGCCACAGCCGTAGCAGCAGGGGGCTGCTCCGTCTCGGCCCCGCCGCTATCGCGGAGGAGGGAGGAGGTCTCGGCGGTCCTGGTCTGCTGCCACTTCTTGGCGGCAGACGCGAAGCTATACTCGTCGGGCCTGGGGGAGTACTCGGAAAGCACCGAGCCCTGGGTGTCCAGGAAGGTCGAGCCGGACAGGATGCTCATTGGCGCCTCGGACGCGGCGATGGTGGAGGTGCCATCCTCAAAGTAGTCGTCGGGGGGGCTCGAGAGGAAGCTGCTGTCGGGCTTACCGTAGCCGCTGATGAAACGGCGCTTGTCAAAGTCGCCCTTCTCAAAGTCTGGCTTCTCGAAGTCCCGCTCGTGCAGCACGGGCGGGGGACCGCTGTGAAGCACGGAAGCCACGAAAACGGCGGCAGCGCCCGCAGCGGCGCCACCGACAAGGAGGGCAGCTTTGGCATCGCCGATCTCATCTGTGTCCTTCTCCTCTTTGCCAAGTCCACGGCTTGATGACGGGGCAGGGGACTTGTCAAGGATGTTATCGCCCTTGACCTCTTTCAAAGAAGACAGAGTGTCATGCGACAAGGCTATCGGCTGAACAGCGGTAGACATATCCACCGAAACCGCGACTGGCCCAGCTGCTTCCGCGGCGCGCGCGCTCTCAGGCAAGTGCATATCACTCGGGACGGCTTCTGGGCTGATGGTTGGCGAAGTCGGACCTTGTAGAGGCGAGCTGCCTCGGCTCTCTGGCAGCGGCGGCAACGTCGACAAGTCCTCTTGAAGCGATGGCGGCAAAGGAGGAGCCTTTGATAGGTCCCCGTCCAGCGACCTGGCCGACTCAACAGGGGTATGCGGCGCCGACTCGACGGCCTCTTGAAGCGGCAAAGACTCCAAAGGAGGAGCCGCGGTGGCCCTTGGCGTGGCCTCCTGGGAGCCGAGGGGCTCGCCGTACCGGCCGTCGTGCTCGGCCCAGGGCAGCGCGGAGGACGAGGTATCGATGCGCAGGCCGGCGAGGTCCTGCAGGCCGCGGCGCAGGTAGTCAATGTCGGCCTCGCGCTGCGGGTCGAACTCCTCGGGGCCGGGAGACTCGCGCGAGGGCGGGTCGCTGAGAGGCAGCTCGGGGAGGTGGTCAGTCTGCTGGTATTCCGTGCCGAGGGAGCTAGAGCTGGTCTTCTCGATGAGGTACAGCGGCTTGATCTCGCGGCTGCTGTCCCACGACGTCGGGCGCGAGCGGCTCCTCGGCGCGGCGCCGATCTCAGGGGGAGCCGGCATGACGGGGGATGCCTGCACGGGGGACGACCTCAGGAAGCCGGGCGACGAGGGCACCGAGCCTCTGCCCAGGCGGAACTGCAGGGGCACGGCAGTCTGGCTGGGCGTCTTGACGGGCGTCTCGAACGCGCTGCGGCGCCGAGCGTGCGACTTGACCCGGACGCCGCGCTCCTCGGGCGGGGTCTCGGGGCGGCTGTCGGGGAGAGTGGGCAAGTCTTGGTCCTTCTCTGTGCTTGGGGACCCAGGCTCGCTGGGGGGGAGGGGCAGCAGATCGCCATACAGGGGATCAATGGCCGGCTTGATCTCGCGCTCGACGATCTCGGGGTCAACGACCTGCGAGCTGTAGCTGATGCTGCGCTCTCGTTGAACGGCAGTCTGGGGCAGGGCCTGGGCCTGAGCCTGGCCAGCTTCGCCGCTGCTGCTGCCGCTACTAGTTTCTGCTACGGGCTCCTTCTCATGCGAAGCCCGGGTGGCAGTGGCATTTGGACGAGGCAGCTGGGATGCGATAGCAGCCACAGCTCCTGCCAGGCCGACACCTGCGCCAAAGGTGCCGGCATTACCTAAAAAAGAATCGCCCTCGTTGCTCTTGCCATTCTCTGATGTTGTAGTTGTGATGATGTCCTTGGCGCGTCCCTTCGCGCCGTTTGTCGGCTTGTACAAACCAGAAAATTCAATATCGTCTACGACGTCCCTGTCCCTGCCGCCATTGCTGGAGCCATTCTTGCGGCTGGACCGGATGGGGAGCGACGCGGCCGACTTGGCGTCGTCGTCGTCGTCAGCGTGGCTGCCGTTGCGCCTGCTGACGGGGTCGGAGACGACCGAGCTGACATCACGGTCGACGGCCCTGAAAGACTCCCTAGGCCGGTCGGGCGGCTCGTCCTGTTCGGGTATGTCGTCGTCGTCCTTTGTACTCTTGCGCCGGCTCTTCTTGTCTTTCTTGCTGCTCGAGCTAGCGACTGACACCTCGGAGGAGGGAGTCGAGTACGTCGCGGACTCATACGTGGCCGAGTCACGCTTGGACTTCTTCTTGGACTTCTTGGAGCCCTTGCTCGTCGTTGACCACTCGTCGGCAGCATCAACGGCCGACGCGGTGTCCTTGGTGTCGTCCATGGCGCTGGGGGGAGCCGAGAATCTTCTTTCGTCCGTGGCGGCCCCTTCTTCGGCGTCAAAGAATACTGAACTGGGAGGGCTGACTTGCTTCGACTTCTTCGACTTCTTTCGCGACGAAGTTTCGGCCCACTCGTCCTCGCCCGCACCCCTAGACTCTTCCCGACCAAGCGATCTCGCAGAGTATTCTTCCTCTGCGGGCGGCTTGGCCTCTCGAAGCACGAGCGGAGTAGTGTCAACGTCTTGCGAGTCTGCGCTTCGCGACTTGGCCGCTTTCTCTTGCTTTCGGCGCTCCTTCTTGGTCTTTGTCGGAGTGTCCCAGTCGTCCGCCGGTTCAGCAACTTCGCTGAGGACGACTCCCGGCGAGCGAACGTCCACACTCCTGGAAGATTCTTTGGCAGAGCGCTCAGAGGCAGCAGCCTTCTCCGAGGGCGGCGGCTGGTATAAGGAGGGCTCATTCGAACCGGGAGGCGAGTCTCGCCGGCGGTAGGTCGGGTCATCGATGGCAATATTGGAGTCAAAGTTGGACAGCTTGAGGCCGGCAGCAATAGTGGCTGCGAAGTCTAGGTCGTCTGGGAACCCGCCTGGTGCCTGGGAAGTCCTCGGGCTTGGGGGCTTCGGGCCAACCTGGGGCGGAGCATCGTCCCAGACACCCGACATAGGTCTCGGGGGGGAGAAAGCCGGCTCTCGCGGTTCAGGGCGGGCAGGCTCTGGAGCAGACTCTCGCACAGGCTCTGGAGCAGACTCTCGCACAGGCTCTCGCACAGGCTCTCGCACAGGTTCTGGCGCTCGCTTCGCTTCTTGGCTAGGTCCGGCCTCTGATGACTGAGCCGTCTCCTTGGGGCCCTCGCTTGACTTCGAGGCCTCTGCCTCTGCCTTTGCGTGCTCTGCCTCTTTCTCTTCCCGAGCCTTGGCCGCAATAGTGCCTGCGCCGGCGAGAGCAGCAGCAATCATGCCCCAGGTATTGCCCTTCTTGCCGATCAGCGGCTTGGGAATCGGCTTGGCCGCCTCGCGAGGTCTGTCCTGAGTACGCTCGGGGCTTTCGGTCTCGGAACGCTTGGTCTCGGTGTCTCCCCAGCTGACCGACTTTGCGGAGCTCGCCGAGTCCTCGGGGACTTCTACGACCTCACCCCTCGCGTTGAGTACGACGCGCGGTGAAGATGGTTCGACTGGTGAACCCGGCTCGGGTGTCCACTTCGGACTAGCAGTCACCACTACCGGCTTGACATCTGACGAAGTAGCAGAAGAAGCTGCTTGTTCTGCTTGCCTCGCCCGCTGCTTCTCTGGGCTCGGCGTGATGTTTGGCGTGGGCAGCACGAGGATCAGCATTGGCCTCTCGCGCTCGCAGGAAGGGTCTCTCGACTTGAAGACGGGCACCATAGACGAGCCGGGGCCAGGCGCGCGGTATCTGTGCAGGTCCCTCGGCATGATGACGTTGTCGATGCGGACGTCGGCGTTGGGCCCTTCAAACTTGCTCTTCTCTTGGGCACGCTTCATCTCGGGCGGCGTGATGATGCGGACGACGGGCACGTCGCCCTCTTCCTTCCATTTCTCCACCACCGAGGGCTCCGGGGAGGCGCTGCGGGAGCGGATCTGCTCCTCAGCGATCTTGGCCGCGATCCTGCCCTCGCGGTAATGCCTGTTGGCCTCCTCCTGAACCTTGTCCCTCACCGGCTCCGCTTCCCGGGGTCGGCCCCGATCTGGTTCATGCTCACGCTCGTGCTCCTGCTCGCGTTCTTCGTGCTTGACCACGGCAATGGCGCTCGCGATGACGTCGGATTCGGCGGGGATGGTCGAGTGCCTAGTCTCGTCCATCAGGTCCCGCGCCTCCTTGACCTCGCGCTCAAACGAGTCGCGGCGGCTGAGCCGCTCCTCGCGCACATTGCGCGATTCCGACTCTAGGTACGAGAAGTCGGGCTCCCGGTCGACAGTGTGGATGAGCGGGGTGAGGGGCCGCTTGGGCGTGTTGTTGTAGATGGGGGTGGGGAACGCGTCGTCGGGGACTTGGAACTGGAATGGATCGACAGGGTCGTCTTTGGAAGAGGAAGCTTGCTTGCTCGACGGCAACGACTCCCGCCGTGCGCCTTTGGGCGCGTCTGTGGGGACGCCTCTGGCGACACTGGGAGCAGCGGCCGGAGTCTCTTTAGGGTCATCTACGATGCCGAGCGCCTCCTTATGCCGTTGGAGTTCCTCTCTTGCCTCGGCGAGCAAGCGCCGCGTCTCGGCGCGGGCTTCGCGCGCTGCTTGCCTCTCCTCGGCCGTAGGCTTCTTCTTGTCGCGCGATTTTGGGTCCAGCATAGACGAGGAGGCTTCGGAAGCTGGCGGCTTGTTGCCAATGGCCCGCGGCTCTCCTGCAACACTAGACACGGCGTCGCCGGCCCGGTAGTCGGCAACGACGACAGGGGCGTCACGCTTGGAGCGCCGTCGGCCGTCGGGCCCTCGCTCACGCTCCTTGCCGCCGTCTTCGGGCCTGACAACGACATCACGGGCAGACTCTGCCTTTTTGCGCTCCTCACGCTCCTCGCGCTCCCGTTGCTTCTCAAAGTCCCTCAGGGCGCGGTCGCGTTCGGCCGCGCGTTCGCGTTCATCGAGGGTCCGCCGCTCTTCTTTGTAGCGGATTTCCCGGCCCTCTCGCACGCGACGCTCGTAGTTGTCGATGAGCTCCTTCTCTTCGCGGACGCGACGAGCTTCCTTTTCGCGCGCATAATCCTCGCGGATACGGCGCTCTTCTTTCTCGAGGCGCTCGCGCTCCTCCAGCTCGCGCCTGTCGTCGCGCTTCCCTTGCCGGTCTGCGATCACCGCGGCGCCGATCAGGGCAGGAACAGCGCCGGCCAGGGCAGCACCGGCCACACTCGTGACGTCAGACTTGGGACGAGTGCTGTGGGGGGCCGCTTCGATCACGCGCTTGTCGTCGCGCTTTTCGACACGCTGGTCATCATGTTTCACATCACGCCGGTCATCACGGATGTCGTAGTAGCTGCCGTCGTTACGTCGTTCGTCACGTCGCTCGCCGCCTCTGTCGTCACGTCGATCATCACGTCGATCGCCACCTCTGTCGTCACGTCGGTCGTCACGCTGTTCTTCACGCCGTTCTTCACGCCGTTCGTCGCGAGGGTCATCACGTCTCTCGTAAATTCTATCATCACGTCTCGAATCACGCTTGCTATCACGCTTGTCCTGGCGATCCGCGAGCACGGCAGATCCGACCAGGGCAGCGCTAGCGGCGCCTGCAACGCCGACCAGAGCGGCTCCGGCGAGGCTGCCGGAGTCAACGGTGCTGCGGCGCGAGGATCGGGGCGGGCTGGCGGGGCGCTCGTTGATGAGGGGCTGTTCGAGCGCGCGCATCGATACCGACACGCGGGGCTTGGGGGCTTGGATAGGGACAGGTGCCGGGCGGGCGTAGGACATGGCCGCGCCGCCATGGGGGCCAGACACGACGGATGAGCTGACGACAGTGTCGAACTTGGTGGGATCCGAGGTGGGCACCGAGTACACATACTGCATGGGGCGGGCTTCGATGGATGCGCTGCTGGGCTGGGGGATGCCGGCGGCCTCTTCGAGGCGCGGAAGAGGTTGGGGGCGGGTGTACTCGCCGGGCCTGAAGCCGCAGGGCGTGTTGATGTAGCCGCGCAGCGAGTTGACGGGCCCGAACATGGCGGGGTCGACAGCGGAGCTCTTGCGGTCGGGCGGACGGATGGCCTCGGGCGGGCGCTGCGACACGATAGTAGGTAGACCGGAGGGTGGGCCGCTGGGCAGATGGGGGTCCGAGAAGCGCGGCACAGAGCCGTAGGCGAGCCCCATGTCGACGTCGTCGCTGAGATCGTCGTCGTCCGAGGCCGACTCCCAGTCGGACTCGTCGCCAGAATGAGCGCGACGGTGGGGCTTCGAGGGGCCAATTCCGCGGGCGCCACTGCCGTTGTTGGGACGGCGTAATTCGTTGATGGCGGCCACGGCGGCCACGGCACCGGTGATGCGCGAGGGACGTGACCTCCCGGCGCGCTCGAGATCCTTTATGTTCTCGGCCTTGGCCAGGTCCGAGAGCTGGCGGCCGATAGCGATGATGTCGTCGTCGGTCCGGGCCCGGTGTAGGACGGGGCGGCCGTCGGGGCCGATCAATGGCTCGTTGCGGGCATGGCCAGGGCGGTACTGCTGGTTCTGGTAGGAGCCCTGGGGGGGGTATTGCTGGTGGGGGTACTGCTGCTGCGAGTATTGCTGCTGTTGCGGGTATTGCTGGTGGTGGGCGGGTGGCTGCAGGGCGCGGGCATCGAGCGACGTCTTGGAGATATATCCGTTGCCGTAGGCCAGATCGCTGTCGACCGACGACGTCGAGGCGTTCTTGGTGCGGAAGGAGCGGCGCCTGCGGACTTTCTTGGCGGCCGAGGAGGCAAAGAAGCTGCGCAGGCCGAAGCGGCTCTTCTTGCGCGAGATGTTGACGAGCGACGACGATGTCGACGACGAGGCCGAGGTGCTCGAGTCGGCGCGCGACCGAAGCGAGGCATTCGAAGGCATGTGGGCGGCAGTGCCGCGGGACTGGGTCTGGGACTGGGGGGTGTCTCGGGAGACGGGGAGTGGTAGAGGCAGCGGGGGGGCGGCGGCGAGCTGTTCTCTGGAATGCCGGCGGTCGGCGCGTCGCCGTCTCGACGACTCGGGGCTCCGCCGGCGGCCGTCTCCTCCGCGCGCCATCATTTCGATCGGCTCACACAGAAAAACCTAGCTGCCGCGTTTTTTTCGTCCCATGCATTGGCTCGCTGCTGCGGTCGGGCGGTGCGGTTCGGTGGGGTTTGCAGAGGTGCGCGTAGCGTTGCGCGTGCCTCCTGTCTTGAGTTGGATTTCAATTTGATATTCGTCGCGGGTGTCTTCGTTGTTTTGGGCAACTGCGCTCCCAGCGGTATAATCCGCAGGTATTAAAGAGGCTGGGGACTGGGGGTGGGCTAATAAGCTACAGGTGGAACCCACCCAGCCTGAGCAATGAGGGGAGTTCGGATACGTTAGCGCCACCCGCCCGCAAGAGGGCTGATGGCCACTGAATTGGATGGGACGACGGGGGCGCTTTTCAGCTGCCCTCGCCGCTGAGATCGGGCGGGACGGGAAACCCTACCCTACCCTGCTGCCCATCCTCCTCCTCCATCCTTGACCGGGCATAGCATGGAGGGTATCGAGGCCAGTGCAACAACAGTTTCAGCCTTTTCGCGACAACGTCAACGCCTTCCTTCCATACTGCCTGATCATTCACCCCGCCGCCAGTTGCCCCGACTCCTCAACGCTTGCCGAGATCTGCATAAGGCTCGAGTCGGCCATAGACATCAATGAAACATTTTCTTCATCAATTAATCACAGCAGCTACCTAATCAATCAAGGTATTCGTAGCCTGGGAAGCGCCGCCGGCCTCTCCATCACGGGCCGGGCCTGGCCTGGCCTGGGCGGGTTTGTCCCTTCGATTTGCCTTCTGACAACCTATCGTCCATTGCGGGATGACGATTAATGCCATCCCTTTCGTTTCCATCTCATCACCTAAACACAACATGCATCCGCCCATCTGCGATAATTCTTCAACGAAGATTTCAGTCAGTCTCGCGGTTTCAGCTTTTACAGTACGAATATTTGCGTCAGCATTGTTAATGCTACCTTCTTCCATGCCTTGCGGACGCAGTGCATCTCGACTAACTCCACCAATGGGGTGAGTGTGCCCGGGCCGCCGCAGACAAGCAGACCTTGTATCCGTGTCCGCGGATCCCACCAGACGCGACGTCTGTGTGTGTGTGTGTGTGTGTGTGCCTCCTCCCTGCCGGGCAGGTTGTTTGCCCTATGGGATTTTGTTGGCGAATGCCCGATGGATGTGGTGTATCCTGATCACTACCTACTTCGCACGTACTTCGTACACCGCTCAATGCCATGTATACCATCAATTAGTCGGCACCTCGTGGAGGTTGTATGTATCATGCGCCCTGCTGCATTTTGTGGCCCCGATATGGCCTCTGACGGGGTGTGGTGGGACTGCAGCTTTTTTTCCTCTTCCCTCTCGAGGCGATTTGACAGATTGCTGACTGCACGACTGCTCCTCACCATGCTCTTACACGTGTCGATCGGCAATGGCTTGAATTCTGGTTTTGCTGCCTTCCCGCACCCGCTGGAAGGCGGGCTAACGTGGCTAATGAGGGCCTGCAGAACGGCCGGAGAAAGGGGAGGGGGGCCCTCCACGCAGGTGTCACCATCCGAGACCCGTGGTCCACCATTCACAGAGCTTGGGGCTAGCTGTGTTTACAAACGGGATGCTTCACGCGCAGCCAATCGAGGTCGAGAAGAGCAGGCTCTGGATATTCTTCATCTCTGCTGCCTGAATAGCTACTTTACTTATCTATGTGGCGAGATAGCTCACAAACACTCGCACGCGCGCCTCCCTATGCAAAAAGAAAATGCCAATCCCGATATCGTCCGCAGGGAGAAAAAAGCACTTGTCGCCAGTGTGTGCGTGGTGATGGGTATAAGCCATTCCACTCTGGTGATAGATCTAACTGTGGAAATCACTCCTATAGTAGACGAAAGAAAACAAGCACTTGTCGTCAGTTCCGTCGTCACAGGTGCTCTAGTTGCCCGCCGTAAACGTCGAGTTGATAGCCCCCAGCTTGATGTTGGAGTAGATGACCGAGGCGTCGGGGTGGGCAGCCTCGACCGTCTTCGGCACGCCGGCCTCGGGGTCGCAGCGCCCCCGGGTGACGCCAGGCTTGGTCGGGTCCGCGTCGGCCGGGAAGTGGCTGTCGAGCCAGTTCATAGACACGGCACTAGGGGGAAAAGTCAGTCAGCCAGGTCCAAAGTCTCTAAGAGGGAAGGATTGGGATCGCAAAGAGTAAAGGAGAAATGAGAGGAGAAAGATTCAACTTACTAGTCGTCCCACACGCTGAGGACCAGCACCATCTTCTCGAGCGACTTGCCCATGGCCGCCATGCCGCCCAGTGTGCCAAAGTAGTTTTTGTCGCCAAACACAGTCTTTTGCTGCTTGCAGAAGTCGTCGCTGATGTGGTTGACGGCGTCTACGCCTCCAATCTCGGCTATGTTGTCACGGGCAGCAAAGTTAGAACACAGCAAGCATAAAGGAGGTGTGGGTGTCAAACGTACAAACCGAGTTGGGAATGACCTTGCCGCCCTGGACGTAGAAGCGGTGGATGCTCTGGAGGGTGCCCGTGTCGGTGCCGTCGTCGGTGACAAACTGCGTGACGATGGTGAAGGGCTTGGACGTGTCAACCGACATGTCGGCGCCGGTGCCGTAGAACTTTTGGTTGCCCATGCGGAAGCTGTTGAAGTCGCAGCCGTCTGCACGCGTTTGTCTCTCTCGTCAGTCACTCCCCCCCTTAAAACCCCAATCGTCTATATCTTGAAGAAGAAGAAAAAGCTTACCCTTGTCGCACATACCCGCGTACCGATCGTCCCCGTTGCCGCAGTCGGTCCCCTCGCACCGCGTCTGCGTATTCACCTTGCACGGGTGCGGCGTGTAGGCCGTCGAGTCGAGGTTCGCCTCCCAGATATCCATCTCAGCACAGCACGCGCCGTACTTGCCCGTGCCAGACTTCCATCCCTCCGAGTTGGCCTGTCTCGCTCACAAAGGTCAGCTGGCTACTTCCAGAGCGACGAGAGGAGTCGGAAACACATACCTCGCCGTCGATGAACTTGATGTCGGAGGGGCACTGGCTGTCGCAGTAGCCGGTGCCGTACTTTGCGCCGGCCTTGTTGCCGGAGAAGCGGGCCAGGCCGCCGTCCTCGTCCATCTCGGAGAAGTAGACGGCGCCGTTGAGGCCGCAGGGGAGCTTGGACACGTCGACGTCAAAGGTGAACTCCTTGTTGAGCAGGTTGAAGAGGCGGTACTTTGTGTCGCTGGCCATCAGATACAGACGCGAGCCGACGTTGGCGCCGTTGTCGTTCTTGGTCACGAACTGCAGCTTGAGCGCGCCGTCCGAGGGAGTCGTCACGCCGTACGTCTTGGCGTAGTCGGCCCCGTCGATGGCGCAGTTGGCCGCGCACGTCTTGCCGTCCGGGCACGCCGTCGTGTTCCAGTCGCTGCCGCTGTAGCAGTTGGTGTAGCCCGTCGTGACGTGCGTCCACCGCCAGTTTGCCTGACGAACGCCGCTAGTTAGAGCTCTGTGCAGAATAGGGGGGCTGTTGTTGTTGGTGGTGGTGGTGGTGTTGTCACTCACATCCAGGACCACGGCAGTGTTCTCCTTGGTGCAGGACCCGGTGGCGGTGCACACCTGTATAGGCAGCGAGGGGTGCTTCTCGGCCGTGTTGGTTCCCACCTGCTGGCCCAGCACTGCGCTGGCCAAGGAGAGCGCCGCAAACACCCGGGTATACATGTTGTAGGTGGTTTTGATGTGAATGGGGGGATAGGGGGCTGTGTTAATAGACGGTCGAGAATGTCTTTTCTACAACTTCCACTGAGCAGACAGCTTCCTTCCTTTATACACTGGTTCTCAGTGGGAACGAGACCGTACATTGGGGCATTCTCTCTGCCCATCTACAGACAATCTAATCTAATTACTGCGGAGGGACATGTTTAGGAAGAGACGAGGCCCGAGATGCGCCACTTTGGGCGCCAATTCGGCACGCCGCCCGCAACAGCTCGCGGAGCGACAGCAGCAACAGTGGCATGACGACGTTGATAAAGACCGCCAGACCCTGGGCCTTGCTGAAGGCAATAAGATGCCGCTGGCGGTCCACGTCGCTTGGACTTCGGATCGGCCAAGTTGGTGTTACTAGAGGGCCAGTTCGGGTGCGCATTGAAGCTAGCAGTCAGCAGGGGAGCATTGCGGCTCTGAGCAGGGAGCGACTTAATCTATACCACTTACGAGCCGCCCGGGGTCCATGGACCGGATTGCTGGATGCGTATGTGATCGGGATGTACGCATGGATGACATGAAACGGAGCCGAGCGGACGGGCGACGAAAAGGGGAAAAAGGGCGGCGAGCGGCTGGCTACTATCCCAAGTGTGGCGTCCATAGATGCCAGTGATCGGTGCAGGATAGAGGCAAAGTCAGCCGCACCTACTATCGCCGTCCATGTCATGCATTGTGTGTCTATGTCTGTATATCTTCACTGGGTACCTTACCTAAACTGTGACATGGTGAGGGCCGGGGTTGCCGATGGTAGCAAGCCGCTCAAGAGTTTGACTCGTCCCCACTCTTTTCTTGTACTATACTGTAGGTAGCCACCGTAACATGGCTACGCGTAGACACACACAAAGAAACAGCGGGTGGGAAGGAGTATACGATGTCTTTGGGCTCACCTCGGTGAGCAAGAGAATTATCCATCGCCAGCGTCTCATGCTTCCTCCGACCCAGCATAATTGCCATTCCGAATGAAACCGTGGTCCGTTCATTACAACTTCTGCTCCTTTCTCTCTTTTCCCGACCAAGAGGCTAGGCCGAGCACCCAGCTACCTCTTTGGCAGCCGAAACCAAAAAACTGAAAGAAAAGGGAAGTAAAACAAGGTAGAAGCGAACACTACTATATGGCAGCCAGGCCGACAGGCAATCCTGTCGCAGCCGACTTTACCACGTCGACCCTACAGGTGCCGTACAAGCAACAGCTTCCACCTTGTGGATAAGGAAGAAAGCGTACCTCGCTCTCTTAAAGATAAATCAGAAAAAGAAACCCCGTGAGTGAGCGTGCCTGCCAAAGAGACCGACCCGATGTGGGGCAGACGCTCGGGCCGATCCCTGTCCTTACCCCGGAGTCCCGGACCTACACACACAACCAGATCGGGGAGAATCAGAACTGCGACATTGAAACCGAAAGAGAAGCTGCGTCTCAAAGTAGCGCGCTTGACAAGATCCATCTTGCAGTGATACGTCTCTTTCGTCTTTTAGTCAAAGGCAGGTACCGATTCTTGCTTTAAAGAGCCTATCTAGTTCCAAGCTAAGAACCAAGGCAATTCCAGAGCGCTTGGAGTGGACGGGAAATACTCCGAATCTGAGTGCACAATCGACATTTGACTTGACCTATCATCAAATCAAAATCCACCACCCATTGCAACTCCCCACACAACTTCTCCGTGCACAAGGTGAGGAAACAGCTCTACCTGACGACTCATCCGTCACCCACCTCCCACCTCCCCCCAAAAATGGCAGACAACGAGCAGCGGCAGCAGCACACGTCTCCCGCGCCTCCAGCCGCGCCTCCCCTCAAGAGCCTATGGTCGGTCCGCAGCGCAGCCGGCGAGCCCTTCGCGGCGGTGCGCGTGCGCAACCTGCAGGCCGTGGTGCAGGCCGGCGTCGACGCCTGGGGGCGGGCGAACCGCGCGCAGCCCGTGCTAGTGTCGGCCGAGATCTACTTCCACGCCCCCTTTGACACGGCCGCCTCGGACGACCGCCTCGGCGCCGACACGGTCCACTACGGCCTGCTGAGCAAGGCCGTCGCCGTGAGCCTGCTGCCCGCATCCATCGCCGCCGCCGCCGCCGTGAACAAGACGGCCACGGATGCCGCGACCCTGCGCGACGTGCTCGACTGCGTCTGGAGCCACCTGACGGGCCGCCGCCTCGACGGCGTCGCCTCCCTGTCGCCCTCCTTTCTGGCCGTCGCCCGCGTGCGCTACCTCGCCGTCACCGTCAATCTGCCCAAGGCCTCGCTGCTGGGCGATGGCGTCAGCTTGACTGCCGCCGCCGTCTTCGCCCAGCCTTCTGCTCCAGCCCCCGCTCCCATTGGAGATCAGACGCAGTCGCAGCAGCAGCCGCAACCGCAACCGCAACCGGACCAGCTGGCCATTGCCCTGGAGCTGCACAACCTGCGCGTGCCGACGCTGATCGGCGTCAACGACAACGAGCGCCTGGCCAAGCAGGTCGTGGTGGCGAGCCTAACAGTAGACAAGTTCGACCAGAAGCTCGACATTTACACGAGCATTGAGACGCTTGTTGTCAAGGTTTGTTTTGTTATTTTGTCTCGTCTGCCCCCTTTTGGCTTCTGGAATCACTTCATATGAGATAAAGCCCCCCCCCCCCCCCCCAAAAAAAAAAAAAGAAAACTTCTAATCACTCACACGCGCACATCCATAAACACATAACTCCGTACTTGACTTACACGTCATGATATCACTGCAGGCCCTGGAAGAGTCCTCGTTCGAGACGCTCGAGGCGCTGGGCGCACACCTCACAGACCTCGTTCTCGCAACCTACCACTGCGGCACGCACGCGGGCCCACTGACGGGCGGCCGCGACTGGCAGGCGCACGTCCGCCTCGAGAAGCCCACGGCCGTCATGTTTGCCGACTGCCCCATCGTCGAGGTCCGCGCCGGCTCCGACTTTATCCGGCTGCCGGAGGCGACGGTGACGACAACCACCAGTGCAACAGCTGATATACCGGCAGCAGCTGCAGCAAGCGTATTGACGCCCAGGTCTCCTCCTCCTCCTTACCCGCTTGCTTGACCTTGCCAGGTACCTATCTTGGTTACGACCACGTAGGACGTAGATGATCACTCTCACTTTCCGCTCACTAGCGGCAGGGTGGACAATCAAATAGGAGGGAAAGAGAATTCGGGGTTGTCGAGGTTGATTCATTCCACCATGCTGGCTCTTTCAGAGGTCGTGTCGTAGTCACATTGTCAAAAGAAACCCTCAACAAACTGTATTTGGCGGCAAGCCTGTCCCATTCATTCAAAAACAGAAAATAAAAAACCGGAAACGAAATTTGTTGCATTCTCGGTTTCTCGGCTGCACTATCCGTAAAGTACTATACATCACTAATGTAGTACCATGTAAACACCCAAAAATGGAAGGCGGTGGACATGGCTCTTTCACCGACTCTTCTCTTTTTCTCCCACTGAGTGTCCTGCGGTGAGGGGGGCGGGGAGACCAACCTTTTCCCTTTCGGTCATGGACCAATCCTCGCTTGCCAGCAGCGGCATCCCTTCACCTCTTTTTTGCAGAAACCATGTCATCAGCCAAGAAAGAACGTGATTGATGAGAGAAAAAAGGGCCCGCCAGAATGGTCAGTGCCGTGCCCAGCTGGGGAATTCTCCGTCGGTGTTTGCGAGCGCGGTACCCTGGAAGTTCCTTCGTCTCCTTTGGTTGGGACGGGGCCAGGCTAGGCCTTGCCAGGTAGGCTAACTGAAAAAAAAAAAAAAAGGAGAATACGCTATTTCGTTACCTTAGGCATTAGCTTCCAACGAGCGAACGACTGAGTGACTAGCAACTGACAGCAACCGGTGAGGAGTGGGTGATGAGAGCAGCAAAGCAACAGCACAATCGTCATTGCTGACTGACCTGAAGGCCCCAGGGGCCTAGGTAGGTCTGGTCTGGTCTAGCTTGGTTTCTTTACAGTATTTACAGAGGTTGCTTGCTTGATTTCCAGTTCCCGGCCCTGTCTGTCTGTCTGTCTGTCTGTCTGTCTGTCTGTGTGTCCGAGTACAGTGTTTTGGAAGGTTCCGATATGTATGTAGGCATGTAAATCTCTCTTCAGAAGCGAAGCCCGCCGGCCCGGGGGACCAAGCCACAACCGCCGCCGCATCAGCCCTACGGCATATCTAATAACCAAACGCCACAGCAGACAGGAAGAACAAGATTGGCTCCGCACCACACTTAACGGAAGAGCCCAGAAGAGCACCGAGTGTGAATGAGCAGGGAAAATGGCTGGCCGGCCCAGGTCTGTCTGACTGGACGGAGAGCCAAGGACGGGGCGAGAGGCGGAACTTGTTTCAGCTTCTCACCTCAGACCTGTCTACGAAGACCTTCCTTAGGTAGGTCGGTCTAGCCCGCCAGACAGAGTCAGCAAGCTGGGCGGCTGCGGGAGTATAATCTATATCCCAGCCGTCAGACTCGACGGCGTACAAACATACCAGTACGAAAAAGAGGCGGCTCGTTTGCCTGTTGGGCCGGCTATGTTTGGAAAAGGAGTCTCTTGATCCACAGTCATACCCGTGCCTATTTTAGAGATGTAGGTGCTGAATGAAGTGAGCGTTTGTTCCACTTGGATACCGCGACGGGCAACCTATATGATGCATACTAATTACCTATGTAGGGGATGTCGAGATGACCCCCCACGTGGAGGCTGGACGGAGGAGAGAATTAAGATTTGAGATTCCCACCGCCATGTGGGCTAGGCGGGGACTAGGCTGGGGAGGCTGATGTGCAGCATCGGCTTCGGCAACGGCACCCTGCTGGAAAGCCTATCTTGTGTGTAATTGTTCAAATACCAAAGACACAGCCAGTCAATGTGTGAGAAGCGGCCGACCTTCTGCATATACCCAAGGTAGGTAGGGTAGTTGCTAGGCTATGAAGTACCGATATCCTATCCGGCCTTGTCGAGGCTAGCCACAACACCAATCCCCATCTCGCTCGTTTACGAGATTGTCTGCCTCGAATGTTCTGTACAGTTCAATACCAAGGGCGGACGGGTGGGAACAGCAGGTGGAGCCAACGACAAGCAGAGTCTCGGGAAGGCGAGAAAAAGAAGGGCCGGCGGCAACGGGAGGGCGATAAAAAAAAGAGTGCGACATTTTTCTTTTCTCTTCTTCGCGGGCCCCCCTCAAAAATTGCGACGTTGTTTCTAAGTTGATGTGTGGTTTCCTCACAGTCGCTAAGGTACAAAGGTGGCCGACGCTGAGCTCGTAATCTGTCGCTACGGGAAGGCCCGAACTTTACGAGATCCGTACCACTACCACCACTACTCAGAAGGCGAAAACGTGCTCGTTCCTCGATTTTGATTTGCAAGTTTTGCACCCCCGGTTGGACTTATTATTGTCACAATTTACCGGTCGACTTCGCCCGGGTTTCTTTCTTGCCGCTTTCTCTCTCTGTCTCCGGGACAGGATGCGCCACCGACCCGAGATAAGAAACCTGGTGTGACTGAGGCTGTACACTTCTCGGGGGCCGTCACTTGTCATTCTGAAACCTCTGCCACCCCTCCATCCATCAGAAATACATTGTAGAAACCTATCACTCACGGATCACTCCTCGGTACATGCACAGAATATTATTTACGGGTGGGAATTTTATTGAAAGCGCCTCGACTCCCAAAAGAGGTGACAGCAAATTTCCCGCTCATGGCCTCGGTGGAGCTGTGATATCGAGAGAGATGGGGAGGGGGGGCCGCTCAGATTTAGTTTCTGGCTCCCGTTGGGCTGAAGGCAACTTTAGCTCCGCCAGACGCCATGGCAACCAGCCCGGTAACGCTCCCCCTACCTGCCTTTGGCTTGGTTATCGTTTGTCAAAAAAAAAATAAGGGGCCCCAATTTTGCATGGCATGATAGACATCAAGGTATCCTGTACTTCGTACTGTATACATACATCATACCCGCTGCTCCCGTCTTCGAGTTGGATGCCCTATTTAGACGAGCGGGGGGAGGCTTGGGCTTGGGCTTGGAAGGACGCATGGAACCCGTCATCGATACTCGATAGTATTCTACTGAGTCGTGAGAGGGGAGACTGAGCGATAGGTAGTAATAATAATGGGCCCGCGTCGGGCAGTGGAGCGTCATCTTGAACAAGAGGCGGCTGCGGCTGCATGTCGGTAGAAGGGATACGATCGCAGTCGAAACCCGGACAATCCTGGCCCGAACAGACCTGCGAGGTTGATACATGGTACGTACAATAAGTTCACCAATTCATTGTCCCAGGCGCAGGAACCAAGGTATCTGTAATGTATCCGTATTTACGAGAGAAACACGAGTCTTTTGAGCGTTTCCACGCTAATCTTCTCGTGTCCTGCGCCGCCAAATCTAACCTAAATATCTGCAGCGGGCTGGTCGGAGTTGAAGGTGCAGCCATCCACGCGTGGAAACAGAGCCCGTTTGCATTTTTGCACCTTTGCATCTTTGCACCTGTGGATCTCGCCGGACGATGATATGGATGTCATTGACAGAATGCTAGCGCGGGGTGCTGGAGAAGGTTTCTTACTCTTCCCGTCGGTCTTTTGTCCCGTTGGACGGCCCAGCAGCAGGTGCGCTTGTCGTGTCGCCGGGAAATGGGCCGTCGTTGGCTCGTCCAGCGGCTTGGCTTCAGAATCGCAGCTGCTGTGTGTGCCGGTGTCCAGACCCTGGTCGAAAATCGACGCCACTTGCAGAGCTGACCCTGGCCTGATGGATGCGACGGCCTAGGTACCTAGCGCCTTAACAATTTCGCAGCTCCAGGAGGACTGGCGATTCGACAACGATAAAAGCATTCAAAAGCCCAGGGTCTGGCGTCACTCGGGCGTTCTCGTATTTGTCTCTCGTCGTCGTCCCTCTCGCTCACCGTCTCGTGTCTGCTGCTCCATCCCAAGAGCCTGCCTAAGCACTCGACAGTAAGCGTTTCTGTCGCCAGCAGCTGGACACCAAGTGTAAGTTCGACCTCACCTACCTGACCTGCGGTAGCCAATGCCCGGGCTGCAAGCACAAGCACCCTCCCCCCTCCATTTCTTTATTACGGAGCCAAGCAGCTCCCGCTACAGCAGCTATCCATGTGATTGCCGCATTGCCAGTTCCACTACAGAAGTCGATCCTGGATTTCTCGTCGATCCAGGCCTGTCCAAGTTCTGCCAGCAGCTATAATTACGTCAATCGGCTAATCACGCTTGATGAAAAATAGCTCCTTCCTTTCCAGTGCCCCTAGCTCCCCCCAACCGGCGTCATCAAAACCTCGTCAACAACGGGAAGCAAAAATCGTCCAAAACCGCCTTGTTCAACCGGCCAGTCTTACGCTCTTGAAACTCAATTCTGTCCTTGTTATTGCTGCCTACCTGCAAATACAAAAAACAAACAGCAAACATGGCGTCGGCAATTAAGAGTGCCCTCCCCTCGCACCTCAAGCCCTCCAACGGCGACGAGGCCGAGTTCTCCAAGAGACATCATGGCAAGACAAGGTCTCACATGGTGAGTTTTCTGCCTCTGCGCAAATTCCAATTTCCCCTCCCCTCTTCTGTAACGACAACCTCTGTCAGCGCGGCTGTGGCTGCGGAAACAGAGAGAACGAGGAGGCACAACCTGTTTCTTCCCCTAGGGTAGCTCGCCGGTTTTGTGTCGCAACGACGCCACTGGCGGTCTAGTGACTTCGGTAACCTGCCTACCAGCGTGCAGCGACTCATCAGGGCGGGAAGAGGGCCGGAAATGTCATGCTTGAGCAAAAGACGGTTTCAAACGCCGACGGCATGTTTGGTCACGTCGGATCACGACCCTGAATACGAGGCACCATGGAAGGCACAGCGCTGGCCTCGCCGCCGTTGAATATCGATAGCAAGCAGACCTTGTTGCAATGACGTCAGGCTGACTGGGAGTGTTGTAGGCTTTCGAAAACACATCGACCAACATCGCGGCCGCCCAGATGCGCAATGCGCTCACGCAGCTCGCCGAGAGCGTCAACAACCCCGAACAGAAGAAGGCAAGTTGCGTTCGGGACGCTGGTCGAGACGAGAGAGAGCATGCCGTTTCTAACGGCCTCAATAGTTGTTCGAGACGGAGATGGACAACTTCTTCTCGCTCTTCCGCAGATATCTGAATGACAAGGCTAAGGGCAACGAAGTGTGGGTGGCCCCTTTTCTGGCTGAACTGAACCGGCTCGGAAGCTAATAAACCTGCTTCGCATGTAGATCGTGGGATCGCATTGCCCCTCCTGCCCAGGGTCAAGTCGTCGACTACGAGGACCTTGCAAACTCGGAGTCGGTCGGCTTCCTCAACAAGCTTGCCGTGCTCAAGCTCAACGGTGGTCTCGGAACCTCCATGGGCTGCGTCGGCCCCAAGTCGGTCATCGAAGTCCGTGATGGCATGTCTTTCCTGGATATGTCGGTGCGCCAGGTCGAGCACCTGAACCGCACCTATGGATCTAACGTGCCCATCATCCTGATGAACTCGTTTAACACGGACGAGGACACGGCGGCCATTATCAAGAAGTACGAGGGCCACAACGTGGACATCCTCACCTTCAACCAGTCTCGCTATCCCAGAATCTTCAAGGACTCGTTGTTGCCTGTCCCCAAGTCATACGACTCGCAGCTCCACGACTGGTACCCGCCCGGACACGGTGACGTCTTCGAGTCTCTGTATAACTCTGGCATTCTCGAGAAGCTTATCAGCCGGGGCATTGAGATTATCTTCCTGTCTAACGCGGACAACCTTGGTGCCGTAGTCGACCTCCGCATCCTGCAGCACATGGTGGAGAGCGATGCTGAGTATGTTATGGAGCTGACTAACAAGACCAAGGCCGACGTGAAGGGTGGCACCATCATCGACTACGAGGGCGGCGTGCGGCTCCTGGAAATTGCCCAGGTGCCCAAGGAACATGTCAACGAGTTCAAGTCGATCAAGAAGTTCAAGTACTTCAACACCAACAACATCTGGATGAACGTCAAGGCCATCAAGCGCGTCGTGGAGAACGACGAGCTGGAGATGGAGATCATCCCCAACGGGAAGACCATCCCTGGCGACAAGAAGGGCGAGTCGGACGTCAGCATTCTGCAGCTCGAGACGGCTGTGGGTGCCGCTATCAAGCACTTCAAGAACGCGCACGGTGTCAACGTGCCCCGTCGCCGCTTCCTGCCCGTCAAGACGTGCTCTGACTTGATGCTCGTCAAGTCGGATCTGTACACCGTCAAGCACGGCCAGCTCCAAATGAGCACCAGCCGCTTCGGCGACGCGCCCCTGATCAAGCTCGGCAGCGATTTCAAGAAGGTGTCGGACTTCCAGAAGCGCATCCCCAGCATCCCCAAGATCATCGAGCTCGACCACCTGACTATTACGGGTGCTGTCAACCTCGGCCGCGGCGTCACCCTCAAGGGTACCGTCATCATTGTGGCGACCGAGGGTCAGACCATCGACGTGCCTCCCGGATCTATTCTTGAGAACGTGGTGGTGCAGGGCAGCTTGCGTCTGCTTGAGCATTAAGCATATTCACGGAGCAAGGGAGAAAGAAAAAAAAGGAAAGAGGCGTCTTCAATGAACTGTCGATTCATTGTCTTTTCGTTTAAATGTTAATGGGGTCTATTACCGTTGATTTTATGCTTTTTTCTGCCGCCCCAGCGATCACGCCATCCCCTTTTGGTTATGCGCGCATGGTGATACAGCTACCTATCTAGTTTTAATAGCCAGTTTACACTTTTTGGTCCATGATTTTCGTTTGGCTGTATCTGTGTCTATGTGAATTGGCTGAGTCGATGGTGGTCTGCCATTTCTTGGAGCATAATGTTTCGGACTGAACACATTACCTTACATAGGATCATTATTACAATATGTAGCTCAACTGCAATAGAGTCGTGGCGATACGAATATGGGAAAACTGGTACGGAGTAGACTAGCTGTCAACATGAATCTATGACTGCAAGCATCTCAAGCGTCTCTATGATATTTGGGGTGTTGGTTTAACTTTAGGTAGTTACCCTGTGATACTACACTAGGGTTGATACTATAGTAGGGTATAGACACATCTATAGTGCTAGTTCATCATAGGCCCCATAGATCCGTCAATCCATCACACGCAACGCACGCTAATATGCGACTAGCGAATCGATCGCTTCCGCTTTTTTCAGTGTATATTGGTGGGCGTTTTAAGATGCCGGGCGGCCGCCCTTCTTCTTCATGGTCTCGGCGCACTCGGGACAGAACCACTTGCCGTTGGGCTCGCTCTTGAGGCCGACACAGCCCCAGTGGAACCACTCGTAGGGGCAGTCGTCGTTGTCGCAGGCGACCATGTCGCCGAAGCTGACATTCTGGCACAGGCAATATTTCTTGTCGTCGCCTGCGTCATCGTCGTCGACGTCCATGGCGTCGTCCTCATCGTCCTCTTCGTCGTCGTCGTCGTCGACTTCCGCGCCGGCGCCGGCGTCAACACCGCTATTGGGTCCGCCGGGGCCTCCGGCTGTGGGACCGCCGCTGCCGTTTCCGCCGTCCTTGTTTATGTTGTGACTGCCGCTTCGTGGGCGCACTGCCCCTCCAACACTAGCTCCTGGGCCTGGTCCTACTGGCCCACCACCGCTGCCGCCGACGCCGCTAGCCTCGCGCTCGTGGCTGCCCTCCTTGTTGCTGTTGCTGCTGTTGGCGGCGGCGTTGGATCCAGACCGCGACACGGCCGCGGGCGTACCGCGGCCGCCCGTGGTGCGCGCATCGCTCTCGTCGGCGCTGCCCGAGTCGGCGTCTGAGAGCTCGCTCTCGGCCGCCGAGGAGGGGCTGTTCTTGGCGGCCCGCTTGACGCGCGACAGGCCGGACTTGTTAGACCCAGCACCGACGGCGCCCGCGGGCGTGCCCTTCTTACGGCCTCCCGCCGTGCTAGACGGCGTCCCGGCCTTGCGACCCGCGCCGCCCCCCGATGCCTTTGACGTAGCGCGCGGGCCTGCGCTGCCCGCGCGCTGTACCCCGGCAGCTGTCTGGTGGCTCTTGGGCGTCCCGGGACCGAGTGACGAGTGCCGCGCCAGCCCGCTCGACGTTGCCGGGAGGTTGCCTAGGCCGCCGTTGGAGCGGGGCCCGCGTTTAGGAACGCCACTGCCGGGGCCGGCCGAGCTCTCGCGCGCCTGCCGGTTCATGATCATGCTGGCGGCGGGCGTAGCAGGGGCTGAGGCCGATGTGTGTTGCTGAGACTGTGTGTTTCGGATCTGGAGATTCGTTGTCCGGACGACGGACGGGGACGAGTTGTTAGCAATGTTGTTGAGAGCGGCGGTGACGGGGTTGGTGGCATTTACGGGACGCATGACAGGGTTCGTGATTGTGATGTTTGCGGCGCTGGTGCGCACCAGCGAGGGCAGCTCGTCGGGATCGGAGAAGCCGGGCTCGGCGCGGTCGTAGAGCATCTTGATCTGCACGTCGAGCTGACGGACGTGTTTGTCCATGTTGTGCTGCAGCTTTTGGCTAAGAGCAATCTTTTCATTGGCTAGCTTCTCGGCCTGAGCGAAGTTCTTGCGGATGAGGGCCCTGTACTCGTCCTCCTTCGGGTTGTTCTGGTGGCTGCCGTTGGCCTTGATCCACTTCTGGATGCGGCCATCGCGCTCTTCGATCTCCTTGACGAGCTTCGCGTACTGGCGGTCCTTGTCGGCGACCTCGTCTTGTAGGAAGCGGATCTCTTCAGGGAGGTTCTGGGTTCTGCTGATCCATTCGTCCAGGATCATGGCCGGGTCGAGGGCTTCGACGGTCGGCGGCATCCTTCTGACGAAGTCGATGGAGAGATCGTCTCTAGGCATGGTTGTCAATAACCCACCCTACACGTCGGTCAAGCAGCGAGCGCGGTGGATGACGACGATATGATGACGGTGATGATACAATCACTGCCTAGGTAGGCTTGCGGGAAAGAAGAGGGCACCCAGATAAAAAAAAATGAGATGCCCCGGTCTTGAGTCCGGCCTGACTCCGGCTAGGGGGGTGGATGGCCGGGGGGGGCGAGAGCAAATGCAGGCGCATGTGCAGGTGCTAAGTGCCAGGTGCAAGCGCGCGATGGAAGGAAAGAGATGTGGAATACGGATATGAAGAAGCGCAGACTAAAGCAGCCCGCGCATGTCATATACAGAAAAAGAAGTGAATAGGCAGGTATAACTGAGACGAGGTGCAGCGCGCCTGCCTTTGGTCGAGGAACTGCCAGTCCGGGCCAGTCCGGCCAAGCAAAAAACACGACGGGTGAGGTGGGCTCTTCCCAGGTAGAATGTATGTATGTCAAGCTCAAGCGGGCTCACCTCACGAACCGACCGCCAATTATTACCTGCCCACGTACGGATATCCGTACGGTATTTATCAAATCTCGCAGAGGTTCACGACAGAGAGGGACCCTGATGTCCGGCGAGGAAAACAAGGAGCCCCCCCTGCGGATGGTAGCGAAAATGAAAGTGGGATCTGAATCTAGATGGGAGCGTGGGCCGGTGGCCGGCTGGTGGCTCGTCTAGGTTGTGGGGAAGGGAGCGAAAATGGGACTGGCTGGACTGGGCTGGGCAGGACTTTGCCGAGTTAAAACACGCACTGGAGCGCACTGGACGTTTGACGACGAAGGGATAGAAGTTCTAATGGATCACGCTTCCTCAGCCTCCCCAATTAAAAAGCCGAACGAAAGAAGGCTTTCGATTCGTTTTTCGCCCCGCGCTAGGTAAGCAGGTGCCCGCCTCGCCCAACACCCCGGCTCATGGTCAAGCATTGTTAGTCTAACCTAAAATAGGTAGTAGACGCCCAGGCTTACCGGAGCGGGAAGCTATGTCTAGTCTGGATGGGGCATTTGTGGAGTAGATTCATGCAATTGGGCCTGGCCCTTCAATGACTTGCAGGGTTCCGCTTTCCTTCAAGCTCCCACGGGTTGCTAGGTGCATCTTTACATTTATTCTCGTGGCACAATTCGAGATCATCATAGCGATCGGACCTGGCATCCAAATCCTCCAATATTTGGGTTGTCTACGTGCATGTATAATATCCTCTGTCTTGTCGACGTTCACGGTGATTCTACCAAGGAGCTTGATACCTTTTTGGTCGTGTGGCGTGGCGCAACCGTCAACGCTAGATCTGCAGCCCTTCCATTGTTGTTGACCACACCCTCGACGGCCTATTATCTATCCATTCCTCTTGAGGACGGATCATAGAGGGAAAGGCTCTCCACTGCTCTGCTGGTGGTGTTTTCACCGGTCTGTAGTTGCGCCAAGGCGCGCTGCCCAGAGCTTGTTTCTTTGGAATTCTCTATCAGATCAAGGACCCATCCGAATCCAGTTCAATCCGGCTCGGATTTGTCTGGCCTGTCTGGAGCTGGAGCCGGAGCCGGAGTCGGAGCCGGAGAGAGAAATAAGGAAGGCAGTTAGATAGCTTCGCCGAGGCTGGTGGTGGAGCTGCCCAGGTCGCGCCGCCATGGATCCGGCGGCGTACAGATACAGGCCCCCAAAGCCCAACTACCTACCGCGCGATGTCGACGTGGATGAGCCCGTCGTCGAGGAGTACCATATGCCCATGGGCCGCGCCGATGACCGGGAGAACGCCATCTTCTTCAACCGCATGAAGCGCACCGCCATGGAGTCCAACATCGTGCGGCCCAAGGGCTACACCGTCTCGTACCACGCCAACCCCGAGATGGAGAAGCACCACTTCGGCCAGACACATCCCATGAAGCCCTGGCGTCTAACCCTGACCAAGAGCCTGGTCTCGGCCTACGGCATGCCCTTCGCCATGGACAACTACAACACGCGCGCCGCCACCTACGAGGAGCTCAAGTCCTTCCACGCCAGCGACTATCTCGACTACCTGGCTACCGCCCCGCCTGAAGACCAGCCGCGAGATATCGACAACCCAGACAAGGAGGTCAAATTCAACCTGGGCGGAAGCGACTGCCCCTTGTTCCACGGCCTCTACGACTACTGCTCCATGTCTGCGGGGAGTTCTATGGACGCTGCCCGCAAGATCTGCAACAAGCAGTCCGACATCGCCATCGCCTGGGGCGGCGGCCTGCACCACGCCAAGCGCTCCGAGGCCTCGGGCTTCTGCTACATCAACGACATCGTGCTGGGTATCCTGCAGCTGCTGCGCTGCTACCCCCGTGTCCTGTACATCGACATCGACGTCCACCACGGCGACGGCGTCGAGGAGGCCTTCTTCTCGACCGACCGCGTCATGACCGTGTCCTTCCACAAGTACCAGCCCGAGGTCTTCTTCCCCGGCACCGGTGGGCTCGACGACAACGGCCCTAAGAGCGAGCACAACCCCGGGGCCCACCACGCCATCAACGTGCCGCTCAACGACGGCATCACCGACGAGCAGTACGAGTCGCTCTTCCAGGGCATCATCGGCAAGATCAACGAGCACTTCCGGCCCAGCGTCATCGCCCTGCAGTGCGGCGCCGACTCGCTCGCCGGCGACCGGCTGGGCCGCTTCAACCTGCAGGTCCAGGGCCACGGCGCCTGCGTGGCCTTTTGCAAGCGCCTCGGCATACCCATGATCATCTTCGGCGGCGGCGGCTACACGCCGCGCAACGTGGCGCGCGCCTGGGCCTACGAGACGTCCATCGCCATCGACTGCCAGGACAAGATCGACCCCATCATCCCCCAGCACGCGCCCTGGCGCGAGCACTTCATCCACGACACCCTATTCCCCACGCTCGAGCAGATCCTCGGCGAGCCGCGCGCCAATCGCAACACGCAGAAGCGCCTCCAGGAGATCGTGCAACACGTGCACGAGCAGCTACGATTCGTAGCTCACGCCCCCAGCGTCCAGTCCCAGATCATCCTCCCGGACCTAGGCGGCATTAGAGACGACGTCGAGGACCGCATCCGCGAGGAGAACGAGGCCAAGGACGAGAACCTCCGTAATACGCGCGAGGAGGGCGTCGGCGACCCCATGGAACTCTGATGCTACTTTCTGTCTACCGTATCCCCCGAGAGCCAAGAGCCAGAGAGATATCGCCGTTCTGTGCGCGTCTTTGCTGTACTAACAAGTGCTACTTCGTATTCAACTCCCCACCACCCCTCTATTCTGTATTATGCGTCATATATATGTTCGCATCTTATGCGTGTATGGCGTGATAGAAGGAAGGATTGAGAAGTTGATATCAGACACGACTTTAGGGGTAGACAACAATCCCCGCGCTCGGCGACGTGGGAGACATTTTGACAAATTAGCTTCACTATGAATAAGGGTGGAAGGGAGTGTTTGTTTGTTAACCAGCGTTTTCGTTTCCAACCCAGCGGCATCGTCGTCAAAATGGGAAGGGTGCCACGAACATTCTCCTGGCTGCTACTATTCTAGCCGGTATGGAGCAATGGATATGTAGCGAAAAATGGTAGTGCTTGCTTGCCCTGCAGAAACACATTTGTGTCGACATTGCCAGATAGATACAAACACGGTGAACAGTGAGACAAACAAAAACATAAAACGTATGTTCGCTTGCCCGTCAAAACACACTCAGTAACCTAGTCAACATCATTTTACGCCGGTGCTATGTTTTACATGTGTATCAAAGACAGCAGCGGGGGGGGGCAGCAATAAAAAACCAAAAACCCCCAAAATCGGAATGCTTTTCGTGCCGACAATAAGACGACCAGGAAATAAAAACGTCGGCCCAAGTTGGCCCCGTATTTTCAATTAAAATGGCATATGAACAACAAAATGGCTCATCACTAAATAGACAGCTACGTAGTTCGCAAGAGAGGATTCGCTGAGAAAAAAACTCGTTTCCGCATCTCGCCTCTATCAATAGCATCAGCCCCAGTGCGGGGTGGAAAAAGCGGTTTGGGCCTCTTCCTCGAGCATCTTGCGCTTGATGTGCCTCGACTTGACAGCGACAAAGGTGACGAGGGCAATGCCGATGGCCAGGCCGGTCGACAGCAGCATGAGGTTGACGGGGACGGGGTTGCCGCCAAAGGTCTCGTGGAAGAGGTAGTCGAGGCCCGACTGGGAGAAGTTGAAGAGGCCCGAGAGGCAGATGATGGTGCCGTAGACCTTGCCAAAGGTGCGGAAGCCAAAGACCTTTGCGCTGTAGTCGGAGACGGCCGTGTAGTAAAAGGGGCGGTAGAGGACGAAGAGGCAGATGTTGGCGTAGGCGGACCACATCTTAGGTATCACGCCAAAGAAGCCAATGGTGGTGGCGCAGGCGACGAGGGCCGTGAGCACCGTCACGGTGCTGGTGCGGTCGAGCACGAGGCCGATGAACGGGATCGACAGGATGCCGCCGAGCGGGAGCGCAACATCGAAGAAGTTGTTGAGTTTGATGGCCTTGTCGACAGACCCGAAGATGGCCTCGTATTGCGGGCGTATGGTGGCGACAAAGTAATTGATTCTGGTCATCTGAATGACTATTTATGTGAAAAATCCAACAGTAAGCGAAACATGCATGCGAAAAGCATTAAGCGAAAATAGGGGGTTTTGTGTGACCCTACCGGTAAACATGCAGATGAGAATGAACCAGGGCGACTTGATCTGTTCCATTGACGTATGCGTGTGCATTACTCCCCACACACCCGATATCTCGTTCTTGCGCTCTTCGCGCTTCGCCTGCTTGTCCGCCTTGGCTGAGCCGAGCAGGTCTTGAATGCCGGACACCACCTCCTCGCGGTGCTGTCTCTCCTCTTCGTGGAGGAGAGCAGTATGCTCGTCAATCTGGTCATACGGGCCGTCGTCGGGAATAGGTTCCTCAATTTCCTCAACCAGTTCACCTACCGTCTTATAGGACTGGGCGGGCAGCAGCGTCAGCTGGATGACGATGATGACAACAGGCACAACGAGGTAGGCCAAGAAGAAGCGTCTATGACCAAAGGCTCTACCCGACTTCTCGTAGACGATTCGGTATATCAAAAACAAGGCACTGGATGCGTCGAAGGCGCCAGTAAGGAGGGCGAGGATGAAACCCGAATTCCGGGGAAAGGCATTGGACAACTGGAAGGATGAGATGTAGGTGAATGGGCCGCCCAGGGCTAGAAAGAGGTAGCCAAAAAGCAGGCCATCAAAGGGTACTTTGTTCTCAAACGACATGAGAAGGGCGCCGATTGCGAGGAAGACGCAGCCCAGCATGCCGCACACGCGTGGGCCATAGCGATCGAGAATGGCTCCCACGGGCAGGGCGGCGACGTTGGTGGCAACGGCGGCCACAGTGAACATGAGATTGAGGTGAATCTCAACACATGTGTCCTCGCTCACAGATCCGTCCTGGCAGACATCTCGGTAGGCTCCCTCGTCCTTCAGGACGGGTTTTATGGCGGCATAGCCAAAGACGATACCGGCAGAGAAGAGGCAGTAAAAGACCGTGGCAGTGACTTGGACTAAACGAAATCACGTGGTTGGTTTTCAGGACGAAAGAGAGGGAGAGATGAACAAGGACGTACGCATTCGCTTCCATTTTGGCACTTCAAAGGCACCCACGGCATGAATTTGCTCGAGGGCCGGAGGATCCCATGATTGCGGGAGAGGGTTGAAGCTCAGCTTGCGGGAGCGAGCCGAGGCATCGGAGCTCCTCCTAGACCGCTGGTCGTTTGGGAGGATACTGAAAGTCTCGAGAGACGAGACGCGGTTTAGAGACATGCCAGGCCAGCTGCTGTGAACGGCGACCGTGAGTGAGTCAGGTTCACGTTCCTACCAAGATGCGAGAGGGAGAGATAGATAGAGATAGGCGGCGAGCTTGGTCGTCCTGTCCCTCCAAATCGACAGCCGCTGTCAGCTAGCTTTTAATTATCTTCAATAACTATCCAACCGGGGCTCTTAGTTCGCCAATAGGCCCTGGAGGGGTCGATAAGATCAATGTAGCTCCCGGAGGGGCCTGCAAGGTGGAGATAAGAGAGTTTCGAGACTAGGGCGGAGGGGTGTGGAGGGGAGTTGGCGAAGAGATACCCGAAGACCCTTGTGCCCATGCACTCACTCCCATCACTCACTGCACAACATGAGGAGCCAAATGCAAGTAGGATTCCCAAGAGAAAACGACTTGAACGACAGCTCTGGGACGGTCACGGCTTTTGATAAAACAGAAACAAATCACGTCATAACAAAAGACAATGATGGGGCAGTGGGCGAGACGGAGCCTGCGAACGTTGCCTCCAAGCGGGGTTCATGTTATATCATGCACCCAAACTCGACCGAGAGGATGTAGCACCCACTAGCTTGGCGACGTGACTAACGCGGCCGACAATGCGAGTCTCGGCATCCGTAGAGTGCGCCTGGGTCGAACCTTCCAGCTTTGCTTCAGTGCTAGAGTTGAAGGAGGCTAACTTGCAAAAAAAATTATCTGCCCAATTCTTGGGTTTCTATCTCAAAAAGCACCTTCTTAACTTCTTCACCTGTCGACTCGGTTGAAGAAGGAACGAGGAGGGGAGGCGGGTGTTGTCGTCATGAGCTCTGCCATTGGTACCCCCAAGCTCCGACGACCGGATTGCCGTTTTTAATTCGCCTAACACCCTGGAGCCTGGCTGAGCCGCCTCGACCAATCGATCGGCAGTTCTTACATTTCTTACACAGTATGGAATATACAAATGCTCGAGACAGACAGCAACTCAGTTAGTATAAAACCGGCAGCACTGCTCCTAGCGGCATGCAGGCCCCCAAAAAAACGCCCGCAGACTCTGACCCTGCCTTAGGTAGTACCTTAGCTATACGGGGCCCGTGTATAGCCGAGAGTGCAAGCAGCAAATGGAAGGAAAATAAACCAACTTGCGGTAACATGGGATGGCTTTGCTCTGGCACTGTGAAGAGCAGAACACGGCAGTCTTGTCATCTCATGAACATTTCCCTGCCTTTCAGGTATTCCATCTCCGGTGTGGCTGACGCGTCGGCAACAAACCCGGGCAAGCCTCGACAGTGAACGGGCAGTGGAGTTTTTTCCCGAAGCCGAGGCTTCAACCCCACAGCTCGGATTTAAACCAGATAATAAGATCCCATCGCAAGGAATGAACGGCATATTGCTGGCGTCGTGGTTTTTGAATGTTAACAAGTAAATCTCTTGGGGGCTTTTGGCGGCAGCCCGACTGTGCGACTATACGCGTAGCAACGTAGGACAAATTCTAACGGCTATGCCCTTTGTCCCTCATTACATAATGATAATCGAAGCTTCAATATGTAGTGGCATTGCGAGTAGTGGACGCGTAATAGTTACTGCGGGTCTTGCCACCACAGATAGACATAATACCACCAAGATAAAACCTCACTTTCAGCTTAAACCGACTAGTTATTCACTTATGCGAGACGATCTTATTACTTCAGCCTTTTGTCTACATCGAGACGCTTTGAGTTTAAAGAGATTTACATAGATAGACTATGTGGAACTTAGGTATATAGCGGGCTAGTAGTAGAGCGAGAGGAACCACGTGAGCTTTCTAGGTTAGTAGAATATGGATAGCAATATGAGCAAATCTGACTGTGATTGCCCGCAGCCCTAAGCCCAGTCTTGTAGACGCTGTCGTGGATTCCCGTCGTCGTTGTTGTCGGGACCCAACTTCAAAGTCACTCGGCAAGCCGCCGCCGAGGCCGTCTATCAGACCCCCTATTGGCCCGCGTCGGTCCGCTGGGTGATGGTATGGCCAAACGCAATAGATATCACTATCCCCATTTCCCGGGTCACGCCCGTCGCCCGCAGCGTTGCAGGGCAGAAATAGCCGAGTTTGTTGCCAGAGTTGACCCATCTGAGACTTACCTCTCTTTCCATCTGCGAAACTGATCTACGCATCTCCCATGGCACGTCGGAAAATAGCTCAACTGCTTTTCAACTGCACTCACTCACATTGCTCCCTCCCCGCATGAGCTCTGCTCTGGTTACACATGCGCGACCGTTGAGAAGGGTCTGGCCGCGCCACGAGAGGCTGTACGCGACGAAGTCAGGCAGCTGTGCCAAGGAATCGGCGCATTACCGACTCAGAAGTTGTTCGAAGAGGTGGGCTCCATCTCCATCTCGGATTCTCCACGACGCCACTGGCCTCTTGGTGTCCTACACTTGCGATTTTGGCGTTTTCTGTCCTCCCCCATTCGTGAGAGAAAGGGACATGCTTCGAACATTCGGACTCATCGGCGTCGTTGATGCGTTGCATAACCTCCCTAGGGTTGTAGCAATGTGCGCACAGGAATATTCCGACAACGCTATACTCCTCTTGCCTTACGCCCACCTGCGCTAACCTCACTGATAGAGGCGGGGTCCAAAAATAACTCGATATTCTGTAGACTTACTACCTCACATATTGCAGAGTTGGGACTTGACCTAAATGGGAGCAAGGGCTGGCCCGCCCGCAAAGCATGGATTCCAAGTCTGCCTGGTCTGGTCTGGCTCTGTTTGAGCGAGTTGGGGGTTTGGTTATCACCACACCACCTCCAGACCAAACGGCAGGCAAATCGAGTGCCCCGCCATTAGCTTCGAAGCTATTGCTTGGCAACAGCAGCAAGTCATCACCCACCTCCCGTTGCTTCTCACCAGTAAAAAGTCCGACAATAAGTGCGGGGCCCGTACTGTGTCTGCCCAACTCCGCCGTCTGTGTTCTTTTTCGGGTTTTGAGCCCCAGAACTGGACGGCATGTTTGTCATCCTTCGACTCTCATCAGTCTCGAGCGCCCGCCGAGTGGTGGGGTCCTTGCGTGTCGCGACTGCCACACCCGGCTGATGGAGCTGATGGCGCGTTTGAAAAGGGTCTAGCGGGGCCTCTCCATCAAATGTGAATGCATGCCATTTGGGCCAATGCCAGGGGCCGCAACCGCCTGCAACTGCGACCGCGAAGCAGGCGCTTGCCCTTCCCGTTCAATGGTCGGCCACGCCCAAGCCTTTTAAAGGCTGTAAGCGCTGACGGTGCGAGGCCAATCACGGCATCTTGCCGTCTGGAGCGCGCTCGCCAACCCCTTTGCAGCACTGGGCTGCACCGCACCGACAGTGCTGTGCTGTGCTGTGACTGCCCAGCACCGGACTGCAAACCAAGGGAAAAAGTATCCACGGACAGATTCCGTAAGGTGAGGGGAGGGGAGGGAGGTAGTGCCACCACCAGATGGCTTCTCCCGCTGGCTGCCCTGGCCCCCCCCCCAGTTCAAGTTCCCCCGTTGCGAGCCCCTGTCGCGGTGCGCACCCATGTCCCTCCATGTCAGGTCGCACGGCGGGCTGCCTGCGCACGCATCGGCTGGGGGAGGGAAGGAGGGGATGGCCGCATATTGACCACCTCCTTCCCGGCATCAGGGCTCCTGTCAGCCCAGGCTGGATGGACATTGGATCTGGACATCCATTTGGGCGGACATTTCGACACCTGACGGGACGCTGCTGCTGTTGCTGCTGCGTTTCTTGTTTCACTCGGGCCGTCTCCTACCTCCATGCTACTTGCCTTGCACCCCTCAAGCTATCAGCCGGCTTCTTTTTTGTTTTATCTCGCCACTACCTAATTACTGCCCTGCCTTGCTCCCGTGGAACGCCTCGTTGCAGCAGCCAGGTCAGGTCTCGTTTTCGGGTTGCAGCAAGCATCGCCGGCCTGGGCCACCTCACAGCGTGCGCGGAGCGGGGTTCGTCTGGGCACTCGGCACTCGCAAAGCTGATTGAACAGGAGCAATAAGCCTTCTCGACTTCGCAGCACGCACACACTCGAAACCCGAAGCTGGAAGCTCCAAAAATAGCCTCTTACATACATCTATCTGCTGTGCGCCGCTTTGCGCCTGCCCGTTCGTTGCCCCGAGAAGTCGAAATTCGACACCGAGGCGGAAACAGAAACAGAAAGAGAAGAAAAATAAGCAGCGTGCCGGCGCCGCAACCTCCATCCCCCGCGTGTGAGGAGGATAAGCCGCGGCCATGGCTTCGCGATCTCGTGATCTGCCCGACGAGGAGCTCTTTATGAGCCGACCCGGCCCGGCCGCTGATGACTGCGACAGCCCGACGGTCGAGCCGCTCAGGATATTCAGGCCCCTGAGTCCCAGGACCCATCCTGCCGACAAGCCGGCGGACCGTTACAAGTTCCCCGCCCCTCCGTCGTCATCGTCATCGCCCGCGCCCTCGTCTTCTTCCTCGTCCAAGCCCACCATCGCCTCGCTACCCCCGCTGCCGTCTTTCCCTATGTCACTCGGCGCATCCAGCTCCGCCGCCCCCTTGCCCTATCCCGACGACGACGGCAACCGCAGGCCTACCCAGGCCTCCAAGCCCTCTCGGCTCCCGTATCCCGACGACAACCGCAGGCCCTCGCTGCCTCTGAGCACCTCGTCGCAGTCTAGCGATGGTCCCGGGCGCCTTGTCACAAGCCCTATCGATAAGAAGGGCAGCGGTCTTGCCGAGCGGCGCGGTACGGTTCCCAGGCCTCTGCAAAGCCCCGACAGCCCTAGCGTGGACAGGGAGGAGCTCTTCGCAAAGCCCCTGAGGAACCCCGCAGTTTTGGCTGCATCGGCGCCATCCGCCGCCCCCGCAGCCACCGCCGCTCCCGCAACCAAGATATCTAACGCATACCAGCAGAAGCCTTACTATCCTCCGCCGGGCGGTGCCGTCGGCCCCCGCGCTAGCTCGGGGCTTCAAGTTCAGGAGTCCAACATCAACCGCTTCTCGTCGACTGCCTCAACATCGACTACTCGTGCGAGTCGTGGGTCGCCTCCTCCCCCTGAGACACCCATTCTCGAGCCGGGCTCGCTGCCTGGGGGTGGCATTGAAGCGCGTTATGCGGCCGCGGGTATCTCGGGGACCGCAACCCTCAACAGCCTCAGCCTCCAGGCTCCGAGTGCGGCCGCTCAGTCGCGGCTGGCCCAGTATGGCAGACAGAACTCGAACCCCCCGGCACAGCCTCAGCCGACTCGGCCGTGGACCCCGACTGAAACCCCCGACCAGCAGCCCTTTGGCCCTCCAACAGTGTACCAAGGCGCCGATCTGGTTGCCAATCCGCCAGCGCAGCAGAATTCGTTCAACCTGCCTGCGAACCCCAACCCGGCCTCAGCTACGCCGTCGGGCCCAGCGCTGCAGGTGAGCGTTCTGGAACAGGATTTTCAGCGCATGCAAGCCTCGACTCCACCTCCTGCCTACACGAGCGTCAACCCTTCGGCCAACTCGTCGCAATATCCCTCGGAGAAGCAGCGGCCAACCCAGGCAAGCCCCAGCGCGAACGCCAATGCTGGCCCCAATCTAGCATCCCACCCGGCAATGGCCTCGGGTGCCAGGACCTCAGCCCGGCCGGGCCCAAGCTCAAGCCCAGCTCAGGGAAGCTCGACACAAAAGCCCGTGCCGTCTCCCTCTCCGGCGGCTCACCCTGCCGTGGCTTCTTCGTCCTCTCAGCTTGCGGGTCATCCCGCCTTCGCCAACGACACCAAGCCCGAGGCGGCAACAAATGGGCAACCAGGGTTAACGCACACCCCCTCGCTTCTTGCGGCTGCTACGTCGCCTCCTCCTCTCCCAGAGGGATGGATCGCGCATCTTGACCAGGTCTCGGGCCAGTACTACTACATCCATCTCGCCACCCAGGCCACACAGTGGGAGTTTCCCAAGGGACCCACCCCGCTTCACCATAATGAGCCCGTCCCTCTGTCACCGGCAGCATCGACGTATGGCAACCCCCTCGGGTCGCCGCTCCTTGGCGGCGGCAAAGCCGGGCTCAATTCCCCCATGTTCCATCCGCAGACTCCCGGATATGCCGAGAGCATCATGAGCGTTGCGGCCTCGGCCACGCCTTCGACGGCAGGATTCACCGGGCCTCCCCCAAGCGCCGGTGTTGACGTGTACAAGGTCATGCCCACAAATGGCGTCTACTTTGGGCCCTACCTGCGCTATGTAAACATGGATCTTGAAAAGGGCGTTTGGCTGGGCAGCATCATGATTGTGACAGACGCGCCGCAGCCTCCCACAATCCACATCCATCTGAGCGTAGATCTGTCCCCCAACCCCCGCCAGCTAATCCCGCGCGGCATCTACACGCACCAAAGATGGTCCTTCTACAAGTACGATATGGATTTGCAGATGTCGGAGCAAGGTACCGAGCGGTGGACATATGCCGTGACGTCGCATCTTGGGTGCACTCGCTACGAGTTTGCCGTGGCCGGCCGCTACGAGGTGGGCTGGCGCATGATCGCTCACTCTGGCAACGACTTCTCTCCCAGCACCAAGCAGGAAGAGCGCGCAAAGCTCGGGGGCGTTGGCTTCATGTGGAAGGATATTCTGCAGAAGAACATTGAATGTGGCGGCTTTCACGTCCAGCTTGGCCTTGGCGACCAGATTTACGGAGATCGGCTGTGGAAGGAAGTCCCCATCTTGCGGCAATGGCTGGCAATGGGAGGGAGAGAAAACCGTAAGACGGCTCCCTGGACGGCGCGGCACGAGGAAGATGTCTCGCACGCGTATTTCCACTACTACACCAGCCACTTCGACCAACCATTTATGCGCGAGGCCTTTGCCCAGATCCCGCATGTCCTGCAAATTGATGACCACGATATGTAGGTTTTGGCGGCTCCTTTACCCCGATAAGTGTACGCGGTGGCTCGACTCTTGTTTGCTAACCTCATCTCAGCTTCGACGGCTTCGGCTCTTATCCCGACTATATGCAGTCCTCTGCCATATTCAAGAACATTGGCCGCATTGCAATTGAGATGTACTTGCTGTTCCAACATCACACGACTGTCGAGATACTGCGGAATGTCAGCTCGGACATGGACCTCTTCACCATCACGGGGTCCGGGTGGCACTTCCTCAAGTTCCTAGGCCCTGCTGTGGTTGTCGTTGGCCCGGATTGCCGCTCCGAGAGGACACAGAGCCGTGTCATGGCTGGGCCTACCTACCAAGGCTTGTTTCCCAAGGTTGCTGTGTTGCCGCCTAGCGTGCAGCACTGCATCTGGATGGTATCTGTGCCGGTGGTATATCCGCGTCTGGAGACGGTGGAGACATTGGCCAACACATTTGCAACGGGAAAGAAGGCCGTCAACACGACGTACAACCTCCTCGGCAAGGTAACAAGCTCGGTGGCGGGCGTCGTGGGCGGAAAGGAAATGGTCCAGCACGGCTTCAAGGAGGTCAAGAAGGCGGTTGGAAAGTCCGGGCTCATGGGCAACGTCCTCAACCAGTTTGGCGAGTTCGACATTGCCGAGGAGCTGAAGGACCTGTGGACACATGAGTCTAAGGATCTAGAGCGGACATACTTGATCCGAACTTTGCAAGGGATCGCCCAGCAAAAGGGCATCCGGATGACGTTCTTGTCAGGAGGTAAGACACGGACACCCCTACCAACATGGCCGTTTCGCGCGTCTAGCTGAGATACTAACACTTTGCTTGCAGATGTTATCTGCTGCGGGGCGGGCATTGTTCACGACCCATCGCACCCGAGCGACCACAAGACCATGTACCAGATTATTTCAAGTCCGGTCGTGGCGGCACCGGCAAGCAACTACCTGCTCAAGATGCTGCACAACAACAAGATGCTGTACGTACCGCTCAACGGCCACAAGTCGACGCACGAGGTCAGCGACACCAAGGAAGACATGATGGAGATCTTCCACACGGACGCGTCGGGCGCCGCCCGCGAGCACAAGAAGCTCATGAGCCGCCGCAACTACGTTGCCATCGTGGCCTATGACCCCGACGCGCTCAACGGCGGCCAGCAACAGCAGCAGCAGCAGAACTATGCCGCCAGCATCGCGAGCGGCCACTCAGGCGGCGGCCACGGCAGCGGCCTCAGCAAGCTAAGCTTGGCCGTCGACTTTGTTGTCCAGGGCGACGGCGCATTCGCTGCGACGACAAAGTACGGGCCGGTTATTGTGCCTCATTTGGAGTTTGGCCACTAGAACTTCTAGGCTGTCTCATTTTCCCATCTTCCACTCTCAGCATGTAGACATGGCCGACTAGTATTCTCCGAGGAAAGGATGCCACTGATTTGCACGATTTGCGTTGGATTTCTCTTCTTTTGGTTGGTCTCCTGTTGAGGATGTTCACGTTTTCTTGAATGACGGCAGTTAATCTTCGTTTCTCTATATGTGCCCTCGGTTTTTTTTTTGTAGTTGGCGATATTTCACGCTATCTAGATGGAGTGAGAGAGAGGGCTTTTCCCCAGCGCATATTGATGTTGATGTTGGTCGAATCTATATACGGCATTATATGTGTAACCCATGGCGACCGGTGATGAGTGACGGATGGCAGGCAGCTAGCTGTAGTAGCGGTGGTCCGAGGTGAGGTGAGAGGAATGGGCAGTGAAGTGAAGTCGAGTGCTGTTCGGATGGAGCTAGGTTTGTTTTGGGAGGAGAGACGCAGCAGAGAGAAAGACAGGCAGAGGTTTAACGATTGAAATGCAAAAAAATGAATAGCCTTTTTATACAATCCTACCTCTTTCCACTCCCATCTCTTCCACGGGGGCGGGGGAATGCCGTGCGTATACCGATAATGCGACCCCCCTGCCGCCTCCTCGAGATGCATATCGACGAGCTTGAGATCCATCTGCCAAGAGTGTAAAACTAGGTGGTTAGTCGGTATTGAATAAGCAGCATACATCTATATGGTCTGTCAACAGACTGGATTGATCTGTCAACCGCCATCCCCTATTGCTAGGGGCGACCAGAGTCTCGCTTTCTGCTTTTAACGTGTATTTCATTATGGCATGGATGAGTGCTAGATGCTAGCTGCTAGATTTGACCTGGACCTTTCTCTTTCCTTTATCCTCCTCTTGATCTAGATGGATGAGGAAATGTCTTTTTGTTTGTTTTGTTTATTCTCTTCTCTATCATCTCCCCCCTTTTCACCCCCTTCTTTAGACCAAACTTACCATTTCAATCTCAACTTTTATTTTCAGACCTGACCGGGACGGAGGCGGGGGTATGGCACTGAAAAAGATATAATTCTTTTTTTAAAATTTAAAACTTCCCCCTTTACAGACCAAACAGTGCCTTGAGCTCGGCGATGGTGTCGTCGGGCCCCGTGACCGAGTGGCCGATGGTGCGGGGGTCCGAGTAGATCTCGTAGTCGTTGCCGCCAACCATGGTCTTGTCACCAAAGAAGTGGATCATCGTGTACTGCACGCCGCCAGGCTTGCGCGCCTCGTTCTCGAGGTGCTGCAGGCAGTAGGTCTTGTCCCACCCCTTGGGGAACACGTCGAACGAGATTTGGCCGCCGATGGAGAAGCTTTTGGAGGACAGATGTTAGTCCAAGGGGGAATGTGCGTTGGGGGGATTACAAAAAAGGGAAACCCATTGCCTGGATGAGACACAGAAAGGAAAAAAAAAACTCACGTCAACCCCAGGTGTGCAAAGCGCTCGCGCAGCTTCTCGACGAATGCCTTGCGCACGCCGTACACGTTGTCGTAGGCGAGGAAGTCGAGGCGCTCCTGGTTGGAGGCGTTGCGCCCGATGGGCGAGATGTTGACCATGCCGTTGCGGAACTCGACAAAGGTGCCGCGCTTGACGGGCAGGTCGAGGTCGGCCAGGTAGTGCAGCACGAAGCGCACGAGCTCCTTGTACGGCTCCTCGCCCAGCCACTGGATGAAGCTGGTAGACGCCAGCGACGCGCCCTCCTTGAACGCCGTCAGCCCGTTCTCGCTGAAGCAGAAGTCGAACAGCGTCGTCACGTTGACGTCTTGTGAGAGGGCGAGCTGCTCCTGCTGCTTGGCCAGGTCGCTGCCGCCGACGAACCCGATCGCGCACTTTTGCCGCAGCCGCGCCAGCAGGTCGAGCATCTCGGGCGAGACGTCCTGTTATTCGGCAGTGGTGGTGGGATCAGCATGGTCGTCTCGTCTCGGCGGAGGTGCAAGGATGGGGAAGACAGTATAGAGACGTACCTGTCGAGCAGGAGTGAGGGTGCCGTCGACATCGAAAAGGCAGATGGTGTTCTTGAGCTCGCGCTCGGCTAGCGGCGGGTATTGGTACGGGGAAGCCATTTCGCAGACTGCTGAACGTATTTATGTGTATTTAGCTAGCAGGCAGTTTCTGACCTTTGTTGCTTTCAATTGTGTTGTCGACAAGTTAGTTGCACAACGACGGCGGCGGTGGCCACGACACGACGACGTGGAGGGGTTACGAGGCGGTCAGGACAGGGTGGGAAACACTGGGAAGCGCGTCTGGTGAGGGGTCAATTCGTCGACCCCACGTTGGAGGATTGGGCGAGGGGTAGCTGTAAGCCCCTTGCAGGCCCCACGACGGCTCCACGAAATGGGTGGCTTGATGCTGGCCCCCCCCCCCTAACCCCTCTCTGTGCCTCGCCAGCTTCAAACAACATTTGTAAAGTCAAAGGGGTAGGTAGCTCAATTCCAACAATTGTACAAAAGAAGACATCGCCGAATATCGAAAGAAAACAGGAGAGCACGGGGAAAAGTTTCAATTATTCAGCTATAGCTCAAATACATGGCAATTAAATTAATTGCTTGCCAAACCAGTAAGGAACGGTATTTATTATGGCCATGGAGGGTACCTCAGGTAAGGTATTCTCATGTGGCATCGTACCGCATCACACGCAGACTGACCGGCTGCTTACTCCTCGTCCTCTCGGCCGAACTGGCCGTGCGACTGTTGCTGGCCACCGTATCCAGAGCCCGAGAATCCCGAGCTGCTGTTCTCATCGCGCCGCCCGCTCTGGCTGCCAAAGTTGGAAGCGTCCCTGCCTTGGCTACCAGACTCGCGTCCTTCTCTCCTGTTGTTGTTGTCGTTGCCATAGCTAGGCGCGCTGTCATTGTCGTCGCTGCGGCGGCCGTTGCCCGGGCCACCACGGCGCTCATCGCCCTGGCCTTGGCCGTAGTTTCCGGCCCGGCTGTCCTCCCTGTCCTCGTTGCTGCCAAAGGGCTTGCCGCCAAAGCTGCCCGTCTGGCTGTTCTCGTCCCTGCGCTCCCTCTCGGAGCTTCCGCGACGGGGAGGGCTTCCGGACCATCCCTCGTCGTTGCGGCTGGGCCGGTTGCCCTCCTGGCCGAAGCCTCCCGCCTGCTTGTTCTCCTCGTCCCAGCCGCCACGCGACGGTCTATCGCTGTTTCCGTAGCCACCCGTCTTGCGCTCATCGGACTGATTGGCCGCGTTGTTATTGCCGGCGTTGTTGCCGAATTCCTGCTGCTGGATTAGCATCTCGTAAAGCCAAGAGTCTGGTGTTTGACAAGTGTTGCTTACCGAAGGGCGCTCCTCGTTGCTGTCCCGTCTGTCGGACTTCTCCGAGTTGTTGTTGTTGTTGTTGTTGTTGTTGTTGTTGTTGTTGTTGTTGCTGTTGTTGCTGTTGTTGCTGTTGTTGCTGTTGTTGCTGTTGTTGCTGTTGTTGCTGTTGTCGTTTTCGTTGTCGTTGCGTCTTCCGCCAGTAAAGCCGGATACAAAATCCTTGCCAACGGTCTGGGCGTCGAACTTGCCATCGCTGGACTTGTAGGCCGAGGCCGCCTTCTTGGCTACGTTTCCAACCTCCTCGTAGTTGATCTTCTTGTCTCCCGAGCCCTGCTGGCTGTCGTAGGCCTTCTTGGCTGCTTGGCCAACGTCGGCCCACTCCCGGCCACTGTTCTGGCTGTTGTTGTCCTTGTTGTCGTCATTGGAGGATGAGTTGAGAGCGGACTGGGCCAGGCTGCTGATCTTGCCGAAATTCATGATGGGCGGAGGCTAATATGACCTTGTCTGAGATTGGGGTATAGATGAGGTGTAGATGAGGTGTAGATGAGGTGTACACAGATGAGGGGTGTAGAATGGCTTGGGTAGATGATGGCTGGTAGGCGAGTGCTGCTCTCAATTCCAGTCGAAACATGTGAGGCTTATATAGGAAAAATCCGCACTCTATTCTCCATACCCAAGAGTATCACAAAGCCCCGCTCTGTCGCCATCGGAACCCAGACCAGCTGATAAGTACAGCTGCGCCACCACAAAACGAGACAAGACGGAAAGCGGCCTCTTCGCCGGCAAAGACGATAATTCGTTGCCCACCCAAAGTGGAGCCCGCTGCATGCTTGTGGTGGTACGAGGGCTTGTGATCGGATGCAAATTGGCAGCTACGGCGTAGACAACGAAAGCGTGGCAGCCGACGATCAAGGACTTTGGCGTTGCGCCATATCTCGAGCAGATCACAGACAGACGGGGCCCAGCCTAGCTAGCGCCTGCGGGAGACAGATGCATCTCGGGGTGATCGAGCATGACCAGCTGAAGCTCTGCTCAGGTCCTGCCCGGATGGAGCCGCTAGGGCCATTGCGGGGAGGGCGAGGCCGCCATAGGTTAGACCACATGGAGAGATCTCCATCAACGCATCCTCCCTACGGACCCTGCCCGATTGCTCGTTGCCAACGGCGATGGCCGTCGCGTCCCTCCGCACGCCCATCACGCCTCGTCGGCCCAGGTGCCCGTGAGCTCGAGGACGAGATTCACAATCGTGCTAACCGTCCAAATGGCAATCAGGCTCCAGCCTATTTTCCGGCTCATGATCCAATTGTTCGAAGGGACCACGATCAGTAGAAAAATCAGAGTCAGCAGCACCGTGATGGCCGAGATCATCAGCGTGCCGCCGACCTCGATGCTGTAGGGTTTGTAGTGAATCGGGTTCTCGGGGTGTTTCTTGTGCTTCTTGTTCGCCGACGAGATGCCCATCCAGGCTCCGCCAATACCCACGCCAAGCAGAATGTTGAGCATTGGACCCCCGAAGCACGCAGCCCTTTTTCGCTTGTTAGTTATCCGCGGCAGCCGAAAACAGTGCAGGGAGGGAGGGGGTACAACTTACAATGCCATGACCGGGTGTCCAAGACGGGCGACTGTAACATCGGCCACGAGGTCACCCAGCGAGTTGCCGACTGCAAATATCGTCAGGCCCAGAATGGCCTCGGAAATATTCAGGATCACTCCAAATGTCTTTAGCACCCCGACCACCTCTCCCGCAATGGTGGAAATCCATGCAACGCTAATTACGAATCCGAGATAGCACAAGAGATAGTGGTACTTGGGCTTCTTGTCAGGAGTGGTTGTGAGGAGCAGCGCCGCGAAAAGACAGAGAGACAACAGCAACGCGTATAGCACTAGCTTGATTAGCACCTTGCCGGGCTGCTCCAGGTCTTCAGCCACGTTGGCCCAGCCGATTACGGCGACAAAGAGTGGGCCGGTGAAGATTTGTAGGGCTACGAGCCATCGGTTCCAGTCCGACGAGTCCTCCGTCGACGTACATGTAGTAGCACGATCGAGCTCAAGATGAACAGGCATCTTTGCTATTTGCGGGGTCTCGACACTTATTGGAGACTGGTCTTGACCTGACTCCTCCGGAATCGGGTCTTCGGATAGCGGCGGCATGTCCCCGTCTACAAGCGATGACGTTACCCGAGGAGGCGACATGAGGGAAGCCACGGATTGAGCCCGGCGGCGGTACTCTTGCCATTCCGTCTCGGGCTCGATCCCGTCCCCGTCAGAGACCGAAACGGGCATGGCCGTGTTCCCAACATGGCCGTGGGCTGGGGGGCTGGCCAAATCAAGTTCCGATTCGTCATGGTCGGGTTCAGTCTCGACCACCGGCAGCGTTGTAACTAGGACAAAGATGCTGGGGACTGAGATGAGGCTGATGAGCTTATCCCACAGACTCTTGTCGCCCCACCCTTGCATGGTCGGGAAAATAGTAGCCAGAAGAATGTGAGGAGGTGGCAGGAACTGGTAAGGCCACCAGCCAATAGGTCTCGGCTCCTCCACGCGGTCGTCAAACCCGCGAGTCGAGGCACGTCGTCTCTCGGACGGAAAGGGAAATACAAAGGCAGCCTGATCCTGGCCCTGGTGTACAGGGGTCAACACGCTGGGGGATTCAAAGACAGGGAACGAGGCGGCGGACGGCGAAGTCTGCCCACTTGAGCCGCCGCTGGGCGAAGGAATCCGTAAGTTTAGGCTGTGAGGTGATGGGGACGGTTGTAACTGCTGCGATGCAGGGTCGAGGCCGAGGCCATTCGGCGGCGCAAGCCTCCCATCCACGGTTCTAGCGGCTGAGCTTGTCCGGGTTCCGGTTACCCTCTCGGACGCAGGCCGCCCGGGGCTGTGGGATTGGAGATTCCGAGGCGGGTTTCCGTTGGACAAGGCTCGCTCTCTTGTGGAGTAGACGGCATGCGCCGGCAGGGTGTTTGTCCGTAAGCGGCCCCGTCCAACCTCGGTGCGGTCTCGGCCAACCTCGATAGAAGAGTTGGAGCGTTCCAGGCCGGGGCGGTCCGAGTAAAACCTCCCGGGCAACGGCCCCAGATGCATGTTTCGAGCCCTGTGCAGCGAGGAGAGAACGGCCCTGAACTCCAAGACGCCCACTAGACTCGGCCTGATGGGGGTGATGGTGGTGTTGCTCCGGCCCCAGCGAGGGCGGTTTACGCGCATACTGCTCGTCATTTCGGCCGCCGCGTGCACTTCGCGCTCATCATCGTCGTCGTCTCCCTGCAGCGCGGGTGTCAGGCCGACACCGTCAACCTCTATCCTGGGAGCCCGCTCCAGCATGCTGATGTCGGCAGCCTCGGGAGCACTGTAAGAACGGCCTCCCACGGGGGCAGCCTCGTCATCATCGGGGGCATCGCGGTAGGGCTCCAATTCTTCGGCAGTGCGGCCGGGGCTATGAAAGTGTGTGCGCGAAGCAACATCCCTCAAGCGCTGGCGCCGCCTCCTCAAGGCGAACCAATGCCAGCCAACAACAGTCACTACGTAGAAGAGATAAAATCCAATCATAGTAAAGCACTCCCAGAGATGAAGATGGCCGTCAGCCAGGAAGACCATGGTGAAGCTGACGGCGACGATAAAGAAGATGATGTCGCGCACAAAGGTCCGCTTGCTGACCTTGAACTCGCGGACCAAGGCCATGGACCCGGCAACGACGGCGGTGATGAAGCCGGCAGCACCTATCAGTTCGCCAACCGCCATGCTGCCGCTGTTGGAGCCCATGGCGGCAAAGGTGCTGAAGACATCGGGAGAGCCATTGCCAAGGGCGAGAAAGGTGACGCCGGCCAAGCTCTCGCTGAGGCCCAGAACGCTAGCAATGGTGCTCAGGTTGACACTGAAGAAGTCGCTGGCGGCGACGCCGATGGTGGTGAAGAGCAGGCCCAACCAGAGGGCCAGGACGACAAAGGCGACGGGACGGGCATTGCCGGGCGAGCAGTAGTAGAAGGCGAGGTAGTGGATGAGACCGGCCTCGTCGTCGCTGCAGTGGTTGAGGACGAAGGCGCACTGGTCCTGGGCGTAGTGCACAGCGCGACAGTCAACAGCGACGGCGCCGGCGCCGGCGCCGGCATGTTGTAGAGACAACTGGGGGCCGGGAAATTCGGACGACCGCGCGTCTAGAGGCGCTGCTCGGCCATGGTGACGGGGGCGGGCGACGCGCAGCACAGGCAGGACGAGGGCATAGGCGGCGATGAGCGAGATGAGCAGCGTCGACGCGACTGCGGGCCGAGTGCTGTATCGGCTCCGCCGCCAGCGAATCGGCTCCATTGTGCCGCCGTCAACGTATCATACCATTGCGAACGCAAGCATCACCGGGGCGAGACGAGAATGAAGTCGGGGAGCAAAGAGCGCCGGTGATTTATTCGCATGCATGCAGCGTTTGCGCGTTCGTCGCAGTCTTGTTTGTTTGTTTGCTGTGCTTCGTTTAGGTAGCTCTGTATTAGGTTGTTGTGTTATGAGATCATTCTGCCAACATTTCGAAACTCGCGAGACGGCCAAGTACGGGCGGTTAGGTAGGATTAAGGTCTCTTCGGTGTTTTGCGACTCGGACAGCAGCAACACCATCGACCCTTATCTTACGACGTTAAAGCCAACCTTCCTTGCGGCGGGTGGCGCCTGAGCTACATACGTAAGGTGCTGAGGTGCGGCCCCGGCATGGCCTGGCCTGGGCCGCGGCCTCCAGCTAATAAAAGGTGACCTCAGGTGGTGCCAACAAACAGACAATGGAACCCGACTTGGCCGTCTGAAACAACCTGGAAAAGACTTGGCACTTGGCGATGCAAGCGTGCTGTGCTGTGCTCTCAAGAACCTGGAACCCGCTAGTACCAGCTGGACAGATACACTGTATGTACAGACAAGTCGCGAGAAGATGCACGGCTATTCATACATACTGTATGTACGTGCCTTACATAGGGACGACATACCAACGTACATGATGCACGAGCTCCGACCTGCAACAAGATGGAAAGGGAACCCGGGGAAGGCGGCGCTAAGGAAATCTAGTCTGGTTATTATCTGATCAGAGACCGATGGGTTGCTGATGATTGACTATCGAATCGAGACTGAATAATACAAAAGCACAGTATGGAAACTCAGGCGGGAACAGCCATAGAAATTGATGGTAAATACCTACCATACGTATGATGAATGGCGCAGATGAGTGCCGCGCGGCACAAACGGTGGCGGTCTTTGAATACGACTAACAGCTCCTAGAAACAACCAGAAACAGAAATTAGAAACTAGATGCCGCCAGATGCCAATTGACTTCTTGCCGCAAACTTGAAAGCGGAAAGCTTGGGCTGGCTTTTCTGGGAAAGCTTCGCTTGGTGGGGGAGGCGTTATCAGCACGTGACACTTGATTGATAAAACCTGTCCCCGCCAATCAGCATTCAGGGCGACGCAGGCCTGGGAGGGATGGACCCAGATCGGGCAACCACCCATGTTTAAACAACGGCGGCCGAAAGTAAACAAACATTCTCTAATTTCGAGCCTCTGAAAGCGCAACCCACCAGGCAGGCCTTCAGTGACATGACCTAACGTGCAACAACACCCGATATTCGACAAGACCATGCCTCGAGTCGCCCAACAGCCGCGCAGAAGCGCAAGCAGGAACGTTTCCGGTTCTCTGGCGGCATCGCCATTTAAGTCGCCGGTTAAGTGAGTTTCTATGGTGGCCTCTCTCTGAATTGATATCGAAATCGAAATTACAATTACAGCGAATCGCATTTTCGTGAATCGCGTCACGCGTCTTTTCTTGTCTCGTCTCGTATTGTCCCACTCCACGCCTCTAACGCAGGCAACCCGCGCCATCTAGGATCCCGCTCAACGACGATGCCGAAGAAAAAGCTCGTCGCTCCCACGGCCGCAAGGCGCTGCACGAGGCGCAATTCAACCAGCTGAGGGCCGCCGCCACGGGCACCCCCGCGCGAAAGACCAGCGTCGCCCTCAACGACATGGAGAATGTCGGCTCCCCCGGCTCCAACCCGCGCACCCCGCGCCCGCGCATGGCCGGCAGGGAGAACTCGGCCACCGCTGCCCTGCTCGACGACGAGGACCGCTTCGTCGTCGGTGGCTCCGCCGTCACCCCCATGAAGCGCGCCCCCCCAATCCTCGCAAACTTTGAGGAGTGGATGAAGATGGCCACCGACAACAAGATCAACGCCACCAACTCATGGAACTTCGCCCTCATCGACTACTTCCACGACATGTCCCTGCTCAAGGAGGGCGACGGCGTCAACTTCCAAAAGGCCAGCTGCACCCTCGACGGCTGCATGAAGATCTACACCAGCAGAGTCGACAGTGTCGCCGTCGAGACCAACAAACTTCTCAATGACGTTGCCGACAACCAAGGCAACAAGAAGAAGGGCCGCGACGGTGCTGAGGATGGCGTCGACGACGACGAAGAGGAAGAGGTGGACGAAAACGGCAACGTCGTCAAAAAGAAGCCCAAGAAGAAAGGGAGGTCATCCGAGGCCACTCTAGCCCCCTCATTTGCCTCGCTGCAGCTCAAAAAGTTCGAGCTCGAGTTCACAGTCGACCCCCTCTTCAAAAAGGCGTCGGCCGACTTTGACGAGGGCGGCGCAAAGGGCCTCCTTCTCAACCACCTGATGATCGACTCGCAAGGCCGTATTGTCTTTGACAGCAGCGATGACGCCAACGACACGGCAGAGCCGGGCCCAAAGCCCAGCCATGAGGGTGCTGATGCCGACGAGATGGACCTTGATCTAGAGGAGTCCCTGGAGAAGGAGACCCGGGAGATCGACGATGCGGACGACGAGGACGTCGAGATTGACGTGGTAACCCTCGGCGCCCGCTTCTTCCCCGACCTCGCGCGTCTGGACGAGCTCGATGTCTGCCCGTCGCTGAAGACGTTTGATCTCGGCGACCCAAGCGGCTCCATGGACATCCCGTTCCTCAGAGCACCCGGAGATTGGCGCCAGGATCAGGACAAGGAAAAGACGCCAGGGCCTAGCGGCATCGGGAACAAGTCGGGCATGTTCATCGACGAGGAGAACCTACTCGGCTTTGACGACGACGACGACGGTCTCGGCGCCTTTGACCTGGGAGCCGATGTCAACTTTGGCGAGGGTGGTGAGGCTTGGGCGCGTGAGGCCGCTCTCGAACCGCACATGATGCGCGTTTTCGACGCGGGGCTGGGCCTCGGAGATGGCGTGGGCGCCGAGGGCGAGGGCGTGGACTTGATGGACGGGCGAAATGGCGACTTCGCCGTGTCCATGACCAGCACGCAAAAGGCCGACCAGGCGCACGAGGACATCCTCGGCTACTTTGACCAGGCCCTGCAGAAGAACTGGGCCAGCGCCGAGCACTGGAGGATACGCAAGATCAAGGACGTCAACAAGCCAGCCGAGCCCACACGGCAGCGGAAGGAGAAGCAGCCCTTCGAGATCGACTTCCTCTCGCCCCTCGAGCCTTCGCTTGCCGAGGCCCTCTACACGCAGGCATCCGCCAACTCGGCAATCTCGCTCCCCAAAAAGGACTGGAAATCCAAGTCGCGCAACATGCTCCCCGACGACAAGCACTTCAGCTCGCGGCAGCTGCTCACGCTGTTCCTCAAGCCCAAGGCGCGCATGGGCCGCCGGCGCGTCCTGGGCGGCGGTCGCGGCGTGTTTAGCAACGCGGCCGACGCGCAGTACCAAAACGACGCGCCTGAGGGCGAGATGGACGAGGCGTTCTGGGCGTCTCAGAAAGCGCCCCTGCTGCCCAATGCCGATCCCGCCGCAAGCAACGGCGCGCCCGGCGGCGACGACGCGTCGGCCCTCCCGCAGGGTGACTACGACGCAAACTTCTTCCAGGACAACGACCTGCCGTTCGCCGGGGTGGGCGACGACGATGATGACGATGACGACGACGGCGACGAGTTCGCCGACGCGCGCGACCACTTCTCGCCGGGCCCCGGCGGCCCCGGTGGGCCCAATGCCATGGGAATGATGACCGAAGTAGGCATGACGGGCGCCTTCAACGGCCTCACCGTCACCAACCCCGCCGACCTCGCCTTCGGCACCATGCTCGTCACGCAGAACCGCCGCGTGCGCCCGGAGTACGTCCAGTACGCCCGCGTCGCCAAAAAGGTGGACGTCCGCCGGCTCAAGGAGGAGATTTGGAAGGGCATGGATTTTGAGAATCTCGACAAGGTGAGATTTCCCTTTTCCTTCAACTCTTCTCCCTTTAGCAAGGTCTCAGTGGGAGGGATCATGAATCCATCTCCCCGTTTCTGAGAACGAAAAAAAAACAAAAAAAACACAAGGAACCTAGCTAACAGAATTTGACATCAAAACAGGCGCAGGATCCCAACCGTTCGCGCCTGCCCACGCCGCCCCAAGAGGGCGACGAGGGAGACGACGATGCCAACAACCCAACCCTCAAGTTCACCGACGTCGTCAACGACCTCCAGCGCGTCTACCCCAAGGCCGCCATGGATGACATCTCCACCAGCTTCTGCTTCATCTGCGTGCTGCACCTGGCCAATGAGAAGGGCCTCGTCATCGAGAAGACCCCCGGCCTGACGGAGCTGACCATCCGCAAGGACTGGACCGCTGAGATCACCGAAGGCGGGGACTAAGCTTGTCTGGTCGGCGGGAAGGTGTGAATGAATGCGTGTTTTTTTCTTATTCCTTCTATGTATCTCCGCTGGTCTGCTGTCTGTTTCATACCTGTTTATCTCTGCTGTTGGATGCACCACGCCACACACCACACGCACAAAACACAAAGCGGTGGTTGAACACGGGAGTGAGTGGCACTTTTGCGGGAAGGGAGTAGTGAATGGAGTTTTGGTTTGGGCTTGGTTTTTAATTGTCGATTTATCATGCCTACCTAGCTGTCGATGGTGCGTGCGTGCGTGCGTGCGTGCGTGCTACTACTACAAACGATAATGAAGATATCCTACTATTTTTCTGCCCTTTCACAATCTTCTTTTGTATGTGTGTACGTCTTTTTGTATATTTTGTTCCATCTGCTCAAGGAGGCTCTGCTCAAGGAGGGACTTTCACACTTTGACCTATCGCAAAAGTGAAGCGGCTTATACCCACCACCACGCATAGTAAAGCTTGTATGTGTGTGTATGTGTGTGTGCCCGTGTGCCCGTGTGCCCGTGGTTTGGATTTCATATCGCCTGCCCTGCCCTGGCTTTTCATCTCTAGGAAAAGAACCGCCCACTCGATAAGGCTGTCGTGGGTCTATCTCTAGTGGAGGCTGAATCTTAGGCTTGGAGTAAGGATGTTCAAGTGGTAGTACCTAGGTATCTAGGCAGGATACGGACGAGGCCCTCATCCATCCCCAGTGAGGGCCAGCGGTGTCGTCGTAACGATACAAGGTACGGAGTACTTCGTAGATTGTCTACCTTGTTCCGACTGTAATAGCCAGACGTAAGGCGTGTTCAGTCCACTCCAGAATATAGGCTCTATCTATCCTACTAGGGTAATATCTATACGTCTACACAAAGAGGCTGAGTTTGTATCATGCAAAAAAAGCAGTCCCACCCACCGCTGCCCAATCTGCACAAACTGGCCGAGTCGGTGGCCGAGCTGGATGTCGTGGGTCCCCACACGTCTCGTTCTCTATCTCCCTTCCCACTACCACTACCCAACATCACTCTTCTTTCTTGGAACCCCCACCGTGTTGATGCTCCCTCTCTTGCTCAGCGCCAGGGCTGTCGTCGGCAGTGGCAGTAGCGGCATCGCCATCTGGGACGTCAAAAGAAGCTAGGAGCTCGTCCAGCTTGCTCTCCAGATTTGTCAGGTTGGCCTCAAGAGCTGCAGCCGTTTGCTCGCCTCTAGTAGGTTCAGTGCGCGTGTGCTCACATGCACACACAAAGAAATCAGCATTTGCAAAGTCGGCGTTGTCTCGAACTGGTCCCGACCTCTTTCCCCACTGGGGGTAGGGGGGGGGAACCCGTTGGACCCCTAATCCTAAAAACTGACAAGGATCATTGGACCCTGCATAATTGACGGAAGGCAAAGGAAAGATTTCCCTGGGGGAGGGGACTTGGAGGGGTGGGATCCGGATCCGTCTGCATGAGAACGGTAGTCACATTGGACGTACGTATACAGACGGCACACAAAATCCCGTCCGTCCTAAAGGTCATCAAAGCACCGGCATTCTGAAGCCGAGGGAGGGATTGCTGAAAGTGCTCTTGACGCGGCAGCTTGCGCTAAACTAGAGGCGGTGAGGGGGGTGGATGATAGAGTAGGTGGAAAAGCCATGGCAAGACAGATGGGAATCGGAATATTCGGGACTGTGGTGCTTCTCGGGAGTGGGTACGGGATTGCATCCCTGGGGACAGAGGAAGAGGAACCCTTGCCAGGCAGGCATGCAGAGAGGACCCTGAGGTTTGTTTCCTATGCCGCATGGTAGTCCCGCGCCAAACTGCCAACGTTGTTACGTTATTTTGCATGGCCGGCCACTTGTTCGACCAGCAAGGCGAGGAAGCCGGAGCCGGGGTTGCTTTTGTTCACTTGGAAACCCCGCGAGGAAGAGATCGGTGGGCAAGTGACAGAGCACAGATGATGAAAATCGTATCATACCTAGCAAGGTCTTTTAGGGTCTAGACCGGAACCAAGAGGGCCAGTCAGCCAACATGATCGGAAAGTTTGAAGGCGGCATGCCGAGAGTCAGAGAGGGGCGGACAACCCCCATTTAACAGCAAACGGTACCACACGGACATGGGAAATGGAAAATGGAAAATGGGAAAATGGGAAAATGCAGGGAAGCAGGTCACTAAGTGCTTACCTGCGCTAGATGGTCGCCAACCGAGGCTGACGGTGCCGACCACGACGGCGACGACGGTGATGACGACGGCGGTTGCGAATCTCCGTTGCCGGCAGCATCCCGGGCTGCTGTTGAATTGGTGCCGGAAGCCATCTCGTAGGCAGTTGAGCTAGGTATCCGTGCCCAAGTATCCGTACCGGATGTACCGTATCTTACTTTTAGGTAATATCTGGCACTCAAGTAATGGAAGGTAAGGTAGGGCAGACGTTAAGCGAGGGATATGCTCGATTCCCTGTGACCGAAGTACCAGTGCCTTGGGACCGGAAGGGGTGTACGAATACTGGCAGTGACACGTGTAAGGTGAGGCAGGTATCCGTAGCGCGATGATGTGACCCGGGCCTCTAGGTTAGATTCTAGCTTAGCTTTAGGGTCCGCGCGATGCTGGTTCTCCCGTCTTGCACCTCTTGGGTGGCTTGGGCTCAAAAGCGTCGGGGTTCTTTTTGGAAGGGAAGGCGCGAGGGCCTTGGCCCCGTGTTCGCTGCGCTGACTTCACTGCACCACTCGACCTGATGCACCCGTCGCGAGGTTTGAAGTCCACTCCACTGAGACTGTGTGTGCGTACTGTGTAAGACTAGGTAGGGGCGGGCTACCCAAGTGGAGCGGTGGTCGCGGTCTACTCAGAGAAGAGGTTGAAGATTGAGCTCGTACGATATTTGCAGCGAGGTCTAGAACTAGCGAGCTGCTTTGGGAGAGAGATGGATGGAGGCTGTTTTACAAAGCAGGCGCTCTGACAACTGCCTGTCTCGCTAGGTGGTCTCTTGTGCCGCTTTGCCATGCCCCTTCGCCTTTCCCATGGATGAGAGGCGCTGTCGCGCTCACTCGCCGCTGTCTGAACTTTGAAGCCCGGGTTGGACGGCTCCATTTAATGGCGTTGCGGGATAGACGGGGCATCCCTGGCCAAAAATTAGTACGTACGGATAGAATAAATCTCAAAACCCCTTGCTCGCCTTGGCGCGTTGAGGCTCCGAGCTTGTGGGCGGTTTCCAGAGGATATTCATGGCACCCTCAGTCAGACCTCGAAAGTCAGCATCAAAGCCAGGCTGGAGTATAGTAAGGAATATCACACGAGGGTTTCAAGTTAGTTACCACTCCAGTGTTGTAAGTGTGAATGTGTGGGTTCGGGTCCACGTGGATATTGTCGGTACAGGATACACACCTAAGTGTGAAAATGTATTGTCCCTTATTCTTCGGTCTGACAAGAAAAGATGCAATGGAAGGTTTCGAATTGGAAACTCGTCTAATCATTAGATGTCAGCTTCGTGGTGACGGGAGCTATGAACCCTCACCTGCGAGAAGCTTCCTAATTTTGACTCAAGGCCATTCCCGGGGAAACAATAAAAGGTATCCGTAGAAGTCCCAGCGACAAGGTCCGCGGGGACAATGACGTTGCTGCATTGTCCAAGCTAGTATCAGCGAAATCGACCCAACCACCTCCATCCTAAAGTACGGATACCTCCTCAGCAATCCCATCTCCAGAATAGGGATTCTGCTTCTTGTCTTTTGCGGCATTAGAAACATTGGGCGAAGACGGTTACAAGGGTGCTTGGGGCGGGTTTTGTGCAAAGTCTCGATCCCACGGCCAACCGCCGATTCTGACAGGACAAGGTGAGCGCGACGAGAGTGGATTTTCATAGCACTTTGCACCCCGTGCGAGCCAAAAGACAAGATCTGCAGCAAGACAATTGGACACCCACTCCACTGCCACTTTGCCTGCAGGCACGGCAGAATACAGCTCGCCTGCTGTGGTCCAGGTCCTCAGGTAGGTGTCCTCAGGTAGGTATTCTATTGATCAAAGTGGGAGCGTACGCAAAGTAAGTACTCAGAGGTACCTACCGTAGGTACTGCACAAAGAGGCGTGAGGTGGTGAACATTCCTCCCTACACTCAAGGAGCGTTCTTTTATTGCGGGCAATGGCCGATTGTTACTGGCTGGGCGCCCTTTCGCGCCTGCCACCGTGACGCCGCACGACGGCGCGCCAGCTGGGCAAAAAAGTGGCCGGTGGCCAGCTCCAATTGGCCCGCACACCCTGGCTCCATTAGAATCCCATCATTATCGTACGTTTTTCATGTGTCTCCATGGGGATCGAGATCCTTTTTCCACCTTCACCCACCTCACGCTTTCCGCAAATCCGCACCGCACCCTAATGTCCCGAGCTTTGGCCCATGGACTTGCGGATACCCATGGATGATGGCATTCCGGTTTCCCAACCCTGCGCTGCGCTGTGCTGTGCTGCGCTTCAACCTGCGCTCAACAGCTGTTTTGAGTCTTCAGTGTTTGCTCCACCCCAAGCGCCTGCGCCCCAACATGGAAAGTCACCCGGTCCTGGGGCTGCCAAAGGTGGTTGATGCGCCCAATGGTGGGAATCTGAGATCGGACACCCCTCCTGCCCACCCGCCATTTCACCATTCCCATGCTTTACGCAGGAATGCCCATTTTGCCTCGAATGCAGAATACTACCGCAACTGTCTGCCCCTGCTCTGCCACGGTTCAGGCCCCGTTCCAAGCCCTCGGCCGGACAATGGACCGACGAATGCCAATGGTCTGTCCTCGACGGCGACGATAATAGCGAGCGAGCCTTGCTCCTCAGAGACATCCCACCGAGTATCCGTACCAAACATACGGTGCCTCCATCCCTTACTTGCAAGGAGCAAGCATCAAGAGGTGACCGAGGCTCCGCCGCGCCACCCCCCTCCCCCCAGCCAAAGTGCGATCGATAATCGATTGCGCGAGATGGAGGTGGAGGGGCAGTTTCTAGTGGAGTAACTCTGTAACTACCTTACGGAACTAAAAGTCCATTTTTTGTCCAGCATGCCGAGCCTCGTGCCTGTCCATCATCCGTTGATCTGCTTGACAGAAAAACAATTACTTGCCCGGCTCCCCGCGAGTCTCGCTAGGCTACGTACCTTGGACTTGGCTATACTTTGCACGGTTGTCTGGCTCTCTTCCCTGGTCTCCGGAGTGCACCCTTTTCGGATGACTGCGGACTTGAGAATCCCATTCCCGCCTGCCCAGCCCGGCTCTGTGGTCCTAGCTCGGGTTGGGTTCGAACTAGCTGCCCCCTGCGCCTCGGTACCCGTTGGGTTTTCGCAACTTCCATGTCAACTCGTTCAAACTTGAGAGGGAAAGCAAGCAATAGTTGGGAGGCGCATTGCTGCCCTCACCCCCGTCCCCACTCTCCTCGAATCGACGCAGTACATACCGCTGGTATGTACGTTCACTACTCTGTGCTCGTTGAAGGTCTTATAATATCAATCACCAGTTTGACATTTTCAACTTTCAAAGCTCGCTCCGTCCATGGCGCCCCCGAAACCTCCTAGGTACTACTCCGTACCAGGCAATGTATTCATCTGTTCTCGTCTTCTTGTGTGAAGTCAACCGTACTCCTGGAAACCGAATGGGTGGTGAACAGCAGCAGCAGCAGCAGCAGCAGTGCTGTAGACAGCTGTAAACAAAAACCGACCACAATAACAAGTAGCGATGCAATGGCCGGCGGTGAGTCGAGTCAACTCCCACACGCAGGCAGGTCGTCTAGTCCCAATATACGTTGTATGTACAGACATACGGAATACATGTTCGGTACATATACCCGCCCTTGTTGCGACCACACGTCGTGTTGTGTCTGTCTGGAGCCGGTGCGCTGACAGGCCTCGAGATTACACGAGCAACACCCGGCCCCATGTCGTGTGGTCTAGACCTAGGGCAGCCAGCGATCCAGTTGCCGTCACGCCCCAGAACGGCATGACACCTTTGTTATAGCCACTCACATCTGCACCATTCCCAAGTAAGTACTTACCTTATTTGTGGCCTCGATGCGGTACGTACCCTCTCCCAATAGCATCTTGTCCCACATTGTCGGCTTGTGTTCGCGTACATACAATAATAGCGTGTCATCGAGATCTTGTCCGTCACCCCACCACCAAAAGGGCCAAGTTCCAAGAATCCCATAATCATGTGTAAATCCCGTCTTTACTTTGCCATTGACTCCACTCCCCAGATAAACTGCACCTGCCTTTCTCATCCCACAAAAACTCGTGCCCGGCTTCTGTGACGGCCTCGACGTCTCAGCCGTCTTGCACCACCAGGACTCTGAACCTGAACCTGTCTCGATCTCGGCCGTCCTGTCCAACGTCCATTCATAGCAGCTTGCCCATATACTGTCTGCGTTAAGCCTCATAACCGCTGCCGCCAAGCTTCCATTACCGCCTGGACAGCCAGCTTGCGACCCGTCGCTCTGACTCGAGAGCCCGCGACTGTCACAACCTCGACTGCCTGGGAAGGATAATTGAACCAACAGACAGTGAAGGGTGGGTTTCCCTGGTTCTTCGATCTAAATCATTTGGAGCATACGCACTGCACACACGCCAAAGCCTCGGACAAGGGCGTCCGAAGATCGCCCACGGGGATCGGCACCTCGGGACTTCGCCGAGAATGAAGGTATCCGCAGATTCATATGGCGAGGCAATGGGGGGGGGGGGCTCTTGGGGTGTGCAAGCTTCCAGACCATCCATACCAAAACAGCCACGAGATTCCACCCGTCGCCTCTGGCTCAGTGCAGCTAACCGATATACCACACTACCAGGCTGTTGTCCGACTGGATCATGAAGACTCTCGAGACCATATTTGCTGAGCTGAGCCTCACTGAGTATCTCGATGCGTTTGTCGAACAGGGGTTTGACACATGGGAGACCATACTGGACATTACCGAATCCGATCTGTGAGCTCGATAATGCCTCTCATTCTGAAAGCAAGGCACTGTTCCGGCTAACATGCTTCGGTTCACCAGCGATGCGCTAGGCGTGAAGCTTGGTCATCGACGGGTAGGCATCCCATCCCTTCGACTGCTATGCGCCGTATTTGTATTTGTGTCACGAAGGTGTTCCGGTGGCTAATTTGATGATGGATGGACAACTCAGAGGCTTCAAAGACGCATCGCCAACTCTCGAGGGATTGCTCCCGAAGCCTCCCTCGGTTCCCAGGCGCAGCCTGCTACCGATGACCCTAGAGTGTTAGACGCCCACCGATCCGACTCTTCGAGGCTGGATGCCCTAGAAGCGAGCAACGTCATCCCAACCAAGCGAAAATACCGGCGCCATCCAAAGGTGTGACGCAGTTCTTTGGGTTCGCCCACCCACCGTACTGAGTGAGCATTGAGGGGCTGATTCGTAACCCGCTTGTTTGTAGGTGGACGAGAATGCGCCTTTGAAACCGCCCTCGGCCTATGTGCTCTTCTCAGCCAGTACGTCACGTAACCCCTTATTGTGCTGGGGTTCCCGCACCCGTCGTTGCACCGAAAACTAATTGAACTCGATTTCTGTCTTAAAGAGATGCGTGATGAAGAGCTGAAAGACCGGAATTTGGGCTTCACCGAGATTGCAAAGCTCGTAGGAGAGAATTGGCGGAGCCTATCCCCTGCCGAAAAAGAACCGTTCGAGTCACATGCACAAGTAGCCAAGGAAAGGTACCAAATTGAGATGGAAGAGTACAAGAAGACGCCCCAGTACGAGAGGTACCAGCTTTACCTACAAGAATTCAAGGCCAAGCATGACCATCCACAAGGTGTGTAGAGGTTTCTGCTCCCCCCGCCGAGCCCTTTCACTCCTAACGACATCCCATTCTGCCTTCCCAGCCATGTATGTGTTCTAATTCGCAACCGAGCTTAGACAGGGACGCGGCGAAGCGACTGAAACTTGCCGATGTCAGAATGCCAGACGGTGGTCCCAGCAGCACAAGGTCTAACCGGACGAGCAGGAGTGGGAGTGAACCCCAACGGGAAATCGGATCACCGCGACACGGGTCCCAGCAAGGAATTGAATCTGCCTCCGCCGACGCCCAATTCTCGTCGTCCTTGACGCCAAGCTTATATCATGCTTCCCTCGCTGACCCGGTGAACTCCCCCTTAACAAAGAACATCAACCGACACCTATACGAACTCTCGCCCACCTTCAACACCTTCAACAACGTTAGAGAGTTGCAACCGTTACCGAGCAAGCGCATCACAAACTGGGCAGATGAGGACCGTCATGAACAGCCAGCCACACAGAGGCAGCTTCCTTCTCTTTCCGATGTTTTCGATCGTCACGGGTTGCTACATGAGCCTGTCGGATTCTATGCTTTGCGAGAAGATGCTCCCAATAGCCCCCCAGCTGCAACCATTGCCAACGAACCCAGGCCCGCTTTGAGAAAAGGCGAATCCTCGTCCTCATCTGCCAGCACACCATCTTCCATCTCATCATTAGGGCACCCTCGAACCCCACTCGACAATTCAATGCCTATCCATTCGCTGTTGAGTTCAAAGCCAAATCACGTCCACGAAGGCCAACAGCAGCCCATACTTCCCGCAATGACTATACCCGGAGAACATGGCCAACCGTTTGTCCACCAGCCGATAAACGGTGCTGGCATGTTTGTGGCCAATGGTTAGCCGTGCAGCTACCCTAGATATCCAACCTCTGCTAATGGTGATGAAAAGGCTACCATGGCGGGCCTTCAAACTCCCACTCCTCTATAAGCATACCTACCGTCAACCCGGGGCACGGCACGCAACCTGCATCATGTAGAGCCGAGTCGTCCAAGCGTGGGAAACCAGATGTCAATCTTGACGGTATGAGCGCTTTGTTGAAGGCAGGCGAGATTGTCAACCGCCGAGCTCAGTAGCCACACCTGGCCTGGCCGTGTTTGACCACATTGCCAAATATTTACGATATATTCCGTGACATGTATTTGGTCCTGTTCATCGAGGGCCTGCCAGCTAGGAAAGCTTTCGGGCCCCCATACTCGCCTATTGCGATGTCCATCTCCAAAACAAATACCACTTCTTTCAAAAGCGCCTCCCTTGCTTGCCGTCGTCTACGTACCTCGTCTTCTTTTACTTGGTTGGTACATTATGTTACACTTGGGGGTCGGGATTTTTCTTTCTGGATATCGGGTTGCATCATGTTCAATCCAAATACACTTGGAATGGGCGCGGCTTACGCGAGTAGTAATTTCGTTGGTAAACGAGGTGTGTACATAGCTGGTGGATGGATGGGTGTAGGTACGCAGGTCTCTTTATTCCAAGTCATCCATATCAAAAGCGATTGAGTGAGTGAGTCAATGAGTGGACGAGTCGGTGGGTGAGTGAGTGGCTGGCCGGGTGGTTTTCTGGTTAAGTCAAAGAAGAATAAATAAGAAACCTCTTCGTTTCATTGGGCTTTTGACATACACATGTACCGAATTCCGTGTTTTACGAATCGAAAGGGAAAAAAACAGCTAGAAACAAAGGGGGTGGATGAGAGGCGAAAAAGCACCAGTTCACAATCAAAACAAGCTCAAATCCACCCAGTCACGCCCCCTTTCCAGGCTCAATCTCCTCTTGTACCTACGTAACTACCTACCTAACTCTACCGTCCCGGAGAGGCTTCAGGAGATGGACGCTCATCAAATCCCCAAAGTCGCCCTAGCTAGCTGGATATCTCAGAAGAAAGGGAGCATTGAGTGTATTCCCCCCTCCCGTACTGAGCCGATTCTTTCATTCGCCTTCTCGCACTAGCTCACTCGAACACTCACCAGCTCACTCCATATCGGCTCTGGCCCGGCAAATCGTGTTTCTATTTCACCGACGAGGTCCAGTAAAAGCACAAGCCCAGATAGAGGGAATAAACAGAAAGAAGAAAAAGATAATCCCCATCCGCTCTCATATCACGAAGACGAAGAGAAAGAGAACTGACCAGAACCATTTCCATAGTAAATAAAGTTGAACTTAAAATAAATTAAAAAAAGCCGACCGGTAGAGACAAACAGCTACGAGAAAAGGAGAACGGGGTTGGAAAGGGGGGGGGGTTCATCATAAGAAGAAAATGAAGAAAAGAGGAACCTCCTCCCTCGCCTTGCATCATGTCGCACCGAGGGAGGGATAGACAAGAAGACCAACGCGCAAAGCAGACATTCAGTCTCACCACCCAATACGAGCTTGTTAGACCCCACCCCCTTCGCTCCTCCCGCCTCCCCCATGTTGCCGTCCTCTCTCTTTCGTATTCGCCCCTTCCAAATACATCCAGCCAAGTTTGTTTGTTTCTTCTGTTCTTCTAGGCCCAGGTATCATGCAGACAAAAGGATTAACAGCATGGAAAATACAGAGACACACATAGCCAAACATTCGTCACTCGGAGCAGAAAAATGGGAAAAGGGCTGCTTCTCCAAAGATATATGCAGGTCCGAACGCCAACAAATACACCCAAAAGCAGCAAATACATCAGGTTCGCAACAATCATTTCGCGGCGTGAATGTTAGGGTCCGACAGGCTGCTGCGTGCTCTACTGTTTTTGCTCATAGGGTCCTCGTGGTCAACTGTGACGAGGGATGGGCTCTCTAGGAGTGCCTCGGCGGCCGTTATGGCGCGTGTTGCTAAGACTGGGCGGAGGTTGGCGGCGGCAGCAACTACTGCCTGGCTCTGAAAGGCCAAAGACGATCCCGTGTCGCGACGGCCGCCCGTCACGGCGTCGGCAGCCCGCGTGAGCTCACGCTCCCGGTTCTTTTCCAGGAGCTGTCCGCCAAGCGTAGCGCACTTGAGTATCGTCTGAATGAGATGGTTCTGCTGTAGCGGCTTTGAGAGGTACTCGTCCATTTGTGCTTGGATGCACTTCTCCCTATCGCCCATCATGGCGTGCGCCGTTAGCGCAATTATGGGCGTCCGCTGGGTTCCCAGGCTGCGTTCGTATTCGCGAATCTTGGCCGTCGCCTCGAAACCTCCCTGTGCATAATCGGTCAGTCATATGAGCCGCAAAGCTATCGCCATCTTGGGGATTAAACTTACCATGATTGGCATCTGTACATCCATCAGAATGACGTCAAACTTCCTACGTTTGATAGCCTCAACGGCTTCCTTGCCATTGCCGACGACCGTCACGACATGGTGGTACTTCTCGAGAATCTTGACGGCTAGCCTCTGATTGACAGTGTTGTCTTCGGCCAGTAGGATCTCAAAAGAGCGGGTGTTATCTGCTAGCGACGGCGTGGCTCTGTTTTCGAGAGCCGGCACCATCCCGTTGCCGAGATCGATGAGCTGGCAAGGGGTCGTCATGTACGAGGTAATGCCCAAGTCCAAACAAGACTTGAGGGACACGTGGACCACGGGCGCCAAGAGAACGATGGGCAGATACTTGAAGTCGTCGACCGACCGTAGCCTCCTGGCGTCCTCGATAGAATCGACAATGATCACGTCATACGGCGAGGAGCTCTGGATCCGCGCCTTCTCAAGAGCAGGGCTCTTTTCGGAGTCGACGACAACGGGGATCAGTGTCAAGCCCTCCAGCATCTTGGCAATTTCGGGTCCATGGCCTGTCCTGCCCTTGTCGATGAAGAGCACGTGATGACCCTTGTAAGGGTTGAGTTGCTTCGCAATCAACGAGATGTCGCCATCAGCCAAACGGACAACGCAAGTGAAATAAAACTTGCTGCCCTTTCCGTATTCGCTCTTGACCCACACGTCACCTCCCATCAGGTTGACAAGCCTCTTGGAGATAGATAGACCAAGACCGGTGCCGCCAAACTTGCGCGTCATGGAACCATCGGCCTGCTGGAACGTGTCGAAGATGAGGTCGAGCTTGTCTGCCGGGATGCCGATGCCCGTGTCCGAGACAACAAACTCAATGGCATACTCGCCCGGAACGCACTGCACCTGGGACGCCTTCTGGATAGTCAGGCTGACCTCGCCATGTTCGGTGAACTTTATAGCGTTGCCAACCAGGTTGAGAATAATCTGGCGGAGCCTGAACGAGTCGCCAACTACATGGTCGGGCACTGAGCTGTCCACGCGATACGTCAAGTCAAGGAACTTTTCGTTGGCCTTGACTGCAAGTGTTTTCAAGGCATTGAAGACGGTTCCGCGGAGGGTATACGGGATTTCCTCGATGACCATCCGCCTGGCCTCAATCTTGGACAAGTCCAAGATGTCGTCAATAATGGTCAATAAGCTGTTTGCCAGTGAGTTGACAATATTGAGCATTTCCCGCTGGTACTGTGTCAGGTCCGTATCCAGGGTCAGCTGTGTCATGCCGATGATTCCGTTCATAGGCGTCCGAATCTCGTGCGACATGTTTGCAAGGAACTCGGATTTGGTCTTGCTGGCCAATTCGGCTGCCTCTCTGGCCTGTGTGTTTCTTTGGATACTGTCCCTCAGGTTGTATACCATCTGATTGATCTTCTTTTTGAGCTCGTCCATCTCGCCCGAGGCCTCAACCTCAACGAGCTTTGTAAAATCCCCATCCGTTGCAGCGTTTGTGATGTCGCCAAATGCACGGACTTGGGCAGTCTAACGCGAGTCCAGTTAATATGGGATAGGCTCTGATATCCAGCGCACGAGTAGAGATATACATACCAGGTTGTTTGCCATCGTGTTAACATCAGTTGTGATTTCTTTCCATCTTCCCTTTAGACCAGCGACATCGGCTTGTCCTCCCATGATGCCATCAACACCCACATCTTTGGCCACTCTCTGGACCTCGTTACAGAATATGGACAGCCGGTCAACCATGTTGTTGATCGTCTCCTTTAGTATAAGAATCTCGCCCTTGGCCTCGACGTCGATTTTCCGGCTCATGTCGCCGTTGGCAATGGCTTGTGTGACAGTTGAAATACCTCGCACCTGGAAGCGTAATGTTAGTACTCATCTACATGCTTTGCACCCAGCTATTGGATTGGTTGCACGGAAAGGGGCGAGTATCGACGTACCTGTGAGGTAAGATTGCTGGCCATAGTGTTGACATTCTCTGTGAGGTCCTTCCATTTGCCCTCAACGTTGTCGACCTGGGCCTGACCGCCAAGAGTTCCGTCTGTTCCGACCTCCCGAGCTACCTTGCTCACTTCGAAGGCGAACGTTCCCAGGCGGTCCACCATGGTGTTGATGGTGTTCTTCAGATCCAGAATCTCTCCTTGGACTTCGACGCCGATCTTTTTGGTCAGATCACCTCGCGCGACAGCAGTAGTAACCTTTGCAATCTCGCGCACTTGTGTTGTCAGGTTCATGGCCATGCCGTTGACATTTTCCGTCAAATCTCGCCATGTCCCTTGCACATCGTGAACGGTAGCCTGGCCTCCCAGTCTCCCCTCGGTTCCGACTTCCCTGGCGATCTTGGTGACTTCGCGTGCGAATTGCTGCAGCTGGTCCACCATGGAGTTGATTGTCTTCTTCAGTTCAAATATTTCACCTCGGCACTCGGCTTGTACTTTTTGCGTAAGATCTCCCTTTGCGACAGCGGTAGTAACTTTGATAATGTCTCGGACTTGGGTAGTTAGGTTGTTGGCCATGGCGTTCACGTTGACTGTCAGCTCGTTCCACATGCCCTGCACGCCTTCGACGTCGGCCTGGCCGCCCAGGATACCTTCGGTTCCGACATCTCTAGCAACGCGTGTGACTTCAGAGGCAAACGTCCGCAACTGATCCACCATGGTGTTGATGGTCTGCTGCAGCTGCAGAATTTCACCCTTGGCAGGGCGTTCGATTTTCTTGGTCAAGTCGCCATGGGCGACAGCTGTAGTTACCGATGCGATCTCGCGCACTGCGGTGAATTAAATTGTCAGTACCGGCTGCAAACTACTCTCGACTGCTTGGCACGAGTATGAACGCACCTTGATCCGTGAGGTTTTGCGCCATGACATTTACTACACCTGGAGTTAGTCGATTGAACTGCGCGATAGATGCTTTTAGCAGGACACACCGTTGTCTGTGAGTTCCTTCCAAGTGCCATCAACGCCTTGGATCTGAGCTTGGCCGCCGAGGATGCCCTCGGTGCCGACTTCGCGGGCGACGCGAGACACTTCGCTGGAGAAGACCTGTAGCTGGTCCATCATGGTGTTGATGGTGCGCTTGAATGTCGTAATTTCGGGGTCCATCTCCACGGAATTCATGCGGACCTTCTTGGACAGGTCTCCGCGGGCAACGGCAGTTACGATTTCACCTATCTCACGAAGTGCCTTCTGGAAAGCCTCGTTGGCCTTTTGGTGCTTCCACAGCTCCCGCTCCAGAGTGGCAACGCGCTCCTGTTCGATAATTGCAAGAGCCTTCTCTTGCAGATGTTTCTGCTCGAGGAGCTGGGCGTTCACGCCAGCCAGCTCTTGGCGCTGGCTGTCGAGGAGTTTGGACTGGTCGTCGACATGCTCACGGAGCCCCTCAAGAGCCTCGTCGATAAACCCATTTCGCGGCAGGGAATCGCCGTACTTGGGCTTGACCGCCTTGTTGGCCGGGACCGCGGGCGTAGAACTTCGGTCATCGGCAAATAGCGAGTCGGCGCCTTCGTTCGGGGTGTCTGGGAATATGGTGACGGGCGCCGAGCCTGCCTTTGTCTCGAGTTGATGTACGCGGAGGACGAGGGCAGCTAGCTCGCGTTCTAGCTCTACCTTGGCGGGTGTGTCCGGCCCGGGAATGCGGAGGGGACCGCCTGCGCGGACATTGAAGGCGGGCGGTGAGACGGGATCGTTGGCGAGAGACTTGACAAGAGCAGCAACGACTGCGAGCGAATGTTCGTGCGTCATGGTAGCGGCAAGTTCTAGTTCGACGCCGCGGCCGGGACGGCGGGCAACGGGCGAAGCGTTTTGCGAGCTACTGGCAAGGGAGCTATAGCTACGCCTTCATCGGGGGAGGGTGACGTAGGCTTTGTCGGTATATCAGCTAATACGAGATGGACGAGGTAGAAACGGCTGCGGTGACAGCAGCTCAAGAGAATAAACTCGAATATCCGCAAGGCGGGCTGTAACAAGTAAGGGGTTAATCATTGACCAGATGCTGGCTTGGAATGGCGACAAAGCTCACGTTAAAAGTAACAGTGCAAGCAAAAGCAGTCGAGGAAGAAAAAAGCCGCGAGCTCTGGGTTCTGGGTTGCCAAAAGACGGATTGGGGGGAGTGTGGTGAGGCGGAGGAGGCAGGAAGGCAGACCCGACAGAGCAGCAAAAAAGCGGTCCTTTGCCTTTGAGTGCTGTGGCCGGGGGCCTGAGCAGGGATGGAGGGTGGGAAGGGGGACTAGCCAATCCGCCGAGCAAGGGAGGGATCAACGCTTCCCTTCGTCGAATCTTTTTGGCGCTTGGTGCCTGTAGGTGCCCTGGTCCCTAGGTGCCTACGGTACGTAGATAGGGTACTGTAGGCGCTGTAGCTCCTTTTCCCGCGGGCTACAGGTAGCCCGGTACCTTCACGGCCTACTAAGGTACTGAGCGGGCACTGGCAGTAGGAGGTTGGTTCGTTTTTGCCCTTCTTTCTTAGCAGAATATGTACCTCGAATTCTTTAGGTCCCGTCGATAGAGGTTCTAGGGCCGTTCTAGTCGGCTGTCAACTGTGTACCCTGCAGCGTTGGGGGAAAGCAAAAAAACGCAGGGCCACGGTATGGAACCCGCCTCTTGACTCGTCGACGGACACGGGCAGTAATGGATGGATGGCGGGAAGGCAATAACTTGAAGGGCACAAGACGCAGTTTCCTCGGCGAGGGCAACTATTGACCATGTGTATTACCGGCCTTACCTAGCTCGTGGTGCCATGTAGAGTATTCCGTCCCACCTCAGAGCAGCAAAGGAGGGGCGGGGTGTGGGACGGGAACCTGGCTTTTTGATTGCCAGCGGCCTGGGAGCCACCACCCACCCACACTTCGGGAAGAGCCAAGCTTGCAGAGCCCTGGAAAAACCTACGATCCCAAGGAGGGCTCTTCGCTGTATGTACGTCTAGACATAGAAGTATCACTCGTTTTATACGACACTGTACTATGGCATAGATTGCAGCTATTCAAACGAAATACCGCCTTTCTTAGTTAAGTTATTCAAGGTTTCTCTGCGCCGTAATGTGGAAAATGCATGTGAGCTAGCCGGCTGACCTGGGATCGATGGTCTCATTTTGCGGGGCGGCTTCGGCACCATCACGCTCCCCCCGTGCCACCACATTCACGGCTGCCCGGCTGAGGCACAGGCACGTCCCAATGCCGGTGTGTCTTTCTGCCTTTTTAATTTCCCTTGTGCATTTTTGGCACCTTTCCTCCCATGACTTTTCCAACATGTGGCATTGCCCAGGGATGCCAGATCTTGCTCGCTGATACCCAGGCTGCAGCACTAGCGTGGCTTGTGTAGTCCAAACACGGGCATCCCTTCCTCCCTTTCGAGCTTCATACCCGAGTTACTGTGTACCTTTTAGGGAAGCCAGGAGGTCGAGGCAAAGCTGCAAGACAATTAATTCGAGTGGATGAAAAGATACCGCCCAAGGTTGCTACCTAATGCATGGGCAGCCTTCACTTTTCGCCCCTCGGATGCCGGACACGTTGGCGACGTACACTAGAAAGGAGGGGCGGAGGGAGTAAGTGACAGCTCCAATCACCTGTTTCTCCACATGGTCTCGTCGTAATAACACGGGCAACGGCATCTTCTAGCGTTCACTAGCCCCAGTTGTTTATAGGTTGGCGGGAAAGATTGGACGTTGAGGTACGGGCGTTCCTTGCTGGGTGTGGCACGTCACGGCAATGGGCTGGACGTTTCTCGGAATTGGAGGGGGGCCGGATGGGCCATTGGAAACCAACCTAGGAAGTGCGGTGTTCAGTATACCTGCACGGACCACACTCCCTTGCCTGCGCCGATAGTCGAGCCTACCTTACCTTCCTTGGGTCCTATTACACAGCATCACTATACCGTGTTCAATGTAGGGCAGGATACGTGGAACGCACATGAGCCTGATGCATATAGTCATGCTATGGATGGACCATCGGCTGTTCTTCCCCTACGCTTCCATTGCCATTCTCGGCAGACTTGAAAGGTCAGTTTGCCTAGAACTGCGGATACTAATCAAACCCTCTCGCCGCTCCGCCGTCCGATCGACAGGTCCGCAATGGCGGATAGCCTATCGAAATCCGGCCTCTTGATTCTTTCTTCTTCAAATATTTCTAATGCCTTACCTCTGTTCAGAGTCTCTCTTCTTGACAGAGCTGTCATTTTGCAACTTTGAAAGCTTTCTCTAGCCCCTCATGGCGCTTTCGCTAAAGTTTCTCATCCCGCCAGAGCCAAGCCACCTACGTCATCGGCTGAAGCGGGGGGCCAGCCGGGGTTGAGTCAGGCTGCAGCTTCCTCCATGCCGACGCCACCCACCGTGCCGTTTTCCCCACCCCGCCGCCCGGGGTCGATATTCAAGAGAAGAATGCGAAACAAGCCACTGCCCACCTCAACGCCCGACCATTTTCAGTTGTCTATACTGTACACTGACGACATTGGCACATGACAGATGGGGGCATCGATGTGCTGGCACGGCGCAGTCCTTCTTTTTTTCTCTTTCTTAGTCTTTATTTGAATCCTGATGGATGAATGGGTTGATAGATTCTGGAAGGAACGAAAAAAGAAAATTTGGCAGCAAAGAAACTTGAACAGAGGCCGTGCCCAGTCATCGTCCAATCTAGATACAGTAGCGTTGTGAAGCGGGTCTGATCTTTCCGGGGACTGCTTGCATTTCGAACCAGGTAGGTACTGCCTGTCCTGCCTGTCCCTCGGTAGGGGGGCACGCACGGCACTAGACGCTTGGTAGCCGATAAAGCCAAAATCCAATCAGAAGGTAGCCCGAAGATTCTACGCATGCTGCCGACCTGCCTCAGTCAACGAAGGTGCATAAACCGGTCAGCGATGATCCCTTCTCGTCCTCGCTATTCGATACCCGGGCGGGCTGAAAATAAACACACCATACACGTGCATAAAACATTCTTGCAGATCCACGGCGGATTATAGTGTAATACGAGGAATCGATTATCAGCAACGCTATTGCAGCTTCATTGGGCAGGTGTACTCATTTGCTGCCTATAAAGCAGCCTCGCATTCTGCAATCGCGCAGAATCGCTTTTGGCGGACTCCTATCTTGGCACCTAAAAAATTGGAGCAGAGCCCCCAAAAGCTCATTGCCTACCAAAGGTAGGTATAAGCCAAACTTGAAATTAAAGAAACCAAGGAGCCGCAAGGTATTATCAGCAAGAAATTGATTTAGAGAGGTTTCATTCGCAATGGCATAGGATAGAGACGATCTCACATGCGCATTTTGGCAGGTCAAATACGATAAGAAGGTGGCGAACAGACAGATAGGAATTCCGCATCCACGAGATGTTAAAACCAAAGGGTGCTAGTGGTTGCCCTGTCAAATCTCACTCAGCCCCCTCAACGACCCACGTAGGACCCTGAAATCGGCGGCCAGGCCAGAATTGCCCTGGGCGGTCGCGGCGATCACTGCTCGATGCTGCAATAGATCAAAAGTGTCTAGTGTTTTATGTTTCGGTCTAACAGAGGAGCTAGTACCGCCCGTTCATCGATGACTGGCCCCCTATTTCTAACAACCCCCCCAACCGTGTCTATCACAACCCATCAGGTCAAGTGGCAACTGCCTACCAGGGGCTAATTAAGGGGTTTTGTCTCAGTTGGAAGAAAAGAAAAGAGGAAACTCTCGTCGATAAGAAGCAGTTGTCGGATTTTGGCATGGAATAAACTTATAGATAGAATCTTGCAACGTTGAAGGTATACTGATAAGATTTGGCAAGAAATAGCACACACAATACAAATTCTCTGACAAAGATGCGAGAACCATAAATGCATGTGAAGCAGTTGCGTTTGCTTGCTTGTTGATTCCAGACTGATACGCTCCTATGAATACAAATCGGACGGAGGACACGAATACCTCCCTCACATCTCTCACTACACATACAAATTAACACCACCCAATATACACAACCTCCTTCGCAGCTTCAAAGTTCAAACGGGGATTGCTTCAACATTTCAAGTGCTTGTGAGTTCGCAGATAGCGAGTAAGTCCATCTACTTTAAGCACTCCCCATGAAGTAGGCAAACTTGACATGATGAGCAAGTTGCAATAAAGTGAAATGATGAAAAAAACAAGACCATGCAAGACAACGGTTGATGAAGCAAGTGAGTGCACCTGGGTTAGGGTTATACATCTCCAACGTCCCGACTCAGATAAGTCCGATAAGGAAACAAAGGCCCGCATGAGATGGAATTTACGATTTGTTGGTCAAGCCGCGCCTACCCGCCGCCGATTGTGGTTGCTCTTTTTTTGTTCTTCAATTCGTGTGTTGGAGTCACTTTTTCTTTTTCGTCTGCCTGCACTGTCGTTCTCAAGGTCATGACACGGTTTCCCCGGCTATTGTCATGCACACGGCCGCGAATACGAACCATCCCGACGACGGTGACTCCTGACAAGATAGCCACGGGCGCCGCCGCCCCTATCGCCGCACTAGCCACCGCTTCGGCGACGGCGATGGCGACGACGACCATGGATACGCCGGCGCCTACACCCACACCCAGAGTGCCTATCCCGCCCCGCGGCGTCGACTACCGCGGCAAGCTGGTGCTGGCCCCCATGGTGCGGTCGGGTGAGCTGCCCTCGCGTCTGACAGCGCTACACTACGGCGCCGATCTGGTATGGGGTATGTGTGTGCTATTGAGACTTGAGAGCCGTGGTGATAAAAAACAGCAGCTAACGGTTTTGGCGGCGCCAGGTCCCGAGACGGTTGACTACTCCATGATCGGCACAACGCGCCGCGTCAACCCCCGCACCGGCATGATCGAGTGGACGCGCATCCCGACCAACAACAAGAAGGTCGACTCGAAGGTCGAGAGCATCATCTTCCGCATCGACCCCGTCCGCGAGGCGTCGCGGCTCATCTTCCAGCTCGGCACGAGCGACCCGGCGCGCGCCGTAGAGGCGGCGCGGCTGGTAGCGCCCGACTGCGTCGGCATCGACGTCAACGCCGGCTGCCCCAAGCCCTTCAGCACGTCGGGCGGCATGGGCGCGGCGCTACTGAAGACGCCCGACAAGCTGGTGGCCATCCTCGACGCCCTGGTGCGCGACGTGGCCCCGGCCGCCCAGATCGGCATCAGCGTCAAGATCCGCATCCTCGAGACGCCCGCCGAGACCGAGGTGCTCGTGCGCCGCCTCGTCGCCACGGGCATCACGGGCCTGACGCTGCACTGCCGCACCCCGGACATGCGCAAGACGGCGCGCGCCATCCGCGGCCAGGTGCGCATAGTCGCCGACGTGTGCCGCGAGGCCGGCGTCGCCTTCCTCATGAACGGCGACGTCGAGACGTGCAGCCACGCGACCGAGCTCGCCTACGAGTTCGGCGCCGACGGCGCCATGATCGCCACCGCCGCCGAGAGTAACCCCAGCTGCTTCCGCAGCGACGCGGCGGGCGGCTTGGCCCCCTGGGAGGAGGTGGTCGGCAAGTACCTGACGTACGCCATCGAGGTCGAGAACAAGCTGCAAAACACAAAGTACCTGCTCGCGCAGATGGTGCCCGGAAAGGCGGGAATCCACCCGAAGCTGCACGGCTGCAAGTCGTACCGCCACATTATCGAGCTGCTGGGCTACACGGACCTCGTCGACCGCGCCGCCGCCGTCGACGCCGTCCTGAACCTACCCCCACTGGTAGCCCCGCCACCGCAGCTGGCTGCTGCCAAGCCCTCAGGGGCGAAGCGGAAGAGGGGGGCAGCGGCCGGCGCCTCGCACGACAAGAAGAAGAAGACGGCGCCATTCGCACAGGCAAAATCCCCCCACAGCCGCTCTGCCAGTCCGGCTCGTGAAGCGGTAGAAGCTGCGGTCGGGGCGACGGCGGTAGTAGCGCCTCAGCCGGCTGCGGCCTCGAGCGTGGCCGTGTAGATGGATATATCAAGAATACCCATCCATTTCTGTTTGCTTTTTGTTTTGTATTTAAGATATCTCGGGCATAGAAAAAGCGTAGGCGGGTAAGGTAGGCGGACTGGGGACTGACTGACTGACTGATTGACTAGTGGGACAAGGAGACGTATATATTATATTTTGTCTGCTTCAATAAGACTTACTACCCTAAGCAGGGACTTCTACAGTTAGATTTATTACAAAAGTGAAATGGCTCATACCCATCACCACGTACACATCAAAGGTTGACACAGGCATTTGCCGCGGTATAGCAAAAAGTCAAGCAATTGAACGGCAATGCTTCAACAGAGTCATACCGGCCGGCCCACAAACCTTACCGCTGCCTTGGAAGATCAAAGTTTTCGCCCCGGGCACATAAAGGGGCCTGTTTGAGCTCCAATCAAGACCAGGTCGTCGGTGGTTTGGTTCGATCGACGGATTCCAAATGTTTAGCTAGATGCCAGACCCATAACCGCAGATATAAAGACACAGTTGATGCCTTTTAAACGCCATGCCCAGGGCAGGCGGATGTATATACATATAGGAACAAAAAAAGAATTAGGCTGGTAGGGCCTTTTTTCGTAAACGGGTTCTTCTTCCACAACATTTCCTTTTATTTTGCTGTTGCATCATTGCATAATTCCGGACTGAATACTGCCCCCCCCTCCACGTAGATGGGTAAATGGGAGTCTGCATTGTTTTAAATCTTTCTAGGTTTCCTTGACTGCCTTGAATGACATTTGAATCATGGTTCAATGTATCCCCTCCCTCCAAACCCCTATTTTCTAGCTTCTAGTTTCTAGTTTCTGCAGAATCTGCAATCATGAGTAATCATGGCCCACTGGCGAATCCATTTCTATGGGTAGGTAGGTAGGTAGGTAGTATGCTCTGGCCTACCGTCAACTTGAGAAACGAGAAAGTCATTTTGCAGGCTTACCTCACTTCTTTCATTGATAGCGTGGACTCGCTCGTCCATTTATTTGCTCGGCCATGGTCTAAGACCCTCCTACTCGAACCGACTCTCTCTATGCAAAAAAAAAAAAAAAAAAAAAACGACAAGGATAAGTACGGCCACGGAATACGTATGATCTTATGTACAAGAACAGACAGCTAAGCATGTAATCGCTTTTATCATTTATTTTTATCTTCTCTCTCCATTGTAGCCGCTGCCGTGCTGTCCTTTTCGGACCCGCCAAAACTTGCATGACAGGCAGACAGGCAGACAGGCAGACAGGCAGGCAGGCCGAGTCGGTTAAGGTAGGTATTGTTCCTAATATGCACAGGGAAGAAAAGAGCCTTTCCCAAGGCACACGTACATCGAAGTACTGACTGACTGGCTTACACGCGCTTCCCCTGAGCCAAAAGGTCCGACACCTTGGGGGGCAGCACCAGCGTGCTGCGGTCGTTGCGGCGGTAAAAGTCGACGAGCGCCATGGCCGTCTTCTCGGGCAGGTCCTCGTGGATGAAGTGGCCGGCCTCGGGGAAGACCTGCAGCGCGTACTTGCCTGCGGCGGGTGGTTGGGTGTTAGCTTTGTTGTTTCGGCCGCTGAGGCAGGAGATACGATATAGAATAGAAGATGGATAAAGGAAAGAGGGAAAGAAACGCACCCTGCATCTGCCCAATCGTCAGTTCCGTGTCCAGCCGGTCGGTCCCGGCCAGCAGCAGCAGCTTGCCGCCGCGGCCCTCGAGGAACTTCTTGCTGAGGCCGAAGAACCAGTCCTCCCAGAAGGGCTGCGTGGCGGCGAGATTTGTGCGCCAGCGCCAGGGCTTCTTCCTGTGCTTGGCCGCCGCCGCCGCCAGCGCGACCATCATGGCCTCGCCGTCCCCGTCTCCATCTCCGTCCCCGTCGCCGCTACCACTACCCGCATCGCGACTCCTCACGCTCTGGCCAGCCGCCTCCTCCTCTGCAGCAGCAGCAGCAGCAGGCGTCTTGTCGACGAGCAAAGCCGGCACGCTAGTACGGGCCGAGACGGAGTTGCGGACGGTGCGGGAGCGGACGTGCCAGTCAATGCCGTCGCGCAGCGAGGCGAACCCCTGCGGCCGCGTCGACAGGTACGTCTGCATGCTCTGTAGGGCGTCCATGGCGGAGCCCTCGACGACGTCAAGCACGGCGTAGCCCAGCAGGTTGGTGCCGACGCCGCCGCTGCCGTTGCGCCGCGCCAGCTCCGTCACCACGGCCCCGCCCAGCGAGTGGCCCACCAGGATCACGGGCGGCAGCTCGCCCCATTTCATGGCCGCCTGCGTGAGCTCCACGACGCGCTGCAGGTCCGTGGCCAGCGTGTCGAGCCCGAGGTCTGGGACTTCGTCGTCGGGTGCCGTGGCGGGAGGGTGAGTAGAGGCGGGAGCAGTAGTGGTGGTGACGGTGGAAGGGGAGGGGGCAAAGTGGAAGACGAATCCGTGAGAGTGGTGGTTGTTATGGCGGTAGTAGTCGTCGTCGACCCGTGGCCCCGCGCATCGGGCGACAGGATGCCGGCACTGGGCAAGCGCTTGCGGATCTCGGCGCTCAGCACGGCGAAGGAGAGGCCCGAGGACCCGGCGCCGTGGTGCATGACAAACAGCGGGCCCTTGCCGCCGGCGGCAGGGGACGTGAGGTAGACGTGGTGCGTTATGGTGGCGGTAGTAGTGATGGCCGTGGTGCTATCCTCGCTGATGCGCGTGGCTGTCGTGGCGACGCTGGGGAGGAATAGCTCTCGCTCAAAGTACGTCGTCCAGGGGATGGGGTCGAGAGAGCGCCCGCCCGCGAACCTGCGCCCGCCGAGATGGGTTAGCATTGCTGTCGAGAGGATGACGGAGGCGGCGAAACATCAAAAAAAAAGTGAAAAGTGAAAAAATAAAAATAAAAATGAACCAAAAAAACATACCCCTGTGGACGGGCAAAAAGGGCGCGGCTGGGCGAGGGTATGACGGTGCCGGTTGAGGACATGGACGACGACGAGGCCGAGTCGTCGTCCTGAGGGGTCTGGGTCTGTGTGAGGGCGTGGTGAAAGTGAAAGGCGCGGTCCTCGTCGGCCTCGTCCAGTACCATGTTGGCCTCGCCGGCCATGGCACTGGAGATTCGTGCCTTTGCCCACTTCTTTTGGAGATGGCTCATGCCTGTTTACAAGTAATAGGTATGCCGTGGAGATGCGTCCGCCCTGCCCTGCCCTGCACTGCCCTGCCCTGCCCTAAGGGAGGAGCCTGCCGTGCCTGCTGTACCTGCTGTGCCGATGGTCGCGTGCTTCTGTAAAAACTGACGTTTAAGAAAGGCAAAACTCCTAATTAGCGAATATATCTCACAATGATTAACAGCTAAGTTCGGCGCAAGACATTGTTGTTCGTCAAGCGGTTGGGTTGCGGTGAGGGGTTGCAAGACGGGTGATAACAGAAGTGAGGTCATTCGTTGGCGTTGCCCTTTGACCCCCAGGCCTGGTAAGAATGGGCCGCACCCAGCAGACAATACAGTGGAATATCCGTAACCACTGTCACAAACTTACCTACAACTCATCTTAGCTCTAACTTAATCAGTTCAAGTTGCATTCCCAGTGTCTCTTGGTCTCTCTTATATGAGATTTGATTATTTGTCAAAGCTAACTATGCATAGTGTGGTATCATTTTAAACATAAACAACTCCCCCGCCTTCTCCAGACCGTTGTGCCGACCCCATGAAAATAGGCCATGTACAAAAAGAAAATAAATCGCCAAATATATACTGTCGGCCGAGCCTCCATGCAAATGCCCTCGTTTGCTTGTTTCTATACCGGATGAGGGGTAAGTGATAAAGAGAAATTATGCTTAATCGATGCGCCGCTCGCGCCGCTTAATAGCCACGGGGAGGCTGCCCTCCGTAAGGCCCACCACCGTAGCCGTATCCACCCCCGCCCCCGCCCCCGCCGTACTGGCGCGCCCCACCATAGCCGGTTTGCGCCGGGGGTCTGTACGGGCGGCTTGGCCCGCTGTAGTTGTTGTAACCAGCGGCACCCGCGTAACTGGTGCCGCCGCTCATATTTGGCAACGTGGGCTGCCGCGTGTCGGCTGATCCTGCGGGTGCTGTGTTGAGGAGGTTTTCTGTCGAGTTGAGAGGCGACACCGCCATTGGTGTTGCCGGTGTTATTGGCCGGTAGGCCCCGGAACGGGGCGCGAACAAAGATTTGGATGGCGGTTCGGCGTTGAGATACCGGTCAGGCGAGATGGAGCGAGCGGCCACTTCCTGGTTGTCGACACCGAAGCCCGGCTTGAGCGGCTCGGATGCTTCCGAATTTGCCGACTTTGAGCGGTCCAGCAACAAAGAGTTCCGCGCATCCAGAGGCGTGAGAGTGTCGCGTTGCATTTTCTCTGCAAAAGTACTCGGGTTAGTATCAAATAGCGGAAAAGACGTCGGGAATGTAAACATACCCATTTCCTTGCGGCGCTTGCGATGCGGGTTCTCCTTGCAGCAAGCAATGATGGCATTCCAGGCAATCAAGATGGCCAGGATTCCAGTCAGAGCCGACTGCACCGCAATAAGAACCACGCCGGTGATTGTCTGCGTCGTCTGCGCGATGCCAAACTGCTCGACAAACACCAGTATGCAAGCCACCGACAGCACGCGCACGACCTGGATGACGATGTTGATAACGTTGCTCGAGCGCCGTTCGTAAGGGCGACTCCAGAGGAGGAGGACCATCATGACAGCCTCAATGACGAGCTGGGCGATTGTCTGAACCATCCCGTGTCCATCGGCGGCCGCGAGGACACAGCCCTTGGCAAACATGTAGATGATGGTCGGTACGAAGATCCACCAGTAGTCTCGGCGGTACGACTCGTAGAACAGGCTGTACTTGACCCAGATGCTCTTGTCCTCGTATAGAGCACCAATATCGCCCTCCATCTTCTTGAGCTTGTGCGCCGTGTGCCAGATCTTGAAAGAGAAGAAGGCAAGGATACCGGTGAATAAGGCGAGGGTGACGCCAGCGAGCGTCTTGGCCGCCCAAGAGTCGCCCTTGGTAAACTGGAAGACGCAGTAGAGAACCCACACGCCGTAGAGAAGCAGGATCAAATTGGTGATGGCGCGGGCGATCGAGCCCCAGTAGTGCTTACGGAAGCCCGCCAGCCCCTTGGGGAAGCTGCCAAACAAGGCCCAGAATTCCAGGACGACTTTGACGAGCAAGATGCCAACTGCGATGGCCGCAATGACGATCGCAACGATCAAGAGCACTGTCATGAAGGTGTTGGCCGAGGGAATGCTGAGCTCCTGCACATAGCCCTCGATGCCGCTGACCGCAACTCGAACGCTTTCCCCGGTCCCAGTTTCCCCCTGGCCGGCGCCCGAGGTTTGATTGACACTCGACGTGATTTGTCTTGAAGCCAGCCGAGCGAACTCTTCGAACGCCCCCTTGACGCTCCTCGCCTGGAATGGTGACGACGATCCATCGGGGAAGACCAAGGTCGCATTCCTTAGAGACTGCACGCTGTTGTTCGTGAGGTTGCCTCCAGTCGAAGCACGGAAGCTGTCGATAGACTCTTGCATTCGAGTCCAGGGAATCAGGCCTGTCGAGAAGGCAAAGTTCTTGGAGAAGCTCCGGTAGACGTTTGGATAGTTTACCGACATCATGCCATTCATGGCCATGCCCTGAAACCATCCAAAGACCTCGGTAAACGTTGGACTTGGAGCCCCCGAGCCGCCAGCTGCTGTGCTTCCGGATGCCGCACCGCCGCCTCCCGCGAAGGCTGCGCCAGCGGCCGAAATACCCGTCATGATGAGGGCAGCTCCCGCAATACCGGCAGCTACGTACGAGACGGCGGGCAGGTTTGCCGTCTTGCCGTTGGATACCTGCGACTGGATGCATGCGACCTTCTCGCCAGTATCCTTAGATTGTAGCTGGAGGGTTGCGAATGCCGCGATATCTGGAACCTGAAAAGCGATCGAGGGAACCATGTTTGCATACTCCGGCGGGATGGCTTGGACACCCTGCGCCGCAAAGCTGCCAGCGGGGACTGAAGAAAATGGTCAGCTAAATCTTATCGTGGGTGGCCAAGACCTTGTTGCCGGTTATGTTGCTTACCAGGACAAAGCTGTTCCACGAATGTAGACTTCTCGCAGGGGTCGAATGCATTGGAGTAGATGTTTTGCCCATATGCTGTGACGTTGAGGATAGCCGTTACATTTTGCACCCTCGTACTTGTCCCTGCCACGTTGAAGACGATTGTTTTGTTGTCATTGTTGTAGCTGATGTCGGCCTTTTGCACCGTGATGTTCGTGTCGCTGCCGCAGCTGCTGAAGCCCACCGTCTGGAGGATATCGGCACCCAAAACACCGTTCGCCAAAAGTGCCCCGGCTAACAGGACCTTGAGGAGCCGCCCTTTGAGGCATAATGTCGCCATTCCACCCGATTTCCTTCGGGGTTTCGGCACCAAGGCCGTGAAGTTGAGATCGGTATATGCTGGATTGGACAGGTCGGTCGATCCAACTGTTTGTTGACTCGTCCTGTAATTGGCCGTTCGCCAGACGATCTGTCCTAGCCAGCTTCTATACCAATGCTTCCATAGGAAGTTTCCTTGGGGTTGACCCTTTGTTCCTCGATGTGTTGTCAAAGACTCGGCAACTCCCGGCTCAAGCTCTATGTTCACTAGACATGAAGATAAAATAGTTGGATGCCGTTTTCGGGTAGAGCTGAGAAAACAGCGGGCGAGGCGAAGAGAAGAAGAGACAATCAACGTCTTTGTATCAAAGCGGCCGAGGGTCAACCTGGAAGAAGCGAAGGGGGCGGAGTGGGCAAAAAGCTGCCGCTCGGCAAAAACACCAGCTGAACTCTTCCGAGTTTAGACGACAAAAAGCCAGAAGTTGAAGCAAGGGAGAATCAAGAAGAGGACGAAGAATGTGGTAGAAAGGACCAGGGGCCTAGATAAGGGAGGCACTGGGATCAAGAAAGGGAAAGGAAGGAGTAGAGAAGGGACCCAGCGGGTATGTGAAACCAAGCCGAGTTGACGATGCCAGCGCGTGGCGGAGTTAGATGGAGGGGTGTGGCCCCGAGGAGCTGGGCCATGCTGGGGCAAAAAAGACGGGCCCGAAAAAAGAAAGAAAAAATTAGTTGACTGCGTGGATCCGAGTAGCGTGGTCGGTCCTTGACGAACAAAGGGACAGGACAGGACAGATGGAAAAGCAGTGCAAACCTAGCCACGCATGTTCGTATCGGCAGCCACCATCTGGCGAATAGCAAGATGGCGCCCAGCAGCCCGCGACCCGCCAAGCAGGGTTGCTTGGCCGAGAGCGATCTCCAGGCCAGTCCCACCCAGCAGCACGCAGAAGCAGTGGCTCGTGTTCGACGCAGAAGGAGGCCGTTGACGGGAGGAGGCTGCTGGCCCGTCGTCTGACGTCCGTCCTTGGTCTGGCCAGCCGTCCCTCCCACGCCCCTCCACCCCACCCTCCCTCGGCTCCGCCCCCTTGTCGGCTTCCCCATCGAGGTGCTCGTCAAAAAGTTGGGCGCGCAAGGAATGGCCTGGCCAGCACGGGCATCTGAAACGGGGGGTAGCTGACCTGTCTGCCCTCAACCCACCCGCGCTCCTCTTTTGGGCGGTTCTGGCGCTGGCCTTTGGGCTGCCGATTGGCTGAGAGCGTCCCGACAGGTTGCGGCGGCGCCACGGGGGGCTCTTCTCTCGACGACTGTGAAACTGGAGACGACGAGCGTTTCTGTCGGTGTCATTGTCGGCGTCAACAAAAACAGTCGCAGAAGAAAGCCACCGAGTCTGTGTCTATGTCCGTGTGCACGCGTGCGCGCGCGAAAAGGAAGGGGGGAAAAGGCGCCACAGCAGGACATTTGAATACTTGGGTGCTGGGCAGCCGTCGTCTGAACAAAATAAAAGGCGGGCAGGCAAATTCGCCGCCCCACGACAGTCAATGCCGCTCAAAAACCTACAGTAGAGGGTAATCCCCCGACCCCCTGAGCACCGCTGGGAAACCTTAAATGTGCCTCTGCCTGGCAGTTGAACTTGAAGCTTACCTGTAATAAAGTGGGTTGTGCCTGCTGCTGCTCAACTCCCAAAGTTAAGGTGGAAGGAGTTGCCGCCTTCCTTCCTCAAGGCACGGCCAGTTCTAAGGCGCGATCTAGTCGGGTGCAGTGCTGCAATAATACCCCCATCCTCCTCCTAGATCCCGACAGCAAACTTTGGTCGACTCTCCATGATGGATCGCCGGCATCCGCGTGCCTGGATTGGGCTTGCGCCCGCCCCCCAGGTCGCGAGGCGCCAAGTGCATCAGGTTTGACGCATCATCGACCAGGGGTCGGCAACTCTGGTTGGTAGTATCCGTAGCAGCAAGCAAGCAAGCAAGGAAAGTAATCCATGGATACGAGGCATTCACGCAGGTGCCAGCAATATCTGCCTTACCTACTCCTACTCTCTGTATCCTCAACAGCTACCATACCTACCCTGGCTACCTACCCCAAGCTTGTATGCACATACATAACCTTGGGCAGAACGCGTCAGCTTGAATTAACTTGTTCTACTACTACGGACAGTTCTAGTATTAGGTCTAGAAGCGAGTGCGAAAAAGAATTGTTGGTTTTCTGTGCACCGGTAAGCTCCCTGAGGTTCTGCAGCTATTGAAACATGACGATATTTTCTTCTTTTTGTGTGTGGAGATGAGAATCCTCCGCAACGAGCTCAGTGGGGAAAGTCTGTTCCTGTGCCTCACAGTCGTAGTCGTCGTCGTCGTCGTCGTCGTCGTCGTCATTGTCCTTCCCTTCTTGGCTCCTCTCTCGAGTCGCCTTTTCACCTTGTCAAAGCAATATTCCTACTTACTAGTTTGAGCACCTGGAGTTATGCTGTCACTTCCCAGCAACAGAAGTAACATAGCCGTTGGTGGTTTTACCCTTTGGTCGCTTAACTCAATCACCGAGTCACCTTACCTTCCCGGCAGGCTATTGATGTGCAACCCCCCATGGGATACGATCTCATTCATCTCATAGCCACAGTTAGAAGGGGCCGTGCCTGGATAATCATCCGCTATGCATTCCTTGGTACCTTGCATTATTTCTGCGGGCGAGACCTGACTCCCAAAAGGGCTCTCTACCAAGTCCATGTCCAGATACACAAAAGCGCGGATAAATATTGTGAACCTACTTTGCCTCTGCTTGGCTTTTCCATGGCCTTGCCACGAATATAAATCTCCGAAGGTACCTAAATCTTAACAACATATAGCCTGTTGAGTGATCATACAAGGGCCGTCTAATTGCCGCCAACATGCCCCCTCCCATCTCCCCATCGAAATCCAGGTTGCTTACAGTTCAGACCTAGGACAGGTCAGATCGACTTGATGATATAACGAGCTGCTTCCTGTGCGACCGCGTCTCGGCCGGGTGCGCTAGTATATCACACAACTATGCGTTGCCACTTTTAGCAAACACGGCTTCTCCGTACGAGGGGCTGCAAAACAGCCAGCCCATTGAATATGATGATCCTTTGTTTTTCGGACGGCCCGTCTGCGATGTGATGTCGACTTGGCCATTCAAGGAGCAGCCGGCCAGCCGTCCGGCCCGGTCCCGCTCCGTTGAGCCCTCTATCTATATCCATATATGCACAGCTCTCCCACCGAGCCACATTTATTGTACAGCCACACCACATAAACTTACCCATGTACTCCGTACTACCCCTTTCTTTTCTGTGTCTGCTCATCCTACTCTTTCGGGCATACGTTCCCGAGATAGCAGATTTTGCGGCGAGCACAGCGCAGGTTCTCAATCATAAAGTTTTTATCATTTATTTTTGCAACACGCGTCACCGTCCCGGAAAGACGCTGTGAGAAAACCAGCAGCCCGTATCGTTCATACCCATGCTTGACATGTGTGAACCAACCATGCAGCGTCAGGCAAAGTAAGCATCATAACCCCCCTTTGGACTCTACCCCGATAGCCCCGAAAACTTGCCCGCCGCCCTACCCCCCAAGGAGTTGATACTCGTGGTCGTCATGTGGGAATCAGCAACATGTGTTCCCCCCTGAAGAAAAACCCAGGCAATGATAGAAGATTGGAAAGAACCAAGCGAAGAAGAGGAAGAAATGGTCCACAGTATCCAACATCGTAGAGAGAAAGAAGAAAAAAGGAATAGACCTGCAGATTACCCCGGGATTCTCCCACACTCCCGGCCACGGTGTTGAATACAAGGATGACAACCTTCCATCCAGCAGACGAAAAGGACCTGAAACATGCAAAAAGAAGTCAAGAAAGAAGAAGACAAAAAAAGAAGACAAATGAACGAAGAATTTTGGGTATATGACTTCTCTTGTAGAACCAAACCGTGCTTGGGTACATAGGCCCCCGAAATAATGCGTAGTAATGACCCTGGCTTAAGCAAGCCACTTATAGCTGGGCAGAACCACACACACACCCATACGGATAATTTAAACACGACGAGTGATTATTGCTGGTAGAACCCCGACTGCCCTTGATGTGGCGAGTGAGAGAAGGGAGACACAGACCCGTGCGGCGTGTATTGGTCCGGGCCGGCGCTGCGCGGGTCCATCATGTGGCCGCCGTACTGCATCTGGACGGTGTTGGGATCGGATAGCCCCAGCGCGTTCATATTCACCATGGCAGGGAATGGCTCGAGATCTGGTGCGACCGAGCTGTACTGGTTGGGCGCTCCAATGTACGTCGTCGTCACAGGAAGGTTGGCGTACGCCTGAGTGTCGAGATTCGCATATCCGTGGGTGACAGGGTGATGGGCAATGTTTGCCATACTCAGCGGTGTCGGGCCGCCCATACCGACCGAGACGTCGTAACCACTGCCGTAAATAGGTGACTGGAAGCCAGGAGGAACGATGGGCTGGTACCCGTACGTTTGTTGTGCTGGGGCTGCGTTTGGATAGGCTAGTAAGCCTCCGGGCTGGTGGCTTAGCGGCGTGTGGGACATGTTCGCCGACGATGGGTCGTAGGACCGCGGCTCCTGCTTAGTGGCAAAGATGGTAGGGAACGGCCGGGGCGGAGGGTCTTGAACAGGGCTGATGATGGTGTCGGCCTCGAGGTCTTTACGGGCAACTAGTTTAAGGATGGGCAGGCTAATCTGCTCCATATGCTTTGCCAAGTGAACTGTCAACTTCTTCCAGGTCGGGAACGTCTTGGCGCAGAACCGGCAGGGCTCGTCATGAGGTGAAGCCCGTGTCTCTTCGTGGCACTGCTCCACCTTCTGCCAGGTCGGATCCATGCCGCCAGCACGCTTAATGGCGGCTTTTGTCTTCACCTTGGGCTCGGGAAACTTGTGTTCGCGCACGAGGTGCTGGAGGAAGTTGTCGCGACGATAACACACGTGGCGGCAGTCCTCGTAATCGCACGTCCACCATTCAAGGTGCCGGTGGCCTTCGTTCTCGTGGCGAACCCAGTCGGCTTTTCTTTTGAAAATCTTGGGATCTCGGCAACGGTCCCAGGTACATGTGAATGGTTGGACGTCTTCGTGTACGTGCTTGGTCCAGTCGGACGGTTTCTGGAATTTCTTGGCCTGGAAGCACAGCTGACATTCGAATTCAGCCGGCAGGGTGCTCGTGGGTGGCATGGGAATGTCGATAGGGAAGCTGTCCGGATTGATAGCGCCTTCCAGCGGTGTAATGTCCCCATCTGAGCCATCGTACCGTGCTGACATCGGATCCAGCCCACGCGCATCCCCCTTGGAGTCGAGAACATTTGCGCTGCCGCCCAGTGCAATACACATAGCCCCACACGGACAGTTCTTGGCCGCCGTACACTGCAGGTGTTTTACCCTTGAATTGAGGAGGCTCTTATACCGCACGATTTGCTGGTGCGCGATACGGTCGACTAGATAGTTGTTCGTGGTGGCTAGGAGAGGATTCAATTTCAAGACGTGTTGCTGGAATCCAGCAAAGTTTGGCGTGATGTCGTGCATTGTCTTGTCAGCCTCCTGCTTGATGTCCATGTCGTCCAGGTCGTCGTCGTCATCATCCTCGTCGTCGGGTTCCGCCATGTTGGCAGGGGCTTTCGCCAGATTTGCCACTGGAGGGCCGCCACTTTTCTTCCACATATCGGCAATACTTGAGGTTTGGTTCTTGGTAAGATCCGACTTGCTGCGGATGCGGTTTAGAGGCTTCCTCACACCGAGGGAGAAACCGCTCGGGCTTTTAGGCGACGTTATGGGAGTTGCGCTGATGGAGCCACTCCGGGCGTGGGTAGTGCCAATCGATGCTATGTTGCTTCCCATGGCTATGAATGCCGTGTTGATGCTCGGTACTCCTTGTTTCTTGCCCCTGCCGGGTGACGGACTCGGAGGTGCGAGCCTGGACTGCTCGCGCTCTGGGGAAGAGTCTGTGTCGCGCGAGGCGGCATCATCGTTGTCGCCGCGGCTTCGCTTATTCCGGGAGCCGCTCGGTTTCCTGACAAGGCCTCGAAGCTCCTTGAAAATGCTAGGCCGCCGCGTGTCTCCTCGGCTAAGCGATAACTTCTTTAAGAAGTTACCACTAGTGACGCCATCAATGTCCGCAACACTCGGCAGACTACGACGGCGTGTTCCCCAAGTTGCTGCTCTCGAGACGAACGAAGCATTATCGCGGCACATCTTCTCGAACTTCTCGATCGCGGCCTGTGACGTCTCCGGTTGGTAGCGAGAAGACCCCGACTTGAAGATGGAGAAAGTCAGGGGTGCATCTGCCCAGTTGCGGTTCTGCCGCATAATTTCCACATCTTGCTCCGTCAACATACCTCCAGACTCGACATAATAGGTCTGGCCTGGGACTGGGTTGTTTTCTGTCTCGTCTCCAAGCTCAATCTCCCGCAGAGGTACGTTGTCGTCGCCATCAATTGGCTGGAGAGATGGTTGCTCATGAACGGGGATACCCGTGTGGGAGCGCGCACCTGTAGGCAGGGGCCGGGACCTAGCCAACCATTCGTCGACTTCATGATTCCGGTCATTCAGCTCCCGCTGGGCAGTCAGTTCGTTCAGACTCGGCACCTCGGTTGCAGGGCGACTATCCGGGCCCAGGCCACGCTGCCCAGTAGCACGGTCCGCCATCCAGGTTCCCGTGTTGTCACGAGCAGGGGCGAATGGGGAAGACGTAGGCTGCGGTTCGTGAGAGACAGTTTCATCCGCACTGAGATCTGGGAATGTAGAGGCGTGCTGGTCGGTATCCAACGCGTAAGGGACCAACAGGTGGTCTTTTCCGTACATAGAAACCGTAACTCGGGGGCTGTGGGCAGGCATGATGGCCGCAGCCGGCGCGAGACCGTCGTCGCTCGACTTTCCACTGCCGCTAGTCTGCGGGGTTAGCTGGTATCCAGGTTGCGGGCTCTCCGCCGAGATGGAGGACTGGTTGGTGAGAATGGACAGCTCCTGGGTCGGGACAAATTCCCGACTCAGCTCGGCGAAGATGGCCCGGTCTCCCTTTTGCTCGGGAGAGCTTGTGTGTAACGAGGGGGTCTTGTCGGGGCTCAGTGGGAGGTAGGCAGCACCTTGGTGGCCGACCAGTAGCTCATCGTTTCCCAGGGGGAACTCGTCGTCCAGAAAGGACGGAGAGCCTTCCTCGTTGAAGTTGACACCGAAGAAGGGGTCGCCGGCCTCGCTATATTCGCTTGACTGGTAGTGGATACTGAGCGGGGTGGAGTCGGCAGGCGTCTGCTGGGAGCTGTTGAGGGCGGGCGAGCCCGAATTGCTCCTGATCTGGGGCGAGAAGGTCGACAGGTGACCAGTAATGAGGGGGGTGGAAGGTTGGATATAATATTGCTGGCCGTCCTGGGGTGGGAGGTTGTGGGGCTCGCCAGTCCGTTCTCGCTGGGTCGCGGTGTTGTCGGCGACTGACGACGGGTATAGCGTGTAAGTGGAAGACATGGTTGCCAGAGGAAGGGCTCAAGTGGCTCTGCCTGTGTATATATTTGCACCAGGTGGGGATCGTCCCAGGGAAATGGAAGACGCAGGGTTGCGCGCGCCGCTTCCGAACACCTCTCTGGATGCGCAACTAGGCGACCACCATGGCCGGTGCGGCTGCGCGAGGGGTAATGGAAATGGAAATCAAGAAGCAGCGCCGTCAACGGACTGCTAGCAACAACCACCTCTTGCTGTCAAGTTCTCGCTCCGAAACAAAGTTGCAGCAGGAAGACGAGCCAGGAGTTTGATCAGCCAGACGATATTCAGACCTGATCTGGGGTGAAGAGATGAAAGAGCAGGGTGGTCTCTGGCCGCCGCAGAGAGGTCGGCAGCCTGATGCATGCGGGTGGTGGTGGGCTGCGATGGAAAATTGGGGGCGAGGCGCAGAGACGGCTTCCTATTCCGAGCCAGGGCTGGCTGGGCTGGGCTGGGCCTAAGGTAGTGCGCCGAGCGCTTACAAGGTTCATGGACAGAATGGCACGGAGGGGGACCGCAGCCTGGGGGTAGCAGTCAACAGCCTTAAAGCTCTGGGCCAGCAGTCAAAGCATTCATTGGAATTGGATTGACATGACGGTCGACTCCATCCTTGACGTTCCTCTCCGCGGGCACAGCTCCTTTCCTGTCTGTCCTGAGCGGTCACTGTAGACTTGGGAATCATAGACTGTATTCGCGTGACTGGTGGTGGGTGCAGGAAGCTAAGGTAGGGAGTTGGCTGGCGAAGCAACCTGTGATACCGAAACTGCAACAATACCACTTGGGAGCCGTCAGCTGCTATCGCGAGGGCGGCTTTCCGGTCGCAAACCGAGACAGCTTTCTTCGTATCTCTCTCCATCTGTCTTCTCGTCTCTCTGTTTGCCTTTCTCTCCAGGTCGAGAGGATTGGTAGACGCCGAGCATGAGATGACGGTGTTTTCCTGCCTCTCCGCACAAGCCACAACCGAAAACCAGTAATTCCGCCCCCCAATGTGGCAGAAGTTGTATCGATAATGCCCTCAATTGCGCAAAGCCCCGTACAGCATGGACAACCAGCGCCTCGGTGCGGTATATTTGCTAGCCTCGGGGGGAGCAGCCGTTAAGGAGCTGTGGGGTATTCCCGGCGGCGTCCTTAACTGGTCAAGGGCCGACTCTGACAGCGGGACTCAGGTCCATCTGCTGGCTGATGAGATTGCGACTCTTTGCCATCCCTGCACGCGAGGCGCGAGAGGGGTCTGGGTCGGTGCGAGCCACTTCAATTGGCGCCTGGGGCGCAAGAATGGCTCGTGGGCTCGTGGGAATGGCGGTGCGCTTTCTGTCTTACTGGCCTGAGTGGGCAGAACCGCGGGCAGAATCGAGCCCCCGCGCCGATATGACATTCGACCCCGAGCTCCGGCTCCAGAGTGCCACGAGGCGTTCTTGGGTTGGAATAAGGCGCATTTTCACAGCCCCCGGTTCGTTAATCAGCACGTCAACCGTATCCATCCGACCCGTCGGTGAGGGTTGACCATTCACGGCCCAAGGCATTTTTCCCATGCTGGACAGCGACATCAAACTCGATCGGCTGGTCCTGTTTGTGGATGTTTGTAGGGGGAGTTACACCGAAGATCGAGTTCCGATTCATCTTGTTTAACAAACAACGCTGGCACTGAACTGGCAGGAACGAATTTCTAGAATTTGGCTCGAGCACTGTTTCCCACCTCGTGCCTAACGCTCCCGCCCAATTTTTGTCCTTTCCGGGTGGTTCCTTCCTGTCAAACCACATAACCTTGCCTACTCCCCGAACTTTGAGGGAACACAAGATGGAAGGTGCGGATATTCCCGGTGAAAGAGAAATGCGTTCTCTCAAGCTCCAAAATAATGTGGTTCTCGCTCCCATCAGTAGCATCAATGATCGCTCGATGGCAGCCAATCCAATCTAGAACACGGAGGAGAAAGCTTGGACGACTTCTCGAAGCGGTCGAGCTTCTGATGGCGCAGCCGCCTGTTTGCACCCACTCGATGGCGCACTGCAGGACCGGCACGGCACCAGCACTGCCACATTATTCGGCAGGACTGCAGCGGGTTGGCTAGAGTTCCCGGCCGCCGCAAATGCGATTTATTGAATTTCAATACATATCGCCAAACTGGGACTCATAGACATGCGAGCAGTAAATCATGACGTGGTATGTTGGTTGGTTGGATGGAATAGAATTTTCGTTGCCCAAGACTCGACTTCGGAAAGGTGACTTCCCTTCCCTACAACTGTCTGTTGTCGGGTATTCTAACATTCCAAAATACACGTTTTATCCCGGGGCGCGGTATGGTGAGTCCTTGTGCTCCATGCGCAGACAACTATCGATCTTACGACGTAGCTAGGATCTCCGCTGGTTTGCTGGTTGAATATTGCTTGCAATTGTCCACCCCCAGACCGGCCAATGTACCCGCCAACTCTTGTGTAGAAGAGTGCCCACATGGCTCCTCAAGTAAAAAGCTGCGCATATCGAAGGATTGTCCGCAATCAGGGGCCGCTCAAAGGGACCTGTTGGGTTCCTTGGCCGGCAATGCCCGAGCCCCCAAGGGCCTATTAATCCCTACATTTAATCGTGTCCGAGTCTTTCACGATCCTACCGAGTCTTGAGGATAATCTCGTGTATTCTGTCCCTGGTCGTGATATGTTTCGCATCACATCACCTCAGAACTTCACCAACGGCTTTCCCTGAGGCACCACACACAAAATGCCTACTTCCAGCTCGGGACATGGTTAAGTTGTTGTCACTTGCTCAGTCCCTCAGAAAGAAAGCTGTGGCTGGTTCAGGCTTGGCTGTCCCTTTGCCCTGTTGACGCCGCAGGCCAACATACCAGGAGTCTCGTGTAATTCATTAGTCACTCGGGAACATCTAATATACCTACCGCGCGGCTCAGGGCAATGCTCTGTTATATTCACCAAGTTATTCGCACGTGGCTTCAGACGCAAGATTCTGCCCGTGTTGCCATAAACAAGGATATATACTCTGGCCACTTCTAAACTGGCAATACTATCCACGCCGCCTTCAAACGTCCCAAGCCATATTCGGGGATCCTCTTTTAAACCAGACTGAGGTGTGCACAGACTTGGCGGTAGCGGGTGACTTGACGAACGGAGAGGTCGGCAAATCATCGATATCGAGGATATGTTGGGTTTAGAATAGTAATGCTTTCTGCGCTTCAGTGTAAACCAAGGAAGGTGGTCGCGGGTGTCAAAATTGCCTCCTGAATGACACAAAAATTCGAGGGTGTTGATGTCAATGTCCCGGAGCCTGTCTGCTTCACTGGCTTAAACGGCACATATACGGAGTAATGCAATGGTTGACCAACTAGCCCCACATTTCCATACGTCGGGTCCCCGCGCTGAGCTTCGGACGAATGATGAAATGCGGGACCTCGGTTCCGCTTACCTCGAGGTCCGAGAGCTCTAAACAACAACGAACAGCAAGGCATCAAAAGGACAACACCAACACAGCAGTTAACCACACACTCAATATGGTAACGGGCCCTAAGGCATGGCTTGGAATTATTCTTAGCTAACACCTCGAAAGGGCCTAGAATTCCCTTCGTACGTTCTCGCGGCGTTGACGGCGACGGGCGGAATTATTGGTTTCGCTCGGACAAAGAGCGTACCAAGCATTGTTGCTGGGTGCGCGGTTGGCCTTCTCTGTAGGTTTCTTATGCGCTTCTTCTCCTTCTCTGGGCGGCGTACAGCGACGACGGCTTGAAATTGACGAGTTCTAATTCGACTTGGTCAGATGGGCTCGGCGGCTATCGCCAACAGAACAACCAGCCCTACGGCGTCGAACTAAGTCTTCTGGCGTCTGTCGTCCTCGGCGGCTCTTCAATCCCCCGCGCCATCCGACTCCGCAAGCCGGTTCCCATCTTGTTGTCCGTGCTTGCTTCCTTCGGCTTGCTTACTTTCGGCAATGAGTTCCGCCGTACTCTGTAGACGGGCCAAGAGTCGGGGATAGCTGGATGACACGAACTGAGAGAGGACAGAAAATGCCATAATGTACAACATGTCTAATGCTGCGAGTTTTGCCTTGCCTCTAGCCACCTTGTTATACAGTAATGCCGACTCTTGGGGCTGGTCGTGCAGTGACGACTCGTGATCGTGATTCCCTCGCGTGCGTGCGCTGCACGAAACTCTCTTGTAGGCCGCCTTGACGATTAGCGACGATCAACGCCCACATGCTAGTATTTGAGCATCAAAGCCGAGGTATTATGAGGAGACCGTGAAAATGGATGCGGGGTGGTGTTTGCGGCGTGGTTTTGATCAGGAGGTCTCGTCGATTTCTTTCCATAGCTGCCGCACCCGATCCTTCCTGCTTTGGACCTCGTTTCGGTTCGCCGTCTGGTTCTTGAAACGCTCGGCTTTGAGGCATTTGGTGAGGTTATCCTTCTGGCTGGTGCACATCCCTATGGCTTTCCACATGAATCCTCTGGCGTGACATTCCTCGAGCGCGACCATGACCTCTTCGCACCCTAGAAGCAGGGTTAGAAACGATTTGGTGAAGGGAGCAGAAAATGGACCGCTTGCCAGTGTTGTCTTTAGTGTGGAGGTGAGGATGCATCTTGAGGTGATTCTCTCGCGCTCTGTAGGGGACCAGGTAGCTTGAATGGGCGATGGGGGTTTTGTCGAAGAGGGTCGAAAAGGCGAAGTCCGTCGCGTCAGCCAGAAACGCCTAGGAACTTCTCCACCAGTCGGCCAAACTTTTTCAGGCGGCCAAAGCGAGAAGCTTGGACCACCTGCCTCTAGTGACTGCTTTCCTGATTCCCCCACCAATTGCATTGGCTCTGATCAACCCAAGACTACATCTTTTCTCCCATCAACTGCCGTTTCTTGATTTTTAAACGACTGTCTCTTCTTCTCTAAGTTAATAAAAGAAACGCATCGCCATGGCGTCGCCACAAGTCTCGGCTAAGAGGCAGCAAGGTACATCCGCCGTTCCGCAAGCAAACCCTGGAAGCTAGTGCCTGACCTGACGCTGCAGCAGATTTACAGGTGCAATATACCACTTACAAAAACACACTTCAGGCGCTTGCGCAGAAAATCGGCGATGTCGAGCAAGAGTCTGAGGAGCACAAGTAAGTTACAAAACAAGGTGGTGCAAACTGGACCGCCGGCTCGCACCCCTTTAACTTCCCGCTCATCCCCTCCCCCGGCTTTCCTCCGCTGTCACGGCATATTTCACACCGCTTGCTGCCTTGCTTGGCCTGCTCTCACCGCTCATCCCCTTACTTGGTCCGATACAGACTCGTCCTTGACACCCTAGGGCCGCTTCCGGGGGACCGCAAATGCTTCCGCATGATAAATGGCGTACTAGTGGAGAGGACCGTCACGGATGTGATCCCGGCTCTCGAGACAAACGCAGAGGGCCTCAAGAACGTCCTCGAGGACCTGGTTAAGCAGTACAAGTCCAAGCAGGAGGAGCTTGAGAAGTGGAAGGTATGCCGTGTCAACGCAGTCCCTTGACCCTCCTTTTCCTTTCTTGGATCCTACCCGCAATGTCTGATCTAACCTCCTCTGCAGAAGAAGAACAACGTCCAAGTGGTTCAGTCATAGTAACATGAGAAACCCCACTATACTCAGAGCTCTCCATGACCTAAGGGAGAATCTGCATGGCAAAAGAAATGTCCCGCCCGAGTGCCATGTCATCAACCTGAGTGTGGTGTCAACGTGTATAGTCCGTGCGGATCACGATATGGAAAAGCGGCGCAAATACTCAAAGCGCCTCGAGTGATGACGTTCTTCTCTCTCTGTTTCCCACCCATGTCTTCAAGTTCTAGCCGCACAAGGAAGGCGGCCGATAAACTAGCGAGCTAGCCTAGGAAATCGAGACCCTGTGCGGCCGCCCACGCTCTAAAGAATCCGTACATACGGAATACTATGTACACGAACACGAAATAAACTTGGATGTAGGGAGGAAGCTGTAGCCGTCTCCCAGCCAAGGCGGGCGACAGCCTTAAAAAGGAGATTTCGTGGCTATGGCCCGAGATGGTGTTGATGAGTTGTACATACAAAACAAAATAAATTCATGTTTGTTGTCCAAACCAGCTGCAGCCAAGCGGCATGGAGGTCGCGATGCCCAACTAGCACGCCGGAAACACCGGTCGAAGCAGTTGGGCCGCGATTGGACTATGCATCTGTGTCTGTTGTTAACGAGAAGGTGTGGCCATGGCGGGTGGGGGTTTGCCAGCCAGCTTCAGCCTTCCACCCCCTCGGTCGGATTCTCGTCTCGCCAGAGATGCGAAATACTTCTTTACGTATGCAAGACATCTTTATTTATTTGCCTCAACTCGACCTGTGATACACCAACGCCCTTGCACACTTTCTGGCGAGTTGATCTCATCACTGCATGGTACATGAGATATCTGTATGATACCTCGCAGGCTAGAGGTGGAAGGAGAGAGACTTCCGTTGCACTAGCCGTGCGTCTCCTCCGCAATGGTTGGGCGAGCTGCGGCCCTATGGAAATGGATGGGTTTGAGGCGATGGCGCCTAACGTTCTCCGCATTCGCCGATAAACCAATGAGCTAACCCTGTGGGCATTTCCTCCCAATGGCGTCGACGAGCCGGCTGTAAATTTTACTATTGGGCACAAAATCAAACTCGCGACACCACTCATCACCTCACCTTGTCTCACAGCCGTGTCTCTCGAGCCGACCGAGATTTGTTTTCCAGCCAGTCACCACAACTCTTTTCCGAGACCCCTCCAGGGCCCAGCCTTTCACCCCAAACGCCGTCATGGTCTCATCAGGCTCGTCCCGTCAGCCTTCCTGTTCCTGCCCTACGTGTTTGGACATGACAGCCATTGTCGAATCATCTGCCAGATTCCCCCTCCATAACCGGCAATCACCCTTGGGTTGCCTAGCAGCACAGGAATAAGCTCGCGCGGCTCTAGTTCACAACGTCTCGGGTTTGCCAGGTTAGGAGGATACTCCGTACTGGCTGCTTTGAATATAATTGGCATTGCCCAATGCAGAGAGAATCAATACAGGATCCGGCCCCTTTCCTCAAATTGGTCAAGGCCTGCGGAAACAAAAAAAATCCCTTTCACCGCTCTTGACGGGAAAGCTCAGAAGGGTGAGAAGAGGAGTACCAGCACCAGCCGGTGTCTGCGTTGCAGCAGGAAAGAAAAGAATAGGCATGCAGCGTTGCATGGTACATGGACCACAGTGTGTGGCCGGCTTACTCACATTGACTGGAGATGCATCGTCTAATGCATGGTGTCGATGTCGAGAAAATTTTGCTATTCTTTCTATTCTCCCTTCAGCCTAAGGGAAATATGCCGAGGGGCAGAGCAGGAGGGTGGGTGTGTGAACTTTTACGCCACATTGATTCCTTGTTCATGGCGGGGGACTGAGCGACTTCTCTGATCTACTACAATTCGCCGGCGCCTTGCTCAATGGCTTGTACAGGAGAGTCAAACCAAAGACTAGTAAAAGAAGATGTACGCCTACACCATCGAGTCTGTTGAGCAAAACGCTGAGGCGCCGCAACCAGAGGCAATTGAGTTTGGAGCTGTCATGATGGCAACTGAGCTCTCTGAAACGGGCCAGTGACAAAAGGTAAGGTAGGCGGTACCCGGCGATATGGAGAAAAGAGGCGGTGGGGAGCGGGGCCGCCAAGTAGACGCTACTTGGGCCCTGGCAAGAGCTATTGATCACCGCTTCGTGGGCTTGGCGATGGAGCTTGTTGTCATGGTGCTGGACGAGCTTGGGCTGGTAGTGGGCGGGCCGGCGGGGTGTGGATTGGGAGTGCCCCATTTGATTCCAAGACCCGCTTCACCCGCATTCTCTTTTCACCCGACTTCTTTCCCACTGCACAACCCCACGTCTGCAGCCCTCTCGCATCAGTTTTCCATGCATCGCAGACCCCAAGACAAGGACAAGGTTCAAGGCCAGCTCAGACACCACCCACTCAGAAGTTGCAGCAGAAGACTAAGGTAGTCAACGTGGACTCGGGGCCAAGGGGAAACAGCCCAGTTTGTTTGCAACCTAGCCTGCCCAAGGTACGTACGTGTAGGTGGCCAGGCGCATTGCATGGCGCGCGCGCACGCGCCGACTGCATCTCGTCCCATCGCATCCATCGCTGGGCTCTGGCTCTGGCCTGGCTCCGCCGTCGCCCTCACCGTCACCGTCACCGTCACGCCCTCACCCTCGCACCCGCACCCGTACCTGTACCGCGGGCAAGCGCTGCTCTCTGACGCGACTCTGCAGACATCCCACGAGGCACAGGCACGCAATCAGGCCGTGGCAGCACAGCTAATCTCTCTGCTCCCAGCCCTCTCCCCGCGCGGCCGACTCTGGACGAACCTGCTCTGTGCCTGCCGCACCTAGCCAACCACTTACTACCATCGAAGCCGCCGTTTGGTGTAACGGCGACGACCCGTGAGCAGCAGCACAGAGACACGCGCGCGCCGGCCGACACCTGTCGTCGAACCCGGCCCACGGAGTAGCTACAGCTGGTCGCTCCCGCGGACCACTCGTCTTCCTGGACCGCCAGACAAAACAACCTGCAGCAGGGCGCGATCCGGCAGCGGGCGTACAGAACGCTAGGCCAAGAGGCTACCTTACCTACCCGCCTACCTTAACCTGCCTGCCTACCTGCCTGCCTACCTGGTACATACGGTACCAACTCTTAGTAGGACCCGCAGCACACGTATCAGGCCTCGTCTCTGCTGCGCTCGGCGTGCCCTTCGGGCTCACACTGCCAGACTCGGGCTTCTACCCATCGTCCATCGCCACCCCTTGCCTCCTCCACACCCCTCACGCCACCCCACCTCTCTCCCATATACACCCCCCCCTTTCCTACCCGTACCCGTACGTCGCCAGCCACAGCTAGGCTTCGTCACGGCCTAAAGATCAGGCAGGGAAACCGGTAGAACGTAATCCTGGGACGCGGAGAAGTGACGCTTGACGCAGGCTCTCTGCAGTTCTAGGCCGCCAGGGAGGAAAAAGCAAAGTCTGAAGCCTGACCACCCTTGCAACGTGTCCAACGACACATCGCAGTCTCCATCCCGGCTGTGTAAGCTAGTAGTCCAAGGAATTTACAAGAAGCCAGCAGCCGCTGCAGGTAGCCAAATATGTCCGACTCCCCCCAATCCAATACGAAGGAGGTCGAACAAGGTGCACCGTCACCCGAAGACGACGCACAAATGAACGACCCCCAGGACCCACACTCGACCGCGCTCGCCTATGAGTTCGAGGTAAAAGAACAGGACCGGTGGTTGCCCATAGCCAATGGTACGTCGTGTGTCTCTCCGTTGCCCTTTTGCTTGGTTCGCCATGATTCGCGTACGCTTGGTGTGGTATTTCGGCCGTTGAAGCCGACGTCCTGCGCTTGCATGCCGGTGAAGACACCACTCGCGCAGACTGGCGTCGCCCCTCCTCTGCCTCTCCCAACAGCCGCGCATCCTCCCGAGCCCATGTCTCGCGATTCGCCATCCAAGTCGCCAGAAGCGCAAGCCGCTTCCTCCTCCTCCTCCGCCAAGAACGATAGGTACGATGGATGTGATGCTAACATCCGCAACTTTGCGCCAGTTGCCCGTATCATGAAGAACGCGTTGCCCGATAACGCCAAGATTGCAAAAGAAGCAAAAGAATGCATGCAAGAATGCGTTAGCGAGTTCATTTCCTTCATTACAAGCGAAGGTAAGTCTAGCCTGGCGGCGGCAGAGCCGCATTCTTGATGGATCCTAGATATCTGACCTATCACACACAGCCTCTGAGAAGTGCCATCAAGAGAAGAGGAAAACTGTCAATGGCGAGGATATACTCTTTGCCATGACTTCTCTCGGATTCGAGAATTACTCCGAGGCACTGAAAATCTATCTCGCCAAATATCGTGAGGTAGGTCGATTCTCTTCCCCCTACCTCCCTCACCAGATCCCGCACCCACGCGTGTATCGTATCTTCTGTTTAATATCTCTAACAGACCCTGACTAACGTACAACAGCAGCAGTCCCAGTCGAACAGGGGCGAGAACCAACAGAACCGACCCAACAGCCAAGGATACGGTGCGGCCGGCGGTTCGAACCCAGGGCCCAGCGCCTTCCCCGGTGGCGACCTCGGCGGCCAACCAGAAGGCGGAGAAGGCTACAACATGTACAGCGCTCAACCAGGCCACAACGGCGCAGGTGGCGAGTATTAAGGCGGCTCGGCTCTCCTTTTGGAGACTTAGCCAGCCTCTTAGCAACATCCACTTAGCTACCTTCGCGCGTGTATAATTACAGATTTAGCCTTTTGCTCCGGCCCTAGCCAGTTCGTCAAAGGACGGGAACTGTGCCAGCTAGGCCAAAGGAGCTTACGGAGTGGTTTGGGGCATGAGGGCAATGGAAACCGGGGGAATAGGAGGCAAAGGATTCAAAACATTTAGTAGAGATTGGCTGACATTGTATTTTGTTATTTCCTATTGGGGGAGAGTGCCCCTCGGTCATCTCACAAGAGTGATCAACTTCGGCAGCAATTTTAGGTTTAGCTTTTTTTTTTGGCTTTAAGGTGATGCAGACCGGAAGCCTGACGTTCCTCGGCGATGGGCATCTCTACATAGGTATATAATTGTAGATATCGTTGTCCACCCTTCCGCTTTTGACGTTGTCCGTGCTTCGCGACGCCACTTGGCGTTTATTTGCGGTTAGAGGGTAAGGTAGGTATCGCGGGTCGTGATTTTAGCAATATCTAACATATAGCGTGTCTAGCGGTTCATGAGGCAAGCTCGGCAGTAATTTGAGTTGTTTATAGCACTACTTTGTACATGCGAGGTTCTAAGCCATCGGTTGTTCTCATTATTGAAACTAGCTGCCGACCGCTCACCGCTTTCCTAATCGGGTCCCGCCAGCCCACAGGTGCCGAAGTGCACGTGCCCCACAGGCGGGGAAGGTCCCTGATTTTCCAAAATATTTTTCATCTGCCAGTAGGAAAGGTGGGCACCCGAGGCCAGTTGGGGTCGGAGAAACTCTTGAGTTTGGGCATGGATGCAAGCGCCAGCGAAAAGTAACGTTGTCGCAAATTTCCAACAGCGCGACAACAACGACGATTATGTCTAGCGGAATGCCTACCTTTTATATTCCCTCGCCGTTAAATATCTAGCGCTTCTCAAGAAGACAGCGCCACGGCCCACCGCTCCGCCCGCCCGAGGGACGACGCACCCCTCATCAGGGCAACGGGCGAAACAGCCGCCCCCATGACAACCATCACCCCCTCCACGCGTAGGAGCCGGGCGCCCGTGACCGCTGCTGCCGGTTCCTCGGCCATCAAGCCCATTTTACGCAAAACTGTCTCGGTCCTCGGCACGCGATCTCGACCCGACGACGACGATAGCGACGAGCTTGCGAGCCCAACGAAAAAGAGGAAGACGGTCGTCTTCAATGAGAGTCTCAACGTGGTGAGAGACATTGGCAACAAGTCGCTCGGCGATGCGAAGCGGGAGGTGAGGCAGGCGCTCGACGGACATAGCCGTGGGGACGACGAGGATTACGACAATCTGAAGGATCTCTTCGCCCCGAGCCACAAGCAGCACTCGCCTCCCGAGGAGGTGGAAGACGAGACGAAGCAGCAGGAGCTGGTAGTCTACGTCATCGCCCTGACAAGCCATGTCCCCCTGCTTGGCAGGTCGTGTGCCGGTCTTGCCAGGAGCATTCTCCGGTGCTCGTGGCTCGAAAGGGACGACGATTTCTCGCGGGCTTATATCCAGCTCCTAGCGGCGCTCTCGTCTGTCCAGGGCTCCTTCTTCACGCAGATCCTCTCCATGATGGTCGACAAATTCGCAGACGCCCAGACATGCTCTAACAAGGGCTCGTCTGTGCCCGGGTTTCCGCCCGTGCAAGCTGAGACCAAGAAAGACCGACTCCATCTCGGCCTGAGATACCTCCTTGAGCTTTTCCCCGACGGGCGCCACATCATTATAGACCTCGTGTCGGCCAAGTTTCCTTATACTGAGGATTCAAAGGCCGTTCACGTGGAATACATCAACCACCTACTCCGGCTTAAGACGGACAGACCCGAGCTGGAAAGGGATATCATGGAGCTGATTCTTTCGCGGCTCGTCAAACTTGACATGGAAATGACGTTGGACCTTGAAAATGACGACGACGAGACCACCAAGGCGGTGCTCCGACAGCTGGAATCGTCGGATGCTAAGAGCGACGACGGAGAAGATAGTGATGCCGATTCAGTTGTGAGTGACCAAGAAGGTGACGACGAGCAGACGAGGCGCGTGGACATGATCAAGAGCAAGCTCGAGACGATGGACGCCATCATGGACTTGATGTTTGCTATATATACTCCAGTATTCGAGAATCCTGAGACTCCTGAAGCTCAAGAGGCTTTCCACGATTTACTGAGCGACTTTTCAAATGTCATACTTCCGGTATGTTTTGAAAAAATCCCACGGATTAAATATCTCTACCTTCCCTCCAAGCTTGCTAATCTTCTTTTGCACCAGCATTTCAAATCTCGGCACACGCAGTATTTGCTCTTCAAATTCGCCATGAAATCACGCCTATTCATGGAGACGTTCACCGGAACCCTTTTTAACATCGCGTAAGTTGTTTTAAACGGGAACCGAGCATCGGGGATGGCTAGAGACAGGACCCGAGACAATGCTGACTTGTCACCAGATTTGAGTCAAAAAGACCGCCGATTGTCAAACAAGCAGCGGTTGCTTATTTGGTGAGTTATCTTGCCACATCGGCAGTGCGTTTCGGGACGCTAACGAACATCCCAGGCGAGTTTCACTGCAAGAGGCGCGAAACTGGAGAGCGACCTGGTGCAAAAGATTGTCCAGACATTTCTATACTACATCGATAACTTCCGGGTCACTCATACCAGCTGTCGCGGCCCAGATGTACGGCGCTATGGCCAGTATTAGTAGGTTCCGGCGTTCCAGTTTATGTGGTGACAAGTACTGACCATGACGCAGTGCGTACTTCCAAGGCCTACTTTACGTAAGTGGTTGCACGGCCCTGGAGGTCGACTCATCACCACTATCCTGGTTTCTCCTAGTACCAGCAGCACGCCAGCTAACCTTGTGCCCTCTAGATCTTCTGCTTCCGCTGGCGAGACCTGATCGACCGTGACCTGGTCCCGGCTAGTCTCGACTGGGACGATCCTGCGTCGTTCATTGGGCAAGACTTGCCCTGGATGGCCGGCTTGAGATCTAAGATGCAAGCTAATATTGCCTCCAAGCTCAATGTGAGTTCGGTTCTCCTCTCCCAGCCTGGACACTTGCTGACCTTATCCCAGCCCCTCAAGTGCTGCTCGCCGGTAATTGTTGACGAGTTCGCGAGATTATCTCATCACCTCGGACTCATATATATGTACGTCTCTCCACGTGTGGGTGGGGATTGAGTCCCCCGTTTTCTGTATCACCGGCATCTTTGCTCACAGCGTCAAACAGATATCCACAAATTGAGAAGAACAAGAACGTGCAGCTGTCTCAATTCTCTACCGGCAGCTATGCCACAGGCGGGGCTCTTCGCGACTCGGGTTTCGAGTTTGATAACGAGAAGTGGACCCATCTGGAGGCTTGCTTTCCGTTTGACCCTTTCCAGCTACCCGTTGCCAAGCGTTGGCTCGATTTGCAGAACAACTACGTGTCTTGGCAACCCATGGCAGTGCTTAGCATGGGAAGCGACGATGAAGACAGCGAGAGCGATCCGGACGAGGGCGATTGACGGAAATAGGCACGACATGGAGGAGAGATTCAGGCGCAGCTTAGGACGATGAGACGCATCACAGAGAGAGATGCAATTTCAAGACATGATTGGGGCCCATTTTGGCGGCGTCAAACGATATGGCTGAGGTAACGGGAAGGGGATGGATTTGAATCATTGAATCGATTACGGATTACCGATGCAATCTTGGGCCTATGGGAAACACTTTTTTTCTTTGGCATTTGCGACAGTGGCAAAGCATGACAGGGGCGTTTCTAGCGTTGGGCACGAGGACTTGGTGAGGGCTACATAAGTACTCAGTAGGCACGGCTCAATCGCCAATGATATCAAGGAGTCGCGACAGTTTGAGGTTTCAAGTCCCATCTCTCTAACCCCTAATTGACCTGTACTTCTTTAAAAAGAATCCAACAGCCCCTTGTTTACAAACTTCTCGTGCGCACCTGTGGGATATTCCATATCTGCAGGCTCCCTCAGTCAAGGAAACCCGTCATCCAAAGAGAAGGTGAGAAGAGATGGAGGGACCGGGGTGACTGACGTGCGGCACAGTGATTGATTGGCCGGCTGAATGTGAAATCGGCAGCCTTCCCGACCGTTTGGGGAATTTCGAACCCCAGCTGATTACTATTATTTAATTCATTATTTCGAAGGGGCGACAAACGCGTGAAGGGAAGAGAGAAGGGGCGAACTCTTGGCGCACGAGATCAGACCTGTTGCTTGCTGCCGCTAGCCACGGTATCTAACATGGCGGACAACGACAAACAACAAGACGCCAACAACAACCCCGGCCGCCCGTCGTTCACTTCCTTCTGGAAGCGGTCAAGGGAAGCGCTATCAGCATCAGCCCGCCGCAACATCACGTTCGTCTCGGACGAGAGCGTGGGACAGGAGGGACGTGGACACGGACACGGACACGATGGGACAGCAGCAGGTGAGTAACCTTGGCCATATCACTTTTTGTCTGTCTTTTGTATTTGCATTTATTTGTATTTCCGATTTTTCTTTCCTATCCCCCCATACGTACGCGGTATAATCCGAATCCGTCGTCTCACTCGGGAAGTCAGTCCCATAATCGATTCCAATTCATTCTCTCGGTCTTTCTCTATGTACTCTCTCTCGGGGACCCTTCAGCCCCCACACGTGGACCGACGTGTGCAACATGGTCATGGACAAGGTCGTGTCGTGCCGTGTAGTGCCGTGTAGTGCGTGATCCTTGGCGTATATATCTCTCTCTCTCTCACCCTCTCTCCACAAAAAAAAATTGAAAATGTCATAGACGCGCCAAGTTGGGGCTGTCTGTTTGTTCGTACTTTTTTTTTTCGTGCCCCCTTCCCCCGATCCCCCCGGTTGCGTGCGTGCGGGTGGGTTGTGGTTGGGTGGAAACCGAGAGATGGCGTTAAACGGGCCCGATGCGATCACAAAGATTTGTCATATCGGTCTCGGGAAGGCAGCCCAAAACGCAAATCAACAAAAAGCTACCTTAAACCTTATCCTCCTACCTTACCTAGGTTGCAACAAGGGGGGGAAGCAGCGAACCGAAATCGCATCTCCCACCCTAAGTCCTAGCAGTTCCTTCCGTTCCTTTCCTTCTTATGCTCCCCGCCCACAATATCCCAGCATGTGTGCGCGCGCGCGCGCGTATCTGTGGTTCCGATTCTGGATAGTCCAAAAGTCTACGGAGTTATACCTAAAGCTTATCGAAACGGGATTGGGAATGCTTGGTCCCCGCCCGCCCGCAGGAGTTCTACCACTCCCTCCCACTGCATCATCGCCTCACATCATCAGGCATCAGCAGAGTCAGGCAGATTTACAAGCAGAAGATTAACAAGGGCTCTCTTCTCTGTTTTGTCTTCTTTCGGGCCAGAGGCCAGGCTCTAAACTCTTGATGACTGACTCTCGTCTTAATTACACACGTACCCGTTGCGGCTTTCCGTCTTTCCGCGCTCCTAGTTCCGACTCCTTTCCGCATGCCGTATTTGCCTCCCTCTACACACACCCTCCACCCTCTGCAATCCTTTCCTTGTTGGGGGTCGTTTGACAGATCCGGACGACATCGGACTTGGGGGAAAAGACCCTAGACGAGGCTACGTCTGCGGCAGCGGCGGCAGTTAGTACCACATCTGATACCGATATTGATCTACTTTGGGTCTCTGTTGGTTCCATCCATGCTGGTACACTGGAGAAACAGGCGCCAAGTGCGCGCGCTTGTGCAAGCGGGCGGGCCTTCTCTCGATATGCGAGCCGGGTTTGGTGTGGCCAAGACGGGTGCTCTGAGGTGATTTGTCGTGAGATTGTGGGAAGAAGGGGTGAGGGGGGAGAATAAACACTTTTCAGTGATCCAGCCCAGTCAGCTGTCCCTCCTCTCTCTGGTTGGAAGCCCCAACTAAGCTTGTACCCCCATCTTTTCTTATTTCTAATAACGCGTTGCTGCGCTGTTATATACAGCCAGCAGCAGCGCTCTCTCCCCCCCAGGGCTATGTCGCTGTCGCGTGTTTGAGTCTTGAGGCGCCCAATGCTTAGCCGGGACTTGCACCTCCTGTCTTCTCCATGACGGGCTCTTCTCTCTTTGTCTATGTATCCGTGTACCAGCCCTCTGGTCCGATGTCAGTGAAGAAGACCAAGGTCAAGCAACTAACAGGAGCGGGAGCACAAGGAGCACAAGAGGGCGGCGGTTCCTCGACCAGCACCCAGACGCCCCAAGACAAGGCCAAGCTACGCCGGGCCCAAGTCCGCAAGGCCCAGCTCCAGCACCGACAGCGCAAGGCACACTACATCAACCAGCTCGAGGCCGACGTGGCCCGCATCCGCGACATGATCTCCCAGACGGTGCACGACGTGCAAGTCCTGCGAAGAGAGAATGGCGTCATGAGAGCGCGGGTCCAGAGACGGCGGCAGGAGCGAGCGGAGGTCCAGCACGGCTTTGATGTGACAACAGCCGCCCCGTTTGCCGCCACGACGACCATCACAACCGCATCAACAGCAACCATCACCGTGGCCAATGTCTTGCCGCCGCTAAACTTCTTGCCGTCGTTAACTGCCGACTCGCTGTCGTCGCTGCTGGCCATGGACGTGGACGAGCCGGGGCCGCTCGAGGACATCACGCTGAGTTTCGGCTTCGACGACGCGACAAACCAGCCGTGCTACCATGTCAGCAGCTCGCCGAGCTCGAGCCACTATGAGAGCTCAAATGGGCAGCTCAGCTTGCATAAATATCTGCCCGACCCTGGCCCCGAACCCGCCGTTGTTGTTGCTACTGCTGTTACTACTTCCTCCGCTGTGGAACCTCCCCTCAAGCAGCGGTCGACCCCGGCGAGCTTGTCCGACATGACTCCCAAGCAGACGCAGGAAGCCATCAACTTTATACTCTCGTGCGTAAAAGCTCCAACCTCTAACCCCCTCTCTTTCTTTTGTTCTTTTCCTCCTTGCTCCTTGTTCTTGTTAGGAAACATGGCATGACAGGGGCGGGTTATATCAGCGTTGTTAACACGATGCGCAAAACAAAACAGACTAGAGCACATCTGCCGGGCTCACTTCCGGCAGTCCAACTTCCAGCCCGAGGTCGCTGCCCTGTCCAGCCGCGCATCGGGTCATACTATGATGGCGACAACACTGGCTCTACGAACGGCACCCCCGCAAGTGTTCAGGGCGGCCTCGCGCTCGCAGTTCCCTTGGGGACGGCGGCGGCGGCGGCGTGGAGGAGAGCAAAGCATGACGCAGAACACAGACGGGGACGAAGAAGAGGCTGCCGACACGCCTCAACGAGAGGATGAAGAAGATGACGATGACGGCCACAACCATGACCATGACCACGAAGATGTCCCGGTGCTGAACCCCGCAGCCAGCAGCGGCGGCGGCGACATGGGGCTGTCGTGGCAGGCGTCAGGGCTCACGCTCCACACACTGCACGGGCTCGCATCATCGCTCGTCCCGGGAGACATTGAGGTCACGCCCGTGCAGGCATGGTTCGAGCTTGCTGCACGTCACCCCGTCGCCCTGCTGCTCCGCGCGGATATCTTGGCTGCCCTCAAGCGCGAGCTGCTCGGCGTTGTCAAGTGCCCCCACTTTGGCGCCGTCATGGAGCGCGCCGCTTTTGAGAGTGTCGTCGCGAGGGTTCTGGGAGGAGGATGGGACGGCGATGGGGACGACGAGTGATGTGTGTCTTTTTTACCTTTTTGGGAGGGTCGGGTATAATGCCTAATGAAGGCCGGGATTTTACTTGCCAGGCAGGCAGTAGGAAGTGTGATGGATTGGGGCACAACATCATTAGGTAGCGAAACTAAAAAAAAAATTAACTGGCGGAAAGGGCTGGGAGGGTCTGGGAGACCGTAACTCCCGTCGGTACATACAGCAGGGTACTCGTAGACATGTTTCTCTGCGCAGTGCCTATGCATGGGATAGCTCTGTTATACCAGTTTGACGGAACCACATTTGTTGTTCAAGATGGCTTTGAGACTCTGTGACTGTGTTTCCCATTCTTCTTAACCGAGATTTAGTTACGGCTGGCTGGCTACCTTACCTACCCCAGCCACCTACCTAGCTTAGGCATATTACCTTACCCACCTGCCTATATCTCAAAGTACCTCACCTTAGGTCTAAGGTAGGTCTAAGGTAGAGTGCTGACTCGGAAAAGGACGTCCTGGGGATGTCGAGTTTACTGCCAGGACATTGTCCCGTCGTCCGGGACTCGAGAGCAGAATATCCACCCCCGCTCAGAAGACGGACGGCTCTTGATTCCACATCTATACTTACCTACCCTGGGCTCCTTGGTCCAAGTACCCAGGTTGGTATGTTGATGTTGCACAACTTGTGCCGTACCCGCGTCACTTTTGTAAGGCCCAGGATGCGAGCTCAAAGCAATCAAGAGTTTGATAGCGGCTTGTGGGACTGAATTGGTACAGTACTATAGTACTTTGGTGTTACAGAACACTTTTCTACTAGCAAGGTCTATTGCAATTGCCTGGCAGTAACCTGCCCTGGCCTCTGCGTCCGGGCGGCAGGCGTATTCGCTAACGCGCTTACCCGTTTCTCGGTGTCGCCGACGTCAAGCCGGAGAGCGCCTTCCACAACTCGATCATACACCCCAGAAGAGCCCATGTCATCTCCCGTCAGGTCTCTGTTTCTCTGGGAGTAGTTCGTCTTTTCTCCTTGCCACAACTTTTGGAGCTCGTCACCACTCTGCTATCAAACCATCCATCAGCTAATACTGTCAACATCTTTATCCCCTCTGAAATGTCCGCGGCGACTCCAACCCCCCTCTCTTGAGCACCATGAAGGCAGCTCAGTGCCTAGCCGCCTAGAGCGCGATACTCGTTCCGATCTTGTCAGCGTCGCCGCTGCCGGATGAATCGCCGTTGGCACCAGAGCAGAAGCCGTTTGTGGACATTGGGGGAATCAAGATAGAAGGCGAATACGATGCAAGTTCCAGTGTTTGGCATCTCTTCGGCACCGTTTATTACTTGCTAGCTAGAGAGGGGTTTGACAAAAACAGCATGATGGCAGCTTCTACAACTTCTCGAACCTCCGGTACGGGATGCCGCCGACGGGCAAGGCGCGGTTCTTGAGGCCGACGGCGGTGACGTACTCGGCCGGCGACGACGGCCCCACATCGGTGCTCAAGCACGAGCGCCTGTCGGCCATCTGCCCGCAGGCCGTGCCCGACTGGCTGTGTAAGAAGGCGGCAACCATGTACACGGGCTCGGGGATCCCGCAGGTTCACCAGCGGAACCGCCTCGACTGCCAGTACGTGATGCACCAACAGATGCTGGACCCCCGCCAGACGGAGGACTGCCTGTTTCTCGATGTCTTTGTCCCGCGATCTGTCTTTGAAAAGGAGGCTTGCAACAGGACCCAAGCCGCCTTAGGTGAGTTTTGTGGTCTGGAGGAGCAAATGTGGTGTGAGAGGTTATGGTACAGGCTCTGACTTGCACGCAGCTCCAGTCGTGGTGTCTTTGGGCGCAACACCCTTCGTCTTCGGTATGTTCCTTCTCACTCTGTAGAAAGCAAAGCAAGTTACTAACATTGTGGCAAAAGGCTCGAAGAACTTTATCAATCTAAACGAAGTGAGTCCCGCCATCCTCACCAGCCAGTCATCCCATCCGGATCCGTGCGGAACCGACTTCCCCATTTCAGTGTCCATCAATTGTAGGTTTGTCCCTGACGCCTCCGGGGCATGCATCTTCTGCTGTCTATTCATGCTAATCATGTGTGCCTCTAGACCGGCTCGGTATGTTTGGCTGGCTTACCGATGAAGCTGGCTCAGCCAATGCTGGCCTATGGGACCAGCGTCTTGCCATGGACTGGGTTAAAGCACACATCGAGAATTTTGGCGGCGACCCTAACCGCATCACCCTCGTTGGCTCGGGAGGAGGAGCGGCATCCATAATGGTGAGAACATGGTCTAGCCAAGGTCTTAAGACGGCCAACGTAACTGACTATAAAAACGTTTCAGCATCACGTCACGGCATTTGGAGGCCAGACAAATCCGGAACCTCCCCCCTACAACCTACAAGGCACCACCCCATTTACATCTGCTATCGCCGTTGGCCCCAATTGGGACTTCCTACCCTTTTTCAAGCGCAGCTCCGACAGCGACAGTGACAGCAAATACGAACGCAACCGCGACGCCACGCAGAAAGCCATATTAAAGATCATGAAAGTGATTATCGGTAAAGGTCTATATACGATCGATGAACTCCGCGACTTGGATTCGTCTGTCTTGATGAAAGTCAACCGAAATCTCGTGAGAGCAGCCCCGATGGACATGCTCGTATTCGGCCCTGTCGTGGGCGGCGACTTCACACCAAAACATCCAGGGCTCCTGCTTCGAGACGGCCATTTTAACGATTCCCTTCAGGTGAGATTGCCACTGCCCCGGTCTCTATAACGCGTGAGCTAGTAAATACTAACGAGGTGCCTATAGCTTATGGTTGGGCATACTATTTGGGACACGCTCATCAATGCACCATTTCTCAATTTCGGTCAACGTTTCGGTCAACACGACGAGCTAAACAAGCGCCTGACCTCCATTTTGAATGGATACTCCAACACTACGCTCGACTTGGTTGAAACCGAAATCTATGATGACGAGGCACGAGAGGAGCTCGTCGATTGGTTCCACCCACCGCCGAACTTTCTCGGCACACAAACACCTCAAGAAGTTGTCTCCGGAATCAGCATGATGGAGGAGATTCTTGTGGGCTGCAACACCAGAAATCTGGCTCGTGGACTCCCAGACTCTACATACTCGTTTGATGCCGGGTATGCTCCTCTCCAGGGAATGATCGGTCTTTTCAGAGATAAGCAGGACACATCTGAGGGCTCCGGCTCCGGCGCAGGCGGCCCTTTTGACTTTCGGCAGCGGTTTCTGCAGTTTATCAGCGGCACCACACCCATCATCGCCGCGGATGATATTGGTACCGTACCCTGGCCTGTGTATGGAGACGATGGGATAGTAGTGGAAGCAAGTATGGGTGACAAATGGGGAGCAGTCGTCACCGACGATGTCTTTGACAACGGCCGCTGTGACTGGTGGACGGGAGAAGGATACGAGATACTGGAAGAAGAGTCAAAGGATGCGGAGTGACTAACGAGCTTTTCACGGCAGAAGTAGCCTAAGCCTAAATCCATAGACAGTAATGTTAGTGTAATAGGATGAAATAAACTTTACGCTTTACGTGATTTAGTCTGCCCTATCGAGTGTCTCAGTTGTTTTTTTAGGATGAGAATCATGCAATAAATTGTCTTTAATATGATCGTTCTTATATCTACTGGGCCAAAGCTCAGAGCGCATTGGTTACTCGATGATCTTAACATTGGCTTTAGAATCTAGTTGCCTATATCATCTGATGGAGTAATGAAGGGGGCATGGGAATCATGACAGAATACAACCTAGGAACAAGGGGCGAGATGCACTTGGTTTCATCAAAATACTCTCTCCATTTCCTTGTTTTTCACCTCATGAGTAACTAAATACCTACTAGGCAGGCAAGGTAAAGCTAAGCAAGTAAATTCTCTTCCACAGAAGACATAGGTATAGATATAGATAGGTATATATATGTATAACCATGCCCATTAAACGAATCCAGTCATGGAAAACCCAACGGGGCTAGAGTGACACAAAAGTGCTGGAAAGTAGATTTGCAAATGCAAAAGTAGATGCAAAACATGACCAGTGATTTTTGTCAACTAATCAACAAAATACAAATAGCTGAAAGGGATTATACCGAAACATTCCCCCAAGGAGTTGCGGCGATACAATCAGAAGAGAAGAAGAATTATATTTTATCGAATTAACTCGCCTTGACAGGGGTCCGGGGGTTGAGAGAGAGACACGAACACCAGACAGGGAACGTCGTATATAAGAAAGAGAAGTAGAACTGGCTGGAGGGTAGAGGTACTTAAATGCCTGGCGTGGAGAAGTCGGGGAGGTTGTTAGGCCAGTTGCCCAGGGACGCCGGGTCGCCGCCGATGCGGACATAGACACCAATGGCCGGGACGCCGCCGTCGAGGACGAAGAACTGGTACCAGCCGGGCGGGCAGACGTGTGCGTTGGGCGGCGCGTCGACCGTGCATGCGGTGCCCGTGCAGACGACTCTGGGCATGAGGACGCGGTTGCCCATCGAGTTGCCATGGGTGCTAGACACAGCCCCAAGCAGTGTGACGGTGATGCCACCTGGGTTCTGGGATGCCTGGCCGAGCGTGAAGGGGATGCCGTTTTGGCCCCAGGCCCAGTCCTTGTTGGTAATGGCGAACGTGGGCCGGGGCAGGCCGTTGAGAAGATATGGCGGAACGAAGACCTCGATGCGGTACTCCTCGGGGTTGACGCCGTCTTCAGGGTTGGAGCCTGAAATTAGCACGCGACCATCGAGAAGCGTGATGGCCTCGCTGTGGTACAGGCGAGCAATGGTCGTGTTGGCCATGACGGTGAAGCGCGAGCCGACCGGCTTGGTGGGGTCGTAGAGAAGAGCGTTCAGGTTGGGACCCGTGGCGAGGCCGAAGCCAGCAACGCCGTGGAAAGCGCCGTTAGCCACGAAGTAGGTTCCATCTGGCAGAGGGGCCATGCAAGGCATAACACGGAAGGACGGCATGCGCTCGAGGGTCCACGTCGGGTTGGCGTCCTCAGGATAGGTGGTTACGCAGTTGTCCAGAGCGTTGGCAGGGCCATTGTTGGAGCCGCCGCAGATCAAGATACCCAGGTGTGCAGTATAGGGATACTTCTGGGGGAGGAGGACGGCAGCACCCTCGAGCGGGTATGTGCGACCAGCAGCATCGTCGTTGACGGAGCCAGGGGCGTTTGGCAGCGTCTTGATGGTGGCAAACGTCGTCTCGTCGAGAATCCTCGCTTCGTTGTAGTAGGCAACAAAGATACCACCACTGGGTAAGACGCAAATGAAGGGATATAGGTTATTGGGGTTGGTGCGTTCGAGCCAGTCCATGTAGATGGCGCCGCCGCCAGTGGCAGGCAGGAGCTCAATCGAAGGGGTGGCGGCAGCATTCGACCCCTCCTCGCCGCCGATAACCATGATGGAACCATTGGCCATGATCATGGCACTCGGGTACCAGCGGCCAGCCTGCAAATGAAGCTCGTCGTAGTTCTCCTGCCAGTCGTGGGTGCCCGGAACACCGGGTCCGCCATCGGGCCAGTATAGTCGAGTGCCATAGGTTGACTGTCCAGACCAGCCTCCTACAGTCAGCAGACGGCCTGCCTTGTCAGGCAGAACCAAGCCAGCGGCGCAGAAGATGTCGGTCTTGACGTGGAGCGTGCGCCAAGCGGCAGCGGGATTGCCGACTTGGCTAAGATCCAGTTCGTAAGCGCCCGTCTCGCCCCCGGGGCCGGTGCCCCATTTAGACAGGAAGTTGACCTTGCCGTTGATTGCCTGCACGCTGATGAGCGGGATGGTAAGACCGGTAATAAGGGGCTGGTACTGTCCGGCTCGGTAGTCTTGAGGGAAGGTCCACGAGTAGAGCGGAGTGCCGGTCCAGAAGTACGTCGTCAGTTTGCCGCCGCCGCCACAGATGGCCGAGGCGTTGCCGGCACAGATGACATCGCACTGGGCCTCGGGGAGGAAGGTAGCGCCGCTCGTGGCAATGTTGGCCGGGTCACCGCAGTAGCACTCCTGGCCGTATTCGAGACCGGCCGCCATGTATCCGTACTGGGCGCACCGGCTCAGGCACATGTTGGGGGTCATGATGTTGGGGAAGAAGAGCTGCCAGAAGAAGGTGCGCTTCTGGTTCACGTTGTCCTGGACGCATCCCTGGTATGTCCACGAGCCACTCAGGCCGCGAAGCTGGGGTGCTGGAGCGGCAAATATATCAGGCGGGCCGTTTGACACAATGTTCATCCTGTCGCCGGCGCCGCACTTCTGGGCCGCGTTACCAGGGCAGGTATTGCTGCAGTCTGTGATGGCAGTCTGGACGCCGCCATTGAGGATAGAGTTGCCGCAGAAGCACTGGACGGAATACTCGACTCCAGAAATGCTGTAGCCTGCGTTCTTGCATAAGGTGGCACAAGCTGTCTGAGAGTTTGCCTGGCTATCAGGGGACTGGTAAGAGAGAATACGGCCATGAGCACCATCGATCCAGCATCCTTGGGAACTCCACCCGGTAGGGAGACCAGAGACTGTAGGGGCCGAGGAAGAAGCCACGCTCGAGCTAGATGTGCTCGACACGCCGACCGATGACGACCCGCTAGGCGCCGCGGTGTCCTTGACGTAGACCGAAAGACGGTTGCCGGCACCGCAGTACTCAAGCGCATTGCCCATGCAAAGGAAGCTGCAGTCGGTGGCAGGCGCTGCAACAGAACCGGCATTGAACGTGTTGCCGCAGTAGCATTCTCGGGCGTACTCGACTCCGAAATAGTTGTAGGCCGAGCAAAAGGTACGACACGTCTCGAGCGTCATCGTGTCCGAGGCAGTGGTGGCGCTGCTCAGAGCACGCATACCCGTAGCTTCAGTCCGGCATCCGTACCACACATAGTTGCCAACTGAGGCTGGCTGAACTGGCCCAGTGGGGACGGGCGCGGACGAGGACGACGAAGCAGAGCCGCTAGTCGTGCTGACAGAGCCGCCGCTGGTGCTGCTGGTGCTCGAGCTGGACGACGATGTCGAGACCTGGTACGTGTTGAGATAGTTGTATACATTAAGATGGCCACCACCGCCGCATATCTCGGTGTTGTTGCCGTTGCAGAGCATATTGCAGCCCGAAGTATCGGTGTGGCCGCCGTTCGCAATGGTATTGCCACAATCTGCCACCCCCAAGTATCAGCGCAAGATCCCAACAGGCAAAAAGGGGCTTCACTTACAGCACTCGCCACCGTACTCCACACCGGCGAGGATGTAGCCGGCGGTGTGGCAAGCCGCAGTGCAGAGAGCGACAGTCATGGTGTTGCCCGGGATGGAGCCTACTCCGTATGTAAGGGTACGGCCCGTGGTTCCTTCGGTGTAGCACCCCAAGTAGTTGAATCCGTTGACGCCGGGATTTGGCTGGGGACCGACCGGCGCGGAGCTGTAAAAGAGGGTGAGCTTGCCTCCGGCTCCGCAAGGCTGGGTGGCATCGCCGGAGCAGGCCATGTTGCAGCCCGTCGTCGTGGCCGCCCCTGCGGCAAGACTGCTTCCGCAGTAGCACTCCTGCGAGTACTCGGTTCCGGCATACTGGTAGCCGAGGTTGGAGCAAAAGGAGATGCAGGCCTGGTTGGTCATGAGAGTTCCGCTAGTATAGCTGGCAGCGCTGATCGTCCGGCCGGGGACATCTGTGTAGCATCCTTGGTAGGCCCACACGCCCGGCAGGGTGGTGGGGACATTAAGTTGAGCAAACGAGAGCGAGAACTAGTTGGCCACGCGTTAGTCTGGCCACGATGCTCAAACTCGGAATCAGGACGTGGGTGGGTTGAGCAGCAGCTTACAGAAGAGAAGAGAAGCGAAGACAGGAGCGTGTTTGCTTGAGTGGACCGCATGGTGACGGCTTACACGCCCTTGGACGGACGGCAACACAGCTCACGAAGGACAAGACTAACGAGCGTCAGGGGGTGGGATGTCGACATGAAAAGAAACCAAGCACAAGCACACAGGACAGCGCGGGGACCGCATGCCTCATATGCTTCCCAATCCCACGGCAGGAGAGGACAGGACAGGACAGGATGGATGAAATCGACAAGGCGTGGCAGGGCCGACATGGCGCTCGCCGCGCCGTCCCTCGGGACGTGCCATGGACGTGGAGCCTGGCGCCTCTAGGCCGTCCAAAGTTGAGAGAGGAGATGGAATACGAATGAGGCTAGCGACTATCGAACCGCGAGCATGCCGCCGTATTGGAGGGGACGGAAAGCTCGAGCTCGAGCTCAAGCTTGCTTGGACAAGGGGAACCCCATGCTGTGCTGTGCCTGGCTTGGGCTGGGGCTGCTGCAAATGGAGAGGGGGGGGAGACCGACGCCGCCGCCGCCGCCCGCTCCAATCTGTCCAACCATCCAGATCCAGGCACCGCCTTTCTCGAAATTGCAAAGTCCAGTTCGGCAGGCAGAGGGGTGCAGGGTTAGATGTGTGCTATGTAAGGTTACATACTCTGTACGTAACTGGCATTCTCGCGGCGTTTGTTTGCAGCGCCACAGCTTGCAGCTGCCTACTAGTTCCAGAGTCGAGTCAATGCAGCAAGGGGGAACGCAACAACTCAGGCCGGCTATCGAAAAACCGCCAGAGTCTATCCGCATCTATTTTGGTGACGAGAGCACCATCGTCACGGCAAATTTTCTGCCGAAAGACAGACAAAAAGCTGTGCGGGCTCTGGTCGAGCTGTGAGCTGAGAGGCTGCTGCATGTAGACGTATCACGTATGTACGGAACAGTGTAGGCGCATGTCGTGTCACCGAGCTCTCGTCTGGCTGGCTCTGGCGCTCGGGTCCTAGTGCAAGCCCAACGGCAACAACGGCCTGTGTAACTCTGTGTATTCTTTGCATTTAGAGATGGGATTCTCTCGACGGGTTCCAGTGCCGCCCCCTTGTTAGCATTGACACTGCCATGTTGGCGGGCAGGTCGTCAGAGAGGCCTCAGCGCCGTGCGGCGGCGACCGGGCATCGGGCGGCACGTCTTGAACTGATGAGAGAAAGGGAGGCCCAGACAGAAGAGGCATGCAGTTTTAGACTATGTACGTACTCGCAGTCAAAGCTAATCTCCACATCAGTTGTATTTCATGAGTAAAGGGTCGAGACTCGAGAGCTCATCGGCTCACTAGTACCGCCGCATCTCTGCAGGTTTCGTCAACTTGTCAACCAATTCCAGCCAGAAGCGCTGCCTCGGACTCAAGTCTGGAGGGAAGAAGCGACTTTAATTAATTACCAGGCCAAAAGGCCGCACTGCGCGCCTGCCCCGTCACAACTGCCACATTCTCGACATTACATGACTTGACTTGGCCGGGCCCGACCTGACTTGGCAGATACGCACGGCGCCCAATGCGACTTGATTTTGGTCATAGAGTATTGTGGAATCCGAGGACTAACAGTGTGTGTGTACTGTGCGTGTGTGACGAGAGGCAGGTGGTTGCGTGGATGGTGGTGCTGGTCGATATTCGATACGAACTTTCTTTCGTACGTACAGAGTTGAGGTGAAGTGAAGTGAGGGATACAGAGTAAGAACGGCACAATTTGGCCGACGTCGATGACGCCGGATGTGCCAAGTGCCAAGGCATCAGTGCTTCAAAGGCCACTTGCAGCACAGCTGTAGCTTCTCGCCAGAGCTGTTGTTGGAGACGGAACTCTGGACTCTACACCAGTAGGCTCTCCGGAATAGGGACTGTGAGGTTGAGGGAGCAATGGAACCCTAGGATGCACCGAGTTGAAAGGGGTGTCCCTGCAGCGTGCATCCCGTCCTCTTCCCCTCTCTACGAGATGGCGGGGTCTTTTCGATTGATTTAAAGTTCAACCTAGTGTCCTAGCGTGTATAGGATCTTCCCTGAAGCTGAAAGGAAGCGACGATGTAGCCAATCAGGCCTCAGCCGAGAGGAACATTGATGGTGCCTGACCCCCGGCTGGCATTGGTTTGGTCGAGACCCCACCGGAGACCTTGTCGTCACCGGGGCTGTCTCTATCTAGATTGAGTTTGGATACGCAGTATAAGAGTCTGATGGCAATATGATGTTTCTAAGCAAGAACGACGCGTATGGGTAAGAAAAGTTGTCCACGACAGTTGGGTAATTAATTGCACAAAATCAGGTAGCCGGTGTGCTGGTTGCACAGCTACCGTGTTCATGCAGATTCCCAACGCCTCGAGTTTAGTTCCCTGGTCAGTTCGACTCTTCCCCCACGGGGTCGGATAGCGACTCAATGGCTTGCAGCTGGTTTTCCATGGGGTCAGGCGACACAAGAGCCAAGGCATTTGAGTACGGATAAGTTTCCACACGGAGTACCGAGTGCATTCATATGGTGGAAATTTGTGCGTACGAGGAGTAGGTAAGAAAGAGAAAAAAACAGTTTTCCAACCTAGGGTTTCGATTGCCATGTGGGCTTAGTAGCAGTGGCCCGGTGACGGACTATCGCTTCCTTGCATTAGTATCCGTAAGGAGAAGGGGTATCCAACGTCCTTGGAAGCTGGTGAGACACTCGGAACTGAACAAGACCTTTTCAAGTAGAATGGAGGTAAAGGGGGATCATCGCCAATCACACCGGTGGCACTACCTCTGCTTTTATCGATAAGATGCGCATCAAATCTGCGATCCAGGGCAACCATGACCCAATGGGAGTCTTTGGTAACCGTACTATTATTAATAATAACGCAGTCTGAATTTCAGCTCTCGACTGGCAAGCGCTTCCCATCAGTCGATCCCGGTCTCGGCAGACTGGACGTGTATCCTCGTATATCCAAGAAATCGGCACTTGGGTTTCGTGCAGAAGACACGGAGCAATCGCTCTGGATTCAAGAAAGAGATTGCCAGGTCAGGATAACTTGAGAGTAGTATAGGCGGAAATTCGGATCGTGCCAAGGGAGTTGAACTGCCAATATCATGATCTCTGGAGGTTATGTTGATGACGTAAAATGAATCCAGTCAGGATACAGAAGTACTCCGACCGTATCCTTCGGGCAAGTACGTAGTAAGTTATCCAAATCGGATCCATTTCCATGCACTAACAAAGCGATCGACCCGGATACTACCGTAAGTACTACAGACCGTGTGCCCGCAGCTTAAACGCGTGTCGGCGGTCGCTCCCGCTGCGAGGAGAATTTAAGCATTTGCCCGCCGTTGGGGCTAAATTCCCCTAATTTCAATGGTGCAATTACCGTCTGATCAAACGGCTTACCCTCGTCGCATTCGAGGGAAAACAACAACCTACACCTCTACAAAAAGCAAAAGGCAGAAGGCAACATCCGACCGTTCAGCCCAACGCCTGGACTCTGGACTCTGAAGCCTCTGGAAAGCGGTGGCGCCTGCCCTCTGTCATGTGCAAATGCCAATGGCACAGTGCACATCTTTCTGGGCGCTCGTGCAGCAGCCACAGCATCTCGTATCTGCCCCTTCTGCTTCCCCGTTTGCCTGAAAGCAGCCAGACCTGCAGCAGCCCAATCGAACTGGCGCCTCTTGTCGTCGTCGTCCATTGGAGGGACCCCGCGCCGGATTCGTATCGGTCTAAAATCCGAGAAAGAAAGCAGAGGGGAGAAAAGGAGACCGGGCTGGTGAAACGCCCTACCATGGAAGGTAAGGTAAATCGGCTAGGAAGCAAGTGAGACATTGCTTCGGATGCCGGTGAAAATGAAATAATCAGACAGAAGCTCGATTACACTGCGCTGCTGCAATGGCACGACAGCGACGACACATAGGCCCGACGCGATGCATTTTAACGCAGTCTAACCGAGCCTGTACGGAATACAAATACAACCAGAAAAAACCAACCGACCACTTCTCTACCAGAATTGAATTGACCCGGGTCTGGTGGGCACTTGTTCAGCCGCATCAGCTCTCCAGATTATCGAAAGACGGCGCGGCCCCAGGTGTGCATGTCCTGGGCAGTCCCGCGAATCGTGTGGGACATGTAACCCATCGCGCTGCTTGCCTCAACCTGGCTTTCTCGCTGGGCTCACTGGCCCCTACTCGGTAGGGTGATAAGAATCATGAGATATTCGGCACTCGGTATTCGTACATATCTATGATTCTAGACAGATTGTCGCTGCTTTTCGGGGTCTCCACTCTCCATCGCGCGACGGACGGAAGGCCGACTTCACCTACAACCACGACCTTGAAACAGATTTGCCTAGTACGTAAGGTAATAGGTACTCCGGCATTGCTATTACGTACATACCCACGGTCAGGCAGTTAACTAACCTCCATGCCAATGGAGGTGAGCCCAAGCCAAGATATTGGCTGCTTGTCCGACAAACTGCATACACGACAAAAAAAAAAGTCGGTGTTCGTCTTCCCCAATTCACCCTGAAATATGCAAGCCCAGTCACAAAAGAAGCCACCCCCCTCAAAAGGGGAAAACAAAAATATTTCTCGTGTTCCCATTCCCACGAACTCTGCGGGGTTTTCTTTTTCTCTTTCTAGCTCCCAGGGTCCAAGACATGCACCAGCCAGCCACGGGGTTTGGGATGGGGAGAGCATGCGCCGTGGAAGCGCCAGAAACGCCTCCGAAATTTCCAGGCTGGCTTCGGGGGAGCCTCTGGGCTCCCACCTAGAGATTGGATCTTGAGGCGTCACGTCTTCTACCATTCCCCCTACTTTGTACTCCGTAAAGCCAAATTAATGACGCCTTGCTGGTGGTGGCACGGTGGCCAGACCACCGGGGAAAAAACCCACCTCGACCCCTTTTGCTTCACCTTGAACTAAAAGTAAGGCGAGAGGTATGGCATGTACATGCCAGACTGGCAGGCAGTTCTAGCCCGCTCAGGTAATGTGCATACATACCTTATGTAGTAGTAGACCGGTTGTCACCGTGCGGCCTACGAACGCCGGCGCCTGCAAGCAGAAAGGGGTCGTCAAGCAAGTTCATGCTGTACCTTCCTCTCTCTCCCATCGTTGGTCCAGCTTCGCTTGTTTGTGTCCGCTGTCGAGGTAACATACAGAACTGGCAGAAGAAAGCAGAAGATGTGAGAGAAAGCAAAAGATGGGAGAGAAAGCAAAAGAAAAGGGGGCGCCGCCACAGTTGGGACGAAATTTGGAGGCGTTCAGCCCCACCACTTACGTACCTCACTGGGGGAAGGGGACATATATGCACGCACACAAGCATACATGCATTTTCAGGAACGTGGCTTGTCTGGGAAACTCTCACGTACTGCGCGAAGTACGTGCAGAATAGGTAAGCACCTACCTAGTTTCTTGGTTGCCTTTGGACGGTGCTGTGATACTAGAGGTTAGGTGCCGATACTAGGTATGTACAGCGAGTATTTGGGGGGTGACTCGAAAATATGAAATCACGCCCAATGACTGACTCAAGACCATGGTAAAGAGACTCAGAGAAAGACATATCTGGTTCTGGATGAAGCGATGTCTCACTGCATCTTCCATGTTATCCCTCTTATGGCTGATCTTCAAGCCTGGGAACTTGGGTTTGTCCATGGCATTAGGGTTGTCCAGGAAGTGGCAAATGGGATCTTCATACTACTTACTATGTGTGCATCAAATGTGATAGACACTGTTTCTTGTTTCAGAGATGAGAAACCCGGATGTTGGTAACTAACTTCGGCTAGTTCTTGACATGAACATGACAGCGGGTATTAAGTTAATCGCCTTTGAGAAGCTAACCGGGTCTGCATTTGACGACAGCAACGTGTTCCAAGTCAAAAGCTCAATCGCGATGCTGTTTAAACACCAGCCTGGCTGGATGGAGCAGCTGGCATGAATAAGTGGTTAACGGAAACAATTGATACACAAGTTAAATCTTTCTATATTCCGTACAGGTGCGTAGTAATACAAAGTTGGGAAGACCCAACCCATCCGCAGCCTTGATAAGATTCTACCACCACCCTCCTACGCAACTTAACCCTCCTACATAACTTAGAGCGCGGGCCATAGGACTTTCTCGAGGGGTAAACGGTACGCTCGAGACAGCCTCAACATGCTACACATCCGCCGGGGTGTGGGATGCTAGCATGGGGAATTCGTAAGGGGCGAGGTGGGAAACATAGGTAATGCCAGCGGCGTGCGTGACGTAGAAAGCATAGCGCGACGCGATGTCTTCGCTAAACATGGGCTAGCCGTCGGGGTTTACTTCGGCAGGTGACAGCGGGTATTAAGTTAATCGCCTTTGAGAAGCTAACCGGGTACTTACTCTCTCAGATCTAAGACTAAGAAATGTTGAGATATTGGCTTTGTCAGTAAGGTTTGGGCAACAAGAGAGACAACAACAGAAGGGTACGAGAGAACTTGAGTTCTCTACCCGCGTGCGACATAACTGTTTCGCCGGCGTAAGTTTGTGGCACTCGTCTGTCTCCTCTACCCGTCTCCGTTGGTGAATGGCTTTGACTAGCCTGTCTATGAATAACGACTGGTTACACCACGCACACCAGAGACGAACAGAACGAGACAAGAGTGAGATGAGGCAAGCAAAGAGCGTATGTATGTATACGGATATATACTTTATGTAATAAGTAGGTAAGGTAGGCCGGTAAAAAGAGCTAAACAAGTCATGAAAGTCGTATAGCGCAGCGTCGAGGAAGCCCAAGAAAGTTACCAAAAAAGGAGAGAGGGGAGTGGAGGTATTATATCCAGCCAGCCAGGTCAACTCTTCTTCTCCAGCCAGCGTGGCCTCTCTCCCTCCCCCTGTCCTTAATACCGTGACGACCACAAGCAATGAAATATTAACATGAGGAAAAAGAAAGGGGGCAACTGCCCCCTTCTTCTTCCCCGGTATCATCTCTCCCCACCTCCCCATAATCTTCCAACCGCAGAGTGACCAGCAAAATAACAGAAACCCCCAAACGCCATTCTGAAAGGGAAAACACGCAACCCAGCAAGCCCGGACACGCCGCTAGAAAGAGTAGAAGAAAATCCTGTTAGCTCCGCTGCCGTTGCTGTTGCCCCTCCGACTTCTTTGATTCGTCAATGTCGGGGCCCATCTCTGCCGGCTTTCGCGGATCAACGTAGGCCGACAACCGCTCGTCGCCCCAGCATGCGCCGATTGTGACCCAGACGTGCTTGGCAGGTATCTGAACGTTGCGCGTCTCGCGAATGCCTGTCCAGCGGAGCCGCTTGTCACGGGTCATATCGCTGTTTCCAATTCCGTCGTTTGCGTTCCATTCCCTGATAATATCACGGATGAACTCAATCTTGCGGCGAAAGTGGTTGGCGGCCGGGATGCCCTGAAGCTCGGGGCTGATCTCTGGCCGGCGCCGCGTCGGATTACTGGTACTGCGGGTGCCCGCCCGAGGCGGCGTGGCGAAGTTGAGAAGGGTCTGTAGCGGGTACGAAAGAACTGTCCTGTCATCCAGCGCCGACTCGGCGAGAGACCCAGTCTCCTCCAGGAGCTTAGCGGCGCCCTGGGGCAGATGCCAGAAGTGGCACCAAGTCGCTGTCGAATCAAGCACAATCTTGGTGTGGTCGGGAAAGTTGAACTGTGTGCTCAATGTTAGCAAACATATCCAAAAAGGCTGTCGTGTGTAAAGTGACTTCTTACCTGCATGTGGCCATCGCAGAACATCCAGCAGCCCACGTCCCCAAAGCGTTGGTAAAAGGTCACGATGTCACTCGGCGCAGCTGTGGGATCCGTGATGGTCGGGGCTCGGATTGGCGATTCGTCCACTTGTCCGTCCATCTCGCGCCCGTACGTAATCATGTAGTTGGCAAACTTCTTCCAGAGCACGATCCGCTCTCGCTTCCGGTGGTCATATATGTCCTTTCCAGCCAAGAACTTGCCCACCGTTCCGTCAGAATGGACCGGTACGAGAAAGGTTTCAGGCGACGCCCGAACCCGTGAGAAGCCCTCAGCCCCGTTGTTTTCGTAAAAGTAAATCCCCTCATTCATGGGGACGATCTGATGTCTGTCTAGATACGACGGGTCTTCTTTTCGCTGGCAATGTCGTTCGGCACCATGGACAAGCATACATGCCGGTGGCAACAGGCCTGTCTGCGATCCGGTCTGTGTTGGCAGCCCGCGGAGAATGCACCCGACGCTACCGTCGTTCAAGATATACCCTAGGCCAAATTTGTTGGTGTAGTCGACCCACTTGACAACAATGTGAGGTGGAGACGGCGTCTTGTCTTTGGAAGACAGGATTGCCATCGATCGGGAATTGAGTGCCCTCTCCAGCTCCGCCTGAAGTTTGTGTAACCGATCCAGCACAACATCTGGTCGAGTTCCAGGGACTGGTTCTTGGTACTCTGATGGGCTGAACAGGCTCATCTTCTCCTCTTGAACCCTAAGCTTCGAGATTACTGGAGCCGGAGCCTTTTTAGGAACCTGCTCCTCCGCTGCAGCTGGAGCGGGCTGGTTCCGCATGGAAGTCAGTTGATTCCGGAGGCTACGGGTCGTTGTGCCTCTGAGTCGCGGGGCGGTCTCTTCAGTCGGTTGCTGCTCTGGTGCAACTGGAACTTCCCGCTGGGGCCGCAGACGCAAACTGCCGGCAGTTTTGGAGGCCGGCTCCGCGACTGATTGGGATCGGAATATACTAGCCGAATTGGCAGGCCTGTGCTGTGCCCTCTGCTGGGCAGCAAAACTCTGGGGTGGGGCACGGAGGAGCCCAGATGTGACTCTCTGGGACTGAATGCTTTGGCTGAAACTACTGAGCTCGTCCGTCTTGTCTAAAGACTGAGGGGCTTGCTGGACCTGCTGGGTTTGTTGCGCTTGCTGGGCTTTCGCGGCTTGCTGGGCTTGCTGAGCCTGCTGGGCGAGCCGCATCTGAAGCTTCTGCTCACTCCGGATCTCGTCAAACGGACGGTAAACAATTCCTTCGGCCAAGGGAATAGCGGGTGTGAGGCCGTTCTGTTCCTCTTCGGCCATTTCTCTCCAAATATTCTTGAAGACGAATTGCGAATGACACCATGGGCCTACACCGCATTCCTGGCACATCTCCTGGACGTTTCGAAGATTTAGCGCTTCCATCTCGGCGTCTGCGGGGGGATCGTAAAAGGCGGGACTTTGCGGGGGAGATTCTCGGAGTTTGGGTGAGATATCCGAAGCAATGGGCAGATAGCCAGAAGTGAAGAAAGGATGCTCGACAATCGTGTCGGGGTCTGGCCTCTTGTCGGCATCTTGCAGCATTGTCGCGACAAGGTCCTTGGCCTCCTGGCTAATGTACTTTTGTGAAGTCTCGGGTGATGGCCATTCATAGTCTCTGTCCTTGGCGCGGCGGTAGATTTCGTCCGTAGTTGACGATTGAAAAGGAGGTTTGGATGTGAGCATGGCAAAGCTGTAGTGTGTTAGTGGCTTCTGTCTCAGAAAGATGCCGCGACATGAAAGAACGAGGGCTTACACAATGATTCCCAAACTCCAGATGTCCACCATGTGGTCGTGGCCCTTCTTTCCCTTCTCGAGGATCTCCGGGGCGATATAATTGGGTGTTCCGCATAGAGTCGTCCTCCGCATAATCTGCATGTCCTTTCCTGTCAGAAGGAGGGCAGCCAGACCGAAGTCGCCAATCTTTGCGTTCATGTATTTGTCAAGAAAGATGTTGCCCATTTTTAGATCGCGATGGATGATTCCCTTGGCGTGCATATACTTGATGGCGCCGGCAATCTGGATCGAATAGAAGCGCACCTCGGGCTCTGTCAGACCCTTGCGCCGCTTGACCATATCCATAAGAGAGCCATTCGGGCACAGTTCCAGGACGAGATAGGTGCAGCTCTCAAAGGTGAAGGCGCGGTGAAACTGGACGATATTCTTCTGGCGCATCTTGGAGTGGATCTGGAGTTCGGTCTGAAACTTTTGTTCCATCTTGGCGGGCATCTGGCTCTTGACAATCTTGAGAGCGAATCGTTTGGACATGCCGGCCAGCTTGCCCTCGTAGCAAATGGCAAACCCGCCCTTTCCTAGCATCTTGCCGACTTGGTAGACGGCGCCCTCCTTGCGGTCGGCGCTGGGCGGCTCCGTGACATTGTTCGGGGGTGGGGGTGGATGCTCCTTGTCCTTTGCCGACTTGAGTTGGGCCGCTGCCTTAGTCTTCAGCTCGTTCACTCGAGGCGCTCTCTGGGCGTTTGCATCGCGCGGCGATAGCGCCTCCATTTCGAGGCCCTTAGCCACCATCTCGTCTTAGGCGCGCGAAGAGGAAACGGGAAGGCTAAGGCGGTAGGTGTGGTGTTCCTTTTCTTCTTCCTCTCCTAGTCGGATCACTGGCGACAGGCTTTTCGATGGTCGATGTCGATTGAGAAGCCCAAAACACGACCAAACCTCAAAGAAGCCGACGAGTGCTCGTTTCGAAAACTAGACTAGTTTTCCGCGTCGCTTGTCAGGAATGATCTTTGGAAGTGAGATGAGAGTAGGAGCACGGTAACGGCAATGCATTAGATTCGGGTCGAGTCAAATATTCCGAGTGCATCGGATGCAGGAAGATATACGGAATACGTGCAGAAAGGGCGAAAAAGTTAAGGTCGACGAGGGCATCAAATGGGAAACTCACTCTCAACGCGTTCCCGGGCATGCAGAAACAGTCTCGGGAATGGGGAAAAGATCGCAAAGTCAGCGGCGGCGACGGCGAGGGGCGGAATGCTTCGCAGTGGCAACGGCCGAAAAAGGCGTATGCTTGATGTTGGAGCTGGACTGGTCTGGCTTTGCCTGACCGAAATTGCACGGAGCGCATTGTTTGTGCCTCGCCTCTCAGTCACCGGAGCAACCGATGGTTGTTGCCTTTTCCAGACCAATTCCCCCGCCAAGCCAAGCCGTGCAGGGGCCGCAGAACGAATCGCAGACGCTCCAATCAACAGGCCTGGCCCTTAACTGCTCAAGCACTGAGCCCAATTTCCTGTTGACGCTATTGGCTGCACACCCTCCAAACCACCGACACCCCCCGCCAGTGCCGAACTACGGGCCTCAAATCCATACCAAGTAAAGCTCGACCTGGTTTCAAGTTCCAGATTCTCTTCCGGGTCTTGCCAAGATACCATTTTTATGTCGACACGACCACCATTCTTTTGCCGAACGCTTCCGATATAGACGCGACTAGCTGGACAACGCTCGACCATATGCAGAGAAAAAGCGAAAGATGACAGCCGTTGCCTTCCGATGAACGCAGGCGTGCAAGACGCCTATCAGCTCTGTTCGGACCACCTTCGCATTAACTCCACTGCCATCTTGGATTCGCAATAGCCTGCCAGCCAGCCCGTGGAGGTAGGCGGCACTCGAAAGTCCAGCAGAATGGTTGCATTGCCCTTGTTCAAGCTTGTGTCGTTGTTCGTGCGGCACGTCTCCAAATATGGCGCTGTTCGTGATCCCCTGTTCCATCGCATTATCTCCTCCAGAGCCGAGCCAGCCATAGATGTTTAGTTCTGACACTTACTCTTCCATGTGACAGAACCGCATCAAGCTCCAAGCTCATGAACACCCCGGCTTCCGGCATTTCGCTGCGAGGTACGGCCAGATGATTCACCAGCTCAACATGCGCATGTCAGTCGCGCTACTACGCAATACGGACGCCGAGATCAAGGCCAAAGAGAAGGCCGAGGCGCCTACGGTTAAGACAAAAGAGCAGGTGACGCGCGAGGAAGGGCTGCGCGCCAAGTACGGTACTACTCCCAAGGAATCTCACCCGGTCCGGGGAGTGCCGGCCGGGAGTATCTGGAGGCGCAAGTTCAGGGCGCTGCCCGAGGCGAAAGCCGTCGACCTATTTGCCGACGTCATTGGTGACGCCTTCATTCTGGTCGTGGCAGGCACCCTGATCGTCTACGAATACTATCGGTCCTCTCAAAAACCCGACGCGACAGCAGAGAAGCTCAAGGAGCTCGACCAGAGGCTAAAAGAGCTCAAGCAGAGAGAGGAAGAGATGGCCGAGGCCGAAAGAGAGCAGCGCACTCGGGTCGAGACCATTGAGGCTGCCCTGAGAGCCTTCAAGGATCCAAAGACGAAGCAGCCAATCTTGGCGACTCCAACACCTTGAGCTGCCGTCCAAAAGTCGTATATACCAACAAGTGCCCAAAGACCCATGTGCTATACTGTAGCCGCTGGATACCAGTCTCGCCTGGGGATTTTCAGGTGTCATCGTCGTTCGAGGTGGATGTACTGAACTAATGTTGGGAGTGTCCTCGGGGATGCTCAGGGGTTGTCATTAGGCAACTACTGGTAGGCTAAAGTGCCTATAAACTCCTGTTTGCCTCATAACGTTGTAAGTTATCTCGAGCGTATTTGTACCTTGCTTTAAGAAGCACTGGAAAGGAAACAGGAAGGTCCGAGTGCCGTCGCCAGGCTTACGAGTTTGCGAGGAAGGAGCGACGACGTGGATGAGGCTTCCAAGTCGTACCTGCGCGCCAGAGATCTGTCGTATCTGGCAGCAGCAGGAGCCAACCTGGCCAACCCAAAACACCAACTCTTCTCAGGAAGCAAATTCATGAAATTTAGACGATACCCTCCTAGTTAAATTCCAAAACAAAAACACTCCTCTCATCCATTTTAATCCTGTTCCCTATTCCTGACGAATTCTTGGTCGAGTGTGCGATTTGCAGGTTACGGAGGCCAATATGACGAATTTGCTCTGCTCGAGCTTGCGACAAAGCAGAATATGGGCGCCGGTTGCTGCCCGGATTCTGCAGACCGATCGGGGACAATGGAAAGGTGGTAAATTTACGGTGTCGTGGAGAATCCTCAACCCGAGACTGACTACTAGCATAAATACACAGAGGCCAACTTGGGAGGAGCTTGCGACCTGGTCTTGTCGCTACCGCAGGCATCCTCTCGGAGTGAGTACGACGAGCACGAAGAACAGCTCAGAGTTGTTCTACTTGCTCCAGCAGACATCGGGAGAGCCCAAACGACTCACCGAACCGAACAGCTCTGTGATTTGGAAGGAGATAGTAGCTACCCAGCACTCGCCTTTCTCTTTCTTGACGATGACCACTGCAACGACGACGACAACGACGTCAACGACATGAACAACGACAACGATGTTGACAGAAAGGAGGGCAAAAATGGTAGTGGCAGCGGTGGCCCGGTTGCCATGGAATCGTTTATGAGACTTCAAATTGAGTAAGTCCTTTCCTTCTTTCTTCCTTCATACCCAAAATTACATATCTCTACCATGTACACCCGCTCTATTACGAAGCAAAGAAAAAACCAAGGAGGACAAACCACGGACGCAAGCCTGCTCACCATCCACAGACTCATGAGCCGTTCTAACAGCAGCAACATGGTCCCCATTATCCCGCTGAACTCCCCTAACGCGCTGGGGCCGACGCTCGAAACATACCTAGCGTCGTTCGCCACCCAGGACCGGCATCAGCAATCTCGGCCAGTAACAGTCGATGGCGCCCGTGACCTGCTGCCCTTCTGCACCGCTGACGCAGCGGGCCCTCTACGAAAGCACTCGGTCGACGTGCTGAGCGAGCGCAGCTTGAGCTTCAGGGAGCTTCTGGTCAACACGGAGAGGGCGATGGTCGACGTAGACAACGGCGAAGACCAAACGGGTAGGATAGGGCTTAGGAGGGGCGGCAAGGAGAACATGGCAGACTTTGCTGCCAAAATGGGAATCGAGCCGGCAGACGCGGAGCGATTCCTGTCATTCTGGAGATACGAGTTCGCAATCTGACTAGCTTATTTTGGTCAGCGTCTGTCCGCCCTCTTTCCTTCGGTCTTTTTTCTTTTTACAGGACACTTTCGTCCGGGGTGCCATGTTGCTAAACTCGTAACCTCACCTATATTCACACCAGCTGCAGCTCCGAATCACACTGATTGAGAGCCAATGTGCAGAAATGTGATGCCTGTCATTACCGCAGCAAAACGCCCTTGTGAGCTTCTCTTCTGGCGAGGCTCGCGTGGAGACACATCCTTATCCGATCCTTGTGGGCTGGCTACCTACCCGGAACCTGCCTTGTGTTTGCGGTCTAACCAAACCGCATAGGACCATGGCTTTGTTCCTACAAAGGAATATAAACGGATTATCTCCACACATAATCACCCTCTGTCCTGAAGCAAGGAGAAAGGCGTTTCCCTGGCTTATTTCCGCGATGCCTTGCCCTGCCCGGCATTCGTCCGTCTCTTTTGCTACGCCGGGGGGTGGTTCGGCGATACTGACTGACTTGGGGATTGCGCGGTGGTGCTATTTAGAGATGGAGAGCCGGGGACGGGCTATCTCTTAACCGTCCGGAGGGCGGCCGCTAACCGCCTTCTCGAGCAGCTAGCTAGCTTCCTTGGCTAGCAGTCCAGGCGTTGAAGGAACACTTGCCCCGTACATATGTAAAAAGGAGACGAGGATTGGGAAACATTGGATCTGAGTAACCTCGTTGGGTCGTTCATGACGAGGGAGAGAGCTTGGGCTGCCAGCCACTCCTCCCTGCCAGCTGGCTGGCTGGCTGGTAACCGAATTCGAGTGACCGTGTGGTGCGTGGTGTGGTGAAGAAGTGGATATGTGTTGCTATTTTAAGGAACGTTCTCTTTTACGCTATGGACGCCGTGGCATGTATGTGATGTGTGATGCGGCTGCAGCATTGGCCGAGCCGAGCCCGCATTTCCCTTCTTTCTTTTGCTTTTACCTTTTGCAAGCATTACATGCAGTAGCAAAATCATGGCCCGGGAATATGTATAAACTAGGCCGAAATAAACCCACCCAAGCAAACCAAACCAAAGCAAAAGCACAACTTATGATTTGCTGCGTGCAGCTCGAGAAGAGCATTAAAAGTGGTGCCCGTCCACTTACGCAGGAGGTCTTTTTTCTGTCCCTACACAATAGCAGACAGTCGTGCATTGGCGCATCGTGGAAGCTAATGTATGAACGCATGTATGTCAAGTCCCTCGTGCAGATACCATGAATTCTGGAGTAGCGGGAGGGATACTAGTGTATAGTGTAGGTAGAAAACATCGTCGCCCTTCCTCGGATTCGCTGCTGGTATTTCGTCACAACTTGGAAGTAAAAAAGCTTGGCGCCTGTTCAACGCCAGACCTAGAAGGGCATTTGTCTGCCTGCCAGCTAGCCAGTCACTCCTGATGAGAGAGAGCAAACAGACTACCTAGTAACGGCAACCTTTCCGTAGTTGTATCCTATTGCAAAAGTACGGATAGCAGTTCCAATATCGCGTGTAATAAGAATGCCGCTGTCATCAACTTCCTGCGCCTGTGTTGCTTTGTGCTGTGATGTGCTGTGATGTGTTCACTGTTGGCAGAGGTGCATGCCAGCAATAGAGGGGGAGAGCGGCTCCCCTTCTGTCACACATGCACACACATCACTTCACTGTTACGCCTGTCAAAAGCAGGTAAGGGAGCCATGTCCCTTCAGAAGGATGTAAATGGTGATGAAGAAATGACACGAAATAGATCTCGTCGCCAACCCCGCGCTGAGAGTTGGATTATTAATTCACTGATTTTATCAGTACATACGCTGATGGATACGAATACACATGGAGTCTGAGCGCTCAAGGTATTTTATTTCCGTCTGATGCGATGCGATGCGATGCAGCGATGCAACGGCGTCGCCAGCCCCATTCAGAGGCGGGGCGAGGCAAGGCATGGATTTCTTGACGGGTAAGGGTTATCAACCGCAATGAAGGTATCATTTCCGTTTTCTGCCCGTCTACGTGGAGACGAAAGCTGGGAGGAGTAAAAAGGCTCGATGGTGTCTCGAAACAACCCCCAAGAAACGAGGCGGGCGGAAGGTGGTGGTGGTGGTAGTGAGGGGGTGGTTAGAGTGTGTGAATGGTGAATGGTTGCGTGATGGTGATGGGCTTCTGTGTGTGACCAGAGTTGGGCACCAGCAGTCAAGTCGGAAAAAAGGTCGCATCAACACTTCACCACCAGCCAGCCAGCCAGCAACAAGCTAACGAGCCAGCACACCCAGCTGCTGCCCTGCTTTCAGTTCGTGATTGATGCGTGATGGCAGGGACAGGCTATCGTAGTCTAGAGGTTGAAACTTGGGGGGGTTGCCTGGTGGCAGCGAAGAGAACCCGAGAATAAACGGCTCCAATTGCTTGAGAGTTGCATATTTTCTCCTTTGCTACGTACGGCACATGTTTGTTTCCTACGGAGTTTAATTGTTGTGCAACGACGTTGGCATTAACCCGGTGCGGCGCGACGCGGCGCGGTGGAATGGGATGAGAGGCAAATGCCCGCGGTGCGGGGCGAAGACGTTCATCGGGCAGGTTTACGTCTTGGGCCCCAGGTGAGGTCCGGCCCGGCCTAATTCGTGGCTTACGACAATGCGGGGGCCGATTCCTTCCTGGCAGGCAGACCCCAGAGGGTGGGCGGCTGACAGGGCAGGCAAGCAAAGGTGCGGCGGTGAAGCCGAACTTTCAAAAGGCCGGTACGGCTGCAACTCGACAAGGGATACTCCGCAGAGAACTAGGAAGGTAATTTCTGCCATGCATTTCATTGATTTTTTTTGCCGAACATAAGAGTAGTACTTGGCCACGAAAATAGACCACACTACCGACATTCAAGCACTCTTGCAACCAGTCACTAGGGGGGCTTCAAGTTGTTAGTGGCCCTTTGAAAGCATTGCCACGACAAAGATACAACATAGCAAACGCTCGATATCGGTTATCGCAACGCCGAGCCATGCAGGCGTGGACGCGAAGTTGCTATGACCTTGGCAATCACGATTGCGACTTGAAGAACCGGGGCCAAGCCTGACAAGAGCATCGCGCTAGTGTTAGATAGGAGGCTCGGGGCCGAGAGAGGAAGATACAACCTGGAATAGATTAGGTGTTTGCAACCATGTCGTGAATCCGGGATCGGGATCGGGAGTCGAAGCGGAAATCTGCGGCCGGACCGCTTATCACGTCTGGTCAGCAATCCGCGTCCTGCGCTGGGAGCTGTGGGTAGTGCTCTGATTTATAAACTCTCATAGCGAGTTTCCAGGCTCTGTGAGCATAATGATGGTGCTGCGGTCAGCCATTAGCGCAGCAAGACATCATGCAGGGCGATCTTCGTGATCAGTTTCGTGAACTTTGGACAACGGTGGACGCTAGCCATGAGCGGCTCTTGATTGGAGGCATCGTTTTCCGTGATTCGGCCCACCCCGCATGTAGAGATCCAATGGCTGAATAGACCCTGCCGCCCGGTTGAGCGATAAGCAGTCTTTTGATATTGCTCGTCCTGATCCCCTTCGATGCGCATATGCACAGCGAGGCCAGAGCGGGCCGGGTAATCATGGCAAAGTGAAGACGATCGTGAGTTGAATTGACAGTTGACATGACTACTACCGAGCTGCCGCTCACGCTAGATAACCATCTGCGCGGTGTGCAGCGTCGACAATTGACGGCGGGATGGCAGAAACTCTCCATGGTCAAACTCAGCGCCTGTGTGATTTCGCTCTCACTCGCTCGCTCGAGTCAATTGCGCGTGGGGTGTCATCAGCGGCATGTGTTGCTGCGACTGTGAGTGACTCGCCGAAATCACGAACTACCTTAGTCGCAGACGTGTCCACGCCATAGTGACACTTGTCATATGGAACATTGGACGATGTGCTTGTCATCGCAAACAGTTCTTTCCAGGGGCGTATTCCGCAATTGGGACTGAAGCGCGAGTAAGGGTGAGGAAGGGAGTTGAGAGGGTTCGGGATTTCATCTCGACCTCGCCAAAACATATGGGAGCGCGAGATCGACAGATTCACAAACACACCACCAGCTCCCGTCTAGTCACATTGATGTTTTAGCCACTTGAGGCTCTCTTGACATGTCAGAGCATCGGGCAGCCCAAAAAGGCGTTTTAACGTTTCTGCATGAGGAACTGCCCTGAGAGAGCATCGCGATCGAGGCGTAAATGTATCACCAGAACAATCTAAGGCTGGGCTTCAGTCTGAGCGAGCCTGCGCCGCTCGACGACGGCTCAGCTGCTTGAAGTTTATTAGGAAAAATGGTGGTTTTTGAGGGGGCGGGGCGGGTAGTCAAGTCGCGAGTGGGAATGTCGGTCAAAAGTGGGTGGCCCGCAAGAAGCACGAGCCACTTAGCGCCGGCCCCACCTGCCACCCCTGGTCTTACAACCCTGGCCCGAGCTTGGTCTGATAATTCCCGTCAGCCCAGCGCTCTCAAACCGCTTGCGCCTCAGCAGGCCCACCAGTGGTGAGGGGCCGGCCTGATCGCCAGTCTCAGATTCGAGATTTGAGATGCGATGGGACTCTTGGTTACCTTTGTCAAAACCTGCGACGCCTGACCATGGGCAGCGCTTGGTTTTTCCCTTGGCGACAACGAAGGGTTTTAAATGAAGCTCATCCTGTACTCAAGGGAGGGAAAGGGGAGGGACAGCATGTACTGTAATACGAGGATTTTTGCTGTCGCCTGTGTTGACGACCTCAGGAGGTACCAACCTTGGGAACTTAACGGAATAGAGGGGCATGGTTGACGTGACCTAGGTCGAGTGTATTGCCTGCCGGACGGCAACGTCGGTCTGCAATTCTTCTTCCGATTTAAATACACTGCTCAGCATGGATGACAGAATACGCATTCGGAACAGGTCTAATTGCGAATCTGGAAGCTTTCGCATCGCGGGCATTTTCCGGCCACCGCGCCGCTCAAGGTGCATCTTGAGGCTATTGGGACCTTGGGTCGTCTTTATTTTTCTGGCCTCGGATTGGCTTCAATGTGTGCTTGGCGATGAAGTGAGCAAAGTTTGTTCGGCCCCTAGTCACCTGGTGGCGGGGGACGTGAGGGGCCTCGCTGGTCACTCGACACTAATGAAGCGCTGAGGGGTTACAGAGTCGCTACAAGATCCCTGGCGCGGGGCCCGCACACCCTGGCTGCAGGGACCCCTGCCCCGGACGCAGTGGGTTCGCGGGTTAGGGCGTGATTGGCCCCAGTGCGGGCTGTAGCCGCCCACTCTTCGCCAATCACACGGGACGGGTCGGCGAAAGCACTATTTTTCTCTTCTGGGCAAGTTAGGTTCGGATTCAACGACATTCGCCCTCCACTGAACTGCCCATATTGCTGCCAAGTGGGCTGGTGAGCCCTCGCGACAGCACCCGATGCTGGGCTCGCCGCCCAATACAGCGTCCAAGTCGCCCCAGGTCCAATGCTCCAGACGCTCGCTGCCTTTGCCCAGTGGCCGGCCATGGCATGGCATGGCATGTCAGGCGGGCCGCGGCAGGTAATCCATGGCAAATGGACAAGCCTAAGACAATAGGAGACTGGCAACAACAAGGGGCATTTGCTCTTTCTCCTCTGTTTTCTGCGTATCCGCACGGATACGGATACATTCACATCTACCCCAGAAGCGAAGGCCCGACATGCAGACAAGGAAGCTGCCAGATCTCGAGGTGCCCTTCGTTTCTTCCCAATTCCCAGCTCCCGGTTATGCCACGGTGCATGGGCAGTTCCCGTGTTTCCTGTGTTATCCGTCTGTATCAGTAAACGCTACGTCTACGCCTCGGCAGGCTGAAGATTGCCATACGGAGTACGGGCACGCAGCAACTCGATTGAGCGCCAGCTGTGGGACTGGCTTTCAGACGCTTGTGTAGAGACGTGAAAGGGCGGTCTCGGCCATGGTAGGCACGGCCCTGGAGACAGCAATCACGCCCGGGGCGGTTCCCCACACCATCGCTACCCTACCTGACAGTACCTACTGCGTGCACACCCACACACCCCTTCGTTCTCGCTCTCTCTCTTGGCCATTTCTTGGCTCTCTCCAGTCTCCACGCCTAAGGTCGTGCCTGGCGCTCCCCTTCCACTCGTGTCGTGGAACTCCACCCTCCAGACAAGCCCATGCAATGTTATACTAGTGCCATTGCGTACTCAACCGCCCACCCGCCCGCACTTGTATACAACCCAGACCGTCCCCCTCCGGTCCCCCCCCAAGGCCCGCCCGGCCTGCCCTGTCGCTTCTTAAACTCGCATGGTCCCGGATGGCTGTCGATCAAGCAGCCGACTCTGCTCCCGAACGTGCCAGACCACTCCGTCCGCCTCAAACAACCTAAAGCAAGCTTGCCCTGGGGCTGGCACCGGCTTGTCTGATCTCCGCTTCGACCTCAATGCGACTGCGTCGCCCCAAGGACTAAGCTCTTCGAATACTGTCTACGCTGTAGCAACACCCGCTCCCACGACTCACTCCGCCTCCCGAGCGACCGCTTGAGACGTGCCCCCGCGCAACCTGAGAGCTTGATCTGCGATCCCTCCCGTATAGTTTCCCTCTGTCCTGCTTGACCCCTAGGCCCGCTCTCACGCTCTGCCCTGGCCTGGCCTGCTGCAGCGACCTCCTGCAACTTCCCCTGGAAAGAGGTCGATGCCGCTCGGATGCCCGCTGTTATCATAGACCAGATTACCAGAACCTGGATCTCGAACGAGAACTGCTAGCATCAACCCAGCAACATTCGATACACACTCCTCCCCTCACACCTGACACACAAGCTCCCACTCCCCCGGTACCAGCCCTCGGGGCGAGTACCAGGCCCCCCTCTTCACCCCACGAAGCCATCTTCGCCACCAGCCTCGGCGGGGACCCAATATTAGTTCACGAGGCCCTCCGGCCGAGCTAGTTTTGGGTTCCCTCGCCTTTCTCTTCTCCACTCCACGCCAGCGCTGTGCACTCGGTGGTCGATCGCCTTCTTTGATATCGACTCTTTTTTCGTTTCTCAGCTTCAACCGCAGGTCCGGATACTTGCCTCACCTTCCTTGGATTCGCCTTTCTTCTTGACTGTATTACTGTATATTACTTGGGAGGCTACCTCGGCTACCGGACCGCAATCGTCGCTGTTGACTTCGACCTCGAGAACCAGCGTGGAGTGTTACCAGCGTGTGTGTAGACACACACACGGCAAGAGAGAAAGGATTGTGCAAGGGTTGGGACGTTGCTAAAGAGAGCCGCCGATTATCACGACCACGCGATAGGTCGCCATACACGACCAACACCACCATCATCATCACCGACACCGATACCGATTACTCTTTTCATCACCAGGAACCATGGGCAGACTTATCAAGAACCACTTGGCCAGACTCATCATTCTAGCGGCTGCGACTTGTAAGCTTCTCTAGCGGCCCCCGTGCGGGGGACGAATCTCGGGGTGGAATCATCGTACTAACACCACCTCTAGATCAGGTTGCTGCTGCTGTTTGTGGCTTCTTCTGGCCCAAGATCCTGTGGGATTTCCTCACCAAAACGCTGGATCCCGCCGTCAAGCCGATACCAATATTGCAGATTATCAATTTGCTCTTTGGGCTCATTCTCCTTGCTTGGGAATGGCCTGTGGCTTTCATCGCCGGGTCTAGCATCCACCGCAGTCTCGAGGCTCGTCTGGCCTTCCTGCCGTTGACGGCTCTGGCTGCTGTTCTACTGTACCAAGGGACGAACGCCGCCATCTACCAGGTGGTTGGTTTGGGAGTCTACTTTTGGGCGTACAGTGAAGGAGAGGTTCGTCTGGGATTTCTTTCCCTCTGGTTTCACGGCACTCACTAACACGGCATTCCAGATCATCTGCGCAAAGCCGTGGACTCTACCTCAGCGCGGCGGAAAACCAACGCGTGTCTGAGGCAACATAGCCTGGCCAGGCATCCTTTCGCCCTTGATTGGGCTTGAATATATATGCCAATCTCCAACCCTCTATCTCCAAAGCCCCGGGGTACTGCCGAACATATTTCGCAATGGCGAAGGGGTTGTTTTTACTTTAATCCGGAGAAGGAACGGAAACCGTACATACATGAATCAATACGACATTTTCTATTGTCCTATTTTATCTTACTTTTTATTAGACGGCGAGCCTTCAAATTCTTCATACAATATATTTCAGCAAAAAATTCTGCATAACTCATCTGGCCGAGAGGGGATGGCCTGGACATATGGAGAGAGTCGGAGAAGCTGAAGAGTGTTTTCTGTATTTCTTTTCTTCTTTTCACATTTTCCCCAACGTTTCTTCCTTTTCACGAAGGTGTCTATTGAGTGAGACGACAAATACCCGAACATAACTTTCCCGCACATCTCGAAATTCGTCGACAGCGACAACGCGGTGGACAAGATCACGAGCTACGGCGACCACGGGATGATGGATGTATATTTGGAGACTTTCATCTGGCAGCATGGGGAGGCAGCATTGCTTTTTGGGGGAGACGGGGCTGGGAGAGATGAGTCTCGTGTCTCAGGATGGGGGGGTGCTTCACCGGTTCTCTCTCAGAAATGAACGAGGACCGAGATGCTCGCCCACCCATCAGACAAGGGAAGGAGGCAAGAAAAAAGCACAGAGAGAGATATATCATCACAAAACAATACTTTCTACCTCCACCAAGAAGAGCAAGAAACAAAGCTGGAAATCCCCATGGCATGTGTGAAAGAGGGAAAGGCCATGCGTGTCTGTGGTCTGAGAGCTCTGCTGTCTGCCTCGGTCGCGCCCGGCTGCAACATGAAGGCGAAGGTGCCTGTCTGCCTGTAAGCCAGCCTGTCTTCGGTCAGGCCATTTACATACGTATATGTACATACTTAGTAATGTACATAAAAGCACACGAACGTATAATCAACCACCATGAACTAAACGAAAGAAACTGCTTGAGCCTGATGTGTACATGTTGAAAAGGGGAAAAAATGCGTATCGCTAGTCCCCTTTCCTCAAACACACATTGAAACCTAACAAATCTTACCCTTGCGGGAACTTTGGCCGACACAACAAAAAAGCAAGGGCTTGTCGCACACCTCGATTGCCACGAGGCTTTCTCCATATTTTTAGGGCCATCTATTCCACGAAGACCTGTACATAGATACGCAGTGAAAACATCTCGTCCGAGCTCCCATGTTACGTCCGCACCATACTCAAACGCCTAAGGCAAGGGGCTGCGGTGCTGCGGGCTTACCTTATCTATTACAGTACTGCCGCTTTAAGTGCGTGCCCCAACCCACTTGACACTTCCAGGTGAAATTCCCGGTCAATAAAAAACATGTGCAAGACAGATAGGAACTTTCGATCATCGGGAACAAGAATAATAATAACAAAAAATACTAATCAACCCGAAACAAGTGAAGAAACGAGGTAAATGCAGCAGTGAGGCCAAACTCAAAGTTCCGGTGCCTGGCCACTTGCCTGCCTGCCTACCTCACGCTCACCTCACTTAACGTCACCTGGCCCCCCCCCCCCCCCCCCCCCCCACAAATCCAATCAACCCAAGAAGAAACATCAGCCAGTAAATACAGTTTCGCATCGTATCACAGCATATATACAAAAATATCTATCATACCGGAAGCGCGAGAGCGGCAGCGGCGGCGGGGGACGCGTTTCGGCAGCTCGGCAACAGCCCTCTCCGGCGTTCCACTCTCCCTCCGTCCACGTCCACGTCCGCGAATTGCCATATACTTGCAACCGTCAATTGATCGCGCCAAAACACCTCTTGACAAAACCAATACTGTTTTCATTCCCGTGACTGACTGACTGACTGACTGACTGACCGAGCAAGCGCGGAGGTTTTGTTACACGCGTATTAGGTCTGGTTTCGGCCCCGGCTTCATCATCTTTGCTCAAAGGCCAGTAGAATTTCCAGAACAGGACGGACGTGAGCAGGCGTTCACCGAGACAGGGATAAGCTGTTCCTATTTTTACGTCAGAAAAGGAGATTTCGGGAAGCGCCAAATCTGGACCTTGGCTTCTTCGATTGTCCTGTCAATCCTAGCACCAGGGGGGTGAGGTGGGTCCAAAGCGTATCTCGGGACAATTCTCAGCCAGTCGATTCTGCAATTCAGGGCGCCAAACCCAAATGTCAGGCTGGCCTCACGTGGCGATAGCGCCCAATATTCCAACTTCACCAGTAGCGAAAGATTTGATGATGCACGCAAGAATATATGGCCTAGACTCCTGGCAAACCTAGCTATTTTCGTCTAACTGCATCGCCGTAGACAAGAAAGAGCCAGGTAAAGAAGCCGTGGCCCCTTCATCTGGCCCCAGTTACCACGCTCATCCCAAAACCCTTCTTTCGAGAAGCCCATCTTCGAGGTCTCCCCAACTTTCATGTCCGCTGCAAAAAAAAAACGCCAATAAGCTTTCCCAGCGGAGAATAAGCAACCCGGAGAAGTCGGCATCAAGTCCTATTTCCCCTAATGCTTCGGGATCGGACCTCCCCATCGGGGTTTTTTGGCGACAATGACAGCTGTCAGCGACGGTTGGAAAAGCAGAGTAACGTCATCTCGAGTCGTTTTTCTCCCCTCTAGTGGGCGACCATAGCACCATCTGCGTCGTTTCTTGAGCCATTGCGCTCTCCCATCTACAAGTGGTGATATATGAGTCAGCTTCCTTGAAATTTTGTATCACTCTTATCAATCATATGAGATTGTTATGGGGCTTGGTCCAAGGAAAGGCTAGCCGCCTCAAAGATTTCTAAGACATGCAACCGGCTTGCGGAGCCGCGCGGTGCCTGTTTTCTGCTCAAACATCGGACAAGCGTCCCTGTGCCAGTGCACTTTGAGGCCAGCCAACAAGGCCAACGCGCCCTCAAAGCCTCCATCAAAGGGCAGATTGCGAGGATGCACTGAACAATTGGCAACTTGTGAACTTGCGGTGCGGCCCACTGGGCCCGACTGGTAGAGGGGTGAGGGAAGTGGTTTTGGCAGCCGCCGTGCAGCATGACGCGTTGAGGGGGCCTGCGGCGCAGTTGCGGCAAGGTACCCGCCTCACGGTCGCCTTGGTGCCCCCGGCCGCGGCTAAGGCTCGGTTCCTTTCGGTGTGCTCCCGAAGTTCCGATAGACGGTGCCGCTGCTGCGCCGTTCAAATGTGGAAGGATGCTCGGATGGAGGGGGAGAGGGGAAGTGGTGGTTCGATTGGCGAATTGCCATGACCGTTGCGAATAGACCATGCACCACGTACCTGAGACTCCTGGAGAGTGCCCTCTTCTAAAATCTTCTTAATTGCGACCTCCTCGTCCTCACTACCGAACTCGGCCTCAAGTGAGCCCTTTGACGCGGTATCAAACGGGCCTTGTGCGCCGTGCCTGTTTGTGTTGGGGAACAGTTGGTCAGCGCTCGGAGCCTTGTCTTTGTGGGCAGAGGCTACAAGGCTGCAACGGAGCAAACCTACTTGTGCGTCACAAAGACCTGGAAGGAAGAAACGACATTGGCAAGAGCCGTGCTCTTGTCGTCCAACCACTTCTGGTAATCCTCGGCGCTATCTACGAAGACGATGAAGTCGTCCTCAGAGCCCTGGTAGTGGATCTTGGTTGCGGTAGCCTGGCGCGTCATTTTTGCTGTTATATGTTACGTTGACGGATGGTCGAGGTGTGCGAGTTTTGCTGATTGTTGTTGGATGCTGGCCAAATTGAGAACCGAGGATTAGCTGAACTGTCCCGCTGATGTGGGCGATGTCTTGCTGTTCCCGACGGATGAAGTAGAGGAGTGTGCAGCTTACCTGGGTCTTTTGGATTTGGTCTTTGGGATTTGCGATTGAAGTTATTGCGGTTTAGTTCTGGTCCAGTCTCGAACAAACGGTTGCTCTTCATTTATAAGCCGGTCCTCTGTTCCTCTCCTGACGCGCTACGTCATAAGTGACGGAAATGCGCTGACAGCTTGCTGCCGAATTGGTGACTGCCCCACACTTTGGTCATCTGGGGATCCACAAGCTAGGGCGGATAAGGTAGCTCCTGCCCCGCGATTGACCTGCGTGAATGCACACTTGGTCTACGTTCACCCTACATTTACGTACTTTAGGCACCAAGGCAGCCTACTCTAGAGACGGAAGAGAGCTATGATCACTAGCTACACTATTTCCGGCGCTTCTAGGTGATTATCCTCATACATTCTCAGCCACGACAGTGTTGCCATAGATATAGGCCATGCTTGAGGCAGCAATGCGGCTGGGGCTTCAAGGCCATCACGGTTTGCTCATCGAGCCAAGACATCGCATTCACACAGTGCCCTTTGTGAAACTGTCGATTAGGCCTGGCGGGGCTGGCTGTTCCTGGCTCTTACGTCACCTGTCTTTCAAGCTCGTGTAGAGCGGGAAGGAACGAGATGAAACGCTGAATTGTTAGTGAAAAGCTTCTAAATGGTGCCAGAAGATTAATCTTTACCCATCTTGTACCGAGGATTTCACTCCATTGAACAAAGTTACGCTAATTGATGCCATTTCCCTACCTGGGTAGCTGTATGTCAGAACACGTAATAGAACTTTGCCGATGTTGTTGCGTCGGCAAAGAGCAGACAGTATAGTATACTCCATCCCGGACGGTCAACCGATTACTGGTGATCCTTGGCTTGTGTCGAGCCGCGACGAATGACTTGTGCGTCGAAATTAGCCGTAGGAGACTAGTCTGCTCCTGGAAATCGAACCCGTGGGCTCTCATGGGAGGTAGGTACACTGGCATAGACAAATATCAACGGGATCAAATCCCTCGAAGCCTCTGTTTTTGTTCGTAGGCTGTGTGTTGGAACTGATACATACTGAGTATAGCGGTGCGATCTTGTAGCTAGGCGTCTTTGGCATATTCTACACTACAGTTCTCCCGTCGGGTGCACCAAAAATGGCACGGCCGCTCAACCCCATACTATTCAATGCGAGAAGGCCGTCCAGCTCCAAAAGCCCAAACAAGAGACAGCTTATCATATGCTTCAAGCCTCATCCACCGGCCAGCGGCCCGGCCATTCCGCTGTCTTGTCCCATAACAAATAATCCAGCATGCCCGCACCCGCGTTAGCGAAAGAAACTGCGTATGCTTTGGACAACAGACTCTCGATGTAAAATCCCAACCCTTGCCCACCGACTTGAGAGCTTGCGCGAGCGTAACGAGGATCTGCACGATTCCGGTGGCGGCGAGTGCATGTTCTCCTTTCCAGACTCGCGAGCCACCATGGCAGCGAGGCTCGGGCCCATCAGGCTGGGTGCCCGAGAACTGTTTGCCGACGAGTGCCGAAATGCCGGTGTACAAGGACGTGTTTTGTCCGCCTCTCCCTCCACCCGTGCTGCAGCCACAGCCGTTACGCCCAAGCGACGCACCGTCCCAAGGACGTCTGCTTCCCACTTTGAATCCGCTGTACTCAGCGAGGGGCTGTTCCTCTCTGTCTCGTCAGGGATGACGGATAAGGGGGAGCCGCACGTATCCCCAGACTCGTCCCGCACGACCGACGAACCTGCACTTCCCTCCTTCGAGCCTTCGTCGTCAGTGCCCATCTTTTGTTGTAGGCTCGCTAGACTCGCTGTGCGCCTCGTAAAACCACTAGCAATGCTTACAACGCTCAACTTTCGCATCACCGAAGAAGCAGATGCTCGAACAAGATGCTCGCTCCTGGATCGGGCTGTTATCCCGGGGAATGGCAGGATATCTCGGGTCCACACATCTGATAGAAGAGCCTCAAGCCGGGCTCTCTCGCCTCTCGGGGGAGCCAGTACAGGGATTCGCGTGTTTGTCGTCAAGAGTGACTGTGACCTATTGATCTGAGTGCTACCCCTAGAGCTTGGTGCGTCCTTGATGACGCTCGTATTTTTCAGAATGACTTGGCACAGGGGCGATTTCGGCCCGACCGTGGTGGCTCTGTGTATTGATATTCTTCTGGCAATGGTTCCTGCGAACCCTTCTCAGTGCCCGCTCGCATATTCAAAAACAGTAGGAGCAGAAGCATACCTGGCTTTCTAAAAACAGTCCCCAGAGTTTTGATGTTCAGGGCGAGTGTATTGAATGTTGCCGGCGAAGCCTGCTCCTGATTATCGCTGGCCTGGTCGTTACTGAGGCGGGTGCGCCACTCGACTTCCTCTTTGGGAGTACACGCTGTTAATATCATCTCGTAGAGCTGATGGTCGCACATGAACACGAGTTTCCACGAATATGGTGCGGTGTGGCATTGGAGTCCTTTAACTTTGTCAGCATCACATCAAAGAAGAAGCCACATCGAAGGCCGTTTTATACCTCTACCGTTGTCCACCTCTTCTAGCTTGATATTTCCCAGGGCAACGCAGGCCTGGATGGTGTAGATCTGGTCGATCCTACTCGCCGTTGCGAGACATAGCCACTCCCGGTACAGGAGAGCAACCATGTACTGACCTGTAACGCCCTCTTTGGTCTGCCAGCAGACATGCAGAGCACCGCAGAGCTGCACATGGCCAAATGACCGTATGCGGTTCTTCGACGCTGCGTCGAGTTGCTGGTTTCTTATTAGCAGGCAGGTTTCGTATTGGGCAATTTGTTGATTCCTACCTGGTTTGCAAACACAAGCCGGTCCTGGAGCATCCATGTCTTTTCCAATACCGATTTGATCCGGGCATCATCGGTGGCCCTATTGATCTCAGCAGTGGCCTCGCGAAGTCTCATCAGGGCATTCTCAATCTCCATGTGCGAATAGGGGCAGTCGACTACAGGCGTGTGCTTCAAGAGCTCTGCAAATAGCAGTGGATATTTGCACACTCTTTGAATCGGCTGGAGGCTGTTAGTTCTTGTCATCTTGTCCCACTTTGCTGTAAGGGGGCTTTTATTACCTTGACAAGAAGATCGCCAATAGTGAGACTTTTCTTTGAATGGTCATCTTGGCTGTTGGCAGAGCCCAACGATGCAGCCAAAACCTCCAGGCCTTTCTGGTACGACTGCCACCGCGGCATCGTTCTGTGTGCAGATGCCACGTCCTTGATCATCAATTCGTACTTTGCGCCGTATTCCTCGTAGATAAAAAACCGATTCATCTTTATTGAAATAATAAATATTAGACACAATACCGCGTTTCAGAGTAATTGCGCTGGACGAGCCAATTCTTACCTTTTTTGTGAAGACCTTTGCAACCTCTGCTGCTGTCTGAGGGTCTGCAATCATGCCGGGGACATCTCTCAGCCAAGAAACGCCGTCCTTATTGTCTTCTGGAACCGCATCCAGGCTCCTCCATCGATGATGGCCACGAGCAGCTGGGCTGGGATGGGTAAGCATGCGGGGCAGACTCTCAAGCTGTGTGTACTCGGAGTGAGGCACAGCACGATGCAAGTCGCCAAGCATCTCCTCGTGGAGTTCTACAATTTCGGTCAAGTTTCGGTTGATGGACGACCGCAAGCCTGGTGGTAGCGTGGGAAGAGAGGCGAGGATAGTGACATAGACCTTCCAAGGTGGTCAGAGTAGGGCCGTAGGAGAGTGGGCAATTGGGACAACATACATTCATTAGAAACCGCACGTCTCCGATGTAGCTTTCCTCGGTGCCTATGAGCTCCTCTAGAATACGCCGCCTCTGAATAGATCGTTCCATGACGGCGGGGTCTAGGATGGCCTGCCGATCTGGACAAAAGCTGTCTTCAGAAAGCCGGGCACCCGAGACGGAAGCTCTGCTGCTGCGATCCGTTCTCGAATGACCGCGAGACGATCTTAGTGTGTTCCTCCGAGATCGAGTCAAGACGCTGGCACTGGTGAGAGATACGGTGGCGCTTTTGACAGCTGCTACGAAGCCAAAGGACGAGCCCGATGACGACTGTCTGTGGTGAGACGGACCCCACGTCAGAGAACTCTCGACATCGTCGGCGTCAAGGTAGCATGGCACGATGCCTCCGTTACAGCCCTGTCCTAGAACCTCCTGGCGGCGGATGGCTCGTTTCTGTAGAGTCCTTATCCATTTGTAAAACGGCCTGGCTGATCCCGGAACCGTACTGTTCTGGCTTGAGTCTCCGGACATGGGAAGTCGGGGGAAGTATTCTCCATTCTCTAACTGCTGATGGTCCGTGAAAACGTCCTGCAGACCCATTGCGGGCATGTTATCCAAAGTAGGCCAGTCCTCTATCTCGTCCAGATGGAGCACGTCTTCGGTGCACCCATGGCCGGCCTCGACACGCGCAACCCGGCTGCTCGCAAGTAAAGAGACGTCGAGGGTGCCGCCGTTGCTGTCGTTGCCATCGCCTTCAAGTTGAGGAGGCAAGGGCGTCGAGTCCTCGCTGAATGGCCGAGGTGCGTGGCCATGGCTGGAGGTGGAGGCGGAGGCGAGGAGGCAGGAAGATAGTGAATCGGTATCTGTGAGTGACATTATGCAATGCCGGGGCCCAAGAAAACAAAGATGCAAAACTGGCTGGTCCAAACAACTTAAGCCGGGCGGCAGGCTTCCCAACACACACAACAGCGAGGAGGGCCTGCTACCAGCCCAATCAAAACATGATGCAGAGCAAAGGAACAAACAGCAAGAAGAACAAAGATGCAAAATGATGAGAAGTATCGGGGCGAAACCAAGAAACAAGAAGCAAACAGACAGAAAGCCGACGAGCTATGCCTCCGAATAAAGGCAGCATAATAGCAGGGCAGGAATGGCTCATAGCTCGGCGGCTTGTCTGGGCCTTCGATGCCGGATTGAGGTCATTGGCCACTTGCAGGGAAGAGGGGAGAAGAGAGCTACAGAGATGGCAGGAACATCCGGAGCAGCAAGAACTCGATGTATCCAGCCCGGGCCCGAGAACTCCCATGCCTGGTGCTTCGTGCCTGCCCTGGTGCTTGACGCTGGAGAGCGGAAGACGGGAGGAAACCGAGGAGGCAAGGTACCTCCATCCTTCCTCCTGCCTTCCATTACCCAGTGGAGGTACTCTGTACCTCAGTGGGGAAGCAGCAGCACTTTCGGCAACAACCACTGGCAGTATGTTGTACCTAAAGTAGGTAACAAATGTATGGTAGTATCATCAACCGCCAAATCTTGCCATGATGGAGGCAATTGGAAATAGGCGGAGAGACGGGTGCAGATAGAAGCCTGCCTCAATGCCTGTGGAGAAATTGACCAAAAACGGCCCGGTCCACACAATATGCAACTGTTGCAACATGTTCATCTGATCGAGAATTAAGGTTTCCGCCGCCCCGCGGCTTCCGCCTTCAGAATCGATTGACTGTGTGCAGACCGAACTTGGTATAGCAGCATGTCTCGCGTTAGGGGAATTGGAAGAGATCCAATGTTTGTTCGTGAACAGATAGAAACACGTGTTCAAAAGCGTCCAAGATGCTGCTGTCCAATAAAACATGGAAGCCATCACCTAGTAAATGTTGAGGTTCGAGGTTGGCAGGATGGAGACTTGCATTCGTGATGTCGGTCATCGGCTGCTCCCGTTTTGGGTGCGAGTGACAGCCCTGAAATTGGCTCGGAATGCTGCCAGGGCTCCCCTGCTCATCCCGCCGGAACGGGTCGGTCTTCGGTGCCAAGCAACCCCAAATGCCTGTTACCCCGCGTGGGCTGTGCATTCCGTGGCTGCTTGGGTTGAAAGCCCCTCCTCGGCCCCTTGGAAAATTAGAACAAGCTTAAAAAAGCTCCTGCCGAACGCGTCACTGGTGAGAGCTTGATTGCAGTGCCGACCTTCTTCAACCGAGATACAAAACCAGCAGACGCATGTGTCGACCCCAAAAACGATGAACCTGGCGGATCTGCTTCTCCAAGACCGGGCCTGCCGCTAGTACCCCGCGCCCTCCATACCTTAAACATGAGCAACCTTCACGCGCCCACTGTCCCGTCGGGGCCAACTACGGCGCCTATCGCAAACGGCGGGACGTCCTACCTCTCATTCAATGAGCTCCAGCGCCGCAAGGATGATATTGAGGGAGAGCTAAAGGCTCTCAGCGGCGTTCTTGATTCGGTTGGTCTTGATCCTCGCGCGTTGGCTCGAGCCGCTTCCTAGCTGACGAGGAACTCCAGCATGGCGTCGATATGAACACGAACCTCCTCACGCCTGACGGCTTTCCCCGAGCCGACATTGATGTTGCCCAAAGTAAGAAGGCCATGCTCGCCCAGCCCGTCCGCTTGGAGGAGACAACTGACGACGGGTAGTCCGCACGACGAGAGCGCGCATCATTTACCTCAAGAACGACTTCAAGGAGCTGATGGTCATCATCGAAAAACGCCTCCACGAACACTTTGCTAGTTTGACGGACGATGATGAGCCCGCCGTTGCTATAGAAGCCGCGCAGCCCACATTGAGAGATTCGGTTCCCGAGCCCCTGGGCCCCGTCTTCGCAAAGGTCAATACTGTGGTAGACAACAGTCCCGCCGCTACCGCAGGCCTCCAGCCCGGTGACCTGATCCGGACCTTCGGCTACGTTAGCGCGTCGAACCATAATAATCTTAAGAAGGTTGCCGAATGTGTCCAGGGCAATGAAGGAGTGAGTATTCCCCCATCCCCAATCCTTCTCTCTGCCAAGGAGCTGTATTCAGAATAGACGCGTAATGCTCGTCTTCTATTGCCATGCTCCAACCCGGAGAGAAGATTCGTATTGGAGCCTTTCAACGGCTAATGTTATTACAGCAAAATGTTCTTGTCAAGATTTTGCGAAGCACTGGCACCCATCCCCAGGAGCTGCAATTGACGCTGACGCCCAGCCGTAACTGGGGCGGGAGAGGTCTTCTTGGATGCCATATCCTCCCAATTTAGCACCAGCTAGCTCCAAGCTTAGGCTGCCTGTAGGAAGAACTGATAGCGTGTGGGATGTTATTTCCGGAGCAAAAAGAATTGGGCTCTAGAAGTCTGGGCTGTTGGGCCAAATCGGGAGACCATGATAAGAAGTACTTAGCCGATCCAGCCCAAGGTGCTCTCAAGAAGGCTACCACCCAGTTGTGCAGCCAGCGGATTAGGCACTCAGTTAGATTCTGCATTTGCCACATCAATTGTGTGAAAAACATGCCATTGTAAAAAAAAACATCGTCACATAAGACTAGTCGGCTTGTAACGGAAGAAAAAAAAAGGAAAAGAAACGCCCTCCCACTCCAATAAAGAACCGGCTGCTCGGGGTCTAGGTACCGAGAGACCCAAAGTTCCGATCTGGCACCGCAGTACTGTAGCCCGATAAAGGTGCCTCACATTAGGCGGCTGGCGAGCGGCAGGTGAGGCTGGCTGGCTTTGTCTTTGGAGGGGTTGCAATGGGTCTCTGGGAGCCGTCTTCCGTAAGGCTCCCGTCTGCTTGTTCAGCCCTCGCGACCAGGCTTAGGACCCCTGGCCCCTGGCCTGGGCGAACTTCTGTCACTGATTAGCGCCCCACTGCTCGCCAGACGGGCGAGCGGCGGGCAGAGGCTTACCAAACAAAAAAGCCTCTACAAACCACGTCAACCCAAATTTCCGCACTGACCACCGCATTTGAGTCACGTGACTCAAATCACCCCGCCGCCCAACTAGATTTTCCAGGCTGCTGCTCCCAAGGAAGCTGCCTTTTTTTTTTTTTTTTGAAAACAACATCACCACCCAGGTGCCAAACGTCTTCCCCATTCTTGCTGCCCGACCCATCGATTTTTCGAGCCCCCCGCTCCACCGGAATCGCAAACGTGCGTTCTCCCCGCTTATTTAGCTCTCCCCAGCCGCGTCCTTCTTCCTCGACATCTGCGGATTTTTTAAAAACCCCCCAGTGCCCCTCCCGACTGACATCGTACCTAATCAGACTTGTTTACCGTCCCACAACACCAATCCACTCCACGCATCATGGCTGAACCTCAGACAATCCCGATCTTCAAGCTGGTCCTGGTTGGCGATGGAGGCACTGGCAAGGTGAGTTTGTCGGACCTTTGATCATTCTTATCGTCGCCCCCCTCGTCTCTCGCAAGACGGAATGCGGGGGCTGCAGGCGGGCCATCGGGCTTGGACTTTTTATTAACGGACTTGACTTTGCGCGTAGACGACCTTCGTCAAGCGCCATTTGACAGGCGAGTTTGAGAAGAAGTACATGGCCACGCTTGGTGTCGAAGTCCACCCTCTCGATTTCACCACGGTACGTTGGATCGCCCCGCCTATTGATACGCCAGAAGCGCCGGATTTCTAACGCGTCACAGAACTTTGGCAAGATCCAGTTCGATGTCTGGGACACCGCTGGTCAGGAGAAGTTCGGCGGTCTCCGTGATGGCTACTACATCAACGGGCAATGCGGCATCATCATGTTCGACGTGACTTCCCGCATCACGTACAAGAACGTCCCTAACTGGCACCGTATGTAGCTGCCCGCCTTAGCGAGCCCCACCCATCCGGCCCGCGCGTCATGACATGTGCTAACGCAATCTCGTAGGTGATCTTACTCGCGTCTGCGAGAACGTCCCCATTGTTCTCTGCGGCAACAAGGTCGACGTGAAGGAGCGCAAGGTCAAGGCCAAGACTATCACTTTCCACCGGAAAAAGAACCTCCAATATTATGATATCAGCGCCAAGTCCAATTATAACTTCGAGAAGCCCTTCCTCTGGCTCGCGCGTAAGCTCGTTGGCAACCCTACTTTGGTGAGTTGGCGCTCCTTTAACTCTTGATCGAGTGTGTTTCTAACATGACGTGTCCAGGAATTCGTCGCCGCCCCTGCCCTCCTCCCCCCCACCACTTTCGTTGACGAGGAGGAGATCAAGGCGCACCAGGCCGAGATGGACGAGGCTATGGCTCAGCCCCTTCCCGGCGATGATGATGATGACGACCTTTAAACTGTTTGCAAGGCAGCGAATTGGTGGTCATGTGTGGTGGAGCCGAGGGTGGACTAGGATGGTAATGCCCGTTACGAAGGATAATCATCTCCCAAACACAGATGGCGAATAAAGGCATAAGGATGGGATTACGGACCAGCGTATTGGGCAATGGAGGGTTGGCAGCAGTCGATTCGGGTACGGGCGAAGGAGCCGATGGCAATATTTTGCTCTTTGATATTTGGTTGATGCAGACCAAATCCAGCTGGAACGGAAGTAGATTTGCAGGTTACCGACCACAATACATTTAGTAGTACTAGGTAGAGCATGTGCGACCAAGTCACGCAAGCATTCTCTTCTATACAACCAGGCTCCTTGTCATATTTTCTCATACCGCTGGGGGATGAACGTGTCTCGCTTTCAACGCTGCCCGTTTTGGGTCTCATTTGGGCGGTGAAGCCACCCCACTTGTTCTTGGCGGGGCAAATACCAACCGACATGGCATCAACAAGGGTGGCAACCAGGATGCTTTGTCAGCGGCTGTTGTTTGCAGAGGGTGTTGCCGAGGGCAACGGAATGTGGGAAGCCGCCCCTTCACAGAGTACACAGTAGACGGAACCAGAATAGATGGGCTGCAGGAGAGGAAGGCCGAGTTAGGTGTGAGTTTTTGTTCTTGGGGTCATTGTAGGAGATTTTCAATCTGTTCTCTCCTCTCTTTTGGGTTATTGTGTTGTTTTTTTAAACATTTACGCAAGCGAAGCATCTCAACTTACTGTTCCTGATGACAGACATGTTAAATACTCCGCACCTCTAGGTTGTATTGTGTATGAACTTGGGAATTATTCAGCTGAACGAAAAGGAGCGCGTTCGGCTGGTTGGTGGGAGTATGTACACACACACACACACACACACACACAACAAAAGTGTGTTGCCGTGTAATGCCAAAGCCGGCGCTGCGCTGGGAGGGGATGATGTGATGTTGAGGAGGAGGAATCGAAAGGGGAGGAGGCTTGAATTCACCCGCCTTACCCTCTGTGCAAGGCAGTCTCGGACACAGCTGTTGCCCAGCTAAAGAAATTAGTCTAATCATTACTCAATATCCCCTGGCTAAGGTGCAGGATGCCTAACTTGGGATAGGTGGGTTTCGCGTGGGCTGTTCGGTGTATAACAACACTAGATAGAATAATTCTCATTCCTAAAACTAGCCCAAGAATAAGTCAAGAACTGTAAAAAATATGCCCCGTAATCAACGCAATAGTTACCCGCCGTATTTGGCGCCGTGTTATCCAGGAATCAGCTTAATCCTAGGTCTTCTACCCTTAGATGAGAAAGAAAAGGAAAAGGGTGAAGAGAGAAATGTTTGCCCGTCCCCGTTACAAACGACCCATGGCTAGCATGATTCTCCAAGCGTTTGCTCTTGTCACCCACTCATATCCAACATCCCCTCCTCCCACACAAAACAAAGCAAGCAAGCAAGCAAGCAAGCAAGCATAAGTAAGCAGCCCACAGACAATCACCCAGACGCCTCCTCCAGATCCGTGATAGCCTTCAAAGCGCCATCGCACTGAAGAAACTCACACAACTTCTTCCCAGCGCGGGCCGCCGTGCGCCACTCAGCCTCTCCGTCCTTGTTGTTATTGTTGTTGTTGTCTGCCGCTTCGACCTCGGCGGCCTCGCCTCGGCGATGTACACGGGCATTTAGAACGCGTCTTAGAAAATCGATCCTCTCGTCGCCGTTGTGGTTGTTGCCATCTTCCTGCTGCTGCTGCTGCTGCTGCTGATTCCCCTTGACTTGTTCCTCCCACTTGGCAAAGCGAGCCGCGACCGTCTCGGCCCACACCAGCAGCGAGTGCATGTCGCGGGCCGCTTGCCGCTCCGCGCCGAGCTCGAACAGGCGCGCGTGCTGCGCCCGCCGCCACACGAGGTCGCAGATGGCGCTCGTGTTGGCGAGCAGCGAGTCGGTGCTGGAGAGCGTCGCTGGGAAGGAGGAGGCGCCGGGGGAGTGGTTGTAGTGGTAGTGGTGATGGCGGTGATCTGAGGTGTCGGGTGATGACGGCTGATGGCTGCTGCTGCTACTGCTGCTGCTGTCGTCGCTGTCATCATCGCTGCTGTCGGAATCTGAGTAGAGGCACTCCTGGTGCCGCGCCGCCGTAAGGTGGTTGTTTCCGGTGGCGGCCTGAAAGCTTCCGTGGTGTATATGCTGGGACGGTAATCTAGCGCCGGCAGCGCTATCGCCATGAGAATGCCTCGGCGGCACCGCTTGTGGACCGTGATGGTGGATAGGCGCAAGGGGGGGACCGGCAGGAGGATGCGGGAAAGCAAGATGATGCTCTTTCTGAATGGAATATCTTGCCGGCCATGGAAAAATTGGCACAGCCGTTTTTAATGATGACAGCTGAGCCTGGTAGCTGAGGTTTTTCGCTGAATGCACAGTAGCTGGTACGGCACCGGGTGCTGCTAATGCGGCGACGGCGGCGGCTGCGGATGTGACTGCATAGTGACGGCTATGGAGCTTGTGATGACGGCGATGAATCCTGCTGCTATTACCAATAACTCGCCTTCCAGTAGGAACAGCGTGGCTAGGATCCTTCTTCTGCTCATCTAGCACGCCGCCACGAGCTCTCCAGTTGTTGACGTGTGCGCGAATATATCGCTGGGTGGCCACCAAGCAAATATCATGAATATCCGCAATTCTATTGGCAGTATCGGCTGCAGTCGCAGCGGCGGCAGCAGCGGCGGCGGCACCTGGCGAGGAAGGCGACAAGGTTCTGGGAGACGAGAATCTCTCAGCGTGTTTGGAACTGTTCGTCCACCCAAGCGGAACATACATGCGGCTAAGGTTGTTCGGCCTGGGATGATGTAGCTCGGGGGTTCTTTGGGCTGGGCTGTGTGTGTGTTGTGGACTGGATGTTCTTGGAGCGTATGTGTGATGCCAGTTAGGGGACCTAGGGGCATACGGAGACGGAGAAAGCGGGTCAATGGATAGGAATGATGGCAAGTTAGAAGACTGATCGCGCTGGAGACCTGGACGTGCAGCCAATCCAACGGGCGGGGAGGACGACGGTTGAAACGCAGACTGAAATGGGGTGCGAGGACTGACGGGCCTCTCGTCCTCCGGGCGGTAGTAAATATTGATTGTGCTGAGACGCCCGGAGTCATCTGGGCGACCAGGGAGCCTCTGTCCACTCATTGCTGCTGTTTCGCCGGGGGGTAGTCGACCGTCTCCAGCCGTCTCACCGTTGTCGTAATCACCATCGTAGTCGCCATCGTGAGCACGCTGGCCATATATTGAAGCGACGGGGAGGGCCTTGCAATGGCCGTGTCCCGGAATTTGCCAGCTAATAGGCATGAATCTAGGCGGGCGTGAAGAATGATCTGGCCTGAATTGGTTGTAGGGTGCTATGCCGATGGTAGACACTGGAGTGGGATGCGACTTAACGAGATTTCGTAGTTGCCTAGGTGTTGCTCTTTCCGAGTCGCGGGCATAGATGAAGCCACTGGGTGACTCGGGCGGCCTAGACGGTCTGGGCTGCTGGTTTCTATCCATGTTTGTAAAGGTTTGTTGGCGAGAAAAGTGTTGTGGATTGGGTCGATAGAAGAATTGCGAGTTAATAATGGATACAATCGACATGTTAAGGTCTACAAACTGTGCTGGTTGCTCCTTTTAAAGGTAACTTTCAACAAGGAAAAACAACAAGGTTTGAGTGACTTTCCAGCATGACCAATCGGAACTATACCACGGGGCTCTGATTCACCAAGGGCAAAAGAGGTGAGTCAATTGTCAAAGACGAAGGCAAGCTATTGTTTCAGATGGCTGAATTCCCATTGATTCCCGAGTTTAGGCCTGCTAAATAAATCTAAGTGTGCCAGATGACGATTCTTCCGTCAACGCCGCTTGCTACATCGTTTGTTAGCGAGCCGGAACTTTGCCGAGAGGGGAGGGGCAGGCACGGTGAAACTCACATGTAAACTTCCTCACCGAACCACCAGAGGTTTCATATGGACGGAGCGTGGTGATTGTGTTCTGATGGACCGTTTTCAATTGCGTATCGTCCTTAACCTTCCCCTTCAGGTCCATCTGTCGGAACATGTTCAGGGCCGACTCCTCGCGACCCTCGCCCAGACCGGGCCTGCCCTTGGACTCGAGCGTTCCGCTCAGCACCCAGCCATTCAAACCCCCCTTGAACCGGAAGGCCTCGCAGTCATATCCGGCAGCAACGATCTCGGCCTCTCCATTCCAGATCAGGCTCATAAATGGCAGGAGCTGCGTGTTGATGCTGATCACGGCCTTGGGCGGCTGATCCGGCCCGCTTGGGTAGACGACCGTGATGCTGCTATCATGGGCCGCAAACGCCAGCGCATCGCCACTTGGGGAGAAGGCCACGGCATGCACCCAGCCGGCCGAGTTGTTTAGGTACTCGCCGCAAACAGTGTTGAAGGGTAACCTCTCGCCCCACACGCCAGGCTCGGGCCGCGAGTCGACGCCCTTGACAAAGCTTGAGAAAACACGGGCGTGGGCATCCGTAGAACCAGCGGCGAGGAGAACCGAGTTGGGATGCCAGGCCACCGTGGTTACAGTGCTGCGGATCGGCTTCTTCAAATGCTTCGAAACCCACCAGTCATTCTCCTCCTCGAAGTAGCAGACAGCGATGAGCCTATCTCCAGAACCGACGGCGAACTTGGTCTCGGACGGCGACCAACGAACAAACGTGGCCGCCCGGTTGATGCGCAGGAGAACAAGAGTCGGTTTGTATCCCTGTGGGGAGGGTTCCCAGACGAGGGCGTTGCGATCTGCCATCCGTGTTAGTCTTGTCAGGTTTTATGGTTTAGTTTAGAACGCAACGCCAGCCTGGCCCAGCCCGGCCCAGTCCGGCCCGGCCGAGCCCCCCAAGACCACGCCGTGCCGGTTCCGGGCCACCGGAGTTGACTTGCCCTGGGAGCACGAGACGATGCGGCCCGAGTTGGGCGCAATGTCGACGCTGGTTACGGTCTTATCGTGGCCCTTGAGCTCATCCTTGAGCTTGAAGGCGCTGCCGACCTTGGAGTAGAGCTCGACAGTGGTGTCGCGCGCGATTGCCAATGTCTTGCGATCCGCCGAGAACGAATGGTCCGCAATCGGGTTGTGGAAAAGATGGTGGACTTCAGGGGCGGCCATGTTGGGATTTCCCGCGATAGGAGTAGCTCTCTACTACCGCTGCTCGGGTACGTGTAGATAGTTTGGGGGGTGGTGGTGGTTGAGGACAGTTGAGACAAGACAAGTTGTCAATGGTGTCGTCCCTGCGCCCCGTCAAGGTAGCGTGTAATTGTGGGCTTGGCAAGGAGGGGCACCTGTGGGGTTAACGCAAGCCCCCGGGCGGTGGGGTTTCCTTTAAGGTCCCCGCTATAACCCTGATACCCTGCCCTGGTCGCCAAGCCAAGGCAGAGAGGCAAGGAAGACAAGAGTCTCCAATTCATTTCTGCCAGAGGTCACAGAGTGCAGCTGCATCGCCAAATCCAAAAACCGGAGCACGGCGTTTACCGGCGACTCATAGCCAGCGCCCAACCTCTTTCCACCTTTGCTGCAACAAACACGCGCAATTTTCGAGAGATAGCTGGTTCAGTGTGTGCAAGAAAAGCGTGACGTATAAAAGCATCAAGCGACAATGGCCCCTCCCGCTGGCCTCCCAGCCAAGGTCGTCGTGGTGCCGCCAAGCCAGACCCTTTACATCACCAACCTACCCTCGGCAAAGATAAAGAAGGACGACCTCCGAACGGCTCTATACATGCTGTTCTCTACCTACGGCCCGGTTCTCGATGTTGTCTCTCTCAAGACGTTTAAGATGCGTGGCCAGGCGCACATCGTGTACCGCGACGTTCAAACGGCGACCCAGGCAATGCGAGCACTCAATGGGTTCGATTTCCTGGGCCGAGGGATGGTACCACTCTCTTTTTAAATCACTTGGCTACCTGGCTATCTCTCCCTTGCTCTTGCTGATCTGTCTGATCTAGAAAATCACATATGCGAAATCTAGGTCGAACATTATCTCGAAACTCGACGGCTCATTCAAGGCGCCTGCGGCTTCCGCTGCCGCCGTCGTCGAAATCTCGGATCTGCAGAATTTGATCTTCAATGCTCCTGTGGCAGGTAAAGCTGCGCCAACTTCAACTTTGGCGCCGCCCGCCCTTCCATCCAAACCGCAGGGTGGCGATCAAGCTATGGCAGACGCAGCGTCGCCAGCAAGTCGCGGAACGAAGCGGCCCCGTGAGGAGAAGGAGGACGAAGAGGAAGACGAGAGCGATTCCGACGTCGCCATGGAGGAGGACAGCGACGACGAGTGATTCTCGTCATTCCAAAATCCGCCGGAGAGCTATGGTGCAGCACTCGTCAAACGCTTGGCTTACCTTAGGACTCAAGTGCCATTGCCGTTGGGAGCCACAATCCCACACAGCCACCAACAAGGCCAAACCAAACCATCAAATAGTTCTCCTTGGAGCAGTCGAAGTTCGACATGGCATCGCCAAGGAGACAGGGGTGGACGAAAAACGATGGAACGCCCGTTACAGGGTTATGCTGCAAAATGGTTTGTTAGTCTAGCTATGTCACGCAGAGTCGCTAGTTAACTCATGGACAGTAATAAAAAAATACGTACGTCGGCTGAGATGCCGCCAATTGCGCCGGACCCACGGAGTCCGTTTTTGTACTGGTCGGGCACGAGACGTCTGAAGACGGTGTCGATGTTGAAGGCTTCTTCGTCTACGGGGAGCTCGTGTAGACTAAACCAAAGACATGGCGCTTGATATGTGGGGTGTAGATGTATCTCATACGTGACATAGCCAGCGCCAACCTGTGACCTTCTAGGCAGGGCAGCCTTGAAACGAGAAACATGTAAGACAAATTAAAACGAGTTCGCGTTCCCGTAACACATCCGAGTTCCATACCTCGTCGGCCTCCTCGGTAGCCACCATCTCTTTGTCGGCTTCCGTTTCCATTTCCATGCCTTCAGGGTCCCGGCCCTTGCCCTGGACGGACAGCCTGTCAAGGTGCAGGGACAGATCGCCGTCGTCGAGCTCCCCGTCGAGCGGGCGGACGATCTGCAGGTATGTGCTGTACTCGGGGCCCATGGCAAAGGACGTGTTGAGCGCCGAGCAGACGCTCAGCTTCCATTGCCGGCGCACAGGGCCCAGCGTGGCCTGGCAGTATCTCCTGTCTAGGCGGTGGCACACCTCGGTGAACTCTTCCCCCGTCAGGAAGGGGTAGTTTTGGAACCCCGAGGACCGCGCGCGCGTTTGTTCCATGTGTGCTTAGGGACTATATTGGCGCCGTCAAGCGCCCAGCTCTACCTGACCAAGATTCCAGGAGCCTGAAGTGAGATGGTGGTTGTTGCTTTGAATTACAACTTCAACTGCGTTCAGTGTCTTAGATTGCTGCCTTTTCGGGTGCCAAGATTCGCAACCTAACCCCAACCCGCTAACTATGTCGCCATCCGATCTCCACTCAGAAGGTCACCTCAGGTATCCCCAAAATGGGCTCGAAACGCCCCCTCGCACGACCATTTCGCAAACCACAAACTACATAGATGCGCTACAATTCATGCCGCATAGGCAGAGCATGGTCTTTGAAATGGCTTTGACCAGAAACCAAGGATAGATCTTGAGACTCTGCAGGATCCTACTACTGCACGGTCGTCTCTCAGGAAACACTCAATACACAGGGCAGTTAGCGGCGTCCTCATCCTCATCCTGAGCCTCTTCTTCGTCTTCCACCTTTTCAATCTCAAGCGCTGCTTGAGACTCTGCTTGAGGCTCTGCTGAAACCTCACCGCCTAACAATGTAGTCCCTAGGTCCATAAACCGCTTGTTTGGGTTTGTGAGTTTTCCTCCGTTTTAGAGGGCTTGAGCCTTTGCAACTCAGCCTCCAGGGCTTCAATGCGTGTCTGCTTGAGAACCAACTCGGCATGAAGCTTTTTAATAGTCTGGGCGGCCTCTTTGAACTTCTCTCGTGTCTCTGAGCTGCTTTCTTTGATTAGGTCTATTACCTGACGGCTAGTACTCGAGATATTAGGGACTTTAGGGAGCATAGGTGGTTCACCCTGTCTTGCTGGATCTCTGGGTCGCCTAGGGCCTCCCGGGGAGTTGAGAAGCTAGTTGATTCTTAGATAGATACGTATTATAGCCCTGGAAGCTGAATTGGACGGATAATACTTCCTCAAGGACCACGTGAGAAGTGCAACCGATAATGGGCATACAGCCAGCTCAGTTAGTATCCAGTATCCTATCCGCACTCCGTAGTATTTAGTAAATTCCTGGTTTTGATTTTGACCGTGAATTTCCAGAGTTGCATTATCCGGATCGCTGCATTTTAACAAATGGAAGCTGTCCTTTTCAGGCGCCAAGCCAGGGAGCTTCCCAGAACCTTGCTACTCCACAATAAGCCACCATGCCACACTGGAGGTTCAACACCAGCAGCAGCGCCATTCCTTTGCTGGCCGAAGCAATGAAATAGCAAGGAAAGGGCTTCCTGGCCATCGACCATTCTTCTCTGTATATTTTTCTTCTTCATTTCTAGCTTGACTTAACTTGGCTCGTGCCTCTCTTCGGTGCCTCCTTTCCGTCCTCTGCTCCTGCCGTCGACTGCTCGAACCCCCTCGTTGGCGATTCCCTCAACCCGATTGCCAAAGTCGCAGCCGCAGAAGCCGTCCGCTGGCGGCCATGCAGACTGCTCGATGAACACCGAGACCCGGCCATTGAGTTGTCATTGAACAAAAGATAGTCAGATCTTTGCGCCCAATCGATAACCCCCAACCGTTGATCAGCGCACCTCGGCCGTTGCCACCGACTAGAAAGACCACAGAGAGAGGAGCCTTAGCCGAGGTTGAGTGCGCGCAGAAGGCGCTTGACGCCGAACAAAAAGGAGGAGCGATAGCTCGTCGTCACCGAGGTCATGTCATTCCAGATACCGAAAAATGCGCCAACGTTTGGGAACCCGCAACAGCGACAACTTGAAGACCGTCTGTGGGCATCGTCGGGCGTGACAGCGCGCTCTCGGGGAGGCCCGGGGGGGGGAGCAGGAGGGTCGGCGGGCGTCCTGGGGGACGTGCAGGACAGGGTCGGCGGCTTCCTGAATCCCAACCGCGCGAGCCTCCCAATGTACAAGGACAAGCCGTACGCGTACGCGCCCTCGGGCCGCGCCCGCCCCGTCTACCGGCGGAAGCGCGTGCTCGGCCTGATCACCCTTGTCGTCCTCGGCCTGCTGTGGTACACGGGCGCCTTCGCCGACCACCACGCCGCCGCTGTCGGCAAGTTCAACCAGTGGGGCTGGCTGACTGCCGACTCAAAGGCGAAGGGCGCCAAGGCCGACTGGGACAAGAGGAGGAAGCTCGTCGTCGACGCCATGGAGCTGAGCTGGGATGCCTATGAGAGATATGCTTGGGGTATGTTGCGCCTTCCCCCATGTTTCTTCGCGCTGGGTTTTTTCGTGTGGCCTTGGGTGGTGATATAGGTTTGGGAGTTTTGCTGACTTTGACCTCAGGATATGATGAGTTTCATCCCGTCACCAAATCTGGACGGCATATGGCCCCCAAGGGCCTGGGATGGATCATTATCGATTCGCTCGATACACTGATGTTGATGAACTTGACATCGCGGCTTACACATGCGCGCGAGTGGCTCTCGACCTCGCTGACCTGGGACCAGGATCAGGATGTGAACACGTTTGAGACAACTATACGCATGCTGGGCGGCCTCTTGTCAGCGCACTATTTGTCGACAGAGTTTCCGAACCTGGCGGCCATAACAGACGATGGCCCAAACATGCCCGGTGAGGATCTGTATCTGGAAAAGGCCAAGGACCTGGCGGACCGGCTGATGGCGGCGTTTGACTCACCGTCCGGCATCCCGTACGCCAGCGTCAATCTCGCCCAGTTCAAGGGCATAATCTCCCATGATGACCTGGGAGCGTCGTCGACGGCCGAGACGACAACACTGCAGCTCGAGTTCAAGTATCTCGCCAAGCTCACGGGCGAGAAGGACTTTTGGGACAAGGCCGAGAAGGTCATGGAACTCGTGGACAATAACGGGGTCAAGGACGGCCTCGTACCCATTTACATTTACGCCACCACGGGCGAGTTCCGCGGAGAGAATATCCGCCTTGGCAGTAGGGGAGATTCGTACTACGAGTACCTGATCAAGCAGTATCTGCAAACCAACAAGCAAGAGGCTGTGTACCAGGACATGTGGCGCGAGGCGTTGCAGGGTGTGCGCAAGCACTTGGTCACGTACACGGAGCCTTCCCACTTCACAATCATCGGAGAGCGGCAGAGCGGCCTGGACGGCGACCTCACGCCCAAGATGGACCATCTGGTCTGCTTCATGCCCGGGACGGTTGCTCTTGCAGCAACGGGCGGGCTGACGGAGCAGGAGGCCCGGAAGCTGCCGACGTGGAGTAAACAAGATGAAGCCGACATGCAGCTGGCGCGCGAGCTGATGCAGACGTGCTGGGGCATGTACAAGTACATGGCGACGGGGCTGGCGGCCGAGATCACGTACTTCCACATCGCGGATCCGCCGCTGCCCGAGTCGGCGCCGCACCAGGCCCCGGCGGACTTTGACCCTTTGCCAGACGCCGAGTGGCACAAGGACTTTGACGTCAAGCCGCAGGACAGCCACAACCTGCAACGGCCCGAGACGGTCGAAAGCCTCTTCTACATGTGGCGCATCACGGGTGACATGCGCTACCGTGACTGGGGGTGGGAAATGTTCAAGAGCTTCATGAACTACACGGCCGTGGAGGAGGGTGGCGGCTTCTCGAGCCTCAACAACGCCAACGTGGTCCCGCCCGTGCTGCGCGACAACATGGAGAGCTTCTGGCTCGCCGAGACGCTAAAGTACTTTTACCTCCTCTTCTCGCCGGACGACCTGCTGCCCCTCGACAAGGTCGTCCTCAACACCGAGGCCCACCCCCTCCCCAGGTTCGACATGGGCAAGCTCTTCAAGACGGGCTGGGAGCGGAAGCCTAGGGACAAGGAGGGGAAGCTTGTTACGCAGCCGAAGACCGAGTAATTTGTAAATTCGAGCATTGCGGGAAACGGGTTTGTGACATGATTTTGTTTTGTTTTATGGCGAGGGCCCTTTGATGGAAAATTGGATCCAAAAGAACTTTTTTACGATGAACTAAATAAAAAAAGGGGCCTACTTTCTGAGTCCCCCTTCTCCCCGGTCTTTTTTCCCTTCTATCGTGAAGCTAAGGCCACTAGGTGGATGAATCGAGGACGACATGTACGTAGTTACGTATCCGTATATGAATATGCGAAAAAGGTGACCAGCCGAGGCTGGCTAGGTTTAAGATGGTCTACCTATCTTGTGTGCCTTCGACAGGGAAGAGCGAAGCGGATGAAAGCCTGTGGATATTTGATAGCATTAGGGCAGACACCACCTCCCTCCCCGTTCAATTATTACTGAACACTCTGCAATCTACTAGTAGCCTGATATACGAACAAACAGCCAAGCAAGCCATTTTCAGTAGTGTGTGCATGGAAAAAGGGAAAAAAACCCCCAGGAGGGCTAGCGGAAAATGGGGAAAATATGTGGTCGCCATCAGACCACGGCACCTGCATTTTGTAGGAACGCCGATACGCCACCGACGACCAGCTGAACTACCGGAGCCTATCCTCTCCCTTCACCCCGCCCTCGCGTATATTTACGGAAAACAGCAATCGGGGGCTTGGGTTTGGGCTGTGATCGGCAGCCGAAGGGGTTTCGTGAAAGGAAAAAGTACTGGTGACGTGACAAGTCTGTCTGTCAATCTGTCTTCGGCAGTTGCAGCCACGCCCGCACAGATTATCAACTTTTCTTTTCATTATCGATGGACTAATTATGTGCTGTGCGGGGGTTCCCGCCGGATCCATTGCGTTGCCGTACTCTGTTTGATATGTTATATGCGCTGTGTGGTGTCAAAGCCACTAGCAGTGAGGCTTCTTAGGTATTAATCCTTAGACTTTGTGGCTTCTCCCCGTGTCTCGGGCTGTCCTCAAGACACGTCAAGACACTCGCAGTTTCTTGCAGAAAGATTCGACGATCCCCCACCGCCCCCCCACTTAGACCAAGGTTGTTTGTACTGTATACGAACCGGCAGGTTTCCTTCTGAGCTCCTTCGCGGCATGATTTGAGATATGTCGCGCGCTATCAACCCCCTGAAGTGTTGCAGTCTAGGGATCTATGTACGTATGTACACTGCAACTGCGTACCTACCGTAGCATCTACGGAAAAGCTTGCAAGCAAGCATGGAGTGAGGGAGGAATAGTGGGTGGGTGGGAAGCCAGAGAGAGATAAGGTGAGACAATTGCCAAGCGGGAGGACGCATTGCCAGTCGGGACGCGCCGACGGTCGGTGCGCGCTATCAATCTAGCGTGTGTGGGCAATATGAACGAATGGTGTGTGCAGGCTGGACTTGCAGATGGATGACAGATTCACAAAGCACACGACTGGCAGTAAGTAAGCCCCCGAGCTTATGTGCATACGGATCCGCCCAAGCCGCCGGCTCGGTCGAGGATGGGAACGGCCTCTGCGGCAGTTCTCTTGAGTTATAGCTTATGTATTGTATGTATGTACAGCACGGGATGTGGATTTTGAAAACCGGAATAGAAAGTTTGCGGGGTACGAACAGAGTAATATCACTTAATTTGCATGCAATGCTCCGTCGTGCTCGTCTGTTATCAATTTACGCCCTGTCCCGGTAACCGTGAACTTGGGAATTCGGGAAGGTGCTTTTCCTGGGGCCTATCAGATAGTTCGTTAAGGTGCTCGCGCTCTGACGGCGAGGTGGACACCGGGCAGGAACTGGCTGGCAGAGCTGGCTGAACTTCAAGCAGAAAGTACCATGGCGGCGTGGCCCGCCTTGAATGACCTGAGGGGCCCGCTGCACTGGTAGCTGGAGGCAAGCTAAGTTGCAACCGGCGACCGACGGAGAAATTAAGCGCGTCTGATGGATATCAGGAGCGTTGGGATGGTCCAATGCAGCGTGGTAGCGCAGCATTGTGGGAGCTGATCTGCTGTGGGAGTCTGAGAGAAAGTCTGGTGAGCGGAACCTGGGGTCAACGTCAACGTCTGCCCAGACGAGACTGGCGGGGGGCTCTCAGGTGGAGGAAGGAAGGCCCCACAACCCCCGACAAACGCAACGCTCCAACCCCCAGTCTGGGCTCTCGGGCTGCGCCGCCGGGGCCATGAACAGAATGGCTATCAGTCCCAATGCACCATGCCATGGGCCATCATCACACCCACGCACGTCCTGTGCGAGTGCAGTTAGTTGGGTGTGGTGTGGTAGCGAGCAATCAGGCGTGCACTGCTGGGCCCTTCATCCCGGCAAAGTAGTGCAACGTGTGCAGGTAGGCAGGCACCTGGGAGGGCACTCATTCGCTGGTATCTCGACCATTCTTGGCACCAGTGATAAGCAACTCCAGCCTCATTTGTGAGGACTTCAACCCCCGGCCCGTGTGTTGCTTGTTTCTTTTTCTTTTTCTTCTTCCTTCTTGTCCTGTTTTCCTAGGCAATCGAAACAATCCGGCCTGCTGCAAACCAAGCATTGGAATCGACCGAGAGAGAGAGAGAGAGAGAAAGAGTGAGGCCAGCAACCAAGGCTGCTTCTCTCAGATCCTTTGACATACTAACATCCCTCGCGCCAAGAAAGTGGACCAATGGGACAATGCGCCGCTTCTGAAGACCGATATGGGACCATGCCTCCTCGGAGCGACTGACGATTGACGACCGACGACCAAGCGACCAAACTGTACTTGATTAACGTACTTATACTTGCAACAACACGGCTGTCCTCAGTTGCCCCGGGCAGCATCTCCAGCGGCTCCCCGAGGTTTGCTGCGAGTGTGTGAAGGGCCGGTGGCGGTGACGGTGACGGTGACGGTGACGGTGACGGTGACGGTGACGGCTGCTCATCGCAGCACCGACCTGACTTGGGCAGAAGCCGTGCTTCCAGAAACAGCCAGGCAAAGGCCGACGCCACGCCACGCCAACTATGGCGCCCTTTCGCGACGTCGAGATGAGCACGCTGGGGCTCAAGGAGGAGTCTCTGGCCCAGGGAAGCTCGTGGAGCATGCGGGAGCCCAGCTACGCTGGCTCGCGGCGAACACCAATGGTGCAGCGCTGGTTCGATTCGTTCCGCCGCGACCCCAACGCCCGTATCACGCCCACCCCCGTCATCACCAGCTTCGACGACCGGGACCGGCACGATGAGGACGGCATGTCGGGCCCAAACGACCTGGCCCCGCACGATCCCCGGAGCCGCCACTATTTCGACATGCACGCCGCTAACCTCAGCACCGCTAACACCCTGTTGGCCCGCGAGCTCAAGGGGAGGCATCTACAGATGATTGCCATCGGCGGTTCCATTGGTACGGCCCCTTTATTTTCTAGGCTCTGCCTTTGCTGTTCTGATGTGGCATCTATATCGTCGCCCTATGCCGAGAGCTGTGCATCTCTGGTGGCGAACCCACTTGGTCGCGCTTCGTATCATTTGGCAGATCTGCCTCTCATGAGCCGCTTGTTCTGACTTGGAGCTAACGCAACCCACCCGTCCAGGTACTGGCTTGTTCGTAGCGTCGGGCAAATCTCTGAATTACGGGGGACCGGCGTCCCTCCTCATTGCGTATGGCTTCATTGGCATCATGCTGTACTGCACTGTCCAAGCCTTGGGCGAGCTCGCCGTGACCTTCCCCATCGCCGGCTCTTTCTCGGCATACTCAACGAGGTTTCTTGACCCAGCATGGGGATTCGCAATGGGCTGGAAGTGAGTGCCCCTCCCGTCCGCGCCCCTCTGTGCCTGCCGACAACGTCAAACACGTGTGGAGCAAGCCGGTTACTAACCAAGTCCAGCTATGCCTTGCAGTGGATGATAGTTCTGCCCCTGGAAATCGTCGCTGCCTCCATAACCGTTGGCTACTGGAACAGCCAGATCAACAGGGCTGTGTTTGTCAGCATCTTCCTCTTCACAATCGTCATTATCAATCTGTTTGGCGTAAAGGGATATGGCGAGGCCGAATTCGTTTTTGCCATTGTCAAGATCACGGCTGTGATCGGATTCATGTAAGTTGCCGCCAGCGCCGTGCCACGCCACTTCCTTTTGTCTTCGCCGCTCACGAATCCCGGTTGCAGCCTCCTCGGTGTCGTGATAAACATTGGCGGTTTCCCCAACGACGGCTACATTGGCGGGAAATACTGGCATAACCCCGGCGCCTTTCACAACGGGTTCAAGGGCCTGTGCTCCGTTCTTGTGACGGCTGCTTTCGCCTTCGCCGGTACTGAGCTCGTCGGTCTGGCCGCCGCCGAAACGGTAAACCCGCGCAAATCGCTCCCTACCGCCATCAAGCAGGTGTTTTGGCGCATAACCCTCTTCTATATTGTGGCTTTAACTCTGGTCGGCCTGCTCGTACCGTACAACCACCCAAAGCTTCTGGGAGCCAAGAACATGGCCGATGCCTCGGCCTCGCCATTCGTCATCGCCATTGAGAGTGCCGGCATCGACGTGCTACCGGGCGTGATGAACAGCGTTATCCTAGTGGCCGTCATATCAGTCGGTAATAGCGCCGTGTTTGGTAGCTCGCGAACGCTGGCCGCGCTGGCGGACCAGCGCCAGGCCCCCAGGATTCTCGGCTATGTCGACCGCCGGGGCAGACCTCTCGTGGCCATAGTAGTTGCCTCGCTCGTCGGCCTCCTCGGCTACCTGGGCGACCTCGACCAGCAGTCTGACGTGCTGAACTGGCTGCTAGCCGTGTCGGGCCTGTCATCCATCTTCACCTGGGGATCCATCTGCATGGCGCACATCCGCTTCCGCCGTGCCTGGGCCGCCAAGCACCACTCGCTCAACGAGCTGGCGTTCCGCTCGCAGGCCGGGGTCGCCGGCTCCTGGGTCGGCCTCTCCTTCAACGTGCTGGTGCTCATCGCCCAGTTCTGGACGGCCGCCTGGCCCATCGCCCCGCCCGCAGCCCTCACGGCCGGCTCAGAATACCAGATGGCCGTCCCCACTGCCGTGCAGAACTTCTTCCTGCAGTACCTCGCCGTCCCCATCGTCGCGACCTTCTACTTTAGCTACAAACTGTGGTTCCGCACCAGTATCATCCGCACCAAGGACATCGACATCGACACGGGCCGTCGCGACTTCAACCTGCCTATCCTGATCGCCCACGAGAACGACGAGCAAAAGTCATGGCCGTTGTGGAAGAAGATCTACAGGTTTCTTTGCTGAAAAGCCGACGGTCGCCTCAATCTTGGAAGCCTAAGACTGTGTTTCTGCTTATTTTCCTTTTTGGAGTTTCGTATATTTCTCAATTTCTGCGCGGTCGAGAACCCATAAAAGTATCCCGTGCGCATGGCATTGGCATTGGCGCTTTCCTCCTTCCATTTTGTTTGCGCTATAATGAAGCTAGACGGCGTAGCTGGTGGACGAGACAATTTCCGCGCGAAGATACCAGACCAAGAGGCGTCTCCCCTCTTGGATCATTTTGTCGTTATTGGTCTTTCGGTGGGGTTCTCCCTTTGGATACCTCAGTTAGCGTGGAGTTTGGACAGAGAGAGGCTTTTCTTTTCTCTTTTTTTGTTGTTTCTTTTTCGGATGGGGGACTTACAAAAAAAAGATATCCATTCCCCCTGCCTCCCTCACGGATCAAGTGAGTAGGCGGTACACGGTTCAGGGATAGGTAATTGGCAAACGGCGAACGGCGAACGGTGAACGGTGAACAGCGTTGTTGGGGGTGGGTGGGTGGCGGGGAGGAGGCGAGACTGACTGGAATGGACTTCTTCATTTCGGTTTAAATGAAAAACGAGCTCCCAGGACAACAATGGATGGAGGGTGGCCGCTGTGTACTGCATCTTAGGCACCTAGATTTATTGCCACGTCCGTACCGTACCTGTCTTCCTAGGCAGAGGCTGGAAGGCTGGTGCCACATCATGGTTTGGGTTGGTGACTGGGTGGTCCAGGTTAGGGGTAAAGGCTGTTGTCTTTTTTTATACATATATATAGTTCACCCCCTACAGCTTTGCGTCAGTTTCTAGTAACACCTCTATGCCTGATATATATATATATATACCTCCCTATATTCTCCCTGGTATGGTATGTTTGCGTTCCGCGAGAGATTTAAAACACATCAACACCTCCGAGGAGAACAAGAGTCCGACCATGACGATTTCTTGCCGTAGACTTGGTCAGGAACGTGAGGTAATTGCACAACTTCTACGTTCTACCTATATATAACCTACTTTGTTCTTGATTGGAAAAGACTAATTGTTTTTGTATTCATCTGCTACTCCCCCAACTAACCAGCTACGCAACTATCAGCTAAGAAATACGAGACTGCGATAACAAGACAAGCCCAAGGAGGAAGTCCCTCGCTTTTCAATCAATAATCAGGAACAGGTGAGACGCCCTTAAAAAAGAGAAGAAAACAGCGACAGGTGGTGAATCGAGGGATATAAATGTAAATTACGGTAATCCAACACACAAGAACAACTGTCAACAAGGAAAAGATGGGATGTTACGCATTGCCATGGATTTCCATCTCTTTCTCTCCTCCTCATCAGTCATGGGTGGCATGCATCAAGACATGATAATCATCAGTAAAGTAGAGTTGGTGGTAGTAGTAGTAAAATAAACAAGCGAGACATAAACAGTATCATGCTACCTTCTTTTACCTCACGGGGCGGTTGCGTCTGTACTTGGTATTCTGCACCTCAGCCCGAGCATAACCCGCTGCTGAGACATTGCGCTAAAAGTCCCATAGGGTGCTGGTGGTTGGCTTGTGCTGCTGCTGCTTTCCGGGAACATTTCGCGGGCCGAGTCCCTCATCTTCTTCGTCACCCACAGCCCAGTAGCGCCCGTTGCCTTTCTTGCCACCCATGCCGTCTCCGGCAATGGAAATGCCGCGGTCGTCGCCAGTCCTTCTGACATTGGTGGGGTTGTTGTTCTCCTTTTGCGAGGCGGGGGAAACGTCGTAGTTTGACCAGTTGCTCTCCATCATGCGCACTGCCTTCTTGCGATCATCGCCGATCTTGGGCCCGTCCTCAGCCTTGTCGTCGCCACCGGTGGGTGACTCGTCCGTCATGTTGAAATGTGGGTCAAAGTCCTTGTGGCGGCCTCCTAGGTTGGTGATGTTACCAAGAGGGGGCGGGCCTGGCGTTGGCACACTGCCGTCCTCAAGAGTCAGTTTATTCCCCTCGTACAGGCCAAGGCCAGCGTTGCGGCCGGCACCACGGGGGCGACCGATGAGGCGTGGCTCAGTCGCTTCTCCGTCATCGACAAGCTCAAAGTGAGCCTCGGCGTCCCGGCGTCCCTGAACCTGGGTAGCCTTCCTCTCTGGAGATTCCTCAACCACATCGCTTTCGGGGCCCCAATGACGGACGTTTCGGCCCTGGTGCATTGTGCGGGTATTTGTGGGCTTCTGCGGTGTCACGAAATCGTCAAATGACCAGTTCTTGGTGTCCTTCGTCTTGGGCAGCTCAGCAAAGTCGACGCCAGTCTTGGGCGCATCTTGCGGATCGGAGCCGTCGGCAAAGTCGAAATGCTGATACTTCCTGGGATTCGGACGAAGAAGACGATCGGGCGATGGTTGCTCCTCTTGGGGTTTCTCGACAGGCGCTTCCTCATTGGCATGGAAGAGACGCGCAGACTGGTAGTTCTTCCCGGCCCCAATCTTGGGTGCAATCGCCTTGCTAGGCGAGTCGGAGCGCTGGCGGCCTCTGCTAGGTGACTCGGGCTCGTTGTTGGGCCCAGTACCCATAACGTCTGCAAACGAACGTTGATGAGGCCGAGTGCCGGCGTAGGGGGAGACTACAGTTGGCAGGTCATTATCGCCGTCACGCGGCCCAAGGCCCAAGGTTGTATGGGGGTCGCGGAGGATGTGGGCGGAGTTACCCCGAGAGCGGGCAATGGGTTCCTGTGGAGCGGGCGCGGACGCTTGCGCAGGTTCGGCCACGGCATCGACGCCGTTAGTCTTGATACATCTCGTGATGAGGCTGATTTGGTCTGTGCTGTCACGAATCGGCCAATTGCGCCCTGTTTTGCCAATAATATCGAGCTGCTTGAGAAGTGACGCTTGGTCCCAGCTCTGACGGATCTGGGTAATGTTGCCCTGGCCGTCAAACGTCACAATGTGCGTCTATCGTGCAATAGGCGCGTCAGCATGGGCGACATGACATTGCGCGCCAAGAAAGGGGTACCAAACTTACAACAATGAGATAGACGGTGCGATCTGCGACGAAGTTGTCGTCGAGGCCGGGCAGGTAGGCACCGCCCCCAGAGACAAACTCTAGGGTGGTGTCGACCTCAACGGCAACGGCATGCGTGTCCTCAATGGCAAAGAGGACATTCTCCTTCTTCTTCTTGATCTGTTTCTGCGAGGTGGATACGTGCTTGATGATTTCGGCCGCTCCCGAAAAGCTCGTCGTGGTGGTGATGTAGTGTAGCGACGCGTTTGACGCCAGCGCCGACGAGCTTGGCGTGGTGAGGAACCGCTTGTATGCAGCCTGCAGCGACATGTCGTGGGACGGCAGTATAGTAGGCGGAGATGGTTCGCTGCAATTACTCTAGAAGTCCGAAAGAGGAAACCAGAGGCAATGCGATGGAGATATTCGGTGGGACAACTGTTAAATTCCTTTCCTTTCCAAAAGTTGATGTGGTAAACAGAGTCGGAAGGAAGAAGAGAGAAGAAACAAAAACAAGAAAAATAGAGCAAACCTGAACACGGGAAGAAGGCTAAGGGAAGGGAAGGAAGACTGAAGCGTGTTCTATGAAGGGGGGTTCTGTGGATGCGGGCATGCACGGGGTAGGGGCAGACGCAAGTCCCTTTTCCGGCTTGGCAGGGAAGGTGTTGGTGTGTTTACCTGCATGGTCCAAGGTAGCAGGTACATTGTACTCACCACATGCACATTATGCATAACGTACTACTGGTTTCCCAAGTGTATTTTTGTTTACGACGGACTGCCAGCCGAGTGCCCGGCGCCCTTTCCGTGCGCCGAACGCGATCCCGCGCAGACGGATGGCACAGAAAAAAGCGCTAGACGCGTTGCTAGCAGGCGCGACCCGGTCCAACGGTGGCGGCGTCGAAACGGCCAAGTGCCGAGGCGAAAAAGATCAAGGCTATGGCCTGAGCCCTCCAAACATTCGCGTCTTTGGCTCGCAATTCTTCCGAATGCCATCCCAATGAAGCCGATGGTACTCATTACTACTTGCCTTGTCATTCGAGAGTTACGATCTTCCAATTCTTAGTCAAAATTGATCGATTTCAACTTGGAGACATCAAACCCTACTCGGTCTAGCTCGTCCCCGCCGTTGCACTCTACTAACATCGGGGCACCACTAGTTCAAGATCGGCGATAATCCATGGTCTATTATGGAGGGAACAGGCAATATTCCGTAGACTTGGCGGCAAGAAGGAAGAGCAATGCTGCTTCAGATTGCTCGACTCTCGGTAGTCTTCCAAAAGCCTCCCCTCGCTGTGATCGACGGATGGTAGGAAGTGGAGACGTGTGGCGTGGCTTTTTGGCTGCGCATCACCTGCATTTGCATGGTAAAGTTGCATTGCGAGGGGTCCTCCCCCCCGTGAAGTCCCTCCTTGTCGGCAACCGTTTTGTTTCACAAACAGGCGTTCGCGTTTCGAAGGGGGCGCTAAACCAGATTGTCCCGAATGCATCACACTAAGGCCCACATCGGTTAGCGGCACCCTGTCCTCGGAATTTGGCTTTGCGCCCACAACGCTCTCGCCTTCGCCTTTACAAGTTCGACAACTGAAAAGAGTCTCCCCGATGTCGCTATATCTATATATTGCTCTTTCCATTAAGCCACCGCACAGCCGAGCGTTTGAAATGCTACGAGTACTCAATGTTCAAGACTACAGGTAGGTTCCCAGGTAATTGTGTCTTGATTTTGGTGACTCGCGGTATCCTGTCTGCAGAGCAAAGGCAAGTAAGGCACACAGGTGCCTACCTCATGATCAGAGGCCATGGTGTTGATGGGGGGTCGCCTATTTCCAGGTTCATTCTCACGTTAGCCGACCCCACCGCCTTCCCGCCTTCCCCGGGTCAAGCAGCGAGGCCTAGGGTCGTATGTCTGCCACAGGGCATCCATAAGGTGCTGTCAGGCAGCCTTACAGCGCTTGTATATGGTATGTGCTGGGCAGAGCCTCGGCCAGGGCGTCGGAGATTGATGTCATGGCCGACTGTTGATCTTTATGCTTGCCTTCCAGCTGGAGCGGTGAGAGTAGCAGGCAGTCAAATGACTGTGCGCCCCGGCAGTCTGGCAACCAGTCTCTCTGCCCATTTCTAGCGGGTTTCAGGTCAGACCACAGCCTGCTGCACCATATCCATACATCGAATTACATTCGAGAGCCCTGCCTCTCGTAATCTCACTCTCATGTCATTGCCCACACTCAAGGCATCCATCCAGAAGATGGGTTTGGTCTGATGAACTGGGACTTCCTTTATTTGCTTCGTTTTCCTCGAGCTTATTTCAAGTGCCCCGTTCCTCTCTCTCAGATCTCGTTGTGTTAGCCTTCTGTCCCTTTCTCACACAAAGGCATAACACATATATCCCTATCTATGTATATGAGAAAATATACCTATCAGACTTTTGCTCCCTCGGCTCTCTCGACATATACCAAGGCCTTCCCCAGGGAAAGCAACTGACTACCTACCCTGGTCGAGGCAAGCCCGGGATCACCAGCGTCGACAACCCTCCTCTAACTCTCTAATATCCCTTTCTACGACCATGACCGTCTGTCCCCGTTGACTCTAGCGCCCGCACTCCATCAACAACTCCTACGCCTCGAAACACCCGTCTTCCCCCTATCTTCACTCGCCATCCATCCACCAGCTCGGCACCGAGAGAGCACGCCATGCGCGTCGACCTAGCCCACGGGCCGCCAGCCAAGCCACAGATCCACTCGTACAAGAACCACCACACATACAACGGCGTTGCCCAGCTACCCGTGGCCACCTCGGTACGGCGATCGCCCGCCGGCCTGCGCCAGCTCTCGGCCCCCGACGGCTGTGGCGGCGAGGAGCACGCAGCGGCCGTCGTCGTCTACGACGTAGTACTGTACTACGCGGGCAACCGCGCCTGCACCATCTACCAGACGCTAGACGACTTTGCCGTGCTCGGGCGCGGGCGCGGTCGGGGCGCCGTGCCGCTTCCCGGCTCCGGCTCCGGCTCCGGCTGCGGCTGTAGTTCGAGGCTGACCGCCGCACGCGACCTGGACCAGCTTCTGCGTGACGCGCTGGCGAAGCGCTCGCGAGACTGCGGCGTCGAGTATTTCCTGCGGCGGAGACTCGGCGACTGCGGAGGCCGGTGACAAACATACAGCACACAGCACAAAGCACACAGCACACAGCACACAGCACACAGCACACAGACACAGACACAAAGAACCTTATCTCATACCACCGGTGGCCGACCTGATAACAGGATAAATACGCAACAGTGGACGTAAATAAGGATAAAGGAAGTAGCTGGGTTGATATCTTCCTTACTGAGACTTATCATTCTCCTCCCATCCATGCCTTTCCCGCAACTAATATCTTTTCTTTTTCTTCTTTCAATTTGTATCCTCTCCATACAGAAGAGATTCCGCTCTTCTCACGATAACATACACACTCACTCCTTTTAATCTTTAATGTATTCCTTAGGGTTTCTTCTTTCTCTTATTATCTGCGCCGACGTGGTAAACACAACAACTTGACTAGCGGCCGTGAGTCCCGGGCCCGGGAACCATAGATAGATAGGTAGAAGAGCCGGGTAGGCGCTATAATTATGATCCCCATAGTTTCGTTGGCCATGTTGTTCGTTAGATCCGCCTAGAATTCATCATGAGAAAACAGCACCAGGGCTTGACAAGTAGTTTATCTCATTCCAGGAATGTAAGCTATATATGAGATTTTCCGAGGGGCAGTTTCCGGGCCTTAGCATAACTAAAATGCCAAAGGCGAACTTCCATTGATAAAAACTCTTGACAATGCTCCAACAATAGAAGTGTCGTAATGTGATATATATATAGGTATATTGCGAGAAAAGAACATGACGCAGTCATAGCCGCCCTTCAAGTTATAGTCGTCGAGGCCGTAAAATAAAACAAACACACCAAGGATCTTACCCAATCATCAAAGACGTTTCCACCCTCCCAAACCGTTATCATAGTATTTTAATTTCCTTTTTATCTCCCCCCAGTCTAACGTCTATGCCAACCCGACTGCCCAGGCTGCATTCGAGAGCTGCTTCAGCAGATGAATAATATTCTCGCTAATGGGAGGCAGGCTGTCGGGGCCGCCAATGAAATTGGCACGGAGAATTTCCTGTGTAACTTCCATATATCCGCGGGGATCGTCCACGACAGCGGAGCTGGTATTTGTAGGCCCGCGGATACTGGCACGACCTTGGCCAAAGCTAATGTACCGGTGAACAATTGGGCAGTCGTCGCCGTCAATGTATACCGTACCATTGTAGCCGAGGTGGCCGTGCTGCTGATGGCCGGGCGGCCGAGATGCACGCTCGATCACACCGTGAGTCCATAGACACAAGGAGGCATGATGCACACCGATGGCATAGAAATCTTTGAGGTGTCCAAGAGGGAACCTCTTGCCGTGCCGTAGAATCTGACCTGCATGCCAGATGGCCTGCCGCGCATCTACACTGGTAGACCATCGCTGAAGCGTGGGGTAGACTCTACGCGCCTGCTCCTCGCCTTCCTTGCCCGAGAATAGCTGCAGGTCATCGAGAGAGACGTGCAGATTCATGAGGAGCAAGTGCAGCATCAAGCTCTCTTGGGCCGACATCATGTCGGACTGATTCAGAGTGACAAACTGAAAGCCCTGTAGCTGTTTACAGAGCTCCTGATGCCGAGTTTCCAGTAGCAGGCTTGTACTATTTGCAAAGGCTGGCGACTGCGCGGTTGGCCGATAAACCGAGTTGAGCTGCCGATATTCCCAAATCATTGACCAAAACCCATGCAAGTAGACCGAGACAGCAAACTGAACATCCATGAGCTGACTAGTTATTGACAGCAGGTTTATATCCCGGAAGAGGTCGCCGAGAGATGGGGGCTGTTTGCCTCCAGCGGCTGCTGTTCCTAGGTAGTGGACTTTAAACTCCTCGGCGCTTCTTGCAAACCACAATTCTTTGGAACACGGTAGAGGCAACGTAAGCTCCGCATACGATATGTGCGGATTGCAAAACTGTGTCATCGAAACTTGGGAATCCCTCAAGTACGCGTGAAATGCGAGCCTGTGATCTGAGGTTAGATATGTTCTTTTCTGTGTAACGAGTCTCAAGAATGGACCTTTTCCAGGACTCGGATTGGTACCACTGCTTCCATTTCTCCTCGAGAACTTTACCCTCGTCCGATGGGTGGATGACAATACTTGGATAAGCGGACCGTTGAAACTTTCCCCGGTACCGCATCATCTTTGACTGTGGTCAGTACTCGGCATATAGTAGGGAGTATTCTTGTCTTACTGCGATGGGAATGGACAAGTCTGACCTCTGTTAGCCAAGGCAGCGAAGGTGAGCTGGGTATGTTATATAACTTACGGCATTCGGCAATCTCCATTTTTCGCCTATTGCCGCTCCAAAGACCGACATCCTGAATCAACATCAAAGCCTGGACAAGTCCAGGATCTGCGATAGTTTTGTTGTTCTCTTCGAACTGCATTGGCCTTTCAGTAAGTGTACTTTGACACCTGGTAGCACGCGATTTTTGCACTCACTCTGGAAGGAATTGTAAGGCCTAGTTGACTTTGTCAGTCAAGAGCGCGGTATTACCGATACGGATCAACCTGGGTACTCACGGACTGCCTCTTGCAGAGCGAATCCAAACCGACGCAAGGTAGGGACGGGAGCCAGAACAGCGCCAGCCGAAGCAGCTATAGCCAACCACTCGGGCCATTGCGTATTCAGGGAGAAGGAACCGTAATGTATCCACGAAGATACTGAGCAGAGGTGAGAGGCCAGAAAGATGTTAATCCAAGAGTCCATAATGTCGACTGATGGAAAAGAAGACGCGACACGGGCCATCATGGCATCATTACGACATGTACCCAGAACAATAGCCAAGATCTTGTCTCGACCTGAGGTGTGTAGCCTATCCTCGATCACTCGGTCTGCCAACCTCCCATCCGCCTGCATTTGAGCCGTCGTGTGAGCGTCTTTAGACGGCAAGGGCAGGTTGGATTGTTCGTTATATCCATTGTCTGTTTTTGCAGGAGTCCATCGCCATGGGGATTCTGTCCACATCTTCACAAGCCTTGATCGCATCGCAGTCATGTCAACAAAGTTGTCAGGGCCAGACCGTAAGTCTGGCACGCTTGGAGAGCCGTCGACATTCCAGTGGTGTAGAAGGCCGAAATCGAACTCTCTGAGGTCTAGACTTGTGTCATCGCAGAAATCCAGGACTGCCAGGCCTTGGGCTTCGGCGAGTCTAGTTGGATGGTCTAGTGACTGGTCATAGAGGACGTCGCGCAGAAAGTCGCCAAAGGGGGCCTTGGCCATGTCGTCGACGGCACTGCCAGGATACGGCGGCTGGAAGCCGTCAGTCACCATCGTCTCTGGGGTAGGCAACTGTGTTTCTTCTTTAAGCGATGGGTTTCCAGTGAAGACGGGACTGTGATCAACGGTCTGAGTGTTGACGGGTGGCGGGTAGGCGGGTCGGATCTGATCTTGGGCAGCTTGCTGTTGTTGTCGTTGGCTATTTGCAACGACAGACGAATGGGGGTAGTAAGGAGACTCGGGGCTTGACTCTTGGGGGTAATCAACGCCACGAGCATTCGCAGAGAGATGGAGCAAGTGCAGGGCTGCGTCCTCCGAGGATGCATATTCGCAACTCAACCCACGATTCCTACAGCGAGTGCATCTGAAGTCAGGTCAGCAGTGTGAGGGGAGCCCAGGTTTGTCTGACGCGGCAGGGGTACCTACGGTTTCAGCTCTTCACACTTAACCCTCGCCTTCGCGCAGGCCTGACAAGCGTGAGCCACGCGGCCTGCACCAGGGGACGAGTTGATGCGCTTTCGCTTGGTTCCATTGTCGTCCTGGTGGTTGGTGCGATGACGCTTGAGGAGATCAGCTCGAGAGAAAGCCTTCGAGCATACCTACAAGGGTTTGTCAGTCATGGAACGGTACGGCAGGGAAGCAGGCGCCAAGGGGCCAAGAGAGAAACTTACATCGCAGGCAAAGCGTTTCCCCAAAGTGTGTGTTGCAATATGTCTCTTGTAGAGAGTTAGCAAACAGAACCAGATGCCAAGTATAGATGGGGAGAAGGGGGGGAGACCGTGCGGTACATACTTGCAGGTGTTCAGGACGCGAGTACCGGCCTGGGCCACAGTTAGTCTTTTGAACCTGGGGCTACCTCTTCAGCAGCCGACCTGAACAACAGTGAAGAAAACGAGAGGTTTACGTAAACAGTCGGCGCATTGGTACAGAGACTGGACGTTGGAGTGGTTCCGAGGCGGCGTCTGAGTCTGGCCAAGGTCGGGCAGCGGAGCCGCAGGACTTGGTGACGGGCGGTAGACTGGGGCTGAAGGAACAACAAGCGGAGCAAGGGACAAGCGAGAAGGCGGCGGGTGGTGGTGCGAGGTGCCGAGGGGTGGCACGGTATTAGTTGACGGCGGACCGGTAGGAGCGGGAGGTAGCAGTGGGGGATCGGGAGGGTGGATGAGATGTCCGATGTTGGGGCTGGCCATGATGGTGAGGTGAAGCTGCTGGCCGCGTGCGTATTGAGGCTAGCCAAGCCAATGAGTGGATAGACGAACCCAGACACGAAGAGACTAGCTAGGCGGGCATGCAGTCAATCAATGTATGATGGATTGGCGTGCCGCGAAGCGTCTCACAGCGCCGTGCGCATCCGTCATCAACCCCGTGGCCTCATCGATTCAAGGCCCAGTCCAGGTCCGGGAGCTGCGCCGCTGCCGCCGGGAAAGTGGGAGTACGACGGGATCACGACTGGAGCCCCAGGTCAGGTGTGGATGGGCCGTTTGGCTCGCAGCGGTCTTGGAACACACACCACAGCTGGCTGGCAGGCAGTATGGTTTGGTTAAACTCGAGTTGGAAAGCTCGACTTTTAATTAAAGGCTCCGGCAAGAAGCCAAGACTGCTAGACTGACTGACCCTGCGGTACTGCAACATTGCGCACGCGTAATCCCCTCCCAGACACCCCAGACACCCCTGAACAGGACTAGACCCGTCTGCATCTGCACGCACTGCAGCTTTTGCTGGCGAACCACAGCTTTCGAGGTGATCGGAGCACGTCGTGCAGCGGCCGACCGTATTGTCGATCTCTTTCTTCTGTGCGTGAAGCACGAGCTTCCAGGTTGATACAACATCTGGGATTTGAAGGTATCTGAGTTTTAGAGGCAATGGGTATGGATGCACGTAAATGGTTGGAATAGAAGGCAACCTGAATTACCGCGCGCAGTGTGTTGGAGGTATGTTCGGAACAAATCAGGACGGCTACTTCAATTAGACAACACCTGGCGTCTAGAACTTAAATTTGCCGTTGCCGCTAACATAACTGCCCGAGGTTTTAAATCACACCTCAAGTGCTGCTGCCGAAACCAGTGTAGGGCATGATGCCATGTCTGAGAAGTCTTGGCATTCTAAGAGCAGGAACGACTGAGCCCTAGACTACCTTAGTGTAGGAGGGGAAAGGGGAAGCATTCCAAACATCTCAATCGGAATAGATGCACGCATCTTTTCGATTCTTCTCACACACAGTGAAACCGCGACAGTCATCTCCTTCACACCTACCTAGTTTTCCCATCAATAAAAATGGCTAAACAACCCAAGGCGTCGGGTGTCTTGGGGTCAGATGGGCCCGGACAAGCCTTCTGCCGCTGATTGCCACTTTATTGCATCAATAAATCCCCCGTACATGTACGGCTTGGTTGCCTACCTAGGAAGCGTGCTGCGCTGTTGCATGTGGTTGAAGAGCCAGAGGGTGTGCAAACATTAGTGACCTGCAGTTTGGCGACTTCGAACCTGGACTCGAGGACTCAAGCTCAAACAAGCCTCGGCGGTGTACCCGCACCCACGTGTAAAAAGAAGGATAAGATGCCAAAAAGTAAATTTAGCAATCCCCGTAGTTCTCGCCGCACTACGCATTGAACTTGGGCGATCCCGACGGGCTGCGCGTGTTCTCTTGATGTGAACCCCTAATTCGAGGCCACCGTTCATGCCCTCAGAGACGTGTGCTGCTGCTTTTCGATTCAGGCCGTGTCAGAAGTTTATTTAAACCCGCTTGTCCATCGAAATTTCCGGGTTCACAGAGGACACAGTCTTGGATTTAACCGCCACGCCACCAAATCGAAGACACAACGCGGAACTCGACACCTAGTTTCCCCATCGCATAGCCGTCATGCTTGAACTCTGGGGTAAGGGTAGCAACCACGATATTATCCGCGAGGGAAAATAATACCATGAACAGCTCAAGCAGACTAGATTGGCCCCCAATAATATCTATCGCCCTTCGTACCACCGAGACAAGCAGGACCAAATGCGGACTAGTGGCAGTTACAGTCATGAACAGAAATGCAGACGGATTTCGACAGCTTGTCAACTCATCTGGAAATTGACCAGACAGACGCAAGGGAGATGGCAGTCGAACTGGCTAGACGGTCCGCGTGTTTACATTACGAAGTACGGATAGAGCCCGGAAGTCGGGACGGGAGCTAAGGTATGGCAGGCAGTCAATACCCAGCCGACGTGCATGGCACGTGTATCCGTAGTGAACTCCGTAATATATAGCCCGTATATTGTATATTGGATTGATGTGGGGCCCTATGGCCTTGCCCAGACGACGCCGTTGATGGCAAACAGCTCGTGGTCGAATACTACCGGGACGGATATGCAACAATTAAGAAGCTATGCGATCATCTTGCCGCTTCGGCCGGAGTGACCTGAGTGCAGCATTGTCAATGTGATAAACGCGGCTTCCCCAGTGAGGTCGGGTGGGGCCCATATTCGCCCTGCAGTTGCCCCGGACTCCAAGATCTGCGAACCCAACCTCGGGTGCCACAATGTGGGACGGGGGACTCCTGAGTTCGCTGTAATATAAATAGCAAGCATTGACTTCGCTTACTCACCTTGAAGGGGATCTCCCACGAGGAGAAGTCTCTCCCGTCCTCTCACCCCAACCCTCGAATCGAATAGCTGTAGTAGTGTAAACCCCCTCCCTTTGGGAAGGCTCGCCCCTTCTCGTCCTGCGTTCTTCGGGGGTTTCGAGCGGGTGTCGGTGCGGAAGGTGCTTGCGCAGGGGGGCGAGGGAGGGGGGTCTCAACTGACCCCAGAAGCATCGGAGGCTAATCAGACCAAGGCGCGAACCCTTGTCTAGGGCGGCATCTAATTCAGATCTCGCTGCATTTCGTTTTCCCATGTGTCTCGCGAACCATCCTCTTCTTCTGGGTCGTAGTGGTGGCACATCTGGAGATAAATACACTTCTAATCCCTCGGAGAGCAAGCAACCATGTCCGTTCCTAGACGGTGAGCCAGCCAGTTCTGTACTGTACACAGAGCCTTCCGGCTGCCTCGTGAGTCGATTATCGTTATTTATTTGGAGTTGTTTTTGATGGTACCTTGGGTTGTCGTTTAGCTTGGACTTTACCTAGTTACCATTGTTGCCATCTACGCCAACGTCCACACTCGCACTCGCCTCCACGCTCACGCTGCTTACCTTTTCAACCTTGTCATCCGGTACCGGCCCCTTCGCCTTGGGTTCCCAGGGTGTGTGAGGAAACCCCCGTTCCTGGATTCTACCCCGAGCAAATCCCTATCCGTCTAGACCCCCGCACGACTTCAGAGGTTTCGCCCGATGACACGCTGATGAACCTGAACCGGTTCTGCCAGATGGCATGTTGGTAACATCCTATATTGAATCTAGTCATAAGAGGCGCCTTTGGGAGTTGCAGATTGGTCCCGGACTTGCAAGCTGTATGTCCATATGCTATTTGTGCACCAACATGCCTGCCGCTTCGTCTGATGCATTTGCTGTGCAGTTCGGTGGGCTAGTTCCAAAGTCTGTCGAAACTTGACCGACCTCCTCATCCACTATCTCTAACTGCCAGAGCCCGGCCCTGTCAAGCGAAAACCGAGTCTTATCGACATCCGACCGCGACGGTCTGAAATAAGAACGTCACTTCTCGCTGCCAGCTCTTGGAGGCGTCGTCGTGTCCCAACCTATCGTTACTGTCGCTATGGCCGAGGATCGCATCGCCGCGTCGCTGGACGCCCATCCCAAGGTGGAGCGCATCGACAAGATTCGGAAGAGAACTCTGGGAAACGTCCGCCTCCGACATCTTGATACCAACGAGATCATTCTGATTCCTACGCCTTCTTCGGACCCCAATGACCCTCTAAATTGGTACTCGTCCCTCCACCTCTGGCTGGGTTGATCATGGCTAACTGTCAGTATAGGCCGCAGTGGTACAAGTACTATATTGCAACGGGTGAGTATAGACGAATGGAAGCGGCATTGACAGCATAGGGTGGCTGACCTCTTGGCTAACAGTGGTTTGTCTCGCCATGATGATGTGCAACTTCCTAGCTGCGGGCCCGTCCATTGATATAGTTTCCACGACAATGGACTTCTTTCCCGGGGCTAATCCAAGAACCGACCCTCTTTATTTTGCCGACGCTGTAGCCAAGGTCTCCTACTTCTTCACCTCCACTGCTCTTTTGCAAGGCGTTGGGAACTTCTTCTGGGTTCCTGTTGCGAACAAGTACGGTCGACGGCCCACTTATGTCTTCAGCTACCTCATCTACACTGTAAGTTCACGCCACAGTCTTATCTGACAATGGAAACTCAGACCTCACTAGGCCTCCGCTATCTGGCTTTGCTTTGAGCGGTCGTACAGCGGGTTCCTGGCGGGCCGCATAATCATGGGCTTCGGTGCGGGCGCTGCCGAGACTGTTGGTATGTTCCCTTCCACCATCTCAACCAAGACTCAAAGCTAACCCAGACACCGATAGCTCCAATAACTATCGCCGATATTTTCTTTCTCCACGAGCGGGGCACTGTGATGGCCCTCTATACCTCTTTCCTGGCAGTTGGCGTTGCACTTGGCATCGTCATTTCTGGGTAAGGTCGTCACCTCGTTGGGGTGTACCGATGGATGGCTAATGGAACCCTTGTAGCTTGATCACCATTGGCCATGAATGGAGAGTCATTTATCAGGTTGCGGCCGCGCTGGTAGGCTTCGTCCTGCTTCTCGCCTTTTTCGCATTTCCGGAGACAGCATATATCCGAGAAAAGCTCCAGAGTGATGACGAATCCGCCGAGGCCGGCCAGGCAGACTCGGAAAAGGATGTAATAACCACATCCGACGTGGAGCGGGTGGCTGGGTCAAAACCTGGACTCATGCGAGAGTCCTATTTGAGGTCCCTCAAGCTCTTTCGTCAAGCTCTTACTACAGAGAGTTTTCTCAAACTTGTCGTTCGGCCGCTTGGCTTGATCTGTCTTCCCCCGGTGCTCTGGGCTGCCCTTGTCGAGGCCGCCACTATTGGCTTTCTCGTTGCTGTCACGTCCAATGTTGCGGTGGCCTTCCAGGAGATGTACGGCTTTGAGGCTTGGCAGGTCGGCCTCTGCTTCATCGGTGCCATTATTGGCTCCATTGTGGGTATCCCAGCAGGCGGCCATCTTGGAGACAAAGTGGCCGACTGGTTCACTCGGCGGAACAACGGCGTGAGGGATCCTGAAATGCGACTTCCTGCCATGATACCCTGTCTTATCGCCACGCCCTTATCCCTCATTCTCTACGGCGTTGGGATTGAGCACAAGCTGCACTGGATATGTCCGACAATCGGCATTGCTCTCTGTGAGTTCACCCAACCCGCTTCGTTCGTTCCTAGGCCGCCGCATCGACTGACTGCAATCTCAGTGAACTTCGCGACCGTCCAGGGAACCAATCTCTGCCTCGTCTATGTCATCGACGCCTACCGCCCGATTGCCGGCGAGGTCACCCTTGCGGTCATGGGGTTCAAATCCATGTTCGGCTTCCTCTTGTCATTCTACACGAACACATGGGTCAGCCAGTCTGGATACCAGAACGCGTACGGCGTGATGGCGGCGATTTCGGCTGCTCTCATTTTGCTGTCGGTTCCCCTGTATTTCTGGGGAAAGAGGATCCGCCATGTCACTTGGCAGTGGCGTGTCATTTCGTGTGTTCACTGGAACGATGACCGTGAGGTTGGCGAGTAGCTGCATCCTTCCAAGCACATTGCGCTTTCTAGACACGACGGGGCGTCTTGCTGGAAATCTAGGAGTTTGTTTCTTAGTTCATTTCGAATTGGATTTGGGCAGCGTCGGTGCAAGGTGTACTGTTTTCTTTTGCAGGGAATTGTTGAAGGGCTATGCCTTCCAGTTCTTAGGTCTCGGGTATGAATCCTATGAAAAGTTATTACGGGTTTAAATGAAATAGGGGTTGGAATAGGGGTTCGGTTAGTGATTACCAGTCAGGCGGCTTGATCTCACTAGGGAGGCCCAATAGATCCCGAAAAGCTACCTGGACGCGAAGAGGCGGAATCATTGATTAGGTTGGTAGGTAACTATGGAAGGTAGGTATGTACCTAGCTCAAAGAGCCATTCCACCGTCAATCACCGCATTTGCCCCTTCACATACAAGTTAGCATTTCTATTGTGATCACTTTGGAGCGTGAGTCTTTCGGTGCTCGGGGGATGATACCAGATGCATGGTATCCTTTCTTGAAAGTTACCTATTGTAATCGCAAGTATAGGTGGCTGAGAAAGGAACCAAACAATCAGAGGAAAGAGCAAACCGGGCTGGGTGGTGACTTGAAAAACGTGAATAGGAAGGAAGGAGCCGTCTGAGAAGGCGCAACGGTGATGGTACGTACCCGTCACGCTCTTGCATCTGACAAAACAGAGCACCTGCTCTGCCACGTCCTAACAAAGTGAAAAGGCATGAGCTAACTGCCCGTAGCAGATACGATCAGTGGAGGTTTCCACCTACCTCAACAGTCGCAAGGCGTTTGAGTTTTGTGCGTTCCCTAATTTCTTCTTGCAATTCGAGAGGAAATTTCAGACCCCAGTCCTGATGATTCAACCCATAGTTAGTAAAAGCTCCATCCTATCGGGCTTTGGTTTCCTTTGCGACAGCTGCCAAAACAACGGCCGTAAAATAAGGCAACATCCAGAGGCCACAGAACCCGCACACGCACATACCGTGAGCATCAGTCCAGGGGACACGCTGCTGACCCTTATCTTGGGCGCAGCAATGAGTGCCAGTCCCTTGACGAGGTGTATTTGGGCCGCCTTTGAAACTGCATAAGCCTGTAGTAGTGGTGGTATAAGCATGGCGTCGTGGTAAACAAAAAGGTAGAGTGCTCAGGCTGGCTCACAAGAGAACTGCCGCTGACTTTTACGCCAGCTAGAGAGGCCGTCGTGACGAAGACGCCCTCGCTTGCGTCCAGGAAGATCTTGGCGGCGTGCATCAGCCATAGATGCGACTTCACATTCATAGTGTAAGTGCGATCCCAATCGGCCTCATCGACGTTATCATCGAGATTCGTGATGTCGCGAACCTGAGTCCTAAGGGCTTTCAGCGCTTTCCATCGGGACTCCGTGGGCTAGATACACTTGGATTCAAAACCACCTACCAGCCGCCGTTGGAGAAGACGACGTCAAGCCTATCCCCCATAGCCGAGGCCGCCTCAGTGACAAGTCTGCCGATGTCATCCCGCCGCGAAAGGTCGGCTTGGATAGCGACAAAATCAGCCCTGCTGCTGCCGTCAGCGGGTCTCTGGAGTGGTGAGAGGCTCTCAAGTTCGGCGACAAGCGCTGCTGCTCGAGAGCGGTCGTTGTTGTAGTTGACAACAACACGCATGCCGGTTCTGGCGAAGAGGCGGGCCGTCGCCGCTCCGAGGCCGGCGGTACCGGCCGTGATCAGAGCAACCAGAGGCACGTCCATTATTCCGCGATACTGGTTCTCAAGCACCAACACCGCGATGTATCTAACGGTTGACAAAGAACGAAGGGCAAGTCGGAGGGAGTATGATACGATGGTACACGATTCGGCATGAATAACCCGAATTCTGCCGGACAAGCAGGGCCCCAGCCCACTCTTTCCGACTTCGGTTCCCAAAGGATACGACGAGATAACAAAAGCAGCCAAATTGAGACGGTCCCGGCGTGCCAGAACTGTCAGGTAAAGTGTTGGGTAGTTCCGAAAGTGCCGTGCAGCTCAGCTCAGCACAGCATACAGGTTCTCGGTTTGGCTCTCTCTGGTGATTCGCAACGCTTGATACTTATTACTAGCCCAGATAATGGTCCCCCGGGGCGGAGAACTAGGGCGGATGCACACTAAAATACAAGAGATGGGATGAAATATCTCCGCACCAATGAAGCTCCTAATCGTTTGAAAGACAGCTGTCCCGTTACGGCAGGGATGGAACCCTGGAATGGCGCCTGGGCACCGAGTATGCGCATACAGGGTAACTACGGCATACCACAGGGCCAAGTCGGCCAAAACCAAAAATCGGTATATAGGTCTACCCCGGCCGTACAATGGCCTTTTGGTTTTACTACATAAAGACAGCACATTACGCCTTTGCATCAAACAGGGTACAATCGTAAAAACCATTGTGGTGTTCAATACAGCGAAGTCAATTAAAATGCAGGTAAATGCTCCAAAAGGGTGATCAATTGTGTTGCAATTGTGTGTGTGTTGCAGACGCGTTCCTTGCAGTGGTTTTTCCTGCATTAGGCGGTGAGCCCGGCAGTATGGCTAAACCTCGGCACTATGCCGTGTGTGGTCAATTGGAGCACCCATTCTACGTGACAGATATTTACCTCCTTGTTCTCCCCCGTCTTTATTAGTTGAAGCGAGTATGATATATGACAAAGCGTTGACCCCCCTGGGGTCAAAGTAGTAAAATGCCGTCTCAATTTTGGTTTTGGCCGACTTGGCCCTATAGTATGCCGTAGTATCGGGGGCGGCTCCCCCACCTTCCGCACCTGCAGCAACTGAGCTGAGGCCATCCCCAACTCAACCCCCGAAGTCGTTGAGGTTGGCCAACGTCCTCCCACCCATTACTAGCGTGCCGAGTACCTACGCATTGCACATATTTCTTTACCAATATCTCTATCCGCCGTTGCTTAGTTCCGGGCCGCCTTGCAGAACGTCCGGGAAGACACAGATCAGACTTCGCACGCCCAGTAGGCATTTAGCTGCAGCGATCTCATGCAACCAAAAAGGGCAGCAGTTTGGTTCCGCACATCGAAGCACGCTCAGCCCCGCTCTATTTTCGTGTTCAACACGGGTGGTACGGGGTAGCCTTGCTTCCGTCGAGTTGACTACCTAATATAGGCTGGTCTAGGCAGGGTTGGCAGCATGTTATGTCTCCAGCGGCACACAATCATAGCACATGTATCCCCGTGTGAAAGCTGGGGAAAGTTTCCAGGCCAGGCTGTAAAAGAGGCCGGCCCTCTTACAAGGGACCGAGCGGACAGACGGACAGACAGGGGGAAATAATACAGCACCACCGCCTTGGTTTTATGCTAGTACCCCGTCCTTGCTGGTTTGATCCTTTGACAACCTAACTACCCCCCTTGCAGCTTCTGGCTTCGACCAGGGCAAGTCTTGTTATTAAATACCGCGATACAAGACAACCCATCGTTCAAGATACCTCCCCGTCCTCACTAGAGGTTGTTGTTGCTTTACTGTTGCTGTTGCTAGGTATCTTCGTTGGGTTTGTCCATGATGTTGAAGATTATTCCTGGGGATAGCGATGCTCTTATTTCTGAAAGCGGCGCCCACAATCCCAGTACGAGGGGCTTGGGTCACTTGGATAGCGGCCACTCTACGCCCTTGAACATTGTGATTATTGGGGCGGGCATTGGCGGACTCACGGCCGCCATTGGACTACGGCGAAACGGCCATAACGTCCAGGTCTGTGGCTTTGCCTCTGCTAATTATCCGCTACTATCCATATCCCATTCAGGACTTCCCTACCATCTTCATGAGATACCATTTTCTGACACTTGGGGCAATTGCCTAGGTCTTTGAGCAATCTCGTCTAGCCGGCGAACTCGGCGCCGCTGTTCACTTGGCGCCAAATGCCAACGGTATCCTGCGAAGATGGGGCGTCTTGGGCGAGACTTTCGGGGCCATCACGATGGATGGCCTTGTAGAGCGGGCCAGCGATGGGCGGGTCATTAAGAACTTAGATCTAACCGTCTTGAACGCACGTTGGCAACACCCGTGGCACCTCGTCCATCGAGCTAGCCTGCAAGAGAAACTCAAGTGGCTTGCCACATCTAGCGGGGAAGGCACGCCGGTGAGACTAGTCACATCGCAGAAAGCCGTCAATGTCGACCCCGAACAAGGGGTCCTGACTCTTGAAGATGGCACGACAGTGGCAGGTGATGTTGTCATTGGGGCCGATGGTATTTATGTATAGCCTACAGGCCTCATATGCCGAACCCCGAGAATGCGTTAGCTGACACCCAAGGGATATTAGTCAACGGCGAGGAAGAGTATTAGAGACGCTAAAGTGTTTGGCTCGGGTAAGGCGGCATTTCGCTTCCTCATTCCGAGGGAGGTGGCTGAGGCGGATACAATGACCGAGCCGCTGGTGAAGTCGAAGAATACTCTTGTCATGTGGTTTGGCGGTGACCGTCGTGTTGTCATGTACCCCTGCAACGATAACCTCCTGCTCAATTTCGTATGCATACATCCCGACACCGAGTCTCAAACTAGACGTGATGATGGTAAAGTTGCCCTCTTCCGAAGACATGACTACTTTACTTAACTTTGGATTTGCTGACGCCAAAGCTTGGACAGGGTGGAACAAACAAGCATCTCTTGAACAAGTGCTGAAGGTGTACCGAGACTTTGATCCAGCCCTCAAGGCCCTCATGAGTAAGGTCGACCCGTCAACAATCAAGGTATGGCAGTTATTAGACATGGAAAAATTGCCTACGTGGTCTGCGGGCAAGCTCGTGCTCCTTGGGGATGCGGCACATCCATTTACGCCACGTAAGAGCCGGTTTGCTTTTTCTCCCCTCAACCATTGTACCTCTACTGACAGTCACTAAATTAACAAGACCAGGGCCAAGGCTGTGGCCAAGCAATAGAGGATGCGGCTGCCCTCGCGGTCGTACTTCCCAGGGAGACGGCCAGCGAAGAGCTCCCCGAACGTCTCAAGCTATACGAGCAAATCCGATCTGGGCGGGCACATGCCATACAGCAGTATTCACGACTGGCAGGCCAAGACTGGCAAAACGGCCAGCCAGCCGTCGATAGTAAGATGCCCTACCTTGCAGTGAAAGCTGCGGCCTTTTAAAGGCACTGACCGTTCACAAGTGATGGCGTATACAAACTTTAACTTTGGGCACGACGAAATCGACCACGCCCGAAACATTTTCAACCGATGGATGTGGGCGAAAAACCCGGGGGCGCACCGACGGGTGCCGGTTGCCTTTGGTCCCTTTTCCGCGACAACGCCCCGGCCGGCAAACGAGCATGGCCAAGGGGGGCCCGCAACGACGGCAACCATTACGTTCAAGACGTCGCGCACATTTCTCGAGACGTTGTTTCCGACGGCGCAATTCCGCTTCAGGGATGCCGACACAGTTGCCATGGCTAGCTTCTTGATTACGAGCTTTCCGCACGTCACGCAGCTCGACGGCAGCTCGGGCAACGGCCACGCCCGGCTAGGGCTGTATATGCACGGAGTTCAATACGCCAAGAACGACGGCACGGCTGTTGACGGCATCTACTTGGCCGTGCTCCTTGAGTCATGGCCCGACTCGGCCGTGGCCAGCCGTGAAGGGCCGAGGTTGCCCACGGCATGTTGCGATATTAGAGTGACTCGCCCCTCCGCCATCACCGGCGGGGGCTCAGGTGATTCCGGCTACCGTGCCACGGCGAGCTGGCACGGCGCTACGTTTGCCGAGTTTGTGCTGCCAAACCTTATCAAAGCAAGTGGCTACGACGGTGGTGACACGAGGAGGAAGGAGCAGAGCGGGGTTGGTCGTGGCCTGGACAAGGGAAGCGTTCTCGCATACCGTTATGTCCCGCCGGCGGGAGGAGAGCCGGAGCAAACGGAGGCAGGCCATGCCTGTGTTTTGACACACATGGAGCGGGAAGAGGAGGGGCATGTGCTGGCGAACCCGACAACGATGGCAGCTGAGGCCGAAAGGGTAAAAGTCAGCATTGATGCCCTCGACTGGGAGACGCTCCCGGCGCTCCACCGCATCGCAGCAACACTGGCGGAAATACCCATCTATGATATTTTGGAAGCCAAGGTTGTTGAGGGGGAGGGGGGGTTCGGTGGTCTGGACACGGAGTCGTGTAGGCGGATCGAGTAAGGTATAGGCACCTACCTATCTACCTGGTAGCTATTTGAGGTCTGTAGGTAAGGTAGTAGTAGTAGTGAGAGGAGGTCGGCTCTGGACGGACAGGCAGTCTTCGTTGATGGAATTGAAAAAAGGACTATCCTGTACGATAATTACACTAGTAATTTATTTTGATCTCTTCCATCTGTTCGCTAGGTACCTACCTATATTCATGGATGCATTTATTTTAGTCTGATATCTTTTTTCGGGAGCGGTCAACGAGGCTGACACGTGGGTATCGGTAATCGGCCCTACCCCCACAATCGTCCCCGGTTCTGTCGTACAGGGGGGCTGCCGAGTCTCGGGGCCGGTGTGGGGGGGCAACGGAGTCGCTGGGACGGGACATGGAAGACAGGAAAGGAAACGAAAGGACCTGGACGCGGCCCCGGACCACCTTGATAGTTTTGCTCCTTTCCATTGGTTACTCCGGCTGTCGTCGACACAGTTTGAGCGGTTTGCATGTGCAAAGCAAGTTGTCACCTTAAGAAATTAGAGTGGCATTCCTCACAATTACGGTATTTACCATGTTCGCTAGAAGACTCCCGTCTGATCTGATCCAATATGCTCCCTACCTAATATTACCTAGCTCCAAATAGGACGCGACTTTTCGATTGGCATCAGAGGTGAGCTTAAGAGCACAAAGCATCGAGGAGAGAGTAACAAATATAGCTTTGCAAATATCATTGAGAGAATCTCGGTCGCCCAACTTCGAGACCGTGTTACAAGCCTGTATCGGCCCCGCCATCCGGGCCAACACAGGTTGCAACACGATAACACGATAAGACCCCATACTTGAAGGGCGGGCCCCATGCAAGATAAGTTCTTAGCGGCGGATCAAGGCAGCGCGCTTCTGAGCGGCGCGCTGCAACTGGACCGGCGTACTGTATTGCACGGCCGCTTGCCCCTCCAACCACTGAGGCCGACTGTTGGAACCGACCATTCCGTGAGCAGCCTTGCCTTAGGTTCTAATCCCGAGGTAAGTACAGCCAATGCCATACTAGTTTAGCATTCTCACCGTTTGTTCGAGGCCGTGTTCAACTTTTTTTTTTTTAAACTTCCCGTCTCTTTTAGTTTGGTGTGCGAGTATCCGTCCGTTTGCTCCATAACCCGACACAGACGACGCCAAGCCGACGTTTCAGCCGGGGAATGACAGCGAGTTGACAACACGCGGCCGACACCGTGCTTGAGATACTCGACAACCTGGACTTGCACCGCATTTCCCCATCGGTTGCCCTTCTTTTTCCTTGCAACACCTGCCTGGTAAGGGGGCCAGAGCCAGACTGGTTGCGCAAGACTTGTCGGCCCAGCACCGCAAATCTATCTAAGTCCTAGACGGTCCGTCCTGTGGGGGTTTAGGTAGCATCGTTCGTTCCCCAGGCCCAGAACCCTGCTGCACGGAGCGGAGCTTCTCAGCCGTGTTATCATCTCGTGCGCCGACACGCGACCTCATCCTAATCTCTGGATCACAACGTCGAGCGACCCGCGAACCCTCAATTCAGCTCCGCGTCCCCGCAGATGCGCAGCCATGGCGACACATGACGGTGGAGGCCAGGCGTCTGTCGAGGAACCCATCGAGCTGAGCAGCGACTCCGAGTCTGGTAGCTCCTACGCAGGCAGCAGCATCGACAGCCACCCCAACCACCACCGCGCAACCTGCCCCTGGCGAACATCGCGTTTCCACCAAGGCGAGTGCACACGCTTCTTCGACTGTCCTTCCCACACTATAGAGCGGGTTGTGTCGGGTAGCGAGGACGAGAGTGATGGTGGCGAGGACGGCGACGTGAGCATGGACGAGGATGATCACCAACATCAAAACCAACACCAAGGCGACGTTGAAATGCCCGACGACGGCCTCCGTACCGAGCCCGGCGCCGTATCCCCGCTGAGCCAAGATGACGGCCGACAGGGACCTTCCTCGCTTTCGCCAACTCCTCCCCCACCCCCTTTGCCAGCGTTCGACTATGCGGGAGGCGGGCCCGCTGCACACACATCAGCGGCCCACGATGCGAGGGAACGCCAAGAACGAGCAGAGGGGAGCGCGGAAAACCCCATCATCCTGGGTGATAGCTTTCCTGTGCGGGATCAGACTCAAGGGTCGATTAGAAATAGCTATGATGACGCCGGGCTACTACTAGCTGATTCCGGCGCGAGGGTGCCAAGTCCCGAAGATGCTCTAGGGACGCAGCTGCGACCTGTTCTGCTCGACGATTCCCCGCCTCACAGTCCCTCGAGAAGCCAGACGCAAGCGCAAGCCCCTCTTCCACCTTCTCCGCCTCCCCCTCCGCCGCCGCCACCACCGCATCATCCTGCCCCAGCCGACTCGAGAAGCCCTTCCGAGTTTATAGTCCCTCGATGGCAGCCAGACGCTGAGGTGACATATTGCCCGATATGTCGCACGCAGTTCAGCATCTTTGTTAGGAAACATCACTGCAGGTAAGCGTCTATAAAGCCAGAAAGTGTCGTGCTCGAGACGATGTACTCACTCATTATCACAGAAAATGCGGCCGCGTAGTCTGCAACTCTTGCTCGCCGCATCGTATTACGATCCCTTACCAGTATATCGTGCAGCCGCCTGGAGCGCCTCGGGTGCTGGCCCAGAGATACCCGGCCGCCATATTGGGCAGCGGAGGCGGCTACCCAGACTTTGGTGTTCTCGGGGGTGGTGAGAGGGTCAGGCTGTGCAATCCTTGCGTGCCAGACCCAAACATTGCGCCACCCCAGACGCAGACCCAAGGAAGCCATTCCAGATCGCACAGCACCCTCGTGCAGCCGTTTCCGAACGATGGGAACCAAGCGCCGAATAGCTGGGGCTCGTATTTCACTGGTGCGTCTGCAAACGACCCTCAAGCTAGAAGCCGGAGTGTCACAATGGTGCGTTCTCTTCTCTGTGTGCTGTTTAGTGCCTTTCCTTTCTTACGTGATCTTCAGCATGCCGGTGGTCCGTCCTCATCACGGCCACCCAACATTCTCTATCCTCAGAACACGGAGAACCAAATACTCTCGGGCACTCCGCCCCCGGCATATTTCCGGACTCCCTCAGCCACACCGCATCGCCCGCCTTACCCTAGCATACCCGCACGATTCCGGTCCATGATGGATGTTGGCGAAAGGTCAGAAGCCGGGCCATCTGGCGTCAATCGCCGCCTGCCGCCTCTCCCGGCCCCGCCGCCCCAGATCCCTGAGGAAGACGAGTGCCCCGTGTGTCACCGCGAGCTTCCGCCGCGCACCCTCCCCAATTTTGAGTCGTTGCGCGAGTCGCACATTAGTATCTGCATCACGGCGCACAGCTCGTATAACGGGGGTGTCCCCGCCTCGACTAGCGCTGGCGGCGGCGGCAGCGGGGACGCAGGAGGTGCAGGCAACGGCGGCCCGCCCCTGCCGCCCATGCCCCCCCGCCGCACCGGCATGTTCCCGTACACGGCCACCGAGAAGGACTGCGTCGACTCGGCCGAGTGCACCATCTGCCTCGAGGAGTTCGAGGTCGGCGTCCCCATGGCCCGCCTCGAGTGCCTCTGCCGCTTCCATAGGATGTGCATCAGCGCCTGGTGGCAGCGCCATCCCGGGAGGTGTCCGATGCATCAGCACGACGGTTTTGGATATTGAAGTCGCAAACCGGGCGTGGGATGGTTATAATATCATTACTCTGGCGGGACGGGCAGGCTAGATAGGCTTTTCAGTCGGGGTTATTTTCCTCTCATCTTTTGGGAAGTCATGTTTTCTTTTTCTATTACGTGGTTTCATCTCGTGCTATGTCATGTTTGGCGACTATGCCGGGTCAGCTCAGGCTGTTGCTACCGTTTCAACACCCCTTTGTGTACGCGTGCATGGATATTGGGGACCTCTAGGTGGAGGGAGGGCACAAGTGGAGTAGTGGTCGAATTCCTTTTTTTTTTTGCCCCGTCTGTTGCGTCTTCTCTTGTCAGCTACCTTACCTACTTAGCCAGTCTGTTTGCTTTTTGTCAGGCCGTATCACTGTCTAGAGTTTTTCTTTTCCCCCATGAATCATTCTTTTTTTTCTCGTTTTATTATAACCGGCCGAGCTGAGTAGCTTGCTTTGTGAGCTGGGCCGGGGGATGGATGGACGGGTGGATGGACAGGTGGACGGACGGAAGCATGATTCGAGAGATACCATCATCATAATATCATCATAGTTATATATCGTATATCGTATACAAACACAAGCCGCTTCACACTATAGAATATGGGAATGTTTAAAGGCATTGTATTGTGTTGTATTGTATTGTAATTCCCTATTCACTAACGACGCTACAACCCCGTATTTCATCCCATTCCCCGGTGAAGTCGTGAGACTAGATGCAACCCCAGTTAGTCAGTACCGTACCCTATGTATGAATGAAGATCTCCTACCACTAACGATGATGCTTAAACCACTGACTGCAAAACGCCTTCCTCTTTCTGACTCCCCCCCAGCGAGCAAAAAAATAGCCCTCTTTCTTCATTGCCCCGGCCGTTCCGTTCCGCCTACCCCCCAAAAACGCGAAAGCAGAAAACACAGAATTGTCTGTCGTTAATTAGGCCTGGGACTGCACACCCAGAGCCTCAGGGCCAAAGGAGAGCGGGAGAAGCTTTGGGTGGGGGGAGAAAGTAGGGTAGGGTTCGTCGGTTAGTTAAGTGATTTTATTTTGTGTTCAAGTATTGGACGGGGGAAAGGCGGAAAGACTGGGTGTATACACACCTCCTCGAGACGCATCACGGAAAAGTTGCTGTCGCCGTCAAACATGATGATGGGCGTTTCCAGGTCGCAGAACTCGCGGATGCTATGTGCGGGTGAGCACGAATAGGAAGGATTGGTTAATGTATCGTTTCTACTATTTCAACGTCTTTGGTTTTGGGTCTTTCTTCCACGACAAATCGAAATTCTCCCCCCTGTTTTCGGCTTGACCACTGGTCCCGTTTACTCGAGAAACAAACCACTAGCCTGGCCTAGCAGGCAACATGATATGACCAGGGGAGATGACAGACGGGAAAGAACTCACCACTGCCGGCACATGCCGCAGGGGCTCGCGGGGGGTGAGATGTCGGTGGCAACGGCGACGGCCCTGAAGCCGCGGTGCCCGTCGGTGATGGCCTTGGCGAAGGCGACGCGCTCGGCGCATGTGGTGACGGGGTAGCTGGCGTTCTCGACGTTGGCGCCACTAACAAAAATGCCGCCGCGCGTCAACAGCACGGCGCCGACGCGGAACTTGCTGTACGGGCAGTACGCCGTCGCCTTGGCCGCCGTCACGCGCGCCAGCAGCTCGCCGAACTCGCCCTCGCTGAGCCCGTACGTTTGGCACGTCTCGCGTACGTGCTCCGCGTTGGAGCTCGAGAGCATGGCGGGCGCCGCGGCGGGGGCCATGGTGTTGTATGGATGGTATGGTATGGGGGGAGGGTTAGATTACAATATGTACTGGCTGGCTGGCCACGATACTGTGGAAGTGTGGGAATTCGAGCGGGAATGGATCCGTGGGTTAGTAGTGAGGAGTCGGGTTGATATATGTGAGGCCCAAAGAGTAAAAGTGAGAGTCAGAAAGAGAGGTGGAGAGAGTAGACAAACTCGCCTCCCTGGCAAACTTGAGAGAGACTGCAATTGGATGGAGTACGAGGCAGAAGAAGCCAATGCAAACAAGACTTGGACAGAGACGCGGGAGGATGTGCAATGCAATGAGGCGAGGTCGGACACCGGACGCCGCCTCATTCCTCGAAACACGACGTTCCTTGTTGGCGGTAATAAGCTAGGGGGGTGGATGTCTGTCTCACTGTATCCGCACTCCTCCAGTATTTAGGTAAGAGAACTAGCTTGGCTGGAGCTACCCCGCTACCCCGCTTCCCTGCTGCTGCTGCTACGCTATGCTGCTGTGTTATCTTATCAGAAACTACCCCTGTATACAGGCTAGCAGTGGTGCATAGATGGGCCGTCGATATCCGTTATCCGGCGCTACTCTAGTCCGTAACCAACCCAGGCCAAGTGTCCTCCGTTCCCCACAGCTAAACAAGGCACCTGCTCTTTCCACCCATCAGATCGGGATGGTCATGGGATTCATGATTCTGTGGTCGCCGGGTTTAGCTGCTGTCCAATTGCTTTTGTTTTTGGGGGGGAAGAAGAAGAAAAAGAAGAAGAACTAACGATGCGCCGCCGTCCACGACCAGGTTCGCGCCCGTTACGTACGACGAGAAGCCGCTGGCCAGGAACCCGGCAACCCTCGCAACCTCTTGCGGCCGCCCTGCTCGCTCCAGGCCAATTATCTTTTCTTGCGCCTTTGACCCGTAGGGTGTTGTTAGGCCACACATATTTATACCTCGATATTCTCCCTTGGATAAGCATCTTTGTGGGGGGCTTGCGTGGTTGAAACATACCTCCTTTTCCTGAAGACTCGCTGGCGGGAACTGCGACGCCATCCCCCGTGTGTCCATCTAACAATTTGCATGTCCCCCATCGTTAGCTAGGCGAGCTCTTTCATATTTCGTCTCCGGATTTCTGCAGCGCCGGCCCGTCCGTGCTTGCTAGGACAGGATAGGTAATTACTTACGCCGTGCAGGTCGACGCCGACGTCGATCTGGCCGGGCGAGATGCAGTTGATGCGGACATTGGAGCCCTTGAGCACGGCCACGCCGGCGCGCACCACGCCGAGCGCCGCGTGCGCCGCCATGGTAAAGGCCGGCCCCCAGCACCCGCCGTACGTCGACGCGACGCTGCTAATAACAATGATGCTGCCGTACTTTTGCGTCTTGGGCGCCGCGTTGGGATACGGCGGCGGCGGTGGCTCTGCTGTGTCTTCTGGCCGGGCCGACGACGACGTCACGATGCGCATCTCCTTGGCCATAGCGGCCGGCACGTGCTTGAGCGCAAAGAAGGGCGCCACCGAGTGCGCCTCGAAGCACTTGTGCAGGTCGTCAGCCGTCGTCTCGTGGATCGACGGCGGGCCCAGCAGGCCCGACGAGCACACCCACACGTCAAGCCGCCCGAAGGCGTTGAGCACCTCGTCGATCAGCAGCAGCGTCTCGTCCTCCTTGGCTACGTTGAACGGGTACGGGATGATCTTGGTGTTGGGCGCCGTCCGCGCCACGCTCTCCACCAGGTCACTGTATGTGCTGCCGGCCGTTGTCGCGGCTCGATCGCAGGCTTTCCGGGCGTAATTTTGGTTAGTCTCGGGGTGGCGCATACATACTCAGGTAGTAACAGAGGTTCGGGCTGCGGCAACACGCACCGTAGATGGAGGCTGCTCCGTGGGCTGTTGTGCCTCCGTGCGATGTTTGTCAGCAAAAGTCGGACTGGCTTGTCATGTTCCGCCCGAAAGCACGTAGAGAGATATGCTCCATGTCGTGAGACGCTCACTCACCCGCTAGTTCTTGAATGATGGCCTGGCCGACGGGCATCGAAGCCCCGGTGACAACACACACGAATCCGTACTGTGCGCGCACATTTGGCCAGTGTAAGTAGTTAGCTCGTTAATGCGCGCAGCTCAGCGTCACAAGCAGACTAGGAGCACTAACCAGCTTGCCATCCTGGCGATACGGACTAAAATCAACAGTCGTGTCCATGGCTTCCTTGTTGTGATGTAGCCAAGTAGCTCAGCTAGGAATACCGCTATGTGAAAAAGTGGCTTGTTGGCGGGATGAGAGGCAATTGCAATTGCAGTTGCAATTGCACTGAAAACGAGACAAAGCCCGATCTGCCTTCAAGAAGAAAAAACGAGACAGGCGAGAAGAGGGGAAATGCGGTAGTAGTTGTATTTTTATCTCGCTCTCTATGTACGAATACCTAAGTAGGTATCTCTCTTTGCCTCCCACGGAGATGCAAGAAATCGAGATTTAGTCTCCTGCGTTGCGCGTGGCGTCGGCGTCTGGTAATGCCAGCCAGCTTCTGCATGAATGCTGTCTGTCTCTTGCCGTGCGCCACTATGTGCATACCTACTACAGTAGGTAGGTACCTACTAAAATCGTAGCTCCCGTGGAGAAAGCCGAATCTATGATCTCCTTGGTGTGCATCAAATAGCTCGTCCACCTGCAACCAGCACTACAGGTACTACCTACCTACATTCGCTACCTACCTAGGCAGGTTTGGTAATTATTCGGTATCTAGTTCAGTGTAGTGAGGCAGGGCAGGTCTGGCCATACGTAGAAAATGGCCGACCGCCTCAGTCTAGTGCAGCCACAGTGATGGAGATAAGGAGATGAGACGTCACTCATGAAACTAGAACTACCTACTCGTCAAGGTTCAAAACGCCAGATATACACACAGTTCTATCAAGGACTGTTATGACTTCCATCGTTTATTCCTTACGCCGAGCCTTACAATACTGAACATATGCAACTCATGAAAGGCGAGTTAATCGGCGGCGTGTGAAGAGTAAGGTGGCTAGATTATTTACAAAAGGGCTATATAACATACGTGAAATAGCAATGATAGGTGCGGATACCCTCCCTACAGTAAGTACCTTGGACGCGATGCGCGAACTATGCATGAACGCAAGTATACAGCGGAGTTGGGTACTCTTTTTCCGATATTCGAAATGCAAAAGAAATGAACCTCTTCAAATGTATAAAAAAACGTAAAAAATAAGTGGAATATATCCTGGGCATGGAAAAAAGGATTCTGTCCCGTAGTTTGACCTTTTTCAAGCAATACGTGAGAGAGAGAGAAGAGTAGGAGTGTCTCTGCCGTCTCGTTTACTTCGCAAAACTCGGGGAAGACTTGCTATTACAATGAGTATTTGTACAGTGGGACACGGCAGATTACCAGGCGCCAGGTAAAAAGAGGGCGGGCGATGCGCTTCTTCTTCACCTGTCAAGCGCTTGGTTATGGCACTGTTGGAAAGAAAGAGAGATTAGCACCGTACACCGTCGCCCTAGTCAGAGGTGTGTCACGGGAAGCACTGCTGTCTGCTACTCACCATGGTCCAGTACACGCCCTTCTTCTTCAGCAGCTCGGAGTGGCTGCCAGACTCAAGCACTTTACCCTCGCCGAGGACGTAGATGATGTCTGCGTTTTGGATGGTGGCGAGCCTGTGCGCGACAGCGACGGTTGTCCGGCCCTTGGCCACGCGCTCAAAGGCGGCCTGGACGAGCTTCTCGCTTGCTGGGCCGGGGTGTTAGCAACAATACGGATACGGCAGGCGTACATACGCGGAGGAGAAAAAAAAAGACCGACGCGCAAACATTAGGATTACGTACCAGAGTCCAGCGAACTGGTGGCCTCGTCCAGGAGCAAGACCCTAGGATCTCGGATGAGCGCCCTGGCGATGGAGATGCGCTGCTTCTGTCCGCCGCTGAGGTTCACGCCGCGGGCGCCAATGTTGGTGTTGTAGCCGTCGGGCAGGGACACGATGAAGTCGTGGATGCTGGCGTCCTTGCAGCACTGGTGCATCTGCTCTTCTGTCACCTCGGACGGGTCGACGCCGAGGAGGACGTTTTCGCGGATGGTACCCTGAAAGAGAGCCGACTCCTGGGCCACGAGGGACAAGAGCTTACGGTACTCGTACAGGTTGACTTGGGTGATGTCCTTGCCGTTGAACAGGATCTGGCCCTGCGTCACGTCGTAGAACCTCTCCAAGAGACTGACGATGGACGTCTTGCCGGAACCCGACGCACCGACAAGAGCTGCAAACTGTCCCTTCTGGATGGTGATGCTGAGCCCCTTGAAGACGGACACGTCGCGCGTGGGATACTTGAAGTGGATGTTCCGGAGCTCAATCTCGACCCCACCTGCCGTGTCAGGGACCTGCTCTTCGACCGAGACCAAGTCCTTGATGCGGTTCTCGCGGGCCTCGAGGATCCGGTTCGCGGCCGCGCTGGCCTGGGCTGCATTGGGGCCGAAACTGAGCCACTGCCCTGCAGATTCGGCGCCCTGTATGATAGCCATGTATGTGACGAGGAACGATATGACGCTGTATTCCCCAGAGGTGATGAGGCGGGTGCCGTACCAAAGGATCAGGGCTTGGCAGCCGAGGGATACACTATCAGCAAAAGCAAAAATGACGGTCGTCCAGCGGGCCTTCTTGTACGCCGTCGACACATGATTGCTCAGCAGTAGGCTATATCTCTCGGCGATGCTGTCCTCCATGACAAGCGAGCTCACGGTGCGGAACGCGCCTATCGACTCTGCACCAAACTTTGAGCTTTCGGCGAACACAACCTCGTTCATGGCGTTGAACTGCAGTTCGTAACGCATTCGGTAATATCCAGCCAGTATGCAGAGCGGCACCGTCACACACAACGCCACAAGCGCCAGCTTCCAACCGTACGCGAACGATATCGCCAGAGCTCCGACCAGGGAGAAGACGCCCAGGAGCATCATCATCAGATTTATGCCCAGGAGCTCTTTGAGCTGTTGAGGGTCTCCCAAGAGACGGGCGGTAAGCTGGCCTGTCGAGTTGCCCTCCTGGTCAAAGTAGGACGTCTTCTGAAAGAGGATCGACTGAAAATACTCTTGGCGATAGGCTGCCGAGATGTGATGCTCGACCGTCGTCGACACGAACATCATGGTGAAGTAGCTGAAGCCAACCACAGTAGCAAGCACAACCCACATCTTTGACCAGAAGGTAACGTCGTTGAGCAGCGAGTCGCCAGTCTCGGAGAAGACGACGATGACTTGGGCAAAGAGGTAGGCCTGCATGGGCACGGCAGCACCGGCACCCGCTGCGCCGATGACGGCGATGACGTAGAGAGGGTACCGGCTTTTCTGTTCGGCGAGGAGCTTGCCGAACCCGGTGAAGATGCTGCGCTCCTTCCACTTGGCACCCTGGGCAGGGGCGTCGGTGTCGGATATCGCCGCGCTCTTTTCGCGTGAGAGCACGGCGTTGATGTCTTCGTCCTCAATGGGCTCCTCGGCTCCCCCATCGTCTCCCAGCGACAGCTTTTGGGCGTGGACGAGGCCATAATACACGCCTTCCCTCTCAAGCAGGCTCTCGTGCGTCCCTTGCTCGGCGACACGGCCATTCTGCAGGACGCAAATCTGGTCGGCATTCTTGATGGTTGACAGTCTGTGGGCGATGGTGATGGTGGTTCGCCCTTTGGACGCCCTCTCGAGAGCCGCCTGCACGATGCGTTCGCCGCGGACGTCGATGGCCGACGTGGCCTCGTCTAGGATGAGAATCTTGGGCTTAGAGATGATGCTCCGAGCGATGGCGATGCGCTGCCGCTGCCCGCCGCTCAGCTTGGCACCCGAGTCGCCAACCTGGGTATCGTAGCCATCGGGGAGGCGGTCGATGAACTCGTCAGCGAAACTCTCGGCGCAGGCTTCCTTGACAAGCTGCCGTTTGACCTCTTCGGGCTCTTTCTCCCACTGACTCCCAATCAGACCGGCGGTGACGTTGTTGTAGATGGTGTCGTTGAAGAGGAAAGGCTCTTGCTGCACGAGGCCGATCTGCGTTCTCCACCACTTGATGTTTATATCGTCCAACCGGTGCCCGCAAGTCGATATACTGCCCTTGAGCTCGACGGCGGGGCCGATATCTTCGGGATTTAGCAGGGTAGCGTTGTCTTCGTCATCGTCGTCGTCGTCGTCGTCGCCTTCGTCGTTGCCACCATCATTGGCATTGTCTCCTTCCTTTTTGCTCTTTTTGCTCTTCTTTCTCTTCTCTTTCTCCTTCTCCTTCTTCTTCTTCTTCTTCTCCATTTCCTTCATCTTGTCCTTCTCGATGGCCTTGGCGATGACGTATTGGTCATGGAGGGTGTACCACCCTTCAATGAGACCAACGATGGTACTCTTGCCGGACCCGCTAGGCCCGACAATGGCAGTATTTTGGTTGGCTTTGATGCGAAGATTCAGGTCGTCCAGCACCTTTTTGGTTGGGCGGCTGGGATAGGCAAAGTGGACGCCCTCGAAGACGATATCCTGGTCGGCAGACACGTCGGGCTCCCTCAGCGTGCCCTGCTTGGGCTGTGGTGCGTCGATGACGGCGAAGAATTCGGCGGCGGCCACCATGGCCTTAGAGACGGCGATGAGCGGAGTGGAGATGCGCTCGAGAGACATGACCATGAGCATGACGGACATCATGACGATGATGACAGTGCCAACGTTGTTGATGCGCCCCTCGATCATTGACTTCATGCCATACCAAAAGGCGAGGGCGAAGGCGCCATAGAGGCCGAAGAAGATCAGGCCGAACTGGGTGGATACGAAGGGTGAGGTGAACTGGCCGGCCTCTTTGGCCTTCTTGACCCACTCGGAATAACGCTGGCTGACACGGGACTCGGCACCGCACGAGGCGACCATGCGGATAGCAGCGAAGGCCTCGGCAGCAATGGCGCTGCCCTTGGCTTCGGCCTTTGTGAGCCTCGAGTGGCCCTTGATGATCAGGGGGAGGAGAATGGAGATGACAATGACAATAAACACAATGACGGAGGCAGTAACGAGGGTCAGCGACCAGCTGTAGGTGAAGGCGACGATGATGGCGGTGACGATGGTGGAGGACCACTCGAGGAAGACGCCCAGCTTCTCCGAGATGCCAATCTGCAGCGTATTGGATGTGGAGGTGATGGTGCCGGCGGCGGCGCCCGTGGGCATGGAGTCTAGGACGTGGATGGTCTGGCTGAAGAGAGAGCACAAGTAGTGCAGTCTGATGGCCGCCGACATGCGGATTCCGATGAGGCGGAAGCAGAACTTGTTGATGTAGTTGAGACCGAAGCGGGCAACAAAGATGGCTAGCATGTAGAGGGCCAGCCTATTGACCTGGGACTCGAAGTCGGCAGCGGCCTGGGCCATGTCGTCGCCGAAATACGACTTAAAGCCTCCGACAACCTGGCCAAAGACGACGTTCATGAGAGGAAGTGTAGTGCCAGCGCCAATGCTAGCAATGCCAGCACCGAGCATCAAGACGTAGTCCCATTTGGTGGCGTAGCCAAAGACGCGCAGGTAGTCCTTGACCGTCGCCTCCCTCTCGGGCCGCGCATGGGCGCCTTTTGCCTTGCTATTCTCCTTGTCCTTGTCATTGACATTGACATTGACATTGACATTGTCGCTGACATTGTCACTGTTCTTGGGCTTGTCGTTGGTCGACTTCTCGTCGTTACTCTCGACAAGCCGCGAGTTGGCGCCTGGACTGCTCTCCTGGCCAGGGCCGGTGACCGTCATGCCGGGACTGGGTCTGGGGTTGGGTCGGTCGAGTCCCGTCTGTTTGGTTCGAGGCCAGCCACTGTCTCACGTTTGAACTTTAAAATGGGTTGGCTGAAGTTTGGCGCGAGACAGCCTGCTTGAGGTGAGGTAAGAACGGACGGAGTACAGCAAATACACCACGCAAAAAACAGTTGAACAGAGTCAGAGAGGATGGGAGATGGCGTGGGACCGCTGCCACGCCATTGCATTGAGAGGACAGTCAAGAAAAAGAACAGAGTTCCTTAAGAGCAGAGGCTGAAGAAAAGTCCGCGTCACATCCATTCTCCGAATTGAGTGAGGGCTGCACGCCGTGCCTCTGCTGCCTGTTGCAGTTCCATGCCACCACTGGTACTAGCTTCTTGGCTCGGGTTGCCGGCCAATTATAAGGAACCGAAACGGAATACGAAATACGGACCAATCATATACAGTACTCTGTCCTCCGTATCTGTGCCTATGTTCGGGTTAATTATTACATACCACGTCGGGTAGGATTTACATCCCGGCAACCGCGAATGTGCGAACCGATATTCACCCTTTACGGATACTTGTCAGGGCTACAAAAACGCCCTGCAAGGCGTCTGGCAGGGCGTTTTTATTGTCCTGACAGTAGTAGAGTGTTTTGTGCAACGCACAGGGAGGTTGTGTATCCGTAACGGCTCGGGGACTGCTGCAACGGTTTAAACCAAAGCCAAAACCAAAACCAAAAGTGACTGCGCGCATTTATTTCCACGTGCACCTCAATTACAATACTTTTCAAGTTGTCTTCCTCGGTACGGGAAGGTGCAATACACTGACAACTTGCCTTATTCGCTTTACACACAATCGAAGCTGCTACGGATTACATTCCTTTTGTATAAATTATATCATCAGAACCGACCCTTCGGTACACTGTACAGGATTTCCAGAATGACTATTGAAGGTAAGAGACACGTATATCGACTTGTCCCCACTAACTAGTTGGACTAGTTGGACTAGTTGGACTTGATTAGTTGATGCCTCCCTCGGAATTACGGACGATTCCTGTCGTTCGGGGCGCACCAGTCAATAAAATGAATGAATGGCATGGTTCTGCCTTGCCTAGACACCCCCTCGACCAGTCCAACCGGCACAAACCTCCCAGGACCCGTGCTCCCCGGAAATTATCAGGGTATGCTCGTCGCAGACTCGGACAGTCGAACTTTGACAAGTACCTGCCCCTGGGGCTGTCGGTCGTTTCTCAACGTCAAGGCCCACATCCTCCAGCCTATGGAATCTGACAGACTGACGTGAATGTAGTCCGGTGGTGGCAGACATGGTCGATCAGTGCGTTTTATATACATACAAGCAAAGGAGCTTGGTTGAAATTTCAAAGGAAACCCCAGCCTTAATTATCTCATGAAACCCTCTTCATTTCTTTTTCTTGTTCCGACTTATGCCGCGGGCCTTGCTGCCTAACAACTGAGACTAACTCAAATCCGCATAGATTTCGAGAGTGTTGACGACTCCGCACCCAGGCAGCCGAGTATCACATTCACGGCTCGACTCCACTCCAGGTTGCCACGAGCAATGTTGGGATGACCCTCACTGAGCTGAGGCACAGCATAAATTCACCGTCCGGAAGCAAAAGGATCGGTTTCACTCTAAACTGTAGCTGGTGCAGCATCCCATGTTTCCAATTGCAGGTTGCCGAGTCTAAGGCTGTTACTGCTGGGTCTCACTCCCACTGTCTCTCACGCTCCTCTAAACCCAAAGGCCATGTTATTGAACATGGAAGCTGCAGGTGCCTAGAAGCCGCTCAAGTCTGCGACGGGCCGGAGGACCGAGACCGAAACAGAGTTCCTGCTTTTCAAGCCGTAGTCAAGACAGAGCTGCAGTAGGCTCCCCGACTCCCGTCACCGGTCACAGGGCCGGGAGACAGACATCGAGAATTATTCTAGGAATAATTATAATACAGCCTTCATTATCCGTCCAAGATTGGTTCTTTCTTACAAATACTCTCGGCAATTACTGACTGCGCATTTCCATCTTCTTTTCGCTCTCCTCGACAGATTTGAATTAACAAACAACTCTCATTCCATTTACCTCGAGACCGCCACGTAGGCCGCCGCATCTTACGTCGAATACGCGCCCATGTCGAACGAGCCCAATACCAAGGCCACGGCGTCATCCAGCAGCAGCTTGGCGTCGTCGTCGAAAAGCGTATCATCGTTCAATATTAGTGTCCCGACGTGGGCATTTGGACAGTCGTACAAGCCCAGGCCGAAGCACCCAGAGTTTGTGTCGAGTTCTGAACCGTCGCTGGCTCCAATGGTCAGAACGCCAAGAAAGCCAGGTGCCGGATGGCGGCATTTCGTTCACTCTCCACGCCTCGAACACGTTCGCCGAGTAGAGCTCCCGACGCGGGAGAACCTGTTCATCAACCAGCCCAAGGACGTCGAGGTCGACACGAAGACCATCAACGCGTTCCCGGAGCAAAAGGACCCCAGCACCGTGCTCTACCACCAAGCCATCAGGAGGGGCGGGGAGGAGAGGCGCGTCAACGCCATCACCGTGGGCGAGGCCAGGTTGCAGCTGACGTGGACATCGATAGGTACACCGGAACCCGGCCGAGAGCCTGCATGCATCTCTGCGTGGAGGCGGCGGGGCGGCTCGAGAGGCAGGCCTTCAACGCCCGGCCTAGAGTCGTGATGGACTTCACGCGCGGCTTCTGTTCATCGATAAGAACGTGACCAAGTTCCGGTACAGCGACCTGCTTGGCCAGGGCTCATACGGCGTCGCGCGCCGTGTCGCCGACCCGCGCACGGGCAAGACGTACGCCATCAAGGAGTGGAAGGTCAGGAACCGCAGCAAAGACGTCGCGCAAAAGGAACAGTATGCGCTGGAGCACCTGCGGAACGAGATGAAATGAGACAGGAGATTGAAGTATGTGAGTGCTGCTTTATTTATTTCCCCTTGATTATTTGGTCCCACAGGAATCTTTCTTTCTAATTCAACACACATCGAAACAAATAGGACAATATTGTCGACTTCAAGAGGCACGAACAAAACGACGAGCTAGACCTAGAGCGCATCGTCATGAGGAACTACGAGGGCGACCTGTTTAGCCTGACGAGCGACGCGAGGTGATAGGCTACATCTGCAATCGCGAGCAGGACATTGGGTCGCGCGACTAGAAGGCCAAGCTGGAGTCGCTGGGCGGCAGCTTGGGGATCGGGATCCGCGAGCCGGTCGGGGAGGCCTGGTGCATCAACCGGCCCGTGGACAAGGACACGTGGACCACGCGCATCGACTTCGACAAGGAGGGTACCCGCAAGGGCCTCGTCTCGCTTGTGTTACTCTTTTATGCTGTCCGCCGACCCAGCGAACCGGTATTGGCCAGCCGACTGCATCGATAAGTGCCCGACGAGGCCAATTAGGTACAATACATTCCGCGGGTGGTGGTGGCACCAGCAGCTGCTGCATCGTCCGGAAGCCAGGGATCTTGTTCCTCGACATCATCTGGGACAACGGCATCCGCCGCCGCCGCCAGCAAGCCTTTGGGCACAGTACAAGCAAAAGCCGGCACTAATTGATACCGCGGCTGGGGGAAGCGGGCAGTTCCAGTCCCAGAACAGTGGAGGAGGCGGTTCGGGGGGATCCGATCTCTGGGGAAATACGCCTGAGCTAGGTTGCATTGGTAATCAAGGTACGGGGTATGTTGGTGGGTACAAAATTCGCGGTGGCACAGAGCAGATGGCCTGACCTGACGGTCCTTGCCGCAAACGGGCCGCATTCCCTCGGCTCTGGTTTAACAGCATTTCCGGGTGGGCCGCTCTTCAGGTCAGTGGCCGCTCATCCTCATTCCTTCCTTCGGGTTGCCAAGAGTATGTTGGTCGCGAATCGCCGGAGGAAAACTGAGGCGCAGCCAGCACCCAACGCAACGGGTACATGCACATGCCCGACGGGAAGTTGGAACAACAGGTCCAGGTCCAGGTCCAGGACGGACCCCTCTCACCACCTTCCTACATTACCTTTGGTTACCTATTTGATGAAAACCGCCGCCCGGAGTCGGACACCCTCTCAAACAAGCTGTCTGTCCAATTTAATGCAAGAGTTCAAGCCTGCGACGCGACTAGGTGGCCATTGACCTCCACTAAACAAGCCCGCGGCCAGCCCACCCACCCACCGAATCGCCTGGAGCCTGCCGCCACGGGCCCGAGGATCAAGGCCGAAACAGCCCACCCACAGTCCCACACTCTAGGCTGCCCGCCCCGCCCTTTCATCTCTCTTCTCGTCTTTCCTTTTTCTTCTCCTTCCATTCGTTCTGTTTGAAATATCAAACCCCACACTCTCCGTTAATACTCTTTCAAATCCCCCTCCCTGACCCTCCCTGTGTGTGACCCCCACGAGGCCTGAGCAGCGCCCAACACGTCACACGGACCGTTATACCGCGTCAGTTCATCAATATCGAGCCCACAACGGCCATCATCCAGTGATCGTGATAGTATGCCGTCGGCATTGCCAGACCGAGCGGATTCGCCAGTTTCAGCGTCGCGAGGAGGACGCATAGAAGACCAAGCCCTCGTCCTCGATAACGTCGCTTCTTTCAAGCTCTCCCCCGCGGGCGACAAGGCCAAAGACATCGTCAAATTAAATCATGAGCACAACCCTTTGTTGATTACGAAGTATGAAGCGCCAAACGAGGGCCACCCCGGATATTTCACCGTCATGCATACTTACGACCCTAAGACGCCTAGTGGAAAGCTACTCTCATTTGGCACGGCCGAAGCCAACGACATTATCCTCCCCGCCAATTGCGGGTACTCGTCGCACCACTGCTTCCTTTTCTTTGATCCCGAGGATGGACAGCTCGTCTTCCAGGACAACACCGGCGGGATGGCAACCGTCTACAAGTATTCGCCTACGCCAATTATCCCAACTATCAATCTCGAACTCACATCGCTGCACAAAGTCCAAAAAAAGCCCATAAATGCGTTTGAAAATAATCCCAGTCGCAACCAGATTATCACCAGAGGCGAGGGAGATGATACAGTACATGTCATCACTGTGGGCGAAGCTAGATTCAAGTTCGAATGGAATAACATTCATAAGTCAGACAAGGACTGGGACCGAGAATATAGTCGACACTTGTGCCTGTCGACGGCTCGGCGACTGGAAATGGCACTCTTTCTGTCAGACGCCTCCAAGCCCAGGATGAACTTCGTGCCCGGGTTCCTTGAAAGTGCCCACACCGACTTCTCCTTCATGATCCTGGAGAATGCCGACGATGCCAGGTACGGCGAAGTCAAGGCCGGGTTCGACCACAGAACGGGCAAGACATTCGTAGTAAAGGTGGCGTTGCATTACTTGGACAAAAATGAAGCGAAAATAGCCTGGAGGCCAGCTGTGAAACAGGTGCTGAACGAAGTGAAATGGGGCCTGAAATTGAAGCATGTGAGTAATGTTGCTTGCTATTTATTCAGCCTCCTTCCTTTTCTAATCTAATGCGCGTCTGGTCATAGAACAACATTGTCGACTTTAGAAGGTGCGAAACGCTCCGGGGCGAGCAGCGCATCGTAATGAAGAGATACTTGGGCAGCTTGGAAACCCTAATGACACGAAATCGCCTGGAGCTCCAAGGTACCGCCAATCACAACTGCAGTCACCCAGTTGTGTATCAGCCCTCATGGATGCCATATTTGGTGAAAGGCGTCCTCGAAGGGCTGGTCTACCTGGCAGGGCAGGGAGTCTGGCACCTTGACCTCAAAGCAAACAACATACTGTACGAGCCGTTCATGTTTGGTGGTCCGGCGCCGAAAGAAATCGTCGCCCAAAACTACAAATTCGTCATTGCGGATTTTGGCTTCGCCGTTGAAGCCCCCCAAAAAACTCCCAAAGAACCGAGTCCGACCAAGGATTTTACTAAATGGGAAATTCTAGAATCCTACCATGCGCCAGAGCTCCTCGGGCCGCTCTCAAAGGCCACAGAGACGTCACATCAGCCTTCGCTTGCCATGCTGTTTCTTCAGGCCCAGGAATACATTTGCTCGAACTCTCATCTCATGACTTCTAAACAGTGGAAAGACAAGCTAAATCATCTTGGTACCTTGGCTGAAATCCCAGATCTCGGGGGGAAATGGTATCGCGCAATGGCTGAGTCTGAAAAGATTGTGGCTGAAAAGGGAGAACAAAACGATCTTTATAAGAAATTCGATGTCAAGGTCGATGAGGCTTGGTATAGGAGTATGAGAGAAGAAGTCGAGGATGAAGCGGCGAGAATTAACTCGGATAACACAATACCGCAGATCACTAAGTTGGAGGTTTGGCACCGGTTGATGAGATGGCACTCTCGCCTCGAGTGGCTCGCAACCTTCAGCGACCCCGTGTCCCACAAACGCGCCATCCCAGCGTGTCACCAACAACTTCTCTGCATCGATCCCAGAGGCCGAATGTCACTAACCCAATGCCTCAACCGTTGGCGGCAAAACCGCTACGACTTTATAGCAAGGGTGGGTAAGGAAAACCATTATATTCACCCTTTGATAGAAGTCCCCGCCGCCTTGTGGCCTAAACCATCGGCATCGAGGACGGTGAGATCTGATTCAAGCAGCGGCAGCGGACTGGGCGGAAGCGACAAGTCCTCGCCCATGACCTTGGTCTCGTCCTTGGAGTCAATGTCGTTGTCCGGCACGCTTTCTTCAGGAAAGGGCACCCACCTGAGAGAGGCGAATTAGGACTAATTTTGAAATCGGAATTTGCCTCGTGAGGACCGGAGCCTCTGGGGATGGAGAAACGAAAAAAAAAACAAGGAAGAAAACAAGAAAAAAACAGGAATCAGGGAAAAAAACACTCCCTTGGCAGATAACTAACGAACAAGCAACTTTTTTGAAGACATTATTATATTTGGCGGTGTTGCAGAAACGAGAAGGGACATAAACGAAGAAGCGGATATGGGGGAAATCGATTTCACTTTACCTTCCCTTCCCTACCTTAGGTACCTAGCTAGACTAGACGGCAGGTTCCGTCTAATATTCAGACGCAGATTTTGTTTTCGAGTTCTCTGAGCAAATGCAGTTGGTTACCTACTTATTACCTCGGTAACTAATACCAGGTACGAGTACGCCTTGCTGATATTATCACATCCCCTTTTTACCCTGTCAACCCCAAGGAAACCAAACCAATCCTGGTGGGACAGCGAATGGCCGAGCGCGCGGCTATTGAGCCTCCTCTGTGGTTCTGTGTCCTCAACAGGATGGTTTCCTTGGATACTACCATGCAGGCGGGTTTGTCGCCAATATATATATTTCTTCTTATTTTCATTAAAACCCCAAATTCTCCAACCCCCCCCCCCACGAGAACAAATCAAACCAGCGAGCCATGTTTGGTTTTGCCACGATAATGTGAAATCAAAACCAGGCAACGAAAGCGATGGAGATTAGGATTCCCGGGGAGGGCCTCTCGTCGTCAAAAAAGCTCGATAATTATGCCGCTAGTGGGCGGGGAAAAGTTTAGTTATCGGACGTCTAATTACCTAGTTCTAGTATCTAATGCAAATATTAGTAAACCAGATTGTATTTGTCCTGCAGACAGAATTATCTGCCGGGCGTGTTATGCCCTCTCGCCTTTTCCTTCTCCTTTTTCTTTCCCTATTTTCCGCTAGGGTCTCAGTGTCTTTGTACTTAATCATTTAGCGGCCGCTCGAGATGCGTAGCGCGTGCGGTCCAAGGCTTTGTTTTAGGGTGGCTTTGATCCATCTCCAACGTCGAAACTGCCAGGCGGAGGCTTTGGAAAAGCGAAGCCATGTTATGGGATCAATTGCCTATAGCATGATTATCGTCATTCTACTTGTATGAGATGTAGAATAATAATCAGGACGCCCACATCCATGATCCGAGATTCCCTCCCATTCCGAGTAGACCAGGGCAGACTTGTAATTGCCACCTTGGCCGAACGGCGGAACCAGTGTCCATAACTAGACTCCAACTGCCCGGGCCAGTTTGATTAAGTATGAATCAAAACTGCGAGCTATCTTCTTTAGCAACCTTGTTAACTGTCTCTCTACTCGTATTCTTTCGCTGCTGCTGCGCTGCATAATTAGTAGTCTGAAATACCTCGCATACAGATATCAACTGGGGAAGATGTAATCAAGCTTGTATACAACAGGCCAGGGTATAGACTCCTCATAAAGCCGAGTTGGGAATTTCAGCAATCAACTACTACGGTATCTAATCATAGCATTAGCTTATATCAGCCAACACTGAAGTTGTGGGTCCAAGTAGACTCGGTGGCCTAACCTAGGTACTCAGCTGCGGGCCGGACTCCCAAAGAGGGGGGGGAGGAGGGCTGGGTTGGCCGGTGGCTGATTGTGACCCTCTAGGGAATGCTGACTGGTCGCAAACCCGCACCCCCACTCTGACATTTATTTGAAAACAGGAAAACGGCTCTTATTGTAATGTACCTTAGTTTTTCGGCATTTCATTTGGGAACGTAAATGTCAGAACAAACACCAAGACACCACCCCCCGCTGCCCGTCTCTCCATCAAGTCACTAAATAGGTACCCAAGGTATGTAGTCTAAGTAATTACAATTCACATTGCCACCAGGTTTATGCACTGTTGCTCTACCCCCCTTTTTGTCGCGCCGGGCCAGCTGGCTGTCGTGTTGGGCGCCGGGCCAAGATGGCACTGACTTCCTACCATTACCCAAAGTACCGAAGCCAGAGGTTTTCGGGATCCTGTTCCAGCAGTTCGAGGCACCTGGCCGGCGTCTTGCGCTTCTTTCTGTCCAAGCACAGGAGGTATTTGCAAATCATCGGGAACCCTTTATTCTTTCGGGCGAGACAGTCCAGCCGGCGGCAGTAGCGCACCATCTGGTTTCTTTCCGTGGCATGCTCTCCCCGTGCGTTCTTGTAGTCGGGCATGGCATCGTCCTCCTCGGTGAACTTGGTCTCGGCGTCCTTCATGCCCAGGAAACGCAGCTTGACGCATCAGGCATCGTGTCCCATGGCGGTGGGCTCGGCCGGGCAGACAAAGCCCATGGCGTCGACCAGCAGGTGGCCCATCGACCACATGTCGGACTGGGAGTAGACGAGGCCGTCCATTGACACTTCGGGCGAATTCCAGACGGCCAGTGATTTTAAGAGGCCAGGCTCGGCTATTTTTGGCTCTATGCGCCCCTTGTTGCCGCCCCTCATGCTAAAGCTGGTACCTTTTTCACGTGGGGTGTGGTGCGGGATGAGGAGAGTTCTTAGGTTCTCTCAGTAAAGCCTGAGCACGAGAATTTGCAGCTCTTTCGTCTTCCTATCCTTGAAAACCGTCACGACGTGGACAAGGTTCTCTTACAACCATTCATGCTTAATTAGTGGTGAGAGAAACGAGACGGCGTCGGCTACGAGAAGCCGATATTAATTAAGTAGGCACTCACGTGTTTCAATTTCCAACAACGCCACTCCATAGCAAAACAGTCGGATTTCCAGTTCCCATTACTAGATGCCTCGGCACGGGCAGATGCTTTACACGTGGCCTTGGCGGCGTATGCTTCCTTTTAATTTCATCGAGAATTTTGAATATGTCGTTATAGACACCATAGTCGAGCAAGTCGTTTTCGTTGTATAGGTTGTAAAGCTCACTTAGTATCGGTACGCGGATGTAGCTATTTACGGGGGTCGGCAAGCCTCGAGTTCTGCGGCTCCAGCCGTCTGCCTCGAGCTGCCGAGCCCTTGTACGATATAACCCCGAGCAAATTCCCTTATACTTTGGGTCCAAGGCTTTATCACTCCATTGAAGTTTAAAGACCATGTTGACGATTTGGATCCTGATTCCCCTGGCTGGCCTAGGGACGATCTGTTGAACACCTCTTGCCAAGTCGGCACTCTTTTCTTCTGGCCGGTGCACGAAAGTCTCCGCTCGTTTCTTTGAATTACCTAGAAGAACGGTCGTGTTAACCGGGTCGTATGTATTATGGAAGACGAGATCCCCGTTACTGGGGTCAAGAAATAAGTAGCACTCGATAAGTTTGAATTCCTCAGGGAGTTTAATGTCGTGGTGGCAGGAATCCGAGTCATTGCTGTAACCAAACGAGCGGAGTCGGCCTGGGAACTTTGGGGCTATATCAAGACTCAGGGACCCCACAATGTAAAAGAGGTCGCGGCCGTTGTTTCTCTTTTCTCTCTTCATGACTGACTTCACGTCTGACTCCTTGGACTTTTTGTAGATATTTTTAAGAAAATTGGCGGTGGTCTCTCCGTTCTTGTCGTACGCGCTCTCGCTGGACACTACCATGCGAAACATGATATTCCAACTTGGAACCTTGATTACTCCAACGCCCTCCGTTCTCAGCGGTGCTGTGTTTGGCAAGCGCCACGATGGCGGGCGGCTCTGCCTTCAGGTGTGAGTGTAGCTGCTCCTTGAACGAGTTCATGATGGCCATGAGCCCGGTGCCCGAAAACCCGGCGCCTTCCTCTAACAGGTAGCCCTTGAACCGGCCCATACCGCCGTGAAAGGCAGCTGTGTTGACCAAAAGGCACAAAGCGGAAAGTCAGGTTAGCTTAGCCTACACCGAGACGAGACCCAGGACATACGAGCAGTAATATTTACGCGCGCGTACGCGGCAAAGACGTACCGTGTTCTTCAACCGCCCCATAGACCGTGCTGACTAGCTGCCTTGTCCAGGTTAGGGAACAGCTCCGTCTCCTCAAAGCGGTGGTGCGCCGCAACACATGCATGCCAGGCAATACAGTAGCCAACAAAGTCGTTCTTCATGGCGGGGGGCACGCGAGGTGCCCGCTGGTAGATGCTGTTGAAGCCGCGGATAAACGCGTTGTGGCTCAGGGCCATGTGGGAGGCCGCGACTGTAAAGGGATCCGTCTGGCAAGGTCGCGGTTAAGTGTTCAGGGTTGACGCACCTCGCCTGTCTCAAACTGGGGCGTCGCTATCACCACCAGCGGAGTGTTTGTGTACATGGGAGGCACGGCTGCGGCCATGTTGACACGGTGACAGAACCCTAGCCTTGAGGTTCCGGTCGCGAGACAGGAGTTACAACTACGAGAAGAGTTCCTAGAACAGACACGGAGTGAACGGGTAGGTTCAGACAAGATTAAATACCTATCTAGGAATCGCTTGATCCTTCCGTTAGGGAAAACCAACAAAAAAACTAGTTGGGGCCGGATCGTCTACGGAGCACCTTATACGCGGAATATTGCCTTTGGCACGTTCACTGCATCGTCCCCCTGTCTTCTTCAGTGCTCATCCGACGGTGGTATTCCCGGCCTCTCAAGGTTCTAGGACTCTTTGAAGCTGAGAAAATGCACATAAAGAAGCCAGCAGAAGGGGCGGGACATTTTTGGGCACTGATAGAGAAGTCAATTGAACCCAATGAGTTGTAATATTTGACGAAATGTTGTAGTTCTTAGTAAATCTTGATCTGAGGAGTCGGCATGTGGCATCCATTTGTGGCCGGGAAGCACGAAACCAGACACAGGAAACAGTATTCGTGGAAAATCTTCTATATTGGGGACATGAACATATTGTCGAAATAATGGAAAGATATTGCGGCAAGATATCGTAGGTAGATGCCGAACCTTGAGCATGAATATGAGAAAGAAACGGGACTTGACTTTTTAACACGACGACGATGGGATGTTGGGAGTCGGGACAAAACCCCTACTGTGGGGCAGCGTTAGGCCAATAGCACACAGTACGAACAGTACATACCTCCCAGAGCACTGACACCGTTGCACTGGCCACTTGATTTGCTTCCCAGGGCGTCAGCCTCGTCAGCCTCGCAGCAAGGTCCCGCATTCTGGGTCCCAAAGTCGATTTTCCCTGATGCAAGGCGGGACACGATTGAGTCACCCACGCCAGATTTACTGCCCGCACTTTGGATGCACGGCTTGTGGACTTTCATCATTCGGTCCTCTAGACCAGAACGACGACTGGCACTGGCACTCAAGCACTCTGCGCAATCCTCACCCGCAGCCGCCTATTTCGCTTCCCGACGAAGCTTCGCGACCAGCACCCGAAACCTCCGGCTTCAGGCCCCCGCCGCTCTCGTCGAAGACATGGCGCCCAAAGGCGGCAAGTTCGAAATCAAGTATGCCCACCACCCACGAGCCCCGCACATCAGCCCAAGCAGTCGCATTTCTCCAAAATAAGACATCTGCTTTTGTGTTTTCTTCATGGAGCCCTTCCTTTTACCTTGGCTACCAACAGCTTGTGGTAATGTTCCAAACTAACTGAGCCACTATTACAGGACCCCGAAGGGCACGATAGACTGTACGCAGCTCCCCAGGCATTGTGCGCCCCCTCCGAGCCTCGGCTGATCGATTATACTACTATGCAGGGGATGGAAGTGACATGATAATAAGAGAGAAGATCTTCTCCACCATCACCGAGGTCTTCAGTATGTGGCCCGCGACCCAGCACGCGACCAATGGCTGCGACACTTGCTAACGGCGCCAACAGAACGTCACGGCGGCGTAACAATCGACACGCCTGTTTTCGAGCTAAGGGGTACGTGTCTGTCCTGTCGTCTTGTCTCTGGGAAATCCAGCTAACCCGCTCGTCATAGAAATCCTCGCAGGTACGAAGCTTCAGCATCAAGGCTAAGTCGGTCGCCGGTCGCTCGCTGACATGGGGACACAGGGAAGTATGGAGAGGACAGCAAGCTCATCGTACGCATTCCTTCTTTAGAATATCACTCCGCAGGCACCACGTCCGACTAACACGGCCGTCTTTGTAGTACGACCTTGCGGACCAGGGCGGCGAGCTATGCAGCTTGAGATATGACCTGACTGTTCCCTTCGGTATGGCAATGCATATAACCCTGCCCGCCACCGGATGCTAACCTTTGGCTACAGCCCGGTACCTGGCGATGCACAAGAACATCACACAGATCAAGCGCTACCACATCGCAAAGGTGTACCGCCGAGACCAGCCGGCTGTCAAGAAGGGTCGCATGCGAGAGTTTGTCAGTGGTCTTCCCCCGAGGATCCAACATATCTGAGAGCTAACACTTATTCCGTGTTTCAGTATCAATGCGAGTATGTCTTCCTCGATCCTGCTTTGTGGCTGCAGGGCTACCCGTAAACTAGACTTTCGCAAAGTGCTAACGTGTAATCCCTTGCCGAAGTTTTGACATTGCGGTATGAACCGTTGAATCCCAGAGTGGCATGCTCTGATCTGGTACTGTATTCTAATCTTGGTGGTTAGGGCGCATTTGATCCCATGATTCCGGATGCCGAAATTGTACGTGGGAGGCTTAAATCCGAGCATATTCTTTCTTCGGCTCGGCCAATGTAGCATACTTACCGTCTAAGTAGATACGGATTATCAACGAGGTGTTTGACAGCCTTGGCTGGCAAGGGGCATACACCATCAAGCTCAACTCTCGTAAGATCCTTGATGGCATCTTCCAGGTCTGCGGAGTCCCTGAGAACTTGATCCGGCCCATCTCGTCCGCCGTCGACAAGCTTGACAAGATGCCCTGGGAAGATGTGCGCAAGGAAATGGTCGATGAAAAGGGCCTGGATTCTGCTGTCGCTGACAAGATTGGTGAGTGCGACTTTATTCTGCCCGTTGACATGGCTAACAACGTGACAGGCAAGTGGGTGGTACTCAAAGGGCAGCGAGACCTGCTCGAGAAGCTGAAGCAGGATGAGGATCTTTCAGCAAACCCGTCCATGCAGCAAGGATTCGCAGACCTTGAGGCGCTTTTTACCTACCTCGAGTATTTCGGTGCCCTCCACACCGTCTCCTTTGACCTTTCTCTCGCCAGAGGTATGTTTTCCCGAGAAAGAACTGTGGCGCCAACTGCGAACTTCTAGCTATGGCCGATCAAGGCGCCTTATCTCGATCCCGGTTGCTAACTCTTGTGGGTTTTTCAGGACTTGACTGTAAGCACCAAACTTCGCGCTGTTAGATAGTTCTTCACTCAACTAAACATCGGAAAGACTACACAGGAGTCATCTACGAGGTGGTCACTGAAGGCTCTGCTCCTGAGGTATCTGCTTCCGCGGCTGCTTCCGCGGCTGCTTCAGACTCCTTGTCTAAGGCACCTAGAAAGAAAAGTGGAAAGTCTGGGGATCCTGATGAGGATCGTTCCAATGACCCAACCGTAGGAATAGGTGAGGCACTTTGCCTAGTTACACATCAACACGTCTCCATTGCTAACATCATATAGGTTCTGTCGCGGCAGGTGGCAGGTTAGTGCCCGACAACTTTATCCTTTCGTAAACTGGCCATGATCACTTTAAGCATAACGCCGCTACTGGCTTCTTTTGGCGACGACTTTACCATTACTATACTGACATGTGATAATAGATATGACAATCTCGTGGGCATGTTCTCTGGAAAGAGCCAAGTGCCTTGTGTCGGTATCTCCTTCGGCATTGACCGCATCTTCTCTATTACCAACGCGAGAATGAAGGCTCAGCACAAGACTGAGGAGCCTAGGAAGAACGACGTCGATGTCTTTGTCATGGCATTCGGTGGCGGCAAAGACTTCACAGGATTACTCAAGGAGAGAAGCGAAATCTGCGCCTCTCTGTGGAGTGCTGGAATCAAGGTGAGTCTGGCCTCTGGAACTGTGGTGAGGGAGAGATGTGCGGGCCATATACAGACCAGACCTCTAACGAGCTCGCTGATTACATGGGGACTAACATTTGTGAAGGCCGAATTTCTCTACAAGCTGAAGCCAAAATTCCAGAATCAGTTCAAGGCAGCTGAGGCAAACGGTGTTCCATTTGCTCTCATCTTGGGCGAGGTACGTATTCGCTGACGACCGTCTTGTATTGGCTGCAAAGTCTTCGCTTGGTGGCAATTATCATAGATTGACGGTCGTTCTGCTCTCTTTCAGACGCTAACGTTGGATTGCAGGACGAGCTTGCTCAAGGCAAAGCACGACTCAAGGAGATGGGTCTCCCCGACGACCACCCGTTGAAGGAGGGCGAGCTCATTAGCCTCAAGACCCTTGCTGAGGACGTGCAACAACGAATCACACGGAAGAAGCAATTGGATGCCCTTACGCAGAAAGCGGAAGGTCTGAGAGTTGTCCATGGCATCAAAGGAGAAGAGGTAAAGTCTGCAGCAACTGACTCCACGACGGCCGAGTCCTCTCAGCCCGTTGAGCAGCCTGCTGTGCAGCCTGCTCCTGCAGCACCGGAGGCAACTGAAACTGTTAAATCGTAGGATGGGAGGGCCGTCTAACTCGGCAATCAAGATGCGTATAGCGATTTCCCAAAAGCATAGACGTATTTGTTTCTCTCAGATAGAGTTCTTAAGACCTTCAACTATTCCATATTTTGCCCCGTATCACTTTTCTTCAGGTTAGAACCAGGAATCTGCGACACTTTCCGGTGATATGGGAGATTCTGGGGAGAAATGTATTGTTCGTCACCGTCTCACTGACAAACAGCCCCCCGCCCCACAGGGGCCAAAGCGGCTTTAGTACGACCAAAGCCTGCAGCAACACTGTCAAAGCTTTTTATATGATACGGGGATGTTTAATCTAAAGGATGGAAACTTGTTTCGACGGCCCGCAAAGAGACTAGTGCCTTTTTATTATCTGAGTTGCGCTTTGCTTCTTGTCGGCTTGCTTACATCCATCTTCCTGTGGGTGGATGGGTGTAGATGGATGGAGATGACTAAACAAATCTCAAAATGAACACAGCAGAGTCGCAGAGTCGCCGACTGAGTAAGACGACGGCGGCTAGTTAGACAAGAAACCTCTTTTTTTTTCTTTTTTTTTCTCGATCGGCATCTGGCTAGTTTATGTGTCTAGTCCGCCGATATTGCAGATATCTTACCAGGTGCTGAGTATTTTTAAGGCGCTTGTGGTTTATTATGCCCTTGCTTTCATAAGTCGAGAATAGAGCTCTTCTTCGAGTCTCGAGTGCTGGCTGGCTGGCAACCCCTCGTTGAGCACGACCTTTCAAGTCCCCTCACCACGGTCGCATTTTGTGTGGGGAATGGAACGTGTTGATAGTGATTGGCGTTCGTGCCAGTCAGTGCACTCTCTCTCATCATCACCCTGTCTCTCACATCAACAGGGGTCCAGCCCACGTTACGTCGAGAGTTGACAACCCTTTCCCGCCTTGCGCTTTCTCTCTCTCACAATTGTTGTTGGCCTCTCGGCGGGAGGAGGGGGGACCGCATAAAACAACCACGCGGCTCTTGGGATTGCGGTCATCTTATTTACTGTGCCTACCAACAGAGAGAAAGAGAGGACTTCTTCTGCCTTGTTGTGCTATAAAAAGACACACGGGTTTTTATTACGACAGACACACAAGACACGCAGCCACGGGTCTGGGAGATTTGAATGCGGCACAAGAGACGAAATGAAATTGACGATTGCGTCGTGAGTAAATAATATAACAGAGTGGTGGGAGTCTGCTGAGTGTGTGTGTATAAGCAAACGACTGGGCCGCGACTTTACACCAAGCCAGCAGATGTTCTGGACGGACGCGAGCGGCAAAGAGGGAGAGAGAAAGAAAGGGGGGGCGGCAGCCAATCCGCAGATGATTATCGTCAAATATCGAGAGGTCACGGACTGGACTGGTGGCCGAGTGACAGACAACGACAAAGTGACAGTCTGGCAGGATTGACACGGCTTTGGCCGCTTGTTTGAAAGGATGGAGAATGGAAGGTTTGTGGAGTTGCTGCAACCGTGATGTATTTAGTAGTGCAGTGCAGAGGACGAGAACTTTAAGAAGAGGCCGGAGAGGGTCGCAGTCATAGTTCTGCTCTTTCCCAATACGGAGTGCAACGCAGTCCGGCCCCCCCCCCCACCACATCCCATCCCATCTCGAAACGAATGCCTGCTGACTTCTGCTTGTCGTAGTGGTTGAACAACCGCCGAGGGCGAAAAGAGAGAGCGGAGTGTTTCCCGTCGCTCGAACAAGCAGAGGAACAGAAGAGACAAGAATGTTACTGTCGTCCAATGGGGTGACAGCCGTTTCTCGGAAATGGGTTAGCGCAGCATTGGCTTGACTGCGCCAGGCTAGGGGGTCCAGCTTTTCGGGTGCTTGGCGGCTCTGGCTCAGGGGCAAAAGAAAAGGCTCGAGCACCCCTAAAAGGCCTCAGCACTTCTGCGTTGCTGCGAGTTTCTGCAGCACAAGCCCTTCCCGGGCCCTGGCGTTCGGCTCATGCCCTAACCTCACCCCTGCATCGCGATCGTGAGAGTGTTCCAACCTCCACCTGTGGAAGGGGGGACCCATCGACCCATCCTGGGTTCGCTCATTCCCAGTCAAAAGGAAGCTGGCTTCACAGCCTTTGCCTTTTCGTCCCTTGCACGGATTCCTAGCTCTGCCGAATTTTGCACTTGGGCCACTGGTGTCATGCAGCTAAAAGGAAGAGACAGTCGGTCAACCTGAGCTCGAGCCCAGCCAGCCCAGTGCAGTTAAACTTATCAGCTCCTCCCTGCTGTGTTTGTTGTTCGGGCCTGGTAGGGAAATTTAAAGAAAACTTACAACGCCCCTTCCGTTGTTCACTTCAGCATCCCTCCTTTTTTTTCCCTCCGGCTGAACTTCCGTTGTCGTGTGTGCGTGTGTGTGTCGACAATCCGACCTATCCACTCCTTCGCCGTCACTGGACCCGTGGACCCTGCCAAAAGCTAAAAGTTAAAAAGAGCAAACGCATCGTCTTCGTCCGACTTCCCTAACCGACTGACTTTCGCATTACATTCTGCTGCAGTTTGTGCAATACTTTGCTGTATTTGTACAAACGTTTCAACTTGCAGCCGGTGCCACGACTCGACTCGGCTCGACTCGCTTCTTCTCAGCGCAGTGCAGTGCTAAGTCGCCGCCAAACTCGGTCCCATTCACCCGCCTAACTGCCGCGTCCGTCGCAAGTGTGGTAGCTCTCCCGGCCCGTGTTTTGGGGCGTGGGATTCCCGAGGACAGTTGTGCGTCTGTCGACGTGCCTCGGCGCCTTGGACCACTGGCCTCGTCGGTCACCATCAGGCTAATATCCTAACACCGTTCTTTACTCCTGACCCAAGATCGCAAGTCCGGGTCGTGCGCGATCGGCCGAGTTTCGAAGCGTCGTCGATCCTTATAGGGGCTACTGCTTTGCTTCCCGTGCCCCTCCGTTCCTGATCGGGCCCCCCCCCCCCCCCCCCCCCGGTCCGCCCCGGCTTCCTGGGAATTCGAGAAGCTCTCGTCTGGGGTGGCATGCTGGCTCTTCAGCTGTGCCCTGTATCACTTCTGCCCGCGCCGAGAAGGAGAAAAGGGAGCACAAGGGCCAGACACTAAAGAAGCCCCGACGGCCCTCGTTTCTACCGTCCGAACTCTCAGCTGTGCGCCTTGTTCAACCTCAATTTTACTTAGCACTTGAGTTTGCTACTATCATTGGCTATTCTTGCCTCCCAGCTATCGGAAACCTGCATGTTTGACGGGACACAAACCGACTCACCGTCACGTTCGGCGCAGCGAGTTACACAGGAAAGAGAAATCTTGTTCAAAAATCTCGCGGCCGCCTCCCCGGATCTGGGCCTGCCACTCACTTTGCAACATTTGTCGAATCTATCTCACGTATAACACACAAACCAGCCATGGCGGGGCTAATACCTCTCATGCTGGCATCGGGCAACCGAACATCCTATGTCTCTCCCCAAACACCTCTCTCACAGCAGTCTAACACGACTACGACTACGATGACGCAACAAATGACAAGGTCAAAACATGCCAGGCGGTCGTCTCGCACCCTGTCTGTTTCTCTGGCTGCGTTGCCGTATACGCGGTCCGACTGGAGGAGGACCATCTCGGACATCAAACGACAACACCTCACCAAGATGTACCGTGCGTGCTGGACAAGGTGTAATGAGATCCTTGACAACATCAGCGACGCCTCTCAGATCGAACCCGTCTACCAGATATATCTGCACTTCTACGCCGCCGCCTCCATTGTCGAGTCCTGTGCGCGGCCGCCGCCATCTACTTCGACCTCGACCTTTCGGACAAGCCTCCTACAGCAGGCCCGCGCACACTTCGATCGCGCCGCCTCCCTCATCTCTGCCGCCGAAGAGTCGGTCGTCCGCCGTGTGCGGCCGGGCTCGGTAATGTCATCACGGGGTTCAAGCTGTCACTCTCCCGCAGGGTCGATTAGCTCCCGGACATGGACATCGGATACCCCCATGTCGTCTCCAACCAATTCAGTCTACTCGTTTGAGGATCTCTCTGCCAAGTCGCAGTCGTCGACAAACACCTCGCCCGTTAAGCGCGTCAAGAAGGTGTCGTTCTCGCTTCCTCATGATAAACCCTTCCGCGCCTTACGGGAGCCCATGGTCCGCCCGGACTCACCAACCCTTGGGCTCGATGACGAGTACTTCCATCTGGGCGCAGCGCGGCAAGAACTCCCCGACCTGCCACGACCCAAGTTCGAAGAGGTTGAGCTCCCGTTGCAGGTCGTCTCGGATATGGGTAGCAGCGCTTACGAAGACGCGTTCCTAACCTCGCGCTCTCTCGACCGTTCCGTCGACCGCTATTGCGATACCCTAGGCGGACTACGAGCCCAGCTTGCCAGCCATTTGGCCAGCCTGGATAGTCTGCTCTCGGCCAAACCCGACCCGACCCAGAGCTTCCGCCTTTCTTTGGCTTTGTCTGCCAGGCCCAGAAGCGCTACCCCTACCCGTTCGTCGTTTTCGGGCCCAGCAGACGACGTGATCGCCCTCGACCGTAAGGCGCGCATTGAGCGCCTGCGCCACAGCGGGTGGCAGCGCAAGCGCTTTGATGCGCGCCGCTATGAGGAGCTCTGTGAGACTGTCATGTCGGAGCTTGCTTGAGGCCTCACCGACGTGGAGACCTACGCGACACGATAATCAACGACACTGACTTGCACGATACCAAAGACACACACAAACACACAGAACACAGACACCTAAGATAGACATGTTATTATAATGTATCATTTTACGGAGGCATGATTTGCTGCTGCCACCATTACAACTTATCGCCAAGATATATGCTCCTTTGTATGTATGGATGCTGTATGGATATATGAAAATTGCTATTATTACACTATGACGAGGGAAAATGGGACAGGCACAGCGATGCAGTTCGAAACTCAAGAGTCATTTGCGAGCGAGCATGGCGCGGGATCTTTAATTCTTGGTATGGGCCTACTCCAGATGCCCTGGCGTATGGATTGGGGCGGATTGGTCCCAAATGGACGGGACCTCTTTTCTTGTACAGCATTTGTATATAGATTACATTGTATATTGCCTAGGCATATCCATTCGTTTGGGACCTTGACAGCTGTTTACCTCGTACTTGTGTTTGCGTTTGCATCTCTATCTCATTTTCCGCGCCAGCTACATCGTCGTCGTCGTCCTCGCCATTCCCGTGATCTATCCCACAATTTTACGTTCTTCTTTTCGCCATTGACAGAGTATGTCATCATCCATTCCCTTGCAGCCGAGGTATACATGGCCATTAAATCTCGCGAACGGACCTCATCTCGCACAACACTGGTTCCGTTTAATTGTTTTGAACGAAAACTGGTCAAGCAGGTCGGCATAATGAAGCTTTAATGACGATCACCACGCAACCGCGAAATAATTATAACAACGATGACAATACCGTATTAGCGGCCAAATAAGCCGAACCCAGAGGCGAGCTGGTTCCAGGTCAGTCAATCTGCCGCCAGCTTTAAGCTCACTCGGTTCTCAGCCCGTTCCGCGTTCGATATTCATGCCCTCCTAGGGTTTTTTTGGTTGTTTCTCGGTCAACCCCATCCATCATCCATGCCTTAGCTTGGCCTGTTAAGAAGGGATGCGGGAAATCCTCACCGACCCACACACCCGCAATCTTTTTCGCCAGAAAGAAAAAGAACAGACGGGACGGTTTACCAAACAGGACCGGCTACAACCGGCGCCTAACATCATGGACTGGTATTTTCATGGTGATCCATGAAAATTGGTCCGGGATGTAAACTCGTCAACTCACTCAGTCACTCAGTCAGTCACTCACTTGTAATTCATCTGTCACGGGATATGAGATCCTCACGCAAGAATACCGACACGATACACCACGCTAGAACAAGCAAGGTACAGACTCTGGTCCGCATGCCTCTTAAGTCAAAGTCAAGTCACCCTAAAGCCTGACTTGAGTAAATACAGACCCAAGGCAAACCTAAAAGTACGGGGTTGTGAAAACAGGGTGATCCAACGTTATTCCTTACCAGTGAGGTAAGAGGGCAAACTAAAGAAATCCTGAAAAAGATCGTCCTAGGAACAACTACTTTTCATTTACCTCGCAGCCCTTGACAGAAGAAGGATACATAAAATCAACAGTCAAAAAAGGGATAAGCAGGATAAATAGAGCGGAACCCCAATTACTGGCCCCTATAATAGGTTCCAAAGATAGGCACCTAGTTAACTCTTCGCTATCCTTCTTTGCTCCGAGTGCTCACAGCCGCAAGACAGCCAAAGACAAAACAAAAATTTGAATAAAAAAAGAAGTAAAACAAGAAAGACATGAAGCGAGAAAGGAAGAAAACATAGCCTCCCTGCATAATGAACCCTGCGATCCACCCAGTAACTGCGATATCCCCTCATCCAGTGGTATCGACTTCCTCCTCGCACCCTCCATTTTACACACAAAGAAAGCGGTAGAGAACAAAAAAAATCCCACTCTGCCTGGCCCTCTTCCGAAATAGACTACCTACTAATTACCCCTGGAAGCTCTTTCTCCTGGCTTCCTTCTCTGCCTCTTCCGTCAACTTCAGCGTCTGTTCCTTCTCCTTCATTTCGCGGACCTTGGCCAGGACGACCTCACGGAAGATAGCGCCCTTGATAGTCTTGGAGAGGGAGCGCTTCGCGCCGCCATCGTCGCTGGCGCTGGCACTCCCCAATCCGCTACTACCTGGCTTTGCCTCGGGCGGAGGAGTAGAGAGTGATTGGTCGGCAGCTAACGTCGCGTCCTTTGGAAAGTCCGAGTTGGTTGGGTCGTCCTCCTCCATCTTAAGCGCCTCGATGCGGTTTGCAAGCTTGACCATCTCGATGCCGCGCCGCAAGCGTGCACGGGTAAGGTAGGCCTTGATCTCGGGCAGCAAGTTGTGGTCGGTCGCGTTCTCGCCGCTGAGCCAGGGATGGGAAAGGGCGCGCTAGATAATGGGGAAATGGAATGCGTTAGCTAACCAACCAGCTCAAAAGTAGCCCTCCTGCCAGCAGAGGGAGGGGCGCGGAAACATCAAAACTTACTCCACTGGTCCAGCGGTCTTCTGGCCTTGGCTGCAACAGCTTCATGATGAAGTCCTTGGCGTCGGCGCTGACATCCTTCCAGTACCGCTCATGGAACACAACCTGAGCGACGCTGCACTCGTCGATGAGGTCCTGCAGGTTCTCAGAGCGGAAGGGCGAATAGCCGCAGAGCAACGTATATGTGATGACGCCAAGGGACCACATATCGACGGGCTTGCCGTGGCCCTTCTTCAGCATCACCTCGGGCGCCGCGTAGCCAAAGGATCCAGCCATGGTTGTGAGGACCTCATCCTTGCTGTCGAGCATCTTGGCGATGCCAAAGTCGGCAAGGACAAGATCTGAGTCAGGCGCCTTGGTGAGGTAGAGGAGGTTCTCTGGTTTGAGATCTGCGTCATGACAAGTAAGATAAGTACTTATTTATACTGATGTAGATAAGATAGGGGCTAAGACACTCAGCAGGGCTGCAAAAGCTTACCTCTGTGGACGACATTGTTTCTGTGCAGGTAGTCGACGGCACCTAGGACTTGCTTGATGGTTTGCGATGCGTCCTTCTCCGTGAACTTGCCCTGCTCGCAGATCCGGTCGAATAGCTCTCCTCCGGTTGCCAACTCGGTGACGATGTAGTACTTGTCCTGGAGAGGTGCGAGGTGCGCTGTCAGCAGGTGTCGCTCGAGCCCAAGATGCAGTCCCGGTATTCCCTGATTGTACCATGGGCGCAAAAATACGTACTCTTGACTCGAACCAGTCGACAAACTTGACGATATGGTCGTGCTTGAGGCGCTGGAGCATCTCTAGCTCGTCCAGCACCATGCGCTCGTTGCCCCTGACATTCTTCTTCATGATGATCTTGATAGCCACCCTTCCATCCGGGCCGTCGGCCTCCCTGACGATGCCATAGGTTCCAGCACCTAGAGTACGACCAAAGCGGTATTTGGATCTAATAGGGGGTGTGAATTAGCGACGAATCCCACACGAGCCGAGAGGACAGGGGCAAAGCGTACTTCTTGTCATAGCTCTCGGGCTGGCCATGGAGACGATTAAGCATTGTGGAAACTATATGGGGGCCCGCGGTCAGTGAATCCGAGCTTGGCAAGTTGTTTGCCGCTGGTGCTGGTGTCGCTTGGTTTCAAAGAGGGTCAAGTCTCTCGTCGACCAAGGCGATCTGGGACGGGAGATACACGATCGGGGAAAGAACAGACCGAATTTCTGGATTGCGCGGTAGAACGGAGAGGACTTACAGCTCATGGCGTCGAGCTTCGTTTCAAATGAAAGCTAGTTATAGAGCAAGGAGCGACAGAGACGACGCAAGAAGGAGGAGAAAGGCGCGATGGAGAGAGGGAGCCACGAGCGAAGCGAGATTCTGCCTGGCTCTTGCCAGCGGCCGTACAGGTCGGATACGGTCCAGGCTGGAGTTGATATTTTGTTTTTGGAAAAGCTGGAAACGCTTGTCAGAGGACAGACAGCACGACTGCAAGAATCGAGAAGCGGCTGAGTCGCTAACAGCCTTCAGGCGGCCCCTAGGTTGGCATAGGCTGCGACGTGGAGGATGGCGGGGAGGGGGGGGGCAGACAATAGGAGGGCTTGGCAGCAGTTGGGCTGAGGAGGGGTAAGGTTGATAGGTGGGCTGGTATCGTAGCACTGTTAGTACGGATACTTACCTATTCAGGGTATCAGGCGGCCCGCTGATTGCGGACCTACAAGGCTTTGCCCGAGACGCCACCACAGAGCCGTCCAAATGTCGCGCCAAGCAGCCGACCCAATGGAGGGTATTAAGGCCAAAAGCAAATCGACACTTCTCTGGTCATTCGCAATTTCCCACGAGAAGAGTCTCAAAAGCCAAAAGACAGGACGAAAAAGAGGCAGATAAAGGCAAATGCGTCAAGATGGCATGAGCATTGGAGGGTCCTGCAAGGCACGCAAACGGGCAAGGAAAACGCCTTGTTCTCTGTCGGACAAGGACTGCAACAAGACGAACTAGTACACTACTCAGCCATACCAGACCTGGCAAGGCAACAAGGCACGGGAGAGTAATCGCCATTTGAGCTTTCCATCTTAGAGAACTGAGAAAGCCTCAGGCAATACAACAAGACCCCGAGCTGTCTTCTTTTCGCTGCCTGGCATGGCCTTAACACTTGATCCTGCTGCAAACTGATGGATCCAACTTTGATGGGCCAACGGGGACGCGGGCAGCATGTGCCTCGCGGTATATGGGGCATCGACAATCGAGATGCCCCACCTCCGCTAATCTCACTTGCTGGCCGCTTGGCGTGTGCGCGTGCGTGCGTGCGTGCGTGGTGCGCTTCATCAAAAGCCTTTCGTTGCCGTATTCCACCTCGCCTTTCTTTAGACGCCTTTGGAAATCTTCGAAATTCAGACGATTTCGCTTCGGGTTTCCGCCTCGTGTCTGTCTTGCCCCGTACTCTCGGTGACAATAGTCGGGGCTTGCTCACATGCGGCTGCACCGCCTCCCGCAGAATGCAATGGCATAAAGGGAGAGGCCAGAGCACGGCCATTAGCGGCGGCTCAGCTCTTGCCAACAGGTCTCTATGTGTTTTGGATGTTACGCGGATGCGGGGCTTTGATCCCAAAGCTCCGGCAAAACAGCCTGGAAGGTCCATATTGCTGTCATCGTCTGTCAGGAGAATATCATTACTTCATGTGGCATCATGTTAGGTGCGTAACTGGAAGCTGAACCTGCAAGCTAGGTATGTACTGTACCTACCTTACCTATGCAGTAGGTGGTAAGTAGGCGCCTTGAATTTGCTTCGATGGGTCTACATCCGGATTCTTGCCCCTAGCCTGGGACTACAGGTGAGGTGGTACAGACCTACACTCGGTGAGCCCACAAACCGCAGTTTCTTGCTCAGTTCAAGTTCTCTTACAAAAAGCGTGCCTGTATGTGCTTTGAGAGCTTGGGCATCCCTCCCGGCAACCCACCTTAGTACAGTACATACATGACGCTGTATGTACGTCCAAGAAGCGGGCCCGAGGTGCATTCCTGAAGCGCCTTACGGCCGTTCTGGCCAATGATAAGCAAACAGGAATGCTTGGGTTCCGTTCCCTGGCTTGGGTTCCTCTCTGCTGGGTTCTGCTGATGATTGACCCTTGAGGTTAGCGGCAAGTGGGCCTTGTTCCCGCCCGTTTCGAAACCTCATGCTGAGGCTACTTCTCAAAGGCAACAGCCGCAGCGCCATCCGGACATCCCAACGCCGCTCAGATTCCCGCATTGTGTCTGTGACCGCACACGCACCGCTCCACGCGACCGCCACCGAAGTTGACAGCGGATAGCGGCTTCTTCGCCTGCATTGACACTCGTTCCCCTCATTTTCGAGAGTCTGCGGCATATTTCTCCTACTTGAACGTAAACGTTCGATTCGAGCGCGAGGTAGAACCTAAACCGACCCTTGCATCGACCAAGTCGCCTCCCCACTTGACCCCGCCACCACCTTCGCACTCGCAGCCTTTCATCCAAGGTATTGTTCGCCCGTCTGCCTGGAGGCATCGTCGTGCCGTTTCCTTTGTCGACTCGACGGATTAAATACCTACTTCAGTCACAACATCGCCCAAGCCACACGACAACATGTCGGCACAATTCGCCGCGAAGAGGCTCGGCAAGGAGCTACAAAAGGTGTGCTCGCATTTACCTGGCCCTCTGCCCCTTGGGTCGAGGTAGGTGCTGCTTGACTAACATTCGAGCTACTGGCCCTTTTAGATCAACAAGAGCCTCCCGCCACTCCCGCCTGGTATCGAGCTCGTGTCAGCCGAAGACTTTGAGGAATGGCTCCTAGACATTCGAGTCCTGGATGACAACCCGCTCTACTTGGGCGAGATATACAGGCTCAAGTTCAAATTCGGCCCGTCATATCCGATCGGTACGTATACCTAAGCCTAGGATCTCGAGATTAAGCCTGGTGCCGGTCCGATGCATGTTTCACTGAAGAGGAGCAGCGAAAAGAGAAAAAAAGAGAAAAGGAAAAGAAAGCTGCCATTCTCGACTAATGCGCCCTCGCAGAAGCCCCCGAGGTGGTCTTTGTGAAGCTCCCCGACAGACCGATTCCGATACATCCCCACGTCTACTCGAACGGAATCATCTGTCTTGACCTCTTGGGATCGCAGGGCTGGAGTCCAGTCCAGAGCGTCGAAACGGTCAGCGTAAGCATACAGAGCATGCTGACGGGCAACACAAAGAACGAGCGGCCGCCCGGAGACGAGGAATTTGTCAAGGGGAACCGCTTGCGCCCAAAGGACATCGACTTCTACTACCATGATAACAATGTGTGATGGAATATGGTGTGGGCGCCTGTTCGCCGGGTTGTGGTAATTTCTGGTTGGCATCTAGGCTAGGTTGGGCGGTTTTCTGCGAGATTTTAAACTTCAATGACGAGGGTGGGGGTATGGGCATATTGCATCAAACAGCGCCGGGTTTGGCGGGTTTTGTTTCGGAGTTTGTTGGAGCCTCTTACCAGAGTATGGAAATTAGTGAACTGCTGAAAACAAAGGTTCCGCGATTAGCTAGGATGGCTTGGCCCTCTGGATAGCAGTCTTTGCGTGCTAACTGTTTTTCGGGCTCTTTGCAAAGAACATTCTACCCGACAGCGAGGGTAGAGAGCAGAGTAGTGAATAATGATTGCAGTTCTTCATCGACTGAGAGGGGATTAGTTTCGTCGAGCTGTGCTTCTATTAACGATACCTATCATGGGTATGTTGTCTTCCAACGTTCGGTCAATCCGTTCTGGCAGTTAAGACTTCCATCGGCTTTTACTCGACCACAAGATGTGAAACACATCCGTGATATCTTTTCATTAACAACATATACCAAGTTGATCACGAAAAGAAATATTAAATATGCCTATGTCAGTCTCTCAAAAAGTCAACTGTGGAGGCCCCCATTCACCCAGTGTGGTTCAAACAATGCGTCATTGCGTTAGGCCGCACCACGCTGGGCCCGCCTATCTGACTTAACTGCCTTACCTAATTATATCCGTACATACTACGGTAGTAAACTTAACTACTCCGTAGTATTCCGTACCTTGCCTTGCCTAACCCCGAGCGGGTTAGGTTACAGCGAGCGCGGCCCTGGAGATCCAGACTTAAGTAAGGTACCTTACTTTGGTCGGCGAAGTGGACGCGCCGATCTGCCGATGCGGTTGGGGAAGCTTTGGAGCTCTCGCCCATTTTACTGTCTCTTGATCGCGACGGCCGGGGAGCTCGCAGTCGCACATCCCGAACAACAGCAGCGAACAAGCGAATGGCAAGCTCGCTCCCACCCATGGCTCCTCAGGCCGGCCTTGATACGGAGCAGGTCAGGGACAAGGCCCGCAAGGACCTGCTATATCTCCTTGAAGGAGTAGGTTGACACGCCCCACGCGTGCCCAAGCATCGGCATCGGCTTGCGCGGCGTTTGACTGACGGCAGCACCTCTAGGTCCGCGGCAAGAAGAACCTTGTCATTGAGAAGCAACTCGCCGGCCCTCTCGGCATCATCGTCAAAGCCTCAACCCTCCGCGACTATGGCGTCGACAGTTTCTTTTTCCTCGAGAACAACAATACAGACACAAGCCAGAGTAATGTCGTCTTCATTGCCCGCGGCGAGTCCACTCGCCACGCCCGTGCCATCGCAGGTCAGCACCTTTTTTCTTTTCTTAACATCCCCTCCATACCTCCATTTCTGCACGCCTAGAAGGCCCACGGTATCCATCAGCACAAATATATAGACGTATCGACGACTTATTCCTAGGCCGCTAGCCCCATGTCGGACCGTCATTACTGATCCATGTCATCGCAATGCCAACAGAGCTTGTCAGATGAGATGCAGGTGTTGCTGGAGAGGCTCTCAGCCTAGCCAGCCCTCATCATAAGTCGCTGACGTCTCTCTAGGCCAGATAAGACGTCTGCAACGCGAGAGCCAATCCCCACACGAATTCCATGTCTTCTGGGTGCCACGGCGGACTCTACTCTCAGACAAGGTCTTGGAGGAGGCGGGTGTGCTGGGCGACGTCAATATCGCCGAGCTACCTCTTTATTTCTTTCCGCTCGAGAAGGATGTCCTCTCTCTGGAACTGGACGAATCATTCCGAGACTTGTACCTCGCAAAGGACCCTACCCCCATCTTTCTTCTGGCCCGCGCCTTGATGGGGATCCAACAAAAGCATGGCCTATTTCCTCGCATCATCGGCAAGGGCGATAACGCAAAACGGGTCGCTGATCTCCTCTCCCGCATGCGGCAAGAACTTCTCGCGGGCGAGGACGCCAGTGATACGGACAAGATCGGTCTCAGCCCCAGTACCACAACTGAAAGCATTATTATTATCGACCGTGAAGTGGACTTTGTCACGCCTTTGCTCACGCAGCTCACGTACGAAGGGCTCATAGACGAGGTGTTTGGGATCCAAAATAACCAGACAGACGTGGACACGACAATTGTCGGCGCGCCGGCACAGCCAACAGCCCAAGGCACGCCGGCCGCCGCGCCCGCAAATAGCCAAACACGGAAGCGCAAGATCCAACTTGACGCATCGGATAATCTGTTTGAGCAACTTCGTGACACCAACTTTGCCATTGTGGGATCACGGTTGAACAAGATAGCCCATCGATTGCAGAGTGATTTTGAGAGCAGGCACAGCACCAAAACGACAGCAGAACTAAGCGAGTATGTCAAGAAGCTCCCCGGGTACCAGGCGGAACAGCAGAGACTTAAAATACACACGGGCCTGGCCGAGGAGATTACCAAATACACGCGGACGGAACAGTTTAACAAGCTTCTCGAGGTCCAACAGAACCTCGCAGCTGGGGCCGATCCATCGTCCCAGTTCGAGGCGATTGAGGAACTCATTGCCCGTGACACCCCCCTACCCCAAGTCCTCAGGCTTCTGTGCGTCTACTCATGCATATCTGGCGGCATCAAGACCAAAGAGCTGGACCACTTTCGGCGGCTTATTCTCCAGGGCTACGGCTACCAACACCTACTTACCTTACAGAACCTCGAAAAGCTACAGATGTTTCTGTCGAGGTCGTCACCGCTCGCCTCAATGATCCCTATGACCGGAGGGGCGGCGGGTGCTACGGGCACCAAGACCAACTACACGTTTTTGAGGAAGCAGCTCCGGCTCATCGTAGACGAAGTCAACGAGCACGACCCCAACGACATTGCCTATGTCTACAGTGGCTATGCACCCTTGTCGATCCGGCTAGTGCAGTGCATATTGCAGAAGCAGTACCTACTCTCCATTACACGAGGAAGCGGAGCAACGGGCACGCCGGGTCCTGCCGGTAGTGGTGCTCAGGGGTGGAGGGGGTTTGATGATGCTGTAAAGCATGCCAGAGGGGCGACTTTTGACGAGGTCCAAAAAGGCGAAGACAAGGCGGTCAAGGCCCGGGCGCTGCTGTCGGGGGGCGGCGACAAGAAGACGGTGTTTGTCGTGTTTGTGGGGGGTGTCAGCTTTACCGAGATCGCGGCCCTCAGATTCATTCAGAAAAAGGAAGCCGGTAAGCAACAAGAATCTGCCCGCGCTCTTGGATGGCCAAGTCATCGTATAATGTTAAACTGCTAACTTGTCTCCCACGGAGCAGCCCGGAGAAATATCGTTATTTGCACCACATCGATCATTAGCGGAAACGTGATGATGGACGCGGCGATCGAGAAGGAGGGTTTCGGCAAGGAGGCCCAAGCCTCGGAAACCCCAGACAGATAGTGTGTTGTAGGGAATACTGAATAATGAATACCCATTTGTTTGAAATAGGAGATGTGCTTCTCGTAACGACGGAGCTAGAGGGCTACGGTGGTTCAGTCAGTCCGTGGCTGGTATGGCATTTTTTGACAGTATATATGTGTAGATAAGGCACACGTAATAGGGACTTGGAACATCCTTTATAGACGGCCTGGGAAACCCAGGAGGCGTCCACTCACGAGTAAGAGGAGGAGCTGTAGACAAGGCCCGAGATAGACACTTGAGTTTGAGTTCCAGCCCCGGCTGGGGGAACGGAAGGCGACGCGGGGCTCGAAGGTAAGGTCTGTCGATAACCCAAGACACTCAGACCACTATGACACGATGACGAGCCCACCTCAATTGTTCAAGGAGGGACGCTTGGATTGCGGTTGCCTGTACCGCCTACACAATAGAGAGGCGGATGGCTGCTGGAAAATAAACATGTTGTCAATCTGACCTCGGTGACGCTGGGCAGAGCAGAAAAATGTATTAGAATGGCACTTGCAGCCATGCAGGGGGGAGGTGGTGCCCCGTCTTTCGACCAGGGCAAGTCTAAGAGAACCTGAACCCTTGGCTGCAGAACTTTTTAGCTGAGCGTGATCCCCCGCCCATTACGTGATGGGCCCATACCTACACTAAAATGCTTACTCAATGCGCTGGAATTCCTGTGTGGTTGGATTTGGCCTGTGAAATTCGTGCGTTGGGATCGGCTATGCCGATTCTGATTGGCTGCGGTGTAATGCTCCAGGTCCTGAACACTACACCTCCACCGGGGAAATACATGTTAGCTTGGTACGTTACCTACTATTGGTATCTTTTAGGGAAATCTCGCTAATCACTAACTTTGCCACCTTCCTACGCTAACATGTATTACCCCGGAGGAGGTGTAAATAGAAAGTCTGCCTCCTCAGGGCCCGGATTCCGAAGGAAGAGAAGCCTGAACGATAGTTTCAATGCACCTCTAGTGACATTGTACGAAACTGGGTCGGTAGTAGCATTTTGAGCGATGGTGATACTTTGCCGGAGTGTAGGCTGAATAGCAGCAAAACGTCGTGTCGTAGTAGCTCCCAGACAAGTTTTTGCTTCTTCCTCCCGCTTTTCCAAAATGATGATGGAGCGAGTATCGTCAAATTTAGCAAGAAGAACAATCTTGACCTGGTGGTCTGACGTAGAAAACCACCACTTCATATCGTTATGCGATTCGCCCAATGACTCGGAGTGTCCCGACTCGATGACAAGTGTTGGCCAGGCACCTTTATTACCACGTTCGGGCTTTGGACCACCGGTAGAGTCACCCTCTCCGCCGTCTCCGTCAGGATGACCTTCTTCTGCTCGACGTGTAGCCGACCCAATTGATCTCCAACTTCTCCCCCTACCATTCTGGGCGAGCTGCTCACGATACTGATCATAAAGCTCTAGATGAAGGACCTCGTGTACATCGGTTGGGATTGTGATGATCAAGATCCGGAAATTGGCATTGTAGCGGCGTAAACGGAACATTCGGTATCGTTTCTTTTGCCCAGTCCTTCGCCCAATGTCTCGCTCACGCTCGATTTCGGTGAATTGATTAGGAGAGACGTCTAAATAATTAATATATTATATAGAAATAAGAGGGTAATATTATACTTGTGACGGTAAGGAAATCCCCAGTAGTGGAATTAATGATATCGAAGAGATCTTGCGTATTGGTGAATCGCACGGTCGGGGCATCGCTATCTTTCGTCGACTTAACTGAAGTAGGCATGGTAGATACCGACGGAACTGCCAAGACACCGACGGAGATGTTGTTGACCTCGATGTGATTGCCGCCATGGCGAAGCGTTGAAGTTTGAAGTTGGGATCCGTGAGATGCGTGAGGGAAGCCACTGGGGAGGTACGTACTCATGAAAATAGCGGGGCCACACTAGCCAAAAATGGCAGCCCAGACAGCGACACAGACACTCGTGGAGTTTCGGTCTGCGGCAGCTGTGAGGAGCAGAGGGCGCCGTACCCAGACTAAACATTACATTATCTCTACTACAATCTACCCGTACCGTACGCCCCAGCCAAGCCAGATCGAATAGACAGACGAAAGGCGATCGAGCCCAACTGTCTACAATTGGGCCAATTGACGATCCCGTAGAACGAGAGCGGCCCGCCAGGCAAACCACTACCTACATACAACACGGATTGCAACGTCGGCGGTGCACACACACATATCTACAGTCTATATCTACCTACCTAGTGAGACAGAAGAAGACAGAAGTCAGAAGTCAGAAGACAGGGCCTGCTGCTTTGCCTTCTTTGGTGAGGGCGAGCGTGCGTGCGTTATGCGTGTTTAAGGTAGGGGGCTTTTTTGATTCCCAAGCAAGTTCCGCCAGTCGGTTGAAGTTCAAATGCATCCAGTCCAGTGACTTCTCCCATCTCCAATTGCACTTTAGCTTCCATTTCCACTTCCATTTCCTGTTCAGTCCGAGTCTACCGACTTAGCCACGTCAGGTCAAGTCCAGTCCAACCAGCAAGTCCGCAGCCATACAGACCTACCTTACCTGCCTACCTTGGTCACGCCCCATACATGTCTATCCATCCCAGTGCCAGAGAGGGAAGAGGTTGGGGGCGTGATACTGATGCTGTTGCTTCTGCTGCAGCCGATGCCGATACCTGTATTGATGCTGATAGATGCAACTAGAGATTCCGACCCTTCCCCTGCCAACCTTATAGCCAGAAGCAAGTCGCCTCTGCTTCCCTGACTGGACGGCGTCGAGTGCCGTGAGGCGCAGCCGTAGGGCACCGAGTCGGCAACTCGCCTTATGGGCTTTAGATCCCGGTCGAATACGGCGTCAGCGTCGTCGGCCGTTCCGTTCCGTTCCGTTCCACAGCCCCCCAATATATCACCATCATCAACTGATCATCACAACCCGCTGCTTCCCCTTCGCCATTGTCCATCTCGATAACATGGGAACCAATTCGCGTATCCGCACCGGACAAGTCAGTGGCTTAGGAAAGGGTCCTGTGAAGGGTCCTGGAGACTCAAACTCACGCCGCTCCACACGCTCTTCACTCGCCGCCTCTACCCCCGGCAGGCCCCTTCCTCTCAAGCCCCTATCCCCCGCCGTTCCCGTCGCGGACCGTCAGCCCGCACCTCCGCCGGCTCCGAGGATTGACCCAGAAAGCAGCTCCGAGGACATCGCTCCCGAAATCATCGTTTGGACAGAGGCCATGGACGCTATGAGTTTAGATTCTTCTGATGGGTCATTGACCCCCGTCACTGACGATGCCCTGTATGTGCCTTCCCCGTATCTGACAACTCAGTCCTATCCATCATGTGCCTTATTATCACTCTTGCCGTTGGATTCCTTGCTGTAAATGTCGAGTCCGTGTTGCTTGCCTATCTGCCTACCCTGTACCAGCCCATCGACCTTCCCCCAACAAACTCACTGTATATATGCTAAACTTCACGAGCAGTACACCTCCACCGCCGACACCGCCGACCCTGCCGCTTTTAGATGAACCTGCCCCGGAATCGGACCAGGAACCGGATCAGGAACTGGATCAGGAACCGGGTCAGGAACCGGGTCAGGAACCGGATCAAGAACCAGACCGAGAACCAGACCAAAAACCAGACCGAGAACTAGACCGAGACCCAGACCAAGCGGAACAAAAGCTGGAACAACACTTGGACCAGCGCCTGGACCATGATCTGAACGCCGACCGGGACCAAGACCAGGATAGAAATCCGGGCCATGGTCGGGACCAAAATCTAAATCAAGGCCGGCAACAAGACCTGAACCTAGAGCCAAAACAGGAACATGAGGAAGATCATAACACGAAACAGGCATTTCTATCTGTCTCCTCATTGTCAGCTGTATCGGCCGTATCGGACCAGTCCGAGCTATCGCCTCTCGCGTCGCCTTCTTTGTCCAGCAAAGCTACTACCCCTATGGACATTGACAGCTTAAAAGACGTATATGTACCTGTCGTCCGACTCACCCAGCCTGCTGACACGCCGAGGAGGAGATACGATGTGCGCCCCAAGGTCTCCGTACCGCCCGACTTGCCCCTCTCCGAGTATGCAATGCAGTGTATCACCGCGGCTGAGTCGTCGAGACTTAATCCGTACTCCTTGCACCAAGAAGAATACTTGATACTCCGTGACCACATCAGTCACGCCCAAGTGACGACATATTTGAACATAAGAAATGGGACCCTCAGGTTGTGGATAAGGAACCCACAGATTGCCGTCACTCGTGAGGAGGCAGTTGGGTGCGCCAAAGATGTGCGCTGGTTCGATGTAGCGAACGTCTGCTTCGACTGGCTTGTCCGCCGCGGCTACATCAACTTTGGATGCGTCGAAATTCGCTCGTCGCGCAAACAGACTCAAAAGGACCAGCCTGTTGACGGCAAGCGGAAGACGGTAGTCGTCATAGGCGCTGGTATGGCCGGCCTTGGCTGTGCTAGACAACTTGAAGCATTGTTCATGCAGTACGCAAAGAAGTTCCGTGAGATGGGCGAGCAGCCCCCGCGGGTGGTTGTTCTCGAAGGTAGAAATCGCATCGGCGGGAGGGTCTACTCCCGAGCCTTCACCACTAAGCCCGGCCGGACCACTGACTCCTTTCAGGGGAAACGGTGCACTGCCGAGATGGGCGGCATGATTATCACAGGGTTTGATAGAGGCAATCCCTTGAATATCATTGTCAGGGGTCAGCTGGGCCTTCCTTACCGCCCACTCCGGCCCGACACAACCCTCTACGACTACAACGGGAAGCCCGTGGACCTAGAACGAGACCAGCTCGTAGAGAAGCTCTACAACGACTGCCTTGACCGCGTCAGCGAGTACAAGTTTAAACAGCCCACCTCCAAGTTGATCGAAGGCAACAGAGATCTCATAGACGAGGGTAAGGACAGCTCGTCTGAGACTTACAAGACCATAAGGCAGATTGAAGAATCTACCGCCGCCCAACCACACGCACCACCCGTCTCGGAGCAAAACATCGCCCCGCAGGTGAATTTAGTTCCCGTCTCGTCGGACCGAGCTACCGGCCGGATCCATACTGTGCCCGGTACGCCTGGAGCTCTCAGGGCGGTCCACAAAGCAAAGGTCATGGGTTGGAAGATAAAGCAGGGTATCAGCGACGAGGCTGACCTTGATATCGAGTCTGCTACCAAGGAGCCTAGCGCGACCCTCGGTAGCGTAACGGACCACGTTATTGCTCAATACAAGGACATCATAGACCTCAACGAGCAAGATTACAGACTCATGAACTGGCACATCGCCAATCTAGAGTATAGTAACGCCACAAACTACAGTCAGCTAAGCCTTCAGGGATGGGACATCGATGCGGGCAACGAATGGGAAGGCAGCCACACGATGGTAGTTGGCGGCTACCAAAGCGTCCCAAGAGGCATCATGCATATTCCCACACCTTTGAACGTACGGCAGAAATCCTCTATCAGCAAGATCACATACGCACATGGCAGTCAAACTGGGCCGGCGACGGTCGAGTGTGAGGACGGCTACAAAATAGACGCCGACTATGTTGTCAACTCAATACCCCTCGGTGTACTGAAACACGGAAGTGTAAAGTTTGAGCCGCCCCTGCCGCCCTGGAAGTCGGACGCCATCGAGCGCCTTGGCTTCGGAGTATTGAACAAAGTCATTCTCGTGTATAAAGAGCCGTTTTGGGAGGATGATCGGGATATCTTTGGTGTCTTGAGGAACCCATCCAACCGGCGAAGTCTGGACCAAAAAGACTACGCGTCGCAGAGGGGCCGCTTCTTCCAGTGGTTTAACGTGTCAAAAACAAGTGGACTGCCCGTGCTCTTAGCGCTCATGGCTGGAGACGCGGGCTATGACACGGAGCAGACATGTAACGATGACCTCGTTACGGAAGCAACCGCGATTCTCCGCAGTGTCTTTGGCTCCAAGGTTCCCGAGCCCGTGGAAACGGTTGTGACAAGATGGGCTTCAGACAAGTTCGCCCGAGGCAGCTACTCTTCTGCTGGCCCAAATATGAAAGCCGACGACTACGATACCATGGCACGGCCAGTCGGCAATCTCTTCTTCGCGGGAGAGCACACATGCGGCACCCATCCAGCTACGGTGCATGGCGCCTACATTTCGGGACTCCGGGCGGCATCAGACGTTCTCGACGCAATGCTCGGACCCATCGACATACCAACCCCGTTGATAATCCCCAAGGAGACATCGCTTTCTCTCAAACGCAAAGCAGCCGAGAATAGAGATCCGACCCAGTCGCGCCTAGAAGCATACGAGATCGAGCTCTGGGATCACATCATTGCGCAGGTCGGCCTGCGCCCCATCATGCCGACCAAGCCGGCCATGAATGCATACATATTTTACAGCAAGACACACCACGAAGATGCGCGCAAGAAGCTAGAGGAAGGACGGCGTGCGGGCAAAGGCAAGGCCAGCGCCAACGAGGTGCGCGTCATGAGTGCCAAGATGTGGCGTGACACGTCGCCAGAGCAGCGGAAGCCCTTTGTTGACCAGGCTGAAGAGCAAAAGCGACTGTATACTGAGGCAATGGCGCGCTTTAAGGAGCAAGCCGCCGACTGGGACAAGAAGGCCACGGAGCTCAAGGCCGCCTACGAGAAAGAACACCCCTGTGTCCCAACCACCGAGGAGCTCGCCGCAGCGGCTGTTATGTTGGCCGAAGCTGCGGTGGCGGCTGCGGCAGGCGTGGACGGGAATAACCGTCGGACGAGAAAGAGAGTTGAGAGTTATGCCGAGACAGAGGCAAGCGATGTTGAGATGACGCTGTCTTGATGTATAATATGGCCAGAAATGGTAGCGCTTGGCGGGCGCGTGGCATTAGGAGGTACGAGAAAATGGAACGGGGTTGGCTTGCTTGTTGGCATCACATCGCACACACACACGCACTATTATAATGAAGGGGGTCAAGGCGCATCCTAAGGCGTATGTCTGGGATGTGGCTTCCCGAGCACGCAGCTTTTACAGGATTCGGGGTAGTTGTAACTTAGTGTACTCTTCGGTTTCGCGACGGACAACGCGCTGTCCTCTTATATCTTCTAATGTACCTCGTTGTCCTCGGTCATTATCGCACTAGCATCTCAATTCTTTTGTTTGGGGACCTTGTGTCTTTGAGCAACGTTTGGGGTGGAGTTGAAGTGAAAATGGGGTGCTTTGTCGAGGCTCAGGCGTGTAATGTTGATGTAGTGCATTCATATATGTAGATATAGATTAACACAGACAGCCATTGCCAGCCTAGGTAGCTACTATCTATCTACGCATTCCTGCGCTGCGCCGAGGCATGAGTCTCTTTTGCTTCAGTTTAGGTCTAGCTGGTAGTGTGATGGAACTTGAAGAAAGCATGTACTTACATGAGGCTTGATTGTCTTTATTTTAAGGTGTGTTTGGTGATAAATCTAACTTGTGGAAATCGTCTCAGAATAGACGAGTAAAATACATGCATAAGGTATGGAGAGAGACACAGTGAGTCCATGCGTTATAAAGAATCGACAACGTATTTTACAAGAGAGTGGCGAATTTCTAACCAACCTACCACAACTATCCTCAATTAAACCACCACAACACTAGGAAATAACAACAACTGAACCAGAAATAGATGAATCAGGCAATTCTCCAGCTTCCTGACACGTGCGTGCATTATGGCCAGGCTTGCCGCACAGGCCACAGCACCGAATCTTCGTGCCAGCCCCCCCCGCACCACCACCATTTTGTCGTGTTTCCTGGATTATCTGCTCACCCACAGCTTTCTGACCTAGTAGGTCCTATGCCTCTTGTACGGTAAGTGACCCTCCAAGCCGCATACGTGTTTTTTTAGCCCTCCGTCTCTTACTAAGCCCCTCATTGGCCTTACGTAGTAAAGAGACTTCCATACGCAGAAGAGCTACCTCGTGCATTACGGCCATTGTACCTTTGGCCAATTGGTCCACAGCAGCCAGCATATGTGTTGGAGAACTACCTTGATGGTTAGATATCCGGCCTTTAATGAGGTCTGTCTGTGAGGTGGCCTCTCGGGGGTTCTGTGGCGTCTGAGATAGCCAAGGTAGTGCCGTACCTAGGCTTGAGGCTGGTGGAGTTGGAGTTCGGAGCCGTATATTCATCTTGGAAATCACTCTTTCTGGGTCGTGTGGTATAATGCCGGCTCCGGCAAAGGCGCCTTGGATATTCTTTTCGATAAAAGAAGTAAAAAACGCCTCTTTGAACGCACAGAGGAATTCCAACTTGGTAATATGTGTGATATGCATACGCATAAGTTCCTCGATTTGGTAGCCGTACGCCTTCTTCAACGGCCCAAAACAACCAATATCAAGTGGTTGGACCAGGTGCGAGGAGTGCGGAGGCATACAAAGGGTGATAATGTTGTGATCCTGACAGTACTCCTCGAATTTGTCGGAGTGGTGGCTCTCGTGGCCGTCGAGGACTAAAAGCCGGTATCTACCCTTCGTACGAGATGCTGATGAAGATCGAAATGGCGAATCCAATCTAGGCCTTTCTTATTAGTAGTCTAGCCGTTATCAGTTATACCGATATACCAGGTAGCCGGAAGATTGCACTCCTGATACTAGCTCTCTTGGTGATATTTCCCTTTTAAAAAGATGAATGGTGGGATAGCCCAGCCTTGAGCATTTACCCCTCGGATAACCGTAGCCCACTTACGATTACCAGGCTGGACTTTTTGGCTTTCTTATAGCTATCGGAGGTAGTAATAACTATACTAGTAGTAATTATACCTATTATAAACCCGGTCTCGTCAAAGTTATATATATCTTCGTTAAGGATTCCGTATTTGGCTTTAGTATTATATACAAGTATAAACCACTCGCGAATAACTTTCGGATCTTCGTATTTGGCCCTTTAATAGTCGTATCTACGCGTAAAACGCGTCCGGAGTTTTGGTTGGCGTTTGACGAAGTTGTGAGCCTAGAGCTTGCCGACAGGGGGCGCGTCGCGTTCGCGTAGTAGTCGGTTGGCCATATCTTCCACAAAACAAAGCCGAGGAGGAAATACGCGTATACATAGCTCAGATATATACTGAAAAATCGTATGCTCCTCTAGATCTGTGAGTTTTCGCGAATTGGCTGGAATATCGCGTCGTGAAGGCCGACCGGCGCGTCGATAGCGAAGTGTTGTTTCTGGAACATTATACAGATTGGCTGTGGAAAGAATATTGGGGTTTTTACTATTTTGTAATGATTTGAGAGCTAAGATTACCCTAGCTTCTTTTGAAGGGGTAGCCATAGCTTGTTATGGTAGAATTGAGGATCAAAGATGAAGGGTCGCGTCGCGGGGAAAATTCGCCGCTCGCTTATAAAATACGTTAACTGTTCTAGCGATGATAGGAATAAGAATCAATGAAGGGTATGAATGGGTGTCCATCCGTACTCGACAGGAGAGAGCAGTCGTCGTCGTGTTTGTCACGGAATATACTGGCAGTGGTAACAGTGAGATGGATTGACATGTATACATACGGTATAGTATATATACCAACAGCGGTAGCCCTGTTCATGAAAGGGATTCTTCTCAGCTGAGACGAGCCCGAGGCGAGCTGGCGTGTAGTGACTTGCTCTAGATTATATCTTTACCTACTTCCTAGAGACCGAGGCTTCCCCCCCTTTTTTTCCGGGTTTAAGTGCTGGTAAGTTGATTATCTGCGTAAGAAAGGCGCCTACCTAACCATATGTTGAAACGCTGTGATAATTCAGATCACATGGCGCAAGTCAAAACACTCGCTAAGCGCTAGGATCTCAATACCTCCGCGAGGCACACACGTCAATATGCAAGAAGGTTTTTAGATTGCGGGAGACTTTGGTACACTCGGAAAGGCCGCCGACAAGACGGAGGACTCTGCTACTTGATACAAAAGAAAAGGAGAAGCCGCCACCCCCTTTCTTTCTTCGAATGGGGGAAGTCGTGGGGATTTTTTCGCTGTCCCTCCCTCGCCTAATTCTATTCGGACCGTTTCTTCCTATAGGATTATTTACATCTCCTCCGAAGCGATGGCACCCGTGATGATTTCGACCAGCTCGCCGGTAATGGCGGCTTGGCGGGTACGGTTGTACAGAATCTGGTACTTGCCAATCATCTCGCCGGCATTCTTGGAGGCGTTCTGATAAAAAGTTAGCAGGCCAATTATGTTTTCAAGGTGAAGTCAAGTCAGAAGTATTTGGCACTCACGTCCATAGCGTTGCGGCGGGCCGAGATCTCGCAGGCGTGTCCTTCAGATAGGGCCCAGTGAATAGAGTTGGCCAGGGCGTATTCCTGCAGATTGGATAGCAGCTCGTCCTCGTCAACCTCGTATGCGGAGTAGTTGGCTATATGTTTCAGTCACGTTAGCTAACTGGCAACTTAGTGGGAAGATCAAGGCCGGCGTACGGGAAGCAGCAATGGCCTCGGCGGAATATGCCGCAATGATGGTGGGCTCGTAGCTCGTGGCGTTGATGAACTTGTTGTGGATAATCTCAATATCGGAGTAGTTGCCGGAGAGCTGCGTTATCTGGTCGGCAATGGCCTGGGACTCGGCAAAGGTAGGGATGTCCTTGCCGGCGCCGGCAAAGGACAGAACAATGCTGGGGGCGTGGGTGCGCTGCAGCTGATTCCTGGCTTTCTCGCCGATGATGACGAGATCGAAGTTCTCGCCATCCTTGACCCGGCGGATGAAGCGCGACAGACCAGAGTGAATGCCGCCGCAGAGGCCCTTGTCGGAGCTGCACACGACTACGAGCTTCTTCTTGCCGTCGCCCTCAAGCGCCTTCGTCTCGGCCGACTCGAACACCTGGTTGTTGGTCTTGCCATAGGCGCGCGAGTCATGCATGGACTTCTGCGCGCGGGTGAGCTTGGTGGAGGCCACGATCTTCATCGTCTTGGTGATCTTCTCGATGTTGCGAATCGACTTGAGGCGCCCCTCGATCTCACGCAGCGTCGCATAGGTGGCCGGGCTCGGAGCTACCGCTCTGCAGAGAGGGTAGATAGTGTCAGTTCACGACCCCCATGAGCTGATGCTCGGGGAAAAGGGCCACCTACCGGGACGAGACGGCAGCTCCTCCAGCTCTCAAAGCCGGGCGGGCAGCTCTTGAAAGCATCCTGGAAAGGCGTGTGGACTTCGGATTAACCCCGCGCAGTTCGCTGTGGCCCGATTGACCACGGTATGGGGAGGCGTTTAATTGATCGGATCGGAGGTAGTTGGTGATCAATTGGGAATTGCAACGGCAAGATTGAGAGGTTTGCTGGAAACACGGATGCCAGGGTGCCCGGGGCCCACTCTTCCCTTCTCCCGCCCTCTGTTCGTCGTCCCAGGGTTACTGGTATAGAGTAGGGTTAGAATTTCCTTGGCAGGGTTAGCATGGGTACTTGGATTTCCCAGTCCACTTTCCCATCTGGCGCCATTTTTTTCTGCTGGCCGTTGTTCATAGGCGGTTGGCTCAGGGCTGCGCGTGACCAGCTGCGCTAATTCCTTACTTTGGAAGAGCTAACTGCCTAAGGCTAACATAGAAGTTGGCCCACTCGCTGGAATTCTGAATCTGCTCATCAGTGGCTTACAGCGTAGTCAGTGCTGTTGGTTGTCCTTTTGCCAGCACCGAACACCCGCGTCCCCTTTGTGACTTCTCGCGCTGGGAAGCGTGACTGGTCGGAGGGCGAATCAAGGCTTGCCAATCGCAGCGGAGCCCCAATATTATCTTTAACCTCGTCTCCCCCGAGGCCCCGACTTCCTCGCTCCGAATCCCTCCTTTTGCTCACCCCTTACCCTCCTTTGCACGCTCATTTCGCTCCACTCCATCACGCGGACTGAGGGTTGCCGTGCGCCTCTGCTCGCCCTGGCGCAGGAGAAAGCTTAGGCTTTTTATTTTACTTTCTTCACACTCCTTCGCTCAAGAAACCAACGTTGCTCAACCTCAACCACTGCGAGCCTTAACTCCAATTCTGCGCCGCGTCCGCCTTCCCCTTCCTACTTCTGAGTTCAAAGAAACCCCCCCTTCGCTTTTCACCATGGCTTCCGACAGCTCTGACGACGATGTCCCCTTGGCACGAGCAAACGGGAACGGTAAGTTGAACCTTCTCTAACATGTCGTCACTCTACTTTAGTTTGTGCGACGCGAAAAGAGTTTTTACTGCACACCCCCAGCGCGCGTGCCCTTGCGTGTTCTCGTCGTTGCACCCACTGGTGGTGAGCGGGTCTGGTTGACGTGTCATTTCTGACCAACGGTACCCGGTGGCATTCTTCTGCAGGGTCTGCGTCGCAAGAGCATCCTCATTCACGCGACAAGTGTACTAACGATGATGGTGGTAGCTTCTGCACCCGCGGGCTCAAAGTCCTCCGGCCGTAAAATGGTCACCTCGCCATCCAGGACTCGGGGCAGTGCGCCCGGCATCTCCATTCGCAATGGCCCAATACCAGGTGGTGCTATGGATGTCGACGAGCCAGCCAATGGTACTGCGAAACGAAAGTCACGGAGTTCCATCGGCCAGGCAGTGAACTACAGAGACGCATCAGAGAGCGATGATGACGGCGCACCCCTAGTAAGCCGTTCTCGAGGCAAAATCGACATAATATGGACTGCGGCTTGGCTCAGAGCTAATTTTTACAGGCCAAACGCCAAAAATCCAGGCACAAGGCGGAGCTAGGAAGCGACGACGAGCCGATTGCCCATAAGAATGGCAAACTGCCTCCGTCCTATAAGGAAACCGCCATGGGCCTGTCATCGGATGACGACAAACCTCTGGGAGCAAAGCTAGCAGAAAAAAAGGCTAGCATTCAAAAAGCTGCCGCCAAGGAGGCCAAGGTGCTACGCCCTACTGACTCAAAAGTTAAGAAGCCAACACCCAAGAAGTCCATCAAGGACGAATCTGACGACGAGCCCCTCGCCAAACCGAAGAGAAGACAGTCCAACGGTGTCTCAGCGTCAGCCAAGAAGTCGAATGGCGTCAAGCAAGACCCCGATTCGGATTCAGATGCGCCCATCGCAAAGAAGACCAAGAAGGCTGTTGTAACCCCGAAAGCGGCCGCCAAGAAGGCCGCTCCAGCAGCCAAGGCCAAAGCTACTACTCCTAAGAAGACCGCAGCCAAGCTCAAGGCTGAGTCGTCAAAAGACAATAGCGACGATGAGGCAGAGGAAGAGTACCGCTGGTGGGATGCGCCAAAGAAAGAGGACGACTCGATCAAGTGGACAACACTTGAACACAACGGTGTCATGTTCGCCCCCCTCTACAAGCCACTGCCAAAGAACGTTAAAATGTATTATGATGGCAAGCCAGTCGAGCTGCACGTTGAAGCCGAAGAGGTGGCCACCTTTTTTGGCAACATGCTGAATTCGACGCAGAACGTCACAAACGAGGTCTTCCAGAACAATTTCTTCAACGACTTCAAGGACATTCTCAAGCAGACGGGTGGCGCAAAGGACAAGAGTGGCAACAAAGTCGAGATCAAGGAATTCGAGAAGCTCGACTTCACTCACATCTACGAACATTTCAAGACTATCAACGATGCCAAAAAGGCGCGGCCTGCTGCTGAGAAGAAGGCCGATGCTGCTGAGAGGGAAAAACTGGAAGCACCCTACAAGTACTGCAAGTGGGACGGGCGGAAGGAAAGAGTTGGCAATTTCCGCATCGAAGTTCCGGGCCTTTTCCGCGGCCGAGGAGAACATCCCAAAACTGGCAAGGTGAAGAGGCGTGTCATGCCTGAGCAGGTTACCATAAACATTGGCAAGGATGCCAAGGTACCGGAGCCTCCAAAGGGCCATCACTGGAAGGCTGTCCAGCACGACAACAAAGCGACCTGGCTGGCCATGTGGCAAGAGAATGTCAATGGCAACTACAAGTACGTGATGCTGGCAGCCGACAGTGCCGTCAAAGGCCAAGCCGACTTCAAGAAGTTCGAGAAAGCCCGCGAACTCAAGAAGCATATCGACCGCATTCGCGCCGACTATACTAGGGATCTGAAGGCAGACGCCATGGCGGACCGCCAGCGTGCAACTGCCGTCTATCTTATTGACCAGTTCGCATTGAGAGCCGGTAACGAAAAGGACACTGACAACGAGGCCGAGACGGTCGGCTGCTGCTCCCTCAAATTTGAGCACGTCACGCTCCAGGAGCCGGACATTGTTATTTTCGACTTTTTGGGCAAAGACAGCATTCGCTTTTACAATGAGTTTCAAGTGATCCCCCAGGTCTTCAGGAACCTGAGGCACTTCAAGAAGCCCCCAAAGGAAGAGGGCGATGATATCTTCGACAGACTGAACGTGAGTCAAAATTGAAGACCCGAGGTAGAAATCAGTTCCCCCCCTACTGACACAGCTTGCAGACCGGCCAACTCAACAAACACCTGTCGAGCTACATGCCCGGGCTAACCGCAAAGGTGTTTCGTACTTACAACGCATCGTACACCATGTCGAAGCTGCTTCGTGAGAAGATGGGAACGATCAAAGGGATGTCGGTCGCTGAAAAAATCAAGTTTTACAACGACTGCAATCGCGAGGTGGCTGTACTCTGCAACCACAAGAGAACAGTTGGTGCCGGGCACGAGACACAGATGGAAAAGCTAGGCGACCGTATTAAGGGCCTACACTACCAGAAATGGCGTGCAAAGATGATGATACTGGATGTTGACCCCAAGCAGAAAAAGAAGAAGGGTGCCGAGTACTTCCAGCTTCCGGCCGACCTAGATCAGGAATGGATTGAGCAACACCAGAAGTATCTCGTCGAGGAGCAACGGACCAAGATCCAGAAGAAGTTTGAGAAGGACAACGAGAAACGCAAGGCCGACAGCGAGAAACCGCTGCCCGATAAGGAGCTCAAGGAGCGCCTAAAGGCTGCAACGGAACTCGAGGCCAAGTTCAAGAAGGAGAACAAAACGAAGAAAGTCGAGGCTGAAGGCAAGGGTCCAACAGTTGAGAAGTTCATCGCCGCCGTCAAGAAGTACGATGAACGCATTCAAGTTCTCGAGCTGCAGTCTGCCGATCGTGAGGGCAATAAGGAGGTCGCCCTAGGCACATCCAAGATCGTAAGTTTCGCTCGCTCGTCTTGAGCTACAGGGTCTGTTGCTAACACGTTTGCCAGAATTATATTGACCCCCGTCTCACTGTCATCTTCTCAAATATCTCGGGCGTGCCGATCGAGAAGTTCTTCTCGAAGACTCTCCGCGACAAATTCAAGTGGGCTATCGAGTCGGTTGGTGACGACAGTGACTGGGAATTCTAAAGGGTTGCATCGCAACTAGCGTCGCGCCCCTCTACCCTTTGCTTTTTTTGTTTTCTCTTTTTGGTCTTGCAGCATTAGGCCATCGCATGGATGCGATCGGTCAGCCCATATCAATACAGCACAGACTCACGATGCGAATCATTTGCGCTCACTCAAATTTAACATATGTGCATTCGTAGGCTAGACTTTGGGGCCAAAGACAGGTACTCGGCGTTGACGGAAAAGCGGGATAGCTAGGCGAAATTTGTATTCCTCTTTAGTTGAGATGGCACTCTAGATTGGCCGTTGGTCCTTTTCGCTAGTTCGCACACTGGCTCGGCCAGCGTATGGCAGAGGCTTTTGTGTGGTGGAATGGCGCTTTATCGGATCTGCTTACTGGTCTAGAGAAAAGCGTCTAGAGAAAAGCAGCAAATATTTGTGAGGACTTTTATGTCAAAAGCGATGGCTTGACACTTAAAACAGAACAATGAGCTTTAGCAATAACTTATGCACTATTTATAGTCCTGCTCGGTTTGCGACCAGACTTGATATATATACAAATGTTACAAACTGCTGCCTAGACTATGCAATTATTCCTGCCGCCTGCCCGTTATCATACAACGCGTATTATTACCTGTCATTAGCCATAGGTTCGTCTCGGCCGTCTGTTTACGTCTGGTTTGTTCAGGCATCCAACTGCCACAGCCAGCTCTCGTTCTTCAAAGGGGTATCCAAAAAAGAAAAATATCTGTCCGTCCATCAATCTATCACTCCACACCGTGAGTACAATGACCAAAAAGGAAAAGAGGTAATCAAAATAAAAATAAAACAGTTTAATTCAGGCCCACCCTTTCCATTGCTTTTTCTCTACAACTCCCAAGAACCCTTATTACCAAAGAAAAGGTTATGAGAACCTGAGCCAGTGCCAAGGGATTTTCGTGTGAAAAATACAATGCGTGCCGAGGATTAGTAACGCCTTTTCCAAATGCATTTTGTTTTTGTTTCTGTTTTCGTTTTGATCTCGTGGGGTATCGTATCAGGAGGCTAAAATGCAGACAAGTGTTGGCGGAAAAATGGTTCGATCCACCGATGGGTGGGTTTGTGGTTGTCGGGGGTGATATTGATCGTTGCAAGCGGGTGCACTTGTTCGGGGGTGTTGCGTGATGGCGTTGAAACGCGAGAAAGGGGGTGTAGCAATTAATTGGCATCGCGGGATAGCTCGCATGATCGAAGAGGGTGACGTGGTATGGCATTAACACCAACCAACTGCGAAAAGTCCGAGAACAACGGACCCAATGAGTAGTAGAATTAGCTGAGGCGGTTCTAAAAAGCAGAGTTAGCACCACTTAAAGGAGATTGGACACAATAAGGGTCTGGTTAACGTACTGACAATACTCGAGCTGGCCGGGACAATCTTGCCTTCTGGCGTCATGACCCAGCCGCTCGGAATGGTGGAACCACCATTCGAAGGGGTGCCAGTGGCGACCCACGGCCAGCCGGTCTGGGTTAACGTGGCGCTGTTGGAACCCCTTCCAATGCCGCCGGCTGGGATCGATGGTGAGAGCGATGTGACGGCGGAAGCACTAGCCGTGACGGTAACGCTCCCGGCCTTGCCGAGGTTCCCGTTTATGGTGCCGCCGTCCGACTTGATGGACTGCCAGGTACCCGATGTGTCGCCGTACGTGTATGACTTGCCCGTCGAATAGTCACTCACAACGACGGACTTGACCGACATGGAGAAAGGCCCCTTGGAATAGTCGGTAGGACCACGCGCCCACTCAATGGTGCCGGAGGGGTTTGACGGGTCGCCGCCAGACCATGCACCGAACTTGATCTGCATGGGGGTCTGGGGATACTGGCCGGCGGCGTCGTTGAACGTAAGGGTTCGCACGGCGGTCCCATCGACATACCACATGATGCGGTCAGCGGTCCAGTCGATGGTGTACTTGATGAACTGGCCCTGGTTGTTGGCGGCGGGGTTGAACTGGCCGCGATTGAACGAGCCAGTCTGGCCTTTGCCAAAGTAGTTGGTCTGGACTTCGGTCGAGTCGGCGCCGAGCCACTCCATGTCGATCTCGTCGAGGTCGTCCGACTGGAGCACCAGAGAGCTCACGATACCGGCGCCGGGGGCACTCTTCATGGTGACCTCGACGCGGCCAAACATGATGTAGAAGACGCTTGTGAGCTGAGGCGCATCACCAGACTTGGCAACAGTGAATGTGGCTCCGTCAGCGCCGTACGTGGGTATCCCACCGCTTGCCACGAACGAATTGACCGCTCCGTTAGTGAACTCGACATCAACATTCATGCCTAACGCCGTGTTGGCCGGACAGGTTGCTGTGGTGGTGTTAGTCGAGCTAGGCCATCAAAGCTTTGCGGTTCAGGGGCCAGCCGTGCGTACTTGTGTACAAAGGGTTACATGAGCTCCAAGTTTGCGCAAAGGCTGCGTTGGCCAGCATCGCAGCAGCGATTACCGCCGTCGCGGCAACCCTCCAGCGCCTTGAGGACGCCATCGTGGCTCTAGGTTAGGCTCGGCCCTTGTTGGGGGAAGCAGTTGAGGCGAAAATTGTGGCCTGTGGTGTTGCGCTGTTGTAGGAAGCGAAGGCAGCAAGTGAGTACCTTCAGTGAGGTATGGGGTAGTGACGTATTCCGTATAAGAGGGGTCAATGGATGGATGAATGGAACAATGGACGGATGGGTGGATGATGAATGGGGGAGCCTCGAGACCCGGGTTCGTGTGTGATACAAATAAGGTTCGGAGCCCCAGACACAAATGCCTGCGTTATTGCGCGTCAATCAATTGAGACACGGTGTTTCTGTGCCGGTACAGGTCTCGAGAGTGAAACTTGCGTGTGTGCCGGTGATGCGGATCACGGAAGGAAAAGGCAGAGAACCGAGACGAGACAGGTACTCGTAATGGGAGATCGGGAAGGCGCAGTAGAGGTGCAGTAGAGGTGCATTGATTGTGCATACGGCTCAGGTCTACCTTACGTTTCCCAACCCGGCTTTTTGATGGGTTAAATGCAAGCACTGCCGCCAAATCAGACGGACGAGAATCGAGATCCCAACCTCCGAGAAAACGTCGTCATCAGCAGTAGAGCAGCTTCGAGTGGGAGTGTGGACCACTTCCAAGGCCGAATCCTGCCTTTCTGTGGGTGCGTTTTCTCTTGTTGTTTAAAAAAGGAGGTTGGGTGCTTGGGGAAACGCCCTGGTTGGGGGGACAGCACTGGCGCCAGCAGGGGGCGCGTGGCTTGCACCGCCCACGCCAACGTTGGCCAAGACGTTATGCGGGTGGCTGGTCAGTTTACGTGGCGGCCCCCAGCGTCCGTCCCACATACCTTAACGACTGTCAAATCGAGAACGGATGTTCGACGTCAATAGAACCCCTTCTGGGTTTATTACTCTGTATCCATATCCGTACTATATAACGGCAACCGATTAAAAGGAAACCATCAACTTTAAGCCACTCTAGACATTTGCCCGAACAGAAGAACCCACCAGTCGCGGCACTTCAGGCGACCCACTCAACTCACCTTTCAATGAGCACAGTTCCGGCTCAAACACCCACAGATCAATTGTTTGCCCGCTTCTTTGGTGATGGAAAGCGAATAGAGCCCCCCACCGATAGTGAGCTGATATTTCTCGGGTACGGGATACTTGCAGAGGCTCTCCGTGAGTTGCAACTCAATTCAGCCAGCGAAACAATAGAACAAGATAGAATAGACACAAGAACAGCCCAGTCAAAGGGCTATCCAAATAAAAAGTGAACAAGCCACGTGCATTTTGAAGTTCGGCATGATTGCGGGTGGGTTGAAACCGAAACATGGACTGGAAGCGACAAAGTTTCTCCGAGTAGTAATGTTCCTGCCTGATGGGCTAGTATTTTCCTGATCTGGCGTCCATGCCCTCGACAGGACAGGAAGGCACACCCAGCTGGCAGCAAGACTAAGGTACCTTACCAAAGATAACTAATAAACTTGAGCTCGCGTCTTAAGAAGAACCTAGAAATACCGACCTAGCAAAGAAGAAGCCCTACGGTAGGTACGGATACTGGATACCAAACCGAGCCACCTCAGGCATCTTCCGAGGTCGAGACCATCGTCCGTCGCGTGCGCCATGCGCTTTCTTTGTCAGACTCCTTGGGATGCTTTCAAACTTTACATTTTCTTCGCTCGACACTCGACACTCGACACTCACATGCTTAAACATCAAGACATTCATTTCTCATATCAACCGAAATAAACAAAACATGGAAGTCCCGGGGCCAAAGAATCGATCGCTCAGTTGCTCAATGAAGGCATCAGTTTCATCTACGAACCGGCGAGCAAGCCAAGGCTGAGCTAGGATGCCATTTGCCAACGCAAACTTCTTTTAATTCAAGGCAAGCAATGCCGAAAACGGTCCCAAAGGTCCGCAACAACTCTTTAGTAACCCCGTAACTTGTAAGTCTAACCATGTTGCGTCTCCAGATCATAAGGGCCGGCTTTGCTGGAGAGGGCGTTCATGGCTAGTAAACGTATATTCCATATCAATCCTCCCAAAAATGGCTGGTTTAGTGGCTTCGTTCGCTTTCCAGGGGAGTTGTCCAGCCTCGCCGGCGAAGAAATGGCCGTTGCTCTGTTTGCCCACTCGGATGTCCTCCGGCCGAGACTCAGCCCAGCAGTCGGACCTTCTCTTCGTCGAGCAGGGCGTTCCTGGTCTCGACTACCCACCGCCGGTGAAGGTTATGTCCGGAAATGCTGATGGCCATGGCTAAACATGTCGCCCACGGGAGATATCCAAGCAATATCAGGTTCGAGCTCGCCCGAAGACCATATCCGATGATGGCGGCCGCGGCAAGCACAATCATGTAAACGGCGAACTGGAGGGGATCCTTGTCTTGCCGCCGATGTGCAAACGATGACACGCAACAGCCGAAAAGGAGACAGGAACAAAGCATGAGGCCTGGAGAAGGGTGAAGAAGGTCGACAGTGCGGCTTTCACCGTGATTCTCGTGTGACTAAAACGGATGCCGGGTCAGCCAAGGAACGCCATGTGGTCCTTCCGGGGTAGATTTGGTACCAACACTGCTGTCTCCTCGTGTCAAATCGTTTTGAACAGTGAAGCGCCAAGTCACAATACTGCAGAGAGCCCCGAGGCCGATCTCAGAGGTCTCCGACAACCAAGTCCATGGCCCCGCATGTTGGCTGGGATCCTCGGCGTTTTGGTGTGAAGAGCATGAACCGCAATTCATTGGAACGGTAGGTGGCTTGACGGCAGAATGATTGCCTCAAAGTCTACTCGAGGAATCTGAGGACCGAGCGGCCATGGCCTCCCGAGAGCCTCTACGCAGGGCCTACACGGTGTAGAGGCGCACCTCTAAATACATACAAAGCCCGACTACCCGTTTCCTGTCCTCGGAATCACCAGCCTTACCGGTTGGCAGCTCAAAGGAGATTATGATTGTCATGGCTCGGCCGGAACGCCTGCGTGATGCCAATCCTGCCGGGCAACTGCACCAACTGCACGTTCCTCACGCCCGAGTGCATGCGTCTTTATTTCCGATTTGGTCAAGATACGGGGGAGGCCATCCGAGGTTGCCTCGATGTCTCTCCACATCATGCGTTCCTACCCAAGGCAAAGAATGGTGTGAGGTAAAGCAGGCAAAAAAGGCGAACTGCTAGGCTGACGACACTCACCGAGATTGGCTAGCCAATCCGAGACCCGCGAGGCGAAGCCGCGCCCCCAAGGCAGAACGGCATCCGCCCAGACGAACACCAATAAGCACTACCACAAAGAGTCGGGGCTCTGCCCGACGACCAAAAGTCGAGGAAGTCGTGCGAACCACCGGGGTCCGCGACCTGCAACACATAATGTTCTATTGGCTCCCCGCAATGTCGGTAAGCGTGCTTTCTCTGTCGAGTTTGAGCGAGGCAGTGCTTCTCGGTGCAAACGGGAGAAAAGGAAGGGAGAAGAAGCAGCCTTAAGAAACACGAAGAACTGGTGCCGCGTGCTTTTGTCAAGTCAGGTTTCCAGGTATTTACACCACAGAGATCCCGCCAGACCCGTAAAAGGAACTTGCCTTTTTCTTGTGATTTGATGCACGGCGAGACCAGGCTCCCATCCACTCTACTCAAGCTTCCTTTTCGCTCCCACAGTCCTCAATCCACATCTTCTGGTTGACTCGGGTCACCGGAGCCAAAGGACTCACACCCCTTCTCTCATACTCACCGACGCTATAGCTCGGCCACTATGAGCCGCCCCATGGATCACCTTCAGGGCGTCCTTGACTCGCACAGGAGGCTGGAATCGCGCGGCGGGGTGTTTTGCCAGATCTCCAAGATCTTGTCCGCCGGGAGTATGATTGGAAGCGCCATCTTGTTCCCTTTGGCGCATGCCGAAGGGCTTTGGTTTCGCGCCGTGTAAGGCCGTTCACCAATGCTCGTCGATGAGGTGCTAACCGGGGCCCAGCACCCTCTCCATCTTCGTGCTTACGGCTGTTGTCTTCCACGGACTCCACATTAGGCCGTTTGTGAGGTAACGCCTTCACCGGGCGCACGCATCGCTGCCTGGCACTCACTGACAATGCCCAGAATCGGCCCATACTCGGTGCCGGTGATGCTGGTCCTGCTGCTGCTAGCTGTGTTGGCCGGCGGGCCTTCAAAGACGGACCTCGTTCCGTGGATGCCACTTTTTATTGTCTGCTCCAGCCTGGTCACCGTGGGGATTTATGAGCTCACCGAGCGCCCTTGTCCCTGTGGGAGAAACGTGGAGACGCCGGATGAGTTCTCGGGCGTGTCAGTTGATTCTTGGAGCGACGACCCTTTCCGGGCAGCCTTCGGCAGCCAAAAACGTCGGCCGCCGAGCCAGTCCAATCGTTTCAACCCCCTCTACTTTGCCCGGTGTGGGCCGTCGTCTCAGTACTATGCTGAGACTGAGGCTGGGTCATCGGACATCTCTCTCTCCAGTACAGGCCAGTGTCGGGCGCATTGGGACCCTTTAACGCGAGGATACTTCACTTCCGAGCATACCCCGGAGCCAAATGAGGAACTGCCAGGACAATCACCCATCGGGATTGGATTTGACCGGGAGCCGGTCTCGGTCTCGGACCACGCGTCAAACAGGTCCAACTACCCTCTGCTCGGCCCCCTGTGACGACGGGCAAAGGAGCGAGTTCCAGCATGTACACTAGAGCCGCGGTTTTGTATCTCGTCCTCTCGACGTGCAATGTCTACCTGGGACGGGTAGGAGGTTTACTATTGCATATACTGCGTTGGAGCGTCAAGGTTTCCTTTGGTAAGCTTTTGGTAAGCGCCAACGTAATCTGATCTGCGACTACAGGCCAGCGAATATTTCTTTTCTCTCTCAAGTCCGGAATATGATATCAGGATAGGAGACGTTTCTCCTGGACCGTCCACCGGATGCCACTGGACGTCGTTAGCCAGGACAGTCGGAAGTACAGCCTCAGACACGCCCCGCAAGGAAAGAGGGCACACGTCTGTAACCTAGGAGTTTTACGGACTCTTCCACGCCATGAGGTTGGTGGTCAGTTCTCGAACGTGGCCAGAATCTCGGGGCTGTTTGAGTCACAATATACGAACCAACTACGGAGTATTAGCAACATACAGGAGCCGATATCCACAGGCGTGGAGCGGGATTTGGCATGGGGAGGAGAAGGCGAATAGAAAATGTCGACTCAGGTCACTCGCGGAAGCCTAGCTGTGGACAAAGCACATCTCAGTCATGATCTACAGCAGGTCTGGAAGCACAATGGAAGAAAGGCCTTGTGTACTCGACTTGGATTCGCTAAACGGCGAGATAACAGCGTCTTGGTGGTACTGTATCTCGAAAGCAAATTAATGATGGAGGTTGGTCTCCTCCCGCATGTACATGGATGCAAAACCAAGGTAGTCATGAATTAGAATTGTACATACATACACATAGCTTAGTTAAGACAGGTGTCTTTGTCTCACTGGGTCAGGTTGTCCGACTTGTTGTTACGTACTGTATTACAGGGGAGATCGAGACCAGGGCGCGGTTGGCTTCAAAGGCGTCCCTCCAGCCCGTTGGTAGCCGTCTTTAGCCCCGTGATCACTAACAACCCCGCCATCGGACCCTTATCAGTCTGGGGGCAGAGAGCCGACTGGGGTGCCCTCAGCGTTATCGTCGACCATGTTGACATTGGGTATTCTTTTCCTTTCTTGCGACATAAACTAGGGACTCTGAAGGTTTCTTTTTATTTTATTTTTTTTATTTATTTTTTATTCATATTGTATTTGCCACCTCACTGCATTACAGTTCGTTCCGTGCCTGGGGCACCGAGGCATCGGAAGCACCGAAATGCGGAGATCAGCTGGACTTGGCGCCCGCGCCCGCGGCGTCACCGGCTTAGTGATACAAAATACACGGCCAACCCCATCATCACCAGCGCCACGCCCCGCCTCATCGCGGATACAGATCCGCAACAGCATCGTCTCCAGGTCGCTGTTCCACTCCAAGTTCAGAGACAACAGCCCGGAGGCGCTGGGAACCGCGGTCAACCTCGTCCCAGACGTTGCTGCTACCCCCGTTCTTGCGCCAAAGAACCCCCGCCATGTCACCATCGCCGACATCCTCAACCGCCGCGCCAAGGCCGGCAGGCTCGTCGCTGGTACCGCTGCCTACTCGGACAGCGACATGTTCAAGGGTCCCGTATGCATTTGCTCATGCTTAAGCCTAACCCTTGCGCCTATATGTTCTATGTTCTATTCGCCCACCCCCTTTTGTCGCTTTGCTGGAAAGGGGACTAACATCGCCGTCGGCTGGTGTTCTAGTCATTAGGCAAGCCAAAGGCCAAGAGGTGGGACCGTACGTTGCCTCCTTTCTTTTTTCTCTTTTTTTCTTCTTCTTCTTCATTTCTACTTTCCGACCCTCCCCCTATTCAGACCCAGGCCAGACCCTAACACCGCGTACAGACCATCTCACCGATGAGAGCAAGGCCCGTGAGCCCTGCATGCTCAAGCAGGCGGCCAAGCACCTCAAGAAGCCTGGGCTGATCTCGCTCGGCGGCGGGCTGCCCTGCGCCGAGAACTTCCCCATCGAGTCGCTGAGCATGAAGGTGCCGCGGGCGCCGCACTTCTCCGAGGAGGCGACGCGCGAGCTCGGAGAGGAGCTGCGCATCGGCAAGTACGACGTAGCGGCAGGCGAGTCCGAGTATGACCTGTCGATCGCGCTCAACTATGGGCAATCGATGGGGTCGGCGCAGATGATGCGCTTTGTCACCGAACACACGGAGCTCGTGTGCCGCCCACCCTACGCCGACTGGCGGTGCGCTCTCACCGTCGGCAGCACCGGCGCCCTAGAGCAGGCCCTCCGCATGCTATGCGACCGCGCCCGCCACGACGCTGTTCTCACTGAGGAGTATAGCTTCTCCACCGCCCTCGAGACCGCCGCGCCCCTCGGCATCCATCTCTTCGGCGTCGCCATGGACGCCCAGGGCCTGCTGCCCGACGCCATGGACGCCATGCTGCGCGACTGGGACCCGGCGCAGCGAGGGGGTGCCAGGCGCCCGCACGTCCTCTACACCGTGCCGTCGGGCCAGAACCCGACTGGCGCCACCCAGGGCGAGCAGCGACGCCGCGACATCTACGACGTGGCCCGCCGCCACGACGTCTTCATCATCGAGGACGAGCCGTACTACTTTCTGCAGATGCTGCCGTATGCAGGGAAGACAGAAGCAGCGGCGGGGGCGGGGGCGCAAAAGACATTGCCGGCGAACGAGGAGTCGGTCGAGGACTTTCTAGCCTCGTTAATCCCGTCGCTACTGAGCATGGACACGGACGGGCGCGTGCTGCGCATGGACTCGTTCTCCAAGGTGGTGGTGCCGGGGTCGCGCATCGGCTGGATCACGGCGTCGGAGCAGGTCGCCGAGCGCTACATCCGCCACGCCGAGGTCGCCAGTCAGGGGCCCAGCGGCGTCTCGCAGGTCCTGTTGCACCGCCTGCTCGACACGCACTGGGGCCACGACGGCTACCTGCGCTGGCTGATGCACCTGCGGCAAGAGTACACGGCCCGCCGCGACGTCCTGCTCACCGCCTGCTCCGCCCACCTCCCCCGCGACGTCGTCAGCTGGGACCCGCCCGCCGCGGGCATGTTTGTGAGTTTTCCTATCTCTTCTCTCTACAACACCGCACCAGATCCCCCATTTTCCGAAGAGAGAAGAAAAAGGGGCAACTAACAAAACAACAACACAGCACTGGCTAAAGATCGCGCACGAGGCCCACCCGGACGCGGGGTCCAAGTCGGTCCTCGCCATCGAGGACGACATCTTCAACCGGTGCATCGCCAAGGGCGTGCTCGTGGCGCGCGGGTCGTGGTTCCGCACCGAGCGCGGCGAGCTCGCCAGCCCGCCCACCGACCTCTTCTTCCGCGCCACCTTCGCCGCTGCCACGCCCGAGAACATGGCCGAGGCTATCCGCCGGTTCGGCGCCGCTGTGCGTGAGAGTTTTAGGCTGGAGTAGACTGGGTACCTTCGTATGTAGCTAATGTGGTGTGGTGTGGTGGTGCATGGGGGAGTTGGGTACCTAGGTATGTGTCTAGCACTTGAGATGGTATTGGTATTTGTGTGTAAATAGGCAGGCAGGCAGGAATAGCCGTAGCTCCAGGTTCTCGATCTTCTGCTAGCGGGCTTCTAGAACTTGAGCTTGGGTAAATATTCGTTTAGGAAAATGACAAGCAAAGTCAAATCCCTTTCTTTCTTTTTCCTTTTTAAACGGAAAAGAAAGAAGGCCAAGAAACTACAAATTGCGGTGCCTAACACGAGAGTCTCTGCCAACCCGAAATATGGATATCTGCTTTGCGTCCAAGGTATGTACAAGCGGTAACTTAAATCATCACATTACACCGGCAAGTCCGTCAACAACTCTCTACGTTGTTACAGAAAAGAGGGCTCACGAGGATTTTGTGTCTCTCGTGCTGTACTCTTGCATATCACCCAACCCAGCCAATAGATCCCCAGAGTCCCAGGCTTTCAAACTGACCAATTGGGCTCATTACGTTCTGTGCTTGTTCGACTTCTTAAAAACTTGCGTTATGTAAAAGCAGCCCTGACCCAGCCTTAACCTCAACCGCAGAGGGTCGCATGTTGCCAACGTATGCTACTTAATATCCAGACTGCCAGATGCCGCTTCCAGAATGTTCGGCGTCCAAAATCCACCTCTCCAAGTCACCATGGCTAATCATACATCCAACCGCACCCTGGAAATGCCGAAGACAAAAACATCGTGAATTCATTTAATTAGGAGACAAACCCCCTAAAAACCACAACAGCCCTACTTTGGAGCCTCCCAGAAGGCAACGCGCACGCCGTCGCCGGGCTGCAGCACGATCTCGGCCTTGAGGGTGGGCCTGCCGCCGTCGACGGCGGCCATGTAGTTCTCGACGCGGTCGTAGCGCTGGAAGAGGCGGGTGAGGACGTAGCCCATCTCGGTGAGGGCAAACTGCTGGCCGATGCAGATGCGCGGCCCGCCGTTGAAGGGCACGTACTGCCACGGCTTGGGCTGCCAGTGGAACCAGCGGTCCGGCGAGAAGACGGCCGGGTCGGCGAATTTCTCGCTCACTCGGGGATATAAGTCGGCTCGCCGCTGCATCACCAGCGTACTGTAGCCAATGGGGTTGTCCTTGAGCACTGCCAGCGGCTGGCTGCCGTCGGGCCCGCCGCCGCGCGGCAGCGTCGTGTCCTTGAGCGCCAGTCGTACGCTGTGTTGAGGGACACACGTCAAAGGTCAGAAAAGTTGTGCGAGGAGTGAGTGAAAGTAAAAGGCTTACTTGAAGGGGACAACAGGGTACAGCCTAAGCGTCTCGTTCATGACGTTCTGCAGGTACTTCATGCTCTTGAGATCGTCATATGTCGGGGCGCGGGTAGGTCCCACAACCTCGAGGATCTCGGCGCGCAGCTTGGCGACGGCGTCTGGGTGGCGGGCCAGCTCGTAAATGGTCCAGGACAGGGTGCAGGCCGTCGTGTCACGGCCGGCCAGCAGCACGGCCACGAGCTGGTCGCGGAGCACCTTGCGCTCGCTTGTGAACCCCGACAGGGCGTGGAGGAACGTGTACCCTGCCTCGCCCTTGGACTTGCTAGCGAGCTCCTCCGGGCTCAGCCTGAGCGCCCGGTCAATGTACTGGTTGACAAAGGTGTTGATGACCTCCATCCCCTTCCAGAACGTCTTGCGGTTGACAAAGCTGGACAGGGGCCCCGTCCGCGCGATGAGGCTCTGCACCCGCTGCACTTCGGCAAACGCCTCGGCGAACTCTTGGACCGGAGTGCTGCGGGAGGTGGTTAGTAGAGAATATGAATGGCATTTTCGGCGTGGAGAGCAAGACACACCTTAGCGACTTGATGTCCTTGCCGAGGAGGAAGTCAGTAGCCGCGTCCAGGGTGTAGCGGAAGAACAAGTCACTAATGTCGACGGGCTTGCCGTTCCCGGCCGCCAGGTCGATGGGCTGGTCCTCGCCGTTCAGGGCACCGCCGTTTGCGATGGCGCGGAATAGGATCTGCATGTGGCTCTCAAAGACATCGAGGTCGCTGACGCGGTCCTTGACGAACTGGGGCCGGATCAGCTGGCGGCTGTTGTGCCACTGCTCGCCGTCGGTGGTAAAGATGCCATCTCCCAGAAAGTCCTTCCACTTTGCGTGGAAGGGCGCGCCCTTGCCGTAGTCGGCAAACTGGGTGGCTAGGATCGCCTTGATGTTCTCGGGGTCGGCCGTGAACACCATGCGCTGCCCAATGATGCGGCACTCCGCAGTCCAAGCATCAGTCGAGCTGAAGACGCCCCTCCAGAAGTCAATGTTACGATGCTGCTTGGCCATGCGAATAGTCTCGGCAACGATGCTGATGCCTGAGCGGTGACTGGTTAGATGACATGTTTTTACTTCAACCAGCCAACCCCTTGCCACGAAACAAAGCACTGCGACTCACCGAATGGCAGCCTTGACGGGATGCTGGGCGCCCTTTGGCCGGGGCCTCTCGACAGCTTGAAGTTCTGCCATGCCACCTGACATGTCTTGAAGACGACCCAGCCTAGGAGGAGACCTGGCAGCAGGAGGAGCGTTGACTTGATGGAGACATGGTCCACCGCTATTTCGACCAACCCCATACCGGAGTTTCGGGCCCAGAATTAATGAATAGCTAAGGTAGGTAGGGTAGGTGAGATAGGCAGCTACAGCTTCGAAACTGTAAGTGTTCTCTTGCCAGACGATACTTGTGGTGCCTAAGAGAGAGGATATAAGAGATAAAAGTGAATATCAATTCCCGGGGAAAGCAAAGCAGCTCACGTTCCTAGTAGGTATGTTGGGTAAAGTAGGTAGGCTGGCTATTAGTAACCCGGCAGGAGGGGGTCGCCCATGGATATGGACATGGACATAATGGCAGGGTGGTCCGACCTTTTTATTCAATTCATTGTTCCAACATCCAGCCAGCCAGGGGCCTAAAGGGGGTGGTGCCAGACCCCCCCGCCGTCTTTCTCCTCTGCCTAGTCTCTCTCTAAAGTATAGAGCAGAGTGGGAATCGCCCGCCGGGTGGCATCTTCCGAGTGATGTGCGAGCTCGAGCCCGAGTGTCTCCACAGCCAAGCGGGAAGGCACCCCCTTTACCCCAGAGTACAAGCTCTGCTGGTAGGTCTACCTGGGTACTGAGGTAAGGCAGGTACACCTGGGCCAGCGTAGCGTGCCTTCCCTAACTTACTTGGCTCGGATATGTGGGCTGTCATCCGACCACCAAGAGACGATTCTTCCCGCTCTAGACGTTTAACGGGAAAGAGAGGTTAACGGGAAAATAGCGGGGATGGAACAAAGCGAGTACGCACACACACACGCGAGTTGCGCTCTCCTCCCCTCCCCTCCCCTCCTCTCCCCCACCATAGACATACTCCCCCCTTTGAAGTAGATACCTTGGATACCTTACCTACCAAAGGCACGCAGGCGATAACAGCGGCGTACCGCAGCCATTGAAAACCGCAGCAACGAGAAGGAGAAAAAAGATGCCCAGCTCGTATTTTCGAGAAATCCCATCTATCCGGCCGCCCTCGGACACAAACACCGTCTTGTATCTGAGTCAATCCGGATAACTTGCTTGGCTCAAAACCCGCAAACTGATCGGTCAAACGTGTGTGTTCACACTGTGTGTGCGCCGTTGCTCGCCTGCTCCTCACCGCCGCGCTCCGGAGCGGTGGAAGTGCCGTCGCGAGTACCATGTCTCGGGCTGCTACGAGGTGGTTCTGTACTGTACACTCACAAACACTCAAGAGTAGCACAACGATGCCCTTGGAACTAGTATGTGCCATATATTGTAAAGGCACTGTGGTGGGGAAAGTAGCGCATTCCATGTGCCTGGGCAGCCGCCAAGTGCCCCCAGTCAGTGGTTACTAACCTAAAGTTATGTGATGGAGAAAAGGATGCCGAGGTTCCATGTTTTATTATTTGTAGCTGCTGCGGCGAAAGGCGGGGAAGATGGGGGAGAAGGAAGACTTGGGGGCAACTAGAATGAAATGTGGCCAAATGGTGTCATGACGCAGGACGTTCTCGGTGCGAGAGTTTTCTTTCGCTGGACAAGAGTCCGAGATTTGTAGACATGTGTATACAGAACCAGAGAGGATTGGTATGCCTGGAACTTGAAGCAAATCCGGGACGGGGAGATCGGAAAGACACAATTGGAATGGGGGTTCCTTCCCTGGTGGATAATCAAAGGCAACCGATTAATCGTCCAGGCTGTAAAATACACACATCGGTATGACATGTTATGTATGTAGGCACACTTCGTGAGACTAGCAGCGAAATTCTAGGTGCCAGCATCTATATCCTCTGCATTATATGCCGGGCTTGCAGCGTGGCGCGCTCTGGATGACATGTTGCGGTGCTAATAAGGTGCTGATGTCGGAGACGTTGGCGTTTGGGAGTTCATGATCCCTGGGGGTACTGACGGTACCTGGTGGTATCTACTAGGTGACGCTCCCTAGCTTCCACTACGGTCAGAAATAGTTAGGAACACGCCTTACCCAAAGACCACATACAAAAGCTGCCAGCCAATGACGAGCCTCAATTGGCTTGAATGAGTTCTGGACCTTTTCGACCACACCTCACCACACACTCTCTCACATGACGTCGCATCCGCTACCTTACTCCATGGGACCATGGGCAATCTTTCCACCTCGGCATGTTCCCCGCATGTCGCGTCGACGTCTAAACCTAAGCTAAGGGCCCGTCCGTCTGTCGGGACACGGATGGACTCTTTGGTGCGAAATTAGGATCGGGGCCTGTTCTGAAAATTGAACCGGACAGTCGGGCGGTCTCAAAACGCCGACCGACTCACTAATACATCAGGTAGTAAGGTGGTCTTGAATTTGGGAGCCTAGCCATGGATACAGATGCAACATGTCATATTAAAGTGGACTTGCAAGGTCCCCCTGAGATACTTGCCAGAAGGAGTACAGTACATACGTGTTGTATTGCAATCCATCAAGACCCAGGTTGGTGCCCGCTGTTGAAGTGCTCTTCAGCGGAGGGTGTAACGACAAGATGAAAGACAACACGCAGGAAACTCCGATTCCGTCAACCTCGGCTGGGTATCTATTAGTTGCCACTTCCGGCGGTTATGCGCTTCTATGTCCAATGTGGCATATGGCTAAAATACAAAGGTGTTGTCAAGGGAGCAGCTCTCGCGACAGCGGTCAAGGCAGTCCATTACACGTGTACTAAAAACTACCTACCGTCGCGTGTTTGCTTAAAAACCCACGCGCCATATCGAGGCAGGCTGCTGACTGGCCCTCGCCGTGCCCCCCGTGACACCGCATCAGAACCTATAATCCCGTCGATGTCGTGTCCTTTGTGGCTGCAATTATCGTCATGAGATTGGGTACGAGCAGTCGAAGCTGTCCGACTGTGTGCAAAACGTCATTTGTATGGGCGAAGCCCCCACCCCGCGGGCCACCATGCGGTACCTCATCTCATTAAGCCGCGGTGTCACCTCAAGCTGGCTCCGATTTTGCCCTGAGACGTCCGTCGTGCCAGACCACAGGTTCTCGCCCATGGCGCTCGCTCGCGGCCACAGGATGCTGTCTAGGTTGACGGGATCAATAGTCTCGCCCCAGACTGCCACCTCGCCGCCAATGACCAGCTTCGCCTCCTCTTCAGTAAGATTGTACGTCGGGTCGTGCGAGTAGATCAGCCGCCAGCTCTTGTACGGGTCGCACCAGTCGCTGAATGGATAAAACGTCTGGTAGGCCCCGCCGTTGTCCATGTTGATCCATTGCCCACGGCCACAGTCTAGATACTGAGGAGAGAAGCCAGCTTTGTTAGTTTCTCGTCTTTATTTACCTTGTCCCCTAACCAGACGCCCGCGTTTTCCCTCTTCACTCTCTGTCTTAAAGGCAAGGGTAGATAAAAACTCACCAAAAAGTTGTAATTGCTGTCAATGACCTTGTAACCCTTCCCTGTCAGCGCCTTGACCGATTCGTCCCCGAGCCAGGCTTGCACAACCGTGTCCTTGCCCAAGGTGACGTTCCACTCCAGCGGGATCTCTTCCCATGTGATGGGCGTCAGGCCGGCCTTCCGGACTCGAGCGTGCTGGGTGTCGATGAACTTCTGGAGTAGAGGTTGCAGCACTGCCGAGTCATTGGACCGGATTCCCTCGTCCAGCATCGAGTCATTCATGTTCAGCTCGTCGCCGCCCGTGTGGAAATAGGCCGAGTACGGCGCTAGGCGCGGGAGCAGATCATCAAACAGCTTGTCGAGAAAGTTGTCGACGGCCGTGTCGTTGAGCTTGAACGCTCCGCATGGCGGCTCTGCACACCACCACCAATATGGCGCCTTGTTATACGCGACAATGAGCTCTGGGTGCGACAAGGCAACGGCTCCGATGTGGCCCGGCATGTCGATTTCAAAGTACACCTCGACACCCCGCTGGCTTCCGTACTTCTGAACTAGCTCCACGTCCTGGGGGGTGTATACCTGGGACGGATGATAGGCGCCTTCCCTCGAAACCTCGGGCAGTGACGGTATCTCGAGAGGCCACGACTGTGAGTCCGTGACGTGGATGTGCAGGACGTTCAGCTTGTTCCAGGCCATGGCGTCGAGAGTCCTGAGGATGTCCTTGACACCCATGTAGTTCCGGGACGTGTCCAGCAGGACGCCACGGTGGGGATACTTGGGAGCATCTTGGATCGACACGGGGGCAAACGGCGTGTACCAAAAGGTCCCTGTCGAGTGCTGGTAGAACAGCTGGGTGAACGTCTCAAGCCCGCGGAGGATTCCGATGGATGAGACGGCCGTCAGTTTGACATCGCCTTCGGTGCTGAGCGTCAGGTTGTACGACTCGTCCACCTCGCCAGCCAGAGGCTTGAAGGTGCTGGCCGTGTCCTTCCCCGCCTGGACAATCTGAAGGTTCTTGATCCACGTCTGGCCCTTGTACACGTCGGGCTCGAATTCGGCCAGCTTGTTGCGCTTCGTGATCATCCACGGGACGAATTTGTCGGCGAATATGGAGCTCAGGGCCCTCGAGACGCCGGCCGTGACGATTTCCTTGCTGTCCGAATTGAGAGGGACATATCCATACACGTATGGGACCTGTTGGTTGGCTAGGTATTTAGTATGCGTTCCGTATCCGCCATCGTCACCATCATCATAACCGTCACTGGGGCAGCCAGTGGGAGGGGAGGAATTCCAGCATACGAATGCGCCATTGTAAGTGATCTGAAGGTTCTGATGCAGGTACAGGACCGAGCTGCCCTTGGAATAGCTCTTGGGCACTGGCCATATCGCCGACACAGGGTGGGAGGCGAGGAGCAGGACAGAAAGCAGAAAGAGCAGAGGCGACGCCATTGTTGGGCGGGGGCTCGAGGCTACCATGTCATAGCCTAATCGAGGCGGGAGCAGGTCGAAGTCGTTCGCGAATTAACCTTGGGTATAAGAAGACGGGAGGGCGCCCGCAGAACAGTGGAGGGAGCAAACTTGAAGGAATCTGGAAGGACGGCAGGAACAGCAAGCCGATAACCCCACACTGGCACTCAAGCAAGCGAGGGATACACAAGCAAGGGCAGATGCGGTGCGGTGCGGTGCGGAGGGTATATAAATTGAAGTTTACGGGCAAAGGCTCATTCGGGTATTTATGTGAGCCCAGCCCATCCCATCCCATTCCCAGGGCAGCCCAGGTTTGGATGGCAGAGGGGCAGCCAACGTGACAATCAACCAGGACAAGGGCAGGACAGGGCAGGGCGAGAATTGAAGGCGAGAAGCTATGCGCCCAGTCGCACAACACAACACAGGATGGATGAATTGCGCCGACAATGGACGGCTGCCCAGTGACAGTTCGGCTAATGCGCGGTGCGTGACGGCAACTGACGGGATCAAATTCCACCTTGTCAAAGACTGAGACCGCAGAATGGGTGCCGGCTTCGAATTCGCACTCCCCTCCTAGGAGCAGAGTCCAGCTACCTGGTATCCAGGTAGGTGCAGAGGCGTATTTGCTGACCTGTTGGTCGCGTCTCTGGTTGTAATGAGATGGATGGTGATCCAAATCTTGATGTCCTCACGGCGCGGCGCAGCGCAACGTTACGTCAAAACCGCAAGGTCTGAACTTTCACGTCTGCTGCGTAGGTAGGTAACCGGCACGATGGGTTAAGAAATTCGAAAGCTACGCTGGACATTTGGTGGCCGTCTGGTGATAGGTGCGGTACGGTAGTCCGAAGACTCTGCCCAAAGAAGAAGGCGCCGCCGTAGACGGCAGATAGGACGGGGAATGTACTGTGTAGCGGAGGATACTCGCGTGTCGGACCAATATTAAATCCTTGTCGTTCCTTTTACCTCTGGTGTGCATTATCGCGTGTAAACATATGGAAATACAGATACTTAAAACTATGTGCAATTCGCAGTGGCTGGGCCGGAAGCGGCACCCCGCACTGACGAAAGAATCTCTAACATGCTCGCGGGGAAGCGTCCGAACGACAAAGCTCCCCGAATTCTTGGCTTGAATCGGAGGAAGCTATCGGACGGATAGCTTGCTGGTGGCGCATAGCAAGACGCCATTCTATGTTAATCTGTCTTCTCCCGAGGTCATTTAGAGCTATGGAAGGTATTTAGATGATGCCCTATACTCGATTAGGGCGTTCCTACAGGCCAAGACCTTTAATGCATTAAGCTGCACGTTCTGAAGGGCAATTGTTCAGCAGCCACAGTTACCTGGCTCTGTACCCCGGTACCATTCGTAACAAATGCCCACGGGACATGGTGACGAAATAAATATCCAAGGCAGGGACGGGACGCTGCAGGACAGAGCGCCGAGCCGGGCCATCTTATGCCTAGTCTTAAGACGGCAGCCCAATACCGGACGCTGGAGGCGCATTGCTGTTTTAAGCCTGGCAAGGAGTGCCAGACTCCGTGGCAGAATCAATGGATTACAGAGAGACTCATTCCATATCAAATGATTGCCTTGAGACCTCTCACGACATCACCTTGGCCGTCCTGTGCTTTCCGAATATAAAGTCGAGGTGGTCATGAACAATGCAACATGCCAAGAGGGTGATGAGAGGTATCGTATGCAGTGCAGCACTAGAGAGAAATTAGGAAGGTGTTTAGTCTTTGGTGGTGTGCTCCTGATCTCGGACGTCTGTGTTCTTCGACGTCAGCTTGCAGATTGGAGATCTGGAATCCCGAAATTGTTAAGCCACCTCAAGGTACGTATTCCGGACGGATATGTGGCTTCAACAAAGCAATCAGGTATGTGGCCTGGGCGTGTGTGTGGCTGACAGGTTTGGCTATTATGTAATAAACCTCGCCGTTCTCTGAGATTCTTCAGAGTTCAGACCAACCTGAAGAATATCACGTGCGGTGGATCAAGTCAGCCACATCAAATCACCCGAGCCGCCACAAGCCACCAGGAGCAAAGAGCGCCCCCCCATAACGGCACGTCGCTTCACCCTAGCCTTGAAGTTTAAACCAGAAAATCTTCGACCTTGAACCTGCCGACAAGTCCTTCGCTTCGACGACACTTCAGTAGATAAACGCATCGCCCGACAAACGACTGTCGCCGATACCCGTCCTCGATCACGTCGCGCGGCACGTCGCGCGCGCACAACATCGCCACCGTCGCGTCGTCGTCGAGAGCACGAGAGCAGGCTTGATCTTGCCTTGGGGTCGGTTTCGCTCGATTATCTCCAAGTCTCGATCATTCCGATCGTGACACCTGTCCCTATCTCTCTCATATCCGACCTACCTACTGCACCGGGGAACCTTTATCCCCATCAGCGTGGTCTTTCAGCCTACCCTACACTCCCTCGTTTACCGCTCTCGCCCGTCGACATGTCGGTCGAAATCACCCTTGGCACGCCACTGGCGGATGCCTTGAACACAACCATCCAAGCAAAAATCACAGACCTTGGCTGGACAAGTGGTAGTGCCGAGGCTGGCGCCATGTCGGAGTACTTTGTTCTCATGCTCGCGAACGGAAAGACACAAAACGATATCGCTGCCGAAATTGCGGGCGACTTGCTTAGTCTCGGTCCAGATGATGAAACGGCGCCCGCTTTCTCGAAGTGGCTCTTCGAACAGATTGATGCGCTCAACTTGGCAAACCCCGCTGACGCTGCGCCAGCTAATGGCCACAATGGAGGAGAACCAGCACAGGACGACGACATGGATGGCGGCTTTGACGCGGGCATGGATTCTATGACGGACGCGCCCACCAACGAGCTGAATGCGTATGTCTCCCAATTCAAAAAGCGCAACCACTCAAGTATGCTAACCAACCTAGTCCTACCGGGCCCAAGGCTATGCGAAATGGCAATTCACGCGGCCCTGGCCGAGAAAACCGACTGGTGGGCCAAATCAATCGAGCCATGGACCGAACCCACGAGTCCATCCTCCATCGAGTTCGCGGCCAGTCTGGCAACGAGAGGATCGGTAGAAGCGCCCCAACTGGGCCAAGAGTAGGTGTCGGCAGGCAGCCACGGACCGCCAACGCCAACGCGCGTGCTACGAGCATCGCTGCTGGCCTGGCCAATATGGGCGGCATGCCAACTGGCCCGACAGCAATGGGCCCGATAGTCCCGATGAACGGCATGAACCCCATGAATGCTATGAACCCCGGTTTTATGCCCCCAGATATCTTCAGCATGATGGAGCAACAAAGCCGCATGCTCCAGCAAATGCAACATCAACTCATGCACCAACAACAACAACAACAACAACAACAGCAACAACAACAACAGCAGCAGCAGCAGCAACACAATGTAGGGATGAAAAACAACAACGGCAATGGCCACGGACGGTCTCTGTTCGAGAGATCAAGCCGGCCAAACAACTTTCGGAGAGGGGGGGCCCACCAGCAGCACAATGGCCACACAGCGCCACAGCATCAGCTCTCAGAAGCCATCGTGACGGAGGTGACTGAGGAGGGCGAAGATGTTGAGATGGGTCAGGCCAAGCGCGAACCTCCCAACCTGGATGAGACCATCTGCAAGTATAACCTACGTTGCCAGAACAAAGAGTGCAAGTTTGCGCACCAGTCGCCAGCGGCGCCACCCGGCATCACGATCGACGTCACTGATGTTTGCACCTTCGGAGTTGCCTGCAAGAGCCGGAAGTGTGTGGGTCGCCACCCGTCGCCGGCTACCAAGATGGCGCATCAGAGCGAGATGGATTGCAAGTTTTTCCCCAACTGCGCCAACCCTCACTGCCAGTTCCGGCACCCCACAATGCCGCCCTGCAGGAATGGCGGCGAGTGCAAGGTGCCCAACTGCAAGTACACGCATGTCAAGACGGCCTGCAAATTTCGCCCCTGCACCAACCGATTCTGCCCATTCACGCACGAAGAGGGACAGCGGGGCACGTTCCACGACAAGGTTTGGGTGGCCGACGAGGGCAAGGAACACGTCAGCGAACGGAAGTTCGTAGATGAGAACGTCACGGAGGATCTTGTCCTACCCGGGTCAGAGGGAATGAATCCGGAAGCCGGAGCGCCGGAGGTGATCGTTTAGGGACATGTCGGCGCGGCGAACAACCGGATCCCGGAAGTCTTTTGATGGGGTGCAGAGGTCAGGGCAGCGGTGGGTCTTTGCCGTCGTCGTCTTGATCGACCGGCCTTCACAATGGGCGGGATGTAGTCACTCCAACTAAGGTTTTGAAAAGATGTGTAGCTATTTCTGAGCTATCGGGTAGCTGGTTTCTGGGGAGGGGCATTTGTACTATATCACTGAAGGGCGAGAACCGAAACTGCTCGATGACTATCAAGGCGTTAAGGGGGGTGGTTTTACTAGCATACAGATGGAAGGGAATGCAAGGCGCCGTTGAGGTTTAATCGTGGCGCGCATGCCCGCAGGGACGTAGCGAAGTTGGTGGTATCCGTACCTTCATTGGATGATCGGAGCTGCATAGCGATGGAGGAGAGAGTGTAATTGCAGCGACTACCTCTAGAATACTACCGGGTTATTCACAAAAAAAGTCACTCTACATATCTTATCCAATATTCGAAGTGAAAGAATGAAACTAAGCCAGTATTTTATGTATTAACTGTTGAGGGTGGGTTGTAACTTGCTAACAATAAAGCTTGGACGCAACGTAGCGGAAATCGGGTTGATAACCCGTATCCGTACCCCGTACTCCGTACAGCATGTACAGAATATATGCAGTCCTAAGTTCCGGGACGGGACGGACAACTTCAATTGATGAATTATGTAATTCGACTGCCCACGGTGCCACACCTCGAATTGTGACTGCCTGGCCCTGCACCACAACGCGTTCCTCATGTTGTTTCTGGGACTAGTGCTGAGCCATTGACGCCCAGTTCTCCCTTCCCCGGCCCCAGATGCGGCGAGGTCAAGCCCTCGGTGGCCTTCGCGCCCTTCAGGGCCGGCGCCGACGCGTCACTGTCTCTAGCCTGTGCACATGGTCTGGGGGATTCGCATTGAGCTCGACCTCGACCTCGACGCGCTCCCTGAGCTTAAGCACGCGTTTTCCGAACACGAATGGCCTCTCGCACCGGCGTCAACATGACGTCCGCGACCCCGAAACGTCGGCGAGCAACGGGCAAGCTGCAAGACGCTATACCACCGCTTCCCCGACCTCCAAACCACCGCGCACCATTGCTGTCCTGGGTGGCGGCCTGACGGGCCTGACGACTGCGTATTATCTGACACGATTTATGCCCAATAACAGGATCACCATCTACGAGGCCAGCGACCGACTGGGCGGGTGGATCGACACTGACGAGGTCACCGTCGAGACGCCCGACGGCACTAAAGGCACCGTGCTATTCGAGCGTGGCGCTCGCACAATAAAGACGCTGGCCAGCCAACCCAAGTGGGACGACATTGTCTTCTTTGATCTGGTGCGTCAGAATGGTCTGGCCTGCACAGACGGGACTGGCTAGCTGGCCGGCCGACTGACTGACTCTTTGCACTCTCCAGGTCACCCAACTCAACCTCAAGAGCGAGCTTCGATACACGAACTATGGTGACCACATCCGGCGCTTCATATACTACCCAGATCACCTTGTCGACGTCACCGGGCCCGTCCTCAAGCCGTCGCAGCCGTTTACCTCGATTCTCTCCTGCCTGGCCACATTGTACAGCCTACTCACGGAGCCGCTCTTCAAGGGCGTAATACCCTCTGTTTACAACTACTACAAAAGGGTGGTGGAGCCAAAGAGGAATACTATATACACCCGCAAGAATCCTCTACATGCCACATTAGTGTCGGAAGACGTGTCAATTGGTCATTTCTTTCGTAGTGCCTTTGGCCGTCCCGATATTGTAGACAATGTGCTCTCAGCTATGATTCACGGCATTTACGGTGGCGACGTGAACAAGTTGAGCTTCAGGAGCAGTCCCTTTTTCCGCATTATTTCGCCAGTCCTTACGAAATCCGCCGACGAGGTGACGGTATATCGAGACGACCTCGATTTGTTGTTTCAATTAAGCGCTTCCGATCCGAATACGTTCGTTACAGCCTGGGAACTACTCAACGCCGAATACATTTGGTTCCGCAACGGCTTCCGCACCTTGACCGACGCGCTGGAGGCTTCGCTCAGGGCGAATCCGAAAGTGACCATCAGGACGGGCGAGCCTGTCGAGTCGGTCACCTATCATCCGACGCACACAGTTGCGGTAGCGACAAAAAAACGGACGAGAGCAGATCTCCATGACAAGGTAGTTTCGACCATCTTTGCCAAGACTCTCGCATCTGTCACGGACGGCAAGCTGCCGACGTTGGCCAAGTCGCACGCCGTGTCGATTCTAGTCGTCAACCTATGGTATCCGACACCGGGGCTCAACGGCCCCAATAAGGGTTTTGGCTATCTCATACCACAAAGCGGAGCGGCTGGCAATCAGGAATGTGTCTTGGGGGTCCTGTTTGATTCGGATCGCCTTACCGGCCTCGAGCGAGACGGTGTCCCCGAGGGCGATACTGTTCCGGGCACCAAACTTACCGTCATGATGGGCGGCCACCTCTGGGATGGCTTTCCAAAGGAGTTGTGGCCGAGCAACGAAGAAGCGATCGCCATGGCCAAGGCCGCCGTCGCACGTCACCTTGACATACCACAGGCCGAGACAGACCGCGCCGTAGCCCGCGTCAAGATCTGCGACGAGTGCATCCCTCAGCAGTACACTAATCACACGGTGCGCATGGAAGAAGCGCGCGCGGAGCTCGAAAGCGCTTTCCGTGGCCGGCTAGCCGTTGCGGGCGGCTCATACCAGCCCCCTGGAGTGTTGGGCAGCCTTCGCGCCGGCTGCGAGATGGCCGGGCAGATTGCGGACAGCTTGGGGTTCCCAGTCGGGAGTACCGGACTGGGCCGGTTCACAGGCACGCAAGGAGACATACGAGATTTCTACTCGGACGAAAACTGCAAAGGGAGAATGCCAATGCGGTATAGCAACCGCCGCGCCTCGATTTCGGACAACTGGAGTAAAATGATCAAGGAAAACCCTTGGCATGAATTTGGAGATACTACCGAGGAACTCATTAGGAGGTTGGACAATGCGGACAAACAAAACAAGGCAAAATGAACAATAAAAATCGCCCCCGATATCTTCACTGCCTTGCCAGTCTTTGCGAGTGAAATATTTGCAGGCCAGCTAGAGAGTATATATGTGTTTTTGGAAATGTCACTGTTCTGGGCAAGTATCCATGGAAATGGGATTCGAATGTCTGTACGCTACCTCTCTCTATTTCATCCGTATTTGAAGCCACCGCAGGGCGTGCGTGGAACACAGTGTCTGGAGGTGAAACGACGAGGGGGATGCTATATATAAACCCCCGCCCCGAGAATCTCGAAGCTCGGAGTCGAACAACTTCTCCAACATGACAGCTGATCTGGGAAGTCATTCTTGGATCGGGGCCGAAGCGTATGAGCCTGGTTCTGAATTCCACGAGCGAGCTACAGCGTTCCTTGCGGCGGTTAAGTGGGATCTCCTCGCCTCAATCTCTTCGCGCCTCCGGAACAGAATCCCATGCCATGTTCACGCTCAGTTCTCTATCGGCCACTTCAATATGATCCGCCGCATTGAGTTCGCCGACGGGGCCAGCTGGGTCGCGAGACTCAGGCTGCCCCCGCTCGAAGCGCTCTCTGGTGGTAACCGCGAGGTTGATGCGGCCAACACTTTGATGGTGGAAATCGCCAGCATGAAGTTCTTAAAGTTCCAGCTGCTGGAGATATATATCCCTATGTTGGATTCAATTGACCTTGTGCTGGGAGCAGGGCCAAAACCTCCACTCCTTTTCCAGAAGTCCATTCATGTTCCAGAAGTCCATTCTTATTGCGCGATCCCGCGAACGATGTGGGAGCGCCGTATATCCTCATGGGTTATATGGACGGGACGGCCGCAGCAGAATTGCTGGCGGCCAAGGAATGCGAACTAGGCCTCTACGACACGCCAGACCAAGACCGTAAGTTTAGGAAGGACATGGCTGCCATACAGGCCACGCTGTCGTCGTTCGCGTTCGACCGCATCGGAAGCCTCTACCAGGATGAGCATACGTCGGAGTTCTTCATCGGCGCCGACATCGAGACCAGCAAGGGGGGCCCTGGGCGTCGTCCATCGACTACTGCGCCGACCTCGCGGACCACGCCCTCCGAGTGTGCGCGAGCAGCAGCGCGGCGCCCGACGTCCAGACGAGCCCCTCGTTCGCGGTTCCAGTCCCTCTTCAAGCACCTCATTGCGCGATACGCGGAGGAGAGCACCGAAGGTCCATTCCGCCTCACGAACCGCGACTTCGGAGCCCACAACCTGCTTGTGAACAACGATTTCGAGATCGTCGGCGTGATAGACCTGGACGGCGTCATGGCGGCGCCCGTCGAGCTGGTCGCGCAGTATCCGGTCCTGACGGGACTCGACCGCGAGCCGCCGGGGCACGTCGAGACCAAGCCGGCTGCCATCAGCCGCATCGCGAGGACGGGGCCGAGGCTGGAGGAATACAGAGACTTGGTAGGTGTCGCCGGAGCCGAAATAGTGGGAGGGGGAGAGGAGGCCCCCAAGGAAGAGGCAGCGAACGCGTCGCCGCCGCTGCCGCCGCCGCTCATTGCGAGCCGCCTTTTTTCGGATGCCCCGAGCATAGTCCAGGGCGTTTTACAATACCGAAGCCATCAGAAATTCGTCAATGATAAGTGGATGGAAGGATACCTGAGGCTCCTCCGCTCGACATGCGTATCGTCACAGATCCTGAGAGCTAATTAGCATCTTCTCTTAGAGGACGCAACGCAGACGGAGCGGCAGGAAGGGGCAGGCGACCGCGACCGGGACTAGACGACTAGCTGTGTGTAAAACGAACCGCAGAGTGGGCATGGCAGGACGAGATGGCTTCTAGGTAATTAAGCTGCCACGGTGATAGCACCAGGAGCAACGAGAGAGTAATATTTCAGCAAGCCGAGCAGTTTTCTTTTTGGACGTTCAGAGCGGAATAATGCATTTCCAGCCCTAACACGTTAACCCGGGACTTTTGCCCCTGAAGGGAATTTTGTCTTTACGTGTGAACAGTGCAACGTCGTCAACATTAACAACACCAGCACGACACGGCACGGTACAGAGAGGAAGTGAGAGAAAACTCCCCGTCTTTTATTCTGTCTCTGTCTGTAGCTCAAATTAACGCAACGAGACGTTATTTCGCCGCCATCTTATTTGTAATGGCTTTCCCAAGCAAGTGCTCGACGCTGCTACGTATTTTTCAGTGTGTACTGCTGTTCTGTCTCAGTCGACGTTTTTCTCCGTCCCGTCCCATTCATTTCCCTGTCCCCCTTTCCAACCTCTGCTACCATCCCTCCCAGGTAGGCAAGCTAAAGGAAAGCTGTGTGTGTGTGTGCGTAGCGGATAGAATAGGATAGAATGAGACGGGAGTAAAGCGTGTGTGAGAGAAGTGGGGGAAAAGGTCGTTGAAGGGAAAATATCGCCATTCGCGTAGCAGACTTTCCATTTTACCCCCTTTCCGAGTTTCCTTCCCTTTGCCCTCTATGCCCATTTCCCTTTCTATTTCCCGCTGGAAGTCTGTCCCGATATGTTGCTCGGTTCCGCTTCTCATTGGAAACGGGAGAGAAACGCAGGTAGGTGCGTACATACAATGCAACTATACAATACAATAAATAATGCGTGAAGCCGCTTTCGCGCTGTGCGCCAACGACCGGAGCCAGGCCCCGGCTTGCCTAGCTCGTTATAGCTCGGCCTCTAATGCCGGACCAGATGAAACCCTCACTCTGGCCTCATTATCGAAGTCTTTTTTTTCTTCATAAGCCATCTCGGCATTACCAGCTTCCCCAGTTAGTCGAGGATGAGAGGCGCGTTACTATTGCCTCCGGGTATAGTGCCTCCGCCACCGTTCCCGCCAGGCCGTTGATGATGTTGTTGCTGCTGGTGGTGTTGAGCACTGGCTTGGGCTAGCGACTGGCGTTGTTGTTGGTGCTGCTGCTGCTGTTGTTGGTGCTGCTGCTGCAAAAGCCAGTTGCCTGCCATGTTTGCCTGGGGAATAGGAGCTGAAGCCGCTGCCGTTGCGGCCACCGCCTCGTGTCCTCCATGAACTTGAGTTTGTTGATGAATTGGAGGCGCCGGCGGCATGGGTGTGCCAACCAGAGATCGGACGGACTCATCAATGAGATCGAGAAGGGCTTCTATGCCCTTTTCCGGGTCTGCGGCAGCGCTCGTCACCAATCCCTTAAAACCGATGCCGCGAGCGGACCAGACCCGTTGCTGCAACACCTTGTCAAACTCGTCGTTACGGTCTCTGGCGCCAATGCCACCGCCACCGGCAGAGCGAAAGACGTGCCACATGGTCTTTCCTTTTCGCTTAGCTACTTGCAACTCAATGTTCAGTTGGCGGAGGGAGCCAGGAGTTCCTAGCAAGGTATATCGAATTGTCACCGAGGTCACCGACCTAGGGAAGATTTGACAAGACCCCTCGTTGTTCGAGACAATGGGCTCCCATGCGTTTTCAACCTTCTCAAGACCTCGGTACAAAGGCAAGGTGAAGAGGAGACAGAGGGGCAAGCTCTCAAAGTTTGGCGAGTTTGCTAACACGGTCAAAAAGTCGAGCACTCGGAGGTGCGGATTGCCCCTCTCAAGCGCGACACTCACTAGCTGATCCTTTTCCTTAGCAAGATCAAGCCGCACTCTCCAAGCTCGCGGTGGCAGCGACTGCTGTTGTTGTGCGGAGGTGCCGCCTATTGGTGGTGGGGGAGATGTTTGAGGAGGGCTGCTGCAATAGGTGAAGACAACCTCGCGGAGAGTGACGCTTTCTGGGACAGCGTTCTTACCAGCCTTGCTGATGGCTTGTACAAAATCGACCAAACGCTCCAGAGCTTGAATTCGGGTCGAGAGCAGGTTGACCACGGGCGTGCCCATGTCGGCTCGCAACCGCAGAGAGAACTGGCCAATGCGCGGATTGTATACCACGTCGTGGTCGACGTTCCCTTTGAGGAATTTGAATTTTTCCTTGTTGGTGACAGCAAGTCGAGCTTCTGCAATGATCTTGACTCGTACATCTTGCCTTGGCATGGAGGGGGCGGCATCCTGGGTGTCCGACGTATTCTGAATCCCCTTAAAATTAATCGGAATAAAGTCTCTTGCCCAAGGTGTGGGTGGCTCCCTTGCCGAATCTGTTCTAGAACGGAGCATGTCTGATAGCCGGACGTATAGAGTCGGGATCTTGACTTGGGAGAAGAGATTGTAGCTCGTTGACTCCCGAGCCGTGTGGGCCATCTTCTTAGAATGGAGTTCGCGAAGGTCCGTAAGCTGGGATATCATGCCGGTAGCATACACGGCAAGGTTCTGGAAGAAGGTATCTGACAAACTCAGTTGGCTTGATGACATGGGCATCTTGATGAACATCTTTAGGCGGCCCGTCAACAGCCCGGGCTTCTGGCCAGACCTAAAACGCCTGTTAGCATGCATGATTCAGGAGGCGGGTTTGAAGGCAACAACACTCACAGTTCAACCAACCACCACTGGTCCCCACCCAAGCTCAAGCTCAACATCAAAAACCACTGCGGGCTCCAGCCGGCCTTTCTCAGCCACACCGGAATATACGGTTCTCGCATGGTCGGAGTTGCAGTGCCCGAGTACACAATGCTCTTTAGGTCATCGCTCGGGATCGGGGGTCTCATGGTAGTCCACCCGAGGCTCTTGGCTCGGCTGTTGAAATCCTTCAACGTATAGTTCCACCTGAGCTGCTCTAGAGCAACTGGGCCATCGTCTGCCGGACTTGGGCTCGAGTTGAGCCTGTGCTGGCCGTCGAGAATGGTGTAGCATTGAGGAAACAAGGTGAAGGATCCCGTCACAGGGTCGATCCGAATTGTGGCGTTCTCGTCGTCAAATAGCTGCAACGTCAGACTTGAATTCAAGGGCTCGTCTTTCGAGATCTGCAAGGCCATGCTCGCTTGCCTCCGTGCAAAGCGTGGCTTGATCGCGAGCTTCTTGTAGATGGCCGTGAGTAAGAATTCGACGTGTCTCGCAATGACTGTCGTCAACAATGCCTCGACGGATATCGCGCCAAGATCCCAGGGAATATCGAAGTCCTTGACCTCCTTATTGTCGCGAAACCACCGTAGCTGCAGCCAACTAGCAGTTTTCAAGTCCTTAAGCCCATTAAAGCCGTTACCGCTATATACCCCGATGATGATCCAGCTCTTGGAGCCCTGGGAATGTGGCCGGTTCAGCCAGTATTGTATTGCTAGCGCGCGATTGAGCCTCTCCACTTTTATGGCGTCAATCCACCTGCCCATACTGAGCTCAACTGCCTGGCGACGGAACTCGCCGATTTTCTGCGTCAAGACAAACTCGTGGAGGTATCTGTAGCAACCAGCAAGGCCTTCGTTTCCCAAAACCAGATTGACTTTGTGCTCGAGGAACTGCCGCACTCGCTCAGAGATCTCAACTGGCGCAGGACCGAAGCCAAACCTAAAGTCGATGAACCAAAACTGCTTTTCGAAATCCTCGTCGCCAATCGTCAAGTCGACTTCAAATTCGTCCTTGACCATAAAAGTGACTCTCCCGGAACCGACAGTATAGTCCCTGAACTGTAGCGGTAGTCTTTCGTGCTCGTCAAAGCTCAGCCGCACGCTGAGCAGAGTATTGATGTTGTCCATCCAAGATTCCCTCTCTTCGAGCGATATTGGGGGTGGTGCTATAAAGCTGAGCTGCAAATCGTTAGTACCACAGCACATATTTTTGCGACAGCGAATAAATGGGAAAAGGAGATAGCTTACTTCCGGCATCCAGGATGCCTCGCCAGAACTCAACACCTCGAGCGCCGTCTTGAGGTCGGGGCTGGCCACTGTGGCCCATCGAAGATGATTTTTGACTTTGACCAAGTCCCAAAACAGGAAGCCGTACCGCTCAAGACTCATCTGTAGATGATTTTTCATGTCAATGAGTCGCCCAACATGCTCGGATCGCTTGCTCCATTCCGTGATAACCAAGAGCTTGGTCCATCTCGTATGGATATCCATGGCCCAGGTGAGGAGCGTCTGTTTCTTGTCCAAGCTCTCAGGCGAAGCATCTTCGGCCGATGTGGGGCTGTAGTTGGCGTTGCCGTTGGCCATGTTTTGGGGAAGAGGCTTTGACGCGAGGTGCCCAACTTGGTCTTGCAAAGATACATGGGTCCACTGCGCGAGTCTCATGAGAACGACGCTCAGAGGCATGATTTCGGCCGTAATGTGCTGGATCTCGTCGGGGAGGTCGTTTATCGAGGTCGACACGGGCCTGCCACCCGGGCGATCGTGGAGGAACTCGCTGTCTACGTCCATAGGTGTACCAGCACCGCTGTTGGTGAACGACGGGTTGTCGGGTATTGCCGCAAGCCCCTTGCCATTGTCCGGAGACATCTCATGCTTCACGACGTCGCCATTCACCCCGTTCGTCCAGGTATCTCTATCGTGGTTGGTCCGCACCCCGTTCTGTGAGCCGTTTTCCATTCTGAACGCGCCGCCCATGCTGCGCTATGCGCTCTTGGCCGCGCTCTGAGCCCTTCCTCGCCCTTTCCCGGACTGTCCCCAGTGTTCCCTGCGAAGCGACGGGCGTCTGGGGAAGAATGCGTCGCGGAAAGTAGATGAATGTATGCAAAGACCGAACCTGACCAATTTCATATGGCGTGCGCGGCGCGAAATGCGAAAGCCCAGTGAACCAGGCCTGATTGGTAGTGGATTCCACGTTCGTCACCATCGGCGGTGATCGAGCAGGGAGGAGGCAGATTTTTTGGTCGGTCGACGGTCCCTAGCGTCTGTCTCAAATCAGAGGCAAAGCGCAAGCGACTCGATCGCCCATAACCTTTCTCGTCGACGCTTCTATTGCGCTTTGCGACGTGCGGTAGGTGGCTTCTCGGTATAGGGGCCGTGGCTGCGTGCTCTGGCAGCGGACGGCAAGTCGATACAGGCAAGCACCACTGTGAGAGTAATGCGCGCGCGCACTCGGTCCCGGTAGGGCTACGCTCAATCCTGTATGCTCCGTGTATGCGACCGTATTGTGAGAGTATGTCGCCGTTTTTTCTCGAAAGGTTTTATCGCTTGTGACGTGTTGGCGGCCGGGTTGCGAAATTGGCGTGGTGATGGTTTCGATGCTCGAGTTCAAAGAACGAGGCACCTTTGCAGTAGAGTGGCACCCAAAGAGGCGGCTGGGGAAGAACGCGATTTGCGGCCTTAAATTAAAGGCCACACCCTAAACCCACCCAAGAGAAATATCCGCTCACCCTTCCTCTTTACTTACCCACCAATCTGGCTGCAACTCCTATCGTTATCATTTATTCTGGAATCCCAGCTTCCGTTCCCTTGTTCAATCATCCACGTTCAGCACGCCCAGCTTTCAAGAGCACTTCTCGTCGCTTAGGTGCATAGGTATCTCTATTTACTTTCAATGTGTTCTTCCTTTTCCTTTCGTGTCGGAGCCCTTCAAGGAAGCGTCTTGTGATTCTCGTACTTAATTCTTTCGTTCTGACAATTCAATTCCATGTCCTCAACCTCGAAGACCACAATCAGCTAAATGCGATCATGTATACTATACCCTTTGTATTTGCAAAGTTGTCCAGCTTATTACATATAATTGAGAGCTTTAACCTCTCTCATTTTCCCGCGCTGCACATATTGATCGATAAAACAACAGCCCTCGAGCCGCAAAGTCACCCGCCAGTCGCATCAAGCCGATCACAAGTAAACAAGTGCCAATGGCTAATGGAACATGTCAATGAATTAGTCGCATCCAGACTATCTATTCCACATGTGTGCGCTGCATGCCGTTGGGATGCCACTGCAGCAGATGTTCAACTCGTTCCTTTCTTGCAAGCCATTACCAACCGCACGACGAACCACGGAGAACTCCAACGACCCTGTCACAGGGAAAGATACATACGTTGCCGTCATCTCTCATCAACCTCGGTTTCAGCCCTGCTACAAGCGCAGCGTGTAGCCCTGTGGCTTTCAGCCCTTAGCGGAGCTTCTGGTTCCAATTATCTTGGAAGCCGCGTGTCCAGATTGACGTTATCATGATCGTGATATGTTCAACTATGTCAAATATTTTTACTTAACAATTGCTCTCAATCAAGCCACCGAATAGCGATCACGAAAACACAACGTCAGGCAGCGTCCAGCTACTCACAACTTGTTTCCCGGACCCAGAGCCGATGTCGTCGGCCATTGGTATCCTGCAGCATCGCTGAACTTGTATCCGTACGACGATGTAAAATCGTCCAGAACAGCAGGCCCTCGGGAGCCTAGGTGCCAGTTGTCAGTATCATCCTTACTTTTTTTTTCTTCTTGTTCTTGTTCTCGAAAATGCAACTAGGGTCTAACTCACCATACGGATACTCCATCGGGATGATTTCCTTGTTGTCATCTAGATAGTGCAAAAGAGGCGTGAAAATCCGCCAGCTAGCATCGAGTTCGTCGTCTCGGACAAAGTTCGAATGATCGCCCTTCAGGCAGTCGAGAATCAGAGACTCGTAAGCCTCTGGGATTTTCAGATCCGAGAATCTTCTCCTGTATGTCAGGTCAAGCTCTGTGACAACAGTCTGCATGGTCAGGCCGGGAAGCTTCGAATTCATCTTGATGTAGACGCTCTCATTCGGCTGAATGCGCATCACGAGCTCGTTCCGGGGAATATCCTTAAAGATCCCCGAAGTAACATCTTTGAACTGCACACGGATCTCCGTCTTTTGCTCATTTAGCGCCTTGCCTGCCTTCATGATGAACGGGACACCATCCCACCGCTCGTTCTTGATGTAGGCAACGAGCGCGCAGAATGTGGGGCAGCGCGAGTCCTTGGGCACAGTGTCGTCCTCCTTGTACGACGGCTTGCTGCCGTCAAGAGACTTTCCGTACTGACCGATGATGACATTCTTGGGCTCGATTGCCGGAATCGCACGAAGAACTCGCACCTTCTCGTCTCGAATGTCTTCAGACGAGAACGAAATGGGCCGTTCCATGGCAAGGAGCGTGAGGACTTGGAGCAAGTGGTTCTGCATGACATCGCGAATGATGCCAAACTCATCAAAGTACCCACCGCGACCCTCGGTGCCAAAGGGTTCCTTGAATGTAATCTGGACATTGTCGATATGGCTCCTGTTCCAGGTGGCGCCCAGGAACGAGTTGCCAAAACGAAGAATGAGAATGTTCTTGACCATCTCTTTACCAAGATAGTGGTCAATCCGGAATAGCTCATCCTCCTTCCAGTCAGGCTCGAGCGACTTCTGCAGCTCGCGAGAGCTTGCCAAGTCTTTGCCAAACGGCTTCTCGACCTGAAACGTTGTTAGTTGCAAGTGCAGCGAGCCTCGGCGCGGCTGCGGCACAACTCACGATGACACGGGCAATGCCCTTCGATGGGTAGCAGCACTTCTTCAGGTGCTGCGACACGATGGTGAAGACACTAGGAGGCAGCGCCATGTAGAAAAGCCTGTTAGTCTCCTTGCGACCGGCCTCCAGCTCTTCAAGGTGCTTGTTCAACTGCGTAAAGGACTCGTCCCGGTCGTACTGGCCCGAAACGTATGTGCAGATTGAGCAAAACTCCTCCAGTTGCTGTTCAATATCCTTGGTCGGCGTCTTGATGTACGACTTGATCCGGCGCTTGTATTCGTCGGCGTCCATCTTCGTGCGCGCATAGCCGACAATCTTGATATCCTTGGGCAGGAACTGGTTTCGGTACTGCGGCAGAGTTCAGTCGCCCCTCCTTTCTGGTCCTGGGAGGGTAGCAGGGCGCACTCACGAGTCCAAAGAGCGCGGGAAACTAGTAAGGGTCAGCCAATTGCGCATAAAATAAATAAAAAGGAAGCAGTCACAAGACACGTACTGTCTTCTTCTTTGCGAGGTCGCCCGAGGCGCCCAGGACAACGATGACGGTGTTGTCCTTGAGCTCGATGGCACTGGCGACCGATTCCTGTTAGCACAGTACCAATATTGTTTTCGGGTTGCAATTTGGCCTTGCTGCTGCCTGGCGCATCGCGTAGGACCTCCTGGAAACCCAAAGGGTGCGAGTTGTTCTCTCGCCCCGAAGGCGATCGGAGAAATAGCTATCCCAACTTGTCCAAGCCCCACTAGCAGTCATGATGCTGAATGGCGGGGTGATGGCGGGCACTTACCCTGCGGAAGAATGCATGTCAGAGGCCATCTTGTCGGACTCGTCTAGCCTCGTTTCCAAATCAAAAATCGGCGACGACTAGATAATGGAGAGGACGTCAATATACAAGAGGGTCCGAGGTGATTTTGGTTGCCCGAGAAAGGAGTGAGGAAGCCTGGCGGATGGAGTTCGATCAGGTTTTGGGGATAATGGTGTTTCTACGGCCTAGGAGGATACTGAGTGATGCGCAGACCAGAGCTAAAGAGCAGGGGACTCGAACGAGGGGGAGCTTACTCAGGGTCCCGCCTTGCGTTGTAGACGCCCCGAAGAGAAGCTTGGACCCATTATATTCAAGCAGGTCTGCAACATCTCTCCGAGGTCTCCGGATGGCCACCCCTTTCTCGCCCTTGCTCAATACTTGATTGCACGATTGGCATGCGAAGAGGACTATAGAAAGGTCGGTCGGCCCTTTTAAAGAACCACTTATTCGTATAACATAGTTGCCCTTGGAGGCTGGCAAAGATGCGGAACCAGCACCGAAACCGAAGTATTCTCGAGTTTGACAGTCGGACTTATGAATGTATTCTACGGGAATGTTGCAATTTATTCCGCAACCCAAAGTGTCCATACCTGAGCGACCTAGGAAAGGTACCTTGATTAGCCTGAGGTACATATAACGTACGGTATTTGATGGGCGTATGTACGGATACAGACCTTTCAATTCCACCGCAAACTGACAGCGGAGTGGCAAAGAGTGAACAGTTTCGTTGACACCCAAGTTCCATGCTTCCCGGATGACAACGCCGGCCGCGGCGATTGTAGCAAGCGACCTCAGTACCTATCCGGTTTGTCAAGTACCCCATTTCAGAGTCTTTCTTTGGCGTTCCAGGATCTGTTGCATCCGTGTCTGGGAAGAAAGGCTGCTACTCTACGCTCAGTGAGGGAGGGGCATGCGGGGTTGATTCTGTTGAGGACGGCGGGGCTATCCTCTTCTCCGTCCATATCGACCGAGTACATACATAAGGTGGTACCTTGGTGCCGGCTTCTGGACGGAGCAGCAGATTCCCATCGAAGCCACTTTCGTTCGCGGAGCGGTTGACCTGTTCGCCCTTCTCAACCTGCGCAGAAATACCGCAGCCATGAATTTAGTCTCGTTTAGGCCAGGGGCTTTGATCTCTAGTCACCCTACCTAGATTTCGCGAACACCGACATAGGCAGAACTCCCTGACAGCGGAAGTCCCGAGATAGTGTGCTTGCGCCAGCTAGTATGCCGGGAGAATGGCCAACCCCACGGTAAAGCCATGTTTGATCATTACCCCAATGGATCTGTTTGCTGGCTGTCCCGCTGCGTGGTTACTTCTATACACCGAAACCCCCAGCCGCTCAACATCAAAAGTCAGGAATCGAAAATAATAACAAACATGGCAATCAAAACTAATCGCTGGCTTTGGTACTAGCCGTAGCAAAAGAGGCCTCCAAACTCCGTATTTCAAAATGCTTCGTAGGCCCGTTATCCTTCTCGTGTTTTATGTTCTGTATTCGACGTTAGGTATGGCACCTACCTCCACTACCTTTGCTAACCACCGCAGTGCAAAGCAAAGGGACCGGAGGCCCCGCAACCTGTGAGCCTTCTCCATCCAAGTCCGAGATCCGGTAGGAGGCCAAGACTTTCCGGTTATTTTGAAAGCAATAGGCAAGGCGCCTATGTCTTGTGCATAGATCTCGCCGCAGTTAGGTCCCGCAGCATCTCCGAGACCCGGTCTAGTTTCCCAACTTGCTGAACTTGAAGCTCTTCTTTCCATCTGTGGGCCATTCCAATTATACCCAAACAAAACACAAGGAAGTTTACGGAGACGAGTAAGAAAGGGAACACAAAAGGCCATTGGTAAGCAGCTCAAATGCGTGAATCATTGGCGCACCAGGTCCTTGAAGCGATCACAGCACATGGTAGTTAATTGATAAGGACATTAGATTCGTACAGGATACTATTTAACGTGAACATTGTGCTTGAACGAACCTAGATACCACGCGGCCTGTGCTACTCCGGACTTGTTTATTAGATTGCCCAAGAAGTTCGAGTACGCGTTTGTCGCCTTCAGCTCAGGATTTCATAAAAGTGCACACAGTGACCCGTAAGGTAAAAGAGTCAGAGAGAGGCTGGAGGTCATCGGGGTATTTCACCTTTAGGGGGAACAAGAGAACAAGCAAATACCAAAGCCACCGGGGCTCCCTTTCATGAATCACCAAGCAGACTTGGGCCAGGCCCTGTTCAAACGGTTGGGTTTTGAGTCTGGATGGGTTGAGGTGAACTGAATCAGAGGTGGGGTATCCGCAAGTCGGCATTTAATTACATCATTTGCGGCTGCCAAAGATGGCGTTCTTGAATGGGGCGCATGTTTTCCCCCACTTCAACGTTATACATACACCGGGTGTTGAGAAAGGAGGCTTGGCAAGTTGTCGGAGACGCGCATATGATAATCCGAGCAACCGAAAACCCAGCCCAAGCCCTACCGAATCGCACCACGCAATTTTACGAATTTACTTGGGGCATCGAAGTGCAGAGCCACAACCACGTCGCCTAACCAGGACTCCGGATCAGCATCGTCTTTGTCGAAGACATTTTGCTGAATCGCCATTCATCGTGGCACCGAGGAAATACTAATCGAGCCGGAAACACCTCGTCAGTCAAGATGCCTACCGAAGCTGGCCACAGATGTGAGACGACCAACCCCATTTTTCTTTTCGCGATGTCATCGGCATGTCGTCGCGGTCGCGATCGCGACTGCTGCCAATATTGATACCACGAACTACCTTGCATCAATTGATCTCCGCTAACTTTGTTCTAGTATATGTGAAGTGAGTACCATTCCAGAACCCGAACACATGATGCGACGCATGCGAAGCCAACACCGAGTTGCCACTCTGGCGAACCTTGGCACGAGCATATGGGCTTTCCCATCGACCTTTGGGGACAGGGTCACTACTGGAACCGATGGGCTGATAATGATGCTATTTAGGGGTCGCCACCTGAGCTACCAGCGCGGCCGCCGGAACACCCACCCCCGGACCAGCCTCGTCAAGATCGAGGGTGTCGATGATACCGCTGCTGCCAAGTATGTCACCCACACGTCCTTGGTATAAGACGCAGAATGTTGACCCAGAGATGCAGCTTCTACCTTGGCAAGAAGGTCGCATATGTCTACCGGGGCCAGAAGGAGATTCGCGGAACCAAGATCCGCGTTATTTGGGGCAAGGTGACGAGACCACATGGTAATACCCAATATGATTCTCTCAACTTGACTGAAACGCCTTGTGCTGATTGACTCTAGGCAACTCGGGTGTAGTGCGCACGAAGTTCGCCACCCCCCTCCCCGCGAAGTCTTTTGGCGCGTCCGTTCGCATCATGCTCTATCCCTCGTCGATATAAGCAAAAGGGTCAGGCCGGAGTTGGTTGGTAAAGATGGTTCATGATTTCGGTGCATCCGGGTTAGGCAAGGACTCAACAAACAAGCCCTGCTACTAGCATTCAGATCAAGGCAAAACCAAATATGACATTGCGATTTGGGGACCCCACAATCTTGGGTGTAAACAGCAGTTCGTTGGAAGGATTCAGGGCAACTCAATGGAGAATTCACTTTTTCTCATGTCAAAAATAACTGAATCCGCCCCGAGCTGATGATGTCTTACAGAGCATCCCTCACATGTCGTGGGGTTGTGGGAAGATAGCCCTGCGGCGTCTAACTCTTTGGAGCATACTTCAACGTGCTGAGTGACATTCCCAAAACAAGTGTTGTGAAAGTTGTAAGCTCGACCTATACAAAAGTGCAGAGCTCCTCTGAACATATTTGTCTGGTTTATGTTCGGTTAGTGAAAGGCGCGACCTCTGTTCGCTGATGATCCCATCTGCAACCTGGGAAGCTGGCGTAGATTCAGTTTATACCCAAGTGCCAGGAATCCGCTTCGAGCAAATTACTTCGTCTATTATCGAGTTTCCGGAACTCTGTCTTAGCTCAAGAAAGTCTTGAGCCGGACCATCCCCAATTTTGTGGCTTTTTATCCGTATCCGATGCATCACCATCGGAAGGTGAGCTTTGCACGAAACGGGACGCCACAGCAACATTTCCCGGGGCACGCGAGCCAACTGGTGGGGAGCCCGGGGGTAATGTATTTCAAACATGCGAGATCAAAAAAGAGTAGCATTGAGCCTCCCGATGTACGACCAAGCAGCTTTCCAACCAGAGGTGTTTATCGATAACCGCTGTGTTGGTCGGAGAAGGGTATAACAAACACCGTTTAAGATGGTCTCAGCACATAATTGACCCGAGTTTTATCATCGGGTTCTTGCGGCGTTCGACACTTGCTCTAACAGCCACGGCCATAAGCATACCACTCTCTCACAAACTCAACAAGAAGAACCGAGTGTTCCGGTGTAATTCTGATCATCTGGAAATCTCCTTGAAACAGTCGTGGCTTTCTATTCAAGACATCTCCGGCCCGGCCGGACCACAACCACAACCACGACCGCGACCGCGACCGCGACCAACGTCCCCCACCCCCTCCTCCCTCCTCCCCCCTCACCACAGCCACGCCGCCGCCGCCGCCGCCGTTAGCTTGTTAGCCAGGGGCTGGTATCCCAGGGTACACTGCAACCAGATCATGACGATCTAATGGGCGAGAGTTGAGGTAGGCCAAAACTCTCCGAAGCTGCCGGGCTGTCTGTGAAGGGTATGAGAGTGCCATGGGGTGTTGGTTCATTTTCATAAGTTCTTACCTATCATCTGTGCATTGTTACGGCGTGTATGTACAGGAGTAACATTACGCAAGACTGTGGTTGGGACTCACATGAATGGTATCCGTAGATGGGAAAGGTTTTTTAAGTCTCGACTCCAACCTCTCCAGCCTTACCATTCCCTAGCGCTTGTGTTTTCATTTGCATAAATATAATGTAGCCCGGGGTTGTCCATTTCGAAAAATACTCAAGCTCCCATAGCCTTTCCGTCCGTGTCCACCAACATACGCACCAAGAAAGGACGGATAGGGGGGATTTGGAGGGGGTTGATTGCGGTACTCCAGGCTTAGGGCCGTAGGTTTCTCTCGAGAAGCTTGGACGAGGTACCACAAGAACCTACTTTTTTGCCATAGTATTATAATGTTGTTCTCGTCTTCAGGGGTATCAATATCTTGGAAACAGCCCGAGAGACGGACGTGGCTCGTCTCCTGTGCGGCAATGCGCCCACGTCTGGTCTTGATTGTAACCGCTCGCTCCTGCAGCTTGACCGGCCACTGCACCGGATGTTCTAGGTTTTGGAGGTCGGTAAGGCGACAGTGGACGGGACAGCAAACCTCGAATGGCAGATCCAATCCCGCGTTGTCGCCGTTCAGACACTTACGGGGCCCGACACAGGCGACCGCTCGGATAGATACAGGACTGGGCAACCAAAGTTCTCCTGTGAGTTGACAAAAGTGACCTTTTCCTTGGCCAGAGTCACGATGCCGAGGCTGAGCATCACCAACCATCACCCCATCCTTAAGGAAATGTCCTGGATACAATAGTACCATATATCTAGGTAACTTCTTCAAACAGCCAATGAGTCTCATATACATGTATACAATTATATTCCCAGGCGTGCCTGAAAACCGCAGCGGCGCCGTCCTCTCAATTGTTAATCTCAACCACTTGCCGTATTGCTGTGCCTTGGGAGACCCACGACCCGCTTTCCAGGTTTGTTGGAAGTCCAGACACGGAAGATAGGGCGAAGCCCGTGCAGCCTGTGTGTGCTTGATTTGCATATTATGTCCAAAAAAGGCATCTTCCATTTTCGCAGGTTGTCAGGCCGGTTTTCCATTTCTTCCCAGTGCCCGACTTGTTGTGAGACCGACGCTTGGAATAATATTAGGGCAGGCATTAAACTCATATAGGCGAGGAAGGGGCCGTTTACGCCACTAGCTTCCGTCATGATGATCGATGGAGTTTTCGCAACGACCTAGTCAAGGCCGGGATGCTCCTCCGGGCTTTGGTCTAATAGTACTAATCCTGCTGATGAACCTAGCAGATGCCGCTAAACGAATGTACGGGGTACAGTACATACATATCCGTCATTCCACCTTTTGGGTTTGAATTGCCGCACTTCGTATTCTGCAGACTGCAGGCTGCAGCACCTAGCTACTCGCTGCAACGCACCCGTTGCATTCGTATTTCGTGGCATAGGTCGATGGTGTGTCGCTGGCATGGGAATCTCAAAAATGGTATATACCTACCCATGTTGGTACGGGTACTGTATCTCAGTTCGGAGGCTGGTCCATGTTCTCTCCCCGCCTGGGGTGGAAGCGCTCGTAGCTCTCACAAAGAGTTTGAAACGCCAGACGGAGGATCATCAACGCGGACGCCAACAATGACACATGCCAGGCATGAAGAAATCACTTTGGATTACCTATCAAAGAACATTTTCCGCTTATTACCCGTAAGCCTGGGACTCATCCCTGATGGGCCCTTGAGCTGTGAGTAACTGTGCCTCTTCGTAGCTGAGTGCAGCAAATTTGGGCCACACATTCCTCATGATAATGTCGGGCCTCTCTCTGCGGTTGGTCGCGGGGGCCTCACAGTCGCCGCGTGTCCCTTTCAGAGGCGCAGCCTGCTTTTGCCCTTGTCTTCATTATCTTGCTTGGGTGACCCGAACCTGCCGACCCGCACCAGACCCGACATCCGACCCAAATACGTACATCCACCTCGTTGCTAAATCAGGGCAAGGGGTGGCGTCCTCAGAGTCCCCAAGTTCGCTCCCGTCCCGTCACTAGAGGCCGTAACAGCACACTCCTAACAACAGCGCATCGACCGCCACATCAGTGCGAGGCAATGATATGGATCCGGGTAGCTGCGGATCCCACAACAGATCGACTTTGCGTTAGGTAAGGATGTAGTGGACTGTTAAACTCGTGTCAGAGCCTCCGTACTGCATGTTACTTCGGGGAGGAGAGCACGAAAGACCAAACAGCCGGAGCGCAAATCTGAGGGGTGTGGTGTGGGCAGTTCCCGAGGTCTCCACTGCTCGCATCGGGCGTTGGCCTCATGCAACCAACTCAGTGCTCACCCCCCCAATCCACACGGCAACCCGACTGCATCCGGATAACACTGTAAATCATTCTTAAGCATACGAGGCCCGCCACGGGTTTAAGCAGTTTTCTACCTTCTCCTAAAACCTTTGGGCCTCCAGACAGCTTGTCGTGACCCATCTGTATATTTCGCATTTGGTTTACGTCCTTTCGTTTAAGTGGAGTACAGCGTGGCTCCTTGAGCTCCAAGTGACTGGTTTAACCTTTCGTTTGCTTTGCGAACCTTTCTCGTATAAACCTGGGTTGCCCGTCTTCACACGCCACCCCATTTTCGATATAGTACACTCAACTTCAGCAGCATTTTGGGTTACTAGCGAACTTTCCCTAACCAAGGCTTGTGTGCGCGAGACGGGACTGTCAATAGGTAAGCACCAAATTGCACAGCACTAACCCATCCTGACGGCGGCCTTTAATTATATTCCTGCATGGTGCAGGACTTAATGAGAGCCAGTCTCAGGAGAGCCGGCTTTGAAAGGTCTCGGCGGCTTTACTAACAAAGATCGGATTCAGAGAAATCAACCCATCGCCATCAGCATCGTGCTCTGAACGCCATTTTCCCAAGTAGCTGGGACGGGCAGCGACAGGCATCCCTGTTTGACAAGGCACCGCCCTGTGGTCCTCTTCAAATCCTCGTGGGGGATCCTCTTGCTCGGTGGAGCTCTGAATCCTGACGTCAGCGATCAAGTGGCGAAACCCCATCGCAGTTGGATTGAGCTCTTTCTCCGGGGGGTCCTAAACCGTCGATTTCGTTACCTGCATCTCGGCGGATATAAAACAGATAATTGAATATCTGGAGACGACACAAACCTGCGCCGGGAGCTTCGTTTTTTTGCCTGAGCGGGATCTGTCGTCTACGTGCGGCGGGTGTTACTTGTGCACAAAAGCAACACTGTCGCATTGGAAAAGCTCACCAGCCGGAGAAATCAATTCACCCCTGTCGCCATCTTATCGCCGTCCTTGCCAGGCACACTGTTGTTGCTGAAGAGACCTGTTCCTTTTTGGCTAGGCTAGGTCTTTGGGCCGTTTGCCACTGCGCGTCTTTGGACACATCCTAGCCACGCGACCCGCTGCCTTGATTTTCCACGCTTCTGCGACACGATAGCAGGCATTTGTGGTCCACTGCGACCTGACAACAGGGGGCCCCAACCATCAAGGCCCACCTCCGCGAAAGCCAGCTCCCTCTTAGCCTGGTCCTTCACTCCTCCCGCCACCACGAACTGCCATATCAGTTTTCCACAGCCAGGATAGACCAATTTTAGACTCGTTGCAGGCCCAAACTGCACCCCTTTCACGCCAGCTCAAGGGGATATTAATTTAAGTATCGCACCTGCCCATCCATTACGATGGCAACCTCGAGCAGTCCACCTCCGCCCGCCCCTCCTCACCAGTTTCTCCAGGGCCAAACAGAATATCAGCAGCAGCAGCAGCAGCAATACACGTCACAGTACTCGCCGCAGTATTCGCCGCAGTATCAACCTGTTGCAGTCGCGCAGCCCCAGAAGCCTAGCCCGACGACCCGAAAGTCCAGGAGCTTCAGCTTCAGGTCGGATAAATCTCACGGCTCCCACAACAATAACAAGATCGACCTGACCGAGACATCAGCAGAGAAGGAGGCTAAACGACTACACAGCAAAGCAGACCCACGGCTAGCCATGGAAGAAGCAGAACCTTGTGGGTCACCATCCTCCGCGCTTTCTCCATCTCTTTATGCAGCTAACAAGGTGATAGCTGAGGTTGCTGCGACGGTCAAATCTTCACTTGCACCTCTCCGGGGCATCGCACTCAAGGACGCCTATGGCAATCCAATCTGTATGTTGCGCAATTCTGGCGCATGATTATGGCGCTGCCCTGATGCAAGGCTAATTTACCGTGTGCCATAGCTGATCCGGACCTCTCCAACCCCACCCGAAGTCGCTGGGAACGTCCGTTAGACACAATTCGAAGCTTCGAGGCTGCAATTGACGGTGGGTATGATAAAAGGCGGTCGATTCTTCGTTCAGGTAAGCCCCAGCCCTGCTTAACATGACTCCCACATCGATTCGCAAGACCAAATCTAATCGCTACCCAGACTCGGAATCAGTCGCATGGGGCAACAACCGACGGAGCAGCTATTATGGCGGCAGTAGGCTTCCTCTTCGTCCTCGACTGCAATCGTGACTAACAGTATCTGCAACAGATGGCGGTAATGCACGGTTTTCCCACGATAGCTATTATAATACCCGCCCTCAGTCCACGATGTACGGGAAAAACATGGAAGGGAGTCAACAAGATTTGAGGCAGGGCGGTATGGGGCAGCGAGATGCCTATCAAGAACAACAGTCGGGGCAGAACAACGCATATGGCTCAGGCCCACCAATTTCGGGTAGGAGGACATATCCAAGGATGGCCTCTGAGCCACAGTTTGCATCATCACACCGACTGCAACAAGTTCCGGCCGATTATCCGCTCCCGATTAACCATCGATCGTACGAGACAGTCGCATCTGCGTCGGGCAGCGGTTCATCAGCAGAGCCATTGGGATATCAGACAGATCCTACGAGCAGTGACAACAGCTCGCTCGATCGCATGCAGGCTGTGCCAAAACGTCTGCCGGAACCGGTGAACGACTACGGTATCGGGTTTGGCTCAAATATGCCATACCAGCCACCCACATTCACTGTGGGCGTCCAAGATGCCAATGCGAATGGTGGAGAGTACAACGGCTATTCTAATGGCACCCAGGACTATGGTGTCCCGCCACCTCAGCTTCCTCCGAAGGATCGGGGCGTGATACTAAGGAAAGCGATGACCAGCGACTATAGCCAGCAACGACCCACGCAACCGGAAAAGCGAAAAAGCTGGTTCACACGGCGGTTTAGCAAGCAAGCTTAACTGTCTCTGAAGACCCTGATTTTGGAAGCGGCGCAATTCCCGGCTTGTTCTTTTCGTATGCCTGGGGATCGGGATGGTAATTTAATTCACGAAGATGAGGGTGGCGATCAACTCATCGGGGAAGATTTTATTGTTGGAGAATATGTCACGAACTGTCGGAGTACGTGGTTCAAAGATTCCTGGGAAGATTGACACCAATGCAATCAGCGGGTTTCCCAGCTTGGCCCTAAGCAGCTCAATGGTAGAGTGATGTATTGGAGGGCATATGCGCAAGGCCTTCACTTTTATGTTTATGGCGCACTTAACGGTTTATGAGATTACGAGGTATAATAGGAGGGCTGTCTTGATGATTTGGTGGCTCACCTGGACGACCCTCTTAAGTCTTTATTTGGCACTGTACCTTCTTCACAATGCGGGTATATAGACGAGTCGCGGCTAGTTGAAAGCGACAGTTTCTTGGGGACGATTAATTCCCTTTCTCTTTGTCACAAACCTGAATGGTTTAGCGACACATCTGCATATCCAAATAAAGAATATATCATTTGTGAACCTGGCAGCCAATCCAAGCTCGTCATCGACGTTAGGAAGTACAAGTGCGCGACTTGGGATATCAGTCAATTGGTCATGCATGATTTATGTATGGCATGTGGCAACAGTGAGTGATCGTTTTTATATCGGAGCCAATGCGAAGGCACGGATGGGTATAAGCAACACCTTAAACAAATGCAAATAATCGAGATTATTGAGTATAAGACATGAGTGAGGTTTAATTAACGACTCTTCTTATCCTCGCCTCTTGAACTGCCCTTTTGCTGCTGCTTCTCTTCCTGATCTGGCTGGTCTTCTCGCATCGCCGCAATAATATACGCGACAAGGACCACATTTGCCATAATGGCGGCCAGAGCACCTGCAAATGTCGAGTTGCCTGTGTCGCTTAGATTAGCTATTTTACTCCCTGGTCGACTATAAATAGGATGCAAGACGATGAAAAACGAGGACAAAAGGAAAAGACACTACAAATGTGGAGAACTAAGAACTGTTGTTTACCCTTAAAGACATTGTCGACTGTCAGGAAGTAGGAGCCGATTGGCACTACTATCATGGCGAATGTGAAAGCCAGCAGCTTGAAGATGACAGCTCTTATGAGGGGCGTGGTCTCGTATTAGCAAAAGAGTCTCTTTAGAGGTGAACATACGTTGGGAGTGGCAGGCAATAGATGATGAGCGGGAGGGGGCACGACTCACGCCGGAACCGCTGGTGCAATGTTTGACTTCTCGTTTGCGGCTGGGCTCGAGCCTATGCTGTCATCCTTCTCGAGGAGCGTCTTCTCCTGAGAAATGATTCTGCGGCTGGCCATTTTAGGTGATAACGGCTTTCGCAACAGTTTGACGAAGGAGAGCAGGGGGGTGGGTGCACGATTCGGTCTTCAAATGCCTGCACTAGGAAAGGAGGGTGGATGGGAGCTTCTTGGGTTCGACACGGGAGAGATTCAAGGCGTCAGATTGAAAACAAAGAATGCGATAGGCTAAAGAGAGCAATTGAAGAAGTGCTTGAAATTTCGCAGTTCTCTTCGGAGCAGTCAGCAGGAGCCTTCAGAAGACGTTTGAGATGTCAGTGGTTTCTTACACTCCACTCGTTGGTCGAGTTCAGACTCACCTCAGACCCAACCCCACCTTTTTGGGGGGCTCAAGCTCAAGCTTTAATTGATTTGACGGCGCACGTGTGAACGTGGAGACGTGAAGTCGCGTCGCCCCACAGAAATTTCAACCTAAGGGCTGCACCATGTCGCGTGTGGGGCAGCCTAGGCAGGGCTGCTAAGATCTAACAACGGCAGTGCTTTTACCATTCTTTTCCTCGCGACGATGGAAATGGCTTAAGCACCCAAAAGAGGAATATAAAGGAGCCCTTGTCTTTCGCCCTTGTCATAGGCGCTTTCTCTCGCTTTAGCGCGCTCTATTGTTTTTCACCTCGATCTTTTTTGTCCCCACATCACAAAGCGTGCGGATGCGTTGCCGATAGGTTAACTGCGCTCAGAGATTTGAGGTTCGCGACTCGGCGTACCTTCCCCTTCTACCTTCCCCCCACTGCCTTCGCACTTCATTCCCCGTCTGCCCCGAGCCTTCGGCGTTTCTCTTCATGACCTGAGTCACATTGCTCCCACTTGTTTGTCAACTGCCCGGAATGGCTTTTCCCGCGTCGCCAGTTTTCCCCCGGCGTCCCAGGCCGATCCCGGAGAGCCCACCTCGACGCGGCAACATCGACCCGTTCAGCATAGACGACGAAGACGAGGTCGACGACGACGATCAGATTAGTGTCATTTCACAGTCACCGTACTTCGTTACACAACCCACGCAGATCGTAGAGCGGTCTGCGATCAAGCCCAAGCCAGCCACCCTCCATTCCTCATCGCCGTCGAAGATCGAGGTACCAGCGTCGTCGCCGTTCAAACCCCAGTCCCAAAGAAATGGCGGCCGACTAGCCAACTTGATGGCTCCTGCTGGGACTTCTTTCAAGCCTCCTGCACGACAGGCCGCGCCGGTGCCGAAAACGGGGGCCAAGCGAGATTTTATTATGATATCGGATGATGAACTCGACACACCAATCTATGCAGGCGGCGATTCTTCCGACGACAATAAACCTGCACGCGGCGACATAAAGCCATCCTCCTTTCGACGTAAGGAGTCGGGTTCTATTGGTTCAATAGCGCAAAACCATGTGTCAGGAAAAGTAAGCCAATCACTTACATATGTCCCCCCAATCAAGTTGTTCTTAGAAGTTCTTGAAACTAATGTGTTGGCGCAAGCAGAACCCCTTGAAATATACCAATGTCGGAAGCCCAATTACAAGCCCAACAAAACCATATGCGCCTGAGAAGGATTTGGTCACCATCTCGACCCTGTCGTCTTCTCAAAGCAGTCTGGAGTCATTTCCACCAATCCTTGTGGCAAAGCCAGCACGCAGGCGTCTTGTACAAGGACGTCGAAACCGCAGTCCATCGAATTCACCCGTAAAAGTGAAACGGCCTTCAGCTCCGCCTTCACGGGCTGTCATTGAAATACCAAGCGACGACAGCGCCGATGACGACCGCGACGACGACTTTAAGAACACCAAGGCGTCGCCAGAACCATCATCGCCAACGAAAGGACGATTCGAGGATTCTGAATTTGGGGAGCGTGTCCTGCAGTATCTCAACACCTGCGATACTGTTCAACTAATGGCCATTGCTAATATTAAAGAAGAGAGCGCAAAGCTCATGGTGGCACGACAGCCCTTCGCGGACCTCCAAGATGCGACGCGCGTCTCGATGTCACAAAAAAAGAACCGCAAGAAGTCTGCGAAAGTGAGCATCGGGGAAGAAGTTGTGTCGGCTGTTAAGTCCTATGCTCGAGCATTAGACGGGATCGACCACGTCATTGAAGTTTGCGAAGCCCAAGCAGATTCAATCAAGAGCACCACCTTAACGTGGAACATCGATATCACGGGACACCCACGAGCCGACACTCGTACCGGTGGTAGTTTTACACCCATGAGCATTGAGGAGTCCTCCAAACTGGTCGATCTCCCATTAAAACAGCCAAAGAAAATGAAGGGACACTGCACTATGAAGCCTTTTCAGGTCTACGGTCTCAACTGGCTGTACCTACTGTACGAGCGTCAATACGGCGGAATTCTTGCAGATGACATGGGCTTGGGCAAAACATGTCAAATAATTTCACTGATGTGCTCAATTATCGAAGACTGGGAATCCCAGGACAACGAAGGGCTAGCCAGACCTTGGCCAAATCTCATTTTTGTCCCGCCATCAACTCTTGCAAATTGGAAGGCGGAGTTTAAGAGGTTTGCTCCAAGCATCAATGTTACGGTCTATCAGGGATCTCAAGCGGTGCGCGACGAGATCGCGTATGATATCCTGGAGGACCCGACTGAGCACCACGTGGTCTTGACCTCGTATACACAAATATCGCGTCAAGAAGATATTTCCAATCTTCGCCGTCTTAAGCCCATGGCTGCCATATTTGACGAGGGGCACAAGATGAAGAACCCAAAGACGAAGCTGTATAAAGATTTGATTCGAATCACGGCATCTTGGAGGCTCATCCTTTCGGGGACTCCTGTCCAAAACAATCTCATGGAAATGATTGCTTTACTGCAGTTTGTGGAGCCCGAACTCTTTAGGGATCATTTTGAAGACCTGGAGGCCTTGTTCAACCAGAAGGCGTCGCTTGTGGCAGTCTCCCAAGGAGCATTGCTGCACAGCGAGCGAGTGGCTCGGGCGCGGACAATTCTTGAGCCTTTCATACTCCAGAGGCGAAAAGAACAGGTTCTCAAGGACTTACCTCCCAAGACGGCTCGCGTAGAGTACTGCGCAATAGACGGCACTCAAAAGGCCATCTATCGCGACTACGAGAGACGTTTCAAGAAGGTTGACTTGGCTGAGTCAATGGCCCAAAGCAAGGCGGGACGCGAAAATGACAACAACAACGTCTGGATTCAATTGCGGAAATCGGCCATCCATCCGCAGCTGTTTCGACGCTACTTTTCCGATAAGGATGTCGAGGCTATGGCCAAATTGTTGATGAAAAAGATACCGCAATCGGAACTCAGGCAACCCAAGATCGAGCATCTTGTGAACGAGCTCAAAGCGCTCTCTGATTTCGAGATTCACCTGTGGTGTCGAGACTACAAGTGTATCGAGAAATACGACATCCCTGACGGCTCTTGGATGGAGTGTACGAAGGTGCGGACACTCCTCGCCCTGATCCGGAAATACCAGAAAAACGGAGATCGTGCCCTGGTTTTCACCAGATTCGCGAAAGTCATCGAGATCCTCGGCGAAAGCCTGGCGTCTGAGGGGATTCGATATCTCTCGTTGCAGGGCAACACTGACGTGAGCGAGAGACAAGAGCTCATCAATGAGTTCAGCGAGGATGACTCAATCCCTGTGTTCTTGCTCACTACAGGGTCTGGGGGTACTGGAATCAACCTCACAGCAGCGAACAAGGTGATAATATTTGATCAAAGTGATAATCCTCAGGATGATTTGCAAGCCGAGAATCGCGCCCATCGACTCGGCCAGACCCGCCCCGTCGAGGTTATAAGACTGATCAGCAAGGACACGATAGAGGAGCTTGTTTATAAAGCTTGCCAGAAAAAGCTCGAGTTGGCTAACAAGGTCACTGGCTGGTCGACAGCCGAAATGTCGGCGTCCGAAATGGAGGCCGCGGTGCGAGAACAAATGAAGAATCACGCCGCCGAAACCCCGCCGAGTGAGACTTAAACAGTTCCGAGGCCTGGTTTTGCCTCAGGACCGACAGCCATGAAGCCGGCGGCGACCGTGTTTCTTGTTTGGGGGCGAACAGCTCCACACATCCGCAGTTACGTTACTCATGTCTTCTTGCGGTCCAACGGCGGATCTCAAGTTGTATATTGTATTCTTATCCGCATGCGTTCTTTCGGCTTCTACATTGTACGTCTCTGGCAGCATGGAAATGAGATGCCCGATGAATGGGCTCTCGTTTTGTTTCTTACTTCCCTTGGGTCTGTTTTCTCGTTGCGGCTTCGGACCTAGAATTAGAGATATACCCCATACAATGCCATAAAAGACGGGTGGTAGGTAACTGGTCGTATATTCTACGTCTTTGCGTTGCCTTTTAGAAGCTGTTGCTTGGTTAGAGGATGTGTCTGAGTCACTCTCCAGGACTACGAGCCACTGAGCTGGTCGGCTACGAAAGGGAAGGACAGCGGGGTTGGGGATTATATCTTTGTTAAGTACGTGGAAAGATAGCCAGTGATTTGTTGAAAATCAAGAGATATCGAGGCACGCTTGTGAAGGGCTTGAGAAAGCGAACCCTTCAACGAAGAGAACCTGTAGGTACAATACATGGTAAGGACTGGTTGATGCGCATGTGCATTGTGCTCTCCGCGTTCCACTCCTTTCACTTCTTCCCCTCTGAGGTCCCGCCTGAAGTCCCCCTGAGGCCTCCCCTTCTCCTTCTTTCCGACCTCACTCGCAAGCAGCCAACCGGGCTCTCCAGCACGTCACTGGCATATCCCCGGCCAGCTGCCCAATATGGTTTCAACAAAGACCAACACCGCATGGGTTGGTGACGAAGTTGAAGGTGAGCTCGCCTTGGGACACATCGTTATTTGAGATCGGTGCGCTCCCGCATACTTGGCAACCGTGGTTGACGATATCTTGGGCAAGCGACTTGACCTCGTCGCCAGTGAGTGCCTCCCCGGCCGGTACGTTATGTAGAAAGGCACAAACCCCTCCGGCAACGTTTCCGACAGCGCAGGTAATCTGTTGGCTATTGAAAAATGCCTCTTCGTCCGAGAGAGTGTTAATCAAGCTGAGAAGGACCGGGGCCGCTTGGTGAAGAACAGGCCCACAATCACTGCTACCATCACAGTTGATTCCCAGAGCGTTGACTCCAGCAACGCTGGCGAGAACGGTGGCCCAGAGACCCAGTTGCGAGACGGTGACGAGCATCATTGTCAACGTAGTGTTCGTACTGGTGTTGGTACTGGTGTTGGTGTTGGTGTTGGTGTCGTCCGTTGTTGAAGATCACGATGGATGTATGCGTGATGTGCGTGATGTCTTCAATATTCGGTCGTCCCATCGTGCCAACCAGTCCCCTTTTATAGCCAGAGACATGACTGACCTCAAGCTCGTCTCCTATTCCCTAACCGCCTCGTGATGCGCTTCTTCAGAAGTTCGGGGATCAGCCATGACAAGTTGGATCCAGTGATTAAGAAAATTACCGAGAAAATTACTAAGCAAAGTAAGTGCGTGCTGCCCAAAGCGTGAAAGGGAGTCAACCGGGTAAGTAATAGGGAAGCCCAAGCGACAACAACAAGAGGCTCTCCGCTTCATTCACCTATAGTAGATGACCAGAGCGGCCCCGTGGGCCATGGAGGTTCTTACAACTGGGGCAGACGTCTGTGAAGGGGAAATAATCGGCGGAGTTTGCCGACAGACCTTCGTCATGTGGGAATTAAACGAAGTCGAAAAGAGTCAGTCAGACTTGGAAGACATAATCTCCAACGGACAACACAAGATGCAACGCCTAAGCAAGAGTGCTTGCCGAGAGAGAAGGAGCAGAGGTTTTGTTGATCACGATAAACTTGGGTAGCTATGTTGGGGTGTTGGGGTGTTAACGTTGAAGGTGGAGGTGGAGGAAGGTTTAGATGAGTTTGGCGTTGATTCCAATGTACCTATTGTACATTACATCCCTTTTAGCAACCTACGGTCAGAAAAGACGTTTTCTTCGGTCCGACTAGACATTACCGTCTCACCCTTCTTGTTTTTCCTTTTGCCCTTGATTAAGGGACAGGGACATGAATTCTCATCTCTTGAGCTCTTGAACTCTGCGAAAGCGCCTCTCGACCCCCCTTTTTCCCCATTTTCCCCCTTCTTGTTTTCCTTTTGCCCTTGAACTTGAGGGACAGAGACAGAGACAGGAATTTTCATTGCTTGAGCTCTTGAACCCGGCAACAGCATCTCTCCACCAAAGGCCCCCTTTTCCCTTCCAAACGGCAGTTGCCGGGGGGTTCTTTCTGCCAAGTTAACCCTACACAGTAGGTACGCACACTCCACGAGATCCCAGGATACGGGCAGCTAGCCGACGGCTTCCCCGTATGCTGCGACTGGAAGTAAGTGTCAGAGATGAGTATTTGCCCGAGGAATATCCGTACATACATACATACTCTATACCCGAATAACACCCAAACACGTCAACCCGTCTATTTAATTAACCTATATAGTTCCCTATAACTGGGCTGCGCTTAGCGCCAAGACTGGCTACAATCTTGATTGGCTGAGGGCCCCGTGCCGAGGTTTTTGGACAGAAAACCCCTCCGCACAAAGACAATCTGACGGCGCAGCATTTGGACATTTCTGTTTAGCTGCACGGACCACTAGTATACTAGTCCAAATTCCAAAGCCGCGGCAGTGAGACGGTAAACACGGTGGTCGGTACTTGTTCTAGATCTAGTCTAGCATTCCCGGGGAAATCTCTCCGACCCCTGGCATGTCCCGCGGCGGCCTGGGAGGTTGTCGACTAAGTACTCCGTATAGAGGCTAGATATCCGTTTCCGTTCAGTACAGAAGGTCTCCGAGGAACTTTGGGCTTCCCCCCTACAGAGGTGGAATGAAGCGCTTCGTTGGCACCCTCGACGGCACCGCTTGACCGTCATGTGGTCGAATGAGTAACTACGGGTGAATATTCGAGTTGATTATGTCCTGTCCCCGAATGTGTCGCCGTTACTACCCCCCTGGACGCGAGACCAAGCGAAATACCCCAGAACCCAATCTGATTCTGGTTGGCAAGGACGACGGCCATAGACGGGGCTTCTGTCCTCCTCAAACCCGTCCCGTTGGACAATGTGGCGGGCTGGAAGTTCCAGTTGAGAAGCCTTCAAGCAATGGGCTTAGGAAAGATTGCTGCAACCAGATGGCCCTCACGTCAGTGCGGATAAATAGTTTGGTATTGGCCGTTCCTTGGGAGAACGGGGAAACTCTTCTTGAGCGCCTCTGGTTCCAAACAGGTTACGGAGTATGGAACAAATGGCTAGCTAACGCTACTTCTTTGTACGAGCAAAGTCAAGCTATTCTTGCCGCTGTGAATTTGATACAAGTGGAAGGAGAGAAAATACATATGAGTGAATAAAAAAGGCTGAAGATGTCTGTTTCCCCTCACCCCTGAACAAAAACATTAGCGGGGTCCCCGCACTGCCGGGTACCGAGATTTGTGGGGAGGGCGTTGGTTGGTTGGAGAAAAAGTGGATTCCCCGTCACTAAGTTTGCCGCCACAGCCCCCGGTGAATGGCTTTCACATGCCTCACCGTACACCACCTCACACAAATGACCCGAAATGTTGGTCGTGTGAGACCGAGTGGCAGAGAGCACACGTCCACTCTCTTCCATGTTGCCAACCGCCGTGACCTGAAGACTTGGACTACGGTGGGGAGAACGCAAAACGTCATTTCCACTTAATATTGTTTTCCGTCATTGCATCTTTTCTTCTCAATCTCGTTCATGCACATTCTGGATTTCGCCAGTCTGCTCCGAGCTGTTGATATGTACTCGGTGACCGCTGCTGCTGATGATGGGACGAATAGCGAGTAGGGTATGATCAGTGAAGCGCCATCATAATAATCCTCTCCTTCCGCCTTCTCCCTGACAGCAGCAGTTGGAGCAGGATGGGGTCGGCGGTGTTTGTGTCGGTCTGGCGCATGGTGGTGGATGTGGTTATGTTCTGGAAAGGGGTGAGTGTCTTCGTCCTTTTCTTAAATCCTTCAATTTCCCTCCAACCTTCCCCGTTGCACACTAAATCTCAAGAGACTTGACCCACTGTTTTTGCGCCGCCTAGAAATTATTCCAATGGTACTACCGCCGCAGCCCCGTTGAGGTCTGGCTTGACGTGCTGCACAACGCGTCCGAGTTCGAGGAATGGGAGGAGGCGGCACTACATCTAGACAGCTTGCTGGGCCTGGACCTCTGGCGCGCCAACCCGCAGAGCCACCACTACGACTACCGCCTCATCGACGAGCGCCTGGCGAGCATCGATGTCGCGCGAGACAACGGCGACGTACACGGCATCGTTAACTTGTTACGCAGTGGCCTGGTGCGGAACCTGGGGAACATCACCGCTCCCAAGCTTTACAATCGCAGCTTTGCCGGCACCAAGTCCCTCATCGCCGAGTATATCACCCAGGTCGCCGAGGCCATCGAGGACATTGGCTCGCTGCCGACGCCCACCCAGGCTCTCGAAGCCACCGGCAGTATCCACCAAACCTTGGGCGGGTTCGATGACAGCGGAGATGGGAGTAATAACAATAATGGGGGCGGTAGCAGTAGCGGGAATGGAGCTGGACGGCAAGCTGGTGGCATTGGCAGTATGAGCGGTGCCATTAGCAGTGGTGGCTTTGGCGGAATCATCTCGGGAGGCGGTAGGATGATGCCCGCCATGTCGACGCAGACCAAGCTCGACTTCATCCATGACACGAGACAAGCATTCGGACGGAGCACGCTTGTGCTCCAAGGCGGAGCCATCTTTGGACTCTGCCATTTGGGCGTTATCAAGGCATTGTTTCTCCGCGGCTTGCTCCCGCGCATTATTACGGGCACCGCGACAGGCGCGCTTATTGCGGCCCTCGTAGCCATCCACACCGAGGAGGAACTACCCCGAGTTCTCAAGGGGGATGGGATAGACCTGTCTGCCTTTTCGGGTAAGGCGAATTCCCCGACAGGGGCCGCAGATACAGGAGCCAACCAGTCTCTCTGGAGCCGGTGGACAACGGTCATGCGGAGGGCACGGCGGTTCCGAAGAGAGGGGCACTTTTTGGACGTCAAGGTCCTGGAAGAATGTGTCCGGGCCAATGTCGGCGATCTCACCTTTGAGGAGGCGTACCAGCGCAGCAAGCGGGTGCTCAACATCACTGTTGCAACGGCTGGGCAGGGCGGCGTGCCTACCCTGTTGAATTACCTAACAGCCCCCAATGTGGTATGTTATGCTTCTTTCGTGCCCAATGACCTTTGGTTTGGCACCTCGGATATGAACATGGGGCCAAAATGATCGTCGTTGACGCTAATCGATTGCAGTTGATCTGGACAGCCGCGGTGGCATCCAACGCCTCGGCGCCGTCCCTCTACGGACAATTACAGACGAGGGTGCTTTGCAAGGATGCACAGGGTCATATTGTCCCATGGGAACCGGTCACGGTCGACTTCCGGCATTGGACACACGTCTCAATCTCGGACCAGGAGTCTCCCTTGTTGCGCATTGCAGAGCTGTTCAACGTGAACCACTTCATCGTCAGCCAGGCGAGGCCGTATCTGATCCCCTTTCTGCAGAGCGACATGCATGGGCCGTCTCTGGTGGAGACACGCAACAAGACTACGTCGGTCACGGCATTCCTGGTGCGTATGATGGGGCTCGAGATTCGCCACCGACTGCGTCAACTCGACACGCTGCAGCTGCTTCCTGCAGGGATCCGCCGCTTTCTCGTCGACGAGAGAGTTCCAGGAGCCAGTGTCACCCTTGTGCCCGAGGTAACGACGGGCGACTTTGTGAGGCTGATGGAAACGCCAACCAAAGAGACGCTCGAGTATTGGATACTGAGGGGGGAGCGGAGCGTGTGGCCGGCCGTGGCAGCACTCAAGATTCGATGTGCCGTCGAAACTGAACTCGACCGGGCGTATCAGCAGGCGCGACGGCTAAAGGCTGGAGGGCTACGGCGGAAAGCAAGTACCATGACGCCCATGAATGCGCCACCAGACAACGAGGTGAGGGAAAGGGAGCGAAGGGAGAGGGACCGAGCCCACAGCACAGGCGCAAGATGCTTGCCAACTTCGTCCTAAAACCTTTATTCGTCTGCCAGGCTTCGGGCCATTTTGACATGCAATATGTGGTTTTCATCCGATAGGACAAAACTACCCCACCCTTGTCGAGCTGAGGCTTGGCGCATGCATGGAAACTTTTTCTAGAAGGATTTCACTGGGCTCAGTCCACGGGGGCGTGAACATACGCGCTGCCAGACCCCAGTTAGAAACCGCATTGCAGTTGCAAGTCGGAGAGTGAGAGAGGCATGTGGTGTGTAGCAGAAGTAGGGCAAAAAGCCTGTCCGGCCCCAACAAGAGAGTGGTGAGTAAGTCGTCTGAATGTAACCTCGGACGGCCGTGGATTTGTGGATGATGGAGAATGCTGGAGCTGTTTGGGGATGGGACGGGGCGCAAATATCATGGCTCATCGTTGGAGAGGTGGTCCAAGCAGTTTACTTGCCCAAGTTATGCGCCCTCGCGCCCAGTTCAGTATGTATAAGATACCAACATAGCCCTAGAATACCTACTCCTTCACGACATGACTAGGCACGTTTCTTGGTTCTGCTCGTTTACGCTGTGCCACTGCTCCAAATAGGAACCGTGCATTACTGCTCTGGCCGAAGCTATTGTCTGGTTTGGTTTGTCTGCGCAACAATTAGTTTCACATCCTGGCCATCGAGGCCAAAGACATGACATGAAGGTGAGTGACGCGTATCGCTTCGTTGAGCGGGCGGTAGCTGGGATCGGGGCCAATAGCAATCACAAGTCTAAAGTGAAATGTCAGTCAGCTGCAGTGCAGAAGCCGGTCAAGCCTGCATGGAGGAATGGATGACGACAGGCCTGATGACGGCCTGAGGACGGCCTGTTCATTTTAGTCTAGAAGTCCTAGAGACGACTAGGACCTCAGGCCCAATCCGGGTCCTTGAAAACGGACGGACGGGCGGGCGAGGATGGAAGAACTTCGAACAGGGGGTGAGGAAGGTTCGTGGAAGGGTTTTGGAAGCCTCCTCGTGCATGGGGAGGGGGGCGTGTGGTTCCCTCCCGACTGAGGGGTGTAGAGTAGGGTAACGGGACACCGTAATGAGCGAGGATTCCCACTTCCCCCCCATCCATCCCAGCAAGCGCACATCCATCCCGCCATCCGTCCTGGTTCCTGCCCTCAATTCTCCACAGCCTTATCTTGACGTCCCGAGAAAAAAAAGTATTGTGACACCAGATGTGAGAGCCCTGCTGGGTTCTCGGCTTTCCCTAGCCGCACACCCATATGCGTGCCCAACTTTCTTTTGTTGGATTGTCCCCGTATATCCAAAGTCAATTCTGTACGGAGTGCAGCACGAATCAAAAGAGACAGATGTCACCCCTCCTCGCCGATATTGTCCGCTAGGTGACGTAGACTCCAATCCCTAAATGTTTGTTGGCATGGTACTTACGAAGGAAAAGAAAATAAAAAACGAACCGGCCAGGAAGGGTCTGTAACAGGTATTTCTAGAGAAGGAATAGACCTCTAGAATTCCAAAATAGGGATTCAAATAGCTATTATCTCCCTTAACGAAAAACCTTTACGGTGAGTCGAAGATGCAAAGGCCATTTGAATCTTGGAAAGTACCACGCCACCAAACATTCAGGGATTGGATTGTACTATTCCAGACACAAATTGAACTGCAGGCGAGCCTGCACGGCCTCGGGACCAGCAGTGGAACAAAAAGAGTCGGACGGCAGGAGGATGTGAAATGCAAGGTTACATCGCGCCCTTGGGACAAAACTGACTCGTAGCTTGCAGCGCAGCGAAAGCAGCTGGACGGTCGTCTGCGATTGGTGAAAAAGATGAGCTTGGCTTTTTGGCCCGAGGCTTGGCTTGGGACTTGTTGTCGTCCAGGCACACGATCCAGCGGTCGTTTCGTTTGACGAATCGCAGAGTTAACTCCAGCTCAGCCAGAGAAGAGATTTCCTCCGATGCGAACCCAACCAACCCTCTACGCCATCTCCTCTGCCAGCCAGCCAGCGCTTGCTTACCGCTTCAATGGAAAGGTGGGGGTTAACTCTGGACGACAGAGGGGGCTGCGTGGTTCAACCAAGCCCCGACTTCCCTGACTCTGCTAGCTGCCGTTGCCGTTGCCGTTGCGTTGCCGTTGCCGTTGAGCAGGCGGGCGGGCACGTTTCGCAATAATACACCACACCGGTCGGCTCGGCCGTGGGGGAGGGACTTGCGGTGAAGGAAGGGACCGCTAATAACCGAGGAGAGCGCCCACCTGGTCATAAGGTAGATAGCGCAAAGATGATATCGAACCGATATCCCAAATACTAGCCTCACTTTTGGGCCGTTGAGGGGAAGTGAGCACTGGAAGAGCAAAATCTTCGATTTGGGGTGACAGAGTGTTTGGTTGTTAGATGCACCCCCCCTGCTCTTGCAACCCTTCCGGTCCCCTGAAAACGTTTGGGTTCCTGGCTTGGAGTGGTACTCGCAGTGCCCATGTCTTTTTGTCTTTCGAACCTCTTGAAATGGGGTATTTACAGGCGGCACGATGACCGGATGTGGATGCGGTCTTGCCTTACTAGGCCAGGACGCCGTTTCATACCCCCACCCCCTCCTCCCCTCCATCCGTCGTGTTACTTGGACGGGGTGCCACGCCTCACTTCTCAACAGCCGAACTCGAGTCTCCCTCGTTGACAAACAGGGAGTAATAAGGCACAAAGCTTCCATGGGCGAAGAAACTCGAATCCTCCACGCGTCTGACATATTAACTGCCCTCACATAATCGCATTCGCTGGCGGGGAAGATGGCGCGGGGACCCGGGCGGGCAGGCTGACGGGCAGATTCATGTGGTCACACCCCCATCCCTCCCGTCCCCGGTTTGCCCTTGAGCGTATGATAGATTGGGCTTCTGTAAAAACCCCGCAAATTGGTGGCCGTGATGCAAGTAGCAACGGGCTCCAGCAGCGGGCTCGAACTCCCTAAAAGGCTAAAATTGGGCGGTTTGTATCGAGAACGAGGCGAGCGACAATTGACCACTGACAATGGTCCCCAGGCGCTCTAACTTGGCCCATGTGCCTGCTGGGCAGGTTGGGCGGGCAATCGCGACGCCTCAAAAGCGTCGAGGCGATCGAGAATGGCAAGCCCGCCGCACTTGGGCCGACCTCGGTGGCTCGCCAGCATACTTGGGATGGTACTCTCTAAAGGAGGGAGTTGGGCGACGGATGGGGCCCCTCATCCGTAGCGGGATGGGCAATAAGAGGGATGGATGAATTAATTGCCCACCTCGATGTGGGCCCCCAAAAGCTCGGTCAGCCCAGAGAAGTCTGTCCTTGAGCACCGACGACCAATATGAAGGTACTTACCTCGTGTATTCGTACGTACGCGAGGACAGCAATTTCGGAATGCCCATTTTGCGCGGTCGTACTATGTAGGTTGTTAAGCTCACCGCCAGGATTGGCCGGCTGTCGGCCCTAGCCAGCCCCTCAGTAGGTACAGTACTGTGTCTGTATTTTGTATTCGTATATACGTACATGCCCATCCTGTGCCTCTTTCCCCCGCGCTGCAAGGTAGTGGCAGCAGACAGGAGGAGGCTGCACAGCCCGGCAGCACGCACAACCTAGATGCCATCGTGCGTCTCCTCCCCTGCGCGTCCCGCACCCCACTGGAACTGTTTGTCGCGGTGAAGGTGCTACGCTGCCGAAGCCGCGGGTGCGTTAGGTTCCTCTGCTCTGCCCCGTCTTCTTTCCTTCTGGCGTTTTTACCTCTCACATATCATTTCTCTCCTAGCTCAGCTAGGAGCTCAGCATATAAAAACTAGCCACCCCGCACCCTATTCTAACACAAGCATCTCTACTATATTCTGCCCCCTCCCCCTCCCCGTCTCACACTCTGCTTCCACCTGTCGCCAGAGGTTTCCACTGGTCTCGGTGTCGTCGTATCCCAAGCTCGAACCAAGTCCCTCGCCTCTTGTGGGTCCTAAACCTAACACACCTCGTCATTGCCTAGTGTACCGTAGGCTGAGCTTCAGCGTTCGTTGTCTACCCGAGAAGCTGAATCAAAGCCAACTGGTAAGACAACCTCGGCCCGTCTCCGAAATGGATGATGTGGTTCCTGACACACGAGTTTTCGTATAGGAACTCAACACAACACGGTGTTGCCATTGTCCAACTAACCCCTCACCGCCAACTTCTTCGCACTCCCCATCATGGGTCCTTCCAGCCACAAGCAGAACAACGGATGGGTCGTGATAGACAAGAAGTTTTCTACAAAGGGATACACCAGGTCAAGATCACCCCAGTACAACGGCGATAATGAGTCTTCTGGTGAAGTGGGCAACGCCTCTACGGACGGCAGCACCGTCCTCGATCTCTCGGACGAGTCCATGAACTCTGGCTGCGATGACCAGTCGCCCCCAGACCGCAAAAAGGCTGGGTCGAACCGGTCGTCCACCGAGACGGGATGCTCGGATGATACCGTGGTCGATTTCATGCCCGGCCAGGCGGCTCGGGACCGGACTACCACCACGGCGGCGCCCAGCATTTGCTCGTCGATTCCCCACCATGCCCTGACCGAGGATAACATCGAAGCCCACCTGCGAGAGTTGGAAGAGCGCCTTGCCCGCGATATCTACGACACTGCTAGCATGGATCTCATGTCCAGTAGGCACATTGGCATGCTTGCTGGCAACTCCAAGCCCAGCACCCCCAGCAGCGTCAGTCTCGAGTGGTCGTTCGTCCCGTTGCCTGTCCCTGACAACGACGACACGGCCTGGGCGGGTGCTTGGTGTGACCCGTCCATTGAAGCTCTCCTCAGCATGTCGTCGCAGCTGAGACTCGACGGCGAGTAGAGCCCCCTCCACGGGTTCTACCCTACTCCCTCTCAACGGTTGCAGCCTTCATTGTCGCTTGCAGGCTTTTGACGAGGATACCATTCCTGTTTTGTTGCTGCATCTCGTGTCGTGTGTCGATATGTTTCATCTCTCTTGTTTTATTTTTCTCGTTTCTCGGTTTATTTGTTGGATAATACTGTGATGCGCTGGCGGCTTCCTGTTTCCTGTTTCTAGTTTTTAGTTTCCATCTTTGCTTTTAGTCTTGTCTTATCATTCTCTTTAAACGCGGCACAGGATTGAAATGGATAGGGGTGTATGGTATGGACGGAGGCAAGGGTTCTGGGATGATAAGGGACAAAATTAGACGGACTGGAAAAGTTGTCGCGTGTTTGGATTTCGCTTCGCTTCGACAGTGTCTATTATAAGCAGCAACAAAGCATACCTTCTGTGAAATACCCCACAACTATTGCGAGCATGTGCCTAGTTCAATGTTAATCTGCGTGTCTTGGTGTCCCGCTCGATGCGGGGATCCTGCGGAATGGGGTCACATTCAACCCCGAGACATGGCACCGTCCTAATCAACTAGATCGCTTGGAGACAGCATGGCCGTCTTCCGCACCCAGTAAATGTCCCAAGAAGGCAACACCACTAGCCCAGTCCATAGCATGGCGGAGGATGGCTGCTTATTTAGCCTGATTGACACAAGTCATTCCGGGTTCCTGGGTCTTGGTTCAACGGGGATCGTCCTCCGCAACATGCAGCCAGACCGGGTTCCTGCGTGCCGACTTATATGAGCATATAAATCTGCAAACATGTAAAGACATCTTAAAAAGAGGGCCGGCCAGACAGAGACTCCGTTGCTGCGAAGATAGACCTCTCGCCTTCTTGCTGCCGTCATGCCTCTCCAAGTCCCGTCATCACTGGGTTTCGGCTCCGGCCCCGGCCTCGTCAGGGGCGCACTCGCCGCTGCTTTCCTGCTTCTGATATCGCTACTCTGCATCGTCGCCGAAGCAAAACACACTGAACACTGGGTCGGGATATGGACTTCAATGCCCCAGCTCGTCGAGCCCGCCAACCTGCCCAATGCCCCTTATGTCAGTACCTCGTAGTGACCCATCTCCATATTTTTTTTTTCCTTTCCTTGTTCTCCTTTTGGCTTGAAAGGGCGCTAGGTTCTCGGGGCGGTAGTAGATGACCAACACACCAGCGGCGCCTGGAAGTCGAGGCTGAATGAAAGAACTATGAACAGAACGGGTCAGCCGCCGTGTTCGAGAACACGACGCTCCGGCAGACCGTCTTCGTCACGCAAGACGCCTCGGTCATCCGGCTGTCCTTCAGCAACGCCTTTGGCGGCACGGACCTGGCTATCACGGCCGTGACGGTCGCACTGCCTGCTGCTGCTGCTAAAAACGAAAGCGGCGCGGGAGCAAGCGGCGTCCGCCCCGAGACAGCGCAGACGGTGACCTTCTCGGGGGGCCGGCCCGGCGTCACGGTGTCCAACGGCGCGCTCGCCGTGTCGGACCCCCTCAAATTCACCGTCAGGGCGCAGTCGGTGCTGTCCGTGACGCTGTACCTCGCCGGCGGCCAACCCGGCCACGCCCTCACCGGACACCCGGGCAGCCGCACCTCGAGCTGGGCCGCGCCGGGAAACCTCGTCGCGGCGCCCGACCTCGCCAACGTCACCTCCACCACCGCCGTCGCCGCCCGCATCTACCACTGGTACTTCCTCTCGGCCATCGACGGCTGGCTGCCCGCGAGCCGCACCGCGCTCGCCATCGTCGGCGACAGCATCTCGGACGGGCGCGGGTCGACCACCAACGCCAACAACCGGTGGCCGGACCAGCTGCTGGCGCGGCTGCAGCAGCGCAAAGACACGGCTAAAATATCCGTGCTCAACCAAGCGGCAGGCGGCAACCGCGTGCTGGCCGACGGGCTGGGGCCGAACGCGGTGGGGCGCATCGGGCGCGACGTGATAGCGCAGGCGGGGGTGCGGTACGCGCTCGTGCTCGAGGGGGTCAACGACCTGGGGACGGCGGCGGCAGACGCGGCGGCGCAGGGGCGGACGGGCGACGTGCTGGTGGCGGCGTACGCGCAGATAACAGCGCAGCTGCACGGGCACGGCATCGCCGTGTTCGGGGCCACCATAACACCATTCACGGGGCCGGGGCAGGCGTACGGTGACGACGGCGGCAGCGGCGCCCGCGAGGCGCAGCGGCAGCGCGTTAATGCGTGGATCCGCACGAGCGGGCGCTTCGACTACGTCGTCGACTTCGACGCCGCGGTGCGCGACCCGGCCAACGCGACGCAGCTCAGCCCGCTCTACAACAGCGGCGACTACCTGCACCTCAACCCCGACGGCTACAGGGCCATGGCGGCGGCTGTTGACCTGGCTGTGTTCGCCAAGTTCGCGGGCGGGGTGCGTTCCATGGTGTGAGAAGTGGGCGAGGGCAAGGGTAAAGGAGAAATCCCAAGGGCGGAGGACAGAAGGAACGAGACAGGTGTGTAGGCAGGGCAAGAAATACACATTGGGGGGGGAAAGACGGCAGGAGAAGGATGGTGTAGGAAAGGGAAGGGAGGGGAGCCTCTTGGGCTGATATAAGTAGATCTACCGACGACCTACCTGATGCAGGTTGGCGTATGGGTGCAAGCAAACGTGCCAAGACGCGGAATGGCAGCATGAAGTTACCAGGGTCGGGGGTGTTTTCCCGAATCCTCTTGGTCAAGAGGGCTTGATGGTTGGCCTGACCCGAACTCGTGCAGCCCAACAACACTCGCATATGAAGGGAGCCAAGGACAAATCAAAACCCAATCGGGATACCGAGAAGCTGTCTGTTGCTGCCCGACAGGAGACAGAGTCGCAGTGTGGTGTGTTGGTTTGGTATTAATCAAAAACCTGACAGCCGTCTCTTGAAGAAAGACTAGACTCTGCTCCGACAAAATCCCCACGTCCCGACCATAATCCACCTCACTAATATAACCCACCAATGCGGTCTTGCCTCCCCAGTTCTACATCCACAACCGGGCTGTCCCGTCAGCACCCGCGCTGACGCACCACGGCTCACGCGGATGCCAGTCGATGTCCAGCACACCGAGCTTGTTGACAACCTTGTGTCCCTTAAGCATTTTAACAGGAACAATGGTTGGGTTCTCAAGTTGGTCGTTCGGGACCTTGCCGTGGAATATTTGCAGCGTGCCGTCGTCGCTGGCGTCGGCGAAGAGCGGGAGCCCGCCCCTGTGGAACCGTACCATGCGGATCGCCTCGCTGTGGAATCTCATAGTCTTGTAAGGCCTATTCGACAAGTCAAGGTCGTGCCACAAGAGACGCTTGTCATAACTGCCCACGATCAAATTGTCACCGCTAGGATGGATGTCAAAGGACGAAATCCTGGGAGACGACATCTCGGTCAGCAAGCCGTGTGCAGATCAACATGAGGGGATTTGTTTGCGTGAAACAACTTACCATTTTGCGCCAGGCTGGACAGCCTTGACCAGCTCTAGCTTCTGCAGGTCGTAGCATCGGATCGTGCGCTGAGTGGCCACGAAGAAGAGGGGCCGTAGAGGATGGAAGGCGGCGGTCTGTGCAAGCCCCGAAAGTTTGCGGAAAGGTATTTGCGTCATGTGTTTTGACAGGGTGTGAATGGCCACGGAGCTCCGCTGCCCAGACGGCGACACTGTCGCGAAGTGGTCTCCACGTTTGTGCCAGTGGATAACCTTTACGGTTGACCGCACAGTTACCCGTATCAAGACACCCTCGTCCTCCAGCTTAGTCCCGGGTCTAGCCCACTTGGCGGCAGGCTCCTTGCCCACAGCAACAGGCTGCTGTTGTCCGTGGGTGGCATATCCAAAGCCTGCGGCAAGAATATCCCGGCTTGCCTGGTCGAGGCTTGGCGTGACAGTGGCGTGGCTTGGGACCATTAGGAATATGTCCTCACCGGCAGCAGCAGCAAGAATGAACGAGTCCTTGCTGGGTCTCCAACGAACTGTGTTGACAGCCTCGTCGCTGCTGAGCTTGACCGACCAGACTTGCCGGCCAGTAAGCAACTCCCAGACCCGGACAGCCCCGTCGTCTCCTCCTGTTGCCAACGCCGTACCGCTCTGATGAAAGCGTTAGCAAGCAATTCCCACACCACCGGATTTAATCGGAGTATTGAGTAGACGCTACATGTTCAGGCTAGGTAAAACTGGCTTTTGAAGACTTACAGGATCGACCGAAACACTTCGCACTCGGCCCTCGTGTCCTCGGAAAATTGTCTGACAGACAGTCGGGAAAGGCTTCAGCTCAGAGGGTGATGGAAGTTTGGGAAGGAGCGAATTTGGGTCGATGTTGAGCCGGTTTTTCCTTATCCGAGGGGCTAGGTACAGATCCTGTTCACATCAAAAGTCAGTCCTGGGGAGTGGTCGTCAATCTTACTTTACGTACCATGCATCTCTCAAATCTTTCCTTGACCATCTCGCTCCAAGCAGGCACCTTCCTCAAGGCACCGTACTTCTGTGGCAGATAATCCTTCTCCCGTTCCTCTGGATCGAGCTTCTCCCATTCTTCTCTCTCCTCTTTGGTACTGCAATGGCGCAAGTCAGTAAATGCCCCGAGACAGCAAACAGAGCCCAGATCTGACTCACGGCAAGTATTCCTCAGGCGGGTTATAGCTCATATCGTAGCCTGGGGGCGGGAGCTTCGGCGCCGGGATTTGCATGGGATTAGCATCTTGGGGCTCTTCGTTTTGCCACAAATCAAAATGGACTTCATCCTCTTCTTCCGCCTCCCTCTCGCCTTCCTCAGGCGGCTTGTAGGGCAGAATCCTGCCTTCCCTAATCGCGCGAACCAGCTTCATGACTTGCGTGGCTTCGTTCTTGGAGGGCAGGAAGCGCCTCTTGGGCTCAGGGGCACTGCTAAGTGCTGCTCGGCATTAGTCACTGTCTCGTCCCCGTACAAACCTTGGAGAGGAGTCTTACGCATTTTCTCCTCGATTGAGGTGAAATACTCGACGGTATTGGGGTACGGGTCGTGCAGCTCGTTAGGGATGAGACCCATCTGGACCCGACGTACGAGCTCCAACTCCTCGTCGCTACAAATCGAATATTAGCCGGGGCCCCAACGACAGACAGGAGCAGACATACGTGAGGTTGAGCGGGTTTCCGGTATTGATGTCGGTGAGGCCAGTCCAGCCCTTTGGCACCTCGATGCTGTCAAGAAGATTCTGGAGCGCATCGCCAGAGGCAGGGCGCATGATCCTCTTGCCATTAATATCGTAGCCAATATGGGGATAGCTAGAAAGCACGGAGTGTTAGAGGAGCACGTTGGTCTTCGTTGAACCGGTGCACGGCGCTCACCTGTCGTAGAAATCTAACGAGATATCACCTATTGTGTTGGCGGGGCCTTGCGCATCCGTGTCGTCGGTGTCGTAGCCAGGCTCAATTTCACTGTAGAAAACCCAGTTAGTACCCAGGCGGAGAAAACAGCGTAAGGTCTTTCCCGACTAGAAAGACGCACTCATAAACGTAGCGCTCGCCACCATTGGCGTCCTTCTCGATCCTGTAGTTCTTTTCCTCGTCGCCAACGTCCTTCCTCTTGGGGTCGACTCCGGGCACTTCGATCTCGGGCTCGTCATCGGTTATGAGAAGCTTGCCGAGCGCCTCCTCGCCGTCAAGGTCTGATGGGATATCGTCGCTAAGAAGCGCATCGTCGTCGTCTTCTTCATCGTCCTCGTCATCTTGGCTCCCCTTGCTCGCACTATCGTCTTGGTCGTCGTCTTCGTCGTCGTCCGAGGCGACAAAGTCGGAATCATCCTCGCTTTGGGACAAGACACTGTCAAAAAGGCGGCCAGCAAGCTCGTCGTCGGATTCCGACTCGGGAACCTGCGTTTTCCGCTTCTTGTCAACTGATTTGGGCCCCATTGTGCTGGAATTGGCGTATTCTAGGGCGCTCAAAGCAAGCGAAGCCTCGAAATTTACCGGACGACCTAAGGGTGGGACTTTTTTTTTCTGCCGCCGTTTTTATGGAGTCTGGCGGGGAGCTCCCTAAGCCATTGTCCTCACCGCCTGCATGTTAGCGGGTCCATTACTACTGCGATTGGCTCTGCCCTCCAGGCACCCAACCTTATTACTTGATATCAATGGCGTTTCATTTGTGGCAGCAATTCTCACTTTCGGTACGGAGTATACATATACTGCCTAAGATCTAAGTGATGGTCCAAAATTTAGCAATAGTTTCACATCATTTCATCTGAATCATTCCTCGTTCTGTACTCGTCAAGGCCGATGTTCTGGAAGCCGTGACGAGTACGGATGCATAATGGCGCCCAAGGTCAAAGTGAATGTGATTTGCACATTTTATGGCTCCATCTCCGACAAGCTAGGTACCTAGGCCTGGCGCTGTGGGAGAAGAACACCACATGCTGCACCTGCCTCCTCATCTACTACGGTAGGTCTAGTCATTGTAGGAACCGATGTCAGAGTCCTCGGGAACTCAATGCGCTGCCTGATAGCGTTCTGGTTTCACAGGATATAGGATACGTTATCTGCTAAGCTGACAACCGGAGACTCGGACTGTTATCCAGCCCGATGATTATTTGGATGGATCGCGAGTCGCTTGGCCAGGGCTAACGATGAGCGGGGACGGAGAGTTGGCAAGGATGGAGGTAAGGTTATTTATACGGAGTATAGAGGTTGCGTATCCGTCCTGAGTAAGGTGTCTTATGTATTCGTGCATACTGTGTATAATAGCTTATGGGGAATCCTGCCGCACTACTCGCTGGAGCGCCGCGCCGTCTCAGTGGCTGAGGGCTCGCCTCGCTTTGCCGAGCCCGTCGAAGGCCATCGAATGGAAAGAGAGAAGGCCGTCATCCCAGGTTAAGGTACCTGCCTACCTAACTATTTCAACGTTTCGATTGCTCGTCCCATTCCCAAGTCTGACGCAACATACATACACTTAATCTCACAACACCTCACTACAACACGCTACAACCCGCTCCAGTCTGCACGCACGCCAATAATACCGGGACCGATTTACAGGTTCAGGTTCCCGGGGAATCATGTCTGCTCAGACAGCAATCGAGAAGGCGGACGCGCCAAAACGTCGAGCTTGCGACGAGTGCCGTATGTTTCGTCGACTCCCACCACCAGCCGAGCCGACGCCTCGCTCGTGCCGTGACTGACCAAGTTGCGCTTTAACAGGCACAAGAAAGCTCGCCTGCTCCAAGGAGGCAGATGGGTGCAGCCGCTGCAAACGGGAAGGGGTCCAGTGCAACTATTCCCTCCAGAAGCCCATGGGTAGGCCCAGGAAACGCGCCCATGTCGAGGTTGAGCAGGTTCCGGGCGAGCCCGCCGCCGAGCCTCTCGTCCGTCCCTTCGATAGCACCTTCGCCATGGACCTTGAACTCTCTTTCCTAGACATGGACAGCACAAACCTCAACTTTTTGGACCTATTAGGATCTGATTTCCTGGCTGCGCCGCTGTCATCTGCATCCCCTTACCTGGGCGATGCTGGCCTGCCGGCTAGTGCGAAGTCGACTGGGCCACCCAACTCGGGCGGCAGCTTTGTCTCTGGTGATATGTGGAATCTCGCAAACATCGATTTTGATGCTCTAGAGCCCGCCGCATCTCCCCCATCTCCATCAGCCGCGAATAAGTCTACTCTCGACGAGGGCGCCAACTTCTCAGCCACCTCGTCTCAGTCGCCCGATACGGTTCCTGGGCTCTCCCCGCCATCTACGAACTCGCCGAAGACGCACCTTCACGGGGCCCATCAAGAACAGCAGTTCTTCCCCACGCCGGTATGCATCTGTCTCTCGAGCCTCTACCTGGCCCTGGACTCCCTGCGGAATCTTCCTACCGAGGTTGGCCCGGCCATGATGGTCGCCCGCACCGCTTCTCGGACGGCGCATGACGCGGTGCTATGTCCAGTCTGCGGCATGCTGCCTCTGGAACCCTGCGGCGGGGCCCGGTGCAAGACACCCGTCTCGTCGCTCCAGACAATGATGATGCTCGGCGCGCTGCTGCCCTCGCTCGCCAGCGCGTACATGCAGATCCTAGACCTAGTAGAGGCCGAGGCGGCACGAGCTGGGGCTGAGGGCCGGAAGATGACTTTCAATCTGAAAGAGTACGGCGGGGTTTGGGGACAACTAGCCGCGACCGGATTCAGGTGTGAGGCGACCAAGAAGCTCGACGGGTCGATGCTGGAGCCAGGCATGTGGCGGCTGATAGTGCGCGCCCTGCTTAAAATGGACGTGTACGGGGTCAAGGGGCTAGAGGGCGAGCCTCCCTCGAGCCCCTCTCCTCCGCCCTCGCCCACTGCATCGGCTTCCACTTCGACGAAAAAAGACTCAAAGACGATTTCAAAGATGGCTAGCCTCACGGGCTGCCGACAAACCCAGCCTGGCCTTAAGGACATCATCGAGATGATGGAGGATCGGTCACGCACCAGACACGAAGAGCTCGACGCACTGGTGGATTCGGGAGCCATCGAGCGGCCAGACGACCAGTACTACATCCCCTTGTCCTCGGGGGAGAAGCCGACGTGCTTGAGAATTATCGATATTGCAAAGAAGTCGATGGATGATTTGGTCATACCTTGAAGGCGTTGGCCAAAATGAACAGAAAATGAAAGACGAAACACATGAATCCGATGAATTATATCCCGGCTAGTCCCCGACTGGTCACTGCCACAGTTACCCACCCGCACTCGCTTTATGGCGCCGCAGACACCGCCACAGCCTCCAACACATCTGAACACTAAAAGTGAAAGACTCAAATAAGCACATCCGCGCCATCTATAGGGTAATTAACCCGCCGGTTCGCTACTAGCTGTTACGCCTTTTATGTCTCACAACTATTGTGATGAGCGGCATGTACGACTAGACACAGATTACATATCCAGCCTGCCTGCGCCCTACACGCGTAGACTCCGAGTCATAATAGTCACGTTAGCCAATGGGTGAGAGAGAGGAATTCTATGCGAGTTTTCTACTTCTTTGTTGGTATAGCTAAAAGCCCGATATCTGGCAAAAATATATATATATATCACCAAACATTTAGTCGGCACATCGGCAGTCAGGCCTGAAAAAGTGTGCTTTAGATATGCCAAGGTGGCCCATGCTACTTAGGAAACAGGGAATTTCCCTTTCATTGTGAAATATAAAACTCCAAACGCATCCCTGGTGTGGCGTTGTTCTACAATTTGCAGCCCAGAACAGAAAATAACAGAATAAATTGAGAGTAAATTTGCGCCGTTGAAATGATAGGCCTGGAACATAGCTCTTTCTCTCTTTTTCTCATTGCTCCACCTTTCGTCATTTATCTTTCTCTCGCACTCTCTCTCATTCACATGCGCACCCATATACGGTAACTCAACGAGGACAGTTCTTTTTGTAATGGCCAGCTCTAACCAAATGCCAATTTGCCATTTTCGGCGTTCGGAGAGAGGCGCAGGCCATCCATGTAATCGTTTCAGTGGCGACAGATTCATATCCCGTCCTCTTCTAGCGTCGACATACGTCCTGTGCTCATTGGTCGTTTAAACTTTGCGACGGTGACGGGCCCACCACTCCACCCTCTTTCTCACTATACGCCTCCCATCCGCAAACAAAATAGCCGCTTAGTAGACCTTCTTCTTCTCGTCAATGCTGAACTGGCCGGGCCCGCTGTTGACCAGGAGCAGAAGACCGCCGACAATAGAAAGAATCTGGAAGAAATCGTACTTGGCAAAATCCTTATGGGGGTGGTGGTCATGGAGCTACGATTTTTGGTCCATGTATCAGCAAAAAAGAGCGACGATATGGCGCGGGAGAACATGGCATAACTCACAGTCCAGAAGTTGTTAACCAAGATGTTGAAGATGCTCAGGATGACGACCAGAAGAGTGGCGCTAAACTTAGCCTTGAAACCGACGACAACCATGACGCAGGCGACGAGACCGATGAGCGAGGTAGCGATGCGCCACACGGACCACTGGCCGCTGAAGACGAAGCCGATGAAGAGGAAGATGAGCAGCACGCGGCCGGCCAGTTGGAAGTACATCTTGCGGTCCTTCTCCTCGAGCTGCGGCAGGCCGGCGAAGGCCTTGGTCTTGCGCACCCACGAGTCCGAGAGCACCATCAGCAAGCCGCCCATGACGGACAGGTTGCGCAGGAAGAAGTTAAGGTCAAAGATAAGTCCGTAGCCAAGGGCCTGGGTCACCACGACGCCAATCAGGCCGCCGACGGCGTACTCGGAATATTTCCGGATGATGACAAGAGTCGAACATGACACCATTGCGATGACGTTAACAATCAAGAACAGGTGCGTAATTCCATAGGGAACTAGGGAGGAACACGGCATTAGCGGAGTCCCAATGTGTAAAGGTAGGCCGCAAAACACGGAGCCCCGGAGCACTGAGGGAGGCGAGCAGGGTGTCTTGGGGAAGAGCCCTACGTACTGTGACGGTAGTCGTGCAGGTAGAGCAGCTGATCGTTCCATTGTGTTATTATTCTGAGAGCATCCTCGATGAAGGTGACGACGATCAGGAAGCGGCCGATGGCGGGAAGATAGCTGTTGTGAGGGTCAGCCAAATCCACATCCAATCCCAATTCCAATCCCACTCGGCACACGGCGAAGGACAAGCCAAGGCAAGTCGCAACATACGGCTTTATGGGCTCGCTGAATGTGTCCAACACGTCCTCAATCTTGCTGGTCTGTTTTCTTATGGCGTCGAGCGGACTCGACTCGGCGGTGTCGTCATTCGTCGCCGCGAACATGTTGGGGGCCCCAATGCCGTAGCTGCCTGGTCCTCGCATTTGCGCCATTGCTGCAGTTCGGCTGGCTGGCTGGCTGGCTGGCTGGCTGGCTGGCTGGCTAGCTAGCTACCTTGTACCTTAGCTATGCTTGCTGTGCAGCTTCGGGACGGTGCGTAGGTGGGTGCAAAAGACGACAGTCCTGCTGGCGTGTTGGGTTGTGGGACGAGGGAAATGCGCCGCGCGACGTTCGAGCTGGTTTCGAGGGGTGGAGTTGCTCTCGAGTCTCAAGTCGCACGACAACTGGAAACAGGGCGGCGGAGCGGCGGGCAAGGCAGCCAAGCAGAGCTGTTCGGGACTGGATTCGGAACCAACCTAGCTAGAAAATGAAATGACAGGGGGAGGGCCGAAAACTCTCAGATTCCCGAAACGAAACCCACTGCAAACTCAAAAAGAAAAGAGGTGGCTTGGAATGCCAGGCGGGTCGAGTGTGTGAAAGTCGTTGACGAGAAAGTTGGAATGGGAAGAGAGCTTGCTGAGACTCGGAATAATGAATTGCTGAGCTCAGATGAAATACATGATACGCAACTGTGTCCTTAACACCAACGTCAATCCACGAGGACTGTGAGTGCCACACCAGAGGTTGCCCTGGGGGTAACTTCCTTCGCAGCTGGGCAAGTCACACTCGCAGGCCCGCTACATTGGCCACAGCGTTTAGCCTGTCGAGTCCAGGGTACCCTCAAGCTCGGGGTACCTTGGCCATGACACGTGCGGGGCTTTGTTCCTCTCTCCAGTGGTTCGTTCACCCGATGGCAGTTTTTGGCCCAGTGTGAAAACAAAGGGTTTCGTCGACTCTTTTTTGACCCGAAAAGGCCAACAAGGAAAATCGGACCCCCAGCTCCGGGGTGCATCGGACGGGAATAAATTAGGCGTATAGGCCGCCGAGAAGAACACCAAGATGGAAACCGGTGACTTCCCGTATACCTAGTCATAGGGTAACTAACGTGCTGATAACTGCCACAAGGCGCGAAAGCTCATCTAGTCCTGTGCCTAGAGCTGCTCTGATCCCATCTCGTGTATTTTCTAGTTTCCTCTCGACATGGAGCTTGCAAAGTAGCGATCTATCCGTCAGGCACACTACTTACTTGCCTTGGTACCATTGCGAATGTGAACCACGGTAGCATCATTCTGCACGGAACCCCGCTGCTGCAGATTCCAGAACACGGAGGGGCCGCCAATGCCGGAAGCTCGAAACACGGGGCTTCTTTCTAGACTGCAAGTTCACGAACGGGCTAGGGAACTCCACTCGTTAAAGTTGGGGTTCAAAGAGTCTTGCGTCCCTGTCAGAAACCCAGGCTCCTCTGTGGCTTCCGCTTCAAGCCAGGCTGTGTTACGGAGTAAGACACAGAATATTCTTCACCCGCACCTGCCTACCTTATTGCCAAATCTCGGTTCTCTATTCTTCTCAACGTTGAGTTTGGAGACCAAATGTGAATTGCACCTTCCCGCTCTGAGTATTGTGGATTTGATAACCCCCCACCCCCCTTCTCCTGTTCTCGAATTTTTGTACTTTGACTTCTCCTATCAAAAGAATACCGAGCTTACGATCTCACGTCTCACTAGACGAGCTGCCAGTTTTTGTACTGGCCTTATTGATCTCTCTACAATTGGTTGAAGTTGATACTCAAATCGTGGAGGGCCAAGTTGCTACTCAGGTCACTCGAATCCCAATAGATTTTTCTTTGACGATGGCGGAAGTTACTACCAAGCCCCCAAATATAAAAGCACAAGGCCCTCTCTCCCTCAAGGTTTCTCTGGGGGGTAAAACCCTCTTCGGTCTCAAGCCACCTTTCACTGATCCGTCAAGGCGTGGCTTAGGCTACCTGGACAATTATCAGTAATGTATAGGAGGGAAACATATCGAGCAGATGCACTCGACGACTTTCGACATTTGAGAAAACCTGCGAGATCTCCAACATCCAGCTCGCCATGGCCAAACAGATATCCAAGGGGTTTCAGGAGATGATTCTTGCAAGACATATGAACCCTCGAGGCAAGATGGTCAACGCCAGCTGTTCATGCTAGTAACAGTCATGGATATTGAGGAATTAAAACAGTACACTGCACATTATCATCATGCCCGCCGGCCAGGAATAAATAAAGTCTGGAAAAAAAAAACAGGGAGGAAAATAATTTCCCCAAAAACTCTCGCTACCTACCTACTTACTCCTCCTGCCTAGTTTGTAATAACTTGCTGCTTCCTAGCCAACGGCCCACGGATCGCCATCCCCAAAACCCGCGAGAGGCGATTGTGACGGCGAAACGCTAGAGACCACAGCGGGAAGCTCAGCGGCAGGTTTATCAACAGCAGATATAAATATCACCATGTACACTGTCAGCGTATTTCCGTCGAATGAGGGTTACCCAGTTTCTCGTCCCTTTCTGCTTGCATCCTGTAGAAGGGTAGGGGTGGAAAACAACACTCACGTGTGACCTGGCATCTCGCCCACCGGGGAACCTGGCCCTCCGGGAAACGCCTTGCCCTAGTAGTCACTAAAGCGGTACTGCGAGCCGAGGCTCATGAGCGGCGGCGGTGGCGACGGGACCGAAGGACCGTACTGGGGGGGCGCCGGCCCAAAGGACGCGCAGCTAGAGAATGTCGACAGCGACGCCAAGCCGGGGCTCTCTAGAGGAGGGCCGCCGTTGCCGTAGTTGTTGACTTCGCGCACGGGGCCACCGACTGGTGCTCCGCGGTCTTGTGTTAGACGCCCCCTCTCCGGCCGAACAGGTGTATTAGACAAGCTCCCAGCAGCGCGATGGCTGCTGTAGCTACGGCGATCCCGGCGATGGCTCCCTGGCTGAGGCCCGAGGACCCTCCCCCTGAGCCTGCGCCCTGGCTTTGGCTTGTTACTTGTGGCGTTACAGTAGACCCGACGACGGCCGGTGGGGTTGAAGTTGTTGTAGGAGTTCAGGTCGAGACTGATTTGGATGTTCTTTCCGAGGGGAAGGGCTCGCCCGGCGCGAAATGCTGAGAGGAGTTCTTGGCGTGGCGTTGGTGGCAAAGTTAGCAATTTTGTGTTGTGTTCTGCTATCAACCCCGGGTTCCGTTTTCGACCACTGTCCACGCATATGTGGGTGTGTGAATGAAGCTGTACATGTACTCACATTATCAGAGATTACTTATGGCGATATGGTGCCGGAATAAAACCCTATCTTGTTGGCGCCAGTGTATTCGTACGGAATGCATGCGTATTTGTATTCTGCGGGAGCGACACTGCGACCCCCGGAATAAAAATTGAATCCTAGCGGACGCCAGCTGTAAGTACAGAAAGCAGAGCTCGGCGGTCGGGCGTGAAACCATTAGTCATAATGGTGTACTCTGGGCAATAGAGAAGCAACATACTGATTGTATCCCCGACGGATGCCGTTGTCGAATTGGGGGTGAACACATTGTTTTCCTGGATATCCCAGTCAGTCTGGCATTCCACGGGAAAAGCTGGGATATAATGTCCACAACATACCGCCCCGGCCGCTATCAAGATCGTCTTGGGTCCCACTTGAGTCGATGTCGATGGTGAGTTGCTTGGTTCGGCTGGGGCGGACGTGGCCGTGACCGTGGCCTGGTTGTCGTCACCGTCTACATAACTCTGAGCCAGCGCCCCCGCCGACATAACACCAACAACCACGCCAAGCAGACAAACTAGAAGCATGTTGTGATGGCAGCCGACGTGCCTTGATTCTAGTCTATTGTTTCTCTTCTTGTTGCAACGATATATAGATGCTAGGGTGTGGAACCAGGACAGCACCTGGAACGGGAGAAAGAGGAAGAGATCTAGTTCTTGAGACATTGGAAGGGGTATGGGGGCGGGCTAGCTAGATATTAACTACTGAAATTTCTACAATTTTGACCAACAAGTGCTATGAACAAGGGGAGGAGAACCAAGGCCGGGTCGGTACAAGGCGTGCGAGCAAGATAGCTTGGTAGGCGAGTGTGGGTGGACAGCCGGCTGCGGGAAGGCACACTAAGATCTGTCGTGAGATGAACGGGCCGGCAGTGGCGGAGGTCGATAGACTAGTGAGACGGCGTAGTATATTCCTACTCCAAAGACTGGCTTTGTGCGTTCCCATCCATATACTGGAAACATTGTGTTATGGGGTGTCATACTTTGGCCACCCACGGGACAATCTGGAGTCGTGGGACTTGAAGACCATCAGTTCCACCGTTGCCCGAGGAAGAGGAAAACATTTGAGAAGAGCATAATGCCGAAAGTCATCGGCTGGATTGACAAGTATTTAGTTATGGTACCTGTGTTGTCGGCATATTCTCCTTCGAGGCGGAAGGGGGACGAGGGACGTCCGACTGCGTACTGGATATGAGATCCAGTCCCTACCTCAATACTTACTGCACAGTACTTGTCCCTAGACCTCGAAAGAAGGACCGTTGCAGGTCACCATGTGTTTTGGTCGCCTGCGGCTCTTCTTTGGTGTCCTGTGTGTAGCCCATGATATCTTGAGAGGTGACCCGACTGAACCCACCGCCTCCTTACGTTTCCTACACTCAAGTAGTTTAGTCAAAAAGATCAGCAAAGCTAAATTGCCATCGCCCGTGTGAATTTATGCGCCCTATCTCCTAGGTGTGGACACTAGTCGCATGCACTTGACCAAGGCACCTCATTTCATACCTGCGCGGCGGTCAATGTCCTTTGTATCCTCTAGAGACACTCCATTCTCCAACCACATTCAAGTACAGTTCATTTTTGCGCTCAAGTGGCTCAGCACTTTATCTTATGCAGTTGGAAACGAAAATATGTCATGTTGCGCTCTAAAATGCTACATATCGCCTTGCCAGTCGAGATTCTGTGACCACGCTCAAATGGCGAAGCCTCGTGGTTTAACATTCCTAGTCGCAAAGCGGTCTGTTCATGTGGCACGAAATACAATAGAATAACAAGTCCGTGCGACTACATGACGACTCCACGCGCGTAAGGGGAGTTGCCGAACTTGATACAGCCTACGTGTGTGTATCTTGGTTGCCACTATTGCATCTTGGTCTTGTCTCGCTTTGAACCCCATGATTTGGGTAGGATCCCGCTCTCCAGCACGAGACTCCCCAGGCACCACAGATAGCAGAGAAAGAATCCACCAGCACCCAGGCCAACATTGATGACCACCCACAAATCTGGCTTGTCCGGCGGCGGTGTCACAGCAGCTTCGAATACGTGCCACAGTGCCATGGCCAGATAGAAGGACCCGTGGATGAACGCCGTAGCCCACTGACCCCAGAGGCTTGAACCCTCTTGGAAATACGCACTCAACGACGTTGGAGGTAACCCAAGAAGGTAAGCCCAGAGGAGTGTAAGCACCATATAAGGCACTTTCAGGTCCACCCGCTGTAGCAGTGGGAACATGGTCCAGCAGCCGAGTATGTTCGCAAACCCGACCCAAGCGCGCGTGTTCTTGCCTAGCCCCTGGCCCCCGGCGAGCAATAGGGTCATGGGCATTAGAGGAAGAAGAACGCTCTTCTCGTGGACCTGGTAGCTGAATAAGAAGAAACCCCATGCTGTTGTTGTGAAAGCCAGTGGGAGTAGGAGCTTTCTTGGTCGAAAGAATAAAATCAGGTTCGGCGGCACTATTGATGCAAAGGTTGCAAACAGTGCGCCGCGTTGCAGTAGGTCGGAGGGGTATTTCCTGAGTTTGACCATGACGTTCAAAGCGCACCAGAAGTTTGCGACTTTGTCCTCGAACAGGCCTCGGGCAAAAGGGAACACGCGATGAAGCATCTGAACCAGCTGCTCAACAACGGGGTAGTAAAATGCCCCCGTGTCCAGGTTGCCGGCCAGGTCTGCGAACAACGGAAGAGGCGGCCGATGGCCCTTGAGATCGGGACGTGCGTCAATTCCCCGTCTCACATCGTTGAGGGTACCAACGATAAGTGGGAGCAGCAAGATGGCGAATGACACCGTAGTCACTGCCCCGACCGCGACAAGCCGCGGAATGTTGACTGGGAATGCGCATCTTCCTAGGAGGTAGGCGAACACGGAGAAAGCGTAATACAGGGCCATTTGCTTGAATCCAAGGGCTCCAACGAAGAATACAGCCGACCACAGATAGCGGCCAGCGAGCATGCTTGATATGCTGGCCACAACAAATCCCAGCATCACAGTGTTGTACTGGAAATGGACGTGATCAATAAGGATAGTGGCAGGCTGCATCAATATGGCAACAAGCGCCACAGACGCTGTCCAGGTTGGCACGCCGCTCAGCCTGCTGAAACGCCGCACGAAGACGACCACGGCGGGAACGTAGATGAGATATTCAGACACGACCACAGTGGCCCTCATGAAGATCTTCAACGCCGGGCTGTGTAAGCCGCGAGACGCATAGAGCGCAAACCAGGATGGATCGACGAGGGACCCGATCTTGCCGCAGAGCCAGCTGTGATAGGCCGTCAGAGGCGGGTAGTCGAGGCCCCACCACTGCAGGTCATGGAAGTACCACTGCGAGACGGGGAGATTTGTTGTGATCTCCATCCAGTGCCTCTGGGCTTCGTAGTCGCCAAACAGGGGCGGTTTCTCAAAGCCTGGCGTAGCATATTGTCAGCCACCCTGCTGTACGTATACGCGTAGGTCTGTGGCTAGGACAGGTTGGGGGCTTGCAAGGAAGTTGAGAGGAGAAGCATACCGGAATAACCCCATAGCCCTGCAGCCCACCTGAAGAGGCCGGCGATCATCAGGATCAAGGGCAGCAGCTCCCATTGCGACACGGAGCCTCGCGCGGACCACAGGAAAGCTTCGAGGGGGAACGACGGTGTCTGGGCTGAAGGTTGGCGCCTGGTGCTGAGGCTGCTTTCGCCATTGACAGCTCGCTTGGCCTTCCGCCTTGGTTTGTGGGGAGACGGTGAAGGCCCAGCCATTGTCACCTGAGTCGCGGCAGAGATGCGGGAGCAGGACGCATTGAGCGCGCGCAGCTACTTAGTCGAGACTGAGAGGCGTGGATGGGTTCGCGTCGTTGTCGGGACGTTGTCGTTGAAGGCAGTTACCTTACCAATGGAAGCTAGGGCAATCTGGCATGGCGGGATTTGGAGCTCGAAGCCCGGCGCATTGGGGCTCTCACCACAAACCCCAAATTTGGCGACAAGGGGTCCAGCTCACTTGCGCCAGCAGGACAGCGGGGACTGGGCTGTTTCGGGCCGGGTGCAGCCGCCTAGCTGCCAAGTGATGTCACTGCTCCTGGCTGAAAAGGGCCGCTGCCCGCCTGCTACCAGCAGCATTGGCGCGTCTGCCCTCAAAACCGCAAGCCCAGATACAAGGCACGCAAACCCATGTGGATGGGGTTGGAGTTTCGACTCGGTATTGCCCTTGTTGCCAAGCATTCAGACCTCAGTCCGTCTCGCATGTCGAACCATTAAGAACAGAAATATCCAGGAGGTAAAACCAAAAATCACTTTTAGGAAGAAACCCGGAAAGAAGGGGGAAAAAAGAAATCATTTGATTATGCCATATCCATTCGTCCTTCCCACCACCTCTGCCTTCTTCTTCTCCTCGAGCTTCAGCTGCGAAACCCACCCCTCGCTGCCCCTGAACGCTAGCACCCACCGCGGAGTTGTCAGGGACACGCTTAAGAAGCACAAGCGGCTGCCGCCGTTGTCGCAGGTGTCCAACCTGTCGTCGGTGGTCTCGAGCCTGAACAGCTACCTCCCCTATCTCTTCGCCATCGATGCGGGGCTCAGCCACCGCGCCGTCCAGGGCGAGGAAATCAACGTGATCCTTAAGACGGCCCCGGCCATAGAATGGCGGCCCACCCTGTCGGAGAGCGCCGTCGTGCCCGGCAAGCGCGAGACGGCGCGCGTTAAGATCCAGTCCCTCGAGTACGAGGTCTTCTTCGCCCTCTCGGCGCTGGCGAGCGCCTGCACGCTCCAGGCGCGCGCCGCGCTGCAGCCGCTGTACGTGACGTCGACGGCGCCCGTCGGGACGCAGCAGCGCCAGGCCGCCCTCGCGTCGGCCAGCAAGAGCCTGCTGGACGCCGCGTCCATCTGCGACTACCTGGCGGCGCGCGCCGAGGGCCTGGTGGCAGCGCCGCCATGCGCCGACATCTCGCAGGCCGCGGCGCGCGCGCAGTGCTCGCTAGCCCTGGCTGAGGCTACGCTCCTGGCTGTGCTCAAGGACGACCCGTACCCGGCCGTCGTGGCCCAGGACCGTAACCGCAACGACACCGAGTGGATGTACAAGGCCCCCGAGATCCCAAAGGTGCGCACCCACCTCTTTGCGCGCCTGTGTCTGGCCGCCGCCGACCACGCTGCCCAGGCCCACTCGCTGTGCGCCGGCGCCGGCGGCAGGATGAGCCACGGCTTTCTGCGCTACCTCGAGGACTTGCGGCGGACGAGCCGCGCCAAGGCCTGCCGGTTCCTGGCCATCGACGCTGAGATGGGCGGGCAGACAGGGACCGCCATTGCCTGGCTGCAGGCTGGCTTTCTGGAGCTGGGCGTCGAGCGCAAAGATGTCAAGAAGAGCGGCGGCGGCGGCAGTGGCGGCGGAGGTCTGAGTAAGTTCAAAAAGGAGTGGACGGAGAGGCGAGAAGACCGCAAGGCAGAAAAGGGGGCCGACTGGGGGGCCGACGCGAGCAAGCTGGAGGAGACGCGCGTGTTGGAGATGCTCGAAGCGAAGTGGACAAAGCAAAACGACACGGTAAGCACATATTCATTTCCGGTATCACGTTCTGGCCCCCTACGATTGAACTGCCTTTGTGTTTTACAGAACATCCCTAACATTTATTTCTGCTTCTCCGTGACAGATATTCACACAAGCTATCCCCCCAACTGGGCAGCTGCTCGCGCAGATGCCGTCGGGCCGCGAAATCTACAGCATCAAGCCTTTCCGGCCTCCGTTGCTCGATGGCGCGGCGTTGGAAGCGATGCGTGCGCCACCAGACAGGTCTGATGATGCTGGGAACTACCCGAGCTCTGACGAGGACACTATTGTAGACGCCGTGCCGGTTGGAGCGTTTCCCGGGACGCAGGCTGACTACAGGACCGGGACACCGAACTACTATTAATGGTGGCGCCGTCTGGTTTCGTTCAGTCGCCATCTGTATCTCTATAGGAAGTTGGAAGACCCTATGGGGCCGTCGTCGTGGTGGACCGCACAGCACCATAAATAAACATCATTGATATACCATTGGGAGCCCCTGTTGATATTTCATCTTGGATGACGTGTCTGGTTCGCCCATTTCTATCTATGTATTCCTGTATTATACCCTGACGAATGCCTAGCGTTAGGAAATAGCTTCAAGAGGACCTAAACGCTGCCAGATGTAAACGACCAAAGCGTGAGATGGACTTGCAAGGCATCTCTTCATTCGCGATAATAGTCACCAAATTCACTAGTCTCTTGTCGAAAATTTTGTCAAGTTGAAAGAAGGAAGATGGGGTGGGATATCTAAGAGGCCGAAGCCTCGAGTCGAGCCGAAGCAAAATCCGTTTGCTGTTCCCATTTTCGCCCCAAATGCACCTGTTCCGGATGACCACTAACCTTGCGCTAATAATAATAAATTGAGAATCTAAAATACAAATCAAGTCGCGCTGGCGGGCGGCGCGACTACTCCTCATCGTCGTCGACAATGATGTGCCGTCTACGGCGAGTCGAGCTCTCCGCATGGGCCGGCGCATCGCCGTCCTCCAAGTCTGCGTCGGCATCGGCGTCCTCGTCGGCCTCTGCCGTCTTCTGCCGTTTAGTCCGAGGCTTATCGTCCTCGTCCTCATCGTCGAGGAGCTCCTCTTCATCCTCGTCGTCTTCGACACCCTCGCTCTCATCGTCGCTGTCGACGAGGAAGCCGTCCTCCATATCATAGCTATCCGGCCTACGTGCACCACTTGGAAGATCGTCGTCCGAGTCATACTCAGGACGGCGGTGCTTCTTCTTGGCACCACCGGCCGCACCTCGCTTCCGGCCGGCCACCGTCCCACCTGCGCGTCGTCCTCCCTCCAAATCGCCGATCGAGAGCGCCCCACCCTTGTACCGTCCGCCGGCGCCATCAGCACGCGCAGCCGCAGTCTCGCGGCGACGCTGGAGCTTGAGACGCTCCTTCTCAGCAAGCTCGGCCTGTTTCTTCTGCAGCTCGGGATCTTCCTTAGTGATGACAATCATGTCTGACCCGCGAACTTTCTGCTGGCTGGCCATCTGCTCTTTAAGTCGCTCTAGCGCATGATCCTGTAGCTCCTTATTCGGCGCAAGGTTATACTGCTCGGTGAAGTGGCCGATAATGAGTAGCGAGTTGGTTGTAAGATGTGCGGCAGCTGCATAATAATGTGCGTCCTCCACTTCCTGGTAGGGCTTGTCGCGAGGTGGTGCCAACGACTTGGACTGTATCTCAAAGTGCTCGTCGCCAATGGAGAGCGTGATCGAGCCATCGCTCCAATGGTGGATGTTCGCATTGCTTTGAAACTGGCCCGTCTTCGGGTTGCGCCGGACCATGACTGCAGGGATGGGGTTCTCAGATTTCGCGTTCTCAAGCTCCCACTTGCTCGGCTCCCACGAGTCGGGCTTGTATTCGGTCGGGAGCAGCTTGATAAAGTCGGGCACGCGGAGCGAGTGCAGCTGATGGATGGAAGCAATTGGTAAATATATGATCTTGCATGTTTCTTCTTCAGAAAGCGCTCCGAATGAACTCACACTGCCGTCTCGCGACTTTGGAATGCGGTGACGATACATGGGCACTCCTGACACAAGCTTCTCGCGGAACTCAGTAGGCTCATCATCATCGTCGCCTCTATTGTGTCGGCCATGCGTGGCGTCATCATCGCTATCCGAGTCGAGGTCGCGATCGCTTAGTGCATTCTCAATTTCGGACAGCACGTCGCCGGCATCTTCGTCGCCATCTCCAAAAAGATCGTCACCTCCATCGTCAGCAGCTTCGATGTGGTCCTCTGAGTCCGACATTTTTTTCAATGACTCTGTCGAAAAGAAATTCCGGTTGGGTGCCTGTTTTGGAGGTTCAAGGTGTGCGCTATAGGTTTTTTCGTGTGGTGAGTTGTCGAAAACTAACGAGAGCGCGAGATCGTAAGACAAATGCGCAGACGAGTCGCGACGTCGTGGAGCATCGAGGTTGCTTCAACCCGTCGGCGGGCGGTGGGTAAAAGTTGTGGCGCTAATGCTGACCCCTGCTGTACGATAACGATAAGAAGGCGGCACACAATAGCACAGACAATAGCGGGGGATCGCTGTGGAACCCCCCCACTCCACAATACTGTATCCGATTGTCTGAGCCTAGAACATGTAACCGACGGCAGACGGCAGACGACAGACGTGACAGACATCACAAGACGCTACATCCACAGCCTTAGCATGACAAGCTTCTCACCACGACAGGTAATTCCCGCCCAAACCCGAAGCTGAGCTACCTTACTGCCTCTATTCCGACTACTCGGCCAGCCGTGCCTCTCTCTCTCGACAATGTCCAACCTCTTCTCTGGAATGTGAGTGGCCTCCAAATACCCTATTTTCCCCACACCCCGCCCCGATCCCATGTCGGCTTAAACAGTCGCGCCCCTCCACCTCTCAGTGTGTTTGATGCTTGGTGTATGTTATGTTCGGTGTCGTCAGTCTTTTGCTGTTAGTCTGGCCACGGCAAGCAAGCGCTTTGGAAATGCGTCGATATGCTGCGAGCCTGCGGATGAAGAAGCATGAGGGTGTTTGGCCAAGGGCCCGCTCCTCTCTCTGCCAAATCTAATGCCGCCCAGTTCGTTCTTTACCTTCGTACTTCACATGACATTCAAGTCGGTTTTGAGTTTTGAGCAGCGCCTAACCCCCATACGGCCCCCTCCCATCATGCATAGCAACCACGCATTTCTATGCGTGTATTATAGCCCTATCGCGCCCATATACGCAGCGCCTGGTCATCTTGGTAATCTATCTGGAATGCCGCTTTCTTTTCTTTGGCCCAAGCACAGTTGTCGCACCCGTCCACCCGTCCACCCCAGCATAGCAGTCAACCAGCCTGACGTAGGACAGGCGCTGCAAGAAAGCAAGGCTTTGACGAAGCTTGCGGTTGCACTCCGCTGCCCTTCGCTCGTTGCATTTCTCTGCTATGTACTAGAGAACGGCAGAGTCTAGCGCCCGTCCTGAGAAGCACACAGGGGCAACGATCGAGATTCATGGTCTCGCGTCGTCATTCAACCCGACCCTGCCCGGATTAGCTATAGTTCTACGTGGTTTCTATATGACCTGAACTAATTCGAACTCGCAGCAACGCTCGTTTCAGAGGACAAAGAAGCCCAAATTCCCCGGCTGACCAACCTTCACCGTCATTCAACAACTACGTTGACGGAAGCCAGTTCACTGCAAGTTCTGCGGCGATACTGCCGCCGCTGCCAAGCTCCCCGTCACTTGCCAAGACCATTGGGATGGATCAATCCAGCGGCTTAGCTCCGTCTGCTGAGGATATCCTCGCTTCTTACCACATCCCTTCTGTGAAGCCCTTGTGGCTCAATGCCAACTATGCAAAGCATATTGTCAAGGGAAACTTTCTCACACTGAGCGCAAAGCCCAAGACGGTTGAGATGGGAGAATGGGTTGCACACCAGGGTGAGTTAAGGTACTTCTGCCCTCACACCCGGATACACTGCTGACCTCGGGTAGTCGTCGACCATTGGAGAATGCTCATTACCTTCATTCGCCTCGTCCATGACAAGGAGGAGGATGGCTCCTCAATCTGCAATTCTCGGAAGTGCCCCAAGATGTCGGCAGGAATGTGAGTTGGTTGATTAACACTGTCAACTGGACCTCTTGGCTGATGAAATACGATTGCAGGAATCACTCCTTCACATGGTTGAGCTCTAGATTGATCCCCGTCGAGATCCCGGCGTATGAGTATTTGACTTTGGTCCAGCGTTACATTTCCGGGAAAATCGACGATTCCAACATATTCCCAACCGACCCGGCAGGTGTCTCATATGCCGAGAACGCGGCCTTCTCTTCCCCAGCCCCGGAGACTGGACGGCAGTGGGACGATACGCCCGAACAAGCTTTGAATGAGAAGCCCGGACAAGACTGGATTGGCAAGCGGAGCGGGTTCCCTCAAAATTTCTTGGAAACCTGCCAAACCATCTTCCGTCAAATGTTCCGTGTCTACGCCCATCTGTACTGGTCGCATTTTGAGGATATGTTTTCTCTGAACCTTGAGAAGTCGATGAATAGCTGTTTCAGCCATTTTATTCTCACAGCGACTACACTTAATCTCCTCAAGAAGGCTGATCTTGAGCCCATGCAGCCCCTAATCGATCTTTGGGCTGCACTTGGTACCTTTCCTCCGGGTTCGAAGGCCTACGAGAATGCTAACCTTCAGGTTGGAAGACTGCTTGTCCAGAAAGCCGGAGGCCCACCGAGCAACTAACGACGCTCGTGAAGCTATTTGGTATACGCCTATCATCTAGTCTATCATTGATAGCGCATGAGGCTTGATCTGCCCCGCGGATTCTTGGGACCATGGGGAGTCTTAGACTTTGGAGGTACACACTGGGTGGCGGAACTGGTTGCGGTTTGGCTCTAGAGCGGAACTCGAGTCGAGATGGGAAACGGGGCTACTATAGTCATGGAGCACGCAAATGGATATTATACCCTTTGGGTTTATCTCGCCCTCAATCGGGATTATAAGGCGATGTTTGTTAACAAATGTCCGGATTCTGGGAACGCATATTTCATTGCATATTCAATATATATCTGAGCTATGTAGGATTACATGTGAGCGTCCTTGCGGTGGGCTGAAAACCGCGGACATGTGCTGAGAATGGGTGCTTGGCTAATCAAGATTGTTCAGGTCGTGGCATTGCTAGGTTGCTACGCGACTGGCGTATCTCTTCTCCAGCTTCAGGAAATTGGATATCCTCTCTTCGCTATTCCGACTTCTCTATGCAACCACTTCACTGATCTTGTACTCAACAATGACAGGCTTGCCAGGCTCAACAATGAATCTCCCGGACGACACATAGACCTTGGTCTGCAGAGCAGCCAGCTCGGGGTGGCCCGACTCAAACACAACACGGGTGACTGATATTCGGACCGAACAAAGTTAGAAGGGTGGGAATGATAGAACGTAAAGATATGATAATAGGTTTGGTTAAAGAACGTTTTTTTTCCTTTTTTGGAACTTTTGAATAGGTATATAAATAAAAAAAATAAAAAAAAGGGGGGGGAGGGGGAAGAACTGACAAGCCTCTCCGAAGTCGGTCGTCTTGGCGTCGGGCTCGCCCGTGAGGACCTTTCCGCCCGGCCCACCAAGGAAGATCGTGCCCGTGTAGTTGAAGCGCACAAACGCCCCCGTGGGGCCGTCCTTGGCCACGCTCTGCACCTCGAGCCGCACGTGCCGTCCGTCCGGGTCCATTTTGATGAAGTCGGCCCCGTGGGCAAACACGGCGTCCAGCGCGATCCCGTAGCCCGCCTCGGCCCGGATCGAGCCCGCGCCGGGAATGATCTCGACGTGCGTCAGAGTGGCGCCCGCCGCCGTCGGCCCGACGTAGTTGGGCGCCTTGATGGCGATCTTTGTTGCGGGCGAGGTTAGCAAGGAAGAGATATGAGATTGGAGACCTCCATGTACGTGTATGTGTAGATGATCACGGCATATACTACCACCTTCGGCTGCTCGTGGTGCCTGGAAATGAATAAAGGGAACTGGTGAATGAGCCAACTACCTACTTGAGCGGTAAAGGCCGGGATGAGCTTGGGGAAACCGGCCATGTTTGCTTGCATGCCGCGGTCAATGTGAGAATGCTAACACAAGCTATATATATCCTTGACCTCTTCCGTGAGGGCTTCAAAGGAGCAAGGAGAAGGAATTGAAGATTGATTCGGGGAAAGATGGTGAAAAGGATGAGGTGCCCCTCATATTTCTCCTCGGGTTAAACACCGGCCTTAGACCCTGCCCTCTCTCTATATACCTAGATAGGTATGCATGCGTGGACATACGGGAGTGTATAGGTATAAATAGTACATGTGTGAGACTTGGTGCGGAGGTTTGGACCAGAAAGGGGGGGTCCTGTGGGCCGCGCCAAGCAAGCCCCATCGGGGCAGAGGAGCAACACCACCGCCTCATTGACAATGCTTCTACTTTTTTTTCTCCCTTTTCCCCCCTCCTCTTCTTAGTGCTAGACGGGAGACTTGAGCATCTCGCGTGTCAAGATACGGGGCTAGGGGGCTGATCGCCGAATATCCGTGGCTAAAGATTTTGGTTGTCGTAACCGTCCAAGGTATCTGCCACCTGCAACTCGTGTCCCCACTTACAAGTGAGGAGATTGTCCTGATGTGATGGTGGGGGAGACAAAGCACCGACCCGAGCTGGCACGGTAGTTCAGGTTGAGCTGCACAACTGCTGCGGGGTTTGTCTTCTCGTCCGTCAACCAACAAGTCGGTAGGGCGCAGAGCAACCATGAAAGCGTGTCTCAAGGAACACGGCGTGTTGTCTGTGGCATGTCGATCCTATCCCGTCAAATATATCCCGAGGTTTTTCGGCATATCGAAAAGGAGAAAACTTGGACGTGCCAGACTCTCCGAGAGGTTTCGAACTGAACTCAACCAGGGCGCTATACTTGATCGCCATGTCACAAACAAAATAGGTCGTCTGATGTCTTCATGGATGTATTAATCCTTGTATAAGTACCCAGGTTAGTCGTGGACCGGTTAGAGCCTGGTCTGTAGGACTAAGGTAGATTCCTAAGTGTAAACGGAGCTGGAGGCATATTGTAGGTATTCTTTTCTCAACAGGGTGGCCAATGGGTCGGAAGCGGAGCCGGGCAAGGTGTTCAAAATTCGGTAACTTCCAACTTTGGAAGCTCCAGGCTGATAGAGAAACATTGCTTCGCAAACTTTTCATTTAATTACGAAGTGAAGCCAGCTCTGAAACGTCTGCTTAGACTGAGTTGTAGTCCGAACAAACTAAATGGACCGCCGTTTGGTAATTGCGTGATAAACGACAGTTGATACAATCCTGGGCTACAAAACGAGAGCGAGGAGGACGGGATTGCGAAGCCAACTTGGAACCCCCACTTAATAGCGTACCTCCAGGTTTCCAGGGGTCACTCGGAACCGTTTACAGCCTGGGCCGCCAAAAGCCCAATCAACGGCCGCAGCAACGTTCACACCCTGGCACGGTTGACATCACTCGGAACCTTGTTTCGCGGCGCTAGGCAGTGAGCAGTCCTGAATTGAGTTGTTTTGCGAAAAATGGTTCAATATTCTTCCGGTTAAGAGCTTCTTTACCTTCCAGGTTGTTGGACATTGGGAAAGTACGTTAAGGGCTTTTACCCTTCACTCGAAATATCCTTTTAAAACATTTAGCATCTAATTCCGAACTACTGGGCTCCAGGGACTGGAGACGGCGCGCCTCGATTTGTTGACACTACTCACGTGGCGCCACTAGATCCGCGGACCGCCCTGACTTGTTCGTCTTCCCACGAAATCCTCCCGGCAAGCTCTCGCGTCATTCACATCGTCCGAACTCCGCTCCTAAACGCACCGCGAGCTCTTTTAGCCAAGCAGCCATTCACTCTGCGTTTGCTGCACTAAGTCTTGATGTCGCCCTTCCCGAACCGGAGTGTCAAGCCGACGTCCATCTTGCTGTGCCGCTGAAGCAGGCCAAGCCTTGCTAGGCAACAAATTCCACTTCCAAACAGGGCCAGTTCCCAGGACCCACTGGCTGCCGTTGGTCGATAGAAATATTACCAATCGCGGATAGCAATCCAGAGGGGACTTTACGAAGCCTGCAATGGATCGTGCGCAAATCCTTGCGCGACCAGATGCGGCGGGCTCGACCTCGACAGCAGCAGGACCTCAGCCTCACCCCGGCCAACCGAGCAGGCGACGGAAGAACCATAGGGGAGGCAAGAAGAAGAAGACAAGGAGAAAGTCTTTTGCTGTCGCTCCGGATGACATGGCTCGTGACGGTGTTGATTCGGGCATTGACGAGAGCGAGGATCGCTTCTATTCAAGACCGGCCCATAACCTCAGTAATACAAGTATCGATAGCGAGACCCTGCTAGACCATAGGTAAGCTAAGCCGCTAGTCCTTGATTAGATGTGGTTTGTCTAGTTCGCTGATCCAATTCTCTCGTCTCAGAGCCCAACAAGCTTTCTTGAGGCCCCGACGCCCTTCGGTTTTGACCCCAGGCCACTCGAGCGGAAGCAGGTTGAGGCCTGTCGCGGTGAAGAACGACAGTGGAGGCGATGACGAAGACGACGACACGGCACTGTGGGGTGAAGGAGCGCCTTTACTTTCCAGTTCTGTCTTCAAGAAAGCCGAGACATTTGGGGGTTATGGCGCAAACGATGCTGCCCCGCGAAGGGCCGGGCCTGGCAGCCGCCGCGACTCGAGCAGGGGCAGCAGCATGAAGCGATTCATCGGTACATTCCCAGGTAGCGGGGCCGAGAGCTACAATGTCAACTATCCGCCCTCAGTCCCTGCTTCTCCCTCCCTGCGTCCAACCGACCGCTTGGACATGAGTTTCAGCGATGTGCTGCTTCGGCACGAGCTCGAAAGCGGTCAGCGGTCACCTGGGAGGACGCTTGACGATAGCGATGGCCGAGGGGTTCCAACATTCCAGCAGTCGCCTCTTGACAGAAGACATACTATCGCTCTACAAGCTGAAGAGGACGTCTGCTTTCCCCAAGAGGGCCTCTCGGAAATCGCTGAAGACGACCTTGGCCCACGAGACGCCGGTGCGTATCGTATGCGGGGAAGGAGGCGCCGTGGGAAATGGCCAGATCTGTCCATCTTAGATGAATGGAGCCAATTCGAAAAGGAGGGCCGCAGCGAAGAGCGCCGCGCCAAAAAGATCACAGAGCCGCAACTGATCAATGGGAGGCTGAGGCCCGTCCACCGGGGTTGGTTTAGATCCGAGGAAGACGCGCCTTATCGTTTCACATACTTCAACGAAGAGTTCCAGACCACTATCCACAGTCAAACCATCTCGGAACTTGTCCAACCAGGAGGGACTTTCAAGGAGCTTTTTCTTCCCGATCCGCCAGTCCTATCCGACTCCTCTGACGACGAAGACGAAGACGATGACATCACAATAGGCTTGCAGCAGGTGTTGGCTGGCCAAAACGGAGCACCTGGGATTCCCGCACGACAGCCATCTCTTGCAACCACCACTCAAAGTTACTTTGACGCCCGTAGGGAGCGTCCTCAGTCCGTCGAAAATCCGATGTCCCCACCTACAGAATTTAGGCAAGACTTGGGAGACCGTACGCCTCCGAGATACGTCAAGTCGCCCGAGCCATTCAAGTCACCCCAAGCCTCAAAATCACCGCAGCCAACGGCCAAGGGTGACAAGCCGCTCAAGTATGGCGACAGACCGGTATGGTGGCTTGATATTCTCAGCCCGACAGAAGCTGAGATGAAGGTGATTTCTAAGGCCTTTGGGATTCATCCACTGACTGCCGAGGACATCTTGATGCAAGAGCAGCGAGAGAAGGTTGAACTCTTTCGCCACTACTACTTCGTCAATTACCGCACCTTCGATCAGGACCAGAACAGCGAGAACTTCCTCGAGCCTGTTAACATGTACGTCGTGGTTTTCCGAGAAGGCGTTCTCAGCTTCCACTTCTCCATGACTCCGCACCCGGCCAACGTACGGCGACGTATTCGCCAGCTGCGGGATTATTTAATTCTCTCGTCCGATTGGATCTCGTACGCAATTATTGACGATATCACGGACGTCTTTGGACCCTTGATTCAAAACATTGAGGACGAGGTAGACGACATTGATGATGAGATTCTTCAACTTCATTCCTCGGCCAATACAGTCTCGGGGGATCCCAACAAGAGAAAAGACTCGGAGAAAACCGATACCGGGGAGACCACATCAGCCGAGTCCGGTCGGGATATGCTGCGACGCGTGGGAGACTGCCGGAAAAAGGTCATGTCCCTGTACAGGCTCCTCGGCAACAAGGCAGATGTCATCAAGGGCTTCGCTAAGCGTTGCAACGAGCACTGGGAGGTGGCGCCGCGGTCAGAGATTGGATTATACTTGGGCGATATTCAGGATCATATTGTGACCATGACGTCGAACCTGAGCCACTATGAAAAGTGAGTGATCCACTTTTTTGACACCTGGTGTGTGAAAAGATGTACTAATCGTTTGCTCACCCTCGTTCTAGAATTCTCGCCCGCTCACACGCCAATTACCTGGCCCAGATCAACATTCGAATGAACGAGCGGCAGGAGCAGACGGCCGACGTCCTCGGGAAGCTCACCGTTCTGGGCACCATCGTTTTACCCATGAACATCATCACCGGCCTGTGGGGCATGAATGTCTGGGTGCCCGGCCAGGAATACGAGGGCGACCTGAAGTGGTTCATGCTAATCACGGCTGGTCTGCTCTGTTTCGGTCTTGTCTGCTTTTTGATCGCCAAGCGGGTATATAAAATCGTCTAGGCTTGATTGAGTACACAGACGGGCTCTGAACTTACGATTCCCTTTTCACATCAACACCACTGTTGTTTCTTTCTTTTCTCTTGGAAACGGAGTTTCATGGTGGACAACAGAGAGCGAAAAGTAATATTTATTTTCTTTTTTCTTTTGGGGGTGGTCAGCATATGTCTCAGCATATACATTACATATATCGGTTTGGTGCTAGGCGGGCAGGGTTTATTGCATTGGATTTGGCAGCGGTTACATGGCGTAGACGCTTTGGGCTTGCTATCCCAACTACGTCTCGTTTGATAGGAGGGAAGGCGCAGAGGGTTTGTTGACTTGGGTTTCTACATGGTATGGATGCGGGTGGCTCTGCTTTGGCGCAGGAGAACAGGTTAAAGACGTTAGGCAGTGGTCTTGTTTCTACCCACCTAATCTTGAATATACGTACGTCTTGGAAACAGGGCCGGTACTTGGGATGTAGGATTATTGTATAATATATGTATTCCTTATGATGTAGCACGTGTGAATAACCGTATTCGTGCCTATGTATATAACTAAGTGGCGGCTTTGTATCTGCAATATGGCCTAGCAGTATGGCGCGTATCAGTTCGGCATGTGGGAGGTTAGGATGTCATTTGCCTGTTCTCCATCTAACCGAAAGACCGAGCCTTCGTCTTCAGGAGCCAGTGGAGTGTGAATCTAAAGAAAAGAGAGACTTGTAGGCACAAACATCGTTAGAGAGCGTTCTGCTGCATGTATCTGTTGATATGACGCTATATACCTAGCCTTTGCCCAAATCCCACCCAGAATTAACCGTAATAAGTAAGCATTTAGCTTCCGCTTTTTTGCAATCAAAACTGTTAGATATTTCACAGTTTCCTTTTTAGCACCCAATTCACAATACAGAGAATACCCGCCCAACGATGTGATTAGAAACCCCCTCCCTAAACGATAATGAAAACGAAACAAAGCTTCCCACCCCTGCATACCTCATAGTTAGGTATTTTATTGCATCTAATGTGGAACCTACGTTCTAATCTGTGCCAGTTCATAGACTAGATGGTTGAACAGGCAGAAGTTGTTTGGTGCTGGTCCAGTTACCAGAAAAGAAACGCCATGTCGATCTCAACGCCGCTGTGAAGCATAGCTCGTGCGCAAAGCCATGATCTGTTGCCGCTCTGCCTCAGGAAGCATGTCGATCATCTCCTGTGACAGCTCCATGACGGCGCGCATGAGCGTTTCCGGATCCTGCTGAGCGGGCGCAGAAGCAGGCGCGGGCGCTTGCACTGTGACTGGCGCGGGGGCGACGGCCATAGGCGGCGGCGGGTAACCACCTCCAGGTCCAATAGGGGGTGTGCCAGTGGCGCCAGGGAAGCTGTAACCCATGGGGGTGGGGCCCGCAGAGATGGGGGGTGCCTGAGGGGCTGCGCTGCCGGCATCTAGCACGGAGTTGATTGCATCGGGAGATACGAGCCCCATAATCAGTAGCGCCTGGAAAATAGCGTAGCTGAGCTGGGGGGCCTGGTTTAGGAGCTCGGTAGCCCGGCTCGGGTCGTTGGTTGCCAGCGTCTTCATCTGCTGCAATATGTCGAGGAGCTGTGCCGGCGGTAGCGTGTTAAGCGTCCGTGAGATGGCGTCTGTGCAGCTCATGCCCTGTGGGAGATCTTTGCCCTGCGGTAAGGGAGGCAATGAAGATGCCCCGCCCGGGGGAACGCTACCGTTGGGGGGCTGCTGGAGCTGTTGCGACGGCTGCTGTTGCGAGGGATAGCTCGGCATGTTAGGATTGCCTCCTCCACCAACGACGCCAGTGGCAGCGCCATCTCGATCCCCTCTGGGATTGTCCTCGTCGTTGACGGTTTCGTTGCTGAAGTCAACTCGAAGCTTGCGACCCATTATCTCGTAATCGTTGAGATTTCTTACCGCCGACGCCGATGAATCTGTGCGAGAAGAGAGAAGTTGGTTAGCTTTAGGTAGCGTTTTGAGACCAGAGCAGAGATAGTAGCGCATACCGTAGTCTGGAAATTCTGCAAAGCCAAATCCCTTAGGACGACCGGTCTCGCGGTCGTATACCAGCCGGAAGTTGAGAACTCTTCCAGCCCCACTGAATATTTCTGTTATCTGCTCCTCAGTGAGGCCTGGACGACAGTCAGCCGAAGTTGTTTGGCTCGCTGGGGGTTCGTTCCAAAATATCGGGGAACAACTTCGCTATTCACTCACCATATGGAATGTTTCCCACAAAAACAACGCGGGAAGGCTGCCGTGTCGACATGGCGGGTGTGAGGCACTCCCACTCTTCTGCAAGTATTGCACCGACGGGACACTTTGCAGTACCTTTCCTTGCTGGAGTGCTAGCAGTAGTTTGCACCTAGAAAGCTAGCTATATAGCTGTGTACATGTAGTTGGCAGAAGACAGGGGTTAGCAGCGATGCGCTGCACTGCAACGAGGGGGTCGCGGACGTGAGATGCGAAAAAGTCACCCTATTGGAGATGGACGGGAGGGGTTGGAAGCTGATTCGGGAATTTCGCAAACAAAGGAACAGCAGGAAACAATAAAATTTTAGCTAGCAATTGGATTCGCAACCTGCCTCGCCGTCGAGCCCTTTCCTTCTGAGTTCGCTCGTGCCTTTCAGTTTTTTTTGGCGGTAGCAATCCGAGGAACAAGAAAAAGAATTCTTTGACAGTGGAGCGAGGAGGTCGAGAAGACGCGACGCGAGACAAGGTTTAACATTTGCTTGAAATGGTAGATCTGCCGTAGATATTCCGGCTTCGCCTATTGGTTATCTCAATTACTCTGTACGATGCAAAGTAAAATAATCTAGCTTTCTTAAGCTTAGCGGAAGATTTATGCGGGGGTAGCCCGAGCTTTTTCCAGAAGTAAAGCTTGAAACTCTTGGCGCTGGGCAAAATACACGTGACGTGCGACAAGCAATTTGCGGTGGGTGAAGGGATCTCGGTTTCTAATAAGCTCCGAGCTCTCCAACCTCATCCCCACCCACTTCCACACCAAGCCTCAGCGAGCTATCCGCCAAGGCCCCCCGAAGCGAAAAATGGCGAACCGCAATCCTTTTCAGGATTACCTGAACAGACTCCAGCAAACCGCAAAGTCTAGCGGCGGCCGCGGCGGATTCCCCGGCGGCAGACCACCCGGCGGCGTTGGAGGCATTCTCAGTGCTGTCTCGGGCCTTGTTCTTCTTGGCGGCGGCGTCTTAGTCTTCCAGAATGCCCTCTTCAACGTCGATGGTGGCCACAGAGCAATCAAGTACCAGAGACTCAACGGCGTGAGCAAGGAGATCTACGACGAAGGCACACATTTCATTATCCCCTGGTTCGAAAAGGCCATCACCTACGATGTCCGAGCAAAGCCCCGCCTCGTCTCTTCTCTTACGGGAACCAAGGACTTGCAGATGGTCAACATCACCTGCCGTGTGCTCTCCAAACCCGAGATCACGGCGCTGCCGCAGATCTACCGGACTTTGGGAACAGACTACGACGAGCGAGTCCTTCCTTCGATTGTCAACGAGGTCCTCAAGAGCGTTGTTGCGCAGTTCAACGCTAGTCAGTTGATTACCCAGAGAGAGATGGTTGCGAGACTTGTGCGCGAGAATCTCTCTAAGCGAGCAGCGCGCTTTAACATACTCCTCGACGATGTGTCTTTGACGGTATGTCCATTGATATAGCCAATCATACTCGAAGGCCGACAGCTGACGTTGCTATATAGCACCTTGCCTTCTCCCCAGAATTTACGGCCGCCGTTGAGGCCAAACAGGTTGCACAGCAAGATGCCCAGCGGGCCGCGTTCGTCGTCGATAAGGCACGCCAAGAGAAGCAGGCCATGGTTGTCAAGGCACAAGGTGAGGCTCGCTCTGCAGAGCTGATCGGTGAAGCAATCAAGAAGAGCAAGGCATATGTGGAGCTGAAGAAGTTGGAGAACGCGAGGGCCATTGCTGCCATCCTCCAGGAGGCGGGAGGCAAGAACAGACTCCTTCTCGACTCTGAGGGCTTGGGTCTCAACGTGTTTGAAAAAGTTGAGCCACCAAAGAACTGAGTGCACGATGCCACGGGCGAGGTACTGTGAGGGCGAAGGATGGAAATCTCCACTGTATGTATACCCTACTGAATGGGCAAACCCCAGTGTATAGTACCTAATTACGGAATAATGGGGTCAAAATGGCCTAGGCAAGGCAGTGGCTTATAGCACGCCGCAGTGCTCGAGACATCAGTTTTCTTTGGTTGCAATATACTAGTGCAACATTAAAAGCGTAGCCGTTTAATTTTACGCCTCTTGCCTTGGCTAGGTATTCTTTTTACTTTAACGGGAGGGTACGCAATGTAAAAGGTATCCGAGCAGCTGTAATGAGGCTTCATCTTGTTCATTGTGGGGACTTTGTGGCGCTGCAAGGCTGGAAGCTCTCATCCCAAATCACTGAGCAGCTGTCAGCCTGGCTAGGTCGGCCCAAGGCCCCACTTGGCCCATTCAAACATGCTGTAGCCTTGGAGGACCTCTGCCCCACTACCCCTCCTTGCCGCCACTTCTGCAGGTGTCGCGTCGCAACAGAGAGGCTTCAGCTGTCACTCCGAAATATCCCCTGCCTACCTTCCACGAGTGATAGCTTGAAATAGCAAACTCACCCACCAGGCCCAAGTCTATTTAGTTTTGTCCTTTTCCGAAACCTCAACCACCTTTCATCGTCAAGACAAACCCGACGACCGATCACTACGCGACACAGGCACTTCATACAAGCCACTCTGAATACCATAGCCCACCATGTTGATCAAGTTCGTCTCCCCTTCCGTTTCTTTTTCCATTTTGCCTTCTCCTTCTCCTTCGCCTGCCCGTACCCGTTCACAAATCGATGGGGTGGCTTGGAATGCCGCGTGTTTCTTATCCCCCACCTCGCTCGCCCCTGCTAACTGTGCGAACTTCCACAGAGTCCGAACGTTGACGGGCAAGGAGCTCGAGCTCGACATTGAGCCTGACTACACAGTGAGACGTCCTGCCCTACCTTCCTGGTCTTTTATCGAAGCGCATTCCATGGGGCGGCCTGGTTGTGATTGCTCTCCTTCTTTCTCGACTCTGCCAGCAAGCACGAGGGCGTCAGTGCCACTCACTACGATATTGAGGGTGAAGTGACGGGTCAAAATTACGGGGAAGGGCCAACAGTAGAATTAGACAATATCTGTGTTTGAAAGGTCGATATACTCGAATAGCCGAAACTGATATGATCGCGATACCATACACAGATCTCTCAAGTCAAGGAGAAAGTCGAGGAGAAGGAAGGCATCCCGCCCGTCCAGCAGCGCCTGATTTACGGAGGCAAGCAAATGTAAGCCTCGGTTTCCGCCCGCTATCTCAGAGGTCTCCTATTCGTGTTCTATGCATGGATGCTGGGGGCCCCTCCAAAATAAAAATCGAAATCTTTGAATAGCCCGGCTAAACATATATGTTGACCCACACAACAAACAGGGTCGACGACAAGACCGCGGAAGACTATGGATTGGAGGGCGGTGCCACCCTTCATCTTGTCTTGGCCCTTAGAGGGGGGCGATGGTTTGCCGTTGAGCTCCCGCAGGCCTCGTCTCTGTAACTGAAGCGCGCGTGCGAGGAGGACAAAGTAAACGAAGGAGAGTGGAGTGTTGGAGAGTGGGAGTGGGAGAGGCAGTAGTGATGTTGAGCTTGGTAGTCTAGGAGGGGGGATTTCACGGTTGCCCCAGCTAGACAAACCGAGGCAAGGTTGCGGGATCTGGCTACTAGGTGCGGGAGGAAGCGTTCACTGATTTCCGAGCTCATAGCGAGTGGGAGGTAGGGATTGATTTACAGGATGGCATAGAACCGTCCCCTTCGCGATCCTTTTCGAAATTCCAGGTATCTACGATCTCACATAGAGCACGCTGGGGTGGAGAAGGGATGCTACTAGCAGACACGGTCTAGATAACGGCTCTCTTAACTACAAACGTGACACCACATTTTCTCTTCGTATTCCAAGTGAAACGGCCAGCGCCCAAAACCTGTGAGACCTTCTTTCTTGGCTGTACTACTACGCACATGCCCAAATATTATTCCCTGTTCGGCGCCTATAACATTTTATTAAGCCTAGTTTTGCCTCCAGGGGCCTAGACTTATAATAAACCCCGGTTGGGCTGGTGCATATCCGAGGCATTAGTTATAATTACGGACACAAACTGGATTAACTGACTACAACACTTGATACAATGGCCGACTGCTAACGGCTTTGCTGTTTTATTAAACATATTTACTAATCACATATGACCGTAATTCTTTGGCCTCGCTATAGTTCTATACTAAAATGGTGGGTATCTCTGAACTGTAACCTAACTCCCCGCGCAATGCCTAATAAACAGCACGAAAGGGAAACCGGATATTCTCAGAAATCGAGGCATTTGACTGCCGACAAAAGGAAAGAAAACAGCCAACACTCCAACCCCAGGCGTGTTCATCGCCTCCTAGACTAAACACCATGACTAAAAATACCACATACAATCCTCTTAACATTGGGTTTCACAGCCAATGCTCAGTATTTTCCTGCCCGCTATTCAGTAACCACTTGCAAGACAAGTGATTTTTCAGGTGCGCGGGCGTTTCTTCGGCTTCATAAAGATGTCAACGCGTTTCTTCTTTCCGTCGATCACGGAGTCAGCTGGCTGCCGGGCAGGGGGCTTAGAGCTGAGTACAGTCTCGAATGGGTCGATATTATTCAAGACTGAGGGCGAGGTACTCGGACCGGCAGCAACCGGGTCGGGGGGGGGTGGGCTGGCACCGCGAGCGGCAACAGGTACCAAGATAGGCGTACGCACAACTGGGGTTGCCGAGTTGGAGCCGGGGGCTGACGACAGCAGGCCTCGGCGACGCTTGAGAGGAGCGCGATGAGAGGTCGGCGAAGCAGTTGAAGGCGGCGATGAGGCGCCGTAACCTTTGGTGTTCTGTGAATACGGCGACGAAGGTTCCTCGATCTTGTGTTTCTTGGCTGGCGGTGAAAGTGCACGATAACTGTCGGGAGCTCTCTTAAGTGGACGCATCTCAGGCGTGGGAGGGCTGTCCGACTCATACTCGGGCTTGATTGCGACTCCGTCGAGTTCGAAATCGTCCATGAAGCGCCCCTTGGAGGTCGTAGGGGTATGATCTACTGTGTTGTCATCGTCATCGTCGAAGGTCAACACCTGGGCGCCAGAAGTGGACGCGGCCGCCGTCTTAGCCTTGCCTGCATTCTTGATGCGAAGTAGGCGAGCCTCTCTCTTGCGATCCGCATCGCTAGCTGACGCTCTCGTGATGGTGCGAGGCGCCCGGACTATGTTGGCGGTAGGGTCAAATTGGTTCTCAATCCGTTTGCTGGTTATCATGCTTTCAGGTGCCCGCTTAATTTGTCCAGGCATAACGGGGAGCTTGCCGGTGGGAGTTGAGAGCTTGAGACGCATGGCCTGATTATGTGCCTCCCGCCTGGCCTTCTGTACAAAGCTCTGCTTGGGACGCGCCTGGGTGGACCAATGTGGGGTGGTTGCTGTAGACCGCCGTTTGCCGTCCTGGGGGACTGGAGGCAGGTGACGGGCTTCAGCGGCATTCTTGATGAGATGAGTCTTGCCAGCTTCTTTGGCCTTTTGCTGGGCGGCATATGTATTCTTCAGCTTCTCGGTAGCCGCAGTGTCGATCTGCGCCTGGAGGGTTTGGTATTTTTCATAGATTTTATGCCATGACTTTGGATTGCTAGGAATCCACTTATGCTCGGCCGACAGGAATGGAAAGTCTTGCTTGATGATGCGTTTCCAGTGTTCGGCGGTCTCCTCGTAAATATCGTCACTGTTTAGTTCAATAGCGTGCAGCTGACTTGCCGTTTTGACGGCTCTGAGAATCGCCGAGACTGCTTTAGGAGGCATGCTGCCGAGTCCTGTGATGAGGTTGATGTTGTCCAAGGCAACTCTCAGGCCCATCGCGTAAAGTGAACGGGGAGCCATGGTGGGTGGTTTTGGGCCCGAAAGCCACTTTATCAAAACTTTTGCTGAAGGGGGGTAGGGTGTGGGACGGCCAGTGGCTCGAATTTGAGAGACGAAAGCAGTGGGAGTGAGGTGACCTTGAATGGGAAGTAAGGGGAAGCAAAAGGGGAGCGACCCCAAGACTAATAAATAATACGAGTTTTTTCCGATTTTGAACAGTATCGTTGTTGTCGTTCAGTCCGGCAGGGCGATGCCGCCTCAAACCTCGCCCCTTTTTTGGGTCGAGATCAAACGTTGCAGCTACCTAGGTAGGCAGAGAGGTGATCAACGGGGCTGTTTGAAATGTTACCCAGCGGAACAGTGGCTGAAATGATATCCTCTCTTGATCCGCAATGGAATCAGGCACATTTTTCTTAGAGGAGAAGGGGTTTGGGTTTGAAATGATGAAAATGACAACGAGAATGTCGTTCGCTGAGGCTCGTCGTGGGCCGTGGATGAGTAGGAAGTGAAATGGCTTAAATACCTTCCATAGCGATACACAGGCCTAGCCTGCCCCACTTCCCGCCCTACGCTAGAGCCCAAAGCGGCCTTTGCAGCTGACGCGGGAACAATCTCTCATCAACCTACGCATCTGCACGGCCATCTCAGCCTCATTTTTCTTTGAGTGCATCCCACCATTCCGCCGACGAGCCGTGTATCCCACTCGCCTTTCACCTCCATTTCCGAGAAGTCGACGGAACAACCACCAACCAAATTCGTGCCCGCCCAAGGCTCCCGCCAAAAACGACGCGTAAAGGATTCCAAGAATCTTTCCATCTCGACTTCAAAATGGGTTGGACCCTCCTCGATGACAAGGAGGAAAATGAGCTGCACAAGTCTCGACTGCTCAACGTCGAGGAGAAGCCGTTCAAGCGCGTGACTAAACGCCTAGGCATGCTCCACAAGGTTGTGGTGTTTGATGGCATTAAGAGAGCACCGACTCCCCCACCTGAGAGCAACGACCCTGAGAAGGAGAAACAACCTACCGCCACGGATCTGCCTCAGATAAAAGAGAACGTCACCCTCGACTTCGCGGCCTTCGACAGCAGCATTGCGCGCCTTCAGTTTCTGCTGACGGCTAACGAGCGCGAGCGTGAGCGCTATGCTGCCGACCGAGACCGCATCGCCAACACGTCGCAGTCCGTCCGCGAAAATACGACTCAGCTGCGTCTCCAACTTGACCAAGCACGTGCAACCCTGGAACAGCGCAAGAAGTTTGACGAGCTTGCTGATAAGATCACGATCAATCCTTCACTGCGCCCGAGGATGGAGCAAGCGGTGAATCTGAGGAAACTTGAAGAAGAGATTGCCGAACTCGAGGCTGAGAGCCAGACGTACGGGGTAACATGGCGCGAGAGACGGGACCAGTTCGCTAAGATCATGGATGAGAGCATGCGGCTACGGCGTCTGATCCGAGACGAGCAGGAGGAGGTGGAGCGCCGCGAGGGTATGGACGACGGAGAGGCCGAGGTCGGACAGACGCCGAGACCGGGTCTGGTAAGCGGTAACGCTACGCCCCGGCCCGATAGTGGCCTTCTACCTAAGGGTGGTGTTGAGAGCGGCGAGTCCGTAGGGACGCCGCGTCCACTGTCTACAACGGGTGGCCGCACTCCGCGCGACAGCCCAGCGCCTGGCCAGGACAGCCAGCAGCTACGCAGACATCGGCCTGACCACCTTGCTGCGAGCATATCATTTGCTGGCAGTCAAGCGCCCAGTCGAGAGGCTTCGGTAGACAGGGCAGACACCAAGACTGACCAGGGCGACGGAGAGGATGTCGACATGGGCGAGATCGATGACGACGACGACGAAGAGCCTGATAGCCCCCTGACACCGCTCCCAGCAGAAGACAATCCACAGATAGTGATCGACGGCGATGAGTCTGGGGAAGAGGATAAAATGGATACAACGTAGTCGGGAAGGGAAGGTTGACTATCTGTACATTGGGTAGCTTTGGTCGATTGGGCATTAGAAAAGTGTACATTGCAGCTATCAAGGCATTAAAACATCTTCAAAGTTAGGAGGTATCATTATGCTTATTAACTCCTCGCCACGGAATAATACCACCTCCGTCCATATCTATTCTCTTTGTTAAGCCGTGGCGGATTTGACAGCCGCCTGCTCATCCCCCTCCGTACTTTTGTCCAACACGCCCTTCTGCGCCGTCACCCTCTGCCCGGACACCAATGCCTCCTTGGCTTTATTCAGCTGCTCTTCTGAAGCGGTACCATCGCTCTCCGAGATGGCGATCTGCTCCTCAAGCTTCTGCACCGCATCTGTAATGCGTACTCCAAGCGGCCCAAACACTGCCTTGGTCTCTTCCAGCGCGGTTTTCTAAGGGTTAGGGTTAACGCTATCCTGAGAATGGGGCCACGGCTTGGGAGACGAAAACAAAATATTATTTCCCCCCTTTTTGGTTTCGTCAAATGATCATCTGTAGTTTATTTACCTCTTGCTTGAGCACATACTCGGCGTTACTATCCAAGTCTGGGTTCTCAGCTTCGATTTCCCCGGTCAGCTTCTGGATGCGCGCCTCCTGGTTTGCCTGCTCCTTGTGGTAGTATGTCTCTTCTTTGACGAGGCGCTGGACCGATTGGGTCGCAATGGTGAGTGCTGACGGAGGCGCCATGCTGTCTGTATGTCTGATGAGTTGCTTGATGATCCGGTAAGATGGGCGTAAAGTCACGGAGCGTACGATCAAGAGTGAGTACGAAGGTGGTTGGTTTGACGCTGGGCTGGATGCTTGCAAAGAGAAGTAACTGGCTGCCTGCTGAATGCCTGGAATGATTGTGTTGTTGAATAGGGTGGGGGTTGGCGGGGTACTATCCTCTCGCACCGCCCAAGACAGGATACTCTGATGTTCGTTCCTGCGCTTTCGCTGGGATACCACTCAACCATGCGATTGCGAGATTATCCTCAAACACGGCCCACGGCCTCCAGTCTTCTTGCAGTAAATTACAATGATACTACTCCGTGTTTGAAACTGAAATTCAACCGGAGCTCAATGAAATAAAACTTCACTCCACCGATGTATGGGCTAAATGCACATACCGAATTACAAAGACAAAAAAGGTAAAGCTCGATATCATTGAAAGACTCATTTCTCTATAGCCCCCCCAATTGAAGCATCCACGATAACGAATTGCATCATGGCCTGAGACAGACGTGGCGTCCTTCTCGATAGCGCGCTAGAATATTCTAGCCCTCATCGCCTCTCCCTGCCTGCACGCCTGCACTCTTGTCTGATATGATATTCAGCCCCTACCCATTGTTTAAGTTTCGATTGATGACTCAACCATGGTCAATCCTTCATGTTAATGACGTTCGAGGGTCTTGAGACAAATATTGTAGATGAGTTTGCCTTGGCATGGAATACTCTTCCATGGATACTATACTAGAATGTATGTGTAGACTAATGAAAGGAGTGCTGTCACTGGATCAGAGCTTGGGAAAAACAAGGGGACAGGTCATCCTGTGCCCTAAAGATCACAAACACTTTCAATTGGCTTCCCCCGCATTGGGGCTGCAGGGGCCTGAGTGAGCTGCAGGGCGTCATCAAAACTTCTAGGATGGGGTGTTGAGCATGACTTAGCCGGGTTTGGAAGTTTAGGTAACCGCACAGGCAGCGCGCGCTGCGGTAGAGTGGCTGGACCTAGTCTAGCCCGGCTTGCCTTGGTACTCCACCTTCAAACAGGTGCGAGAGGCGACTTCTCGAAACTGGACACGTCGCGCACAACAGGGCCGCATCCTGTCCTTTTTAATAGGTAGTTGAGGTTGAACCTGACATCCAACAGTCGCCTGGAAAAGAGGCCCAGCTCACTCGCTTTTTTGCTTCCATTTTCTTGCCCGGAAGCTTATTGCCTGTGCATGGTTCCATGGTTTATTATTCATAGCTCCTGTTATTTCCTGCACTTGGAAGGATTCTGTCTGGTCGTCTGGTCGTCAGGTCTCTCATCCGTAGAATCGGAACTTTGCGCGAGACGCATTGCCATCACGACCTCCCTCCCCCCCCCGGCTGCACCCCTATCTGCTGTTGAGCGGTTCCCCGTAAGACACCCGTCCCGCGCAAGCTGGGTTCGGCACATTTACCAACAATGGAGACTCCGTTTGCAAAGTCGGTTCACCAAGTTTTCGGCGCTCTAGGCACCAACCCTGCCACGGGCTTGACCGACGAACAAGTGCACCAGGCGCGAAATGTGTACGGCAAGAACGGTATGCAGAATGCAACTCGATCGTCCCCGTCCATGCCCCTCCTAGACTAACAGCTGCTTGTGTAGCTATTCCCGACGAACCACCCACGCCGCTTTGGGAGCTCATCCTCGAGCAGTTCAAGGACCAGCTTGTCATCATCCTCTTAGGCTCTGCCGTTGTCTCCTTTGTTTTGGCGCTTTTTGAGGAGGGCGGCGGATGGAGCGCATTCGTTGACCCGGCCGTCATTCTCACCATCTTGATCCTGAATTCCGTCGTGGGAGTTTCCCAGGAGAGCAGTGCCGAAAAGGCCATCGCTGCCCTGCAGGAATACTCTGCAAACGAGGCAAACGTGTTGCGCAATGGCCACATCTCCCGCGTCAAGGCCGAGGAGCTGGTGCCGGGCGACATCGTTGACATTGCCGTGGGCGCTCGCATTCCCGCCGATTGCAGGCTGGTTGCCATTGAGAGCAACAGCTTCGCTGTAGATCAGGCCATCCTTACCGGAGAGAGCGAAAGCGTCGGTAAAGACAGTGACGTTGTCCTGTCTGACGAAATGGCAGTTCTGCAGGATCAGACCAACATGCTCTTCTCTGGAACCACTGTCGTGACTGGACACGCCAAGGCCGTCGTGGTCCTGACTGGCTCGAACACCGCCATTGGCGATATACACGAGAGCATCACCGCCCAGATCTCCGAGCCAACACCCCTGAAACAAAAGCTCAACGATTTTGGTGACAAGCTTGCCAAAGTCATTACCGTCATCTGCATCCTTGTCTGGCTCATCAACATTCCCAATTTCAGCGATCCCAGCCATGGCAGCTGGACCAAGGGCGCCATCTACTACCTCAAAATCGCCGTCTCCCTTGGCGTTGCCGCTATTCCCGAGGGTCTTGCTGTCGTTATCACCACTTGCCTGGCACTGGGGACCCGGAAAATGGCCGCTAAGAACGCTGTCGTCAGAAGTCTACCCTCTGTGGAAACCTTGGGAAGCTGCAGTGTTATCTGCTCCGACAAGACCGGCACTCTGACTACCAACCAGATGAGCGTCAACAAGATTGTATACATCAACCAGAGTGGCTCTGATCTCGAAGAGCTTGATGTTGAGGGAACCACATTTGAGCCAAAGGGGGCCATCAAGTCGCAGGGCAAGGCTGTGACCGACATTGTCCAGAAGTCCGCAACGATACTCCAAATGGCCGAGGTCGCCGCTCTCTGCAACGATGCTCACCTTGACTACCACCCTCATTCCGCAACTTTCTCCAATGTCGGTGAGGCCACCGAAGGTGCACTACGGGTCATGGTTGAGAAAATTGGACCCTGTGCCCCAGCAAACTGCCAACCCCAAGGTCGTGTCCACTACGCCAGCGCCTGGTACGAGAGCAAGTACAAACGACTTGCTACTTATGAGTTCTCGCGTGATCGCAAGAGCATGTCTGTACTTGTCGAGGGCGGAGGCAAAAAGAAGCTGTTTGTGAAGGGGGCACCGGAGTCACTCATTGAGCGTTGCACCCATGCCCTCCTCGGCCCTAATGGAAAGAAAATTCTGTTGGATCGCAAGCTATCTCAGATTCTCCTGAAGGAAGTCGTTGATTACGGCAACCGAGGACTCCGCGTTATCGCTTTGGCCAGCCATGATGATGTCTCCGGCAACTCCCTTCTCCATACCGCCAAATCCACTTCTGAATATGCCTCTTTGGAGCAAAATCTTACCTTCCTCGGCCTCGTCGGAATGCTTGATCCTCCTCGACCGGAGGTTCCTGCTTCGATCAAAAAGTGCAGAGAGGCTGGTATCCGGGTCATTGTTATCACTGGCGATAATCGCAATACGGCGGAGAGTATCTGCCGCCAGATCGGCATTTTTGGGCAGAAGGAGGACCTCACTGGTAAAAGCTTCACTGGCCGCGAGTTCGACAGCCTCAGCCCTAGCGAACAGCTTGAGGCCTCCAAGACTGCGTCTCTCTTTTCTCGTGTCGAGCCTAGTCACAAGTCGAAGCTTGTCGACCTCCTCCAGTCTCTTGGAGAAGTTGTTGCCATGACTGGTGATGGTGTGAATGACGCGCCTGCTCTCAAGAAGTCCGACATTGGCGTCGCCATGGGTTCGGGCACTGACGTGTCCAAGCTTGCGGCCGACATGGTCCTGGCTGACAATAACTTTGCCACCATCGGACTCGCCATTGAGGAAGGCCGGTCGATCTACAACAACACCCAGCAATTCATTCGGTACCTAATCTCATCCAATATCGGCGAGGTCGTGTCCATCTTTTTGACCGCCGCATTGGGAATGCCCGAGGCCTTAATCCCTGTCCAGCTTCTATGGGTTAACCTCGTCACCGATGGTCTTCCCGCGACAGCATTGTCATTCAACCCGCCAGACCATGATATCATGAAGCGCCAACCGAGAAAGCGGGACGAACCGCTGATTGGCGGGTGGCTCTTCTTCCGGTATCTCGTCATTGGAACCTACGTTGGGCTTGCCACGGTCGCCGGATACGCCTGGTGGTTTATGTTCTACTCGGAGGGCCCCCAGATTACCTTTCAACAGCTCTCGAACTTCCACCGCTGCTCCACCGAGTTCCCGGAGACTGGCTGCGAGATGTTCAGCAATGACATGGCCAAGGCCGGCTCGACCATCTCGCTTTCGATACTCGTCACCATTGAGATGTTCAACGCCATGAACGCTCTGTCGTCAAGCGAGTCTCTCCTGACCCTCCCCGTGTGGGATAACATGATGCTTGTGTATGCTATTGCCTTGTCGATGGCATTGCACTTTGCGCTGCTCTACACCCCTGTCCTCCAGACGCTGTTCTCTATCTTGCCTCTCAACTGGACCGAATGGAAGGCAGTTGTTATCATCAGCGCGCCTGTGATGTAAGTTCTCTCAGCCTCTTAACCTTTACTGGTTTTTTACTCAACTCAAACTAACGTGGTCTGCAGTCTCATCGACGAGGTGTTGAAGTTTTTCGAGCGCATGTTCTTCGTTCAAGACGCTGCGAGTGTGGTTTCGCAGGACAAAAAAGAACAATAGAAATATAGAGGACAGAGGCATGGAGTCCTAGATATATTTAGACCCTATACAGTAGTTGATCTCGATCTCATAACATGCTCATTCCGGAAGGTTGGCGTGTATGAACCAAGAAGGTGAAAAATGTAAATCACAGGGTCAAGTCACCAAATGGAGGCCGGTAGCAATGCAGATTCTCCCCAAACTCGAGAAAGAACATACTGTCCTCATCGCTTAATTGTTCTAATGTTACATCGCCCAGGCGTGGGTAGCTCAAGATATAGCGAGAACATGTCCCCATCCAGAGCAATTCGCGCCCCATGACCATGCCGAGCGCCTCTAATCCTGCCGTCCCTTCAACAGTCTCTTGGTCACCTTGTCCTTTTCAATGATATAAACATAAGCACCCCAGCCGGACAAAGCGTCTCGGTCCACGGCACTCATGAGCGCTTGTGATATAGTCTCGAAGAGGTCTTCGGGGGCCTACATGTCCTCAAGTTAGCCAAAGGAGAGGAATACCGGGATAACCCCTTCCTGCGAGGCTAAACATGAGTGAATGAGTGTAAGGGGATACGTACCAGATTGGGCTCCCACAGGCTCTCGCACATGCCGTACAATTGATCCGTGGCAGTACCGCTAACGATGAAGTCTGCGGCAAAGTCGATGCACCCGATGCTGTCGAAGCCGCAGATGAAGGGCTTGCTCGTCTTAGGGTCGAGGCCAGCAACGACAGGGCTGACAAAGTAGGGGCCGAACCGTTTCTCGTACAGGCTGCTACTGACCAGGTTTGCAAACGTCTTGGGCGCGATGTTGCGTTCCTCGCGCAGTCGGTACATGTTTACCTTGTACCGAAACAGGTCCGACACCGTCGACAGGTCCGTCGCCAGCCCCGTCAGCCCCAGAAATACGTTGTCCCCGTACTGGAAGATCTTGGGGAAGTTGTTCGACACCGTCAGCGCCTGCAGCCCGAGCCGCAGGTCGCACGCAATCGCCACGCAGTCTTTGCCCACCATGGCCACGCACGCACCGCCGTCTGTTTTATTGCGAGAGAGGGAGTCAGCGCCAACATTCTTTTTTCGACCCGTATGGAGGGACCCGAGGTTGATGGTCTTTTGATGGCACGAGGGAAACAGAGGCTGCATTTACTTATTGAGAAAGGAGACGACTATATTCCAAGCAGACAGAAGAGTTAGCTTCCTTGTTCTTCATCATTCGTCGCCGTTCGAGCTGTCCTGCCGCAGGATGCAGTACACGTTCGCGATCTGTTGGGCAGGTGCAGGGAGCTTTGACTTACCATTGTGCGGCGATGTGTGTATATCGCCCGTTATTAGTCGGCGGTGTAGCCAGAAGCCCGGGACAATATCAAGATATGGCAGGTTTCGTGGGTGGATGCTGATGGTGGAATGACGCTGTCGTCGTGTGGTCGCGCTTTTGGTTGCTTTGGTCGTGTTGCTGGAGCTGTCGTCGTTAAGCTCCGTCAGCCTTGAAGCGCAATGGCAAGGCAGGCAACACACCAGCTGGCGCGGCGGCTGGGCTACTGGTCGGGAAAAACTGGGCTCCACTGACAGGGGTCTCATGCTTTGACAGGATGTTGGCTGAAAATGAAGGCGGTGACGAGGGGCGCTAAACTTGGGGGGTTGCCCAACCTGGGGGAGCTTCCTGGGCTCGTTAGGTGGGTAGTAATGAATTGCCCCTCCAAAGGCATGGAAACTCCCCGAACAACCACAGCTCCCACCAAAAAGACACTCGACCTAGATTCGACCAGCTGCTGTGACATACCTTTCTTTAACTACGAACCTGACGCAACGCAGAGCTCCCTTTCTACTTACAAACTCGGCGAAACTTGGTTACGCCTTTCTGTGAATTGTCTACAGAATTCGGCTTCTTCAAGTCGACTCAGCGCGGAGCGTTGGGTATAAGCTGCACCCAGTTCACTGCTGCTTGTCGGCTACAAGGCAACAGTTACGAGCCGGGCTGCCTGCCGGCACCCGTACCTGACAAAGAATTACCTGGTAGTGTTTGGGATTCTGCTAGGACCCGCGAGACTTTCGCAACATCTTGGACGGCCTATTTGTGCTGCGCACTCGAGGATCGTCTTTCTACCCAAAACAGCCGAGGACTCGAGCAAACTTTCCTTATAGACTTGAAGTATCACAACTCCGAGGGCTAGGAGCGACGACGCTCTTTGCTCTGCTAGAGACATCATGTCCGCCCATGTTGAGGTTGTCTCGACCGACTTTCGCCGAGTCAAGGTCAAGGTTTCTCCTGGCACTCATCTGGTCGATGTTCTCACCGAGGCCTGCAAGAAACTCAACTTGAACGCCGACAAGTACTTGTTCAAGTGCGTCATCTTGGCTGCCTTTTGCGGCGCTGCAACACCCCCATAGACTAACTGGAGACTATAGACACAAGCAGAAGGCTGTCAACTTGTCCGCACCCTTCCGAACATCAGGTCTCGTTACTGGTGCCAAACTGGAGCTTGTCCTGAAGTCCAGCAGTCCCTCTGTCGTTTCGATAGCACTCGATGTTGTGGGCCGCAGGTTCACTAAGAAGCTACCAAGTCATATGACATTGTGGCAGGTAATGCGGCAGTTTGAGACCGCGGAAAAGGACCTGAATATCACAGGGAGAGGCTCGCCAAAGCCAAACAGTGGGAACAGCGGCAGCGGTCAGCTGTACTATGAGGCCCCAGTCGTCAATATCTTGGGCAAGGAGTATTCTGCTCTAGAGGACTTACAGAAGACGCTGTCACAATGCGGAATAAACTCGGGCAGTATTGTGCTCAGGGTTGCATTCCGAGACTCGGACAAGACTCTATATGAGGCGATGGAGGAAATTAGCGGGTATCTGAAAGATGTCGCCGTAGTGGAAACCGAGAATCAGGAAGAGACAACGGCCTCGGTACTCTCGGTCTCGGAAGGACCTAAACTAGGGGACGCTCCTGCTGCGCCTATAACACAGCCGGATGCCGCACCAGCCCCAGAAGCCACAAGCACCAACGAAATTAAACCAAATGCAACGACTACAGCAACGGAACCGAGTGCGCGGTTTGAGTCAAGTGCGCCAGTTGAGTCGATTGTGGCGGGCGATGCTATGGACATCGACGAACCCTCGACTACGGCTGTCGCTGTTGGCCATATCCAACTAGATGGCGTTTTCTCAGCGCCGTCATCCTCTACACCTATCGCGGCTCAAATTTTCGAGGATGAGTCTGTCTACGAGCCCACTATCGCACACGCGCAGCTCCGCCAGCAACAACTGAATGCGCGTTCTCAAAACACGCGTCTCAAGTCCGATGCCGAGCTAGCTGCTGCCGCAGCTCAAGAGGCTGCGAAGCTTGCCAAGATCTCCACGGTGCATATCAAAGTCCGCTTCCCCGACCAAACCTCGGCACAGTGGATCATCGGCCGCGAGGAGACGGGTACTGTGTTCTACGAAGCTGTTCGAGGCGTCATGGCTCACCCCAACCAGCCCTTTAAGCTTATCATGTCGGGGACCAAGACATTTATCCAGGAAGATGAAAAACCGCTGATCACTAATTACCGACTTAAAAGACACGAACTCCTGATTTTGATGTGGGAGGACGAGGCATCGTCCGAAGCTCGAAATGCATCGTTCCTCAAGAGTAGCGTCGCAAGCAAGGCACAAGCAGTTGTCGTGCCAGAAGTTCCGAAGGAAACGGAGGAGCAGGAGGGCACTGCTGGACCGTCTACCATTCCCGGCAAGTCAGAGAAGAACTCCGGCTCGGGTTTGGATGGATTCCCTAAGAAACTGCCCAAGTGGATGAAACTTCCGGGTAGGAAATGAGCAGCCTCTGATAATGAACGTTTCTTAAGCGAATGTTTTGTCAATAAGCGGTAAACCTATGGATTTCCACGCGCCCATAAGTCATGCAAATTTCGATACGGGTTGAATTTACCTTGCCTCATCCAAAGCCTTCATTACAACGTCTCGAGCACATTTTAGGCTAGCGATGTTGGGGGAAATTGTTGGAATATTTTGTTCGTATTAGATGTCTGGCAGACGGGAAAATGTGAAAGAACCTTGTTTGGATAAGAGTCAAACAGAATTGCGGCCTCTAGGTGGGAGGTGAAATGCTACTCGTGTTTGAGGCTGTTCGGATCATGTATATATATTGCCTTGGAAAGAAGGCTCACGACCCAGCAGAGCTTGACAAAATGGGCATTTGATGCCAAGTTCATTGCTTTGCCATTATGAGGCTATCTTGCTGCAACCTGCAGAAAGATATTTTCCCCAGAGACCATCCTGATATAATGAGCCCCGAGAGATCCGTGATGAAGCACACCAAACCATGCGCCCAAAGACCGAGGCAGACCACCGTTACACCCAAACCACTTACTGCACTTAGTGGGCAGCTCTCCGAGACTCGGCGATCACACGCTGGAGCTCCTCAACCTTTGCCTTGGCACGTCCGAAAGTTCCGAGCTAGGAATTCTATGTTAGCAACAGAAATTCGAGTGGTTGATAAAAATAGCGTACCTTCTTCTTGGAGAACTTGCGCGCGCGCTTGTCCTTGCCGTTACGGAGCAGCTCGATGACTGGGTTCGAGTTAGAATTGGCTTCGTTTTGGGGAAGGTGGTCGAGAGATAGACTGACCGCGACGCTCATAGGGGGCGAGGCTATTTAGCGAGGAAACAATCAGTTAGCATCATTCCTTACAAAAAGCATTTCACATCCAGAGCCCTGGGCATGTTCCTCTTCTTGCTGGTATCCCCCCCTCGCAATAACCTGTTTATTCCATGAAATCGCGAGGGAGGTTGGACTCATAGCATCTCGATCATCCTTCAATTGCACTCTTCGTATTTCCAGGTGCAGCAGCAGAAAGGAATGAAGAAAATCTTGTACTCACCCAGCGACCTCCTTGACGATGCCGCGCACAAACTGGGTGCGCTTGCTGAGGTGGCCCTTGGTCCGGGACACTCTGGGCTTGGAAACGCGAGCGGTGGTTTGCTATATTTGCGCAAAAGCAAATGTTGCCCTGGTCAGCGTACAATTCTTCCTCTTCCCAAGGAAAAAGTCCATCATCTGCAATGCCGTGTAGATATTTTTCTTTTCCAAGGCGGCGGCGAAGCAGAGATCCTCCACGAGGTGAGACGTACGTGACCCTTCTTGAGGCCAACGGCGAGGCCGGTCTTGGGGGCTTCTTTGGCCATTGCGACTGTTGAGATGGTTGACGGAAACGGGGTGGTGGGCGGTCCGTCGGTGTGGTGGTCGAAAAGTGGTCGTCGTGACTTGAGGGGAAAAAAGTCCGATAATATCGACGACCTATTTTCTAGCTACCGAAAGTTCTGTGCGAGTGGCTGGAGAGGGTGGGGTAGCTAATCCAGAAATGGGGCGTGGCTGATGAGCCGCTGTGGCTTACCAAGTTTTCAGGTCTTGCCCTCCTCTAGGCTTTCTCCAGCTTTCGATCCAATCAGTGCCTGCAAGAGGAAGAACCAAACACCCAATTCCCCAACAACCGAACACGGAGTGCTCCGTTCGTAGGATTTAGTCCCTTTCTTCATGGTCCCAATTATACTAGCAACATGAAGCTCCTACTTTGTGCAAACTCTTTCTCTTAATCGACAGCTCTGACTGATCATTTTCGCACAATGATCTCAAGGGTCTAAACCAATACCACGGACAGCCAAAGGATGCATCAAGTTGTGGTCCACTGGAATTCATACTATCTTTTATAATACCCCGTAACCCTGCAGGCGCCTTTATCATCTATCATATTATTTTTCCTACTCTAGCTTCAAGCCGATCTTCCCAACTCCACGCAACCCCCAGGCACTGAGCACACATGCAAGCGCCTGCAGGCCAACACAGACCCAGAAGACGGCTTGATACCCAGGCAGTATAGCTTCCGGTGACTCTTTGTCTTGATATGGCGAGTTCACCGTCAATCTGGACGAGGTAATGGCCATGATCGTGAGACCAAGCGACCAGCCAAACTGGGCGATCGTGTTGAACACTGCACCGGCGAGCGCCTGCGTGCTGGCTGGGAATGCGTCCGTAATGATCAGATTCGCCACAGTGAAGATGACTATTATCGCAATGTCAGCAAGTAATAGGCTCGTACCAGCCGAAATAGGGAGACTACCATCAACATTGAACGGGCAGAGCAATACAGCCCAAAATGAGCCGATCCAGTAGCCCGAAGCCGGGTTGATCAGAGCCATGAGGAGTGGCGAGACGACGGTCAGGATCGAAGTCACCGTGATAAGATGGCTGACGTGGACTTTGTGTACAAACAAGCCTGTGCAAAGGTTCAAGAGCACCCCGGCGGCAATTTCTGGGAGAAATCGGATGGCCGCCTCGAGGCCCGACAGACGTTGGACTTTCTGGAAACTAACAGCGAGAGTGTCAGAAATGTGCCGGGCATCAAAGAGAGGCAGGATACACTGACTAGAGACTGATAAAGTATTCTAGGCTGTTTAGGACTGCGTATGATAGTAGTACTAGGATGCATATTATCGAGAAAGACTTGTTCCGCCACAGTGAATTCGGAATGAGCGGCGTTCTTCCTGACTTCTCTCGATAGCTCATCCAAAATACGAAACCGACCGAGGCGCAGCTAGAAAGCAACAGCAGGGCGATGTTTTCCGGCTGCTTGATGTTGTACAGGTCCCCAGTGAGGATTCTGCGCAGTGGTCAGCCAGGGGCAGGAGCAGAGAGCATCGGATGTCTTGGGCACGTACGCAAATATATACGAGGATATGCCCAACGCGGCGGAGGCAAGTCCGGCACCGATCCAGTCAATCTCCCGTCCGGCCCGCCTCCACGCTTGCGCCTCCTGGGGCTTGTCTTTCGGAAGCAGCCAGATACTCAACACGAACAACAAAGCCATCAGCCCAGCTGTGAGGTAGAATGAGAAGCGCCAGCCTAGGGTGGTGTCGACAATCACGCCGCCAAAAACCAGCCCCACGGCGAAGCCGAGAGGTTGGCTAAGACCGATGCAGGCAAAGCCGACATTTCGCTGAGGGCCAGGGACAAAGTTGTTGGTCAAGATGCTCACAGCGGTCGGAAGGCAGAGGGAATTTGCCACGCCTTGGAATGCCCGGAAGAGGATGAGCTGTATGCCAGTACGGGCGAGGCCAGCCGCGAGTGTGAAAGCCGCGAGAAAGATGCAGCCAACCAGGTTGACCTTGCGGTTTCCGACAAAGTCAGCAATGGTGCCAGCCAATACCAGACAAGATGCACTCGCGAGCCTGTGACGGGGTGATATTAGCAAGAGATGACGGCAAGACCTGGCATCGAGGGGCTTTTACGGATGGACAGAGGCGGGCCTAGTGATCAATGCCAGTTAGCACGGGCTGCATCAGACTGGGTAATTGCACGATGCATACCAAAGAAGCAGGTGACGCGGCAAGTCGAGATCTAGAGCGATGGCGGGCAGGGCAATAGTGACGAGGCCGCTGCTTATACTACCGACAAACGTGATGCCTGTAAGAGTGATAATGACCCAGGCCGCAGTCGCAGAGGAGGTAATCGGAACAGGAGGTTCGACTGTCTCGGCGAGCCGCGGCTTTGAGTCGGATAGTGTCGGATGTGCTATATGGCTGCTTCTCGTGGGTGAGGTATGCCTGTAACGAGCCCACGGCGCCTTCGTCCTGTTGGGTCTTCTGGCCTCCTCGGCGACGAAACTACTTGTAGGTGCGGCGCCAGCCGTCTGGGCTGTGATGACGACCGTCTCGGACATCTTGGCTATCGTTCTTTTGCTCAAACTCGCGGTCTCATTGAGTTTGCAAACACAACTGCAATGTTTACTAAATAAGAGAGATGGTCTTAGCCCTGGGTATTTATATCGAGGCTACCTAAGGTATCTAATCAACGGATTTCAACAAGCAACCCTGAGATAGGTGGGTTGGGTTTCTCGTAAACCCGCGGATCCTTCAAATCGCAGGCCTTCAAATACGCCTTGACGGCCCCATCAAGTACGCGCCCTAAGGAGTACATACATATTACGCGAATCTCCATAATAGAACCAACTCGCCAGTCCTTTTTGAGCAAGGCACCCAGCCTAGGCCCTATTGGGTTGAAGGTGTATGAATGGGGGAGAAAATAAGCGGGCCACATTGGTCCAAGAGAGCCGAGACTATGCCCGTTGACCTTCGCGCCAGGGGTAGAGCAATAGGCAAGGAGAGGTTAGGTACATATAGCTTAATCCTTGGACTTCTGTCTTTGGAAGGGCCAAAATTTGGTCAAGGGGCAAAGTGATATGTGAGAGATGTTGCATACAACCCTGTCTCTTTGCCTTCAGGCCAAGGGGTGAAGTAACGGGCGGAGGCGGGAAACCACACTCATGGTTCTGCCTCCGGGCTTGTTACTTTATTATTTTCTCACCATCCCTTTTCTTCACTAACAATCCCACGGAAGTTAACTTTGTCTCAAAGTCTCTATATATCCAACATCGTGGATTTTTGAGTCCCCGCTTAGGAGCGCAGTCTATGGCCGTGTCATAAATAATTTGCGCGGTACTATCCCTCAGCTCAAAGATGAGTGATTGAGGCAGATGTGGCTGTGGAAGGGAGCACTACCTAGGTAGTAAAGGGGGTTGGGGTAAATTCACGATGGATTTTCAGCAATCATGTTTAAAGAGTTATACATTGGGTCACTGCTCAACAGCCATGGAGTGAAAAAAAAAAGGCTTGATTGGATTTCTCTGTCTGTTTTATACATTTAAAAAACACAACTATCTAGGTATGGCATGGCACCTTGTGTGATGCGGGCATGATTTCTGTTGTCTGGGCAACAAACACATCAATAAGGTTCAGTGTCCACCTCCGCCTTGCACCATTCGTTGGGATCCTCCTCGAGCAGCAGCAGGGCCGGGTGCAGGTTTTTGGTGTTGGCAACGATGAGGGCGTCCTTAGTCAGCCTGAGCTCCTCTCTGGCGATCCTGAGCTCCTCCTTGACCTCCCTGAGACTCTTCTTGAGCCCGTTGGCCTCGCGGATCAGCTCGCAGACCCTCTCTCTCGCCTTCTTCAGAAACGGCTCTAGCTCGCTGCGGAGCTCCACGGCGACATCCCGCGTCGTCTTGTAGGCATTGCTGAGTTGCTCCGTGTGGAGACCGCCGTCAATCTTGATCGCCTTGGACTTGTAGACGGGCGGCTTGGAGTCTGGGTAGGGGAACTTTAGGGTAAGAGTTTTGGTTGCCATGTTTTTTTGGGTCCTATCTACTGGGACATCAGTGTCCGCCCCTTTCTGGTGTAGCCTGGGGGGGGGGCTGGCTTTCTTGTGAGGGACATACCTACCGTATTTTGACCACCGGGGCGGGTACGATGATGTTTGGAGGATTTTATCGTCGAATCTAGGTACCTAACTTCTTCGGATATGAGTCGACTCCCCGTCACCCGAGCCAAGATGTGCCCGGCAGAGGGACATCGACAACAGTGTCGATAGGTAGGTAGGTGCCCCTTTAATGGTTTGACAAGCTCAATACACACCATTGGGTGCTACTACCTCGGCTACATCCTTATAAGTGGAAGAGCCAAACAGAGCTGCGGAATGCATTCGTGCCCAATCTCTACATTGCTCTGGAGTCGGAATGTCCAGTCGTCGTTGTGTGCTAGCCCCAGGTGCAGAGCTTCCCACTCAGCGACCTATTGGTTTCCTCCTTTCTGTCCTTATGATGCTGCTTTTGTCTGCTTTGGGGTTGGGCCTGCTTTCTTGTGCAGTGAGTGACCAATAACGGACAGCACCATTCACAACACCAGTCAAAACTCACCGTTCGGAAAGAAATGATTCGATAAAGAAGACCTACCACCACACTTATGGGAGAAAGAAGAAAAAAACACCTAGCCGCGATGAGCGCACAAGACGCATTCGAAGGAATAGAAAATGGCCAAGTATCTTCATCCTACTGGTAGCCTGTGGGGTTGCAGCGTGGGGGATCACCGCAGTACTTGTACATGTATATACCTACATATCTCAAAGACTGCGCTGACTGGACTGTAGGCGGGTCGCGGTTGTTTATGGTGCGTTGTGGCAGCTTGAACAATGGCCTAGTCCTTTGTTCGTTTGCGTGAGGCTTCGAGTTGTTGAACTTACCCTCCCGGTTAGTATAGGTGCTCAATAGGTAGGCATGCACGGCAATGCTAACACACGCTTTCTCGATGCCGCAGCGTTCGAAACAGAATTTCAGTATTTTTTCCTCCCTCCCGGCCCTATAACAGATGAGATCTCTTGCTTCGCCCAATCTCTCAGGTCCGATTCCCCAACCAAGACTAGAGCGCTGTTGATGTTGTTCAAGCTGAAGAGATGTTTGGGAACCTGCAGATTCGGCAAGCGGAATCCCCTTTGCAAGCTAATAGGTTCTTGGTGTCGGCGGTCCTCATCATACGGAGTTTGACCGAGCTCTCCCCTTTGGGTGCTTGAGCCTGTCTTCGAGTTCGACGATCCTGTCCTCCAAGTTTTTCTCCATGGCCGTCCGAGGCTTCCACCTAGGATGCGTAATGTCCTCGACCGGTACGCTGCTCCTTAGCTGCAACTGGAGTTTCCATAAGTCCTCTTCTAGGTCCCTGCACTGGTATTCCAACTCCCAGTTCTTGGACTTCTCTTTGATGAGCGCCTCGTCAAAGTATTTCCCTAGCGCAGTCACGGCTTGTGAGGAGAGCTCAGGGGGTGCCATGAGTGACACGGCTTCCTTGAGCAGCTGGTCGAGGCCGTAGATGTCCTCGATCAGGTCCCTGCGCTCGTATTCGACCTCCCATGCGATGGAAGCGATATCCCGGATTGATAGTTCTAGCTTGGCTAAGAGGCATAAGATCTTGCTGGCCCTGCGTTCGAGGTCAAAGCCGAGACTGAGGGGGTGGTCATCGCCGGGCCTGTGATTGCTGCCGTGCAGAGCTAGCACCCGAAGCCGTTGCATTTCTGCTTTCATGTTTATATATCAAAATTGTGTGACGGATGAAGCAGTATCTGTCCCAGGCTTGTCCCGGGATAGGTGCGTCCGACTGACGCGCTGAGAAATACTAAACGTTGGGCAAAGAGAAGTTAGAAATGCTGCATGTTTGGTGTATGTCGTAAATACCTAGGGTATGTATGTATGTAGTGTTGCCGCTCAGGATGCCTTGTCTACTGAAAAGTCTACATCGCCTCATTCATCTGAGTGGTGGCGACGGGGTGCAGACGTGTGAAGCTTCTCACCAACCACGGGCACAAAACATAGCGCATTTGGGCACCTATCAAGGAACCTAGGGCCAACGCTTTTACTGTCACCTGTTGGATGGATGCCATTGGCTGCTAGGCCCCTACGGTAAGGTAGGAAATGGTCCGTCACAGCGGCGTAGGCCACGAAACGAACCTGCCCGCCATGGAGCAACGGATGCGGGTGGTGCAACCTAATATAGAAGGCACGTTTGTCTAGGTGTTTAGCAACTTCCATGATGGGAACGACGTCCCAAATCCAAAGCTGTGCGCAAAAAACTCCAAACCATCCAGGAATCACTACTAAGTTAAGGTACCTTACCCTCCAAACCAAGCCCCATGGAAGGGGTGGAGAACGGGAGGCGAGGCAGTCGTACACCTTCCCATCGGTTGGCCGAGGATCAGCATTCACAGCTATTCTTGCTCTATCCTGCGAATGGTGCGGCAAATGCAGTTGTTGAGTAGGTATGCCCGCCCTAGGGGCTTGCACTCCCCCTTTGCGCCCTTGAGTTGCTGATGCCTCGGTAACGATCCACAGTATCGTCCTAGTGGCAGGTCTCGGGGGAGATTACATCGGGACGTGGAGAGCAAGCGACAACACGGTATGGCCTAGAGACCTGCTCCCGGAAAGAATTCCGAACATACGGGTTCTATCCTTTCACTACAATACCACCATTCAGGGCACAACAAGCAGAGCCAAAATTACCGACCACGCAGTTCAGTTGCTCGATGCCTTATTTCTGGACCGCAAGACAGACGTTGAAGTTGAAACTAGGCCCATCATCTTTGTCGGCCACAGCTTGGGCGGCATGCTCATCAAAAAGGTGTGTGGGGAGGTCTACTTGACTCGGAATTAAACGCATCATCTCATGTGGCGACCACATTCTAATAACATAGGTACCCACAAGGCAATTCATGAAGCCCACAAACTTCCGAGATACGCAGGCTTGTGGGACGCAACCCGTGGAGTTGTAGGTCAACAACTGCCCCCTGTTAGAACGGAGATGCGGTGTTGACAACCTAGTCCAGATGTTCTTCGCAACTCCACATCACGGCATGAGCAGTCTGTCGTGGAGAAACTTCGCATCGGCCGTCCTGTGCTTAAATGCACCGTCCCCAGATGTTCCACCGACGAAAAAGATGCTAAACGACCTCGCGCTCAACACCGACACTCTTCTGAGCCTGACTGATGACTTCCGGCCCTTGCAGCAGGAACTTGCGTTTGCAAATTATTATGAAGGCACCAAGATGAAAGGGCCAGGCCGTGTCGTGAGTCTTCAAATTTCCTTCATGCTTCCAGGCCTGGCCTTTTTTCTGTCTCTATTTCTTATTTTCTTGCCACCTTCCACCCTTTTCGAGGTAGATAAACCCCTAGCTAACCACAGAGCCACTGCCTTTGCCTAATTGCGTACCTATATAGTTGGTAGACAAGAGTCACGGATGGATGGATGCCCCAAAGAAACGGGAAATGCTAATGGAAGGCGATCACATTGGGATATGCAGGTTTAGGAAACACAGAAATTATAAGAGCGCCTTTGGTATAGTATCGGGACATATGAAATTCTTGATTGAGCAATCGCCCAAAGCAATTGGTTTGGATCAACCCATCCACTCGCTCTACCTAGTTATCTAGGTACATAGCTACCTTTGGCTGCTGACTATCAGCTTTCCCATAGACCAGATCGACAGGGACGCGAGGATGGCGCTACACTCACTATGTCCCACCGGGTTCCATGGGTATTTCATGGCCAAGAAGCCCACCGAGGGAACTTGTGAGTGGATTAGCGAACGGCACGAGTTCCAAGAATGGCTGGGAGACGAGAACGACAAGCAGATGCTGTGGATCCAAGGGCCACCAGCGTGCGGTAAAACCTACCTTGCGAGGCACATAATCACCGAGCTCGCCCCCGCGGCGAACAAGGAGGTTTCACATTGCTTCCTGAGCGATCTGGTCCCAGGACGCGGGAACATTGCGTCGCTGCTGCGAGCTACACTACACCATGCATTGCGGCGCGAACCCACACTGACCACCGAATTCCTCGTCCCGCCCTTTCTCGAGGCAACCAAAAGCAAGACAGCCCAAGTTGGTGATAATGAGATTTGGACGCGAGAGAGACTCATATCCATGTGGCCCGAGGCTGTGGCTAAGGTCTTGTCCTGCCGTCCATTGACCCTTGTCGTTGATGGATTCGACCAGATGGACACGGGCTGCCAGCAAGATTTTCTTGACTGCCTTGCCATCTGCAGGACCAAGACTGCCCCAGACGACATAAAGCGGCTGCGGTTACTTCTACTCTCATCGTACAAGGACGAAGAGGAGAAGCCAGCACTGGTAGGGCAAGCAGACTTTCAGGTCTACGAAATCACCCCCGAGGACACCTTACCGGACATGGTCAAAACCGTCATGGAAAAACTGGGCACGAGCCATGAAAAGCCGGATGGTGAGAATAAGTCGGAAGTCGAAGCAGTAAGAAAAGAAATCTGCGAGGCCGTCCTACAACATTCCGAAGGCTCGTACCTACAGGCCGCCAAGGCGACAGACGTGCTGACGAGGGATCACAAGACCAACAATGTGGACGTTGCCCGAAACCACCTCGAGCACGTATCACGGGATTATGTGGCTTTCTACAGGCAGATTCTAAATGAGATGCTCGGAAAAGGCGTGAGCCCAATCCTCCTCAAGCACGTCCTGCGGTGGGCTGTTTTCCAGCTAGAAGAGCTGAGGGAGCCCGAGATTTACATTGCTGTGGCCGTAGGCATGGCGATAGACCAGAGCCCAGGACAACGTATCACCGCCCGGAAGCTAGAAAAACTGCAACCAGAGGAGATTAAAACTGCTGTACATACCCACTGTCAACAAGTCGTTGAGCTTGGCGAGGGGAACCTCCAGGTCACTCACTGGGGTGTCAGGGAATGCCTGACGACAAGACACGGCGAACTACTCGACCCGGGGCTGGCTTATATGGGAGAGCGGCCATCTCACGCAGCCCTCGCCAGTATTTGCATTGCCTACCTGACGCTACCATACTTTGGGCGTGCCGGCAGCCCGCCCGAAGGTGAAAGACAGGACCTGTGGAAATCGAAAGTTCGCCGGCGGATCAGGGACTACCCATTCGTCCGGTATGCCTCCCTTAATTGGTTCAAACACCTCAATGTTGCCGAAGGATCCCCGCTACAGGAAAGTTATCAGCAGGTACACGAGGATCAAGAACTGCTGCAAGACAGCTCGACGGAATATGCGAAATGCTGGACCGAGGTCTGGTGGTTCCTAACCAAGGGCGTCGGAGGAGACTTTCCAGAGCAATGTCCTGTGGATTTGGTCGTACAGGCCTGTTGCTGCCCACCTCGCACAGAATCCATCTCATCGCGTGCGACTACACCAGACCCGTTATCCCGCTTAGACTTGAAAAAGGAGGGGGAAAAGGCTCCTATTGAGCAAGTCCGTTTGAAGCAGCTCGGGGCCGACGGGTCTGACGAGTCCGACAAATCCACGTCCGCAGAGGAAGTCGAGCCTACAGATATTGAGTCTGTAGATATCAAGTCTGAGCAAGTCACCTCTGAAGCCGCATCCATGGAAGACGACGACGACTTTGCGGGCGCCGAATTAACGGGAGATATATCGGAAGAAGCCAAGTTTAGAAAAGCCGATTCTGCGGAAACCGAGCCTGAAGGAACCATATCTACGGGAGACAATTCTGAGGCCGTATCAATGGAAGACAATGACAAGTTCGCGGGCGCCAAATCTATTAGAGGTATATCAGAAGAGGCCAAATTTATGAAAACCGGCTCTGCGGAAACCATGTCTACCGGATCTATGGAAGATGACGACGACGAGTCTACAGGGGTCGAACCTACCGAAGCTAAATCCGCGGCCGCCGCATCTCCCGGGGCCGGTTCTGAAAAAGAAGCCGAGCCTATGCAAGACGAGTCTGTGGAAGTCAATCGCGAGCAAGCGGAAGCCGAAATGAGCGAGAACGCCCACAGGAAGATGCTCACGACACCCGCCCAAACTCTAGCAGGGGGGGACGCCCTAATTCAACCCTACCAGCGACTCGAGCCAAGGCCAAGCGAAATCATGTCCGCCGTGGTGGCTGAGCAAGCCCGAGGCCAGCACCTTGGGAGTCACCAAGTGGTTGATGGAAGCAATGCCGGAGACGACCTCAGTCAAGAAAGGAAAGAGGGTCGTGAGATGAACATAAATGGTGGGACGGCAGGAGAAACCTCACCGGCCGCCGGGAAAGTGAAACCCCGGGGCCTCGCCCGTCTAGTTGCTCGAGTCAAGAAACTGGGTACGTGCAGCAGATGTCTAGTAACAATTTCCTCTCTACAGCATCTAACACTCGTATTAATCCAGTTGGCGGCCGAGGTGAAAGAGAAAAATAACAATAGGGGTCATAATAGGGGTACACCCGATAACTGTCGCCAACGGGGATGGGTCGTGGTTTGCTGCCTGCCTATCTACCCAACCGACTCATCCTGTCTTTGTCCTTCCTTTTCAAACTGGCTGCCTCAACTACGGTATGGGCTCGAAACAAAGAGACCTTGGGGAGGAGCCGCCTCGGTCTACTCGCGCCTGGGCAGGCTGAGGAAGCTAAACACCTTCGCACCGATGCCTCGAGCCGCGATCCCGTCTTGGCGAACCCTACCATCCTCTATCATGGGTGGGGATGGGCTGCTACTATGGTTCTTGGGTTCAATGCCGCCGCCCTGTTGTCCCCCAGCCACGTGGTATTTCTTTGTGGTGGTACGCGTCGCAGTGACTTGGATGGTATCCGAAACAAACACCCCTTCTTCTTCTTTCGTAGGATATCGCCGCCGCCCATCGAACGCCTGATCTCCGCTTCCCCGCGGCACCTCTTCGTACCGTTCCTGTCTACTACTGGAAGATATAGTTAGGCCCGCAATGTTATTGGCCGTGGAGCGGGCCACGATCCCTTCATCCGTCGTGACTAGCGCGTCATCAAACATTCGATTTAGTGCCGTTGCTGGCACTTCCGACACTTCTGTCACTCTCGACATCTCTTTCTCTTGCTCTTTGCGAGCAGCCTTCATGCCCCGGGCTGCTGAGAGTTCATCAAGAGCATCAAGGTTGGGTTGGATGATGGTCGCCTTCTCAATATCCTGGCATAGGATTCTGAAATTCCTCAGCCCATGATCCAGATCGTCGTCGCCGTCGGCACTATCCTCAGAGTCGGTGCCATCTTCCTCAGAGCTGCTGTTATCGCCGCTTCTGAACTGACACATAGCGACATGGTTGTCATTGACGGCACGCAGCTTTTCGTGCCCTACGCCTATCTGGGCAGCCGTCGCTTCCACAATAAGCTTGCTGTTAGGTCCCAATGCTCCATTCTCATAGAAATTGGTGATCTCATAGTCGTAGCTGAGTTGGCGGAATTTCGCGTTGATCTCGGAGAGCTCGTGAGAGTCGCGCAACAAGGTATTAGTGATTGCTGCGCGCTTGTCCAACACAGTGTAGGGCTTGGCGATATGATTCCAGTTGTCCTCATGAGTTCCCTGGTTTGGCGTTCCGAAAAACACCTAGAATGGTATGTCAGTCGCGGAATCGTGGTACGCAAGTGGGGGAGAGAAACAAGGCTATTGTCATCTTACAATTAACTCAGTCTTGATGTTTATGCCTGCGTCTCTATAGTCCGGATCGTATTCGGCAAAGTACAGTGCCTAGGTAGGCTCGTTAGTCAGGATGGTGTACGGGCTAGTTGCCTGCCTAGGTAGGTAGGTAGGTAGCCATCAGGAAAGGAATCCAAGACGAGATGTGAGGACCGACCTGCTTGACAATAAGCCCACCCAGGCAGTGCGCGATGAAGACGATAGTCGGCGAATGCCGGCTATCTCGCTCTGACTCGACGTAAGATAGCAGAGTGCGGGCGTTGTCGCGGATGCCAGCGGCCGAATTGTTGCGGTACATGTCGGCATTGTATCCAAAGGAAAACACTCTTCCCTGGGGAAACACCTTTGGCAACCAGTGTTTCGGCCACAAGGTGTTCGAATCCGCGTCTTTCCACGTCTTCAACGGGTGACCATTCACCCCATGGACAAGAACGATGCTAGGGTCCAAATACCAAGTCAGTATTTGGTTTCGTCTCCCAGGAGGCGGAGATGGACGCACTCAATGTTTGGAGTTCCCTCTGGGCTGTACAGTTTCTTGAGAATCACTTTTCTATCCATGTTTTGCGACCGAGCTTGGATGAGAATCAGGAGTAAAGAAAGCTTGTGATGGACTGAAGTTGCCTTTGGGTCGGAATAGGACAATGGGTATCTGATAGAGTAAGTAAGGTATGTAAGTAGGTAGGTAGGTAGGTCGCAAAGGACCTGCACCGGTATTTGAGGTAGAAATGATGGATCAAGTTCCCACTTGGTCGGTCGGGATGAACACCCAACTCTACCCAACTCTACCCAACTCGAACCTCAGCGCGCTTGCCGTGCGCGGTCTAGGTTATAATATCTGGAGTGGCACGGCAAAACACCCTCATTATTGCCAACAGCTTAGAGCTTGAAATCTTCATCCTGCAACGACGCACTGCATCATTTTGATTATTATCTTCTTCTTCTTCCTCTTCAACATGGAGACAACAGACAGCAACAAGGCGAAGCAGGGCGTGGCAGGGCTCTACCTCGTGAAAGACTGTTCTTCGGATGGGAGAAGTGGGCAGTCCTCAATCGAGTGAGTTTGATCCGATTTTACCTGTCATGCCTACCTACCCAGGGCGGGAGTTATATATCTTAGTCTAAGTGTTTCTAATGCCAACTCGGATTAAAAAGCATCGTGGCCATTCACGGCATCAATGGCCACTGTATAAAGTCGTGGGAAGATGCCAAAACCGGGACGTATTGGCTGCGAGATCTATTGCCTGGCAAACTTCCTCACGCCCGCATCATGACCTTTCAATATGATTCCAAGGTGTGGCTCAACACGAGCGCATACGGAGCGGGTGAAATTGCGGACCAACTCTTGTCTTGCCTCACGCGAGACCGTCGCCAAGATGATGTAATGCTATTATCCCCTTCTCCCTCCCCCTTTCGGATTAAGGGGTATCCGTCGTTGCCTAGGCACGCCTAGGCACTTGCTAACTTCCCCTTAAAGCAGAAGGACCGTCCGATCGTGTTCCTCGCCCATAGCTTGGGTGGTATCATCACCAAGAGCGTAAGGCAATACACCAAGCGGCATGAACAGTCTCTCATTGTTTTGAATGGTTATATCTAATGGATTGTCGGTAGATGCTCACCAAGGTGCGAGAAGACAGCCAACTCGGGACAGTTGGCATCTTAAATAACACGAAAGGAATAGTAAGTTTCCGTACCCCCTCCCAATTCCCATGATATCATCCTGTCTCGACGTTTTTTACTCATACAGCTTGAAACCAAAACAGATCTTCTTCGGGACACCCCACAGAGGTTCCAAGAGCGCAAACTGGGCTGCAGTGGTATCAAAGACTACATCTACAACGTTGCTCGGCCAGGACTCCCAGTTGTTGAAATTGCTGGAGCTGCACTCGCCCGATCTGTTGAAGATATCCCAGGACTTCCGAGGTCTAGCGTCCGAGTATGCCATCACCAGCTTCTACGAACAGAACGCACATCGCATGGCCAGAACCCTGGTAGGTTCCGCACGTCCAGTCCCAGTCCCATTCCCGCCCCGACCAACGAGAAAAAAAAAGTATCCATGACTAACAGTTATCGTCTTATTACTTCCGTCTCACAGATTGTGGACAAGATGTCTGCTATCGTGGGGCTAGTACACGAAGACGTCCTGATGCTAGGCGGCGATCACTCGTCAATGTGCAAGTTTGCGAAGGGTGATCCGCGCTTCGACACGGTCTGGTGGTACATCCAAAAGGCTGCAGAGGGTCCACCTGCCGCTCGCCGCGAGGGACGTCGCATACTACGTTTGAGGGCAAGGGCGGAAGAGAAGGAAAGGGCGGAGGAGAAGGCAAAGCGTCAGGCTCCACCCACCCCCAAATCTTGAGAGTTCAAGGCGGAGAACCAGACTTGCAGCCGTTTGGGGAACATGTACTGAGTCGTTTTTTCTTTCTTGTTTCCCCAATTGCCGCCGCTGCCTCTGAAGCAATGGTCCAGCACCCGCCAGTTCAGCCCATCCCAAATAGCAGATTCCTCCGAGCCCAACGCTATGATTCAAGACCAATGGTACGCGAACAAGTCGACCTGGCCGCACTAGGCCAACCATATGAATGTATGCCTTCCATAGCTCGATCATGTTGTTGCAGGGGTTCTGAGCTGGTTAGACAAACTGCAAGCAGGGCATATGTCTCGTCAAGAAGGGTTAGTACCTAATAACCCCACCGTGTCTGCTCTGGTCATTTGTACACTCCAACATTGCGCCCCCATCTGCAAAGAACCGGCCTTTCCTGCCCAAGTGACGGCTGCAGAGATCATCAAGATCTCAGGAACCGTGGGGACCGGATGCCCAAGCTGGGACAAGCGGGATCTGCAACCCGCGTTCGTCCCACTCACGGCTTGTACTACGTAGTTGCACTCTGAAAAATCCCATTGCTAGTAAAGAGGTCTAAAAGTTAAAATAAGAAAAGAAAGAAAGAAAAAAGGCTTATAATGTTCTACAGACTATAGGTTAGAGTTTTCAGTTGCGGATTCTCCAGAGTCTTAGTGGGCCGTTGCTTTAACAGTGGGACAAGCCTTCTGTTAGCCCCTGCGCTAAGAAGGTTTGTTCTTCAGAGTAGTGCGGACCACACATTTCTTCCCCTTGAACTTCTCGACCACTTCACTCCTGTCGGTAAACATGAGAGCACCATATGCGCCGACACTGTCCTTTGACACACATACACAATGTCTCCTAATCGACAAGATAAGGTCATGTATAATACGTGGCGCGAAAAGCCGACTAGTTATGATGATATATTTAAATGTCGCTAGTTGTCATTTTAATTTATTGCCTTGACAATCAATTCCCCTTTCGTCATTATTTCGACCTCCGATTTTCGAGAGCCATCTTTCCCCCCCGCTGTAGCGAATACAGCGTCCTACAGTGACATGAGAACCCTCTTCTCTTTAGCTTTGATCTCAGTTGCATCTCCCCACGTTCCCTCCTTGGTGCCCTTTGCCAATTCGAGCGCACCGAGCAAGAGTTCGACGACGGCGGTGTGGCCGCCGCTCACAGCCGCATCCAACGGAGTCTCTCCCTCGTTGGATCGGATTCTGGGGTCGGCGTACTTGCCAAGGAGGAGACCAACCAACTGGGCGTCGCCGGCAGTTGACGCCGCAAAGAGGGCCGTCAGCCCGCCCTTGTTGTTCTTGTTGTTGACCCACGCTCCGTTTTCAATGAGCCGCTTGACCACTCTGGCATGGCCGCCGTTCGAGGCCAGGTACAGGGCGGAAAACCCATCGGCGTCTAGCTCGTCTATCTCGCCCACGACGGCGATGTCCCGGAGAAGCAGGTTGACAACATGAAGCTGGCCCCCGCTCGCAGCCTGGCAAATGGCGCTCCAGCCGCTGTTTTGCTTGCGGTCGGCTTTCATTTTAGCCCCATCTGTGTGCGCGAGGAGGATCTCGGATGGTTCTCCGTGGTCATTGCTCAGGGCGGCCCTCAGAGGCGACCACCCTTTGGTGTTCTGCTTGCCGTGCTCGATGCCCTCGCAGTTCAGAAGAAGCCCAACCACGGCGGTATGGCCCTCAGATGCGGCAAGGTAAAGAGCAGTGCACCCCTCGGTGTTTGGGTCGTTCAAATACTTCTTAAAGCCGCTATCAAAGGCCCTTTTGGCTTCGTCTCTGATGTGCTTGTCGGCCACTTCCCCGCTAGCTGCAGGGATGGCCGTCACCGCCTCCATGGCTTTTTTGGCGGCGTCCATGGCAGAATCACCGGCTGTCTTGGCGGTGCTGGCGGCAGTAGAGGCCTTGATGACCAGTGACGCTAGGTCCCCATCAGGAGAGTCGTCAGCAGGATTTGCAGCTACGACGTCAGTCTGGGCGGTCTGGACTTTGGCTTTGGTGTCACTAAGATGCGTGTTATCCCCGTCAGCTTTTCCTACGGCGGCGGTGACGACGTTTAAAACTTCGACGGCGAGGTTGGCGGCTTTTCCGGCGGCCTTAGCAGCTTGATCGGCTTTTATGACCTCGTCTCTGGCCCTGTTTTCCTCGTCGACGCTGCCGTTTTGTTGAAATGCAGTATGCTGAGTCTTAGCGGCGTCAGCTGCTGTAGTGGCTTTCTTGGCTTCATCGATGGCCTGTTGAGCAGTGGTGATGGCATGTTGAGCCGTGGCGGCGGCGCTGCCTTTGTCAGTTTCGTTGGCGGCGTTTCGAAACTCGTCTCTCTTCCTCTTGATCAGGAGCTCGACCAAGGCAGCAAAGCCGCCGGCTGCGGCGGAACGCAACACCACGGCGTCGTTGAAGACGTCGTTACTTGCCATCTCCAGGGCTGGAGCTGCTTCTGCGAGACAGCTGCGTATGTTTAAAGGGGGGCCGACCAAGGTACCAAGGTATCTGGGCACTCTGCCGAGAACAGGGAACAAGGAGAATTCAAAACAGGAAATGCCGATGGGTGTCCGATCCTAAAGTAGGCCCGGGGCGGAGAAGCCGGCTCGAGGAAGTCCAGGACCAGTCAAGTTAGACAAACACTCAATGACTAGACGCGGGGAAGATAGGCAGATAAGGTATGTACCTGTTCATCAATGTACATGATAGTCCAAGTCAACATAAGAAATATGCCTCCCCATGTCAACAAATCAAAAAGCGAGTGGGACTTCCGAGCCTGGCGACAAAAATATCTGGACCCAGAATCTACACAGAAATCATTAACCGCCAGTTAACGTACAAGAGGTGGTGGGGGGCAGACTCGACTCGGGTGATTCCAATAGGTTTGCCGTTATTCATGAAATTTTGAGTAGCTCGCCGCCATTGGAGCCACGCATCACTTGCCTTGAAGAGATTCGGTGGTTGGTAGGTGCTGGGGTTCTGGATTATCATCTACATGTGCGTATTATTAGGTATTCCAAGCGGCCAGAATTTCTCGAAGAAATGAGCTAGTACGGCACGGCAAATACATCGTAGAGAGACGTCGTTCTCCTGACGGCAAGTTCCGAACATGGTGCCAAGGATTCTTTCTGTTCTCTACTCGACTGGTTCAACTGGTGACAACACTGAACACGATCATATCTATATTCCTGTGAGGTATTTTGTGCCTTGTGGTTTGGCCCCAAAGACAACTCGTCCCGTGGTGTCATATAACCAACACGTATGCTAATATGGAGAAGACAGCCAAGAGAAGAATCCTTGGGAGATATTAGAGAGTGACGAGTTGCGTGGGCTGGAGTATGGATTTTGTACGAATATTAGAGCTAGGTTTAACATCAATGTTCATTCCAGAAATGTCATGTACAATATAGTATATCCGGGTGATATCGACATGTCATTCCTCGGCCAGCGATGTACGACATGATTCCTCCCTGCTCATGCATATGTCAGGGGCCAATACTCACAAATAATCACCCTCGGATAGGTAGTGATGTCGAAGAATGCACCTTTATTAATATGTAAAAGAGAGCAAAGAAGCCAGTCAAAGGATTCTAGAGTCTACTTTCCCATCTATTCCAAGTCGAGACTCTAAGATCCAAGTCGCCGCCAACAGCCAATCGTGTGCTGTGTTCGCATACCTAAAATAATTAGCCTCCAGAGGCGCAGCTCTAATTTTCGATCGTATTCTGTGCATGCCTACATACACGTGAGTTTTCAGATGAGCTGGCGGTCGTAGAACGGTTGAACTGTTAAACGGTTGAACGGTTGAACGGTTGAACGGTTTCTTTTTGCTGCGACGTCTCGCAGCGGCACCCAAATACCCGTCACCTTACCAAATTGTATTTTTTTTTCATCCGTATACCAAAGCAGAGGGATCTGCGAGCTGGCCGGGAGAAGAACAACCACCGGTGTCAGATGAAACGATTCTCGTGTTCTTCTGTCAAGTCGTGCAGGTTTGTTACGGCCAGTTGTCGAAATCTCAAGTCGTCCGAGATTAACCGGCAAGTTTCCCTACGCCGGTTTTGCCGTTTCACCAGCAAGCTCCATGCTGTCCTGCGTTTGTTTTAATTTTAACTTGGTGTGACTCGTGTAGCTTGCCACTTGCTTTGGACCTGTTGTGGATAGGGGCCCAAAATCGCACATAGTTGGACCGGTTGCTAGCGGACGCATAGCAGCTCTCCATGTCCAGGCCCCCACGTCCACGTACCGGCGATCGTCGAGCGCGCACTAGGTAGGCAGTCGTTGGATGGGAGAATGACATCACGGGGTATTGTTCAGTTGCTACGACATTTCCGAACAAACTTCCATACGTTGATACTGTCAGGAATGACTTTGTGTCCAAGTCAGGGGTCGCCCGGATCTCGTGCTATATTTGGAACACCAGAGCACATTTTGAGAGGGAAAACACGGAAATGGGGCTGTTCGCAGGAAGAGGATTGGCAGTCTTGCCTGGTAAGTGCATCCATGTATGCTTTTAGCGAGCTTCCTGAAACAGATGAGGGATGGACGGTAGGAGGTTTGGTTGGTGTGGTTGGTGTTCAATGAACAGCGGAAGGAGCCGTCCCCTTTCTAGCTCTGACCAGTCTCGCTCAATACGCCCCCAAGTGAATGGGAAGCAGCAGCGACCCTTCATCTGGTTCGGATGATTGCGGCCAGATCTGCAGACCCCCCTGCCCAGTCGGCGGGCCTGCAGATCGGGTTTCCGGCTGGTGGGTATGCCAATGAAGAAGAATCGTGTCATTGGATTTCCGGACTGAATCGATCTGCAAGGTACGGAAGACACGGGCGGCTGTGTCTAGGATAGAGGCTCAACATCCATTCCCCCATTTAAATGTTAAAGCCGATTCCAGGAATACCTGCTCTACTGCTACGGTACCATCTGCCAGTTTGCGCTTTCCCACCTTCCAATTCGAGTGCCGTTCCAAGTTAGTTTCCTTAAGAACTTAACCGACCTATACCATCGAAGCATCTCACCTGCGCGTCTCTCAAGTATTCCAACAACCCACCACATTTATTCGCACCCGACAGCTGCGTGCCTTAGCTGCAGCCCTCAAAATGCTGATTCTCAGCCTGGTGTCGGCGCTTGCCGTTTCCCTGCCTTTCGCGGCAGCCAAGCCGGCTTACAAAATTCCTGCGATCATGTCGAAGCTGGTTCAGGAGGACGACACCTGCATCATGCCTGAGGGTTTCCGCATCCAGAAGTTCCGCATCTGGTCTCCTCAAGCAGGCAGCAACCGCTCGGTGAATATAAACTTCGAGTACACGGACGACAGCACTAGCATCAACACTTGCTGTCACCTCAACCAGTCATCGGCCAGCGTTGGCCCGCCCGGGCTTACTCCTCGATATGCCTGCAACAATGACACCGTACAATTCATCTGGCAGAACGGCACCATGACCGTGGTTGAGAAGGCGTGCCCGCAGACTAGCTCGTGAGTTCCAAGAATGTACTAAATCTACAGAATTTGACTGACGTTGGCAAATGCTAGGCATTTCGAGGCTGCTGGCAGTGTGACGCTTAATCTCACTTGCACTAATACCCTCTTCAACTCGACTGCCGGGGCTGGTTCGAGCTGCGTATCCACCAAGGACCCGATCGAAGCTATCTTTACCAGCCTCGAGCCCACGCCACAGTAAAAATGGGAAAAGGGGAAGAGGAATACACTAGGTATCGAAAGAGAATAGGGCAAAGAAGGCTGCTAGGTGGTGGCTTATTTTGCGGCGGTTGGACCCAATTTTGGCCAAGAGGATGAACCCCCCAGACACTTATGGAAGACTCCAGGAGTGTACCACAGTCGATGGCGGGGGCGGCCCTTGATGAAATCAACAGAACTGTCATGTCCATGGCGAGACATATCAGACCACAAATACTTCAGAGCTATATAGAAGCTACATCATCACTGATGGAAGAAAAAAAAAGTAATAATCTTTTGTTGCATTGCCGTCTTCACCCCCTTGCCTGGCCTGGGATTGCGGGGTGTTGCGTTTGTGGCGCTTGATCCCTGTCTTTCACGCGGACACTGCGTTCCGGTTGGTGCCCGGACTTGCAGTGGGTGCCCAGGCCCAACCAGGCTTGGGCTTGGTTTTATTAACCGCCACCTGACCCCATCCAACTTTCACAAAAAGCCTCATCAGATTAACGCTTCCTTCATTGACGTCTTTTGAGTTGCTCCATCCCGCCGGTTCATATCATATTTTCGTTCAGAGGCTCAAGTCCTGGAAGCCTGCGTTGCAGCATCGGCACAATAATCCAACTTGAACATATTCATTGGTTTGGCTGAGCGCAGCGCGGCGCCAACCCTGGGTTTCGTTTCCTCGTTGCCTATTCGACAGAGGCAAAGCAACTAAACTGGTCACGAGGCATGACCCGGTGACTTGCAACTATGGCTGATGGTTTCAATTACACTCCTACTCTATAGAGCGGCCCTGTAGGAGGTTGAATCTGGCCATATTTATCTTGCCGAAAATTCGAGCTTCATTAAAGCATCACCTATCTATTTCTCCTTATCTTCAAGGATGCGGCTAAAGAACCCGCTCACCCTTTTACTGCTTCTCATAGGCAACAGTGCTTTGGGGACGGCCGATGCAAACCCACTTGCCGCAGTTACAGATACAGAACAGCGGCAGCGGCAGCAACCACTCGACAAGTCCCGTAGCCATGGCTATGGCAGCGCCTCATCGCCGTCCACGGGGAGCGGCGTGTCGGTGCCCTTCTTTGCCTCGCTGGAGCGTATGGCACGCCTAGTCGACATCACGTACTGCGTTGGCACAATCTCAGGCTTGTCGCCGCCCTTTTTGTGCGCGTCGCGGTGCAAAGACTTCCCCACGCTGCGCCTGGTGCGAACGTGGAACACGGGTGTGCTCATGAGCGACAGCTGCGGGTACATCGCGGTGGATAGAGGCAGCAAGGCTGCTTCTGCCGATGATGTCACTACTGAGGAAACCAAGGGTGGCAGCCTGTTGACAGAAACGACCGCGCCGGTGGACGATGTTGACTCCCCGGCCATTGTAGTGGCATTCCGCGGCACCTACAGTCTCACCAACACCATCATCGACCTGAGCACCGTCCCACAGGAGTATGTGCCGTATCCGGCGCCAGATGGCGATGGCGACGGAGACGATGACAGCGATGGCGCCGGAAAGGCTCACAAGTGCAGTAACTGCACCGTGCACATGGGCTTTATGGCCTCCTGGCGCAGCGCGCGTGAAGTGGTCCTCCCAGCTCTGAAGGAGGCCCGCGAGAAGCACCCGGGCTATCCAGTGCACCTGGTGGGACATAGCCTAGGCGGTGCGGTGGCGGCGCTGGCGGCGCTTGAACTGCGGCTAAGCTTGGGCTGGACCGACGTTACGGTCACGACGTTTGGTGAGCCGCGCATCGGCAACCAGGGACTGGTGGACTACCTCGACGAAGCGTTTGGCCTGAAAAGAGACGGCGATGAAGACGATGACGACGATGAGGCAGCAGAAACCCTTCCTTACCGCCGCATCACGCACGTCAACGACCCCGTACCGCTGTTGCCGCTGACTGAATGGGGCTTTCGATCCCACGCCGGCGAGGTGTTTATCGCCAAGGCAGATCTACCTCCCGACCCAGCTGATCTGCAAGTTTGCCGCGGAGACGAGGATCCGGCCTGCACAGGTGGCGAGGAGAAGGGCGACTGGCTGGATTGGGTTCTAGGTCTCATGCGGGGCGACGAGAAGCCGGTCGACGTTGTCCGTTGGGCTGCTAAGCTCGGCGTTGTCCCGGCGCGGCTCAAGCTCTGGCAGCTGTTCTTTGCGCATCGGGACTACTTTTGGCGGCTGGGCCTTTGCGTCCCCGGCGGTGATCCGGCCGATTGGGGGCGTGGGAAATACAACTTTAATGTTTCTTCTGCTTGGGACGACAGCGATGATCTATAGTCTTTTTTGGGATTTTTTGGAGTCGTTTTTGGAGTATTTTCTTGTAAACGGCGTGAGGCAAGGTAAAATTAGGGAAATCGCCCTTACTCATGGCAGTGGTGGCGTCTGGATTTAAGGAGGAGGCGTTAATGCCTACATGATCAATTCGTTGTTTTTGGGGCAATGAGACTAACTAGGCTGTATGCGATGTATAGATTAAAGTTAGCCGCGAAAAAAAAGCCAATACTCGGCGGAAGTACGAAGCACAAGTCCAACACGAAAGGTTCTCGGATCCGGCTGACTGCCTACAACCGGCGCATCACATGCCGGCCGCTCCGCTCCACACACCCGAACTTTGAACGGCCTGGGGTCGTCAAGGTTCGGCACAACCATAGATTTACTACCCGATGACACGTACACGGAGAAGACTCACGCCGTGCCGTGGTGCCAAACTCAATTGGCCGGCAACTAGGCTGTATAGCAAGTGGACATAATAGACTTAATAATAATATCGATAATAATATTGGTTGTTGCAGACTTTGTCATGTTTCCGCGCTCGCCTACAACAGAGTACGAAGACAAGGTGAAGACAAGGCAAAGACTAGGATGTCTACATCGTCTATCTTATTGTAGTACCTAAGCTATGTACTTGTACTATGTACCTATTTTTCTTCTTTGATTTCTTTTATTCTTTCTTTCTTTCTTTCACATCACGCGACTGCTTAATGGCTCAGGACTACTGAAGTACGTGCCTACGGTTATGTGTGTGACTTCGTCGTCTCACGCCCCCCCCAACACAAGTCGCGTGACTCCTTGGCTGTTGACAGTCGAGGAGGGAAAGCACGGATCCACCGCCCACTAATGGCCTGTTGTTATCCGCACCCCTAGCTAACCAGGTAGGTAAAATCTGAATTCAAGGCTGGCGTCGACGTTATCAGGGTGTGGTGCACGCGGGACACCGTAAGTGCCAGCTGAGCCAGACGGATCAGAACAAGGCCTGCCCAGGTTGCTTTCCTTGTCGCGGCAGAGCAAGGCAGCAGACGAAAGGCAACAGAAATGAGGGGTAAAAAGGGACAAGAATGCCTCGTGGTTTTCTAGCCGCTTCCATGGACCCAAAAAGATTTCCCTCTTGCACTCCTCTCCTTCTAGGGGGTGAGAACTAGAAGGGAGATGAGTGCGTTGTACAAAAAAAATTGCCCCACCACGAATAGAAATGGAAATGACCTTTTTTGTTGTTTGGACGGCCCCACCTTCCCAGCTCTAGACACCTTCAGCAATGCGAATGCTATCAACGCAGGGGCTAGCGGCTGGGAACATTTCCTTAGGTAGAGGCAAATAAGCAGAGTACGTAGGCCTTTAATGGCCTGGGCACGAGACCCTCCAGATACGGGTGCCCACGCGGGCCGGACCATGATAAGAGCAACGGCGGCTGGCCGATTCAATCAGATGGAGGGGCTCTGTTGTGTGAGTCAGGAAAAAAAACACCAGACTATGAGAATAACGGCACCACACATCCTTGGAAACAGGGCGAGAGTGCGGACAGAGCGCATTCGTAGAACTGCTCAGCCCTGTATCCGTACTTCCAAGAAACGAGACGGCAGAACAAGGCAACGCAAACTAGAGGTAAACAATTTGCATCAGAGAGCCCGAGATGTGCTGCGTGGGTAAACCCGCGTCTTCGGCATGGCAGAGACGGCTATATAAGAAGGAACCAAGAGGAAAAGAGTCGTGGGCTTTCGTGGGTAGAATTTTGGCATATACAATTAGGGGAGGGGATCGCGCTTCCGGGAAATCCGGTCCATGCCATTTTGCAGTGTGTTCATGGCTACAGAGGCATATTTTGTCTTTGCCGAGTTGAACAGTCGGATATCTTGTCTCATCTTGGGCACGTCAACAAATGCTAGAACGAGCCTCTGTTCAGCTTGCCAGGCTTGGCTTGGGGCCGGTTGGAGACCAGTGAATTCGTGTGTGGAACCAGGGAGGCGGAGAGATTGTGGGCGCAGAAGAGCGCTGGAGATGCGCAGGAGGCCCCAGGGGTGAAAAGCAGCTGTTAGTTCTGTACCAACAGTTTGCAGGCATGTGGGGTTCCAAAAAAGGTCACTTGCTATCGCTCCAAGCATTCTGATTCGTCGACTTTCCCCTCCCCAAGAAAAAAACACAGGGCCCCCCAGTTTGGCTTGGGCCCCGCTAGACCTACCTGAGGGGAAGTCGTCTGTGGCCCTTTCCAAACGTCCTTTCCGCACTCAACACATCGATCGACCTTGAACCTGCCCGTCCACCTAGTCACAAAGCACTCCCAAAACAATCAGCTCTCACCGCGACATCCTGCTTCCGCGATTTCTACATTCCATTCCTGCCGCTATACCCCCATCCAACAGGCAGCTTTGCCCATATCTCCGCAATACAAGATCTGAAAAATGGCGAACGAGGTTAGTTGGCACACCGTTTCTTGCTGAAGTCGCCTGTTCCATATCTCCCCTCTTCCTGGGACACAGCCTCTTCCCCTCCCTCAGGGCCGTGATAGCATCATGGGGGGTCGCCCAACCTTGTGTATCCCCCTCGCACCTCTGTGGAGAATTTGGTTGCTAATAGTTGTGATTGTTTTGTAGCGCGAGAGGTGTGTTTTTTTACCCTCGGACCTGACCTGCATGCAGCACGGGTGGTGTTGACCCCGCCGTCGACGGTATCAAGGCTAACAAGAAGGTAATAAAACTACAGCAAGACTTTCCTCGCCCGCCTCTGCGAGCAAGCTGAGCGTTACGATGAGATGGTCACATTTATGAAGGAGGTTGCCAAGCTGGGCGGTGAGCTTACTGTCGATGAGCGCAACCTGTTGTCAGTGGCGTACAAGAACGTGGTCGGCACCCGCCGGGCCAGCTGGCGCATCATCTCCTCCATTGAGCAGAAGGAGGAGTCCAAGGGCTCCGATAAGCACGTCGCCACCATCCGCGGCTACCGCAACAAGATCGAGAGCGAGCTGGAGAAGGTCTGCCAAGACGTGCTCGATGTCCTGGATGAGTCTCTCATTCCCAACGCCGCCACAGGCGAGTCCAAGGTCTTCTACCACAAGATGTATGCTTGCTTGCCCCTCCCCACCCCCTTTCCCAAACGCTCTTGGCCTCTCTTACGAGCCCATAACTGCGCGGCCCCATCTTTCGTTACATCTGACAAATTTGTCGCGTGCAGGAAGGGCGATTACCACCGATACCTCGCCGAGTTCGCGTCGGGCGAGAAGCGTAAGGTTGCCGCCACTGCCGCCCACGAGGCTTACAAGGTAATGAACACCAACCACCACGTACAGTCATATTTTCGCTGCGCCAGTCTGCTAACATGTGCGTGTCATGTCTGCAGAGCGCTACCGATGTTGCTCAGACCGAGTTGACTCCTACGCACCCCATCCGTCTGGGTCTGGCGCTCAACTTCTCCGTCTTTTACTACGAGATTCTCAACTCCCCTGACCGTGCATGCCATCTTGCTAAGCAGGCTTTTGATGATGCGATTGCCGAGCTTGATTCTCTCTCCGAGGAGTCTTACCGCGACAGCACGCTTATCATGCAGTTGCTCCGGGATAACTTGACACTCTGGACCTCGTCTGACAGCGGTGAGCCCGAGGCTGCTCCTGCCGACGCCCCCAAGGCCGATGACAAGGCCCCAAAGAAGGAGGATGAATCCGAGGCCGACGCACCCGCGCCTGCTCCCGAGTCGTAAGCGGCGTCCTGGTCTGGATTCTCTCCCGCTATCGCGCAGTCTCGGAGGATCGAGGCTCGCGGCCCAGGAGGCTTTTATCGTCACGACTGGACTTGTGTTGCTCTACTCTGAACCTTAGTTAAATGGGGTCTGGGCTTTGTTGTTGGTGTAAGCGACCGGATGGTGGATGTGCAGTATCGCACGTTAGTCATGGCAAGGATGGGATTACGCTAGGGAGTTGGTTGACGTTGGGGAACTGAAAATGCAGGGCATGGTTTGCACTTTCTATTTTTTGCTTTTCTTTTATCGCTATTCCCTCGGACTCGTTCTCAGATGGTAAGGGGGGGATATCTACAAGAAATCGTTTCCCGCCTGGCGAGGCGCAATACCACACTCCAAAGCCTAGCACTGTTGCCCCTCTTGTGCCCCCTTTTCCCCCTTGCCGATGCAAGCATCCCTCTTCTACTACACCCTCGGATTCTTAGCCCTGTTGGGAGGTGTCCATGTTGTTCATGTTATCTATCTTGCCTTTACCTTTTTTGTGGCACTCTTCTGATTGTTCTGTTGTTACCCTCTATTAGCGTGAATATGACCTGTCATACCTAGTCTGTCGATAGCCAGGCTGGGTTGACGATACAGCGTCACTACCCATGTTGCTGCAAGCATCTGTGAAGCTTCTCTTGCGACAGTGATTGATTCCAAGGGTAACAACAATAATGAGACGTTGCCTCGAAGAGGTTATCAGAGCGAAACCGAAACGGAGGGTTCGATGCCTTGACAGAACTACTTAGAAACCTACGTAGCAATCTGCCCTCAAAATCGAGATATCGAAGTCCTAGAATTTAAAAGACGCCTTGTGAACTATATACAATGTCGAGGAGGAGCTAAAATTACGATGTAATAGATTCGCAGGTGCAGCGAATACAAAACACACAAGACTGTCGAGCAAATCTCGGACAAATCACCAAAGAAAGTCTAACTATCAACCATTCGCTCGGCAGATCGATATGCGTTGTATTTTGAAGGGTCCCTCTCCCGCTTGCTTCGCTGGTGACACATATAAGTAGGTAGGTATATATCTGAGACTGAGATATAGGACGGCTCCGACTCTGCAAGTCCACCGCTGGTGATAAGCCCAACACAAGCGCTGCTTCTACCTTGGCTGGCATATAAACACATGTCTGTCTTCCTGTATCGTTTCCCTCCGCTGTTTTCATACACAAAAATGCAATGCTTGCTAACGGCACACGCTTTGCCACTGGTGTGCCCCGCGCTACTAGGTATTAAATTTTGGCTGATGAATTAATGCGCTTCTTCGTCTTCGAAGACGAACAGCAGCTAATATCGTGCTGCAGCTAAAAATATTCTCTCTTTCTCATGGTGTTCCATCGCAGCCATGCCGTTCGCCAGTGTTAAACCGCAATAGCCGCAATGGCGCCGGCCACGTCGCAATAGCCTTGCTCCAGTCGATCCAATCAAAATCCGTGGCCAAGTCAACCAGACAAAGCTCTAGTCGCTTGCTGGAAGCACGAGTCCCGAGCTTATGCTGAGGCCCGCGCAGGATGCAGTCCCAGTCGAGCATAGGAACGTTCGCCTAAGAGCCGGCACTGGAACTGGGACTGAGACCATCATCTTCAAGTTGTCCTTCGTGCATTCCACCTCTAATCCTGTGGCCTCTGCTTTCTTGTAATGGGCCGTCGACACCGCCATCTCTTGACAATGCCGTCCTAGGAGTGCCTCTCTTAGTAGGCAAGGAGGCGGAAGCAGCCGTTCTAGGAGTTGACGGTGTGCTATCAAATCGCCTCATTATCTCCCTTAGCCAAGAATTTGAGGTTGTGGGTCGATTTAGGCCTAGAATAAAAGGAGTTTGGTTGTCTAGAGGTGCTGCCTCGTCGTCGGTCATACGGTAGACAGGCTGCTTCGGGATGGGATGTTGGATGCGGAGAATTCTCAGCACAAACCGGACACACCACCAGTACAGGGACCGCAGCCACCTGCAGAGACGTCTCGCTTGTGATCTCTATTCACTGGGGCGCCCCGAACGCTGAAGGAGTAATGCCGCGCGCTGAAGACGTGACATGCTCTTCGATATGCCCGCATCTCCACGGGGATTGTCCGAATTGCTGGAAGCGCCAAATCCGGAATTGCCATATGGAGTGGCCTCTTGCGCGGGCGACACGCCTTGCCCTGGACTAGGCACATGTGTGAAATCTAAGCTATTCGAATTTTGGCCCAGCGGTGAAACGACAAGGCCAGTGGAGCTTTGCTGCTGTCCACTTGATGCCTGCCTCAGCGGTTCTACGCGCGCCGCTGGCGCCCGTTCCGGCGGATTTCCGTCCCCGGCAGGTTTTTTTTGGCTGCTGTTCTTCCAGCCGGGTTTCACACGTCGAAACAGATCTCCCATCTTCCTGCCAAGACCGCGGCCGGGCCGCAACGCAGCGGAATCATCCACCTTGTCACCTGTTGGTGCGCTTAAAGTCCCGCCGAGAGCCGGCGGGGGCAATCTGTTGCAGTTGCGACAAACATCTAGCTCGGGATCTGAGACCGAGAGAGAGTTCCTGTCTGATGTTGGCAGAGTGCCCTTAGAGAACATGTCCCGAACGCCACTACTTTTTGTATTGCCGTTCTTGCCATCACTGCCGGCTGGACCCTCGTTGTTTTCCCCGATAGTGTTTGTTGTATCTGAGCACGCGCAGTATGTTCCTTCGCCGAGCGAACTGACCTCGTCGCTCCAGCCACGGATCCACTCCGCCCTTTTACCGTGGTTCCTACTAGGCAGGAGCTGGGATCTTGTAGCCTGCCATTCACCGTCATTGGCAACAGTCGACGAGGGTCCTGAACGCTGTGGTTTCTGTGGTCGTTCGGGTTGTTCCGGCTTGTTTGCATCATACCCCCCGGGAGCTGGAGGCGCGGCATCGGCAGCAGTAACGTCGGGAGTGGGTAGAGGCATCGGCTGCGCATTGGCTGTGGTGAAAGTAGTTTGGGGGCTTATCGGCGCCAATCCATCATAGGGGTTCTGGGTGTTGGGTTCTGGGAATTCGGTGCTCCGTTGTTGGGCTAGGTACTCGGACAGCGCCAGAGGTGGTACTGAAGGGTGATGCGTTGTTGCCGAGAGCAGTTTGCCAACGGGAGCGGCTTTTTCGTCCAGGTCGTCTGCTCTGGAGGAGTGATACATGGTCTCCGGGAAATGGGGTGCAGGAGGGGAAAAGCTAAGGTTTATATACGTCCTAGTGGCTCTGACGTAGTGGTATTTTGGTATGATTGCGGCGGATACCATTCAAGGTTTCGTTCCGCCGCCGACGACAGCAGGTCCCTCCGCCCTCACCTCCGAGGCAAGGCCCTGTCCGGAGTGGGTGTAATTCTGCACCTCCAATGAATGGAAGTTGCAGGAGAAAATAATATATATGAACCGGGATTCTTCTCGACGGCCACTAGGTAACCCTGGGATGGCAGGGGGGAGAGCAACCCCAGGAAACGGATGATTGGAGCAAGGATGATTGGGTTAGGCGATTGGTTTTGCTGCTAATCTCGTTCGCGTTGGAGATCTTGGTGGTCTAGGAGGGCAACGGATCCTAAGGACTGATGCGAACAGTCGTGTGACCGATGGGCAAGAGCAAGCAGCCTCGGGGCCTTCCTGGGAAGAGGGAGCCTCACTTAGTTGCGGCCATCCCCCCCAAGGCAGCAAACAAGCGGCAAGGCTGGTTGCTTCCAGGTCGGAGGTAGAGTTTTGGAGGCCCTCTTGACCTAGGCGCTCGGCCAGGCCGCTTCGTGACCTCGTCAAGGAAGGCGGAAGGGGTTCATGGACCTCACTTTCCGTAGCAGAAGTATCCGTACTAGGAGCTCGAGGGAGGGAGGCGCAACCGAGTCCGTAGGGTATCAGCCGCCATTGCCGGTCCTCGAGGACCAAGACGGCTTCGTGCCGAGGTTGGTACTCAACAGGATGGAAATTAAAAGAGAATGGATCAAAGGGCGGCAGTTTGGCGCGCTGGGGTTGATGGCAAGATCAAAGGGCACGGGAAGAAAACGGAGAAGGGCATGAAAAGAGGTCAAGAAGTAGCAGCAGCAGCAGAAGCGTGTCGGAAAGCGCACCCACAAGCCTCATCGCGTTAGGTTATAATGGATGCCAGGGCGACCCCGACTATTATTAGTGAACTAATAACTAACTCAACTCGCGCGTTGCAGATCAGTTTGTTCGTCTGGCTCCCGCAAGGGAGAAAAAAAAGTCAGCCAGGGGGTTTGGTTTTTTGGTAAGCTAACCGATGAGTTGAGTTGGGCCTATGGCTGGGCCAAGACAGGAAAGCCTACCTAGGGACCTGAGGTACCTAACTGCGAGCCGTGAGTAAGGTGGTTGCGGTGCACCTTCCCAATGGAAGTTTCCACACAGTGAACCAACCCGCAGTACCAAAAAGTCTCGTTAGCGGTGAGAGATGGCCAAAGTCACGGCATCCAATTCCGCACCTACCAGGCGGGCAGGCCATCCCATCCTTCGTTGTACAGTACCAAGGCAGTTAGTGCGGTCATGTCCACGGTTGTAGAACAGTGGGTAATTAATACGGCACTCGCGCGTCAACACGACACGACCTGAGTCGAGCACAAACGGGCAGGTGTGAGAGAAGCGAATGTATAGACATTGCCTCTTTGGAGCCTATGACGTATGCACCTGCTCCCAAAAAAAACCAACGCACATACAGAAATCTACAAGCACCTACCTTACCTTACCTTTGCCTACCGACATTAGCGATAGGCCGAAAGTGTAAGGCTGTTGTCGTAGCAAGCCCGATGCCCGTGCACAGGACGCCGCAAAGTGTGCCAAGCCCGAATACCCTCATTTGTTGAATGCACCCCTCTTACACGTAATCACTAAGGTGACACCCCTCCCGCCGTCTCACTGTGTAACCAACCAATGTCGTGTATCCGTGACGCGTATTCCGTACACTACATTAGGAATGAAAGGGATAGGAGATCGCCTTTCACGCTATAAAACTGCAAATACGTAAGATTTCACTTTAATAGTAGTAGCTCTCACTTTCAGGTTAGAATAATAGAATTCAAGAAGGGAGAGGCAACCAAGGTACCTATCGTCCACAGCCAAGAAGCCGATACTTGCCGCTAAACGAGCGTGCATACTGCTAGTATGTCCGGAGTACATACATACACCATTCCACGGTAAATAATCAACCGGCAGTACCTCGAAAACCCTGTAAGATTCCCTGTCTGTGACCTCCTTTTACGATCTACGCCAATGGAAGGGATTGAGAAGGTTATTACAAGGTATTTTTAATGCTTTGATAGATTATTTCAAGGGTCTATACCGGGGGCCTTGGAAAGTCACTAACTGGGGCCCTAGTAAGTCGTGCCGGTTTATTATTTACCGTGGAATGGTGTATAGCATCTGTCCAGTAAGACGTCCATATTTGGTAAATACCTAACGGTACCTAGCGTGCTCCATGCAAGCCGCTTTCTCCCGTGCAGATGTATTTTAAGTACATATTCCGTACACTACCATTCCATGCTTTATTTAAAGCACTTTTGCCTCGCTTGATTTCCATTCTTCCCATTTGGCCTACACAGTAACGCCTCTTTGCCCAGCTGTTGTGAAGTGCAAACTCAACGTACCTGAATCAACTTGAACGCCTTGATTATATATGCATATTTACTCGTTCCAATCAACCAAGACATAGGCGTGTTTGCGTGCTTTATACAAATATGACAGTAACCGACATTTATAAACCATCTTTTTCTTCTCAGCCAAAACTGCAAAAAAAAGAACGGATCGTGATGTGCAAAACCCTCGGCATCACTAGTCGAGTCGACTACGAAGGTTTCAAGGCTTCCCAGCCCCCCATCTCCGTACCTCCGTCGTCCCCCAAAAGGTCAATCGTTGGCGTTCGCTGAGGGGCCGATGGAGGTGGCGACTTGTGTAATGTAGCCACAGCCTTCCGCACCGGCAACTTGGGGATGTGATCCTGATCAGTGAGCCCAACAAGGCCTATTGCTCCACTGGGTGTCCGTCGTTCCGAAGAAATGACGCTTGCGTTGGGGCGCCTAGTAATCGGTTGCGGCCGTAAACTGTCTACATCCTCCACGCTTCCCATCCCCGAAGGTAGCCTTGAGGCAGCGCCGATATTGTTTGAGAATGAGCCGTGAGTACTTGCTGGTGGCCGGTTTGCGGGTTCGGGCCGCCGGTTTCTCAACCCGTCATAAATGGCTGTCAGCTCCGACTTCAAAGCAGGCGGCTTGCTGCTGCTGATAGGCGACGTAGAACCTGCTAGATGTGCAGGCTTCTTTGCCACTGGTGGTGGCGGTGATTTGAAATCTGACGGCCTCTGAGCCGCCACTGACTTCGCGCGCACAGGAGGTATTGGCATCGGCTTGCTTCCTGGCCTTCGGGCGGACTGGGTTCCTTCACTTGCGGCACCCTTTGTAGGGCTGGGGCCCATGGTGGTCTGCCTTCGGGGAGGAGGCGGAGGGGGCGGGCTATCGGTTTGCGCATTCCTCGAGTCTTCGCTGACCTGCAGCCTTCCCATCTTACCGGAAAGTACTGATGGGTCATGTGGAGGAGGGAGCTTTCTCGGAGTAGTACTAGAGGCTGAAGCCGAGAGTAGCATCGAGTGGTTGACATGCTCATATGGTGACGTAGACATGCTCGAGAAGGACGACATGCGAGATTCGGATCTAGGGACGTTGACCCAATCAGGCTCATCCGTAGGCACGTAAGGATTTGGCGGCCTCTTCGGATTCAAAATCGTTTGGTAAACGGAGCTGTCAGGCTTGGACGGGCTGATGGAGGAGCGTGGCGTCTTTCCATTTTCCAGCCACCATTTCTGACGGTCAGAGCTAGCTGGCGGGAGGCCGGGCTCTATAGCGTCATAGCCAATGAGGTCCTCCTCGTCCGATTCTTCGGCGGCTAGATTTGCCATATCTCCGCCGACCTCGGATTTCCTTCGTTCGTAGATCTCGCGACTGATCTTATCGCGGAGCTTCTCGTTAACAATACTGACCGTGCATCCAAAAGCGGCGTAAACAGGCCGGTGGTCAGAGAAGCGTAGTGGCGCTGAGTTATATGACATCTGGCGAAGATTGTTTCCTTTCCGGAGAATACGGTCGGTCCAAGCCGGGATACGTGCTTTTTCTCTACTCCCACGCTTAATAGTCACCTCAAAGGTAGGCCGCCAAACACAAGGGGCACTTACGAGGAGTCATATTCATCGGTACCAAGGTCGAATTTGTATGTGGGCATAAATGAAATCCGGGCTTCGGAGTAGAAGCGAAAGGCAAGGCCTGCCACCATTTGAAGGTTCAACTGTGAGAAGTTAGCTCGGCTCAGTCTCCCATGAGTATACCACAATATGCAAGACAGACAGACCTGGTCATTTTCGTACAGTCTCTCCAAGTTTCTTGTCTTCACAAGCTCCTTGACAGTCTCAAGACCCAGTCCGATCCGATAGTTGAAATCCCCAAACCATATAACAGAATCTGGTAAAGGGGAAGCGTCAGCTTGAGTTTTGCATCCGCAATATTCGGATAATATTACCATGATCGCCGATTCCTCTATTCCTCTGAAACCGTAGACCTCGGTCTATGGTCGCGTAGTCTTTGCTTCTCTCGTCATAGTTGCTGAATCCAGCTGCCAAGTGCGCCGTCACGAAGCATATTGGAGTATTTGCGTAGTCGAACCTGATGGCAACCGCACCTTTGTTCCCAGCCATTCCTGAGAGGCCAGTCTTTTTAACGCTGCCCTCCACGTTCTTGATATTTTGCAGCACTGAAGCTTTCACAAATATGCATAAAGCGGCTCCAACGAGCTGCCCGCTCCGCAGCAACACGTACTTCTCACCACCCACACTAGTATAGTGTCTGTCTAGCGTCCTCTTAATCGCCTTCTCCCAGAACTGTTTCCTAGTTGGATCGCTGTTCATGATCTGCTGCGGATTCAGTTCAACTATCTCCTGAAATCCTACTGCAATGATCTCGGGCAGAGTTGAACCCAGTTCGGGTGGGCAAAGCCACGGAGACAGATCTTCGTTAATGCCATCCGTCCTTCCATTCAAATTGAACGTCCCGACCAGACTAAGGCACACTATTAGTCTCTTCTCATCTTTAACAGTGGCTGAAACAACTTACATGGTGATCTTCTCGTTTGCCGAAAACTCACTGCTGCGGCGTTGTAGCTCGACAGCGACATAATCACTGATTGGGTCATACAGGACGACCGGAAACTGACCAACAAGCCTTCCCAGGAGTGTATCAATGGTGATCTGCCGCGCCTTGTCCGCAAAGTTGTTGTAGTATAATCTCGTGGCCGATTTCCGGACATCGGCGATGGCTCCAGCAAGTGACATCTTGCCATGTCGGGTAAAGGAAGATTTTAAAGCGCCAGTTCCAGCGTAAATCTTGGACAGGGAGTCGCCATTGTCAGCCCATAGGTTGGCGTGGCGGGACCAAAAGTCAGAAGCCGCAGTTTCGCCCCTATGGCCAAGAAAAGCCTCAACTGCCATCTGCGAGATAATTGTCTGGATCAGGTTTGTCCTGTCTAAGCAATCCAAACAGTTTGTCCTAAAGACACCCTCTTGCTGCAGAACGACCACATAACGGCGGTTTTTAGTCCCAATTGACGGTCCATTTTGCTCGACATCGTCAGACTCTTCGGCAAGGTAGTAGGCGAAGCCGTCGGCAGAGTCTTCAATATAACGCCGAATCTGGTTCGCCGCCTCATAGCCCTGGGGTCCCTTTGTCTCCGCATGAAAATCGTACTCGGTGCCTCTAAGCAGGGCATGGTCTTGCGACAGTCTCCCCCCTGGCCTGCTTAAGGGGCAATTCTGGATACCGTGCCTATACAGATTCGACAGCTCCACCTCCCCAGGCTTGGAGGCGCTAAGTAAGTTCACAACATGGACTGCGCCATAGGCCTGCTCCAGTTCGGCAAAGTGCTTGTCAAATGCCGGCTGCGTTCCGTCTACCGAGCGGGTGATAGAGATCTTCTGCTGATTTGGCAAGAGCCCGGCTTGCTGCTCCCAGAAGACAGGCACAGACCCTCGAACTTGGGCGTACGAAAATACCGCGCCCGACGGGCTCCAGTATGTAGTTTCGGTTTCGACAAAATTGGCCACGTTTCCGTCGTCGTCAATTCCACGCGAATTGAACCTCGTACCGGCTCTCTTGCATGACAGGCGCGAAATAACTGTCAGGTACGAGGGCAGCCCTGTCTTGGAAGACCTCAAGGGAGCCAAATTCTGCGGGATGGCCCAGCTCTTACAGAACCCTCGAATTGCAGACGTCAGGATCCTCGAGGCATCCAATGCGGCGCGGTCTTGTCGCTGCAGACGAGAACGAAATTCGACAAGCGGCCGGATCATGTAACCGTTCCATAGGAAAGACTCGTCAAAATGATCAATATCGAATGCGACAGCGTCAGCCGGCCTGGTTATGTTAGCAGACTGAGGTTAGGATAGAAGGTATGCAATAAGTCTCTACCTGTCTTGCATGCGGTTCGTAACGTCAAAGTCGGTGCTATAGTAGAAAGTACCGTTGCCAAGAAGCTTCTGGAGATCCTGGCACGGGTGCTCTATTGGCACCTCTCTCCGGCCCAGGTTCTGACCATAGACGGACGCGGCGTCCAGGTCCACGTCGTAGGGGTCGACAACAATAACGTCGTCATACTCGGCCGAGTTCAAGCAAAAGAACTGAACACTCTCAATCCTCTCTACCGTCTCTCCCGGGCGGACTGTGGCTACTCGAGACGCCTGAGTAATGACACACAGAAAGACATCCCGCCCAATCGATATCAGCCCTAGTGTTCCGTAGATGGGCCGCGGCGTCAGGGGTCGGTAGTCGGCCAGCAGCCGGTTCGTCGTCGGTGAGAATTCGACCATGCACTTGGAGCTGGAGCTTTCGAGGGGGCTCGCGAACGGGCGAGTCGGCGGGAGGGAGGTCATGGACCCATTTGCTCCGACGTCGGGCGATATCGCGCTGTGTCGCAGTATCAAAGCATGAGTGGTGGAGGCAATGGCAATGGCGCGATGGGGGTATTCGCGGATCAAGATCTGGCTCGACTTCTCCGGGGATGGGGCCTGGCCGTTCCAAAGGGCCGACGAAGGCGGCGGGCTAAAATCCATAGTCGAATTATTGCTGATCACCGAGCCACGAGAGGCAGCGAAGAGGACAGGGAATAGATCGATGAGGAGGGTCAGCAAGGGCGGGGGAGCACATGGCGAGCCCGGGATGCAACAAAGTAATTCGGCGCGATGAAAAAAATGCTCGGAGCAACGCTGAACCTGAGCGTCGTCAACGTCAGGTCTAGGTGATGCCTCGAGGCTATTGAGAAGCGGAGCGGCGTGCAGTGGTGCGAAGGGCGGTCCTCCAACAACTAAAGTTTGAAGGCGTTAGCAATCGCGATGATGTTGCCGGCGTTCGCGCCCGTGCTTTCCACAAGAAGACCAAGGATGTATGTACCTTACTAGCTGTCCGTCATGGCCCCAAGCCCTCCACTGCTTTCTCAGCCCTGCCCAAGAGCCGCAATAATGTGGGGGGTTGCCGCTAACCAGACCCTTGCAGCGCGGGGCCGCTATCAGCTATCAAAGGACCGGGAACTACCTACCTATTGCCGTACGGGTCTCCTCTACTTAGTAGGACAGGATTCACATCCCGCTCTTTAGATGTTGAAAAAGGGAACTTCGTGAAGGTGCATCAAGGAACTCATACCCCGATGGTAGCATATCCATGGGGTTAACAGATGCTATTCTTGTACACATTCTATTCCGCGTTGGAGCTATCTCTAGATGCGGTCATTTGCATTGAAGGACTTGCTCTACGGAGTGACAGCTTTAATTCTCTAGGGTGGGTATTAAATTCGTAAAGCATATTGTAGAGGACCTGAAATTTGACACGCGAACATGAGCGAAACCAATTTCCAAAATCATGGTTCGACATGATGGGCCCATACGAAGCAGCAAAAGCACATATTTCGTGCATCCAGCTCACTCTCGTTCCCACTTCCTGTTCGGTCTGATACAGGAGTGTGGCTAAGTTGAATATAACATAAATGGAAATAACGCTAGAGATGGTGACAATCCGTGAAGGCACAAGTGAAAGGACAAAGACAAAAACTAAACTACTGAGGGGAAGCAGGGCATGGAAGAAGCCACAATGATAGAGGATTTCGGTGAAGGCTTCAGATTCGAATTAATAATCATGCTCCCCTTGCGGAGAATCAGACTCTTCCTATCATGATTGTATTGATATAATCATCACCAGCCTTGATGGGAGAAAAAGAGAGAAGGGGAAGAAGCATGTAGGAAAAAGTTCTTTTATGTGAGATTGTGATTACGTAACTTGGCCCACATAAAGCTGTCTTGGCAGGCCCTGCAAACTTTGGCTCAAAAAGTGATGCGCATTTGCCAGGTGGGGTGGGGGGTTTTTTTAGGAGCTCAGCTTTATTATTGAGAACAATCCATCGCGGCGCTGCGACCTCAGCTTTTTGTACTCTGCACACTTCAACCGTGTTCGCGCCTCCAGCCCCTTCATTCCTGCGTCTGTCTGCCTGGAATGAATCAGAACCTTCCCGCAACACCATCACTGCAAAATTTCGAGATAATCTGCATTTCTTTTTCCAGCACTGCTGGTTCTGGAAGCCCTCGACACAAAGCTTATAGGAAAAAGCAAAGCCTTGCCAGCCACCTTCTTCCCCCACACCCTCATACGTCCTCTTCTTCCAAACATGGGCGACTTCAATGGTTTTGGCGGCTCCGATGAGGAGAACGCCGAGATCAAGAGGCTTAATGCCGATGTCGTGCGTTGCCTACATCTTGCCTCATGAGTCAATGCCGGCAAAGAATGCATCATTGCTGACCGCGTATTTCGCGCACAGGAAGCCGACCCCGACAGCTTCGACAACTGGGAGAAGCTCGTGCGCACCTGCGAGGGCCTCGAGGGCGGCCTCAACCGAAACTCGAGCCCTCAGGCACTAGCCGCACTTCGCGACACCTACGACCGATTTCTGCTCAAGTTTCCCCTCTTGTTTGGCTATTGGAAGAAGTACGCGGACCTGGAGTTCAACATTTCTGGTCCCGAGTCTGCCGAAATGGTATGATGCTTCTCTGCCTGGTGTGCAGTCGAATGAGCAGTAAATGTTAAATGTAATTATCTAGGTCTACGAGAGAGGCTGCGCCAGCATCACAAACTCTGTGGATCTCTGGACAGAGTACTGCAGCTTCAAAACGGAGACCACTCACACACCCCAACTTGTGAGAGAGTAAGTATAGAAAGATCATTTCCTTCCCAACCCCATAACAGCCTCACCGGCAGCGAAACTGCAAGGCCACTCTTGGCCGCGTGCCGAATCAGATAACGAACAAGAACACAACACACCACCACCGCTAGGGACATGGTGAGAAACACCAAAGGATACCCTACTTGGACTGTTCTCTCACAATATCTACCAGGCCCTGCTGTTTCTCGGCAGATGATCGTCATCCGCTCTATAGCTCATTTACCCGTTTCCCGTTCGCACGCCCTCCTGAGATCTAGTCTGGTTGCTTTGGATGGATACGTCACCTACACCAAGTTCCCCTCCTGTATTTGATGTCCCTTCCCACCCCGCTCCCCCACTACGATCCCCAGCGCAGATTACTGACTATCCTCCAGGCTCTTCGAGCGCGCCGCAGACCACGTCGGCATGGACTTCCTTGCCCATCCATTTTGGGACAAGTATCTTGAGTACGAAGAGCGACAGGAGGCTCATGACAAGATATTCGCCATCTTGAACCGTGTCATCCACATTCCTATGCATCAGTACGCCCGCTACTTTGAGCGTTTCCGGGCTCTCGCAGCTAGCAGACCCCTTGAGGAGCTCGCCCCAGTCGACGCATTGTCCCAGTATCGGTCAGAAATCGAAGCTGAATGCCAAGCCTTTGGAATTCAGAAGTCCGACCTCGAGCTTGAGCGTGATATCCGCGCCAAAATTGACGCTGCTTTTTACGTCATCTTTCAGCGTTCCCAGACCGAGACGAACAAGCGTTGGACCTTTGAGGCCGAGATCAAACGGCCGTATTTTCATGTCACCGAACTCGACTATTCACAGTTGGCTAATTGGCGAAAATACCTCGATTTCGAGGAGGCGGAAGGTGATTTTGCCAGGACGGTGTTTCTATACGAGAGATGCCTTGTCACTTGTGCCTTCTATGAAGAGTTCTGGTTCCGATATTCTCGGTGGATGGCGGCTCGAGAGGGCAAGGAAGAGGAAGTCCGCAATATCTTCCTCCGTGCAAGCACGCTGTTTGTTCCCGTCAGCAGACCGGGCATTCGACTTCAGTTTGCCTACTTCGAGGAATTGTGCGGCCGGATCGATGTTGCTAGGGCCATCCATGCAGCCATTCTTGACAAGCTGCCCGATTCCGTCGAGACTATCATTTCGTGGGGTAATCTGGAGCGACGCCAGAGCGGCCTCGAGGCAGCGATTGTGGTCTACAAGACCCAAATTGATTCAACCGCCGTCGACATTTTCACTAAAGCAGCTTTGGTCACCGAGTGGGCATCGTTGCTGTGGAAGGTCAAGGGATCGGTCGAAGAAGCTCGGAGTGTCTATGTTAAGAATGTACAGTGGTATGCCGATAGTCGTCACTTCTGGCAGAAATGGCTGCAATTCGAAATGGAGCAGCCCACGAACACCGAACTCGAGGCACAAATTGGCGAGCGTGTCAAAAATGTGATCGACGAGATGCTCGTCAAGAGCCGTCTTTCTGCTGGAATCAAGCAGGAGGTCAGCCAGACGTATCTCAGCTACCTGCAACAACGCGGGGGAAAGGCGGCTATGAAGGAATTCCTGGCCATGGATCGGGAGATATTTGGGTACATTAACATTCTTACCTACCTCAGCATACTAGTTCTCGTTCTTTTACTAACCGCGTGAGCGTGTAGACCGCAGTCCATCTCGACCATCACCAAAGCCAAACTCAGCAAGGATAGCAACGGCTTGCCTGTCGGAGAACTTGACGACGCCACTCGCCTGAAGGCCGAGAGCCGGTTCTACAGCTACTACGAGCTGCACATGGACCCTGATCCGAACGCTCAGGGGAATGCCGGCTTCCATTAGAAGGGCATATTTCGGTCCTTCCAGGTGTTTCGGCGGCAAATCATTCCAACTTTCTGTCTCGTTTTCAGTTTTTACTTCCTACTTTGTATTGTACAGTACCATATAGCTACTGCCAGCAAGGGTGTGGTCCTCTGTATGGACATCGGGTCTTCAACGGTTACGGCGGGGCGACTCCTTTTTCCCCTCGAACTCTATAACGCACATATTTGGCGTTGACTCCTGGGTCTACTTTGCACATTTCTGTATTTCACAACAAGTTCCTGGGGTGCCGGTGTGGCTGGCGACTTACTTGTTTCCCCTCCAGGATACGACGATGATGAGACGCCAAAATGGCGGGACAGAGGAGTGAGTTATACCGGATTGTATTCAGTGTAATGAAGGTGTTTGGCTATGGAAATGATGTGGCAGTGGCTTGTATGCCTCTTCCTGCGTTATATCTCTGCCCAGGAGATAGCCTAGTTGTTTCCATAGCTATAATCAAGACCTCTTATCATCTCTGCCCTCTTGTCTACATGTATATTTTGGTAAGATGGTAGATGTGCAGGCCGTCTAAGCAAAAGAGGGGATTGATAATCTCCGTTCCCCAAGACTCAAACTGGTATCTTGAGTCATCATGTGGGGGGGTTAACGACCAAGTACGTTGCTCCCGTCCGCTAGGCATGCTTGGCCAAGACGCAAATATGCCGCGTGTTCACGTGCTACATTTAACATTGCCGGACAACTGTTAAAATATTCGCCACCTCACCACTTGTTACCACCACGTTCGGAATTCCACGTGGGCAGGGCGTGCCGCCGACCTCCGGGGTGTGGCCTTCGCTGAGCTGGCTGCCCCACGTCAAGCCGACCTGACTGACTGACTCCTGAGGGCCGGTTTCGTCTCCGCCCGCATGTCTTGAGAGCCTTCAGACGAGTTTCAGAAGCTTCACGTCGTGTGCATACATGGGGGCAGTGTGGCAAGGCGATATTGCCCGGAGCGTTGAACAGCGAAATACGTACTGGGCCTCGGGCCGTTTGGCTTCGGGCAACAGATGGCTCTGAATTCCCACGATCCACAAAAGGCTTGGAGAAAGGGGAATTAGTAAGCGGGCCGCTTCGAGATTTTAGCGGTTCAGTACCTGGCAAGGCCATGCACTGCCGCCATAATATTTTCGGGGTCCACTGGCGGCGGATGAGGCCACAATGAGGCTCAATTTCGACATGGCCGTTTTCATCATACCGTATGGATTCCTTCCGACGCGGCAGGGTCCGATATGTCTCGGCTCTCTTTTTTTTATTTTGGCCAAGGAAACGGCGGGCCCATCCGCCGTCTTTGCACACACCCGTGAGGCTGTGAGCCGGGCTCTAGATAACGGGTTAGATACCTGGTAACCCTAGTTTGCAGGCTCGGTCAGATAACAATAACCCCCTAGCCTGGCCGCGCCTCGGAACCCCCCATCCCAAGAGTGAGGAACCGCGATGGACCCTCCGGTGCCTGTCTTACTCTTTTCTTCACGTCAAATGTCAAGAATGTGAATGGGTCGCCATTGTACTCGACCCACAACCCGTTGTCTCGACCAGTCACACGAGACCCATTAAGTGACTGTATAATAAATTCCTTCTTTCATCTCTCTTTTCGATCCGATTCTACTACCAGCACACCCTCTCTCTCCCCTTGGCTCGCCGGTATCCGTACTTTGCAGCCGAGCTACTCGAGCCACTCCGATTCTTCTCCATTCTGATTACATATCTCCTCGCCTTCAAAGATCTGCAATTGCCTCTCGCTAGTTTTTTCCGTTGTTCTCTTTGTTCACTCCGAGTCTCTCCCTTCTCAAAAGCAAGCAAGCAGTTCCTTCCTTTTTCAAACCTGCCTATCAAAGTAAGCTCTTTCCCCTTGCAACCATTCATTGTCCTCTGGTTTTGTCCGTCAGCACGTACACCCCTCGGTGCTCTGCCAACTTATCTCGACTTGCCCAACATACGGATATCGATTCTGACAGCACATTCGTGTCTTCTCACAGATGGCTTCCGCAACCCGCACGTTCGCTCGCGCCCTGCGCACCTCTGCCCGGCCCACTTTCTCTGCAGCCCCACGCGTCGCTTTCCGCCAGAACGGACGCTTCTACTCGTCTGAGCCCACCAAGTCGGCGTCGTCGTCGGCGTGGATCTGGCTGGTCGGTGCGGCTGCCGTCGGCGGCGGTGGTGCTTGGTTTTACAAGAACGGTAGCTCAGGCTCAGCCACCCCCAAGGTTGTCACCCCCAAGTTCGACGACTACCAGGCCGTGTACAACGAGATTGCCAGCCGCCTAGAGGAGAAGGACGACTATGATGACGGCAGCTACGGCCCCGTGCTGGTGCGTCTGGCATGGCACGCCAGCGGTACCTTTGACAAGGAGACCGGTACCGGAGGCAGCAACGGCGCCACCATGCGATTTGCCCCCGAGGGCGACCACGGAGCCAATGCGGGTTTGAAGGCCGCGCGGGACTTCTTGGAGCCGGTGAAGAGTGGGTGGCAACTACCCCTGGTGTAATTGGGACGAGGAGCCTTGTCCAGCCCCCAATCTGCACACCATTGGAAACTAGGTGCGGGGATTGTGCTAATAAGCCGTGCAGAGAAGTTCCCTTGGATTACTTACTCTGATCTCTGGATCCTCGCTGGTGTTTGCGCTATCCAGGAGATGCTGGGCCCTCAGATCCCTTACCGCCCCGGTCGGTCTGACAGGGATGCTGCTGCCTGCACCCCCGATGGACGTCTTCCCGACGCTGCTCAGGGTCAGGACCACCTCCGGAACATCTTCTACCGCATGGGCTTCGATGACCAGGAGATTGTCGCTCTGTCTGGCGCCCACGCCCTGGGCCGGTGCCACACCGACCGCAGCGGCTTCGACGGTCCCTGGACCTTCTCCCCCACGGTGCTGACCAACGACTACTACAAACTCCTTTTAAACGAGAAGTGGCAGTGGAAGAAGTGGGACGGCCCCAAGCAGGTGAGTACAGCCAACCAAAAAATCAACGCGTCGAATAGAGGAAGGCTAACATGATGAAAAACAGCTCGAGGACAAGACTACCAAGTCCCTCATGATGCTCCCAGCCGACTATGCTCTCCTCCAGGACAAGAAGTTTAAGAGCTGGGTTGAGAAGTACGCCGCCGACAATGATCTTTTCTTCAAGGACTTTGCCGCCGTGATTGTCAGACTCTTCGAGCTCGGCGTGCCGTTCACTGAAGGCACCGAGAACCGGAGATGGGTCTTCAAGTCGTCCCAATAGAGAACGCAACCAGCTTCCCAGAAGGGGCCCCAAAGATACCCAACAATAGAGGAATAGAGGATGCGACTAGAACAGTACGCTCAAGCTAGTAGAGCTATGGATGCATAATAGAGGAGGGGGCAGTGCTTGAGTCGAGTTGACGGAATGTTTGCTTTGTTTTGATAGCGTCATTCTGACAGGGGGGAAGAAGGACAGGAATTGTGCTTTCTGCCCCTATTTCCCCTTGGGAAGATAGAGCCGGGGTAAGCCAGAATTCTGGCGGGCAAGAGCGGACATTCAGTCTTCAACACTTGTATGTCTAGTTACGCGCCTTGCCTTGCACCTTGTTGTTATTTTAGCTTGCCTAGGGTAGCGTGGAATGTCAAGAGGGAAAGTCACCCGCGTTAATAATGGAAGTTGAAGGGGAAGAGGAATTGTAGTGTGGTCGAGTAGCCCGATCCAAGGACGTGCGAAATGGTTCCGCCCTTTGCGCTTGGACTAGTCCGCCGAATATAATCGGGGGAACATGTACATACATACAAAGCCGTTGGAATATTTCACTTGAAGAGGAGCAGCAAGTGTGTTGGAGATCCGAGGGTCGATCACTCATGAAGGACGGGGCCCTTCTGAGAGGAGGGGTGCATGAGTGAGTGACATGGTTTCCCCGCGTTTAATACCGGAGAGAACAGGATGCGTTAGTGGTGTGTAGACTATGGTACATATCGTATTTGATGTACATGGACGTATCCCATCCTGCAGCCCAAGCTGCGAGTTCCGAACTCTAGTTCACTATAAGTCGAAAGTCCAATACTTACCTAGTCAATTGTCTTATTCACTGTTCTCTCCTGTATTACTCCATCCTCAAGGAGTCTCTGCCTCTCAGCATCTCGGACTAGGGTTAGGGTTGTGCGTGAAGATATCTGCTATCTTCGACGTCAATTAAAGTTTCTCTTACTATCGATCAGCTCGAGGTCTAATCCTGTCCCTTGGCCACGCGATAAACTCAAACGCCCCTTGACATCTTTCCTCTCGGATCCGAATTAGGGGTCGAGCACAGACGGCAGACCATGGCAACTGCATCTCGAGTGCCTGTGCTGCGGCACCTGACGACGACCAGCTGCTGCCAGCTTCGAGCCCTTCGAGCGTCGAACCAGCGGCGATGGGCACAGGTCAGCGACGTGCGCTTCCTGACGACGACGCAGCCGCCCGAGCGCATTGTGCTGGAGAAATACCGCGAGAAGCTCGATCGCAAGGCGCGCGAGGAAGGGCTCCCCGACATTGACGCTCTGAAGAAGGCCTACGCCGACAAGATCGAGGCGCTACGGAAGCAGGCCGCCGCCGCCACCGCCCCTGTTGGCCTCGACGGCCCCTCGAGCATACTACACCCACCGCCACAACCACCATTACCACAGAGCAGCACGCCGTCCTCCTCCTCTTCCTCCTCCCCCTCCTCCTCCTCCTCTTCCCATTCCAAATCCGGCAGCACCAGCTTCCGCCCCTCGACGAACTCGGGCTCGGGTGTCAAGCCGCTAGACGGCATCCTCGACCTGCCCAAGGTGCGCACGCTGCCAATCCCCGAGCTGACGGCCATCTGGCGGCAGCGGCACGCGGGGCAGGCGAACTCGCTGTGCGCGGTGATCCCGGCGGGAACGTACGCGGCCATGGAGGCGACGGCGCGGCAGTTCCCGCAGTTCGTGGTGCCGGTGCCGCACCCGGGGCAGGGCGCCGAGATGCACTTTCTACAGTGGACATGGGACGCGTCGGTGCCGGGGACGCCGGGAACGGTGCTATTCACGCAGCTGGCCGAATACAAGGCGCGCGGCGAGTTCGCGGCGCCACACGCCACAGTCACGCACTACGCGGACCTGGCGGCCGACAAGGGCGTCGTGCTGATGCAGGGCCACGTCGCCGAGGACCGCGGCGTCTCCGTCGAGAACGCCCAGTGGCTGGTCCTCTGCCTGCAGCGCTTTTATGGCGGCTGGGACCCCGCCGCCGTCTCTAATGGCGACGAGGACGCCGTCGCCCTGGCCAGGGAGCGCGCCGCCGAGCGCAGGAACTTGCTGGAGTGGTTCTCCAAGGGGGACAGCCGGTTCAGCGTGGAAAAGCTACTCGAGGAGGCAGAGCGGGTGGGTTGAGACGTGTTGACGTCAACATTTGATGTTTGGAAACAGGTCTTGACAGTCTGTATGTGTACATGTGTAAAGATAGATGCTTGTATAGAGAACCTATGAAGGCTATGTGCAATACCAGATATTGCGTAAGAGAGTACTAGGGCGCATTCGAGGCGTTCATAGAGGGAGCCAGTCTAGACGGGGCAACGAAGGGATCGTCCACACTCAGTACATTAATCCTAGAAACCCAAATGAAGCATTACGATTTCTTCTCATCCTGAGTGGATTTTATTTGGCGTTCTAGCATTCTCTAATTAGATATTCACGAACCAACTTATACGCTTTACCAAGTACATTTCATGATACCTGGCTGAGCCATTATTCAACATTCGCCCCCTCCTTCTGGTTCTCGTCAGCTTACGTTGGTGTCTCAAAACTCGAGACAGCAATCAAGGGTAGCCCGAGCTTTGCAAAACCACACTTTCTAGCAGGCCTAGAGTAGGAGGGGAAGAATATCGACAAAAAGGATAAGTAATAAATCTATTAAAATATTTTTTTAAAAAAAAATGTAAAAAACAAACGCTCTACATCTTGTAAGTTCCGGAGGCGATTTGAACGCCTAACCTACCGGACTACAGCCGGTTCCTCTACCCCTAAGCTACCAGAACGAAGAGTGGATGGTTGATGTGAACGTATCTTCGAGTATCGCCGCATGTAGATGCACTAAGAAGAAAAAAAGAAACAAAGAAACAACCAACTGTTTTGGGAAAGTGGAAAAAATAAAACAAATGTGAAAAGAGGATCACATAGAGTTCCGAAGGCGATTTGAACGCCTGACCTACCGGACTGCAGCCGGTTGCTCTACCCCTGAGCTATCGGAACCGCTTCACCAAAGCACGGATGGAGAGTTGTTTCGATGCGGAGCGAGGCTCCACGAGTCATGCCGTATTTGGCGGCTAATCCGATTCCTATGAGATGAGCTTAGCCTACTTAGTAGATGTAGTAAGATAGGTAAGGTACTTACATAAGTAGAGGTATTTCCGTTACATTACATATTATCCCCAGACGATAGAAATAGAAAATTTAAAAAGAAACGCGTGCCACTATGAGACTGTCCTCCAAGTAAAGTAAGCAGCAGCAATTCTCGGCTGCGAAAGATGTCTGGCTTGAAGTGTCTTTATTCAACATGAACGGAAACGGATGCCGGCAACGGACAAGAGGGAGAAAGTCTTCAAGAATAATTTCACATCTCCGTATAAAGATCTAAGATGCCTTTTTCGAGTTCTACGCGAATCAAGCTAGGGGGATGGGCAAGAAGAGAGAAAGAACAAGTAAAATGTAAGTTATTAGAAGTGACATATACAAGAACCAGAGAGTAGCAGTCATGCGCCTTCGTAACGGCAACGTCATTTGTTCGTTATCCAAGAAGAAACAAGCCCAATATCGGCGCCCGCGGACAGTACCCGTCACGGCGTTGGCTAATGTGGTGGTGGCGGTGGTGGTGGGGTCATAGACATAATAATGGTCCTAGGTGCGTATTTGAACGCTGCATAGCTCACGTGGCGTCTAGTTCATGCTTGCATCCCACTGGCAAATGGCCCCGATCCGAACTTACATGGCCAGGACCGGGACCGGGCCCGGTCCCGGTCCCGGGTAATGACCGCAGCAGCGGCGTTCGCGAAAAGGGACATCAATCTGTCGCCGCTGGCAGCAAAAGAAAGAACGCCTCTAATCACAAGGGCCTGGCGTTTGTGTGTGCGTTGGTAGGTGTCGTCGAGCCATGTCGGCAAGGCTGGAGATTGTCTTTTCCCTCGAATTACAACTTCGATCAGTCGAAATAAGTGGACTCGACAGCACTAGAGGCTCAACTCGGCTTTCCCATAAGTCCCTTAGATGCGGCCACATGTCCAGGTCCGCAAAGTCCGGCCCGTGGCAGTTACATATGCCACATAGACGTCAGTCTCTGCCCTGGCCTAAACCATGGGTGGTGCGTCATCTGTTCGGCTGGTCCCGTCGGGCCAAACATCACCCAGCGACCCATTTCCACATGTCTGATTTGGACTGCTAAATATCGACTAAGGAATCAAGACAGAGATATTTCGCAGTATTGAAGGGAGAGACTGCGCCGTCAAGATCCGCCACCCAGATCCGCCACCGAAGGCACCAGCTCGGACGCTCTGGGTAGGGAAACGTATATTATATGCCTGGCTGTTGTATATCGGCTGCTCCCATGATGTTAGGCCCGAAGTCTCTCGGCGGCCGTCCTGACAGCAAAGCCCAGGAGAAAATGCGGCAGCGGCGAGTTACAATTGCTGGATCAGGCTCCACCAACGGGTATTGGCCACCCTTGAAACCTCACGCGGCTATTGGTCAACTCCCATATCCCAAGAGGATGAAATGCAAAGCCCGCGGACGGGAACTACTTCCATGTATAGAGCTTGAATCGCGATGTGACAGGTCGGTCGGGCTTCTCATTAGCCGCGAGTACACACGGCGTCGACAGTCGCCACATTAACGGGGCTTGGGATACCCAACGGCAATCTGATATTGCCATTGGTGGTTCGGGTTATAATTCCAGAGCCGTGCATTCAAGCAGTTGGCATACCAGACGAAGACTTTGCTTCGGGACCAGACAGTCGGGACAGATACAGCTGAACCCTCGTATCTAGGCCACATGCAGGATCTATCCCGGCTCATCACAGTAGAGCAAGCGACCGTCAGCAGCATGTTGGGGGCTCAGTTGGTCCGTGATTCGGGGGCGGAATATTTATTGAAACAGACTGTCTCGGCACAGTGGACTACTGGTCTGTGTTTGCAGAACGCCATGGTCAAGCTGACCACTAGCCGTGCTCAGGGAGGGCCTCTTGTGAGCACCTCGCCAAGTGGCGACGAGGACAGTGGCTCGGAAAGAGACGGTGTCAAGAGTGGAGTGACGGTGAGAGAAGGCAAAAGACGCAAGTCCCGCTCGAGTCAGTCGGGCAAGGAGAGTCCTGGGATTTCTATTTGCAGCAAGCCATCATGTGAGGCAAAGGAATAGCCACCCGGCGATAGGGCAATACAATACCACATCCGAATTTCACGACCCAGTTCCGAAGTCGCACCCGGAAGACGGTGAGAGCAGGGAGCGGAAGTTATAAACATAAAGGCTCGAGTTTCCCCTGCAGGGACAACCCGAATACGTTCAATAATTCACCCCCCAAAGCAGCTTACTTCCTCGGACTTGTCTTTTCCAGCTTACCGAAACTGTCCGGCAACAAACACGTCTTGATAGTGTCAACTCGACGTCCGCTCAGAACGTTGAAAGGTAAGTGGTTCTCACAGGCTAACAGGCTAGACGCTAATCTTGCCAGCCTAGTGTTGTCGGCAGAAAGGGGTTGAAAGAGGCACCAAAGGATCCACGACTACCGTGGAAATTGTTCGGCACCATGTCTCAGAAATACTGTGACCATCACACCGTCCACAACTGCACGGCCATCGTAGCAGCGGATAAAGCACTTTGCGACAATTGCGCAAAGGGAGAATGCCCTTGACAGATTGGGTGTAAGCTAGAGTCTTGAGGCGAAGAAGCTAGAGCTCTGCTTGGGGGCAGGGGTTGGGTTATGTGACCAGGTCCGCCGCCGTTGGGCCACGAGGTCGGCCGGGCAGGTGGAAGGCGAGGAACAACGGTAGGAGCCGGGGTAGCTGTGGCACAGAGCCTTTGCCTCTCAAGGGAAACCATTGATGGTATGAACCCCGGTTTCTGGAGGGACTTAGACTGACTGGAGAACTTGCAGTCAAGCGGTTGGGCTGGGCAGTGTAAGCGAGATGGTAGATTTCGGATGGCGGAGGATGCAGCGAGGAGCGAGGTGGTAGTTAAAGAATATTCGACATGTTTTCAGGCCGCCAAGCAATATCCAACCCCGAGACCTTCGAGTATCACTCCAACATGCGAGACTCTAGGATGGCGACATCCAACGAAAGCAGCCCCTTAAGGAATCGCCGCCCTTTTTGGACGTCGGTGTGACAGTGGGTGGGCTGTAGACGGGCCTCTATTCGATGCTAGAATAGTTAAGACCGATACACGGGGGTACAGTACTGCGGGACTGCGGGACTGCGGGACTGCGGGACTGCGGGAGGGTGTGTTAGGTGAGACATTGGATGAAGAACCGGAAGTTAGGCAAGCCAGGGCTAGGGCACCTCAGTATGTAGGACAATTGTTGGGCTGAGGCTTGGACGGGACAGGGGCCAATCTTAGATGTGAGCTTTGCTAAGGAAGAGGAAAAAAGAAGGAGCCCCCCACGCCCTAGAGGTGACGGGATATGTCTAGCTGAGAAATCGAGATTGAAAGCCCGAAACGTTTAAAAACCGGAGGCACCGTAGGTGACGAGGAACTGTGTGTTTGGGATGGATTTTTAAAAGTGGGAGCTTGGCCCGGCTGCTCCTCCAAAACATTTCAAATTGAAAGTGCAAGAGCGATGTCGAGGCACGGTCGGTCTTGCGTCGGTGTTGGGACGGATTCTCGCCCATCGAAGTTTAACCGAACGGCGCAAAACCTGGCAAGCCGCAAAGCTGCACCAGATCATCCATCGTCAAACAACGGCCACTTTTTAAAAATAGATTTAACCAACGCCAACGCCATCGGCATCACCTCGCACCAATCAAAGTCGATGAAAGAGTGTATGTACGTACATACTTAGTCTCAGGTTGAGAATCTGTCAGATTTACCTTTCGAGAACATGACTAACGGCCTCGGGGCGGTGCATCAAGGCTTGGCACGCCATCGGTCATTAAACGGAAAGTGACATCAAATCAGGAGAGCATGTGTTGAGAGAGGTATTGCGTGTTTGTCAATTGTTTTTAATTTGTTGATCATTGGGCACTATGTGCAAACGCCCATGCAAACAACGTATGAGACTCCCTAATGGTTCTTTACGAATTTTTAATCAACTCCTCAAGATGGACGGCGAACACATGTCTTGGGGGTATCACGTTTATTCAACAACGCCAGTCCAGTAGCCCGGTGTGAATAAACTAGAACAGAACTTCTCATGGGTATCAGAACCCCCCAATCTCCATCCAAAAACACTCCAAACATCACTTCCCCTGAGAACGAAATAATATGTGGCAATGATAGAAGTGAACCAAAAGAACCAACGCCAAATGGGCGGTTCAGATGCAAGTCGTGAGGGGCGTCTCTAGATCAGAGGAATAATGAACATGTCGAGTATGTATGAGAAGATGGCCTCCTAGCTATACATATTGATGCCCGAGTTACCGAGAAGCTTCCACTTTATGCCAGGAAAGCCACCCCGGCGCCTAGAACACTGAGCAAAAGTCCAGACTGGACAAAGAGACTGCCAGCACCGCCAGTCGCGAGCGACGAAGTGGCTGTCGTCGACTTAGTTGGGGTGGACGATCCACCTGGAGTCCCAGTTGGCGCAGGCGAGGACGTGTAGATGACAAAGCTGCTGGTAGAGTTGCTGTAGGCGGTAGGGCCGGCGGAGGAGGTCGAGTTCGACAAGGGATATACCGGGGCCGAGGTGGAAGTGCGAGCCGGGCAATCGGTGACGGTGGGATTGCAAGAGGTGATGGTGACCGTCTTGGTCATTGTGGAGGTGCTCGTTGTGGTCTCATCGCCTAAGGCGTCGGCCGCGACCATGGACATGAGGCTAGTGGCCAAGATGACGAAGAGGCTCTTGAGCTGCATTTTGGCTGATTTCCAACACAGAATGTATCCAAGAGATGGTGTTGACGAGATGTGGTTAAAGACTGACGTCTGATTCGTGACAAGGGTCGAACAATGAAGATCGGAGGCTAGTTCTCGTGATATAGCTTTTGGTGCTTTTTCTGAATGAACGGGACCGGCGTTTGTCTTGAGAAGGAGAGATTTAACAGACTGGACTCGCAACGTCAAAAATGAGTGTAAGGCTGAAGCCGAAGCGACAAGCAAAAGGAGTGTGGATAGACGCTGGAATGGCGGTGGAAGGGAAAGAGAGGGGAAAGGGGAGGATCCGGAGGACGGAAAGGCGGGTGTGCTCCTTTTTCTACGGCGCCCCCAAAATGGAGAAGTGCAAAGATTTCGTGGGCACCATCCCATCGGACGACGGATTCGCGCTGTGTCTGTGCTCCCCAGCGGGTGCCGGGGGGAGGCGTGGAGTGGCCGTGGATGAGGCCTTTGCCAATTGCCACACCTTGGAAGGGGCAGGCGCCCGTACCTTGCAGAGAACAAGCGGGAAGCGACGGCCACTTCTGCAGGCAGGGCGGGCCACGATTGGCCAGTCGCGCCCCCCTTGCCAAAAAAACAACTCCAGAATTAAACAGATCGGCCAGTTGTTTTGCGCGGTGCGGAGACCTTTTGCTGTTGGCAACCTCGCTAGTCCCTGTTCAGCTTAATGGCTGAGCCAGGCACAACTGGGGCAATGGCGGCCCAGAATCTTGGCCAGACACGCACCGGCCTGGCCAGTCGAGGCAACTCTGCCAGTGCAGCAACAGGCAAAAGGCATCGGTCACGCAACCGCAACCTAGCCTGCAGACTTTCGAGAGTGCAGCTTGTATCTGGAGTGATATAGTGCCACGTTTCCCATGACTGTTGTTGCTACCGAGCCGTGTTATTCTAGATTTAGAGAACGAGATACCTTGGTTTGGCAAAGCCGTTGGTTTCCTTTGGTACGTATTCGCACGGCCAACGTGTGGCGTGATGGGAATTGCATCCCGGCAGAGCGGAATAAGCAGCGGTTGACAGTTGGCGGCAACCAATTGATAACACCAGGCCAGCGTTACAGAGCCGAGTCTAAACCCAGACCACCTAAGTGAAGGCACAACAAGCTAGGATACAGAAATACAGTTCTCAGTTTTGTGTGTCGGCGGGGAAGCTTGCTACTTGCACTACAGAATATCGAAATGAATATTAGAAAAAGCCCTGAACCTCGTGTTTATCTATCCGTAGGTACGGCATAAATATCGAAGGCGTTCTGTATCACAGCTGTACGCTATCGCATTTAGAGGTACACAACAGCATCTGTACTTTTAGGTTGTGTTCGCCGAGGCCCTGCTCCGAGATATTCAAAGGAAATGAAGAAAACGAGGGATTTACTTAGTATACGTAGGCAGGTACGAATTCAGCAAACCCGGGAATTGCAGTGTCCTCACCCGCCTTCGGGAATGAGGTTCACCGGGGATAAGCCCCGCATGGGAAACTGTGACGGGGTTGCTTGTGCGCCGGGGCGGAAGTTGCAGTGGTTCTACGCCATGGGCTTGAAACAATCTACAACCTAATCCGCAAATTACCAGCCAAAGCGCAAGCCATCGAAATTTAATTAGAAGGTTGATTTGACTTCTCGAAAGCAAGGACAGACCTGGCTCTAACGGTCTGCGCAGTGGACCCTCAAATCTCTGTGAAGTGATAGACCCATCAGTAATCAGTCGAGTGGACATGACCAAACTGGAACGACGGTTAAATAGCTAGGTCATCGGTAGGCGTGTGAGGCTGCCGCAAATTCATAATCGGCTTCTCTAGGTAGGTAAAATACCATCGTCTCTACATTTCTCACGGCATGCAAGTTTCTCCCCCCTTTCCAAAGCAGACGTCTGTTTACACCGCTGTCGAACGTCCTCGCCGTCTCCAACCCTCGTACGAGGCGACGCGGCGATTGCAAGTAGTCGTAATGATAACCTCCCATACTACGGATAACACCACACACTTTCATGGCCGATAACAATAACAGCATCGGCAAGCTAGCTCGGCTGTTAGCAGCCGACAACGTTGTATTCATTGCACTCTCTTGACATTGTAGGAAGAGATAGAACTTGACGATTCTATATTTTGTGTTTCAACAAATACCATTTCCACTAGTGAAGAACACTCAAGGTAAGCCGCAGGGCAAGCAGGCCTTTCAGAGATTGGATTGTAGACTTAAATATCGCTCTAACTTGATTTCTCCCTTTGAGATTGTCACCTTAACCAGTCTCATATCCGGCGTCCACTGAATCCAAGGTTTACACGGATACGTATTATTGGGCTCAAATGTCTCTCAGCAACATCTCAAGAGGAAGTCCTACGCTGCAGACCATGTGCGCTGATGTCATGCTAGACATGGACACATAACAAGCAACACTAAGATAGCCGACACAACAAAGCCTCGTGACATCCAGGTCAAGAGGGGTCTGATTCGCGGCCTCCGCAGCTGATTGATTCATGACTGTTGCGACATATCGTTTCAAGTCTTTTCAGCCGGTTGTGTCAATGTCAATGGCAGTAACTCTCTCCCCCCCAACCCTGGTGGCATTAAATATTTTTCCCCCAGCGCAGCGAGGAAACCTTTAGACTCTAGTGTTAAGACAATTATGCGAGAGGAGAGGAGACATCCATCTCTTTTGTTGTTCTCCGAATGCGAGTCCAATTGTCATAACAACTGAACCCTCACTCTGCCCCTCACCTCACATGCCCCTCTCCATTTTCCCACGCAGTTATTACCCCGCAATAGACTACATACAGAGACCCCCCTCCTCGTCATTCTCCACGCCGTGCTCTGAAACCCAACCGGGCCTTGAAAATCCCAAGCAAATAGCGAGATAAGCAGCGAAGACGATAGGAAAAGAGTAGAAACAAAGAAAAAAAAGGAACCACTCAAGCCAAAAATGGCCAGCAGCACCGAGGCGACCTCGACGGGCAAGTCGTACTCGACCGACCCGGCGCTCTACATCTACACCTCGCTGACGGCGGGATCGTCACACATCGTCACGGCTACGTCGCGGCTTGAGACCATCCTTCGCGCCAACCGCGTGCCCTTCAAGGCCATCGACATCGCGACGGACGAGAAGGCGCGCATGATATGGGGCCGCCGCGCCGGCAAGGACGAAGGGGGCCGCCCGCGCAAGCTGCCCGGCTTAGTCCAGAGTGGCCTGGTGCTTGGTGTAAGTGTTTTGCTCTGCCTCTCCTCGCCTGCCCATCACCATTCCCCCTTGAACTCCTGGTTCACATGGACATTTTCCCCGTAAAAATCAGTCTTGGCTAACTACTGCGTTTTTTTTTGCGCCGTCGCAACAGGACCTTGTCGAGATCGAGGACTGGAACGAGTACGGCGAGCTCAAGCAGCACGTCACCATCTACTACGACGAGTTCACGCAGCCGCCCATCAGCCAAGCGCCCAAGACACCCGCGGCAGCGCCCGTCAAGGCCGCAGCCGGGTCTCTTGGCTCCTTTGCCGCCGAAGCCGCAGCAGCAGCAGCCACGGCCGCATCCGCATCCGCATCCGCATCGCCGGCGCCGCCTGCCCCTCCCCCAGCGCCGGTGCCCAAGAGCGCCTCCCCCACCGTGACAGCGCCGGGGAAGACAGTGACGCTGCCGATCCGCAGCATCGCCGAGGAGGCCGCACAAAAGGCAAAGCAGGTGCACCTCCAGAGCCTGCGCGACAAGGTATACGGAAAAGGGGGCTCGCCGACAGATGCAGAGTCGTCGTCACCATCGCCGGCTCCAGCAGCAGCAGCTGCTACAACAGCCAAACAAGAAGACAAAAAGAAGCCTGCCGTAGACGTAGAGGAGGGGGAAGAAGAAGACGAGTCTTCGAACGAAGAAGATTCAGACTCGGAGTCGGACTTGGAGGAAGAACCCAAAGCAGCAGCAGCAGGGACAAAACCAGCAGCAACCCTAAGAAAGCCCACGACGGCGCCCACAGCAGCGGGGCTCCAGTCCCCGACGTCGAGCGGGTGGAAAGACAACAGCGCCTTCCGGCTGCAGAGCCCGACGTCGACGACGTGGCAGCCGACCGACGTTGACGGGCCCGTGACTACTTATCTCGGATCTGTAGTGTCGCAGGCGTCGGACGAGGAGATTGCGGCAGTTGAGCGGGCCGAGACGATCCCCGAGGAGGACGAGGACGACAGTGAAGAGGAGGAGGAGGAGGAGAAGGGCAAAGAAAAAGAGAAGGATAAGCCCAAGAAGTGATTTTACTCTGTACCTGAGCTTTCTCCGTGGCGTAGCGTTAAATTTTATTGCACTTTTCAAGCCGAACACTAATATTGCGTGTTGAGCGTGTTGAGCAAGTATAATATCTCCCAATTCCGTAGCATTCTAAGTGTGGACAATCGTCTATTTATTAGGTCTAACACCTGGTGCACGACAAGTAGAAAGGGATGTTGATTCTATGAATTTAGTATATACTACGTGAGGATATTTAATGGGTATATATAACAAAATATATAACTAGCAAGTTAAATGCTTCGAAGGCGGGACATCGCTACGACAGGCTATTCACGCTGGTATAAGAGAAGAAATGAAAAAAATAAAAATAAAAAATTTTTAAAAAAAAAAAAAAAAAAAAAACATCATCCATTCATCCAGATGTTCCATAAATGCTCATTACCGCCATGGTTGGTATGTGGCGTTCAGATGCTTTTCTTTCACTCATTCATAAAAATGCCGTGGGTACGACGAGGGGGCACTTCATGGGTGAAGGGTCACCTCTCGTACTTGGGCAGCGGTTCGTGGGGGGCCGAAGGAGTATGCCGTGAAGATGAGGGTGCTGCTGAGCCGTAGCTATAATTAAAGCCATAATGAGTCTCCTCGTCCACTGCAGTCGGCGCAGACGGCTCAAACGTTGCAGGTATGGCGTTTGTCCCCATTGATGCAGGTGCACTGGGACCTGCTACCGCACCGCCGCCGTTGTCGTAGTCTTCCGGAAACTCCGGAGGCACGCTAGCTTCTGCTAACAGCCGCTGCCGCTCCAACTCCTGCTTATCCTCTGAAGAAGCAGCTTGAGGGCCAGAAGAAAGCTCCTCCAGCGTTGGCGCTGTGGGGGCTTCGAGGTGATCCGGGTATTCGGCGTGTGATGTTGTTGTCGCGAGTCTAGGTATCGACAGCCGTGGACTATCCGCATCGTAAATGTTTTCGCCTTCGGGGAATACCGCTGTTGAGGGCCCTGCAACCAGAGGCTCGGATGGTTGACTCGGTAATAATCTTTGCTCAGCGCGCCTGACGCGCTCCTTTTCAGTCAGGTTACTCTCTTCAGGTATATCTGGTGGCGGGATATAATGGGGAGCGGATATTGTCTCCGACGGAGCAGGATTCCAGTAAGGGTATTGCTGAGGCAAATGGGGCGGTGATACAGGTTCCTGTGGGTAGCGATGGTGTCCGTGATCTTCGGTGTCATAACCCTCATTCTCGAGGGAATTTGGCCAACCCCTTTTTTCTCCATGGCTGCCGTTATATAGATCCGACTCGAGGACGGGTAAGGTACGTATAGAACGAGCGGCCTTCAAAAGGCCTTTGCCATGTAGCCGACTGCTGTCTGATGTGCCGACAACAACTTCGAAAACCACAGAAATGACACCCTTCTCGCGGCGGAGCCTGTCAGTGTCGATGATGCTTGTGCCGAATGAAGCCAGAGAAGGCGTGCCACCTTCATAAGGACTAGGCGACATTCCTAATGGTGCCCCAACGTTCCCAATCCGCGGGCCGACTGGCTTGCCAAGGTGTATTTGCTTTGCGAGTTTCCCGCCTAGGTCCACAATGACCTCGATTTGGTATTTAAAGGCTATCATCTCGCCGGGAACATTTTTGATCGTGGGGAAGACGTCCTCTGGAATCCGCACCGACGTCGTCACGCTGGCAGTCAATGTGTCGGGGTCGATGATGAGGGGGGTGAACGCCTGGGATAGATCCTTTCGAAACACGCTGCACGAACCCGCCGACGACAACGAGAGCCCCCCAAGACCAGTCTTCGACTTGGGATAGTAATCTTCCTTTTCCACGCGCTTGGCATCGTCGTTGGAAAGCTCCCCAAATAGAGGCATCGGAGGATCAGAGTCTATACGCCCTTGTCTGTAAAGGGTCACTATGACGCCGTGCATGCTCTTTATCCTCCTGATATGCTGCACAGATATCTTGACTGGCACTAGATCCCCCGCGAGGCAGCCACCTCTTAACAACTCGATGGTTGCCGTGATGGTGCGATCCTTGATAGAGGGAATTGGTTTCCCGCCTACCGAGGCGCTCGAGACGCCCGCGGGATTTACCTCGCCGCCCCTGGTTCGTCCTGTGCTGCCGCTGGCAGCACTATCGCCGCTGACACTCCGAATGTCGCTTTGAATGGGGCTTCGGGGGTTGATACCGAGAGAGTCATGACCCAAGTCCTCCCCTACCACCGATAGGGAACCCTCAGTAGAATTCTCATTGGCACGGGTAGAGTCCAAATCGGATGCCGGCTCGAGCAAGTCGGACGCGACCGATGTTCTGTCCGCGCCGCTGGCCACCTGCTTCTTCTTCTTTGCCTTTTTCGAGATGGGCTCAAGGTAGATTGTGCGAGCCCGTGGTGGGGTCAGAAGTCCGATATCGACCTTCTCGACGAGATAGACCTTACGCTCGCAGCTTGCTGTGGGTGATATGGATGTTGGGCGGGTCAAGGTCGCCGTTATCATGTATGAGATGGTACCGCGCTCAAACTGGTAGGTTGAGAGGGGTCAGCAATCGTTGCAACATAAACACGCGAGCAAGCGACCAGCCCGGTCGGGCGGCGGCACAGCACATACATCAATACTGCTCGGCAGACCCTTCGAGGGGAAGAGGAGATCGAAATTAAATTCATATCTTCCAGGCTCGAGCCTGCCGTCGGAACTGAGGACTTGCTCGTCCTGAAACAGCGACGCGTAACCATTACCCAGGTATTTTAGACGCGTCCCATGTCTGGCAGCGGCCGGCGCCTCGGCGGGATTGATTACAGGGTCGTTTGCAGAGCCGTTTGGGTTCTTGTATACGCGAACATAACCGTGCAGGGCGACGGTAAGGTGGGTAATGCGGACCGGCTTGACAACGGTCAAGATCACAGCGCCCTGCACATGATCGCCGGCGCCGTATTTGCGGTGAGGCTCGGCCGGCCTGATGTGGAAGTCTGCGACGTTGCGGGCGCGCGCCCGGAGGGGCAGCAGGCCAAATCGCGAAAGCAGTGAACGGGTCGTCGACGTCTCCTCGAGGGAGGCCGATGTTGACACTTGGGCGGACGCAAAGGCAGAAGCAGAGGCGGCGGCGCTGTTGTCGACGGTCTTCGGGTTGGGGCCCATCTAGGCTCGCTGCGGGGGTTGGTGAAGCGAGCGGTTGTCTTGCGTGGTCGTTGACGGCGCCGGTCCAATTACTACTAGGTATGGGCTCGCGAAGAAAAGGCAGTGGCAACGAGTCGGGTAGCAGAGCTCAACGGCGACTGGGGATGTTGATTGCAAAGGGCCAGGCTGGGCGAGCAGGCGTGGGGGACTGCCGGACAGGGTATCGCCTCCCATCCCATGCAGCAGCGCAGGCAGGCTGGCAGTGAGGGCAATACGCGGGAAATCGGTCGGGGCTGCCGGAGGCCTGAGGAACTCGCAGCCGCCGAGGCGATTGATGATATGGTGGAGGGGCTTGACGAGAAATACCTAACCTAGAACTAGAACTACCTTACTCGGTACCGTAGGTAGGCCAAAGGTTCGAGGGTGACGGACACCTCAGCTTGTCGGGTTGCATATGCCAAGGCTCGACTGAGTGCTTGGCTTGCCAAGAAGGGAGAAAAGACTGAGTGTGGGGAGAAGGCTGGAAACACGACGACGGTATGGTGCCAAGCGGGAGAGAGGGAGCACGAGAACGATATGGGGATGCGTGCGATGCGGAGTTGGGCTGCGGAACATCTCCCGTTGGGAAAGCTTGACTCGATCCTCTGGGGCTGTTTGGCCAGTTGGCGCCGAGGCTGCCCGTGGTATTCAAATGCTGAGTGGCTGTCTTTGGTGCATGACAAGCGACCCCCGAAGTGTCCCAGATATGCTAGCGTGTGCAACGGTACTGTACCCGTCCGCTTCCATATTAGTACCTTGCCTCAGGTTAGTTCTTATCTTCTCCTTCCGTCACTTCCATGCAGTGCTTGCTGGCAACACAAGTTCTTTCCGGTTTGCAACCGTCAGTCAACTAAGGTAAGATAGGCTCTGACCGATACTTCGATGGATACCACTTGGCCGCTGTGCACTTTGCTTGGCACCACTTCCTCCCTTCAACCAAACTCAATTCCATCAAGACGCGTAACGTGCTTACCTGGGAAAGTACCAAGTCGTCACGAAGTGGGGTAGTTAGGTGGTCCCCAGCTTGGATACGGATACCGGGCCGAGCTTCACGAAACAGCACTTCACAACCAGTGTATCCATCCATGAATATACGGGGGCCCCCGCGCCAGCGCATCGCCAGAAATGCTGACAAACTGATTGCGAGGTTGTTTCGTGAAACTTATCCGGGATAGCTCGAAATAGCTCAACCGCTCAACGGCTTGATGTCATGGGCTCATCAAGGTGCCTGCCGGGCTAGCGACCCAGAGACAGCCCAACACCTCAGGCGGTGGCGGTCTTCTAGACTCTTATGGACCCATGGCCCTTTGCTCGCCAAGACAGGCGCGGTCGCAATAAGCTCATTACGCTGCGGGAACGGCGATAAGCTGCATGGAAGCCAAATGTTCAAGCAAGGCGGTCAGAAAGGAAACGAGCTCAAAGGAGAAACTGACGAAATGGTTGCGGGCGTTCTATAGGGCTGGGCCGCCAATTCCCTTGGCATGGCACCTTGGCCGCGCTGATCACAGTGCCCGTCACAGTCGCCGTAAGCCCTCGACCTTGAAAAATGACGAGAGGCCTTGGCATTTAAGCGCCTATCGCGGGGTTCTGACAGCTGTCAGCTGAGCGTCAGTCTCGGGATTAGTAAAGAGTATTTTGTTGGTGTTACTGCCACGAGCCAGTGTTACCTATCACGGTTCAGGATTTAGCCCAAGGCTGGCTTCAAGGTTTTCCGGGTAGGTACTGTATTCTCAGGTCCGTACCTTTCAAACAACCGTGGGGGGGGGGGTCCTGGCTACCTTAGCTTTGCTGTATGGCCTATGGCCTAATTCAAGTTCCGCGCTTCCAGGTTGCCAGCAAGAAAGACGAGTGCTATCTGTGCTTGCAAGCTTCTGGAGCGCCGTGTGACCCAGTCTCAACTGCGTTAGTCAAAGTCACCCAATCAAATGCCCCTCATAATGGGCGCAGCAGCAATGATGCCATTACAGTCTTCGTTTGATCAAGTAGGCTTTCCTTTTTGAATCTTTTTCTGGAAAACAATAGGGTGGGCAGCAGAGCGGTGGCGTGGGAACCTGGAATGAGTTTTGAGAGGCAGGTGAGATCCAGACCCCCTAGAAACCTTAGCTTTGCGCCTTTAGTCAGTTGCAGTGGGACTGGCACTCACACCTTCCATGGATAGCTTTGGCGACACTTACTGGCAGACGTACCTTACTTACTGAGGTGTATGCAATATTTGTTGCCGACCTACCTAACCTACCTGGAAGGTAAGGTATGGATGTGCTGTCCATCCAACATACAACGATAGTACTATTGTCAACCTAAGCACCGAGTAGCAGTGGAAGGTTGGAAGTGCTTTTATCCCGAGAATCGAGCAGAGAGTCAGCCGCTAGAGCACAAGACTCGCCTTCTCGATGCCAAGCTGCAACAGAAACAATAGTTTATGGGCCCTGTGAAACATGGGCCCCTATTCGCCCGGGCACCGTCCATCCCTTGCTGCCGGCACTTTCAATGCCCAATTCCTCCTCTTTTATCACGACCACTTACAGAATACAATCAATCGTGTCTGACTGCCCAACTCGATCGAGGAATAAACCCCGTCGCCAATACCTACACCCTTGACAATTCCAACCCCCCAAAAATTCACCCGCAGCGTTGTAAGCCATGTATGAGGTGTCGGGAAAATGAGAGACATTACCGAGCTGCCACATGACCTCTTCCTTGTCGTGATATCTTACCTGTCGCCGCGGGCCTGCGTTCGCTGTCGCCGAGTCTCACGGCAATGGCTTGCTGCCTTCACGAGCGACGGCACCTCGCGCCTGCTCCTGCGCCGGAACTTCCCGCGATGCCGTGAGATTCGCCTAGCCACTGCGGCGGCAGCAGCTGCAGTGCTCACGACACTTGGGCCGCTATCGTCAATAGTGTCAAACAATAATCTGAGGGCTGAGCTGGCGTGCATGATTGCCCAGCAGGAGTCAACCCCCGGCAAAACCTGGGCTCCCGCGTTTGCTGATGTCGCCCGTCGATACTACCACCTCCGCCAGGGACGACCCCGCATCATCGAGAAACTCAACCTCCCGGACAAGGCCTCGCCTGGCGGCTTCTCGTTCCGCGGCGTAGCCACATGGAACCGCTTCCTTCGCCTCGACGAGAAGACGGCAAACTTCCACTACCCCGACCCTATCTGGTCGTACAGCCAGGAAGACGGCGTCCTGGTGTACCCGTCCGCCGAGGCGTGTTGCGGGCATGCTCCTGCTCCCAACGACCCCCATGAACAGGGACAGGTACAAGGGCCACACCCGCAAAGCCAGTATGACGGATACGTTTACCAAGTTCTCGACCTGGCCACCAAGCAACAAGTTCCTGTCCCTTTTGATATCCGCCAGAAGCACATCCGGCGCGTCCGACTGGCTCAGGGGGTGCTTGTGTTCGAGTGGGCCGAAGCGCACCCATACCACCAGCTGAACGACCGAGAGGTTGTGCATAGGCACTTCGTGACCGTGTTCGATGTTGTCCGTGTTCCGACCCCCGCGGCCACGACGACTGAGGGCCGCCGCTCAGACCAGTTGACATGGGAGGTGACCTTCCGGTGCGAGTTCAAGCTTCATTTCCTCGGCCTCCCGCTGAATCGATTCGATCGCTTCTTCTCGGCCCACACGTCCACTCACTGGGCTGTGTATTTCTGGCAGCCTAACCGCTCGCTCTACCAGGACGACCCCATTGAGCAGCTGGCCGTCTGGGACATATCGTCGCCTAGCTCGTATCGCCCTTCGGAAGATCCGAGGGGCGACAAGGGGCCCCCACCAAAAAGGACTCCTCACTGGTCAGCAGTTGGTCTGTGGAGCGGCGTTAACGGCACGCACAATGATGGGGACGGCGCGGCAGCTGCCGACCCAGGCGCCGATCCCAAGACACGTGCTCGAATCTCACCAGCCAGTGCCCCCATCGGGCCGCGGGTTATTAGACGCATGGCGTGGAGGGAGCTCGACTTCTACGGTCTCCGTCAGCGTGCCACGCCCCAGCTTCGGAGCCTGGCCCTCGATGACCGGAACTTATACGTAGTTGAAGAAGAGCACCGATGGGCCGATGGCCAGCACAGCTGGCTGACACCGCCGCGAGTTCACTTCGTTTGGTGTACCGGAATCCCAATTGTGCCAGTACCGACATCGGGGTATCCTGGCGCTGCTCCTGGTGACGATGCGCAAACACCCAGCGCGGCGTCCGCCGTTGTCGACGGCCCCGTCGTTGGCCCCGTCTGGGTCGATGCCTGCGGAGCTAACGGCGACGTGAACATGAGTTTCTGCAGTAGAGTCGCCAGCAGCGCAAACGCCGACGACGCCGCGTCCGGCTCGGCGTTTGGGTCCTGGCCGCCTCCGCTAGCCGGGGCGCTTGAGGTCGCCAGCCCCGAGGAACTCGTGAAGCAACTCAAGCGCCGACCAGGCGCCGGAGGCAGCAGCGCAACTGCCGCGTGGCCCTGGGCCCTCGTCAGCGACGGCCCTCCGGGCGGCTTCGTAGCCGAGCCTCCTGCGCGGTGGCTAGGCCTGGCGCCGTGTTGGCGCCACGAGGACTTCCCTTACCTGACGGTCTCCGAGATGGTTGATTTTGCCGCCGGAGTCCGCGTCACAGCTCGGCATTGCTTCATGCTCGAGACGTTGTCGGTGCATGTGCGTCCCGCCATCTCGGTCAAGGGGGCGGCCGCTGAAGTGGACGACGACGATGAAGATGGCGGTAGTAAGATCTCCAGCCGAAAGGCAACCAAGAAAAAGAAGAGGTCAAAAATCGGTAAGAACGACACCCCCGGAAGAAGCGAGGAGGTACAGTTCCCTGACTACTTATGGTCAGAGCTTCTTGCCTGTGGCCACATTGCCGGTGACGAGCGGTGGATAGTGGGCGAGGACGACAGCGGGCACATCACAATTGTGAGGTTTTGATGAAAGTCGAGCATGTCCTTTTCTTTCGCGCGGACATACTACACCTATTCGCTTCATTGCTTTCTCCTTCTCTCATTTTTTTTTCTTTTTGGTCCGGCTTAGAGATGCTAGCAATACTATCTGCACGTGTCTAGAGACCTAAGGTAGACTTGGTAGAATAATAGAGAGAAAAATACATTTCACTCCAGACAGACGAGGCAAGTGATATTGTGCGGGATGAAAAGTGTTCACCTAGGGACCTTGGGTACGGCTGAGTGGGCGGCTCGTTGAAAATATCATGGACTCTAACTCGTACTCACTCGTATAGCACATTTTGAACAGAACCAATCCCGTTTATCGTGTACGTGGCGAACCCTCCCCCTCCCACCCCCCAACACTAACAGAGAGGAAAACACTTAGACGCCCCTTACCCGTCATATGCTAGCACACCAAGGAAATAGAGAAACCATCTTCCGTTACGCCTCCCAATTGCAGAGAGAAAAAGAAACACATCACATCATCAAAAACCCAACCTCTTCAAAGTTTCTCACTTTGCCCGAGAGGAAACTACCACCGCTCCAATCCTGCTTCGCTCTCTCCCCCCACCCCCTCGGTAATGATTGTATACACAGGGCGGGCCATCGATAAAAATCGACAGCCGTGAATACGATATATAGAAACTACATCTTCATAGGTTTAGGTGTTCGTTTCCTTTGTCAGAGTCTCCGCTTGATACCTCCACGGCAAGGGTTAGGTCTTCGTTTTCTTTGTCTGAGTCTCCGCGCGATTCATACTAGGAAGTAGCCGCAGGAACCTGTAGAAATCTTCCATAATACATGTCGAGCCATTTGGCTGCCTCCTCACCCGAATCATCAACGCTCGAGTCCCACCGTCCGATAGAACCCACGTAGCCGTCGGGGCGGACGTTGACGATGGCCACCTCGCCAGGACCAAGACTGCCAAGCCACTTGTTCGTACATAGCGACCCGCGGGTGTCCAGCTGAGGACAGTCGTCGAGGTAGAAAGTCCAGCGGCTGTCTTGGAACAAGGCAGGTAAATCTGTGATTTCTATCTCGCTTTTGGGCATTGTAGCTAAGAACTCGCGCGTTAGCAACGCCTTCCACCGAGTGAAGGTAGAGTCAGGGGACTTACTGATGAGGCCAAACGTGAAGAGGTGGCTGACGGCGGTATAACGCTCCGGGCGAATATACAGATCCTCGGGCGCAGGCAGCCGAGGCTGCTTGGCGTAGGAAACACTGGCGGCAGCAGACAGTTGACTTACAAGCGAGTCACTGGAAGCAATCGCCTCACAAAAGGTGTCAAGGAAAATGCGGGTTTGGTGCACATCCCACATCAGCAGATATATCCGAAACTGGCCAATCATGGGTATGTCGAGTTGAATATCGACCGGGTTGGAGTCCAGATACCGAGTGACCTTGGCTGGTGGTAGTAGGCAACCTGGCTTGGCCTCTCCCATAACCCAGGACTCGGGTTCCACCATATTGATGGCGTTCTCGCTGTACTCGGCCCCTATCCCAGAGATGAAACGCACATTCGTCTTAAAATTCTCAGCAAGAGCAACAGCATCTCCCGCGGCGATTTGGTTGGCATGCTCATAATCAAAGTTAACCAGGTCCAGCGCAATCTTCCTGCGTTCCCCCTCGTAGCTCTGAAGCAGAGCTTGCTTTGCAAGGCCACGGGCTGCAAGATTGAGTTTCCATCCGATATTCCAAGCATCATGCATCGACGTGTTCATGCCCTGGGCGGCCTTTGGCGAGTGCGTGTGACTGGCGTCTCCGGCCAGAAATGCGCGCAAATGGGGGTCGCAGAAGCGGCTTGCTACTCGCTGACCAATCTGGTAACGACCAAACCACTCAATATATTTCCACCCTACCTCAAAGGGTGCCATTATGTCCATTGCGCGTTGCATCACAAAGTCCTGGCCGAGCTGGTTCCTATCGACTTTACCGCTCTTCAGCTCGATATAGAACCTTGTCATGTTGCGTTCTCGGGGTATGATGAGGATAGAGCCGTATTCCTGTGAGTAGACAAGCGTCTTAGACCAGATGTCGGGGAAGTCGGTTATCAACTCTCCATCTAGCACACCCCAGACAGACGCCTGCGACATTCCGACAGGACGGGCGTCGGGTATGCTTCTCCGAACCTTTGAATGGGCGCCATCGCCTGCAGAGACGTTAGAGGGGCTTCGGAATCTCATGGCACGACACAAGGGAACCCACAGCCAACAAGATATTGCGAAAGAAAGGTCTTCCGATCCTGCGTCACGTTTGTACGGCAATTGACTTGCAGCGGGCCGCCCTGACCGTCGCAAACACTATACGAGTCAAAGGCAGTATTTCTCCGCACCTCAACTCCACGTTTCCTTAGGTCTTCGATGAACAGACTCTCGACCATCCCTTGGTGAACTAGTAGGATAAACGGGTCCAACACGTCGATGACGGGGGGGTAATGAACTTCGCGACCAAGGCGGTGTAGTGGCTCTTCGGGTGTGCTTCTCCAGAAGGAGATATCGTATACACGGACGCCACGTTGAAGCAGCGGGTCTGCCAGTCTCATCTGGCGGAACGTCTCGATTGTCTTTGGTTGCAGGCCATCTGCTCTGCGGCAGTTGTCAGTAGGAGTTGCGAAGCAGATACGCAACAGAGAGTAGAGCGCCGGCGTTGTTAACGGGTCCAGCTGAAAAGACAACTAACTTACCTTCCCACGGGCGTCGGGTCCGCTCTATCGTCAACAACCTCCACCTTCACGCCGAAGCGGGCCAGGTTGCAGGCCAGCATCAGGCCGGCCGGGCCGGCGCCGACGACGCAGACCTGGCATTCGACAGGGACCTCCGGCATGCTTCGAAGTAATGTCAGGCGGTCAACACACTCGGCGGGATCGGTGGGGCCGTTGCCGAGGTGGTCCTCGACGGGCTTCTCGAGGACGGCAGGGGCCATCGCGGCCGGGATTCACTGGGATCCGGGGTCGGGTGGTACGGGGCTCTTATAAACGCGAGGCGGAATGGGAGTAGAGGACTGTCACTATGCAGGAGCGTAATGCAGAGTTGCGTTGGAAAAGAGACGGGCCACGGGATTCTCGGACGATATGGGGCCAGCTCGACGGTGAGAGAATGTGGCGCTAACGTAAAGCTCGGGGAGGGGGGGAGGGGTTCTGCGGTGACGGAGTATCGAGCTTCAAGACGGTGGTCTACTTTGCTCGGAGAACCCAGGGAGCTGGGAAACGGTGAGAAGGCGTCCGATCTGATGTGTGCCTCCTGCGGCCAGTACCCAGCCTGGCTGGAGACGTGAAGCTAGCGGGTTGGGTTGGCCAGAATCCGGAGTATCTGGGATTGCTGTCCCGGCTGGCTGGAACGGCCTTGGACCAATCCGGCAAGCAAAAGAGTGAAAAGGGATATATAGGTTGCTACCACGTATCTGCAGCTAAGCACTCGGAGCTGCGCGGGGAGGTGGGACGAGACTTGACAAGACTTCTTCTGGGATGCAGGTAGCTGGGTTACTGGTACTGTACTCAACAACACGCAACACACAAGTGGCCTGCTAGCTTTGGGAAGCAGGAGCAAAGAGAGGGGAGAATAGAGTAAAGAAGTGAGGTATTGGTGGCTATGGTAAGGGCAGCAGGCGAGGTATCAGACAGCAACTGCAGTAGCAGCTGCAGTAGCCGTGACGATACAGATGCAGAGATGAGGCATTGCGTCGAGTCTGGACGGGACCGGATAGGAAGGCCCATGCCGATCGACAGCAATTGGGGAAGGGGCTCGAAAGGCACGCCAACTCCAAGGGCCACAGAAATCCACCTCGGAGCAGCCCAGACCAGGCCCGGCATGCGGCAAAGGTTCTGGCACGATGCTAGACGGTGTCTTTTTCGCCCGTGGGATGGCAAAAAAGACAAAATAAAATGCGGAAACATGCGATCTCACGATCCGTTTTCAATCCAGTGTGGGCTGATTGACGCAGGGCATGATCTGATCTCGCTGCCCCTCTCCCACTGCCCCCACCAGCCCCGCCGCCCAGGCGTACGCCTCGATTGGCTGTGCGACCTCGGGCCGCATTAGTCAAAACGGGCAAGGACGACCCAGTCCAGTCTAGGCCCGCTGCTCAGAAGAACGTCAGGCCAGTGTCCTTCGGCGGTCAAGTCTCGCTGGCACGATGCTGTGCAAGGTTTTTGCACTTGCCGCCCAGAGCCGCTGGTACTTACGTCGTCGGTTACGGCGCAACAAAAGACTCGGCTCCACGGCAGATTCCTCCTTCATCTACATGAAGTGAAATGCCCTGGATATCTAGCCAAGGAACGTAAGTTGCATGGGATAGATATCTAAATCGAATGCCACCCCATTTCACCACCGAGATTCACCAGCAGAATGTCTCTGGGTATCTGTATTTCTACGGCTCTTCGCGACTTGCGGAGTGTGGAAGCGATCTCCTATTCCCCACATTCACCGCTGCCCTACACAACTTACCTAAGCAGGTGTTTCATTCTTCATGTCCGCCGTATCGGCGCGAGCCGGATTCAAGCTTTTGTCATCTGTAGAATGCTGATTGGGACGAGACCTAAGGTGGGCAAGGTAGTTTCGATCATGCGACCACATGCATACTCTTGGGAGCTGCATCAACCAACCGTGTGGTTGGTCGGCGCCTTACAACACCACCGTAAAACGGACGGGCTCGCTCGTTCGTATGTTTCTACACATTGGATGGTCTGATATTGACGTGTTATAGTTCCATCTCTCGCCTCCTTTGGCTCGGCACCCTGTGATGATGTAAGCTGCCGGTCTGGATTCACTACATTCCAGTCTCTCCAAAAAGAGTACAGTACCTAAGTACATATACACATTCTCATCCAAAGTGCGCTATTTTTAAGCTTGTCGAGCCCATAGCGAGCAGAACGAAAGGCAACGTGGAATGCGGGACTCGTTGTCTTGGCAACGGCGCTCAGCCGACGGATCTCAACGCCACCCCTATTTACACTAACATCCATAATATCACACGCAAACTTGAAGACTTTCGGGAGGTTATTCGTTCATTTCAATGTATAAAGAGACTATTTACCGAACAGCGAAGAAAGTAAAAGAAAAGGACCACAAGCTTCTCCCGCAATGAAAGACTTTGCTTGTTGTGTAAGAAAGGACCCCAACCCCCTCACACAACCCACTCACTCCTTTGAAGCGGGCCTAGACTTCACTCCTTTGTCAGAGGCCCGCCTTACACCCTGTCATGTATATAATCAGAGGCCCTCGTTCCTTTCCTTTGCGAGGGCCAGGTTGAAGTCTCTCGCCAATACCAGTCATTGCTCTCTTACTTCAACACCTACATTGTGACCACCTTGATCAGGCGTACCTGCCTTCTCTTACATGTTGATGGCCCAGGGCCTACGCACCTTGTATTAACGACGGTAAGATTTGGAATATCGTTGAGGTAGTTGATACTAAAAGTGGCGCACCTATCCAGCAATGACTAAGGGCCAGCTAGGCTTAGAGCTGCTTCCGATGAGGGGGCGTAGTTGCGAGATAAGTTGTAACTTACGACTCACCGATCCACTGCCGCGGCGGGGCCGGCAGCTTAAACATGCGTGTATAGGCTTGCCGTAAACTCTTCGTCCTATGCCATCAAACAAGGCTCGTAGACGTCGTACCACTCACCGTCTTGTTTCGCGAACCAATCCTCCTCCGTGTCTTGGTTCTCCTCCGCATATTCATCCTCCTCCGCATATTCATCCTCCTCCGCATATTCATCCTCCTCCGCATATTCATCCTCCTCCGCATATTCATCCTCCTCCGCATATTCATCCTCCTCCCTGTCTTCGTCTTCCTCCCCGTCTTGCTCCCTATCGTCGTCGAAGAAATCTGAGCCACTCCGGTACTTGTTATCTCGGGAGACATAATCGGGAGACATGCCGGGCCTCTATATAGATTTTCTCTGGCGACATCCACCAACCTCTGTGAGGACTCACGTCGTCGCCAAAGTAGTGAGGATTGTCACTACTTATGCTAGATAAATGGCTTCCCTTCTTCATTCTTATCTCGGTGTTGAGACGCGAACTAGAGGTTGAAGGAGTTGTCGTCGACGGCACTCCGAGCCCAGTATCACTGCCTGAGCTGAGGGTCGGGGGAGCTATCGAAGACGGCTCATCTAGCTCAGTATTGTGGTGCGGGCTAGAGGACGAAAGAGTTGTTGACAATGGCTCTATAGGTCTAGTATTGAGGCCCAAGCCAGAAGACAAGTGGGTTGCTGAAGACGGCCCTCTTGATTCAGTATTGAAGCTTAAAGTGACAAATGACGGAGTTGTGGAGGCCATATTGATGAGTTTGGCTGATGTAAAAGAGTTCAAGATATGATATCTCGTGGCGAGTATATCCGGATCTCTTCAAGGCTGGGGCTCTCAACGGAAGGTAAAAGTACGAGGCTGATGGCTTTCCTCCTCCACTAGGCTCGAGAAAGGGATCTTTAAATACTTGAATCCTAGCTAGCTAGAGTTAGGAACAGTTAACTTATCCTGAGATACATAAGCAAGTAATTTGAATACCGGGCTCATAATAGCTAGGCTAGTACGGGGTGGACAATGCTATTGTTTCGTTAATGATAGTACTAAAGAGCTACGCAAAACAAAGCAACTCTAAGACACAGGCAGCGGATAGGAGAAAAGGCGAAAAAGGGAGAAACTGTTAAGATCAAACAAAATCTGATTCCTACACGTTTCGTAGTGCCTCTATAGCCACACCAATGTTGAGTTCAACGAATTGCCACCACAACAGCCCCCGTTCAAAGACGGCTAATAACTAAGTGGCGAGAACCGCCTTCACCGATCGTTGTTTGGGCCGATGGGGAACGTATTGGGAGGTGTATACGGCGAAGAATGTAGCTGAATTCTCGGGCTCGATATCCCACGTGATCCCCCTTTGATCGCATTCCAGTGGCTGGTCATCCCTTGCATGCCAGCGACACACATGAGAGGAAGCGACATCGCCCCATTTCGCAACACATAGATACACGGTGCCCCAAGAACGCGCCCTCAAGACACTCCTAGCTAGACCGACGCCTACTCCTTCGCCTGCGGCGGCACCAAGACGGCGCTCGCACCCACGTCGGCCTCCCTGGGCTCCTTGGTCTCGTAGGACTTGTCGACGTCTTCAACAACCTTGCGGCCGGCAAACTTGGTCATGATAGTCTCGTTCTTCGAGCGGAGACGGGTCGAATACCAATGCGGCAGGGCGCCCAACAGGGCAGCGAGTTGGCCACGGCGGGCAGCAGGAGCTGGCCCGAGGTGCCCGAGAGGACCTGGCACACGATGGCGTCGGCGACGGTCTGGGGCCCGAGCGCCGGCATCAGCCACGGGCTGTCGTTGTGGTAGCCCGTGAACAGCGGCGTGCGCGTATAGCCCTGGTTGACCACCACCGTGCGCACGCGCGGCGCGCCGTACCGCGTCTTGAGCTCAGCCGCGAGCCCCTCGTGGAAGCTCTGCGACGCGGCTTTCGACGCCGAGTAGTCGACCATGTTGGGCACGGTGACCCAGGCGGCGACCGACGCCACGGTCACGACCATGCCGTGGTCCGCCTTGATTAGTAAGGGCAGAAACTCGCGCACGATCCAGTAGTGCGCGAGCGTGTTGACGTCGAACGTGAAGCGGATGTCGCGCTCGCTCGCGTCCAGCAGCGTCGTTGAGGGCACCCTGAGAGAGGTAGCCGTTCACCCACCGGGCGATACCAATGTAGAAGAGCGTCTTGATGCGGGAGAGGGCTAGGAGGTGGAGGATGGACAGGTCCTCGCCCTTTTTGGTGAACCTGGCGAGTAGGATGATGGGGAGCAGCAGCTTCGGGTTTAGCGCCGTGTTGCGGATAATCTTAAGGACTGTGTCGGCCTTGAACTCTTCGTGAGGTAGGAAGCCATTGTGAAGCGGCATATGAGCTAGGTAGCTTGAGCGGTTCTCGTACTGTACAACTGGATGTGGCGAGTATAATTGATTAGTTGTCTTCAAAGAGATACAAACTGGGAAATGTCAAGGGACGAAGCAAAACAAGAAGAGGAGAGAGACATCTGTCACGATGAAGACATGGCTATAGCTACACTACACTACACTACGACCTAGTATCCTTACAGCAGTTGGTGGTATCGTCGTCACCGAGTCCCCGGGTTCCTTGTCCCGCCAAGCTCCCGCTCTGGGGACTGTTGCTGCGAGATCCCCGCATCTACAGTCTTTCTCCCGCATGTGTGATGGGAAGGTAGACATGTACCGAGGTTGCTTTGGTGTTGTGATGCAGGGTGAACAATTAAGGAAGGCTGGGGCAGTCTCCTTCGGGTTAGGATCACCAGTTGTAAACCAAGCTACTAGATCTTGGCTGTTCACCATCGCATCTTCAACACGATGCTAAGTCATTCTAAGACAAGAAAAGTCCAGTCCGGGTCTGGCTGGAGCTCGAGCATTGTTTAGCTCCCATCTCCCGACCTCTTGAAACTTGTCAACATCGTGCGCAAAAGACGGGCACTAGTCCCGAGTGGCCATCCGCACTCCCCGGACAGCATGGATGGCTAGTGCTTTGGTAATGAGAAGGAGGAATGCGGCAATACGCCGGGATTGAGTGGACGGAAGAAGGCTTGATGGTTGGGAGCGAAGAGCAATCGATGCATATGCCTGGGACTAACTGGCAGCAGCAGCTGCCTCCAGCTCTCTCGCCAGGCCTACCAGCTCAACACTAACTGCCTCTTGGCTTCTAAGCGACAGAATTGCTGCCTTCTGCGCCACATTAATGAGGTTCTCAACACGTCCGCCTTGCGCCAACCCTGCTATCAGCACGCCTAAGAAGGTGTCGCCGACGCCATTGACAGAGACCACGTCTTGCACCCGCTCTACGGCAGGAAAGAGACGCATGTAGACGCCGCCCACGTGTGGGTGATCGTTCACGCTACGGGTCAGGATGTACGGGGCCGAGTCAGGGTCACGCAGCCGGGGGTCGTCGCGGGCGAGGATCGAGGTGAGCAGCGCGCCTCTTTCGCCCAGCTTGGTGACAATGGTTGGGATATAAGGCAGCATCTGAACTGTCTGCACGGGCAGTCCGGCGTCCGTCATCTCGACAGACGTGAGCCTCACAAAGCGGTCTCGGGCTCCCATCATGCCGAAGGCGTCTATAATTTCGAACCAGCCCGGCCTCTCAAAGTACCCACCGCGCGACGCCGCTCCGTGCATGGCGGCGAGCTCGAGCTGGTTTGGCGTGGCCAGGTCGACGCTAGCGTGAGGGGGAAAGCCCATCGGACTGCTCCCATCGCGCGCTAGGGGCGGGAAGAGGCGCTCCGACTTGGCCGTCGACACAGGCTCAAAGGCGATTCGGGCGTCATGCTTACGGCCGGCCTGGATCCAGGTCTGAATGTCTGCTTCCGCCCAGTTGCCGTCCACGACGAGCCACTTGGGCTTGGAGGCTGCCACGGCCGAGTTCCAGTACACGGGGAACGAGTGGCGCGAGAAGATGGCCATATCGGCCATGGCAACCACGAGGTTCTTGCTGGTATCGTTGACAGCCACATACTGTGCAGTTCTTGTAAAGGGGTACTCGTGGCCGAGTTTGCGAATGTAGGATGTGTCGAGCCCGGATATTTCTAGTGCTGACAGAATGGTCGAACCGGCTCTGAGCGTTTATTAGCGAGTCGCTTCTAATAAATAAGGGACATGTTACAGAGCAAGATAGACGCACATATCATCGCCCACCATGCTGCAGAGCCTGACTTTTCCATCCCCGCTGACCTTGTGCGCGGCGAGAGCCACATTATGGCCAACGCCCCCAACGGACTGGTTGATGGAAGCTGGGTTCGAGGTATGAAGAGCGGGCGAGACTGCCTGGCTGCCTCTGGCCGAGACACCACCAGCGAAGTCGCAGCTCAGGTCGAGGGCTATCGACCCCGCAACGAGAATGTCGGCCGTAGCATGTATGCACTAGAGTAGCCATAGTCAGGGCTTGTGTCACATTTGCGCGTGTCGAGTTGGCGTGTCGAGTTGTGTTACCTCGGGCACCTCTGCCACGGCTTCTTCAGCCGTGTCCTTCTTGACTGCCGGGACTGGAGCGCTCTGAATGGTATAGCTAAAGCGACGAATAAATAACACGACTACCTAAAAGGGGGCTGGCTCAACTCGAACCAGTACAATGCGTCATTACTATTGCTTACAGTTTGTCGGCTTGGGCAAATTTTCCGTCGAGAAGCTTTGAGAGCTCCACGGCAACCTTTGCCGCTCTGGCCACGTTGGACTGAACAAGAGCAACATTAGCGGGCGCGCTGCGGCCATCTGTCAACTCTCTTATTCTTTTGAGAATGTACGGGGTATTCGCTGCGCCAGAGAAGCCCTTCTCATCGGCCTCTCGGACGGCAGTGCCGATGGCAGCGTCCATATCCTCCCTGGAGATGGCATGCTCCTGCGGGATCGGATTGGCGAAAAGAAGCCCAGACTCGACGCCGAGCTGCTCCTGGGCAAAGATTATGGCGGCAGCATCCCGCTCGTCCTGGACTACAAAAGGGCTCTTGGTCCCGCTGTCACGAGCCCAGAAAGCCGGGAAGTCGACATTACCTTGTCGTCCATCTGCAAACGTCGAAGCCAGAACACCCTGCGTCTCGAGGAATTCGAGAGTGCGAGGGATGTCGAGAAAGCCTTTGCAGCCGCTGCTTATGACGGCGACGCGAGTTCTCCCGAGCTCGGTAAGATCGGCCGAGATATCTAGCGAGTCGTGGCCGCCACGGTGAACGCCGCCGAGACCACCAGTGCCAAAGACATGAATACCGGCGAGTCTGGCCAGAATCATGGTTCCGGCAATTGTGGTCCCTGCATGGATCCGCTGCCCTGCAAGGCCCTGGTAGGAAAGGGGGTCAACGTGGGCCACCAACACACTGGCTCATTGGACTGGACTGGGCTAGTAGGATAAGACCGGAAACGGTGAAGGACTCCTGGCGAGAAACAGAGAAATACAGCAAGGCAAGAGATGGCCGACGGCGGCAGAACACGGAATAGAACTAATAAGCCAAGCTTACCATGCCGACGACATAGGCGATATCTCTCCTCGAAGCCTTCCTTGCGCCTTCGTGGACCATGCGGTCGACCTCGGCCGGGGTGAGGCCAACAGTTGGCACGCCGGCGAGGATGCCGCAGACGGCAGGCACAGCACCGTGCTGGCGGACAGTGTCCTCGAGCAGCAAGGGGCCCAGGGCGCCATGAGTGTAGATGGTCGACTCGAGAGCCACGACGGGCTGGTTGGTGGCCACGGCGTGGGCAACCTCGGGGCGGACGTTGAGGATGCCGGCCAGACCAAGCTGAGACGCGCCGCTGTACTGACGATGGGAATCCCTTCTGAGGCGCGCCGGCCAGGTGCGGGCGCGGGTGCGGGCGCACCGCGTAGTGCGGGATCCAAGCATGGCCAAGGTCGGCATGGTTGTTGTGAGTTGCGAGTTCCCCAAGAAACTTTGGAGGACCGCAAACATGCACCCGCCACGGTCGCCGTAAGCCCTGAGGTACTATGTAGGTCCCTCTCTCCCGCTCCCCTTTCCGGGCCGATATACCAAGAAGCCCTGCCTCTGTTCCCGTGACAGGTTAATGGATTGTTCAAAAGCTTGCACCAAAGACTGAGCAGTTAGTTAAATTGATACTGAGTAGTAAATCAGTCTGGTCGTGTGAATTGGAAGGAAATTCTGGGGCCTCCCCAGTCGGTGACCCCATTTTACCCCGAAAAATGAGGGGTCTCTAGGGGCTTAGTCTGCCCAATCCCCTAGCTGGTGCTGTGAAAGGTCAACACGTAAAGTAGGTATCCATATTTCGTACCAGAATACGAAATACCTAATCGGGGACGGTCAGTACGAGTTAGATGATGACGGTAACCTCAGTTTGCTGTCTCATCCTAGAACAGTAAAAGAAACCCGAAAATAGGTCACCTGTGTGTCGTCGGCCAGTTCGAGAACACGCTGGACATGGGAAACAAACAAACACAGCCATTTTTGCAGCGAAATAGACTACCTACCTAGATTCCACCCATACTATCTTACCTTGTTGATAACTACCTAGGTACCTATTTTAATTTTCCCCTCTCACTCTGAGTTCTCTCCTCAGGCGAGGGTAATTTCGTCCCTTCACTTGTCTTCAACCGACCCCTCCTTCAGACAGCGTCACGCTTGCAAGACCATCTAAACCAAAACTCAAGTTGAACTTTCTCCCTGTTGAGAGATGACGGCACGACTCCCTCATGCGATTAGATGGGTAATTACCCGCCGCCGTAGAATGACCTAGCCTGAAAACATGGTGTTTTGTGTCGCTGCTGGTGCTGACCCGGCTTCTTGCAGCCTCAACCCAGGAGAGCGAGCGGCAGGAGGGAAATCACACAGCAAACCATCCCAAACAACACAACCCACAAAGGTAGAAATCGGAAAAGCGCCTGGAATTTCAGCCTCCAGAACCTGTGTTGTCTCTTTGCCTCTATTTATTCACTACTACCTTATATGCCACGAGTTGGACGGAATTTGTGGCACTGAATGATCAAAATAGTGTATTCGTACGGTAGATAAAGAGCTCCTGAGGTTAGATAATTCAACATGTTTGACTGGGCGCCTGAATGAGATAGATGAGTGTATCCGTAGTTGAGTCCGTTATAAGATGTCTAAACAGTCAATCTGGCTGTCAATTACCTTCGCTCAGACAGTGGCCTGCGTAATAACCTGGAATATGGACTTGCTTGTAACCATTGTGGGTCGTTCGGCAAGTTCGGTTTGGGTAATGCGGCCCGGGAACCGCTAGAAACCCACCTAAAATTAGGATCCGGGTCAGTTGCCGGGGTCGACCCCTCGCCCAGGTCCTTGGAAATCGACGCCAAAGCTTGTCCCGCATATATGAAACCAATTGGTCCGCAGTGCATGAAATTCGCCAAAGCCGTAACAACCGAGCTTCAACGGGCGGCGCAATGACAGCATCATAAGACGGCCGTTAAGGCGCCCTCGAGCCCTGCAGCTTGCTCTTAACACCCCCCAAATCCGGATTGAGCCGTCATGCTGTCCCCGTTGAACGTCCATGACCCCCTCTGGTCTTGCTGCTAGTATCGTTAAGTCGTGGGCACTCGGTCCCAGGTCATCCGACGGAGATCTCACAGTGACCAGGCTCGATGAACACCTCGCTTCCAGCCTTGGTTACCCCCCGGCGGCCCCTTCCTGGCAATCTCGCTCCATTAATAGACAATTAATAATCTCTGATCCGCTCCTTTTGTTTCCTGTTTCTTGGGGCCCTCCCAATGGCAACGGCTAGCCGCCGTGGGCTAAATACTCAGTCCGCTCCCAGCATGATGGGAATGCGGCCTGGTGCTGTCTCTCCCTCTCCCTCTCCCCTATTCTCTCCTTCCCATTGATCCACCAGCCGCAAATCGTGAGACACGGTTTCTGGCTAAATGGCATTCTCCATATTCTTAGTTGCGTGGGCGCTGTTGTTTGCTGCACCGGGCCTCGCGCTCAACTTTACAGTTGCTGGCGGCCAGATCTTCACACCGGGCCTGGCCGTCGTTGATGCTCCTCAACCAGGAACTCCCCTAGGCGGAGGTATGTCTGGACAAACATTTTGTCTCACCCGGTTTCCTCGGCACTGACCTGTCGGACAGAAACAATAGAGGTCGCTTTGGACGTGTCGACAAACGGCAGGCTTCCCTTGCCACCTTATGCAGACAACAGCCCGAGTCAAATACACAACATCACTATCTTCTTGTACAGCTATGACACAGGCAAGAACTTCACCATCACCAATGGTACCGCCGGCTCAGGCAACGCCAGTCTCGGCGACATCATGTTCCAGGAGCCCGGCAGCACCGTGAAGCATGTCAAATGGGTCTGGCCCGACTGTCTCGTGGGCGATGGGCAGCCAAACGAAGTCGGGAGCGCGCGGGGTTTTTATAACGTATGTCTGCAAAGAGAACACGAAATGTTATATCGGCCCACTGCTAACAGGATTCTCCAGATATCCATCCGCCAGAACTTTCGACTCAACGGGGCAGACCACTACACCATCTTCGACCTGCCCATCTCAGTGACAAACAAGATCGATTTCGGAGTCGTCCGGCCCTCGTGTGACTTGCTTAACAATCCGCTCCTGACTCCGTCCCAGATCAACGCGACGAACGACGTGCCCGTCATGTTTGCGCCTGGCGACGCCACCGTGGTCCAGACTGCCGGAAGCGGCAGTTCCAGCAGCGGCGACGGCTTGGGGCCGGCAAAAACGGGAGCGGGCACCGCTCAAGGCCTCGGCGGGGCCGGGACATTGAACTGGAGAAGCGGAGCTCACTGGCTGTGTTTGATCAGCATTGCCGTTGCGTTTGTACTTTGAGAGAAGAGGACTATGATACCCCAAGGAGCTGCGAGACGACTTGCCCTCTTGTTGATTTTAATTCTTATTTACTTTCCATTACTATATTATGATACCAATTGCCTTCTTCCCTCATACAATTCTCGAGTCACAGAGACTAGGAGAGACTGTGTACGGAGTATTCTGTGGCAGGCAGTCAGAATTTATCTACTTCAGTAACCTGAATAAGAACATGTCCCTATTTTAATTAAGAAATGCAAAAAATACCATTAATAATTAATGCGGAGGGTCACAAACTACCTCCATGAGCCATTCAGTATGTTGGATGATTCATTCAGTATCATTCCAATTTACAGTCCTACATCAGTACCTATCTGTTTTGTATCACAGGTGAATTGATGAACCCCGCTGTGCTGAAAAGCGAAAGGAACGCTGAGCAAGGCTGAAGTGGGGAAGCTTGCAAGTGGAGTTAAGGGTGTCAAGCCATGCTGCAAGGCTGCGAGGCCGAAAAAAAAATCTATTGGGGACATCTTGAATCGGCATTAGCGGACGACCCCTCCTCAACTCACCAGCCCCAGGTATTTGTTGCAGCAAAACAGCATTCACGATGACGCCGCGCCATTTTGACAATTCGTCGGACGAATCATTCGGGGGGTTCGACGAGGATGAGCTTGCGTCACTGGGCGAAGAGGAAGCTGCGAAAGGCAGACGGGACGCCACTCTCCTCGACCTCGACGACGAGAAGGATTCCGACGAAGAGGAGCTCGAGCGCTTCGTCCTGGGCAGCAAGGCCAGCTTCCGCGAACAGCTGTTCCGCGGCGACTTCGACACAGATTCGGCAGCTCTAGTGGTGGCATCGGGCCAGGACGTTGCGGAACACGGACAAGCAGCAATTAGCCAGGCGCATCTCAACGACTCGGCCCTCTTCTTCATCGACACGGCCCCCGGCGATAAACCTCTGTCGCTCGCGCAAGATCATGCCACCAAACTCAAGAGCGACCCAGAGGCACCGGCCTGGGAAGACAGCGACGATGAGCGACTGGCTGTCTCCCTGGCCGGCGCCACGAGACTGAGGAAACTGAGGGCTTCCGCCGCCGAGGATGTTGTCAGCGGCACAGAGTATTCCCGCCGCCTACGGCAGCAGTACCTACGGCTATATCCGCAACCAGCATGGGCCCGAGATGCTGCTGCCGGTAGCAAGGATGGGTCCAGGCGACGACGGTCTTCGGCGACATCCCGCGGCAAGGACGGCGACGAGTCGTCGGCTTCGGAGAATAGCGATGACGACGACTTTGACTCGACGCTTCCGCTAGAGACCTTTCTCCGTAATGCCCACTCCTTCACGGGCGGTACTAGCGGTGCGAACAAGCGCAGGAAGCTGCGGCCAGAGACCATCGACATCCAGCGCACGAGGGACATACCCGATTCTCACAAAGCTGCCGTCAGCTCCCTGTCGTTTCACCCCAAGCATCCCATCCTCATGTCGTCATGCACATCCTCCATCATGTACCTTCACCAAATCGACCCCGCGGCGTACCCGATACCGAACCCGGCCTTGACATCGGTCCAAGTCAAGAGTACCGATCTCCGTCGCTCCGCGTTTCTCGGCCCCGACGGCGACGAAGTTGTCTTTGCCGGCAGGCGGCGCTACTTCCACACGTGGAATCTCTCATCGGGCCAGGTGAAGAAAGTAACGAAAATCCAGGGCCACCAGCAGGAACAGCGCACTATGGAGCGCTTCCAGCTCAGCCCGTCGGGACGCTACATGGCGCTGGCCGCGTCGGATAAGAAGGGTGGCGGTATGCTCAATATCATCAACGTGGCCACGATGCAGTGGATTACGCAGGCGCGTGTTGACGGGCGCGGCGGTATCGCGGACTTCGCCTGGTGGAGCACGAGCAACGGCCTGGCCATCGCGTCCAAGGACGGCCAGGTTGCCGAGTGGAGCATGCTGTCCCGGCGCACCGTGGGGATATGGCGGGACGAGGGCTCCATCGGCGCCACGGTCTTGGCGCTAGGCGGCCGCAGTGGCGGTCCGTCCGACCTCGGTGATGACCGCTGGGTCGCCGTCGGCTCCAACAGCGGCATCCTCAACATATACGACCGCAACGAGCTCATCGCCCGCTCGTCCAAGGAAAACGGGGGCGTCACTGAGATCAAAGCCCTGCCTCAACCCACCCGCACGTTTGAGCAGCTGACGACGGCCATCACCACCGTCACTTTCACTCCCGACGGCCAGCTCATGGCTTTTAGCAGCCGGCTCAAGAAAGACGCCCTGCGCCTTGTCCACCTTCCCAGCTGCACCGTCTACCGCAACTGGCCCACAGAGCAGACGCCCCTGGGCCGCGTCACAGCCGTGGCATTTAGTGCCCAGAGCGACGTCCTTGCGGTGGGCAACGACTCGGGCAAGATCAGGTTGTGGGAACTCAGAGACTAAGCACCGGGAATTCAGGCGAGGGTGGTGGTTGTAGCGCAGTAGTAGCAATAGCGGTGGCTTCACGACCCAAATTACAATACAATAGCGAAGAAACCTCGAGTCCAAGTCACACACCTCCGTGCGACTTTCCCCCTTTATTTATTTTTTTCGGCAAAGAAGGGGCGTGCGTGTAATTTATCCCAATCTAACCATTCCAAGACAAACCAAGGTAATAATAGTACAGATCAAGCCCTTCTTCTTCTTCTTCTTCTCTCCCTACATCACATCATCTTCACCCCTTTTCTTCACTCATCCCGAAACACATTCCGCATCAGTGCCCTCACCGGCCCATACTTCTTGGCCTGCGCCTTCGGATAGATCCTGCGCGTCCCCAGCGTGTAGCGCACCAGCTGGTCCAGGCTGGCGAAGCGTGGCACCTCCTCCCCTTTGTTGATGGCCTCCACGAGATCGTATATGTTGATGTACACGGATTTCAGTGCCTGTGTTCATAGGTGGCTGTTAGAGACGAAGGATCTCTTCTCCCCCTTCCCTTTTTCTTGTTGTTGAGTTGTGTGTTGTATGTGTGCTTGCTTATTTCTCTCTTACCTTGCGGCACTTGGTGATGCTAGAAAGGTCGCATCCGTCGGCGTCCAGGCCTATCTTGATGCACAGGCGCTGCCAGTCCTCCAGCTTGCCAGCACCGAAGTAGTCGTCGAATCGCTTGACAACCTCATTGCGCCGCTGCTTCTCGACGTTGGTCTGGCTGTTCTTCTTGCGCGACATGATGGTTCTGCTGGCGCGGGCGCGCACTGCCGAGAGGAGATGGAGAGTTGCTTGAGGGAGAAGAAGAAGATGGAGAGAGAGGAATAGGGAGGTCCAGATAAGTAACCCAGGAGGGCATATATTTCTGCCGGTTGCCTCTCTGTGATTCAGGGTTTCACGAACAGGGGGTCTTGAAGATGCCAACGGGTCAGGACCCAATGGGAGTAACCCATGGCTGAGGAAGAAGTGCTGAACGCAGGCCGCCGTGGCTTTGTCAAGTCCCGTCAAGCCCACCTCAGTCAAGTCTGTGTGTAACACACATATTCACTCAAAGATACTTGTTAAAGTATGGCTAATGTGGGCGCTATACCCAAATTGCTAGCCAGGCCCCAGAGCACCTTCTCAAACCCCCTACGAGCCTACTAGAAGACTATCGAATATAGGGCCACTTACGGCTTCTAGAACCGTCTAGAAGACCTACCTTAGGTCTATATTAAGACCTATCCTTTCCCTTAGATAGATTTCCTTTCAAGCAAGCATTGCACTCACCACTCTTTGTACTGTAATCCTTCTATAATACAACTCTTCTCAGTCTTCTTCAGCACTTCTGTTGTCCCCCGAAGACCCTGACTACAGGGCAGAGTTCCCTGTAGCCTATGAGGTAGACTGCTGAACAGAGTCCTCACAGTCTAAGTGGCTAGTCTGTAGTAGAGTCCTACAGACCTGGGGCAGGCTTGTAGCAGAGTTCTACAAACCTGTAGCAGTCAGTCTGCTTCCCTTAGTGTCTTACACAGGGCACTGTTGTACTGGACCAGGGCACAGTTCCCTACGATCTACCCTGCACTTGGCTCCCCGCCTACGCTACCGCTTCCGCTCCGCCTGGTTACAACACGTAGTTTAATAATACTGTTTAGACAACTAACTGCTCAGGTACCCCATTCGGTTGTTAAAGAGAGAGATGACAACGGCCCGGGCAGGCAAACGGACAGGGAGCGAAGTTTGAAAGACTCGGCTTGTTACATGCGGCTGTGGCTGGTTGCATGTTCAAAACGCAGAGCCAAGCCTCCGTTTGTCGTGGTTGGGAATAGAAAGAAGCCCAAAGACTTGGATGGAGAGCGCTGCAAGAAGAAATAAAAAAAGATACTGAACGGTAAAGAGTACTTTGGAGGGCAAACATGATTCCATCCCAACGCACTTGGTCGACTCTTCTTTCGATAAGAGGAGTGGCGCGCGTTTGTCTCTCACATACTAGGTAGGCACCGGACTGAAACTCTGACAACGATTTTACATTATTTGTATTTGATCTGTCTGGATTCTGCGTGACTGATAAAAAGAGTGGGAAGCTCGACTGTTCTTTATTCCATCAACGGCATTGGCCAGGCAGACGGCGAAACGAGCTGGCATAGTAGTTGGAGTTGGAAAAGGGCGAGTTTCTTCTAACAACAACAAACATACGGCGAACTACATACCTGCCTAGCTACCTAGCTGCCTACCTTTTTTTTTCATTTCATTTCTCAATGAAATTGCAAGTATCAACATAGAGTCAACGTACTTAAAGAGTCAGGGAGGATTGACAGTTGGGCCAGGCATGCCCTACTAGAAAGCCCAAATAGAGACACCGCCCGGTGCGCACTCGAACCACATGTGGTACGGATGAGCAGCTTCGCATCGCACGCCATGCTAGAACATTATGCATTGAGTTTGACTTGACATGCTCGACCAGGATCACCAAACGGTTCTAGCTACAGCCCAGATCACGCATGCGTAAAGAAACAAGTCTGGACGCAGACTGTAGATTGCTCAAACCAAGATCGAAGTTACGATATGCATCCGTAGTTGGCCTGACCCAGTCTCGACTCTTGAGGAGAGGTGTGGAAAGAACAAGAAACGGGCTCAGTCAAACCAGACCTGGCGCCTGCGATGTTTAGAGAGACGAGGGAGTCCCCACAGTCTAGCTCGGCAGGTGCTGCACAGTGCAGCCACTGTGTGTTCCTGGTGCAGCTTTTTCCTTCCTTTTGAGTCTCCCGCGCTCGGGGAGGCGCTGCGGGGGAAAGCTGAAGTTCTGAAGACACCCGCCGATCGGCCTTCGCCGCGGCCGCCCATTGGATAATTGTCGACCAGCTGGAACAGTTGTCATTTCTCCTCCACCGCCCTCTTCGCTACTGGTCACAAGCAAGCGCGCCAGCCAGCCATATCTGCCCAATCCACACAAGTCCAAATCCAGAACTCTGCGCCCTGCATGCAAGTCCATAGAATTTCAGATGGAATCCGCAAGAACACACTATCAAGGAGCGGACGGAAGGTGCCTTGAAGGGTCCGGCTAGGAGCTCCAATTCGCAACGCGTGCGTGGCAGGAGAGGCCAGCGTTTCACACCTGCCCCAAGACCTTCACCTCTATGACATGATGGCATGGAATCCAAAGCCTTCTCCATAGGTCTTGCTGCCAAAAGACAACCGGTTAGTGGGTCGCCTTGCTATTCTTCTTTTCATCATCAATTATGCAAGCTCTAGCAATTACGATTTAAGGCCTTGGCTCAGCCAGAGGGAGATACCTTAGTAGCAGCAAGGCAAAAAAGAAAAAGAAAAATGGGATGCTGCTGGGTCGATCCCGCGGCTGGCTTGGAGATGCCCGGGCTACGTGTCAGGCCATAACAACTCAAGATACGCCCCTCCAAACAAACCTGGAAGCATTGGATGCTCGTATGGTCTTCCCTGCCCGTCTTCCCAATCGGCTCAGGTCGAAACAGCCGCCGCTAGGCAGACGACTGTTCATACATGTCGGTACACAGTATGTTTTGTTAGAGCTGCACATGCTATTCCATTGCTGCCCTGCTGCCCTGCACCTCAGCCTTCTGTTGTTCGAGACCCCACACCAAGAACAGCCCGATTGTTTATCTTGTTCGTAGGTATCGTACCCAGGTAGTTATCCAGGTCGGTGGCCGGCCTTCAATTGCTGCTCTCTATCTCTCTGCATGTCCCTCTTTCCTCTGTGCCAGGTTGTCGCCAATCGGCCGTGTTTGTTGCCTCAACTTTGATGGACCACGGTGATCGAGGTACGAATACATTAGTACGGAGTCATTTTTCCTTTCTTGCCTGTCACCTTGCTCGCCTCAGGCTTCAGGTTGCTACGGTCTTCCTCGCCTCTCCTCCCTAGCGCGGAGGTTAGGTGCAGCCCCGGGGCAGTCGCAGACTCGGCTCCCCTTTCTGCACCAGGATACTCCCCGTCGCTAGGTGGCTCGGTGGAGCACTTCGAAAACGATGGCTTGGTGGGACTCGCGGCAGCAGCAGCAGCAATGGCAGGAGCAAGAGCAGCACCGCAGCCTTAGTGTTGCCTCGATACGGCCAAAAAAACGTCTCATTTTGGGAGACGCCTTTCCCAGGCTCGACCAACCCGCCAGCAGCAGCCAGCAGCCAGCACCGGCACCGACACCGGCACGGCTGACCATGGACCAAGAAAGGGCCTTGCTGTCGCCCGTCTTTGACGACTATCGCGCCGCCACCTCCACACCCCCCCTCGTGGTGCACGTTGAGATCCGGTTTACCGACCCGGTAATCCGGTCGAGATATTTCCGGAGCTATGGCAGCTCGCCTGCCCTCGAGCCCAGCAGGCGGCTCTGCAATGGCTTGCTGCGCCGCATTGAGCGCTGCTCTCACGAGCTCCTGACGCGCAAGGACTCGGGCGCACTCGAACCGCTCAGGGACGACACGAAAGAGTCCAAGCCCTTGAGATTCGACATGACATTTCGTATTATGACGAGGGGAGCGGGCGAATGGGCCGAGAGGGCCTACCGCTCCTACCAAAAGCAACCCCTGACTGTCGCACTCACGAAGGACATCATCTTGGCCACCCATAAGATGGTTGGCCTTTACCTGCGCCGTCACGACAAGTACTTCAGATGGATTGACCAACCTTTTTATGACATGGAGCCTGAGAACCCAGAGACGACGGTGCCGACTCATGGTGGTCCTCTGTCGCTGGCGTGCATCCCCAGATCTCGCTTCATCGAGTCGTCTCAATCATTTGAGGCTGTGCCCGGGTACAGGATTGAGCTGTCGTTCGAGAGTCGAAACCCCCAACGCAAAGAAATCGAATTCCAGACTGTCGTCAAAGCCAACAGCAAGCAGACCGCCCCGCTAACCCTATTCATGAGCGAGGATCTGCTGTGGAGGGCTCTAAGGGCCGTGAACGAAGGTTTGGAGCCAAGAAAGCGCGCGTTCGACGATCATCTAAAGGACTGTCTTGCATTGGATTGCCACCATGCCGATGACGACGCTCTAAGCATCGAACTCCGGATTACAAACAACCTTGGTCCGGTCTACAGTCAGGTGCGCCGGACAATCACGAGCAAGCTTTCGCTGTTCCGGGACTCCGAGGCTAAGGACTGCGACGAGTTTCTTAAGGCCGCCGAAGCCGCTCTTGTTGATGCCTGTCAAGACACCGACGCAAAGATCAATGCGATGGACGATTTTGAACTTCGGATACTTGAGCTCAAGGGCGTAGGCTGGACACTTTCTCAGCCAGCAAAGTTCACTGTCAACTCTTCGGCCTCGTATAGCCGGCGGACGATCCAGGCAGCTCTGGACCGAGTCCAGACCGGCATCAGCGATGTTCTCCGTGGTCGCAATGTTGCTGTCCACATCAGCGCGCACAAAAGAGGGCATACTGTGCTCGACAAGGCCATTGTGGCGCATGAGAAGCGGGGAGGAATGAAGGAGATGTTTGCATCCCCGGAGGAAGAAAGCTCAGTTCTCATCGCCAGACTCAAAACACGCATCCGAAGCGACATCGACATGGTCTTTGAAGATACGTGCTTAATCGACGACATGACCGACGACGGAGATGAGGAAGGCCAGATGCTTCCCTTTCCTTTGGCGGGAACCTCCGGAACCAATGACCCATTGCCAAACGAGCAATGCAATCCTGTCCGAGAGCAACCCCCAGCAAAACAATCTGGCCATACTCAGTCCAAGTCTCAATCCCTGCCCAGACCTCAGCCATCTTCAAGACGCCTTGTTCAGCGAGCATTTTCTCTTACTCACAGCTCCTCGGAACCTCCAGTGTTCCAAGCCCTACCAGCTTCTGTGCGAGAGGGACCACCCGCTGAAACATCTGTTGGCACGGTACATGAGACAGCCTCGCCACCAAGGCCGCAGAGCTCGTCGAGGACGCTTGTCCAACGGGCCTTGTCGCTAACAAAACGACAATCGACTGAAACCCTCCAAGAGCCCCCGGGAAACCAACATGACAAGTCCAAATCCTTACCTAGGCAAAAAAGCTCGGTTCGGAGGCTTGTTCGGCGAGCCTTTTCACTCTCTCGTCGCTCAACCGAGTCTCTGTGGTCCAAAAACTTCTCTAAGCTCGCTGAACACACACCCGAAGGTGAGAGGAGTAGGCCGGGCTCGGTTGCTGGCGAACAAGACCTTACCCGGACTCGTGGTCAAAGGCATTCCCTCGGGCGTCCGATGACGGCTATGGGCCTTGTTGAACCAGCCGAAGCTACCGAGTCTTTGATCGCCATATCCAAGAGTCGCTCAACGGCAGGTCGTGTGAGCAACGCATCAACTTTGATAGACGAGCTTGCCATTGGAGTCAACCCCCTAGACCCGACCGAGCCTGTGGAAGTTGGTGACGGCCGAGTGACCGGGCCAACACAAGCCTCGGAAACCGAACCCGCAGAAGTGAACCGCCATATTGGAGAGAGCGCGCCCCAACGAGGGTCCGAGAGATTGTGCCTGACGGTGCCGAGCGTGGTAGAAACCGACGACGCGGGGATCTCGGCAGGGATCGACCTAGGAGAACCCGCTGCAGCATTCGATGCCAACTCAACCTTTCAGACTTCGAACCGAGCTAAGGTCACACCTTGCCCGGGAGAGGAACACTTTTCTGGCCAAGGCACTGGTTCGCTTATGATGGACACTGATGATGCGCTGGAACGTGCGCCGAACCCGGTCTTTGACGAGGTGTCTAAAACCCGAAGTCTAAATCCCACAAACACCGGGGAAGACGAAGGCTCCACCGCACCATCTACCCCTGCGTTAAGCACTGGGGGAGATTCCTCGCCGAGAGCTAGTGTGCTGATAACTCCGCGATATCTGCGGAGGCTTTCGGGCGCGAGGGATTCCATTGCGAAGGAGCCCGAGCCCGAGCCCGAGGCGCTGGGGCCAGACATGGAGGCTGAAACAGACGGACAATCCACCGCGATGACCTCCGAAGGTGAAGACCAAAGTCGCGATATTCTTGAACTGCCTCAAATCGAGACATGTTCACCCATCTGCCTCCCTCAGACAACAAATGTGCCCGAGCTCACGACCAACGGGCCCGAAAAGAACTTGGAGTCGGCACTTCTGCTCGGGGAGAATACCGAGTCTGAAGTGTCCGGAGACGGGGTGAATTCCGGGCGCGAGGAAGATGACTCTCCGCTACGTACCCTGACTGCAAATTCCGAGCAAGAGAATAACACGAGTTTCATCAACGAAGTGTCTTACACTGCAGAGCTCGGGGCCGAATTGTTTGCAAAGCCCAATGGTGGTTGCCAGGGCGCCAACGAAGCGCGTCCGGACTTCCCCACCCCGGAAGTCCGGAACTCGGCCCCGACCGATACGAGGCTAATAGCAAGGTCAATTTCGCTTTCTAGCTCGGAACCTAGCTCGGGCCCATTTAAACCAATCGATTGCCAACAGGCAGTTGGTTTTGGTGTTGGCAGTGTTGGTGGCGTGGTTGTGGAGAGATTCTGCGCCGCCAAGGGTTCGCCGGACAGCCTTGGCCTTCCGACTCCCGAGACTGATGCCTCAAAAAGTGAGACTAACAATATCGAGAGCCTGCACCCAGTGGATTTCGAGTCCGATGGCCTCAAAATCCCAGCGGTCCCGCAGGCACCCGAGATCCCGATTGAAAACAACGGAGCCGGAGGCCATGTGCACGACCGACTCGCCCTTGAGGCCGGCTCCGAATCGCAAAACGCTTCTCAGCATGAAATCGGTGATATCTTAGCTACCGAGAAATCCGAAACAAGTAGTCATGAAGTCTTGATTACTCACGATGGCAGTCTGCCAGCCGCAGTTTCGAGTGTCAGTGTCGACAATGGTGCGGACACTCGTACATGCGATGACTCTGCCGGAGCTCTTGGACTCGGTGACGACCAAGACTCCGCCGCTAGTGCGAGCTGCGCTGCATCCGACATAATCGTCGGTGATCATGTCGGAGACGATGTCGGTGCCAGTGCGGACCTAGACTCCGGATTGTCCGAGGCATCCGTCGGAGTCGACAGCTCCAGAGATGTTCAGATGCCCGAGCCCGCGACTTGCGGTGGATCCGAGACTCCTGAAGGGACATCCAGCTCTATCCGTGGCATCCGTGCTTCGTCTCTCGACATTTCTTCCGGAAGCCGAGACGGAGAGGGGGTTTGCAATAGTTCCGGTCCGGAGTCCGAGACTTTCTCCGAGACATCCACCAAGGATGAAGCTGAAGGGGGCGGGTGCTCTGCCGATGTGGGTTCTGTTTGCCCCAAGACCTCCGCCGGACATCTACTGGGAGCTGGTACCGATTTCGATGCCGATGGAGAAGTGGTCGTTACCGAAGATGCACCCTCGCTAAACGAGACGGGGCCGTACCTGGAGGCGAGAATTTCCCAAGTCTCGCAAGCCGGTCATGATGTGGACGCCGATGCATCGAGTTCTCTCCTAACTGAAATCATCGGAGAAAATGTTGTCACAGCACCCGACATCCCCCTTGCCCGAGATGCGGTGCAAGAAAGCATCGCCAAGCTCGAGAAGACTTTGGTTCTTCAGGGTGTTGAGATCAGCGGTCCCGAGATCGGAGTCGAAGAAGCGAAAGAGAATACTAGTCAGAGCGACATTGGTGTTGACGCAGAGAAGATCGAGACTATGCCCGATGCGCTGATGTTGGGTCCCGAAGCGGTTGATGACATGACCAACACGCCTCGTGGTCCGGCCGGGCTCGATGTGGGTTATGAGACCGAGATCTTGGCCAACACACCAGAGATTCTGGGTGACAGTGAAGAAGTTAATAAACGCCACTGGGGTGCCGAAGTAGAATCATCGGTGCTCGAAGATGGTACTGCGGAACCGGGGATTCCCGCCAAAGCATTTGTGGCTCCGCTTGCGGACGACTCCGTGGCTGACGGCAGCGGACAAAGACTCGTACTACCCGAAATATCTGTCAAGGAGTTCACCGCTCCGCTGCCCGATGAGCCGACTTGTTCGCTGGACAAAGCGCTCACCTCGGGTGATTTGGTCGCCAACCCAAGTACCCTATTTCTGGAATCCAACGTGGCGGCCTCGGCGAACAAGACAGCGGAGATACCCGTGACGCAGCCGGCTGATCACCCGACGTCGTTCAACCCGCTCCTACTTTTCCCCTTCCCGGTTCTTTCAGCCTGGAGTAACTCATCTTCGATTCCGGACACTTTGGGCTGCGGGACTTTGCCCAGTGCCCGGAGTTCGGTCGATTCTTACCGAGTGTTATTGTCAGACGAGGAGAAGTCATCTTCTTTATCGTCATTTAAAAATTGTAGTCGTCCCCAGACAGCCGGCTACCTGGGGCTCCACCGCGAGTCGCCATTTGCCGACTTCGGTCTGCGAGGTGCGCTCGGAGACACCCACCGCTCCAGTTTCCCGGCGTTGCAAGCCGTGGTCGCGGTCGCCACTACTGAAGAAAAACCGGACTCGTTGCCGGTGAAAGGCGGCACAGACAAGAAGCATGGCAAGCGGCGAAAGATTGTGAAGGCACAGCCACAAGAAGATGGCGACGACGGCCCAATGGTGTTGTCTCGTATCATGCTGCTCCTCGCTGGTGCCATGGCCATCAACAAGGTCCTGAAGGGCCCTCCGCCCGGATTTGGGGCAGGTTATTAGACTGGCTCTGTTCGCGGGATATATATATTTATTTTTCGTCTCATATCTCTGGCTCTCTAGGACCTTTCCACTAGCGTATTTAAGCATGGGTGGCATGGAAAAGCGTATCATATTAGGTTGGTTTGTCGCAGGACATAGATATTAGGAATAACAGGTGGTGTATATACCGGACGCTATCCTAATAGAAATAACATTAAAGAGCTTTATAAAGTACGAAATACTCATAGGTTCTAGGACTATTTTTCTTTAATCTTTCTAAGGACTTAACTTTCTGTCCTGTCCTGCTCTTCCTGTCTCTTGCACTATCCGATGGGGCTTTTGACGCGGATTGCTTGAAGGATGCGAGCTCGGTGCTTGAAGTAATGGTTCCAAGCGGTAGGAAGATACCCACACAATAACAATGTCGCTGAGATGGCTGGCGGATGGGGAAACAAGATCATGCAGGACGAGCCATCGTTTATCGTCCCTGAGAGATTGTGAGTAGTGTCTTTATTACTACTACCTCTGCCTATATCACATTGCTCATAACTTTCGGGCAACCGATTTCATAGTTCCGCTCCACTTAATAGTTAACTAAACAAAGCCCATCTACACAGCGTGGTCGCCATCTCGTGTACGCTACTTACTGTGTTTCCTCCGGGCTTCCTGTTCCTGTAAATGGCGGCGCGGATGTCGGCCAAGAGCGGTGGGCGAGGGCGGGGGCTAGAGTTTGGGCGGCAAGAAGTAAGGCGAGAGCCGAGAAGCCCGAAGAGTCTCACATACAGGCCGAGCCGAAGCAGGTAGCAAGCGGAAACGAGCTTTCGGGGCAGGCATCCGCCGATAGTGTGCATGGATTTGAGGAGCAACAAACAGGAGGCGCCGGCAGCGGCTATTTCTGCGGAGCCCAAGGGCACGGAGTGAGGGCTTCGACCGCTGTCGTCATCAAGGTGGTATCCTTTCGCGAGGTGCTTAGAGTTGAAGGCTATGTGGCCCGCAGCGACGCTTAGGGTCGGTGGGCAGACTTTGCCTGGAACTTTCCCTAGCTATAACTAACTAATCTTTTTCTTTCTTTTCGGGATTTAACCCAATACTATATAGTTTCAAAAGCAATTTGTACCCGTTCGTGCAGCCGAAACTTTACAAAGTCTTGGACGGCTTCAACAGTTCCGACGCTGTCGGAATGATGACTTCATTCACTGGTCATGACTTGGAATGACTGCCGTTCACATGCAGCCATTACCAGTCATCTAGGGCAGAAGCATTTACGTGAAGGATCCACAATCACTGGTGGAGCAACCATTCGGGACTACCTACGAAGCCTTCTTCCCCGTCCCTCTTGTTCTTCTTTTTGAGATAGACATGAACAGAACCAATACAAGAACCCCAACCACCCTCTATGTGGCTAAACCAGATCCTATCGAGAGGTACACCCCACAATAAGTGATTTAACGATTGACCTTGTCAAACCTACAAACGCCCTCACCTTTGACGCCACGTGTGTTGTGCAAACCTAGTTAGAGTCTTAAACTCTCTATGGTGAGTGTTAAAATCTGGCAGGCCTCTGTGCCCTGAGCGAAAAGCTTGGTCTTGCATGGTGGATGACGGTAAAGTTCGTGAGTCGGCTGGTATTACTCTGTCGGCATGGGTTTATTGTTGAACTTCCGTTTTACCTTGGTAAGTTATTAACTATATTTCTTTTCTTGATGCATTATAAATACCTAGGTATGGTGATGAGCATATCGAAACTCGTCCCGGATTTAATCTTAATTATCCCCAAGAGATATTAAACACTAGCATGCACTTTTGACCCTCAGGGTTAGTAGTATCAGGCTGCCGTGCTAATCCAGCTTCTGATTTTAAACCAAGGCTTTAATCAGTCCATCCAAAGTCAACACAGTCGCACAAAATGGACGCGTGGGACGAGCTAGAGTCGATGGCCCAGGCTGCAAGCTTTCAGCCCAGCCCAGAAGATGAGCCCGACCACGACACTGTGAAGCGATGGCAAGCCCTATTGGGGTACACCTATCCCGAGGCCGCGAAGGAAATTAGGGACAAGAGACGGGATCTGGGGCGACCTACCCTATCCGAGGCATCCTGGGAGACTCTCCCGGCAGACAAAAGGGTAGAGGGCTTCGATAAGGAGGCCTACGAGCACGCATGCTGGCTCGCGAAATCGTCCGTTCGACATGGCGTAGCCACCAGACCCCAGTCTGCCAAAAAAAACCACATCCCTTGGACGGCAAGCCTACCCCTTTAGGCTCCAGGGCCCGCTAACAAGCCCAGAGACTCTCCAAGCGGCGCTGGGCCTGGATGCCACGCCAGCCGTTTTAAGCGGGAGCGACGACTTCGGCGAGCTAGCAGCGTTCTGCAAAGTCGCCGCTGTGGAGAAGCAGGCAATCTTGTGCCTCCTGTCCGACAAGGATCCATTCTTCCAGCCCACTTTCGTCCGCTGCTCGGTAGCCGACAAGGTGTTATCCGCCTTCTTGGCTCACCCTACGCTGGGCATCGACGCAACCCTGCCGCAGCACCGTACGCGGTCACCACCTGACCCGGCGCTCCGCCCGGCCCAGGGCGAGTATCCCGTGTGGTACTTCTTCTACGGCACGCTGGCGGACCCCAACGTGCTCCGCCAGTTGCTGGAACTGGACCGCGAGCCGACGTACCGGCCAGCCAAGATCCATGGCGGCTTGTTGGAAGCATGGGCCGGCAAGTACAGGGCGCTTGTGGATGCGCCACCCACGATGGGTAGCGAGAAGTTCGTTGTCGAAGGGAGTGCGTTTTTGGTTCAGAACCGCGGCTAGGAGGAGGCGCTGTGCCGCTACGAAACGGACCAGTACGAGGTGGTTCGTTGCGAAATCGAGATGGAACGAGCGCAGGAGGAGGAGGAAGAGGAGGAGACTATCCGCGGGCTGACGTTTCGGTTTGTTGGCGAGGTCGATTGATGTGGTTGTTACAAGTGCCTGAATTAAGAGATTGGATAGGAATGTTCCGATCAAACTAGTCTGAGCAACGTGGTCTGAGCAACATGGTCTGAGCAGCCGAGACCATGAGTTATTAAGACGAATATGGATTAGCTAATTACTGTCTATGGTATAGCATATCAGAGCCAAACTTGTTGGGGGGGGGGGGGGGAAGGCAAAGGAGTCGCGTCTTACGCGTCTTTTCCATCCTTCCCGTCCTTCCCGTTCGGTGGTTGTAGTCCAAACTTCTTTCTATCTCAGACCGAATTCGAAGTCACTATCATAACGGCTCTTGATCGTTGCTTCCTTGCTTGCATTCCCCACCTATTCTCCCAGCCATAAGAGTAGCTCAGATGGATGCCCAAACTTCAATAGCATCCGGCAGGTGCGAGCGCAGCCACACGGCTTCTGAGGCTTCCCTTCTACTTTGGAGCCGAGTTCGAGGTTCTTCTTCGTCCCAAGCCCTCGAGTGGGATAATCGTGCCTGCCCATGATGCAAGCCCTGTCGAGCGTCGAAGGTTCAACTTCCATCTGCTCGATCACGTGTCGAAGACACTAGCTTCTGCCAATATGAGATGCGCCGTATTTGATCCAAGTGAAGACGACGAACCGGACTATTCGTGCTGGAACGTGATGCTCGACGGCTCTTTAACAAAGAGCCATATTCCGGATGGATTCTATAAGTCTTAATGCCATTTTCTCTTTGAGGCGATGCCATTCAGACTGCAGACTCTAACTCGGTGGTAACTAATAAAGATCCTGCCGAGATTATTACCTCGGTCATTTCTGCCGATAAAGAATGGCCCAAGACTATCGACCTGCTCTGGAGCACCCCCTACATCGGGTGTATGAGTTTCGGAAGGACACGACCTGTGGCTTCCATATCCACGTCTCTTGGCAGCATGGCTCTTATAGCCTACCGCAGCTTAGAAATATTGCCAAGGCAGTCGCGTTTTAGGAGCCGGCTACGGCAAGATGCTACCCTTTATCAAGAAGGGACGGAGCGACCGACTTCTGCAAGTCCAATCTTCGGGCCCCGGATACATTCGGGTTGATGCGGCGGCACGGCCCGCTTGACGGTGTCGAGGGAGTTTTTGCCGAGATCGATACATTGGATCGCGACCCCCTTGTGGATTTCGTTAGTCTATCCAAACATTATGCATGGAACTTTCGGCCCTCGAAAACGGGCAAGTCTGGATCCGTCGAGTTCCGGAGACCCCCTGGCGTGGATTCCGCCAAGAAAGCCAAACATTGGATTGCCTTTACAATGGCATTTGTTTGGATGTCGGTCCGATTTGAGCCGCAAAATTTTGTAGAAGCGATCAGGAATTCGGATAGCAAGTTTGAGGAGGTGCATCATCCCGACTTTCAAGCTCAACTCGTCCGCTCATCCCAAGATATAGGAGAGTTTTGGCACCTCGATCCGAGGTTACTACAGGAGGATGACGTACGAAACTTGCATGTTACTATGATGCCGGAGGGTTGCTTTCGCTGGTTGCAGGAAAGGGGGTTGGGTATAATTGGAGCTCAAATAGATAGTCTATTTCGAGGTGATCAAAAGACATTGCTGGCTTTGATAGGAGGATGGGACTCGAGGAGTTGAATCATAAATATACGGTACATCCATGCCCAGTTTATGCCTTGAGTTATGCATTGTTTCATTGACTGACGGCGATATTTACCTACACCAGGAGATTGTGTCCGGCTAAGGGGCTGAAGCAGACTCGTGATTGGCCACAACTCCACCGTGCCTTGTTTCGCAAACAGGGATCGTCCCGGATTGCCGTTAGCTTCGTTTGCGTACTGCTTCCCATGGATCCCGCTGCATGATTGGTAGTCAAACCTTTCCTCGAAAGGCCACAGATTCTTGACTTTGATGGGAAGCCGGTCTGACTCTTCTCTGAGAGTTGATGTCTGCTTCTCCATTGCATGGTTTGTGGGTCTTAGTTGTCCGCGATAATTGTAATAACTCTCCATTGTTCTAATCTCTCTATTGATGTTTACTGTGTGTAAAACGGTATATACGAGACTATTAATTATTAATTCCCTGAGTGATGCCTATTGTTTAGCAATTGTGTTGTCCTGTGTCGATACCCTGTGGAGGTTATCTTAATCCAGTCCTAAAAGATACCATATAGAGAGTGCACCGAAGGCGTCGCACCGTGTACAATAATCCCGCTCGACTAAATCCCCTGAAAACCGCTCCGTGTCCGAAGACGTTTGGATGAGCGCAAACGGGGGGCTATAATGCCATCCCAGGTCGTCCGTCGGCCACGTTGGGTCTGGCTGTCTGGTTTGGTTCGAGGTTGGGATGAAAGGAGTGCGAATTTCCATTTGTTCGACGAGTAGGGGTAAGTTGGTGAGTGAGTTGGTGACCGGGCGGGGAGGTACTCTAGCAAGGACAGATAGATGAGGAGGGGACAAGTTATGGAGCGTGAGATATCACGCCGCACGATACACAATACCACACAAGTCGAAATAAAAAGAGGTATCAGAAGATTCGTATGTTCATAAGCCTGTCTCTATCATTTCCTATTCCATTTATTCATAACTCATCCCTGACTATTTGCGGCTGCTGCCGTTGGCAGTCAACACGCTCATTACTCTCTTCGCCCGTTTCTTCCTCCCACATCCTCTTCATGGGGTTCGGCTCGTCGCGGCCGTCTTCGACATCGCCGCCGTGATTGCTCGTCTGGTTTTCCGCCTCGGCTCGCGCCACATCCTCGGCTTCGTCGATATTCCTGGCAACCTTGTCCAGCATCGAGTCCGGATCCACAGCGGCGGCGCTGTCCTTCTCGTCTCCCAGACGGATAGTCGGGACGGCGGTAGTCTCGATGCCTCGGATTTTGATGCTTGCGCTCGAAGCAGCCTGCGGCTGACCGTCGCCGCCGCCGCCTCCTCTCGCGGCGCCCAGAGCCGTCGAGGTCAGGGCGCGCCCCGCGAGCAACGATGTGCGCAACGGCAGCCACAGCACCCACCACAGCGGGCCGTACAGAAAGCGGCGGAACACGAGCCACGCCAGCGTCGACAGCAGCATGTACATGGTCGTGCGCAGGTACCACGTGTCGCTCTTCTGGCTGGTGAGCAGGGTGCCGAGCAGGGCGCGCGACCGCCGCAGCAGCCCGTCGACGCCCTCGTACGTCTGCTGCAGCTCGCGCAGCGCCGCCGAGCTCTCGGCCAGCGTCTGGGCCGCGAACGCCGATTTGGATACTTCGCCTGTGATCAGCGCGTGAGTGCGCCGCAATGCCTCGGTCACGTCGCTGCCGGCGGTCACCACGTCGCGGTTGTGGTATGTCCCCGTTTCGTTCTTTTCGCGCCAACGCCGGCGATCTCGTGCCGTGAATAGGACTTGGTGTTGGACTTGCTGCTGCTGCTGTTGGTGGTTCTGTGAGTTGTTGCCGTCGTCGTTGCCGTCGTCGTTGCCGTTGTCGTTGCCATCTTGCTGGTCTTGTTGCCGTTGGAGAACCGCAGATGCGTTCGAAACGTACGACGCTATTAGCAGTTCGCGCTCGAGTTTCTGGGCCGACTCCATGCTGCGTCGGGCGGCGATCTGGGCGGCGCGGAACGAGGTGCGGCAGCTAGTTTGCGCGAAATAAAAAAAAGTTAAAACCTTTGATAGACGCATAGAGGGAACAAGACGACAAGAGTAAAACCTACCGCTTTAAGTCCTGCTCGAGCCGCTGCGCACCCTCCTTCAGCCTTGCCTTGGCGTGCTCGATATCACTCCCAGGACGGCCCGGCCGCAGATCGATGATCTCCTCCTGCAGCAGCTCGAGGTCCTCGTCCTCCTCGCGCAGGATCTGGCTGATCTCGGCGCTTAGCTCGGCGGCCACGTTGTCGCTGCCGTCGTCGTCGCCGTCGCCGCCTCCGCCTTTGCCCGCCGCGGCAATGCTGCTAATGCTGCTTGTGAGCGGTACCAAGCCGGGCTCGAACTTGAGGGTAGCTAGCCGGTCGATAAGCTCCTTCAGCTGGCCGGTCGTTTCCTGCAGAGCGGCGAGCCGGTCGTGGAGCGCCTCAAAGGACGCCATCTTGTTGGAAAGATGGCCGTCTCTATTAATTCCCAGGATATGTACCTGTGACCTAGTTTTGCCTCTTCCAACTGAAGCCGAAACAGTCAGCCAAGGTGCGGGCTTAAATCAAGCGACTCGAGTGTGTTTCGAAATTCGGGTTATCTTGGTCTTCGCGTCGTCTGTCCCGGCCCATATAACAGTAAGTAGGGGGTAATTCGCTCGCTGTCCACTACTGTCCGCCTTGTCTATAAAGAACCACCTGTCTCTTTCTGTGTTTGCGCAGGGAACGGGTCAAGGCGAGAAATTCTCAAGATGTCCGGATTTCTCAGATCCGGGTCGGGTCGGTAGACGAGGTAATGAATGTGGGCGAGTTGTTGACTCGCGAGAATTGTCGGCCTCGTAATGTATGGGAGCTCGAGATAGGATGCAGCAACGTTACTCTCCAAAGTCAACGGAGTACAGACGGACGGTGGAGCTTGCCCGTCGTTTCGCTCTGAGATTCACGTGATGCCCCGTTTTCCCGCTTTAGGCTGCCGTTTCTTTATTGATAAAACCGAAAAAAAAACGCTCGGCAACTTCCGTGAACCCATTGACCCCTGCACGTTCAAGCTTCCCACCCCCTGTCTGAGGCTAGTAAAGGGTAACTCGACTCGACGCCAGCGAGACAATTCTCTGTGTAGCGACCTCCACCGTGCTCAACGTCGCCGCTAAACACCGGATATCGCCCTTCCAAATATTCTCTCGTCGCGACGGGACGATACTGCAGTACCCAATCAATTGCTAATCAATAAAGGCCTGACCATTCTCAAACGGTCCCAGCTAACACTTCAAAGCGCCAACATGATCACGCGGTTCATCACCGAAGTCACGACGCGGTTCAACCCCTTCTCGGTGCGAGCCAAGTCGGCGCGGCTCTTCCTGGCATTCCTCCCAGCCGACGCGCGGTCCGGGGGCATGAAGATCACTACGAAGTTGCTGCCGCGGACGTCGGCGGAGCCAAGCGCGCTTCACGTCAAGTTCAGTCAGTACAAACCCCTCCTAACCCTCTTAGATATGGGGATTTTTTCTTCTTATTTAGCCTCGCTGACACGACCCTTGTGTCTGCACACAGAGGACGGCAAAGAGATGAATCTGGACGTTGAAAATATGGGCATCAAAAGCGTTGTGGAGGAGGTGGACCGACACTCGCGCACCTTGCAGAAGCAAGCAGACCTAGACGCCTAAATTAAGGCTCGCTTATACCGCAACCAAACCTCGGCTATGATGGGACTACTGCCCTGTATAACAACAACGCACACACACACACATACGAAGAGAAAAAGAGAACTCATACCGAGCTCTATTTTGAAAAAGAAAATTGGGAGCATTGGGAGGCGTTCTTGGGACGGCTGTATCTCTCCAGGTTCTACGCAATCGTCTTTCGGCAGCAGTAACGATACAACAGGCAGTATTCTAGCCCGTGTATATTTTTATCTTAACTGCTAGTCAAAGTTTCGCCACTTTTCGTCTGCGATTATCTACTACAAAAACGGCCATCGACTAGCGCTTTGGATTAAACCATCGCCCATTTACATCTGTCGTCGACGTTACGCCCTCGCCGCCTAGGCCGAAGCGCCGCTGATGAAGAACCACTTGTCTATCGAAGCGTCGATTGGTGCGGGAGGCAGATTCTCGTTCTGAGGCAGGGGAGGAAGCTGGTCAGGCGAGACGCGGCTGGCCGAGTGAGCGACGGCGAGGTTGGTGCTACACGGCCGTCCAGTCAGTATCAAAACAAATCACATACACGGGGGAGTAAGAACATACGTCGAGATGTTTCCAGGCGCGGTCTTGCCCGTGATGAGCTTCTCCCAGGCCTCGTTGCACTCACGCACAACATCCATGGCGTACCTGCTCGGCTTATTAGTATACATCCTGTGTGGCGAGTGATGGAGGCTAGAATCTGCTCACGTCTTGTTCTTGCACTCGCCGGTGAATGCGAACTGGTTCTCGGGCTTGCCGTCAGGGATCTTGTAAATCCGGAACCACTCATTAGTGGCCCGCAGCAAACCTGGAAGGTGGCGCTCCACATCCTCGACGTCGTTAAGCTTGGGGGCCAACGGGTCGTTCACATCAATAACAATGACCTTCCAGTCAGTCTCCTCCTCATCGAGCAGGGCCATGACGCCGAGCACCTTGACCTGCTTGACCTGGCCCACGTAGCCGACAAGCTCGCCAATCTCGCAAACGTCCAGCGGGTCATTGTCGCCCTTGGCCTTGGTCTCAGGGTGGACGACATTGGGGTCCTCCCACGTCTGCGGGAAGGCACCGTAATTCCACAGGTAGCCCTTGTGGGGGAAGCAGTTGCGGACGAAGCGGAGCTTGCCCTTCTTAATGTCCTGCTTAATGGGGTTCAGGAGCTCATCCTTGGAGATCTATGTGGAAGGGTAATACAGGGTCAGTATGTCGGTGTGGTAACGTGGGCCTAGAAGCAGCAGCACAAAGTGGCGGTGGAGAAAAGGAGGGGGTAGGGATGGGGGGGGGGGTAACTTCTTTCCACAGCTGCTCACCTCGAGCTTGGCATTGGTCCAGCGAGGGATTTCGACGACCATGTTTAGGATGGTCTGCTCCGGGTTGGCAAAGAGCGGGATGTCGTGGAAGGGCGAAATGGGCACGCCATCCTTCTCGATGTAGACGCGGTGGTCGAGCGTATGGGGCGCGCCCACCTTGCGGAGGCCGTACTGGGACGCCATTGTGGTGTTGTAGCTCCTGAGCTGCTGCTGCTGTTGTGGGAGGGCCGGGTGTGGTGCGGCAATTCCCGACAGGTGCCGAGCTATCTGGGCGGTTCTCAATGTAGAAATGGTGACGTTGGAAGCAAACGAGTTGGGCCTCGATTGTAATTGAGATGTTGAGGGGAAAATGTGTGAATCAATCGAGGTGGCAGAACCCGAAGGAGGGGGAGGGGCTCCAGCTGTGGACTGGGGCCTAATGTGTGACGCCAACAAGCGGGCCTGTGATTGGCCAGAACATGTTGAATGCGGCGCCATGTTCTGGGCAGCGGCTGCTGGGATTGGGGCGGGCTCTCGCTGCCGCTGGCTGAAGACTCTAGAGGGCAAACACCCGAATTGCCTCTGCTGCAGCAACCGCAGGGCTTGGTAAGACGGCATGAGACGGGCGTTTTTACGGGGCGTCCTTGGGCGTCTTAAGTAGGGAGGCGATGCCTACCTCCAGGTAATAAGTTGGGTTCGGGTACGGGTGAGGTCGGAAGGGGCGATTAACAAGTGAGATCCAATGCTTTGCTTCCCTTTGGCTGGGGGATCTTCAAATATTTTTTTTTCGGCCGCGTCTCGTCTCTGGCGTCTCGTCCCCAGGCTAGTGCTGCTATCTCGACAAGTGCGCCAACAACTTCCCAGTGGCTAATTAGAACGGCATGTGCCCTCTTTCATGTCTGCGGTGAACTTGTGCTTGGGAGTAGTGCTCATCACACTGATAATTATTTTTGAGCTAGTCCGGATCTCATTGATTCGAATGGATGAGAATGAGAGGCAGTCTCGGAGTTCAAATTGCAGGTTCCTTAGCTGCCGAAGCTCGTGCTCACCCATGTCGTACTACGAGCCCTATCGTGGCAACCGTCAGCTAACGGGTTACTTCTTCCCGCACCCATAACACTGCGTATGTCGAGTACCCCCGGATCCGCAGTATTCCGTATACTAGGAACTACACGTTAACAATAGTCTACATACTCGAACCATAATGCGATCAAACCTGCAATACCCCTACTTTATCGCACTGCTTCCGTGAAATGTATCTACGAGTCTATTACATCTAGTGTGAGATTATTAGTTCGGCTCGCAGTTCGTTCGGGCTCTTATTGTCGAGGTTGTTTGTCCGAAACCGAGGTAAACCGTAACCAACCATAATTCCCGCACGCCCGCCCGCCTGGAAGCATTGGCAGCATGGAAAATCCACAAGCAGTTTTACCTTCCCTAGGTGCAGATATAGACACTGTCTAATAACTTCAAGTGCCGGGTAGTTGAATCAATGTACCCAGCTAAGGGCCCGGTTATAACAAATTATATAAATATCGACTAAACCCCCTTTCCCAAGAGAAACAGTGACGATACCGAAACGCTAAATGTAAACACTGAGAGAAAAGGAGATGGCATAGCCTTTGACAGATGCCTCAACAACGGAAATAAGATAAGCAAACCAGGTAAAAGCAACCCCCACCAGTTACCCATATATCTGCGCTAATTCGAGGAGGGGTCATTATCATTATTTCTCCCCCCCTCTTGTCTCCTATCCATGCAGACTTACGGCATGTACGTCCAAAGAAAGTAAACATATACATTATCCACCACAGGCCACTATCGCCTAGGCAGGTTATTTCTCCCATAGAGAGCACCTCCAAAGGCCGGACCTGCGTTAAATCCTTGCGTGACGCTCTGCCGGACGATCATGGCTGCTGCTTGCGTGGCTGCCATGCGCTCCTTTTGCCGCTGTCGATCTCTGAGATAGGCCGCTGCCTCAGGCCTCATGCGGAGGATACGCAAAATCATGTCGTCGCTTGGATCTGCTTGCGCCTCTTTGCGCTTCTCTTCTTTTGCCCGCCGCATCGTTCCCAGGTTTCGGCTCATCATGATGCTCTTTCCGCGCCGAATCGTGCCGAGGCTTCCGAATGCCCCGGCCCCGCTGAATGTCGCCCCGAATGTGGGCGGCGCCGACAGCCTGTTGTTCACCAAACTCGCTCCCAAACCGCTCCGCTCTGTCAGCTGCTGTTGCTGGGCTCGCTGCACGTTAGCTGCCGCCATGCGCTCTGACGTACGGATAAGGTTCTCTGTGGAGTCGAAGTAGAAGAAGTTAAGCGACGCTAATTCATGCCACTTAGGCGACTTTAGCACGTCCGCTGGAACTCCCAGTACCTCACCCGTCACGTCCCTGGCGTTAAAGAACGCGAAAAGCATCTCCAGCCAGCGGTACACGACATCCATCTCAGACTGCGTGAGCGACTTCTGCGTCGAAGGCTTATCTGACAGGGGAGGCACGACCAGGTTCTCAATGGCCATTAGAACCTCCTTCCAGAGTCGCGTCATAACAGCCACCATAGTAGCGTCGGTTAGCGTCTGCTTCATGATGGCAAAGTTATCATTAAAGTAGTTAAACAGCGGCCTTAGAGCATTTTCGACGTCTGCGGCCGTCACCAGCGGTGCGTTGGACTGTCGCTTCTTCCACAAGCTGGCCATCGAGGCAGCAAGCCCGCGAGATAGGAGGCTGCGCAGGGCCTCGGGCGAGAGAGAGGCGTTGATATGCGGGGTGAGCTATATCATGTGAGCGGCTTGGTCATTGGAAATACCGCGTGTCAGGTCATACCTTTTCGGTGATCTTGCGCACCATGTCACGCTCCGTCCGCTTCAGATGCCGGAAGGCCTTGCCGAAATGGAATTGTATGTCGTCACGCTCACCCTCCATGCTAACCCGGAGCAGGAGCCTGCCTTGCGTGTCGAGGTCGAGCCAAAACTCCCTCGGCAGGTAGTCACTGAAGTGAACCGGGTCCAACTTAAGCGAAGTCCGCCCAACAAAATCATGGTCCCCAAAGGTATCATAGTCCCAGATGGTTGCTATGATGTTGAGCGCTCCCGAAACAGTGATGTCAATTGACTCGTCCCATCGCGGATTCAGGTTGCGCATGACGATCCTGGTCTTGGCGAGGCGCTTTTGATACTCGTCGCAAAGCACAACATAGGGATCACTGGTTCCGCTTGGGTCGCACGCTTTCAAGTCCTCGGCCTCCACAATCTTGATCGTGAACACATAATGAGCGGGCTTCTTAACCACCGGTTTCGGACCGCCCGCCGTGCGGAGCACCTCGGCACACCTGTCTACGTTTATCTTCTTCTCCAGCTTATCGAGAGCTTGCATGGCCCATTCGATGTTGTTGAATTTCACAAATGACTAGATGCGGGCGGGTTAGTCTCGAGTATATATCAAAACAGAGTTCAAGGCCGCGTGGTCACAGACCTCGGGGAGGAACTGAAAAGGTTCAATCCTTTCTTTCGTGTTCCACGCGTCTTTCGCATATTGGAAAAACTTTTCCTGTGTCGTCTTTGAAGTGGCAAGAACCTCCTGTGAGGTTTGTCGTTCCATTTCCCTGGCGAATTGCTGCTCAACAAGCTCGCAGTAACGGCCAATGCCAGCAGCAAACCCTTTCGAAACTGCCGTCATAAACTTTGCGTGATGGACTTCGTCACCCCATTCAAACTGGAGGATCTGGTCCACAGTCACGTTAAAGAGCGCGAACGTGTCCACAATAGAACTGCTATGGCGTTCGTCATCGTTTGGAATGCCATCTGGATTATGGGTCTGGAGCGTGAACTGATCGTGCTTGACTGCCCCTTCAACCACCTCGGGCGTCTTTTCTTCGGTGTTCCTGATCCAACGCCAAATAAAGCCCTCGAGAAGGCTCTCAATGCTGAAGGCGAACGGTTTTCCCGGAAGCGAATCTACGTGGATCTTCCTAATTTCAACGAGTTCCTTGTAGAGGTCAAAGCCGTCTTCCAGTGCGACTTCTTCGTTGCGCTCAGAAGCAGTTTCCAGGACGCGTTTTATAAACTCTTGAGCATCCTCTTCAAAACTCGGAAACGTTGACTCCACCAGAATTTTAAAAGGGCTGACGCCCATGACTTCTGGATTCTTCTTGTAGCGCTTCTTAGTCCGCTCGACAAGACTGACCACCGCCTTGCCAAGCGTGACGACGTGCCCAAAATTCCATTCCAACTGGTTCCGGGGAATTTTGGAATCCAGTTGATCTCGGTAGGCCTGGGCAGCTTGCTTGCGCAGCCCATTCTCCAAATGCCTAGAATACTCGACAGCATCTTCAGGCCGTTGTGAAAAGGCGGGGTCGTTATAAATATGATCACTGAGGAGGGCCATTGTGACGCCGACGCTGGGCGGTTTAGTCTCGTAGCATCGCATCAAAGTAGTGTAGAGGTCTCGGAGCAATGCTTCGTGAAGCTCCCTCAGTGCTTGCTGGTATGCTGCGAAGTCCACCATAGTCCATCTGCTTGAGCTGATGTCTGGCAGACTGGACGTGTACATCTGGATCATGGACGGCTTTTTGGGTTCAGGTAGCGGTTGTTTAACGAGGTCAAGACACTCGTAAAGCTGCTCCGGTGCCATCTCTTGGTCGATGAACCTTCTAGTTGCAACCTCGACAAAAGTGACATAGCGAGAAAATTGCGGGATACGCCACCGACCAGATAGCTCAATCAAGAGGTCAGTAGACTCCTCAGAAAGGGGAGAATCTGTCTCAGGCTGGGATTGATCGTACGCCGTGGCATACTGAAGAATGGCCTTGTAAACAGCCCGGGGGTCAGTGGGGATGAATGTATAGCTCGGCTCGTCAACGCTCCGTATAGTGGATGTATCGTCAAGCGAGAGCGAGCCCAGACTAACAGATTGGTCGAAGCCAAGAGCGTTAGGATCGGTATTGGAGAGCATCTTGCCCAAATCGGCATAACTCTGGTCTTCCCCGTACATGGAGTTCGGGCGAACCGGAAGGCTTTTATCATTTCCAGACGTGGATGCCTTCCTCAGATCGGGACGAACGCTTAGGATTTCGGCAAAGATTCTAGCCAGATGAGGACCCTCATGTCGCTTCCACTCCTCAAAAGCATCATCTACATCAAAATCCTGTCTCTGCAACGTGCCAGGCATGTTTGCCGCGAGCCTGAACTGGTAGGTCTTGAAATCCTTTAGAGCAGCGTCCTCGGTCCAGGCCGATATGTTGGTGTCCAGATCAGTCTGCACCTGGCTGTGGGAAATACCAAATATCTTGGCAACGGCCTGAACCATCTGCATATCCTTAACCTCGTAGGTGAGAGGGATATCGACTTCGACAAAGGAATGATCAGCCTGACCCGTGTCGAGGAACAAGTTTTGGTCGTTCGTAAGAAGCTTCTTCTCGAGCGTGTTGAGGCGGCTGACGAGCTCGGGACGATCACGCTCGCCACCGAGATCTTTGAGGATACTGGAGAGAAGGCGGATGAACATGGCCAAATGCCTGTCGACCAGCACTTTCCAGGCATGGTCGTCGGGCGCCTTGCCGCGGCCCTGCGCCTTTGTCGCCGACGAGTAGAAGATCAAGACAAGAGGCTCGACCTTGCGGTCCTTGTCAATGGATTTGGCAAAATCCTTGGCCGTAAAGGCCGTGTAGGCCTCAGCAAAGGTTCTCTTCACCGGAGGATCGTTATAGCCGGGCATTTTTTCGACACCCTGCAGGACGAGAGACATGCGCTTTTCGAGTGCATGGCGGAAGTTGTGGGGTAGCTTGATGGACGACGAGCCGCTTGGTACAAGCTCCTTCATCAGGTCGCCGACGCTCGACGTGTGGACACGAGATACGGGCTTTGGGGCGTTGACGTACTCCTTTCGCTTCTTCCGCGGCTGGAGGAGGTAGTGGAGGAGGGCGACACGGAGGGCGTACGAGTAGGCGTCGTCTCGCGAGACAACGCTCTGGCCGGCTCTCGAGCCGGCGCGGTTCCGTTTGACGCCATCGTGGACGCTCTGAACGCTGCCGACCCGGCGGCTGTGGTTGTTCGAGGCAGCGACTCTTGATGCGAACGACATCTTCTCGGGGGTCACGCGGCGATCTCGACCCCGATAGCGATAGCGGGGCTCGTTATGTTGGGCGATGAGGATGCGAGGGGGGAGCGGGGAACGGGGGTCGGAACCAGCAACAGCAACGACGGGCGGATGAGATTATGCCACGCCCGTCATGTTGCTCCTCGCAGCCAGCTTAAACTCGGTGGACAATGGGTGGCGGGCGGCAAGCAGGTTGCAGAGCTTCTCGGGGTTTAAGGGGGCGGTAGGGATCAAAGACGACGCCCATGTGTCTGTCTGTTGTTTGATTGCAGTGCGTTTGGCAGTTGGATGAAAACGTCATAGCCACCACCTGCGCCCCAGAGCATTCCGTAATACCTAGGTTACCTTACAATTCCAGCCCAGCACTCCAAGCTCCCCAAGGTACCTTTGCCCGCGCATTGCCGAGGTTGTTACGGAATACTGTAATGCGTTTTCATACCCCCACACTGCCGTGGCTCTGGCAGGGGTTTGATCCGCAAAACTGCCCGTGTGGACTACATACCGTAAGAATACATACCCACACGTTTTACAGGCCTGTTGCTGCTGGTATCGCCATCAGCAACTCAGACAATCGAGGCACTTGTTATTTTACTACATTGATCAGTCTGCTTATTCCATATCAGGATAGAGAACTACAGATCGGTACGGCCTACCGGACTTTGCAGTTACATAAACTTTGGAAATGTCTTACGTTAGATTTATCCGAGGATTTCCGGAACCTTAATCGACACTCTTGGGACGTACAGCAGACCGTAGGGCCCAATATCTTTGCCTCCAAAACTCACAGGTAAGCAACGAGGCGATAAAATTATTCACAGCTCTTGGGCCTTCAATGCTGCAATGAGATCTGGGTGCGGGATACTCCGTGGGTTCGTTAGGTATCGAAGGTAGGGATGATGACTGCTCTTATCCGCACAACAAACGCCCTGCAGGCCTTCGGTTAGGCAGGGCAGTTTTATAATCACCCCCACAGGCCCCCGCTCTGGACAATCCTCTGAACTTGACCAAACAAGGCGAGCCGTTTTGTCGAGATCTAGTATGGTAAATGCCCAGTCCTGGTACACTATCTCTCACTGCCGCTCAATCCTTTTTGTTTTGTTTAGCAAGAATTAGCTTAATATTCATATAGTGGATATGGCCGCCGCACGGAAAGAGGCTACATGTTACAGGCGATGGCAGGGCGGCTTGGTGACATCATATCGTGGACCGTGGCTCTGAGGTACAGTACGCAGCTGAAGTGGCCGCCTCAGGAGCAGAGTCTCAGTTCGGGTTGTTTCTTGCGACAACAATATCTAGCGCGGCCTCACGGCTGGGAACGGGGCGAATGCCCGCAAAATACAGTGGTTTTCATCGGCCGAAAACTCTCGTTTTGTTAAGCGAAGCAGGCGACTGATTGCGACCCGTGACACTGCTTCCTCCAGGTCGCTGCGCCCGCCATATGACCCTTGAAGATGTAACTTCCATTACGCAGTATGTGTGGCTCAAGAGCTTACTACTGTCCTCCAACAAACTGCCGTCTCTTATTCGTCAACACACACCTTGTGGATGGGATGTATGTACAGTACATCACCTTGACTAAGGTATCCGCATCTCCAGTCCCAACTCTGCTTCCCGACAGGACCGCCTTCATCAGACATCCCTGCGACAGATTACAGCTGCAGTTCTTTATCCGGGGAAAGCACTCAAAAACGGGAGCTAAGAATTGGATTGTCTCAGCACAGTACGGTTCGATACAATACCACGCCCAGTTGAGCCTTCCTATCACCAGAACATAAGGAAAGTGTGTGCGGAAAGGAGTAGGTATAAGTACGGAATTCGGTATCCCGTCTGTATCACCTCCGCCTTGGTACCTTCTCTTCCCAAAATTTTGGGAGACGGTCGCAAAGGCATTAGCCAGGCGAGGACTAGGGCACAGTGCAAGTGCCAGACAGGTGCTCGATGCTACCAAGCCTGTCATAGTAGCCGTGTTTCGTGTACGAAGTACGGAGTATGTAGTACGCCCCTACCTAGCGACCCCGCCACGCCGCTACGAGCCGCTGCGACCAAACGACGTGCCTGCTGGGAAGGGGATTTCGGACAGTACCGTCCCAGCGTTTCCCATCTTCGCCTTTTACAAGGTGCCGTCCAGAGCAACAATCGCGCCGTCGAGATGGGCAATGTCGGCAGCACGCCCGAAGAGGGCGCATCACTCTATCTTAGGGACCAGAATCGATGTAGGTCTTGCGCAGACACATGTCTCGATCCTTCCTCTCCTCATCCCCACTCCGCGTCTCGCCATGCCCTGTCACGCTGGCTCTCGCTCTCGCCATGAACCGAACCGAACCTCGCCCTCGGCAGCTCTGCGTGGAGCGAGTGCGGGTGTGTCTTTTTGAGAGCGAAAGCGAGGGCGAGGGCGAGAATCAGACAGGACATGGCGAGATGCGGAACCAAGTTGCACTCCGCGAACTGGAGTCAATGACATGGTGCTGGCTGACCGTACTCTTTCGCAGTATCCATCTCTTCTGTCGCCATTAGTAGTCCGCGAAAGCGCACATCCATAAACATCGTTCCTAATGCATATCCTGCTACAAGAGTATCAGCATCTCGATCACTGGGCGAGAATGGCCCCATCGAGTTCGTCTTGGTGCGTGCGATCGCCCCTCACCATCACCACAGTCACCCCTCCCCCTCCCCTCACGATTGGTCTTGCTCTCTCGCTCGCCGCATTCATCCTCACGACTGACACTGTCTTTCCAGGACCCGGAAGCGCCCACTAGCGGTGCTGCAGCCCCGGTCTTCCTGCTGAAGCTCGCAAACGACGATGACTTGGTCTTCACTTTCACCTTCATCATTCGCCAGGCGCACCAAATTGTCCAGGCTCCAGCTGGTGGCGTCGAATCCGTCGGCTCGACCGATACCCAGATCAAGGGCCTCACCTTTGTGTATGCTTCGACGTCCCGCGAGGTAGAGAATCTGGTCACGCGCGAGTTTCACGCCGACCCGAATCTGCACAAGAACGCGAACGTCGAGCTTGTTGGCCCTTTCTCAACTGAAGGCAGCCCATCGGTGACGTTTGAATGGAGCTGGAGATGGAAGCCCCCAAAGAATACCGAGGACAAAGGTGGCGGCTGGAGGAATTCGTGCAGTGTTTGTGCTGGCCTCTCCGTGATCCTTTGCCTTGCAGCTACTAAGACATTCTTCTCCAGTTCGTCGAGTACGACCAGCGGGCCCACCGTCTGCATACCCTCGCCAGTTTTTCCTTTTTCGTGGCCAGTACGTGATCCCCAAGGCTTACCTTATAGACAAGCCCAAGTATCTTACAGCAATAGGCGTATCACCATACTTCAGCCAACCCCATTCGCCATCCCCTCCTATTCTTTTAAGTGCCCCGCCCAAGGTGCGAGTGGTGTCCGCACAGTCCGTCGAGTCTCGAATCAGCGCCGTTCCGGAAGAAGACGAAACCCTCTCTCCCTTACCTCTCTCAAGTGACCCAGGCAATGGAGTTCCGTCGATGCCACTGGCTGTTGCAAAAGAGCCTATCAAGGTCGACGTATCCTGCCCGCGGCCTAGCGAAGATATGTCTGTATCCGATGACGGACCGCTCTTCCGGGCAACGATGAAAGCTCTGGAACAGAAAACGGGAAACATGCGAATGCAGATGAAGAGATTAATCAAAAAGGCCGAGCAGGTTCACGCAGCGCAGCAAGAAGCTAATGATGCCTTTACCGGCTTCATCGAGGCGTTGAAGGAAGTGTCTTCTACCAACGCAAACGCTGTCCAGCCAGCCATCGAACACTACTTTGACAAGATCGCCCGCGAGATCCTGATGTATGAGCGACAAAACACATTGAACATGCAAAGGATTGTCATAGACCCGATGAACAAGCTTTATCAGATGGACATCAAGCAGGCCGAGGCAAAGAAGCGCGACTTCGAAGAGGAGAGCAAGGACTTCTACGCCTACGTGAGCCGGTATCTGGGCCAGCGGCACGACTCGATCAAGGCGAAACAAAGCGACTCCAAGTACCAATCTAAACGCAAGACCTTTGAGCTCAAGCGCTTTGACTACTCTTCGTTCATGCAGGATCTCTCCGGTGGCCGAAAGGAGCAAGAGATTTTGTCCCATCTCACCAAATATGCCGATGCCCAAGCAAGATTGTTTCTTGCCACCTCGAAAAAGGTAGATAATCTCCTCCCGCAACTCGAGGCCTTGTCTAGCGAGGTGCACGAAGCGGATAAAGAGTACCAATACCAACGCCGAGAGCGCGAGGAGAAGAGAAGACTCCTGGAAAAGAGCAACCTTTCCTACGGAGAACCGGAGCCTCCTTCTACGGCGTCAGGAATAGCTCCACTACCCGTCTTAAATGGTCCGCAAGCCAATTCGGACTCTGAGCTCGGCCGAGCAGACAGCACAGGTTCGCAGCTTAAGACAATCAGCCCCGGCAATATGGGCAATTCTCCCGGGGTAGGGGATCTTTCCAAATCCCCTGGGAGTCTTAGCCATCATACGTCTGTTGGTAGCCCTCAACAAAATGCCAAGTTCCGCGGCATCCGAGACCTAGAGGAGCGAGATTCAAGCCAGGTGGCAAATTCTGAGAAAAACTCGATGCAGAGAAAGGAGGGCTTGCTTTGGGCTCTCAACCGACCAGGCGGCCACGTGGATCCACGAGCTCTGAATAAACAGGGCTGGCACAAGTACGTCCACGGATTCGTTATCTTTATGTCGCAGAAACGCTAACTTAACAGGTTTTGGATTGTTCTTGATCAAGGCAAGCTGTCCGAGTATAGCAACTGGAAGCAGAGGCTAGACTTGCATATGGATCCCATCGACTTGCGTCTAGCTTCGGTACGAGAGGCGAGGAATGCAGAGCGCCGTTTCTGTTTCGAGGTCATCACGCCACAGTTCAAGCGCGTTTACCAGGCAACCTCTGAAGAAGACATGAACAGTTGGATTATGGCCATCAACAACGCACTTCAGAGCGCTGTGGAAGGGCGGGGGTTCAAGGAGAAGCCGCTGGTATCCACTGGCGAACTAAGCTTCAACGGGATCGATATTGGGTCCATTTTGACGGGGAAAAGCCCGTCTAGCGCTCACGCTAGCCACTCAAATCACGGCTCTAGCGGGATTCCTTTAAGACGAACGACTGTTGGCGCCCGTCCAGGCACGTCACGCGGCAGCAGTTTCGACGAGAATCCCGATAAACTGCTCCAGATGCTCCGCGACAATGATCAAGGAAACGGCTGGTGTGCCGATTGTGGATCGAATAACAAGGTTGAGTGGGTTTCCATCAATCTCGCCATCATTGTTTGCATTGAGTGCAGCGGTATCCATCGGTCACTGGGGACGCATATCAGCAAGGTTCGCTCCCTCACTCTCGACACAACCTCTTTTACAGCGGACATTGTGGAGCTCCTTCTCCTAGTTGGAAACAGGGTGTCCAATATGGTCTTTGAGGCCAAGTTAGATCCCACAGTGAAGCCTACCCACCAAGCGACACGAGAACAACGACTCAGATTTATCACCGCGAAATATGTCGAACGATCATACGTAGAACCCATTTCCCCCACTCTCTCCAGGTACCCTACTCCGGACGACACTCTCCTCGCAGGGATCAAGAAAAACGACATCCAACAGGTCCTGTATGCCCTGGCGCTGCAAGCTAGTCCAAACGTGACTGATAAGTCACGAGGCACGCACGCTGTCTACCTGGCCCTGGCTGCGGCGGATCCCGCACAGCCGTCACCAACACCGCCGTCGGTGCCCGCACCGGGACAGGCTGCGGAAAAGGTTGTGCCTTTCCCCATCGCCGAGCTGTTGATCCAGAATGGTGCAGAAATCCCACTCCAGCCCCCAGCCTTCCCTCTCAGTCACGCCGCGCAGCAGTATGTCGAGGTGAAGCGGGGACGCCGAGCTGCCATCGAAGCATCGGGAGGCTCGTACGATGGCGTCGGTTCACATACATCCAACGCGACGTTGAGCCCTGGCGACAAGCTCCAGCGAGAAAGGGAGGCCAGACTCCAGAAGCGCGTAAGCGCGGGGGGGCGTTTAGCCAAGAACCCTATTCCAGAGCGATAGAGCGGCTTGGGGGTTGCTTATGGAGTGCCATTCCTCAACCTCAGCCGCCAGCGGTCATATCCGTCGTATTAACTAAGGCGCCGTCTTTCCCAACCGCCACACGTTTTATTCTGTTATTCTCCTATCCGTTGAGCTCATTCATGTACGATTTGTTTTATTTTATCTTTTGACATTCCGACCTTTGAGCACTAGCTTCCTCATACCCACATATATCCACAAGCCGGTGCGCGCATCTGAACTACGTTTGTCGCCTTGGCTGTGGTGAGGAATTGTTGGCTTCAGGTGATTGCTTTGCATTGGTTGTTGGCTTCCGGAAATCCTTATTTCCATAGTATTGGATCAAAGAAGAGGAAATTCCAGCGAGGCTAGTGAGGAAATCGGGCAGTCATTCAGGGGGTTGTATTGTTTTGGTTCTTGTAGTCATGTCCCTAGGGCATTAATTCGGGGGGTCTCTGGGTTTTCTTTTTGGGGTTTCATTTTCTGTTTGTCTTTCTTTTTGCACATCATCATGAACAGAAGCATGGAGTCAGGCGGAACGGGATTTAGGGAGGGAAACTGACGTACTGGTCTTGGTGGTGGTGGGTTTTGCCCTTCCTTCAGTCCTTTTTGAATCAAGTCAAATTTGAATTGACTGGCATGGAAATTGTACGGACATACGGGATAGAACGGAGGCCGTGGTGGCATTAGTATCAGTATTGGAACTTGTTTTTAACCCCAAAAGCTTCTGCGGCTTTTGTGTAAAATGCCTTTTTTTTTGGCTGGGCGTGTTCGTTTTGCTTGTTTCTGCTGTCTAGAGAAGTGCGTGGGAACTTGTCCCAAGAAAAGGGGAATATGCTAGTCTCATTTCGTCTAATCCTATCCTTGTATTTTCCTGCAGGCCGTTTTCTCTCTCTTCTTCTCTCTTTCCTTTTCAAGGTGATAAATTTGCCTCCAAGAGAAAGCTACTATGTGATTGTGTAATTAACGAAACAGACGCAAGGCATTCTGTTCGCCTGGGAAGGTTGAAGATGGGAAGGTTAATTTGTAAATGAGATCGAAAATCGGAAGCTCGCGAATAGGGCACTGTAATAGTAATGAAGAGGCCGCATAATGAAATGTAACGCCGGCAATACAATCGCATGAGCTGGGGGTGTGTGAGAGCTGTGGCGACGTCCCTATCTACTCATACCGGCCGGGTTTCAACGAACACAGCCCGTTCTGACAGCACACCATTCCCGACTTTCTCTTGTCAGAGTGTACCGCTCGAAGAATACCTATGTGGTTGGCTAATTTGGCTGAAGCACGAGTATCGATCGCTTTGCGTTTGGGCTATATCTATCGAGGATACATGTTTTGTCAATGATGAACCAAGCGGTTCGTTTAGAGGGAAACATAGAGTGAGTGCAAGGTGGTCATGACCACGGCCATCAGCCTATCCACCTACCAAGGTCGAATGGAGTATAACCTACTGTTTACCTGTGCTGATTGTCACGGGGGTTGTCGGCAGCACGGAGAAGAAAAAGGACAAGGAGGACAGGAAGGAGAAAGACAAGAAGGAGAAAGACAAGAAGGAGAAAGACAAGAAGGAGAAAGACAAGAAGGAGAAAGACAAGAAGGAGAAAGACAAGAAGGAGAAAGACAAGAAGGAGAAAGACAAGAAGGAGACGGATACAAGAACAAAGGGATTGTATTCTGAGAGCAGAGCCGCAGCACCAGCAGCAGCTGACAGCAGAGCCGCAGCAGCACTAACAACTGACAGCAGAGCCGCAGCAGCATTAGCAGCCGCAGCACCAAGCTACGTTGTACGACACCCCTGCGTTGCACGACACGCCCCCCTGACGAGCCACGGCTACCATCAGCACCAACGGCAGCACGGAGAAGAAGAAGGAGAGAAGAAGGACAACAAGGAGAAAAAGGACAACAAGGACAAGAAGAGAAGGACAAGAAGAGAAGGCCACGAAGAGTTGGCAGAAGAGAAGGACAAGAAGAGAAGGTCAAGAAAAGTCGGTAGAAGAGAAGGAAAAGAAGGACAAGAAGAGAAGGGCAAGATTTACAAGAAGAGAAGGACAAGAAGAGTTCAAGAAGAGTTACAAGAGAAGGACAAGAAGAGAAGGACAGGAAGAAAAGGACAGGAAGAAAAGGACAAGAAGAGCTACAGAGTTCAAGAAGAGTTGTAAGAAGAGAAGGATAGGAAGAGTTAGAAGAAGAGAAGGACAAGAAGAGTTAGAAGAGAAGGACAAGAAAAAGACAAGAAAAAAAGGACAAGCAGAGTTACAGAGTTCAAGAAGAGAAGGACAAGAAGAAATGGACAAGAATAAGGGGATTGCACTAGAACAGCAGAGCCGCACTAGCATGCACTAGCCGCAAGACTAAGTGATGCATACGAAACTCCTATCCCTGACGAGCACGACACTGCCCTCCTGACGAGCCACGGTCACTACCAGAGCAGCTGCAGCAGGACGGAGAGGAAGGAGAAGAAATATAGGCGAGGGATTGCATTGAGAGCAGCCGTACCAGTTCTGTACGCTCTATCTATCCATAATTCCTGTAATTAGCTAGTCTGATCTCGGCAGCTCAGCCCAGACAACCTCTACAAATTCCTGCAGGTCCTATGGGAGTTCAAAATTTGGCAACTATAAACGGTAGCCCTTTCTCTTTGCCCCAGCCTTCGTATTAGATGTGAACACTCCCCCCTTAGTCATCCTCCTCGCTTTCACCCTTATCCTCCAGCTCATCCTCCAGCTCAAGCTCATAGTCAAAGCCGTCATGTTCCTGTGCCTGGCGGACGGCTCAGTCCGCGACGACCGCCAGCCCCAACTTATCAGGCCCCTGATCGGCAGGTCCTCCCTCCTCCTCCTCCTCCTCAATAGCGTGCTCCATGATTGACTCAGCGATACTGCTGACGTCGTGTCCAATCTCGTTGACGAAGCCGAGGAGAATATTCTTCTTCACGTATCTTCCGTGAGTACCCCAGTACCTTGTCCCCTTGAGAACTTCATTCTGTATCAACGACTTGGAGGATTTGAGCGACCCCTTCCAGTTGAGCTGCGTAATGGCGTTGAGAAACGTCCACCAGACATATCGAGCCCTGGGCCGCGACTCGTTCAGGAACTGCAACCGGCGTCCGTGTAGGCCAGCCAAGTTGTTGAACTCAAGATTGTGAAGCTGCTTTGAGAATACTGCCTCCTGCATAGACGAAGGCGTTGCGTCTAAGACTATAATACGGTACTCTCTAGGAGTAGTCGTTTCCCAATCCTTAAGGGCCTGGTGCCGTTCGTCTTTGTCCTCCCATGGAGCTGCGGAATCCTTTGCTTCCAAATTGGTATCAGGGACGATGACCAAGAAGCCCCTATCAAGAGCATGTTCTATAGCCGGATCGAGGAAGATGCCGTTAACGGGCGAGAAGAGTTTGTCGCGGGCGCCAGTTCCAAAGATAGAGTCCATAAGGTCCGCTGAGCGCCAAGGGAAGAGATGTGCGGCGATGGCGAGTCTCTTATCGACCCAAGTCCCAAGCACCGGCTCCCAGATGTTATCAGAGCCAGGACAATAGGCCTGCCTTATCAAGTCTCTCATCATTGACTGGTCCGTTGTTTCGCGCCGGCCCTTGGATCCAGCATTCGGGAGGTCGAACCCCAGCTTAGAAGAGTTGAAGAGCTTGAGGAACGCGTTGCAACGATCTAAAAAAGGAGAAGGAGACTTCAGCTTTTCGGACTGCTCCCTCGCAATCGATGCCTGTCGTGCGAGTGCAATAGACTCAAGTAGGCACTCTCTTCCTTTCTCGTCCACCTCTTTTCAGCGCTCTCTCGACAAGGTTCCGCCGCCTTCCTGATATTCACGGAATTGGAGTGGGCTATATAGCCTAATTCTCTCCACGTCCATGGTAAGGAGATCTGCATTGCTTGACCAGAAAGTGGAATCGAATGACGACGACAGCTTGAGCTTCTTCCGGGCTCCCTTGATCTTTTCAACTAGCTCGCTGTGTTGAGTGTAGAGAGTCTTTTTCTTGCTGCTCGAGCGCTTGGGGATCTCCGGGACGCTGGTAGTGGAGCCCGCGGCCGAGAACGTCGGGTGATCAGGAGACGAGCGCCTCTCGGGGATGATGGGAGCGGGGCCTGACATGATGAGAAGAGCGTGCCCGGGGCGATGTGGTTTTTTTTTTTTTTTGAAAGGTTGAAGTTCGAAATTTGAAGTTCGAGGGTTATTATGTAGACAGACCAAACTCTAAATCCGATGGTGTGGGCATTGTGAGTTGAAGGATGTTGAGGTATTAGATGTATTGAACACGGTGGTAGAAGCTTGTTCAAGGCGGACGACATCTGAACATACACAGCTGGAATTGGCGAATATTTTGAATAACAAGACTATCCTAGGCGGATTATAACTTATCCGCGCGTAGGATGGGACCTTGCCAGAATAGTTTCTAGCTACCTATCCTATAAACAGTATATGATGTATAAACCCATCAACGAGCCTGATGAGGACCGCTCCTTGTCAGTCATGAAAAACCCCCTATGAACCTAGCAAGCCACAGTCGCAAATGATGATCGCTATATATTAATGCTGTGGCAGCTATACAAGCAGCTGCAAAGGCAAAAAAACTTTTGATCCGCAACAAAAAAGCGCTGATTGCTCGGTTGCTTCGTATCAACCTCCGCATCCCACCAGTTTCGACAAACACACGCTTCCCTAGATATCCATCTGACCAAAAAGGTGACCAGAGAGTCCACAAGCCCTCAGCTAAACGAAAAAAGTTTGACTGGGGCCCAAACTCGTCCAAATGCAACAAATAAAGGAATGAAACTAGAACACACGACGCTTGCTAACTTCGGGCATATCCCACATGTAACAAATACAGTGCTCTATCACTCAACTTCCATACCTCTCAACGACCGCTCGGCTTACCCTTTCCCTTACCCTTCGCTTTGGAGCTAGCGGCAGCTTCTGCGACGTCCTTCTTGGAATAGTTGCTATCAGCGTCGTTGCCGAACAGCTCTTGGTCACCCTTACCGCCCATAGCCATGAATTCGCGAGGGTCTCGCATATCCGCAGGCCTCATCTCCTTCTTGGGCGGTGGTGGCGCGCTGGGTTTGGGGTTCTTTGAGTATATTTTCAATTCGGGTTTGTTATCACCCATAGGCACATGGTTGGCAACCCGGACCGTATTGATGGAACTTAGCAGTGTGCGCTCTCGGGCCACGCCGCGCCGGTTGACTTCCAACCCAGCAATACCGCTCACAAGGCCGTTGGTGCTGTCATTGACCCCAGGTGTCTTTTTGGTCATCCACGGGTGAGCTAGACACTGGTCGATTGTATATCTCCTCTCAGGATCGACGACAAGCATACAATCAATGAGATCAACTGTAATACTTTATTAGTAGGTCCTTTTAGGACTGGGGTAAGGTGCCGACTTACGAGCAAGGTCGTCAATAGGATCCCAGTACGGAGAGGGATAGTCGAACCTGCCTTTCCGAATCTGCTCCGAGAGAGTATAGGGGAAGCTCGCCGAAGTGAGCTCATCAGAGAACGGCGGAAATCCACACAGACATATATAGAGCACCACACCAAGAGACCAGACATCAACGGCCTTGGTATACTTGCGGCGTCTGCTATCGGCCAGGATTTCTGGTGCGACATAGCTGGGCGTACCGCAAAGCGTTGTTGTAAAAGATTCTTCTCCGATAATTTTGGCAAGGCCGAAGTCGGCAAGCTTGACATGCAGATCTTTGTCCGCAAGAAGAATATTCTCGGGTTTGATGTCTCGGTGGACTATATTTCGTTCATGCTGCAACAACGTTAGGGTCTGAGATTTTTGGGGTCGGATGGGAGGGAACTCACTAGATACTTGACGCCATTAAACAGCTGGGTGAAGAGCTTCCGGGTTTCGTTCTCCGTCAGCTTTTGCTTCTGAACAATGAAGTTGAACAGTTCTCCCTCTGGAGCGAGCTCCAGCACCAAATATACAGCATTAGGTTCGTTGAAGGTGTCCTTGAGGCATAGGACGTTTGGGTGGCTGACGCCCATGAGCACGGCAATTTCCTGCTGTAGGCCGTCGCTCTTGGATTTCTCTTCCACGCCAGGTGTCTTGCTGAAAACCTTGACGGCATAACGCTGGCCGGTTGATTTCTCAACACACAGGTAGACCTCTGCAAAGTGACCTTTCCCGAGTTTCTCCTGTGGTGTGTACTGTTGCAGGAATGCGCTTGTGTGACGGCTCTTTGGGTATCTGAAAATGAAGCGGGCTTTGTCGAGAACAGCAATCTCATCCTGCTCCTGCAGCTCTCTCCGTTGATTTCGGCCCACTATTGCTTCGTTGACGAAGGTCCCGTTGCTCGAGAGATCCTCAAGCACAGCAACAGTGTCGTTGCCCTTGTTCTCGGTAAATATCAAACAGTGGCGGTTCGAAATTATCGGATCATCCACCACAATATCTGAATACGTTAGTCATGTCTGCTGCGCAGTGCTTAAGAGTGAGGACAGAAGCATACCGCACTCGGGGTGCCTCCCAATCAAGTAGCCTCCGGATGCAAGACCGCTGGATTTCTTCTCGCTCTTGGCAGGGGCTTTTGGGCCTCTTCTACCTCCCCTCCTCGACGTCGACGCAGCTGCTTCTTCGGCCGCCTCGGGGGGCGGGCACGTCCCCTTCTTCCTCATGACGACGCACCGGCCACCATAGCGCGTGTCCATGGGGAAAAGGTATCCCCATACGCCCTCTTTAACTTCATCTTCTACCTCGTCAGACAGCGGGGCATTCGGGTCGACATGCTGGCTAGGGAAGGCCTGAGTGTCTTGGGGTGGCGAGCTGAAGGCGAGACCCTGGGAAAAGTTGTCGTCTGGATTGCGATGCGACACTTGGCTGGGACGTCCCTCGGGTGGAGTGGCGGTGGCCTCCTTAAACAGCTCGATCTCCTCGCTGGCGTCGTGCGTAACAGGCGATGGTAGCTGTTGCCTGGTCGAGACTGGTGTTTTGTAGACGTCGTTGTCGACGCGTTGTGACGAGAGTCTCTCGGAGCGTCGGGGTTTCTTGAACGACTCCTGCTCGGCATCTGCCGGGGAGCCCTGAAATTTTCGGATTAATCGTCGAATCATGGCTGCGTTGTTGTGACGAAAGATAACAGAAGATTAAGAAGGTAAAGTAGTGGACACCTACGGAGATGCGACCTCTTTTCAGATGGCTGCCTTGACCTTCAGACCAAGGAGCCATGACGCGAGGTGGTAGCTGGAACAGCGAATGTCCCAAAGTATTATCCGTATTGTTATTGTCGAAGGACGTGGCAGTGAGTGGTAATAAAGCCCCGGGCTCGTGCGGCGCTGTATGTGCCTGTAGCAGAGCTGTCCAAAATGCAATTCGAGGATTGCGGGCCGTTATGCGGGTTCAGAGGCTCGATTTGGTGGTCTGGTCATCACCTCGTGAGGCCTCTACTCTCTAGGGGAGGGCTCAGCATCATGACCCTAGCATGCAAACCTACTAGAATCTAGGCCGCCGCGCCTCCTTCTCTGCGAATCTGCCTGGGATCCACCTGAAGCGCGCCCAGGGGCACAGCCGAGATCCTGGCTAACTCAGAACGGTTTTTCAATGATCCGCTGCAATACGCTGTTACGCACCCGAAAATGGGTGGTTGATGCAGGGGTTAGCCCGGTGGCGTAGAGGCTGTCATGCTCGCCTGCCAGAATCTAAAGTGACGGGGAGCGCCATTCACCGACAACTTCAAGGGTTGCGAAAGACAGCTTAAGACATATGTGACTCTCTTAGATATCAGGCGGCCTATATTTTGGACGGGGCACGGACCGAGAAAATTTACAGCAAATAACCAAACCGAACCAGCATACCTCGTGCCTATCAATTTGGGTTTAAGGTGATGCTCACACGCCCCAACAATCCGAACCTTACCATTTTAGAGGACAATAGCTTTGCGACCGGGTGCCATCTCGCGGGGTTCGACGTCCACGAGACTACCTGACTTTAGGTGCTTGGTTCTAGGTGGTGAATTCCGCATATTGCCCGAACAAAGCATTTCGTGTCCGGAGACGGGAGAGCCCCATAAGGCTATTTTCTAATTCTTCCCTGACCCATTTGTCCCACGGGCTCCTAAACTGAGAGCTAGGAAGGAAATCTTGGAAATCTCGATCAAAAAGAGTTTGCGTGTTCTACCTGTGTCCGCTTATTAGGATGAAGTAATTAGTAGCTGGTAGCTAAGCGGCCAGCTATCTGCCTGCATTACCTACCCGAGGTGAGTTGAAGTCGTTTCCTCACTACCAAAACTTACGCTCGATATACTATATAGCCTAACGAGGAGCCTAGGCATCATAAAATCAAGAACCAAGTCACAAAGGCATGTGTTATGTGCTAGCGTATGGATTCTTCCATATTTGTAGGCACTTCCACTTACACGGCATGGAATGGAAGGGTCAAGAAAACCGGAGCAAGCTCCAGCCTAGAGTTTGCCGGCCCGTAACAAAAGGGGGCCAAGTACAACAATCTCGAAAGAGGGACACCTATCTTCCAATAAATGCAAACGCGACTGACGCCTGTTTTATATCTTTTATTATTTCCATACTTTTGGTATAAACAACCAAAGCTTAGTATTCGTATCTCAGGTACCTGGTAATCACCCCCGACCCGTAACAGTGTAATACCTAACACGCAAAACTCGCTTCTATGGGTCTCCCACAATTTTCGCTTATCAGCCCGGGTTCTGACTAGCGGAAGTGCCACGTGACCCTATCAAGCACACACAACACTCACGACAGGGCAAAAATGGCTTCAGGTGCGGGGCACGGAAATTCTGTGGTCGCGGCTGTCAAGGAGCCCAAGTTCGAGGTCACGGTCAAGGTTAAGAAACCGAAACCTCCTGTCAGAATACTTCCACCGGGCCCTTTATCCCCTCTCAAGGATACTGTTTCCCCTCCAGCAATTTCCAGGGATTCCACTTCTGGCCCAACCTCGTTCCATTCACCCTCCCGCCTCAGTAACCACCCCGAATACTTCTCCAGCAGCAACGTCAAAGCCGTCCTGAACGGTGCTTCGGCCCTTCTCTGCTCTTTGAGGACACGACCGCCTACAGTTGTGATCGCAGCAGCAACCGCAATCATGGCGGCCCCTCAACTTATTTTCGTTGACGGCAGCTTTGTCGAGCTGGCGCAAGAGATGGCGGACTACGTCCAGGTCGGCGAGCAGGTGAAGCCGCTGCTCGAGAAGGAGCAGCGCGAAGAGGCACTTCAAATCATTGTCAAGGCTTCGATATTCCTCAATTCGGTTCCCGAAAAAGAGTTCACGTCGGCCTACAACCTCCTCATCCACCTCGTTCTCCAGTCCAAGGATCCCAAGAAGTATCTGCCTGTCGTTTGCGGAAACCTCCTCAAGCCAATCACGTCGTCTCCAACCCACGGCTTCACTCTTGCCTCGAATGCGCTGAGCACTGTTTTCAATCTCCTCGACAAGAGCAACCCGCTGCGCTACAACGTCCTGATGCAGATCATTCGCTTCATTCGTCAACATGGCCAGTTCGAGCTCCTCAAGCCGCGGTTAAAGAACTTGGATTTGTGGTTCGAAGAGTGGGAGACGGACGAAGAGGACCAGCGCAAGCTTTATGTTGATGTATCCGACGCTGCAGGAGAGGCAGGCGACGAGGAGTATGTACCAAGTTCACCTCACATAAAGACCCGGGCATATCTGACACCGAACTCTACAGGGAATCATATCGCTTCCTTCTCAAGGCACTAGGCACAATCGATCGCGACGATCAGGACGAAGTCACGTCGGAGGAGGCTCAGAAACTCTCCCTCAAAGCGGCCCGGATGGCCATCCCATCGCCTGCCCGGTTCGACTTCCAAGATCTCCGCGCTCTCCCATCCGTCCAGGCACTCAATGACTCGCATCCGATCTACGCGCAACTGCTCGACATTTTCACTGAGCAAGACCTCGAGGATTATAACGACTTCAGAGAGGAACACGAGGGCTGGATCGAGAAGGAAAAGCTTGACCACGAGAAGCTGCAACGCAAGATGCGGCTACTCACATTTGCGAGCCTCGCGGCCAGCACACCGAATCGCGAGATCCCGTACCAGAACATTGCCCACGCCCTGCAAATCCCGTCCGAGGAGGTGGAGATGTGGACCATCGACGTGATCAGAGCTAAGCTGGTCGAGGGCAGATTGTCCCAAAAACAAAAGGTGTTCTTGGTACACCGCACCACCTACCGCGTCTTTGGCGAGAAGCAATGGCGCGAGCTAGGAACCAGAGTCGACCAGTTCAAGAATGTGCTCGACCGGCTCATCACTGTCGTGCGTAAGTCGCAGGCAGATGTTGATGCCCAAAAGGAGCGGGAACAGCAGGAAATCGACAGGAAGCTCGCGAGTGCTGGTATCAGCATCGGTACGGGTGGTGAGGGTAGACGTCGTCTGCAGCTAACGCAGAAGCAGCGTAATGACGATGACGACTGAAAGGTGAAGCTAGAGGGTTAGGTAGGAGAGCTTTGCAGCGTTTGCTCTTGTGGGAGCTCGACTCAAAAAGTTTAGACTTCTCTTTTCAGATTGCTTCTACAAAGCAGACCCCACAAAGTAATCTATTTGACTTGTATAGTCATTGTCTTCGTAAAAGGCCGGTCCAGAATGGGGGCGGTTGAGGTGCATCATGTCTTTTCCGGTAATGGGTCAAGTTATTTCTATGTATGGACTGTGGGCGAGAAATGGGAAGGAAGGCTGTTCCGCCATCGGTTGGGAAATCAAGACGGCGTTGATCATACAGTGGAAATGGATGGTTTACAAAAGGAGGAGAGAAGCAAGTAGGCGCGGAGCCACTACTACTACCTAGCTATCCATACGGAATAAACTTGAGTAAAACAAGGGTGAAAAAACTGAAAGTAAAGTCTAAGAGGCTGAGAAGCCCGTGAGGATGAACCCTCCTCCCAAGAGGAGACTCCGTCGTTCTATACAACAGTCAAACAGGACCGAAAAAAGCCCAGGTCGACACACTCGTCGTCGCCCCAGTCGCACGCGCTGCTAGGTACCAGTGGATAGGGCCTAGCTTCCGCTTTAAAAGTTGTCGCCCAAGACCTTGGTGAGCTTGGCCTGGGTGTCGCGGTAGACTGCATCGGGGGCCGGGGTGGCGTCGACCTTGATGACGCGGCCTTCCTTCTCGTAGTGGTCGACGACGGGCATGCTCGTCTCGACAAAGGTGCGGAAGCGCTTGCGGATGCTGTCGGCGTTGTCGTCGGAGCGGCCGCTGGTCTTGCCGCGCTCGAGCAGGCGCCGCTCCATCTCGTCCTCGGGGCAGTCGAAGAAGAGCACGAGGCGCGCGGGGCAGACGGCCTCCTCGAACTTGAAGGCCTGGTCCATCTTGCGCGGGAAGCCGTCGATGAGGAAGCGGGCCTTGGCTCCTCCTGATCCTCCTCGTACAGCGGCAATCGTGTCCTTCATGGCGTTCTCGAGCAGCTGCACCGTCACCTCCATGGGCACAATCGACCCGTCCTTGATGCAGTCCCGGATCAGCGCGCCAAACTCGGAGCCTTCGCGCGTCTGCTCGGCCCGCAGCAGGTCGCCAGCCGACAGGTGCGTGAACCCAAAATCCTCGACGAGCCTCGCGCACTGCGTGCCCTTGCCGGCGCCCGGCCCGCCTAGCACGAACAGCACCGTCACATCGTTAGGCGAGAACGTCGGCGACGTCTTGCTGGCGACGGGGGGTACGGCAGGCATTTCTATTAATAAAAACACAAAAGATTGTGTCAGTTTTTTTCAACGTTCAGTTTTAGGCGGTTAGAGAGATTGTTGTCGCCCAGTAACCTGAATCCCCGCCGTGCATGGCATAGAACGGGTAAGGGCCCAGAAAAGGGGGAGAAGCGAGAGGGCAAGGCCCCGGGCGACAAAGGGATTCACAGCAGGAGTAGCTGGCTGTGGCACTACTACGGAGCATGGCACCACGGCATGACCAGAATATGGACGACCTATGCTAGCTGCACTCGTGCTCTTGGCCCTGGCTCTTCCTTTGTTTCCCACTTGTTTCAACAAATCATTCTCGTCTTTGCCCGCGTTGCGGTAGGTAGGTAGCTCTATTGTTAGGGAGACTCTGGAGGCTGCTGCTCTCCACTAACCGGGCTGGCCCGCCAACAAAATGAGAGCTTGCCCCAGCTTACCTTTTCGCCGATTCACGAGCAAAATGTAGCTCGAGGAGCCCAAGGCAATGACCACGAGGAATGGCCAGAACTTGAGGTTATTCTTATTTTTGCCCCTCGGCGGGGGAGGCGGCGTCGAGCTATTATTATTTGGTGACGACGAGCTGTAGGATCGCTGCTGCTGCTTTGGGCCCTTGATAGTAGCTGTAGTGCTGGTGTTCCTAGCAGGCAGGATTCTCGGCGACACGGCGGGTGCTGTCGGCCTTTGAATTATCGAATGCGCGGCGGCGGGAGAGGAAGACGAAGAAGAAGCAGCTCGTCGCTGGAGGAGCTGCTCGGATTGGCGTCCTGGCAGGAGCTTCTGTGTCGACGACGCAGGTGGCCGCATCACTTGCCGCCAAGCTTGACGCCCGGAAGCGGCAGCAGCCATCGTCATTGGGCGCAGAGCAGTCGGTGCCATGGTTGTGTGTGTGCCTGCGTGAGCTGTGAAAGGAGTGTGTGTGGGCTGCAACGATGGCCAACCTCGTTCGCTGCTGATATGATCAGTGGGACTGTCGGGGATGCTCCGTATGACGCCCTGAAACTCCAATGGGGATGGCCAACAAACTTTGTTTTCTTTCCAATTCTTGTCCACGTTTCTCGTGATTTCAAGTCTTTGGACCCTTTATTAGCGACAGGGGTGATTTGATGGAGTCGGAATTAAAGTGGAAATTGTTAGTGTCATCCCACGTCCCCAATAACGCGTGACGTTGCTCCTGTGGGGCGGCGTCTCATCTCATCTCATCATGACCATGTCGTCTTTTTGCTGCTGCTGCTGCAAGACAGACTTCATCACCCTTGCTCGAGCGCCTCAGAGCCGCTTCCCACGTACCGGTATTTCTTACTTTGGGCTCGAGGCTCTTTCTGCTGACGACAGACTGGGGAAGCCTGTAGGAAAAAGGTACCATCGTTTGGCGCCGCAATGTTGCAGAATTTCGCGATCCGCAGACACATGCAAGTCAACCGAACCTCATTTGAAAACTTCAGACTTCAATTCATGCCAATTTTGGACAATAAGAAAAGTTGCCATTTGGAAGAGGAATCCTCATGTCTAGATAGAGCTTCGTCCTATTTACCCAGCTTCACCTCCAGCGGCGTATGTCTGTCGCTACTGTACAGGTTCCTAGCATTAAAATATAGATATGTCTCCCATGTCGCTTTGCCCCCATTCCCGCCAACGCCTCTGGTATTTCCACAATCAAAAACAAAAAAAAGCAGCCATGCCTTCGCGGCAGCTCAGCTGTCTCCGTCGAAGAATAGAAAAGGTGTATAAACAGACTCCAACCATCAAGATCCCTACCGCTGCAAGCCAAAGGTTGTTTGTGTAGGTGGCGGGCTCTTGATTGCTTGCCCGGCGTATGCGCCCGGAATTGGAACAGCCTCGTATTGCTGCTCGCCTTGTACCATTGGCGCCGGCGCATTGAACGTCGGTGCCGTGGGTAGCATAGGTGATGTTGCTGAGGTTGGCGTTCTGAAACCACCGCTCTTTGGCGTTTGTGGTGTGGCTGGGTTGGCCTTCGTAGGAGGCGCCTGGAGCTTGAAGCCACCCTCCTTTGGTGTGAAAGCAGACTGGGGAATGATGAGCTTCTTCCCGCCCGGAGTAAATGGCGAGGCACCTTCCTCGATATCGCCGAGGGATTGGTATGTCGACGGCGGGAAGCGGGGCGAAAGGGCGTATTGCGAGAACGCCGGAGACTTGGGACCGAAGCCAGGCGTGTTCGGGGCTGATTGCGTTCGGAGCTGGGCGAGGTACAGATCAGACCGGGCCTTGTCCCGCATGTCCATCGACTTGTGGAGCTTCCGCTTAGACCAGTATCGGTAGAAGACGATGCTGTAGAGCGTGATGCTGATGACCTCGACGACAAGCTCGATAATGATGCAAATCAGGGACCAGTTCTGCGAGGGAGCGTTAGCAACTGCCAGGCAGGCAAAGTCTTCGAGGCCGTGATTCTTACCTGCAGGCGGCACACCAGTGCGTAGTCAATCTTGTCCTTGTAAAGCTCGCTGCGGTGGTTTTGAACGCAAGCCCAGCCCCACATGTCTTGGTTGCCACTATTGTTCTTGGACGATTGAAGTAGGCCGGCAGCCAATGCCCACATGACCATACTGAAAATGAACCATCCCACGGCGAACATGGTGTAGTACACGCCGACCTTCTCTGCTCTTTGGTGGCCACCACGGCAGTATCCGATGAAAACAGTGATGCAGATAAGAAGCGAGACACCAGCACAGGCGAGGACGACCTTTTGAGGCCAGGAGTTGGTGTTACTGGCCCAAGGCGGGAGACCGTTCATTGCTGGCAGAGCCTTGGTAGCATTGAAGATGGCGAAAGAGGATGAAATCATAGCCAGGATGATCAGACTGCAGCTGAAGTTCACACCACGAAGCGCGAACTTGGCCATGCGGACCCGCGTTTTGATTTTCTGCGGCGCTGTTAGCCGTGCCATAATACATGCGTATGCCTCCCATGGCGGGGAAACCTATGGCCGGGACTCACAAGATCACTCTTCTGCGTCTTTGCCGTCGACTTCTCTCTCGAGTCGAGGACCTGTTCCTCCTTAAAGGTAGGGCTCAGGGGGTTCGTGAAGCTGCGTCCCGGGGCACCTGGCAGCCTCATTGCGCTCTTCAATGGCGACTTTGGTGTCATGGGCATGGCCACAGACTCTCGGTTTCCTGCTCCGCCGCCGATATAGCCGAATCCGACATCGCCGGGTTGGGACTGAGCGAACTCGGACTTCTCAGAGAATGGGAACGACTTCGGGTCGACAGGCGAGTGGACGGCAGTCGCCTCGGCAAATCGCGGCGTCCGGGGAGGCTTGGCCAGAGACGACGAGGTTGATGAAGAGTCGTCCGAGTCGGAGGAGCTCGCCGACATGGTCCGCACGGGGGCTAGGTTCAAGGCCAGAGGCCGCTTCTTCTCGTCGTTGATCGCCATGGCGACAACGTATAGCGTTAGACAGCAAAGGAAAGAAAGGAAGAAACCAGTCTTCGGTTGTTGGTAGAAGCTACGCAGGTACGCAGACCAAACGAGACGTAGTTGAGGTTGATGTTGGTTGGCGTGAGTCTTTTGCAAGCTTTGAAGTAGAAGGGAACAGATAGAGATATGAGAGCCCAGCTACCGAAGGAAGGGAAAAGGCCGGATTAGGAGGCGCCCTGGGGATTGGGGTGGTTTTGAATAGCCGCTGCCAGGACGGCTGTCACCACATTTGGCTCTTGTGCGAGCCTCTCTGCTGCATGGAACTATCAGCAAGTGGTCCGACGAGGGATCATTGGGGACTTCATACCTGGGAGCAGGGGTGGGGGAGGAGGGAACCGTCTTGTTGGAGGCGAGAGTGCTGATAGGGCGGCTGGACTTGGCCGCCAATAAAGCTGGCGACTCGTGATGGAAATAGACGCCCAGTGGGTGACGGAGTGGCCCGCAGCGACTAGTAGCTGCTGCAGCGGCCAACAGAGCGGCCAGTATTGCAACACCAGTCGTGGGAGAGTGGAGATCAAGACGAGTCGGAGTGTCTCGGTTCCTGCGTCTTGCCTTGCTCGACTTCTCTTTATTATTGCACAGGGGCAAGGGACTCGCGTTAACTGTCGAGGACGAGTAGAGTACGAGAGACAAGACAACCCAAGTTGATCTTGATCCACCTGATATGGGAGATGTTTCTGGTGTATGATAAGGCGCCGGCGCACGGAGCGCTGATCTGAAGAGGGGTTGGACTCAATATAGCATCCGTCAACGCGGGCCGTGGGTGACGGTTTGGGGGTTGTGCGTGCATAGTACACCGCGTCTCCAGCCCGTGGTAGGCAGAGATTGTGCCCAGAGCGCCGTTGGCTTTTGCCCTCACTTCGAGGAACTGGGGGGCAGACAAGTGCCACGGCAGAGGGAGGACTGGGGGCTCCATTGAACTGGACTAGGGCTTGCCTCGCTCGTCAGTCAGTCTATGCCTAAGGTAATACTAAGGTAGTTCTTACACTTAGCACCTCAACTCGCCATACCTACCTAAAAGTAGGTAGCCCAGTCCGTATCTCCGCGTAGAGTCCCTGTATAGCACCAAGAGTATACACAACGCTACCCGGTAATAAGGTACGCAGTAGTGGAAAGGCAAAAAGAGAGCCTACTGCTGCTGGGACCTTTCTCCCCAACGACCAGAGGGGCACCGAGGGCAGCCCCATTGACACCCTCCCTCCACCACGCATGGACACCTTCGGAGAGACTCTCGCTCTGGGCTCTGCATTCTCGTCTCCATCGCGGCCCTTGGCGCCCATTGTTGTTACAACCGGGATGCGCACATGCAAGTGCGCGGCATCTATTGGACGAGGGCGGCTGACGGCCGACCGCACTTCTGCCGGATTGGAAAAGAGGGTGGCCCATGGGTGGTTGGCGACACGGCTTCGGCGGAAAGGGCAGGCAGGGAGCGAAAAGAGGGGGAATGACGGCTTGTGGTTGGGCGGGAAGCAGGAACACCCAACTTACCAGATGGCCGTTCAGGGCAGTTGCGAGCGCTCTCTCTCTTTCCCAGCACCTGGCTAACCTAGCTTGCCCCACCCCCGGCCTCGACGCCCACGAATCCTTGCCGTGTATCCCCCCCTCTTCGTCCTCCGACCTGCCAGCCATCTGCCACCCCCTGTCACCGATCATCTGTGCTGATTGGCCTCACGCTGGCATGCTTTAAAACACGCAGCCAATCACTGCTTTGAATGTCGTGATGTAGCTGCCGGTCATGCAGACGGGCGGTAAACCATGCCACACGGCCGCCGATGTTATTCCCTGTCCCAACATGCCGAGCATGCACCCCCCAGCGCTGAAAGGGAAAATTGCAACGAGCAGACGGCCAAGCTCGTGCTCGTCGTGACAGCGCGACAGTGTTCCCTCTTGTCGCTCTTTAGTCGATCTTGGAAGCTTGGAAGCCGCTCGTGGCAGGTACTACGGGCAGTCCGCTGCCAGGATGGCGGCTTGACGCCCCGGCAAGCTCGGACAGTTCCACAGCTGGGCAAGCTCGCTTCGAGAATCGCCAAAGCAAGCCACTTTTTGACTCTTCCCCACCGCCGTTTCCCGAGGCCTTCGAACCTAGTTGCAGGGCCGCAACGGCCAAACTTCAAGCTCATGGCTCGTCCCGGAGGCTCAGCTGACTCCGGGACGTTAATTCCCCACCACGATGTCCCATTTTACGTCGTCCGATTCTTGCTTGAACGATGACAGAACAGAAGAGATTGAGCCAGGCAAAGGATTCTCGCGTGTGTTGCACGGCGCCGACTATTAACGGCGCAGCGAAGCGATTAGCAAACTTGATGCTAATCTGGATGAAATGTGTCTAAATGCTGTTCTTGATCCTTTGAAACTATCGAAGCAGGGCAAAACTAATTCTGCCGTGTTGGGAAAAAACGAGCTATCTGGATGAAGCGTGCTCTCGATCCACGGATTTAAAGGGGTTGCATGATCATTGCAGAAAGAACCAGATTTTAGCCCACCATCCAGTTGATATTTTTAGCCCACCGCATCCGAGGCGAGGCTCGATCCGACTTTTCCCCAGGAGCGAGAATCTGGAGAGGGCAAAATGAGCTGGTGGTGGAGGGTCGGTTGAAGGGGCTAAATTCAATCACAACGCGGATCCCATCTTCGCATCGCGCTACGTTAACTTAATATTGCTACGCTACGCTCACGCACCCAAGCATCAAAGCTAGACCGTAACGGTCTGCAATGAGGGTAATAATATACCTATATGACAAAAATACGTCGGCTCATTCCCCCTTCATACGCTCCTGGTTCCCAGTCTGTCGTGCCGGCTCTCGTTGAGAAACCGAATCCGGCACACAAACTACACCACATACCTACGTTATTTATAACTAATAATAAAGCAGCGGCCCCCATTCCCACTTGGGGATCAGGAGGTCCCGTGATACTTACTAATCTCTCGCCTACGTAACTAAGGTAGGCAGTTTCGTAGCTTCTCAACAACTTGTAATGGGAATATCACCTGCGTTGCTGCGGTTGAGTCACCGGGAATAGCTGACTGGGTGGGTAGAGGGAGACTGAGGTAGCATTAACCAGACCCTAAGCTTTTGGACTCTTGTTGAGTTCAAGGCACTTTGTCTGCCCTCGTGAAGTGCCTGCAGAAAAAGCAATCTGTGCAAGGCGAACCCCATAACTGCCGCTAGATGGGATACGGCGTCGTCATTTGGGCTTGTCTGCCGAGATCAGGCCGCAAACCCTCCGATGGTGCGAGTTATTGTTTTCTAGAGTGCGACTCTTTTCTTTTCTTTCCTACTCGCAGAGAGCCCGCAACCTCATTGGGAGTGAAGGATCTAACTACCGGATCTACCGCCGCCCAGGTGCAGACAGATGGAGAGAAAACGCGCAAGGCCTCTCGGTTGTAGCACAACCAAGGTTCCGATTCAATTTGTCTCAAACCTCTGTGGCGTCGATAATCACCAGATGGTGGAGGCTGAGTGGTTGTTTGCTGTGGCCAGGAACTGCTTTGCCTCCCGTGATATGTACTCGTGAACGTGGTCGGTGAGCCCTTGGGCCTCCTGGTGAATATAGTCGACACTCATAACCCGCGCCGTATTCCTTTACAGCAGCTGAAAGCTAGAAAGGCAGTGTTGTCGGTCCGCCCGGCAACTTTGAGACCCGATGCAAGTATACGGCTGTTGAGGTACGCCGAAGAAACAAAGCATCAACACTTTTACCTCTAGAGACTTAGACTGCCCAGTCCAATCTTTGATCAAAGCTTGTGAGTCGTCGTGAAAATATGCATGACCGTTGTTCAAGCTTCTTCCCCATACTATCCATCCTCCATGCAGAGGAGTCGGGGTAGAGCGCATTGGAGAGGCCACTTGGCTTGATATGTGAGGTAGGCTAGGAGGGCTGCGAGAACAGCGTGGCGTGCATACCTACCTAAGTACTCCGTACGGCAGCTAAGGCAAGGCACCTAAAAGTGAAGCTGGCCACGAGAACTTACAACGGTTATCTCTAGCCAAGTGCTTCTCACGACTTCGTGAATCATGAAACCCGGCACGCTACCCCGCCGCGTCTTGCGCCAGGATGCCAGAGTGAATCAGTTTTGTTAGGCCGAAGTAGCCTTTTAGTCACTAGCCACTCCAAGCCTTGGCCAAACTCCCGCTCCGATACCGTGGAGCGTAACTGGAGGAGAAGAGCGTTAGGATTAAGCCAACAACTCTTGGCCAGGCCCGGATGAGCTCTGCGAGGTGTGACATGTCGTGCTTCTATTGCGGGGAGGTATACTTGCTTCAAAAAGCCCGCCTTTGTGTTCGGCCTTTGTACCGAGTATCCGGCCTTTGGGTCCAGATTTCTGCGACTAAATATCCGAGACCGGGCTCGGGGCGGCAGCGCGACCATCAAAGTCGTTTACGCCAGGGCTGATGGGTTTGCCACGGAGCTGTGCCCGGGACTCGGTGGGATTCCTCGGGCTGCTCTTGCAGGTTAAGTCATAGGCTTTGGGTATTGAACCTGTGAGCACAGCATGTCGTCGAACCTTGTGCCGAGTTTGTTTTGTTTTGACAGGATCATGTGCTGCTCTGAACGGAAGTCTAGAACCACCTAATACCTTAGGTAATGCATGGAAGCTTAAAACTGAAGTGTTGAAGCTGCCATAATGTCAGCCTACGCTCTGCGAGTGCAGTCCATCTCTGATTGACTGTTAGTGCTGGACTTTCCCCTAGATGTAAAGGATATGACGGCCTCGGCTCACGCTGAATATTTTCTCAAAGGGAATTACTTATGTAGCTAGCTACGGATTCTACAACGCTTAATGTAGAGTCTTTAAGACTATCCCCTAACCGAGTTTTTTGATAGCCGTTTTTATAAGCTGGGTTTGGCCAAAAGCCCTACCGTTCTGGGTTTCCACCAAAGTATCCCGTACCGCAGTAACAATTATTCGCTGCGGGCAGTATAATGTTCATTTTGTTCATTATCGGCTTATCGCTGCGCGTGGGGCAAATAGGCTAAGCCGGATTTGGGCTAGTCAAGATGCGGCGACTCACAGCATCCTTTTGGCAAGGATGAATCGCATACCGACAACTGCACACGAAATTCTAAGAGTCAAATATCAACCGTCAGTCATTCTTGCGCTGCGCTTCATTTCGCTGAGAAACTCCACCGCTATTCGACTCGGCAGCGTCACGCACTAAGTCACGTTACCGAAGGCACGGTTCGATCTCGACAACGGAATAATAAGGACCTAGGAGACGGAATTTTCGAGGAGGGGTTGCCCAAGAAGAAAAAATAATTACTGCCCCGCGATACCATCCATCATGGCGGCCAACGGTGACAAGTTCGGCAACGACATCGAGTCTGACTCCGACTCGGGCAATGAGTCTCCTGTCGATCTCCACGAGTCAGATAACGAGGCCGCTGAGAAGCCCCTCAAGTCCTCGTTGAGAAAGGCGCCGGCTGCCCCAGTCGTGCGACCGTTTCTCCCGCCCCAAACAGAGCCCAAAGATCTCGACGTCAAGAGCTTGACACCTTTGACACCCGAGATTATTGCCCGGCAAGCAACCATCAACATTGGCACCATCGGTCATGTCGCCCACGGAAAGTCGACAGTCGTGAAGGCTATCTCTGGCGTGCAGACTGTCAGATTCAAGAACGAGCTGATCCGCAACATCACAATCAAGCTTGGATATGCCAACGCCAAGATCTACAAGTGCGACAGCCCAGCTTGCCCGCGGCCAACATGCTATCGGAGCTACAAGAGCGATAAGGAAGTCGATCCTCCCTGTGAGCGGGAAGGCTGCGAGGGAACCTACCGGTTGCTACGCCATGTCTCGTAAGGCTCTCCATCCCCTCCCCTCTCAACATCCCCCCAAGCCCTAGGTTCAACCTCAGGGCAACTGACCGAGGGAAAGTTAGGGGAGGAATCGCAATTAAGGATGACATAGCTAACCGGCAGCAGATTTGTGGATTGCCCTGGTCACGATATTCTCATGAGCACCATGTTGTCAGGAGCTGCGGTCATGGACGCCGCCTTACTTCTTATTGCCGGAAATGAATCTTGCCCCCAGCCCCAAACCTCGGAACATTTGGCTGCTATCGAGATTATGAAGTTGGACAAGATCATCATCCTCCAAAACAAGGTCGATCTCATGCGAGAGGAGGCCGCCAAGCAGCACTACGAGTCTATCTTGAAGTTTATCCGGGGCACGGTAGCCGGCAAGTCGCCCATCATCCCCATATCCGCGCAGCTCAAGTTCAATATCGATGCTATCAATGACGCTATTGTCAACACTATCCCCATCCCGCCCCGAGATTTCTCCCAGGACCCACACATGATCGTTATCCGGTCTTTTGATGTGAACAAGCCCGGTGCAGAAATTGAGGAGCTCAAGGGCGGTGTTGCCGGCGGCAGTATCCTCCACGGACTTCTCAAGCTCGGTGACGAAATCGAGATCCGCCCCGGTATTGTGACGCGCGACGACAAGGGCGACCTTAAGTGCACCCCTATCTTCAGCAGAATCGTCACGCTCAACTCTGAAGCAAATGATCTCAAGTATGCCGTTCCCGGCGGCCTGATTGGTGTGGGCACTCGCATCGATCCGACTCTATGCAGAGCCGATCGTCTTGTTGGCTTTGTGCTCGGCCTCAAGGGACGTCTGCCCGAGATTTACAGCGAGATTGAGGTCAATTTCTACCTCTTGCGCCGCCTCCTCGGTGTCCGGACGGCCGACGGTAAGCAGGCTAAGGTCAGCAAACTTGCTGTCAACGAAGTCATCATGGTGAACATTGGATCGACGTCGACTGGTGCTAAGATCTCTGCCATCAAGAAGGATGCTGCAAAGTTGATCTTGACAAGTCCCGCCTGCACAAACATTGGCGAAAAGGTTGCTCTGAGTAGACGTATCGAGAAGCATTGGCGTTTGATCGGCTGGGCTACGATAGCAGCGTGAGTTTCCACCAGTTTCGGCTCATACTTTGCACAAATAGCGATCATTATTTACTGACATGATGAAAAATAGTGGTGTCACATTGGAGCCGAGTAGCTCTTAAACGAACGCGGGGATGATGAGGCATGAAGAAGTTTGCTGCTAGCACGGACTGGTGTGTAACCAATGAAAGAATGGTTCCTGTCTCTGGAAACCTGATTTTTTTTCTCAATGGAAACATGACATAGGCGGGTTAACAAGGCAACAAATCATGGGATTGTTTGGGACGGACAATTGAGAACACTTCTCTTCAATGTCAATTTCTCCCACAGGATGATGGTAGACCAAAAATTCAGGGTTGTTAGATATTTCTAGCGTTTTAAGCATGCCACTGCCCGCTGTCCCTTCAGCAGCAGTAGCAAACAGACGTGCGCGGTGTCTGTGTATGCCTGCCAGTCTACTTTCTTACTTTCCGCGCGTGCTTGACTAGGTTTTCTATAACGCCCTCAAACGCCTCCTTGTCACCAATTTTCTCGTCTGTCCGCTTCTGCCAGTACTCTAGTACTTCCTTCGCCGTCACTTCCAGAGCCTGCAGTCTCGCCAAGTGCTCGTGCAGCTCCTTCTCTGTCATGCCGTGTAGTGCAGCGTCTGTCGTTGTGCACAACTGTCGTGCCGTCATGAGGTCAAAAGTAGGGTCCGGCGAGGGTAGGCCTCTCCTTTTGCCCAAAGACGACGATGGCCCGGCAGGGGACCCAGTGGCGCTGCGAACACCCCCGGCACCACCGGCACCGCTGGGCTTGAGGTTCCCCTGAGAGTTGACCGACGTGGTGGACGCGTTGGTGTTGCGTACGCGCGACAGGGAGCGCGAGTCGGTCGACGCGCGGCGCAGGGATCCGGACGACGAGACGCGGTGCAGCGACGGCAGGACCAGCTTCTTCTGCTTGGAGGCGGGCAGAATCTCGTCCAGGTCCACGGGCACTCCCAAGGACACCAGGAACAACCGCCTGATCCGCGATCTTATCCAGTCGGGAGGCTGTAGCGGTGGAGGGGCAACCAACTGTGACCACAGCGACGCGCTACGGGGCGTCAAGAAGATGGGGTTTTCCTTGCTGGAGAGGGATGGTAGCAACTTCGGTGCGCCGTCACTTGATGGGAAGAGAGCCTCTAGGTAAGGTTCTGTGGCGGCGAATATCTCGCCCGCATCGAGGTCTTCAAAGTCGAGTATCGGCTAGAGGTAAGAAACGTGGTTAGAGAGACGGTACAACTTACGTCTGGTTTACAGGGGCTTTGTAAAAACTATCGGGTAGGTTTTAACCTACAAGGGGCATGAAAGAGGAGGGCGCCCGTGGAGGTGGCAGAGAAGTCGAAGGGATTTGATCTGGCGCCGCAACTGGAGCTGATGAATTTTCCGTATCGACATGCTGAAAGTCGTTGTCGAAGTCGTCGAAGTCGCCTTCTTCGTCTCCCTCTTCGAAATCATCGAAATCATCCCCAAAGCCGTCCTCTTCATCGTCATTATTATTATTACCACTGTAGTCAACGTTCTCACTGCCACTGCCGAAGCCAGATGCAGAATTGTGAGGCGCAAGAGAAGTTGGTGATAAAGGAAGCTTTTGGAGAGCAAGAGATGATTTCCTCTTCCTTACTGATCGAGGTGAGGCGGGAGGTTTTAAAGAAGGTGATATTGGAGTATCTACGCCAAAGAAAGAAAAGTCAATACAAGTATTGAAGCGACCTAGGCCCCAAGACCGAGAAGCGGGAAAATGGAACGGCAGAGAGAGGCTACGCATCCGTACCAGGAACAACCCCGTCATCTCCCACCCTCTCGCCGTCGGCCTTGAGGACCAAGTCCGGAGGCGGATCCGCCTTGTGCTTCTCCTCAACCTCGGGGTGTGTCACGGCATGCGTATCATCGGGCGTCTCCTCCACCACCGTTTTCGGAATGGGGTGGCCGCCGGGAGTCAGGGGCCGCGCCTCCTGGTTCTCCGACTCCTCGACTTTTGTGTCACTGCTGTCCGGGTCGGGGATGATGGCGATTTCGTCTGGCGCGGCATCTCCCTCCCTCAAACGATAGGCGCTGGTACCAGGGACTTCCCCGTACGCTGGCTTGTCGTCGACTTTCTCGACTCTTGTCCTTGGGATTGGCGACGTTGGAGAACCAGATTGCGACGACTGAGCATCAGAGAAGTGCTCCTCGGAATCAGAAGCTAGATTGCAAGATACACGATCAGTCTCGCAATCAGAACGCTTTTAAACGAGGCCAACGGGGGGGGGATCTAGCAAACCGGTACCTACCTAAGTCATGAGCGCCTGGATCCTCGGTCTCCCTCTTTGTAGGTGTAGGCGGTGACAGGCTATTTCGCCTCTCCGATAATGCTCTTTCTGACATTTCGATCTGTAATGGTGGGCTTTGATCAAGCCACAGAGAGCGACTGTGGGGAAGTTGGACAAGGCAGGACTGGAGCCTGTCTGCCTCGAATGATGTGGTTAGAGTCAGGCTGGTCCCGGAGCTTGGCGAGCTACGACGGGGACTGGGCAGTAGTAGAGGGCCGAAGCAGGGCAGATACAAGCCAGCAATTGCAGGCTGAGGTTAGGCCGACTTCAAACCAGTGCGGAGGGCGGCATGTGGCTCGTCAACCTTAATTTTATTGCCTGTGTCCGCAAAAGTAAAACAGGTTTATCTAACCAAACTAAGCGCATTATTTCCTGCAAAAGACGGGAATAAGCGATTATAAAGCCTCAAAAATCATTCCTTTTCCTTTGGAATTGTCAAGAGAATACTTGAGAAGCTATTGTTGATATCCTTCGCCCGTGGGTTACTTGCCTCATTTGGCTTAAATACAGTTAATTTAGTCACAATCCTAGTCTTGCTTTTCTGAGTCGCGTATGCTCAGACAACGGGACAACCTGATTACGTACAGAGCTAGTGGGTTCAAGCCACAGCTGAGAGCTTGCACGTCCGTGCGTCTTTACCTTTTCGTGCTGGATCCGCCACGCTGAGGGGTGAGGCTGACCTTCAGTATTCGTACTTGGCCCAAGCTTTTTCTTTCCAGGCGCGGTTTGGCGAAAGCCATTCACGGATCGCCTCGATTTTTCTAGTACGTAAACACAGGACTTCACCGTGCCAGAATCCAAAAAGAGAAAGGCAAAGAGAAGGTAGCCTTTCGATCGCATTCCCTCCAACCTAAACAAAACTCGCCTGATTGGAGAATTTGGACGACGCCCTTGACGATCAAGACCTTTGGAGTGCAAGCGACGTCAAATAGCAGTCGCGCGTCTATAAGCTCACTGCGCGCTCCGTGGACGTACCTTCCATTACGATCGGCTTGGAAACGGCGGCAGATGGCATGCTGCTATTAACCTCTCTGCCAGAACCCACATTGCGCCTCATTCCACGCTTCTAACCGTCATTCGCATCAATTTACGGCTTGCGGCAGGGTTACCCAACACCCATAAATACAAACATGTCTTTTTCATTCTCAGGCACCCCGGGCTCCAGCGCTGCTCCCGGCGCATCAAATACAACCACCTCGGCCCCAGGTACAGGCGGCCTTTTTGGCGGTGGAGGAGCAACTACCTCCGGGTCCCCATTCTCGTTTGGCCCCTCAGCGACGGGCGTTGCAGGCGCAAGCCAGCCGGGTGGTGGCGGTGGTCTGTTTGGCAACACAGCATCAACGGGCAACCAACAGCCTGGTGGTCTTTTCAGCAATACTGGAACAAGCACACCCACAACCTCAGGCCCGTCATTCGGCCAAGGCGGAGGAGGCATGTTTGGTAATCCCGCTCAGGGCAAATCTCTGTTTGGCAACACGTCGTCGACGCCGGCATCCGGAGCCGCTGCCCCAGCAACTTCAGCACCAAGTTTATTCGGAGCTACCCCGGCCGCCTTAACTCCTAGTACAACACAGTCAATGGGTGGGGCTGGGGCTTTGTTTGGATCTGGGACAAGCACCACCCAGTCGGCCGGTGGGCTTTTCGGCGGAAATTCTTTGTTTCCAGCCGGTGGCAACTCCTCCGCCCCGGGCTCCCAAGCAACCCCTGCAAAGCCAGTGTTTGGCGCCGGATTTGGGTCAACTACTCCAGCAGGCGCTCCTCCTGCCGATAACTCCAAGCCTGCCTCTAATACCTTTAGTTCAGCGTTGACCTTTGGTACGACACCTACAGCACCTGGCCAAAGCAGCGGCGGAGGAAATCTATTTGGTCAGTCCTCGACACCCGGAACCTCAACGGCCCCAGCACAGTCTACGGCCACTTCGAGCCTTTTTGGCAACAAACAAGCCCAGCCTCCTGCTTCCGGGACCACGCTTTCAATGTTCAGCAACCAGTCTGCGGCATCTTCAGCTGGGCCTAGCGCCCCTGGGAGCACAGCTTCCTCTGGCTCCAATCTCTTCAGCAACACAGCAGCAGCAGTAGCCCCAGCCGGTTCAACAATATCAGGTACCAAGTCTCTTTTCGCGAATACTGCTACGACCACAGCACCTGCAGCGGCATCAACGTCCACTCCCAGCTTGTTCGGACCTACTTCTGCCGCAGCACCTGCAGCGGCATCAACGTCCACTCCCAGCTTGTTCGGACCTACTTCTGCCGCAGCACCTGCAGCGGCATCAACGTCCACTCCCAACTTGTTCGCATCTACTCCTGCAGCAGCACCTGCTTCGACAAGTACAACTGCAGGCGTGTTCGGTCCAGCAACAACTTCCGCATCGTCAGCCACACCAGGCCAAACTTCAAATTTGTTCCAGCAGAAGCCAACGTCCACTTTAGCGCCGGCAGCTGCCACGACGACGACAGCCCCTGCGTCAAGTGGCGCTAGCCTTGGTACGTCTATCTTGAGCTCCGGCTTGAGGCCTGCCAGTACTACAACAGCCACCACCGCCCCAGCAGCCCAGGATGGCAAAAACGCTGCAGCAGCCGCTCTTACAGCCTCCACCATTGGTCCATCGTCTCAGCTAGCACGTCTCAAGAACAAGACCATGGATGAGATTATCACCCGCTGGGCAACTGATCTATCCAAATATCAAAAGGAGTTCAAGGACCAGGCGGCAAAGGTGGCCGATTGGGACCGCATGCTCGTGGAGAACGGCGAGAGGATTCAGAAACTCTATCTCAATACATATGAAGCTGAAAAGATCAGCCACGAGATTGAGCGCCAGCTTTCCAACGTCGAAAGCCAACAGGATGAACTCACCGCCTGGCTAGAACGCTACGAGCAGGACTTGACCGAGCTTTCCACGAAGCAAATGGGCTCGAATGAGCAGGTTTCCGGACCGGACCAGGAGCGCGAACGCACCTACAAGCTTGCTGAAAAGCTCACGGACCGGCTCGATGATATGGGCAAAGACCTGACCAAGATGATCAAGGAAATCAACGATATGTCCAGTACAGTGAGCAAAGGCAACAAGCCTGATGATGCAGTAAGTTTCTCCGGCCATATTCTATTTTGCCAAGTATTGCAATAGCTAATCCAATCTACGTTCCAGCTGGGCCAAATTGTCCGCGTTCTAAACGGACACCTTACCCAGCTTCAGTGGATTGACTCCAATGCCTCGGCTCTACAGATCAAGGTGGCCGCTGCTCAAAAGGCAAGCGGCAACATGGGCGCCAGTGTTGGTGGACGCGAGACAGACGCGGTAGAGGGCTTCTATCGATCGTATAGAGGCGGTGGTTACAAGTAAATTGGATGGCCAAAAACATGAACCATCTTCGAGAAGTTGGATTGCATAGAGCTATGGTGAGAGAGACAAAAATGCATGTATGTACTTGTACAAGTAATGTAGTTCCGCGAGAAGAGGGAGCAAAATGGGTAGTGACAAGTTTGAGGAAAAGGCCTTGAGTGTCTCCCCTTCACCCCCTTTTGTATCTCTGGTATGTAGCGAGTGGTAGATTCCTGCCTATTCACTCAAACAGCGTCTCCTCCGATTATAGATCCTTCCTATACATTATCTGTTCATACCGCACCAGTTGTGGTGTCGCTTTAGTTGTGGTGTGGCCGCTTTAGTTGTGTTCGCCGCCCTGGTTCTTCGTAATCTCGTCGCTATTTGGATTGAAATATATCTTGTTAGTATGTTTCCTCTCGCCATGCCATGTCTCCACTGCTTGCCCCGTTGTTGGAGACTTATGAGGAGCTATGACCATGGTAGATCAAAGAGGGCTCTCCTTACATGTGGTCAGACAACTGCTGGAGGTGGGCCTTTTGCTCCTCGAGCTTCTTCTTGAGCTGCATAAGCTTCTCCTTCTCACGCTGCTTGATGGCATAGTCCTCGTTGGCCTTCTCTCGCCGTTGGAAGGCGTCACTGTATCATGTTTAGTTATGTCAGTAACATGTCAGTAATGTGTTTCCTTTTTTTTTTTCTTTTTTTCCTCGTCCTAGCAGCGCTCCGGCTCTGGGTTGGCTCGGCTCAGCTGTCACCTCCTCCGCTCCCCCGCATTCCGGACGCTGCATGCTGCCCTTGCCAGCTAAGAAGGAAGAGAAAGAAACCTCGAGAAAGGCTGGAGAAGAACCAAAGGAGGAGGAGCGAGAATGACGCACCCTTGGCCGCCCAGCTTTGGGGGTGCCCCGGTATCACCCGCACCCATAGCGCGAGCCGTCGTCGCAAAGCCGGCCCGGCGCGTGCTCGAGAGAGCGACTGTGTTGAGAGCTCTGCGGAGCATCTTGAATGATGTGGTTATTGATTTGCTTAGAGAAGCGTTGAGGGGGTGGGGTGGGAAATGTGAATGGCGGTTGTTGATGCAATTGGGGTTATTTCAGATGGCCTGATCATGAGAGAGAGAGCTTTTGCTAAACGTCAAGCTTCCGTTGTTGCGGGACAAATCGAAAGCTCCGGCGTGACCCGCCCTGGAAGAAGGCAATCCCACACCCTACCCTGCAATACCAATTGCTGCAGTGAGCAGTTGAGGCCTGAGGCACAAACTGTCCAGGTGGTATATTACTCCTCAGGCTGCCGAGACGGGGTCTGTTCGCCTTACCCCGCTAAACAACTGGATGAAGTCGCCCTGGGGAAAAATAGCAGTAAGCCTTCCCTTGTTCCACCCCAGATATATCAACATGGAGAAAAGACATACGATTAGCACTTTCTAGGATAATCCTCACCAGTGAGCTGTTCCGTAAATGACACACAAGCAATACAAAAGGCTAGGAAAGCAAAGAAAAGATTCCTCAAATCTGCACATCCTAGTCCTTGTTTATTTACTTTCGTAAGAATTCCGTATCCCTGGCTACATAACAGTCATTGAAGTTTTGATTCTATAAACTGACCACTGTTCCGGGGCTGCGTACACTCGCGCTGCTATTGCTGTAATGCGCCCGGAATACAGACAGGTACAAGGCGTGCCGCTGCCTTGCAACTGTAGGGTCTCGCTTGGCCGCCATGGTTTGTCCCAGTTTACTCACGGAACATGCGGACTGTGAGCTGAATCTGTGAGAAGATATACTTCTGGATGGGTTGGTTATAGGAATAAGATAGAGATCCGAAAGAGACGCCCTTATCTCTCACAGGGCCCAATCCTGCCCTGACTTGATGTTTCAAGTGAGACAGTGTCAAGTTCCGCCTTGTGGTTTACTGGAAGAGAATCGACCAGTACAAAACATAAAGTTGAAAGCAGACCCAGTCAGACGCGGAAAGCTGTTGGACTGTTGCCGGCGTTTGTTCGCTGTCGGATTTGTCTCAGGCGAACGACAAACCCTTGTCTTGATCCTTTTTGTGTGGGTGTTCATGTGAGATACCTCAGTAGGTCAAATTATGTACCGCTCCAGTGGGCAGTACATGTACCTCCGGTACTCGAAGATACAATCCAAGCCCTGAATGTTTGTTGGCGTGGTACCTAGAAACTTACAAATGTAACGATCACAGTAAATATAATGGCCAGGAAAAGCCTTTTATAGGTATTTCTAGGATGAAGAAAGGCCTCCAAGGTTCTAAAATAGGGATTCTAATCGCTTTTACCTCTGTCAGTAGAAATTTCTTCAGGGTGAGCCGTAAGTTATTCTGGTCTTTCAAATCTTGGAGAGTCCCCCACTAACAAACATTCAGGGATTGGAGTGTAAATGCACCGGCCACTGCCGAGTACCTGAGTTGCTCAACGATCGATTTTTGAGGGAGCCGCATGGCTGAAACGTCGCTGGGCCGTGCAACTTGCCCTATGAATACTGGCAGATCGTTCACTATAACGGAGTACATGCCAAACTTGGCTGGTCTCAAGTACATACAGAAAAGCACCAAGCGGGGGCCTACGTGAAGAAGGTTGTCGTGATGCTTCCGGAGTATTTGAAAGAACCTGACAAATAATCCAGAAATAAGTAGAGAGGCAAATCAGTCTTTTGCGAAATAAAAAGGATCAAAAATGATGGACTGCTACCTTTTTCGTTTCTTAGTCGAGCTTTGGGAGAGTGACGTACTTTGTACAGCGCGTCACGTGCTTTTCATGTACCTTGGACGTAGGTCCTAAACAGGGAGTGCGGCCGTGCAGCCCAAATTTCGCTGCACCCACGTTAACGCACGGCATCCCGCCGCCCTGTGTTGTCGTTGCACTTTCCTTGCCTTGCTACCCCCTTCCCTCATTTCCAACTTTGCATCCAAACCTAAACCAGTGCTTCCTCCCCGTTTTCTCCCCTCCTTTCAGCATCGAGCCGAAAACAATCAAAAGTCAACACCCACCAAGTCCCAGACTACTACGACATTTCTTGAGAACAATATCTTGTTGTCGCCCCGCTTTGCACAGGTACCCCTAGAACAGGTGAGTCGACATTGTCTTCCCGCCCCGGCCAATACATCATATGCCCGCATCGTACCTCGCCCTCTGTCGTCATCGCCGATGCGACAACACACTGCCCTCGCCCGCCGGAGCTGCCCTCGCCATGGCCTCGTCGTCCAGGGTTGCCGGCTCAATTGCCTCGCAAGCCGAGCCAAATCCAACGTGTCTTGCCCGACGCGGCGCTGGAAGGCTGGACAGGGCTGCGCATACCCCACCGTGAGCGGGGAGCCTTCTTTGCTTGTCATGAAGTCAGCACGGCGCATTCGCCTCAGCATCACCAGTCCTCTGGGAGCAGTGATGCTTCACGCGCCGGCATCGGCTCCCTTGGTTTTTGAATCGCACACTCTGGTTTACCACCACGGCCGCCTCACCGACACTCCCCACACGGAGCCTCTTCCTGCCCAGCGCTAACTAGTGTCTCTTCAGATATCAATTCGAGCAAAATGGGTCACGAAGATGCCGTCTATTTGGCCAAGCTGGCCGAGCAGGCTGAGCGTTACGAGGGTAAGTTGATACTATTTCCCGGGTGTTCTTGTGTCTTCGAATTAAGCTGACTCCCTGTTTGCCCCTGCCCGCAGAGATGGTCGAGAACATGAAGATTGTCGCTTCTGAAGACCGTGACCTCACCGTTGAGGAGCGAAATCTCCTGTCTGTCGCCTACAAGAACGTCATTGGGGCTCGTCGTGCGTCGTGGAGAATCGTCACGTCGATTGAGCAGAAGGAGGAGTCCAAGGGCAACTCCACCCAGGTTGACCTCATCAAGTCCTACCGCGTCAAGATCGAGAGCGAGCTTGCCAAGATTTGCGAAGACATTCTCTCCGTCCTGGATAAGCACCTTATCCCCTCCGCTAAGACCGGCGAGTCCAAGGTCTTCTATCACAAGATGTTCGTTTTATTGCCAATATTTCTGTGTTCCCATGGTGTCTAACTCCGTATCTAGGAAGGGCGATTATCACCGCTACCTAGCCGAGTTTGCCGTTGGCGACAAACGCAAAGACTCGTCGGACAAGTCTCTTGAGGCCTACAAGGCGGCCACCGAGGTTGCGCAGACTGAACTCCCACCTACTCACCCTATCCGCCTCGGCCTTGCCCTCAATTTCTCCGTCTTCTACTATGAGATCTTGAATGCTCCCGACCAGGCTTGCCACCTCGCCAAGCAAGCGTTTGACGATGCCATTGCCGGTAAGTGAACAGTGCATATTGTTGACGTTTGGACCTCTTTCTAACTACTGTGGTTTCTAGAGCTTGACACATTGAGCGAGGAGAGCTACAAGGATTCGACCTTGATCATGCAGCTTCTGCGCGACAACTTGGTACGTATTAATTTTGGCCGTCCCGTAGAGAACCTTGGCTTACCACTTTCATCATAGACTCTTTGGACCTCGTCTGAGGGCGAGCCTGCCGCTACCGCCGCTCACCCGGAGGCAGCTGCTGAGGCCGAGCCGAAGGCGGAGGCGGATGCGCCTGCGGCAGAGGAGCCCAAGGCTGCTGAGTGAACTGGAGTATACATTTTCGAGGTATCGTCATCGTGATAACCCCTGGCTGATCTTGGCACCCTGGTGGGAATGGTGTTGTTGGAGCGCGGACTGGAGACCCCCCCGAGTATCTTTGCATGCTTTACGCAAATACACAGACTTAAGAATTGTAGGCGAATCTCACAACGGCTGAGGGGCTAGAGAGCAGAGCATATTTGGAGGGTTTCGTTTTCAGATTGCTTGCCTTTAGACTCTTGATGCACCGGAAGATCGTCTGGACAGTAAAATCCAAACCCCCTTTTCTCAAGTGACGAGTGTTTCTTAGTTGGCCCTGGTTCAGGTTCTGGCTGTTTTAGGTTGCGCGGATTGCTTTTAGACACAATTCACCCCCAATACCAGCCCAGTTCTTGGGGTCTGCTGTTAAATTCCATGAGCCGTGATCTCTGTTGTGACGACCTATCGATACATCGTCGTTCTATATAATTTTAAAGACGGGTATCATGTCGACAAACGCACGTGGTAGTAATTTTAGCGGGTGGCTAGACGTTATCTCGGCCCAGTGCCCAATAAATTGAACGGCGTTACATTGGCGATCACTCGTACGTGCTCTCACATGAAGTGTCACCACCGCCGTCAATATCAAGATCACCGCGAAACCTGTCTTGGTCATCATTGGCTGCCCTAATTCCTCTCAGTCCCACCATCGTCCCTGTCATCTTCATCTACAACAGCAAAGTGAACTCTCAGCCAGAGGCTGCAATCCGCGCAGCCAACCATCATTTCGCCCAAATCAACGGCCTCTTCCAGATCAGCCTCACCAAAGAGATAGCCACGCGCATTGCCACACCGGCACCCTCGGTACCACTCCTGCTCCCCGTCTCCGCGCTGGTCAGAGTCAAGATCGTCGAGGTCGACGTTCTCAATCCCTGTCTGGAAGTTGGGCTGGAATGCGGTGGTACCAGCGCCTGATGAAGACGGGGAGGTGGTTGATAGCAATCTCAGTGCTTGGTCGTACTCGGCCCGCTGTGGTGGGCTCGAGAGCACGGCGTACGCGGCTGAGATTTGGTCTACGCTGAAGACGGCTTGATGCTGTTGTAGATCGTGAGAGCGTTGGTTTATGAATGGTAATGCAAGTTGCTGCTGCTTCTTCTTTTTGTCAGGGTGGTGGCGGAGAAGCGCCCGCCGGTAGGCACGCTTGATAAAAGACCTGGCATCATCCCCATGTTCGGGGAGGGAGGCGGGGGAGATCCCGAGGACTTCATAGTATGAGGCGGAAGAGGGAGAAATGTGGGTTGACATGGCGTGGGTCTCCTTGGGATTATTGGAGACGAGAAATCCTTGGCAGGTGGTGATTGCTGGTGATGGTGAGGGACACTGAACATGTTTATGAAAAATAAGAACAAAAATCTTAGCACTCTCCCCAAGATTGATCACGTGCGTTTGAACAAGCGAAAAGAGAGCGCCGCTTGTGGAATGGACAAGATAGAAAAACATCAAAAGACTTCCCTGCGCCATGTCAGAGAAGACGCGAAAAGCGAATTGGAGGTCCGCACCGAGCAAGTAACCAAAGCTTCGTTAAGTCGAACTCAGTCAGGAAAGATATCAAGTGAACCAGCAAAGCTCGGTCAGCGCGAGCTTAGAGGAGAGCAGACAAGGAAAACAAGGCGGTTGTTAAGACCAGACAATACTCGAGTCCAAGAATATTCGACATTGATTGCAAGAGAGCTAAGGTATATACGGGAATCAAGACTTGTGGGAAATTATGTTGTACATTGGTAACCGTACAGTCTATACATGTAGTCGCTTTGGCGCGGCCAGCATTTTGCAGCCTCTGGCAGCTTATTTCGGCCACCTGGTCCAGTTCCGTTTCCCAACCTGCCAAGGTGAGTCGTGTATTAGTTTCCAGGTCAAGAAAATAGTGTGTAGGAGTTAAAGGAGGTTTGGGGGGGTGGCATGGCGTACCTTCTTCCATTCTCTGATGAGATCGGGCATGTCCAACATGGCCATTCTCCGCTTCTCCATCCTGTCGACCAACCCAGGTTAGCAAAGCCGTTGCAATTCGCAGAGTCTAGTAGGGGACGTACTTTGCGACGAGGTGCCTCTCGTGCTTGTGACCCTTTACCTTCTCGCCCACGCCTGTGCCCTTGACCCGCAACCCCAGCCCAACTCTCTTCCTTATCCTCTCCTCGGTGCCCTTGGTCGTGAAGGGTAGTAGCTCCTCAACGCCGTGTGTGCGCGCCAGTTTCACCAGCTCGGCCTGGCGCCGCAGCGAGTACTTCGGGTCGTGCCATCTCCCTGTCACGGGGTGCTTGGTTGAGAGGAACGGGTTGGGCGCCTCCTCTTGATAGGGCGTCTTGGCTAGCTCGGGCGCGGTGCCCTCGGGCAAGATGGTCGCAGCGGGATACCGCGCGAAGAAGGTACGAAGTCGCGGCGGAAGCGACAACGCCAGTTGGATGTGCTTCTTCGAAATAGACGCCATGGCGAGACTATTCGAATTGGGGTTGTCGTCTAGTTGCTCGTCGCTCCCCCCCGGACAGCCGTCTAAGAAAAAGGTTTCCCAGATATCAATTGGTCGGTTCGATGAAGTCTTAACAACCCTAACCCTCGGTTCCGTCTAAACGAGTACTGATGGAGAAACCCCACCAAAAAGTTGGCGTAGTGCATGCTAGTTGCTGCTCCACGCCAAACCAACCTCGAAGTTATCCACTGCTGCGAGCTCTTGTGCACAACGAAGTCTACACGTAGTCCACACCTCTAGCGCAGCCCAAGTTTTTTCGAGCGTCAAAAGACTTCAATATCGGCGACCTTAACAGCTTCGTAGCTGTCAAAATGAGCGACAAAATCACGACGAGACGCGAGCCTCCAGACCTGGCTGCGCTCCTGCGCAAGCGGAAGGCTGAAGAAGAGCTTGCTGCAAAGCCGCGTTTCATATCAAAGAAGGAGCGAGAGCGGCTGGAGGCAGAGAAACAAGCCAAGGAGGAGGAAGATCGCAAGCTCAAGGAAGAGTCGCGGCCAAGGGACAACCAGGCCAACGGCAACCAAACTGTAGATGGCATGCACAGATCCCGACAGCTTTCCCGACAAAGCATACCAACGGGGCCAAAAGCGATGCGCAACGGAGCGAATAACGAAGATGTGCTAAAATCCTCGAACGGCGGTGGGAACCGCCAAAACGGAAGACGCGGCCCAAGCAACAACGAAGACGATGAGCGCAAAAGCAAGATGGAGAGAAACGACGAGGCAGAACTTCGCGCTCGATATATGGGCCCAGTAGTGAACCAGTCCACATTCTCGGCAAAGAAGAAGCGGAGGAGAACAGCAGCAAACAAGTTCAACTTCGAGTGGGATGCCGACGACGATACGAGCCGACCGTTTGACCCCATTTACGCCGAGCGGGTCGAACCGCTTATCCGGCTCGGAGGCTACGAGATGACAGATGAGCTAGCCAGGCGGAAGGCCGATGCCATTCGGCGCGGCGACCCGGTGACGGGAGAGCAGCGCGCCAGAGAGTACATGGACCAGCACGAGCGGGCTAAGAAGCAAGGGGAGCGCAAGAACTTGGGCAAGCACTGGTCCGAAAAGAGTTTGGACGACATGAAGGAGCGCGATTGGCGCATCTTCAAGGAAAACTTTGGCATCTCTACTAAGGGCGGCTCTATCCCCAACCCCATGCGGAGCTGGGAAGAGTCCAAGATATCGCAACGTCTTCTCCGAGTTGTCGCCGATGTTGGCTACGAAGAGCCATCGCCTATTCAGAGGGCTGCTATCCCGATTGCTCTCCAGGCGCGAGACCTAATCGGTGTCGCCGTTACTGGTTCCGGAAAAACGGCCGCCTTTCTGTTGCCTCTGCTTGAATATATCACTGAACTGCCCGCCCTTTCCGAATACAACAAGAACGATGGGCCTTACGCCCTCATACTTGCCCCTACTCGAGAACTGGTGCAGCAGATCGAATCCGAGGCGCGAAAGTTTGCCACCCCTCTGGGGTTCACCGTTGTCAGCATCGTCGGTGGGCACTCGCTAGAAGAGCAGGCCTTTGCCCTGAGGAACGGAGCGGAGATTATCGTTGCGACACCTGGTCGTCTTGTGGATTGTCTTGAGCGTCGACTGCTTGTCTTTACCCAGTGCTGCTACGTTATTATGGATGAAGCAGATCGCATGATTGACCAGGGCTTTGAGGAGCCTCTCACCAAGATCCTCGACGCCCTTCCGGTAACCAACGAGAAGCCGGATACGGATGACGCAGAGAACCCACAACTTATGAGCCGGTACCTGGGTGGGAAGGATCGCTACCGGCAGACGATGATGTATACCGCCACTATGCCGCCTCTGGTAGAGAGAATTGCCAAGAAGTATCTGCGACGCCCGGCGATTGTTACCATCGGTAATGCGGGAGAGGCGGTGGATACCGTTGAGCAGCGGGTTGAGTTTGTCACGGGAGAAGACAAGCGGAAGAAGAGGCTCAACGAGATTCTCCACTCAGGCCAGTTCAAACCGCCCATCATTGTTTTTGTCAACATCAAGCGAAACTGCGACATGATTGCCCGCGACATCAAGGGCATGGGATTTTCGGCCGTCACCCTACACGGAAGCAAGACACAGGAGCAGCGTGAGGCGGCGCTGTTGTCGCTGCGAAACGGCCAGATTGACATCCTAGTCGCCACCGATCTCGCTGGACGTGGTATTGATGTTCCGGACGTGTCCCTGGTCGTGAATTTCAACATGGCCATGAGCATCGAGTCTTATACACATCGTATTGGACGTACAGGTCGTGCAGGCAAGAGCGGTGTTGCCATCACGTTCCTGGGCCCTGAAGACAATGACGTGCTGTACGACTTGCGGCAGATCATTTCGAAGTCTTCGATATCTAAGGTGCCAGAAGAGCTGCGCCGACACGAGGCTGCGCAGTCAAAACCACAGCGCGGGCAGAAGAAGCTTGAGGACAGCGGAGGTTTTGGCGGGAAAGGCGGAAACTGGCAATGAGCATGTACTTGTCATGATGTGCGTTGATATTAAATATGCTTTATGCTACTATGAATCAACCTGGAATATACCAAAATTTAGGCCTCAAGCCCAAGTCTTGATTCTTTGGGAATACTTGAGAGAGATGGATGTAATTCAGTGTTCAATTGTGAAACTTGGGTGTCCTCAAGAGCTTTTGTCGGTGGTAATTACGGATACCTTACCTACCTGTGGTATCCAGGATACCCCCGTGCCACAGCATATAAAGGGAACAAAGGATAAACAGTGTAATATACAGAAAGGGAGAATAGTAAAATCCTCATGCTGCCTTATTTGAACTTCAATACGTGACTTGGATTCTTCCCACCCTCCATCTCGAGAAGGCCCTCAAGGTGCACACATGCTGCAAGCTGAAGCGGCCTCTCCACTATACCCCACCAACGTTTCAATGCTGCAAGGATTGTAACGGCGCGAGAACAAGCCAAATTTTTCGTCAGAACGCCACCCAGCGAATACTGGGTCTCAACTCTCTTCATTCCAGACCGACATGATATCTCTCTCTGACTCTTCCTGCTTTTCTGACGAGGAGGGTGCTCCAGCCCGCGTGGTGTCAGGTCTTTGACCTCATGCGGGTTGCTGCTCTCGAGGGTTCCATGCTCGGGTCGGTTGACGACAAACAGGTTCCAAGAATTCAAGCTCGCCAGACTGCCCCGCTCCGCTCATCGGAAACCTCCCGTGGGCCCCCTCGAAGCGTATTGAGCGGTGGCCAAGATCGCGGAGCATGTGAGTGCTTGTATGTTTGGCGGCAATTAAACAAGCAAACAATTACATTCGCCTTTTCATCCCATCAACGTCGACACCAAATCAGCCTCGAAAGTGGTTTGCTTCTGGCTTTTGTTTTCGGGCGTTCCTCGCGCAGCATCACGAGTCGAGAGGCCAGCCACTAATCGCACTGTTACTTGCTCTCTCATTCGCCCAACTGGTTCGCGTTTCGATATTACCTGGACTTACCTACGACACTCGCGCGGGAGTTATTCGCAAATTGCCATTGTCTAGCTTGGCTTAGTCTTTTCAGAGCACAATCACAAACCGGGTGGGGGTCTTCTCAAAGCCTTCCTCTTCCCCATCCCTCTCACTTCGGTCGAGCCCAGCCATAATGGAGCCAGCCGCGCAGGCCCACCTTACCTCCAAGCCTGAAGTCCCCATCTCCGCGACTGCATCTTCACCAGTAACCATGGAACTCAAGCCGAGGAAGGCAGTGATGGAGGCTATAGAGGATATAGCATACGGCTCAGTAAGTTACTTGGCTCACTCGGCCTCTCTGTCGAGGAAGCTGCTCCTCCATGACAAGTCACAGTATACTACTAGTACTAATCTGTCTTAAAGGTCGCTGGCGTCGTGGGCAAATATATTGAATACCCGTTTGACACAGTCAAGGTCCGCCTACAGTCACAGCTAGATCACCTGCCGCTCCGGTATCGAGGGCCGTTGGACTGCTTCCGCCAGTCCATTCGAGCAGATGGCTTTCTCGGCCTCTATCGTGGTATAAGCGCCCCTCTCGTGGGGGCCGCACTGGAGACGAGCAGCTTGTTTTTTTTCGAGGGTATTGGACGGGAAACCATCTACATCTCGGGATTTGCCCCACGCGGCCAAGATCTTCCCTTGTCGGCCATGTGGCTTACGGGCGCCTTCGCTGGCGTCTTCACTTCGTTCATCCTGACGCCCATCGAACTAGTCAAGTGCAAGATTCAGGTCCCCGAGACGCAGTCTGGCGGTGTGGCTAAGGCATCCCTGAAGCCCCTCCAGGTCATCAAGGACGTCTTCCGCCACCAGGGCCTGCGCGGGTTCTGGCATGGACAGCTGGGGACTCTAATCAGAGAGGCTGGCGGGTGCGCCGCCTGGTTTGGCTCGAAGGAGACTGCAACCAAGCTGCTCCGCGATACGAACGAGAAGTCGGCGAGGTCAGAGGCGGAGCTCGAGCGAATGCGTGCAACACCGCTACCGCTTTGGCAACAGGCCGTTGCCGGTGCCTCGGCCGGCATGGCATGTAACTTCCTCTTTTTCCCTGCAGACACCATCAAGTCCCGGATGCAGACCACGCCAATCGGTGACCCCGCCCAGAACCGGTCGTTCGCAAAGGAGGGGGCGGCCCTGTGGAAGCAGGCTGGGTTGCGGGGCTTTTACAGAGGCTGCGGAGTTACGGTCCTGCGATCTGCCCCGAGTTCTGCCTTCATCTTCATGGTCTACGATGGACTCAAAAAGTACCTTCCGATGCAATAAGCAGACGTTTGGGGAAATATTGCTTCTGGGGTGTCTTTTTGTTTGGTAGTTTTCTTGCATCAGAGTTGGCGAAGAAAGCAAGCGTGCATGCATAGACAGGTGGGATAGCATATACGTCGATTCCATATATTGGGACGGCGCTCAGCATGGGATGGCGTTTTGGTTATTCGGAATTATTTGGCCACGTATGACTTGGCGGCGGGGATTTGAAGGGGCGGAGATAGTGTCGGTTACCCTTGCCGCAGTTTAAAAGAGCATACAAGCTGGATATGGAATGCACTTCCATTTTTCTATCTTTTTATACATAGAACCCGAGAGAACGTAGACACATACATACATAGCGTATAAGTATATACTAAAATGACGGCATGGAAGACTGCAATCTTCGCCAGCTTTTCGTGACATGGTGCATTGTTCATCCGGTTGCTGTTGATTCCTTTCATTGAGCCTTTTTGGTGTCATCGAGTGTCAAATCCCAATTGTTCAGATAGCCAGTTCCCGCAGAGAGGTAGGTAGCAAAGCCCAGCCAAGCAACGTATGGCACCAGAAGCCAGCCAGCAGTGCTATCGACGGAGGATCCCCAGAGGTAGGCAAGATAGCCGTTGATTCCTAGCAGCGCCAGCACGTCGATGGTGGCCTCCACGGGCCTCCTCAGTCCAAAGAAGAGCGGCATCCACGCCAGGTTCAGCTCCAGCTGGATGCTGTACAGCGTGGCGCCATGTCTGGCCGCTGCTATGGTGGCCTAGGTGAGGTGGGCTCTGTCAGTGGTCTTAAACGATTCCGACAGGGTGTGGGGGGTGGGGGATGGAAATCCCTTTCCCGTGTCAATGGAACTAGATGAAATGTTGGAATATATCCAAGGGAAAAACATACTGCAGAGTTGAGAGGCGATGTGCCGAAATGCACGGCACGATGGGCGGCGTATCCCATGAGCCCATACAAAATCGTCCACGCCGGGCCAAACACCCACGGGGGCGGCCGGAGCGGCGGCTGCTTCCACGAGAGATAGGCGCGCTCTGTGTCCTTGGCTATGACGGCGTTAATCTTTTTTTTATTCTTCTACATGTAAAGGCTGAAGGTGCAAGACTTACGCCGCATGCTGTACCCTACCAAAGTGCCCAGAGCAACAGGCAGCAGGACGGAGACGGGCAAGTTGTTGAAGACGGCATCGGGAAGCGTGAGCTTCGGGAGGTACGTCGTCATGGTCGAGGTGGTGAGTCCCTTGTTGATTACTCGGATATATCGCGGTCTTGGAGGGGGAAGCTGCGTTGAGAAGGGGATTAAGACGGCTGGGAATCAAATGTTGTCTGCACCAGAGTAAGGACGTGAAAAAGTGAAGTGCGCACAGCTTGGATGTGTAGGTAAGTAAGGTAGGGAGTGATGATGATGACGACATGCTCTCCTTCCAAGGCTCGGGCCGATGATCCCATGCAGGGACAGGTGTTTTTAGAAAGGCATGTTTCTTACCTCGCCGTTACAGGCTCAGCAGTTTCTGGGAACTGGTGTGATAAAACAAACAACATAGATGATATTGAGGCAACCTCTGAAGGCTCAAGTCTAAATCTTGAGTAGCTCTTCGGGAGTCATTCCCCAATCAATTCAGTGCTCAACACAAACAAGACAAATATTGTCCCAGGGCCATATCACGCAACCAAACAGGCTACTCTCCCGACTACCAAGGAGCCGGAGCACGATTTCATCCCAAGAACTCGATGCTCCGCGAGGCCCCCTCACTCCCAGATCGGGGCACTTGCAAGCCTCGGTTTCCGCCCGAAGCGGGGGATCAAACCCGCTGGCGAAGGTACGAAGAGCACCGCTCCGAACATCTCGACTCTGAATTATCGCCCCATCTTTCTAAAGAGAAAACTATCTAGTATTTCCGGTGACTCCACCGCATTGAATTTGAAAGCTGGACTCGGCGGCTGCCACGCCTTTTTCCCTGAATCAGACCATTGAACCAAGTACGTAAGTTCAGTCCAATTCCCGAATATTTGTTAGTGGGGACTTTCCGAGATCCAGATGGCTTCAATGCCGTACTGCTCGCCCTAAATGATTTTCGCCGAGGGCGGTGATAGCTACTGGAATGCCCTTGAGGTCCATCTTTGCCCTTCAAATACCTACCAAATACTTTCCATGACGGCCTATTTTGCTATAATACTGATTCTCCCCAAGTACCACACCAACAACCCATTCAGGGACTGGGCAGAGTGCGGAGGTGCACGCTCCCCACGTTAATCCTAAAACAGCAAGGCGTGGCACCGTGCAGAGTGGATCCCTTGCGTGCAGCGAAATCCCCACAGCTCCCTCCCGAGAACGTACGGTCCCAGCCACCTCCAAACCAAACGCAACAAAGCATCTCAGAGCTTCGGCATTCACGTGATTGAGAAAGGTGGCCCGACCCCCGAGAACGATTGAGAACTCGCATCCATCCATCTTGAACCTGGCGCAGCCGCGATTTCACGAGGTCAACCTCGACGCGCGCATGCTTGAGGAGTCGCACAGCTCGCACTCCATGTAATTGTTCGTTCAGTCTTTTCTTTCTCTTATTCTTCTTTTTTTTTCTTCAGAGGGGTTTCTTCTCTATCTTGTCTTGAGTACCTGCACCTTGTCCGTCACGGGATTACACTTGACCCAGCTGCTGGACGTTAGTCCCTACTTTCTTGTCATCGTCGTCAGTCGTCGTCCGACTCGCCATACTCCTCCACCTCGTCTTTGCCTCTGCCTCTCCATTAATTGTCGCTGTCAGCGCAGCCCCATCTTCATCTGCCTTTGTTGGCTTTGGTTCTCCCTCCCCAGTGCGCCCGGCGGCTTCATGCGCCCAGCTGTCTGTCCCGGTCGCCTCTGCCCCATTGTCGATATCAACCTGTCTCCTCTTATGCCCATCTTTGCTTCATCTCAGCCAGCCGCCAGAATTATCTTTCTAACCGCAATCATGTCGCCAAATAGTGGACACCATCTACAAGCAAGCATCCGTCCAATTTCCGGCATCACTTAACAAGCAGCAAACACGGCCCCGCGCCTGGGCGCAACCGGATTTCAGCAGTCTCATACCCATTCCGCCGCCGCCGTGCTGACGACACGCGCTGCTCTCGTCCCCCGTTGTCTTCGCGCAATCCCTCTTTTCCGATCCGCCACTACTAAAAAGGTCTCGGACTCAGCCGGCGCCATTTTTACGACCCGAGGTTAATGCTAACCACGGCACGCTATCAGTGCTTCAACTGTCATGGATTCATTCAATTATCGGGACGCGCCTGCCCGCTCGCCTGGCGACCGAGGCTGGAGTGCCCGCGACGATCCCAGGATCAAGGAGGAGAGAGGATCTGACAGTTTCTACCGTGGCGGTAGGTCTCCTGGTGCGTAATATACACCCTTCTCGAGTCCCTGCACCACTTTAGGGCCGCATGGGACGCTTGTGTTTTTGTATTGTCGATTCTCTTGTCGCCTGATGTTTCCTTCCTCTCCTGCCTACACGTGCTTACCTGTCTCTTTAGGTCCCGATCGTAGCCGCCGGCGGTCGCGCTCTCCGCTTGCTGTCGATAGGTATGAGCCGAGAGCGCGAGCCCGAGACGAATATGCCGGCACTCGGGATAGAGAAGACCGCCCTCGCCGCATTGGCTCACCGCCTGCCAATATCGATCGTTATGTGCCAGGCCAGGAAAGTGCACCTGCACAGCCTCTGACTAACCCCATCCCGGACCCAATCAGGCTTTCTTATCAGGTTGGATTCTCCTACTTCGGCGAGTGGTGGCGTGCCAATGAGAAAATCAAGGAGGAGAAGGAACGCCAGCGAACAGGCCGTCGCCGTGAGCCTGACCGTGTCCGCGGTCAGCGTGAGATTCTAGAGGAGCGGGACAAGGAAAAGGCTCGAATCCAAGCCGCGTACGATTCGTACAAGGAAGATCTCCAAGGAAAAATGGCCCAAACATTCGTTAAACAACACAAGGAGGAACAGTGGTTCAGAGAGCGCTATGTCCCTGAGATCAGGGATGGATTTAAAGCGAAGCTGAACGAATTTCGTCGTGGCGCCTACACTCAGTGGGAACAAGACCTGGAGTCGGGGACATTTGACGAGTTTTCCCTGGAAGGTATCCCGAAAAGCGAGAGCAACGGCGCTGGCGGCATTGTCGAAAAGGAGGAGGGCGAAGCGACTGCCGCAAACGAGGTTCTTGGAGTTGGCGACCTGGTTCCTACCAACAATGCCGACATCAGAGACGAGAATCTATTTCAACCAACCCTCCTCATCAAGACTATTGCGCCTTCCGTCAGCCGTCATAACTTGGAGGCCTTTTGCAAGGAGCATATTGGTGAGGAAGAGGGTGGCTTTAAGTGGCTGTCTCTCAGTGACCCGAACCCAAGCAAGCGATTTCACCGAATCGGCTGGATCATGCTGCATCCAGCTGCAGAGGCGCCTGCTACTGGAGGTCTAGAGAGTGTCACTGAGGAGCAGGAAGAAGGGTTTATCCCAACAACCCCTGCCCCCGTCTCAACTGCCGACAAGGCTCTTGAGGCAATAAATGGCAAGACTGTCAAGGATGAGCAACGAGGAGATTTCACTTGCCATGTGGGTGTTCACAACCCCCCAACAAATCCTAGAAAAAAGGCATTGTGGGATCTCTTCTCGGCGCCAGAGCGCATCCTAAAAGATCTCGATCTTGTCAAGCGCCTTGTCAACAAATTTGAAGAGGATTTTGGATCCGACTTCAACGCTACTCTTAAAATTGTTGAGCGCGTTGAAGATCTCAAAAACGCCGGACATCTGCAACCTGTTTTGTCGAGCCCAACCGTCAAGAAGCCCAAAAAGAACCTTGCAGTTGGTATGGATGAGGCTGTCGAGGACGGAGAAGAGCTTGCTGATATGGAAGTCGACGACGAAGAAGAGGAGGGTGCCGTTGACGATGAGGTTGACGATGAAGACCTCCTTGTCAAGAAGAAGGAACTGGATCTTATGATCGAGTATCTCCGGCGTGTCTTCAACTTCTGCTTTTTCTGCGTCTTTGAGAGCGACTCGATCCACGAGTTGACCCGCAAGTGCCCCGGCGGGCATCTCCGTCGGCCGCGGAGCACTCTGTCGTCGACGGCTAAAGCTGTTGCCCGAGCCAGCGCGCTTGGCGAACCTTTTCCATCCAAAAAGCGCAAAGAAGCTGAGGATCTCGAGGAGGGCGAGGCCCCTGAGGCGGACCGCAAGTTTCGCACTTCGTCCAAAACAGAGCAACAGCTTCAACGGGCGTATAACTGGGTCAAAACATTTGAGGACAAGATCATGCAAATTCTCGATCCTGAATTAGTTGACATTCGAAAACTCGGTGGAAAGCCGATCGAAGACGCGCTCAATGAAGAGTTTGTCAAGCACGTCAAGCAAGAAGATGAACATAAATGGCGGTGCAAAGTCCCAGACTGCACAAAGCTATTCAAGGAGGAACATTTCTGGAGAAAGCATGTGGAAAAACGCCATGCTGAGTGGCTAGACAAGCTTAAGGAAGAGGTAAGACAGCCGCCACAATGTTCGATGGTCTTCGATGCCGACTAACTTTGATACAGTTTGAGTTGGTCAATGCTTATATCATTGATCCTGCACACATTGCCCCGTCCCGCACCGACGCAAACTCGAACGGACACTTCCCCCCTACAAACGGGCAGACGCCAACAGGCACGCCGCGTGGCTTCAACCTCTCCAACTATGCCATAAACAACATGATTGGTTTTCCTAATTTTGCCGCAATGTCCATGTTCACACCAAACTTGCTGGGCGTCCCCCCTCTGGGAGCGGCCCCTGGTTGGCACGCCCCTGGTGGTGATGATCGTGGGGTCGGTCCCGTCCGCCGCGGCGGACCGATGGGAGGACCGGGAGGCCGTTTCCAGAACCGTACGGGTCCTTATGAACGCCGACCAAACCCGCGCTATGCGCCAGACATTGGTGTAGCTGGCGCAATGGGCGGACGAGGCCGACCGGGCCCAGCCAACCGATGGGGTGACGGTGCCGGCGGTGCTGCCATGGGACCACGCGAGGCAGTACAGGGGCGAACCATTAAAAGCTACGAAGATCTTGATCAGGTTTCAAGCGGTGGCGGTGGGGAGCTCAACTACTAGAATTCGTAGTTTGCTTCTCCAGTTTAGGAAAGCCCCGACTTGGTGAATGGCCCCCGAATGTCTTGCGGGTTGGAGTACTTTTCTGAGATGGGAATAGTTAAGGGGCGTGGCTCAGAATATTTCATGATCATGGTGCGGTGATAGGCGTTTAAGGCGTTGCATACACTCAGTTCGTCTTGCCTTTCTCCTTTTGCTGCTAAGGACCCTTGTGTTCAAGGGCCACGATGAGAGCAGGCGAGAGGGAGACGAGAGGAAGGCGAGGGTATCGCGAATTTGAAACGCAGAAGGAAATTGCCGCCGGACGCTCTGGTACACAGTTGCGGCGGGCTTGGTTTTCTTTTTATTTTTTTATTTTTTTTTTTCACTTTTTCTCATTTTGTTTTCTATGTAATTCTCTAGTCTCTGAGGGGGTTAACTTCTCAGGCTTTGAGTTAATTCGAGCATCCGTAGGTAGGTAGGTAGGTAGATTAGGAGGAGTGATTGCCGTCATGTATTATTACAAAAAATATATTCTAGAGAAAACTATTCTCATACCAAAGCATGTTTTAAAAAAAGAAGGAAAGATAAGGAAAAAGGAAAGAAACTCTGGAAAACCAATAGCACTCCCAACTGCGAATTTTCAAAAAGGGATGCGTCAGCCGCGAATCGAACGCGGGGCCCATCGAATCTGTATATAGATGGCAACGATGGATTTTACCACTAAACCACTGACGCTGCTTTGTTTTGGGTGCTATTGAGATGGGGAAGCTCTATCGTGGGCCTTGACTGGGATGTGGGAGGGAGGTTCTTTGTGACTTAGTCCAGCGCGAGGTTTGAAGTTTGGTTCATCAGCTAATACCCGCTTCGAAGGTGCTTTCGGCTGGCTCCTCACATGGCTGGCTGTAAAGTACACAAATGGTGATTAACGAGTTAGGCGCTTTGGTTAACGTAATTGCATAGCGAGCGCGCATGTATAGCGAGCGCGCACTTTTCCCACCCCAATTGAACTATCGCAAAACATCGTAAATTTCTCCACGATAAAACATGCCCGCCGTACGAAATGAAGCACAAATACAGCTTGCCCTTCAAGCTATGCAACGCGATAAGAATCTTCGCCTTGCAACTGCTGCAGCCCGATATTCCGTACCCCGAAGAACACTTGAGCGGCGTTCGAACGGAATCCTCCCTCGAGCAGAAATTATTGCCAATTCGCGGAATCTTGACCCCCTTGAAGAGCAGGTTATCATACGAAGGGCTCTCGACCTATACGAGCAAGGATTTTCGCCAGGATACGGTATAATAGAAGATATGGCCAATTTGCTACGCGCGACGCGTAACGCGTCACGCGTCGGACCACGCTGGGCTGCAAACTTCGTACGACGACAACCAGAGCTCAAGATGCGTTGGACGCGTCCGTACGACTACCAAAGAGCTAAATGCGAAGATCCAAAGATAATTGGCGCGTGGTTTGACCGTGTTCGTGATACAATTGCGAAATATGGGATTCTCGAGTCGGATATCTGGAACTTTGACGAGACTGGGTTTACGATGGGCCAGATCTCGTCAACACTTGTTGTTACCTCGTCCGACGGCCGTGCGAAGGTGAAGAAGATCCAGCCTAGTAATCGGGAATGGGCTACCGTGATTCAGGCCGTACGGTCGGGTGGTGATACTATCCCTCCGTATATAGTGGTTGCGGGCAAAGTCCACCTCGAGAGTTGGTATCGCGATAGCCCTTTCCCATCCGACTGGGTAGTGGATCTCTCAGAAACTGGTTGGACGAATAACCAGATTGGTCTTGATTGGATTAAACACTTTGACCAACACTCTTGCCGCCGTACGATAGGTGGAAAGCGACTCCTAATCCTTGATGGGCATGAGAGCCACCATTCGGCCGAATTTGAGGACTATTGCAAAGAAAATAACATCATTACGCTTTGTATGCCTCCGCACTCATCACATCTACTTCAGCCTCTTGATATCGGGTGTTTTAGTGTATTGAAGCGGTCGTACGGCAAGGAAATTGAGAAGTTGATGCGCAACCATATTCACCACATCACTAAGCCCGACTTCTTTCTCGCCTTCTTCAACGCATTCCACGCGACATTTAAACCCGAAAACGTACAAGGAGGTTTTCGAGGGGCAGGCCTTATTCCATTCGACCCAGAGAAGGTCATTTCCGGGCTAGATATCAAGCTTCGTACGCCAACACCTACTGGGCCCCCCGAGGCCTCGTACGATAGTTGGGTCTCTCAAACGCCACAAAATGCTACCGAAGCCTCTCTACAGTCAATACACATCAAGGATCGTATTGCTAGACATCAAGGCAGTTCACCCACCCCGATTATTGAGGCCCTTGATCAGATTGTAAAGGGTACGACGAAGGTTATGCACGGGATGGTGTTGAAGGCGCGCGTACGAGAGCTTGAGGAAGCAAATGCAGCATTGAGCAAATGCAGCATTGAGCAAACGCCGGAGAGCTAAAAAAAAAAAAAAAAAAAAAAAAGTCGTATCCGGGCAGGAGGACCATTAACTATGGAAGAAGCGAGTGATATTTTGGCCCAAAGGGATGCGCATGCATTGGTAGAGAAGGAAAAGCGATCGAGGGGTGGTCGTACGAGCAACGCAACAGGTTTACGACACTGTAGTAATTGCGGCAAAATAGGACACAACTCTCGTACATGCAAGGAGGACGCGAAAATGGATGAGTAATTAGATTCTGAGTAGTTTCTATTAATTTTTTTCCTTTGTGGTGTTGGTATTTCGTATAATAGTTCAATTGGGGTAGGAAAAGTGCGCGCTCGCTATACATGCGCGCTCGCTATATAATCACGTTACACATATTGTGATTTTGCTAGAATCCCAATGATTGGGATATGGCTTGGGTTACGTTAATCATGCAACCCTCGCTATCTACCTATTTATGGGAAAGTAGACCTGCTAGCGCGCTATCTGCCCCAATTATGGCACCCTATGTTGTAACTCCCTTCTCCTTAATTTATGACATTCTTTACCTGCTCAAGGCAATATCATCAATACGCAGAATCATCTTGACAGTCTCGGCTGCCAGCTCAATAGCGCTGGTGCTGACAAGCAGCGGCTGTAGCACATTCTCCTTGACAATATTCGAGTTGACACCGCCGCTCTTGATGCTGACGCCGGCATTCTTCTCACCGAGCTCGTGGCGATAACGCAGGTCCGTCACGACCTTGATGCTGTTAAGCCCGGCGTTCTCGGCCAGCGTGGTCGGGATCACCTCCATGGCATCAGCAAAGGCCTTCCAGCAAATGGCCTCGGTGCCGCTGAGGGCGCGCGACTGCTTGCTGATCTGGGCGGCAATCTCAATCTCGGCAGCGCCACCGCCGGCAATGAGGGCCTTCTTCTTCACTAGGCACCGCACCACACACAGGGCATCGTGTAGCGACCGCTCGGCCTCGTCAAGAATCAGATTGTTGGCGCCGCGCACCACCACCGACACAGTCTTGCCGGCCGACTTGGTGCCCAGGACCTTGACCATGCGACTGCCGGAGCTGTGCACCTCCTCCACTAGGTCCGCCGATCCCAGCTTATCCTCGGTAAAGCTGTCGATGTCGGCGATGGGCTTACACCCGGTTGACTTGCAGATGAACTCGACCTCGTCGCGCTCAATGTCCTTGACGGCCAAGATTCCCAGGCGCTGCAAAAAGTGCAGCGACAGGTCGTTGACAGCGTCGCGGAGGATCGACTTTTGGATCAAGATAACATTGCACTTGGCCTTTTTGATCTTCTTGACCATGTTCAACAGGTACATGCGCTCCTCCTTGACGATTCTGTCCATCTGGCGGTAGTCGTTTACCGAGATGGAGTTCTCCATGTCGGGCTTGGGGGGGCTCAGCTGGAACTGAATTAGGCCAATCCGGGCCTTTTCCATCCTCGCGGGCCCGCCGGCGCTCTTAATCACGGACTGTGTAAGAACAAGCCCGTCAACCAGCTCGCTGTCCTCTATTGTGCCGCCGACCTTCTTGATGATACGAATGTTCTTGAGGTCAACGTTGGTGGCCGTCTTCATGTCTATAGTCTTGGTTACGGCGTTGACAGCCATTGGGCCCAGGAGGTTCGAGTATTGGGAGACAATCTTGGACGAGAGGGACGTGTTGGCAGCCTGCAGGAGGGCGGCGGTATCTGTGAGCGAGATGGGGTGCGACATATGGTGTAGAACCTCGACCGCGGCGGCTGCTGCCCTCTGGAAGGCCTCTGAGATCACCGAGGGATGGATGCCCTTGGACAATAACCTGTCAGCGGCGCCTAGAAGGCTGCCGCAGATGACTACAACTGAGGTTGTACCATCACCAGCCTCAACGTCCTGGGCGTTGGAGAGTTGAACCAGCATCTTGGCGGTAGGGTGCAACACCGACATGCTCTTGAGCATGGTGCTACCGTCGTTGGTAATTATGGTCTCGCCTCTGCCACTCCTAATCATCTTGTCCATACCCCTGGGGCCTAGCGATGTCCTGATGGCATCGGCAACGGCTGTAAGGTGGGGTAGGGTGCCAAGTCGTCAGTACATATCACAATAGAGTAGCGCAACGAAAATGGTAAGACAGTGCAGCGCATACCTCTAGCAGCGACGATGTTTGCAGACCGTACGGCCAACGGCTTCTCCTTGTCCTGTTGTTTGAGCGGTTAGCGAGAGAGCTCCTTGCGACGAGAGTGCACCGTACCGCACCGTATGGAACCAAACTTACACGGAACGTCGCATTTCCTCCTGCGCTGGCGGCTGCTGTCGCCATATTTTAAATCTTTAGGTAGTCAAATGCCAGGCAAAGTGATCAAGAGCAGGGCGTGTCGAGTGGTCGCGACGGCTGGGTCCTGAGGGTTGTGCTGTTGTGTTGACCGCTGTAGGCAGCTCCTTTGATATCTACGCGTGCGTATTAATTATGTACTCATCAAGGCGGGACCGAATTTTTTGTCGGCCAGAGTTCTTCCCCCCCGTTAGAGCTACCAAAGTAGCACCGGCTAGCCGCTTTGGGCTAGTCGGCTTTCAGCCTCGCAGCAAAGCTTTGGCCTGGTCTGGCGCGCTTCAAGGCAGGCAGCATGGATTACGGAACAGCTTCCTCTACATTCGGCCCCCCATCCATACCGTTGCTCCGCTTAACCACTCTACTCAACCACCTCTCTTACATCCACCCAACCGCGCCCAAACAATCCGACACATTAGCACAGCAGCTCAATCATATTTACCTTGCTGCCGATTGTGCAGCGAACTCGGTTGGTGCCGGATTAGCGACTCACCGATTTCCGCCTGTTGTCATCATGGTACGTCCTGTGTGCCCTTTCCATCGAAATCCAGGTCGCCGTCTGGCGCACGCTGTCTGCCGTCTTCTACATCCACTGACAGGTCTTTTTTAGCCTTCCGCTACGGGAAAAAACTGGGAGAAGTACAAGAAGGAATTCGCCGACGACGAAATCGAGGAGAAGAAGATCACCCCTCTCTCAGATGAGTTCGTCACTTCTCCGGCCCAACCACGCTCTGCCTGCCCGCCATATAGCTAACGTTGAGAAGGGATATTCAAGTACTCAAGACGTATGGGGCTGCGCCATATGGAGCAGCTATCAAGAAACTAGAGCAGCAAATAAAGGAGAAGCAGCAGAGTGTGGATGAGAAGATTGGAGTCAAGGTACGAGGCTGCTTGATCCGCGACCGGTCTCCCTGCAGTAGCAAACACCAACAGGATATCTAGTATGGTCAACTAACACGCCATTCTACTACTCTAGGAATCAGACACTGGCCTCGCGCCCCCTCACCTTTGGGATATGGCCGCCGATCGCCAGAGAATGTCAGACGAGCAGCCGCTTCAAGTAGCTCGCTGCACCAAGATTATCGCCGACGAGAAGGACGAATCGAATAGCAAATACGTCATCAATGTTAAGCAAATTGCCAAGTTTGTGGTGCAGCTTGGAGAACGCGTCAGTCCTACAGACATCGAGGAAGGGATGCGTGTCGGCGTCGACCGCAACAGGTATCAGATCCTCTTACCGTTGCCGCCTAAAATCGACGCTAGTGTCACCATGATGACAGTCGAGGAGAAGCCCGATGTCACATACGGCGACGTTGGCGGTTGCAAAGAGCAGGTTGAGAAGCTGCGTGAGGTAGTTGAGATGCCGCTGCTGTCACCCGAGCGGTTCGGCGCACTGGGCATCGACCCTCCCAAGGGTGCGCTCTTGTACGGCCCCCCCGGTACTGGCAAGACCCTTTGCGCACGAGCTGTGGCCAACCGGACCGATGCGACTTTCATCCGTGTCATTGGCAGCGAGCTGGTGCAAAAGTACGTGGGGGAGGGCGCCAGGATGGTTCGTGAACTCTTCGAGATGGCCCGGACAAAGAAAGCTTGCATCATCTTCTTTGACGAGATCGACGCGGTTGGCGGTGCACGATTTGACGATGGCGCCGGAGGTGATAATGAGGTGCAGAGAACCATGTTGGAACTCATCACACAGTTGGACGGCTTCGATGCTCGAGGAAACATCAAGGTGATGTTCGCCACTAACCGACCGTCTACTTTGGATCCTGCCCTGATGCGACCTGGCCGTATCGACCGAAAGATCGAGTTCTCCCTTCCCGACCTTGAGGGCCGCGCCAACATTTTGAGGATCCACGCCAAGAGTATGTCTGTTGAACGGGACATCCGGTGGGAGCTCATCTCACGGTTGTGCCCGAATGCCACTGGCGCCGAGCTGCGCAGTGTGTGCACTGAGGCGGGCATGTTTGCCATCCGCGCCAGGAGGAAGGTGGCCACAGAGAAAGACTTTCTAAGCGCCGTCGATAAGGTCATCAAGGGCAACTTGAAATTTAACTCGACTGCCGCGTATGCACAATACAATTAGACTTGTGTGAGAGCGGTGTTTAGCGTTCGTCACGGAGGAGAGTTGGTTTCTGTAGCAGAATGTATGATAGATATAAATGCTTGTCTGCTAGCCGCCGGTTCGTTAGAACCCACAGCCGGCCACATCATATGAGCCTAGCTTTGATATTCATGTTCCCGTATCACCTCGCAGCTAAAGTAAGTCTCCTTTGTCTGATTTATCTGTAAGACCTTCTATTGTACACGTGACAACGCCCGACTACAATGAGTTCTTCGGTAGTCTGTATTCCAATGTTTACTATATAATACAAGGGTGTAGATATCACGAAGTCAAATGGGGCCACCGCCAATCTATCCAACATCGACACAATGGGATTTTCTTAAATCCTACATACTGTTGGGCCGATAGCCAGTACTGGGGGTGATATCTACTGATGCAAAGCTGCAAGATGTGACTGAATGTGTACATGTGTGTTTTGTGTTATGCCTCGATGAGAAATACTTATGCAAGTACATTCTGATCAGTGGGTCGACCATCTTGGCCCCTCTCCAACGCATCGGGTTGCCCAATGTCCGCAGAGTCATTCCATAAGTGTTTCGCTGTTGTAATCTCGCTCTCGGTAACAACTGCTGTTTGTAGAATTCCAGGCAGGCGGGAGCTGTGCCATTCTTTCTTTTTCTTTTTCTTCTTTGCCGCTGTCGTCGTATCGACGCATATGTGTAGCCCATGCTGGTTCAATCATTATCATTGATCGTCGATCCATATCTCGGCGAGATCGATCCATTGTTCTGTCCAGAGTGTGATTTTTTTGGGGCGAGGTAATAGGGCCCAGGTAAGCTGGTGATTCGAGCGAGCGCTTGGTTTATGCTGGCGAGTATCCCGCAGTTTGCTGTGTTCCCCTTCCCATCTCGCTGCCTTCGGGCGTCCAAAGATCCATCTAGAAACCCGCTTGACGTTCCCTCCTGGTAGTCGGCCATATCCAAGGGTAGTGATAGTAGCCTGGTTGGTTGGTTGGTTGATGTGGCTGCGATATGAGGGCGGCTTCAACCTTCAATAAATGGCAGACATCCCAGGCAAACAACATCCCCGTCCTCTCCTCTCTCTACACAGCATCGGCTGCAGACCATCTGGCGATGGCCGCCCCACCAACCCTCTGGCTCTTGTTGCCTACGAGGTGTTGAGTTGTCTGACGAGAGCTCCTGTGATATATAAGGGCGGTGGTGGCCGTGGTGCACTTCTCTGCCGCTATTGCCCCTCCCCATGTCTACTGCACATTCGAAGTCGGCGTCCGGCATCATAAACGATTCCGTAGGGGTTTCCGATATGGTCTCCCCCCCCAGCATACCTTCCGCTAAGGGATGTGGTGGGCTCCATCCCGAGCACTCCCGAATACACACATAGCACGTCCGTTGACCGCAGCCTTGGCAGTCAGCAAACGAGTCGAGGTCCAGTTTCTTGCTAGGTTTCCGGAAACAGATGTGGCAGCGGCCCATCAGGTTCGTGGAGCTGGTACGGCTCAAAACAGTTGCCTCTGACCGAGTGGTCTCGTCCGGAAGGTCCTCCTGCAAAGTCGATGCAGTTCCTGCTGCTGTTGGAGGCGACGGCTTCCTCGGGTCGTGTCTCTCATCCGCGGGTGATGGGGTAGATGTTGACCTCGCTGCTTCCTCTTCTCTATCGCTGATCGTGCGCTGTTTCTTAGAGGAGGGGATTGGTATTATCTTTCGCACAAAAGGCGAGTGTTGAGCAAGAATGGCGCCGCCATGTTCAGAGGCCTTATCAGCAAGAACGCCGCGAGGACTGCGGATGCTGCTGTTGTAATAACTGCTATGGCTATCGTTGCAAGCTGAGGTTGGGCGGGAGCTACAGGCTAGTAATTCCGCAGCGAATGTCGTCGGTTTTGGTAGAAAGCTGGGATGTAATGGGCGCTGGACGATGTTGTTGTTGCTGCTGCTGTTGTCATGGTTATCGCGGTCGGCGTCTTCTCGCCTCCGTTTCTTCGACGACTGTACAGTTGGTGCTTCTTGGGCCACCGACGGCATGGCTCCCGTAAATATAACGCAATGCAAAAAGGATGGGGAATGGTGGGAGTAAAGGACAATTAAATTGCAGTTTCACGGATGCAAGACAGAATCCGGTCAGATTCCCATGGTGAAAGGAAGAGAGGAGTCGAGGTTGCTGTAGGTGCAGCATCAAAGTGGAGACAGGCTGCCTAGCTTGCCAGGGCCATTGGATTGTGAATGGATGCTTACATTGCGGTACGTGTGCCAAGTCCGAGCCGCGTAAAGTGCAGATGAAAATGAACTACCTTACTGCGGACGGAGTAATAAAAGCGGCGTAAAGGGGCCCAGCTAGCGATTGGGTGCATTGGCATCACGTGGCCAGGCTAGACACGAAGAAAGGCGCCCCACTTTCCCAACCCCAGACGCTTCCTACTTTGAACTTTCTCCTCACCCTCCGTGTCAACCCGCCTCGTAGGAGCCTCAACGCCTCGAGCATTCCAACTGCGAATCCCCCCACCTTTTTGACGATTATCCATCGAGAGCCAGTGCTGAACGTACCCGATATCGACATCGAGATATGAGTCGCGCCAACAAACTTGGCCCGGAGGTAAATCGGTACGTTGCCTGCACCTGTCATTCCGACTCCACCTTTTCCGGCCCCGGTCTTCCCTCCCACGCGACCTTCCAGCTGCCCCCCCAAGGGTACACATCTTCAAAGTATCTTGGCTAACCACTCTGCGATTGACAACAGAGCTTTGTTCGTCAAGAATCTAAGGTAAGACTGTTCTAAATATTGACCCCTCGGCCGCGCGTGTTGCCATCTAGACCCAACTTCTGACACGCCCACAGCTACAACGTCACTCCCGAGGAGTTGTTCGACCTGTTCGGCAAGTACGGACCTATCCGGTATGTTGCCTCATGACATCCGCCCATTTTGCGCTTTCAACTTTCCCTCTTCTTCATGCTAACCCCCCAACTAGTCAAGTTCGACAGGGTATCGCGAACAACACCAAGGGCACAGCCTTCGTCGTCTATGAAGACGTGATGGATGCGAAGTCGGCGTGCGACAAGTTGAATGGTTACAACTTTCAGAACCGTTATCTTGTCGGTATGTTTACCCCTTTCGCTTCTTCAGCCGACCTGAGGCTGACCACTGACCACCCTAATGCAGTACTCTATCACCAGCCAGACAAGATGGCCAAGTCAAAAGAGGACCTCGAGGCCCGCAAGGAGAATCTCGAACGCATCAAGAGACAGCACGGTATCGATTGACAGTTAGACGGGCCTGCGGACAGCTTTCAGAATCGATCTCGACAGTCTGGAGGCCCGTCTTATCCGACTTCTCTCTCCTCTAAGGTAGAGGCGGCGCCGGCCAAAGCGCCGAAACCGATCCTTAAGAGGGTCAGGCCAGATACCGGCGTGCACGTACGAAGCTCCCTCCCTCACTTCGTGCGGAAGCTGCTTCCTACAGTGCCAGAGTGCGCTTGATGAATTCATTGCTACCTAGCGCCCCCGGGTGTTCACCAACGGCTGGATTGACGCACACGGGGCTAGCGGGTTTGGTTCTAGCTGAACCTGCCTCTCCACTCACGAAACTACCACATTTTACTCGTTCTCTCTGGGGTTATTTGACTTCCCTCCGGTCGGAATAGGAGGGATGGGTTTGCCGATGCGATGGTCTTTTTACTTTTTTTTTCTGGGCGTGAGCTGGACGGTGGGCGCAAATATGGCAATTCAATGCTTCCTTTATATGTTGCCGATTGGCATCGTGGGTGGGTTGAGAGCGATGAGAGTTTGCTATAGCAACACACCATGGGAGAATTGCAGCGACGATTTGCAAACTGTGATGCTGAGGTCTTTTTAATCGACATGTTACTACTAAACTGCTCACCATTCTAGTTTTGATGTCCGTCCCCGTCCGTCCCGGTTCTTTCGCAGGATGCCGAATTGTGGACACGTATTATTGCAGCAATCGCTTGGCAAGGCGAGATGGTTGCCAGATACAATACCCATGCACATCCCCTCATCCCCTAAAGTGCTAGATATTAAGGCCCTGGTGTCTCTAAACATTCAATTTGGCAACCTTGAATTGTGCCTCTCGTTTTGTGGCACAGAGGACCCCATACTCCCAGGTTGGCAAAATTCGTCGAAACGTCCGTCGGGCGGCAACTGTCTTTGGTCCCTTTGCCCGGCGGCCATCCAGAAGCCCTCCCGTTCCGTATGTGCAGTACAGTATATATGAAGTACGGGTAGACCAAAAGGTTAAGCGCAGGCTCTAGAACCACACTGGTGATCTGTCCGTCCTTGCCTGGCTTGCGGCAGTCGAAGCCACTTCAGGGCGGGGCGAGAGGTGGGACTCCTCGGTGGAGCACTTAAGCCTTCCATGCATGCAGGGCCAACGGTCGCCAACCAATAGGGCTCATTAACATTCCAGGCTGAAGTCTGCCGCAGCCTGCAGGCAATGATGAATGACTTCGTTGCATCGCCTCTGCACCTACCTCCCCCTTCCTGCCAGAGCCTCTAGCTCTCAGCAGGTAGCAGATGAGGCTCCCCCGACACCACATTCTAGACAAAGCTGCCACGGTTGCCTCGTTTTATCCTCTTTTGTCTTATTTGTCTTCTGATTCTTTCCTTGCCAACGTTCGTCTTTGCATTCAATCACAGCCGGCACCAGGTGCAGGCATCTGCACTTAGGCGCTTCCGGTTTATTATACCCGACGTCATTACTTTGGCTTGCTCGCTCGAACCCCCAACCAATTCAAGCCAAGTTTCGACCAACTGAAACCAGGAGCCAAAAACCCACCTCGGTTTCTCGACGTACCCCGTGACATCGATACCTATCGCCTACTCGATCAGGGCTACCATATCTTTGGCTTTTTTACTGAGCCGACTGTAAATGTTGTCGCCGCCCAATATCGCCCCGCCTGTTCTCGCCCTCGCCTTCGCCAGAGATGTCGCAGTCGCTTCGTTCGTGCCGGTAGTTACAACTCTACCATCCCACCGCCGCCCGCCTTTCATCGTAGGCGTTGATAGTCCAGTATATGACGCCGCGCCCGTTGCCGACGCTGTTGTAGTCACCATGGAGGCGCCGTCCCCAACATCGCTCCCCGCCGACCCAGTCTCGCCTGCCGAGAACTCTACCGAGTGTCGCCTGCTGGGATCTTTCGCCATTCTCGTACAGCTGGCTCTGGGCGGTCTCGCGCTCCTAGCCCTCGTATACAAGCGCTGGAAGGAGCGCCCCCAGCGGCCTGTCAAGATCTGGTTCTTCGATGTCTCGAAGCAGGTCTTTGGCAGCGTGCTTGTGCACATGGCCAATGTGTTCATGTCGCTACTTACAAGCGGCCGCTTCAGCATCAAAGTCAGTCCTGCGACAGTTGGTCAGGCGACGAGGAGGGCCGTCATGGTGTTGGCACGGAGGGGCGGCGAATATGTACCCAACCCGTGCTCCTTCTATCTCCTCAACTTGGCTATCGACGTAGGTGTTCCCACTCCACGTGTCTCTCTTCCAACCCCTCTTCCCCAGAAATTGTCACACGTGTGTGTATGACGATAGAATTGTCTTGTCTAACACGAAGCCCGGTGCAGACTACTCTCGGTATTCCTATCCTGATCATTATCGTGCGCGTAACAACTCGCCTCGTGTCATTCACTCCCCTGGGAAAGCCCGCGGAGTCCATCCAGAGTGGCAACTATGGCAACCCGCCAAATGCTTGGTGGTGGCTCAAGCAGAGCGTCATCTACTTCTGCGGACTAATGGGCATGAAGTTTTGCGTTCTAGTCCTCTTCATGACGCTGCCGTGGATTTCACACATTGGCGACTGGGCACTTGGCTGGACCGAGGGTAACGAAAGACTTCAGATTGTCTTCGTCATGATGTTGTTCCCCCTCATCATGAATGCCATGCAGTACTACATTATAGACTCGTACATCAAGAAGCAGGAGAGTCTGGACGACGTCGACGAGCTGGACGAGGGAGACGTTACAGAACCAGTCATATACGACGAGATTTCTGTGTCGGGGAGCGACGGGAGCGACGACAGCGAAGACGAGGATGCCAAAGGCAGACGCGTTCGTATGGATAGGCGCGATACGCCTAAGGATCTTGAATACGATCCGTCCATCGACGGCGAGTCTCAGACGGTGATGGGGAGCAGCTCGAGCCGTACCTCCGACAGACGTGCGTTGCTGCCCAAGGAGCTGATACCTCCTGAGTAGCCGGCGAGGCTTTCTTTGGCACGGGATAATGTCGACTAGGTGTCTTTGCTTATCAGCATTTTGCTTTGGGGTTTGGTTTGGGAAGGACAAGTATATCATTGTCTGGCGCACTACATTCGGTTGTGTCTTGTTTTTTTTTCCTTTGTCTTTTCTCCCTTTTTACTCGTGGACATATCAGGGTTGGATTCCCTAGGAACCTGCGTACATGGCTGTATCAGTTCCGGTGTTGGGGTTACTTCGGGGACAGCGATTTCTGAAAAGTGTCCATATAGACGTTTGGGCGCCTCTCCGCCCTCGTACCGCAACGGTGCGGTCTCGATCTTCCTTTCGTCGTGCCAGTAAAAAAATAAAATGAAAAACCAGGCACGCATTACCAAGCGTAAAGGCTGGAGTTGTCTGTGTTTGATCAAGTCTGTGTCGTCCTCTTGTGTTTTATTATCGATTTTCACAGCCCCATGCTAAATTTCATGTTCTATCAAGTACCCTAGGATGCTAGATTTCCTCTGTTCTGGTAATCACAAATGCCTTTGGGACTGAGCATGATATATGTCTGCTCGTTTGGTTGATTTGGCACGAGTCCATGCCCTGTATAACTTCTTACCCCTTGCCTTTTACGTAGGTAGGTATTGCCAGATCATCTGATAAGTGGTTCTTTTAGCTGGCATTAGATAGGTAAGAAGATCTCTGTCGTATCCTATGGCGCCAACTTTGCATGATGATGGGCTGTGGATTTCACATATTCGTTTCTTTAAAACAAGGGGCAGTTGTATACCTAGGGTTAGGAGAATTCTGATGGAGTAGAGGGTTAAGCAAAAGGAAATTAAAAACGAAAAGAGTTAAGGGGGAAAGGGGTAAAAGGAAGCGAGACAACTCAATTTATGGTTTAAAGGCTAGGTATAGCACGATAGCTACTATTCTTCTTTGCAACAGTATCAATATTCGAATTGAATAAAAAATGCCGGTTAAGCATACTAGATCAAGAGAAAGAGGAGACTAGCATATATTGGACACGGACATCCATCACAACTAGATGAACCAAACGATGACGGAGCGAATGACGAAGAGATTAGCGTTGAGTATAGAGCGAAGGCATCTTGGGAAGAACGTGCAAATGAAGCGAATTAAACCACGTATACTACATACATTACAATTATCCACTGCCAGTTCTCCGCAAAAAGGCCTATGAGCATGCCATCTTCAAGAACACACAGAAAAAGAAGAAAGAAAAAGCGTGGAAACCCGATAAAATAGCGCGAAACGCAGTGAGTGGTAGAGTCATGGGCAAGCAAGGCGAACCACCCAAAATTCAACAACTGGCCAGGGCTCTTGAGAGCCAGCAGCTACCAACGCCGCCCGCATCAGGTCAAAAAAACTGGCGACATTTAATGCAAGATCAGCAAACCAAGCAAGCAAAGCAGAAATATTAGTCCAAGTCGAAATGTTCCACTGCTTGTCCCCAAAGTGGGAGTTCATCTTCCGAGGATGGCGCTCGAACGACAGCACTGATGATATGAATGTGCAGTCCCCCAACCTCGGAGACGTCTAAGATCTTGCCGCTGATGGAAAGAAGGCGCCTCTGGAGGTTAAGGGTAAGATATGGCTCCACATCATAAGGCTCGAGGCTCGAGAGCTCGCCGCGGACCACTTTGTCGACCAAGCATGTAGTCAGAGGGACCGTCCCTGATACCTCGAGCTGGCCCAATGGCATGCCATTGGTTTGGTCTGCCGCAAATACCCCCATTGTTCCGATGTGGCTTGGTGCCATTGCCCATTCTTGAGGGTCATCTGGCACGCTCCCAAGAAAGAAGTGGACGGAAAAGGGGCCCGCGGAAGATTGTTTCTTGACACGGATGTTGGCAATCCACTCGCGGTATTTGTCTCGAACAAATACAACCCCGTTATAGCCTTTCAGGGTATTGGCCTCTGGATTTTCTAAACGGCTCGTACGTCTTTTCTTGGATGTGACCTGTCCCTCGTCTAATTCGCCTTGCTTTGTTACATGTTGACGGCGCTCACGTTGTCTGCCCCTGGCCCTCATTTCTTTGATGAACAGATTAGCTGGGCTCGATGTTCCATAGAGTCGATTGATCGCTTTTCTGATCTGAGACCGAGTATTTCTGCTTGTGTTTGGCCCCGATGTCGAGCTCCCGGCCAGTTCTGCATACGTGTATCCAAACTGAGTATGGTCACGGACCGTATCCGATGTCCAGAAAGTGCCGTCAGTACTGGCGTAGAATGGGGTCAAAGCCGTCCTCGAGTCTTGAACTTGCCCTTTCGATGTCGTATACGACGGTAAAGCCGCCGCTGTTGGAACGACCCAGGTTCCGGGATACAAAGCCTGCCATATGGAGAAGATGCGGTCGACCATAGTGTGATGCAAGAAGAAGATGGGGTCAAAGGCGGAGTATGGGATATATGACATATGCCCGCCCTGGACATTGGGTTGCCCGAGCCCACCACCTCCCGCAAGATTATGCACTGTATCGTGCAGAGACTCGATAGAGTCGTAAGATGCGTTGCTTGTCAGCGGTATCCAGGCGTTGTTACTTATCAGGCTATAGTTGGCATAGTTTGAGAATAAGATGTAGAGGCGTTGGCTGAGTGAAGCCACGTTCTGGTCGAAATTAAGTGCCACCAATGAGTTATTGGACTGTGCCTCCGTGCTGTTATCGGTTGGACTCCTCAGAGTTACAGTCCAGTAGTCCCACTGCATATTTCATTATGTCAGTTGATATTATACGCCCGGAATGGAAATCACTCACTGGGTCCTGTATGAATGCAGTTGAGTTCAGCGGCTTGAATGAATAACTGAACAAGGGGTTTGCGATTCGCTGGATCCCGCTCGGGCCGTTGACGTCAACATATGGGCTTCCCCCGACGCTCTGAGGGAGCACGCTCTGTCCAGACGATGGGTTGGCCGCCCAGTCCCAGTACGGAATCCGGAACCTGAGGGAAGCTTGTTGGTACCTGTTCCTGGCCTCCCCTTCCGGCCACCACGTCGCAAGCGATTGTATTAGACTGTACATGACTTGCTACTCACGAAATCAGCTCAACCCAGAAAGAAACTTGCTGGCTCATAAAGGCAACCTAGGTACCCTAGGTAGCAAGAAAATGTGGTTATATCGTACCTCATAGAGAACGAGATAAGGCCGATGCCATGTCGGGAACAGGATAGACGAATGGGTGCAATAACCCGAAGCCTCGTTCCCGGGAGTAGGTCCCACACCGCCCCAGGTCTTGTGTGGTATTCCGTGAATTCCTGGGGGGTAGTCAGCAACGGGACATGTCTCCGGGTCAAGGGAAACACTGAAGGTGCTGGGGATGAGGGAGACTGTTCCCTGGGTGACGCCAACCTGTTATGCCGTACCACGAAGTGGGTGAGGACTGGTCGGTAAACTGCAGCAGGCTGAGGCCCAGGATATAGAGCGTCCACAAGTCTTGGTCCTGCTCCATTTCTCGCACCTCCTGTCTGAATCGAAGATCTCCCTCGCCGCCTCCCCTCACCACCAGAGGCTGGGTAACATCGCGTTTGACTCGGGCGCCGACATCGAATCCGTAGTTGTAGGCTGTGTACTGGCCCAGGACCAAGGGAACCAAAGGGAGCCAGGTGAGCAGAGCGAGTGAAATAAGCGCCATTCCCATTGGCTCTGGTCCAGGTGCTGGATAGTGTCCCGACGAGATGTGTGACGGAAGTAACGCGGACGACGATGGCCAAGGCGCTCCCAGAGAAACCTGACAGTGTGACGCGAGCTCGATGGGAGTGGAATCGCGAAGACTAGATGTAACAGGACCGTGAGAGGGGAGAAAGAAGGTAACAAGAAAAGATTGGGAAACGTCGGGCCAAGGAGAGTAGTCGAGCGTAGTTGGGGGAGGACCAGAATAGAGAGACTGAGGAACCCAAAAAGGATGGGAATACTAGAAGAACCCGTACCGTAGCGGGCTAGAGGAAGGACTTCCAAGAGGATGAGCTTAACGGGGAAATTAAGTTGGTAAAACGCCCAGGGCAAGACCTGAGAAGTCTGTAGACTAGGCGCCTACCTATCAGGCTCTTGGGGAAGGAACGAAGGTGGCACGTATGCCTGCCCACTGATGATAAGTAAGGTACCTACCAAGTACAGATCGCACCTTCCACGGCGAGAAGCCACATTCAAGTTGCTTGTAAACTGACACCCGTCTTCAGAAGACGCGTCTGTGACGTTTGCTGCTTCGTCCAGGATAGGCGCCTACATCACTAGAGGACAGAGTTGGGCGCCGTGCTGGATGAGATGAATGTTGCCGGCTCGACGGCCGGAGGACGGCAAACTGCATGATATACTAGGGGCCCACAGCAGTTTGCCGTCGGTACCGCACCGTAGTGTTTGTGTGTTGCGTTTCCTCTGGATCTGTGCATTGATCAATCATTCATTTCCCCCGTGCTCCGCCAGTTCGGGCCTCCTCGTGAACGCGAGTATGAGCCCGGGCCCAAGGTACTACTGATATCTATCTGGGACGTCAGGGCTTGGCTTGGTGCCGGTCTGAGACATTTCAAGGCGAGACTCACATAACAATGAACAGCTGAATGAGTTACATTGGTATTTATCCTACAGTACAAACCACTTTTTAGATCAGAACATTTACCAACCTCTATCACGCCGTGGCCACCCAATTTTAGAGCGGCTTGAACATTGTTGGCTTCAGGGGGCCTCTCCGGGTGATGTCCTTCTTGTCCACCTTGTACTTCATTTTCACACCCATCGCCGCAAGCTCTACGTCAAGGAACTTCAACGCTCCTGGCACAACTACCAAGGTGGTGTTCTCGCCCCCTATCCACTGGACACCTTGCCCATCTTCCCAAATCTCTCCATCCGTCTTCATGAGATCTAAGCCCTCAATATCGTCAAGACGTTTGGCGCAATTTCGGCACCGGACAGTGCTGACAGCCTTCTTCTTCCCGATAAACGGAGACACCGTCGGTTGTACTGACAGGAAAGACCCGCAAGTCCGGCAGATCCAGGACTTGGTGTAGTCGGAGCAGTTCAGCAATCGATCTTGGAGGAGGAACGCGGTTCCGTGTGCGATCAGAGCATCCCGCTCCATTTCTCCCACGCGAACACCGCCACCCTTCTTTCGGCCCTTGATAGGTTGACCAGTTGTCGGGACAACGGGCCCCGTAGTTCGAACCTGGTATTTATCGTTTACCATGTGTCGGAGTCTCTGGTAGTATACTACACCGATGTAAATGTCTACGGCGAACTCCTCGCCCGTGATGCCCGAGTACATGGGCTCGTTGCCGTGGTAGTTGTAGCCCGCCTCCTTCAGCTGCTGGCCGAAGTAGTCGGCAGCTGTGTGGTTCTCGTCAAATTTAAATGGCGTAGAGTCCTGAGCGAGGCCGTGCAAAGCACCGGCTTTTCCAGCTAGTGACTCGACGAACATGCCGATCGTCATTCGAGATGGGAAAGCGTGGGGATTGATGATGACATCCGGCTGCATACCAGACTCGGAGAATGGCATATCAATGGCAGGCCATTTCTGAGAGCACACTCCCTTCTGGCCGTGGCGAGATGAGAACTTATCGCCGATGACGGGAGCCCGCGGAATTCGCAGCTTGATAGAGACGGTCTGGAGGGGTTCATTGCCAGTCTCGCTGCCAATCACTCGGACCTCCTCAACAAACGCATCTTCCGCGTCCTTATATCTCTCGTAGTGGGTTACGCCATCCCGGTTGATTAGCTGCCCATTGTAGTCGGCCGATACTGTGTGCCACGCGCAAAGGACATCGCCCTCTGTCACCAGGCGTCCCACGTGTGGCAGTCCATCAGAGTCAAGCATTTCCAGCGTAGACGCCTTAATCGCACTATTAGGAGCAAATCCAAATAATTTGGCGACCGTCTTGGCGCTGCGCATCCTTGAATCATCCTTAAGGCTCATCTTTTTGGTCTTGTAGACGGTGCCATGGCCGAACCCACGCTCATGTGCCGACTTGTTGATAATCATGGCGTCGTCCATATCGTAGCCCGTATATGAAATAACGGCGACAACGGCGTTGGTGCCGTTGGGAAAGTTGTCGAAGCCATATGTGTTATGCAGCGGTGTTCGAACAATCGGAGTCTGGCCTGTCTGGATACGATACAGCTTATTGTCCGTCCGGTGCCGGAGCGCTGTCGCTGGTGTTCCCATGGTTTGCTTACCCATCTGACATTGATACATGTTACGGGGAGATTGGTTGAAGTCGGAAAAGGGCGTCATATTTGCCAATATGGATAGCATGTTGGTGGGATCGAACTCCACGTGGGTGGACTTGCTAGGGACGATCTCGTTTTCCACGCAGGCGATTGACATATACGGCTGCTCGTGTGGACCCACGAAGTCTTCCTTGCCCAGCGCCAGATACTTGACGGGTCGCACCATTCTCGCCGGTGTTGAGGACATGTAAATGCCAGGATAGGTTCCGCCCTTGGAAAGGGGCACAAACCCAATCTCCAGCTGCTGTGGTATCCCATGGCGGCCATCTGTCTTCCAATACCGAAGGGTGTCCGCCATCATTTGGGACCTCTGCGGGCTACACCAGCCGACAATCTTTCCATCGAGCATTACAACGACGCTTTCGCTGGTCGCCGCCGACGAAAAGTCGACCGCTCCAAGCTCGAAGGCGATCCGAGGAATCGCGGAGACGTCTACCGCATCAGTCATAATCTTGCATTTGTGCGCCAAATGACTCAATAGGCCACAAGGAGAACCATCAGGGGTGTGCACGGGGCAAAGAAAACCCCATGATTCGGGCAGAAGCTTCCGAACTGTTGTTGTCTTTAGCTGGGCAAAGAAACTTCCTCGGTGGATCATGCGGAAATGGCTGATGAAGCGCAAAAAGTTCAACTTCTCGGCCACAACAGTGAAGCCCGACGTTTGCTGCAGATCCAGACCAGAAGGGCTCTGTAGATTTCCCGTTGACATGAAATATTCAAGGGCGTTGCCGAGATTTTCGTTTGTTTTGCGGAAGATTGCAATAGGGAAGTCCTTGGTAAAAGTAGCTGATGTGAAGGAGACTATAGGGTTCCTCCTCAGGTAATCGCGCAAGGAGAGTCGGAGTGAAACGGTTAGGAGCTCTTCTAGTCTCTCTTTGAGAATCATACCGTAGAGAAAGCCGCCAAGCAGAATCTCTTGATTCTGCACAGCATCCGGGTTGTCCACGGTACAATCTCCGGCAACCAGAGCATACAGCTTGCGGCACATGAAGAGCAGCATCTTGAACTTGTCGGTATCCTGCTGGTCGGTGACATCGACACAGCCGAGGTGGACAAGAACGACCTTTCGCAGGAACTCTGTTCCGACTTCATAGTCGGACATGCTGTCTGGCACACCAAGCACAACCCGGAATTTTTCACCCAGGTAGGCCCGGGTTTGTACCTTGGAGTAGAGGCGGTAAGTCTTGTAGGTGCGAAGGAGGAGCTCTACCCGGTCGGTTAGGAAGGTATTTTCGGCCCCCTTGGACCCGGGGGATCCCACCAAGCCTTCAAAGATAGCGCGATCGTTTGTTTCCACAAGCGCCTTGAGGATCATCATGACTGGCACGAGATACTCGTTCTTCCTCCACGAGAACCTGAATGTCACGTTCCCGTCGTCGAGGTAGTGGAGTACATTTGTCTGTGACGTCTCATCTGGTCGTACCGATCGTACTATAATGCCGTATGGGGTGTATGCCGGACCTCGATTCGTGAAACTCGGGCGGATGATTGCCAACGGGAAGTTCCGGCGATTAACCAACAACATCCGAACGATCTTTTCGATACCATTGACAATAAAATACCCCCCTAGCTCATCCGACTCTTCTTTCCTCTCAACGAGAAGTGCGGGCGGATTGTTTTCGAGGTGGCATTTGTTGGACTGGAGATCAAAACCTTAGACATGTTCTAGACAGCACAGACGTGGGCACGCAAACCTTGATCATGATTGGCATCTGTCCAATCTCTCGCACAATCTCGTGAGGCTCACCCCCGTTGATCCGGTACTCGAGAACCGCAGTGAGTTTGCCACGGTACGACACATGGCGCTCTCTGCACTCGGCGGGGAAGATCTCCCGCCTTTTGGCAGACTTGTTGGAGGGCGGTACCTGGGCCCGCTGGAGGATGACACTCTTGTACCGGACCGTCAGCTTGTTCTTACCATCAGGCGCTGCCCGTTCGTCGCCATCCAGGAAAGTTTTCGTGCCGATCTCGGCAATGCCATGGTCGATGAGACCCGGCTTCCCATCGCTTCGGAAGAGAGCGTTGAACGACTCGATGTGGGGATTGACCGCCTCCTGCAAAGCTGGGTATGCCGATCGGTCGTTTGGCGGGTGGCGGAAGAGGTTCTCTCGGCGAACCACGTTGAATTCGTGATCCCACGACGTATTAGTACGCTCGATTGCCATTTTTTCAGGATCGCAGAATGCTAAGTTCGCGATCAGCTTTTTGCGGCGCCGGGGCGCAAATCGCGAGAGGGAGTCGCTCGGTCGAAATGGATTTTAATTTTGGCGGGCGCCCTCCTTCTCGTAGCGGGGGGGGGAGCTTCAATGACCATCCGCCGGTGGAGGTTTTAAGCTATGCGGTCGGTGAGGAAATTGGCTCCAAGAAACGATATTCTTTTTTTCATGCCTGGCTTGTCTTGGAGTCTCAAATCGCCTTGATACCTTGAAAATTTTTGCTGCTTGAGCTTCCCGTCGCCTTTTTTTTTTTCTTTGGCTGCTCTTATCACTTATCGGGGTCTTTTGACTGGGCAGCGGGTGGTAAGGCGGTTGCGTCAAGGAAGGTGGGGTTTAGAGTTTAGGCTTGCATTCACCAAGATGAACATGCTTCTTATTCTGCAGTCCAATCCCTGAATGTTTATTGGCGGGTGACTTTCCAAGTGTGATGGTGTTTGATCTGGGTTGAACAGCTTCGATCGATCAATACCATTGGCCGCATAAAGATCGTCACGCCCACTGGAGGTATGTGTACTAGCATCATGGCACATACTAATACATAGTACATGGATTGTGCTTGCCTTTGCTCATCACTTTAATGCTACTAGTAAAAAGGCGTCACTTTACAATTGTGCATTACAGTTGGTCACAGATACTAGTACTCGACGGTACAGTACCAAGGCTGATCCTCCACCATGTTGCACTGCAGGAGTATCCCGGCCCCAACGGTTTGGTTGGCTGTTCTCGTATGAGATGAAGTCAGCGGCCTAATGGCTAGAGGACGGAACTGTTTCTCGGGGTGGTGAGGTCGGGAGAAACAAGGCCGGCTGCGTCTCGTTGGCAACTCGACGGCCTCAGAACCGGGTGCACCCAGTGGATGCTGTGTTTCCACAAAGGCATGAGTCTCCTTTAGACGGGGCCCACTTTCAGGCGGGTTTGGATGCTAGGAACCTGGATGCCCGTCCTGCACCTCCATTTGACTAGGTGTATGTACCTAGGGCAATCGGCGCCCTTCTTTTCCTAACAGCCCCCCAAGGCAGGCAGGCCAGTTGCGGCGGCCGAGTGCTCGTTTTGGGTGTGCTCGTTGCTGTCCAGTAAAATCACTCGTCAAAAACGACAGCTAAACCCCCAAAGCGGCCACTGACAACGGCCGACCCAATGAGGTTGAGTAAAGCTACCCCGAAAAACGACACATGCAATGGACGGTCATAGTTGAAGCCCAACCTGCCGAGTCCCAGCTTTGGCAGCCTGTCGTCTGCGTGTCCTGCCTATTATGTACCTTAGGTATCTACATGGTACATTCCCTACCTTGGCATATGTGAGCTTGTTGCTCGGCCCGGCGAACTTCCTCACGATACAGACCGTATATATGTCTGTCTTTGTATGCACAGTATTCCGTACCTCTGGGAGGTTCCACAGGCAAGACAAGCCACCGCCGCATCATCTCCACTACCTTACCTAGGCTTTTAGTTCCGTTCAATGCCTAGGACGTACCTACCGTACCTACCCTTAAGGTACCTTAGTTACAAATAAGAAAAAGCCGGCTCGCCCCTCGTGCGCCTTTGATTTGATTATCGCCATATTCACTGAGGGCTCTTCGATGCTGTGTCGCTCCCAGATTACCCCCGCTGACCGTTTCCAGTCCACCCTTCTACCGCCATTGGCTTCTCTCGGCGTGGGGAACCCTTGGAAGGCTGATCGCCCAATCGTTTTCTGGGCTAGCGACCAAGCTTGCGACCCCGCTGCTGGTGCCTCTACAACCTACGAACAGCTCTTGGTTTCCGAGCAGCTCTGGCCCGGCGGGATCAACGTCAACGAAGCGTTTGTGGTCGGTTGACGAGATAAATAGGTAAGTTCCATACATCCAGTCAACCAAGCAGCGCAGGCAGTGCGGGCTGTGTGAGTGACGGCCCGGGATTGAGAAGCAGCGAGCAGCGCCGCGCGCGCGACGAGGACAGCTGGGAAGCTCTTCATATCGATCCAGACTTTGCTTGCCCCCTACCTACCTACTACCCATCTAGGCAAATCGGCCTACCTGGCAGGCCGGCGGCCGGGCGGGCTGAAACATCCCATCGTGGGAAACAACGGGCACCTTGGACACGATCACCGCTGCAAAAGACGTCGAGACCGTCTTGAGCAGTGGCACAAAAGCGGCGGTCCCTGCAGCATCGCAGCATCCCACCAGCGGCAACTTCGCGCATTACACCTAACCTGCCTGCCTTACCTACTACCTACCTGCCTTGCCTTACCTACCTACCATAGGCATCTAAGCTGCTTTCATCTGCGCTCCCCAAAGCCACCATCTGCGCTCCGGGTCTGCCATCTTCCATCTGCTACCCACCTTAGGGTATTGGATGCACAGTACCTACCAACCCAAGGTAAGGACGGTATCTGCCATCCGCCCTCCCACCACCGCACCCGCCTTGCCTTGCCTTTATGCGCTACGCAATACGACGTCGCCCGACAGTGACGACTGCGGTCTGTTCCCTGCCTTTCCCCTGCCTTTCCGTCGTCTATCTCCTCTCCCGCGCAACTGCATCCGCAGCCGTTGCCGCCGCTTTTCCTCAACCCCAGCTGGAAAGCTCCAGGGCTCCAGGCTGCCGCTGCCGCTGCCGCTGCCGCTGCCCCCAGGGCTCCGCACTGACTTTTTTGCCAACCCACCAGTCGAGAGACGTCGAGCCTTTGCCCCGGCCCTTGCTCGCCCGCTGGACTTGAACCGTCGATTCCGCTCCACGATCACATCACAGATGATCGTCTTGTCTTGTCGACATCCAACAGCCCGCCGTCCTCTGCTCGCCGTCCAGTTGCTCCACCCCCCCGGGCTCGCAAACGAATGAGAACCCTGGTCCTAACCGCTGTCTTGTGTTCAAAATCGTCGCTTTCACAAAGGCACGGGCCACACACACTGACTTATTACTTGCACAGCAGCTAGATTGTGTTCCCTTTTGGTGGCATCTTGCTCTTGGTGGGCCTGGTCGCTCACCCACGCTGCCCCGCGTCTGCTCTCACCGATCACCAAAAGATTTGACTCTGATTTTTCTGTCTACTCGCTCGCGAAATTGCAGACAGCCTTCGGCTTTGCGTCATACGAGACATTTTATTCCTAATTTTGTGCCGGGACCCAAGAGCCTGAGCGCAAAATATTTAAACTCTTCGACCAAGACCACCTCGATCTCCCCTTCACTGCTTGACTGCGTGTCCGTTTCTCCATCCTGCCTATTTGTGTTCCTTTTCGCCAAACCTCCCTCACAAGGGCTTTGTTGCGCGACTTTCCCTTCCGCCAGTCGCGCTGACGAGCGCTCTCCCACCGCGCTCTCCCTCACCTCTGCCTCCCACCACCCCCGCCGTCCAACGGCCCACTTCGCAAAAATGGCAGGGCTGTTCAGGAAAGTGTACGACTGGCTGCTGAGGACTTTCTGGTGAGTAGACAGCCGTAAGTCCCGATGTTCATCGGACTGCGAGCGAGCGGGGCGACCCGGCTTGCATCCCCATTGAACGGCGCCTAGGCCGGAAGCTAATGTGCCCATGCAGGGCCACGGAAATGGACGTGACGATGATCGGGCTTCAAAACGCGGGCAAAACGTCCCTTCTTCGGGTGCTCTCGGTGAGTCAAGAGAGAGGAGTACCGAAAAAAAAAGGTGTGGTGTGCCCTGGGGGAACATTTCGCTGACCAAGTCACTCGTTCGCTAGGGCGCAGAGTTCACGATCGAGTAAGCTCCGACCCCCATCCTTCCCACCCCTTTTTTTGGCCCCTTCATTCATGCCGCTGTGCTGAGCGTGGGCAATTTGGACACCTTCCCCATTCTCTTTCCCGGCTGACCCTTTTTTCTCCTCTTCCTGTCGCAGCTCTATACCGACAGTGGGCTTTAACATGAAGCGAGTGCAACGAGGGCATGTGACACTCAAGTGCTGGGACTTGGGTGGCCAACCCCGCTTCCGCCCAATGTGGGAGAGATATTGCCGTGGTGTCAACGCCATCGTCTTTATCGTCGACATTGCCGATATGGATCTCCTTCCCATGGCCCGGGAAGAGCTCCATGCACTGATGTGCAACCCAACGCTTGAAGGCATCCCTCTTCTGGTGCTCGGAAATAAGTCGGACCTTCCCGATAAGCTCAGTGTTGACGAGTTGATTGATGCGATGGATCTGAAGAACATTGCACACCGGGAGGTGTCATGCTATGGTATATCGGCGAAGGAGGAGACAAACCTGGATGCCGTTATCCAATGGCTGATGAAATTCGCTCACAAGTGAAGGGCCCGTTGCCAAGAAGTTTGCTGCCCCCATGGTTTTGCGTATACCCCAACTAGAGAGCGGGTCTCGGTTGGCTCTCTCCCCGTCCCACGACGATTGCCCGGATTGACTTGAAGACATTGCGATCTGGGTGGATTGGTCTGCCCCCTTCATATTTCCGTGTTCCTCCTGTGTTGCTATTATTGCTGTTATCGGTGGTGTTGGGGGTGATGGCGGCTGCCATAATCCGATGGGGAAAAAAGACATTCGACTCTCGGCCGGCGACGACCATATTTAATTTTTCCAGCGCAGAGGATAAGGGCTGGGGATTCTGCGACGCTGTCAGATTTCTGGAACTCACGTTTTTCTTTTGTTTAAGCCCAATCTGAGGCTTCTCAGCATATCACGATATCCGTTTTTTTTTGCCGCAGCGACCTTGCGCAAAGTATTTGGGACAAATACTTGGCCTCCTGTGGATGGGTAAAGGGGCCTTATTGTTAGGTCGGATTTCATTTGCGAGATCATAACGGCACTGGCCAACCGCCCACTGCACTACACCTTCGGAAGGCATGTCCTTGAGAAATGGGGCTTGGAAATAGCGTTTTGATGGGAGGAGCATTGAAGTTTTTTTTTTTTTTTTTTTTTTTTGAATAACTTGTATGTTGACGAAATTGCGACAGAAAGAGAGCGAGACATCAGCTTAATCTCGTCATAGCATAGTGCAGCTGACGAAGCCTTGTGAAAATGAAGAGACAGCGGGTCTAGCCCGACCGTGGCCGCGTTAGATCGTGACAGAAGCAGAAATGGGAGAGAGAAATGGTCTGCTAAAAGAACAAACGGCGGGCCATCGACCCGGGGCGGGGGATGGTGTAGCAGCGACCTCCGCCCGTTAGTGAAGCTCCTTAGGCTCGGGCATGATGACACTACCAAAGGCTGACGAGACCATTCGTAGTAGTCAAAGAAAGCGTCATGTGGGATTCGGCTTGGTTATTTTTTGAAGCGTAACCGCCAAACGTGAGGAGGATGAAAACATGCCGATTTCGATTCTCGACTTCAGGGGAAGAAAAATGTAAGTGGGCAGATTGATGGCGCAAAAGAAAATGGCAGGTGAGATCCTGCATCTCTACTTTTTCGAAAAAAGAGAGAGAGAGGAGAGAGAGGACGCCATGTTTTCGAGAAAAGGGCGAAACAATCGATACTTCAACTACACACAGACCATTTTTTTTCATCATTGACGTGTGAGGGCCTGATTGGCTAGGCGGGTTTCGAAAAAAAAAAGATTCCCTCATCAAAAAAAATTGGAATTCAAGAAACAGAAAAATCTAGCCAGCAGAAGCACAGCAAACGGGCGGAACACAATGCTACAGTTGCCGCCGCCGCTACCGCCGCGTCTCTTGTTCCCTCTCCCTCTTTGTCGCGTTTTCTAGGATAAACTTGGAACACCACTCGGCGGCCTGCCTTCCAATCAATGGCGGGCTTGTTGGTGTTGAGATTGAGCCTACTGTTTCGGGCGTGTCGAGATTTTTCGGTCACTGACGTGTTCGCGCATGCGTTAGTCCCGCTCTCGAAGTCTCCAAAGAGGGGGTGAGGGTGGGCGGACGCGCGCAGACGCGGGTAAGTTTAGCGGGAAAGCGGGAGGTCCCTCGAATGTTTGGACAGGGATTGGCGAGTACAGCCAGTAGCAGCCTCAGGTGGTAACCTGAGTGAGTTACTTGACGCGAGATGCAACTGATGCAGGCAGGATGCCACAAGATTCCGGGTCTGGCAATGCGTACAATATAGCTCGTGCTCGTTTAGTTCACTGCCTCCCATAAGCCCATTGCATTCGATTCTCTTATTCCGTACTGTATTCGTATACTCATCTCCGTCCGCATATCAGACGTGCTGCCAAGGGGGCTCATACGCGTACATGCTCATGAAGCTGCCACAACTTTTCGTGCAACAAACCGTGTTAGTGAGTTGGTTGTGACGGACAGCCACGCCGGGCTGGCCACTCCATGAGCATTGTTTGACAGAAATTCTTAAGAATGAGAACATTAGAAAGGACCGTGAGTCTTGGTATACTTCGCAGGTAGTACCGTGGACACGGGGCGAGCGACTGTAAGTAAATAGAGTAAAATCAAGGATCTCCTTCAGCTAGACGCTAACAACACATTCTATTCACAATCACCGGAGTAAATTCCAAAGTTGGTCAGTGAAGCTCTGGCGTTCAGAGCTATGTTTCTTTCTCTTATGCCCTTAAACTTGGGTTGTAAGACATGCATTCAGGCCATGGGCTTGAAGTCTGGCTGTTACGTCGTTGGTGTCTTTGCTATTCCAGCAACCCTATCCCCGTTCTGTTGATTGGTAAGTGAGAATGCCAGCGACAATCATACAAAGGTCAAGGTTGGCTCTTGGGAGCCGACTATTGAACCCCCGATTAAGCGACTTCCTTGTTCCTGCTCGAACGCAACCGCGAAAGTGTTGGTGAGCTCCGGCTTCGGTCTTGGATATAGTCTTTAGATGCTTTTAATATCACCACGCCTGCAGAATTAGTATAAGACGTGGACGACGATGTGACACATTCGCTATCACACTAAGCGTGATCAGTCCCAGAGCAGCGGCCTAGTTGGAGAGAAGTTCACAGCCTGTTTCAGTCGTAGCAGGGCACGGGAATAAATATTGGCATGCCAACACCGCCTATTAGTTAGCACCCAAGTATCCGGGCCACTGCATCTCTTCCATATAGGCTTACTTCAATACCGTAGAAAGCAGGAAGCCATGGGCGCGCGAAAATACGCAAGTCATGTTTCGGTAGAAGAAGCCAATGAACCTTTCTAGGACTGACATCGGTGTCACATTGCGGGTGTCTCAAAAAACAGAGGCGAACTGGACTAAGAGGATATTAGGCGCCAGGGCTGAGTAAGTCGCACGAATGAATTGTAAACTCATTACAGCCGTCGGGAAATCCGATCCTCCCTCGTCGCGAGACTTTTGTCGCTTCACAGATGATGCGCCATAACCACAAATCCGCGGGGAGTTTCGTTTGGGACCAAATAAACTCGAGTCTTATTCCTATCTCGACCAGAGAGCCAACTAGCACCTGAACGGGGCATCGTCGGGGGCTGGTATCGATTTGTCTTAGACCAATGCAATGCCGAACGCCATCCGTGTCCACGCAAGCCCTCCACTCCCAAGCGTGTCCATAAACCGATCAACGATAAGACTTCTGGAATCTGGAACGGGCACCCTTTCCGCCAAACTTCTTGGGCTCGCAGCGCCGGGGATCGGCAACTAGCAAGCTGCGGTCGAACTGAATAAGGGCGGTCTTAAGGAGGTTCTTGGAGTGCTCATCGACGTATTTGGCGTAGTAGGCAATCTAAACAGTAACTCGAGTGTCAGTGTCTCAATTTCTGGGAAAGCGCAACGGGTGCAGTTCGGCCACTAACGATCGCCTTGGATATCTGTTTTGAATATTACAAGTTAGCGTTTGCTCTATGCGAACCTGGGGGCTGTAGATTTTTTGTGCGCGCGTTTGGGAAACATACCGCTTGGCGCACCGCATAGATCTGCGAGACGTGGCCACCACCGGTCACTCTAACGCGAATATCGACATTCGTGAACTTGTCGACTCCGAGGAGGAGGACGGGCTCGTAGAGCTTCGCCCGGAGGATCTCAGTGCCGAAAAGCTTGAGAGGGACACCGTTGACCTTGATCAGGCCATGGCCCTGCACAGCGCGGGCGACCGCTGGAAAAACGTTAGATTCCTTTCCTGCTTCTTTTGAGGACAACGATAGTATTTACCCGTGGCATTCTTCTTCTTGCCAAAAACTTGCACTGCTTGGGTCGCCATTTTGACTTGATGGCAAGAGACCTTCCTGATTGTTAGTTCCAGCTGGAATTTTTGAGCTTCAAAATTTGTGTGTGGAGGGGAAACTTGACGGGGCTAGCGCCGTCACGTGGAACTTGGTCGCTGGGCACGGATCATAAAGCCACACTTAAAGCTATTCTGGCCTGAGGCGCCATGCTTCAGAGTTGTGGGTCGGCATTCCCCAATCTCAGAATGAAATGAATTTGCGTATTGCGTAGTAAGCAGCTTTGATCCAGTCACCCTCCACTCACTGCGCGATACCCCACCTGCCTGTCGTTGCCTGTTTCCCAAGTCGTCACTGGCGTGGAGCCACTCTACAACTTCACGTTATACTTAAATCCGTATGCCATACATGCCAAATGAAAAACACCAGACGGGCATGCGTTTAGCAACAACACACAAATATGACCTGTTTGGAATAACGATGACTCAGTACAACAGGTTAGCAGGTTCCAGGTTGTAAGAGACCAAGCTCTCATGAGAAACGGACTACGCTTCACAAGCTGTCGTTGGCCCGTTGCCAAGCTGCTTCTTGGCTGGTATATGTGTAGGGAGTGCGTATAAGGGTGCCAATCCACGAAGTATGTGCGTATTGTTGGTCTCGAAACTGCGCCCTGGTATGAAAAGAGCGTATCGGTGTGGGGAGTGCGTCTCTTTCACAGGAAACAATGCAGATGTGGCTGAGTGAAGAAGCAAAGTGCGTCCGAATTCCAGATTCCAAATATCAATTCCAGATTGGAATCCCCATTGCCTTCTCAGCCGCCACAGTAGAGCCACTACCAGGTAACCTTTTTGAGAGAAAAATGCGTGACCATCTGCTTATTTGAGGCTGAGGCAGGCTCGGCATGTGGTTCTGTGTAGACGATGGAACATCTAAATGCTCTGCCAAATCTTGGGAGCCCTTGGCGGGCGCCCTCTTAACCTAATTGAGGACCGGGGCCGTAGCAGCGGCTTAAAGATGACTGCTAAGCCACGATGGACCACGTTATCGACTATCAGGTGCCTATTACGGTATACGGACAGTGCCAATGCCCGCTATAGTCAAATTTCCCACAGTGCCAGTGCCACCCAATTCGCCCACGGAATCATCACTTCCCGCCCGAGCCTGCCTGGGTGCCGCGTCTCCGTGTTAACTAAGAAACCTATGCCCCCACCAGTGCTGAAACCTTAAGAAGGACGTCACCCAGACTGCTTGCTTTGTCGCCGGGTCTTCTCATCATCATCATCAGCCATTTCCGCCATCCTCCTAACCACTATTTTTCGACCTCGCTCATCAATACGCATTTCGTCAAATCGCATACCTCATTGTCTCCCGTCACAGATGGCGCCCACTGAACAGCTGGCCAGTTTGGCCGCCCGATACTACACCAAGTGAGTTAGTTTAGCCAACGATTGCGCAGACGTAGATTCTGACTCTTATCTCTCTTTAGTTGCGGATACGGCTACTCTTCCGATAGCGATGGTAGATGCTACCGTGATTCGGCGTGGTTTTGGTGGGGTAGATGGGTCTTCGCGGGCATCGCGATAGTCCTGGTCTTTGCTGTTCTTCTGCTCGTTGGGTACGTCTCACTATAGTACCATCTCCAGCTTCTTTTGGGCATATTGTGCTAACTCCGCACAGCCGTAGAAACTCGCGCCGACGCCGCCAGCAAGGCCTGCAGCCTTTGCCTGGAACTGCATGGATGGCTGGCCCAGCTCCTCCCTATTATCCTCCGCCGCCACAATACACGGCCCAGCCGCCCGCCGGTGCACAAACACCCGTGGGCTCCCAGGGAACTGGCCACAAGTTCAACCAGAACGATGGATACTACGCAAACCAGGAGGGTGTGCAGTTACAGGAACCATCGAACACTTACCAGCGAGGCGGCGACTACGTCTATGCGCCTCCCGAGGGACCGCCACCCGTTGCCGGCAATGGTTCCTATTCGCCGCCCGCCGGCCCACCGCCGGGGAAAAATAACTAGGTGTGGAAAGGGGGTTGAGATGACGAGGCGTTCTTTCAAGTCAAGTTGCGGTTGGTAGGGCGTTCATGGGTCTCACAAATTTGGATCTGCTTAATGGGGTTGGATGCGGTCTTTGCTAGGGTCTGTGAATAGAGGCGGATATCTCTCTCTTTGTAATGGCCGCCGGCCATGGTTTATTGTTGAGGACATAAAATTGCGTACCTAATTCCGTTCCCAGATCACACGGGGGTATTCTACGGTAGGCTGTTGAGTTTGCATGTGCAGAGCGAGAGCCTAAGGGCATAAGTGTCCACCTCTGAAGGTACTCGAAAATAGTTCAAATTATGGCTCGATTGACGTCGCCTCAAAGTTTTGCCAGACCCGCATATGTGCAGTACTGTAGGCATCATCCATACCCAATATATATGCCGAAACGGGCCCTGCATCAGTATGGAATCGCGATGGAAGCTACCAGTCATCCAAGTCATCTGGCCCCGATAAGTCTTTACCATCTTGCCACCATCGATCTCACCGGTTTTGGGGGTATGACACTCAGGTACGCACTTGATCACGGCATTTCGTGTTTCATCTATACCAGGTTGATAAGGTACGTGGAACATGGAAGTCTAGGTTACTAACACAGTTACACTTGCCGCGGAGCAGGCAAGTGACCAATCACTTAGCTCGTGCTTTCCTTTGTGCCACATGCTGCAAAACTGCTGTCGATTCCTCGTATCAAGGAAGTTAGGATTCGGAATCTTACGAGAGCACGGCGGCGGAGAGAAAATATGCCGCATATTCGAAACGAACGGAGTAACTAGGTAACAAAATGAAGACACATTGTGATTCTGCATTGGATGTGTCAGCAAACACTTGCGACTTCAGCCACTCTGGCACTTCGGCGACGACACCCAAAAAAACTCAAAACAGCAAGCAAAGCTCTGAAACTAAACTCCGGACAATCCGCTTCAAGACACAGGTCATCTTCCATGCTGCCACGGCGTTCCTTTCCCAACAAGTCAAATATAGCTACAGACTCGAGCAAATACGAACCGGGCTCTGGAGTCTGGACCCTATCATGTTTCGCATGCATTATCACACCCAATGGCTCTGGAGTCGTCATAACCAATCCCAACACACCACGCCCCAAACTTTTTGCAAGAAAACGTGTCTACCCATAATTAACCGAACCGCTGATACCCAACTCAGCATGATACAACAAAAAAAAGGTACCCGGCCAGATTTTATGAACCGAAAACGCCACCTGCCATCATTTCTCATCACGTCGTCATCCTCCTTGACTTAAGACTTATGTGTTTGTTACTTTCGTGCTGAAACTTTCTCGCTCCCCAGGCCTTTTTTCTCCCTCTTGATGAGGAGGTCGGCGAGAAGCTCCTCTGTAGGCGAGACCTGCGTGTCTGTTCCAACAAGAGTTAGCCATCCTGTTTCCGCGAACAATAATGACCTCGGTTGACCAGCCACTCACAAAAGTCAGAGCGAGTTCTCCAGGCTTCCGTGAAGATTGCATGCAGGTCTCTGTCGTTTCCAAATACCTCTTGGCCTGCGTCTCTGATAGCCTTGAGCGTTTTGGCCGAACGAAAAATCTCTGAATATATGACGACGACACTGTCAAAGAGCTGGTTCGTTGTGTCTCGGAAGATTTCTCTCTTATGGGCCGTGGAGTTGTGAGTTGTTTCTTGGCAAGTCAGCAGCTGTCTACCCCAACCAGAGACGGAGAAGTGAACTGACCGTCAGACCCTAGTGTTTGTTGCCGAGGCGACATTGAGCCCAGCGACTCCCGGTAGATCAAGATGATCTGCCATAGTGACACCCACATGGCAACCTGGAGTACGGAACTGAGAGAAGTGTCCTCCTTTCCAGATTCGGTCGAAGACAAGTACCCGTCGATATCACCGAGGATGTGGCGCTCGAGCGACGACATGGCTTGTTCAGCGTGCCGGCGAAGATGATTCTGGATAGATTGGAAGCCCATGCTGGTTGGTTTTCCGTTCCCGTTGTCGAGGACTTGTCGAATAACGAAGGGCCCCGAGCTCCAGATCTTCCACATCTGCATCATGTGCAGCAGGTTAAGCATCAGCCTCTTCAAGATCTTGTGTTTCTTATGCTCCAGGAAGTTCCCGGCAGCCTTGTCTAGGGTATTATTGCGCTCATAGCCCTGGAGAAGCCCCTCGACGCAAGCCTGGAAGTCTTTCTCGGACTCTGTGAGTACTTGGCTCGCTGCCCAGGCGTACATCTTTTCTTCAGAAAGCCCTTCGATCGGCAATATCACTACAGAAACTGGGTCGCCGCCACCATAATGCGTTTTGAAAGCTCTGGCGTCGACTTCCAGCTCGCACTTCCCGGGCTTGCTGGGGAAGGAGACGAGGAGCTTGATTGGGACTCGGCTTTCGATAAACTGCTCCAGCGACGGCCTGAAGCATTGGCTTTCCCAATTCCAGCGATCTTGACAAATACGAGTCAGGTAATGCATGGCCAATATTCATTGATGGGGAAACAAACTTTGCGCTGTCCCAAGGGTCTGGCTTAACGTCTTTCGGATGCATATCTTGTGAGCCAATGGGCCGCCAAGCTTCTCACACATATTAATGCACTTGACGCAAACAGCGTCATCGTCGCACTAGAGAAAAGTCAGCATCTTCATGACTAGGACGGCGACGGAACGGGGTTTTACTGACAGCCACCCGACCAATTCTGCAATGGAAGCATGCCCCTTTATCCCGCACCTTCTTCGTCTGCTCGGGCTTCTTTACGGTACGGCCCCGGGTACTAGGAGGCGGAGATGGCGAGTCTTGGATGTGGCTGATGGGAGACGGCGCAAACTGCCCGGTGTTTGGTGTGGGTGGTGGTGATGGGCCTTGGGTCTCGCCAGATGGCATGATGAAAATATGGATCTCCTGTTCGCGCGGCAGCTGGGCGTCGGAGACCTTTGGCCAAACAATGGGGAGTTCTGGTGCCTGAGGCGCGACATCAGTCATCACGCAGTCATCATCGTTGTCATTGTCACGTAACGCGGTGACGGAGGATCCGGTGGTTAAAGCCGGGGGGCTGGCCTGGGAATCTCCATCCATGAGTGAGGACTGTGTGACTACGTCTTCCATGTCCCTCTCATACCGAGGCCAGTCAAAGAATTCGTCGGCACAGTCCTCGGGGCCCGCAGAGAGGTTGGGAGTTCCCTTACCATTGCCGGTGGCGCTGAAGGATGGAGGGAGGGGCCCGAAATCTGCACTGCCGTTGGAAAGGGTAATGCGGCCAGTTCCTTTTTCCATGGTTGGTTCGCACTTCTCTCGAAAGCCTCGGATGGGGCGCCCGGCGGATATCTGGTATAATACGGGATGAGACAGGACAGCAACAGCAGCAGCAGCAGGGAGTCCACTTCGAACAAGACAGGCAGGCACAACAAGGCGACCAGGAAGGCAGGCGACAGGAGCAGCAAGTCGGAAGCACTATGGTGCAGAAGGCGTTACGGGGGGGAGAAGTGAAGATCGGGGCGGCTAGATGTGGGTTTCATGGCCATTTTTCTGTGCCTTGCCGGTACCCATGGTGAGCCTCACTCCCTTCCTCTTACACCCTCAATGAGGTATCATGGAGGCTTGGCCGTTGGCCTGTGTAACCTTGCCATTTTCGGTCAGACCAGCCCGCTTGATTGGTCAATGGGATTTCGGTGAGACAGGGGGGGTCCAATTGACAACTGGGCCGAGGGTGGAGACGCCAACCGCAGCAAGACCTCATTTTTGATCCGGGGCGCCACCAACTTCCCGTGAATCAAAAAAATTGCGCAAAGTTCAAGACGGCAGTAGAACGCTGTCGGTATCCTCTTGACACCTTTTACTCGACCAGGAATCGTTTTGATCGCCCGAATTTCGTCAATCGCCTGCGACGACGAGCTAGACGAAATGTCAATTGTGGAGACTGCATTCTCCCCCTGACTGATTGGCTTAAAGTCTGAGACCCCAAGTGCAATGGAAGTGTGTGCAGATCACATACAAAAGCGGCAGAAATACAGATGTAGGGAAAAGAGGGCCGGCATCCAGCAACGGCGGTACACAGACAGCCCCTTTTTGCGCTGTCTTGGACAAATAAGGCGCCAACCTGTCTTGTTCGCGAGCTTCTCAACCCAACCTAGAAGATTAGTTGCAGCAACCAACCCACGACATGCATTCGGTCCAACTAAGGGAAAGCCGACGAGCAGACCGGTCTCCGGCCACCTTCCGGGGCAATGGAGACGAGTAAGCCGAGCTCACCGGGTAGGAAAAATACGTTGTCCACCTCAATCACTGTACAATATAGCCTCTCTTCTTCATCCTACTACATTTGGGCAGAAGGCAAGTGAAGTGGGACTATCCACCTTACATCCTAGCCAGGTAAGTAAGGTACGTATTCACTTCCGGATGCGTCAGGAATGCGTGTCCTGGTTATTGCATACATATATGCATGTATGCATGCAACCCGACACCCGACCCGACAGGCCTCGCTGAGGACGGCCACGCCTGGAGGTTCTGGCCTTGGGGACTGCCTTGGCTCTGTTGTCAGGCCATTTCCTCGCTGTCTGTTTCGGCGGCGCCCTTGAGCAACCAACAACGCTACGACCGTCAAGGTGCGCAGATGCGCGCGCGCAAAGTTGCGGATTACGCCAACATAGTCCCTGCGGTACCTTTTATCGAGGCAAGAATGTCGAACATTGGGCTTCGCACGCCAAAACACCCTTGTTTGGTATCTCCTCGCTGTTAGCTAGGTAAGGCACTTTGGCTCTACATCCACAGCATAGAGCTGGGTGGCTAGGGCAAAAGTGTGCGCGCCGTCTGTGCTCGTGCGCGCGCGCAATATCACATCGGACCGTCCGTCCCCCAACGCGCAACATGCCCGCCCCTTCCGACCTTCACCCCATTCCGCTAGACGGATACACGTATGTAAGAATGTATGCCTGACTGATAGATATCTTGCCATGTAGCAGTTCTTTAGTGTCCGCAACACAGCAAACCAAGGTACGTAATCTTTGGGCGGTGTGGCAATGCTATGCCTGTAGCTTGTTTTTGTCGAGGCCTAGCTGGGTACGGAGGATAAGAAGTAAGGTAACTTACCTGGAGGTCTTTGAGTATATGCATGGCCAACGCGTCAAACTGGATTTTTCACAGAAACAATAAAGGAAAAAAATAAAATCAAATTACCCATGTATCTAAGGACCGGAATCTGCTCCTGGTTTCCATTGTGAGGATGCAGTCTCTGTGGCACACATTACAATTAATTGACAACGAGAATTGCGACGTAGATACTGAATACAGAATGGAAAGTTTGCCCAATTTCCATATCCCTCTTCTGCCCTCTAATGCGCTCAGCGATTTAGGTACTTACAAGAGTGATTTGATGTTTCGTCTGGTTTATCACATCACGTCACATCACATACATGATATGAGTGCAGGGAGGTGTATTCATAGGGGTCTCTTCACCAGCCCCGCACTAAATATTTCGTAATGTTTGGTGAATACCTAGGCAGTGAACCCCATAGAGCATTTGTAAATTCCCTTCCTGTTTGCTGTTACATGTGTGGACATCGCAGTTTTCCATTTCTCATCATCCAACCAACCGACGGATATGAAATTCAATGGCCACATCTCTCTGGGTACCCAACACAACAGACACATTTTCATATTCCGTAGTTTGCGTTATAATCCCTGTAGCACTTATACAGGTGGGGGTTTCCCCCCTATTTTCCCGGATCTTGCCCCTCCCTTCCAAAGTGGAGCTCCACCTAGTTTTCCCCAGCCAGCGTGACGAAAATACAAACGTGAAAATACAAATAACAAGTAAACCTATCCCTAATATCATGCAATGGCCGCCAGCTCGCCCGCTATGCATGCAGACGCACACAAATTCGCGACCCGGGAACAGATAATTCTAGAAAAAAGACTGAAGATTAACGCGCGCGAACAAACCAAGCCACCGACACAGCTCGCCAATGACACCTAAATACAAGACACGTATATAGTCCTATATCCGAGTGCTAAGTGGCATACAGAGTCTTGGGCAGATACATGGCTGACATGTCCATGCCTTGGCCGACGGCCGCATGCCAAAAAAATAGCCCGGTTCAATCGAACAAAGGGTATTCTCTATCTTCAGACAGAAGAGGAAATGGAAAATATCATCTCATGCAACATCAATGTCTGCCGGGCAAGGCAGGCAGGGCCGCTAAAAGAACGACTTCTTCTTCTTGTCTTTGCCACTATCCATGCCCCTGAGAATATCCTCGAAGGTGCTGCCGCCGACGGAGCCGGTGCTGGTATGTGTCAAGCCTTGGTGGCTGTCCCTGTGCGGCCCAGCTTGTTCGTTGAACGTCGCCGGTCGGATACTGAGGTCCAGTGCCGAGTTGCTACCCTGCTGGCCCTGTTGATACAAGGGCCCGGCTGAGTCTCCTCGGCCGTGGGTGCCATCATCAAAGGAAGACCCATCCGAGAACGGGCCGGGCAGGGGTTCAAGCCCAATAGCAATACTCGAGCGATAGGCATGGCCAGCACGAATACCCGACGGCGAAGCATTGCGGGAGGCGCGGAGGCGAGGCGAGCCCGCGGCCGAGCCCGGTGCACTTGGGGGCCCGCCCGCAACCGGGTTCGATACTGGGTCCATGTCCTGGAATACGGGCCGTGGGGGTTCAAGAGGTGACGCGCCACTAGCCTGTGGCGGCGGCATTACCCCCCCACCAGAGTCACCCCAAGCCTTAGCAGCCAGCCAACAATGACTCCGCATATAGACACCTTCGGCGCTGAACAAAATGACGTCTGTCGAGAGCTCGACAATGCCCTGGTCCGTCTTGTACCACATCTTGCGAACCTCGCCCGCGTCTTCCACCCAGGGCGGGTTGCCCTGGGGTGCCTCACACAAGAAGTACTCAACACCCTCGGTCCAGTTAAGGCCGGGTGCGTCAACGACAAGCATGGGCAGCGACTGGATGACGACGTAAAGGAACAACCAGTAGCCAATGCGTTGGTCTGCGAGGTCATGAGCATGAGCGCTCTTTGCCTCTTTGAGCTCAAACTCTTTGAACGCGTTGAGGAAAGGTATGCGCAGGGAGTCGGTGTCAATATTGCGGGATTTGATAAGAAGCAGCAGGAGCTCGTTATACTTGAGAGACTTGTCGAACTTGGCCTGTGTCTTGCCAGAGAGGTCATTGTAGTTCTCGTGGATGGTTTTCATGGACGGAATTTTGGGCACATCGAACGGAATCGGAGGTAGGACTGGGGGTGAAGAATGGTCGAACTCGCTCAATATCTTACGCAGCGCAGAGATATTTGGGTCGACGGCATTTGCCTGTGTGTCCTCGAACACCTTGTCGATGGCGCGCGGTGTTACCGACTCCCTGTCGACTAGCAGGTCGTATAGAGCGGCCAGATCCGAGTACAACATCTTGAGGCACTGCCGGTTGAGCCCAGGCTGGGAGAAATGGTTCTTCTTGCTCCTCGCCTTTGGAGGCCAGTTGCCAAACAAGTCCTTGTAGTAGCCGAGGACGAAGCTTCTCATTTTGACAAACGAGTTTCGCCACTCCTTGAACTTGACGTTCTTGTATTCGTCTGTCGAGGTCGAACTCGCGATGCCGGCAAAAAGCGACGGAAACTCGAACGACTCGAGCCGAATATCAATGTTGGCCTGGCGGTTGACGAGATTCAGGTGGGCGCGCTCCAGGCGGTTTCGCGTGCTGACGCTGATGCTGTTGAATAGCGGTGACCTCAGTTCAAGAAGAGAGTCATACTTGCCCACGGCGTGAGCGAAGGCCTCGTTATAGAGAGTCCATGATTTCATATGCTCGCTCATGACGAGGGCCTCTAGGGTTTTTTCACGGCTGTGTCGGACATCAGCTGTGCCGAATTGATCCAGAAAAATGTCGAATGTGGCATCAACCGAGTCGCCAAATGAAGAGCCGTTGTAATTACTGAAGCCATACTTCCGGAGGAGGCCGGATATGTGGGAAAACGCGGTGAATATAGTCGGGTTGGCGCCGGTTCCGACCAAGGGTTGGTTCGTCAGGAAGGCAAAGAGGTTCCGTGCTGCAACCAGACTATCGAGGTCCTGCTTTTCGAGGGGCAGATATATATCGCCTTCTCCGGGCCTTCTCGTCGAGATTGGCTGCGAGTGTGTGCGCCTCGCAGCGTCGTCAACCCCGAGGTAGGTGTTCCCACTCGAGTTGGCCGCTATTGTTCCTGACTCTAGAATCTCGTTCAGGACTTTAGATGAGTTAAAGACTTGGTCTTGAACCTTGAATGACGGTCCTCGGCTGCTTCCTTTGGGATTCAGGTATATATAAACATTGCCGGCCTCATTCCACAACTCGGGGATCTGCAAAATATTAGTTTATTTCGAATAAGGCCAAATGAAAGCAATGGTGCATATGTGCGCACCTTTTCTCCATTCATCAAAGCGGCGACGTTGTAGTCGGACAGGGTGTCGGGGGACATGATCCAGGCCCTCATCCCCTTATCCTTTCCCAGGTCGGCTGAATTCGACCTCGACCGGCCGCCGGTCAGCCAGCCCTTCCTCGACTTGCGTTTGTCGCCATCGCCGGAGTTGTTCGACTGGGATCTCAGATCGACTGGTCCCGAGACGACACGGAGTGCCTCTGCCGAGGTATTGTGATCTGTCGGAGGCTGGGCGGAGCTGCTGCGACCGCGGGGGGCGGGAGTGGGCGAGGGATGGCGGGGTTGTAGACGGTGCGGGTGAGGGGCGGTGTTGTTCGGCGCCGGAGCTCCGGAGAAACTTCTCGCTCTATCCCGAGCCATTCCCTCCGAAGGCGCCGGGGCTTGAATCGCGGTAATGGCCGGCGGCATGAGGGGTAATGGCGTCTTTTGCGTCTTCTTCAACATTGTCGGGGGCATGGACGTGGCTTTGGAAGGTATTGGAGGAGCCGGTTCGACAGGCGCAGGAGGTGCGGCGTTTATACCGCCGCCTGGGGCAGAAGCAGCGCTGGCAGGGTCGCCGTCAGCTGGGCGAGGATAGGCGTTTGGGTTTGCGACGGGCTTCCGTTGGGTAAGCCGGGCAGGATTTGGAGGGTGCAATGGATCTGTTGAATGGGTGAGCAAGGGGAGAAACGAAGTGAGCACTCCGAACCGAGACCTCCTCCGCTCGGCCTTGGCATCTTTCTCGTCCACTGCTGGCACCGCTGGAACTGGGGAGGGCTCCCCCGTGTCTCCCCAGCTGCTGCAGCTACCTGCCTCGACGCTGCCGAAGCTCGATACCGAGCTAGGAGTGTCTGGGCCCACTGCCACTGCCTTTGGCGCCCCAGCCCCCTTCTGCCCGTTATCTTTCTTCTCGGTCTCCCAGTAGAATGAAGGAGGTCGTAACGTGAAGAGTCTCATGCCAGGCCTTGAAGAAGACTTACTCGACGCCATGTCGGGCAGCAAGCAAGCAGGCAGCAGAGCAGTGGTGCAGGACAACTTCAGCGAGAGAGAAGAGAGGGCACGCCGAAGTTGAAATGAACCGAGCCTCCACTGATATTTGCACTGCCTGCACCCCGACTTCTTTGACCAAACCCAAACTAACCTCCACTCCCGGTCACTTCTCGAATAATCCTTAACGGATCCGGCGGGGACCAGAGTGGGGAGGGACGCCTGTCGTGGAACGCGTGGCCCTGACTGATCGAAACTGGGTGGAGAGCGCCAGTCGGGTGGGCTCCTTGAACTTGGAGCAACCTCGGGCAGTGGGCACTGCTAGCAATAGAGTTTTGGCTATTGACGCGGCGAGATACATACGAAGTTCAGAAGTTGAGATCTGCTTGCTTACGACCCACGACACCATCGGGTTCTCGCAGGAAATAAAAGGTGGCAGAAAGTTCCTCGACGCACGTTGGTAAAAACCACAGAGAAATCCGGGGTTCATGCAGAATGATGACGGGACATGTGTTCAAGAAGGTGCACCGGGAAAAGTTTGCTGATCCGGTACGGAGTAAAACTATGTAGGGTCGCCAAAATGTCGGGTACCCTAGTCTATACCTTGCCTGAAGGGGTATCAATGCAGAAGGGCCAACAATAACTGGTACTGTACGGTCTATACGTGTATGTATAGCAACTAATCATCCGAATTCCGACAGGCCCCTTCCAAAGGTCGCTCTTGAGCCCAAGTGGCGGGGCCCAACCCAACTGTTGCTACTGTGATCTACCTGGTTCCCTGTTCGAGGCCCAATTGACCGGGAATGGGTCCAATGGATGGATTCCCAGTCGCGCTAGCCACGGCTCCTTCTGCGCGGCCGAGGAAGCTGGCGGTGCCCTCAAGGCCAGAGCAGGTGAGTTTGCTGCCAATCGCCTCTCTTGCGCGGACTTTGATCTGCATGACACGCTTGGGCTCCCCGACATGGGATGCTCAATGAGGGAAGATAAACCACTGCATGTATAATAACTAGACCCGAATTTCTACATACCGCCATGCCTTCATACAATTGGAATGTTTGCTTTGGGTTTTTCTAATTCGAATTTGGTTTCGCCCTCTACAACCAACCCCTCACAAAACTGTCGGGTGAATCAAGGAAAGGAAAAAGCGGAAGCCAAGACCTTCAACAAATAACGTCATAGCCAGTATAACCCCTGCATGACTTTCTTAGCGGCTGCTCCAAAGACTTCTAAATCCACCTCGCCCCCCGTTCTTTCCTTAGCCTCTCCGCTCGCATTCGCGTTCAAGGCATAGGTAATCGTTAGTAAAAAAACAACCGAGCTCGGTCTTTGAAACTTTGCCGCACTACTTAGTAATACCGAATGTTACCTTCAAGTCATACGCTCCCGCAAGTCGAGGTGTCTTGCAGTCTCGCAAATGCACGTGCTTACCTAATTGGCCATCCCATCCCAAGCCCGCCGAGAAGATCTTTGCATGGAGGCGTTTTTCCCTTTTCCATGTTTCCCCACACTAATTCCATACTTCAACGGCCAGCCTCCGAGTCGTTTCATCATTCAGCCCTGTCTCGCGCGACGAGCACGTCAAGCGCAATCCGACGGAAATATCTCAACTCCATGCTATGATGCTCGGCCTCACCGAGTCTCTTCACTATTTGGTTTGTCGCCCCGGGTGCGTATAGCCGCCGCCGTGGCAAACAGGTGCCGTGTTGAACGAGGCTCAACGAGCTGAGTGGCCAAAACCAAAGGCCGGATTTATTTCAACGTACATCCCCGGGAGGACGGACAATGCCACACTTGGTGGCCCGTTAGGCGGCCCAGTGCCAGTGGCCCGGAGCCGCAGCAAACAGAAACCCGCGGGTTTGCATCCCGCGTGCGTGCCAACTCATTTCAAAAGGATTCCTCGCAACTGCCATACTGGTGGTAATGTTCTTATTATTACTGCGTGCATGCACCAGCTGGGTGGGAAAAAGGAACGCACGTGCAGCCATCTGTGTTGTACATACCTACCTAGGTACATACCCAGAGCGATGTTGTGTTTTTTCGCATGTCTCTACGTCCATACAACACTTTAATCCACCTTCAAGTGTCAATCCGGGGTACAGTAAAGTGGAGAGTCTACGCCGCTTCCTGCATTGCACATACGCCTGCCTAGGTAGAACGGGTAACCCGTCCGCAGGAAGAGCAATCTTGTCCCAACTTCCTAAGTAGGGGTAGCCCGGAGCCTCGGACTGAGCAAGACCAAAAAAAAAAAAGAATACAACACTTTGCCTGCCTCTTCAAACAGGCAGGTACGGGTCACTTGCTATAGATCACTTGCTCTGGTACATTTCTGCTCAGTCAATACCTTAGTATCCGTAAACTGGGCGGTGACGTGTCTCGCAGAGAGCTCGGACGGAGCAACACAGGCACATCCTACGACCCATCCCGGCGCGTGGCTCAGAGAGCGAGTTGGTTGTGTCAAGTTGCTGTGATGTGAACCAACGCAAGCCGGCCGTGTGCGCACACACGCCTGTTACGAGTCTCGGTGCCGACTTCCCGACGGCCCCACTTTGCGAAGTCTAGGTCTCTTTGCAGGCCGACTAGGCAACAAGAGAGTCAGCAAAAAGAGGCAGACATCTAGAGCGGCGGCAAGGATGAGTAAATTGGTTGGATTCTTTTCACAGCCTTGTCGTAATGACCCAGGCGCTTCTCCTCTTAGGCCGAGTCGTAAACAGCATGTAAACCAAGCTACCTACAGTAGCACACAGCCGAGGATCAAAACAAACGGCAGCAGAGTAATTAATTACATCTGTAAATCCTCCTGAGACGACGTTCCCGTGAGCCTAGGTGTAACTAGGTCTAAATAGATAAACATGTGGTAATGTTTTTAGTGAAACAGCCAGAACCCATGTACGCCGCACCTGCGTCCAAGTCCCGCTGAGACATGCAAGCCAGCAAGTGCTCCATCTCTCGCAACCCAAGACTGAAACCACCGAGAGACGGGACGAGACGGAAAGAGAACAAGCGAATAATGAAAACAATATGTGGACATGTCTTTAAAAACGCGCTGTACATATCTTTTAAAATGACACCCACAACATCTAGATACTGCAGAAGAAGTAAAAAACCTAAAGCCAAAAAAAGAGACGTTAAAGAGGCCGGCATGATACGCTCCTGGCACTAAACTGATACTCCGCACCCCAAAAGAGAGAAAAAAAGAAAACATATGGATATCACACAACATCATGCGAGAAACAGAAAAAGTCCTTGGGCCAAATTTCATCCACGTCGCGTCAACTAACGTGTAAAAACAACAGTCCAAGCCAAGCCAAGGCCTTCAAAATTAAGCCATAATGAGAGGCGAAAACCATCTATATGAGTGTAAAACAAATGCGCCCTCTTATCTGCCCTTTTTTCTATGCGAGCACTTCATTGTGCCCTGCCCCAGCTGCTGTTTTGCTGTTGCCGTTGGGAAGGGGGCTGGTACGGCTGGTAACCTTGGTAGCTTGACGCGGCGGCACCCTGCGGTTGCAATTGGATCGGGCTGGGCTGGCGGTATCCGCCGGCGTTTGCGTTTGCTGCCGGACCCGGGGTTGGACGGGAATAAGCCGTTGGGTCGAAATCAAAGCTACCGGTTTCGTTGGCCGGCATCTCATGGGCGTACTGTTGGGGCTGCAGTTGTTGCTGGCGCTGAGAGGAGGTAGAAGACGGCGCTTGGAGCGGGCGGGTCGAGTCGGACGAATACTGTCGCCCAGTCGCTGGGCGGGAGTCGTAGCTGTTATACGCATCGTCCAGGGCCGAGTAGTCAGCCTGGTGATAGTTTGACTGTGAATGGTAGTCTCCCTGAGCACCATAGTCGGCCCGCGCGGCGGGGGGTGGCTGGATAAGGTCCTGAGGGTATGGGGTGCTCTGCTGAGCATCATACGGGGATTGCGGAGACCGACGAGCCGCCCCGACCCCGTAGCCTTGACTTCCTTGAGATTGAGACCCGTAATTGTCGTACGGCTCTTGTCGGGTGTCGTAGCTGCCTTGCCGAGCCGGCGGGCCATAGCCCCGGCCCTGCCCATAGACTCCGTTGTTGTAACCGGCGTCGTTGTAGGCACGCGGTGACCTCCTTCCAGGGCCCATGACCGCCGCTCCGGCCACTCCATATCCTTGGTCTACGGGAATCGAGGCTTGGCTGTAGGCCGCTCCAGGTTGCTGGTACCCGTCCATGTGCCCAGTATGCTGGGAATACGCATCGACCTCAACCGGCGCTGGAGGGAAGTATCCATTGGAGCCCGGGATACCGGTCGGCGGCCCGTACGGGCTTCGTACGACGGGAGAGGGAGCAGGACTCGAAGGCCCTGCTATCGCTCCAGCAGCGGCGGTTCCTGCGAGTGCTGCGTTCTGGACACTGGCCTCGGGTTTCTTTAGTGTGTCCATTTCGACAGCATCTTCTTCGAGAAGAACCTTTTTGCTCCCTGCGCCTTCCCAACTGGGCATTTCGGGTAACGCATCCTCGTTGACGGGCGCCGCGGTCTTCTTGCTGACATCGAACTCGGCATATTGCGGCGGCTCTGGTACTGCCGCAGCCCGCGCTGGCGGTGGGATCGCTGCGGCTCGAGCAAAGCCCGGGTCCATGGGCGGCTGGGATTTGTATTGGTTGTTGGGAGGGACGTACGGCTCGTCGAGGTACTTTGCGCGACTGCCCTTTGGAGGATCACAGCATCCGCAGCAGTTGCCGCAGCACTTCAGACACTGGCAACATTCGCAGCAACACGAGAGGCCGCAGCAGAGGCACCGAGCTACGCACCAAATGATGGAAATGAGGAATAATCCGCCGACTATGATAACCGCGATGACGGGCCACCTAAGACTCCTGTAAGCATCCGCGTAGAGCAAACTGTTATCGCAAAGAGAGAAGAGGCGTCATTTCGCCAACGTACTTGCAGTAAGTTGCCTTCATGCAATTATCCCAGCTGGAAAAAGCCGTCTTGACATCGTTGACCTGGCCCTGTATGTCTCTTTTTTGTATTGCCGGTCGCAGACTCGCCACCAGTAATTGCACAAACCCCTCCCTCAAGCTCCTCTCCATAGCCACATTGACGGCGGGCATCTTGCCGAGCAGGACGGGCTACCGTCGTTTACGGCGTCGAGGCGGACCAGTGCGGAAGTATCGGGAAACACAGACTCGGCCACGCGGCCAATGGCTAGCGACTAGCTCGCACTGGTGTCAAACGGGGTCGGCCACGAATGACTAAAAATGTTGGAACGGCGGCAGAAGCAGCAACAGCGAATACTACAGCTCCATGTTTGGGAGGTGTATTGTCGCGCGTGTTATGATCGGCCAGGGCGATAAACCGGGAGGGAAATGCGCTCGCTGTACGGATAGACCAGGCTAAAACAAGGGCGTCTCTTCGTTGTTGGGGAAGGGTGGCTCTGGCCAGGGAGAACCAGGTAATGGCGGAGTAGGATCACCAAGGGCGCGATCGGCAATAGGTCGAGTAAATATTCTTTAACAAGGCAAGCCCCCTAAATTTCAAAGAACATGAACAGCTGAATGTAATGTGGGCTGAAGGCTGGGTCGTCAAATTGGTTGATAGTCACCAAAAAAAGGAGTGGGCGGGGAAAAAAGAGGCGCTATGGCTCAAAGAATGGGAGGGGTGGCTTAAGCGTAGGTAGCGATTGATGAAAGAGAGGATTCCTGGAAAAGGCGCCCAGGTGAGTGTGACAAAAGCAAGACTGAACAAACACGATTGGTGTCAGGAAAAGAGAGGAACGAATCCCAATCGTCAACCGCCAAGGAACGTCTCACACCCAAGTTCGTATGAAACTGGGCGCAGCTTTTCGCTGTAGAAGGGGGGGGGAGGAAGGACCTAGGAGAAAGGCTTCCCTCCCAAATTCATCATCGGACGGAGAACTCCAAGCCAAGCCCAGGGCATCCGACGGGAGGCTAACAATGCCTGCACTGACCTGCTCACTCCTCGTTCGTGCTTGCGGGCGCTAGCCCCCAATCTGCAAGGCACACAACGGCGGCCCTAGTGGGTCCTCCGCCATGGTTAACTGGTGGTATCGCATGAAGCGGTACTCCGTAATTGTAAATTACCACTTTACAACGTGCAAGGACAGCGGTTTGGAGTGGAAAAGTCGCACTCGCACCAGGCTGACAATAAACAATGAACAAGAAAACATGGTATTTTGTTTCAAAGTTTTTGAGCTCTCCATCGAAGACACACATGATCCACCCTATGTCCACCCTATGGATGAAAGTTCCTGTCCTACCGCTCTGTCAAAATTCCAAATATATTTAAAAGAGAGGCTAGGGTAAGCCGCCGCTGGCTGGCAGGCTGATCGATGGGGGAAACCCGCCGTAGTTTACGGAGTATTCCGAGCCACTATACTGGACGGAGGACAGACGGGATTCAGCTTCTCGCAATTTCCTTCGATTGGCTGCCCAGGCCTTGGCTCACAAAGCACCGACATTGGTGGGTGGCCCCATTTCTCTTTCTCTTTCGCTTTCGCTTTCGCCTAGAACTGTGGGGGCTCAGGCTCCCCGGGCGGCATTCACTTTCGGCTTCGCTTCAGGTCTCTGAGGTGCTGACGATACCGGGCTTTCCGAGCCGCCGGGACCACACGCCCCAACGGTTCCTTACCAGTCTTCGGATCTGCTCCGGTCTAATCACGGAATTGACCTCGGCCCCAAATAGGTACCATCACCACGGCGGTAACCTAACCCTAACATACAGTGTAAATTACCGTCGGAGGACAGAGCGGTGCCCATGCAGGGGCTAGGTAAGGCAGGTTGGACAATTGACCGCCGAGGGGCACAGAACGCCTTGAAGCTGTGCCACAGACTTGAGACGATACATGGCGCCTCCACTTGTGCTACCGCTCTTGGTTCGGTCTTCAAAACTCATTCCCGTCGATCGAAATCGGAGGGAGCACTTGCATGACTGCCATGGGGAGCGTTGCTGTTTGCCTCGTAGATACTATGTCTTGGGAAACAGTCCGCGTTGCAGACAGCTCCTTCAAGATTTTTTTCTTTCACACATCACAAACGGGCCTAAACCAAAGGTTCACGAATCTCATATCATGGATCCTAAAACATATTTCAGCCATCCGTGATATCCCCTGCGTGGACGAGCCGAACATACCACTGTGATTGTATACCTAGATATCAGTCCCCTCTGAGAGGAGTTCGTGCTTGATTCAAGTCGCCACTGTTCTGCTAAGATCTTCCGCTTTTCAACCCAGCTGGCTGACAGTGACAACGACCTTTATATCCGCCCTATTTTTGGCCACGTTCTTGAAGAGGTCCACCAGATCCTGGGGATCGAGCCCCCTTGCCGCCGTCTTGCTGATGGAAATGTCCAGCAGGATCTTTAGCTTCTTGCCGCTCTCGCTGGTGCATCGGAACCTGTAGACCAAGGCCATGCATTAGTGCTGATGGGTGCATTAGGGTTTAGAGTTTAGACAGTCAGAAAGAGACAGAAAGGGAGAGAGAAAGTCTCACCTGATGCTGTTGTCAATGGCCTGCCTGCTCTTCGGCCATGCCGGGACCACCCTCGCAAGCGCCGCCGTCGCGGCGCCTAGATAGTCGGCCCACAGCAGCGCGTCCGGGTCCGCAGCGCCGACCAGTGCCCGTAGGCCGCGGTACAGGTCCCTGTCTATGGGGCTCACGCCCGCGCCCCATCGCGCGCACAGGGTCAGCCCGAGGATGGCGCGGGCAACGTGCGTCAGCCCGGGACAGCCGGGGTTGCCGGCGACGGCGTCGTGCAGCGCGGCCGACGCGTTGGCGTCGGCATCCTCGCCGGCGCGCGCCCAGGCCTGCCGGATGTAGATGGGGCCGAAGTGCAAGCTGAAGGCGCTTGCCGACGTGAGCGGATTCAAAGCTCCGGCGGTAGTAGGCGGAAAGGCAGACAGTAGGGTGTCGAGTATGTCGGCAGGCAATGCAGCGGTGGCTAGCGGCGGCATCGGGGTTGAATAAGGCGGAGCATCGACCAGGTCCAAAGGGTTGCTCTCCCTTACCTCGCGCGGCAGCATCGTGGCGAGCGCGCCCTCGCGGTTCCCGCCGGCGCAAAAGGTCACGGACCGGATGCGCGGGACAGCCGCGATGAGGGCCTTGACGACGGCTACGATGGCGGGGAACTGCGTGCGGCGCCGCTTGGACATGCCGAATATCTTGCCGTCGAACTCGGCGTTGACCTTAAGCAGGTGGTTGGCCCTGCCGAACTCGTCGCCCGACACGACATACGACCCGATGGCCGGGATCGGGTACGGCTGGACGCTGCTGTTGTGCATTAGCATGCTGCCGTAGCCGCGGAAGCCGCCGCCGCAGAGATAGATGTCGATGCCCGGCCCGTCGCGCTCGCGGGCCTCGGCGACGGTGGCGGCCAGGGTTGGGAACTGGGCGCGCAGCGTCTCGAATGCCTCGCCCATGCCGCTGTGCAGTTTCTGCGTCTCGGCGGCTTGGACGTCGGCACCGGCGTCTTGCAGCACTCTGATCAGCCGCGCGGCGCCAAACGGCAGACTCTCGCCAGCCAGGGCTGCGGCGATCTCGTAGCCGCCCTCCGTGCTCTCCTCTTTGTCTCCTTCGTGGCCGCCGCGAGCCTTGGCGGCATACGTGTCCATGTACGTCATCTGGACACTGCCGCCCCCGAGGTCAAGGAAGAGCCCCTTCACGTCGACGAACCCCGACCTGGCTCCCACGGACCCAAAGAGCGTCTCGACTTGCGGCGCTAGCACGTAGACGACCAGGTCCGGGACTTCAGCGTTGATGGCCGTGAGCATAGCCACGGCGTTCTGGGCCCGGCGCATGGCCTCGGTGGCGAAGACGGTCACCTGGCTGGGAGGGACGCCATAGTCGTCGACGGCGATGGCTCTGAAACGGGCCAGAGTCTGCGCGACCAGCTTGATGGTTTCTGGCGGGAAGACCATGGGGGCGGTACCGCCCTGCTGGTTGGGCGACGTCGGCGGCTTGTTCAGGGCGTCGAACAGTGAGATGGCGGCCCGCTCGCGGTATATACACGGGAGCAGCCGAGCCCGCGGCGGCGAGAGATCCGATATAGAGAAGCGGATACCATTGCTTTTGGGTGGAATAAGGACGGTGTTAGAGACCAGGCACGATTTACAGATCTAGATGGCCGATATCATGCATGGATAGCCCGACTCGGAAAATAGGGGCAAAACTTCAAAGGGGGTAAAACTCACCTGCCCATGTCAACCAGGGCGAAGAGATGGTTCGCGCTGTTTAGGTCCCAGCGAGGCATTTTGTGCTGAAAGTTATCGAGCGTGATGATGTCAATAAAGGAACTCATTTTCGGCTAGAGATAAGTAATTAAGCCGGCTAAAACTATGAGGATGAGGATGGACTTGTGGTGGTAAGACCAACAGAAAGACATGCGGATGGCGCTCTGAGATATGGAATCTAGACTCGTCCAAGTTTGCCGCAAACTTGCCTGTGGTGCTAACTGGCGGCGCGTGACCCTCTGCTAGCCGACCGTCCGATAGCGGCCACAGAGCGACTTGAGGACCGAGATGGATAAAAAAGAGCAACGCATTGGGTGCGTAACAATTCGAGGCAAGGAAACTTAACCTAACACCCCTAGGTGGGACGACGGCAATCGAATATCGCGAATGCAGAAAATGATTAGGGAGGCAGACTGGGTTTCGTCGTCCCAGCCTCTTCTCGGCGAAACCAGCTACTGGTCTTACTATGGAGGCAGATACCTCCCTGCTCTATCCATAATGCCTATCTCGCAATTAAGTGGTTGCTCTTTTGCTAATGGTGCCTCGAAGGACTTCGGGTAGGTAGTCAATTAACTATATTCCGACTAGGTATGGCTTGCTCCCTCCTGGCTGTGCGCCTCGAAGCATGTGGATGATCACACTACACACAACAGCCCAATTAATACCACCCGAGAAAAACATGGTCAGGACTCAGGGCCATATTGTCTGCATAAAAACAGAGCCTCTCTCCGAGCGACCGAATATGGTAGAAAGGCGATCGTGGTATTGAACTCGGGCACTGCTGACGGGAAAAGCCGAGCTGTTGTTGGGTGCACCGCCGGAGATGGCTCTCCGCCTCAGCGCGAGGTTCCAAGCATATCCCGATTCCGAGGGCCCCGCCATGAGCCCGGCCCGGAGCATGATCTCGTAGTCCACCAGGGCGCGCTGGTCCCAGCTGAGCCTGTCGAGGAGGGCGAGGTCGTCGCCGTGGAGGATGTCCTTCTTCAGGACGACCGTCACGTTGAAGTCCCTGGCCCTCGCCACGAAGGCCGTCGTCTGCTCCTCGGTCGCGCCCGTCGCTAGAAACACAACCCGCACCCGCGAGTTCACGATGAAGTCTAGGAGGTAGGCCGCCTGGCTCTCGTAGTCGGGAACCAGGCTGTCGACGTCCGTTTCCGTCCGTAAGTGCGCGCCGACAAATGTGCTCTCCTTGATCCCTTTCCTGGGGTCGAGGTTGAAACCAAAGCCCTTGCTCAGGTTGTACAGGGCTGCGGCAGCCAGCCGCCTGGCGTCCTCGTGAGCGCGCAGGAGACGGCCGAAGCTCCCAGCAAACGCAGGGCCGTCGTAGGCCGTCTGGAAGGCCCACTTGGTGACGGCCAGGTTGAACCGGATAGGGTACACCCGGTTGTCCGTCGGCGCGACCTCGTCTATGTATTTCTTGATCTGCTGGCCCAGACTTGGCATGTCGTCGATGACGCTGCCGTTGGCGAGGGATGCGTGTATGTCGTACAGGCTGATGGGGTGTCCCTTCATGACCTGGGGAACATTGTACAGGTCATCCATGGACCTATACACCTTCATCTGTGGGCAACATGCTGCTAGCGTCTGGTTGAGGTGCTCAAACTTAAACAGGTAGTCGATAGGGTGCCCTCTCTGTGGACCGCCAACATTCGGCATCAGCACCGCAATGTCCTTTTCGTCGCGCTTGACGATGCGCGGCACGACGAGTTCGGCTACAATTGATCGGAAGGAAGAAAACAAATACTATTAGCGCCTCCTTTCTTGTGGAAGCAGCTGTCTGGCCAGGGACATATTGAACAAGCAGACAGGCCGGGACCGGGGCCGGGGCCGGAGCCGGAGCCGGGGGCCGAACTCACCTCCCATTTCCATGGCAAAGCGTATGCAGGTTAAATGCGCGTTCCTGACCTGGCCGATGCCTCCGGGCGTCGGATCGCAGGACAGAATCAGGCCCGGGGTCCATTGCTTGCTTGCGCACAGGGCCGAGATGGCGCGGCCGTCGAAGTCGCCGTCGATCTCTTGGGCGAGGAAGTCGGAGACGAAGAGATGCTTCCCGTCCTTGAAGGTGCGGACAAGGCCATTGTACGTCGACTCGTACGAGACAAACGAGCCGAGACACCACACGACAATCAGCAGCAGCGCCGCGAATTTGACGAGCCTCAAGACGCCCGAAGAGCCCAGCATGGCGAACAGGTGCTGTCAGGTATGCATTGGGGAAAAGGTAGAGAAAACCCGCTAGAGCAAGAGGGCTCTTGATGTCGGGGGCTACCTAGGGGGGAGGGACGGGAAAGGGGAGGGAGAGACAAAGCCGCATCGTAAAGTTTGGCAAGGTGGCCGGCGCACCCAATCAGGTTTGGGTAGTTTGGGAATCCCCGAGCATGAGCTGAGCTGCTGGGCTGAAGCCACGGCGTGATGAGAAATTGTGCCTCATCAGCTGTGGACGGCATTCCGACTTTGACTGCACCTCTTGCCCTCCCTACGTCTCTCCCTGACTGGAATAGCGCGAGACAATTGTCTGCTCACATTGATGGATGACATGCTCAATTCCAGAGAGCCACCCCCAAGGCACTTAGCTCGTCGGAATTTGATGGCACCCCGCCGACGGGGCTCTCCTACTAATACGGGATGTACGGGATGCTACCCCTCGGGGTGGATGTCAGGAACCTCGCTTACTTGTGGATACGGATAACTGAGACAGCAACTGAGATATCCGTATAAGTTCCATCATCATTAGTTCGGCCGAGTTCGCATCATAGAAGTATGAAGTTATAATAGAAGGCAGTGCGGATGACACTGTACTTACAAACATTGAAAGGTACAGTGGTGCGGTCTGGCCTCCAGGGCGGTTCTGTGGCGGCGCCGTTGCAAACCCGCCCGCTAAAAAAAGAAGCTTTGCAAAAGTGCCGGGACCTAAACCTGGGGCTGTACGGATAATGCTCCGTAGGTACGGTTCGTGCAACAAACCGTGTGAGTGAGTTGGCTGTGACGGACAGAACAAACCGATCTAGGATGCCGCTTGCTCAAAAGTAAATCAGTTTTCTACCCCCGAGTATTCTAGCTTTCCATATTGTTACGTATACCCGCCTCTTCTAGACTAGCCTTCATTCACCCTCGGCCGTGCATTACGTCGAGAACGCGATTAGGGGGACTACGAGCCCATATAATATATACGGTATATACGTAGGTTTGTTTAAGCTGGCTTCCGGTGGTGGACGACAAGAGCAACAACGGCCGCCGATCGCTGGACGATCGCTGCTTCACCTGATGGGGTCCTCCAATTAACATTTGAAGTTCGCCGTCAGGCCGAGCGAGACATCTCAAAGGTGTGGGTGCGCAAAGCTGAACAGCTGCGCACGCGACAGAGCTCAAGTATCCGTTCCTCGGGTTTCTGTAGCCAGGGCATTGCCAACCCCCGCCTCTCCAAGAGTTCAAACGGGCCCACAACTCGGTGCTTCCGGAGGATTTGCCCACCAAGTTGCTTCGAGAAGATGCAACACGGCAGCCCAGCCCAATTTATACCTGGTTGACCGAAGAACATGCTGTCGGGTTGGATCTCCAGTATGGTAGGTATGTATGTACATTACCTGGAGCCGTGAAAGCGCACAGACGGCTGTGTCCAGTGCTGCCGGGACCTTCAATTGCGGCAGTTCGGAGTAGTATCCGTTAGGTATAGATTCGAACCTGGTGTGGTGACCATATGTAACGGACAGATTGGGGTTGGGATGCAGGCGTGAAGGGGTGAACCGACCCGTTGGCGCACTGCTATTTTATGTCACTCCATTGCCTTTCTTGTCATCGAGCGCAGGTATCCGTACGTCAAGGCCAACTTCAGCAAGAGTTGGACCGCGTAAACGAAACTTAAGGCAATATCTTGGAGCTTGACTGTCATTTCCGTCATCCAAAGTATGACGGCCTGAGTCCCTGCGTCACATTATTATGCGTTCTCAAAAAGGTATGACTTACTATGTAAGTACGGAAGACTGCCGTGATACGAAATACTTCCAAGTTGTCAGTTAAGGCAGGGGTGGTTGAAAAGCGAATGAAAATGGGCCATGATAAGGGACCCACTTTAACTCGTCCGCCTAGCGCGTTTTTCCACGACGCGAAAAAACACGTCCTCGCTCGCTAATCTAGAGCTCCCGAAAAGTGACTTCACAAAGGGGACTCGTCTTCGGAATTACAGCCCGCCAGATACTGCTCCTCGTCCAACTCTCTCTTGCTGACGAGCACCACGCAAGGCTCTTGATATCGCCGGCTACAGAGCAAGAACCGGATCAAATACTTCTTGGAGGAAAATATCTCAACATCCATCCACCTGCGGGGTCCTGTCTTCGGCTCGCTCTGGAGTGGGGTCTGTCAATCAAGTTCCATTTACAAAGCCCCTCGCCGTTAGGTCGCCTGCAGCTCTGCAGCTGCACCTCACTCACAGATCGCCAAAATTGACGGACTACCAGCCTCTCGATTTTCCTCGCCTCAATACACGTCGACAAGCGACAGCCATTCATTCACAGGCGCACGGGCATACGTTCTTTCTTCCATTCTTGCGCAACGCGTGCTTCGAGCAGCCAGCAGCAAAAAGGGCATTTGCAAATCGCAAGCTGCCTGTCTTACCCATTTGCGCCGCTAGCCCCGCCTGCCGCCGTCGACTAAGCTTTCCATTTGGCAGCTCGCAAGCTACCCGCCACCACCTCCCGAATTTTCTATTTTCGCGGGGTCCATTTGGCCGCCAGAAACGACCCTTTGCTGCCCAGGGCGCCCAGGACGATCTAGGTACGCGTTTACGGAGTAGCGTCTGGTTGTCTGCAAGCCTGCATTCGAGCACCGTTGCGCACGTCTCTTGTCGACACCTCAGAGGTTCGAGAGGGAAGCAACGGCAAGGGGGCCCCTCCTTGCTCCCCCTTCGTCTGGCACCTCTTAGGCTCCTTGGAACGCGCCCGCTACTTGGACGGACCAACCCGAGCCTAGTCAGTCGCGCTCCTGGTCAGTTCTCGACGCGTTGCTGCCAATCGCCAGTGCCCGCCAGTAGTCGTCGGCAAGGCTTCTAGGCCGCTAGCATTGCTGCTTGCTCTCTCCGGGCTCCACGAATCCTCGAGATCCTGCAGCAGTTCTCCATCCCCGCAATTGCCCGTCAAAAAAGTACCTACCCTGGTAAAGAGGGCACCGCGCGACAACTCCACAGCGACTATATCAAGACTTGTTTGTGCCTGTGTGGTGTGCGTGTCTGTGTGAACGAGACCCTGGAATTCAACAAAATCCAAAATCGTGCAGGTCGTCGACCAGACTCGGGTCCCCTGCTCGCGTCGTCTCCACCCTGGTCGAAGAAGCTTGAGGTCGTTTCTGTGGCTTCTCGTCACTGGCTACTCCGTGCAGCTTGCGGTGGGGGTTTGCGTTTGTGAGCCACTGCAACTCGGGCCAAGACCCCCAGCAAATCCATCGCTTGCGCTCGCTCGACCACCGCTGTCCCATCTCCACTCGGCTTGCTCTCCCAGGCCATCACCCACATTGTCTTTTACAGCTCCTAGCCCTTCGCCCCTTACATATTTCCATCGCCCCGTCGAGATAATTCTTTTATTCTTTTCCCTCGCCGCCTTTGCTTCCTGCGCAGTCACTCCTTTGCGACCCAGTTATCGGCCGGTCGCCCTTGGCGCAGGGTTCCGGGTGCCTCACGAACAATATAATTCATCACGTTGCGGCTTGGTTATATACAGCTTCACATCACACTCTCAACGCCTACGCTTTCCCCTTGAACACCCACCTAAACAACCTCGGTTCTCTTTTCTGGTGTAGACACCCAGCCACGTTTTGTTATCGCCCCCTTTTTGTCGACTCCAACTCGATTGAGCAGCAGGAGCAGCAGTGGGCGTCGCGGATCTCAGCCACCCAGCTCTTGTGCTATCTTTGTTTTTATCTCGACTCTATCCCGTTGGCCATCCGACTTTGATAGGTAGTCGATACCAGCAGCACTCCGCCGGACTCGCTTAAGGGACGTTACGACCGCCACGTCGAAAAAGCTATAACAAGCTTTAGCTTCCCATCAGGCGGTTGACACGGCATCGCCTACTCGGCTATAACAGCTGCCTAAGTTGGCGCCGCTGCCAGTCCACCTGTCGCGATCCCAACCCTAAGCGGCCCTCCAGCTCGGAAGAGACGAGGGCCTCGCTGGATCTGTCGAGTTTTTATCTGATCCGCCATCCCTTCATTCGCCCTCGTTTCCCCCATGAAGTCACTCCATTCCAGTCCATAGACAAAATGAACCAGCATTCCGGTTCTGCGACCCTCCCGCGGGGTTTCCGGTATTCTGCCTATGATGCGCCGAAGACACCAGAACCCTTTCCTCAACATGACGGGGCTCTGCTTCCGTCGCCCCCAAGACCGCGCTTGAAGCTGAAGCGACGTGTTGTTTCCCATTTCGCGCCGTCGCATCAATTTCTAGCCTCTGTGGCTGCCGCCGATGTCGCGATACCGAGTATCGAGGCGCCAGAGGCGGATTCCCAGGACCTCGACATGATCAGTATTGATGCGTTTCCAGAGCAGCGCTATGACGGAGATGGGGACCTGGTTCTCCTTCGACCCCGCGGAAGGACGTACTCCCCGCCTAAGACCCCGGCACCTGGCTTTGTCCCCTCGTTGTCTCCAAGGCGGTATCCCAACTGGACAATCGACTCGGCAATCAGCAGCGTGGAGTCAACCCCCGAATACGAGTCAAGCAGGCCCTCAACCTCGAGGTCTACACAAACCAGCGGATCCCTGTTTAGCCGCTTCTCGCATGCATCTGACGACGAGCGTTGCGTGAGCTCCGGAGGGGATAGAAAGGATAGCGACCTTCTCGCGCCCGGCTTGGATGAATTTCTCGATCTGTCTAGCACGAAAGGCAAGTCGAGGAAAGCGCCGTGGACCAAAGCTATGAGCGACCATTTGTGGGCGACGTTTCTCCTCTATCTTCAGGACCCCAAGGTCACTCCCTTCCGCATGGGAAAGAGCTGCATTCCACCTCATGGTGTTTGTCTTCGCGTTGCGCGGGAGTCAAAACGAAGCTGGAAGGGCACCAAGGCCTTAGCAAAGGCAGCCAACCCTGGAGAAGGCAAGAAGAGCGGGAGCAGCACCCCGACTGCCGAGAGCTCAGGAGTCTTTATGCAATGGCCGCATACTTGCGCGGCAACTAGAGCCCATCTACGCGAGCTGTGCAAGCTTAAAGCTGCTTCCGGCGCCAAGAACCATCGCTTCATGTCCCGGAGCCCGACTCCTTTCAGTCAAGCCGCTGCCCGCCACTGGAATCGACGATCAACTCCGGGGCGTGCGCCATCCGCTTTCACAACACAAGACATGTCCATGTCGCTTGCTCTCAGTACGTCAGACAGCATGCAGCCGAATGGTCCTCTGGCCCAGCTCACTAGCTCAATCACGGAACCCGCGGATCAGGGCATTTCACCCTTTCCCACGACCTTAGCTCCCGGTATTTTTGATGGCGAGCCTTCGTTTGCTGAGAGGCGACGTTTAGGCTCACCATTCGGAGCGAGGAGTTATGGACCCAGCTCTTCAGGGTCTCTTGCTGCAGCACTCGGATTAAGCACCCCTATGCCGCGCCGACTAACGCATACTGTTGGGCCTCGCCGCACCCTCCAGTCGCCTGTCCGTCTCAGCCGCCCGGGTACACAAAAGCGCCGAAACACGCAAAGTAGCGAGCCTCGCAAGAGACCTACTATTGGCGCTGATTTGTGGTGTGATCCTAATGTCCGCGCCCGTGCTCCATTCGAGGTTGCCCCTGCTCCGGAATTTCGGTCCACAGGCTCGAACCAGCACGACGACCTCTTTATACCAAGGACAGCGGCGGAGCCTCTATTGGCGTCTTTAGCAACCGTGGTAGACGCTAGGTTACAGGCCGCAGCGCCGGGTTTGGCTCCTCCCCGGCTTGGCTCGCCCTTTTCAGCCTCGGTCTCAACTTCGAGCTTCAGCTTTCCGAACCGGCTTCATCGAATGCATCAAGCCGGCAGCGTCGATCTGGGGATGCTCGGTCGACCATTTGCAACAGTTCAGCAGACTACAGGGCCAAGCGCACCCCAGACGCGTCCCAGCCTGGCTGGTCGTCTAGCTTACATCGACCAACGCCTCAAGGAGCTCCGCAACCGCGAGGCCCGTCCCCGCTCTGAGTCCCCCTTGTAACAACACTATTCAGCATCAGCATCTTAATTTGGTTATTTTCGAGTGGTGCCTATTTCCCCTATTTCTCTTCTGCTATACATAATTCTAGCATTTTATGCTTGCTTTCACCTTTGTTTTCCTTTATTTCCTCCTTATTCTAGCATTTGGAGTTTTGGGACCTTCACGACCTCACGTGGATCAAGCGTGACGGAAGGCATGAGCTTGATCTTGATGAAAGTAGCAAGGAAATACCCCGCTGATGGACTGAACATAGAGAGTTTGATTGCTGTTCATATCTCGGTGGGCAGGGGTTAATTTTGTCATCGCTTTTGAGGCTGCTTTGTAGGAGATTTTGTCAGTTTCTCTTGGACCTCAGGTTTCGCATAGTACGGCCGGATTCTTAACGAAAAGTTTTACGATGATACGACGGGACGGACTGGATCGGCTTGGATCGATTGACTATTTTGGTCATCGAAGTCGTGGCCCCCGATAAGCAACGTACAGATTGGCTTTTGGGCTCTGGATAGATTGGAGGTTGTTGGCCACTTAAGACAAAGGCCCGCACTTATATTTGATGACAATCATGATGGTGGATGCTACGACGCATCTGGGGATATGGGGTAGTTAATATAACTTTAAATTTAGATGGGACGAAAACCATAATGTTCTGTCTTTGCTTTTCTTCCATTGCTCTGGTTTTCTTGCCTTGGGTAAGAGGATTACGGATATTTCACGCGAATCTAAGATAACCCTGATTATTCTGTCGGTATCCGTATACAGAACACAACCAAAAGCTACGCAAGGTAAGGTACTTAGTATGCACCCTTGGGAACCTAAAGCATGTGCAATTGGCAAGGCACACAAGCATTAGACAGTTGCTAGTGGCTTGCGGCATCTTACCGCTCGACCGTTGAAATCCCCAGATTTCCAGAGAAGCACGGGAGCCTGGAGGTGCGGGAGTGGGGCCGAAGCGGGGGTCGATGGGGCACAACGGAGCGCTGCTGCACAGTGTAGTCATTAGACTGGCGAAGATCTCCACTCAACGACCTGCGTTTTTGTTTGTAGACTTTTGACTTCCCAAACCCCTCCGGACCCGCCGCCCTTCTTCTCGTCTACCTTACCAATGCTGTCGCCATGTTGATAGTTTCTTGGGGGAGGAGGCGAGCGTACGCGCCACACGCGACCCTTGGGCCGCTGGTGGTGCTGGTGCTCTGCTGTCTCTTGTTCAGTAACCCCGTGGCTGCTTCAGCCGGCGACCACCTTCCCAAGTTCCGCCAGTGCGTCGAGGTTCGTTCCTGTGCTGTGCTACCCACAAAAGACGCTAGCCTGTCCGTCTGGTGTTGATGACAGGTACGGGAAGTGAACACAATCTCTGACGTTTTGCTCCTGGGTCTCGCCGCCGCAGATATGTGAACGCGAGAACTGCGGTCCCGATGCCGAGCACCACACTCCCATCCGTATGTTTACAACTCCTCTCTTCCCAGCCGATCGCACAACGAACGTTTTAGCGCTCAGAGTTAACGTCGCTTTTAACCCGCAGCCCTCCTCCACCGACTGCTCTTCTGGACCTGCCCGGCCGAATGCGACTACACATGCCAGCACATCGTGACGGCGCGGCGCCAGGCCGCCGACCCGCCGCTGCCCGTGGTACAGTTCCACGGCAAGTGGCCCTTCCACCGATGGCTGGGCATGCAGGAGCCGTTCAGCGTCATCTTCTCGGCGGGCAACTTTGCCGCGCACTACAACGGGCTGCACAGCAAGGTGCTCGCGAAAATCCCCGCGACGTACCCGATGCGGCGCTTCTACGTGGCGCTCGCCTGGATCGGCATGGTGACGTGGTTTTTTAGCATGGTTTTTCACACGCGCGACTTTGCCGTCACGGAGCAGCTCGACTACTTCGCCGCCGGAGCCTCGGTGCTCTACGGTCTGTACTACGCGCCTGTGCGCCTTTTCCACCTCGACCGTCCGGCGCAACGGCCGGTGCTACGTGTCTGGACGGCCCTCTGCACTGGTCTCTATCTCGCCCACGTCGCCTACTTGCGCCTCTGGAGGTGGGACTACACGTACAACATGGCGGCCAACGTGGCCTGCGGCGTCATACAAAACGCACTGTGGAGCTGGTTTAGCTACAATCGCTACCGCCGGAACCACCTAGCCTGGGCCACCTGGCCCGGCATCGTCGTCGCCTGGATCCTCATTGCTATGAGCCTCGAGCTGCTCGACTTTCCACCCCTCTGGGGAGCCATCGACGCCCACAGTCTGTGGCATCTGGGTACTATCGCGCCGACGGTGCTGTGGTATAAGTGCGTCCCCCGATTGTTTACCTCTCAGTTCAGAGGCGGCATGAGAACGTCTTCATGCTTTACGACAGGATTTAGCTGACACTATTCGCACTTGTAGCTTTCTAGTCAGGGATGCACATGATGAATTATCTAGCGCTGAAAGACTCAAGGACTGAAGGCATAAATAGATTTTATGATTAGTTGAGCAGATTTCACTCTGCTCTATTCTACGCTCTATTCTCATGCCGACGTTTACTTTGTTGTCTGATCATCATGTATACGAGTGGCGAGGCTCTAATTATACGGTTCCTTGAATGCAGTGAGTCACTCTTTAGAAACCACCCGCTGTTGAGAAGGTTGCAGAAAGGGCTTTGGGGAATGGTACTGTTCTACGCTTGTCTTATATATGGTATTACCACTTCTAATTAAACGCCATTTTGGACAGTCTCATTGTTAACACGAAAATATCCAATGTGTTACTGTGACCCCAGAACCTCTTCCCTCAGTATACCAAAAAGGCGAATATCAAACGGCTTGCCGTTCTTGAACCCGGCCTTACGTCGGCTGCCCTCGAGCACATAGCCCGCTTTCGTGAGCACGCGCGCGCTAGCGTCGTTGTCCCCGAACACGCATGCCTCTATCCGCTGCACCGGCCCTCCAGCAGCAGCAGGGTCCACGACGTGCTCGAACGCCCACCGGGTAAACGCAGCCAGCGCCTCGGTAGCGATGCCCCGGCCCCAGACGTCCCGCCCGAGCCAGTAGCCCACCTCGAGCGTGCGGCTCTCGACGTCCGCCAGCCGCTTAAGGCCGATGCCTCCACACACTATCGTCGTCCCGGCGTGATCCGGAGGCGTGCAGATGGCAAAGTTCAGCAGCGGGTCCTCAGCCGAAGTGATCCTGATCTACCGCTCCGCGTTCGCTAGCTTGTACGGCGCTAGGCACGCGTTGCGCATCTGCCGCGCGATCGCCGGGTCGTCAGCTGCTGCTTGCAGCGCGGCCGCGTCCGACGCGGCGAACGGCCGGATCACGCAGCGCGAGAGTGTCAGGATTGGATGTCCGGGCTGCTGCGGGGCGGGGTTTGCCATGATGTAGGCTTTTATTCCTTGGTTTTTTTCTTGTCCTGCGTGTATTTAGACGAGGACTGTTATGTGCTACAATTCTTTTTCCTATCCGAGTAGTAAGTGGGTGGGTAGATGGGGGCTGCTGTCTGCGTCAGAGCAAAGATATGAAAGTTTTCTTGCCTAATATATAGAGCTGGCCATCTACGGTGAATAATTGATTGAGTAACTCACAGCGCACTCGAGTATTTTCGGATGGAAAGGCCTCCCCGTTGAGGTGTGACAGGCACAGCGGGGTAAACCAATGAAGTGGTTTGGGAAGCCCTTTTACCAGAAATATGAAATGCAATATTTCATGTCAAGAATTAGGGAGAAGACCGTTGTAGAAGAGAGCGTAACCCTCCACTGTTGAATTATCGCCATGCACTGTAGGTACATAGGCGCCAAGGCGTTACAGCTCACCGGCTATGAAAATACCACTTTTTACAGCCACATTCGCTGGCTGCACCGCTCTAAACGCTGGCAACGTAATTGTACCGTAATTGCACCTCGCCGCCATCGCCAACGTCAACACACTTCCGAATGCGATAATTGAAGCTCAGGGCCGTAGAATTGCTTAAATCGTTCAAATCTATAATAAAAATCGAAGCTGGCTTCGTTGACTTCGCTTACATAATATGGCTGGGGATGTAATAAAAAACTACGGCCTATCACAACTACTTATAACTACTAATCCATGCCTTCTAATGCCCGGGCACTCGGTCGCGGAAGCCTTCCACTTCGTATAGGCCTTAAAACACGACCTTCAGCTACTGTAGAGGTTATATGGCCACATTAGAGGCTGTAGGGCCACGTGAAGCTCGTGATGTTGTGCCGCCCCGGCTAACAGGCTGCGTGACTTGGTGTTGAGCACTGCTTATTGCCCCGCTAGCCCGGCTACCCGCGCCTCGGGTGCTTATTGCCCGGCCACCCCGGGGAGTGCTTGTTACCCGATTGATTGACGGCGCCGATGATGTTTTTTAGTAGTTGTGGAAGGTCGGTTAAAGTGGAAAGGTAAGGTTCGGTTGCGTTGTGGTAAAAAGTGGTAAATCACTACACGGCAGAATCTTGGATGTACTGGAGAGCGGGGTGGGTGGCCAGGGCTAGGGTTATATATAGTGAATCACAGTTCATAGCGACGATTTAACACTGGAGGGTTACGTTCTCAAAAAGAAAAGGAATTACATGTGAAGAGAGGTCTTGGAGTCATGAAATAATTGAGCAGCTCTGTATGGCTTGTCAGAAATTCTTCTCCTGGGGTAGTTTTTCGTACATATATATAACGGTTTCATTTAGCTGAAGTTGCTCAGTCTAGCTTGTGAACCTGCTGCCATGTGCTAAGAGGCTCTGTCGGGATTTCCCCAAGTTCGCTCGGGATACGAAATTCCAGACATTCAATGGAATAAGGCTGAAGTTGAGACCTTGGTGTGGGTCAGTAGAAGCATATGGTCAGTGCACCAAGCCAGTAGCTCCGGAGGACCAATCGCAGGGGCGTATAGCGGACATTTTTCGCCAACAGTGCATTGTGAGATCTGCGTGGGTCGTGTTAGGTGGCCTTAACTTTTTGAAGCTGATGCATCCGTGTCGAAGGTTCAAGCTGTCGTGGGCCGGCACTGAGGTTCGTTGAAAGTGGCACACCTTGCTTTTTGATCAATTGATGCCGCTCATTACACAATTCTAACCCTAGTTGCAATTGCACACCAGAATCCCCCGCCGCATATTTTGCACCACACAACAAAGGGTGATCCGCCCCTTGCTTAACGGGGCCCCGCGGCGTGGAACCGTGACAACCGAACCAACCCTCGGAATCCAGCGTTCCTGGGCTGCGACAGCAAGATGCCTCCAAAATCGAGATTCACGAGGCTCGACGCCTTTACGAAAACCGTCGAAGACGCGAGAGTCCGAACCACCTCTGGCGGCGTCGTCACCATAGTCTCGCTGATTGTGGTCTTGTTCCTTTCCTGGGGAGAATGGGCCGACTACAGGAGGGTGGTCATACATCCAGAGTTGATCGTGGACAAAGGAAGAGGTACGCGCGCGTGCAAGCTCGATGCGCTTCTCGAAGCTGACAACGCGACTTGCGACAGGCGAGAGAATGGAGATCCACCTCAACATTAGCTTTCCTCGAGTCCCCTGTGAGCTGCTCACCCTGGATGTCATGGACGTCTCCGGAGAGCAGCAGCATGGAGTCCAACACGGCGTCAAGAAGACTAGGCTGCGGCCCCAAAGCGAAGGGGGCGGTGTCATTGAGTCGAAAGACCTGAGTCTGTACGTTGGAAATACAAAGCAAGTCCTTGTTGGAAGATCTTGTCAGACTAACGTACAGTGCAGACATGCCGCCGACGAGGCAGCGGCTCATCTCGACCCAACGTATTGCGGACCCTGCTACGGAGCGATAGCACCGTCTCATGCGGCCAAGGCCGGGTGCTGCAATACTTGTGAAGAGGTCAGGGAGGCATATGCTCAGGCGTCGTGGGCCTTCGGTAAGGGCGAGGGCGTCGAGCAGTGCGAGCGCGAGCACTACGCTGAGCGGCTGGACGAGCAGAGGCAGGAGGGCTGCCGCATCGAAGGCGGCCTGCGCGTGAACAAAGTCATCGGAAACTTCCACATCGCCCCGGGCAGGAGCTTCAGCAACGGCAACATGCACGTGCACGACCTGAAGAACTACCGCGAGACCACCACACAGCATTCATTTACCCACGAAATCCACAGTCTGCGCTTCGGCCCGCAGCTTCCTGCAGACTTTGGGAAGAAGCTGGGAAACAAGAACATGCCTTGGACGGACCACCACTCGAACCCGCTCGACGGCATGAAGCAGGAAACGGACGCCGCCGAGTTCAACTTTATGTACTTTATCAAGATCGTGCCGACTTCGTATCTCCCTCTCGGATGGGAAAAGAAGTACTCGGCTTACCGAGAGAACCACGCCGCCGAACTCGGCGAATTCGGCCAGTCGCCAGACGGGACTCTTGAAACGCACCAATATTCCGTCACAAGCCATAAGCGAAGCCTTTTAGGCGGCGACGACGCTGCCGAGGGTCACCAGGAGCGCGAGCACGCCCATGGCGGCATTCCGGGCGTTTTCTTCTCCTATGTAAGTGAAAACTACATCGCTCGCAGACTAGATTTCTGCACTCTTTGTTCGCATAAGTACCGAGTTAACCTTGAAACCTTAGGATATCTCACCCATGAAAGTCGTTAACCGAGAAGAGCGGCCCAAGTCATTCTTGGGCTTTGTGGCCGGCCTCTGCGCCATTGTCGGCGGCACCCTGACCGTAGCTGCGGCGGTCGATCGTGGGTTGTTTGAGGGAACCACTCGTTTGAAGAAAATGAGGTCGAAGGATCTCTAAAATATATCTCGCTGTACCATATACGCTCGCTTATTTTTTTGGTCTCCTTTCTTCGTATTTTTGTGGTTTGGTTGCTCAGGCTGGCGGTCTTGGGCGCCTTTGCCTAAGTTAAACGTAGATGCATCGGCAGAGGAGTTACGGCTTATTTAGGAAACGAGGAAAAACAGGGTGTGATACCTTCAACTCTGACTTGGTTCTCTCTCTCAGCTTGCTGATTCGCGTGTGTATAGCGTTGTAGATATAAAGGCTATATATGCTATGCCCGCTACCAAGTGCTGCAGCTTGTGGCGCCGTGGTGAAGATGCAGCCCAATTTGGACTCCTTCATTTCCCAGAATACCTATTCCGTAAATTGGCACACAACGAAAATAACAATAATAAAAACAACTAGGCGCGACTCCATGAACATGTGGCTGCGGTTATTGCACATGTACGTAATAAAAACTACGGAGCATATACCTAAGGTAGGTAAGGTTTTCACGTTTAGCGATATGCGTGCACTAGCTTAGGAACGGAAGGTGCTTGGGAGTCGCATGCCTACCTAGATACCTTACATAGTATGTAACTGAGAGTTGGAAAACGGGGTGTTAAAGCCGAAGTCATAAGGTTTTATATACCACAACAGTCATTAACGATGGCCATTACGTACCTACTTGATAGATGTAAGTGGATGGAGTGTCTTGGATGTTGTCCGTTTCTTCTTTCAAGCTTTCTCACGGACGGAGGCGGTCCGCGACATGATCCTTTGGGTTGGGGCATTGGTTCGAGCGCAGCAGCAGGACCCTTTGAAAAGAGATTGACCTGCAAAGCACGGTAGCACATGCAGGTCCCCCATGATCCACCCGCAACAGCCCAACTATCGTGGAGAACCCCTGCTGGGGCCGGCTGCTTGTCTTGTTCCAAAATTGCGCAACATCCGCTTGGGCTGTGGAGAGGCTACTCATTGGTCTAGCGTCGAACACAATTCGAGAGGCGCCAGCTTGCACGACATGACCTGAACGCGACGTAATTGCCCGAACTGTTCACGTGTGCCCTGAGAGAGAGACAAGGCGTTTACCGGGCTGCTGAAAAAGTTAGAGTGGGTGACGCATCTGGATGATCAAGAGGCGATCCGCTATCATCATTGGTCAAATTCTGATTGAAATAATTTCTAAAAAGAAAAAAAGGCTGAGCTCTGTGTGAGGCGAAAAAGGCGCCGAGTCACCTCAGCTAGGTAGGTAATGAAACGACATGTCCGCTGACAACCTCTAGCAAAACATGCCGATGGAAGGCTTCCCCTCTCTCTTTTGCTGAAACCGTACGTAACAGACACAGTAGCATGCGGATGAAGCCGATTCTTAATCCTGGAAAAGCCGGATTCCAGCCGAAGGAGCCTCTCCCACGGTCTTTGCCAGGCTTCATCTTTTTCGGATACAAGACCTCGTATCTACTGCCTAAAAGGACAGCTGATAATTCTTGGCCTACGTGCAGGCGGCAATGTTTTGAGGCACGGGAGTGTCCAGCTTAGCCTTGGTTTGCATCCTGAGCTCGAAAACCTCGACGAGTTGGTGGTAAGCCGGGGGCACGCGTGTGGCACGGAGGCGGCGATGAGTAAGGCCAGGCTTCCGATTACAAGGAATGGGAGGCACCTTGGCTGCCGCAGTCAGGCCCAGGCTGCGGCGCATCCGCCTAGTCAGACGTGTTTGTAAGTACCGCTCCTCGTTAGTGAATAGTTGTTGTTAATGAGGTTGCAATTGCTTCTCGGCTTCATAACAAGGTCTCATTAGGTATAGCCCTAATGAGCAGAACACCATCTCAGGTAGGTATTAAGGTAGGTTAGGCGTCAATTGATACCGACTGATTTGAAAGTTGATAACATGCTCCGTTTTTGCTGGACAGATCGGGGCTTTTGGGTTCATGGTTCTAGGTCATAGGTCAGAAAGCATTTGAATCCTGATGGAAGACGGAGTTTACCTACTTCATGTTGGTGGGTTGTTGGCGAGTTGGTCGCGGCAAGGAAGCCAAGCGATGGATTGGCTGCGGCGGGATGGACCTGGGGGGCCCGGGCGGGCCCTTTTCGACGATCCATCCACGAGATGGGAGAGTTCTGGAAAAGGGGAAAAGGCGAGCGGGTGCCCCTGGCTTCTTGGGCCTGGGCCTGCAGGGAAACCGCAGCACCGTTTACGCCGTCCGTCTGCGCACAGACCAGCCTGGACACCCCTTAGCGTAATTCGTCTTTGGGAGCTCCACAGTGGACCGTTCTCTTTGGGCGCTGGCAATTCAAGAGACCCACTGGTTGGCAAAACCGTCGCCCGATGTGCCTGCACTCACCCCTGTTGCAGAGACCCCAAGGCCCGCTTGATGACGGGCACTCCCCTGTTTCCCCCCTTCCTCGGCCAAACGCGCGACGCTTCCCCAGTTTCTTAATCCGTTTTCTTGTGTTTTGTGAAGGTGGCATGGCCATTCTAGCTCGCCTGGCATTAATTCAACCCGACTCTCGTTGGCCTTCATTTCTCAAATCATATTCCCAAGACGCCAATTCGCTCGTCCGATTACCCATTCGCTGTGCGCCGTCCATGTGTCCAGACTGGAGTGGCTTGCTTGCTGTCGTGCACTTGCCTCCCAACACAAAAAAACTGGCTCTGTGCCCCCGACGTTGATGCGCGGCGCTTCTTCGCGGCAAAACCTGCTTTGACGTTGAAACAGACAACCCTCGCCTACGACGCCTTAGCAAAATCGCCAGAGTTTCGAGCGGAATCAGGATATCGATCACCGTGGGCAATTTATCCGCGCCTTTCAGTCCTCGATCCTGGCGCGGGCGGCATTCCTTCACGCTCGATCACGCATGCTTTCTTCGTCGCACTCCACCATTCTTTCTCGCTCGACTCCCGTCCTGTCTGTCATCGTTTGACTTGACCTCATACTTTATGCGCTCCCGATAAGCTCGACTCGCATCCCGGCTGTTGTAGTCGCCCTACCGCCGTTGCCATTTTCGCCTCGCTGATCGCGCTGTACCCTCAACGCGAAGGTTCGCCGCCGACCCTCGCATTCCACGGAGCGAAGATTTTGTCGCCCCGACTCGAAATCCACCAGCGTTCGACATCGCATCACCAACTATAGCGCATGGGAAGTCTGAGGTAGCGTTCGGGAGCATATCCGTCACAATGTTGACTCCACGGCCGGATTATATCGACCTCAGGTCAAAATCACAAGCGTCTGTCTCGCGCCCGCTCAAATCGCCCCGTCTCCATATTGCTGGGGAGGCGCCCCCAGAATTATCACCACTGGATGCCTTCGCGATGCAAAGCCGGCTGCTGGCCATGCAGTTAAAAGAGAGTGAAAAGCAGGGTCGACGAATGAGCCGGCTACCGCCGTTGACGACCGAAAGCCCGTTGATTATGCAGGGCCGATCCGACTACTTTCGCTCCATGTCACACGATTCCGGTTCTGATGACGGCGATCAAGGAAACGAGGTAATGGGCCTCGGATTCAGGACTGAGGTGGACGACGATGCTGCGCAGCGGCCTGTCTCGGTACACCCACAGATGAGCCATATCCTGCCCGCGCCAGATGATTCGATTCCTCTGCCAGAGCGTGCGACTGCGGAAATATCAAGATGGGAGCAGTTGAACGATATCAACGAACACCAGACCTTTCTTGGAATTGGAGCACGCAGGGAGCTGTCTCCTACCCCCATAGACCGCAATCAACTCCCTGAGAGACAATCAGAATCGAGATCAGCAATTTATGACAGCGTCACGCAGCAATCGCCAACATCAAGCTACCTTACCTGCAACTCACCCGAGAAGATCGCCAAGAAATCCTCGTTCGAGTCAGGGGGGCTTGTTCCTCCGCGTCCTTTATTCTCCAAGCGGTCATCGAGCATCATGTCATCCCCACTTGAATCAACAGACGAGGACGGCGTCAGCTCCCTGAGCACCTCTGTTCACTCACAAGGCACTCGCAAGTTTTCATCTAGCAGTGGCAGCGTTCTTTCCCCTGGGTTTGCCCCGTCTCGACGGTCACCGTCTGTTAGCTCCGATGCTTCGGGGCTTCCTCGCCCATCCTTCAACTTCTCCAGGCCCTTGAGCAGAGCTGGCACGCCGAGTTTTGACTCGCCCGCCCGGCAAGCATCATCAGACAGCCAGGCTTCATTTATTCTTGCAGACGACACCGCTGGAACCCCTGTCAGCATGAATGGGGAAGGGTTTCCCGACTCGAACGTTGACAATGGGGTAACACCTGCCCCATCGTATATCTATTCGAAATTCTCTCTTCCTCGTGGCAAGGTTCTTCAGAGACTATCAGCCATGCTGCTTGAGAGCCAACCAACGCCAGCGAAGTTTTCCTGGGAACAACCCGCTGTTGCACTACCGAGCAACGTCAGGGCGTATCCGGTGGCTGGGCAGCCTCCTCCTTCCCCGCCAACTAGGCCATCTAGTGCTGCAGGAAGCCGTCTGTTTGAAGAGCACCTCCCACGTCCATCGCTAGAGGGCAGTAAGCTTAGCGTCGAAATAGCCAGGCGCCTCGAGCAGCCTTCCCCCGACCCAAGCCGTCCGTCCACAGACAATGCTCGTCCCTCCGAAGACATGGCAAGGGGACGGCCGCTGACCTCCCCTCTGCATGACTCTCCACGAGGGAAAACGCCCATGTCAACCACGGCTAGCGACTCTGCCAGCACTATTAAAGCTGCCCGTTCACAATATTCATACACACCGACGATGACAGACTTGTCGGGAGAAGAACACGTGAGCAAAGCTGTCGAACTACACGAAAAGGGTTCTCTCCAAGAGTCGACTTGGCATCTGCGCCACGCGGCGAGGCAAGGTAATCCTACAGGTATGCTTCTATACGCTCTCGCCTGTCGCCACGGGTGGGGAATGCGTGCAAACCAAAAAGAGGGCGTAGAGTGGCTTCGGAAAGCTGCCGAGTCTGCCAGCTTGGAAATTGCGGATGAGGAAGGCCTGGCCAAGGAAGGGAACGCACTTGATGTGGTCGAGCGTAAGACGCGAAAAGCTCAGTTTGCTTTGAGTATTTACGAACTGGGTGTAAGCCACATGAACGGCTGGGGCATCGAGCAGGACAAGGCTCTTGCTTTGCGGTGCTTCGAGATTGCCGGATGTGAGTCTGATACCCCTCTGCTCTCTACTCTCGACATTTTGCTGATAAACTATCTAGCGTGGGGTGACGTCGATGCTTTGGCCGAGGCAGGCTTCTGCTATGCTAAGGGGATCGGCTGCAAGAAAAATCTCATGAAAAGCGCCAAGTTCTACCGCGAGGCAGAGGCAAAGGGCATGAGCATGGTTGGCAACAGCTGGTGAGTTTTCTTGCTGCCTTTATTATTGATTTATAAGCTTACAATCTTTCAGGATTCACAAGCCGAAGTATAATGAAGACACGACCGACTCTTCCAAGCCCCGATCGAAATCGAGGTCGAGAAAAGGGTTCTTCAGCAGGAAGACGCATACATGAGAGCACGCCACACGCTCACTTTTGCTCTCCCTTCGGTGCTCTCAATACTTGACGATAATGACAAGCCATTAAAGCGATCTCATCATACCCATCCATTTTCTCGGAGTTTTTCTATTTTTATTTTTAGGATCCGTTTTGCTTATGCGTAGCATACGGCGCCTTCTTTCGTCCGAGATTCAAGAGATCACGATCTTCGTTATTCTTCTATCTGTTTTTTCTCTTTTGTTCATCTTGGGTTAGATCTTACCCTTATTTCTCCCTTTCCGCTTTGGTCTCGGGCTTAAAAAACTGCTGGCCTATTCTACATATCAGCTTTTCACAGGCTAAGAAAGGAGGGCAACATTTTTATCACATCTAATTCTATGTATTCTGGAGATTTGAGGAGCCCCCGGGGTGGGTTACCTATGCTGTACAGAGAGACGTGTATAAGGGAGCGCGTCGTCACCTTTTTGCTAGGGTTTAAATGTTCGATCTGTATATATTGAGATATGGATGGGCCTTTTGATCAGGAGGCCCAGGATCACAAATACAGGAATTACAGAGCCAGATAGAAGTAAATTATTGCCCCTGGTGGCCATGAAAATTGGCCCGAAGTTCTCAGGCGCAATCCAACAACTATGGTCGAAGTATGCTAGATGGTGCTTTTAGAAAGCTGTCAAGACATCGGTGGAGATTGTACGAAAATGCGGCGTGTGACAAAAGAGACGAGGCACGGGAGTCGAGTCTTCAGGCTATCAGCCCGTTTCTTCGTGATTTGACATATTGTACAAGAGCGCCGTCTAACTCGCCTGAAGTCTGCGCGGCCAGGTACTAAGCCCTCTTCACTGGTCGGGAGAGTGGTACTACCTAGTTATCCTAAGCATCTACCTCCATCTTGTCTCCGGTCTCCTCCACCGCAAGCTCGTGCACGCTAACAAAGTTGCCGAGATCTTCTTTCCGAATAATCTTCTCGTTCAAGACGGCTGTGGTGCCCCGCTTGAAGATGTAGCTCTTGAGCTTCGGGACACGCTCGTTGGGCTTGATGTAGTTGCGCTTGAGCGTCGTCTTCTTATCGGTGATGATCGCCACGTCGACGTTGCTGCCTGAGCCCAAGTCATTGAAGATACCCGACTGAATGGCCTCGCTGCACAGGGCCACGGCTTCATCCTGGGTGAGCTGGGGCTTCCACTGTGTCTCGAAGACGGACATGGCGGCCAGCGAACCCGAGCCCATGGTCACGTAGGGCAGCTTGTCCGTGGACCCGTGGGCGTGCACCGTGAACAGGTGCGTTCCCGTGGGGTCGACGCCCGCCACCACCAGGTAGGCTCCAATGTGGCCTTGGTACCGGAACAGGTGCTGCTTCAGCATCGTCATGCATGTCACGACGCGCGGCTTGCGGCCCGTCGACAGCGAGTGCAGCTCCAGCTGCGAGCTGATCAGCGCCGTCGTGAACTCGGTGTCGGCCGCCGTGCCCGCTCCCGCGCACCAGATGTTGGGCGAGATGTAATGCAGCTTCTCGCAGTTCTTGTCCGCCACGATGGGCCCCGATGTCGCTCGCGTGTCGGCCGCGATCTGTCACCAGTGGTCAGCAACGCGCACGAAGCTTTGGGAGACGGGCTAGGGACCCGTCGGTCCCAGTAAGAGGACAGAGAGAGACTCACGACTACACCACCCTCGAATATGCACCCCACAATGGTTGTTCCTGTGCTCGTCGCCTTGGGCAGGGGAACGCCCCGGGCGTGTAGCGCGGCATTGCGGTTGTAGTTTGAGAAGTCAAAGCCCGGCATTGTTGCGCCTGTCTATCGTTTCCCGAGCGGGCGCCCGATAGAATCGATGAAATGGCTTCTGGGACTTGCTGTAATTGGTTTATTCCTGGCTGCGATGGATGTCGCCTTTGCTGGTGAAATGTGTCTGCGTCGTCGGTTTCGTCGCCGTTGGTTCTTCTGATCTGGATAGCTTAGCTGATGACGAGGCTAAAAGCTGCCTTCTGGGGCTCTCACAGCGCAAACGAGGCTCAGGCAGCCAGTCCCGCTGAGCTGGCTTGGCTGCGGTTGGACGCGCTTACAAGGCCCCAGCGCCCGGCTGTCACTAAAAAAGATGGCCCAAGCTCTCTAGCACGTGATGTGGTAAGGCCGAAGCTGCCACCACTTTGTTACTGTGTGCAGGGGGGTGTGGCTGGCTTGGGTTGGCATGGCAGGCACGTCCTCAGGTACGGCGGGCAAAAAAATTGGGGATCGCGTCTGCTGCCTGTAGCTTTGACTTGACTCTTGAAGAGTCGACTCTTTCTTTCTGCAATTCTTTGAAAAAGCGGCCTAACACGCAACATCTCTACGGCTTCTGAGTCTAGCAATTAATTGCACCCACTAACACTTATACTGTTGCACTTCATTTTGCTTGCCGGACGTGGCCTCCCGCGACCGGTCTGTTTAGGCTTTGCGCTTCCCAAAGCTTAATTCGCAGCTCCCCAAGCACGCGCGCGCGAGCATCCACAAATGCTGAGAAGCAATCTGTGAACCTCGAGTCCTCTGTCCAAAGGCGGCTATATTGCAACGGTCATGGCCTTCAGCTTTGGAAACAATGCCGCGGCGGGCGGGGCCGCCGGAGGGACAGGAGGACTGACGCAGGGCAGCGATCTGGAAGTGATCGTGACCGAGGTGAGTCCTGCTTCTTGGATGCCACTTTTTTGCTTCGATTTCCTGCGCCACAAGTACTAACTGCTAATTGCTAGGGTCTCGGCTTTCTCGCACTCGCTAGTGATGCAAAGGTCCAACTGACCTCGCGATGGTCTCCCCCCCCAGCCCCAACCGCATCTCTCCTGAGCATTTCCCCCCGCAAAGGCCTAGTCGCCGCTGCGGGGCCCGATGCTGTTCACATTGCAACTACGGATTCCGTACGGAAGGCATTCGAAGCTGAACGGAGCGGCGATAGTGAAGTGCGGCCGTTTAATCCTGAGGCTAAGGTGCCCCTCCCCTTCCGCATTTCGCAGCTTGCCTTCACGGCCGACGAGCAGTTCCTCCTCTTGTCTGCCGAGAGTGGCGGCGGTCTTGCGGCATACGATGTCCAGACCCTCGTCCAGGGCGGTACGCAGTCAGCCTTTGAGCTGAATACCAATGGCGAGTCAATCCGGGCTCTTGTGCCCAACCCTATGCCTGAGCTGGCTAGCTTTTGCGCTATCGTCACCAACAATGGCAACCTATTCATGGCCAACCTCGCCGAGTGCAAACTCAATGCCGGACCCAACGGGCCGACGTTACGCTCGCAGGTTAGCTGCGCGGCATGGAGCACCAAAGGCAAGCAACTGGTTGCTGGTATGGCGGATGGCACTATTTATCAGATGACACCGGATGGCACGGAAAAGGGGCACATTCCGAAGCCTCCAAGTCTCGGTGATTATCACGGTAAGTTTTGATGAGTTATTCGTGTATTTTATGACCCCTGAAACTGACATATTCTCTAGTATCCTCCGTGACGTGGTTGGAGAACAACGTGTTTCTTGTTATTCACAACCCAACGAATGGACAAGATCCATCGGTATATCATATAATCACTCGACAAGCACCACCTGGAGGCACCCTGACTTTCACCTTTCAGAAACTTACAGATCCCGTGGAACCTTTTGGATCTGACAAGGTTCCGCATCATTCTGTCCTCAGACTCAAGGACTTTCCACCCAACCTCCAGGATCTCCTCCTGGTTTCATCTACTGCTACAGAGACTATAGGCATTTTGTCACGGTCTAAAACTCCACTGTCTAGTGGTAAGCCAGCCGAGGCAATCACAAATGTCTTTACAACGACGGAGCTGGCAGACGATTCAAGACGTGCTCAGCTGCCAATGAGCGAGGATTTGGCCGAGACCTTCCCAGTTGGAACCGCGCTTGACTTATCTGGAAAGGATAAGGTGTACAAGCCCATTCCAACTGACGAGATGGAGCAATCGCCAGGGCCGCTCCCAGGGTTGTGGATTTTGAATAACGAAGGTGTCTTGGCAGTGTGGTGGACTGTCTACAATGAGTCGGTTCGGTCAGGCACGACTTACCCTGGGCTTGTTGCCGCAGATGCCGGCGTATCAGCTCAGCCTGCAACTGTCAAGAGTTCTCTCCCCTCAGCTTTTGCATCCCATGCCAGTGCGCCCGCGTTTGGCGCCCCTTCCAGCGCCGCCCCTGCTTTTGGCACACCCTCCAGCGCCGCCCCTGCTTTTGGCACACCTTCCAGCGCCGCCCCTGCTTTTGGCGACGCATCAGCTATCGGAGCCAATTCATCTCCTTGGTCGACAGGCCCAGTGGCATCTGTAACCCCCTCCTTCGGATCAAGCACCTTTGGGAGCGCGCCCGCAGCGGCAGCACCTGCTTTTGGAGCCCCTAGCTTTGGGACTAAACCGGCTGGGCCAGCTTTTGGCCAGTCTTCAACGATAGGAATGGGGCTAGGCACCAAAGTATCACCTTGGGCGACAGGATCTCCCTCTACCGCAACCCCGGCATTTGGCCAATCTGGCTTTTCTAGCGCCGAGGGAACTCCCAAGGTATTTGGCAGTGCCGCTGCTGCTACGCCAACTTCTGGAGGTTTTGCTGGCTTTGCTACCAAGAGCGGATTCGGGGGCCTGACAGGCAGTCCAAGTGGCCCTAGCCTCTTCGGGTCCAAGCCCTCCGGGGCTTTTGCTTCGACCACGCCAGAAGTGTCGATGGATTCTGATACGGCGTTCCCCCCTTCGCGAGCGAAAGAAAACTCCTCTAACTTTGGATCCTCGCCTTTTGTGCTTGGTACTACATTTAAAGCCGATCCCAAGGCCTCTGACGATAATGAGAAGCCGAAGCCAGGCGCAGGCAGTTCGTTGTTTGGAAGCAACTTTGGCTTATCACTGACCGATGCGGCCAAACAGCCTGTTGTCTCTGAGGTAAAGGTTGAAGATATGGATAGCACTGCCCAGACCCCGGCCCCTAACCAGGAAAAGGAAAAGGCCAAGACCTTGTTCGGTCTCGAATCCACGACACCGACAACCACACCGGCTCCCCCGAAGTTTACTGCTTTCCAGCCCACCTCGGGGCCTTCGACCGGATCGAGCATATTCGGACAGAAACCTTCAACCTCCTCTAGGACTTCTAACATATTCGGGACATCAAAGTTGGCGGCAGCAGAGGGATCGAAGCCCAGCCCCGTCTCGTCAATCTTTGGAACTCCAAAACCAGCTTCAGCTACTCCAATTTCATCATTGTTTGGAACCCCAAAAATCAAGAAGGACGAAGATAAAGAGAACTTAGCAGATATTCCGGAGGCCCCTCTCCCACCCGATGCCACTAGTAAGGCAGTTTTCCACCTCAGTGATTCTTCATCGTATTCAGGATCATCATACTCACCAAAAGCAGCCTCACAAAAGTCGATAAAAGCCGGAGACGCTCCACTACCGCCGGATTTTCTAGGGAAGCCCGTGCCCACCAATACAAAAGAAGCCTCGCCATCGCAAAAGCCCGTACCTAAAGAAGCACCATTGCCGCCCGATTTCATTCCTGACAAGTCAGATTCTATATTAAATCCATTTATTGAAGATGACGCACCATTGCCACCCGATTTCGTCGTCAAGCCGGCATCTCTGCCTCTCCCAGAAGCCCCGGCTGTTCCTAGTAGCCCCGAGCAAGACGAACTTTCTGAGGAAGGGGAGCTTTCAGAGGACGATCAAGAAGATAACGAAGAAGTGGAAGACGGTACAGATGCTGCTAGTGAGGGCAGCGGTATTGATGTTGCTAAGGATCTTAGTCCAACCGCTGGGTTTGGCAACCGTACTCCAGGGTTTACGCCACAAAGCTCATTTGGAGGAATGGGGGGAAGCACCTTTTCAACCATCTCGCGCTCAGAAGCTGAGCAGCCTCGAACGTTGTTTGGCGAAATCAGCAGAAATGCCCCCCCCTTGTTTGCGCAGCCAGTACCCCAAAGCCCTCGATCGCCCAGCCCAGTGCGTGGAGCATCGCGAGCCAGTGTGCTAAGAACCAACGAAACACCCCGCTCTGTCAGTGCTCCGGGAATGGCATCACAGATTTTAGGTCGGAGGCCGCCAACTTCACAGGGGAATCTTGCTTTCAGCACTACAGCGCGATCCTCCCCCCCTATCGACCCAAATGTGCAAGCGCAACGTAAACACGCAGCCAAAAAGGAAGCAGAAGTGCAAGTGCTTGTTGATCCAGAGGATGATGGCATCCAACAGATTCTACGTTCCGAAGTACATCCAACTCTTAATATGAACGAGTTTCTCGCTGTCGACACAAAACTCGAGATAATCGATGCATCTACGAATGGTAGAGAGGTTCCGGTTGCCTGCGAAACCTTGTGGAGAGACATCAACCGCATGGTTGATAGAGTGGGCCTCAACTCAAGGTCTCTGCAATCCTTTGTACTCGGTCACACGACCAAGTTCAAGGAAAGCAGCCGCGATAAAGAAGACCTCGAGAATCCCGATGACTGGGTTCTTGTGGAGGTAGAAGGCCTAAGCATTGTGGAAAACGAATTGGCGAAAGAGCTGCAAGAAGGCCGCCTCAGGGATGTCGAAGAGACAGGGGCTTCGATCCAGGATCTGACACGCGACCTTGCAAAGCTTCGCGTAAAGGAGGAAGACATGCGCAAGGTAATCATGTCGCACATCGATCCTGAACAACTCGCAGCGGCGAGATCTCTTCCACTCAGTGCAGAGCAAGCGACGCAGCAAAACGAACTACGAAGAACCTATGCGACGTTCTCCAAGCTCTTGGCCGAAACCGAAGAGGCCCTGACGATGCTCAAAGCCAAGATCTCGTCGGCAGGCGGAGCATCAGGCAAAGCCCAAGTACCCACTGTTGAAGCGATCATACGTACCATCAACAAGATGACGGGCATGGCAGAGAAGCGTAGTGGCGACATTGATATTCTCGAGAACCAGATGCGTCGACTGCGCCTGGGTTCTATGGGACTCAACGATAGTCCTGGACCTCGCAGCCGAGAAGATTCGCCGTATAAGACACCGCAGAAGAGGTCGATTCTCTCTCCAGAACGCATGCGCGACTCCATGACATCATCTATCGCGTCGTACGGCATGCGAGGAACCCCACCCCGCAAGAAGATGAGCATGTATAGCGAGGAGGAGAAGCAAGCTGTACGTCAGAAGTCGGCCAAGAGACAGGGCACTCTCGAGCGACTGCGCTCGAGTCTGGAACGTTCTGGCCCAAATATTTCTCGTCTTAAAGATGATGACTAAATTGCATCAAGAATTTGGGGAGGGAAGGCAGGTTAGCCCTTGGGGGGTGTTATGAAACGACCATACACGTCGTTAATGGGTTAGTTGGCTGTCGGGAGCCCAATATTGGTTACAAACAGGATGTATACTCTGGCAAATGGCTTTTTTCATAATCAGAAGGAACCGAAACCTACGAGCCAAGAAACACGTATGAAGCCTTGGATTAGGTTGTAAGGAAATAAAGGGATTAGCATCGCCTCGGTCGTTTAGGTAGTCTCAGAGATAGTTTACTCTTAGCACAACTCTGCCCTCCCCAACGAGGGTATCTGCTATTATTATCATACGATGCCTTAGGGATAAGGACCTTGGGGTTCCCCTTGGCCGTCCAGTATTAAGACGGACTAGAGTTAATAACCCACGTCTAGATGGTTGTTGTCCTGGCAGGTTTTAAGCTCTGTCTACCTCCTTTCCGTAGTTAGGTACCTTACCTTACACTTTATTGGTGTTTCATCATCTTACTACTTTGGCCAACAAGAGATATTTATCCTGTCAGGGGTTAGCCGCCCCCAAGCAGTTAATTCCATAGACGCCGGGTGATGAAGTGATTTGAAGCTCTACCAGCGGCAAAGATAAGTATCTTCTGTTCGTCCAATATAGATACATAACTTATATAAAATTTGCGTCGTCCGCAGCATGGTCGACAGTACCTAAGGACTCAGGCCCGTGGCAATATTGACCCCGTCGTTCGCTGTTATCCCCCTTGACCGCCCCCCCCCCCACCAACACACCCTTTTCACGATAATCTGAAAGCGAGCAATTACTCCACAGTATTTGGATACAAAGTGTTCTTGTTTTTTGTTGTAAAAAATGGCATTCAAGCAGCTCTCTCGTCGCCACACGCCAGAAGGGATGAAAGCACCCACCGAAACAACCCGTGCTGTGTGCTACCCAAAAAAAAAGCAAGATAGGAAAGGAGAAAAAGGGGACTCATTAAGGAGCGTTACTTCTGTGCTGATTTGATCAATCCTTCCATTCGTCTCCGTTCCGGATCCCGGTGGGCGCACCGAGAGGGTCGGTATGTTTTGATGCTTGGGGCAGGGGCGCGTCATCCTCATCCTCGTCGAGGGCCATGGCGAGCTCGTCGGGGTCGCGCATCCTAGCGTCGGGATCGACAACGCCTTCGGTGACACCGTGCTCCTCGTCGTCGTCTAGCGATGGTTCGTGCTCGAGGAGGCCTTCGTCGGCGCTGACCGAGATGCCGCGCGAGCCCCACTTGGGTCTCACATTCCGACTGTTATTGGTGGTAGAAGAGGGGTGATGGTTGAAGGCGCCGCCAGCGGGGCCTCTCTCCTCGTCGTCGTCGTCGCCGTCTATTTCGCGGGCAATGTGCTTGTTGCCGAAGATGCGGCCAAGCAGCCAGCCGCGGCGCATGTCGTCGGCGTCGACAACCCCGCCGTTGCGCAGCTTGACGCGCTGGCGCGTCCAGTATACCCAGGCAAAATCGGCGTAAAAGGCCGTCTGGATGATGCCGAAGATGACAGAGATTGGCTCGGGCTGCCGGCCGTTGATGTCGAACGCGCGAACGATCCAGCTAATCAGATACAGGCCGCGATACGATCCCAAGAACACAATGTAGAGGGACGTGATGACTGTCGGCACTGTCGTCTGGCGCAGCAGCAGGAGCTGCGGTAGCACGGCAAACGCTTCGAGGATTTGCGAGAAGACCCAGAGCCACTTGAGTTCGAGACAAGTCAGCGCGCAATCATTGTAAGAGGTGGGGTGGGAGATTTAGCCGGCCAAAACAGAGAAGGTTAGTGAGCGGTGGGATATCAGTTACCTCTTTGAAGCTCTGCGCGTTGGAGAATATCAACATGGCGAAGGGCGACAGTATGAGACAACCGGCGAGTATGCCGGCACTCAGCTTCCAGGCCACCTCACGCTCCCGTGTGCGGGGGTAGACGAAGCGCATGATTCCCAAGGTGTAAAAGGACGAGAGGATGTAGAAGACCTTGAAGAAGTGGTTCCATTTCGACGTCTGGAGGCCCTGGAACAAGTCGACATAGCGCGTGAGGAAGACCAGGGTGTAGAAGACCTGCATTATGAGGGATACACCTGCGGGCAAGAGCAACAAGGTCAGTCAGCCTTTAGGTCTAGGGTGCGGCAAAGGTGAGTGGCAGAAATTCCAGGGTGACGTGTGCATCCGTACCTTCAGCGCTCCTATTTCGGTGGATGGAATATATCAGGATACATTTCGCCGTGATGTGCGAAAGATCCGCAAGCTCCCTGAATATCTGTACGTTGGACATAGCCGTTAGCCAGCTGCGCTATTCAATTTTGCTCTGCTGCCATGTCCTCAGAGGGCCACCCGATGCTTTGTTTGTTTCCTCGCCCAAGAAAGACTTGCATTCATCTTGTGCTATGCGGGTTTCGAGTTGTTTGCACCCTAGCTGTTTGACGTAGTCGTTGGAGACAGGCAGTTATCGAGGAAATCCGAGCCTGGGTAGGGGGTTGCCGGCGCGGAGGGCTCGGTGATCTATTGCATCACTTGGGTCGAACGGTTATCGGTCGGGTGGGATTGCCGGCTTGCGTGGCCTGCTTGGCTTGACGAGCGCGACAAAGCTCTGGGGCGCCGAGAAGTTGAAGTTGGGGAGAAAACAGTACGGAAAATTAGCGCTCAGAGGCAGTTTAGCCAGCGACGAAGCTGGACGTTGCTGGAGAAGCTTGGGCGTTGAACCATGGGTGCCGCTCGGGAAATGGTGACGATGAGGGCGTGGAGACAATGACCAGGCAGCTTATTCACTGTTGGTAGACATGTTGAGCCAGAAGCTCTCCCGAGGCACCCCCACACCTGTCTCAGCCTCATCAGCTGCAAGGATCCGGTTGTCCAGCTGCCTTTCAGCCGGCAGATAAGGGTTAGGGTTGGCATTCTTGGATGAAAAGGGGTCGCTCTCTTAGCTTCGGACCAAAGTCAACAACATGTGCCACACAAAGGCCTCCTCGACAATCCCTTCGAATGAAATCCTTTCAATCCCAACTCACTTCTTTTCCTTATCTATTTCGTCATTTAATGGCGTGTTTTTTTTGTTTCGTTTGTTACCTTAAGAGATTGTGGCCTTAGTTTGTCCTTTCTTTGCGTGTTGCCCCTGGAGATTTAGGATGTGTAGACACCATCAAGTCCGGCCGGCTCTTTCTCAACGCACTCATCCCATAGCCAAAATATAACGACTGCGAAATCTGTAAAGCCGAAGAGAGCTGGCTTCCAACACGTCGTATCTATTACTTATTCGCTGGAACTCAGCATGTCCGCGATATTACACTCGACCAAACCAGGAGCCTGAGCTTCTGCGACCAGATGGAAAGGCAAAGCTGGGCCCATTTACTTACTAGTTACCATGTACAGTAGATAGTTACATGTATCAAAATAGAAATAGATGCGGTCCGGTTTGTGTCAAAGGTTGGTCTCGGGGGTTTAGCGTCGACACACAGCGTCCAACTCACCCGCTCGACTAATACAGCCTTCTCATGTTCCTGAGTAGCTCACTTTTCTCTCACTTTTTACTCGCCTCACTTGTTGTTCGCTTTGCTTCTACTCTTTCCTCGCTGCTATCTCTTACCCCGCCAAGAACAAACTGGGAGTCCCGTATAATTTTGAGATAGATCTGTGAGGGCCGGGTGCCTTACCTTTCACTCTTCTGCTCCCACACCACACCTACCTGCTAAAACCTCCAGCACACAACTTTGCAAGGGTTCAAAACGGCACCAGCTCATCACACAGGCCAGCCTGGAAAAGAGGGTCGCCTTGACCGGAACATCATCTCACCCCTCAACTCCAGCTGTCCTTCCCCAAACACTGCATCGAGCGCGCGATCGGTCGCTAGTCGGCATTTGCACACTTGCTCTTTGCCACTCTCGTGTTTTCCTACTCAAATTTTTGTAGAGGAAGTCCTCCTTCCCAAGCCGCAATCAAGGCAGCATCGAGTATTGAGAGCTCGACGCGGTAGTCGAGAAACAGCCCCCGTGTATTCTCTTTGCCCAAAGTAAAGATGTATTGCACCTCGTCATCCAGCCCGGTTCCCCAAATTTTACACGTCGGAGCGCCTGCTAATAACAATTACCCCGCGCAAGTGCAAATCTTGCACGAAAATATTGGGAGAAAGGAGCCATGTGTCGAGTCGACCAGTCTATCTGTGTCGTGTGCGACTACCAGGCTCGATACCGCTTCCGTGCCTGCAACACCTGGGCACGCACCCAGTTTGACCGCCACCCCAGTAACGATAAGTTCGCCCCTCAGGAGCGTTATGATGTCGATCGCGAGTTCAAGCCGGGAACTTGCTTCAACTGCGAATGGTTCGTGCGGTACAACGTCAACAAGCCGTATGTCTGCGACCACTGCATCTACGAGGCGAGCGTGATCCGCCACGCTCGCAACGTTAAGGCGTACAGCGATCTCCTGCTCCACATTGCGGGCAGACGCGAGGAGCGCCGACTGAACCGGGAGTGGTACAAGCACGAGTCCATCCGGTCAGCCATCACCAAGGCCTTGCTAGAAGAAGACGGCGACCTCCAGCTCGAGCTCGTGAACAACATCCCCCAGGACATCATCGAGGCCGCTGAGCAGAACAACCAGGCGGGCTCCCCGGCGCTCGAATTCCTGGGAAAGTATCTCGCGCACTTCTGGGAGACCGAGGACGCCGGCTTCTTCGAGATGCGGGCCGCGGACACCGACATCTCGTGGGTCACGGTGCGGCAGCCGCAGTGCCCGCTGTGCAGCGACATGCGCCCGGACATCATCGGCCACCGGCCCGAGTTCAAGTTCGAGCCTAACGCGGCGGCCTGGCGCCTCTTGCAGCAGGACCGCAAGCGCGCGTCCGAGTGCGAGATGTCGTGCCGAGTGCACCTCGGAACCTTCCCTGAGCCCTGCGCCCGCTGCGCCGAACGCGAGCAGCTGCTCCGCTACGAGATCGAGGACGAGATTAAGCGTACGACTAGCTTTGGTTGGATCCCTAAGCTCTTCGATTGGATCAAGAAGCGGTCGCGCAACTCGTATCTCGAGGATACCGCCGCCAACGGCCCCTGGAAGCGCGGCTCGATGGTCCCGCCGGCGACGGCGGACGATGCGCTGCTGCTGAGTCCCATTGCACGCAACAATGCCGTGGTCGAGGCCCACAATATGATGGCGGAAAAGTGGAAGCAGGAAACCAGTTCCTTCTGGAGAGATACCGCCGTCCAGTCGAGATCCGTCCAGCTGATTAGGGCAAGCGAAGACAACGACGTTGAGATGGCTAGCAGTGGCGGCGGCGGCGGCGGCGTCGCCTACAGTATCATTAGCGCCAGCGCTTATAGCGACGACACGAGTATCCGTAGCGGCGGTAGGTATAGTGTCACCAGTGGCAGCGTTAGCTACAGTGTCGCCAGTGGCAGTGCCAATGACACTATTGCCCACTATCGTCGACGACGGTAGCGGAAAACCATGGTGGCGGTTGCGTGGTGGACACGGAGTTTGGTTATGGGATTGTTTCGGTCTCGGCAGCATTGGTATCGGTAACTGTGTTGGCGTTTTTCTGTCTCCTTTTCGGGGATGGGGGAGGAAAGGCGTTTGGAAGGCGTTTAGGCATCAAGCGAGGCTGTTCAGCTCACACCACTTGGGAACCTAATGTCGAGCCCCAGCTCCTCTTGTTGGATCACGGGCGCTCTGCATTTGTACGTGTGTATGTACTGGATAGTTAACTGTTCAGCTAATCTTTCTCGGCAAGCAAATCAGGAGCAGTGAGGACAATAATGCAAAAAAATTAATAAGTGACATCAGGGGTTTCTTGTTGCGATGGAACGCATTCACGGCCTTGGTTAATCTGGCATGGGTTTATTTGCCAGGAGTTCCAACGTGCTTGAGATGATATAATCCAATCCCTAAATATTTGTTAGCGGCGGACTTTCCAACATTTGAAAGACCTAAATAACTTACAGCTCGCCCTGAAGTTTTTTGCGCAAGAGCTTGTAGAACCCCTTTTATAGAATCTCAGAGGCCTTCTTACTCCTAGAAATACCTATATATATTCAAAGCTTCCACTAGCCGGCGCGTTTGCTCTTTATTCTTCTTAAAGAATCTACCTATATGCTACACTTATAAATAGTTCGGGATTGAACCAAGGTACATACTCTTCTAAGGCTGCCCCTTCAATTGTAGTCAAGGCCGAGGGGAACGCTGTGAATCTTTACCTATTCCCCAAGGCTGCTACGTAAGCCTTCTATATCCGTAGGTATCAGAAAAGCATGATGTGCTAAAAATGTGGGTGCGAGACGACAAACAGACCGGGACTCGAGAAGTACATAAGGTAGTCCATGCTATGTGTGGTGGACGGACACAATTGCTGGTTTCGGTGGATGCTGACGCGGCAGGTAGCAGTGACGTGGCTTGAACAAGCTTGAATAAACCTGGTTACCGGGCGCCTCCTAGTAATTCCTAGGCTAGGACTCTTCATCCACTAGCAGACGTGAGTTTTATCGTCCGTGTTAGGGAATGGGGAACCATAATCCAAAGGTCAGGAAAATCCGCAAAAGGGGTTCGGGCCTTGGCATTCACTTTGTTTAGGTTGAACTACGGATACTACCTCCCCCCTCATTCCGTGGTCATATGGTCACAAAAAGAAAAATCAAGCTTTCTTTTGCCCGTTGCGTTTCCCCGCCGCACAGGGATGCATGCATGCGTTTCAGGGAAGGTGCAACGGCTTGCTTATCACACCTCCCTTAGCGTTGTGCTCGACACGCGGCCGAGCAGGGGACCGTGAATGTGCCGAATGCAACCCGTTGTCCATGTATGTAGCATCATCGCAACCAACCCTACAAACTCACCTGAGAACAAGATAAACGTCGGACTCCGTTCCTTCGCTTTTTTGTAGTATGATGCTTCTCTCCCCGGACTCATGCGGACGCCCAGGGCCGACGGGCGGGCGGGATTGGGAGACTGAGAGAAACCCCCAAATCCGAGACATCGAATCCTGGGCTGGGAGTGCGAAGTGCGACTTCCTAGGTATATCGCTACTAGAACCAAGGCAGACGCTCTTTCCTTTCAGGCTCTTAGCCCTCTTTCTTTCCTCTCCTGGCTGTCTAGTTTCTAACGTCCGTAACCCTCGCTCAATTTGAACTGGTTTGCATGCCGTTCACACCCCGCCGCGGCAGGGTCACCTAATTCCTGCTTCTTTCATCAATCCTAACCAGGATAATTGATGTCGATTCTGGCCAAACCCCACCAAACCATCTATCCCTAGCTCTCATCTACCCATCCATCTGTCTCTGGTCACGCCAAGCCTGTTGACTCGGGCAATGATCTCGACCTCTGTTACCCTCGTCGATAAGTTCTGTATTTCTGAAGCCTTGCCTGCGCAATTTGCCTATTTCTTGTTGTGCCATCTGCCTTCCTGAACTCTCCAACCCTCCCACCCCGGTCTTCTCGGGTGACTGGCTCTGCTGAAAATGCATATTTGCCATCTTTTGCTTTCTGCTGTCGTCTTTTCGGCAGTCGCGGCGACGACACCAGTACAGAAGCGAGATGCCGACTTCTTATCGGTACGGACAAAGAATACCAAGGATATGAGTGGGCGGGGAGGGGACCCGCCCGAGAAATACTTTCGTATGTGAGCACTTGTACAGACTGTCAATCACTGTCCATATCCTGTTTGCAGCGTTTGGTTTGATGTTCTTGAGCTTGAGCTGATAACGGACGAGCAGATGAGTCGATGTAAGAGACAATGCTCCAGTGGAAAACAAAAGGCTGATTTGGCACAGCTTCCACCCACACTACGATGGCCGGTATTGTTCAAGTTGCCCAGGTGTATTCTGCTAATACGTTTTCTGATACTGCCCTGCAGTTTTGCCGAGAGCACACTCAACTACACGGAACAGAAAAAGGCCTTGAGGGGCCTGGTACAGGCATTTCTCGTCACATTCAATGACCTAAGTATTGAGACGTGGCTCATGCACGGCACTCTTCTCGGATGGTGGTGGAATAAGCAGGTAAGAGTAATTGCTCTCCCATACATACGAACTACCTGGATTAACTCATATCCTTCAAGATACTTCCGTGGGATTCCGACATTGACGTCCAGGTTTCTGAGACAAGCATGTTCTTCCTGGCAGCGTACTACAACATGTCTGTATTCTACCATCGTATGCCGGGGAAGCCAAAAGGACGGGAATATCTGCTGGAGGTGAACCCCCACTATCAGAACCGGGGGCAAACCGACAAACTGAATGTCATCGATGCGAGATGGATCGACATGGAGAGCGGGCTTTTCATTGATATCACAACTGTCCGATACAATATGACTCATCCTGCCGGGGAAGGAATGATGAGTTGCAAGGACGGTCACGAATTCAGGGTAACAAAGATACCTCTCCTAAGATAGAGCAGCAGAAACTAACATATTCTAGGATACCTATTTGTTCCCGTTACGAAGCGCGTTGTTTGAGGGCGTTCGCACAAAAATCCCATACCGCTACCGCGAACTCCTGGTCGGGGAATACGGGGAAAAGGCGTTATCACTAACCGAGTTTAAGAAGTAAGACTAATCTAGAACTCAAAGGGGATGGGTTTCAAAGATACTAACACGCTTCGTAGCCACCGGTTTGACGACGACCAGATGGAATGGATCCCAGTGACAGAGGAGATGAAATCTCGGGCGGATCTCTAGATTATGTAAGAGCACAAGGGAGGGGATCGCGTGAATGTGGGAGACAGAAAAGTTCACAAGATGGTGTCTCAAAATACGGCAAACATGGAAGCAGCTGGTGTGAGCAAAGAAAATACCAAGATTTGGACGAAGGATGGGCGGGTGACCTCGAATTGAGATAGCTTTGTTTTCAAGATCACCCTGGAAGCAGTTGTCAGAAATATGTTGTTAAAGCAACATTGAGTGATGAATTTAAGAAACAGTCAAGCAAGCCAGTTATCTAGTGCACTACACATAAATAAATACCAAACCTGGAAGTAACCCAAGTTACGTAGGTGGACGTTTCAATACTTGGCATCTGAGCCTCATCGGCATCCGTTTCAAACCATAGTCTTGGCAGCGCCATGAACCCCGCTAGTGTTTGCCAAGCTCGCCATTCTGGGGAGGGACCCTGCACTAACCCATAATCCCCCCGCTAGTCCTCCCGGTCGCCCAAAGTCGCGTCTCGTTACATTCGCAGTCGCGTTCCTCAAAATAACCCCGCCGTCATCCTAGGCCAGGCGACATTTGGACAACCTTGGAAGACAATGTAGCGGCCTCACGTGCGAATCGACATTTCTAGGCTGAGGGGGCAACCAGAAACAGCCATGGCTACCAGTATGTTTCTAACGCGCTGTACCTTTTCAATTGATTTGATCGCAAACTGACAACGAGACATCGCAACTCAGGTCGACAGGAGCGCATGCAAGAGCGCATGCGCGGCGCTGGGTAAGCCGTTTGATTTTGCTTTGTTATTACTTCCCCCAATCGAGCATGTCCTAACATTGTGGAAGACGTCACCAGGTCGAAGACGTGTCGTTCAATTTTGTCATCCCAGTTGCCCCAGTGGCATTACCTGGAGAGCACCAGCCGACCCCCGAAGTCGATGCCCAAGAAATAGCCCCAGCAGCTCTCGGGCCATCGCCCACGCCCGCGCCTAATCTAACCCTGGCTTCTTTATCGCGGCCGATTTCTAATACGTCGGCCAAGAGAAAGCATCTAGCCCGGAATGCGGCGCGTTCGAGCCCGCCGTTGCCGGCGGCTGCAGCAGTCAGCCGGCGTCCATCATCGCCAGCTCATGTGTCACAGCCAGAAATCTATGACATCCCTGATGCCAGCAGCCCCGAGGAGGCACCAGTTCAGGTCAATGGACGCCTCAGGAAAAGATCATCACCGGCCCAGCGGCAGGTGGCGCCTGCTGAGCATGGTCAGCAGCAGGTAATCGAACAGGACCACGGGGACCCAACGGCTGTGGGGGCTGTTAGTCCAGCGCAGCCGCCGGTGTTATCGTCCTCGTCCTCACGGCAATTGTCTAGGCGCGTGGCCCGTACCGCCTCACCAGTTGCGACTGGCGAAATTCTGGCCGAGGAGGTGACCGAGAGCCCTGTAAGCGCACCGGGGAGCGGGCGTCGGCGGCGTGTACGCATTAGCGAGGGCGCGTTTGTCGTAGGGTCAAGTACACTGCTCCAACGGGTTCTTGAAGATCTTAACGAGACTACAACAACTAATGTGGGCGATGTACCGTCGTCTTCGCCGCTGGAGCGCATGGCGGCCGCGAGAAAGAGCCTTGGACAGCGGCGCTCTGTACCTTCCAGGGCAACAGTGACAGGGCCGCCCGAACCAGAAGCATTAGTACTATCGCCCGCAGCCACCCGTCGGGAAAGAGGGCGGCCATCTGGAAGCAGTCTCGCAAATCCCGGTGACGACGGCGTTGAAGGCAGTGCTCGAATATCATCACCCGATATGGGACCTCCCAGCGAGACTGATATATCTACCGACGTGGCCAATGACGAGGTAGAGAATGAAGGTGAGGATGAGGATGAGGATGAGGATGGGGCAGCGGAAGAGATCAGCGACAGAGAAGCCGCTCGGAAGTTGGGGAGAACCCGTACGAGACGGAGTCTGCGCGCTCCTTCGCCCGACCTGGGATCTCAGCCTATCGAGCAGCACGAGGAAGAGGAGCAAGAAGAAGAAACCATTGCCCCCAAGCGACGTCGGAGGAAGGAGCCAGAGATCGAGGGCGAACCAGTTGCCAAACGCCGCCAGAGGAATAGCACACAAGCAAGTCAACAATCTAAACCGCGGAGGGCTAAGCCCGTGCCTACGCCCATGCCTGAACCTGTGCCGACGTCCCGCCCCATGCCCAAATCCAAGGTTGGACCGATAAAACAGGCAAAAGGGCGGAAGGAGGGAAATCATTCCAACGGCGCCGACGGACAAGAAGAATCTCGAACGGATGCTGAGCCTGTTCCTGTCACTGTAACTGTCCAGCGCTTCACTAGGAAGGGAGCGGCACATTTCGGTGGCGACGAGGACGAGACCGACACAGAGTTTCTCAACGCCGAGATACCGTTCGCGAACCGCGCGGGCGTGAACGCCGTCGATGTCCTGTCCAAACTGTGCGAAGAACTTATCGAGAACTTCCTGGGCAAACTGCAGGAGCGGGCCTGGGAGGCCGGGAATCTAGCCGCCAAGAGAGAGCAGAAGACCATGCACCGCACGCTTGAGGCCTTTCAGGAGGAGCTGAGAACTCGGCTTCTTGAGCATGTGAGTTCTCTTGATACATTCTAAACTTGCCGCTCTTCATTCAGTTATCTCAGGAGAAGAACTAACAGGACGAACCCAGACAATCGCACTGGACACACTGCACGCCCTGCGGAAGCGGGTGCGCGTGACCCAAAAAGAGAGGCTCTCTCTGCGCGAGGAAATCTTGCGCATCCGCGCCGAGCGCGAACAGGTCGCTCTGCGAATGGACGCCATCCGCATCAAGCACGAAGCGGAGAGCAAGGAGGCTTTGGTAAGCCATCTCCTTTTCATGTTTCCTATTACCATTTTCAGCCCTCGCCGAAACCCAAACAACCCGGCCCCTGTCAAAACTTCCCCTACTACCTACCTTACATCTGAGACGGCAGGTTCGGCTGCTGACTACTGGTGTTGATTCTAGCGGCACATCTTCCTCTCCTCGGCCATGCACGACATCGACCTGGCAGTGGAAAAGGGCCACGCGGCCCCGGAGCTGTCGGCGGCGGAGCGGAAGCAGGTAGACCTGGCCAACCTCGAGCTGCTCATCAGCAGGGTGTCGGACCAGGCGTGTGCTGCGAGCGACGGGGGAGGGGCTTTGAAGCAGATCAAGGAGTTCAATGCCTTTTTAGAGCGGGCGGCCACTGCTTTGGAGAGCAGATGAGAAGATGAGATGTCCTGACGAAGCATCGAACGAATGTAAATGACACACACCAGTTGAAGTGGAGGTGCGGAATACGTCGAAACACCAGTATGGCTGCCGTATGGATAATTGGTTAGGAGCCTCGGTTTGGGCGTGCTGATGGTGATTAACAAGTTTGTTATATATTTGTATACAGTAATGAATATATAAGTGGAGGAAGTAAATAAGTCCCCCTCAACGGATAATAAGTATTCTATTTCGGCCCGATCCAGTTCCGGAGCTTGTCGCCGATCGACTCGCCCCCGCTGTCCTTTCTGGCTTCCCTCTCCTTGGCCTGCTCCTGCCACAGAGCCTGCACCTGCGACGCCATCTCGGCCTTGGCCCTGTGCTCGGCCCGCAGCGCCGCCTCTTCAGCCGCCCGGTCATGGTCGGGCAGCTTCTCTAGCTTGGCTCTCCATGCAGCCAGAGTGGCCGCATTGGGCTCCTCCCCGGCGTCGGCGGCCGCGCCACCACCTGCGCCGGCCGCCTCCCTGACGGCAGATGCCGTGCCGGACGCAGCTGCGGCACCTGCAGCCCGCGCCGTCTGCGCGGCTGGCGACCTATCGAGCAGCGGCGGGAATTTGGGCACGGGCAGCCCCTCCGCCTTGGCCTTCTCGATGGCCGTCTCCTGCTCCAGCATCCGCTGGTACAGCGCGTCGGCGTGCATCTGGATGTCCTCGTCGACCTCGCGCGGGCGGTCATATGTGGACAGATAGCCGAGGGCCTTGAGGAGTCTCTATATATATTTTCTTTCATCAGTAAATGAAGATGAGGAGGCAAGGTCGGGACTGGAAGAGAAGAACGTACAGACTGCACCATGTAGCACCGCTCAAAGCGCTGCACCTCGGTGTGACACATGGTCATCTTCTGCGCCCAGTCGCCGTTCTTCATGCAGTCGCTCCACGCCAGCTGCTCGTCGGAGCAGTTCTCCAGCGCCGCCCCGCCGATCGCCAGCTTGCGTTCCTTGAACCCTTCCAGCACATCCATCAGCTTCTCGTGGTCGCTCTTGGTCGACGCCTCCACCGAACTCTGCGACTGGTACGTCTTCCACAGGTCCGCGTACCGCCCGTCCTGGAACTGGCTCTCGCGCGGCACCGCTGGAACATCGCTGGCGGCTTCTGGCTGTTGGGGGTTTTGCGCCGACGCTGGTGTTAGGGGCGCCTTTTGTTTCTGCTGCTGCTGCTGCTGCTGCTGTAGTTGTGTTTGTTGCTCACCGGCGCTCGCAGGTGTGTATTTAATGGGCGATTCCTTCTTGAGGAACTCGCGGAGCTTGGGGTCGAGCTTCCGGAGAGGGTCGTTCTCGCTGTTGTCGCCTCCCCTTCCTCCCGCTCCGAACCACCCGTCGAGCCACCCCATAGCTGCTTTCCTGCTTGCCCGCGCCGGCGAAAAAACCCCCCCCCCAATTCAAGGCAGCCGAATTCTGCAATATCGAGGTATGGTATTGTCGCGCTGGATCACCTAGTAGTTGCACTGTATATATAGCATTACCGTCGTCACCGCCAATGGGTCAAGACGAAGCAAGCTCCGTTCTCCATTATCTCAGCTTAGAGCTCCTTCACAATTTGGGCGGAAAGTGGCGGCAGAAAACACCCCAGCAAGCAACCCAAACCCTTTCTACCCCATGGTTAGGGTTTCAGAACAACAAACGCCCCTTTTTGATTCATAACCTGAACTCCTCAACGCCGCCAAGAATACATCAACCTCCAGCAAAAATCGAACAATCTCTTTTAAATACCGTAGTCAGCCTCCCAAGTCATTTAAAAGAAATATACACAAGATTTTGGCTCTACAATAACTATCATGCATGTAAAGCCTCCGTCATGGACAACCACAAAGTAAGTATACATACCTAGGGAGAGGCATTTGTTGCCGTCGCCCGAAACCCTCTACGTTTCGGATCCGCGGAGCGACACAGCCCCCCGGATCTTGCGAGGCCGTCCGCACACCAAGTTTTCCACCTAATCAAACGACGCCTCTCTTTCCAATTTTTGCAAACCCTAACAAAGCCAGAGCCCGTCTGCCGTTGTAGTGTGATTCTACGGATACTCACTTGTTCTATCGTTGCCGCCCATCAAGCCACTGATCTGCTACAGCATGACTAACAAAACAACGAGGAAAAAACAGCTGACATCCATATGTTCTGTACTTTTATTTTGGTTATAGTCGATACACTAGTATATACAGTAAGAAAAAGGTTTGCATACAACGCCAGTGTGCTTCTAATATCAAGTCGGCGTAGGGGGCCCGCAACAGAAAACGCCAGCCTCTTGGTATAATTATAAGCATCCTCCCATATCCAATCGTTCTCCGACAAGATGTCCCACCCGCGAATTGCTCAGCCCGGATCATGTGTCCACAAGGCTGCCTCGCCCGGAGGCAAGTCTCGATGAACCGGGGGCGGTGTTAAAGGACCAAAATCACAAAACTGACCCTAACTTCATAATCGGGGTTTCAGACCTCGTTTTAGTGACGCCATCACGGATGGCAAGAATAGAACAGAAAGCCGGCAACCAACGCCCACGGTATTTGCTGTCTCCTCACAACAGCATCATGGCAAAGACACCGGCGGCGCCTACGACAACGGCCATCATTGAGCCCATTGTTCGTTCGGCCCCGGCGGTGGGCAAGATGGCGGTAGTAGAGTTTAGAGAATTCAGTTGCGAGGCTCCTGTTGGGACGGACACAGCTGTTATGACAGTAGAAGTCAAGCCATTTGCGATGGTTGTGACAGTCGTGAGGCTGAGAGACGAGGAGACTGCCACTGGGACCGCACCAAAAGAGTCTAGGCCGTCTGTCGGGAGAGCGGCAGGAGCCGTCGTGATGGAATCAGGCAGCCCGGTCGGGACGGCAATAGTGCCCGGAAGGGTTTGCAGCGATTCAAGCGACACAGTCGTCTCCGAGCCCAAGCCCGGCAGGGGTCTAAGAGTCCCCTCAGAGGCGCCTGATTCGGTGGCTGCCAAAGTCGCCGCTGTCTGCACTCCTCCGAGAGGGACGAGGGGAGTGAGAGGCGAGGCTGCTGCCACTGCCGACGTCTGCGCTCCTGGGAGAGGGACGAGTGCCGCCGCTGCTGCTGTTGTCTGTACTGCAGCTACGGCAACCGAGGCGGTCGCAGCAATTGGAGTGAATGAGCCAACTACACCCGCAGCAGCTCGTGTCGCCGCTGCAATTGGAGTAAGAGGCGCAGCTGCAGCCACGCTGGCCGACGTATCAGCAGCGGCAATAGGAGTAAACGACGCAACAACGGCTGCAGCCGCGGATGTTGCAGCAGCAATTGGTGTGAGAGACCCGGCCACGGCTACAGCAGACGTGGCAGCAACAATGGGCGTAAACCCAGCAACAACAGCAGATGAGCTAGCAACCACGGCGGCAGACGGCGGGCTTGCGGCGGCGGCAGGCGGTGGATTGACAACAGCAGCAGGCTGAAATGGAAGTTAGCACTATTCGGATTGCCAGCCAGACTAGGAAAAACAACATACCGCCGAAGCAAGACCCGGAAGAGGTCTCAAAGACTGCGGCGCTGCTGTGTTGAGGCCTGGTAAGGGTCTCAGGGACTGCTGTGCTGCAGCTGGGGCTGCAACTGCAGGTTTCACCACCGCTGGGCTAACAACCGTGGCAGCTGGTGCTGCTACTGCCGCTGCTGGTGGCGTTGCCGCCGCTGGTGGTGCTGCTGCTGCTGCTGGCGGCGCTGCCACTGCGTTCGCCGTGCCGGCCGAGGCAAGCCCGGGAAGTGGCCTCAGCGGGCCGGCGGCCACGTTGGTCTGCAAGCCAGGCAGAGGTCTCAGTCCCGTCGCCTGTCCTGCAGCATTTGCGTTCACCACGTTGGGGACAGTCTGCACGGCAAACGTTCCATTTTCCGCGCTGGCACCTGCACCGTTCCGGTTGTTCTGAGGGACGGCGCCGGCATCCTGAGCGGCGGCCGCCAGGAGAGCAGCAACAAAGGTACTCGTTGAAAGGCGCATCTTGACCGTCGAGAGCTGCACTGTCGAGTCTAGCTAGGCTGTGATATCGAAGGGATCGGCTGGCCAGGCCAAAGCTGGCGTGTTTGCTGAAAGGAGTGTCGAGAAACGAAACTGTGCTGACTTGCAGTTACGAAAGGAACGGCGAAGATAATACTAGAGATTACAAAAAAAAATAGAAAAAAGGAGAGAAACAGCAAGACAAAAGAGGCCTGCTCCTGGAGAGTAATAACACGGACGAGAGAGGCGGGAGGGCGTGTAGGAGAGAGGGAAGAGAAGAATCGAGAAAGAAACGGGTAAAGAGGAATGGATATGGGATCTCTCACGACATGGCCAGTCCCCACAGGAGATTTGCGACACTGTGAGTCTGAGGCATCACATCACTGCTGTACGATTCTGAGTGGGATGGGGGTATCGCCTGACACTGGCCAGCGATGCCATGTATGTACCGGTGCCTACTGCAGACGCCGGGACGAGACATGTCAGGGGGGCTTGGGCTTGGGTTTGGCTTGGTTGGGAGACAGATTTGCCGCCAGCCAAGCACTTTTGTCGGGCCCGTCTTGGTGATGGGCAGTAGAGCGCTCGGCACATAGTGTGTGGGCGACATGAGGATGATCGACGCGGTGGTGCGAGCACGCATCAACACCCTGAAGCAGTCGCATTCATCCGTCCATGTTCCGGCTTGGGAGAAGCGGGAGCGCAGGTCCAAGCTGAGGCTCTGACACGAGAGCCCTGCAGCGATGAAACCCACCCGTCCACAGCGCGGGTGTTAGTGACGGCCGCCTAGCTGCGCTGTGTTGCCTAACCGAACGGCGAATGCTATGCGCGATCCGGGAGAATCCCATCTGGGAAGCAAGTGTCTTGGCACGCCTATCGAAACAGCATCTTGTTCTCGTTCAAAAGTCTACAGTTCGCCTACGCCTACCTCGCGGTAGGCAAATTCAAGATTGAGGAAAGATGGGAATTGGAGAACTGAAGGTGGTGATTTGGGGTCGCAGTGCAGCCACAGGACACAGACCACATTGGTGCCCCCTGGCTGCGCTAAGTCTTTCCTCGACGTCTATTCCTAAAAGCTAGACGTTCCGCTCTCTCCTCAATCAATGACTATCTTTGAGCCTTTGGTATTGAGGAAAGGACGATGTGAAACTGCCCTCTAGCGGAAATTTTGCTGTTGTTATGGCAATTTTAGAATGCACGCCATTTCGGACGTTAGCGGCAAGGGTGATTGAGGGTGTGTACAGGGCTTACTGCACTTGAACCTCATTGTTCAAAATCGGCTTCGAATTGAGAATTATCTCCGATATTAGCGATCCCTACTTCAACGCAAGATGATACCCAGCCGAGAAAAAGACAAGAAAAGAAGCCGGGGCTGAGTTTTTAAGAGCTGCATCCATGAGTGCCAAGTCTTGTCTTAGACAACATACGGCGGCAACCAACCTCACGGGCCCCTCATTCCATCCTTCCTTCCAGAGCATGAACAAATCTAGATTATTAAACATTCTGTAGTAGTATTCACTTTCAAGCATTTCGATTTCGTCTCTTTTTTCAACAAATGGCAACAAAAAAAACGATCGCGGATATCAACTGTCGTATATACCTATATGAGATAAGAAAACCAAAAGAGTCCATCCTCCTGAAAAGCAAGAGCCCGTTACAAACATGCAGATGCCGAGAACGTAGGAAATAAAACCCAAAACCCACAGGGCGGGCGAGTAGCTAGCCCTTTCCCTCTGAGTCTTGCAGATGCGGGGCGTGGAAAACGAAAAGAGATCATGCTGGGAGAACGGGGTGCACCTAGTGACACGGAGTAGTAACGCTTGCTGAAATCGTATAAACTCCCCCCTCTCGGATTGTTCTTTCGTTGCAATCTTCTTTTCGCGATGCAGGTAGAGTCGATCGATCGACCGCAACCAGCTTCGTCGTAAAAGCTCCTGGAAGCAAAAAGGTAGTAAGCACCATCTTCGTTTCGTTCCCCGCCTCGCAATACATGTAGGTTTATCAATCAAAATGTTTAAAAGAGAAGAATAAGAGAGAGAAACAAGAAACCTGCAAATGCAATAATAGCAAAAAAACAAAAAGCCATCGTCCCTCGTCAGAGGAAAAATATGTACGAAGAAAAAAGGCCCCCCTGAGCACAGCCCTGGGTTTGTGGGTGAATGTAAAAAAGCAGAAACAAACCAAACTACGCCGTCTCCCATCTTCAGGAACTATGCATAGTCGCCCACAGTGGCTCAAGCGCCCGGCATGCCGGCGCGGATGTTGTCGTACTGGCTGGCCGGGTAGACGAGCAAGTTCGGCGAGGGGTCAAGGGCGGCCATCTGCTGGGCGAGGGTGGCGACGAGGCTGCTAGCGCCCGACTTGTCGCCGCTGGCCTCCCAGAAGACGGCGCCGCCGAGGCCGCGCTTGACGAGGTATTGGGCTTTCGTCACGGCGCTGGTGACCGTGTCGTACGTGATGAGCTCCTTGTTGCCCTGGTCGTAGCTGTAGCTGGCCTTGGCTACGTCGTCGAACATCTCTTGCGCGCCTGCGCGCGGTAGGTCGCGGTACAGCCAGACGCCCGACTGGATCGAACCCGCGCCGATGCCGTTGTACGGCTGGCCGAGCCCGGGCGTCGCCTCGAACGATCGCCCATACAGCGGGAGTCCCATCACAATCTTATTCGCCGGGATGCCGCGCACTAGGTAGTCGCGGACCGCCTGTTCCGTGCTGAACTTTGTGCTCTGCGGGTTGTTGCCATTGGCGAAGATGTTGGACTGGTGGCCCGACGTCAAATCCCACGAGCCCGCGTAGTCGTACGCCATCAGATGCCACGCGTCTATCCACGGGTCCATGCCCGGCAGGTCCATGATGTTATAGTGCTGCGCCCCTGCGGGCGCCGCGATGGTGATCAGGAAGTGATAGCCCGGAGCGTGTTGCGCCGCGTAGCCGTCGAGCGCTTGTCGGCACGTCTGAAGGAGCAAGACAAAGTTCTGTGCCTCGGCCGCATTTGCCGGGTACTCCCAGTCAATATCCATGCCGTCGAGCCCCCAGTCTAGACTCAGTGTCAGCAATTATAGCTTCAAGACTGCACTTTCCCACCATAGAGGGAAAATGGGAATCTTGGCAACGGGTTGGGCTGACCTTGAATCAACTTGACTGTCGACGAGCAGAAACGCTGCCGCCCGGACTCGGTGGCCGCAACCGGAGGAAACTTGGGCGAGTACGTCCACCCGCCAATGGAGAGCAGGACCTTCATGTTCCGGTTCTTCTTCTTAAGGATATATAGCTGCTTGACGCACCCGTACGCGTTGTTGCCCTGGTCGTTCCACGAGTCGGTGGGGTAGTGCTTCTGCAGATCTGCATACGAGTCCGAGGTTTTCCTGGCCGGTTGTTAGTCTAGAACATGCCATCAATCGATCCGCTTATCCAGACTTACACCTCGCCATCTGAGGCAATGTCTGCAAAAGCATATAGAACGTGGGTGATCTGCGAAGCGGGAAGCTGCTGGGGCTGATAATTCGCGCCGTAAATACCCCTGATTTGCAGAAGTCAGTATTTGAGGAACTAGAGGAGTCCAACAGATCTGCAGGAAAGCGCACCAGTTGGTGAAATAGAGTGCATTGCGATAGGATGACGGTGGTGCAGCATCAGCTGTAGCATTAAAAGCCGCTTCAGCGGGAGCCGCAGACTGTGGAGAGAGCGAGGGCTGAGCCTTTCCGGCGGCATCTGGCTGGTTGGAAGGAGCGTTCGCGACAGGGGCGGGGGCTTGGCTTGGATGAGAGGCCTGGCTGGCCATCGAGAAGGCGCCTAGGGACGCGGCCGGATAGTGCTGCTCGCTGGCCGCCGTCGGAGGAGCCGCCGGACTCCCTGTTTTCTCCTGGAAGCCAGAGCCGGCCGGGCCCGGAGCCTGCGTTGCCCAGATGGTCTTGGTAGCCGTTACCGTGACGGCCGCCGCGCATTGGATTTCCACGTCATCTTCGGGGCTGAGCTTGATGAGCTTCGGAGCGGCCGACACGGACGCCCCCAGCAGTAAAGGACAGACGAGAAGGAATATAGACGACAGCATCGTGGCTTGTACGACGGAGCTAGTTAGAGTTAGGGGCGTGGTAAGGACCGAACCTGGAGTAGAAGGACACGAAGGAGCAAGCGTCTAGCTAGAAGGACTTATAGGAGCTCTCTCTCTCGTCACGACTTGCCCCGCTAAGACGCCAGCGTAAAGAATGTGAATAGAGGCTCTTTTTTTGGCGGCGGGCCCAGCTCACCGACCTCAGACACTATCGCAGAGCTCTTGGAATGAGAGGCTGACTTGACGCCACGGGTAGCATGGCAAGTAGGGGCGGGCCCCTCTAAAATACCGAGACAGGCGGGTGCCATGGTTTCTTCCAGACTTGTTCAGGCGTTGGAGAGGCAGAGGAATGGAGTCAATATCGCGAAAGCCCCAGCCATCTTTAGCCTGAGCGGCGCAAGGCACTGGCCTCGGCCCGGAGCAGCGAAGCAGAGAAGAGGGCACGATCGTTAGGTAGAGAGAAGCGCGTGGAGTAAGGGAGGATCTCGACGATCTGTCCTTGCAAGACCGAGAAAGCGCTCGCGAAGGACACGGAATACCGAGGGGTGTAGACGGGGGAGCCGTATAGCAGCCTCGTGATATAGACGGGAGAGGCACGGGAGAAGAGCGCGGGTGAAGTCGATTACACTCAAGCTAGCATCCGGATATGCGAGCAACAATATCAGCATGCAAGGACAAACGATTCCGCCTTGTGCCTGCATCTCCGCGATAAAGTCGGCATTTATTCTGCGCCCACAAGTTAGGTCAGGTTAGAGCAGGCCAGGGCAGCGAGACTCGTAAACTCGGGTCAGGAAGCCGCCCCCTTTCCCCCGAGATGATTGCATCCAGGCCCCGGGGCAGGTCAGGGCAGGGATGCGGACATGGAATCCGGTTTAGAAGACCCGAGAAACCCCAAATCAATGCCGCCCTGAGCTGACTGACTCTAGAGAACGCGAGGTAGGTAGAGAAGAAGCCGATGCCCTGTTTCTGATCGCCATCGTGGTGTTCGGCAGATTTGCATACGAGTGTCATGCGCCAAGGCGTGGAACCCAGGAGCCTGGCGGGAATGCTGAGGTGGAATTTGAGCGACGGATCAACGGCCATTGCCATAAGTTGCCCGCGTTCCAAGCTGAGGCGCGCCCTGTCCACGAATGACTTGAGCGCCAGTCCAGGCTGTCGGGAGCAAGTTACAGTGGTTGCATATGTTAGCGCGTCCGCTAAGGCCCGTTGACTGCAATGGAACGCTGCCAAGTATGTACTGGCCACCTCATATACCATAGCCAAGGTACTCCGTGCTCAAGCACGCACCACCTTAGTCTCTTGAACAACCCTAATTGTCCCATACCAACAGGTAGAAGAAAATCGACTTGCTCCAAATATCTGTATTATTCAAGTAAAAAAAGTGCGTAGGTATTCATAGTGAAAAAAATTGACAAAAATAAAGATTTACGTTAGGCGCGTACCTAATCAACTCGTCCCCCTTCTATTATTGTAAGGCCCCTTTCTTGTAAACGCACCACATACTTTCATATCCCGAACAACAAACAAGTCGTGGGTTTCCTTGTTGGGGTGTACGTAGGTATAACCAACATAATAATAGTCTATGGTGGTTTGGCTTGGCCAACAATGTATAAAGTTGGCGCTCTTAAGAACATGTTGCCTCCCGGTAGGCGACCAACCCAGGAGATTCGTGCGTCCAAAAATTGTCGGACATGACTTTCTGTTTTGGCTGCTCTCCCAGATCTCACGGCTAGATGTTTTTGAATATCCAGAGAGGGAGAGGACATAGTGACAACCGCGCCGTTTCTAGCACATCGTATTCCGAGTCGGATCCCACATCGCAGGCCGCGCAACCGCAGCCTGCCAAACCCCCAAATTGTCATCAGCCCACCCTCTGCCTCTCCCTCTGCTTCTTCAGCTCGTTGTAGTCAGGCAGATACCAGCATACGACGGCGAAGAGCACAGCCATGAGGGTCATGAGCACCCAGATGGCATAGCCCCATAGCCACTGGGTACGGGCACCGATGGCGAAGAGGGTGGTGAAGAGGGCCGGGCAAAAAGCGCGCACGCCGCTGACCACGGACAGGGCGAGGGCGTTGAGCGTGCCGAGGACGACGGGGCTGGGTGACACGTCGTTGAGGGCTAGCTGCACCCCCGTAAAAGCCATACTTACCCCAGCACCAATTATCAAGACTAAAGGGGCGACGGCCCAGAATGTGGCGGTGCCCGCAGGGTTTGCGCTGCGCAGGAGCATGCTGCAGAAGGGCATGGCGGCGAACTCGACGGGCCAGGCGATGGCGCACGCTAGTATCACGCGGTTGGTTCCGAAGCGGTGCTGCAGCGGTGGAAAGATGAGCACCAGCCATATGGCCTGGGCTAGGCCCGTGAGTGCCAGGAAGAGGGAGATCTGCAGGTACGAGAAGCCGAAGCCGCCGAGGTTTGTAGGCGTGAACCAGAACAAGGGCACGACAGCCGTGTACGAGAATCCGAGAAGCATGACATGACCATAGGCGAAGATCACAATGGGCACGCCGGGCGACTTGAGCACCTCCCATGTCGAGAGCCTGGGGGGTTTGACAATGGCGGATTCGCCGGCGCCGGCGCTTCCCGGAAGGGGGTCCCTAACCAGGGTCTCGTCGACGAAGAGGACCGTGACGACGACGGCGCTCAGACCGAGGACGGCGACCACTAGGGTCGGGAGAACATAAGGGTAGTCGACCAAAAACTGGACGTTTACAAAGAGGGAGGGATACTGCTCGACGGGATTGGCGAGCAGGCCGCCGATTAGGGGCCCGACGAGGATGCCCAAGTTGCCGGCGAAGGCGAACCAGCTGAAGGCGCGGGCCTGGGTCTTGGAGGTGCTGTGCTCGGAGATCATGGCGCGGATGGTGACAATGGTGCCGGCGAAGACGCCGGCCAGGCAGCGGAACAGAATCATCTGCCAGATGGTCTTGGCCAGGCCGAACAGGGCCGTGGCAAAGGTGACGCCGACGAGGGAGGAGACGAGGACGGGCTTGCGGCCAAAGCGATCTGCGGCCTTACCCCACCAAATCATGACGACCATCTGGGTCAAGGAGAACAGCGACTCGATGAGGCCGCTGTAGAAGCCGACGTCGGCGTAGGCTAGGTTTCCGTTCTCCTTGCACATCTGGGGCATATAGGGGAAGATGCAGAAGAAGGCCACGGGCTCAACCCAGCGTGCGTAGCACAGCACGATGATCTGCCGTACCGGCAGCGGCTTGTCGTCGTCGCCGTCGCCGGTATGGCTGCCGTGGCTGTTGCCGGGCTGCTGCTCGTTGAGCGTGACCTCGGAGATACCGGGATCCGTGATGGACAAGTCATGGTCATCTCCCGCGGCCAGGAGCGGGGTGGTCTCGTACGCATGACCGCCATCGGCCGGCTGGGTTGACCGTGTCATTCTGGTGCAGGGTCTGGCTTTGTTGATGGTGTTCCCTTGAATACTATCGTGGTTGCGAAGTTGGTTGACTTGCTGACATTTGGTTTTGTTTCCCCCCCCCCATCGACAGTCAGTGACCACTCGTTAGGTGTTTGATATAGGAACTGAAGATGCAACCGAGTCTTGATGCCCAGTAAAAGGCGGCTAGACGGTGAATTGATTAATTCGTCATTCTACTCCATATATCGATGCGATTTCAATGGGGTTGGTTGCAAGACTATCCCCGAGGTGGGAATTCAGAAAAGCTCAGGGAAAGAGAGGGAGGGAAAAAAGAAGAGTCTTCGGGGCGCCTTTTGTCTTGTTTCTCTATCCGTGCTCTCGTTACATAGAAGAAGACTGCCGATCACCAAGCGACCTTCAAGGATGGCGAGAAAGCGAGAAAGCACGCTTCAGAGGCAGTAGAGTTGCATCTCGTTCCTTCCCAGTCCAAATAAGGCAGGCCCTAAATTTATTTCACCAACTTCTTGACCCTGGTCGCGTCTTTGTTAGGGAGTCGCCAGTCACAGCAGCATCGTTTTCTTCACCAGATTGCCCTCTTGGGTCGGAAACCCAAGTCGCACGGCGCCACTGATTGGCCGGATCGCGACCAAGATCTCATTCTCAACTTCACAGCGACATCATACTCCGTCCTCCTCCGTAGATCGGGACGGAATGCTGAATCCCGGCCGATACCTACTGTCAGCATTAGCGGCAGCCGCTGGTCAGTGTTGTGCGGCGTTAGCCGGAGTTTAGACTGGGGGGATAACGCGGCTGCCAAGGTTTCCCAAACCAAAAGTTTGCCTCCCACCCCCCCCTAAAAGGCTCAAACATCGTCGAGTTCCGCTTAGAGTGCTAGCGATGCAGTCTCACAGCTTATCACATTCCTACATGGAAGGGCTTTCTGTGTAAGCTAAGCTTGGGCTACGGGGCGTTTTATCTGAATCCCACATGTATTACCTCATCCGGACCGTTTTTCATGGACAAGCCGGTGTTGTTCGCTTTTTATTTCCGACATTTCCATGTGCGTGGTTGTGGGGATGTATGAAGTAGATCTTGACCAACCTACTAGGAGCAAAGCAGGCGCATAAGGACACCAGAGAAGCGACAGCAAATGTTTTGAAACCTTCAAATATATATATATAAAAATGATATTCGGTCGCCCGTCTACTACCACACTAGAACTCCATGAACTCAAAGCCAAAGACCAAAATGGGTTAGATATATAACTCGCTGGTAAAAAAAAAAAAGAAAGTAAAGCAAAACACGTAAAAGTCGTAAAATCAGAACACAAACGTCCAATCATCAGACATAGCCGCCCCTTGTGTATCGCCAAAGGAGACTCGCTCCCTTCAACGCAGGGACTGGCATCTTCTTTTGTTGCGACGACCCTCTCGGGGCCTCTCGGGCTCCTCCGCCTGCTCCTCCTCCTCCCGTCCCAACGTCGCGGTAGCCGTAGTAGTCCCCGGGGCAGGCGCTGCTTGCGTCCCAGCCTTTCTGGCCGCCGCCACGCGGGCCCGCGGGCTCTGCTTCTTCGCCACCCCCCACGTTCATCTCCAGCGACATGTTGATGGCGCGCTGGAAGCGTTTGCGGAACCTGCGCCAGTCGTCGTTGGTGGGCCACGGGTCGCACCACTCGCTCTCCTCTTCCGGGACGTCGTTCAGGTCCCAGTCGTCCTTGTCCTCGTCAATGTCTAGCGGGTAGTACAGCAGCTCGTTGAGGTGCGGGCGCCGCGGCGTGTGGTTGATGTTGGCCTCGATGTCGAACTTGAACCGGTACGCCTGGTGCACAAGCTGCGGCCGCGGCGCCGGCGGAGAAATCGATGGCGCTCCCCCGCCAGACAGGGTACTGCTGCCGTTAACCGTCGGAGGGAACCCAGTCGGTCGAAGCGGGGGCGCCAGAGATGACAGAGGTGATAATATCGCCCTCGCCTGCAAGCCGCCGTTGCCGCTACCCGGGTAAGAAACTCCTAGACTAGTGCCGTGCTGAGGGCCGAGGCTCGGCGGCACGGAGACCGAGATGGAAGGCGGCAGGGGGTTCCTCGGGATGGGGGTCATTGTGCCGGGAAAGCGGAAGTCGAACTCGAACTGAAACTCTTGGTGCACAATAAAGACGAGCATCTTCAGCTTGGGAAATTTGGCCAGGCTGGACAGCAGCTTTGCCATGTTCGTCTTGGAAACCTTCCAGCTCAGCACGGGGTGGCAGATGCCCGTGTAGATTCCGTACGACGTGCCGAGCGCGAGACGGTTAATGTTGTCCCGCATCAGGGGTATCTGGCTCATGAAGTGGAGGGTGCGGTGAAGGCGCTTGACGAGAAGGTAGGGCTCGAGCAGCAGGATGTCCCGGGACAGATCGACATATTTAGTCGTTGCGCCCAATGTCAACGGCTTGTAGTTGTGGAGGACAAAGTACCGGCTCTCGCGGCACACAGCCGCCAGCGCCGGCGGAGGCTCCGGGTGTACATTGGCAAACATCAGACCCTGCTGAGCCGGCGTCTTTTGCTTCGCATTGGGGGCATCGAGGACCTCGTATACGCGCGCTTCCGGCAGCGAGTATTCCCAGATCATGTTCCGGATCTCAGCCGGAAGCCGCTGGAAGTTGCTGAACCGGTCCGGCGTTGCTGCCGCGGGGCAGCACCGGTGGAAGTGGTGGTCATAATGCATTGCGGTTGTGCTTTGAGACGATGTCTTGACCGATTTCGAGCTTCCTGTTCCAGTGAGGTTCGTAGACGAGAGATATAACAACTCGGACGCCGTTGCGGCGGTGGCCGGTCTCGCCACACTGACCGGCTTCTCTCCTCGTGTAATTGCGTTGAGCTGCATGGGATATACCCGGTCCAGCCTCTCGGTGCCGAGAGCCACGTCAAAGGACCTCCACACCGATAATTTGAGCCGCCCTCTTGACGACTAGCCACTGGAAATAGTTGGGCGTGGTATAAGACGGCGAGCAGCCGGGTTGAATAACGCCCAACCTATTATTACAAGTCGTTTGCTGGGTTGAACACGTCTCCTGGGTGTTGGTTGGCCTCTTGTTGGGGCGCAAGTATGGTGAAAAGGAGGCTAAGAGGCAGTGTCCTGCAGACGGGTTGGTTTAAGAGCCGGAGGTTGGGATAATAAGTCGGCCGCGCACCAGTTCGGGTTGGCAGGCGGCGTTGGGATTATAAGAGGCTGAGCACAATAATATAGGTGAAGAAATTACAAGTCGCAGCACGGGGGTCCAATATCACGTCATCTGCTCTCGCAGGTAGGTCAAGTGGACAGGAAGGAAGAGGAAGTTGGAAAGAAAATCGAAAGTGCGAGAGGTCAGGGCAGGATCAAGGTTTTGGGGCTGTCTGTGGCTTCAGCTCCCGCTCCCATGACTTAACGAGGCACGCGGGAGGGCGAACCAGAGCTTAAGCTTGGGCTAATCAAGAGAAGCTAAGCTTAGCAAAGAGCACAAGCACCAAACAAGGAGCATGTCGGGAACCGTCGGAAACGAGTTTAGGGGGGTGTGAGAGACCAAAACTCTAAAACCTGCCATGCGTGCTACTACTGCTTGACATGGGAGGCGTATCCTTGACAGGAGGAGCAGAGAGATGAGATGAAAAAGGCCAAACCTTCCGCAAGAGGCAATCTCTCGCACAGGACTGGTCGGCACAGCAGCAGGGTCAGAGCGGGAAGTAGGGAAATAGGAGACGCGGTTCATCCAGCAACGGCCAATTGTTGGACAATGGCGGGCTTGGTCATGTTCATGTCAGAACGCTTCGTCACTCGGGCATGGCCGGCAGCCGTGGACGCAGGAGTGGCTTGAAGAGGCAGCTACTGGCTAGCAGGCCGGGAAGCCAAACCAACGTCAAGGCCGTTCAGTCAGTGTCAGTGTCAGTGTCATGGAGTGTCAGTCGGCTAGTCAGTCAGCGAATTTGCGAGGGCCAGGACCGCCGTCAGCTGCGGCCCCGATTTCTTGGGAGCGGGATGAGTGGGACCGGGGGTCCTTCGGCAGCGTAGCAGCGGAAGCGTCAGTCAGGGAGACGACCGTGAAGCGTGAAGCGTGCACCACTGGCGGCAGGGCAGGGCAGGGGACATGGCAGTGAGGTCAGCGGAAGGGAGTGGTGGGCTACGCAGTACAGGCGGATGGTACGTGGCCAGGGAAGGGAAGGGGATGAGCTATTCTTAGCATATAGAGCCCACGCTTTATTCCTGCAGTCTTCCAATTCATTAGTTTCCAGGCTTACCGATCTTGGGAACCCACGGTAACGTGCCGTCGAAACAGAGTTGCAGTTGTTGTGCGCCGGCTTTGGTGATCGAGGGGAGCCCATGGGGGACGGGCATGGCATGGGGCAAAGCATGGGACAGGCATGGACTAGCGGTAGGGGGCTGGCCCGGATGGGTCATGGCCGATTGACGAGCTAGCGGGAGCGCGGGGAGAGCCTGTTTTGGGGTTGGGAGCTGCTTGAGCCGAGCACGAGATGCACGGAAGTCAGCCCCGCGGGCGGCGTCATTGTGGTTGTCTTCCATTTGTGGGTGGTGATGGCGGCGGCGGTAATGGGTGTGGTGTCTAGGGGTATGGTATTGACTACGCATGCACATCCGTAGGGGGGAAGGTACTCTATGGATACCTGCCCGAGGTCTATCTGTACAAGTCAAGCTAGTTTAAGCAGTGTAGGTGCAAGTACCTTGAATAGGGGGGGCAGAAGTTAAGTTGGTACAGACATGGTCCTGCAAGACCCAACCGGAAGAATAATGGAAGAGGTGAGAGGCTGGGCTGGGCTGGAACTGAACAAAGAGTGTGGGTGTGTATCCGTATCTGCATGTGCGTGTTTTCAATGCGTGCAGGCGATCTGTTCCATGGTCCAGAGGGTGTGGAGGCGAGGCGAGGCGAGGCTAGGCGGGCAGGGCAGGGCGAGATAGACCTGGGGAAACTCTGAGAGAAGCACGTCTGCAAAGCCAAGACCTAGCTTGAGCTGGTATTCACCCACTGCTGATCCAGTAATCAGAACCGTTTTCTCCTCGGTCGAGAGTCTATCTGGTCGAGGACGCTTGGACGCGACAGAAACGTGGGATAATGGAGACTGTTCCCCGTGCACGTAGGAGATCGCACACTGCCACTACCTCAATATAGATACAAGGTAGTACAGAACTACGGCGCGAGGGGAATTGTGAGACTCTACAAACCCCAGAAGCTGCAACACGCACGCGGCGCCGGGGGTCAGCGGGCAGCGGGCAAACCCTCGTTTTCCGCAGAGACGAAACCAAACAGCGGTGGATCGCTCTGATCGTTATTTTTGTTTTGATCGTTTCGGCTTGCGAGCCGACGACGACACGAAGACATGAACGACACCAACGACTAGCGGACAGACCGCCGATGATGCGAGGCGATGCGATGCTGAACGGCGCGAGACGCAACCCAAGTGTTTCCTCTCCTGTCCTGGACGAAACCCTGTTTATTAACTAGGCACGCTCTGGCTCCCCCGCCAAGGGCTCAACAACGCGGGAGAGCGCCCAGAGCGTCCGGGCGGTTGGCCTCTTCTCGGCAGAGGCAGTGGCTTAGCTCTCGCCCAAGACAGACTGAGAGAGGTTCCGTATCGAATGAATAAAGTACTCGCACAAAAGCCACTGCAGCGAGCAAGCAGCACCTCAGTCGACGTGGCTTGGGGATTTGTGCCCCAAAAGGGGGCGTAGGGGCGGCCTACCAGCCCTGCTCAAGCGAGGGTTGCGTGACATATATTGAAATGGGCTCCTTTTTAATCAATCTGGTCGCGCGCCGCATCCGTTTCTGCGTCTCTGTGTGGCCGGCGTGATCAAATACATGCGCCGCCAGGAAGAAGTCCGCGAATCGAATGCGGAAGGCACTCCGATGGAGGGGGTCCCATCCAAGACGGAGACTCCAGAGACTAGACACCAGGAGACACTAAAGCTCCGGTAAAAGAGAAAGAGTGGGGGAGGCTGGAAATCCCGTCGTGAATAACACGGAACTTGCCCTGCCTGACAAACCCGCAACAAGCCCCCGTAACATGCAAGAGAGAGCAAATAAGCTAGCTAGCCAGCGGCCGAGGTAATTCCACCAGGTGGGCAAGGTTGGATTCTACTGACAATAGAAGACGAAAAATGGCGGGGCCGGCGCAGCGCAATTCTTCCGGAATGCTAGCTTGGCCGCTAGAGCTTCGGAAGCGGTTTGATTGGAGAATCCACAAGCACTGGAGAAAATGCAGCGAGACGAAAGAAAGAAAAGAGAAAATTTTCCATGACTAAGCCAGCCCCACCCATTTTCCATTCCCATATCAAGGCGCCCAAAATTTTGCTCTCGCTTTTTTTCTTCTCTTTTTTTTTCCTCGTGCGGCTGCCATGACTCTAAAAACATTACCCGTGTTGCTTGGGTTCTTATCTCTCCCTTCGGGGGGGATCTCCATGAACTTTTTTGCGTCAGTCGTGGCCCAGAGGAATCAATTGCAGGCCGGCCTCCATTTCTACCAGTCAGTCCACCGAGAATCAACCCTACAGGGCTCGGTGGTGGTTGGAGGCTGGACATAACCCCCCATATCATACCCATAATTATCATATCCCTTCGGTTACTATTGTTGGCTCGTCGTTTTCATGCCAACGTGTGTTACGGCTAAAGTTGATGAGCTGGGGTTTGAGGCTCTTTAGACCCTTTCGAGGTTACCGGGGATCGACTGAGTGGGCATAGGTTGGTGATGATGTGGTTATTCTCGACGGGAGTGTTTTACCTGGCGTCGCTGCCGCATAACGTTCAAACAATCTCGCCTATCAATGCCAGCCTCCACTTCTTCGCCAAACCAGGAAGATAGACAGCTTTTCGTTTCGTGTCAGGATTAAATGTCCGGGGGCGTTTAATCTCCGCGAATTCCCGCGGGAGAGGTTGGAACACGACCTCCTTTTTCATGGGAGGCGGCGTACAATCTACCTGGATCTCAATACCCGACAACGCACGTTGGATATTAGGGGGGCTCGTAATCAAGTCTGATGCGCAACCATTCAGCCCTCACCTCCCAAAATAGGTGAAAGAATGTTTCCAGTCCAATGACTGCCTATGATTGGAAGCCCGACTGTCAGCTGGCATTGTTAATCAAGCCTCGCACACCACACGCGTCCTTCCAGCCTCGCCCACGCCCGTCTAGGACCCTAATAACCCGTTTCATCTATCCCTCAATGCTTGCTAGATGACCACAGTGTTCGCCGCCCTCGCCTCCTATCATGAGCCCTGTCGCAGAGGCGTAGGTAACTTGGTAGCTCCCTACTCACCAGGCTCATCCCCAATCTTCTCCAATTTACCCATTTCTCGCTTCTCGCCAGCCTCTCCGATTAGTCGAACCCGGTCCAGCCTCACCTTTTCACTGCCATTTTCAGCATCCACCACAAACAGCACCAAGCTGGTGATGTTCTGGAACTTGACGTATCGCAGGCCAACGTTTGCAGTGCCTTCGGCGTTCCAGTCCTTCTCCGATAGCTCAATAACCTGGGTAGCGGACATGTCTTCGGCCTCATCAAACCCGAGATTGTGGGGCTTGTTGCTGAATAGCTTGATTGTTCGCGGCCTAGTGGGCGCATCTTCATCGTCGTTGTCGCTGGGCGGTATAGATGTGATCTAGACACCATGTGTTAGGGGGCGTATACTGTATTCGAGATGCTCTCTCCATTATAGATGATATGAGACCCGTACCTGGAGAGTGTGTAGCTTCACCATGGACTGGAACGGCAGAAAGAGCATCAACTGCTCGTCCGTGTCGCTTTCAACCCAATCCTTGGACGTGCCCTTGCCGCCGATAAGCGCGCTGGGCTTTGTGCCGTCGAACAGCACCCGCACGCCGCCCGTCGTTGTGTCCACGTTGAGGAGCTCGCATCTCTGTAGCTCGATCTGGTCCGTGATGTCGCCGTAGCCGCGGGGAAGGTCTGCGCCTCGCCATTTACCACCGCCGTCAACGCCGCTGCCGCTGCCGCTGCCGCTCGCCTCGGCGTCGGTGCCCATGTTTTCAATCTCATCGCTCAGCTTCTTGACGATGGCCTGGAGATTGAGGGGGTTCGCCCCCTGGACCTTGTCAACCGTCTTGCCATTGCGGAAGACGATGAAGGTCGGGAGACTTGTGATGGCATAAGCTTGGGCAACTTCCTTCTGTGCCTCCGTGTCGACCTTGACAAACGTCACAAGGTCCGGGCGCGAGAGGGCGGCCGAGAGTTGTTCGTAAATGGGAGCGACCTGGTGGCAAGGCCCGCACCAGTCGGCGTAGACTACGTTGGTGAAGGAAAATTAGTAAGCACCACAAAGACACACGGAACGCAAGAGGTCATCGGCAAACGGCAGCAACGGCGGCACGGGCTGAGAATGAAGCAGCCAAGGCCTCGCCCGGCATAGACGGTGGCCGGCGTGAGCAGGCGTAAAAGAAACCTAGGACAAGCGGCCGGTGCTCCCTGTGCTAGGAGACCGACCGCAACTTCTTGCATCATGGTGGGGTAATGACAGCGACGGAGAACCTTTGGGGGGCGCGCAGAAGCACTTACAGTCTGCCACTACAATCTTGGAAGACTGCAGGAGCTCACTGAACTGGGCAGGTGACGATATATGGACTGTTTTCGACATCGTGACGGGTCCGGGTGGGTCGAGTCTGTGGTGGTGGTTCCAAATAGGTGAACGAGAAAGAGCCTAGGCACGCACCGCGATGACAACAGGCTTAAAGCGTCGCGCTGGGCGAGCCTCAACGCACCCCAACCCTAACCCTTGTAGCGGCCACCTAGCGTGGGTCCTTGCCATTTCAGGAATTCGGACTGAAAGAACTTTAGCGTCTTGGAAACCCCAGGGTTAGGTATCTTACCTTCCCCTTAGAACTCTAACCCATAGGTACCTTACCTTTTGTTTACCGTTTTTGGTCTACCCACGGGAGCCGTGGCCTAGGCTATCTCGAAATATGTATGTTATGGAAGAGGGGGACGGCAGTTGTTTGGAGAGTGGTCATAAGCGAATTCCGTGCGGCCAGACATTTGATGCGCTTTATATGCCCTGCGCCAAAATTTTGATCTCATACGGTGGTAGTAAAGACTCGTACGTCGGCCGGTATGACTCTATCTTGCTGTTCAATTGTGGAAGATTTGGGCTTGACTCTACTTAGGCTCAGTGTCTTCCTTCCTCGGCCCAGGTCTGCACACGCGAGATTCCATGAGCTACATCCTAAGATAAAGAAGCAAGCACATCTTATAGAGGCCAATTCCGCATCCAGTGACACTATTTCCATGAGAGATGGTTGTTTTAGCATTACCAGCCACTCTCTAGAGTTGCCTAGTTGACGAGTTGCCCTGGTCCTTCAAGTCTGACTGGCTTTGCCGAACTGCGCAACATTTTACCGACTCGGAAATTCTGGAAACTCGGAAGGGGCCTCTATCGCCAAACGAACCACCCTCTCCATTAGCGTCGAATAGTTTCTAGGTTGCCTAGGACTGTCCAAGCAGACGTGTTCCCGGAGGAAGTTAAGCACTAGGGGACACAGCAGCTCCTATCATTTCGCTTGCCCGCAGATGTCCTGTGTGTTTATTATCCTGTTACAGCTACTCCATTATAGACTAAAGTTGCTTGCTGCCCACCGCGGCCGTTAGAGGGCAACATGTATCTTTGTAGGCTTTGAATACCATCTTGACAGTTGGTAGTACTATTTCCAGAAACAATACGCTATTTTCCTGTAACCGTTGTGGCATCCTTCCCACCAAACAAGCAGATTCCTGAAAATGCCGCATAAATACAGTTGCGCCGGCCGCTAATGACCATTCCCAATACTCAATACAAAACTATACCGTACTTTTTATTGGAATATAAGCGGTGAGCGTGATATCCTGACAGCGTGACGCAAAACCCCCCCGGGATAACAGATTTGGTCTCACCTCCGCTGATGTCGACACCTCGTGGTTCTCAATGTTAATGAGCCGAGATTATTTGCTTAGAAACAATCCATCTTGACAGGCGTCACGGGATATGCAACTCCTTGGTCAGGGTCAACATGGAGAAGACCCCCCACTTCTTCGCGAGGCCCCAAACTCGGCGTTTCAACCACAATCCTTTGCCGTGCTATGGTTCACGTATGTAGGCGACGTGGCCACAAACCTGGGGTGCTGTCGTCAGGCCGTTCGCTCCGTTGTCAGCTAACATAATCAGAGAGAAGGTTTTCTTGATATGGTACATAACCGTATAAAACATCTCCCTCTGTTGGCCGGGTGGGGCAACGATTTGCGAAGACGAGATTGGTTGAAGGACAAGGTTATCTGCCGTCCAAACTGGCGCCGGACTTTGGATCGGACCTCGGGGAACGAAGAGGTGAAGCATTTTGATGGACGGGAAGAGACTCCAGAGGCGAATTGCGGCATTTCGTCTTGGGTATTCGCCCATATACTGCAAGTCCACGGCGACATTCTGAATCATTGATCGTTTGTCCCGTGACAAGGATAGCTGTTGCAAGCCCATCTGCGCATCTCTGCGCCGAGTAATGTACGGGAAGTGTTGTTGTTGCGGGGTTGGCGGGGTGCGATCGACGTGGAGATAGAAGATGTCTTCTCTAGGGTTGACCCAGAAGGGGATTCTAGCCGTGTCGAAGCACATGGATTTACCTTTCGTGTATATCTCGCGGGAGAGTCTGCAGACATGGGCGAGGACCTTCTGGTTCGGGTCCATGAAAATCAGGCCGTCATCATCGGCCTCGACGAAGAAGACCTGATGACCAGAAGCGACCTCGAAGATCATTGATTGAATCTCAAAGGGCAGCCTGGCAAGACTGGGCCTGGCGTGGTCATGCTGCAAGGTGCCCAGTGCCCGCTCATCAGAGTCGGTTGTGATTGTCGGAAGGGAGTCAGGGTCAGGTCGGGGACCTGGTCTGGAACTGTCCAACATCAGAGCCCTGATGAAATATCAGCAACATGCCGGCGAACGGATCTGTGAGATGATAATTCAATGTACCTTGGGCACAGGGCAGCTGGGAAGGGAACAGGGAATGTTTCAGAAGGAGGCAAGGTATAGATAGGTATTATAGGCCGCAGTGCATGTAGCAGATGGGGAATTGCATAGGCTGTATGGTCGTGGAATGAATCAATCCAACTGGGCAGCGCATTTTATTGCCTGGAACCGGAAAGAACGTAAGAAGAAAGCATCAGACCCATTTGGGACAAACAGGAATTGAAGGGAGAGGCCGGCGGAGCAAGACTTCTTTCCTGAGTCGGCTCAGCTGACAGAATAAGGAGCGAGTATGTCAAATGAATCCAGGGCTTGGTCGGTACTCTCATGTCCAGAAATACGGGATTGACTGACAGCCTGATGACTCCGAGGTTGTCAACTCAGTCAGTTCTTGTCAATGTCAATGTCGAGCCAGTGGTATTTCATTGCCCCACAGACTGTTACACGGGCGCTGCCGGCTTAGGCTTATCGATAAACTCTGAGCCCTAGAGCACTCCAGCAGCTTTGGGTAAGGTGACCTAGGTAGCGTCTGGCAGACGAAGCTGGGATACAGCGGACAAAGCTCATATGTATGTACCAGGCTTAAGGCGATAGCGCCTAACGTTCTCGCATTCACCGATAAACAAATGAGCTGACCCAGGAACACGTTACACGTGAACTTGGGATTGCCGTAAATTAAGACAGACCAAAATAGCTGTTTGTAGTGCACGGTAAGTCCACAAACGACATTAAAGTGTGCTACTACCGATCCGTTAAACAAGATTTGCCAATAGGGGATTGATCTTGGGCCAAGGGGGTGGGGGAAGGGTCCAGGTCCTTCTTTCCCGATGGTACGGTACGGTTGCAGGGTGGAGAAATTATGGCACGGACCATGGGTTAATGCTTGGCTTCCAACTCAATATCCACTTTCCCCATACGTCATCGGGAGTCGACATCCCCGCTGCTGCGCTACTCTCCCGACTCCCAGGATGCACCGTCGAGACAGCCTACGGGTTTGACAAAGTTGGCAGCAGGCTGAACTCGAGTCAGGCTCCGGTTTTTTTATACAGTCCTACTTACTACCTGGGTAGATAATACCCAGACCCCTCCCTATTCCTGTTGACCAGAATCGCAAGGAAGACAAGATCTTCATTCAACGTCCCTCTTCCCTCTTCTAGTGTTGACAACAAGGAACCTTGGCGCTGTCGAGTCGCTATTGTTACCCGACACATTACCCACAACCTCAGCAATAACAGCAGCACACATTCGTCTGATATATTGCCTACCCTACCAGTAAGTGCCCATCTACGCTTAGCTACTAGCTTCGCGGTCGCACTCCTTGCCGATCAAATACTCACACCCGCGCAGTGTACCACCAAGACACGTACCGGAACCATAAGAAGAGGCTCTACCTCGAACCTCCGGCGCACGGGATTTCTGAAGTTCGGACGAGAATCACCACCATTGTCCCAGCCCCGCCCCCGCCTCCACCCGTCGTGATCGAGAAGCCGGAGCCCCCACCGCCCCCACCCGTGGTAGTCCTGCCGCCGCCACCGCCGCCCAAGCCCGTCGAGGAACCCGACTTTATCGACGTGATCGCCGTCGACATAGACCCCTCGGAGAAGAAGAAGAAAAAGAAGAAGCACCGGAGCCGCAGCCACAGCCACAGCCGCTACAGCCGCGACGTCATCATCGAGCGCGAAGTGCTTGTACCTATGCCCGTGCGCGTGCCCGTCCCCGTCCCTGTCCGTCAGGAGCTCGAGACCTACCGCTACGTCGAAGGCCCCCGCCCCCAGCCAAGGCGCTGGAGGAGCCCGAGCCCGAGCCCGAGCCCGCCCCGCAGGCGCAGCCCCTCGCCGCCGCTGCGCCGCCGCCCGAGCAGCGTCGATCGCGAGAGAATCAACATCACCATCGAGGACCGCCATTGCGACAGGGAGTACGACTATTACCGGAGATGAGTCATGTGTAATGCAGTACCACGTCGACTCGTTCAGGGGTATTCACCTGGGAGTTATGATTTGATAGGTGGCTTATGTTTAATCCTTCTTTTTTCTTTTTCTTTTGTGTTCAGTTAGGTATATTATGAAATTTTAGTTATCAGGCTATATATCGGACTTTAGAAATCTGCAGGGTGTAGGTGTTTAGGAAGGCAATGCGAGGATCAGACCAGCGTATGCTTGTTTGTTTATCTATTGTCTTTTAGTTTTATGTCATGCTGAGTAACTATTTACAGCAATTTACTTAATACATGATCAACGTTCTCTCAGCAACCGGTTCTGTACAGCATCAGCTGGGACTTTAGATGTCTGCTTGGTCAGGAGGCCCCCTGGTTATGTGAATTCACAATGGTTAAAAGTGTCAGTTCAATATTTGCTGTGGATCATGACGAAATCATGTCGACTTCAAAACTAGCATATGGATGGCCGGCTCTCTCCACCACTTCAGATACTGGCAATTCTATGCTTGAAATGGGATATGGTGGACAAAACAACGTTCCCGTACATCGGCCATCATACTCACTTTCGGAATTGCGCGTAGGGATCTAGACAGTCTAAAATCCAGACTTCACTATCTGTCGTCGTCTCCCCGTGTACCTGGCCTTTGGTTTTCAGTGAGCGCGGGTTGAGGTCTACAATATCACCTGCTTGCGAGACGATGGCGGTTCTCATATGTAGGTACACGGTCCTGTCCACCTGCCGGTATTTCACAGACGGAGAGAAGGAGAAATACTGCCTCAACCCGAGAACCATACCAGATTCGTGTCTGTGTTAGTTCACGGTTATCATAATTAGGTTGGCGACTTGTCAACAATAGAACTCCATTAAAGATGCGGGGCCACTGCTAATTCGCTTTTCCATTGCGTGATCCATAGTGACGAGCGGATTTCAGTTACTGTGGGCCTGTCAGGTAGCTTCACGAGTAGGGGATGGCTCGGAGTATCTAGAGAGGATGCCAAGAAAGTATCTCAATGCTGATCTCGAGCAGTGTCCGGTTCAGTTGCTTCATTTGCCTCACCCTTGATCGCGGGATTATAGTGGCCATCCGGAGAATGTCCTATCCTCTGTTTAGTCTACCATGAAGGACCCCTGGACTTGAAATCTTGGGATTAAATAAATTCACCTCGGAGACACTCGCGAAAAAGAATATCGCACGACGGCACTTCTCTAGTTTTCATTTTCACTTTGCTATTTTGGGAGGATGTCCGTAGGTAAACTGGTTGTCGATATAGCAAGATATATTCTGGGTTGGTGTGACGGCCGGGTGTGGGCAACAAAGCTCAGGCTCACGAATGCCTTCCAGCTCTAGATTTCTAGTATCAGACAGCGATAGCGGCCTCTGCCTCGTATTCACCAACAAACGACTTGTGCGGATTTTAAAAAGCAACTGGCTCTGTTTATGCCAAAGCCCCTCCCACCTTTCCCCAAAAGAAAACGAGAGGCAAGGGAGTTGCAAGCCCATGACTAAATGTGTATTTCCAGTTGGTCATGATATGGTAGCTGCTGGTCTGTTCGGTAACATATGTTTAAAAGCAATGTCACCTGCATGATGTGTTTGCTAGGTCTCTTCACAGTTTTAAACATCGCCATCAAAGAACTTGACAAGTTCTGTGAGAGTCTCGAAGCCTTCTGGGAAGGACATTTTGACTAGGAATACCAACACTCTACTTTTGGGCAATATATAGTTGTTGCTTAAGCTGCCGACTCTATCTCTGCCCAGGTATGTATTGGATCCAGCGACACCTCATGTTTGAATTCAAGGTTCTTTGCAAAAACACGAGTCAGGTTAGCAAGCGGCAGGCAGTTTTAGTAGTGTGTAGCAGGCAACCTAAAAACATTCACTGTACGAAGACAGTCAATATTATCCAGTACATTCCCCCCGGACCCCTTTCACCATACAGAATGAGAGAGAAGACGACGGACTCCATTCAGGGGGACAAAGAAGGACTCCATACTCGTGGTTTTTGGTCTTCTAAGAGTCTCCTTCCTGGAAACACAGCTACAATCAAGTGCACGATGCTGAATAAAACGCGTGCTATTTTCAAATTTTTTTAGAAAAAAACTTCGTTATGGCCCATCTATAACTCGTGATCCTATCATTGCGCTGGCCACGCTTCTGCCAGCGTCGGTCTCGGGGCCGGCCCCACCAGATCTATAATGGCGAAGGTCAGGCCGCGGGACGGACTTGCGCGGGCCCGCATGTTGGCACCCGAGCGACCTCGACAATCTCGACAACGATGTGATACCTATAATACGTCTCCTACAGACTGGTCGACTAATTCACCCCTTCTACGTCAAACTATTTATTTTCCTGTAATAATCAGTCTCCCCGGGAATTTTGTAAACAACCGTGACAGCTGTGCTCGCGCAGAAAAAAAGGGGCACTGCGATCTAGGCGGCAAAGGAACGAAACGGAACACTTGGTCATCACGAATCCACGTGATGTATTGCACAATACATAGCCAAGAGGAAGGGAACAAACTGAACAAGAGTTGTTGATCACCAAAAGGACCGTCGTCGCACCGGCCATGGGATGGTCTAGGCCCCGGGATCCTGAAACCCGGCCTGAGACTTGGCATTGGTCGCCACCATCGGCCAGTGTTTCAGGCCTCCCAACCCACGGGGGGTAGACTCCGAACACGGTGATAGAAACGAAGTCATTGCTGGATGGGGAGGAATTGCAAATTCTCGGTCTGCACTTGCTGTTGATTGAGACGTGCATTGCATGTGTCCCATGTTGTTGTTGTTGTTGTTTGGGGGAGGGGTGCGGGGTTGGTTCATGACAAAGTCTGGGGTAACAGAGTCTAGAACTCTCTGCTCAACGAAGAATCAGGTCATCCGTCCCATCTGCAGGAGAAATCTCGCATTCTCACCAGGATATGAAGCAGTCAAGCCTGTTTGAGAAGGTTTAAGGCCAGGGTCGTGTTGGGTGAATAAGCCTGAAAGGAATCGACTCCCTGACCAGGAAAGCGAGGCCTGAATGTGACAGATGACAGCCAAAGAAGAATAGTGACGTCTAGAATCGGACTCTGCTACGTTTTGCCCGAGAAAGCATGAGTCCTTGGGGCGGGAGTTATCGCTGTGCCTCGCAAGCATCGCATGGCAAACATGACGGCATGCACGGCGAGGGCTGTGATAACCAAGGCTAGGGGCAACAGATCTCATTCTGTCAGATCGATTGCGGGGAACACACTTCTTGCCAGCATTGGCAAGCCAAGGGACTCTGCAGAAAGGATCGCCGCCCGGACAGCCCCCGTTCCTTGCCTCATGTGTCAAGAGCGCCAACTCATGCCTAAGATAGTGACAGGTCGGGAGCGAGACTCTCGAATATGCTGAACGGGCAAGTCCGGGCCGCCGACTAGGAACACTTTGAATGCAGGGCGCTGCGTTGGCTGGTTTCTTGTCCCCAGCTTGCCTTCTGCTCGTCCAGCTTTGGTTACTTGGTGTCCCTGGATTTCGAGTCTTGACAACAACCGACAAAGGACAGTTGTTTCAGGTACCGTACCTTTGTTGCCGAGAGAGACGAGAAAGGGAGTAGCAATTCTCCGTGCATACTCCGTTATACCCGAATACTCCATGGTGGCATTGCAGCTATCCGTCCGTGCCTTGCCACTGCTTTCGCGATCAACTCATATCGGGAGAGGTAGGAAGGGAAGGGCCCAGGCGTCTTCGGAGGCGAAGCGGTTGCTTACGCCCCGGTGTAGCATGGACGGGTGTGGTGTTGAGATGCGACTGTCCAGAGATTCTGGGACCCTTGTCCCCGAGCGCAAGCCGATCATAGACATGCTGTCCGTGTTCGTGTGTCAAAACGGGCAGGTAGGTATGTACCGAAAAAGGCACTCCTTTCATTAACTTGTGTGTTTCCCGAGGAATTACCTACCTCGTTCCAACCTCCCGTCCCTAGCGGAGGTTGAGAAAAGTTTAGACGACGGCGGGGCTGAAATGGCCGTGCAACCAATTTAGAACAAACCGCTGATCAGAGCGGGTCAAGAGGCTGGAACACACCCGTGGGCCTGATCTTCAGCACTCTCCAGCACCCCGTATGGGCGACAGTCAGCCAACCTGGGAAGAAATTCATGGGCGTGGCGTTCCAGAAGACTCGGCCGAGGGTGAGAATACTTGTAAAAAGCAACATCAGCAACACCAGCAACACCAGCCGTGGCCTTGAAACATGATGACATTTCGTATCCTGAAAATCACGACGCCCTCTGTCTCCAGGGTTTTGGCCCGAGGAAGCGAGCTTCGTTTCTTGCACCTGCCTCTTTCCCGTCGCTTTGTCATGTCATTGGGAATCCGTTTCTAGACGGAAGAATGTATTCAAGTTCGGTCAATTGAAGGTTGGCCGCCTGGAGCGAATGAGTAGAGGAGCCTCCTTCCTCGCTTCCATTAGGCTTGGGCCTGCCGGCAAACGCACGGGCCCTGGTTCCTACCAAGTGGCGTGCTTCAATTGTTTTCAGGGTCTCAAGGCCCCACGTTCTCGCCAACAACCTAAAAAGTCTCAACTCACCTAACAACCTAACATAAGCAATGTTTCGGATGATGTAACCGAGGGCGTCTCTCTAGACAAGAACGGGGCGTGCGTACTGCTATCGAGATGCACCACACCTGTCAGCGCAGTTGAATATCCGATCGTGATTGCTTCTCAGCGAGGTAGCCAGTCACAGCCTTCCACGAACATGGAAGACGGGCAGCCCAGAGAAGGGCCTCGCCAACCTGACGGGAGTCCTGAACGCTGGATGGCTGGATGGCTGGATGGCTGGATGGGACCAAGCCCGCTGTTGACCCAGAGGACGGCCCGCGGCGGCGGAATGTTTCTTGCACTAATTTTCAAGTCAGGGGCGAGCTAATAGCGACCAGAACACCAATGGGCGGCTTCCAAGACCCTTCCATCGTCCAACCCCACGCGAGGAAATTCAGGAAACCGACCAAGAAGCGGCACATGGGCCACCATCAAACCATCAAACCATCAAACCATCAATCACATTGGACACACTTTTCACATCTCAAGGAAAAAGTGGAGCATTCCATCTCAATGACTTGCATACAACTGTCGACTCGTGAACGGGAGCGTGCCTGCCCACTCATCTGGCTTGGGACCTACTTTGGAGATATCTTACGTAGCCAATTCGACTCTGCCACATCACGAAGCGAAGCCCGACGTAACCCCATCCTTCTGTTCCTCCCACGTTGGGCGCTGCTTGTCCCAAGCCAATCCCCGACGAGGAAACGAGCATCTTGAATCTTTCGTCTCGGCCTGCTGGCTGGTGGTCTCATTCAAAGGGGGGCACAATCTGCGAGGGGATAGGATGGGAATGCCGAGGTCAAACCAAGGTGAGCCTGCCAAACCCATCACACCGCCCATTTACTGTATTACTACGGTACATTCAGTACGTACATACATACATACCGTACCATCAAAAGTTAGGCCTGCTGCCCTGTTATTAGCTTGTCCCAAAGCCCGAGCAGGTGGTTGTCCATAGCTTCTCTGATTGGCCGGCTGTGCACGGAGGCTCAAGAAGGGCCAGCCGTGGGTTGATGAAATGTGAATGAAGGGCCTGAAGGGATAACAACACATCAAGCCTTCCCGAGTCAAAGGGCAGAAAAGAAATAGGTGGTTGGAGCGTCTTGCTGGTCTGACTTGATTCCCCTTTACCCCTTTCGTTGTGGCCGTCATTTTATAATCTGTGGCCCAGCACGCTCGCATTCTCGTATTGCTTGCTGTCATTCTGGCTGACGGTGTGCTTCAAGACAAACTCTGACACTAACAGTACCTGGCAACCGCTTTTGTAGTTGAAAATAAGGCTTGTAAGGGTGTGAGACAGGAGCTTACGAAACAAGGCAGTTACATCAGCCAGCGTATCACGAAATTTGCGACTCAAGAAGTCTGTTACTCAGAGGCAAAGCGCCGCCAGGGCATGTCCGAAATGTGTCTTTGACCACTGGACAGTTTCTCGTAAGCGCGTGGCGGCAGAGAGGGGCCCTTTAATGTCAGCAGACAGCCCGAGCTGGTTCAACATACCCAAGAAACAACACAATCGAGCCCGAGCGAGTTGTTGTGCGGAAAGACAGCTTAGAAGAAGCCACATTTACTTGCCGAGTCGACAGGAACTGAACCACTCAGAACTTCCCAGCCGCCGTGGCTTGCCTGCCCCCCATACACCCCCTGCCTCTGGCTTGCACGGGCACAGGACCCCCCAGATTGTGGCTTATTTTTGTCTGACCCGAGAGATGCAAACTTTGGCTCTCTAGGGCGCCACAGAGCATTCAAGGGGCGCGAGCTGCATTGGGTCCTTCCAGATCAGTCTGCATGCGTCTGCTTGTGTCCGCCTGCAAGCACGAGGCCTTTCCTGCCATGCATTGAGTATTCGAGTAATAAGGAGTCTTGCAGACAACAGGATCATTACAGACTTCAGATGCTGATATTACGGAGAACGGATTAATGTTGGACTTTGGCACGTTGCCGACCTCCTCCGTTCAGCCCACTGTAAACGGCAATAAGGTCACTTTGCCTCTTACCTATCTGGTCGATAATCCCCGGTTCCTGTATGTTCCTTGCAGAAGTCAAAAACCTCCTGCATGATACATCACCGCTAGAGGTAGTGCCGTTGTGGGGGGCTAGCGGCGCGCGCTTGAGGGGCAAAGATAAAAAAGAGGCATGGGCATCCGAACCCCGAGCTGTTCTTTGACTGCTCGATCGAGGCGGTAGTCCTGTAGACAGATAAGAGCCAGGTCGTTGATTTGGAAGAGAAGGAGAGACATAAGCAATACCCGTTAGAAACGCCGTCCGTTAATTATCAATAAAACAGTTGGTTGACCAACATGAAAGAGATCGTCAAACATGAGATGGCGAACTACAAGGCCCACTGATGGGGCACTGACCTGACGGCAGGCACATGTGGCGCCGGCCAGAACTGCAACCCTGGTCCCTGAATTATCACACGTTGGGGCACAAGACAGGACAAGGGGGCATGGGCCTGCCCAGGAGTCGACCGTGAGGTTGTTCCGCGCTAACTGCCAGCATCTGGGACATTCAAGGAACTAAGCCGACAAGAATGAACACGGGCAAACGACCACAATGACGACCCAGAGAGTCAGAAGGAAACGACCGACTTGGGTAGCCATATCGAGTCCCGCTCGGGAAAGTGAGCAAGGGGCCGGATGGACCGGGAATTCTGCTCATCATTCATTTACGCTGAGCCCGTCCCGCATGTCGGAGCTGTCACCAACAGCCAGCGAGCGGGCCCACTGATGGACGGGATGGTGGTGATGGTGTACATGCTGGACGCTGACCCCTTTACCAACGATCTGCGAATTCATCAAAGAGAAAAAAGAGACACGTTATCAAGGCAAAGGCATCGCAAGGCCCCACCAACACCAACGCCTAAGAACCTAAACTTGGTCTTTGTTTTTTGAAAGCCCAAAGATGACCCAACACAAGCCGTTCGGCCTGGCGTCACTCGTCGTTGGCCCGGTTTCGAGTATCGAAGGGCAAAAGTCGCGGCCCGGCTAAGTGTGCGAGCAAAGGAACCCGCGAGGGCAGTGTTTCAGAGTCTCGACGTTTTATCTCGGGTGGAAAGTGATGGGCGTAGTTAGTGAGGGATCCCCAAAATTGCCGCCTCCCTGTAAATTCGATTTATTTCAAAGGCGCAGAAAGGCCAGAGTCGAAAGAGCAGAAGACAAGAAAAAAGCGTTCCCGCGCGAAAGAGATAAGGGACGCCAGTGCAGCCTAGCTCCCTCCGTTTTCTTGCTTTGACGAACCGAGCCCTGGCCCCCTGGCGGTACCCCAGATGCGGATGCATGCATGCTCCTCCACAGATGGAGACGAGATAATTTACTGTGCGCTACAAGATACTCAAAATTGTTATGGTGCTCTATAATTCATGTCTAGAAAAAGCAGGTAGCCATCTTTCTGCACAGCTATATACAGAGGTCAAAGAGATAGCCCGGTGGTTTGCCGGAGATTAAAAATGTCTGGCCGTGATCTTATCAAACAGCCTAGGGCAATGGACAAACAGTAAATAATAGAAGCGCTAAGGGAAAGGTATGCAACGACCTAACTCACTCTGGATCGGGGCTTTACGCTAGGGAGAGGGGAAGTGGCTTGAAGCACACCCGAAGGCACGGCGGTATTTGGAAGGCGCTATCCATGTGGATGAGAGGCAGAGCCATGAGCTGCAGCTGCCCTATTTTCTTTTTTATATTCTAATTCCCGTTCGACAACAGTTTCCAAAATTGAACATCCATTTTGCACGTCCTTGTGCCTCTTCATTAGCGCCGGCTTAGGGCGTCTGGACGGTTGGCAATCTCGGCCCGTCTCGGTTTTCAGATCTCGCGTACGGTGACGGACGGGAAAGCTGGGTCACATCACGACTCGCTGCAGCTGGAGACAGAGCCGGTGGGTTTGCCGGTCTCAGAGACAGCAGGGCAATCCACAGCCGCAGTTACAGGCGGCCCACTGCCCACTGCCTGTGCCTTTGCCCAGTCTGCGCATCCACACCCGCCCAGGCGGGATCTCGGCGGGAACCCTGCGGCACCGACATCGCGACGAGGAGAGCAGCAATAGACGAACGTTTGATAACAGATGTAGCTCCCGTCCTGTCTCTAGCTACCTCTACCCCGACTTACTGCGACTGTGTCACCCTGCGCACAACACGCTTTCTGCAGTCCTACCTACCTAGTAGGTTGCCCTGCTGGGTAACGTTAGGCCGCTCTGGCAGAGGCAGACAGACAGAGAGACGAGAGAGAGACGAGAGAGAGAGAAAGAGCGGGCGAAAGAGACTGACTGACAAGCCCGAGTTAATAATATATGCGACGTCAATCAGGGTCACCCAGGCAGCTCGAAACCTCGGCGAGCTGTCCTGCGTTAAGCTCTGACCCCCCCAGACTCTCGCACACCAATTGGCCCAGGCCCAGGACCCAGCCTGCCGCATAGTGGACCATGTCGCAGCTTGCGCTCCAGAGCGACCAAGGCCTGCTGACCCAACTTCACCACGGGCAGCGTCTTGCGCACTCAAGTCCGACTGCTATGGACTCATACCAGGACAGTCCTACTATCGGGAGGACGCAGGTTCTCTCCCTAAGCCGCCCCCAAGGCTACACAACCAATAGCTCGTTGCCAACAGCCTCTTCATCCACGGGAAGCTCCAGGTACGACTGCTCCGTCTGCCCCCCCGTCCCCCCGTCCCCTCGTCCGTCATTGCCCGCTTGGTCCCCACTTTCTTTGTTCTTGACCGTGACTTGCCCTGTCTCTTCTGCCTCTCTCTCGCCTAACTCCTGGGGCTCGGCTTGGGCGTCGTTGGGATACGCTGTTTCTTGCCTCTTTCGATCGAGTTCTGTCTGCTGCGTCAGGCACGCTGCGTCTTGGCCATCCATAGGCTTGGACAGACTCTACGTTGGGAACCAAGACTCTCGCGCTGCCCTGCGCTGCCCGCGCTAGAATAAGCACTGCAAATCGGCTTGTCGCCAGCGCCTGCTTGGTTATTCGACTCTGCTGTGCGACTTGTGCCAGGCACCTCGCTGCAGTGTCTACAAATACTGATCTAATCCCTTCGCCTGTCACAGGTCCATGCGGAATCCCGCGCCGAGCTCGTCATATACAAGTGACAGCACCGCCTCACCTCCGACGAGTCCCGGCACAACGCGATCCGTCTTCCCCTCTCCCCCGCAAGACTCTCGCACAACCGCTGCTGCCGTTCCTCGAATAGTCACTACTTCGGCCTCCGAGGAGCATCCTTCGCAACCATCTGGGAAGACCTACTACAACAGTGACTCCTCGGGTGCCGCTACACCTGAGCAAAGAAGCCCTGGGTGCGTTGCCGTGATGGAAGCCCTTCGCCCTGCCCTACCCCCACGGCGGCGGGGGTTGTTGCCGCAGACAGGTGTTGAACACCGTGCTGACCATCTTCGTGCCAGACCGGTTCCGTCTCCCCTCTCTCAGAGGTTCCCGAATGAGGCTCGCAGCGTCTCCGACTCAGTGGTAGCTCCAAGGTCTCTAGGAGGGTTCTCGGTAGGCCAGTCCTCGATCATGGCTGGCCCGTCAAGCGTTCGAGCAGATCTCGGCAAGGGTGCACCGAGGAATTCGTCCATGGACTCGGCCATATCAGCCATATCCTCAAGGTCGAATCCTAACAAGGCATCCCAAGAGAACGGCCCGGGCACGACGGACATTGCACATCTAATAAAGACAGCCGGCAGCGCCGAGGCGGTCATCCAATATTTGCTAAAGGAGAAGCAGTCGCAGTCGCAGCAAAACGCACAGCTATGGCGGTTGGTCGACAAGCAGAGGGCCATGATTTTGGGCCTCAATAAGGACCTCGAAAGGGCCTTGAAGGACAAGGAGAAATACAGGAAGAAACTGAAGGAGGTGATGAGCGACGTTGAGGTGCCACCCGTCCCGCCAGTGCCAGTACCAAGAGCAAACGGAGCAATCAATAATGGCCCTGGCGCGGCTAGTTCACTACCAAAGGAACAAGTTGTGGAAGTTCCAGCGTCGCCAGGGCTGGACCTGGACAGCCAGAAACAGTCGCCAGTCGACGTGGAAATGGCCCCATATCCAATAACGCCTCCAGCAGACCAACCGACCTCCAATAGCAACAATAGCGACTCGTTTGCTGCCGTTGGGGAGCTCCTGGATCCTTCTCACTCGATGCCAAAGGCGAGCGAGCACGCTTTCGATCAATTCGACCCAGATCAGCAAGAACGGGAGGCTGAGGCCGTCCAGAAGAGGGATGACGAGGCCAAAGACCTCCACCATGTCAATGTTGCCCTCCCGCCCTCTCGCGCCGCACCTCGCGAGCCGCCAAAGATGCCTCCCCCACGACTGCCTGCAGCCCCCCTAGAGCGATCGCCCAAGCTCGATGAGGGAATCGCCCATTTCCCTCCACCTCCAGCGCCGCCACCGCGAAAGCCGCCTCCGGCACCTTTGCACCTGAAAAATGTTCAACAGAGTCCCACCATACCGCTTGACGAAGACCTGGATTCTGACACCGACTACGACGATATTCTCGAAGTTGATGAGATTGGTCGCGACGATAGAAGGGGTCGCAGGAGAACAAGAGAGGAGGACGAGCGAGAGCGCGAAATTGTGGTTCAAAAAGAGGCAGAAATACGCAGCCTATCGAAAAAGAGCAAGAGCAGTAGTCGGAAGGGCATACCGAAGGAGGATGTGCAGCCAACGATTAATGATCCGATACCAGCCAGCCCTCGGCTGGTTAAGACAACAATGTCCCTCCCGCACCGAGAACACGTTTCGTCGCTCGCGGGAGTCTTGAGCGGCGCTCCACAAGATCGATCCATCGGCATGGGATTGCTGAGTCCAGGCCTCCCATCCAGCCCGAGGCCGATGAACCTGAAGTCGCCTGTGTCCTCTCCGCCTCTCTCGCCTCTCGGCATGGCAAATTTTCCGGGCGCACCCCTGTCTCCAAGACCGCCACGGGGTCCTATTCCCCTTCCTCCTAACACTCCTCTTCAAACACCTTATCTAGCGCCGGATGCTGCTCCCTTGTCATTGAAGTCCCCTAAGCCTCTGAATATTGTCAAGAAGGGACAGGAGAGTGCTAGCCCGTCGAGCCCGGTAAAGAGCTCTCCCGACCTTCGGGCAGACAGGAGGAGGATATACAAGGGTCTTGTGACGGAGGAATATCCGGATCTCTTGCTTCCTCCGAATGCTCTCCCGTCCATTGACATCAAGGTTGCATCGTCTCGTATGAAACCGTCGCGAGCCAGTTTAATATCCTTAACGCAGCTGGAAGAGGATCCCGTATTCACCCTGGCTATCTTCTCAAGAGCCGACGGCGGAGAGTTGTGGCGTGTCGAGAAAGATTCGCCGTCGTTGGCTAAACTCGACCAAAGGCTGAAGCAGTGCCCGGCTTTCACCGCGAAAACTCCGGACCGATCCCTTTTCAGCGGACACGCACCCGCAAAACTCGATGCTCGCCGCGTCGCGCTCAACTATTATCTGGATGAGCTGCTCAACACGCCGTTGGATACTGCAACAGCTCTCGACCTCTGCAGATATTTGTCCACGAATACGCTGCCACCCAATGCTGACGAAACTGGGGGTTCCACTGCTGATATCCCAGAAGAATCGGCTCAAAAAACTGGACCGGGTGGGCGACCCTTCCGTACCGGCTACCTAACGAAGCGTGGAAAGAATTTTGGGGGTTGGAAAGCAAGGTTTTTTGTCCTTGACGGCCCCCAGCTGAAGTACTACGAGACTCCTGGTGGCGCTCATTTGGGAACTATAAAGTTGCCAAAAGCACAGATTGGCAAGCAGTCTCAGCACAACAACGATGGCTCCCCAGCACGTGGCTCTGGGCCGGACGAAACTGATAACCAGTATCGCCACGCCTTTTTGATTCTGGAGCCGAAGAAAAAAGACCCGAACAGTCTGACCAAGCATGTCTTATGCGCCGAAAGCGATAGGGAGCGCGACCAATGGGTTGACACTCTGCTGCGCTGGATTGACTATAGGGACCCGGAAGAAGAGGAGCGCTACAGGAAGGAGCAGACGCATGATCGCAATGGGTCCGCTGCGTCCGAGAGAGTTAACGGCGCAAATTTGAAGAAACAACCGGGCCAGGGCAAGCAGCAGCCAGTTGGCGGCGAAGAAAACCTGATTAGTGTCAACTACGAAGCCACGAGGCAGGGCGACATTCCTCAGGGCGCGCCGCCAAAGGGGAGGCAGCAGAATCACGACACACTCCAGGGGCACACGATGTCGTCTCAGCCGATATATACTATCTCGGCTCCTCGCGACCCCCAGGTCATTACCAACTCGGAACCCGCTGGAAGTAAACTGGGAATGGCTCTTTCGCCGCCGAACCAGGAAGAGAAGAAGGCGAGAAAACGCAGCTTCTTCGGTTTTGGCCCCAAGACGAGATCGCCGAGCGACGGCCAGGACTCGCTTTACGGGGATAATAACTCTAGTATGAATGGGCAAACTAGCATGTATGGCGGTCCTGTTCGGCAGGTATTCGGAGCAACTCTCGCTGAGGCGGTTCGATACAACTCTCCGGTAGACGTGAGGGTGCCACTGCCTGCCGTGGTCTACCGGTGCATTCAGTTCCTGGACGCCAAGAACGCCTTTTACGAGGAAGGCATTTTTCGTCTGAGCGGATCAAACTTGGTCATCAAGCAGCTTAAGGAGCGCTTTAACGTCGAGGGCGATATCAACCTGCTTACAGATGAGCAGTACCACGATATTCACGCTGTCGCTTCCCTGCTCAAAGCCTACTTCCGGGAGCTGCCCACGACTATTCTGACTAGCGATCTGCGTATGGAGTTTATCGCGGTCACGGAGATGTCAAACCAAAAGGAGAAACTCGCAGCGCTTTCCCAACTCGTGCAGCGGCTTCCGCAAGCCAACGCCACCATCTTGAAGTATCTGATTGCGTTTTTGATCAAGATAATCAGCCACTCGGATGTGAACAAGATGACGGTGCGCAACGTTGGCATTGTTTTCTCGCCGACTCTTAATATCCCCGCCCCCGTCTTTGCTTTGTTCCTCCAGAATTTCCAAGCTGTCTGGAACGTTGATCCAGCCGAGTACGAGCCGCCAATCTTGGATGCGGATGGAAACGAACGGTCGTCGATGTCAACAGATCGACCATCGTTTCAGCAAGAAAGGCGCCCCTCCGACGGGCGTCCGTCCACCTCGCACAGCGATTCGCCTCACAGACAGCGTATGATGGAGGCGGTCCTTGAGGGACATTCGAACCGAAACACGCCAACCCCACCGCCGATATTGAGCATGCAACAGGTTGCGCAAATGAACGCAGCAACATTGCAGTCGAGGAGCTCGCCGACTCCTCCACCACAACGTCCCACCTACGAACCGCAATATGCCGGCCAGCAGAGACCGGCATATGAGACGAGCTTTGTGCAACCGAGCCATGATAGCTCGCACCTTCAGGCCCCCACAGGGGCCAACAGCACTGGGCTTTCGCCCGCTCCCTATGACCAGCCATACAAGAGCCGCCGTGAAAGCTCCATGTTTATGGGCAACCTCTCACACCAAGGTTCCAAAAGCCGCCTGAGAGAGGAGAGCCAATTCTAATTCGTTTTGCGTTTCTGCTTCATCAGAGGTGGATGGGGGTCCGAAATTGGTCGGAGTTTTTGCCTTCTTGGAGTTTGGCCCAAGGCTTGCTCGTTTCAATCTGTTCCTTTCTGCAAAAGATACCATTTCATCCTTGAAATCTTTTCCATATTTTTTTGTTCTTTCTCTTTTTGTATTCCTTTGGTTTGGTGTGCGGCCCATATTTTCTTAGTCTATCTCTCTCATAGCTCCATGATCCGTACACGACTTGACTTGACCGAGGGTGGGGAAGATGGGGCCACGCTCTGATATAATCACGGCTATTTACCAGGGGCCCACGGTAACATGAAGACGCTCTGCGACTGACGTCTGGCGTCGAATCTCGGCGTCACATCATGGGACTCGGGTGTGCTTGTAATGATGATTGGCTTGGGATTTAGCGCTGCGAAGGAGATACCAAGGTTGGATAGGGGGCTCCTGTGGTATAATCTGTAAAATTAGGAGTGTGGCATGGCGTTTTGTTCTATTCAAGGACCTCGACAGAACTTCACCCATATGCCTATTTCCCGTACAAGCCGATTTTGGCATGTGAATCTTTTATCATAAAAATAAATACTTTTATTGAATTTGAGTTGGGGTACATGCCTTTCGTCCTCACCTCGATAAACTTCCGTATCGAGATGGTGGGCCACTGCGAACTGCGTATCTGTAATCCCGTATGTGTGCGTACCAAGCGTGTATAAAGGTGGGCCTAGTAGATGTGCACAGGCCATGTCGGAGGTTGCACTCCGTCTCTTGGCGAGCCTTTGTTCGTGGCTGCTTATCAGACCGCAGGGCCAAGGGACGACAGGCACACAGAATATGAGATGGCGGCAATTGAAGGACAGGTGGGCTGGTTTGATTATTCTGTAGCAATCACCCCATCACGTCTTCACGGCGCTCGGAAGTCTCGGGTGCGTAACCCCGACTTCGTTTTGCGTGCTCTGGCCTAAGGAAGTTTATCGGCGAGTCGGGTGTACCAAGCCCGTTATCAACAGACGGCGTCCGTCGTCAGAAAAATGGCCGCTGCTATGGACTCGGCGTCGCTAGATCCACGACTCCGCGACGGCCCACTCACTGGAGAAGCTGCAGTCACAAAATCGAGAGGAACCCCGACGACGATCGTGACAGCGTCAGCCCCTGGAGCTAGACCCGGAGCTGGACCCGGAACTGGGTCGGGAGGAGGAGGAGGAGCAGCACGAGGAGGACATCGAGCATCGCAAACAATAGACGCACAAGCACAGGTACAAGCACAGAGCCAAGGCCAGGCACAAGCCCAGATACATGCACGCACGCACTCGCACTCGCACTCACACGCACACGCACACCCGCATGCGCACACACTCGGGCACGCCGACGGACAAGGTCCTGGATCAGCGTCGTCGTCCCTCTTCCCCCAGACCCCCAACGCCTCGACGTCAACGCCGCCGACCGCCGATGATTACCACTCTCCCTCGCCCGGCGCCGATGGCACGCCCGGAGACCCGAAGGGCGATGCCAAGAAACCACGCTCCTGCGAGAGCTGCCGCGGTCTGAAGGTGCGCTGCGAGCCAGACCCCGCCAACCTCGACGGGCCCTGCAAACGCTGCGCCAAAGCCAACCGCGCCTGTGTCGTCACCCAGCCCACACGCAAGCGACAGAAGAAGACGGATAGCCGTGTTGCCGAGCTGGAGAAGAAGATCGATGCCCTTACGGCCAGCTTGCAGGCCACAAGAGGCGGCACCGCCAACAGCATTCAGGCAACACCCCCCCAGCCTACTCCCGCCGGTTCGGGAAGTGTTGTGCCGGCCAGCGGGAGCGTATCGCGTACCGGCTCTAGAGTAGGCGCTACATTGCTAGGCAGGGACGAGAGCGTTCCCGCTTCCGGCGCGTCCCGCGGCACTGGGTTTCATTCCCCGTCAACTGTAACGGTAAGAGAATGGCCGTCTCAACCCCGGGAGCAGTCCTCGTCTTCGCACCAGTTGTCGGCGCCCTCGCGGCCGCCAGCTACTGCTGCTCCGCCGGCCGTGGCAGGTCAGAAGAGGAAGCTGGCCGACACCAGGGATGTGGCGGCCGCCGAGAGTGCGCGGGAAGCCCCGCCAGCTACGCCACAGCCACGCCCTGAGGAGGTCCCAGACATTATCGACCAGGGCATCATCACTCTGGCAGAGGCGGGTGAGTTTTTGGAGCGGTATACCGATCGCATGTCTCCACACATGCCAGGGATTGTCTTCCCGGCAGGCACAACTGTCGACGATCTAAGGGCAGCGCGGCCGGTCCTGTTTCTTGCCATCATGACGGCCGCCTCCAACGAGAGGCCAAACCTGCAGCGAGTTCTCACCAAGCAGCTTATGCAAGTGCTCGCCGACAAGATAGTCGTTGTAGGGGAGAAGAGACTCGAGCTTGTCCAGGCGCTTCAAGTGTCGGTGATATGGTACTGGCCGCCAGAACGATTCGAGGAGCTCAAGTTCTACCAGCTCGTACACATGGCTGCCGTCATGGCCATGGACATTGGTCTCGGCCGGAAGAAGCAGGCCAAGGCCGGGTTTCGCAAGCACATTCTTCAGAGCTGGCGAGATCATCCGTTCCGCAAACTAACCCCTCCCGATCCCACCACCATCGAGGCGAGGCGGGCCTGGCTGACTTGCTTCTTCTTGTCCGCGAGCACGTCCATGGCACTGCACCGTCCAAATCTCATCCGCTGGTCTCCTTTCATGACCGAGTGTGTGGATGTCCTCGAGTCCTCCCCTTTAGCGGCGCCAACAGACAAATACCTGTGCCAGTTGGTGTGGACCCACAGGCTTGCCGAGGAGGTCGGGATACACTTTTCCATGGACGATCCCATGACAACGCCCAATATTGCCGACTCGAGGACGCAGTACGCACTGAGGGGCTTCGAACGTGAGCTGGATAAGTTCCGCACCTCGACACCCCAGGAGCTACGACAACGTAAGTGGAGAGATTCCCGTGATATGATGCTCGGCGCAGTGTAGATTTGACTAACCGTCAACAGCTTCGCTCAAACTTTCGTTCCATGTGGTGAGCCTGTATATGCATGAGCTGGCCACTCAGAATGAATTTGGCGATGAAGGCAAAATGATTCCAACCAACGAAAACCAAGATGCCCTCGACATCCCTCTGACGCCCGCCCACATCAGCGCCCTCTCGGCGTGTCTCACCGCCATTGACGGCATCTTCGAGATATTTTTGTCGCTCGAGGTCGAAGCCATACGCTGTTTGCCCATCTTCTACCTTGTGCGCGTCGCGTATGCCACAGTAGTCCTGATCAAGATATACTTTGCCGCTTCGTCCCCCAAGAGCGAGCTCGGAAAGGTTATTGACAAGGACAACATGAAGGTGGAGCAGCATCTTGACAACTTGCGCGAGAAGTTCCGTGCGGCGGCAACCGACGAGAAGAGCCGCCCTGCTTCCAAGTTTCTCATTGTCCTCGTCATGCTCCGTTCCTGGTTCCAATCGCAGAAGCAAAGCCAGAACCAGAATCCGGGCGCGCCGCTGACTGGGCCTCCACCCTGTTTGAAAGAGACGGGACAGCGGTACGCCGACTCTGCTGTCTCGGCATCGTACACTTCACGCAGAAGCAGCACAGATAGGGAGGGACCCCAGCAACCTGACTACTCGACGACGGCCAACACGCCGCTGCAGCTGCTGTCCGAGGTCGCGACCGGCCAGAACTCAGCTAACGTTAATGCTGCTGCTGCTGCCAACTCGATGCTGCGGCCCAATGGCACCAACGTCTTGGATATGCTCTCTTCGGTACCCAACACAACTGGTGCCGGTGGCACCAGCGGTAACTCGTCGGCTTCGTGGTACGGCAACGCCCGGCCGCCGCCATACATGCCATACGGCTCCACGCCAGCCTCGGACAGCACTGCGGGAGATACGTCAGGTGGTGGTGGAGGCGCCGGCGGTAACTCGGGCACAAACGTGTTCAACGGCCAGTTCCCGGCGCCGTGGCTAAACAACGCCTTCTCGGCAGATTTTGACTACTCGATGCTCGGCGACGGCTTCGCCCACGCCATGGACCTCACCCTCGGCGGCTTTGGCGACGGCAGCAGTGCTATGGAGGAGAGCGTCCTCTACGTCATGCAGGAGCCGCCGTGGTTCATGCCGCCGGCTGCCGCCAGCAGCGCTGCTGCTGGGACTGGCGTGAATGGCTCGGTCGGGAACGTGATTGCTAGCGGGTTTGACTTTTGAAGAGGATTATGTGCGATGATTGTCCAAAAAATGCGATGGGGAATTAGCGCTGCTTGTTGTTGGGGATCTAATTTTGGACATTATACCTTCTCTAGGGTTTGATCTTTTCTTTGGAGTTACCGGGGGGAAAGCGCTTTTTTTTTCTGCCGAGGAATCACGGTACTCTATATTTTAGGTTTCCGGTTTTAAACATTTGCTTTATTTCTGTCTCGAAAGATCTTTGTCGTCGTCGATTTTTACGACACTGGGGCGATATTTCGGGAAAACAATAGGGGTGTTTATCTTGGGTGTAGTCTGGTAGGTATTCTCTATAATGTCTACTTTTCTTCGCTGCTTTTCTCTTGGGCGCTTTGTCTCTCGCTGTTGAGGCATTTTCTCGTCTCCGGGTTGAGTTGGAATGGGGGCTAATATTAGGGTGGGAGGTTTTCTTTTCCTCTTCCAAGCCCTTACTTTCAGTTAGGCGGCACATGGAATGGAATGGTATGGGTAGTTAGGGGACAAAGAGGATATGGGTTACAGTGTACATCTACGTCTCTACTCTCTCCCTGTCTTATATTTCTAGGAGTGAGGGCAATTATGGTGTGGATATAAAAAACGGAGGAAAGGAGACGGTGAAGTGGTCGTTAAGCAAGATGTTATATAAAACCCTACTCAAATTCTAGCATTGCTACTACTGTTATCATAGAGCTGAAACTATACACATGCATGACATATCGTTGCTGAGCGATGTGACCCTTTTCAAGGAAAATCAAGGAAATTAGTTTGGTAGGGAGGGGAAAGGGGGTTGGTTCTTTTCTGTAATGCTCTCTCTCCTAGCCTCCCCACATCCATCGCCCACCCTTCACTTACCGTCCCCTTTTCCTCAAGACCAGCATCCCAGAAAGAGAGAGAGACTGCAACCGAAACTCGAGACAAAAACCAAAGCGGCAGGGTTCTCGCACAGCTTCTTTGTCCGCCAGGCGGGTGGGTGTATTCAAACCCACGCAGCGGACCCAGCAGCTTGGGAGCGACACCTTCTCTAGCTAGGCTAGGTAGCTAGCTACCCTTTCCCGTGTCTCTTCTCAGCTCTCTCAATAGGGTAGGTAAGGTAGGTAATTACCTAGGGAGGTAGTTGCCGAAGTTAATCCTAGGCTTTGTGCTCTCTTTTATGCTCTCTCTCCCACCTCCCCCTCACTGCCAAGCGGGAGGAGGAGGAGCTTCGGCCGTTGCCTTTTTCCATTTTCTCCCTTTCCCCCTTCCCCCTTCCCCCTCCTTCCTCGCGCTTCCACAAAAGGGGATGAACGAGACGAGACGGAAGGAGATGGACTAGGGGCGTGAGAGAGCGACAGAGAGAGATAAGGCGTCATTGGAGGGGGAGGGAGGGGTTTGACGGAGGCGGAGAGATGGGCAAAGCGTTAGCATGAGAGCATAAGCAGAAGCCTGAGCACAAACAGTTCAAGTTAGGACGGAAAGCCTACTTGACAGACAGTCTACCTAGGGAAGGTAAGTAAGTAGGTACCGAACTCTCTACCAGGGCTTCTTCTTGAGAATACACACATAAGATTTAACTACTCTGACACGGTACGTGTGCACACAACTGCTATGAACCTACAAATCCACAAAACAATGAACAGCCTCTCACTGAATTCTCTCTTTCCCTTCTACATCGTCAAAACAGTAAATCCCCAGCCATCGTCATCCTGTCCATGTCGAGCAGAGCTGCAAGCAACGTGGGACAAGCCGCGAGTCCATTCTATCAGGCCAGCCGACCTACGTCAGTAAATAAGCTGGTGGTTCTTCGTCTGGCCAATGGCTGGGTGGGTGGTCTGAAGATCGCACGTCACGCAAGGGATCTCCTAATGGAACTGGAGCACAATGAAGTCAGTCAGGTGTCACGGGGCGGCTAATTTAATACTCTGGCCACTGTCGACACTCGCCTCTTACCGTCTCTCCCTTTATGGAGAGATCAGACGATTGATTGACATTGTCCAAGACGGATCGGAGACGAAAATGATTGGCTTCACAACTGAGCTCTCGGGTCCATGGCGGCCATATAAGTCCTTAGGTTTACTGTTTCCGATTGAGACAGCTAGTGTAGGAACGGTCTTTGAAGCCTATCTGTGCGGCTTGTGACCTTCTCCAATCTGAATGCGCCCCCCAAAGCTGATAATCATACACTTTGTCCATAACTCGTAGTCATATGCCGTGGGTTGAATCGATCATTGCCCACTGCAGTCTTCTGCCACAGCTATCACCGCAGCCGTAGCCATAACCACTCCGCCCGGCCGCTTGCCTGATATGCCGCCGGCCGCCCACCGGCGTTCCTATAACTCCCAGTGCTTGCTTGTTTTGTTTGCCCAGACGCCCATGGAACAGCCCGTTTTTCAAGGCCTCCGGTTCAGTTGCAAAGACAAAATAAAACACTGCCCAACCGAAATTTCGGGAGAGAAAACACGTGAAAGAAGACATAAAACGCCACCTGAAGCTCCATAGTAGCTTGATTCGGTAAAGCGAAGCCCGGACCCAATCCAGGCCGAGCAAGGCCCAAACAATAAACTAGACAATCGTATAATATATGCTTAATCAGACGGAACAGGCGGGGTGGGGCAGCCGTTGATCGACCATGAGATTCCCCGAGTGTCAGTGTCAACGCCCATGCGTCGATGTTGACTTTCTCAGTCCATGTAGAAATCACCCTTCAGGATGCGCTCCTGGAAGTGGTCTGGCTTTTGAGGCGTGCGCGATTTTGGCGCCTGAGCCGGGGGCACAGGCATGTCGGAAACGGATCTTGCTCGGTCATGACGGGGACCCGTCGTCGAAGGAGGTCCGCCGCCGCCGACGCCGTTACCGCGGGGCGGGGATGCGCTCAGACCCGAGGAAAAGAAGGGAACACGAGAGCCTGCAACAGTGCTCTCGGCACGGGACCTAAGCTGATCGGACCAGTTGAAGCCTTGGTCTGATCGAGCGGGAGGGGACATGTCAGAAGCTGGTCTGAAATGGGTTGCACTGCTTGCCTGAGATGTCCTGCTACCCCACGTGTAGTTCCCGGAGCCTAGCGCCGAGGCCAGCGGTGGGGTAGGGGGGCTACCGCGTGCAGCGCTACTTCTCCGGACGGGCAGGGAAGGCCTACCATTGCCAGGGCTGGTGCCTCCACGCACCCCACGCACGGCTTGGTTGGCGCCGAAGCTCATGCGGCGGGTGAAGGGAGTAGTGGGAGCGGTGCGGGCAACGTCGTCGTCCTCGACGGCGTTCTCGTCAATCGAGTCCGAGTTGGTTGACAGACTGGCGCGGCGCATGAGAGAGGCCGTGGTGGTGGGAGAGGTGCCCGACAGGCCCAGCGTCGTGATGGAGAGTCTCCGGCGCTGGTCGCCCAGGGTGGCAGATGTCAGAGGGGTGGGAAACGAGGTGGCCTGGGCTTGCGAGATGGAATTGCTTCTGAAGAGGTTGGTGAAGGCGGCAGAAGTGACCGAGCCTCGTCTCTGTTGGCGCGCCATGTCGTTGGAGTTGTGCGAGTTGTCGGAAGACATGGTAGCGGGAGGGATCGAAATGACTGAAAGGCGGTCGTGCTTCTTATATCAAGGGGACGGGGCCGAAGCCTGGGAGAAGGATAGCTCCGAAGACGGACCGCTTTACGTGTGGGCTGTGCAAGTGTTCCCTGTCGATAGGGGCCGAGTGGCTTCGGGAGAATAGCGGTGCAGGGCGGGAGAAGAACGGCGTCGTATGTTTTGTAGATGGGAATGGTTCGAGTCGTGGACGCCGGGCGGGTTGGATGCGGTGCAAGTGAAACGCTCTTTAAAGACACTGGACGGGCAGCGCAGGCTATACCTAGCGCTGCGTGTGATTTGTGTTGCGTGCGCCGGCCGAGTGGGGGTGGGAGGGGAGGCTTGAGCGACGAGGGGGTGCAACTCAGGGATTAGATGGCTCGAGATTGCCTTTTCTTTGTAGCGGCGGTTTGGAGCACGCAAGGTGATCGGCAGCGCCTCGTTCGATGGCAGGTCCGACGGCAGGTCCGACGGCTCCTTTTTGCCAGACGAGTCGAGCTTCAACTTGCCAGGTACAAGGCCGTTTGTGGTGTTTGCTCCTTCCCTTTGTCGTTTTGGCTTCCTAGTCGGCTCTAGTAGTGCTGGGGGTAATCCTGGCTCTGAATGCGGGGGTTACACGTGCAATGACTCAATGGGACGTCGCAGAGATGATACGTAGGGGACTGAAAAGAAAAAAAAAAGAGACAAGATGGAAAAGACAGACGGCAAGGAGCATCTTATGGAAGATGCCCAGACTTTAGGCCTCAGGCACGAGGCCCAGCAGTCAATCTCCCCAGTCGCCGCCCATTCCGGTCACAGCTGGACGCGGCGGTGATCTGCTTGCTCCAACAGCGCCGCGCAAAATGCCACTATCAGCATCCTTGGAACCCCGGTCGGCCGCCCTTATTGGCTACCATGCGGCAGAGCGGGGCACCCATCTTTATTCCGGCCAATGGCACGTGCAGAATGTGCCTTGTGAGTCTGGGGGGAGGGCCATCACCACCTAGGGGCACAATCAGCACACTAGGGAATTTAGGGCGAAGCCAAGCTCTTCCATTTCGACGTCACGGACCCACAGCAAGGCCCACCGAATGGAGTGATTTGCGGGGTAAACGCATCGAGTGCCGTTTTCCCCTTAGCTCGCAGGAAGTGACATCTCACCCTCATCCGTCCATCTTGGGTTTCTCGGACTTCCCTTCTAAGGAGCAAAGAGAAGATGGAGCGCAAATTGGGCAGAAACGCAGGGTCTTGTGCCATCGCACATGGTTTCGCCACTGGAGCTCACCATCAGACGGCCCACACCGGGATGTTATTGTGTCCATGTTGAATGTTAATTATATTGCACTGCACGTTCGCTGCAGCTCACATACTACGTACGTGCTGCGAGCGCTCGGTCGGTGCTTAACCAGATTAGGCACCACTGCTAAAATAGTGTCCTAAGGGCCTTCTTTCTATACTTCGTACTTTCATATCATTCTTACTCTCTCTGCACTCAGTACATACCAGGTAGTTGTCTTGCGGATCGCCCCAATGGGTTTGATCCGAGTGAGGCGGTCGCTGTTGAACCACCTAACCTTCTCTATATTTTGGGTCTTTTACTATTTAAGAATGATCTTCCAACAATGAGAAATTGGAAAATTCCCCTCTCAACTTTGGGTAATGATCCTGTCGGTAGATGCGAAACATTGACAGAACAAGCCAAGGATATACCTGTGTAAGTGCGGTCTATCTCGGGCGCGAAGATCTTGTACCACCATGGACCCCTCCTCGGCCGCGTTTCGAGAGGCTTCTTCGAGATGAAAGGGCAGGAAGGCAGACAGACAGACAGACCCGTGGCGTGTATACTAGACTCTGTGTGTTGTTTGCGCCCAGCCACTCACCGGTGCGGGAGCGATGCGAGCCTGCTGCAGGCGCTGACTGGGCGTCTGGCTCGATGCAAATGCATCGTTCTGCGTCAGCCCATCCAGCCTGTATGTCCTTCCATGCAGCATCTGTCCGTTTGAGAAAGGAAGCCGGATAGAGATGGGACTGGCTGGCTTGCCAACCTTCGCTTCAGAGGCTCGCGTCGTCGACACGGAGACTTGCTCCGCTGCCGCGGTCTTGGCTTTGCTTGGTCGACCGCGTGAAGGAGGGCACGGCGTAATAGGAGGGCCTACATCACTGATGCTTGCTTGCCCTTTTATCTCCAACCGAGTGACGGGCTGGTATGTGGTCTTGGACGAAGTACCCTTTGGCTCCTAGTAGTAGGTAGGTGTCTATCTGATCCTCCCACAGGTGACTTTGTCGTCGTGCAGTAGCCTGCCAAGCCTGCATGTGGCGCGCAGCCAAAGCAAACCAATTCCTGGCCGGAGAGAGATGGAGGAACAAACATCAAGACAGCACCACTACTAGCAGCAATGGGGGCTTGGTGTAGAAGCAACTTCTCAACACCCATCCTGGGGACAACACCGACATGATGTGGGAGCTACGCAGCACACTACTGCAGCTTAGGCGACAACTAGCTAATGCGTGGCCGGCAACATATTGGGGTGGCAGATCTGGTGCCCCTCTTATGTATGTATGCACCATGTTCCAAGGCTCCGCAGCCCACTCGGGACATCTAAACTGTACAGATTGGCGAGCGAGCCTATCTGTCGTATGTACATATCAGCAACGGCCTCCACCTGTGGCATCCGCTTCTTAGCCAAGCGCAGCTTTTTGGAATTTCTAGCCCTCCCTCCATGCAGTCGTCTTCGCCAAGCCTGGGCGCGGCGACGGGAGTCGGGGGAAAACCCTTGCGACTCCCAAGCATAGATAGGCCCGAGGGCTTTCACCTAACTCGGTCTCGATGCCTGTTGCTGCTCGCTCGGTTGGTGTGACGATAGACTCTTTTTTGCAGGCTGGACCTCATCGGACGGACCCCGAAAAAGCAAAACCCGACACCCGACACCCGACACCCAACACCCGACACGGGACTCGGGACCGCGGCATAGGGATAGGGCTGCCCGGGCGGCCACGGCCACCCTTGTCACACTGGACATGCCCTGTTGGCTCTGATGGCGATGGCCCAACCACATTACCACACCCGCCTCACTCGTGATCTGGAATCTTCCCCCAAGCCCAGCAAACACCAGGCGTTATCCCATGTGTCTCGTCGCAGCACAATTCCACAACTTTGGGAACATCCGTGGCTGGTCCGACCAAAACCCCGCGAGTTGGCTCTCTGCCCGCCCACATTAGCATTGGGGGAGCACAGGCACGAAACCCGAGGGACCATGCATGTCACGGCTAACTCTCTTTTCCTTTTCGGCCCAAAGTGCCTACGCCCTCATTATGGCCATTCATGTATTTGCTGAACGGCGGCTGCTATCCCAGGCAAAGGGGGCAAAGACCCACGCGCCGCTGATGTCGTCTGTCTACAACACTATAAAAGCCGATAAACTCACACAGACATCGGCCCAATTCCCCGCAAGTGTAGCGTCCATTGGGCGAGCACATGCAATTTAATATGTAAATGCTGGTGGTTGCTGGCGGGCTGCCACACCAGACTTGGCACGTTAGGTAGGTAGGTACTTACAGGTGAGTTTGAACCTTCTTTTTCTGCTCGAGCGGCTTTTGGGTCCCTCTGCGTCTGAAACCTAGGCGAGGGGTCCTTTGTGGAACCGAAGTTGTGGTTCCATCCATATTAATTCAGTTGAAGCTACCGAACCTTATTCCCGTCAACTACTTGCGGGTAGAGTTATTAGAGTTCTTGATTTCCAAGCGAGCCCCAAGTCCAACAACCTACCCAAGCGTCCCCGCAAGGGGCGTCCATGTCGATGAATTGTGGTGGGGGGGTCCTTCACGAAAAAGCAAGCGCTGCAGCGGTCCGTCTCCATCCCAAGCATGTCGTCAGAAATGAAAAGTACCTACCTTAGGTGTCTGCGTGGGCCGCCGGTTTTGACTCTTGACGGCTCGTTGCATTGTGCCGGCCGGCGAAAAGCAAACGTTATCCCAAGACCTGGGTGTCATCGGCTTCGGTTTCGTCGTTCGCTCGCTCGCTGTCTGTCTGTCTGTCTGTCTGTCTGTCTGTCCGTCCGTCCGTCTGTCTGTCTGTCCACATTCATCGGTCGCAGTTGCAAAGTGGTTGGCCACGCGTCATCCAACTCGCTCACCTAGGTTTGGCTCTCTCTTTCTCTCTCTGCGCTCTTGACATGTGTCAAGGCTGCATCCATAGAGCAGTTCTGTATGCAAGCGAGATGGGCAACAGGTCTGGAGTGGCAGCCCGGTTCATACTTTGTGCACATGCGGTACGCCGAATGCCGAGATCCGGCGAGGTGCAGGCTGCTCCACAGCCAGTCGACTTGGCCGCGTCGGTGGCGGTCTCTGCCTCTGCCCAGCAACGTTGGGCAGCCGACCCCGCTCCGGGACTTGGCGCTCCGTCAGCCCGGTACCAAGGCAGTGTGATTGATTGATCTCTTACCCATAGGCCGGGGCCGTTGGGTCACAGGGTCTTGGCGTTCGAACGCCGGGCACGTAGTTGTCTCGCAGCGTCGGTGGGAATAGACACGTGGAGGCCGAGCACAAAACGTGGGCGACCTGTTTCGGGATGTCTGGGAACCTAGTTAACAAGGTCCCCTTGCTACAGGAAGTTTCACTGGACCATGAAAAATAGGCGGAATATGCAATAGATCATCGATGTAAACTCTCGCGTTTGTCCTTAAAAAAAGGTTGCCATGAAATCTGTTGCTCATTAATATACTGTACCGGGCAACCATCTCGAGACAGAAGAGAGAGGTCAAGATAATCCCTTATCTCTCTCGACCCGTGACAGCTGCGAGACTAGGCAGATAGATACAACCAGGGCGCCATGAATCGACCGGTGAGCAACTCGTCTACTATATGAACTACCGCGATGATGCTTGCAATGCCACCTCCCATCCGTATTTCCGGACCCGAAGAGGTATGCGATGCCAAGAAAAGAAAAAAAAAAGATCCTCCACTGCAATAAGAAAACACCAAATAAACAACGATCAACAATCAAGCTGGCGTGGCGTCTCACAGTTCGCCAGGCCGGGGTATCTCTTTCTAGGGGTATATCTATCATGCATTTTTATGAAATTCACGAAATCCGTGAAATGAAAATCCGTGAAAATGTGTGTTCCGTTCCCAACTTCCGACGATAATGATGCATCAACATCAACCAGCCCCGTTGAATTCCATCTCTCATAGGAGAGATGTGCCTGCCTCTTTACGCTAGACCAGAAAAGCCGAGAGAGAGAGAGAAAAAAAAAAGCCAATAGCCAAAACGCCGTCCGGGTTTTTCTGTACAGAGAAAAAAAGGAAATGACTCTGAGAGGGTGTGCGTGGAGACAAAAGAGAATACCAACCATAGAGAGGAATAACAAAAGAAAGAAAACAATAAAGCATTCGCCGCTCTCTTACTAGGTATTCAACAACGGGGTCGGGGCACATTCATAACCCTCAATGCTGGTTCTGTTTTGCTTTATTTTTTGTGTCGTTTTGCAATTCGGTATGATTTACTAATGGTCTTGCCGAAGTTGAAGCCAAAGCCAAAATCGTAGCCGTAGCCGAAACCGAAGCCGTAGCCGAACAACAAGCCGAAATTGTGGTCCCGGCAATGATGTTTCTCCTGGCTAGGCGAGCAAGGTTGGTCGGGTATGAATAAGGTTGGTGTGAGGTGAGGTAGCGCGAAGTAAGCTGTTCGTAGCTACCTAGGTAAGGTGGGAGAAACAGAGTTGGGCAGTTTCCTCGAGAGCTATGACACATTGCCGAATGATATTCTCAGGATATTCAGCTCCATATATGCATGTATGGATGTACGGCGCCCCTCTGGCCTCTTAAAGAAACCGGGGGCTGAGGTGGGTAAGCGGGATGTCGGGCGCAGCGTTGTTGCTGCCGCTGCTGCCGCGAGGAATCGCAATGCCGGTGACGGTGGCCGAGGAGGCAGGGGAAGCGGGCGAAACGGAACCGGCCGTGGCGCGAGGCGAAGAAGAATTCCGGCGATGAGTGAGAGGAGCAGGAGCAGGAGCGGTGTTTTCCTTTCCCTGGGGCGGGCAGCCCCGGGGAGCCACCTCGAAAAGGTCGCGCGGGTCCTCCCAGGCTGGTCCTCCCGAGGCGGCGCGGCCCTGTTCCTGGAGGTCGAGGCGCAGCGCCCTCTCCTCTGCCGTCTCGCCCGGGTGGGCCAGCACGTCTAGCAGACCCAAGGCGCCGAAGCGGATGTTGTCGGCCTTGAGCTTGTCGTACAGGGAGGGGAACCAGCGGGTCGTGAAGGTGAAGTAGAAGCCGTGGTTGCGCACCAGCCACATAAGAGACACGTCGACGAGGCGCGCCATGGCCGAGCGGAGGGGTTGCATGAGGGCGCCGTCGCCCTGGTCGTACATCGTGATCAGGGCGACCTCGAGCGGCTGGTACAGGCGCGACAGGTCGAAGTCGACGTGGCCCGGCAGGAACTGGGCGAGCACCATGGTGGCGCCGTCGATGGCGGCCACGGCGTGGTTAATCATGCTGGGGCAGCCGACCGACACGCCGCAGATGTAGTGGAACACGTTGACCCGCAGCACCTCGCCGTCGTGCGGGTAGTACGGGTCGAGGACGACGCGCTCCCACCGCTTGGTGTACATGAACTGGAGCGCCGTGGCGATCTCCAGCGCCCACGACGTGTAAGGGCAGTTGTAGATGACGTATCCCCCGTGCTGAGCAACAAGGTGGTGTGAGTATGCAGTTTCTTCTGAGCAACAACGGGGGTTATGAAGGTGGTGCATTCTCACGCTGTCCTTGGGCGGGATGGCCTCGGCGAGCCACATCGACTCGCGGCTGACAATGTCGTGGTGGACTCTCCAGCTCAGGCCGCCACAGACGATCAAGAGATCCCACTCGTACTGTGTGTCCCAGAGCCTGTGGTTGGGAGACGAAGGTGTCAGTCTGCCATGCTCGTTTGGAAAGGAAAGAAAACGAAAAAAAGAAAGAAAAGAAAGAAAAGGAAGAAATAAACTTACTGGATTTCACCCTGGTCATGGGCGGCAATCACTTCGCTGGTACGAGCCGCTCTCTCCTCCATTTTGCGGATTCTGTCTTCTTCCATGCGGAGGGCTTCTTCAATGATAGAGTCGATAAAGTCTAAAGACGGAGGTGGGCGGTCGTTGGAAGAGTAACGGCGAGAGTGGTAGTCCTTTGGACTGGCGGGCGTGCTGTCTTTAAGTAGAGACAGCAGGTTACCTTTGTCGGCTTCTCCATGTGGAGCTTGTGCCGTTGCCTTGGATGAAGCAACATCAAACTTTTCTTGGCCGGTTGAGAAACTCTCATGCTCGCCTTCGGTAACCTTACGGGGCTGCTTTTCAGCAGCGCCAGCGGCAGACGCCAGCAGCGCAGCCTGTGGCAGAGCCACGGTTGGCGACGCCGTCTTGGTTATGCTGCCACGGCCGTTGCGAACCTTGTCGGCGCCCACGGTAAGCTTCTCAACGGCAAGATTATCAACGGAAAGCCTCTCAACGGCCTCAACGGCTAGGCGCGTCTCCATCGTGGCTTTTGGAGAGTTTGGCACGCCCTTGCCCTTCAAGGCTTCCGCATACGACAGTTGTGCCTTTTTCGCCCTCTTCTTTGCCTTTTTGGGTCTGGGCGGAGACGGCTGCTGCAAGGAGCCGGATGTGACTTCGGCAACTGTGTCCGGGACTGGACCTGTTGCGGGTTTTGGCTTCGGAGCTTCAACAGGCTTGGTGCTGGTCTTCTTCTCCTCGGCTTTTCGCTTGGTGGGGGTGGGCTTGAACCCTCTCACGGCATCCGCGTATGAAGTTATTCGCAGCGGTGCGGGAGTCTTTGGCGGGTCCATGACCGGTTGGCTGTATGCAAGTCGGGTCAGTAAAAATACAAGCAGATGCAGGCGGGTAGCCGGTGGGATTAAGGTAACGGTACCTCAACTCGCGGAATGGGTATTACCAAGTGACGTGTTGTGTGAAGAGGAAGAACGTGGAGGATGGGGGGAAAATATGGCGGGTGCTTGTTAGGGCAGTGGTCGCGCGTTCTGTGCAGAGGGTATGCGAAAGGCTGACCAGCGGGCTACTTACCTGGAAGTAAGCAGAGCACGGCGATGTGTTGCCAAAGTAAACTTGAGGCGCGTCTCGTGTTTGGTTTGTTGAAGGGACTTCAGCTTTGAGTCGCGTCTTTGGCGACCTGGAAGTCCTTCCTTCTCGGAAACGGTTCTGCTGCATCAAGGTCGTTCAAATGCCGAGTACTGTTCATTTGTCTTTCTCACAAGTATCTGACGTGGAATCTGAAGAAATTGTGAAAAGTTTTTGAGTTTGATCTCAGGTTGATATCACACTATGAAATATTCAATGAGCTGGATCTCGGCTCTAGCACTCATCTCGCCCTCACAATGAGCTAAGGTGTTGGTTGTGAAGATATATGCTGGTGCTGTAGTAACGAGTTGAACAGACTAAAGATGGCCCCTATTCGGAGACCTCACGGCAAGGGGACGGACCTGCGGACCGCGGATCGACTCTTGGCGAGGTATTCATGGTTAAAAAAGAAGTAAATTAGGAAGGCATGACGGAAGGCACAACTAGTGTCGGGGCGAGGGTAGAGGTAAGGCTGGCATGTCAATTCCTCTACCTTCATTCTACAGTTCCTTGACTATAGAATCAACTTTGCAGCTTGATACAAAAGCAGACAGGTACATTTTCTTCGATTGTTCCATGTACGGCAATCAATATTCCATATCGAAAGTTTGAAAAGCGAACAGTACACCACACAGAACTGGTAGACTTCAGCTCAGGGCATACATGAATTTTGGACCATCTGGTGACAATCACTATCGAATCGAAACGGTACGAGAAATGTAGGTGTCAATTGCCGCCTACTAAGTCTGTTAGTTTCGGTCACATCTTTATGATACAGGGCTGGTCCGCAAATGGATGATTTGTGCAAAGAGACCTGAGAACCAAGGCGAAATTCAACCCCGAAAGAACATCTTTGGCGACCTCTCGCTCAAGCGAATGATTGCGGCTCCCAAACTTACTGTTAACATTTGTTGAGTGAGTTACACGGCTGGAGCTCGCTGACCGTAGAAAGCCGTAGGAAGAGGAAGAATAAGGGGGTATCAAAAGCCTCGAGGGGCTCGCATGCATGATTTTCTACGATTTTATCATGAAAATCTGGTAAATATTAGCCCAAGGTCTCGTGGCCGAAAGCCAAGTAGCTGGCAAAGCAAGGATCTCACCTCTTTAAGTGCGGCCGGGTCGGCAAACGCCATTCTCTTTTGGGCAATGAACCTCTGCCTCGACAAATAGCGAACCGAGGTAGACACTGCCGTTGAGGAACCGCTCTCAGCCGGCGTCGAGACACCGCTGTCAAGAGGGGTAGGGGCAGGAGAGTCCCCAGCTTTATCAGCTTTCCTCCGCTTCCTTTCCCGTGATATGCTGTCTCCCGCCTCGGATGCTGACCGAGAGACCGCTTTCTCCAGTCGCCTCTTCGCCCTCTTCTCTTTTCGGTCTTTCTTGTCCTTCTTCCTTTGCTTTTTCTCTTGGCGCTTCTTGCTCTCCGAGGTAGACAAGTCAGAATCTCCCAGAAGGACTGAAGAAGCCGATACCGCGTCTTTCTGCTGCTTCCTACTGGCTGTCGACGGAGCGTCGTCGACGTCGACGTCTGTCTTCGACCTCTTCGACCTCTTCTCTTTTATCTTCACCTGAGGAGTTTGGCTGTCCGTATCTGCCTCGGTTTCTGTTTTTTGCCGCTTTAACTTCTTCTCCTTGTTGCTCGCCTTTTTCTCCGCGACTGCGTTCTCGCTATCGCTGCCCGGCTCGGCCTTTCTTTTCTTGGACTTCTTTTTAGAAGGCTCAGATTCCTCAGAGGACTCTTCCACCGGCGGTTCCGTTAATATCTCTTCATCCGATTTGATAGAGGCGTCCGGGGCGTCTTTAGGCAAATCCTTGGCGTCTTCGAGCACGTCCTTGTGCTCGTTGCCAACGAGAAAGCCGCCCCGTACGAAGCGAATCGTACCGATCTTCTTCTGCAGGTAGAGACTGAGCTTCATGTCGTCGCGCGCCTTCTGCTCCGACTCCAAGACGTCTTCGGCCTTGCCGTTGAGCCGCCCGAGCAGGTGCTGGAAAGCATCTAGGCCGGTGCACTGGTCGCCGTTGTTCTGCTTCGCGCCAAGGCCGAGGTTGTCGTCCTTGAGCACGACGCGGATGTGCCCCGAATTGGCCTCGGTGTGCCACTCGGCGTGCGCCGCATCCTTGGCCCCGAGGTACTGGCCGGGCTCCCACCCGTGAGCTCTCAGCAACTTCTGGCCAAATGACTCCGTGTTGCGGGACCATTTGGTGTTGTTCGGATCAAGCCCGAGCTTCCGCTTGCTGTAGTCGCAGTGTCAGCAATCAGTAAGAATATGCGAAATACGATGCACTCACTTCTTAGCAGCGGCGAGCCCCATGTTTGATCGCGAAGTTGCTCAACAAGGTGAGCTCTTAATGATCAGAAATCGAGCCTTCCACGGTTGTTTTCAGCGTCCACTTGCGCCGAACCTTTAATTTTTTTTTAGCGGGGCAGCCCAGCCATGTTTGTTCTGCCAACTCACACCGCTGTTGCTGCCCCACATGCTCAAGCTTTGCAAGGATGAACTTGCAGGGGTGGCCCTGTCTGTCTGCACCTTCCCGCTTTCAGGGGTTCTGTGCCTGCCAGGAGGGAGCTTTCGTTCCTGTAAGTCGAGACGAGGAGGACTGCAAGTTGAGTTTATATTGTATTTACCAACCTCACCTCCCTCAGACTTTACTCTCAAAATTCCTACTACCCAACAGCTGATTATACTTCAAGCTACAATTGTACTATTCCACGTGCGTTGCAGTGTTATATCTTGAATGGCGCCCGCGGCGAACTCAACCAAGCCGCGGAGGGCTCGTGGATCCGCCACCGCCCACCACAACTCGGATTCAGACGAATATGAAAGAAACCTCCAGGTAGCCACTGCTGCCCGGACACGCATTTTCAAGGCACGTAGCTTAACCGTAAAGTTCAACTGACATGTTCAGCCTCTTATCGCGGACTTTTTTCTTCACAGCAATTCCAAGAGGAAAGAGACAATGACGACTAACAATCTCGTCGCAGGCAAGAGCGGAACGGGACGAGAAGCGTGAAGCTTTGGCTGCAGCTCACCTGGCTTGCCTCGGTGCTCTCCAGGAGCGCATGCAGAAGTCGATCACCAAGTACTGGGATCTGCAGTAAGTATTCCACCGCGCATCATTTCCGCCCATTTCATCCATCAGTCCGGACACACAGGCATCTTCATTCCCATGTCTCGCAATTGGCGGCTGACTCACCGCAAAACCAGCTCGTTGATCCAGATCAGACGAGTCGTGAGGCTCAAGCAAGCCGTGGACGCGCGCGACGAGAAGCTCAACCAGATCGCGGCCAGGCTGGCCGACTTCCAGCGGGTCGTGCTGAACCACGGCGTGCAGCTGCAGGCGCTGTACGAGGGCCGCCGCGAGGACGTGGCCGCGCTGCTGCTGCTGCCCGAGCCCGGCACGAAGCCGAGTGCTGACATTATCAAAACCGAGAAAGAAGCCAACTCCCTGCCGCGTGGGAACCTGAAGCGCCAGCGCGGCCTCCCTCAAGATCGCGAGCCCCGCAACCGTCTGCGCGTCGACTAGGCTCTCGTCAACCGGATCTGCTCCGACAAGGCGGTTGGCAAGGAGAATCCTACGGCTTGAGTGTGTCCTCTGGGGCGTAGCTTTCCTATTGTCTGATGAGCTATGAAATTGATTATGTCTGCGGAACGATACCCATATAGGCGCCTTGCTTTTCGCTGACCACTGTAGACTAGGACTGTAGACTAGGGTGGGCTAGTGTGAAGGAGTCCACGGCACAAATTGTACAGTAGGTTGTTGATATGTCGTTGAGATGGTAACCACCAGGAGTGCAGCTCCATGTCTGTCAAAGGAACCCGGGTAGGTAGAGTGAGAGAGGATTGTTGTTGCAATTCTAATTAAAAAGAAACCGGATCTAGCAGACCCCCGACCCCGTCTTCCGTAGAGTGAACGCCGCCCTCCATGGTATGTATAATTATACACGTCGTGTGTGTGTTGGTTTTCCCCAGTGATGTGTGGTTTTACATCGTCCCCCACGGCCCGGAAGTTCGGACCCCGCGCACGAAGAGGAGACCTTCCACGCCCCCTTCTGCCCCTCCAGGGCCTCTCAGACCTTGAAGCCAAACCCGGCCATGCAAGTCCGGTACAGATCCACCGTCGACTGGCAGTCTTTCTGGGCGTCGGACGCGTTCGAGAAGAGCATGCACTCGTCGCGCTTGGCCTTCTCGTCTTTGCACACGCAACAGGGCTGTGTGTTTCGCATCATCCCGACAGCGGGTGGTCCTGGTCAGCCACTGTCGCCTGCAAAATTTTTTTCTCTTTTCTCTCTGATCTCCTTCCTTCTTTCAGTTTGTCAAGTGGGGTTCTGGATAGTCGATCCTCTGCGCACCTTGGGTTTGGAAGCTGCTGCTGCGTCAACGCTCGGCGAAGTCTGCGCGGGCGCGCGGGAGCTCGCTGTTAGGGAAGCTATTTCCGTTGCGGCGCGCAAGGCCCATGTTAGTCAATTTGCTTGTGGAGGGGCAATCGGCGAGGAATGCGTGAGCTTTTGGATAATGAGTTTGTCTTACACATTGGTGCGGCTTGGGACGTCATTGCGACCTCTGTCTCCTTGTGTGTCTGGTATGCGCAAAATAGAAAAGGGTTGAAGATCGGATGTTCGGGTTTTCGCGATTTGCCTTTTCATGGGAACTTCTACCTTCCAGAAGAGCAAGTTGATTTGTCAATGCGACAGGTAAGCTTCCATGTCACTTCGGGAGCTTGTGCAGCGCCAAGACAGATGGCGTCAGCGGTCTCCGGGTCACCTGATACCTCTGAACTCGCACAGGCACTGAGCACTCTAGATCAACACAACTATTGATGAAAGCCGAGCCAAACAACGCTAGACACTGGTATCATGAACCGCTTATTTACAAACAAGAAAACATATGCTCCTTCCGTCTCTAATCAATTTTCTGTTCATATTTTTCTCCACATATTTTTTGGCATTTTTCGCCGGAGCTTCTCCTCGTCGGTTCCGTGTGAGACGGTGATGGGCTTCTTTTTGGTGCATGGCACCTAGTGCAGTTAATAAAGCAGGCTACGGAGTATTTTTTCCCAATTTCTAGGCGACAAGCCACCCCTCCAACCTTCAGGTAAACCCAATCAAATCCCCCGCTATGAGCAGCTGGTACCTGTCAATCCCCCCCTCAGCCTGACCAGCACGCCCGCGGCGAGCATCTTGACTTGCTCCTCCTCTCCGGCGCCGTCGCCGGCATCGCCGCCCCTGACCCCAGTGAACACGCCGGCGACCCACTCCTGCGTCTCGACGACCTCGCTGCCGAGCTCCTGGCAGACGTCGCGCATGCGGTTCTCGTTGACGTCGAGTAGCGCGAGCAGGCCGAACAGCACGGCGTGTGTGAGGGCGAGGTCGCCGACGGCGTGGGCGCGGACGCTCGTGCTCAGCAGCAGGCGCCACAGCTCGGCCGTCATCTGCGGCAGCGCGAGCGTGCTGGGGCCGGCCGCGTGCAGCAGCAGCGCGAGCGTCTTGAGGTAGAGCGCGAGCAAGTACGGGTGGAAGACGATGCCGCGGGTCCGCGACGACGGCGCGTGCAGCGCGGCCTGGAAGCGCGCCGCCAGCGGCGAGAAGAAGGACGTCGAGATGAGCTGGGCCGTGGTGTTGGGGATGGCGCGGACACGGGGCCGGGTGCGCGACTTGATTTTGATTTTAGGGTTCTTGTCGCTGCTGTTCTCTAGCTGTGACGTGAATGTGGACAGTTTGAGCACGTCCGGGCCGGTGGCCGCGTCGGCGGCGGTTGCGGCCATCGGTGCCAGAAATTGTGAGATAAGCGATTTCGCGACCTTCTCTACGGCGTTGGCCGGAAGAGGCTTTAGAGTGGATGAGCTAGATGGACTTGTGTAGCTATTTGATGGCCCCCCGCTGATGAAGAGCCTCTCGACTCGTTCGGGCAGTGTCTTGGATGGGAAGGATACTGCGGCAGTGTACTCGGACGCCTCGAAGCCCGCCAGCTCGCGGGCGCCCAGGCCCAGGACAGCAAGAATCGAGGCCCTCTGGGATATGGAGTAGTCGCCATCGAAGAACGTCTTTGAGAACCACTGTCCCATGAGCTCAGGCCGAGCAACGACTAGGGCCATCATCCCCTGAACCCTGAGACCGTCAAAGTTGTCGATCTCAAACTTGTCCTGTAATCCCACTAGCAACGATGCAAGTTCTTCGGCGTGCTCTGCAACCTCGGTTCCGAAGTTTGCCTTGCGCCGGATCAGTGTCGGGGCTGTCATCAGAGCCAACTTTTGGTGGTCGTAACTCTCCGTATCTCGGAAATATGAGATCAGATTCCTGATGTAGACGGGTGCTTTTGGTTTGTCACGTCTAACCAATGTTGCGTCATCGTCTGAGTCTTCGGCGTCCGAGTCTGGTTTTGCATATGCAACGACGTCTTCGTCCATCTCCTCGTCACCGAGCTCTTCGATGATAAAACCTTGCTGTGGAGGCTTTGCCGCCGCCCTTGGAGTTGCTGTGGTTGTAGTTTTAGTTGTAGGTTTTTTTTGGATACTTTTTTTGGGGACCACGGATGTCTCTTGCGTCACAAGCAGAGGATCCATATTGCCGATCTGGTCCGAGATATTGACAAGCTCTTTGTACCATTTACCTTCAGCTTGACCAGTCTCCTCCACATGGAAATCAAGCCTCTTATCGCCCTTGTCCACAAGACCAGATATAGCTTCGCCAACCACCATGCCCAGAAACCGAGCTCTTTGGTGAGATGTTGCTAGCCTGTTGGAGATGGCGTTCAGCCATACACCGGATCGCACCATGATAGCGAGCTTGATGGGCGACTTTCTGTGAACGTAGCCGGCGCTTAAGAGCAGTACTTGTACGTGAGCTGGTGAGGCCGTTAGTTATTGACCCCCTGAGAACTTCGTTGGCACTGACCTTCTTGCTGAAGTATCGGGGAGTGCTTGATATACAGCTGGTCCCCAAACTGGTTGATGCTTTTCTCTAACACATCCACGATACTATCTTTGTCCTGAGAAATAACTGCCAGGACAGCACGGCGGATAGCGATGCCCTCACCGAGGCCGGCCCCGGAAGAGCTTGTTAGCCACTCTACCAGGTGGCTTCTCCCGTTACTGTCCGGGGCTACGATTGAACTGAGGGCTCCAGTCACAGCAGATATCACTGCTGCACTATTATCTGATTCACAGCGTCCTAGGCGGTTCGCGTACGAGTTAGAGAAGACCTTGAGGACCGAGGACATGACCTTGCGCTGCTCCATCTGTGGTAAGTCTGCCAGTAAAAGACCGAACCGGCCATGGTTGACTCCTTTTGTCAGAAGCAAGTTTGACAAGACATATTTGACAAGCACATCTACTTCTTGTCAGCTATATAATTTCAGAAAAAAGGGACTCAGTTCTTACCGAAGTGACCTAGCCGCAGCGCTTTGGCAAACAGGTCTGAACAGAATTTTGACTCATCTTGGCTCGGTCCAGATTGTTGCCATGCCACGATGTTTTGGCCTAGCCACTTTGTGTATTTTACCGCATCCGCAGGCCAAACATCATCATCGCCCGAGCCTTGAACTTTGGCCGTGTCGACAAAAGTTGTAGCTTCAGCGGTAAGGCCGACGATTCGCCCACCACCGAATATTGAGAGCAACTCCTGCGACAGCGGCCTGGCTCTCGCGCGAGGGTCTAAGCCCGATGTTGTAGCCTGCCAGATCTCGCGCACACGGTTGTCGCCCTGGAGGACATGGCAGAGAAGGCTGAGGAGGATGCCCAGGTTCACCGAGAGGTCGGGCCGCTTCGCCTTGCTGCCAACTTCGGACTTGGCTTCCTGTGTCAGAGCCCTGAGACGGACGAGAATGGCATTAATGCCGGTGATGCTACGGAGACAGGCCAGCAACAGCTCTGTGCCAGAGCCTCGGCTTCCATTGAAATCTTGTTGCAACAGAGTCCAGTAGTTGGGCACGATCTCAGACACCAGTACCTGGACTAGTTGGGCGCTCAGGGGGCCAGGCATCTTGATGCCGAAGAGGGCTGGATCCTGGGGCGGGCCGTGGGCTAAGAAGCGCAGAGTTGAGATGAGCGACTCGTAGTCGGGCTCATTCCGAAGAGTCTCGAGGGCATCTTCAGGCGAGTTAGGTGGGTGTTTATGGGATTTTGGTTTGGGCTTCGTCTCACTCTCATGCTGATGGCGAGAGCTCGATTCCTGTAGCACCTGAAGCCCAGTCCCTTTGACCTTTTCGTTTGTGTGAAGCGTGGCCACAGGAGTTAATAGGCCGTCCATGCTGTGGATTGAATTCAGATTGGCCAAGAGAGGAATTCGTAACACCCCACGCTAGAAGCCTCATATCAGTCAAAGTTCATTTCATGGAGGTTTAAGCGAAGCGAAAGGCCAATGGAACATTGCACCGCGGGCATTCGATTCCCACCTTGATCCAACTAAGCTTGTAACGATGCAGAGTTTGGGAGCCGATAAAGCGGTATAATTAGGTATATCGCAATACGGTTCACAGGGTGTAAACCACACTTTGCGGCTCTTTGACTTGAAGACGCGGGTTTTCGAATGGAAGTTGGGAGCTGCCTGCCTTCCCGGTTGCTCACTCCTCTTTAGGTTGTCCAAGACTCAAGACGCAACGGGATGACTAAACACAAGCCTGATATTATCATCACAAGAGGTCATCTGAAAGGTAAAATTCCGAAATAATTACTATTATTTGACTTCCTTGCTCCGTGGTCTGATTGTTCCCAGGTGCCTTGTGAGACGTATGAACACCTCAGTGCAGTATCCGTATTTTGTAGGTAGTGCAACGAGACACAGAACCCTTGTCATTGACATGTTCATTTTGGTCCGTTACAGCACCTACAGTATCTCCACTACGGGTTAGTCCCCAGCCCTGCGGTTCGGGCTAGTGACATTTAGCCTAACCGGGATGGCGGGGTAGGCGTTTCGACACGGCGTGTGCGGCGGGGTGCGCACCGCCAGGCATCGGGATGGAAGCTGGGGAACCAACACCCAAACCTTGAATCCGCAAGGCCGCCAGTGAACATTTCAACATCTCCCCGAGCTTTCCGAGACTCCAACTTTACCTTCACTGCATCGCTACCTAGTTCTGTCCGAAGGCTTGTAGACGCAAGGAAGCCGCCCAGGCCGTCGAGGAATCATGGCTTCGGCGGATGTCTATCTAGCCTCGGAGCCGGCGAGATGGTTCGTTACGCTACGCAACTTCTAACTGTGTATGCCAGAACACAAGGCTGACGCGGACTGGTTTGGCAGGAAGTACCTCGACAATGTTCGGACACGCTCCGGTCCCCATACAAATCCCGATATTTTCGATGGCAAGTTGGTAGCCGAGGCTATGGAGAACATGAAGGTCTTGTGAGTCTGCGCCGCAGCTGTCGCCGCCGGGATCTGGAACGAGGCTAACGACGTTGCACACAGAGTAATGTCAGTTTGCGTGCGACGCCCCCAGGTGAAGCGGATCTGTTCTGACGGACACGGCATGTAGTGGTGCTGGAGGTCTAGGTTGTGAGATCCTGAAGAACCTCGCTCTATCCGGCTTCAAGAACATTCACGTCATCGATATGGGTGAGCTGCAATGGAGTTTCTCCAACCACTAGTGTTGGTGGCTGACGGGGCAACCGGCAGACACGATCGATATCTCCAACCTGAATCGGCAATTCCTCTTCCGGCAAGCGGACGTCGGGAGTTTCAAGGCCGAGGTGGCGGCCCGGTTCGTCCAGAGACGAGTAAAGGGGGTCAAGATCACGCCGCACAACTGCAAGATTCAGGACTTTGATGAGGACTTCTACATGCAGTTCCAGCTCCTTGTTTGCGGGCTCGACAGCATCGAGGCGCGTCGTTGGATCAACGCCACTCTCGTCAATATGGTGGACGAGGATGCCGAGGATAGCTACAAGCCGCTGATAGATGGCGGCACCGAAGGTACGGGAAACGCCTGCCCCTGGCGTTCCCTATTCCTAAACGAAAACAAGAACCCGGACTAACAGGCGGAAAACAGGGTTTAAGGGACAGGCGAGGGTGATTATTCCCACCGTGACCTCGTGCATCGAGTGCCAACTCGACATGCACGCGCCGCGGGCGGCCGTGCCGCTCTGTACCCTTGCGAGCATACCGAGGCAGCCAGAGCACTGCATCGAGTGGGCTCATGTCATCGCGTGGGACAAGGAGAAGCCGTTCCCGAGCCTGGATAAGGACGACCCGGAGCACATTACCTGGCTGTACCAAAAGGCGCTGATCCGGGCGCACGAGTTCAAGATCCCGGGCATCACGTACGCGCTGACGCAGGGGGTCGTGAAGAACATCATCCCGGCCATCGCGGCGACTAACTCGGTTATCGCCGCGGCGTGCTGCAATGAGGCACTCAAGATCGCGGCCAACTGCGCGCCCTGCCTAGGCTTCCCTGACGAGAACAACTACATGATGTACTCTGGTAACGACAGCATCTACACGTACACATTCCGCCACGAGAAGAAGGACGACTGCCCCGTGTGCGGCAACCTGGCGCGCGAGTTGATCGTCGATCTAGACTGGACGCTGCGCGAGCTCGTCGAGTCGTTCGCCGTGCGGCCCGAGTCCCAACTCAAGAAGCCCTCGATCCGCTCCGACCACAAGACGCTCTACATGCAGTCACCGGCCAGCCTGGAAGCGAAGTCGCGCCCCAACCTGGACAAGACGCTGGCGGAGCTCGGCCTGTCCAGCGGCGACGAGATCGGCGTGACGGACCCGGCGTTTGCGACGGTCTCGTTCAAGTACAAACTTAAGTTACAGAAGTAAACCCGTAATAAACACGGACCGACTGGTATTTACGAGCGAAGGCAGCACATTCTCAACAGACTTGATTTTCCTTCTAGATAGGCAAGAAAAAAGATTCCCTTTCCTTCTTCCATTTTTCTGCAGCATTTTGCAAGGCGCTATAGGGAGAAATTGCAGAAAATAAGGGCTAGGCAGAGACTAGTAGGTAGGATAGACTTTCATATAGCTTAGGGGTGTTTGCTTCACCAAGGTGCTCACTAGGTAGATGCGGCAACGAGGAGGAGAGCTTATAAGAAATCAAGAACTCCTAGAGAGATACGTATGAATGGTACGCATGTCTTTTTTACCAGCCAAATCCCGTGTTCGGTCAGAACCCCCCAAGACAAGAGCGGTTCATATCCATATAGAATGAACCAAAAAAGAAAAGAAAAAAAACAACAAAAAAAAGAAAGCCGTGGCCAACCATTCTTCAGCACTACCGTGACGCCATCCCGATGTCTTTTTTTCTAGATGCAAACAGGCAGAGAAAGGGTATTCGGAAGATCCACGCTTCGCTCCCCCTTCTTCGGCCCCCCAATTTAACCCCCCCTCCCTCTATCTTACCATGTTGATAACTTGCTTCTCAAACGCCTTGCACTTCGCCTTTAAGTGAGCGACCGACTCGAGGAAGATGGCGTCGCTTTCCCACTGGCCCGTGCTCTCGACCGAGAAGATGAAGTGGTCTATCTTCCGGCCTAGCTTCACCTTTTTGTTGAATTCGTCATGGCGCAGGCACTCGCGGCTCACGGTGTCCTTCATAGGGTCCTCGACCACGGCCTTGAGCTCGCCCTCGTGGCCCTCGTAGCCGCTGCCTTGCTTGGCCGCCTCCTGGCGCGTCACCTTGCGGAGCCTGATGACACCCTTCGGGAAGCACTTGGCAAACTTCTCGGCGTCAGCTCCCAGGATCGGCTCCACAATCTTGATGGTCGGCAGCAGGCGGTACGAGGCGGTGGCGACGGGCGAGAACTTTGCGTGGTCAGACCCGACCCCCTTGTACATGTGCATCGACAGGTCGATCTCCTGCTCGGGGCGCATCTTGGCGATCAGGATGTCTGGGTTCACGGGGACGATGGCGTCGGCGCCAGAAAAGTAGCGCGCCTGGCGGCCGACGGGCACGAACTCGATGTCGCGCGCGTACACGTGGGCGTGGTGGTACAGCTTGCGGGGGTCGCGCTCGCCCTCGGCGGCGTCCTCGTTGTGCGTGCACTTGACCTGCAGCCGCAGCAGCACCGTGTTGTAATCAAAGTGATCGCCACTGACACCCAGGTTGTCCGTGGCCGTGTTGGGCTTCTTCTTGTACCACTTAAGGAACGAGTGCAGGCCCTCGCGGCCGCCCTTGAAGGGGATCAGGCCCAGGCGGTGCGACAGCACCTCGTCCTGGATCACCGACGTGTTGTTCTCGATGAAGACGGTCTCAATGGCCAGCGTGGGGATGTCGGCGATCATGATGCGCCGGAAGGCGTTGGCCACGGCCGCGTGAATGCCGATCAGAGAGAAGGACGCCTCCAGGGGGCCGTTCTTGTGGAACTGAACGCGGAAGCCATCGCGGAATTTGTCAATGTTCCACGAGTTGTCCTCGCCCGGGTAGTGGCGGGGGAAGTCGGTCGCCTGGACATTGGATATGTACTCGGCCTGGATGCCGACAGTCTGGAGGCTAAGGGTCAGTCAAACTCGTCTTTCGTCTTGGCTTGATGAGGACGGCCGAAGGGCGCTGTTCTTTTGATACGGCAAGAGGGGGTGGGGGCACTCACATTCCGCCTTTCCAACTCCTCCTCACTTGGTATTACTACACGGCGTCGAGACATGATTACAGCCTCTTATTTGGCGGGGTTGGGTCTTAGTGTCATAAGTTGAAATAGTTTCCGTTGAGAGCTCTTTGGCAGTCCCGCAGCCACGACCGAGCGGCAGAATATTTTCCTTGGAGGGGGAAACTTTTTGACCGCCTTCAAAGATGGCGTTTCTATTGGCCATTGTCATTGCCGGAGCCTAACGGGTGACAGCCACCATCAGAAGGTTCAGGGGTCACAAGCTTATCGTAATTCAGGTGCCTTGCAGTACGCCATCAGCGCTTCTAGACCAACGGAGATCTGTTCCGCACCGAGTATGCTACAGATATTGAGGAATGGGTTGGAAGCCAAAAGTACCATATCGCTTGCCTAAACTTGAACAAGTATTTTATGTTCCATGTAAATGATATACCATCCATCTTTTCATCTATCGAGTATGTACTCAGATACCTTCGATTTATTAAAGAAAAGTACTCCGTTTTGGGTAAGCTTTTCGGTTATTAATTGCACCGCACTAGCTTGAAGGGGACATATGACTTGAGAATATTCGTCCAATGAAACGAGCGCCATTTTACCTTATTCTCTGGGCGGCGGATAAACACCGGCTAGCAAAAAGCAAGCGAAGCACACTGGGGGAAGCTCGGACAGTGGGCACAGCTGGTGCTATCATTGACGACTTCGATAATTGGAGACTCTTCAAGCTCAGTGCGAGCCATTGACGCCAGAGAAAGAGGCCGCACCCCGGGACAACGCATCTCGCCGCCCGCCCCGTCTCGCCTCGCCTCTATTCTCTGCCGCATAGACACCAATGGCGTCACTGTACAGGCTCGCTGGCCGGAGCGCCAAGCGGCTCTGTGTGCGGGCCCCTAGCCCTCCGACCGCCGCAAGCACTGTTTTCTTTTCCATCGCCGCTCGCGCCTTCTCTGCCTCGGCCCTCCGACGATATGCTGAGCCCGCTGCCCATGAGCGCACGCGCCTGGTTCCCACCGATGAGAGCTTCCAACCCTCGCAGGATCCCTACGGCATCCCCGTGGACGGTCCCCCCCCGCCTCCGCCAGTCCACGATGAGGAGAACTCGGTGGTCAACCGCAAGGTCCGCCACTATACCGTCAACTTCGGCCCCCAGCATCCCGCCGCTCACGGTGTGCTGCGGCTCATCCTCGAGCTCAATGGCGAGGAGATCATCCGCGCCGATCCCCACATCGGCCTGCTGCACCGCGGCACCGAGAAGCTGTGCGAGTACAAGACGTACCTGCAGGCCCTGCCCTACTTCGACCGCCTCGACTACGTCTCCATGATGACCAACGAGCAGTGCTTCTCTCTCGCCGTCGAGAAGCTACTCAACATTGATATCCCCGAGCGCGCAAAGTGGATCCGCACGTTATTCGGCGAGATCACTCGCGTCTTGAACCATCTCATGTCGGTCCTCTCACACGCCATGGACGTCGGCGCTCTCACGCCCTTCCTGTGGGGCTTCGAGGAACGAGAGAAGTTGATGGTGAGTTTCTGTTACTTTGCATTGCATGTGGATGGCGGAAAGGGTCACAAGACTTGGCACAACGTATGGAGAGAAAAGGATAACTCTACGGAAATATTTCCCTAGTTTCTTTCACTACGAAAAGACGCCATTTCCGGGAAATAGAAACCAGAAGGGCTAATTCGCGCGTGAAGGAATTCTACGAGCGAGTCTCTGGTGCCCGTCTCCACGCCGCCTACGTACGTCCCGGAGGTGTCCACCAAGATATTCCAGTCGGCCTCCTCGACGACATCTACCAGTGGGCCACGCAGTTCGGCGACCGGATCGACGAGACGGAGGAAATGCTCACAGACAACCGTATCTGGATTCACCGCCTCCAGAATGTCGGAACTCTCTCGGCAGCTGATGCGCTGAACCTAGGCTTCACAGGCGTCATGCTTCGTGGATCCGGCGTCCCTTGGGACATCCGCAAGAGCAGCCCATACGACGCCTACGACCAGGTCGAGTTCGACGTGCCCGTCGGTGTCAATGGCGATTGCTACGACCGATACCTCTGCCGTATGGAGGAGTTCCGCCAGTCCCTGCGCATCATTCACCAATGTCTGAACAAGATGCCCGCCGGTCCCGTCCGGGTCGAGGACTACAAAGTCTCGCCGCCGCCCCGCGCCGCCATGAAGGAGAACATGGAGGCCCTCATCCACCACTTCCTCCTCTACACCAAGGGCTACGCCGTGCCCCCAGGTGACACGTATTCGGTCATTGAGGCGCCCAAGGGAGAGATGGGTGTCTATGTCGTTAGTGACGGTAGCGAGAGGCCGTACCGCGTCCACATCAGAGCACCGGGCTTTGCCCATCTGGGTGGCTTTGACCATGTTTGCAAGGGCCATCTTTTGGCTGATGCCGTGGCTGTTATCGGCACGATGGACTTGGTGTTTGGTAAGTTTTTTACCGTATTTTCATCCCTGTTCCCTAAGCAAGACCCCCGTCCAGAGGATCTTGATAGAGCTGACTTTTTGGATCCAGGCGAGGTTGATCGGTAATTTTGAAATCAAGACAAGAAAAAAGTGGATGTGGCTTTGTTTTTCGTTGACGTTGTAAAAAGCAAGTTAGGGAATTTAGAAATCTCCCCAAAGCGCAATGAATAGAAAGAGGAGAGATATTGGCCGCAACCAGTTTTGGTGGGAAGTATGGTGGGTGTGTGAACGGGGTGAATCATGGAGCGAATGCCGCTCTGTCTTTCTTTCTTTTTGTTGTGCTGGCTGTCGTGTTCCCGCCCTTTTTAAGGCGCTGGAGCAACAATCAGGCGTGTGTGTGTGAAATGTATCATAAGGCCAGACGAGGGCGCGGGGGGTCTGGCTACTTTAGATATACAGAAAGATCATCAGCAAGTAGCCCGGAAAGAGAGAGAGAGAGAGAGAGAGAGAGAGAGAGAGAGAGAGAGAGAGAGAGAGAGAGAGAGAGAGATAGAAAGGGAGCTGGGCGGTGGCCCCCTTCCCCCCTGCCCCCTCGTCGCATATGTACGTACGTTCGTGTATGGAATGTATATATCCATCCCCCTTTTTCGCATATATTCGCGTATGAAATTTCAAGAATAAGGCTATGCGATGCTATCCTATGTTAGGCGATGTGAAGCAATGTGAAGCAGTGTAGTGCAGTGTAATGAAGCATAGTGCAGAGCGATGTCGATCGTGGTAGTTTGTGACGTTTTGCTTGCTGGTGAGCGAGCGGAATTTAAGGTGCGATATTCGCTGTCCTTCGTTCTATCTACTTCGGTGTTAGCTTTTGTGTAATCTTTCATGTGTAGAATTATGCCTCTTGGTTCGCACGACGTCATGGGAGAGGATCGAACTCACCACGGACTGGTTATGAGAATTGGGTGTTGATTGGTTTTGGTAGGTAGGTAAGGTAGGTATGTTGGTAGCGAGTGAGTGGGCGAGTGAGACGGGTGCCGTTCCTTTATCCTCTCCTTAGTATCTGTCAAGACTGACAGACAAGAGTCCCCCTCTACATGTCAAACGACCGTCGTCGGCGAGGCGTCGCCCGCCCCAGCCGGCAGCCCTCCCAGTCCGGCATGTGCGACCGCCCCTCGGGGCCCGCGCCGACCGGCATCCCGCAGATGGGATACACGGTGCCTGGCGCTGACGTTGCCGCTGCCCCCGGCGCCGGCGACTGCGCTAGCATGAGTCGCTGCATGGTTGTGCCCACGGCGAACGGCCCCGGCCCATAGGTCAGCCAGGGCGCGCCGGGCACCGACTGGGATTGCGAGTTCCATGACAGGGAATTGAGGACAGCGGAAGGAGAAAGTGGGGCTGGAAGACCAGTGCCAGCTTGTTCCGCTGTTGTTGGGTCGCCAGGGTTTGCCTCAGAGGCTGGTTGCTGCTGCAGTGGGTGCTGCTGATTCTGGCCGCTTGTTATACCTAGTCCTGGCTGGCTTGCCATCTCCGGTTGCAAAGTCTGTGTTGTTGTCACCTGTGACTGCTGCAAGCACGCAGTATATTCCGCCACGGCACGCAGCGAGGCGGCAGCTGCAAGCGGAATAGGCGAGACTTCCTCGGCCAGTGGTCCAGTTTCTGCCGGGGTCGTGGAAGAAAGGGGCGGGTGGTGCGTGGCCGAGACAGCAAAAAAGGGGCCGAATATGTCCCCAATCTGCGCGACGCGCTGGGCGATGTCGTCACGGTCAATGCACAGGTTCTTGGGCTGTTCCATGTTGCGGCAGCCGCGCAGCAGCTCGCGCTCTTGCGTCGTCATGTCGGCCTCGTCGACGGCCGGGCGGAAGTGGCGAAAGTCGGCTGGACACTGGCACCGGCCTGTCCGGTGAAGCTCTCGATGGTCGCTCACCCATTCTGCCGCGTAGAGACCCGGCAGCCGGATTGTGACTCGCGTCTTTGTTTTCGCGGACTTCTTGTTGTTGTTGTTGTTGTTGTTGTTGTCGTCATCGCTGGCGACCACGTTCTCTGTGAATAGAGCCGGGACTGCGGTGGGTGCCGCTCTCTTGCCTCTTGATTCCCAACTGCGCCCGCTGGTTCTGTTGCTGTTATTGTCACCACCGGCGCTGGAGCCAGCGGGATTCTTGTTGCTCGAGGCGGTTCCCTCCTCTCTAGGCTCACCGCTCTGTCCCGTGTTGGTGGCTGAGCTCCCCCCGATCACCCGTGGCTGGTACAGTAGGCCCGGGAATATTACGTCACAACCGCAAGCTCCTCGCTCGTGAAGCCAGCGATGTTCCCATTCTTGTATCAGTACCCATCTAGAATGCAAAATCCTCTCGCATGCTGCGCACATGGTCATGGCATGATACTGTCTTCCTAGTTGGTTTGTGCAGACAGGAAAGTTGTGACCAGCTGTGGTAATGGGGCAGGGCCGGAGCACACCGAGCGACCGGTGGCCGCACTGGTATGAAATGTACTCCTCGAAACACATCGTTCCTTCCTGTTTTGCAGTGCCTATCTCAGTGTCTCTCCTTGGTAAATTGGTCTTGTCCAGTCGTTGAGATCTCATAAGTATTGTCTTGGTGGTAGAGGGCAGGCGCGAGAGTATCGGACAAGCAAGGTACTTGCAGTACAGCCAGCGAGTTCTTGCGAGTCTGAAAGACGTACGAACTGTGACTCAGAACGATACCCGATGAGGAATCTAGCGTGATATGCAAAGTAAGTTTGGCGCTGTGGTAGTAGGTAGGTGAGCATTCACAGATGATGAGGTGAATGGATTGTTATGGAAAAAGTTGGTTGAGAAAGAGCCTGTACAACTGGCCCAGGAACGATCTACGTGCGCGATATTTGGGAACCACACCACGAAGATGTACCGGAATAAGGAAGTGAGACGGATTAAAAGAAGTAAGGAGGAAATGTTGTAGTGGGTGGTCTGAGTTGGCCCCCTCGCCAAAAGATGGCCTGAGAAAGAGATGTCACCAGGACGTGGACGTACGAGTGATTCCGACTGATGTCAAGCTTGCAGTAGACGATGTTCTATCGAAACTTCTCGGCTGCGTTGTGACATTTACTCGCGACGGAGATTTGCAGTGTTGAGGAAGGACAAGGAACATGTGGGAAGTGTTGAGAAGCGTCGATGGTGGTGATATGGTGATATGGGTTCAGATCAAATCTTGACTAGCAAACAATGCATTTTACCACGAATGTCCTACGGTGTGGTTGTATAACTAAGCCGGATAGTTCATTGTATTGACTCGGTAGTAGGATGGCCATAGTATACGAAATGGAAATATATATTGTTGTGGCCTGTCGGTCGAGACCAAGCGAGTATCAAGACACGTACCGAGTATTCCTACATTTGTACAAGCACATTTGGCATCTATGGTACCACTGAAGGTGCCATGAACGCAGAAAGAAAAACCAAATATGGCATTAGAAGACCTTGGTGCCATGCCCAGCAGCCTGGTTCATGAGGAACGTCTTCAGGGGTCCGAAGGAGTTCATGGCGTTCAAGCCAAAAGACCTCAGGGACACCAAGGGGCCACTCTCTACCGAGTATAGCTTATGGAGCTTGTCGCAAACACCCATCAGCACATGGTTCGCCAAGTATCGCTCCGAGACATACGGCTCCAATGACATGCGAACGCCAATGTCCTGGCCGTGGCTGACTGCGTATTCAATGGTGCTGGCAAGGCTCTGGACATCGCCTTGCCCTTGGTTCAGCCCTTGGCCTGCTAGTGGATGGATTGTATGGGCAGCATCGCCGACCAGCGCGACGCGTTCACCGACATATGTATCGGCATGGCGCATCTTTAGAGGGAATGAGGCAATCGTGCCTTCCTGTACGACGGCGACAGTCTGGGGCACTGCCCGAGAATTAAATGGGGTATGTTCTAGCCTCCACGAGTATTCTAGATCCTGGCCTGAGCTCTGGCTATGCATGAATGCCAGATCTGTGGGGCCGAGGCGGAATGCAGCGTTTACCATGGCAATGAAATCTCGAGGTGACAGGCTCTTGAGGAGAGAGGCGTTTGCGGGCGTCGTGGACCAGACGAGGGTGGAGAGGTTCCCCGGGAGAGGAAGAATGGCAACGGGTCCGGTTGGGAGAAACCTCTGGTACGCGACCTTGGTCTGGTCTCCGCCCCAGCCTTCCCCTTCCAGCTGCAACGAAGCGACCACGCCGTGGCGGCCGTAATCCCATCCTCGAGCCTCGATGCCAGCAAACGAACGCACAGGACTGTTTGCTCCGTCTGCACCCACGAGGAGCCGGGCAGAGAGTTGATTGCCTCCAGTAAGGTGAACAACAGGCCACTCGCGCAGGTCAAGCTCCTCGGTCTCTTCGCCGAATGATATGTCCTCGACCTTGGCATTGTCGAATACCGAGACGCCTCCCAGCTCGTCCAAACGCCTTAGCAGGCCGGATGTCAGGTTCAGATTCTCCACCATGTATGCAATTGTGGTTCCGGCAGGTGGGGGCGTGCCAGAAGCCCAGTCAAACTCGATTCGGGCGCCGGTAACGCCGTCCCAAACCTGCATCTCCTGATATGGCTGCACCCTGCTTCGCTCGAGGTGGCCCCAGGCGCCAATCTTGTCGAGAAACAGGGCAGACGAGGGAGTCAAGGAGCTGCATCGGTTCGAGAATCGATCCAGTGGTAGCTTCCACGAGCGGAGCTTGGAGAGGTCCTGCGCCTCAACGAGGGCGGTTCGGAGGTGGGCCGTGGCAGGATTTGCACCTTTACAACTCGACCATCAACATTTGCAGTAGCTAACGCCAACCCAGGACACACTCACGTAGAGCTGTAAGAAGACTCAGGCCAGCTGGGCCGCCGCCAACACACACAACGTCGTATATGTCAGGCCCAGGAGGGGCGCTTGAGTAGCTGCGTCGCAGTCGCAGTCGCGGTTGCAGCTGCAATTGCTTTTGAGATCGACGAGTGCAGCTTCGGCACACAAAGGCCGCAGCCCGCCTTTTTACCACCACATCCATCGCGTAGACAGGCTCTCAGGCTTCGAGCGCGTCGTCTTCTCGTGCTCTCTAGTGCTTTTTGTACTGATGGGGTCCGCGAAGGACTTGGCCGGGATGTGTTCAAGTTTGTATGTAATTGTTGAACTTGACTGTCGAAAGGTTCGGGGAAGCTTTTAGGTGGCCCAAGCTCCGGTATACCTGTACTGTACGATATCCGTACTCCGTAACCGTAACCCGTGTACCTCCATGATTACAACGGATAACTAAGGTAGGTCGGAGTTACACGACCAAATTCTTTATACCTCTAGATACATTTCTACGTAAGGACTATGGACATAAGGGGGGAATTTTGATGCAATAATGCGTCCCGAACACGGGGGTGCGGCGAAGATGCTGCGGACTGCCCGGTATAGTCAACCCCGGCTTTGTTCCAGTTGTCATCCCCCTTATCTGTACCAGGGGCACTTACCGAGTACCGAATGTGCCAGTTTGAAGCACCTCCTGGCCCGCGCCGCTCAAGCACAGCTTAGGTTCTTTGGCGGGTTGATCCAATCCTAAATCCCGTCTCAATCTCTCTTTATTACCGTAGACTAGTAGGTGTTTCGATTCACATTCAAGCCCAAGCTCCTACGAGATAAGTAGGGGTGTCTACCGTGTCCTTTGACCGTGTCGTGACACTTTAAGTGTGTCAACCCTCCCAGGCTCACTCCCGACTAACTTATATCTTTCAATGCCTCTTTTTATTTCCAATTCTACCGAGACTTCTTAAACCACACTGTAATCCGTAAACCTCCAATATTACTTACGCCCAATTTACCAAGAAACAACAAGCAGTACCTAAAGCACTCAAAGCAAGACAGTTCGCGATGCCTTGTCAGTTCTAACCGCTGCCGTCTAAACTGCACCCATGCTAATGCTCTGGATCGCAGTCTTTTCCGGTTCGGCGACGCTCACGCACAGGTCCAAGGTCCCGGCCAAAGCCACGCGGGAGCAGAGCATCGCAATGCTGCACGACCACAACTTCTACTTGCACTGCAACCCCCACATGTCCAAGATTGAGACTCTAACCACAGCCGTACCGGAGCCTGCGGTTCCAGATGGCCTCAAGAGCCAGGTGGTCAAAGAGACGGCAGTGTACCAGGTCACGGACATCTTCCAGGCTCTCCCCAACGGCTTATGGGACAGCAACGTCGTCAGCACGTACGAGTTTACAAACATCGCGAACGGTGTCTTTGCGCGAATCAAGAGCCCGTTGTCGGTAGCCCTGGATTCCCTGTGGGAGATCAAGGGCGAGGCCGGCGAGCTGGAGATCGTCGAAACCTGCACCATCACTTGCCCGAGGCTCCTCGTCGGGTTCGTCAAGACCGAGTGCGAGGGAAATTGGCCCAACATACATGGGAAGATGATCGAGAGGCTTGAGAGGGAAGTTCAAACCTAATTTCATGTTGCCACATGGAGTAAAGGGGCAGAAAGGAATGGCAATCTTTGCTAGACCATAGGTATTCATAGACTGGAGGTTACCTCGTCTTGCGGAGAGGGAGATATAACGAACTGACGAGTGATGGATTTATTGGAGAATGTCATATTCCGTACTACATTTTTGTCCGACCCCTCTTGACGAACCAACATTGAAGCTATTCGCAGCTGAAAGTCGTTGCCGGCTCTGGTTTGCCGCGAATTGCCCCACCTGAAGGGCTGCAAGCCTGCATCAGATCTCGTCCAAAGTGCAGTGGACCCCAACGGTGCGGTTGACTCCGTGCCGCTGGGACGTGAAAAAATCGTCATCTCATTGGCTGGATGCCCTACAATTCCGAACTTTAGCGCGGTTTTGGATGTCTCCGTTTCCGCGTGGCGCCCGTCTCCCACAGTCACACCAGGGCGAGGCCCCCCTGGTTCAGGCGCTGACAGTACCGGGCGGCTTCCATCCTCAAGCGGCCAGCGTCGTCACTTGCTCGGTCCGCAACGTCTTCTACCACAACGGCCGCGATCTGGCACATTCGCACTAATCGCTTCGGATCTTCGCTTCAGCTGCAACAGGCGTTGCATTGTTTTTCCCCCCCCCCCTCTCGTTCTTTTTGCCATCTATTCAATTGCAGGCTTTGATTCTTTTGTATCGGCGCTTCACGTATTGGGCGTGTTTAGACAACAGCCCAGGCAGGGATACACCGTACCTCCCGCACGAAGCATCTCGCACAGGCCTAGGCGGCTACCTTTACCTGGATGCCCAGCAACCTTCATTTCTCAACTGCCGGCTCGCTTTGAGAAAGGACACAATCTGAACACCCTGGCTAGAGTGTAATTTTTTTTTTAAGTAAGCTACACTATTATTTGCTTTTCGATACCCAGCGCCTCATTTTTCACCTTCGGCGGCCTAACATTCGTGAGACCCTCCTTCGTAATCCGCCCAGGCTCCTAGCATCACCCCGCCCAAACTTCCCAAAGTCAGGCGTGTGTGAAAGAGATCAAGGGCTTACTTAGATATAGTATCGGATACGCTCTGCTCTCATATCGGAGCGACCCACCTCCTGTGAGTGATGAGTGATGCAAGACCCATCTGTCCATCGGCCAAGTCGGCGGTTCTCGGCAAGATATACGGGTTGCAGGATTCTATTCTATTTATTTTCATACCTGTCTTATATCAAGGATGCCCTCTTTTTTTTTGAACTGCCTTTCACTATAGTGAAAGCCCTAATCACCATGGACATCTTGAACTTACTGAACATAACAGACCTTTCTTGGCTCTGGAGACGCTTTACAGGGGGCATTTCAAGATTGTTGCACAGATCTGGAATACATTCACCTAGTAGTGCCCTTCATACTTGCTAGACTACGCAAGGAAGGGCTAGTTTTACTTCTTCGCAGCCGGACTGCACGTTTTGGGATTCTTGCAGCAGTCTCGCCTCCACACAAACAGCTGCTCGAGAGATCTCCCTCCCTCAATCATCCATAAAAGCCAGCTCGCGGGCTTTTGATCTCTGGGGAGTCTTCTCAAGACCATCCAGTCACAATGGCGACCCTCCAGGTCCGGAATCCGGACCTCACCAGGACGAAGTTGAAGGCGATGGAAGATGCAAGAAAAATGCAGGCCCTGGTCCAGGACGAATGCAAGAAGGCTGAGAAGGACGCTCCTCCATACTTATTGCAGGAGCTGATTGGAAAAGGGAGCTTTGGTCGCGTTTACAAGGCAACTGACCTAGGCTCAAAGTCGGTCGTGGCGGTCAAGATCATCGACATTGAAGAGAGTGACACACTCAACCCCAAGCTGGCGGACACGTACAGCGAGTTTATGAAGGAGATAACCGCCCTCAAGTTGCTCAGCGACAGCGGCGCAAAGAATATCAATCACATCCTCGGCGTCCTCCCGGTCGGGCAGGCCATGTGGATGGTCACCGAATACTGCGCAGGAGGAAGTGTGGCTACCCTCATGAAGCCGACAGCACCGGGTGGCCTACAGGAGAAATGGATCATCCCAATTCTGCGAGAGGTTGCAGAGGCCATATTCTGGGTGCACAAGGAAGGCATCATCCACCGCGACATCAAGTGCGCCAACGTGCTTGTGACCGAGTCAGGGGGGGTGCAGCTCTGCGACTTTGGCGTCGCAGGTGTCATCGAGACTAAACTCGACAAACGTTCAACCTTCATCGGGACGCCTCACTGGATGGCGCCGGAGCTCTTCGACTCGGTGCCGTCGTACAGCACACCGGTTGACATCTGGGCGCTTGGGTCTCTTGTCTACGAGGTCGCCTCAGGTCTTCCTCCCAACGTCATGTCGGGGTTTAATATCCCCCAGCTTGGCAACTATATCAAGAGCCATGCGCCCCGCCTAGAGGGAGACTCGTACTCGCCAGAAATTAAGGATCTCGTGGCCTTCTGTCTGGTCGAGGACCCAGCGAAGCGGCCGACAATCGAGCAAGTACAGCGCCATCCCTACATCTTCAACACGAGCGCTAAATACCCGACGTCGATGCTTGCCAATCTTGTTAAGGGCTACCGATTGTGGGAAGCACAGGGCGGAATCCGAAAGTCCCTATTTGCTCCCGTTGGTGCTCAGGGCCCTTCCGACTACTCGTCCACTGCCATGGCAAATGACGAGTGGAACTTCAGTTCAACAGTTGATTTCGACCGGGTGGTGATGAATACCGACGCACAGGCCGTCTATGATGTCTATGGATCAAACGTCGACTTTGACTTTGCGGAGCAACTCCCTCGACCAGCGAAGCCAAAGTCAAGGCGGCGGCAACCCCCTCAACTGCAGGCCGTAAAGGCTCCTCTTGAGAAGCTCTTTGACCCTAATACAATTTCCAACTACGATGAAAACTCGCGCGCATACTACGGCAAACCAGCAGCCCCGCCAACCTCTGATCTTCCATTGAGGGACGATTCCCTCCACTCCACCCTCCGAGAGTCGCTGATCGACCTGGACGCGTCTCTCCATGGCAGTGGCAAACTTTCTCAGTTCGTCGACATGGACACCATCAAGGCGGGCTTGCGAGCTCCGAACGACTCGGCGTCGGAAGAGGTTATTGATTTCAACAAGCCGCCGTTGAGCGACCCGGCGGACCATAACATCAACCGCCGCACCCAGGACTGGAAATTCCCAGCCATGGCCCCTCCCGCTTCAGCCAACCCTGAGATGTCGCGCTTCCCGTTTCACGAGGAGCGCCCTAGCATAACCCCTAGCTCAGCTGGCCGACCTGCTCTGATTCACCACCCTACCGATCCCCTCGGCTTTCACTCACAGGGTTATGACCTTATGCCGCCTAAGCCTCGGGATAATCGCGTTTCTGTAGGCAGCTTGATCGACCTTGACGAGGGTCTGCCGATGCCAGAGCTCACCCGGCCATCCACAGCGAACTCGGATGCGGCCTCGGTCAGCGGGTCGGATATTGGAGGAGCGAACCCCTTTGACCTTGAGCGTCATGCGTCGTTCTACCAACCCATGCAATCAACAGGCGGCCGTGAACCATCTATCTACATCTCGGACGATAGCGACTTTGCTCGCCTGGTCAAGGCGTCAGAGGAGCGACCCGTGATGCCCGACTTCCCAGCCGTCGATAGCAGCCGGTCGCATGAACGTGCAGATAGCTATGACGACAGATACACAGCAAGCGAGTACCTTGACACGGAATACATGACCATGGGCGGACGCCGGTCCCGTTCGCAACCCCGGACGCAGCAACCGGGGCTGCAGCAGCAACAGGATGTGCAGCAGCGGCAGCGGCCACGGCAGTCGCCCCCTAGAGGCGGCATGGATGGCATCGGGCTGCCAGCCCTTCCAGAGCCCCCTTCAGCGAGGGTGATGGAGGGGATGGCAAGTCGTGAGGAAGTGCGTGACGATTTCATGCGCCTCCTCTCCAGCTTTTCCGATCACCTCAACTTTGTGAGCAAACACGTAGCTTCGCTCTCGGTGGTGCAGCAGACAGGCCGGCGAGAAAGCGACCCGCCACCCCCTTATTCGTCTCGGTAGGGGATATACAGCCGGCTTACGACTTAGAGGGGGGAGACGATGATGACACGGTAATGAGTAACTATTATGCATGGTGTTTGTTCTCGGGGGTACTTTTATACAGTTTCCATCGGTTTATGGTTGGCCGGGGAGCCGTTGGCGTTTTAGGGGCGGGAACAGCGGGAAAGGTGGGGCAGGGACTTGGAGGATATCATGGACAGCGATAAGTGCCAAGCAGCATACTGCTTTGATAGATTACTAGGTTTGTAGGTACTTATACCTTTGTTTATCTGTCTAATTTTGATGTTAAAGTTGTTTTGTTCGAGGTTCCCTTTCCCATGAAGATGGCAGCAAAAAAAAACATATGACAAACTATTGCAAGTTTGGGCTTGCTTTATGCTACATTTGCGTTGTGTGCCTACTAACGACAGCAGTTGGCGGACCTCGATTAAATTTCTGTCGATGACTCAACTCAGCCCCTTCCAGACGGACTGCCAACAGATTTGAATGAGACACCTGGACACACACACACACCTGGAACTTTGATCGAGCTGATTTATATTTTATTTTGCATGATTGGGATGAGCAACCAAGGCCGTTGCTTTTTTTGCTGAAGTTCCCCTGCACTTTTCGTCAACTAATTCGTGCCCAGTGTGGCGGGTCTCGCCAAAGTATTTCGGGTTGCGACTTTGGCTGCAATTGACCTCGCCCATAAGCGCTGCCTGAGTGCAAGCAGCTACATGGCGTCTCCTGGACGTGCGGCAGCAGCCATGAAGACAAGAATCATCAAAGTCCAGCGGCGGCAGGACGACGACGAAGCGTTCGGCCGCTGGGCTCCCACTGGCGCTGCTAGTCCGTCTTCATATGCCGGCGATGGCGCCGCTGGCAGCAATACCAAAAATCTGAAGAAGAGAAGGCACCTCGATCGCTGGGAGGTGTCCTATACGTCTCTGGACCAGGATCAGGACAAGGCAGCAGCAGCAGCAGAGGATGGCGGGGCACTGCTGGCGCCGCTGATCGAGGCCGGCGTAAACCTGCGCACCAGCGACGTGCCCGTCGCCTTCCCGACCGAGACCGTGTACGGGCTCGGCGCCGACGCCACGCGCAGCACCGCCGTCAGGGGCATCTACGCGGCCAAAGGCCGGCCCAGCGACAACCCGCTGATCGTGCACGTGTGCGACCTAAACATGCTGCGGAGATATCTAGAACCTGCTTCTACTACTACTCCTGAACAACAAGAAGAAGAAAAAGAAGAAACTATCCCGGCCATCTACCTGCCACTGATCGAGCGCTTCTGGCCCGGCCCGCTGACGATCCTGCTCCCGAACCCGCAGCCGTCGCAGCTAGCGGCCGAGGTAACAGCAGGACTAGCAACGTTTGGGTGCCGGATGCCAGCGTCGGCGCTGGCGCGCACGCTAATCCAGCTCGCAGGAGCACCGCTGGCGGCACCGAGCGCCAACGCCAGCACGCGGCCGAGCCCGACAGCGGCGGCGCACGTGCGCGACGACCTGGCCGGGCGCATCGAGCTGATCCTCGACGGCGGGCCGTGCGCCATCGGCGTCGAGAGCACCGTCGTCGACGGCCTGTGCAACCCGCCCGCGGTCCTGCGGCCGGGAGGCGTCAGCATTGATGCCCTGCGCGCCTGCCCCGGCTGGCACCGCGTCGAGAAGGCCTACAAGGACCACGCCGAGATGGGCGCCGGGAACGGGAACGCCGACAGTGGCAAGGGGACAGCTACTGCTGCTGCCGCACAGACGGCCCCGCGCGCCCCCGGCATGAAGTACAAGCACTACAGTCCCAAGGCGCGGGTGGTGCTGTACGAAGCCGCGGCGGGCGGCCCAGGAGCCGGAGCCGCTGTCCCAAGCGCGGAGGACCTGGAGCGGGCGCTCAGGAGGCCAGACGAGGCCGGGGAGAGGCAGCGGACTATCGCGGTGATCAGGACTAGGCACTGGCCTGTCGCGGCGGGGCTGCCGATCGGCGCAGCACTACAACAGACCAACGGCAGCGGCGACGAGGACAGAGAGGGGACTGTTCTTGCCGTGAGTGAGGGCACACTACTAGGCAGCGGCGCGGACAACACGGAGGTACTGGCGAGGCTGCTGGACGTTGATCTGGGCGGGGACGTGCGAGGGGTGGCCCACGGGCTATTTGCCGCGCTGAGGGAGCTGGACCGGCGCGAGGCAGATGTCATCTTTGTCGAGGGGGTGAGTGACGGCGAGGATATCGCGGCCGCTGTCATGAACCGGCTCCGCAAGGCAGCCTCGGACATTAGACCTGTTAGATAAGACAGACGTTTATAGACCGGACGACGCTCTCAAGAGCTGGGTTGTCAAGAGACAAGATAAAAAGAGTTTCTTGCTTTTTTCTTGCTACCAGCCAACTAACCCGACGCGTTTTAAGACATATTTAAAGACAGATGTCGGTCATCTTTCCACGTAAAACCCAGCCATCGAGACATCTCCACAGCTACAAAACCACGAACCAACACGCTACAAGCCTTGCCGCAGCCAGTCGGTCAGCTTCGCCCTGCCTAGCTGGGCGAGGTTGTTGACGCCCTGCTCGCTAAAGGGGTCGATGCGGCTGAGGTTGACGTCCTGCGACGGCGCCTTGCTGCACCGTTGGACCACAATGGTCGGGTCCGTCTCTAGCGGGATGCCCTCGTCAACAATCTCGTCGATGGCGAGCGAGACCAGGTCGTAGTTTTCGATTGTTGTTCGCTTGTCGACGGATTGCCTGCCAGGTTGGGTAGGCTAGAGTTAGCTATTATCGTTTCTCGGCCCTTCTTTTGTTTCAATGGTTCTCTCCTCTCTGGACGGCACTCACTTGAAGAGGAGGTGCAAGCTGTCCCGCAGCGCCAGCAAGACGTTGTAGAGCATGATCTCGTTGTCGTCGACGCTGCCGACCACGTACAGGGCCACGTCGGACTCGCACTTGTAGAGCACGACGCGGTTGTCGTACAGGAGGATGTCGCCCTGCTGCTTGGCCGTCTTGGCCAGCAGGCCCTTCTCGAACCGCACCTGCGACGCCTTGTCGGGGTATGGGTTCTGCGAGCTGGTCACCGTCGGCGCTATCACGTTTTCCTCTGTCAGCTTGTGTGTATATAACCCCGGCGCGGAGGGACTAGATGCAACAACAACGAGATGGCCGTACCAGCTCCGGCGGGCCCCGGCGCGGCGTGATGCGGCGGCGTGTAGTACTTGGCGAATATCCGCGACCCATCGTCACTAGATAGGATAACTAGAGAGCGGCAGGTTAGTGAGATGAGATGACCTAGACCCAAGTGCGTTGTGGTGCAGTGCAGTGCAGTGTAGTTGCGGTGCGGTATAGGGTGGGCGTATGGGCACCGATGGTGGCTTGCGACGGGGCGGGAAGGGGAGCAAAGTGTACCAATAGCGTTGATGCTATACAGCGACATTCCCGGCGACATCTTGGCTGATATTTTCACGACTCTTCTGGAATTGGCTGGACAGTGGGCGCGATCGGTCGGGGCCGGGCTCTTGTTTCGAGGGTCGCCGGGAAATGCGTATCGGCGGTATTGTCGACAGCGCTGGATGCTGGTATGAAGCGGTCGCTCGCTGCGATGTGGCAGTTGAACCTCTGCCCCACTCAAGGTTTAAGTGCGCCAAGGGACGTACCTCGGGGCACCAGGGGCGGGTGGGTCCATGCGCTAGAGTGTTACCCCTGTCGACGCGGTCGTGTAAAGTGGTTTTGGACCGGGCACGCGAAACGACGCGTCTCCCTCCTTTTCTCTCATTTCAAGCCACTCTCGCCCGCTCGCTCGCCCAAGCGCCGACCGAAAGAGTCTTTCCGAGCCATCCCCATCCACCATCCCCAACTCGCAACTTTTCTCGTGCTGCTATCCTGCTGCCGCCACCCTTGAACAATTGCGAGAAAGGTGTTGTGCAGCACAGCGCAAAAATACAATAAATCCACAAGAAGATGTCTTCGCCGTCAAAACGCCTTTCGCGCGGCTCGCGCAGCTCACGCAACTCGCAGCCCCGAAGCAGCCCCGCTCCAGCTGGTCCATCGGGTTCGGATCCGGCAGAGGGGTTGAATGCGACTCCCCGCCAGACCCGCGGTTCGGCGCTGGCTTCGAGTCCGCTATTCTTCCAGTCGTCGCCCGCCAACAATCCAAATGCAGTCTCGTCTCCTCTCCGCCAGATGAGCAACTCGCAGAGCACCGCGTCTCGCCTCAACAACGCCCCCAGCTCTCCCTTGCGCCAGCAGACAGACACGCAGAGCACTGGCGACCGCACTCCTCGCGCGAGTGGCACTGGCTTCCTTGGAGGTGAGCTTTGCCACCTATCACTTAGCCTCCTCAAAACTGACATGTGCAAATAGAATCCTCCCCGATCCGCTACGAGGCCAGCTCCAGCCCCGGGCGCAATCTTACCCAGCAGTCAGACCTGCGAAGCGAGAGCAGTGCCCTGTTCGTGGGCTCAGAGAGGTCGGCCACTGCCCGGTCGCGGCGAGGAGATATCAACCCAGATGTTCACCGCACCCCCCAGGTCCCGCGCCGCATCATTCTCGACGACTCAGGCCGCGTAATCCGTGATGGCTCCACCCTTGGGTCGGATGCTGCCTCTTTCACAAATAACAACCCCAATACATCCGAGGCCAATGCCCTCAGCGGCTCCAGTCAGGGACTGATCTGGGGTACTACCATCTCTATTGATGATTCGTTTGTCGCCTTTAAGGACTTCCTTAAGAACTTCACCAAGAAGTACCGCCTGTGGGCGGATGGCGCAACCGAGCACGAGACGGACGGCATGCCCGAGGCCAGCTCCAAGCCCTACTGGGAGACGCTGGAGAACATGTTGCTGCTTGGCACAAACAAGCTCTACCTTGATCTTCGCGACCTGAAAGCCTATCCGCGGACCCTGAAGCTCTGGCACCAGGTACAGTCGTATCCAAGCGAAATCGTGCCTGTCATGGATCAGTGCGTTCACGACTGCATGATCGAGCTTGCGCGCTCTGAGATGGCCACCCAGAGGGCTTCGCAGAGCACTTCGGGGCCCGCTCCACACGCCTCGCAGAGCTCGGAGCCTACCTTCCCTAGTTCGGATCGGCCAGAAGAACCGTCTACCCCGCGTCCTTCGCAAGGGCCGCAACAACCGACCCTCGAGGACCAGGTCACGGAGATGGCCTACGTTGTCCGGCCATGGGGGCTCAATGCTAATACAAATCTCCGTGATCTGAACCCGTCTGGTATGTTTTCTTGCGTTCTTTTCAAGGTGTGCCTCTAAACCATGGACTAACAAACGCGGTTAGATATGGACAAGCTTGTTTGCATTAAAGGACTCGTCATCAGAACCACGCCTGTCATTCCCGACATGAAGGATGCCTTCTTCAAGTGCAGCGTTTGCGGCCACTCCGTCACCGTCAGCCTCGATAGAGGAAAGATCCGCGAGCCTACAGAGTGCCCCCGGATTCGCTGCAAGTCCAAGAACTCTATGCAGATTATCCACAATCGATGCATGTTCGAAGACAAGCAGATCATCAAGCTGCAGGAAACTCCCGATGCCGTTCCTCCAGGACAGACTCCGCACTCGGTGTCTGTCTGTGTTTACAACGAGCTCGTTGACTTCTGCAAAGCCGGTGACCGCGTCGAGCTGACAGGCATCTTCAAGGTCACACCTGTCCGTGTCAACCCGCGCCAGAGAACGGTCAAGAGTGTGCACAAGACATACATCGATGTCGTCCACGTTCAAAAGGTTGACAAAAAGCGGGTGGGCGCTGACACGTCGACCCTCGACCTCGCAGAGGAAGAGGAGGCCCATGTCAACGGTCAGAGCCTGGACGAAGTTAAGAAGGTCACACCCGAGGAAGAGGAGAAGGTCAGGGCAACCGCCGCTCGTCCGGACATCTATGAACTTCTTTCACGCTCCCTGGCCCCCTCGATCTACGAGATGGAAGACGTGAAGAAGGGAATCTTGCTTCAGCTCTTCGGAGGCACGAACAAGACCTTTGAAAAGGGCGCAAGCCCCAGATATCGTGGCGATATCAACGTTCTCCTCTGCGGCGATCCATCTACCGCCAAGTCACAGATCCTGTCGTACGTGCACAGGATCGCCCCTCGCGGTGTTTATACTAGTGGAAAGGGATCCTCGGCGGTTGGTCTCACCGCCTACGTGACCCGAGACCCAGAATCGCGACAGCTCGTCCTCGAGTCTGGTGCGCTTGTGCTGTCAGATGGAGGCGTCTGCTGCATCGACGAGTTCGACAAGATGAACGAGTCGACACGCTCAGTGTTGCACGAAGTCATGGAACAACAGACAGTGTCGGTGGCCAAGGCGGGCATCATTACGACCCTCAATGCCCGGTCTAGTATTCTCGCATCTGCCAATCCCATTGGTAGTCGCTATAACCCGGATGTGTCTGTCCCCCAGAATATCGACCTGCCGCCCACGCTGCTGTCCCGTTTCGACTTAGTCTACCTAATCCTCGACCGCGTCGACGAGAAGACGGATCAACGCATGGCCCGCCATTTGCTGTCGATGTACCTCGAGGACAAGCCCGAGTCGGCGCATTCGGATGACGATGTTCTGGTAAGTCTCTGCAGTAACTCAACTTGTCATGTGACGTATCTCATACTAACATGAAACCTAGCCGGTCGAGTTCCTGACGTCGTACATCTCGTACGCGCGAGCCAAGGTCCACCCAAAGATCTCGCCAGAGGCAGGGCGGGAGCTGGTCGACGCGTACGTGGAAATGCGCAAACTGGGCCAGGACGTGCGGGCGGCCGAGAAGCGCATCACGGCCACGACGCGACAGCTCGAGAGCATGATCCGGCTGTCCGAGGCGCACGCCAAAATGCGGCTCGCCGAGACGGTGACGCGCGACGACGTCAAGGAGGCGGTGCGCCTTATCAAGGTCGCGCTCAAGACGGCCGCCACCGACTCACAGGGCCGCATCGACATGAGCCTCTTGACCGAGGGCACCAGCTCGGCCGAGCGCCAGCGCCGCGCCGATATGAAGACGGCCGTGCTAGTCCTGCTCGACGAACTTACGGCCGGCGGCCAGACGGTCCGCTTCAGCGACGTTGCCCGCAAGCTCAGCGAGTCGGCTGGCGTTCCAGTCGAGAACTCCGAGTTCGCTGACGTTATGCGCACCCTTGAGATGGAGGGCTCCGTCATGATAACTGGAGAAGGCGCGCGGAAGAGCGTTAGGAGAGTTACGGCCAGTGTTTAAATGCTTGTGTTTTGCGCGCATGTGCTATGCGTGCCGACGAAGAAGAGATGGCAAAGTCACGAGTGGATGGATGTAGACATGATTTTCAACCTGTGTGTGGTACCGGCCAATAGTTTTTCTTTCCCCTTGTCTGTTTGTTTACACGATGGGAGTTTTGTTCGTTTTGCATCTCTCTCTCTCTCTCTCGTAATTGTATTTCCCATGTTTCGTAGAGGGCAGGGCAAGCCACGGTCGGCTGTGCTTGGTAAATAGGTACTTGAACTGGGTTTTCTCCTGTATTTTCCGTGTCCCTATTCCTGCGAGTGGAAAACAACACGGCCTTGCTACAAAGTACACAAACTCGCAACCGCAAGAGAGGGGGACAAGTCAGGCAGCGAGCACCAGGCCACCCGAGGTATAATGATTGTCAGAAAATAACAATAACGAAATACCGTAAAGCGAAATAGGGAAGATGGGGAAAATATAACGCAGTTTGCGTGAGCCAAAGCGAAATGCAGAGAATGGCAAACAAGGTCAAAAAGCTAACGGTATCAGAAACCTAATCCCAACAAAAATAAAAGAAACCCCTTTCTTCCCATCTGTCCCCCTTCCATCTCCATGGCTTTAAACTCCCACTTCAGCCGGGGTAGGCGCCATCCCCTGAATAGCTGCCCCCTTGGCATTATGAGCAGCAGCAGTCCCTCCCGCGCCATTTCTCTCTAGAGTACTGCTGCGCGTGCGCGTCTCGACAACAGTCTGCGCCGGTGAAGACGGAGCCGTGCTTTCTCCCTGAGGATTTTTGTTAGTCCCGCCGGCAATCTGGTCCTGTTGGTCGCGAGGGAACGATGCCAGGGCGCTCTCGAGGCGCCAGTCGCGCAGGTCGTCCTCGGCGTCGTTGAGGATCTGGCGGGCCTGGGCGGCGTCGGCGAACGGCGCGCGCGCGTCGCCCGGCACCACGGGCGTGTCGTCGAGCAGCTGCAACAGGCGCAGCCCGTGCCGCGCCAGGATAGTCTGCTTCTCGGCGCGCTCGATGGTGGCGAGGAACTCGGCTTGGTAGGCTTCCTTGAGCTTCTGGCGGGTCTTTTATTTGTGTTAGTCGTGGTTTCTTGTTACGAAGGGGTCAAAGAGACAAAGACATACGATATTCGTCAGTTGGGCCTCGGCCACCAGGTTCTCGGCCTCGGCGCGCACGAGCTCCTGCTCGAGCACGACGAGCTTGGCCGTCTCGGGCTCTTTTGCCTTGAGGCGGGCGATCTCGTCGGCGATCTTGGCCTTGCCGTCGCGGCTCGGCTGCACGCTCTTCTCCGTGTTGCGGATGGCCTTGAGGACGCCGCGCGACTCGTCGAGGGCGTGGGCGTAGTTGTCCTCCTGCTCACCCAGCTCCGACAGGATGACGCCGACCTTGTCGCTGACGTCGCTGATGGAGTCGTCGCCCGTCTGTTCGCCCCACTCGGACAGCTGCGTCGCGATCAACACACGCTCCTTGCCCGCCGCCTCGTGCGCCCCGATCAGGCTGTTCTCCGACTTGATCAGCCGCGCCAGCCGCCGCGACAGCTCCGGCTGGTGGTGGTTCCGTAGCGACAGCGACGCCAGGCTGAACCCACGCCGCCCGCTGCTGCCTGTCGTTGACCCCGAGCCCAGCGTCGACGTGCCGCCAGTGCCGCCAGTGCCGCGGTGCGACCGGATGGATAGCGATCGATTCCTGGGAGAGGGAGGGGATGGTTAGCTCACGCACGTGCTAATGTCGGCTTAGTGCGCTCGGAGAAACAGAGAGGAAGCGGCATGAAGGGTCCCAAGGCTTGCGGTGGTTCTGGCTATTACCACTGAGTAAAGGTAGAAAACCTCCCGTCGCCACTCTTGCGAGACATGATGAAAGGGGCAAAGCGGAAATATCCAGCAAACACTGATGCTGTGGAGGTGTGGTCTGCGTCGACCATATGTTTATACGGGAGCACGAACTTACATGGTGTTTGTTTCCTTCTTGGTTGCGCCAACCTCGAATATCGAGAGGTTAGGAGCGTCCGGGATGTTGGGATGTTGGGAATAGGGGCAAGTACGTGCTCGATTCCTTGGCTCTTTCCGGGGATTGATATCCGCAGATTTTGGGGCAAGGCTATATTAACGCAGTTTAAAATGAAGTGACAGGCACTGTACTCAAGAATGTAGGCGAGGTAGGATAAAGATTCCGAGGAGACGGTAGGTATGTTAGTACTAAGTAGATGGGTAATATGATACGGCTTTGCAGGTGATTCCTAGTTAACCGCCTGTCCAGGTGACGATACTCGGTAGTCTATTCTCAAACTAGGGTGCAAGCATCTCCGTAACACTAGCTAGCGGGAGTCTTGGACCTAACGCATTGGTCGATAAGCAGTTGGGACGCGGGTTGGGACGAGAGTCAGTCGGTCGCTGCTGCTACTAGCTTCCACCCGTACAAGTAAAGTCGGCGAATGGCACTACGAGTGGAAAGCCATTAACGCATTATGCATGTCGAGTCGACACTGTTGGGTCTAAGCAGAGCGTTCCCGACGTCACCGAGGCCCAGGCCGTTTTTGATTTACTTATTTGCTGTAGCGTCCATATAGTTTCTGTCTTGCAATGTACGACGCCGCGCTGGCTGGCTCGCTGTCTTGAGCGCCTGCCATATGAAAGGATATTCCCAAATATCTGCGATCTTCTTAGGTTCCCTTGTCCCGCAACATGAGACATTTTACTGAAAGTACCTCGAATTACCGAAAAGATCCAATCCCTGCGGTCCCGGGCTGCCCTTTCCCCCAAGACAGAGAAACCGAAACCGATATTGTCGTCATAGGCTGACACCAAGTTGCGAGGCACATGTGACGTCATACCCCACCACCCGCAAAGAAGAGACCCTGGATCATCCACTCACCCCACCTCCTCGCTTTGTCTTGGCGATCTTCACACCGCCCAGATGCCGTCCGTTCCAACCCAGAAGCTATCTGATTATTCTGGTAATGGAAATCCAGTGGGATATTTCCAGTGTAACACGCGACCAGTCTAGAGAAGATTTGGCAGTAGCTAAATAAATAAGAAAGATTCTCCCCAAACGTCCCAATCTCGAATTGCAAAACAACAAAATGCTGTGTAACTGTCACTGTATTACTACGTACTACTTTACCTACTATCGTAACATGCCCAACAAGTAAGGTACGGTAGATAGGTAACTTTGTGATTAACTATGAGAATTATACATTATCCCGTCCGCATCCCTCCGCCCTCTCCGTTTTGCCCAGCCCTCGCAAGCGAGCCCATTCACTAGCAGATAGGTATATAATAACATCTACGTCCCCACTGTCCATATATAATTCCCATACATCTCTGGTATAGTGATAACAAGAACAACAGCAACAAGACATGCACCCCGGCTACTTAATACTAATATTCTAGGCAAAGTGCTTCTTGCTCGTCCGCTCGTAGACGACGGGCCCGGTGGCCCTGTAGCTGGTGACGCTGGCGCGCGGGCTGGCCGCTATCTGGTGCACGACGCGGTGGCTCTGGTAGCTAGAGCGAGGCGGCGAGAGCGAGTGTGAGTGCAAGTATGAGTGGTACGACGACGATGAGTGGCGGTGGTTGTGATTGTGGTGCGGTTGGTGCTGGTGGCGTCGCACGGGGATGATTTCTTCGTGGTAGTAGTACTTCTCGCCGCCCTTGGCCTTGCTGGAGCTTCCAAAACACATGTTCGGCAACTGACTGACTGGCTGGCTGGCTGCAGGGTTTCGTCGGGTATCACGGTATGTTTTGTATTCCACTCTGGCGGCGCTGTAAGAAACCGTCTCTGAAGGTATGAGCTGAAGTATGGCTTCGTCTTTGGTTGCTGTACTGGTTGACAGTAAACAGCGGGAGCTGGCGAGGTATGAAATATATTGGCTGTCACACGATAGTCCTTGGGAATCGGTAGAAGGGGTTCAAAAATGGGAAGAGCAGGTAGAAGATGGAGCTGAAAAAGCAAAACCATTTGCCCATCACGCTCATATATACCAGGACAGCCAAGCTCGCACACCGTCGACTCTTCTCTAGAGTACCACCTTCTCGAGCCAGCATCGCCGATTCACGTTTTCGATTTCGTTGGACCCCTGAAAGGAACCCCGAAGACCCTGAAATTCGGCATATTCCTTGCTATGCAAGCATGTTGGGAGCCGGTGGAGGTGGGCCATCTATAACAGCCGCCGTTATTGACTCTATCATCTGCGACCTTTGAAGTTGGCACCCCTGACGACGGCGGCAAGCAGGAAACATCCCGGTAGGCCGATGACGACTGCCAGCAAGCCTGACAAAGTTATTCAATTTTGAAAAAGCCCGTAGGTGTGCGCAGTTAGCATGGAACGCGCTTGCGAAGGTGCAGTTGTGAAGAATACGAGGATCTACACGCAAATCAGCCGATGATCACGAAAACTCGAGCCGGGAATGGCACTGCATCAATAACTTCCGCATCATCTTGAAAGCCCCTGTAGCGGGGTTGTGTTCGGGGTGTCCGAGTGCCGTGTCTACCCCATGGAATCACTCCTAGATATACGCGCGAGTATCATTCGAAAGCCAGCATCTCCATTTGCTTTTGCAGATTCCCTCGGGAGCGATGATGATACAAAGATACATTTCAAGATAAAAAGTAGATATAGATCCTGTCCCAACCCTTTTTACAATCGCATTTTCTCGCTTCTCTACCTCGCTCAAGTTATTTGGAAGAAAATCGGAAATCGAGCGAACCCAAAATGTAAGTGGTTACAAACAGCGCGACTGCGCTGCCGAAAATGATCAAGGGCTTGCGCAAGCTGGCCAAGAGAGGAACCTCGTAGGATACGACCAACTCCCGCTCCCGGAAGTCGTCAACCAGATTGCGCGCCTTGATCACAAGAGCCGTCCGGCCAATCGTGTCTAGAAAAGTCTTGTGGGTCACTACATCGGCGTCCGTGATCGACGAAACCGGAATGGTTGTAGAATATTTCACGTTCCTATGCAGTATTTATCAGCACAATTTCGACACATGGGAGAAGAGGATTTCGGGGTAAACGTACTCGGCGCCTTCAGGCAAGATTACCCGAACCTCGACCTGCTCGTACTCGACTCCCTCGGGTTGCTTCGGGCCTTCAAGGAAGGGGACGTTCAAGATGTACGCATTGCCAGAGTGTGTCCGAAGGAAGTTCTTCGCATCCGAATTCCAGCCAATGGTAAATGGGTACTTCCAGCCGCCAAAAAGAGGATACCGGGGCTTGATCTCGAGCAGAGCCTCCCTCTTGTTGCTGCGGAATCGCGACGTGGAAACGTTGCCAATCACGTCCGTGTAGTAAGGATCGGCGCTTCCAATGCGAAGCGGGAACTTGATCTCCTTGAGCGCATGCGTAGCGGGCTGGTAGTATTGCGATTGCGCCCACTTCACACGGTTGAAGAGGGAAGATAGGTTCGCTCCGCGATGGAATATGGTGTAGCGCTCCTCAAACGCAACGTTCCCACCCCAGTGGCTGACTTCGACGTCACGCTCAAGGCGGGCGACGTGGGTCACGGGCTTGTTGAACTCGAACCGAACCTGGACGGGCTCGAGAGCGCCGGCCGGCTTCTCGTCAAAGGGGCCATAGGTAAGCTTCGATCCCTGCTTCTGCGGGAACTCCTTGACCTCTCCGCTGCCGGGTAGCTTGGTGAAGTCGGGGACGGTAGCTGACGGGAACTTGACTTCGGTCTTCTGCTTCGACGTGGTGTATGCCGACGGGCAGTAGGCGGAGAAGGAATACGAGAGGAACTGCGTATCCTCTTGTTTGATAGACGCGGGCAGAGGGTTGTAAGCCTTCAAAAAATGGAAGGTGATGCCGATGGTTTGCTGAGCACTGGGTTTCAGGGGAGTGGGAAGCCGGATACGAAGATACTGGAGGTCACTGTCGCGTGTTAGTCGGGGGACGATATTGAACGTCATTCGCTCAGGCGCGTCCTATCCATTTCCCCTTCGCCAACATACCTCTTCGAGTCAACTACGACAACCTCGGCACCAAACGGACCAACGCTGGCATCCTTGCGATCCTTAACCTCGACACCACCTAGCCGCGATATCTGGTCGGCCGTGAAAGGTTGGAAGTAGTCTTGTTGCGGCGCCTTGTCGATGTTTTCTATTACTACGTTGATGTTCTCCTTGACATAGTTCTTCTCGAGGGATATAACGTGGACAAGATTGGCGTTCTTGAATACCTGGGGCGGCGTGAATGTCGAGGGGAGGTCGGTGTGCGAGCTGCTCGCTGCTGAGCTCGTCGAAGCGAATGTCACGAAGGAGAGGACGGCCGAGAAGACCGCCGACGTCTTCATCTTGGAAACAAGGTGACGGACGAGCTCATGAACCGTCCGTGTCCAATTGCAATTGCAAGTCAGAAAATCGAGGGATGGACGACGAGTGGAGCTGGATTTCGGCCGTCAAGCATCCTCGTCAAGCATCACCGTGGCCTCTAGTACAATTGGGTGTCTCCAGAAAGCTTACGTTGCTGTTAGACCCCTGTCAGCCCGTCGTGCGCTGATAGCTCGGAGTAATCCGCTGCCGATGTTCCGAGACAGGGGCCCGTTCCACAGTTACACAAACCCCCAAGACCCCGCCACTTGCTTTTGCTTGACGCGGGTTGACCTTTTCCCCGCCTACCACACCAAGGAATCCATCTCTCTCACTGAAGGTTTTGCCTAGAACAGATGTTTGTCAATCAGACAATGTGAGATATACACTATTCCAAAAAGACAATCAGCGGACTATTGAGGCTTCCAACACGCTCACAGGATGATATCCTGCTAGGTCTTTCAGACGTCTCAGTGAGCGTTCCAGGGGCCCATTAAACTCATATTGCTTCTCCAATTCGCGCTAGATGAAATCATTCACCCTAATGTACCAATGGGAGCTTAGGCTTTAGGAGACTCGGGTAAACCTGGCGGTGATATCTTCTATCTGTTTGGAGGACTATTCTGTACCTGGAACTCCTTCCCGAGTCGCTTGACAGTGACGTAACCTCGGAGTGAGCTCTTGGAGTTATGGTGGGGAATTGCTGCAAGCTTCTTTGCTGCCCGTAGATAGGAAGAGGCGGTCACCTGTAGCCCCGAGACAGGTCAACCAAATTGCTTTACCTTGGTAGGTGCTTAAAGGTGGTAGACACCATAGCTTCAGCTAAGATTTATAGGGGAGATGAGGTAAGAAGCGTCGCGCAACTCAACAAGGGTGGGACCTTCTTGGCTAGATTAAAGCGCTCAAATTTGGGAGGTGTGGGCTGCCTAGATGATGCTCCCTCAATATCGATGTCTTGTTCTAAAGACAATCGGTATGAAATATTTCACATACTGTAGACATACTCCAACAACCTAGCATCTGACACTCGGCTGTCTAGGTAGGTAACGGCGGATAGCAGACGGGTAGCTAATATTCGTCTCAATTCCTAGAGGCACACAACGTTCGGAATAGAGTGAGGCATATCCTGCGATTACGTAGTCTTATATCCAAAAAATAAAATCGAGAGATGGAAGCAGCAAAGTTCTTACACGATCTAGTGACTAATGGGCCGAGACATGAATAGGTGCCTACCTTACCTTAGGTGGGGAGGACACTACCGCCCAGCACTCCGCACTGCCCGGGGTTAAATACTACGTACTAAGCAGGCGCGGTGTTTTGCTCAGCACCCACGCCGTTCCGTGGGATGTGTAGCACAACTTACCTTGCTTGCTCTCCCGACCAACCCCATCATACCCGTCCGCTCTGAATGCCGGCTTTGCACTTAAATGCCAACTTGAAGCCCTTGGCACCGACGTCTTAAGCTTCTATTGCCAGATTCTGTCCGCAAACAGTGCTTCGGTCCGTCGACGAAATCGCTAAAAAGGAAGTTGTAAAGGCTGTCTCAAAAGGACATAGATAAAAAGACCAGTCTCGGTCTCTGGGCAAGGCGACTCGACGGTTGCAATTGCTCGCCATGGTTGGTCTAGGACCTAAGAAGCCCCCGTCCAGGAAGGGCACACATGGTACGTATGTTATGTTTTCTCGCCCCCGTTTTACGCACATGGACAGCCGATCGCTCGGGTGTTGCCTCTCAACTGCCTCGGACTTTCAAGGCTTTCCAATTTCAGATGGCGGTAGGGCGCCAGCAATGCATCATTCAAGTTTGGAGAAAGACAGACAGCGCCTGCCCTCTGATCTGCCGTTTAGGTGGATCGTCCTTGGCCAACCGACCGAGTGGTCCTTCCTATCGGATACTACATAGTATCTCTCTTGCCCGCCCCGGTCCTGCTGTCTGTCGCCAGTTACGGATGTGTCGCGTGACCATCCCATCACAGTATGGAAGGTGAGAGCACGACACTGCACTTGACTTCCATCTACCCGTGCGACTGAATTGCCTGCCTCTGGTTGCCATGCAGCTCGCAGGTATAATATCGAGCTCTAAAGTGGTATCCCACTCGCAACTCGCACCTACACCTACACCTACACCTAATTACACCCGCACTCCTTAGGTTGCTGTCTATCCTACCTCCATCACCTACAAACCTACAGACCTGCTACCCTACTCATCCATTTCGTTTCGCTTTTTTCTTCGTCTTGTATTCTACTGTAACAATTTCCCATACATGCTTTACTATCCCCTGAGCTGTCCTTAGACTGTTCGTAAAACCTAAATCTTGCACCATGGCATCGGCACTGGGAAAGCTGCGCACGTTGTTCTATGCGGAACCACACCCGCACCCACCGCCTCTCACAAAGAGCCGCGCCTTTCACCACCACCACCAAGGCGACCAGTCAAGCCGAGAGGGCAAGGCGTCTTCGCTACAATTTTCAACCCGTACTGACATGCCTGGTAGGATCGTTTGCCGACGTTCCCCAGGATCTCCTCAAGGAGATCCAGGAGCTCGAGTGCCTGTTCACTATTGATACGGCCAAGCTGAAGCAGATTACCAACCGTTTCCAAGCCGAGCTTGATAAAGGTTAGCACCGTTCGAGGATTGGTATTCGGACGGGAACCTCTGACTAACATGACATAGGCCTAAGCGTCGAGGGAGGAAGCATAGTGAGCCAACCTGCCTCGCCGCAGACCCCTCCGCCGTGTGCTGACCTCGATAGCCTATGAACCCAACATGGGTCATGTCGTTTCCGACTGGCTACGAGACGGGCACGTATCTGGCTCTGGACATGGGAGGCACTAACTTGCGTGTCTGCCAAATCACCCTGACGGAGCAAAAGTCCGAGTTTGATATCATTCAGTCAAAGTACCGAATGCCCGAGGAGCTCAAGACTGGCGAGGCTGACGAGCTCTGGGAGTACATCGCGGATTGTCTCATGCAGTTCCTTGAGACCCACCACGGTGACACGTCAAAACTGGAAAAGCTGCCTCTTGGCTTCACCTTCTCGTACCCTGCCACGCAAAACTACGTCGACGCGGGAATCCTGCAGCGATGGACCAAGGGCTTCGACATTGCCGGCGTCGAGGGCCACAACGTTGTGCCCATGTTCGAAGCTGCCCTCGCGGCGAGGGTGAGATGCCGCGCCTTGTGGCCCCAAGACGCTAGTGCTGAGACGTGTTCCAGGGTGTTCCTATCAAGCTAGCTGCCTTGATCAACGACACGACTGGCACCCTAATTGCCTCTGCCTACACCGACACCAAGATGAAGATTGGATGCATCTTTGGTACAGGATGCAATGCTGCTTATATGGAGGACTGCGGGTCGATCCCCAAGCTTGCTCACCTCAACCTCCCACCCGATACGCCCATGGCAATCAACTGCGAGTGGGGCGCGTTCGACAACGAGCACCAAGTCCTACCACGGACTCCCTACGACATCACTATCGACAAGGACTCTCCTCGCCCGGGACAGCAAGCGTTTGAGAAGATGATCGCCGGTCTATATCTCGGCGAAATCTTCCGCCTGGTCATGGTCGACTTGCATGACAACCACGAAACGCACATCTTTGCTAACCAGGATATTTCCAAGCTCCGGAAGGCGTATTCGCTGGACTCGTCTTTCTTATCTGCCATTGAAGAGTGGGTCAAGCCGTACCCGAGGAGGATGCGTGTAGGTTGCTAACAGCTCTGCCGCAGGGATCCGTACGAGAATCTGTCGGAGACTTTTGAGCTCTTCCAGAACAAGCTTGATATCACCCCGAGCCTCCCGGAGCTCGAGCTCATTCGGCGCACGGCTGAGCTCATTGGAACTCGTGCCGCTCGTCTCTCGGCCTGTGGCGTTGCCGCCATTAGCAGGAAGAAGAGCTATAACACTTGCCATGTGGGCGCCGACGGTTCGGTATTCAACAAATACCCGAACTTCAAGGCTCGCGGGGCGCTGGCCCTCCGCGAAATTCTTGATTGGCCGGAAAAGAATGACCCCAAAGAAGACGACCCAATTGAGATCTTAGCTGCTGAGGATGGCAGTGGCGTTGGTGCTGCTCTTATTGCCGCGCTGACGCTGCAGCGGGTAAAGAACGGCAACATGCACGGCATCTTGCATCCTGAGAATTACCAGTGATTGGAACCCGGATATACTTGTTGGGCTTGATCGGATTGTTCTTTGGCCCTCAATGACTCTTCAGGTGCTCCATGAGGGCTTGCTAGTTTTCACTGTTTTGACCGGATGGCAGTAGTGATGAGGAGATTTGAATGAGCGTGACAAGATAGAGCTGATCAGATGTGGACCTTTATCCTAGGCAGGAGCTGTTTTGGAGACGGAAAATTATTTCTTAGAACGCTCATGTCTTTTGCGTCTTTATCGATGTGATTGCCCCCTTGTGCTAAAAGCTGGAAGTATGGGACAGTCAAACCAAGCCAGGTGAGAAGGAACGGGAAGGAAGGCTTGAAGCAGAAATGCAAAAGTAACGGGCTGGCTCTTTGATTTAAAGGCAATTTGGATATCATCTTCTCCCAGCATCATCATCCTCCGCCACTCACCCTTCATCGTCATAATACAGGCTCCTCCTGCGCCGCTTCTGCGGCAGTCTGCCTCCTCAGCTCCTCCTCGGCACAGGCCAGCGCCGCCTTGAACGTATCCAGCAGCTCCTCCTCGCTCTCGAGCCCGACGCTCACGCGCACCTGCTCCGGCCGCAGCCCGTACGCCACGTGGTAGGCAAACGACGGGTCCGGGTCCCCGCCGCCGCCCCAGATGGCGTCGTTGAACGGGAACGCCAGCGTGTGGTGTGCGCCTAGGTGCGGTCCGTGGTAGACGGCCAGGTTATCGTAGAAGGCGCGCGCGCAGGCTTTGTTGACGAAGTCGATGCTAAAGAGGCAGCCGAAGCCGGGCTCGAACGGCTCGAATTCATTGTTGCCGGTGCCAGTGGTGGCTAAGGTTGTTGTGGTTGTTGCAGGCCGCATCAGCGACGTGTAGTTGGCCGCCGTGTCGGTAAAGGGCGGGTACAGCACGGCTGTTACTGGTGATGGTGTTGGCTCTGTTAGGCATGTCGCGAGGAACCGTGTTAGTAGTAGCGCGTTGCCGTTTAGTATTGTGCTGCGTGCCAAATAGTCGTCGCTGCACTGCAGCAGATGCGCCGCGTCGCCAGAGAAGTACTCGTTGTGGAAGGTTTTGGTTAGTGTGTCTTGTACTGCTCTGTAGTGTGCCGATGCTGGGTTGAGCACGATGGAGCCGCCCATGACCTGGTTTTGTTTTGTCCCAAAGGAGGTGAGTGGTGGTTAGTGGGAGGGAGGGTTGGAGTTATGTGTTCAAGTTGGGTGGGGAGGGGGATAGGGGATAGGGAAGGGGGTCTTACATTTGCGTAACCGCTGAACGACTTGGTCAGGGACGTAACCACGACGTCGGCCACGGGGAGAACATCGATGTTGCAAAACGAGCCGACCGTTTCGTCGACCACCACCGCGAAGCCATACTTGTCAGCCTGTAGAGGCGAACACGTTGATTAGCACAACATATCACACCGTTTTTTCCCCAGCGCCCCTTTTCTTCAAGGTGGTTCGAAAAGGGGTAGAAAACTTACTAGCTCACGCAGCCGCCAGAGATCGACGCTGACCAGGATAGGATTGCTCGGGAACTCTGCAAACACGTAGCTGACGGCGCGCCCGGCGGCCGCCTCGGCCTCGAGGTACGCCTCCAGCTGCTCCATGACGCGGCCCTCGGCGTCGCAGCGCCCAAAGTGCTTGAAGCCGGCCGGCTCCTCGCTGAACAGCTGCCACGTCGAATGGAACACGGCGCCCAGGGCGACGACGGGCCCGCGCCGCGCCGCCAGCGCGGCTCCGTGCAGGCGGTAGATGGCCGCCATCCCCGTAGGGCATAGGTAGACGTCGCCAGACGAGACGGCCGCCACCGCCACAGTCTTCTTCACAGGGGCGCGCTTCAGCAGCGCCATAATGCGCTGCCGCAGCTTCTCGTGCCCTTCGCCTTCCTCGGGCAGGTAGGTCGGCGGGGGCAGGGCGCCGTTTCTTACTAACGACGGCATGTCTCCGTCCCCCGACGACGCCTCAAATGGAAGCACGGCCAGCGTGTCGATGTGCGCGAGCAGCATCTCGGCCAGCCGTGAGCTCACGCCCACGCCGGGATTCTGCCAGATGCCGATGATGCCGGGCGCCTTGGCAGCCGGGAATACCACAAGGTACAGCCGCACGTCGGCGATGTCGACGACGCGGAACAGCAGCTCGCCCTGCAGCAGCTTGGTGTGGTCGTCCTTGCGGTGGCGCGAGGCGGCGTAGGCGGCCGCCACGGCGAACGCGTCCGGGCTCACGAACGGGAGGCAGCTGTAGGTTGGGCCTTGTTCACCTGCGGGAAGTGCTGGGAGGGCCAGCCGGGAGAGGATTGCGGCTGCCAGCTATGTGTCGGGAGGGCATATTTGTTTAGTTGGGAGATCCGTGATGGAGCAGAGACTAACAGTAACGCTCAGGTTCAATCAGGGCTCATGGAAGAAGTACTAACCTGTCTGACCTTGTTAAAGGGGCCGAACCGCGGGTACATGGACTTGAGAGCCGCAAAGATAGTTTTGTCGCCCTTGCGAAAGGCACAGGCCGTCTCCCAGCCCGGGAGGTGGACCGTGACGGTATGGAGGCCCTCGGGCGGCATGGACTGGCCCAGCCCGGCTGCTATCACCTTGACGGGCATGTCTGCGTGGTACGTGGTATATCCCTAGGAAGGTAGACAGCTATGTATCTGTGTCCTTGTGCTGGCTTTGGGGCCTGAGTCCTGTACGACCGACTTTACAACGCTCTCCAAGTTCAGAGCATGCAATACCTGGCAACCTAATACGTTGTGTTAGAATAACAAAACAGAGTTGCCGAAACAATTATGACTAGGTAGGCAAGGTACAATATATACTTACCTATTCTTCCCTTAGCTCTCGAGAGATATTAGCAGACACAAACAGAAGCAATACCCCCAGGACACAAGAGCCGTAAGACAAGGATGACGATTTTTTTGGAAAAAAAAAAAAAAAAAAGAGAAAAGAAGAGAAGAAATCGGCCCAGCCGGCTGACACAAATCACAAGAACGCCCTCCTTATAAGGAAGCCGTGGGCGAACGAGAGCACAGTCCGACCTTGCCTCACCTCGTTTACTCCTACGCCCTTATTGACCTTGTACGCCGCAATCTGACCCGCGAATGTCCTGTTATCGTTGCTGGGCTCGTACTACTCGGAGTTTGCATGCCAAAAAAAAAACGAGGGGTCGGGGGACGGGGGCTAGTTTGTCTTAAAGTCGGACAAAGAAAAAAAACGCTTGAGTTGAGGGGTTGTTTTCGGTGGGACACGGGACGAATACTAAAAAATGTCGCCATCCCCACCCGGGGGCCGGCCTGTCTTGGCTTAGCCACCACGTACAGTACAGTATGTATGTACATGTACAATACATACAGACCTTACTTGCCTACATCTAGACAAAGTTTTTGCCTCAGCCCTCCTAGCGCGCACCCTCGCTTCTTGACATGACCTCGCTGCAGTGAGTGGCGGGAGACGACCAAGAAAAAGCCTTAGCTGACGGGATTAACTGAACTGAAAAATTGGCTGTCCTAAACAGTGATCAAGAAAATGAAATATCCAAATAATATTGGTATCGGCGTGGCGCTGCTGCATTAATGCTGTCTCAAGCTAACTACGTAATACCTAATGTAAAAAGAATATAAAATATCCCATCTGTGTTGGGCGGCTTCCCGCCCACCCATACTCGCAAGTGCAAACTTATATGCAAATATACCTAGATATATACAGCTCCAGCAGTGTCCAAAAAGAAAAGAGAGAACGAGCGTCAGTAGATGCTCAGCAAAGAGAGCGAGGCAATTTGTGGTACATTTCCCCCCAAAACGTTGGCGTTACTCGTACAAGGACTGCCACCACTACCAAAACTCGCGACTCCTGCCTTCAAAGGCAAAGTTGAGCGCCACTGCAACCAGCATGCTACCGCAGAGCATGCTGGGACCCCACTTGTCGTAGTATCGAGCTGCCCTGCGTGTGCGGATGGCCTGGCTCCTGTAAAGGTAGATGCCCAGCGCGTAGCACAGAGATATGATGGCCACGAGCGTAAACGCACTGGCTGCCACGAAAGAAGCCCGGTTCCCTCTCGCATTGCCAAAATTCAACAGCGTCACCGCCACGGTGCCGATATAGATCGAGTATTCAAGCTACAGCGAGTAAAAAGGTCCGGTTAGTTTCCAGTTGCTATATGTGATACCAATACCACAAGAAAGAGGGAAAATAAATTACCCAGCTGAGAAATGTCCTCTCAGCTGCAAAGTAGACCTTTGGCTCTACCCGCACCGGGACATAAATCTTCTTTCCCTTGGGCGCCTTGAACCTCTTCGCCTGGATCTCGCCGGCGCCGAGGAGGGCCTCAAGCCTCGCGTTGCGAGGCACCTCGGTCGCCCGAGGACGCGGCACGAGGGCCTTGAGAATGGTCCACGAGCCTGAAGCGACAGCGTTTGCCGTGGTCGAGGCGAGCGTCCGGTAGTATATCCACCCACCAACCCTCCTTGCCTCCTCCAGCCGGTCTTCATCATCTTCGTCATCGGAATCGTATAGATATGTGATGTCTCCAGCCGTTCGCTCCGCCGTCTGTTCCTCCAGATCTGCAGCCAGTGTATGGCGGTGCCGCCCATTCCCAAGGGCTCCATGTGCAGTAGCTTGCGCACTCGTCTCTCCATTGCGACGCGGCGGGGTAGAATTCTCTTCATCTGAATCGTCTTCCTCGTCGTCGTCGTCTGATGTGGTCGCCGTCGCCGAGTGTCCCGGCCTCTGGATACCAAAATCGTGGGTTACCGGCTTGCGAATGTCGACATCCATTTGCGGCATCCAGTAGGGAATCAGATGGATGCGGTCCGGGAACATGGAGGCAACGCCGTGGATGAACTTTGAGAACTTGGGGACAGCCTCGACTAGGTGACTCGAAATCAACTGCCGGACCCACTCTGGCGGCTCCTGGCCAAGCTGAGTCTGAAGCTTGACCTCTAGAACGGCGTAGGGGAACCTAACGATATCTCCGGGAGGAAGTTGCGAGAATGGCCAGTCGACGCCGATGTCCATGCGCCTCCAGTTGTACCCCGATCTCGTGACACCGTCCAAGTTGTCCTCACGGACCATGGTGAGTTCGGTATCCAGCGAGATTCGGACACGTGCATCGGCGGGGAGCTGGAACGCCGTGCGGTGATAAAAGGAGCGGCAGACGGGCTTGTAGCCTTTCTTGAGGACCGACCATTGGACCTCGGCCGCTAGTCTCTCATCTTCGGCAATGGCCTTCTCCGATTTCTTGCCCTCTTTCCGCGCCTTTTCAAAGATGGCGGCTGGTAGGAGTTCGCCGCGCAGGTACGAGTTCACGTTCTTCTCCTTTAGTGAGAACCGAGCCTTCACCGACTTCTCCCCTGTCCAGTCCTCGCGATGTGTCTTGCGCTCGACGAAGATGGTCTCGCTCTGCATTCCACCGTACCACCGTAACCGAATGGCCTCGGCACCTTCTGTCTTTTTTAGCCGCCCTTGGTATAGGTCCCACGTCTCGGGATTGTCGTAGTAAATGGACGTGATGGCCGTATCCTGCGCCTCAAACTCCTTGCTCGCATTGAAGACTAACACAGGCAAATGCTTGAGAATGATGAGCTTGAGCTCCGTCACATTGTCTGGATGCACCCAGTATTTCGTTGTATGTCGGACAAAGCTAGCTTGGCTGCCCCCGGCAGCGCTGTCGCCTTTGACCGGATTTCCTCTCGTTCGAACCAGATCGTAGAGCTTGGACAGCTTCACGACGGAGGCGTCGTAGTTTTCCTTGTAGAACGGCTTCGCTTTCAGGCGCGTGTCGAAGACGGGTTTCAGGTGCCAGTCCGTCATCTTGTCGTGCTTCTTGATGATCTTGAAGAAGCCTGTGTAGTTGAGCTGCACAAACTTCGCAAGGTCGTGCACGTCGGCAATGATGTCGCTCAGGTCCTCCTCGAGCAGCATAAACTCCTCCTCGCTGGGGCCTTGATCGCCTAGGCCTCGCTCGTTGAGGCGATTGACGACTTCGCGGACCTCGCGCTCGCTGACGGCGATCCTCCTCGAAATTTCCATGGCCTTGACTTGCTGCTTAGTGTGCACCTTATCCAGCTCACCCTCGAGCTTGCTGACGAAGCGGCTCTCGTCGTCCTCTGTCCATTCTCGCCGCGATAGCCTGCTCGATCTCGTGCTGTCTTCGGCAGGCGCGGACACAGACCCGCTGGGCCGCTTGATGTCGGCCTTAAGCCCGTCATAGTCAATGTAGTACCATTGGTATTCGCGGATGACGCTCGAGCGCAGCTGCTCGCCAAATTTCATGACGATGAGGCCGGGCCTAATCTTTCTATTGGGACGTGGATTGCGGGTAGACTGCCAGGTTCTTTTTCGCGTCTTGAGGTCTTCGACAATTAGCATAGGATTCGGGTTCCAAGCAGCATAAAAATTCGCGGCGCCGTGGCAAAGCTAAGCGGAGACAGAGCCGGGAATGCCCAGTGTCGCATCTAAGCTCTTTCGCCGATCGTGCGATTCCACCCCACTCGCGCTGGCCGTCAAGAACGGCGCTAGAGAGGCGGCTGCGTGTTGTTCTTCCTGCCAAGGTCGCTGCGGCAGATATTTATCAAAAAGCAAGCAATGCGAGGGGAGGAAGGGGAGAAATAAAAACCAAAAGATATAAACTAACAGGCTTGCGCAGCACGGAACAGCAAATGCGGTCAAAGATGCAACTAACCAACGAGCTAAGCAAGCTAGAGAAACCGATGAAAGCGTTGGGCGCCGCTGGTATTTATTGCGTCGGTCTGCCGTCACCCCGTCAGCGAAACAGCTGAGGCAGAAACGTGCTGAAAGCTGATGATGCCATTGGCGAATCACAGCGGCCAGGGTGCTGCACATCATATTGCTTGAAGCTCTGGGGTGGGGTTAGATTTCTGATAGCTCACTCCAGAAACAAGCTAGCGGGTAACCGTCCGATAAAAGAGTTCGACCTCGGAAACAGAATGATGCCAGTACAGTATAGCTGTAAGTTAGGCTTTGGTAGGCTTCCGTCTTATATGTTTTTATTTTAGTGCAGTGTCTAGGCTGATATTTAGAGGACAACAAGTTGTACAAGTATAGCAGTGTTCTCCTGCAAATGACTCCGGAGGATTTGAAGGTTCCAGGCGGACCAGCTGCCCGCCTCCCACGTGCGCCCTGTCCAACCACCTAGAAGCTAAAAACGTGCACAGTACCACCCGCAGGGAAGCCTGGGATGGAAACAAATTGCCGCTGTGAACACTCTGCACTGCAATACGACGCACTGTGGGTTACCTTACCTTACCGGGTTCAGAGCTCAGAGTGGACCGAGGGCAGCAGGTACGGATGCTTCTTTGTGTATCCGTCCTCAATCTTATCTTATCGGGGGATAAAGGTGAGGGGCAGCCCACAAAAAAGTTCGTGGGGCAAGTCCAAGTACCTCGGAGTAAGTAATAAGAGGGGAAGCGGCCATCGAATTAATTCATTATAATATTTGGGAGCAAGAATAAAACAAGTAAATCCAAATACGAATCCGGGAAAAAGCTTCAAAGACATGGCCGACCAAGACTCGATATCCACTCGCATCTCGCCCGATTGCCTACCCGAGACACAACGAGTCCTGACAGCAGCCTGGTCGCACGATATCGAGGCCATCAAGAAATTCCTCGACGTCCCAGGCAAGGCCAGCTGTCAGGACCCCCAAACCGGCGAGACGCCCTTGCACGCGGCCATTCGATCTTGCGGGGCCCCTTCCGAGGACGACACGCCCGAGGACCTCGAGGCTGCTAAGAAAACCGTCTACGAGCTTCTGCTATGGGGCGGCATCTGGAACGATCTCGATGACCACAACGAGACGCCCGGCTGCGTCGCGCGCCGTCTCGGCCGCACAGAATTGTACATTCTTTGCGTCGAGGCTGGCGTGAGGGCAGAGATGCTGTTTGGGTTGCTAGACGGGTACGAGGAGCTCTCGAGTGGCGACGCTGAGGACGACGACAATGACGAGGGCATGGGAGATGCGAATGGCCAAGTGGAAGATGGCGACGAGGCACCCGAGCTCGTTGACGTGGACGGCCAGGAGACAGATGGGGCCCCGGAAGTGGCGGAAACGCCTACCTTCCAAAGGCTTGCTCTTGAGTCGCAGCAGGACGTCAAGAGTGAGGAGTACCTGCGGTCCAAGTTGACATACTCGGACGGCAAGCTGGTAGACGATGCGGGCAACGGTGTAATGATGGCCTGGGAGTCCGACATCATGCGCCAGAGCGTCGATGCGCTCCTCCCTGGCAAGGAGCCGGGCAAGAGGATACTGAACATAGGGTTCGGTATGGGCATTATTGATACCATGTTTGCCGAGACAAAGCCCGCGCGCCATCATATTATCGAGGCGCACCCAGAGGTCTTGGAACATATTTCGGCCCCAGACTCAAAATTTGGATCGTCGTGGGAAGCAAGTGCCCAAGAGCCGGGCGCTTTCAAGGTTCACAAGGGCAAGTGGCAAGAAATTTGCCAGCAGCTCCTAGAAGAGGACCAAGTATACGACGTCATCTACTTCGATACCTTTGGTGAAGACTACGCGCAGCTGCGACTGTTTTTCACTGATTTTATACCCGGTCTGTTGGATTCCCAGGGGTGCTTTGGTTTCTTTAACGGCCTTGGCGGGGATCGCAAGATCTGCTACGACGTCTACACTAAAGTCGCTGAGATGCACTTGTTGGATGCCGGCCTCGATGTCGATTGGAAAGTGATAGAAGTCAACATGGAGGAGCTGGCTGAGGCCGGCAAAGGCGAATGGGAGGGAGTCAAGAGGAGGTATTGGACATTAGACGGCAAGTTAATTGGCTCTGTTCACCATTTGCTCTCACTAACAGCCTCGCAGAATATCGCCTCCCGACTTGCACGTTCTTGGGATGAGAGCTCGGCAAAAGCGGATCTCCGGATCGACGATAACCAGTATTTGTTTTGCAGAGCCGTAGCCCAGTTGTGATGGTAGTAACAGGCTTTCAAACTACCCGAGTTATAGGCTACTTACTGTAGGCCTCACACACGAAGCTTGCAGGAAAGGCGTCTTTGTCCCCAGCCCAACAAATAGGAGCACTCTGCACTCCCGGCCAGCTGCAGGTCGCAAACACGACCCTCCCCACTATATTCGTGAGCCATACAACAAAAAAGTGCCGACTCGGTGGGGATTATATGGGACACCATATGCCCTCGCACCAGCACCTAGAGAACAATGATTTCTTCAACTGTATCTACCGTGGTTCAACGGCCTAGAAATGTCAGCAGAACCGCAACCCAATATCCTCCTAGACTTTGCCGAGAATGTTGCTCTCTTGTCTCTTCTTAAACAGCTGCGAAGCCCTCCCAAAGTCAACAAGCCTGCATCTGCAATAGCAAGGCTAGATTCACGCCGGACTCTATCGTTCGCCCGCGAGTCTAGCTTAGCGGGGGTACTTGCATTGATCTCTGGGATCTCCAACAACCCGGATCATGTTGTAGCAACTTGTATTGAAGAGCGCCCAGATGGGGGAGGAATGCGAGTACTTCTCGCCGTCAACAAGAGATCACCAATGTCCGGGGATGATGTGCTAGCTCGAATCAAGAATGGCCTTGAAACTATATTCGGTTTACTTTCTCGGGTCAATAGTGGTGAGTTCGTGAACAAGATAACTCGGTTGACGTTGAACTTATTGTGCTCTCTATAGAGGACAATGCTACCCTCGAAGGCGAGGTGCTCAACGCCATATTCGACATGTGCCACGAACGTATCTTGTACCGTATTGGATCACGAAGAGGCAGGAACTCGTTCTCTGGAAAATCGAAAGCCTACCTGGGCGATACGTTGAAGACCATTCGTGTTGCTGTCCAGAAACGGCGGGCCGATATACCCAGGGATCAATTCGCTCTATTTGTGTGCCACACCAAAGACCTCGAAAACAAGCTAGACAAGCTTGAAGTCTGTCACGAGAAGGATGTGATCTCCAGCCTCAAGGGCGTGGCTATAACAGCCTATCGACTCTCTAGCGCCGTTAACTGCTCGACAATCACGGCAGATATCACATCTATGGGGATAAACCCAAATCTCAAAATGTCATTTCTCAATCGGCTGGAAAGACTTGCCAATTACCGGGAGAGCTCTCTGTATCTATTAAAAACGGCTAGGAAGCCGGGCCTATTTCAACACACAGAGGTCATAGCTGTTTCTCTTGATGCTCAATATTTCGGCCCCGACCTGGTATTCCCCTCGGAGCGAAACCTTTCCAGCTCAATCTCTCGCTGCCTCACAAGCACGGGGGCCAAGTTTACTGCGGAGAGCGTCTTCGAACGACTTCAATCGAACGAGGCAACTAACGATTCCTCTTTTGTCGCGACTCTCAACAAGACCATAGAGAAGCCAAAGATTCACGCCGAGGTGCAAATAGCCGCTTATTATGAGCTCTATCCAGTCGCCAACAGACCCCGGGTTATTTGCTCTAGCAAAGACGCGTGCTATCTGTGCAATCTCTTCATCAAACACCAAGGGGTATTCCATATTTCGAAGTCCCACGGCAAACTGTACCCAATGTGGTGTCTCCCCGTTATCAGCTCAACCAGTTCACTCTATTCGCAACTCAATGCCTCCATGGAAATCCTGATAATGCACGCCATAAGAAATGTGATGAATGGTGTCAGGCCTGGGCCGAAGTTTCCGACCAACGAAAGCACAGCCGTTCTCTTCTCAAACTCCATGTCGACCCTGGCAAGTTTTGTCCAACCAGAAGATAATCCTTCTAGGAGGGTGATTACGGAGATGGTTGAAAAGATTGTCGTTGAGCCGATTACTGTAGGAGACGAGCAAGGCCAGGCTGGAGGGAACGAGAAGTTGGAAGAGAAGGAACAGAACGCGGGGGAAGTCGAAGAACTCCCGGCGGATGTAGAGCCCGTCCCCAACGGAGCTGGAAAGGCTGTATCTAGGCCACTGAGCACTGAAAATCTTCGTCAGGGCTATAATGAACTTGCTGAAGGGCCTCGTGAGCTGCGAGATTCCTTCGATGACAGTGCTGCTGTTCCCCACGAGCCCGGCAACAGGAGCACTGAGCCGGTAACACGAGAACCAACCCTTGAGCCACTAACCGACATCCCTGTGACTCCTGATTCTGCAGAGACGGAGGACACGCCACTTGACGACATTTCCAGATCGCAGACCTCATTCACAGGTGACAGCCCTGTCCCCACAATATCCCAAGACGAGAAAATCGAGCCACTGCCACAACCAGCTGCGACCGCATCCCCCGGTTTGAGTCTAAGACCTCGCCGTGAGCTAAGCCGCGATCGGCTTCTCGACGACATCCCGGAAGAGCCGCCGGCGTCGTCATCGCCGACCGACTCAGCCTCTGAGCAGGAGCAACAGGAGCCACATCTGCCTAAGCAAGAGCAAGAGCAAGAGCAAGAGCAACGTCAAGAGCAACGTCAAGAGCAGCCCGCGAGCAATTCACGTGGCGCCCGAATACTCGCACAAGGTCAACCCATAACGCTTCATCTAGACAGCAGCAGCCGACACGTGCCTCTGCCGTGGTTTTCCACGGGCACCTTGGATATATATCCGGACATGGAAATGAGACCGGCCGAGCTGAGGCTGCACTGGCTGCCGGACGAGCAGGCCCGGTCTCGCGACGTCGAGAGTCACCCCAGCTTTATCCGAACGCAGTCGCTCAAGACATCTACAGACACTGACAGCGGGAGCGGCAGTGGGAGAAGCGGCGGCCTGTATTACCTATCAAATGACATGGACGTGGTCGCGATCGAGTGTATATTCTCGGGTGCAGGAACGGAGAGGGACTAGAAGACGCTGTGATGTGGTTCGGTTACAATGGATGTCGACTTATTGTTAGTAGGGCGGTGGGAATAAGGTCATGGAGTGACTGGAATGATATATATACATTACTGAGGAAGTGTGTGCTTACCGGGCGGCAATGAATAAAAAGGATTGGGAGAGTCGACTGAGAAACGAATCGGGACCGTCGATTAGTAAAGGAATCAGGTCAGTCGATTACCATTAGGAGAGTTGAATACTATCGGGATAGTCGATTGCTATCGGGATAGTCGATTGCTATCGGGAGAGTCGATTACTATCAGGGCAGTCGATTGCTATCGGGAGAGTCGATTACTATCAGGGCAGTTGATTACTATCGGGAGAGTCGATTACTATCAGGGCAGTCGATTACTATTAGGGCAGTCGATTACTATCGGGAAGTCGATTGATATCCAATACTAGTTAGCATTTCTTTCGTCCGTCCGAACTTGACTCCTACATTAGACACGCTTAGCAGACAAACTCAATGATTTGATATGAATTAATTCTAGACTTGAATATATATAAATATACACATTGATAGGTACCGGACACAGAACCGCCAGTGTGTCGACACATCTCCCGAAGCGGGTGGCGGCAAGGCAATTGTTGTATTGTTGTGTTGCTCACATCAAGCTGCTCCGCCCGCCGACCTCCATGCTTCCCTGACCGTCCCTCATCTCGCCGCTGCGCCCGACGACGAACTCGCGGTAGATCTTCTCCAGGCGGCGCCGCTCGTCGACGCTGATGCTGGCACGCGTGTCCCCGAGCGCATTGATCAGGTGCTTCCAGCCGAGCACGACCTCGCTGCTGCCGGCGGCGGCGCCCTTCTCGTCGCCCGCAGCGCCTGATAGGCCCAGGGCGTTGCTGGAGACGGTCCCGGCCTTGGTGAGCTGCTTGGCGCGCTTACGGGCGAGCTTCATACTTTCGAGTTTTGCCGAGATGGCGGCCTGCTCAGCGAGCTCAGATGACCTACTCCAGGGGGTGGCAGCATCTGTGGCGCCGCCATCCGGAGTGGTGCTGTCGGAGCCGTATCGAAACTGCACAAAGTTGCGGACTGGCGCTGCAGCGGTCTTTTTGACGGCACTGCGACGGCTGTGGCTGCCCCCGCTGCCACCGCCAGCAGCGAGTGAGCTGGGTTGCTCGCGGTCATTCAAGACGTCGTGAATCGCTTCGAGCTGCGCATTCGAGACGAGCGCTTGGAGATCTGCACCCGTGAAGCCTTCGGTACGGCGGCCGAGCTCGAGCAGGTCGTCCTCCGAGTTCCAGACGTTGTCTTCAACTTTGACCTTCTGGGCAAGTGCCTTGATGATGTCGAGACGGTCCTCGAGATTCGGGAAGTCACACAACAGTGACTTGTCGAGACGGCCTGGCCGTAGGAGTGCCGGGTCTATTAAATCGGGGCGCGAGGTGGCCGCGAGCACATAGACGCCTGACAGTCCTTCGGCGCCGTCCATCTGAGTGAGAAGCTGGTTGACAACTCTGTCCGTGACACCAGTAGAGTCGTGACCACGCTTTGGCGCGATGGAGTCAAACTCGTCGAAGAACAGCACACAGGGCCTTGCCGCCTGGGCTCGCTCAAAGAGATCTCGGACGCTCTTCTCGGACGCACCGATGTACTTGTTCAAGATCTCAGGCCCTTTGACGCTGATGAAGTTGAGACCGCACTCGCCCGCTACGGCACTGGCCAGCAGTGTCTTGCCGCAGCCGGGGTAGCCATAGAGCAAGAGGCCAGACCGCAAGCGAAGCGGGCACTGGGCGAAGATAGGAGCGTACTTGGTTGGGTACTGTAGTGTTTCGAGCAGGATCCGTCGCGTCTCTTGCAGTCCACCAATAGAGGCAAACGTAGTAGTCGAACTCTGGAGTGTGACATTCCGCAAGGACGCCGGAGTAAACCCCTTGAGAGCCTTGTCAAAATCCGTCCGGCTGAGACGGATTGTGGGGGCATCAAAAGTTGTCGATTCCCCGACGCTCCGGCTCAGCGCTTCATTCCGAGCTCGGGCGATGAGAAGAATCAGATCGCCAGGCATGTAACCATCGATTTGGCCGGCAATGTCAAGAAAGTCGAGGTCAGAGTCGAGGATGAACCCGCTCGGTCTCTCCAAAGCGTTTCTTTGCCTCGGTTGGATCTCGCCGTCCATCCAGCCGTCTTCCTCATCGCCGGCAGCGCTTCCATCTCTAGTGGTTGGGCGACTGGCATGCTCGTAGTCATCGACGAACCCATCTTCTTGAAAAGCGACCGAGCCCTGAGCGGCAAGAGCTTCTAATATGCGCCTCCTTGTCTCCTTATCTGGGGCTAATAGGTCGACAATCTCGCGGACGACGTGGCCGCCCACGAGAACATTGTGCAACGAATCCTTCCCTTGACAGGTGGCCAGCAAGACCACATTGCTGTCTCGGCCGCAATATTGCCTGACGATGGAACATATCGCCTCACTGATCTGCCGACTCCGTCCATTCTCGTTGCCAACCTGCAGCTCGGTCTCAGCTGGACAAAGCCGGTCAATGTCGTCGAGAATGACCACAGCCTTGCCATCAAGTCTGGCACCCCAACTGGCGGCCATAAAAAGACGAGTGAGTGTTTCCTTGACAGTAGATATCTTGCTCTCGTCGTTGACAAGTTTTGTGCAAGAGAAGTATGTTGTGTGGAATAGTTGTCCTGATCGCAGGCTACGAGCAACTGACTGTGCCACGGACGTCTTGCCCGAGCCTTGGCCGCCAGTCAACAGGACAGACGACATGTGAGAGAGATGGGATCGAAGCTTCTCGAGGAGTGTGTCAATGCCGACGAGTAAGGAGGAAGGCGCATCGCCAGCCGATTCGGCATCGACGTCGGATAGCCACGATGGCTTGGGGATTGCGGGCTGAACCGCAATGGGAAGCTTCCATTCGGAGCCCAGGATCCAGCTGAGAGGCTTCTTTGTAGAGCCCTGAGACGGCGCAGAAGACGGTTCGAATCTTACGATGCCTCCTTCCCAGCTCCGTGGGAGTTTCAAGCCATCGTGCAACCCAAGAACCTGTCCGTCGGTAAGGGGTCCTGCCAGAAAATCGACGCCGTATATGTGCTTGACCTGGTTCGCAGCCTCCTCCCGCTCGGCCTTGGACTGCCCACCGAATTTGAGGCCTGACGATGTAACAGCCTTTGGCGACTGGAAGGGGTATATTTTCAACTTTTGAACTGTCTCATGTACCAGACCGTCTTTATCCGGGACGCTCTTCCGGGATAGCTGGGTCGGAGCAGGCTCAACCTTGACAACTCCGCCCACCATGCCTAGACATCCGAGAGCAGCGCACAACGATGACGAGAGCGCGGTTGTCTGGCCATCCGGGGGCTCATCCCAAGCTCGGAGACGTGAGACGACTTTAACGGCTGCTTTTGCGGCAGCCTCTCTGTCTTGCGCTGGGTGTTGGGGGTCAATAGCTGCGGGTTGAAGACCGGCGGGCCGTACGACCGTGACAGACACCCACCTCACTCCCTTCAAGTCCTTGGCGGAGAGTAGATCACGGTCAAGCCATATGCTGACATCCTCAGTCGGCTGTTGCTCGTCGAACCAGTCCTGGCAGTGTTTGCGATCAATGCCGCGGAAGAAGAAGACGGGTTTCTTCTCCTCCCGGGCGCTCTTCCTCCGGACGGTGCTTGCGGAGCTCCTGCCGCTCTTCCTCGAGGCGCCGCCCACGCTCTTATTGTCCTTATTGCTCCGCAGCTTGGGACGAGTCTTTGGCGCGACAATAACCTCGGCGTCGGGGGCAATCTTGGCGAAGACAGCATCGGCGGGCAACGGGGGGTCGAGCGACAGGACCTTGACGTTGGCAGTCGAGGTCGGCGACAGGTGCAGCGTGAGCGAGTGAGCACCGGCAACAACTCCGCCTGGAGCGTAGGCGGGGTTGGGCACAGCGCGGATCTGGAACAGCAGGTTGTCTTCTAAGAAAGTGCCGTGCAGCTCAATCATCTCCCAGTCCTCGGGCGTCAGGGGCTCGATGTTGACAGTGTGCGCCAATGGCGGGTCCAGGTGTATGATTGCCATGACCCTCTGACCGTCCTGCAGGCCGACGGTGGCGGCGAGCGTAGCGTCTAGCTCGACGAGGGGCACTTCCTGGTCGCGCGCCGAAGCGCCGCGGCCCCCATTGATGCCATCTCTGCTGACGATGGGGGTGATTCGCCTCTTGCTGGGCATGCCCGTCCACCCCACGTAGATGGACTTCGGGGCCGACGGGGAGGCGGCGGCGCCAGCAGCTGCTGGAAGGGCGGGCGCGCGGTAGCTGAGCTCGACGATGACATTCTGGGCGGGCTAGAAGGGAAGCTCTTGTCAGTCCAGTTCATTGGCACACATCGCAGCAAGCGCTGGTAGGACGGCAGAAAGGCACGGCTTCGGTAGCACGGCAGCTCACTTACAGTGTTGACATTGGCGAGCAGCGAGGCCAGGGATGCGGGCAGGTTCACAAGGCAGTTCTGCAGATGAACCAGCGACACCTCGGCGGCAGTCGACTGGGACGTCTTTCTCGGCGCCATTGTCGCCTTGGATCCAATGTTCGTCCCCGGTTGGACACTTCTGTGTATCAATCGATCACACTACCACTCACTAGCAGCAGCGTGCGGGGGAAAATAAGGTTAAAAGATCTCTGTGCTATTTGTACATGGAGCATCTCGAGAAGTCTGAATTACGGTACAATCATCTCGAGTAGTAGGGAGCTTGGCTGGTCTGCTGGGTCTGCTGGGTCTGCTGGATCTGCTGGATCTGCTGGGGAGCTTCGTTTCTGTCGGTCATTTTAGAGCATGTGCCGAGGTACGGTACGGATGCATGCCGTTTGCGCTTCGCCGGCTTTCTTGGCGCCGTCACACTGCCAGCTGGCACCGGATGGTCGAATTTTGGCACTGCGAGCTCCAAGCTCGGACCCTTTTTCGTTAAGTGGATACAGGGACTGAAAGTGCCCCTGGCATGCGGGACGACGCGAAAAAGTCGCGTTCAGCGTGTTAGATCGCGTTCCCCCGCTGCACCCCCCAGCCTCCAGCTTCCAAGCGCCCTAGCCGTCATCAGCAGTCCTGAGCGTCGTCGCATCCTGCAAGCAATTTGATTTCGCAACACCCCTCACTTTTGATCCGTATCCGCACCACCGAACCCGCCCACCAACGATCGATCAATTGCACTACGGTCAACATGGCGCTTTTACAATACCGAGCGCCTGTCGATTACGCCGCGCACCAGGGTAAGCGACGCGCCCATTTTCTTTGAGGTTCTCGTCGCTAATCAAATCTCTGAATAACTAGTTGCCTTTGAGCAATTCCTGACGGGGTTCAAGACCTCCCCAGAGCAGACCATCACACATGCTCTTGGTAATATCAACATTGACGAGGATGATCTCAGCGATGAGTATGACTTTATGGACGAGGACGACGATGCTCAGCAACGCCGTCTCCGGGACAAGGCGCGGAAACGAGCGCCCCAGCACAAATACAAGGAGATGCTCCAGCAGCTTGCCGATAGGAAACTTGACCAAGTCGTAATTGACTTGGACGACCTGCAGTCGGTGCGTTGCCAGTCGCGCCCGCCCCTTGGCCCCAGACCCATCACTTGCTAACGGACCGCATGCAGTTCGAGGAAGACGCCGACGAGGGCCTCAAGCTTGTCGAGTCGGTCGAAAAGAACACAAAGCACTACGTCGAAGTCCTGTCCAGGGCCATCGATAAGCTCATGCCTCAGCCGAGCGTCGACATCACATTCAAAGACGACGTACTCGATGTCTTGATGGCGAACAGGCAGCAGCGCAACCGCGACTTGGAAGAGGTGGCCGATCGCCTTATGGACCCCACCGTCATCAACGAGCAGTACCCGGTCATGCTCACGCGCCGCTATACCCTCGTCTTCAAGTCAAGGACGTCGACACCCCGGAATCCGGTCAAGGCACTCTCTGTCCGCCAGGTTCGTGGCGACCACATTGGCCATCTCATCACCATCCGCGGCATCGCCACCAGAGTCTTCGACGTCAAGCCCGTCGTCCAAGTCAGCGCTTACACCTGCGACCGCTGCGGATGCGAAATCTTCCAGCCCGTCACCGATAAGCAGTACGGGCCTCTTACCTTGTGCCCGTCCCAGGACTGCAAGGACAACCAGGCAAGGGGCCAGCTCTACCCATCCTCAAGGGCATCCAAGTTCCTGCCCTTCCAGGAGGTCAAGATCCAGGAACTTGCCGAGCAAGTCCCCATCGGCCAGATTCCGAGGACATTGACAGTCCTGTGCTACGGTAGCCTTGTCAGGCAAATCAACCCCGGCGATGTGGTCGATATTGGCGGCATTTTCCTCCCTACCCCTTACACCGGGTTCAAGGCTATGCGCGCTGGTCTTCTAACTGATACCTACCTCGAGGCGCACCACGTCCTCCAGCACAAGAAGGCGTATGAAGAGATGGAAATCGATCCCCTCATCATGCGGAGGATCTCGCAGTTCACCCGGTCGGGCAACCAGTACGAGTATCTCGCAAAGTCGATCGCACCAGAAATTTTCGGCCATCTCGATGTCAAGAAGGCGCTCCTCCTTCTCCTGGTCGGCGGTGTTACCAAGGAGGTTGGCGATGGCATGAGAATCCGTGGTGACATCAATATCTGCTTGATGGGTGATCCTGGTGTGGCTAAGTCGCAGCTGCTCAAGTACATCTCCAAGGTTGCTCCCCGCGGCGTCTACACGACGGGCCGGGGAAGCAGTGGCGTCGGTCTGACAGCCGCTGTGATGCGGGACCCCGTCACGGACGAGATGGTTCTTGAGGGTGGCGCGCTCGTTCTCGCAGACAACGGCGTTTGCTGCATCGATGAATTCGACAAGATGGACGACAACGACCGCACAGCCATTCACGAAGTCATGGAGCAGCAGACCATTAGCATCTCCAAGGCTGGCATCAGCACAACACTGAACGCGCGGACCTCCATTCTGGCCGCCGCCAATCCCATCTATGGCCGCTACAACACGCGCTTGTCTGCCGTCGAGAACATCAACTTGCCTGCGGCCCTGCTGTCCCGTTTTGACGTCATGTTCCTCCTGCTGGACACGCCTACGCGCGAGACTGACGCTCAGCTTGCGAAGCACGTCGCCTACGTCCACATGCATAGCAAGCATCCAGACCTGGGTACGGCCGATGGCGTTGTCTTCAGCCCGCAGGAAGTGCGTGCCTACGTCGCGCAAGCACGCACCTTCCGTCCCGTCGTGCCCACTGCCGTGTCCGAGTACATGGTCAAGACGTACGTGCGGCTGCGCAGCCAGCAAAAGCGCAACGAAAAGATCAAATCGCAGAACTTTGGCCACACGACACCGCGTACACTCCTTGGCGTTGTACGTCTAGCGCAGGCCCTCGCACGCCTGCGGTTCAGCAACACCGTCACGCAGGACGACGTCGACGAGGCCCTTCGCCTCATAGAGTCGAGCAAAGACAGCCTTGCCGCCGAGAGCAGCGGCAACTCGAGCCGCCGCGCCCTCAACGCCAGCAGCAAGATCTACAACCTTGTCAAGAGCCTCGCCGACTCGGGCGCCTGCAGGGCGGAGGACGATGTTGAGGAGGACGAGGAAGATCAGTTTGGCATCGAGCTCAACCTCCGCAAAGTCAAGGAGCGCGTCATTGCCAAGGGTTTTACAGAGAACCAGTGGCTGACGGCCCTGGAAGAGTATACCGAGCTTGACGTAAGCTATTTTCTTTCTCTCTTTTGGGTCTCTTGGGAATGCTTAAACCAGGATAATGAAATGGTGGCTGACTTGATTACCCGCACAGGTTTGGCAAACTGCCGGTAATGGCACGCGCCTCGTCTTTATCACATCCAACAACGCGGAAAGAGATGGTAGCCCGGAACTCTAAATAATGCGCTGTATATGTTATGATTTTGTCTGTGAGGGCTTAGAGGATGGCTCCCTTTTCGATAAATATGGTCGGTCTTGTTATCCGCTTTCTGCAGGTCCAATGTACTTTTCTCCTTTTTTGGTCTTTTATTTCCGGGCTTGTTATATTGGCGTTCTTTATGATAGGTAAGTTTGGAAGGGTGTGTTTCTATTTTTATTGCTTGGAGGTGCCGAGTTAATTAACTATTTGAACACTATTCATGATTGTTGTCGCGCTTTACGATCTTGAATGCAATATATATACCTACCTAATTAGCGTGCCTCGTCAGCCCTTACCGAACACAATTACCCCCCCCCCCCCCCCCCCCCCCCCAACTTTTGTATAGGTGATAGCTATGAAATTATTAGGGAAGTAACTAAAATTGGCTTGGACACACCGGATGGGCAGTATTATGAGTGCCTGGAGCTTATTAGATTCGAAGACTAAAATTACCTTTCGCGAGACGAGTGCTTGTACTCCCAAAGCCGGGACCGCTAAAGATTACTAAGGTAAGCACTTGATAGCCATCGCTACTCTTACCAAAGCTTCGCCGCTTTTCAATTCACCAGCAACATAATTAACTTTATATATTAGTCTATATATCATCATGACATGGCCGTGTGAGGCCAAATAATGACACTGATGACTGTGTCAGAGATGAAGCCAACAAGTTTTCAATTGAAAGTTTGCTCGGTTCTTATCAAAGTATTCCGTACTTTGAGCGAGCAATTCAAAATATCTTATCATGTGAGGCTTCGCGAGCCACAATAACATACTTGTAGTTTCTTGATGATGCCCCTTTGCGGGATGTTCTAGTGTGTAAGACAGTCACAGATGGGGGAGTTGTGAAAGACCACCCCAGTTTATCTGCAGTCCATCACAGGACAAAGTTGTCTGAAGACGTATCCAAAAGGTTGCAACAGTTCACTGCAGTTCGACTCGCGGGTCAGTAAATTATTTGAATCTGCATAACTACTGCTTAACTGACCTAACCACACCGGACTAAATAAGTAAATACCATTCTCTCTGTGGCTACTGTACGACTAATTATCAAGCCGCAGCCGACGGCTCAATATCACTCAACGCACTGCTCACCAAAGCCCATACCATTACCGCAGCAGCCTTCTCAAGGAGCCTGAGGAGCAGCCCGGGGCGGCGGGAGGTTGGTGAGCGTGACCACCTTGGCCAGATCATCTATCCACGCGGCCTTGGCCGCAACGGCTCCGCGGCGCGCGGTGCTCTTGACGAGGCCCTCGACAACGGTCTGCGCCAGCAGCGCCGTGACGCTCCAGTCCTTGAGCGCGGCGACAGCCTGGGCGGCGTCGGGGTTCGGGGCGCCGACGCCAGCGAACACGGCCGGCATCTCGGCCGGGTCGGCCACCGCCTTCTCGCCCGTCTCGACGTCGTACGGCGCGCGGTTGTACACTAGCCACACGGCGTGGCTGGTGCCGGCCACGTCGACCACCACGCCGTAGTTGGTCTCCTCGTACGGAGTGTCCGCGGTCGGGTTTAGCGCGCGCGTCTTGAGCACGCCCAACGCGTACGCGAACCGCGGCAGCGCTAGTGTGCCGCCCGTCGCAGACGTCTGCACTAGGTCGTACACGTACGGGTGCACGCTGACCTTGCTTCCCGGCGGCGGCGCCGTGGTAGCCGTGATGCTTTCTCCGGCGACGCTCAGGACGGGCCGCGTGGTCACGACGACGTATTCGCGGTCCGCCGTCTTGAAGAGCGGGATGGGCTCGCCGCCGTCGATGGCGTCGGCCAGCGTGACAACGGCGGCGAAGTCGGCGAAGTTGGTCGCCTTGAGCTTGGTCAACGCGTCGGCGGCCGAGCACGGCGACCGCCGGGCTGGGGTGTTGGTGTCGAGCCACTTAATGAAGCCGTCGACGTCGGTGGTCTTACCCTTGACGACGGAGGCGAGGTCGGTGGGGAATTTACCTGTATGATTGGTATTAGCATCGCATCCGTGGAGGGAGCTCAGGGGTGGGGTGGCCACCAACTTACCAGTGCGGAAGGCATCTTTGAGGGCGGTTTGCGCGGCCTTGAAGCTTGCTTCTCCGGTGGTCGACATGGCTTCTGTGGGAAGAGAAGACAACCGTGGATGTTGAAAGTGTCTGAGGTTGAAGGTGTCTGGGGTTGAAGGTGTCTGAGGTTGAAGGTGTCTGAGGTTGAAGGTGTCTGAAGTTGAAGGGGTCTGGAATGATGTCTTGTGTCGTGTCGGCGGGTCAGAGCCTCTTTTGTACCCAAGAGTTAGGGATTGTGGTAGTTGGGGTGTTATTAGTTAGCTCGGGTCGGTGGCGGCTCGTCGATGGCCACGTAATGAGATTGGGAACGGAGGGGTAGTCTCACGGTCCCACCTCCTGTCCAACTGTGCAACTTGCACAGTACAGTACAGCACAATCGGGTAGATTGTTGAGTTGGCCTTCGAAGGCATTGCTCTCATGTCATTGTCTGGTGGCTAGCTGAACTTCTGAAGGCGAACCTGGACTAAACGTGCGTCGTGGTACCTTGGCGGGCGGCATTGGCCGGCATGCGGCATTGTCGCCGAATCAGGGCAGAATCCGGGCGGGGCCCCGACTCACGTCAGCCCGTACTGCAGCTACCCGCTTCCGGAAAGCTTCAGCCCTCCTTAGCTTCGCGCCTTCTAAGGCTGGCCTGCACGCCAACGCCATATACAGGCATCAGGGGTCGTATCTCAGCTTCAAGAGTAAGACTCAAGCTCCTTTTCCATCCTGACTTGCATTTTCCCCGCAAATTCAGTCAGCCACTTTCAACCGAGCAGCGTTTGCTGCCATCAACGCCATGCCGAATGCATCTCGTATTCACATCTACCATTCAAAGGTTCACTTCAATCATACAATCTAGACGTCCATGTTTGGATAATGACTGCTTTAGACCGCAAACCCAGCCAGCCACATGGAATCTAGTAACGACACCTATACAGCTTTTTCAAAACCAGCTGCCAATGTGACCTGAATTCGCATAAGCTGCTTCTGCTTTCGGACCAAACCATGGCCATCACGGCAAGCACTGCGAGTCATATCTCAGCTGAAGAAGACAACCCTGTTGCGGCCAGGAACTTTCTGTTTCCCAGTTAGCCCATCTCTCTCGGATCATGGATGAAAGATAAGGCATCTTAAGATATATTTATTTACACACGAAGTTCCCCCTCGTGCTCTCTGATTATCTTGGACACTGCACACCATACCATCATCAGTCAATCAACTTTGCCTAACTCTGCTTCATCTGCTATTGGCCTCTATCCATTATTCTTGTCTAACATAATCATCATTATCATCATGGTTGTATTCAACGAAGCCGCTCGACTCTACGGGGCCTTGCCCTCGAGGCACCGTCTCGAAGTTGACGCCGCGAACCAACTCCACGACCTTGCGAATGGCAACCATGTTCCCTGGGGTGACACTTGGGACTGCGCCAAAGACGCAGCCTTGAACCTGCGTCGCCTCTACTTGGACCTTTCCAACGAGCTCAATGCCCGCTGGCCCAATGCTCACCTGATGCCACCCGCCATTACGGCAGATGCCCGGGATCTTGTCAAGCTCGGCTACTGGGCTTTGTACTCGGTCCTTGGACCCTTGATCAACGCGCGCCAGGCAGTGCGCGGTGGATATCCTCCCATCCAGGCCGACACCGACTTTGAGAACGACCTCATGAACATCCTGGCGCGTGTTTGGGCAAGCCACGCCCATCTCGAGGGCGTCACCGTCGTCCAGCTGCTCAGCGGCGCCAACGCCAGCATGAATGCCATTGTCAACGAGATTACCCTTTGGGGCAATGTGGGCCAAATGCTGGCCCCCAATATCTCTATCCTGGGCTTCGTGGAACTTCTCGCTCGTGTCATTGCCCAGCAATCCAACGACTTGGGTATGTTAGCTTGATCGTACCTATTGCATAATTAAGGTAATTAGCTAACTGACGTCGATTCAGCAACACTACGAACCCGTCTCAACGCCACGAGCACGCGAGGACCGCCGAACCTGCAATATTTCCATCGGGCCACCCCACAGTGTCTCTTCGTCTGCGCCGGCCAGAACAACGGCGGCCGCACCATCGTGGTCACGTCCACCGTCGACAACTGGCAGGGCTACGGGAGGGTCAACGACGAGATGCAGAACTTCCGACAAACCGTCCGCCCCACCAGCGCTCCCGTTGCCGGGCCGGCCGCGTTCCCCGTGAATGTCCGGTCGCAGGGCATCCGACACGAGTTCGACCTCGTGCATAACAACGCAAACGCCCCGGGAACCAACGCGGATGCAATCCGCCTGGGCGTCATCACGGCGTGGCAGCTGGTGGCAGCCAACTTCACCAACCACGCCAACGAGCAGTGCCTGCCGCTCAGAGTCCCGAGCTTCTCGGTCAAGCCGCGCTGCCTCCGCTGCCAGGGCCTGTTCCGCTACAACATCGCCCACAACAACCAGCTGCAGAACGAGGAGACTGCGTTCCGCGCAAGAAAGGGCCAGGCGCTCAACACCATGTGCTTCCGTAACTTCGGCTGCGCTGAGACCATTGGCCATTTCTACTGTGCTGCCGCTGCTGCCGCTGCCAACCACTAGAACTATGTTGAACGAGAATGGGCGTGACGAGTCTTATGGAGCTTAGGATGGGGTGATGGGGAGCGGGCAGGAAGTTTCGGGGTTGAAGAAGCGCCTGAGTTGAGGTGTGTGTTACAGGATCTCTTGGTGACATGGACTGCGAGTACATGAACTTAGTGCTTGTGCAATGAAAATTCACTGTCCGGGCAAGCAAGTTCATTACCTACTATTAGGTCGTTTTTATAATCTTCATGGGTAGGTAATTACGTGTTGAGGTCGGTGTGAATGCCACACGTGACACGTTCCCGTCTTACTAGCGTAACCGATGTTTGCCGAATAATTAGGGTCTTTGCCGTATAATAAGTGGTCAATGCAAGAGGTTGTGTCAACTGGGCTGAACTCAGTCCAGGAATGAATTGGATCTAATTAGGTAGATAAGCCACGGTCACCGAGCTCTAGGAGTCGTACTCGGTGTGCTGGGATATCATTATTCTTATCGGGGATCTGGATGTTCTGGAGTTTTGATTTTTACGCCTCCTGTTTCTGGTTTCTCTGCTAATTTAATAAATATTCCGCTAGACGGAAGATGCGCTGGGCGCTAGAGTGTAAGGGTAAGGGTGGCTTGCTTGAAATGTCGAATAGCTAATCAAAGCTTTGTGTGTGCTATTAGATCTAAGATAAGGCCTTAACTAGCTCTCATCTCAATTGACTAGGCGATATTCAATCACCTCCGTTGATCTGCTCGTGCCCCGCCAAATCCGGAGCTTAATTAGCATTTTCATATATTATCCGCCATTTCTCAGAAGTTGATGTCAGTGGTGAATAATACCGGCTGCTCTTGAATGATAACTGCCTCATCTGCCTTTCAGCCTACGCAATGGAATTGATTGATCCTACCTTCACCTTACTATAAGTCAGGTGGGGGACTTTTGGAACACCCCTGCCTATGGAACAGCCCCTGAATCGGACCCCGCACAACACCACAAACTTCAATTGCCAACAACTTTGTCAATTAATTAGCTACAATGATGAAGTCTTCAGTATCGGATTCTCCTGATTCTTCTCTTTCAGAATAACCAAGGTCCTCTCTGCCAGCCTCTCTCTGTGAGGCACGAACCTCCTCAATTCCAGCGAACTGCGTATTAGGGTCGACTTGGACCTTCCTTCTCTTTCGGCCTCTTGTGCGTTCTAGGCTTTTTTCTGCAGCCTCCAATTGATGCGCCGTATTGGCTAGTTGGAAAACCACGTAATCGAAGGCTTTTGCGGCCTTGCGTATGAAAAGTCGGTCGTTGGCAGTTCGTTTCTGGCCGGCTAGAAAAACCTGCCCCTGAATACGGAAATCCTTCGGCTTTTTAGGGGTAAACCATATAGGCGGGCCCTCCGAATTCTTATTTAGAATGGGGTTATGGACCTCTTGAAGGTCTATAGAAACCGTAGAGGTCAGTTGACCAACGTCGCCGTTAGAATTCTTAATAACAAGGCCGTTGCTTAGGGGCTTCCTGAGGCTGACCGGCCAGAGGCCTGTAGCTTTCCAGCCGGCTTTGATATTAGATTCAGTCATTCCATAGACCCTGGCTTGCCGGTAGCATTCTAGGAAGGCCCTCTTTTCAGCAACAGTGCCTTCGTCGAAGCCGGAAACAACCTCGTTATGCTTGGCTCTGTACCGGGCTTTTAGAGGGCCGAAAACCGATAAATCCAGGGGCTGGAGAACGTGGGAGGTGTGGGCTGGTAGAAATAACAATTGTACGTTATTAGAAAAGGCTAGCCACATGAATTCTTTGGTGGTATGACTACCGTGGCCATCTAAAATAAGGAGGCGCTTCTCCGAGGGGGTAGCTGGCCGAGTCTCTGGAAGAAAGATATTGCGGAGCCATGCGACGGCAGTATCATCGTCAGACCAGCCGTTTTCAGTGGGTTTCCACTTCCAGCCCTTAAATGGCTGTAAATCGCGTGGATACCATTGTTGTTGAAGGCTTCCACCTTTGAAAATGACGACTGGGTTCAAATACCGGCCGTCAGCGGAAATACATTCGATAATCGAGGTCCAAATTCGGTCTCCTTTCTTCTTTTTCTGGAATTTCTTTCTTTCCTTAGATCCAACAACTAGGCCGTTATCTCCAATGCCAGAAGCAATGCCAGTTTCATCCATATTATACCTATGCTTGGCTGGAATAGCCTCCACGCCTGGAGGCTTCAAATAGTCAAACCAAGGCCGGATAACGGCCTCACAGGCTCGATCAGCACCAGCGTAGCTACTAAGTCAAGTATATCAAGCAAGTAACAAGTAACAAGTCAAGTAAGCAAGTCAAGTTTGAGGGCCCGAATACTTGTTCCACTTGATAAGTAACAAGTATTTGAGGCTGTTCAGACCCCGGAAAAATAAGTTAATCCGGTTCCGTTGGTGGTTTGGTTGACCCTGGCTCGTGTCCACAGCCCCGGCCACCAACCTTGACAACAACCCTATTTAGGGTTAGTGTCGGCGCGCATGGCAGTTACTGTAGGAAAACAAGCCCGCAAGCCCACGCGTCTTGACTGTGGATCCGATGCATGCTGCCGTGCGATCCAGAGCATCAACCGGCCGACCAAGCTACTCGACGCCCTCCTCCCCGAGCCCCCGATATAATCCTCGACAATGCCCTCAACCCAAGACCGTTCCCGACGCTCAACATCTTCGGCTTTTAGTGCCCTCTCCGGCCGACGTAAAAGCCTCGCTACACAAGTCGAAGAAGCCCTCGCGAGTGCCTCCCCAAACGATGACGATGTTAAGGATCTCTACAAGATTTCCTGGGACAACCGCCGATTTGTCCTTGAATCTTTAATCTACAAAAAGACATCGCGAGGTCGAAGGAGCTGGATTAAACATCATGGATGGTTTCTGGTCGAGCTAGGCCCACGAGATACCCCCAAGCCAGCCGTTGTCTGGGCATGCAGCCGTTGCGATGCATTCAGAAAGGGTCGGTTCTTCCTGGTCTAAGCCACCACATCAGTCACCGACCATTTGGTGAAGATTCATAATCTCGAGCCGAGTCAGGATGACCAGGAAGAACCGGCTTCGGTCATGGATCTTCAGGTTGCTGCTGCCAGCAAACGGAAGGCATCTGATCCAATCCCTGCCGCCAGGATCAACAAGATACGCCAACTGGCGGTTGGTTTCATGGTCAACGCCGATCTTCCTTTTACCATCTTTACCGACCCGTTCTTCCAAGCGATACTGGCAAATCTGAATGCTCCTGTAGCTGCAGATGTGCCGTGGAGCAAGGGCACGATGGTCCACGACCTCAAGGACATCTTTGGCCTCAAGAAGGGCATCATCACGAAAGAGATCCGGGCTGCTAGATCCTCCATCAACTTCAGTTTTGACCTCTGGACCTCTCCAAACAACCTAGCATTCATTGCCATCTTCGTTCACTTTCTGAACCTCCAGCATCAACGCTGCCATCGGCTGGTTGCGTTCAGGCATCACTCTGGCCGGCACAGCGGCAAGGCTCTTGCCATGACCATCGAGGAGGTTATACGGGACTGGGGCTTTCAAGAGCAAATTGGGATGGCAATCTGTGACAATGCATCAAATAACGATGCTTGTTTGCAAGCCCTCTATCCGAAGCTCTTGGGCCCACGATCTGAGAATGCCATCAAGGCCCGAAGGATGCGATGCTGGGGACATATCTTGAATCTGACAGCCAATGCTTTCTTATTCGGGACTGAGGCTGATGCCTTTGAGCTGCAGTCGGAAAGGTTCCATCTGCTGGGGCAACAAGAGGAAGATTTACAACATTGGCGACGCAAGGGCCCTGTTGGCAAGCTTCACAATATCGTGAAATTTATCCGGGCATCGCCACAACGCATAGAGGCATTCAGCAAGATACTGAATGGTCGTCCGGCTGAGGAGAGTGATCTTGACGATCTGGAGATCTTCACATCGCCGGAGGCCTCATCCAAGGACCTGAAGCTCGTCCAGAACAACGCCACACGTTGGAATTCGACCCATCTAATGATCCGACGGGCTTGGAGACTCCATGGGCAGATCCAGGCCTATCTAACAGCAGTCGACATCCATCCAGAGGCTCACGGAAATGCGAGGCTTTCAGCAGAGGATCGATTGACCCCTGACGATTGGCGTTTGCTCGGGGAGCTTCAGCAAGTGCTTGAGCCGATCCATTGCTTCACATTACAGGCCGAGGGTAACAACGGAGCCCTCTGGATGGTATTGATGCAAATGGAATGGCTCCTGGATCATTTCGAAATGCTGAAGACTCGGTATGACACAGTCACTGCCGAGATAGTACGGGATTCAGCCGATGCCGGTCACAATATCCCTCTTGACCCAGCTCTGTTCCCAGCTGCCGATTCTCTTGAGCCGAGATATGCCCAACGGCATCGCGATCGGTTAAACCGACGCCGCACCAGGGCTGCTGTTGCTGCCGAAACCGCTGCTGCTGCCGTCCCAACAAGCCGATTCGACGAACATGCTTTGCCCGGGCATGTGAGGGATGACTACATTACCCTCTCTGACCAAGATGCTCGGGTCATGGGCGTTAATCACCAAGCTTACATGCGCATCTCCATCAACAGCGCATGGGTCAAGCTCAACGAGTACTATACGGTTATCGGAGAGTCACCTCTTTTTGCAGCAGCTGTGATATTGAACCCTAGATACGGGCTCAAGTGGCTGCAACGAAAATGGACCCTTGCTGAGCAGCTATTGTGGTTGAGTGATGCCACGGAAGGGCTCACATCGTTCTTGGATCGCGACTATCCAGGCCACGGACACGATGATTTCCGGGCTTCTCCCATGAGGGCATCACAGCGGCATCAGCAACCAAATTCAGATCTGTATCGGGACTGGGCAGATGCAGATGATGATCCCTGTACAGAAACAGCAAACGAGCTTGGGCAGTATCTTGAGATACAGCCTGACAAGAACATCAAGGATCCAATAGATTGGTGGGTGGCTAGGAAACAGAGCTTTCCACGGCTTAGCCGGTTGGCCTTGGATCTTCTAGCTATGCCAGCCATGGCAGATCACTGCGAGCGGCAGTTCAGTCAAGCCAAATTGTCAGTATCTACACAGCGGTGCCGTCTCCAGCCTCAAACGCTTGAGATATTGCAGCTGCTACGAAATTGGGTCAAGCAGGGTGGCATCACGCTAGGAGGCGTTGAATTAGGGAAATCGTGAATTGAGCAGATCTGGGCTTGTTTGGGGAATGAGGGATTGAGGGGCTAGATTGAGGTTGTGTAGGTTTTGATGTAGGGCCAGTATAGCATTTTGCGGGTTTTTGTAGTGTATGGGTAAAAATGAGGCTGTTCACAACACCAAAAAATTGCGTCGTGATAATTTTTGGGTGGGGTGCCAAGCCTCAGCCACCGATGCCAAGCACTTGATAACCACTTGCAAGTAAGTCAAGTATGGGATGGGTCCTATCAAGCAAGTCAAGTATGGCCCTTCACTTGACTTGCTTGACTTATTAGCTTCGCTGATCAGCACGGTTTGCATGGATTCTCCGAGGCCTAATTGTAGAAATAGATGGATTTCTAGCCAAAAACCGGCTAGTCCAGCGTTTTCCGAGGGTCTCGTTATCTTCGAGCATTCTTCTAGCTAGTTTCCGAATTTGGGCGTGGGTTGGAGGGTGACCGAGCGACCCTTGGAATAGAATCCATTCGGTTAAGCGTTCTTCCATAGCCGGAGAAAGCTTTTGATTAAGAATTTGGGCCTTGGAGGCTGGCTCGGAACCACGAACCCGATTAAAGAGAGTAGTAGGGGGGATGCCGTGATTTTCAGCAGAGCTACGGAGTAAGCCGGTTTCTGCATATTCTGCCAGCGCATTCTGCAAATCCAACTGAGTATATCGCTTCATCTTTCATTTCTCAATTGAATGGAGAAAAGAAGATAAGTATTGAAGCAGAATTGGTCGAGTTGCAAGCGATTGAAATAGGTGAGTTGGGTGGCGAGCGGCAAGTCCTTGATGACAAACCTTGTTCCAAATCCAGGGGTGTTCCATAAGCAGACCACCTGACTTATCTATATGGAGGGAAGGAGTATAATTAGGTACGAACTGCCAAATATGTTCTAGTGGTGGTTTGGTTTTATTTGCGAAGTATTACAGGGGTTAAAGTTTCATGCTCAGTCTTACTTACGGGCTCATGATTTCTCCTCTCGCATGAAACTCTATTCTGAGGGCTGTATAATTGAATGTGGCATGACTAGGCCATCACTTGACTGCTCAGACGGTTTGACGGTCTGAGCACCTGTCGACCCTCCCAAAAGGAATTGTGTTTTGAATTCACTCAAGTTTCTGTTACTCACTCTTTGGGCAATGTCGTCTGGAATTGGCCCACTTTTCATGGAATTGGACAGGCCCTGGTCGACATGCTTCTGAGCTTCCTTCATTCTTTGTTATTTCCTTCATTCTTGACTCGGAATGTCTTCATTTCATTCGGAATGCCCTCTTTCGGGCTGATTACAACGCCTCCCTTGCCTTCTCTCCACGAGTATAAGGAAGCGTTCTTTTCTGTACTTTTAGACCCATTCAGCAGACAATTCAATGCGCTGTCAACTTCGATCGCGTGCAACAGGCAACTATTCGATAAAAAGCCCGGAATATCGCCTGGCTTTAGTAGTGGCTATAGCCTGTAGCAAAGACTCAAATATCCCTACATCTATCCTATGGCAAGTGACTGCTGGGTCTCGACTAATTATTAACCTTGCTGCAAGTAACCAATCTCGAAGTGGCAGCCATTGGCAAACAAGACAAGAAACAAATGGTTTACCTTTTGGTCCGGGTCCGATATGGAAGTGCATAAATACAGGGTTATATGGTGTCTCTACGCGCACCTCTATCTACTCTCATATAATACAGCAAAACAACTGCTACAGTCATGACAACACGTCGACGCCCTCGAAATTTTTTAGAACCGCATTGTCAGGAGCGACGCGCGCTCCATCTCGCCGACAACGCCGCTGCCGCCTAGGGCCCACTTCTCGGTGACGCTCTTCTCGTCGACTGTTATCCTCAAGACGCCGCTGGCGGCCCAGTACTCCATCAGGGCGCGGGCCTCGAGCTTGCTCAGGCCCTGCAGTTTGATGACCTGCACATTGCGCAGCACGGCCTCGACGCGCTCGTCGTAGCCCTTGAGGTAGGGTTGGGGCTGAGGCACATCCTTGCCACCGCCGAGCTGCTCGGCCTCGCGCTGGGCCAGCGCGAGCTCCATGCTAGGGTTGCGGGGCGCGTTGTTCCGGTTCGTGGCCGCAATCACGGCGCCGCCATTGGGTAGCGACGTGGCCCCGCTGAGATGGTCGGTGAAGAGGCGCACAAGCGCAAGGTCGTGCGAGTGGATCGGGTTAAAAGCCGGCGTGCGGTAGTCCGAGATCCTCATGATGTGGGTGAGGCCGTCGAGCGAGAGAAGCATAGGCGGCCGCCCGTGGCCCTGGGCCGTCATCTCCTGCCACATGGCCTGAAACACAGCCCAGGCGCCCTCGGCTTCCTTGGCGCTGTTGGCCAACTGCATCAGCGGCGACTTGATGGGTATGTTCTGCGGCAGGCCCGCGTGCGAGAACACAGTCGTCAGCTTCAACAGGAGCTTCTCGTTGCTCTTCTTGATGGCCTGAATCAGCTTGAGCACGTAGTTTTGCTGCATATACTGTATGGGCTCCGTGTCGAGAATGGGAGCATATTCGGTGCACGCCGTGGTCAGTTCCTGGGCTGTGAAGACAGTTAGCCTTCATCAATTTGTGGGACAAGGCAAAAAGGCTGACCGTCGGGAATGTTAACGACAAGCCAATCGTTGAGATGGGCCTGGGTTATGGCTTGGAGGAGCATCAAGCTCTTCCCCGTCACGCGGTCACCTGTCAGAACCAGCCGTAGAGTTTTGTTGGTCTTGGCCGCGGCGTGCATGCGGGTGATCAAGTCCACCGTCTCGGTACGTATGAGTATCGACGGTTTCCTGAACATGCTCCAGCACTGTGTCGTCTTGAAGGCCTCGTCGGCACGCAGCTGGTCGACCACGTCGTCGGGGAGAGACAAGACTTTGCACACGTTGCTCGGGTCCAGCATGCTCTCGGCGCCCAGGTCTGTCAGACCCGGCACGGGTAGGGCATTGGTATTGCTGAGCAAGATGCGCTTGCGGAAAGCCTTGCGCTCACCCGGGAGCGGGGATTTGACACGAGCGCCACTGTCGTTCTTCTTCTTCTTTTTGATTGTAAACAGCTTGCCCTGCCGGATGCTGGGAGGAGCATTCCTCTCCGCCGCCTTGGTTCCTGGCTTTGGCTTTTGATTGGCGCCGCGGTTCGCTGTTGTCGAGAAGCTTGCCGCTGCCGCCGCGGCGAGAGGCATGCCCTGCCTTAGCCGTGCTGTTGCCGCTGCTGATGCCTTCGCCGTAGCGGCCGTGGCTCCTGCTCGTCCGACCACCGAGGGCCGCAAGAGGCAGCACCTCAGGCAATTGGACGCCGACATGGCGATTTCTGCTTCTTCCTGTCAGCTGTTGGTTGGCCTTACCGCATGGCCGTTCGGTTGTCGGTTGCGTTGCGGTTCGGGTGGGCTGCCAATTGCCGTCGGCCTGTTGATAGTTCGTCTTCGTGATCAATTTCCGGTTGCAAAATCAGAACGCGAAAGCTCCCCTTGGCCCTTGCTGTGTCTAGCATAGCGCCCCTGCACGTGCACGGACCATGAAAATCTGCATAAAGCCGTTCATAACTCTTTGCACTGCCTGAAAAGCTAATCAGCGCCATCCCTCCCGCTTCGAATCTGCCCATGGCCACCGCCTAAATTTTGGTGGAAAGAGGCTGGTTTGCATTGATTGGCATTGGCATCGAGATCAGGATCCTGTCTTGACTTAGATTCCTTTTCATTATTCGCAAAAAGTCTTCCTCTCCAACTCGATTCCTCACCTAACACAAACAATTACAGCAATCAAAATGTCTACACCCGCCGGAACAACCGCCGCCGCGTCGGCTAAGACGCCCAAGCTCCCGCTAACGGTCGACAAGCCGACGCCGTACTACTTCGACCTGGGCCTGCTGCTGGCTAACGACCCGAACCCGCTGGCGCTGGACCGGGCCAACATGGAGGACAGCCTCGCAGCAGTAGCGCGGGACGGGGCGCAGGTGCTGATCAACCAGCTGCTGACAGCATGCCCCATCTCGGCGACGTCGGATGGGGTGCTGCTGTCGCTGCCGCCGCCGTCGACGGCGCTGCCGCGCGAGAAACCGGTGCCGGCGGCCAAGGCCGAGACCAAGTGGGCGGCGTTCGCCAAGCGCCGGGGCATTGCGCCCAAGTCGCGCGAGCAGCGGCGCAACCTGCAGTTCGACCAGGAGACGGGCGAGTGGGGCCGTAAGTGGGGTTACAAGGGCGCCAACAAGGCCGGCCAGGACGACGCCATCATCGAGGTCAAGTTCAACTCCAAGAAGGAGGCCGAGCGGCCCGAGGGCACTACCGTGCGCGGCGACAAGCGCCGCGAGATCCGCGAGCGCGTCAAGCGCAACGACCGCCGCATGCGCAAGAACCAGCGGAACACGGAAGGGAGGAAGTGAGGAGGACGACGACAACGGCGATGATGATGAGAGTGAGGCGCAAGCCTATCCATGCGTCAAGGCAGAGGATGATAGCCTTGGTTACGACATGGCGATGGCAGCAGCTGTGGAGGCATGGATGGTTTTATTTACCTGCACAGCAACCGTCGTTTCTCCATCTCTATCAAAGGTCGGGATGGCGACTTCAGGGCATCATTGCATTACGGTGTTTTCCGGGTTTGGGATTTCCTCGTGGTTGGCGTTATGGGATAAAACGAGGGACAGGCAAATTAGAAAAGTTTGCGGGACTCGCAAGTAATGCTCATCGAATATTCGTTTGTGCTCTTGAACCCGCCCATGTTTCCCGTTCTTTCAAGCATTCTTCCATCTCGAGACCGAGCACAGATTTCAGCCAGTCGACCCTTTAAATAGACTGATTCGAGTATGTGAGGGACTGAATGAATCTGTTTTGCCGCCGGGATTTCCATCTCATTATCGTCCTGCTTCCAAAGCGTCTATATCGTACAAACGTATGGAAATCCTCTCCATTCATGCTTTTATGCTCCATAGCCCAAGCATACCTTAGATGCTGTCCGTGTGATGGTCCAGATCACGAGTACTTGGTAATCAGCCACCCCCTGGGCTCTTTCCAGAGTTGCTGATTACTGCTGCTCACTCCTTCCGATCTCAAATCTTATGAAGAAAAAAAATTCACCGGCCAACTCAAAACCCAGCAAGAATGACTAGCTACCCAAGCGGACATCCAGTTTTTCGTCACCAAAGCAAGGGCGCCCAATACCAGGGAATGGCCAAGGAGGCCAAAAAAGAAAAATCAGGCATCCGCATCCGTCCTCAAGGACAAGCTCCAATATCAGTAAGCTAGGGGTATTCCAAATGAAAAAGCAGCTGCGTGTTAAACTCGAAGACGAGAGGAGATATGTGATAAAATGAAGGGAAAATTAATGAACAAAAGCGCGGCACACCCTCCCCATCGTATATTGGAGCTGACGGCGAAACCAATCGGTAGGAATTGAACGGTGAGAGAGCATTGGGGGTGTCGGGGTTCTATCGGCAAGCACGAATGGGGATCGTCAACAGCGTTAGGTCGTCAGGACAGTGATGCCTCCATGTACATACGACGCGCGCCTCGGTATTATTTTAAAATATAAGAAAGACCCTAAAGTGGGAAAGCGATAACGGGGTTGTCTGCCCCGTTAGAAGCCCAACGGGGATAGCGGTTTAATCGGCGAAAGGGGGCGCATCTCCCCAGACCTCCTCGGGGGTGTTGTTTCCCGATCGCTATTGATGGTGAGATTTGTCGACATCGTCGAGCTTGTCTCGGTGCTTTCCGTCTCTGGCACGGGCTTCTTTCTCAGCCTCCCCTTCTGCTCATTTGCACCGCGGTTTGAACTTTTGCTACTATCGGAGGACGAAACATTGCGTTCCTCATGTGTCTCCTTCTCTCTTGGTGTACTCGAGTTGCCGTTGCTGTTGGTCCTGTGCGCCTCGTCCACGGTCCTGGGTGGCGGTTGGTCGAAGCGCGCATATTCCTCCTCGATGAATTTCGCCTCATTTTTGCACCCTTTCCAGCAGTCCCGCCAATCGCATACAAGAAACTTGAAGCAAAAGGCGTCAATTTTCATGCACGGCTGGAAACATATGCAGAGGTTCCGAAAGTCCATCTTGTTTTTGTCCGAATGTGCAAGCAGTAGGCTCAGATGGCATGTGATGGCAAATAAAAGGTAGTAGTTGAAAGGCGACAGGTTCGAAAGTTCGTCGATAAGCATCTGCGGGACCGTCTCGGCGCCGGCGCATTCTCTGGCTATCCTGTCCTGGGCTTCTTTGGGAAACAGTTCATCGGGCAATTCACGCAGCCAAGCCTTGAGCATGGAGCCGATAATGTTTATGTCGTAGAGGCTTGGCTGGTTGAAAAGATCTACATCTAGCTCTGTAGTGGTTGTCAGTATCGCAGCCAAGTAGCAGGGTAAAGCGTGCCGGCATACCTTCATCAAACTTGCGCTGCCACTTCTTGATCTGTGGACCGCTCCCGGGGATCCGATATAATCCCTCGACTTCACTCCCTTTGTAGTTGAGATAATCGATAGCTCGCCAAGGGAAAGCCGGCATCCAGAATTCCGTCTTGTCTCGTGACTCCTCTAATCTCTTCGATATGCGAGTTAGGCGCGTTTGTTGGACGAGCGGAAGGTTGATAACCTTGAGCACGTAGTCTCTATCTTCGTCTGTTCCCGGGTCGCGGAATAGTTGGGGGTCGTTCCTCTGCCCTCCGCCAAAGAACCCTTTGCTGAGGCCAGCTGCCATACTATTCTTCAGGCCGCTGAAGAAGGCCGACCCGGTGTTCTCTTTATATGACGAAGACTGCATCCTATTGTAGCTTTCTTGTTCCCTCCCTCGACCAACCGAGATGTCTCTGGGGCCAGTCCGCTCGGCGGAGTGGTTTCGGACGGCCGACGACATCATTTCACGGAACGATCGGTCGTGTGAGTGGACTGGTGCAGTTCTCAATGGCGCCGGAGGATGGGCGTTCTCGGGTTCTGCGTGTCTGGTCGGGGCGGGAGCAGGGTCGTTGGGGCTCGGGCTGTCCCTGCTCTCCCTGTCCTTGTCTTTTATTGACCTGTTGCGACTCAAAAGCGTAAACGGCTTGGGCTTGTTCTTCTTGGGATGGCCGACGCCGTCGTAGTCGGCTGAAGAGGCCAGCGACAGATCCGACTTGGAAGGCAGCGTCTGGAATGGCTTGTGAGCCAAATGGTCTTGAGACGAAGAGTCTGCATGCGTTACAGGCAAGAGGTGTTAGCGGGAGACCCATGAAACCAACTCCAACAGCGCAAGGCAAGCACGCATGGCCTCTTTGGGCGGCCGGAGAGGCGGGTAGTGGGGGTGCCTGTTCTACGTACCTGAAAGCTTGGTACTTTGTTTGGAGAGGGCTGGTTGGCCGGAATCCCTCGACATAGTTTCAGAGCGCGAATCCAATGACTGCTGCGTGTTGACCCGATCTAACGATTTGGTCGGTTGTTTTCCAAAGTTAAAGAGAAAGCCCGACTTTGTCGATGCTCTGTCGTCGTCCTGGCCGTAGATCCTCCGGCTATCACTATTGTATGGGTAAGCTGGCGAGTGCCCTTGAGGGCTGAATTGCGGCTGTTGCAGCGGCGAGGTCAGGGGCGGAGGATAGTGTGAGGAACGGTCGCGAGGATGGTTATCCTGCTGCTGCTGCTGCTGCTGCTGCTGCTGGATCTGGATCTGAGGCTGTTGCTGTTGCGGCGGCGGCGGCTGCTGCAAAACGTCGGCAACCTGCAGGACCTGGGTTCTGCTGGCGCTTTCAGACTTTTTCTGGCCGAACCGAAAGGGCGAGCGTGGGGATCGGGGCGACGCTGTGTCTAGCCGCGCAGACTTAGAGACAGTTTCACTAACACGAGGCTCCTCGCCGTGGCGCATAGAGTCGCCCAGCGCCAGCGGCTGTGGGACAGGTTTACGACCCATCTCCGGGGCGGCTGCCAGTGCCAGGTGGTGGCCAAGCGCAGAGCCTGCTATGGCGGCCCTGGGGTATAACAAGCGGCGTCCTGATTCGCGCTTTGCCGCACAGCTGTCTCGTGCGCAGCAAGGAACAGAATCACAGTGTCGGGGCTTACAGTGCAAATGGAAATAGGCAGATTGCGGTCTGTGACAAATGAGCGACGGCACCAGAGGGGCACCGAGGGGAGATGAGAGCCGAGCCAGGCCAGGGAACCAGCTCCGCAGGGGGCAGGCAGAGATGGAAGCAGAGCAGGGATGGGGGTTGCAAGGAAAGGCGCCGCTGACCACGTTCACGCTAGACAGCCAGACAGACTCCGCTGCTGTGGTTGCGCGCCGCAGCGCACGCTCGCTCTGTTCTGTTGCGACTGCGATTCGATTGCGAGCTCACTCACAGCTTCGGCTTCGAGCCGTCCCTGTTTCGAGCGCTGTAATTTGGATTTCGGAACTCCGGTTTTCAGGGGCAGATCGTCCGGGAGGCGACCAACTGACAGTGGACGGCAACCCAGACCTAGACGGTGCGCTGGAAGGCAGGAAGAGGGCGCCTTGGCGACCCGTTTGGATTCTCGTTCCTGCAGGTTTTGAAGTCGAGGTATGTATTATTCCGACCGTGTCCGGCCTTGGAGAACTTTGATGCACGATGGAGCCTTCGGTCCCCGATATCCGCTTCTCACTTCTTTGACCTGAATGTGGATGGATGGGGCTGTGTGCGTGAGCGCGCGCGTTCAAGGTGCCCCAGTTGGAAATCCCTGCGGCCCTGTTCCCAGGATCTGCTAGCAGTCCAGCGGCCCAGCGGCTTAAGTTTTGACTGCGAGGTTCCTAAAGTTCCAGAAGGGTTTTTCTGAAACGAGGTCTGAAGACATTGCATGCGTGCAGGAGGAATGTGTCATCTAGGAGTGCGTCCGCTTTGTCTTTGTGTAAGGTGGTAGACGCCGGGACAATTAAGCACCCAAGCAGCGGGGAGGAGGGGGGGATGCGCATATGTGAGGTGAGGTGGGCGGGGGTGACGCTTTTGCGGTTCGGAACTCTTGCGTTTGGCTCAACCAAGGGGCGTGAATGCCACGCCGACCTACGATTGGGTGGGCTGCTGTTAGCAATTGCCCTGTAGCGTAGTGGCGACTCTGGGTGGTATTTTGGTATAAATTTGAGGATGGATTGTGATGTGGGTTGCGACACAATGAGACGCTGCCTGCCCTCGAACAGCCCACCAAAAACACTTCCGGTAGCCATCCAAACAAAGCTCGACAACCAGCACCAGCAAGCGGCCGATCATTCCGCGCTTCGTGGTTGATGCAGCATCCTACCGTCTTTGCTCACCCACCTGGAATGAGGACCACCACAGACGAGCCCCGTGGTCGTCGAGTAGGAGCGGGGCAATGCTCAGAATCCGAGCGACCCCTTTGCTTATAATCAGCATTATTTAGAGTTGTCAACCTCCACATTGTGAGGGAGGCCGCCGTGCCACCTCCGCAAACCTGTCGTAAATTCATGTCATCCGAGCTTACGAAACAGTGAAACTACGGAAGACTCGTATCGGAGTGTTTTTTTTCTCTTTCGTGTAGTCTCACCACCCTCCAGCAACCGAGGCGCCCCGTGCAAGTCGGCCAAGTCGAAAGTTCCAGCGGCTACATGCAGGGCGGAGGAGACCCGGCAGGACTTAATCTCCAAAAATTCAATTCGGTTTGAAGATAAGCTATTGTAGACTAAGGTAACTAAGCAAACTTCCAGCAGGACTAGTCTAATTCTTTGACTCTAGAAGCAGTCCCGCAAATGTCACCGGCGCCGGCCCTGCTCGCTCAGTGAGCCGGCTGATGGAGGGAACGCCACGCTAAGCCACAATAGGCATAGCCCAGGAACACAACCTACTTTACTCTGAAACTCGGCACTGTGTCTTGGCCAGACTCTGGCCCTCCAAGTTGAAGTCATGGGATGCTTATCATAACGATGGGACCTATGTGGTACCGGGAGCGCCACCGAGGAGTCAAGCACGCCTAGGCCCGTCAGGTAGGTCGTGTGTGCATCGAAGGTTTCTCTGGAGAGACCATACCCATTACAAGTTAACTTGCACGTGTAACGCGACGTCCAGTTCTGGGAGAAGTTCAAGATAGGTTCCAAAGTTCTCCCCTGCTCAGAGGGCTGCTCTCCCTGGGTCGATCTTCCCAGGGCAAAGCATGCGATTTACTGACACCTGTTTCAACATGAAGGGGCGTCGAAAGGCATCGTACCCTTGATTTTGCTCTTTCTCTCATAGCCGAGCAATGGATGTCAGCCAATAGCGGTCGAATTCAACTCAGATAGCGCCAGGCTCTTAAGGATTTGAGGCTGTCTCCTCTCGCTTGCATGCATAGCGGTACGACAGGAATCAAAACGAACGGCACGCGAGAGACCTGAGGCGCAAATTATAAGGTAATCAATGAAGCGAATTACCTGGGCTTTGTTTTCGAGCTGAGTGTTCCTGACCTCGCGAGTTCGGAATGGATGCCTGATGTAGCATCAAAAGTTGGTTGAGTGCAAGAGTGGTAACAGAGCGCTAAATCGAGGGGTAGCGCCGTCATTATTGAGCTTGAGAATGTTTACGGCGTCGATGGCTGGATACAGCAGGTGCTAGCAAATTACCCTACATACAGTGAATTACTTACTGGGGCGTATAGTCATGATTCCATTCCTCAGTAATGAATACAACCTGGGAGGTATATGGTGTTATTATCCATAGGGTCGCTGGCATGAAGCCGCAGTGGATTGCAACTCGTTGGCACTTGGCAGGCAGATGCTCCTGGTTCGACCTCGCTAAACCCGCACCCAGCCGAAGACCCGAGCTTTTCGGGCGGCTGCCTTGAATGATTACGTAAAGCAGCCATTCAACGTCTCCCCAAATTCAACGTCATCTCCACCAATCCTCGGGGGAGACCAATGCCCGACCTGAGCCTGGACTTGACCACTGGCGCGAACATGGCTGAAACATTTTCAACCCTTCCCGAGGAGCTCCAGCTCGCCACTTCAGCCCACGTCAAGTACATCCAGAGCCTGGACACGCGCAAGAACCAATATGAATATTGGCTGACGGAACACCTGCGGCTCAACGGCCTCTACTGGGGCCTCACGGCTCTCCACTTGTTGGGCCATCCGGAAGCCCTACCCCGCGCCGAGACCATCGACTTTGTGCTTTCGTGCCAGCACGAGTGCGGTGGCTTTGGCGCTGCTCCTGGCCACGATGCGCACATGCTGTCCACCGTCAGTGCGGTGCAGATTCTTGCCCTGATCGATGCCTTTGACGAGCTCGAGACGCGCGGCCGAGGCAAGGCGCAGGTTGGAACATGTGCGTCTTCAACATGCTGGTCCGGGCGAAAGACGTATATTCTCTCGACACTGACTGCTCGACTAGACATTTCCAATCTCCAGAACCGCCAGACTGGAACGTTCGCCGGCGACGAGTGGGGGGAGGAAGACACGCGCTTTCTTTACGGCGCATTCAACGCGCTGTCCCTGCTCGGACTCCTCCATCTTGTCGAGGTGGACAAGGCAGTTGACCACATCGTGGCCTGTGCTAACTTTGACGGCGGATACGGTGTCATGCCCGGGGCCGAATCCCACGCAGGCCAGATCTTTACCTGCGTTGCTGCCCTGACCATCGCCGGTAGAAAAGATCTTGTGGATGTGGAGCGGTCGGGTAGATGGCTGAGCGAGAGACAGGTCGTCGGGGGTGGTCTAAACGGTCGGCCAGAGAAGAAGGAGGACGTATGCTACAGCTGGTGGGTTCTCAGCAGCCTGGAGATGATTGGCAAGACGCACTGGATCGACAGAGACCAGCTCATAGCATTTATCCTGGGCTGCCAAGACACTGAGCGAGGCGGCATTTCGGATAGGCCGGGCGACACGGTCGATGTCTGGCATACCGTGTTCGGTCTCGCGGGACTGAGTTTGCTGGAGTACCCTGGCCTGCAGCCTGTCGACGAAGTCTACTGCTTGCCCAAGTCAACCATCGAGCGGGTACTCCGTCGATGAGAAATATACTTCCCTTTCTTTGGGCGACGAAGAACAATGCAGCTTCTCTATGATTCGGGATTCAGACCTTGGGCCTCTTGCAATCTAATAACCTCCCAATTTTGCTCCCATCTTGGGTAGGATACAAGACAAGAGAAATCAACCCATCGCCACCCTTCCGTAGTTGCTTTGCTTGATAAATGCAGACCAACAGGAAATGGTATGGGCATTTTGTTATTCTCCCATCTTACTAGGTGCACACCACCTTTTCTCCCAGTCGGATTCACAGTTTACACTTGGACATCTACTTGGTCGTGTGTTAGTACCATTTTATTATGCAGACGCAAGAAATAATATCGCCAGTCACTCCAAATTTTAGATCTGTAATTAGAGCATTGTTCTTTTTGCTATTTTCCTTGCCTTATTTTTGCCCAACTTGAGCACACTGAACGGGTGTCTCTCGTTTCCTAAAATCTGTCCCTGTTCGAGTTTGTTTTTGGGTCGACCCATTTTTTGGTTAACATGAATGACCACTGGTAGTGCAGTCAAACTTCCGCCTGTGGATCGTGGGTAGAATTTGGCGTATCATCCAAGGTTTTTGGCATCCAAATCTAATTACCTAAGTAATTACTAGTCTATGGACATCGAGTGCAGAGGCCGTATAATGAGCAATCCTGCAGTTTTGATATACCATGTCTGAGATGAAGGCAAGGCGCCCGTCTTTCCCAAATTCCTTGGGTTCCTCCATCATGTGTCGGCGAATTATGGCCCCTTCGAAGCCACGCAAGCTTCCATACATAGACAGAAAGTAGTACGCCCAGGGCCGTTGGATTTTCTTATGATATTTAATGCATGGCGTGGGCATTATTTCATTTGTGTGCAATGCTCTACCGGGTGGCCGTCGTCGATGGCGATTCCAATCTCAACTTCGTAATCAAACTGCTTCTTAATTGATAGTAATCACTACTGGTACTGCGTCCACCTACTATAATCAGCTCATGGGATCAACTACCGGGGAAGTTGCTTGGCTGGCAATGACTCCGTTCGGCACACGGGATTTTTGTATCGAGTCTTATCTAGGATTTCCCCGTACCGATTTGTTTTCATTTTCCTTTGATGGGAGCTCGCAGGTTCCCTTGAAACACCCCACTAGTTACTGAAGTTTTTTGAAATCGGCATCTATCCTCGATAGCCCATCAGATAATGATATCTTTGGATTCTGCGCTTGGAGAAATTCGAGGCTTCATGTTTGGGATGTCTATCTCGGACGCTCGACTGCCGCCATCTTTTTTTATCATGAGAGGTCTGCCGCGAGTACAGAATCTTCAATGTGGTGACTAGTCGCTCATCGATGGCCAATAAATGAATGAATAAATATAATCTCAATATTTTGCTGCTCTTCATGGCGTATCTTCGATCAACTCAGATTACCCTCACCTGCTGATTGAATTTTCGAGGTATTACCGCTACCTACATATCTTGGCCGCTCGCTCCTGCCGTTTTTATTGCATCGCCCTAGGAGTACGCACGTCATTTTCAGGCGCCAGGTCCTGCCTCAACCATCACTCCGAACCACAAATGGCAGGAACGGTGCACCTCCAAGCAAATTGAATTGGTAACCACGCCATCCGCCTGTCCCTCCCATTTCTTCTCACTTTTTTAAGTTTCCCGAAAATCTGTCTTCCATTCATCCATCCATTCGTCCCTGCTTCCACATTTGTACGATTTTCCCATGCCAATCAATCCACCTCTTTCTGTGTTTCCCTGCCGAGTTGCGATTTGAAAAAAAAAACACTCCCTGTGGTTCCCCGGGACCCTTGCCTCGGTGGACAGTCCCGATCCTCTTCTCGTTACTGTCTACCCACCTACCCTGGTTGATTCCTCTACCAAGCTGTTTTCCTACGTCGTTAGACAGAGCAAGAACCTCAACCCGCTACTACCGCATTCACATTGGAGGTTTCCCCAGTACCCCATCAGCCGCAATCTCATTCCTGGAGCCTTGGTCTCGCCTACCTCATGACAGGTTGAAGCGCGTTTTCGAGGCCGCCGGCCAGCTACCAGGGTCGACTCGGCTTTCCACGGATTGATTGATCCTGCAGTTCAACCGGCCAAATTTCTACACTTCTTCGACCTGTGAGTTTCCTCCTGGGCGGGTCTGACGCAAACACTTGTGTTTACTGGCAATTCCATCCCTCATACTGACACCCACCTGCTAGACAATGGCCGCCATTGCACCAATGGACCTGGTTATGAAGGCCGGCCCTGCTTCCATTCCGCTAAAATGCACACTTTGCCCTAAGAAACCAAACTTTTCAGACCTTTCGCATCTTCTCACCCACATCTCCTCAAAGAGCCATCTGTCTCACCGCTTCAAGATAGAACTCAGAGCACAGTCGGAGAGAGATGCGCGAGAAGCAATTCGGAAGTATGAGGAGTGGTATGCGGGCCATGGAATCATGAACCTTCTCGCAGAGCGCATGACCGCAAAGGAGCAAAAGAAACCCTCCAAAAGAGGGCGGCCCTCAAACGCCAATGTGAGTCGCCTCTGATTGTTTACAGCTTACATTCGACTTTGGAAGATCTGAGAACTGAGAGGAAACTGAAATTTAGATCAAGGCTCGGATCACCACAAGCCGCGAAGAATCTGTCAAGAGGGAGCCTAGAGAGTACACTGAGCCTGCACCTATCCAAGTGTCAGCTCAATGGCCTATTTCTACTCTGCACGGATCTGCTCCACAACCTTCACGCCAGTTTCCCGGCACCCGCCAAGGATATTTCGATAGCGCAGGCTTCCAGACCCCGGTGATGAAGCGCTCTCAACCCGAATACTCCACCCCGAACACCCCCGACAACACGTTGGCCGTGATGAGAGCAAAATACAGGCGGTGGCCTTCTGAAACTGAGACAGAGACAACAGCAAGCGTGCTGCCTTCTGACGAGCAAGATGACAATGGTGATTTTGGAGACGAGGAAAATGATTCCAGCAAGTTGAAGGGAATCAGATACCCTGGTATGGGCCTCTTCGATTCCGCCAGCGATTTGCAGAAGAGGAAGCGAAATCAACGAAAGGACGAGTCTGTTCTGAAGAAGATGGAGCAGTCATCGTCCGGCATTGAGCCGACTGAGTTCGTCTGGACAGAGGGAGGTGTATTCCAACGAACTCGCGACATCTATGCCAGTCCCTCGATTGAGGGGAGCCCGGTTTGTCGAGCCCTGCACATGCTTTCCAAAGACTTTACATAACATTAGCTCTAACCTCTTCGTTTGAACAGGAGCGGAATTTAGGCGGGACCGACAATCACAAGAAAAAAAGAACCCGTCGCACGGCCACATCGGCGGCCGTCGCAACCAGGCCACGCCAGACACGAGCATCGGCCAGAATCGCCCAAAGCAAGGCGACCTCCATGAACAAGAGCGCCCTCCGCGAGGACTCGCCACTTGGTCAAGACGAGCACGAAAACAGCCAGATCTCCAGCCATAGCCATGGGTCCGTCGAGAGTTTTGACGTGTTCCGCGACCCCCCGCAACCGAGCCCCAGCATGCCACGGTTTGGACGCCAGGCACTTGACTTTTCTAACCCCCAAGCAGATCGCACTGAGAGTCCTGTGGAGCAAGCAGGGTTAGTTTCCCCCTAACGCCCGCTTCGAATGCAGATAATTATCTGATCACCTGTCTCCAGTTTCGATCTCCGTCGACGCCCAGCTCTACAGTCCCTGAGCTCTAACATGTCGCTTGTCTCGCCAGCGTCGAAACCCGCGAAGGCGCTTACATTCTTTCCAGCTAGAGACAATGGGCCTCCTTCATTTCCGGCTCAACCTCATGTATCAAGCAATCCGTACTTCCAACACCAGCATAGTATGGGTGGCGGGACCTTCAACCCCCTTTGTGTTCAGTCGAGGAACGGATACTTCCATCCGTACTACCAGGGTTACGGGGCTGATCCCAAGCCACCCAACGCCGGATTTCAGCCTGTCAACACGCTGAATCAGAATCTGGGCAGCATGGCCTTCAACTCCTTTACCACGCCATACTCGTCCGATTCCCCCCATGAACGCGGTCATGACTTTGACATGTAATTTTGGTTCGAACTCTCCCGTGCCATGAGCATCTCGTTCTATGGTGCCCCTTAGTTGCGACGGACAGTAATCCATTGGCTTGAACAACATCAACTTATGGAGTGTCTTAAAATCCCCCGGGACACCTATTGTTCACTTGATTATTCCGCGTCAAGTTCAACAAAATATAACGCTCTTAGCGGCACTCAACTAGGAAAGGGCGGGGGCCTGCGAAAAACATTTGAGTCACGCTCTCGCCGTCCTGCCCGTTGTTGAGATTGGCGACATATCGGTATCGGTGGTCTTGCATGAGAATAAAGTTCACTTTGATTTAGCTCACTCAATTTGCCCAGCTGCATCCCTTTGGTGGATATTTGATTGTCTCATGGCAAGCGGGAATGGGCGTGTTTCTCACGAAAAGTCTCTGAAGGGCACACTGGCTGGGTCACGGAAGAGCGGGAAGCATGTCTGCAATCATGGGCTACAACCTGCGCGACTGTATGATCTTCTTTAGTTTTTCACCTTCCCTGATCTTCTAAATATCCCATGGTGTTATGGGTCACAGGGGAGACAAGCGTCACGGCATCTTAATTTAGACGACGATAATAGCTCGCTATAGAGATGAACGAAATAGTTTTTCATTTCACATTTTACCTGAGGACATGGCAGGTAACGACTGATTCATGCTACTAAATGCGCATTGAGTGACAACGCTTGAAGCATCATGGAGTCTCTCATCACGATTAACAATGCGGTTGACAATCGAGTGACGAAGCGCACTTGTAAGAGCACGAAGAGATAAGACAGAAGAGCACGTAATTGAGATAGGCTTCAAATCGGAAAAAAAAATCTTTCATCAGAACCAATTACTTTCCACGAATCAGACAATTAATTAACCTAAAACTAACACCCCTTCCTTTTTGCCTTTCAGCCGCCCAAATCTAACCTAAAACTACAAGTAACACAAAAACAGACAGACAGCAGACAGTCAGGCATATCTAAACCAATACTCTCTTTTTGTATAGCGGCAAGCACAGGATTCTGCCGTCAGGTACACAACACGATGTGCTACTCATTCATTGTTTAGAGTTGCTCCAAGCTCGAGATCAGATGGTCGAGCTGGTCAGGCCCATCACGCAGCACGTCTTCGAGCAGCTTGGCCGCGCCGCGCAGGCGGCGGGCTCTCATCTCGTCCTCGAGCTGGCACGACTTGAGCGCGGCGACGGCCAGGACCTTGCGCGGGATGCGGGCGAGGCGCGCCACATTCAGCCCGTAGGAGCGGTGGGCGACGCCCTCGGCGACTTCATAGAGGAAGGTGATTTCGTCGTCGTCATTATCGTCGCCGCTGTCCATATCCCCTGTCTTGCTGTCGGCGATGGGCTTCTTGGTATTCTTCTCGTCGGCACTGCCACGGCGCTGCGCCGTGAAGCTCATGTGGACGCACTTAATACGGCCGTCGCCGAGGCCATCGGCCACGCGGGCGAGGTTCTGGTAGTGCGTGATGAAGAGGGTCAGGCACTTGGTCTCGCGGACTACGTGCTCGAGCACGGCGTGGGCGATGGCGGCGCCGTCGTGGGTACTCGTGCCGCGGCCGAGCTCGTCGAGGACGACGAGGGAGCGTGGCGTCGCGGAGCGCAAGATGGCGGCTGTCTCAGACACCTCGACCATGAAGGTGCTCTCGCCGGCGAACAGGTTGTCGCGCGCGCCCATACGGGTGTGAATGGCGTCGGCGAGCGTTAGCGTCATGGCGGCTGCGGGCACGAAGGAGCCGACCTGGGCGAGAAGCACGAGCAGCGCAACGGCGCGGACGTAGCTCGACTTGCCGCCCATGTTGGGTCCCGTGATGAGGTGCGCGAGCGGTGCAGGCGCCGTGAGCGATGTCGTGAACGGAATGTAGCCATTGGGCAGGGTGTGCTCGGCAATCGGGTGGCGGCCCTGGGCGATTGTGATGGTCGGCGGCGCTGAGTCTGGAAGGAAGGTGGGCTTGCTGTAGCCTGGCAACGCGGCAACCTGGGCAAATGAGAGCAGGCAGTCGAGTGTGGCGAGCGAAGCAATAGCGTCACGGAAGGGTTGGTATTCGGCCGCGATGGACTGGAGCAAGTCCTTGAACGCGGCATCACAGGCAGCGGCAAGGGCCTCCCGGTGCTGGTCGCGCTCGCTGATCCAGCTCATGACTTGCGGCGTGTGGAAGCGCGACACCTTTTTGGTGCCGCTAATTTTGGCCCACGAGGCAGGGACGCGCTTGAGATCGGAATTTAAGACTTCGATCAAGTACTCGATGCCAGCGACCGTAACATAAGTGATTGGCGTCTTCCTCGACAGCTTTGCGGCCGCGTCTTTGAGGTGAGCATCGAGGTCCTGTTCAACAGCTGCGATGCCGAGCTTGTGGTTTGTGATGTCGTCAGTCTCTTCTTCGTCCCTGAAGAATGTGTACTTGTCGTCCTTCTTCGCGGCTTCAGGATTGATTTTGTCGAGGTATGACGTTAGAATATCACCGATTGCAGGAAGCGAGCAGATTGCCTCGCTAATCAGCGGCGACCTAAAGCCCGTATCTGCTGGGGACTTGACCCGGGCAAATTCCATAGAAACCTTCTGTAATGTCTTGAGTGTCGACAGAAGCTCGGGCCGAGTGCACTTCCCGTAATATATGCGGATGAGACTGCGCTCGAGATCCGCTTTGATTGACTTGAGCATACCAATCAGCTTATCCACCTTGGAGGTGGACTGGCTCTCAAGAAGCTCTTCGACGGCGGCCACGCGCTCTTCAACTCGTTTCTGGTCAAGCAAGGGCCGGCCAATCCATTTCCTCAGCTGTCTCTGGCCAAAGCGGGTTTGAGTTTTGTCGAGCGCCCACAGGAGGCTCCCCTTTTCCGAGTGGTCGGTTGCGTTTCTGTACACTTCGAGGCTTTCTAGCGTTGTCCCGTTGATCAACATGTGCTGCCGCGTGCTGAAGGACTGGAAATACTTTGTAAGGTCAAAAATATGTTCTAGGCCGTACTCGGTCAGGTGCTTGATCATGGCTGATAGACATATCGTGACAGCCTCTGGCAGTTTCAGAACCTTGTCTAGGAGGGCAGCCGTGCGTTCATCATTGTTCTTCATCTTGCCGGCGTAGAATTGCGTGACATGCGAGGACGCCTCTGTCGCCATAGTTTTGCTCTTGGGAATGCGTTCCACGCGGCTCCTGTCACCAAAGACATTGGTTCTACTGCCGGAGAGGTGCTGCACGAGCTTGTCGGTGGCCTTGGTGAGCTCGCCGACAATGAGAAACTCGCATGGGGAGATGTGGAGCAGCCGTGTCTCAATGTCACGCCTCATGAAACCGTCTTCAAAGTTATCGTAAATGATGTCGCCCGTTGCAGGCTGCACAGCAACGATTCCGACGTCAACCTTCTCATCAGTTCCCGAACCTTTAGCGGGCGACTCGGTGAGACAGAGCAAATAGCCCCCCGATGGAGCCCCTGTATTCTCGCTAGTCTGATCAAGCTCGCCGGTCTCATCAACATAGGTGCCCTTGGTGTAAACGCTCGTGAGCTTTCGAACAAAAGGAGCATTGCGGTTGTCTCCAGCCTTCTTTAGGGCTGCCGTCTCGATCTGCCGGACGACGCCAACTTTATGACCAGCGGCGACAAGACGCTTTGCATGGACGGACAAACGATGGACAGGTATGCTTGCAGAAGCAAAGCGATCAATGTGAGCTTCGGAAGGATCTTCTGCGGGGTTAGCCAAGATACTGATATATATGCTTTGGGGTGCAGATCAAAGAGGCCAGCTAGTCCCACTCACGTTCGTCATATCTAAACTTGCCGGGGATGCACATTATGCTCAATTCCTTTGCGGCTATGCGAGCATCTTCGCCAAAGAACCTGAATTTGTAGCCGACTTCGACAATCAAGAGCGTGTCCATGTGCTTCCTCTTGATCTCGAGGAACTGCATCTCCATTGGCGTCAGCTTGCCCGTCTTGGCCCCCTTTTTCTTGGTTTTGGACGGCGGTGCCGGTTCTTCCTCGTCGGCATCGTCGTCAGCTTCGCCGTCTTCGCCCTGCACGGCAGCCGTGTCGGCATCGGCTTGGAAGTTGCGCCTCCTGATCATGGCCATGCTGTCGGGGTGGCCGAGCTTCTTGACGAACTTCTTGTGCAGTGCCTCTTTCTCGCGTCGTGTCGCCGCATTTTGATCACCGTCTTCATCACTCTCGTGCCTGACTCCGCTTGAGCGAGCGGTAGCCGCAGCGGCAGCATCGTAGATATATCGCTCCGTTCTGCCGCTCGGGTTTGGGAGCTCGGCGGTGGAGGCGCAAGCGGTTGTAGACGCCTTGGCTGCTGGCTTCGAGGGCGTGTCGTCTCCAGCCCTGATGACGCCAGCTGCAGACCCCGCCTTGGTACGCTTCTTGGCACGATCAGGAGTCTCGTTTCCTTTATCGGTATTCTCTTGAAGGGGCCGTTTTCGGCTAGATTCTGGCACGGGCGACGTTTTGGCAGCGGGAACTAGATCGGAGTCCTGGGGTTTGGGGCGGGCCGGGGAGCTCTGCAGCCTCTGGGTGAGGCCATTGACGGTTTTGGGTGTGAAAAAGCTGGTGAGAGAAGCCTGTCTCTTCTCTGGAGGTTTGGAGGAGCCCGCCATGTCGAGAGTCGATGGAATTGGTTGTAATATCGGGGTTTGGTGATGTCACAACGCGTGCCGCCGGCCCCATTAACGCGCTTGGATCCAGCAAAGATTGGGAGACGCGGAGTCCCAGCGGTTGGTGCCCAGTAGCGAAGTGCGAACTCACCTGATCAGGGGGCCCGTGCTTTCGACTTCACGCCCGTCATTGGTTCCAGGCTGTCTTGGTAGAACCATCCACAGACTGAAACTGAAGTGTACCTACGGTTAGCTGTACAACTTTACACACTCACAACCCCTTAGTAACTCCCAACGACTCGGAAGTAGTCCCAACTGATCCTTTCTGTACTACATCACGGCCATCTCCATTGATCTCTGTCAAAACATTTTTGAAGATTTCCGCAGCTCAAAGTAGCGAGCCATTCGTGCCTAGTGCATAAGGAAGTTCCTAGATGCCGAGGTCACATCGCAGTGCTCCGTAGCTACTCGGAGATTCCATCGAGAGATGGACGCAACCATGTCCCAAGAGGAGCGAAGAAACCCCCCTGATTGCCCGAGGCAATGCACGGCGGTGTTCCTGGGCCGCATTGATTAAGTTGATAATCGCCTGGAGCGCCTTCGACCCCGTTCAGGTTCCCGGGACAGTTGGAGGGTCGCCTATAATATCGGCGATCTAGGAACTTAACGGATGCTATCTCGCTTTTCTACCTTTATATTTCAGCTTCTCCCTCGGGGATAATAGCGGGTGGAACATAGCTAAGGTATATTATGTACATTCGCACTTTAGGTCCAAACTTCTTGCCATTCACGGAATGGGTGTAAGTGAGTCTCTGTGGCTGGGTGTGACATGCTATACTTACCAATGCACGCCGATCTTTCGATGCTTTATTCCTTGCACAAAGCACCACCCAGAGTTGCCATGCCGTTGCCCTTTGGTCTATTGGTACCAGAAGGCCCCGCGCTGCGCTTGCCGCCGGGGACGGAGGGTTTCTTTTTTTTCTTTTTCTTTTTGAGTTTTCGAGACCTCAATATTGTTGCAGCAAGCCAACCTTGCCACCGTCCCATGTACTGATGGCACCACGGATACGGCGCCGGCCTTGTGCCCCGAGCCGGGCCCTTCAGGCTAAAGTCATTGGCCAAGACGGGTAATACGGGGCTCTAACATGGCTTTTCCACTTGACATCAATCTAGAACTACAGTACGTGGTACCTCAGCTTGCTACGCGGCCTTCTATTTTCCGCAAGCGCCGCCGCCGTGACCTAGGTCGTGGCGCCATACCGTACCAAGGCCGAGGACCGAAGGCAAGTCATGGGTTTGGCCCCGGGTTTGCGGGAGCGTTCCTCCTTTGGAATTGGACCACCCCCGATCAATTCCATGCCCAAACACCATCCCATCCAATCACCAACCGACTGCAGCACATAGAGTACCTGCCTACAGTACCTACAGTACCTACAGTACCTACATATATCCCTGCACGCACCTTCCATTGTTGAAGATGTGGCATGTCATGTATTGTACCACTCTATCGTGGGATGCTCTTTCCCTTAAGGTGTGGGCTGCTGCGGGGCTGTTGCCGTAGATCACACCTGCTCCAAATCTCTTGCTCCAGACTCTGTCTCCGCGGACCTCATCATGATAACCTGGAAGGTACCAAGGCACCTTTGTTGCTAATAACTTGAAGCCTTTGCCTGGTTCCACGGCTTTGGCAGCTTGACACTCGGCACACTAGAAGCTTCTTTGTGTGTGCCAGGCTGGACGATCAATGATTCCAAGCTGTCGGCGCCCAGTCCATGCACTGTACTTGGCAAATACATATGAGCAAAACGAAACAAGACGCGTCTGAGCCGTAGTTTCGGTCTGCGTCTTTTCTTTACGCGGTGCGGCGAGCTTGGGTCCCAATATTGGCTCTACATGGCATAATAATGCGACTGCTGTGCATTCATCTTCATCTAGCTGGCACGGCACAATCAATCCCATGGACCCAGCAAGCGACAGACCACAGAAGACCACACCCACGTCGGAGAACCCATTAGGGAGCCACCCCAAGCTGGCTATATTGCCTAATTGAGGCGGGCACCACCTTTCCCTTCGCAAGGCCTCCGAGACTACAGCCGTCAGTGGCGACCCTGAGCATGTATTGCTAGGCACGCACGCAAGAGAGGCAAGTGAGGACAGGTGTGGACTGACTGGTCGAACTGGTCATGGAGGCAGACAATCGACTCCCATCATGTCCGGATACGGCCAAGACTCGTGAGCATGCGCGCCACCAAACATGGCAGCCATGCAATAGAAGCGCGCCTATGCAAGATCTGCTCGTCGGACCGCTTCTGCCGGCGCCACACGATTGGCACAATGTGGCGGTACAGCACGGGGGACCGTCATCGGATGGAATAGACGCACTCCCAGTGCGTCTGATCGCCCCTATCCTCCCAAACGCCAACTGCATGGGACCTGGTCCAGCTTGATAGCCGCCAGTCTCTCGCGTTTGTCCTCTGTCTACTGTCTACTGTCTACTGTCTGCTGTCTGCTGTCTGCTGTCTGCTGTCTGCTGTCTGCTGTCTGCTGTCTGCTGTCTGCTGTCTGCTGTTCATGTTCATGTTCATGTTAGTTCCTTCATTCTCTGCCCAGCTACAGCAGCAGCAAGGAAGTGCTTCCATGACATGATATTAGCCTCATTAACAAGCCATCTGCGTCTTACCAGCCCGGCGAGACTGGCGGGATCTAGCGGGAGCTCAGATTGACAATCTGCTGCCGCGCCAAGCTGTTGCAACTTGTGCCTCTCTGCTCCCGGCGTGGGTCCAATGTCCTATTTACAGCATAATTGGACGCTCACCGTGGAATCATGGACTGGAACCGGGACTGCACCGGTTGGCTAAGCTTCTATGCAGCGAACTAGCCCACACGGCCTCCATTGAGCTTGCAACTCTCTCCATAGCTCCCGGCGCATCTCTTCGGTCCGCTTGTCCGTCGAGGTCCCTTTCCGTACCTTTGTAGACCTTACCAAGTGTGGGACGTTCTCTTCTGTGTCTTTAAAACCCCATTAAACCTCTCGAGCTGGACTCACCTTCTTAGTCGCCCTCCTTTCCCTTCCCCCATCAGCCTCTTCTTTCCCGGGTCCAAGGAGACGGGTCGGACCACTCAGGAGCCACCCAACAAGTGCAGCCGCTCTTCTTTGCCCAACCACCACACCCAGCCTGACCGGCAAACAGTCAACATGGGAATTCTCGACAAGAAGCCTCAGGCCGAGGCGTACGAAGCTGCCACGGCCGAGGCGCCTCAGTTTGAGCATGTTGAGTGGAGGAAAGACCCTGGCCTCCGCAAGCTGTACTTCTATTGTGTTATTCTCTGCGTCGCCTCTGCCACCACCGGATACGATGGGTAAGTGGCTGGTCAAGCTTGTAATTGCTTCTATTGTCGGGGCTCTGCTAACCCGCCTCTTCTCTTTCTTTCCCTCGTGACAGCATGTTCTTCAACAGTGTGCAGAACTTTGAAGTGTGGAAAGACTTCTTCGGACATCCAGAGGGATCGACGCTGGGTCTCCTCGGTGCCCTTTACCAGATTGGTAGCTTGGTTTCTATCCCGTTGGTGTAAGTGCCAAATTGAATCTGACAGAGACATGTCTCGAGGCTCACGCGTGACTGCTATAGTCCACTCTTCACCGACAACGTTGGCCGCAAGATCCCCATCGCCATTGGCTGCGTTATCATGATTATCGGCTCGATCCTACAAGGAAGTTGCCAGAACATTGGCAGTACGTTTACATTGGTATTGCGGCCTGTGTGCTCAGAGGTCCTGGTTGGCTGATGATTCTTTGTTCGCAGCGTTTATGGGTGGCCGTGTCCTTCTAGGCTTCGGAAACAGTCTGGCTCAGATTGCGTCTCCCATGCTTCTTACCGAACTGTGCCACCCCCAGCACCGTGGACGTCTCACCACGGTCTACAACTGCCTGTGGAATGTCGGCGCCCTGTGTAAGTTGTTCTTGACTCCCATAGCATAGGAACAGCGGATGGTGTGACAGTTTGTGGCTAACGAGGAACAGTGGTTGCTTGGATCTCGTTTGGTACCGCCTATACCAAGAACGAGTGGTCGTGGCGTATTCCGGCTCTGCTGCAGGCCCTTCCCTCGGTGATCCAGCTCGTCTTCATCTACTGGGTACCCGAGTCACCCAGATACCTAATGGCCAAGGACAAGCACGACAAGGCGTTGGAGATCCTCGCCAAGTACCACGCCAACGGGAACAAAAACCACCCCACTGTGCTTTTTGAGTACCGCGAGATCAAGGAAACGATCCGTTTGGAAATGGAAGTCAAGACAAACAGCAGCTACGCCGACTTCTTCCGGACCAAAGGCAACCGTTACCGCTTCGTGGTCCTCTTGTCTCTCGGCATCTTCAGCCAGTGGTCTGGCAATGCCATCATCTCCAACTATTCCAATCTGCTGTACACGACGGCCGGAGTCACGGACGAGACGGCCAAGCTTGGTCTCTCTGCTGGTCAGACCGGGCTATCCCTCATTGTCTCGCTCACCATGGCTCTGCTGGTTGACAAGGTCGGGCGTCGGCCCATGTTCCTCGCCGCCACGGGTGGCATGTTCGTGACATTCGTGCTTTGGACGCTGACTTCGGGCCTGCACGACGAGTACAACTCGCCCGGCGCCGGCCAGGCCATGATCTTCTTCATCTGGGTTTTCCAAATCTGCTACTCGCTCGCGTGGTCCGGTCTTCTTGTCGGCTATGCCATCGAGATCTTGCCGTACAAGCTGCGCGCTAAGGGTCTCATGATTATGAACGTCTCGGTGCAGTCGGCGCTCACGCTGAACACGTACGCAAACCCGCTCGCGTTCCAGTACTTTGATGGACACAGCTGGAAGTTCTACCTCATCTATACGGTGAGTATTTCATCCTCAAATCGTGTGACGTTACGCATGGTTGCTGAATTTTATCTCTACAGTGCTGGATCTTCCTCGAACTCGTCTTTGTCTACTTCATGTACGTCGAGACAAAGGGCCCTACGCTCGAAGAGCTTGCCAAAGTCATCGACGGCGACGAGGCCGAGGTTGCCCACGTGGATATCCACCAGGTCGAGAAGGAGGCGCAGATCAACGAGGAGAGGGTTGCCTAGGCCAAGGCCAACAAACAACCCGCGTGTTTTCCTGTCAAGCAGGCTCGTGTTCTGTGCTACTCTCATTTCGCGTGCAGTGTCTGTTAGACCAGGCTGGCAGTTGGATTTTAGTTTTTGCTAGGCGAGGCGACCAGTCCGGTGTTTGTTTGGGACAGCTAGTATGGAGGGCTAGCAACAGCCGCCCAAGTTTCTAGCGTACCCGGCCGCCGGGAACTGGTGAATGGACCTCCATCCCGTGCCCGCGGGTCTCGAACCTCGCTCCACTCCCGCGGGAGAGGTATATTTGCCTCGGTAAACGTTATGAAGATGAAAACTTGGCTGCTGCGGAACTTGCTAAGCGGGACGCATATAGCACTCGCGCTATGGACTATTATAATATATCTAATAATTAAAAGAAATAAATACCCCTGGAAATTCTCATAGCTTGGGATCCCGTTACGTCTTGCTTGTGTTAACGTCGCTAAGCTTAAATTTAGCCAGAGTAGTGGTGTGGTGTGTTGATATATGTTTCCCGTCTACTCGCTTCCACGTTCATCCAAAGTCCTGGGCCAGTGTACCGTCGTCTTCTAACCGAGTTTATTCTTCTTCTCTCCCCTCGTTACCGTTGCCGGCTGCCGGCGCGCACACCGGCCGGACGCCCCCACCCCTAAACTGCACACACATGCCACCTACTAGATACGCATCCCGCCGCATGGGCTGATTCATTACGTCTTATCTTGTCTTGCTTAACTCGGTGATTGACGCGTTTAGGTATGGCGCGTCCCAAGATATCTAGACCTAGCAGACGGTGACAATAGAGACTAGCGAGAGAATGCACACTTACATGCGTGTGTAGTCTGTGGTGTGCACGGCAATATCGAAAAAAAAACGCACCTACTTAGGTACCTGAGCTATTGGCCTTGCTCAAGTGGCGAATCCAGCTTCGGTCTTGTTCTGCGAGGATGGGCAGATCATAACTACCTACATATACGTACATATATTAAAGTGTTCTGGACTGAGTCCGCTATAACGCTCTCTGGGTGGATCTTAGGTAGTTCGGCCGCGGTCTAAGTATACTGGAATATTGTAGTACATATGAGCAGATCTCTGAACGCAGCGGCTCAACTGGGTGTCATGCACAGGTTTGGTGGAACTGTGTACGAGGAAACAACTCGCTGTTTGACATTTGGTTGGCCAAACTTTGGGTTTGAAGAGACTATTCATGAAGATATTGTAGTAGAGACTGTCTAGCCAATGTAAGGCTGACAGAGAGGTAGAAAACACCACATAACGCTTATACTGGCTTCAACTGAGAACCGAGGAGTCTTAGTCTTGGGACAGGAAATAAGGAGGAAAGGAAGATTATCTACCACAACTACCGCAAAGCTGCATGCAAGTCAATCGAGACGACCTTGGCAGGCAGGTACCACAAGCACCAGCCATGCCACGAACTCTTGGCACATACCTGCTCCCGCCCCCTTCGTCCCACTCATGTATGTACAGTCTATATCGGCCTGTCTCTCGGCTGTTGTTCCGAGGAAACATAAAACCCCCGAACAGGAAGAGATGAATGAGACTGTTTTACGGGAGAAGAGGGGAATAGAGAAAAAAGTCCTCAAAGCGAGACTCTCATGCCCCCCTCCTACATACAGAAGCAGATACACAACCCACAAATACAAACAATCACATGTTTTGGACATGCACAGGTAGACAGGTGCTTAAGCATATACAATCCCACATCTAACCCACCCGAAACGGACAGGCAGGCGGGCGGGCGGGCGGCACAACGGAGAGAAAAGGACTCACGCGCGGCCTGCCACCTTAGTTTCTCTTGGCTGCCTTTGCTTGCTCTTGGCACACCGCGCCGCGCCGCGCCGTGGTTTCTACGGTACGGTACAGCACGAGTGGATTCCGGTTTAGGGGGGGAAAGCCCGTCCACGGGCCGACTTCATATCACATCATGTCATGTCATGTCATGCCGTCCGCACGGTACAGGAAGTTACGGCACGGCAGCGCTGGCGATCGATCGATGGGTAGGAAAGGAAGAATATCATACAGTATATCGACATCAGGAAGTCCTCCGTACATCGGAGAGAGCTTTGCACCGGGCAAGCCGCATGCATACTTGTGAGAGCAACGACCCCCTTTTTCTCGCCACATATACTGAAATCGCAGAGAGGAGAAGAGCATATGAAAGAAAAGAGCGAGTGAAAAGCATGCCCGACTACGGTGTCGTTAGACTTCGTAACCGCTAGAGAAGGCTTCTCGTCTTCTCGCCCGCGGCACGTTGCCGCGGTCTACCCGGGGTTATAAAAACACATTTACCTAAAGCTACACCTGGAGCCCTAGAAATCCTTTTCGTGAGCGTTTCTCTCGTCGGCAGTGCTGCCTGCTTCGAAGTCGAACCGACTCGCGGCATTCGGTTCGGTCTCCGAGAAAGAAAACTAGCGTCGTGTCATTTGGGGGCTGCCTCGTAAACTCTCTCTCCCTGTGCTCTAGATACGGAATCTCGCTATGTATTAACGCCGGGACTGTCTCTAAGCATCACAGCGACCTTGGCAGGGGTTGCGTGAGCTACAACAGCCGCGGAACATGTAAATACATACAGCACAGGATGCCTCGAGGAGGTGTGGTGACGAGGCCGTCGCGGATGTTATGATGAATAAACCAAACTCCTATTTTATAGAGCGAATGCCGAGAGCTGATTAGGACTTGGCCTCCGACGTAGGTTGTTTGGTGGGCGGGCGGGACGGCGCGGCATCCTTCGCGCCCTCGGCTTGCAGCATTGGCGTTCGACACGGCGTTAGGGTCCGGGATTAAGACCACCTAGTGCCACACGGCATCCCCATGGCTGGGCTGCCATCCCTGTGAACTCCGGGCTTCTGGCCGCGAATAGCTTCATCGAGGTCTTAATGAGTTAATCTTGTCCAGACTAGGGGGGGGGTCTTTATGGGAGGTAGATAAAAAGGAAGCGCTTGGTTCCTGAACAGGTGACGATACTGGACACGAGTTTGAAGTAGGTGCTTCCCCTGTTGTTTGTCTCTACTGAAGGAAAAAGGGAAAAAAAGGAAAAAAAAAGGAAAAAGGGAAACGCGCATACTGGCACAAAATGGCAGCCTCATCGTACAGTGTCCAGCAGTACCTGCTCGACAGGGCCAACATCCACGACATCGTCACCAAACTCGTGCGTAGACACACACACACATACACCCTCTCTCGAGTACAGCAACAGCTAACCAACCCCCTTTAGTTCGTTCTCCTCTAGGGCTTCTACTAAGACCTCTAGAACTTCGCCAGGCTCGCTAGCGAAGTGTACGCGGCCGAGGCGCTGATCGACTGCACGTCGGTGCTGGGCGGCGAGCCCGAGACGGTGTCGACGGCGGAGTGGATCGCCGCCGTGCTTGCGCTGACGTTTGACGCGTACGCGTCGACGCAATATCTGCAGACGTGAGTTTTATTGTCTTTTCAGTCCTTTACCTAGGAACCTCTTTGCTGATAGGTCCCCCTCCCCCCTTCCCCCTTTTTTTTTACAGGGCCCTGCTCATCAACCTCGCGAAGCCCGGTCCGGGGCGCCCGGCACCGCGATTATTGACGGCCAGGCGGTTGGGACGCTGGTGACAAAAGCCAGCGACGCGTCGCCATCGTCAATCACGAAGAATGCCGTGAGTATCATCTGTCACCTGCCCAAGACACCCGGGTCCCTTTTCCATAATACCCCCTGGTTCCCCCTTTGTCTCCCCCACCCACCACCCCCTTTTCCATCATGTTTCCCTCTCCCCCTTTTCCATCTCTGCGCACACTCTCACACACACTCACTCACTCGCTCTGATTTGCCACCGAAACAGGGGCTCCTCCAAGTCAAACTCGGCCGCGACGTGGGGCTCGAGGAGAAGGGCGACAACCCCTGGCGCATCACCAAGGTCAAGCTCGTCAAGAGGTGGGGACAGACCGAGCTGCACGCCAATTAAGGACTCGGACGAGAACAGGACATCTGGTAGGGCTATTCTTTATTTACGTGGAATAGTCGCCAGTAGATCGCGTATATTCACGTCATCATGTCGGTCAGTCGGTGCGCTATATACATACGCCTTGCATGGAGAAAGCCACAAAAGAAGCCAGTTATCACCTCTATACATACCAAGTATGAGCAAATGTGAAGGGTGATACGTTGTTGTGAGAGACGCATGATGTAAAACAAAACAATAGATAAAACACTTGGTAGGGGTCCTTGTGTAAAGGAAACAAGATCGTGAAAAGGAGCCATTCACCCGTTCCATTTTGCCCGATATACTAGCAATGATGCAACCCCTTACCAGCCACGACACCCAGGACTTTCCAGACACTGTATTAAAAAACAGTCACATTCTTCTCTCCTACTTAAATGACGACTGTCCTTCTTCCTCCCCAGCTGTGCCTCCCGATCTCCCGCTCACCCGTAGACTCTCCTCGAGTGCGCGCTTGAAATCTTCATCGTCGTCTTCTCCGCTCTCCACTTCCTGGACAGCGTCAACGCCCTTACCCTTTCCGTGGTCCTTATCTCTCGACTTCAGCTTGTACTCTTCTTCCGCAAGACTTTGCCGCTTCACGTAGTCGAGCACGGTCCGCTCTTCGTCTAGCTGGCGAGCGCGCAGCGCGTGCTCCTTTTCTGACTCTTCTAGGGCACGGCGCAATTGCTCGGTTTCGTCGTCGCCGCTGTTCTCGTGGCTACCTCTAATAGAGGGGGTAGAGATTTGTGCAGGCGATGCCAGTTTTGACGCATCCATGGCCTTTCGCAACTCTATATCCTCTCCATCTCCATGTCCTTCTACCCCCTTTCCGTTCCCTTCACTGAAAGACTCTGTATGGCGGCCATGCTGCTGTTGCTGCAAGAGGCTCTGGCGCACCGCTTCTTCCACTAGGGCCTGATATTCCTCGTCCGAAATACCATCGACTGCCAGTTCTTGATCATATGCTGGCAGAGCCCCCTTCTCAGAAGGGAATATCCCCTCGCCTGGAGTGCTCGTTTGCTCTGCCATGTGACGCATTTCATTGACACTGGCGCGGATGGCAGCCTCAATCTGCGCATCTTCGTCCTGGTCTCCGCAGGACGTCTGCTGCACCGAGGCACGGATGGCGTGCTCAAACTCTTCGTCTTCTTCAGGAGTGTGGCTGGTATTTCCAGTAGCGTTGGCTGCCGCGGCCGTTGTGGGACCAAACGGCTGGTCCGTCACTGACGCTTCTGTCCCGCCCTGAAACCTCTTAAAAGAGTCTTTATGGGCTTGTAGCTTCTTCCAACCATCAAATGACGAAAGACGGGGAGGGTTTATGGTGCTGCTTGCGCCACCTTCCTGCCGCTGCTTGGCGGCTGCGTTTTCTTTTTGCTTGAGCTGCTCAAGGCCATGAAGGTCGTCCTTGTGTGTCTGCCACCGAAGGATTATGTCTCTCTGTTCCTCAGCAGTGGAGGCCACGAGGCTGTCCTTACCCTGCAGCACGCGGGAAGTGATAATGTAGTTGGCATTACTCTTGATGAACATGCTGCGGACCTCGGCGTGGACGCCCTGCATGGTGTAGGCGGGGATTGACCAGACGGCTGCCGCGGGCTTGAATACCAATCCACCGATACCCTTTCCAAAGCCCTTGAGGAAGCCCCTAGCGCCGTCTTTCTCTGCACCCTTGAGCGGCTGGGTCACAAGCCCAGACACGCCATCGAAGAAGCCGAGCCCGAATTCTTTGCCAGCAACCTTGAGCCCGCTCGCAAAGTCTGTGACTTTTTCTGTCGGGCGGATCGTCTCATCGCCGTATAACCGGGGCGCGTTGCGAAAGCCACGAGCCAGGCCCATGCATAGATTCATTGGCATCTTCATGCTCGTGTCGACTATGCGGCCGACGCCTTTTCCTGCATCAATGGCGCTGTCCATATTGAAAGGTTTTGCAGATGGGCTTGGGGTAGATTGGGGGCCGGGGCGATTATTTTGGTTACCGGACGAACTTCGAGCCGCGTTTCTGAAAGGGTTGTTAGATGATGTCGACGTCTGACTAGCGGCCGTCGATGAACGAGACAGATCTTCTGAGGAAAGTGAGGATTGCCCTTTTTTTGCTCCAGGGGCTGTCACCGACAGCTCATCTCCGGTTAGTGCCACTCCCTCACCCGCTTTACCAAGAGGCGTAACGACTTCTAGAGCGCCTGCCTTGGCCTTGTCCTTTTTCCCGTCAGAGCCTTTGAATATCTCGCGGGGGAAATCCGTCACAGCCATGGTTAACGAACCGAGGTCACCCACTAGAGCCGATGTGACAGCTGAGATGGGATCCCAAGGTTGGTCTTCCGTGTTGTGTTCCTTGGAGCGGTACCTAATACGTTCGTTAACATCGAGTCTCGAACTCTGCCAACAGGACCTGGAACTTGACTCACAGCTTTAGGTCTGAGTATTTCAGATATCCCTTCTTTACTAGCACCTCGCCCGCTAATGTGCTTAGCTTGAGCTGCGTTCTCCTCACCCGCCAAGCGGCGGCGCGGCTGGGAGCCAGGGTGCACCTCAAGTTATCTGTGTCCAGAAACTCGTGGAAGCTCTTGCCACCTACGTCGGCGCCCTTTTCCTCGCAGATTTTGGCGCCCAGCTCGCGAGCTAGCGCTTGTGTCTCTGGTTTTAAAGCCTCCGAGATGGCGGCGGCCAGGTTCTCAGCCGTCAGTTTCTTGTATGGAATAGGGTCTGGACCAGCACCGGCCTTTGCTATCATGGAGCCCCAAAACGGCTGGTCTCCAAAGAAGGGCACCACAACCGTGGGCTTTCCCATCTTAATTCCTGCAGCGCTTGTTCCAGCACCACCGTGGTGAACAACAGCCGAGACATGCTGAAAGAGCCAATCGTGAGGACAGTTACCAAGCATGAACACGCCTTCGGGCATGCCGACTGCATCGGTACCTAGCCCGCCCCAGCCCTTGGACACCAACGCTCTTACGCCCGTCTTAGCAACGGCGCCAAATATGGTCCGGGTGAGAGTATTGGGGTCGTCTACGACGATTGACCCAAATCCGATGTAGACAGGAGGCGGCCCTGCCGCGAGAAACATGGCGAGATCTGGCTCTGGTATGTATGAGGATGCTAGGTTGAGAAAGTAAAAGCCTGAAATGGTAATCTCTGAGGCCCAGTCCGCCGGCTTCGGTATCAGAGCAGGAGACCAGCAGTACGTCGTTGGTACCCGCAACCGATTCAGCAGTCCCGGCGCCCAGATCATCGACAGGGGGTCGAGGCCGAGAACGCGAGATCTGAAGCGATTTATCACGTCCCCGAGGCCTTGCCAAGTCATCATATCTACGAGGGTGTAAGAGAGGTAGTTAGCCATAATAGTGTCCGTATTCGTAGATTCGATGTTAGCGAGGGGGTGTGGAAACGATCTTGTAGGTGACCAAGGCATCCTAGAAAATCGTGTCAGCCTAGTCCAAGACCGATGGTTTGTTTACCCCGGAGAAATAAACTTGGGCTCTGGGGCGAGAGAAAAGAACATACGTAAAGGTCATATGCAAAGGAATACCCAGCTTCTCAGCGACGTGAATATGGGCGAAGCTCGGAGGGTTAGCTATGATAGCGTCTGCCACAAAGGGCTTATCGCACGGGTTTCCCGGCAGGATGTAGCGGTCGTCGACGGGCTCGTTCGAGCGATGCTGTGGCGGCGGGGGTCCCAAGCCGTTGCCAGCTTCGATACAGGAGCGCCAGCAGCCCATGAGGATCTGCTCAATGCCTTCGCGGCGCTTCTTGATCTCACCACCCTTGAAGGCATCAATCCCCGGCATCAGGCCGGGGTTCTTGACCATGAAGGCCATGAGCTCGGCCGGGTCTCCGCCGATGCTGAAGAACTCGAGCCCGTTCTCCTCGACAAACTTCTGGAAGGTCGGGTGCGTGGCCAGGCGGACGCGGTGGCCATATGTGTCGCGCAGGACCTGGCCTAGTGCCACGAACGGCTGTACGTCGCCGCGGGAGCCAACGATCTGGATGACAACATTAAGGGGAGGCGGGGGCACTTGGCCTGGCTCCCCGCCGAGACTGGCGGGTATATACGGAGGCGGTAGAGGCCCCGACGGGAGCGACGGTGCCGTCTGCAAGTCCAGCACCTGTTTCCGCAGGGCGGGCGCAAGCAGCTCCGACAGGCGGCGGTTCTTTTGGTTGATGTTGATATTAACACGGCCATCGTCTTTGGAGAAGATTGCACGTTTCACCGATCAGCAAACGTCCATGAGCAGAACGGGCAGTCCTGCCAGGCCAGACCAGGCCAAGCCACCTCTGCCCCAAACAAACAAGAAGGGATTCATTTTAGCCCACCCGTAACAGCAGCGCCGGCCTCAAAGCCAGCCTGAGAGAGCTGGATCTGGTCGAAATGGTCGCCGTACGGCGGGGGCGGCTCGTCTTGATCGGCCATGGGCGTTAGTGTTGTTGTTTGAGAGGGACCTCCCTTCCCCATATATGTTCCTGAGCTAGCCATGGCGGTATGCAGTCTCAAGTTTGTGAATGCAAAGGGCGAAAGCAGATGCGGTAGCCGCAAAAGCAGCAAGCCGTGTCTTGTGAGGGAGCCCTCGAAGCGTTGTGGAGCAGGTACTGTACTGTACCAGGTTTGCAAGGAAGATCAGGCTTGAGCTGGGAAGGAGCTTTCCCCTCTTTCTACACGCGCTCTCAATTGCTAGAGAGGACGGGAAGATATTTGAAGGCAGTATGTAGGAAGGTGCGTGGTGGGGAGCACCGTAGTTGCAGGCAGGCGCAGTCAACGAACGACAGGAGTGACGTCGACACCGAATGGAGGGGTCAACTGAAGCTTCACTCCGTTACACAACAAATGCCCCGAATTCTTGAAACAATTCAACAAATATTCGGATCGGATTTGAGTGCGAGAAAAGAATAGGAGAAAAGATGCGAACTATTTACAGGACACCAAATCATAGGTTGGCTCTCTATATATCATGACAGTCGAGTCGAGGCGACGATGGATACTGGGATGTTGTCTCCACCATCAGAGTTTCTCTTGGCGACCCCACGAGCGATGACGCAGCATGGAGGCGCGGTCCTCCCCCTAGATTAATGCCAACATTATTTTCATGCAGGCCCATCAGCTACTGTACCCCCGTTCACACACAAGCAGCCCGAACTTGTTCGCTTCGGGTCGTGCCGAATAGCGTTAGAGGTCTAGTATATAAAATCCGTGAGAAGCTCGAGGCTAATTGGCACCCAAAGGCAACACCCGTTACCGATCGTATGACAACCTACCAAAAGTTCCCTTAATCCTCTCCCATTACCAACCCCAAAGCAAAAAGGTATAACAACAATGAACAAAATGCACGGTATTTTAGGGAAGAAAGCGTTGCGCTCATCACACGTCGCGTCTTATCAGTCATCCAACCACCCACTCATCACTTCTTCTCGACCGGTCCACTGCCGCCCGTCGTGGGCAAGCCCAAGAAGATCTTGAAGTAGTCCTGCGGCGGTTTGTCAGTCGCCCTTCAGCCAACAACACCAGAATGCCAAGCAATCGGAAAAGAAAACCCACATAAATCATCCACTGCATGCCCGTCAAGGAACCAATCATGACGATACGGACTGGCAGCCCGTTCCAGAGGCCCCGGAAGCCAATCTCGCTGTATATCCTCGAGAGGACAGCGCCAAAGGCCTCGCCGGCCTTGCGGTTCGCGTTGAGCTTGCTGACCATGACGTCGGCGGGGTGCGACACGATGGCGCAGAGGATGCCGGCCATGTAGCCGCCGGCGAACGAGACGCCCGTCTGCGCCGCCTTGCTGTAGTCGTTCTTGCTTCCCGGGAGCCGCGCGTAGATCATCTCAACGATGGTCTCAAACGACGCAAACTTCATCATGGTGTACGGGATCTGCCGCGCCCACAGCGGGTAGAGGCCCTTGTACAGGCCCGCCAGCCCTTCCTTGGCCGTGATCTGGCTGATGCCGTCCATAGTGCCCTTGTACGGCGACGGGATCGCGCCCTGCATGCGCACCTTGACCGCCTCGAACGGGCAGAGCGCGAGATCGGCGAGGAACTCGGCCGACGCCGACGCCCCGAGGTACAGCGCCGTCCGGTGCTTGTGCGCCGCCTCGGGCCCAGCCAGGTCCGCGTACGTCTTCTTGAAGTATTCATACCATCCGTACTTGAATGCGCCCTGGAATGAATAGCCAACAAAGGTCGGCCCCCAGCCAGTGAAGATGCCCCGGACACCCTCGGTCCGGTAGATGTGGCCCCAGGCCTGGAAGTTGCCCGAATAGAGCTTCGAGTCGATCTGGCGCCGGGTCTTGACGAGATCCAGCGGTGTCATTGACGTGTGTGTTGGGCCCTGGGGCCAGTCAGTTTTTGCTTCAAGGGTTGCTCGCTCAGGACAAGATACTTACACAGGCCAACAGGCCACCCAGTGTGCAGGCAGCATAGTACTTTCCCGAATAGAGCTCGATATTTCCAGTCTTGGACTGCGCTTTTTGGCTGGCCAGCTCGAACTCCTTGGCGGCTTCGGCACTGAGCTTCTTAGCCTTGCCCTTAGTGTCGTCAACGACCGAGTAAGCGAGGTAGAGATCCGGGCGAGCTTGGCGCGGCGTTGGCCAATTGGTCTTGGGATTGCTCGTTTGCGGCCGGCCCAGCGAGTACGGACTAACAAAGCCCTGCTGCATGGCGCATAATGTTGGGTAGAGGGCCGACATGGTCGATGTGAGTGCCTGGAAATACGGCTCAGCAAAGGAATCTACACAGAAGCTATGTGAGTGAGAGCTCGCATTTGACAGTCTCTCTTATCCCAGCCCGGAAGGGTGGACAGCAGTAGCGGGGACCGCCCGAAGAAAAAATAGAGAAGAAAAAAGCCGTCGAATGACGTCGTTTGAATGAGTTGAGACTTAGTCTGAAGCCATAGCTTCATCGCGGCCCGCCTGCAACTCGCGAACTAAGGTAGGTGGACCCATTACAGCAGGCAAGCTTACCTTGTTTTTGGATTATATCTCTTTTCTATTAGGTTGTCACTTGTCAAATGTCAATTGACAATGGGAGGATATTTGCTTTCTTGTTGATACAATGTCAGAGCAGTGAATACGAAAAAGGTCAGGAAACGGAGGTATGGATTAGGTGGGATGTAGAATGAGGGAAGGGATCCCGAGCCTAGATAACTGCTGCCAAGGGAAACCCGAAAGGCCGAACAACCACTCGTCGTGCCTTAGTAAGGGCAAGGTCGCACGTTCAGCAACAACTGCATGCGCATATGTAACGCAGGTGGTGCGCCAGGTTTGGCCAGTCAGAGGATTTGGACGGGTCTGTACGAGTAGGTTTGCATGGAACTTGGAACCGACAGCCCCGGGAGACGTGGACCGGTGACGTCGGTTGGGGGGTCTCACAACGGCGTCTCTCTCTACCTTACCTGTCCGTAAAGATCGGCCTTTTCGCTCGCGTGCTCACAGGCAGCTTGTAGCTTTTTTGACAGCACAGAGTAGTAGCGCCTCGTAGACTTGCCCAGAGCTCTTTTGCTATTCAAGATCTTCCCAACTGATTCTGCGGCAGAAGGTATTCTCTAGTTCTTGAACCGAGTTGGTTCTGCGGGGATAGCAACATCCCGTTTGTTTCCTAGATTGCATGCAAGTGTTTCAGTGGAGACAACTCTACCCACCGCCCCTGTTACCTTAACCCCCACCTAACGACACGGCACCATGTGATTGGCCGTAGCCGGGTGAGCTCAGCAGGTTCTGTAATTGAGGTGAGGCGTGGTCAAGCCAACACCGAAGTAAATAACCTCAACTGCTTCCGGCAGCGACCAAACCATATCACCAACGGGAATCACCAAGAGCCCACGTCCAAAGATGGCAGACATAATGGCGCAGCCACCAGCACAGCTCCAGAACGGCGTACCACCGTCAGGGCAGCCATTCGTATCGAAATGGGCGTCGAGATATCGCGGGGTATGTTAAAAACCGCCGATCACCGGAAATAATGACTATCATTATCAGCTCCTCCAGCCAGCCTCGCACCACTATTCCGTTTAACCAGCCTAACTAACCCCATTTTTCTCCCAACCAGGCCACGGTAGAAGACCTCGACCCGCCGCCGGCGCTTTCGCTGACGCCGTCGGACTCGGTGTCGGTAGCGCTCATGTCGGCGTTTGAGCGCGACTACACACACCTCACCGTCGTCGACGGCGCGACGCGGGCACTGCTGGGGTACATTGCGATCCCGCAGCTGCAGGCGCAGCTCGAGGCGGGGCGGGTGCGGCCCGACGACGAGGTCGGGACGGCCATGCTGCGGTTCCGCCGCACGCGCGCCAACAAGTACCGCGTCATCACCATGGACACGCCGCTCGAGGAGCTCGAAGCCTTCTTCGCCGGCACCGCCACCGACGGCCAGCGGCAGGACTTTGCCGTCATCACTGACGACCGCCGCCGCTTCGTCCTCGGCGTTGCCACCGCCGCCGACCTCGAGGAGTTTGTCAAGCGTCGCCCTGCTTAGGGCCCGTGCCTATCTGGCTCTCTCTGCCCCAGGTGGAAATTCCAGACTCTCTATATTCTTGGTTGGTTGTTATGGACGCTAGGGGCGGGGTGCGTGAAGGGGCATGCTATTTTTGCGTATTATTCTTTATTATTTTGCGGTTTATGGTTTGTGGTGGGGGCTTTTCTAAATTTCACGGCTCCAGCGTATATCCTCATAACTCGGCGTTCAATATCTACTTTTGGGGGTTTTCCTCCCATGTTTCTGTTCTTTATTCCCCTCGACAGGCGGGTTGCGGTTTATCAAATTGGTTCAAGAGGGGGCATTCAACATGAAAAAAGGAGAGATACCATTGCACGGGACACTTCTAGGTCGGAATATTCAAGATGGTGGTGTCTCAAGACCTAAAGGGGTGTTCAAGAGAGCCGCGAAAGACACAGGTATGCCTAGATAGGTACCTAACAAATTAACAATAATTCGCGCAAGAAAATGCTGATCTGGATATATCCATGCAAATGCAACACACCGTGGCAACATCCGAGTTACGACTAATACATTCGTTCTCCTGTATGAGCTTGAAACGCCCTAAAATGGCTCGCTCACAGCCCCAATCCCAATTCCTCGCCAACCCTCACCCATTATGCGGGATCTACTCAAAGTAGTCGTAGACGAGCTTGAGCTCGGCGCGCTCGGTGCCCTTGGCAACAACAATGTTGCGGGCGTATTTCCGGACGCCCTCGACGAGCTTAAAACCCCAAATCTGGGTGGCGGTCCAGCCGTTGTCGACACTCTCGACGTGGCTGAGCACGTGCGACTCACCGCCGGGGCCCGTCTTCTCCTCATCACCCTCGAGCCAGCCCTCGGCGAGGAAGGCGTCGTCGATGTTGGGTAAGGCGATCCACTTGGACTGCCCGCGCACGGTGCCGAACAGCCAGTCCGTATGCTCGCGGAACGTGAAGTCGAGGCACCGCTTTTCCGTCGAGCCCTTGAGCCCCGCCGTGCCCGTCTGCTCGATCTCGATGTGCGTCACCGCGGCCTCGGTCGGCTCCGCTGGCGGCGACGGAGGGCCTGTGTACTGGTTCACCGATAGCGTGATGGTCGACGCCGCCACTATCTTGCGCGTCACCCACCCGATGTTTTGCAGAATGAGGCCCGGCTCGACAGAGGTAGACTCGGACTTGTTCTATTTTGGATTTAATGCTTGTCAGTTTTGAGTTTTTCTCTCTTTTTGAGGGGTTGAGTTGTTGTCTCTCTTAGAGTTGTGTCTGTGTCCGTGAAAAAAAGGACAAGAGCCATAATTCCGAGTCGCTTTGAACACAAGCATATACAGAAAACACCAACGTAATGTCCCGGCCCAGCCTCCGCCAGCAAAAAAACAACTAAAAAAAGTGCTCACCATGACCCATTTGCCGTTGAAGTCGCCAATCGTCTTGGACAGTGGGGCAGCCATGGCGGGCAACGAGCTAGAGGTGGCTTTTTTAGCGGGGTAAATTAAGGTAACGGCGTGGGTGGCGGGACGAAGGAGCGAGCCGTCGAGCAGTTTAGTTTGGTTGCTCTGTAAGGTTCAGGTTACAGTTGTTTTTGTTTGAAGGGAAATGAGTATGTACAAAAGTTTATTTTGCGGATGTTGAAAAGAGAATGCTAATGGGAAAGGGGGACGCAGGTCCTTCTTTATGTGCACATACCCCCCTCTCCCCTCCCCAAAGACAGATAGGTTGCATCCCAGTAAATGCGATGAGTGTTGCACCTCAATCCGACGCGCAGTGGCGCGCAGGCAGGGCAGGGCAAGCATGGTAGGCTGTGTGGGCGTATGGGCGGGCTGTCACTGTCACAAGAAGGGGGTGCTCGCGGTGCGTACCGAGGCAACTTCTGGCGGATCCAATTGCCTTACCTTGCTCTACCTTGGCGAGTAAAAGCAAGCCCGGTCGGTAGTCTTGGTACCGGAGTCTTGGGACCCGTATAGCTCCTCCAGTTGGGTAACGAGCGAAACCAGGATGGCGTCGAGTCCCGCCCGTTTGTATGCAGATCTAGTCTCCGAACCGGGGAAAGCTTCCTCTTCGGTTTCCCCCACACTCTCTCTTCAAACTTGGCCATCTATCACTATACCTTTGCGTCCAATACCTGCCTTGAATTTTCCAGCATGATGACTATAAAAATGGTAGACAATTAACTAAATCCTTCAATATGGCAATCGGCACGAATGCCGGCTCTATCGTGTAGCTAAAGCAAGTGGCCTGTCGGTTGCGTGATGATAGCTCCTTGAGCTGGCTTAACCTGGCCTGGAATCTAGTTCCGCGAGACAAGACGTGAATGTCGTCAATCCAACCCCACAACCTGGAAATTGCTGACAGGTACGAAGAACTCGCTGGATAAGGGGCCAGGTGATCGATGCGGGGTTCCATTCAACATTGGAAAGGCGCGTGCAAACGGCTGTTGCTCCGAGGCTTCGGCTTCCACGTGTAAGACGCCAGTTCCAGACTTTATACCAGGTTGAGCGGGTTCCCCAAACAAAACCCGCCACCTGATCTTTGCAAAGATCCCTTGGCAAACCCTTCAAGATCCGCCTGGCAAAGGGGTTGTTTCGTTTATTTGCTTCATAAATTCCCGGCTTGATATCCGTACACACATTACTGCCATCTGCGACCGACCTCTATGCTATGAAACCCGTGAACGCTAAAGCAGCATCTCAAAGCGGATATCCTAATTGTACAATACTTTCTCTTGTTTTCTCCTCCTTTCTCTCCCCTAAGGTGCTAAGGGTTCCGGGGTCAGCCTTCACCTTGACAAGGCTATTTGTCATTGGGTTCCGTACGTCTCTTTTCTCCGATTTTTGGCCGTAGCGGGTCAGCCATGTTCTAGGCCTGAGTTTCATGGCCACCAGTTCATCTTCCTGTAGCTTTCGATGACATCTTCAACCAGTTCTTTCGAGATCTTGGGTTTCTCATACTTGAAACCCACCACCTTCTCCAGCCTTGATCCATCCATGCTGAGATCTGTGTCCTTGAGCAGCTCCTTCTCCATGAACGGCGTCAGGGGCCCTGGTCTTGTGATGCCGGCCTCTGACAAAAGATCCGCCCACGGTCCTAGCAATTCGTCATTGACGTCATCCACGACGCTCTCCAGGTTCAGCTTCGCGAACACGCTGATCAGCTGACCTTGGAAACTGGTCTCGATGCCAAACACCTGGCCGATAATGTCGGCCATGGTTCCCTGGGTCGTTACACCCTTGTCAACGACGTTGAACGTCGGTACCTTGCCCATGGCCTTGTCGTCCCAGTTTGACTTCCCGGCCGTGTACCAGTCCGTAATGGCCCACAGCGCGCGTGTGACATCGTGGATGTGGACCGTGTTCGTACGGAGATCCTTGGTCCATAACCATTTCATTTCTGAATCGATCGCCTTGTACACCCTGGCCATGCAGAGCGCAGTGGCAACCCATTGTGATGCATACGGCCCGTAAACGTGTGCCAGCCGGACGATGACAAGATTCAGCCTAGAACGTGGAAACCCGCATGGGTCAGGATGTTAGATAACCACCTTCTTCGTCTTCTCTCTCGTTTCTACCCCCCAAACTCCTCAAAGCAGACTCTCATTTAGGCTTGGGTCTTGGTTCCACTTACCCCTCGATCTTAGCCAGCTCCTCTTCGGCTTGCAGCTTGAACACGCCAATCTTGCTCCAGGGCTTCAGTTTGTCCTGCTCTTTGCTCGGCGACGAGTCTGCCTTGTAGACCATGCCCGTGCTCAGCTCGACAAAGCACTTGACGCCACGCTTCGCCGCCTCCTTGCCTATGGACAAGGACAGGCCGAGGGAGCGCAGCCGGTAGACCTCATCTTCTTGCGAGTAGCGCGTCTCGCCGCCGCAGTTGAAGACGTAGTCCCACTGCTTGCCGTCGGGTCGGTCGAATATCCGTGCAAGGGCCTCTATGCGCGGGAAGATGCGTTAGCCAAGAGATGACAAGTCGGCACCGCAACTTCAACCTCTGGCGCGGAAGCCAGTCTGCCTCCCAGTGTCATGGAGCCAGCCAAGGTGGCTGGGAAGGACTCAGATGCCAAGGAAAAGGGGAAGGGAGGGGCTTGCGTACGTTCTCTGCTAGCATCCGCCTGCACGAACTTGTTTCCCGCACATGCTTCGTCGAACTCGGGCGCCAGCCATGCAAGCTGCGGCAGGGCCTTGTCAACGATGCGCACGTCGGACGCAAGACCGTTTTGATGGATGTGAAGCGCCAGGAACCGACCGATGTACCCGAGACCGCCGATGATCAACACCGACGGTTTCTCTGCCATGGTCCCTGTCTGTTTTAGATTTTTGGTCCTGGGTTTTGTTCTGCAAAGTGCGTGGTTCAGAACCTAAGCTTGTGTCTCTGCGAATGGAAACCTAAAGAGCTCGAGGGATGGGCAACGAAGGGCGGGGGCGCGGGGTTGAACGCTGGGCGACTGGGTTTAGCGCCAGGAGGTGGAGGAAGTGGGATGGGAATCCAAGAATAATAAATTTCCCAGGGTGTCCAGAGGATAGATATATTTGCAAGACGAAGGCAAGAAGAGCGGGCGTCCGGAACTCTTCAATGGGCAGGTAAGACACACCTAGATAGGTACGTAGGTCGGCCGTCAATATTATAATTAAGGTAGAGTAGAGCTTGCGGCGCAACAGTGTTGGGGATGCCGCGAGGTGTGGTCAAGACGTCGAACGGGCAAACAGGGGGTTCCTGGACGGTCAGGCACAACCACTGACTAAAGCTGTCCCACTGAGCTGAAGAAGGGTAACCTGTGGAGCCAAGGTATGTACCTTAGGGTAGGGGGGTATTACCCAGATCCGAACCGACCACAGAACCTGGAACCTGGCCACAAAAACCAGAGCTTGTGCAGCACGTTTGAAACAAGATTTCAACTCAATGTGGGTTGCTGGGCCCAGAACGGCGGTCTGGTCTAGTGGTTCCCGTCCCCACGCTTCACCTGCCAAGGGCGACAAACCGACAGATACGTGTATGTGGTGAGGAAGCGATAGGCCGAGATGCTGTAGGGCATGTAAGACCAAGATGACCTAGATGTCAGGTAACGCTGCCCTGAGCAGGGGACACCTAAGGTCCTAGGGCAGGAAGAAGGAGCGGAAACGATTCGACCAAACCACCTATAGGGCATAGAGCATGCAGGCCGGGGCGGGTGTAAGTGGAGTTTCTATGTGAGTCCCGTCAGAATCATGATAATCATAATACTTTGGATTATAGGTGTGGCGGGCAGGGAAGGTGGTGAATCTAGCTCGGGCTGTCCATCCCATGCCCGGGTCGAGAGGGTGTGTTTTATTCCCATACCACCTATCGTCTTCTGAGCTGAGGTACGGATATGGATGTATATTTACAGTACCAGCACTTTGAGGCAAGGGAGTCCGATCCCATGTCTGGAGTGAGGTCGGGCAGATACCAGTGGAGGGCAGCGAGGTGGGAAGGAAAAAGAGGCTGCTCGGCCTGATCTTCAGCTGCAGCAGCAGCCAACCTCCTCCGCATGTTGACACCAAGAAGGTTGAAGGCTCTCCACAAATCCAGTTCACATGTTCGGCGTGGTCGTGGCGCCCGGGCAGTTCCCTGTCTTTCCTCTCGGCCGCACGGCGGCTGATGCACTCCATGCTCTGCCTCGCCTCCACCTCCCCCCCCTCTGCAGTGCATTTCCTTCGTGGATCCTGAAGGGACGGTGCTGCAGAGCCTGAGGTATACTGGCCACTGGACGGGCACAAGTGGAGCAAGTGCTCAGACTTACGGAGTAGCGCTGTCAAAAGCCGCAGGGGCCACCCCTCTCATCCGCTCCTCCCCAATGTGGTAGACGAAGGGCGTCCATATCGGACAGTCAACTCACACTGAAGGCAAGAGGGCAGGAGGACAGGGTCGAGGTGCCTCCACTGCCAGGTTGACGGCGCACAAAAAACACTCTGCCTTATGTCATTGAGGGCGGACAGCATTGCCGATGAGGCCACGGCGTACCAAACAGCCCAGCCCGAAACACTCACCAATGTCTCAACCAAAGTTGCACAGCCGGACGTCAAGACCTTTTTGCCCCGCCTGCCCTGCCTGACGAAATGGTCCCAAGTCCCAAGGAGCCGAATTCGTTTGTGATGTGATGAGTGTGGTGCGTGCGACGGGACCCGCAGCCCAGCGTTCCTGAAGGGGCATGCATGCACGGAATATGTACCTTCAATGTACGTACGTGCAGGTGCTGCACCTGCATGTTTGGTATTCGGCGTTTGCACGGATATGATATGCCTATGGATACGTCTTGACACAAGGCGATCTAAAGGAAGGGATGGGAGGGAAATGCACATGTACGGATACCTATTCTTGGACGGGTCCTTGGCCCTGTTCCAGAATAACCCAACATTTCTCCCCAGGGCCAAGGCCCAGGCGCCGGGCCGTCATCCACGATTTGCAACCTACATACCTAGCCCAGGGGGCAGGCCGCGGGTTGGCTGTGAAATTTAGGTATGTACCTTATGATGTACGAGGATGGAATCATGCTCGGTTCACTCCCGCATTCCAGCTTCGTACACTACAGGAGCTTGGTATGGATTAAGGCAGCTGATGCCCCGTGGAGCCGTGGGCAAGCCAGCCAGCCGCCCGTGAGCCGCTTCCCGCTTGTGCCTTGTCCGTCCGGGGGGCGGTTCCTTCCCCCCCTTCCCAAACCCAACCCGCCATTTACATGGACCCATTTGGGTTGGGTGGATGGGACGAGTCGCCACAGAACTTCTGGAAGAATTCCTCAGGCTTGTGTGCGGCGCGTCACAGCTGAACTCGGACGAGAAATTTGGTTGGGTCGGCGGCCCACGTCCATCATTATCCATACACCCATATCCGGAGGAGGAGGAGGCGCTTTCAGCCCTTTCGGATTCCAGGTCGGGATCTCATGAAGCTGATGACACCTTCTCCCAATATCTCTTGCCAAGCAAGGTATCATTAATTCCTTCTCCAACTCCCACAAAATTCCGCCCCTCTCGGTGGGGTGAGTTTCGCGGCAACCTGACCTAACCTGACGCCGTCGTCCTGGGACTGGGACTGGAATGCATGTCTCACGGCGGCTGGTTGGTTCCATTGGGCATTGAACACCCTTGGAGCATTGGGATCGACCATCTCAGCTCTTGGTCGAGGTCAGTGGGCACTGGCAACAGATCGATCGCGAGCGATCCCCCATGAACAAGACTATCCCCAAAAGGAAACTAACGACTCGAGTCGCCGAACAGAGGGTTGCCGAGCCCGAATACCGCGCAGTTGGCAACGGATGGACGGAGCATGTTGGGCCCAGACCCCCCCTCGTCAGTGCGCAACACGCAGAGATCCCGTCCCCGTTTACCGTCAACGACGAAATAAGACGGGCTTCGACGACTAAACAGGGCAAAATAAACGAATAAAAAGAAACCATGGCCCTCGGAGCACGCACACCATGAATACGCACTCAAAAGGACGGACGGAGATGATCACTGCATGCTGCATTATCCCCGATCGACATGCCGGACAGACCATTATCATGAGATATCACACCTGGTTTGTCCGGCATCTACTCTCCAGGGGTCAGGGCCTGATATTATTGCAAGCCCCCCATTTCGTTTTCCAGCCCGCATACCGGCTTCCGGGTGGGAGGGAGCTTTCTCACGATGGCCCGGGGACGCCACCGCTGCCGCCACCGCGAGGATGCTAGCGTGACTCGGCAGATGGACGGGACACGACACGATGGTGTCACGATCTGCGGGGTTTATTTTTATGATTCCATGAACCTCGCCGTCATTTATTATCGGCCCCTTAGTCCGCAGCCTCACTTGGAGAAAAAAAGCAATATCGCCGGATCTACGCACCCAAATAGGCATAGGGAAAGACAGGAGAAAGAAAAAAAGAAAAAAAAAAAAACACTCGAGATCATGGAAACCGCCCCCCGGTCCCCTTTACTCTACGTCACGGAGTACGTCGGCATTTTGTACTTGAGAAACAGCTCGGACCGCCCGCCACGCCACCGATCACCACTGACGCCGACAGATTTCGGGACTGCCCGAATGTCCCCACTGTGCATCAACTTCAAACAAACATTATTGTTTCTACCACGTCAAATCTGTCGAATACGGAGAAAACCAACTGTAGGTTGTATACAGCTAGTGACACGAACTCAGAATCGCAAGCCCCGGCTGGCTGGCTCCCCGTGAGAGCTCCACCATGCGATGCGGTCCAAACAAACAAACAATCAATGAGCAGCTGCAGTTTCAGCTGCAGCCTCGGTGGGATAGTAGCCAAGGTAGGCAAGTCCTGCCCTGTCCTAGTCAGTTTACGTGAGAGCCCAGCCAGACGTCAACAACCACCACCACTGCATCCGCATGTCCATGTAGTGCAAGGTAGTGAGCGAGTGCATGTATGTACATTCACCAGAAGCGGGTTTAGAAACGCCAAGGCGGGCGGGCTACAGCTAGGTACATATCACCTGGCACCGTAAACACACCACTAGCCCGCCCGTCGTTGTGTTATATTCCGGATGTTCCGTGTGTGCCTGGGTGGGTGGGTAGGTACGGTAGGTACCTGTAGGTAGGGAGGGAGTGATTCGTGCCAGAGTTACCCAAGATCGAGCCGGCGAAAAAAAGAAAACGTGGCAGGTGGGTCATGCCGAGTTTGTTTGCCTCGAAACGGCAAATTCATTCATCATACGCGTGGTGGTTGCTGTAGCTGTTGCGTTGTGGTGGCTTCACTGCATACCTACCTATGTGGGATATATGTGCTCGCGCGGCGTGGAGAAAGTCGCGCTGCCGCCACAGTCCGGCTCCCCGTAAATACGTAAGTACATACATTCCGCTGCTACACAGCTTGGAAAGACGTAAAGTTAACTTGACTCGCATGTCCTCCGAATAGGTGCAGCCAACCCAGCTCTTGATGTTGTTCACAAGGGGGTGATGGCAGACAAGCGAGCTGGCCGAGGAAGTTGACGCACAAGACGCACCCACACAGACAGTCAGACAGACAGACAGTCAGTCCGGGGTTGGAGCATCAGTATCCAGTCATTGTGCCACCCAGGAGATCAAATATATAAAAACACATTTAATACAAAAATAAATTCGCCGATTTTGGGGATACAATTACGCGAAGCGTCTAAGAGGCGGCGGCGGCGGCGAGGAAGGGCGCGGGGATGGGGCGGGGGGGGGGGGGGGGGCAGGCCACGGGCAGGCCGGTGGGTGATACATACTTGCTAGATGCAGGTCATTTTTTTTTGGGGGGGGGGGGGGGGGTAGCTACAGGTTCTGTGGATGGATGGATGGAGGGATATATTACGGGACGTATGGTCCGTGAACCGCGGTCCTAGGATTCCCATGTACCCGTTCGAGTGCCGTCTTTGGTGAGTGAAACCTGCCTGCATCGGCATTGCTGGTTGGCTGGCTGGCTGGCTGGCTGGCTAGCTTGCGTGAGGCGGGATGAGATGAGATGCTGCCCTCGTCGGCGCTGAACAGCTTGATACCCCTTTTCCTTCGGTAAGGAGCAGGCTTACCTCCCCATGTGCATACGAGCTTGACAATCATGAGAGGATTTCAAGATTCGCCTCATCCCTTGTGGTTGATCATCTAGCGGATTAGCCAAAAAGGGACGAGAAGAGAGATAGTGGCACCATCGTCAGGCCGCCTCCAGCTTCTCCGTGTCACCACTTGCTATATCACGTACGCATCCGAGACAGAAACAAGATGCTGTGTCCCTATCGCTGGGCCTCGGAGACCCACGTCATAGTCTTCATTACCTGGATAGAGAAAACCAAAGCCAAAGGCTGGGGGTGGCTTGAAGTGGGAAAGACAACGCAAGTCTTACGAGGAAAAAATATCGCTAATCAACAATATAACTCCCGAGTCCAACAAAAACAACCGAAATCATAAAGGTAAAACATCACAAGATGCTCTTGGCCAGCCGCTCTGCCTCCTTTTTCGCCTCTGGGGCCCCGCCTCAAATGGCAAGTATCTTTCAACATAGAGAGACGAATAATAACAAAAACAGCGACGACGACGACGACGACGGGGATCTCATCTCCGCATGCTGCCAATGATTTCGCGCTGCGCCTCCCTGTCGCGCTGGCCGTCGCTGAGGCTGCCGATGCTGCGCAGGTCACCGACGACGTCCTTGGCCTTGCCAAAGTAGACCTCCTGCAGCAGGTTGCGCATCTTGAGCTCCATGTCCTCGACGAGGCGGCCAATGTTGGCAATGTGGTTCTCGTCGCTGTCGACGGGCAGGTCCTGCTCGACCTGGCGCGTCATGTTGCCGCTGAGGTCGACGTCGCCTAGCGTGGCGCCCTTGGTCGCCAAGCTCAGGATCACCGTCGACGTCAGCCGGTAGTTGGACGTGCGCCCGCGCTCGCTGGCCTCGAACACGTGTATCGAGTCCCACACGCCCTGGCTGCTGCCGCCGCTGCCGCTCTGGGGCGAGGCTGTGATTTTGTTAGGAAAACGTCAAGCGGGAAACTGTGGCACCGGGGAATGCGAGCCATGTAGGCAGGGGGGGAAATAGCAGGGATGGGACCGAAGGAAAGGGGACGAAGGAAAGGGGACGAATGAAAGGGGCCGCATCGTACACTTCTTGAGCAGCACTACCCCGGCGAAGCCGTCGTCGAGGTTCCAAAAGTAGACAGACGACACGCCGCCCTCGTAGTACAGGTCGCGGTAGACGTCAAAGGCCTCGTTGGCCTTGACCTCCATTTTGCGGACGCGCTCACCGGGGACGGCACCCTCGCCGGCGCCCTCGTTGCTGCCGCCCGACCCGACACCGCCGGCGCCGCCCTCATCGGCCAGCGGCGGGTCGAACTGGTTGCTCCAGGGCGAGCGGTAGCTGTCGCCGTCGCGGTTGTAGTCGCACAGCAGGTAGTCGCGCCCCGTCTGCTTGCACCGCCGCACCGTCAGCGGCTGGTCGACCGACGACAGCAGGTCCTCGGTCAGGTCCGGCGCTAGAGAGATGAGGTTGTTGAGATGCTCGGCCGTGTGCTTGGGGTTGAGCCGCCGGAGGAGGTCCCTGGCGGCGGCATCATGGTTAGCAATGGAAATGAAGCTGCCTCGGTCGACAAGGGGCGGAAGACAGGGCAGAGTCGCAAGTCCAAAACTTACAGCGCCGAATCAAAGGGGTCGGCAGCCATTTTTGTGCGTGTTTACTTTGTATTGTGTGTTCGTCGACGGTGGCTGCCCAGCTGTTTCTTGACCAGAAGAGATGTGAAGTCGCCGTCGGCCCGTGGGGTTCCAGAGCTCTGGAAATGTGTCGCACCTTAATGCCCGACTGGACAGTTGTAACGAGCTGGGCGGGGTCCTTACGGCACATTTGGCGGGGTAACGGTTGACTTTCCAGGGGCTTGTGTGAAGTTGGGTATCCCGTCCAGGGCATCCCTTTTTCGTCGCTTATTAGCCCAGGCCGCTAAGGTGTTCTCCCTGGCGCCATTTCCAGATCAACCTAGCCTCGTCTAGGCCGGTCGGTAATTTATCAAGGTTCCCAAGGAACAACCTCAACGGCTCGGAGCAATTCTGAGGTCCCATTTCGGGGGACTTGGTGGGTTTGGCATTGGGTTGACACAACAGTCCCCAAGGTAGGTACAGCAATTGCAACAGAGATCCAAGACTCTCATCAGAGGCTAAAAACAGAGCACGATGAAGCTCATTGGTGAGTGAGAGCATCCATCCCAAGCAACTCCAACATCACACGATCAAATAGCCGGCCTTGGTAGCAGAGTAACTAACAGCCACACAGACGTTGCCCTCTCGCTTGTGGTGCCGGGGCTGGTTCTGGTGCATCTCGCCGTGGCCCCCTTCACCAAGGTCGAGGAGTCGTTCAACATCCAAGCCGCCCACGATGTCATGGTCTACGGGACGCCCACGGCCGATGTCTACCAGCGGCTCTCGGGCACCTATGACCACTTCACCTTCCCGGGTGCCGTCCCGCGGACCTTCATCGGCCCCGTGCTGCTGGCCGGCATCGCCCAGCCCGTCGTCGCCCTCGTCGGCTTCGACCACGCCCAGTTTGTCGTCCGCGCCATCCTCGGCCTCTTCAATGCCGCCTGCCTGCTCGTCTTTGCCCAGAGCCTCAGACGCGCGTATAGTGACGCTGCGGCGAGGTGGTACTTGCTGCTCCAGGCGAGCCAGTTCCACGTCATGTATTACGCCTCCAGGACACTGCCCAACATGTTCGCCTTTGGCCTGAGTGAGTCTACCATATCGCTTGCTACCTAAGGCACTCTAAACACGAAACAAAACGCTGCTAACTAACCACGCAACCCCCAAACAGCAACCCTGGCCTTCTCCTTCCTGCTGCCCCAGCCCGGCAGGAGAAAGTCTATCCTACCGCGCCAAAGACTAGCCATCACCATGTTCGTCTTCGCCGCAGTCATGTTCCGGTCTGAAGTCGCCCTGCTGCTCGGCACCAGCGTGCTCTACCTGCTCTTGGTGCCCGAGACGTCCGTCGAGCTGATCATGCTGCCCTTTGCCGTGGCCTTTGCCATGGCCCTCTTCATCTCGGTGCCCGTCGACAGCTACTTCTGGCAGACGCCCGTGTGGCCCGAGCTTTGGGGCTTCTACTACAACGCCATCCTGGGCTCCTCGTCCGCCTGGGGCGTCTCGCCGTGGCACTACTACTTCACGTCTGCCCTGCCACGCCTGCTCGTCAACCCGCTGGCCTGGGCTGTGCTCCTCCCGCTCGCCCTCGGCCACCCCGCCGTCGGGACCGCCGCTCGCCGCCTCGCCGTGCCCTCCCTGCTCTTCGTCGCCATCTACTCTCTCCAGCCTCACAAGGAGGCCCGCTTCATCTTCTACGTCGTGCCCCCGCTGACAGCCGCCGCCGCCCTCGGCGCCAATCTCGTCTTCAACCGCCGCGCCAAGACCGTCGGTGCCAGCCTCTTGGCTCTCGCGCTCGTCGCCTCCGTGGCTCTATCGTTTGTCGCGAGCACTGCCATGCTGTTAATTTCCTCCCTCAACTACCCCGGCGGCGAGGCCCTCGCCTTTCTCCGCCACGTCGTGGAGCTCGAGGGAGCCGGGGCCCCCGCCGTAGTGTCGGCCCACGCCGACGTGCTTGCCTGCATGACGGGCGTCACCCTGTTCGGCTCCGCGACCGGCTCCGCCATGCCCGACGCCGGCGCCGGCGGCTCCACGGCCCCTGCTGGTCAAAGCAGCGCAAACATAGTCGGCGGGCGAGCCGGCGCCGTCACCCTCACGCTGGACAAGACGGAAGACGCCGCGGTGCTCGCGCAGGACGATTTTTGGCGGCGCTTCGACTACGTGCTGGTGGAGGACCCGGCCAAGGTCAATGGTGGCGACTGGGAGGCGATTGGCGTCGTGCAGGGGTACGGCGGAGTCGAGTTCGTCGGCGGCGTCGACGCGAAATCGGAAACCGCGGCATCTCCAGGCAGCAGCAGCAGCAGCAAAGGTCCCGCCGCCGTCGGCACAGGAGCCACTGTGGCGCAGTGGAAGCGGCGCGTCACGGCGCTGACCGGCGGCCGCTGGCTCGGCCCCCGCATGGTGCCCAGGATCTACATCCTCAGGAGGCTTAAAGATGCGAGACGGTCGCGAAGGATTGTCGACGCGTGATGTGATGACTAACATGCAGTGTGATGTAGGTGGAGGTGTAGGTCTTGTTTTTTGTTGTTTTGTTTAGAAAAGTCATGGAGAGAAAAAAGCCTGACATAGCGGGTTGGTGTACTGTACTTATTTCAGGGACTAGTCGGAGTTATTACTTTAGTAATCTAGCGTGTATTATTCCAAGAGACATTCAGTGAATTTGTTCTTTTGAACCCATTACTGATCTACTGGTTCCTTACTTTCTTCCCGTCACCTGGTTTTTGTTTTGCGCAAAGTAACAACAAGGTAGGAACTAATAGTAATATACCAATGTCGGGACTATCCGAGAGAAAAATCACGAAAGCTTTGCAACGAGGGGGGTGAGAAGTGGAGAAGACAGATGGAAAAAAACAAAAAGTTAAAGCCGTTTTTAGAGATAATACAACAGACGGCAAGTTTCAAGACGAAAAGGATATTTGAGATAATTCAACAGACGACAAGTTTTAAAATGAAAAAAAAGATAATACCAGTCACTCATCCACTCACCCATATTTCATCCGGGTTTTCTTTCGTTTTTTTCGAGTACTCCTATATCCTTGCTGGTTGACTGGACTTATCTGACTTGACTTTACTGGCTAACTGCCTACCCACCTGCTTTACATAAAACCCACGGCTCCAAAACAACAAACTTTAAAGAGAAAGCCCAAAAATAATCCTCCGCCGCATGCGTCCATCAGTGAACCAGAGCCAGAGTTAGATTTATGGGGGTGGGGAGGTTGCGACCGAGTCTTGGAAAACCTCTCTTTCATTGATCCATCATCTCTGTTGGAAAAAAAACAGCTTGGCCGTCAAGTGACGAGTGACAAGTGACGAGAGAGAAGAGAACAAAAGGGGGTGGGATTGGTGGATACCTAGAGAGACACTTAAGATTTTGTTTCGTATCGAGATAAAAACCAGAACCAAGTAAAAACAACAGCAACAAGAACAACAAGAGCTAGCAACGATAACAAAACAAAGGGAGAGGGAGAGCAGAAAAACAATAATAAAAAACCCCCATCGAGATAAAGCTCAAATAGAAAAAAAGGATATCAACCATACGTCGATGTCCTTCCACCCGCCCGCTCGTCAACCACCCTCTAAAATAAACCGAGGGCCGCGTTCAACCTTCATTCCTTACATTGAACAGGTGGGGTAGGGGATCCTTGTTGCTGCTCCTTCGGTTCCTCCTCTGTTTTCATCCCGTCCATGATGATAGTGTTGATGACGATAATAGTAATGTTCCCACCCACTTCCGAACATAGAGACGTCCGCATTAACCCCTTTCAATCCCGATAAATCCAGATCACACCGTCCAAACCGCCACGACACTATCCCTAGATGGGATTAAAGACAACTCAGTCGTAAGGTGCCCGGCTCGACCATCTTACACCTACAAACCAGCTGGGCTCTTTGTTTGCTCCACGCCTTGATAAACAAAAGAAACTTCTTTAGTCTCCTTGTCTATTGAAGCGCCGAGGAGCAATTTGCACCCTTTAGAGCGATTTCGACCCATGGAACCACATTCTAACCTACCCAGTCTTCAGTTGACCTGGGAGCGGCACACTAGACATCTGACAGGCTCGGTCCATATTTTTTCGCCTCCGACGATGCCCTCGCGGAGATCCTTGAACTCTAGAAGGGGAGGACCAGCATCCACTGTCTTGAGCGCGACTTCAAAGAGTCCCTCCCAAGGCTTGGAGCTATCACCGTTTGCTTCCGATGCCCTCTTCCGTGGCCTGCCAGGCTTCTTGTTGCCAACTATTGGCAGCAGCTTGCTAGACATTTTGATGGGCGTGTCTTGGTCATCCTTCTCGCTTGTTGCCCGCGCTCCTGCAGATGCTGCCGCGAGCGAGTCCTCTCGCGCTGCTGCCGCATCTTCATCCTCCGACTGCTTGACATCGACGTTGTCGTTTCCGACGTGGACCGCATCAGAGCCGTCATGGGCCTTGACGTCGATCGAGTGCTGCGCCGAAACACCTGCGCCCGTCTCCGTTGGGCTAAGAGGTCGCTTCGCTTCATCTCCGTCCTTCTCGTCCTTTACTGATTCGGGGGGTAGGTGGGGCTTGTCGGTGCCAAGTCGTTGATATGTGTCTCTGAGTGCCTGTTCCTTAATACAATCCTCATGCATCCACTTCTTGCACAACTCTGAGGTACAGCCGACTAGGAGCTTATCAGGGTGCGCTGGTGTGTTGCAGCTGCAAACAAGCTCGACCGTCTGAAGGTGGGGTATTAGTACGGGGAATTTTGAACTTGGGTCTATCGACTGCCGGAACGCGTACCGAGAGTTCATAAGTCCGGACGTCGAAGGCCTGGCGCCAGTAGAGCGCATTCTGGATTTCATCATCATTCTCCTCATACCACTGCTTGACCACGGCCGGCGACGTGACGCTGACCACGTTGATGATATCCACTGGGAAGTGTTAGATTAGATGGCCCAGCAGCTAATATGCAGGGCCGGATGGCACGATGTACGCGATGCTGCTTACTGTGATTGGAGGCAATCAGCTCGTTTATGCCATGGTAAGGCTGACGACCTGAGACGGACTTTTTGACGTCGTGGGTTCCCTGGGGGAGCTCGTCCGGCCAGTACATCCAATAGACGCGGGCGTATACGTGGTGCTCGTCGCTTGCGCGGATCTCGAGGATGCGCGCAACCCAGTCGTCGTCGGACTTCTTCCGGGGATGAATAGGCTCGTGGGACGACTTCTGCCGCTCGATGCTCGAGTCGTTTGCGACGTAGATAAAGCCCTCGCTGAAATATTTGACGCCGTTGACTGTGTGAGGGAATTGGTCAGCATTGGCAATGGTGGCCATGGATCCGCTGAGCGCGCGACGGATCGAGACACGCGTGACAGCAGCAATACTTACGAACGAAGCTGTTGTATCTTGTCATGTCTGTCCACTTCTTGGCGGGCTCGACCTGGTAGTGAAGATCCATAGTTTCATAAGTCTTCAGCTTGCCCGACGGCGAGAACGGCGACATCTGCAGATTGATGCGCTGGCTCGTATCGTCATCGTCGCCGGCACCCTCGAAGCGCCGGCGCTTCGCCTTTTTCTTCTGCTCCTTGTCTTTAGGATCAACAAGTTTGATGACGAAAGGACACTCGGCCCGGTTGTCTTCGGTCTCGGCCCTAGGCCTCTTGCGCGCGGACGCCATGGCGGGATGCGAAAGGGCGCGACGGGGAGGTTGGGTTGATAGATGCGGTGGCGTCAGGATGACAGGGGGGGATAAGAGCAAAGCAAGAGACGGCGTTTGGCACAAGTCGGCGTTGGATTGGGGGGTTGATAGTAGCGATGGGCAGTTAGAGAGGGCCGATGTGGGGCCGTAAGGGGTGATTGTTGGCGCGAATAGGTTGTCGGAGATGATGATGGGAATGTGTGAGCTCGGGGGGGCTTGATGGAGTCGAGGGCGAGATGGCGAGAAAACGGGATTCGGCAGCGGATGCGGATGCGGTGGCTGGGAGGGAGACCACCTCTGAGGGGATGGGGATGGATGCGAGGGAGAAAGATGCGCGACCGGTTCGATCGGCGACTCAGTCGCCAGCTAGGCGTGCAACGGATGATGGTGGCTTACTAGTGAATGCCCCGAGCCGTTATTGCTCAGATGAGCGATGCTCGGGTCGCCAATGGACGATGCGAGGGGATGCTGTCGCAAAGAAGTTGACAGCGTTCGAAATTTCGGAAATCGCGTCCGCCACCGAGCTACCAGAAAAAAACATGGCTCCAGCCACGTGATTTCTTCAGCACACACACAGCCCAGGGCTGTTTATGTAGGTAAGCTCGGGGGGCGGCCAAGGATGGGGAGAGGGGACGGGGGGGTGCGTGAGGAGAAATGCGGTCTGGTGTGGCTGGTAATCTGCCGATTTCGTACGAGTCGGAGAGAGAGCGAGAGGCAACAAGTGGGCCCAATTCCTTCTGCGCCCCTCCCCCCCCCCAAGGATTCGCCCATCTCTGTCAGTGTCCAGTCTGGAGCCACGGACCGTACCTGGTTCCTGATGACACTTTTTTGGACTGGCCTGAGGCTATTATTAGCCATTAACTCGACCTGAAGCCGACGGTGGCTCTACTTTGCGTACAGAATACCTAGGTACTGAAATGGGTTTAATGGATTTACAAAGACCCTTAAAAGAGGTTAAACTTGAAGTCACTCGGCCAACTCGCAACTCAGAACTTTGAAACTATCCGTGCTTTGAAGTTTTAAATTGCCTTCTGTGAATTCACAATTGCCTTTTGGGCAACAACACGGATTGAATTGCCGGTATTATGCGAGGGTTAAGGTAATGGACCGCCAGAGGCACTTCAACTCGAAAAGAGGCACTGTGCCACTTCCATGTTGGTATACTCACCGAGTGTTGGTTGCAAACAACTACGGGTTATTCCCGGCGCGGATTCTGGTAACACAGGAACTCGGCCGAGTTGAGGACAAGTCGACGAAGGTGGTAGGAACACATCCACAACAAAGACTCATGTTAGACACTTCCATGATGTTAAAATCGGATGGAAACAAACTACCTAGATCCAAACACCATCGCTATGAGCAAAAATAAAGAAGTAATCGACCAACTCCATTGTTAAGCCAGTTACAAACCAAGTAATTCCAGGCGGTCGCTTACGTATGCTACCGCCTACGACGATCATCACCATCATCGTCTTCCTCGTCGTCGTCATAGGCGGCGGCGGCCGCAAGGATACCCGGGCTGTCGCTCTCGCTGTCTCGTCGCGCCGCCTCAACAATAGGCGATGCGCCGCCTTGGCTGAGCTTGAAGCCTTCGATGATCTCGGCCAGTTTCTCGCCCTCTCTCTTGCCGCGATCCACGTCGATGAACCAGATGAACGATGCTGGGAGCCCCACGAGCGCTGCCAGAAACCAAAAGGCGGGCCGGATTTCGCCCGACGCGTCGATGATGGCGCCGACAATGGCCGGTCCGAAGACGCTTGAGCCCTTGTCCGTGATAGCATAGAGAGCGTAGAAGGCCGCTTCCGATCCCGGTGGGATCAGTTCGCCGTAGAGGGACCGGCAGTACCCACTAAGTCCGCCGAGGACAAACCCATAGACGCCGGCCAACGGATACATCTCCCAAGGCTGCTGAAGTCCCATTACACCCCAGTTTCGAACAAACGGGAGGTAGCCCATCAGGCCGTATAATGGTATAATTTCGAAGAGGGCAATGCAGGCAAGAATGGTTTGGTGGGCCTTGAGCTTGAATTTCCGCGAGATAAAAGACCAAGAGAAGGCGCCGACAATGCCCATCATCGTAGCTATCACGTTGATCAGGCCCAGTGCCCAAGTTTCCATATGGAGCTGGGTCTTGGCAAAGAGTATGGCAGTTGACGAAGTCGTTGCAATGGCGTCTGACAGCAGAAACCAGCCACCAAGGAAGAGCACAATGTCTACAAGCCGCCGTGCCAGCTGTATGGTGCGGAAAAGCGACTTCCATGCGAAGATAGTATATGATATCCAAGCACGAAACCCAGTGTGGCTTGACGACGAAGGTAACGGCGGGCCAGGCCGGGGCCGGAGCCACATGGCTGCTGGTACGGTGAAAATAGCCCACCAGGCGCCGATAGTGAAGAGAACTACCCGCTGAGACCAGGTTGAGTTCTTCATCTGGATGAGGATAAAGACGGCAACACATTGCACAAACAGACCAGCAATGTATCCAATGCCGATTCCCTTGGCGGATATCTGCGTCGACAGATTCAGCTCGATGGACGTCAGGTCTTCGTGGCTGCGGACCCGGGAGATGCGGTGCCGCCTTCGGCGCGTGATAGCGCTTGGAAGCAATGCTGCTGTCGAGTCTGCCATGCCGCTTTCTGTATCTGCGTCGAGAAGGGTCGAGTCCTCCAGGAGTTGAGACTCGTTGCCTGCCGCGGCGAGGTCAGGGGTCGGGGCATTGGCCGAGTTCCGCACCGACGAGTGATTCCGTACGAGGAGCGGTAAGAATGAGTTGAGGAGCACAAAAGAAGCGCCAAACGACGTGTTCGAGATGATGGCCAGCAGCGCACCGAGGAGGTATATTCGCTCGGACACGAAGATATACAACATAACAGAGAAGCTTCCGATCCAGGCGAAGGCAAGCAGTAGCTTCTTTCGGTAGTTTCCGTGGTCGGCCGCACAGCTTATGCTAACGACAAGAAGCGCTTGTAGCAGGACGCTTATGCTAAACGTGTACATAGCAAAGCTTGCCGTATTGATCTCCAAGCCGAGTACGTAGATGACACACTGCCCATCGTCGTCTGCATCCTTGTCCGTGCTCGAGCCGCAGGGCGATACGTGGTCGGAGAGAAGGACACCATTCTCCCTAGCAAGACTCTCGAGGAGTATTGGGATGAAAGACCCTGTCGGTTTGTTAGTTATAGGTGCAAAGGCTCGAAATGCTTATGGCCGCAACGATGCCACAGAAGAGGTGCCGAGATAGGAAACAGAAGTCTTGGAAACGTACCGATACCTGCAGCAGCAAAACCAGTTAGTTAAAGTACTGCAGCAGTAAAACGAGACGGTGATGTAAACCGATAAAGCACATGGATGTACTGACCACAGATAACATAGACTTCGGCAGCGAATGCATATGCGTACCAGCCAGCAAGCTCTTTGGAGCTGGTGGGGCGCGTGTCTTCACCAGGATAGCGGGCCAACGGCGGAGAAGCTCCATTTCCGTTGATCGGGCGGCTGTTGCTGCTACTACTGCTTCTGTGGCGGCTGCTGCTTCTGCTTCTGCTCCGTCTGGGACTCATCCTGCCAGAAATTCCGGCCGAGGCCGATGCCGTGTCTGATCGTTCGTCGTCGGCCTCAAAGGAAGAGGAGTGAGATCGGAACGAATGCTTGGACGCGTGCGACAACCGGGATAATTGACGCGGAGCCAGTGGTGGCGGACGAGCATCTGGCGGGCGAGCATCTGGCGGGTTCCGGGGCGCCATGGCAATTCTTCCCACGCCAACGGGGGACCTCAGCACTAACCCGAAGCCAGTGGTGAAAGTGGGAAAGGTGGGCACCGGGGCAGGCTGCACTGCGGCAAAGCACCCACTAAGATCGAGCCGTTCCTAGCAGCAATGGAAAAAGCAAATCCTGATCCAGTCGGATGTCAAGCAGCCCAGCTTTATTCCGTATCCCTCCTGGTGGCGCTGAATCGCGGGTATCGCCCATAAAACGCAGCTGGCGTGCGGCCACTTGAAAAGGAAAGGGCGATCAGTTGAAGCGTTGACCCTGGGCCGCTGTTTTGACAGTTTGGATTCGAGGTTGGACAAAGTAGGGGTCCTTAGTGTACACTTGTAGTAGACAGCACCTTTGCATGTACTGTAATTGCATGCAGGCGGGAAGCCAGCCTGTGGCCGAATAATACGGATAGACTCGACGTGGTAGCAGTGGAAGCGGTAGCAGCTCGATGAGGAGTGTCTTCGTAGAGAGGAGGGTGATGGCGAGGCTGGTCGGGATAAACCAAGAGGACCGCGAAATGGCATCTGGATGAACCGAACTCAACGTCGGGTCGATTACCTACCACTAAGTCAAGGCCATCTCCAGCAATGCCGTCCTCTTCTAGGCCACAGGACACAGGTCCGGTGTTCGCCGGCCTCTTGTGTAAGATGGTTGGTTGACGCAGAAGCGAGGATACAGGAAGCCTTGGAAACGCCGACCTTTATCAGACTTCGCATACCTACCTCCTTACCTTGCCAACGCTAGGCATGTATGCAGCTACGTTGGGGTACGGGTTGGAAGCGGGCAACCCCTACCGGGTGAATACCTGGGTTGCCTTGGAGGAATCTGGGGAGCATGAAAGAAGTGGGTGGTCCGCAAACACCTCCATCCGGTGGGCAGGCGAGAGAGAGAGAAAGGGGCCTGAGGGGGGTGCGGAAGTGGGAGTGGAGGGGATTCTCAAGTTCTCGCCATAAAGAGCTATCTTGTCAGGCCAAGCTCTGCGTCTCGAGAGAAGAAGACAAATCTGCTTTCTTGAACCATTTGAGAGCTGTCTTCCCCTTTCAGCTCCTGCGAGCGAACACGTATGGATTGGCTGTGCGTGGATTATGTCTAATTCTCCGAGCCATCAACAGAGAGTCAGCTCATGAGTTGCTGCGGAGTTGCATGGATGGAAGCCATCGGCGCGTGGGACGCTTGGATCTGCACTGCAGGTGGTCAGGCGGCTGAGCCAGCTTCTGGCCGCATAAAACTCGACCCCCTTTTCGCATATATACCCAATGAAAACCAAGCTCAGCGCACGGCATCTCAAGAGTTGACCTTAGCTCTTCACCTTCCCATAGTGTACGTTTCCGACTCCCATCATTGAAAGTCTTGGTGAGGGATCGAAAGAGCTGGGCCCCGATGGCTGCCAAGCCGGCCACCTTCCAGTGGGTTAAGGAGGGGTCGTGCATTCCGCAACGAGGATGGTGCAATCGGGGGCGGGCCTTGGAGATCAGCGGCCCTGTCACATCGCGGAACTGGGGTGTTCCTGGCTCCCCAAACCCATTGCAAGCTGAGAAACCGGGGACGACCATTCTCAAAGCATCTGCCAATGAGAGTATGCGAGTCGGCTGTGACTTGAAGAACGGCAGACCCGCGGCTCAGGTGAAATCGAGTCCAGACAAGCCCCGAATCAGGCAAAAGCCCAATCCAAGCGCTGTGGGTCTAGGACTCCATTCGGTAGCACCTTCCTCTGGCTACAAGTCTCCCTGTTATCCGTATTGTCGTGGTGAAAGTAATCCAATCCCTGGATGTTTGTTAGAGGGCACTTTCAAGATTTGCAAGGTCTTAATAACTTACGGCTCGCCCTAAAGGTCTTTCGCTTGGGAGGTAAAAGCTATTAGAATCCCTATTTCAGAATCTTGGAGGCTTTTCTCTATCTTAGAAATACCTATGAAAGCCTTTTCCTAGCCGTTATATTTACTGTGATCTTCACTACTTGTAAGTATCTACGTAGGTACTACGCTAACAAACATTCAGGGATTAGAGTCCCTGAGTGTTTGTTTGCGGGGGACTTTCCAAGATTTGAAAGGCCCCAATAACTTACGGCCCACCCTAAAGGTTTTTCGCCGAGGTAGGTAAAAAAACCATCGAAGCCCATTCTAGAGGCCTATCTCTTCTCCAAAAATACGTATGTTAAAAATCCATTAGCGCGAACCGTAAGGAAGTAAGGCCTCTTCAATCTTGGAAAGTCCCCCGCGAACAGACATTCAAGGATTGGATTGTATGCACAGATTGGCTTCGTGTCAACGAGAGAGACGGGATCAGACCCGGTATGAAAGCCAAGGTTCCTTGAAAATGAGAAAAGAAATGGATGTGATGCAAGTATAAGAAAGAGGCAGGAGGCAAACATCTCCAGACGTTTATCCCTAGCACTTGGATTGCGCACAAGCTAGGCAAGGATTGAGCTGTCTTCACAAACAGCCATGACCTCCCTCTGAATTATATATAGCAGCGATCCCGAGACTGCAAAAGAAAAGCCGCAATGGCGTGGTATCGATGGAGAAGCAAAAATGAAAAAGCAAAGCAACATTCTCCTCCCATTTCCCGACGTGTTTTTTTGTTGAGAACCACCGACTGGGTTAGCTGAACTAAGCCCGTAACTATCAACCGAGGTAACTACGGAGGGGGCGCGCTTCGATGCTTCTATTTCTTGAAGATGGATCCTAGAAGCTTGTACTTGAGCTTGTCGGCCAGGCCGACAGGCGCCACGGCCACAGCCTCTCCATCCACAACCGTTGCTCCGTCCTTGATGGACTCTCGGGGCGTAGCTAGGCGCTCGTTACCCGCACCACCGCGGCCGGTGTGATGGTCCACATTGTCTGAGCTGGCCCGGACCGCAGATTCGGGAACGATGTCTTTGTCGAGCCGAGACGTCGTCGTGGCGCCGGCATCGCCAATGTTGGCAGCACCTGTGTGTCCAGCAAGTCAGAAAAAAATGGTCTCCTTCTTTCTAGCTCTCCCTCTTTCACGCCTGCTTCACGATTGGCATGTTTGCACGGCCACGGGCGACCTTTAAATCCTCGAGCTAGCGATTTCCTTATCGGCGCTCGGGCCTTGGCGTGCAAGGTGGAGACATGTGTATCCCTCTCGTTTGTAGCGATAAGGCGGCTAGCAATGACTCCAGCTTTGGACTTCAAAGTGCAGCTGCCAAGAAAGCACAAAGGCCAAAGACTTCCGGCCTCTGGCGAGTTCTCGAGGCGACCACGGCGGTAAATGCTCTTGGGAGTTATGGGAGAGAGTGCGCCATACCTCCGCGACCAGTGCTGAAAGCTCCGTCCCCGTGACTGCCCACTTCGCCAGCACGAACGACCTCTCCATCAACATAGGGCGTGTCGTCAGGGCGAATGTTACCAGCGCCGCCTCGGCCGTGCGAGACATCGGGGCCTTCGGTGGCGGTGGCGGTGGCGGTGACGGTGGCCATTGCTGAGATTTGCTATGACGGACTGGTATAGGACTTTGATGACGTGGTTATAGAGGGCTGAAGGGCTGCGTAGTAAATGAGAAGCAAATGTTGAATGGAAGATTGAAGAAGGGGGCTGCGGCAGTGGGTTATGGTCTTATAAACAGCCCCTCCCCACAGGCACACCAGTCAGGCAGATAGGCGCACTATTGGCAGGCTCAAGTCATGTCATGAGACGCCATTTTCGCCCTTTGGGCTTGGGAGCCAGCCTGATGCCCATTGCCCAGAATGCGGGAGATAACGCAGGCCGTGCCAAGACTTAAGGGCTGGGACGGAAGCAAGTCGGTTTGCTGGGGGATTTGCGAAGAGTATGCTGTTCCGTTCGCAAACGGGATAGGCACAAGTAATTTGGTGGACACACACCTAGGTTGCTGGGCGCTGCCCGCTTTGAGCTGGAGCCTGTGACGTCTTTGTGAGATTGCGCGATATCGCAATGAGCCTTGCACGCACTAAATGAGGCACAAACCCCCACGCTACACGCTTTCAGAAGTTGAGCAGTGGCTGGGTATTCACGGCGTTCACTGTGGCTCGGAGCTCTCTCGCTGTTTGTGCCCTGGACTGCCCATGCCCAGGCCGCTTCGAAGCTTTCAGTGCCCGTGATCCGCCTAATAGGTAATACAACTCACAGTGAGCACTTTCGGCAAATTTTTCATGTCATTTGTTGTTAGACTTTTCTAAACAAGGAACGAGTCCTCTCTCCGAAGATCGGCGAGCAACAAAACCCTACCTACCTCACTTTTATTATATCGTATTCTTGAGAGAAATTTTGCGCCAGGTCTGTCATGGCATCCAGCTTCGTACTTTCATACGAAAGTCACCTGGAAGAAAACTGACCAATGTCTGCGGTTCGAGATTCCATCAATAACGGGGCTATTGAATTCTGTTTTAAGTAACATCTAGCCTAACCTGACCGTTTAGCAGCCTACCCGAGGGGCTTGACGATGACATTCCTGCTTCGATAACGCTTGCAAGTGAGTTTGCTTGTTTATGCGATTATGCGCTTAGAAGCGTCGAGAGCGCTAAAATCGGCCTCACTGTGCGCCGCATGCCTGCCTGTGGAGAAAGCCGTCCAGACTCAAGAGCCACTCAGCTCAGTCCAAACGCGCCCAACAACACGAAACAGCATTACGTATCGGTTTTCTGCAGGGGTGCGCTGACCACGCAAATACTTGATATGGGCTGCCGCATCTCCGGACGGTGGTTGAGGACGCGGACGCGGGAAGCTAATGCGCGAGCCTGAACAAGCAAATTTCAACCATTCCGCTATTCCGCTTTGGAATCGAGTGTGGCAAGGCAGGCGGGGGTGCGCTTCAGCTCGGGTGCGGTTCTGAGCAACGGCCTCTGCTTTGGTACTTCAACTTGGTCTTCAAGAGAAGATTTATTTGCTTCGGGAGCCAGGCAGCGAAAAGCTTTATAGTCCCAGAGTTCTACGATAGAAGAACCAAGAGATCTTTCAACACCTTACTGTCTTTCCATATTTCATTCCTTTGCTCTGAAGCTGCGCGACTCAAACGAGGGGACTTACACTGATAAGATAAGAGCTCGCGTTATTGAGGGGGTGGATATTATTGGCCGAAAGTTTGATGGTCTGATCTTACTCCACATCGAATTAATGCTCAACAGGGGATCACAAAGAGTTCGGCCAAGCATCTCTTCAGTTCGAAATCGGCTCCAATGTTAGAGCCGAACGAATGCGTATCATAGAGATTACCTACCACAAGCCAGAAGCTTCGGAATACTAATCTGCCAGAAGCTTCGGAATACTAATCTGCCAGTCTCTATATTTTATTGACATTGTGTTGGTATAATGCTATGCTATGTATGCTATGGAGCACATTCCGGGAATTATATGCCCAAAAATGACCAAAATGGAACCTGACTCAACTCAATTAAGACCGACCCAGGACATGAAAGAAAAAAGCAACAGCCAAGCCCGGCGATGCTCAACACTCGACAAACCATCTCTCGTCGGACAGGCCGTTTTGCTTTTCCAGCTCCTCCGTCGCCCGCGGGTTCTCGTAATCGTACTCGCCCAGGTCCAAGTCAAGCTCGCTTCCTTTGCCGAGGAGAGCCTCTCCACCAGTCTCCCTCTCGACCACCTCCATCTCGGCCAGCAGCCGCTCGCGCTCGGCAACGACGAGGTCGTACCACTTGCGCTCGGCCATGTGCCTGCGGATGAGCTCCGTCTCGCGGGCCGCCAGCTTCTCGGCCTGCCGCTCGCTCGCCGCGTCCATGAGCTCCTCGCGCACCGCCAGCTCGTCCTCGGCCACGTACCGGAACCGCTCCAGCTCGTCCGACTTCCATCTGCGCCACGCGTCCATGCGCCCGTCGTTCTTGCGCATGTAGTCTCGCATCGCCTGCTCCAGCCGCACGTGCCCGCCGACCTTGTCTGCCCAGAATGTCCGCAGTGCTGCTGCGTACTCTTGCTCGAGCTGCTTCTCCCAAGCCGCACGCACGCGGTAGTCTTTCTCCCACTCGAGCTCGCGGCTCCGGATATCGGCCGCCGCCGCCGCCCGCAGCTCCGCCCGCTCGGCCTCGTGCTTCTGTGTTTGCGCGGCGCGCTCCTCGGCCGCGCCCGCAGTGCACGCTACTAGCTCGCTGTCCTGGGCCGAGAACAGCGAGATGCGCTGGAAGAGCTCAAGCTCGGCCAGGCTGATGCGCAGCCCTTTGTACTTAGGCTCGAGCGCCGCCAGCCTAACCTCCTCGCGGTGCAGGCGCTCCGCTTCCTCGGCGGCTCTAGCCTCGGCGGCCTTGCGGCGCTCCTCGCGCTCGAGGTTCGCGATCAGCTCCAGCGCCTTAGCCAGCCACGCGTCTTCGGCCGCCTGTGCCTCCTCGCGCACCTGCCTCCGCTGCGCTGCGCGCTGCTTGATCTCGTTCAACATGGCGATGTTGCAGGCACATGTACACCAGGCTGCACCGCAGACGTAGCAAAACTCTGCTCCGCACCTGCACGTCATGTGCTGGCAGGCTTCGCGGTGCTCGACTAGCACGCTGCATCGTATGCAGCGCCTCCACCCCTCCTCTTCCGCCAGCTGGTCCGTAAGTAGCCGGTCGCGGTCCTGCGGGCATGCCTCGGCCGTGTCGTGAGGCGCGCCCCGGCATAGTAGGCACATGGTGTGTCCCTTGGAGCACCGCGCCGTTTTGCGGGCCTGGTCGACTTTGCGCACCCACTCTCCGCAGTCCGGCTCGCTGCAGTAGATGCGGTTCTCTACCGGCACCTTGTACTCCTCGTCTTTGTCCTTGTATTGCTGCAGGAGCTCGTCACCGACATGCCGTGCGATGGTCCGGAAGGGTATTGGGTTCAGGCAGCACTTTGGCGGCCACTGCGCCTCGCTCGTGAGCGTGACCTCGATGAGCCGCTCAAAGCACTCGGCGCAGTAGTAGTGACATACCGTTTTGACTCCGTCCTTGGGGGTGATGTCCTCGAGGCACGACACGCACTCTACTGTCTCGGCTGCTGCGGCCGCTTCCGCCTCTGCCGTCGTAGACTTGATGTTGTTGTAGATGAGCTGCGTGATGGGCCCGGGACCAGCGAAAGTTGCTGCCGCTGCCGCCACCACCGGCACTGCTGCAGGGGAATAGCCCTTCGACCACCCCAGACGAACGGCGCGGGCCTGTGACTGCCGCTCGTGGTAGAGGTCGTAATATGCCTGTTTCGCTACTGCTTTCGCGCCCGTCGTGCTACTCTCCCCCCTCGTCTCGCCGCCCTTGTCGATTCCGAATATCCGCCGGAACCCGAAGCGGTGCCGCTTGGCGGGCCGGCCTGCCTCTTCGTCCCTCTGATGCTGCCGTATTGTCGTAGACGCACTGGCTTCTCCATTTATCTCAATGCGGGGTATGCTGTCGCTGCTGTTTTTGCTATGCTGGATGACTTGGTCGTCGGGGTATTCTGCCCGGCCTTTGCCCTTCCCCTGCTGTGCTGCGGCTTCTTCCTCGGCCCGCCGGGCGGCCTCTGCTTCTTCGGCGGCGGCGGCAGCAGCAGCCGCCGCTTCGTCCGCCCGCTGCTTCTCGGCCTCGACCTGTTGCTGGATGTTTTCTATCGATGACTGCACCACTAGAATGATGGCCTCTTCGGCTTCCTCGGGCAGCCTGGTCAGAGCCTCTGGCGGCGCGTACCGCGACAGGTCCAGCTCTTCTGGTTCGTCTCTCTCCTCGTCCTCCTCGTCCTCCTTTTCCTCTTCCTCTACTTCGCCTTGCTCGTCCCCGTCGACCCCCTTCAGTTTCTCACCCTCCAACTCATCTTTCCACTCAGCCTCTGCTTCCGAGTCTAGCCTAGAGAACTGGGCTTCAGCCGTCTCTTGGATCTCAGCTTCGAGGTCGCCTAGCTGTGCTTCGTACACCAACACCGATGCCACCTTTGCTGCTCTGAACATCGCCCGCCGCGGTCGTTGCCTGCCCCAGCAACTTGCAGTGTTGCTATAGCCGTGGTTATTTTGCTGTGAATGTGGATTTTTTTTTTCCTTTTTAGAAACCCCCTCACGGCTCTTGGGGTTGCTTAGTCCCACGGGACAAGGCTAAGCTTAGTAGTCTTGTCTCACAGACAAGGTGAGGCGAGTAGGTTGATGGTGATAAATGTGAAAGCCAGGACAGAATTCTGATTGGCCGACTCCGTCCTGTTGTGTACTGTCGTCTTTAATTCCCTCTGTGTTTTTGATCGCATGCAGGAGATAAAAGGCAGTTGTGGCGCGACTTGGTGTTGTTTCGCAACTTGAACACTTCGGCGTCCTGTGTAGTCGACGTTCTGCGTAATCGACACAGCGAGAATAAGTGGGGGTGTGGGAATAGTAAGAAAACAAGATAAAACAAGAAGCAAGATTGAAGAGTGAAGCAATAAACCCGAGTCTCTAACAGTATTATCCCCTGTCTGAAGAGGCGTTTATTTTCCAGTTTCACGTGCTAGAGTTTCTGAATGATTGGGCAGGAGAGAGGCGAAACCGTCAGTCGAGAATGCCAGCGGCGGAGTTGAGAGTGAAGCCTCAATGTTAGGCTCTCTTCCTTTTTTTCTTTTTTTTTGTTGGGGGGGGGGGGAGGGAATTGGTGGTCTTCTCTCTCACTGGCTCTCGCTCGCGCGCTGCGGGAGTGAAGGAGGTCCTATCAGATTTTGTTTGCCAACAAGCCAGCCATTCGTTCGTACCTAGCGATGTACACTACGGGATTCAATAGACTGGGAGACACACGTTCTGCCTCTTCTCAGCCGCCGACTCTGCCTGGATGCGTTACCGAGGAGGCGGTGTTTTGGCCCTCCATGCCCCCTCTAGGTTCCTTTTAGGAAGCTCTCCTCTGCTGGCGGCGGCCCCATAGCTCGGTCGAGAAATCAAACCACCCACAGCCTTGCCTTGTACATGTATGAGAAACTAGGAACCGATTCTTTCAGAGACAGTAGGCCATGGTTGCCGACGATAAACGAATTGCGGGGTTGGTTTGCCCAATCATGAGATTCGTGCTCGACGTTTTATTGATGTATTTTTCAGTCAATTGAGTTGAGACAGTCGACAACCTTTACCACCCCTCTTCATCGCTACGGAACACAGCAACATATTTCTTCCGAGGGCATAGCTCAAGATCCCGATGGGGACAACAGCAGCCTACCTTATTTGCTTACTAGGCCGACTCATTTCCCGTAGACACTTTCATCTTATCCAGTTCAACTTGGCCACGATGGCAAGGTAGGCCGGGCTGTGAGGCCGATGGAAATGACCCAAACGGGTGCGGAGCCTAGGGAGGTGGAAGCCTTGGTGGCAGTGCTAACGGAACGGGCTTCAGAAGCGGTGGTGTGGGGTAGGTTGTTCCGCCAGCTTGTTGTCACCTGGGGCGGGACGGGCGTTGTGATAGCGCCTCTTTCTGGGAATAGGGGCTGAGCATCTCATCTAGGTATTCTCAACCCCGAGAACCGTAGGTCGGGTTAGGCCAAAAGTTTATTGACCCAAGGTATCCATCCGTAATAAGGCGTTGGGATCGTTGTCGACAAGCTCCATTCCATCCCCGCGACCGAAATCCGATTGCCGCAACATGGGTAAGGTAGGTAAGGTAAGCTTAGGGAACACACGTTGCCGGTCCGGCACCAGTATCGCCGCTCGGTGACCTATTCCGTGTTTATTGCAACTTCGATCTTACGAGCCGTCGGTGTAATTGTTGTCAAGCAGCTCAGCAGCAAGCGCTGGCCCGCTGTTCATGAGATAAGTACGGAGTACCTATGGCAACCCTGGATGCCGGCTGAAAGCTAGCATTGGTGCGATAAGCCACGGTAAATCGGTTGCTGTGAATTGTGCGTCACGATAGACTAGCAAAAGGGAAAGTGTAAATAGTAAATACTCAGTTGAGATGCGAAGTGAGGCGTGCCGTCGATTAACATGTCCACGGAAACGTGTCTCTTGGTAGGTATTTGGGTAACGGTGGAGTATTACGGAGTTCGGAGTGCTCAAAACTTTACGCCTACTGGCCCAAGTGGGAACGTTAACCCCTGTATCCGTAATGTGCTCTTGAACGTCACGTCGTCGTTCAACCCATCATTTTCACCCGCGTCATGCTTCCCAGCCAACTGCATGTGGACAGAAAAATGAACCAAGGTCAAAGAAGCGAGGCAAAAAAGATAAGACAGGTCAAAGTAGCATAGAGCCGGCCAGTCATTCGTCCATCCACAAGCAGATTGCCCGCAATGCGTCTGTCGGGGCTGCAGAAGGAGGTCGTCGGTCTCTACCGTCGATGTCTCCGCGAGTGCAGGAAGAAGCCCCTTGCCACAAGACCGCATTTTCAGGAGTTTGCTCGGTAGGGACCCTCTGCGATGCTTTGCTATTTTTACCTACCCTGCCCTAGTTCTGTTCTCACCGACGGCCTAGTCACGAGTTCGACAAGAACGTCAAGATCGACAAAAGAGACTTCGCAGCTATCGAGTTCTTCCTGCGTAAAGGCCGCCGCCAGCTGGACATGTACGCCTCCCCTGGCGTCAAGGATATCAAGTAAAGCAAGCTGCAGGTGGTCTACCACCTTCCCAAGGTACCGTACTCTGGATCCAGAGGTGCCAAATATCTCTTAACTTTTATCGTTCTCGATAGTATAGGAGCCACTAGAGTCTGAAGTGGTTATGAACACGGACTTCACATGCCGTAGTGGCCTGAGTAGCGCCTTTTGAATCCAAAACCTGGGCGATGGCGATGGGATGGCGGTGGAGAAAGGGGCTGGGACCGGGTCATGGCGATTATGTAGGATGAGGATGGCTCCTACCCTTTCCTGTCCAGTTGCCCTCCCAGGCGCATGCAGCGGGAGAACTTCCTGCCTCCGACTGTCTGCTCAGCTGCACCCTACCACCCAGCCTTAATTTCTAGACCTACCTTACCCTAGGTCTAGTATGTCCATCTATTTACTACCGTGCCGCTTTACCCCCTCCATATTCGCAGCCATAGCATCGGAACCTACCAGGTTTTGGGCTCGACCTTTTTTTTTTGGAATTATCCAACTTGATTTTTTGGGATAAAATGGACGATGCCTGCATTCAACTTAGCTTAGAAGACAAGTCCGCACCGTCGGCCCAAACCCAGAATCTTGCCTCCAGCTCCAACAAATCCTGCCAGACAAGCACAAGTCGTCGCCGGTCTAGATGCTGCCAGCCCCGCCGGCTCGAGCCTGCCGCATCGCGCCGCCGAGGACGTTTTGTTCAAGCCCCTTAGCGAGTCTTTACAAAAGCTGCGTCGTGCTCAGCGTGCCTTCTTGCGACGGAAGCGTCGGAGCAAGGTCCGCGTTTCCTTTAGCCATTCAACTTGCAGCCGAAACTCGGGCCCCAAGCACGCAGCCGAGAAGAGAGCCTCGCGCCAGCTGGCCCCGAAAGCTACCGCCGCCCCACAGACACATGTGGAAACATGGAGCGAGGCTGGTGTTAGGGAGAGCATTAAGCCCCGGAAAGACAACGGGCCTTATCCCCTATTTAGTCGGTGCGATGCGAATTCCTCCCAAGAGAATGGCCGCTGTTTTGGCAGCCCTTCCAGGCCACATCGAGCACCACCCAAGGTAGCCTTTGAGGAGGTCGCCCGCAACTCCGTGATGCAAGTTGCGCAGGTCCGTCCGTACTGGGGCACTCTCCCAAGCTCTCCGGTCAAGTCCCCGCCGACACAGGGAGCTAGGGATACACAGGAGAGACCCGAAGAGAGCCAAAACATACCCGCGAGACAGCAGAGCATCAAAAGACGGCCCGAGCCAATTGTCCCCGGAAGTGCTCGTTACTTAGTCTTTCCCAGACCGCCCTCCGTGGATAGCCAACTCATGCCGGCAGGCCTTGTGCATTCCGAGTCGGCTAGGAGGAGTCTGTCCCAACAAAGACGACTGTCGTCTCTCGTTCCCTCCGAAGCCAAGCCCATAGCTCATGAGCCGAGTACAGCTGAGCAGGAACGTTGTAGCTCGCCCCTTGTCCCAACGTCTGGAGAAGACCCGCCCCATCAGACCGGAGTAACCCCTTGCCCCAGCGCTCCAGGGCTGCGGACAACGACGCTCAGTAAATTTACTCGGGAGCTTGAGGAATTCGCAAAGAGCGCTGGTGTAAGCGGCAAGCTTCCTAACCCCACCCCGCCAGTCGCGGAAGCGCATGCCTCAGTGCGTACAGTCCAGGAGTTGCTGCCCTACCGGCAGCAGTTCCAGGAAGCCGGACTGGCCGTCACATCAACTGACCAGCGACCACCGAAAGCTGGTGGGTTTGGGTCGCATAGCGGTGCGTCTGGGGACGAGCGTCTCAGATTTGACGGGAGCGCATCTGCTACTAAGGGGTTATCCGCGAGCAGCAACGAATCCAGTAACGAGACTGTAATTCATCATCGCCAAAACGGACCCATGTCCTTGGTCCTGACTGGACAGCTACGCCAGGATAAACTTGGGCAGAAATCAGACAAGCAGTGTGACGAGAAAGATCTGCCACCAAAGGCTTTGGAACAAAAATTGCAGTCTTTTGTAGCTCCTGAAGAACCAGAGAGCAGTGCTGCAGCTGAAAAAAGGGGCGCCAAGCCTCGCCCTTCTGCAATGCTCTTGGTAAACAAGCCACTACCCGATAAACCCAGCCCGTCCACGCCCGTGGGCTCCAAGAAATCCCCTACTGGATATCCACGCCCATCCCAGATCTCGCAAGGCCTGGGGTTGCGTGAAGGACAGATCAAGAATGCCCAAAAGTCTTTGAAGCAAGTCGTGAGGACTGCGAGCCCGCCTGAGATTGCAGCACCAACTGTTTCGACGTCAGCGCAGACTCAGCAAATGTTTCAACAGGACATAATTGACAAGTCTCTTCCGTCGCTTCCACTATCGCGTGTTCCGTTGCAACTGCATCACTTGGTAGCCCCCTCCGGCAAGACAGGCTGGGCACCTAGCGTCCGGGAGTTGCCTACAACAATTGTTGAAGAAAAAGAACCATCTCCAGAGAAACAGATGACGCCGATACGCCGACCTCTGCCTTCTGGAAATAAACATAGTCTTAACAAGGAAACACAACATAAAGAAAATAGGAGTAATTGGATCACTGCCAACGGCTCGAAGCTGAGTTTCGGCAGCAAACCAGAACTACCAGAAACGTGGAAGCATGCCATTAGCACGCCATCATCGTTTGAAAAGGCTCTCGATGACGTCGTCCGCAAATTGGAAGCCATGGAGGAGAAGAAGCCTTCGGCTGAGTCTGAGAAAGTGCATCGACGCAGCAAGAGGACGTCGTCCAAGCCCCCTTCTCCGTCTCAGAGGCTGCAGCGTGCTGCCGCCATGCGGCGACAGCGTCTGGCGGAAAACACATCTCAGAATATTTTCGAGCCAGGCGACAAGAAGAAGCCCCCAGCCGTCGCCTCGACACCCGTAGTACCGCCCCGGAGACCATCGGCAAGGTTGGTGGTGCTGGAGTCGAGTAGCCAGAGAACGTCGTCAAAGTTCACAAGCGGAGAAGGGAGTATGGCTCCTGCCCAAGACGACAGAGACATTGCCGACAAGGACATTCTTAAGGGCTTGAAGATCATCTGCGCTGCATCAGCAGATCCGGACCTCGATAACTGGATCCGCTGTAAGACGGGTCTGCGGCTGCGTCGGTTCCTGGCCGATCTCAAGACATTCGACACGCTGAGTGAAGAGGGCAAATCTGCGGTAGATGAGCAGCGGGCGAGGCGGCGGCGTGCAGAGCGGCGACGTCTGCAGGCCGAGAGGGGCGCTGCCCGTGAGGTGGTGGCGCAGAGGTCTATGAGGATCCAGGCACCGCCGCCGCCAGGGCCGGCTGGCTAGCTGGAAAATTCGCTGAACTGGTGGAATACATCATTGTTTATAAACGGCGAGGACGAGAGCAGACCCGATACGCAAGTAGATAGTTGAGACAATCATTATACGGGGTACAACCGCATGATGTCCCAATGTGCAGCGCCCTGACCTGAACTGGCGATATCCCGCATATGCGAAATGACTAGTATCGTATGAGTCCAGGCTGGCCTTTTTGTCTGTTGGTATGTCTGTAACCCGATAGCGTATATCTCCCTGCCGCGGAACTTCTGGCTAGGAATCCCAAACGGTTCGAGTGAAAGGGGAGGAAGCCCCACAAACAAACATCACAGACTGTCCCGAGCGTTCTCTCATGATGACCTCACACTGCCGTTGAGTAAAAGCTAATTTTTCCAGAGCGCCATCCCCCGCATCCCCCGACAGCTTGCTGCGGCTGTCTCATAAATACGGTGTTCAAAATAGCGATTATACGTCAGACAATGGGAAAGTTCTCCATATCCACATCTAGATCAGAGAAAGAGACAGCACGAAAATGGACAATCGTGATGCCAAACCGCCCATCCTCGTCATCGGGGGCACCGGCACCGTCGGTAGTCGTCTTGTGCAGCACCTCTCGAGCCGGTGCTACCCGGTGATCGCGGCGTCTCGGAGCCGCAGCCAGACCGACGGCCACGACCACGGCATCGTCTTCGACTGGCACGACCATAGCACGTGGTCCAACCCGTTCAGAGCCGCCGCCGGGCCCCTCCGCGCCGTTTACATAGTAGCGTCGCCCGTCGTGGACTCGGCCCCCATCATGATGGAGTTCATCGACTTTGCGCGCGACAAAGGCGTCCGTCGCTTCGTGCTGCAGAGCTCGTCGGCGACCGAGTCGGGCGGCCCGGCCGTGGGCAAGGTGCATGCGTACCTCCGCGAGCTTGGCCAGCGAGGCGAGGTTGACTGGGCTGTGTTACGGCCGACCTGGTTCCAGCGTGGGCCTCCCTCACCAAATCTAGTTCTACTATTGCCGCCCTCCTCTTCCTTTTTTTTCTCGTTTTGCTTACCATAGCGATCTGATATCACGCGCAGAAAACTTTGGGGAGCAGCCGTTCTACATAAAATCTATCAAGGACGAGAGCAGGCTGTACTCGGCCACGAGTGACGCAAAGATCCCGTGGGTGTCTGCCGACGATATTGCGGCTGTTGCGGCAAAGTGTCTGACGAGCCCGGATCCGCCCAACACAGAATACCTGGTGCTCGGGCCCGAGCTGCTGTCCTACAGCGATGTGAGTGTTTCTTATCCCATATGGGAATCGAGACGGAGTCCCTGTACTTCTCTAACCGTCTGCGCTTATCTAGATCGCCGACATCCTGACTAAGGTGCTCGGGAGGAAGATCGTGCACGTGGACCTGTCGCGGCGGGATCTCGAGAAGCGCCACCAGTCCTTCGGCATGCCCGAGGAGTCGTTCAAGATGATGGGCGCGCTACAGACGTCCATCAAGTTTGGGTCTGAGAACCGCACCAACGACGCCATCCTGACCCTCACCGGCGCGGCCCCCAAGATGTTTGCCGAGTACGCCGAGTCGGCCAAGGCCATCTGGGAACCGGGCGATCCTAGGAAACACATTGACGTCTACGCCTAGAACTGGAGGGCGGCAGCAGCAACCATTTCAGACCAATATTTCAGAACATGCCACGGTTTACCGAGCTGTACGCAAAGATGTGAATACCGAAGGCAGCAACTTGCAAGGAGAAGAATGAAATGGAAGCACGAGCATTGGCGGGAGCATGCGGACTGGCGGATGTGGGAGACTGCTTTGGACAGGAAACTAACTGAACTGGAGATGGGGAGATGGACTAAAAATTAACAAGAATGGGAGAAGTGGCGGAGAAATCCCCATGTGCCTTGAAAAGTTAAGACTCGGCATCGTACGACACCCCTTTTGCCTCGCTGCCCTGACCGCAGAGTTTGTGAAGTCTGGATGGAATCCGTTGATAGATGGATGCATCTGTTATCTAGGCAGTACCTAGCTGAAGAGGTGACGGCGCGACGTAGAAAAAGAAAAGCTCTAATTTCTTGGGCGTGCCACGTATAATCACCACATCTTCAAAATCTCACTATTAATCGTGCCCATCCCTAACTACACTCCAATCCCCGAGCGTTTATTGGCGTGGTACTTGGGAAGGAAAAGTTAAATAACAAATAAACCAGTTAGTGAAGGTCTTTAATAGGTATTTCTAGAGAAGAGATAGGCCTCTAGGATTCTGAAATGGGGGTTCAAGTAACTATTACCTCCCTCAGCGAAAAGCCTTTACGGTGAGTCGTAAGATACCAAGGCCATTCGGATCTTGGAAAGGACTAGGCACGCCAACAAAAATTCAGGGATTAGACCGTAGTAGAATAGAAGGGAGCGGTGATTGGTATCGCGTAGTTCCTTCCCGACATGGTGGTGGTGGGAACGGAAACCCCTTATGACATCATCAGCCTGGCGGGGATTGGTTCCCGATGCCTTGCTGGCTTGCTGGCCTGTCAATGAGGCACGCCCACGTACGAACGTGAAAATATGGAAGTGAAATCCCGGTTGGTGCTGTACTCCTGCAGCTTTTCTGGTCAATAAGGTACAGTGCCTGCCCTAGATGGTGGCTGCCTCGTCTTGAATCTACTAGTAGCTTCTCGGGGCGTTTGCTTCTTGCTGCATCTAAGAAGGCAGTCGCGACAAACAGTAAAACGACTTTTCGGCATGACTGAGCTTGGCGCTGCTTCCCACTCATTTGGCCATCTGCTGGCTTTTTTCTTTTTTTCTTTTTTCTCCCTCTTTTTTAATACTTTTTGATGCTCCCGCGCGTCTCATTCCCATAAGGAGCGGATATTTAGGGCGTCGCCAGCTTCACGGTGTTGTCTTTTCTTTCCAGACCGACTCACAGCGTCGTACTGTCTGCATTTACAGTTGGACTGTGTATTGATGTTATCAATCCCCATTTTTGTTGGCTTCTCGGGCCTTTGCCTCTTTGCAAGATGCATACTAAAATCGAGCTGGGCCTGGAACCGGAGCCGGAGCCGGAGACCAAACCCGCCCGGCCTCCGCCAGCTCCGCGCCCACGCAAGACATTACGAGAACGTTTTCTTCACTCCTTGCCCCCTTACACGGGTCCTTACCCTGTGGGATACATGGAGGTAGAGCTGCCGGCACGGGAGCCGCGGCCATTCTCCCACATCAAGCGAAACGACGAATACGCCCTCAAGCTTGATACTGTTCTCTTCTCAGTCTTCTATCCCTGCGAACTCGGGCTGTTCCCCCAGGAGAATAAAAGCGGGAATCGGACCCGGAGGTGGACGGGAAACGAGCAGCCGCGGGTTCTATGGCTTCCCAAGCCAAGAGGTTCGACTTGTCGAGGATATGCCAAATTCTTCAGCATTCCCCATCTCCCCGTCCAGACCTACATCGCCCTCACTACTATGTTTACGAAGCTGCCCGCGTACCACAATGCAAACCTTTCGGCCCGTTGGCCCACTGCTGCGGGAGGAGGTTCGAGCAAGTCGACTCTGGATCACGACGCAGCGCAAAAGACGGGCGAAAATGATCGTAATGTGAAGCCAAAATTTTCCGTCATCATATTCAGTCACGGCCTTGGCGGCTCGAGGACACTTTGTAGCTCTGTATGTGGAGAACTGGCAAGCTTCGGATTAATCGTCGTCGCCATGGAGCACCGTGACGGGAGCGGCGCAAGGACGTACGTCAACAAAACCGGCCGTTCTCCCGACTTGGAAGACCAAGACCTGGACCGGACAACGGCCCGCGAGCCAAGAACCGGCAAGATAAAATTGCCAAGACGACGACAAAAGACATCGGAAATCAAACCAAACTACATGGTCGATTACCTCTTCCCCAAGGACAATGCCTTCGACACGTATCCACACAATGATCGCGGAATCGACACGGAACTTCGTGCGGCCCAGATCGAAATGAGAATCGCCGAGACTGAGGAAGCATATTACGCGCTCGGGCTGATCAATAGCGGGAGGGGGGACCAGCTGGATGCTCAAAATCTCCGAAAAAAGGGCAACGTCGGCTCCAGCTCCAAGGGCCTTGCGGGAATCGATTGGCGTGAATGGACAGGGAGACTGTACCTGGAAAACGTGACAATGATGGGCCATTCGTTTGGAGGAGCCACCACGATCCAGGCGCTCAGGCTTGAGAAACTCACGTGGATCTCTCAGGGGATTCTGCTCGACCCTTGGGGGCTCGGCGCCCCAGATAGTACGGACAGATCCCGGATCCGGAAGCCGATATTGTCCGTCGGAAGCGAAGCCTTCATGTTCTGGAAGGAAAACTTTGATTGCGTCGCGCAAATATGCCGTGAGGCTCGGGATGCGGGAGCATTGAGCTGGATGACGACGATCCGTGGATCTACTCACCTGTCCATGACGGATTTTGCGGTCCTTTATCCAAAGTGGATGTCGCTTCTCATCAAGACAATTGTGAATCCTAAGCGCGCCAACCATCTCACAACCCGTTCGGCACTTGAATTCCTCAAAATCACGCTGCCGCTGCAACAGACCAGGTTCAGGCTCCCTGAGTTGTGGGCCGAAAAGCGACTACTGAAAATCCCAAGCTCCGAAACCAAGGTTCTGTTTGATCACCAACCTGACGACAAGTGGACGGCTGTCCGGCTAAAAATCCCCAACGAGTTTTCTTTGCGGCTCAGGTGGTACTGGAGGTGGAGAGGCAAAGACGCTGATGTTCCGAAAGACGCAGCGGGCAAACCTCTGAGAGGTCTCTTGAACTGGGGTGCAGGAAAGGAGATGTGGGTGCACTTGAGCCCAGACCAGGCTGACGTGGAGCGGTATATTGAAGAGAACGGATAGAGCTGTGGGCTGTCAGGGGCCATGGCCATCATGGGAACGGTACCTGGATTCCCCGGCGATCATGATCTGCCGGTGTCCAGTGAGAGAGGTCCCCGGTCCAGGGTCTGCGGCAACGGGGCGGTCGGCGCCGAGCTTTCTGACCACATCGGACCCAGGAGGGCTCAACGTGCCCCTGATGTCGTATTCCGACTGGGCGTGTTGTCAGCAAAGTCGTACAGACGAGCGAGCAGGTGGAGAGGGGAAAATGAGGCGCACCACTAAGCACGCCATAGATGCTTGGCCGGCACACCATGGAGATGCTTGGCTGGGTGTACCCCACACAATGTAAACAAGTAAGGCCAACTCCAAGAGGCCGGCGAGGGACAGCATGGCAAAACAGGCAGTAAAGTTGCCGATTGCCGGTGTACCGCAGAGATTAAGTTGCGCATATAAGCCATAAATAGCATCAGATTTTATTTCCCCACGGGGCCGACGCATGCAGAGGGGCCAATGACGGCCGAGAAAGATTGCCTCATGCTCAGACGAGCGGCTGGGGCAGGCAAGAAACGGCCAACCGAGCACAGTCTCCGGGGCGGGAAGAGAGTGTGTCGCAGAGAGGAACGCGTAATGGCCAATCTATCAGTATTTTCCTTGCAGCGGGCGGGCTCGCCATTCCGGGGGCCAGGACACCGGTCATGGCGGGGAATTTACCCTCGCTTGCTGGGAAAAGACGGTGGATATTATCATCGGCCTGCTTCAACCAGGAAAGCCAAGCGAGGGCGCGCCGTCCCCAAGCCGGCGGCAGAAGCGAGTTCGAAGCCTCCTGTGGCATTGGGCACGGCACAACCACGCAACACTACTCCTCTGTAGCGTAGTCTGATGTGATGTAGTTGGTTGGTGGGAGACTTGGCTTCCCAACTATGGGCAATGAGCCTCAACCCCAAGACTCTTGGGGTTGAACCAGCAGCGCCTTGCCCAGGGGTATGGAGTATGATTCGCATAGTCAAGAGAAGATAAGCTCAGCCAAGCCCACCATGAGGCACTTTGGGCCTCGGCGAGGCAACGTCGATATTCCGGGGTATCGTCGGGGCTTCTTTGCCCCTTTTCTCTCCTTCGTCGCCACCTTTTTGTTTTGGGTCTTCACTCGCATGTCGTGCGCAGTGTTGCTCGGGAAACGTACCCAAGACCTTTTTAATCTAGCTTTAGTTATGTCGTGCCTCAGTATGTAGCCGGCCTTGGTGGTTGGTGGAGTAATGCATGTATGTTCACTGAAATAAAAACCGCTGGCTCATGTCCACGCGTCGTCCCATCTAGGTTTTGAAAACATCCGCTTTTTCATAAGGTTAGGTAGTTTGTCTCAATGCGGAGGAGCTAGGAGCTGCAAGGCGCGCAGTCGTTCAAGCTAAGGCAGGGCAGGGCAGGGGAAGACGACATGTACATACTCACTAACGACATACATACAATACCTGGCTGAACTTATCCACAGCAAACCTCTATCTCGCATGGTAGTCTTGTTCTTCCGCGGTCGCACGCGGGGCGCATGCTATCTAGAAGGACGCAAGATGAAGGGTCTAGCCTCTCCGCTCTGCAAGTGAGGTGCATCTCTCAATCTCGTGCAACTGCAAGGAAGTTGTCAGGAACCAGACTTTTCTGAGCCGCCATATTAGTCTGGAGTCTCGTTGCCAATGGGCCACAAATTGCAATGGAGCCAGGACGACGACAGCAGCGAGGAGGACGGCGACGACGACAGATGAGGACAAATGACGACAAGACGACGGTGCAACCGCGGACGGACGCCCGTGTCCAAGAGGGAAAACGGGCCCGGCGGCTTTGCTCTTCCTAATTTGCGAATAAGTGGACAACGGTGCAATGGAAAAAAACCCGTCAAGCACGACGCACGAAAAATATCGGCTGGCGAGAGTCTGGAAGCCCTTTTGGTGTTTCTTTGATATTGCTAGGGTGTGGCTGCAGAGGGCCAGGCCGTCGATGCCCGGGATTAGGCCCTCCTCTGATGCTACCAGAACGAATGCGACGGCGCCCTTGCCCTAGATCTTCTAGAAATGGGTTTCCACATACCCATCGACGTCGTGACCCTTGGATCGGAGGCGCTGCCCCCCGGTGCTGATGCATGGAGATGGAAGTAAAAGGGGAAGTGTAAACCTGGAAGAGAGAGTTGAGAAGGAAGGGCGCCCACTGCATCTTCTGTGATGCCCGGGCTGCTCCTGCCCCCGGACAGCCCCTGGGGCAACACTAGTCGCCCTGCCCTCCCTCTTGCGCGACCTAACGGGGATTTACAGGCCCCTAACCCAGATCCCACCACTCTAGAACTGCCCCAGACTAAACCTATTCGGTAGGCCAATTGGATGTAAACTGCCAGGACGGGAAGGCGTTACCTGACTGACAACCGAAGCTCGTTACTCGCTTTCAATTCTCACTTTTCACACCTTTTCTTTTCGCCGAGATGCTATCCGTGTTTTCTCTCCCGGAACTTGGGGAGGCGAGATCCCGCCCGCGGCTCTTCCCAACCCATGTTTATTTCTTACCCCTTCAAGTCCCCTTCAAGTCCCCTTCAAGTCCCCTTCAAGTCTGTCTCCAGGTCTTGCCAGTAGACATTACAGACCCGCTGTGCTGTTACAATGCTCGCAACAGGCCGTCTTGTGACACCCAACTCCCGCCGAGGCGATCAAAAGACGAAACCGGACAAAAGCGAACCAGCAGAAAGCATCCAGATAGCTTGACAGCCACCGGGATAGCACAGCCAAGGGAACAAGCAGACGCGGTCCACGAGAGTGAGACGCTGCTGCAGGTCCCCGTGTCCGTCCATCCGAAAAATGACCGTTCGGCGTTCAGAACTATGGCGGTGTGAAGCTAAACAATGTCCGCCACGGCCTTCTCTCCTGCGTGATGTTCAAGTGAGCAGAGAGAGAAAGTGTGTGGGTGTGTGTGCGCGCGCGTGGGTGTGATTCGTGCCGTGGGTGTTCTTGGCTGAATCAATCTTTCTCCGCGAGTCCCTCATCACTCTATTCCTTTCCCCCAGAGTCCGGGGTCATCCAACCAAAGCCAGGTTGCGTGTACTGTGCACTGTTATGGCAATCGTAACGATAGCTGAGAACTGACAGGTTGATCAAAGGCAAACTGCAGACATGTCCGCCATGTTAGAACAAAATGGTGTGCTCCAAGCTTGCCTGCAACTTGGTACATACAGCACGCCGTCGACAGGGTGCGGATACGGGGCGGCGATGCAAGCAGGTGCGATTAATTGCGTCGACCCGAACCTCACCTCATCTCATCTCATCTCGTCGTCTGATTCAGCCCACCTACCTCTGCCTGCCCGCGGGTAGTTTAATGTAATAGCCGTTCCCTCTGGATGCCCACCTTGCATGGGCCAAGGGCCAAAGGCTGGCGTGCGACGGGCAAGTGCGCCGTCGCCACCGGGTGAAGAGAGACTGGAGGAGACAAGGCACTTTACCCGTCGCCCCAGACATCTTGCATTCACCCAGCAGCTGCGGCTGCGCGCGCCGGATTTTTTCATTGGGAAACAATTCCTCTCTACTTTGGAAAGGTCACGGCCGTGACCTTAATGTCCCCACTAGCCCGTACAGGATTCTTGCGTGCCCAGCGACCAACAGACTGACTTGCCTGTCTTGATTACGTCGTGCCGACGACGGAAGCACGGCCAGCTTCCAGTCGTCAACCCGCGAGCGAACATATCTAGTAAAGAAAGCACTTCTTCTTGCTTGGAGACGTGTTCGCATACCTACATAGGCGGCCGAGCCTCGCTCCTCTTGTCCCGGCAAACTCATTTGTCGACGGCTTCTTTGTGCAAGTCTGCCCTTGCTCCTCCCCCGTCCCTCCCGTCGCCGTCGCCCTCGCCGTCGCCATGGATATCCTCTTTACCCCCCGTGGCCTTGGGGCTCGGCCTTCGTCAGCTATGGGCGATATTGAAAGGAGGACCGCTAGCTTTCAGCGCATGCTAGAGCTGGAAAAAACGCAAAAGGTACTGTACCGGCATGCCCGTGACACCTTTGCCCCTTTTTTTTCTGCGCTTCCTGCCCTGTCCCCTGTCTTTGGCTGCGTGATGTCTTACAACGCACCATGTCTAACGTTGCCTCACCCTCACCCCCCAACAGACGGAGCGATTGCAAAGCACCAGAACTTCTCCCCCGGCATCCCCCCCGCCGCCTGAGCTCCAGGACCATCCCTCTCTTCAGCTTCGTCGTGCCGATCTGTCCCAGCAGCAAAACAACCTAATGCTCAAGGCGGTACGTCGCAGCATCGTCCTCCCTGCGCTCTCCATCACCATCCCACAACTAGCGGGTCACGGTAGGGAAGATCTGCCGGAGGGGTCCGAGACCGAGACGGAAAGGGGGAGTGAAAGGGACGGCGAAGTCGAAACACCAACAGCCGTTGAGCCCTTGCATAAGCAAGTCAAGTTCCTCGCGCCTGACGACGAAGACGACGACATGTCAGATCAATCTTCAATATGCCAGTCGCCAAGCTGGGAGGGCTACGGGCAGAGGAAGAAAGAAAAGAAGAAAGAGGCGGAGCGACGGAGAAAAGAGAAGGAGCAAGCAGACAAAGAGGCCAAGGTAGCGAAGAAACGGTTTTCTTCGAGACTGAGCAAGTCGCCGCCGCCGTCGACAATTAGTCGCAATGCTGGTGTTGGGGCCTTGTCGAATGCGGAACGTTCAATGTCGGATCCGTTGCTAATCAGCCACAATTTGCTGCTGGGAAGCCAAGTCCATCCCCGACCGCCCCAAGACGTCGTGAGGGCCGCTTCAGCCGATGATTTGCAGCAAACATGGCGCCACAGGCCCGGCGTAGCTGAGGTGCTATCTGACTCTGAGACTAACTCCCGGCGCTCAAATGGTAACCCCAAGACAGCTTGGGGGACTCGAGAAACTCGAGAGGATCAACACTCCCCTACCATCCCTAAACATTTGTTGCCCGGTGATGATGGTGCAAATTCGCAAAGGACACTACGCGAGTCTTACTATACTAGTGTTGGGCCCGCTGGCGACCAAGTGGCCCCAACAGCAACGACAAAGCCGGAGCCTCGGTCTCCACGGGAGGCATTTCCGCCTTCTGCTTCGAGGACCCCTTTGCTGCGGCACATGTCAATTTCTGGTCACAGCCGGAGCAACAGCCTTCTGCAAGGCGCGAGCAGGATTTTCAGAGGACGTGATGGGAAGAGCCATGGAGACGCAGAGTCATCCTCGACCTCGAGCCACTCGCAAGATTCACAACAGGTCAGTCGTGATGGTGCGGACAGAGGCCGCAAGAAGGAGGATAGTTATGTTCGTCGTCAAAGAGAGCAAAGCAGGGAGCGTGCTATAGCTGGACTTGCAGACGACTATTTGATTGGCAACATCAGCACCCACTCTTCGTCAACCAGAAGCAGCTCTCGCCATACCCAGCATACGAGAAGATCCTCCTTGACCCAAGACGCAAAGGCGGTGGCAATGAAGCTCGCAGGCTTCAGGTCAACGCCGGCAAAGGAAGAGCTCGTCGGAACCAATGGCTCCGGCGGCCAGAACGATTATTTTAACTTTATGGAGCGGTCATATTCATCTTCTAATTCCCGCCTTGAGGACCACCTTGGAACTTTGGCGACTACGCCCGGCAGTCCTCAGCAAGATACCCGCCACGTCGTTGTCGAAGACCGGGTCTCCTCCTACGAGGCAGAGTTTCCCCAGGGTGGCTTCCCAGTACAGGAACGACCTGCAACCTCTCATAGCTCTGTCAGCTCCAAGGGACCTTCAATCGCCAGGTCAATCCCCGGCAACCATGGCAAGAAGGGCCGGAGTCTTAAAGATGCGGCGAGGGCGGCTCTAAACATGTCCAAAGGGGCGCTGCCTGCAGCAAACGCTTCTCGGCAGTCCGGATCCGTTCCCCCCTATCCCACACTCCGAACTCGCATGCAGTCTCAGCCCAATGTTTCTACCGTGAGCGATATACCTCTGGCTTCACAAGAACCTGGCTCAATCGCCGCGCCCGCACTTCCCCCCAAGGCGGCGAGAGTTTTAGGAGAGTACAATGCCGAGACGATGCGGAGTAGCTCGATACTACCACCGTCTTCCAACATGGTTAAGTCCACAGAGGTAGACGCCCAAACCGGAAGCCGCATATCTGAGGGCTCATCTTCGTCATCTGCTTACGAGGATGGATCCCCTCTTCCGTCACCAGTAACAACCCCAGATACTTCAAGGCCACAGTCGGCGAGAGGCATCCCCTTGGCAACGGACGATGCTTCAAAGGGCAATACTGTATCTATAACGGCACAGGATGACGAGAGAACACTTCGCCAGTCTTACGAGGCTTCCGAAGGCTCTGATATGTCAATCACACCTCGTCTCCTCGACAACTCAGGGTCGCGGGAGAGCATGGAGATGGCAGACGAAGATCGCTGGAGCAGGACTGCTCTACCGCTTGAAATTGACTGCGACGATGCACAGTCGTTCACGACTTCGGTCACCCATATTGACAGGGCTGAATATGCCAACACAGAACTCTCAGAGGCACCAGCGGTGTCGCAGCAAAGAGCATCGAAGACGGAACGATCAGAAACAACGGAAAAGGAAGATACCCACGCTGAATTTTGGCGCGCCACCGCAAGGCTCGTAAAGTCCTTGTCTAATCCTGACTTCCGCGGCGGATATTCCGTAGGAAATTTCACGCGTTCCGGGGGTTTACCTCCCATCGAGCACCCTATCTCGATCCCCCCACGTTCAAAGAAGCGGGAACAAGCTGCTGCTGATCGATTGAAGCGGTTTGTGAGCGAGCAGCGTCAGGAGTCAAAAGAGAGGTCCGAGGCACAGTACGAAAATCGGCGAGATTCGATGAAAAAGCCAAATGAGTTGCTGGGGCAAGAGGTGGAGGCGAGAAACACGGATGAGCGGCAGCAGACTAGCGTAGTAGAGGTTTCACAGAATATTAACCCGGGCCATCTGGCAGAAGATGCAGGAGGCGGGGAGGAGAAACGGGAGAAGCCCAAAAAGGGACATCAAAAGGAGAGGAGGACAGAGGCTCCAGAAAAGGCCCCAGAGCAAGAGCCGACCAAAGACGGAAAGGAGGGCCAACTGGCTGAGCCTCATCGGACCCTTGCCGAACTCCTCCCTCCGGCCTCGCTAACCCGCGCGTCGACGTCTATCTCAGCAGTCTCGAATAGCTCTACCCTCTTGTCTGCCAAGTTTATGCCGCCAGTCGGTGGGTTCGTTCCATCTACAGGATCTGCCAGCAATCCAAGTTTTGTGGACTTCCAGGAGCCTGCCAGGATCACAACAAGTTCAATTTTTGGCGCACCGTCTGCCCTCCAGAATGCCGTTCCGTATTCGGCAGTCCCTACGGCCGCCTCGAGGCCCCCGCTCCAGTCTCGGACTCAGTCAGTTCCAGCAGCACCTTTGGCAACGGTCTCGACAATATCACCGCCGACTGGTTCCTCAGCAATCCGGCCTGTGGTAGCCACTCCCGTTTCAATCCTCAAACAACCCACCCGCTCAACATCGGACCCGACCGCGCCACCCTCAGCTGCTCGGCCCCACGTTCTCTCGGCGCTCCCCAAGCACATGCAGTTACAGGCAGGCATCTCGCCACTTGCTCGGCCGCCCCCGGCTACGACTGCCGATCGGACCATTGGCAAAATGTTTGTTGAGTGCTGCAGCTGCAAGTTCTACCACGACATGCCGTCTAAACTCTACGAGTGCATGGCCAAGCCGGACAAGGTAGTCAAGGACCGTGCTCTAGGTATTTCCGGGGCCATCACTACCATGGTCAAGTGCCCGTGGTGCCAGCACAATATGAGCACGAGCTGCTGCGCGGGATATATGGCAGTGGTGGTTTTGAAAGAGAGGCTACATTGAGGACGGCTGGCGAACTGAGAGGGGGCATTTACACTGGGCAGTTCCGCCTGGACCAAAGAAGAAACTTTATTTTCCTTTGTCGAGCAGAGGTTCGGTGTCTTCGTTTGGCTTTCACTCTCATTTTGGCGGATTTCACAATTTCGGTGTGGCAGGTCCGCGTGCCGTTTACTTTCCTTTTCGTATCAAGGGGGAGCAATGTCTCATCAAAGGTAACACGCACACGCGCACGCATATTTGCATGTTCTCTTCAGTGCGTTTTCTTGGCTAGAATATCTAACCTGCAAATAACCGGCATTTATTTTGTGTCTGTCGTTTTCTTCTTGTTTCCTATTTATTTCCTTTGTGGCAGCATAAAAATGGGGAACCGGGCCTGGAAAAGTTTAATATTCTTTCTTCCCTCTTCATTTCCTATCTTCTACCGTTCTCCCGAACCTACTGAGAGACTATTTCTCTGTGCCGTGTACCATTATACTACAGCACATCATCATTTTGCTGTTTACAAGCGAACCTGGCGGCTCACGAGAGAGGGGGAGTGGAGATGTTGTAGAGACCCGAGACAGACAGGGAGACAAACGGACTGACGGATAGCAATAGGTCAGCACGAGTGCGAACTACCAACCATGCAGACTTCTTTCCCAAACCAGAAAAAATAAGAAAGCCGAAGCCGAAGGAGAGAGAGTCATTGCAACTAGGTACGGAATAGCTAGAGAGGATCTAATACACATACAACAACATGACCACATGCATCATACATTGACTAAGTCGCTGAGAGCGTTTCCATCTCTCCGGGAAAATGGTAACAAATATCCCTCTCAGGCCGGGCAGCCTCGTCACGCCAAGGACGCAGCAACTACCGCCAAGGGTTCTATATGAAATGCTGCGCTCGGTTGCTCGGAAGTCGGCAAGCTTCTCCCAAGGACGGCCGGCTAGCCGCCCTTCCCCCCTCTTCTTCGTTTCTCTCTATTCCGCATCGCACCACGCATCGCAGCGCAGTGCATCACATCGGCGAGCGAGCTGCAAGGCACCCCCTTGCCTGTCTGCCCGCTTGCCCGAGAAGAGAGACTGGGAAAATAAATCACACTTTTTTGTCTTGGGGAAAATAAAAGAATAATAAGAATAATAAATTACCCGCTTCTTCGAGAACACCCTCCCGTCCCGTCCCCTCCCTTGCATCTGCCCCCTTCTCTTTTATGTACTGTATTGCGTGAATATATAGGGCTTACGTCGTCACAATTGCGGGGGAGCCGTGTCTCTCGAATATCGGCTTACCTTACGGACGGATATTGCTATTCAGGAGAACACGCGGGCTGCATATGACTAGAAAGTTGGGTGCGTTATGTATGTACAAGCTCTGCAGTGAAGCAGGCAGCATGGCTAATTTGCTGTCTCCTATTGCGTGTTATAGTACCTACCGAAGGTATCCATGGACCTCAACTACCGAGTATGGTGTTGGTTCTAGAAGATGGTGGATTTAAGCCAAGACCAAAGGAAGGAAGAAGAGCCGTCCCCCCCCCAGGATTTGGTTATTCGATGAGGGGAGGAGGGAGGGAGGGATTATTCCAGGGTGGTATACAGACAGAGTCTTGATTGAGAATGAAATTGACAATAAGATGGGCACATATTGGGTTTGGGTATAATTACTGTACATGCAAAAAGATAGCTGTGTGCGCAGGTTGGACAGAGAGAAAGAAATGTATAAATGAGCCGCCGGCAGTTGGGACAAGGGATAATGAATCAATCAGTGATAGCTTTCTCGTCATACTTTATTTGTTGGCTTGTCAGTCAGTCAAACCTGCACCCCCATTACCGAGGTCACCTCATTGACTCAGTTCACTACTAGTGTATGAATATGACCTTTCTCCGTGCCCCTGCCCTTTTACTTCCTGGCGCCGTGATTGCCGCCATGTACATACATACATACAGACCTAGGTATATACAAAGCATCTGTACTGCCCTGGTTTACCATGCCGTCTCGACATGCACTGCAAAGCGTAAAGAGGAAGCGGGGTTATGTGAGTGGTGTGTATTGTTTTTGACTTGGTGCGGATGGGGGTACCTGTTCCAGCAAAATTGGAAATAGGTGTATGTAGGTTAATGTATGTATCATTTTGGATTCAATGTTTAGGCCCCAGTTTGCAGCGTACAGAATACCTACACCGTGGTGTAGCCTGCGGAACTTGAATAAGTGGGGCGGAGCTGAGTGCAGGTATCAGGCTAGGCTTTAGAGTTGCTATCACGTGACCGTGCACGTTCTGCCGCTAGTGGCTTGATGGACGCAGGACTGGAAATGCGCCCTCGAAAGGTGGAGAGAGAGCTTACAGTACCTACTAGCAAGTCTAACGTGGTCGTGACTTCCATTTTGAAGTCCAACTCTGCAGACTGCGGTCGTAAGTATTGGGGCGGGTTCTTTTCTTTTTTTGGCCCCAATCGTATCCTCAATCATTTGCTGTGTTTTTTTGTATTTGTGGCGTGTCGACAAACCGAAAGCCGCCGCGCTGGCGCGAATCTGGTCGGTTGAGTTTCGCCTCACGCTTTCTCCATTTACCACCGACGGGACCTTTGGATCTTTCGCTCTCCTCCACCGACCTCAGCGTCACCCAGCTGCCCTTTCTCTTCCGACCGCGCCCCACCGAATCGATCTCGATCTCGCTATTTTACAGCGCCTGTCGACCGCCTTCCGCGAACAGGAGCAGTCGACGACTATCGACTCATCGACCATCGAACCGACCGACGGCGTTGACGCTTCTGTTGCGACGCTTTTCAACGCGCCGCGCCACTTGCCATGAGCCAGTGAAGCTCCATCGACCTGTCGGAGCCTCGCCAGGTCGAGCCGAGCCGAACCGCCTCTCTCTCCCCCTTTGCTCGCGACTTAACCCACCACCCTCGTTTCGCGGCTTCTCAAATTCACCCTTGCGCCTGCGCGCTGACATCCTCCGACACGTCGAGCCTCCAAAAATGCCCTCCGCTGCCGACGCCCAGGCTGCTCTGGAGTCGGCGCCCGCGCCCGAGCTGCCGGCAGGATGCGAGCCTTATATTGTCTTTAGGCAAGAAGTCGAGCTTGAGGTCGACTTCCGGAACCGCAGCGTCAGCGGCGTCTCTACGATTCATCTGTTCCTTCCAGATAAAGAGCTCGAGGAGATCTCGTTTGACGCGCGACAATGCGACATCGATCTGGACAAGGTGACGGTGGATGGGAGGAAAGTGAAGGCATCTTTCTCCGATCCCTATGATCTCATGGGGATTCCGCAACACTGGCAACTTGGTGTTCACCAAAATCATGTCATGATGAATCGCATGCGGCCGCTAAGGCCCCACAAGCGACCCGAGGTGCCCATTCTCCAGAAGGAAGACTTGATATGCAGCATCCCTGCCGACAGGTCACTGAAGGTAGCTCTACGGCCCGATGACCTCATTGAGGACGAGGCTCGGCGTATGGTAAAGATCAAGTCCATCAAGGGCAACAAGAATGGAGCAGCCGACAACTCGGAGCCCGACGGCGACAAGAACGGGGTCAAGATTTGCATACCATTCCGCTCCAAGCACATTCGGGACGGGCTGCACTTTGTGGGCGTTAGCGAGGGGGACACAAGGTACCCGCACGTGTACACGCGCCATTCTCTCGAGCCTGGAACGGCATCCTGCATATTCCCTTGCGTCGACGATCCGGGATCCAGGAACCCCTGGAAGATTTCCATAAAGTGCCCCAGGACCCTCGGTGACGTCTTCAACCAGCCTCTCGCCACACAGCCCGCGGCGGCGCCTCTTTCTTTGAACGAGAGCCGGAAGAGGAAGGCCGGAGATGCCTATCCGTCTTCACCACCCCGTCCTTCGCTTGAAGAAGAGGACAAGCTTAGAGAGATGACGGTCGTCTGCTCCGGCAATCTCGCCGGCGAACAGATAGACCCGCAAAACGACAGAAAGAAGATTATGACCTTTGAATGCCAACCTGCGGCCGCCCAGCACATCGGCTTTGCCGTGGGTCCCTTTGAGCATGTTGATCTCTGGGCCGACTGCCGGACGGAGGAAGCGGACGAGAGACTTGGGGCCAATGCGGCTAAAATCCATGCGTACTGTCTTCCGGGCCGTGACGAGGAGGTTCGGTACACCTGCGCCCCCATCGTGGCCGCCGCCGATTCGTTCGCGCCCGAGTTCGGAAAGTACCCCTTTGAAAGCTACAAGGTGTGCTTTGTGGAAGACATGGTCTCAGACACGGCGGCAGCTGCGTCATTGTCGCTTTGCAGCACTAGGCTGCTCTATCCCGATGACATAATCGATCACGAAATCGAGGTCACGAGAAACCTTGTCCACGCCTTGGCCAGCCAGTACTTTGGCGTCCATATCGTGCCAAATCAGCGGTCTGATACCTGGCTCATCGTTGGAATCCAGTGGTTCATGACAGATCTCTTCATGAAGAGTCTGTGCGGCAACAACTGGTACAGGTTCCACCTGAAGACCATGGCGGACAAGCTTATTGCGGCTGATGTCAACCGGCCTTCGCTCCACGACCTTGGCCAGTATCTTCACATTGGGGAGTTTGAACTGGACTTTATGGCACTCAAGGCGCCGTTGGTGCTTTACATCCTCGACCAGCGGCTATCCAAAATTCCCGGCTCGACGGGCGTCCTTCGCATCATATCCAGCATCGTCTCCTCATCCAACATCTCCAACTTCGACTTCAAGAAGACTTGCCTCTCTGTCGAAGCCTTCCGCCAGTCCTGTGAGAAGAAGAGCCAGTACAACCCAGATGAGCTCTGGGACCAGTGGGTGTTTGGCGCTGGCTGTCCGAAACTTATGGTGAAGCAGAGATTCAACAAGAAGAATCTCAATGTCGACATCACCATAACCCAAGCTCAAGAGTCAAACGAGCCGAAACCCCTCACCAGGGACGAGTTTTGGAGAGAGCTGCAGGAGAAGATTCACGACGTCCGACCAGGAGAGACCCCCAAGCTCTTCACAGGCCCCTTCACTATCAGGATTCATGAAGCAGACGGTACACCTTATGAGCATTACCTCTCTATCACTGAACGAGATAGAAACGGGACCACTCTGTCGATTGCGTACAATACGAAGTACAAACGACTAAAGCGGACCAAGAAGGCTCAAGCTGCTGCCGTCAACACCACGGACAAGCATGATGTGCAAGAGGACGACGTCATCTACTTCAACATGCTGGGCGACGTGTTGACATCGGACAAGGACGTTCAGAACTGGGGCCTCCAAGACTGGGCGGACGGGGTCCAGACGCAAATGGACCAGGAATCCTACGAGTGGATTCGGTTCGACTGCAACTTTGAGTGGATTTGTGAGACAATGACCGACATGCCCGGCTACATGTACCTGGCTCAGTTGCAACAAGATCGGGATGTGGTGGCTCACCAAGATGCGTTGCTGTTTTTTAAGAGAGGCAAGCGACATGGAGTGGCCGCGACCATCGAGACAAGGGCTGTCTACGACCGACGGTATTATCATGGCATCCGCACCATGGCCGTCGACGATCTCACCAAGCAAGCCGACCCCGACCTCAACTATATCGGGCTTGCACAGCTCATTTTAGTCTTCCGGCATTTTTTCTGCGATAAGATCGTCGGAAAAGCCGGGAGTGTTAGCTTCCCTCCCTCGCCCAACGACTTCCGCGACAAGGCGCAATATGCGGTTCAATCTGCGATCCCTGGCGCAATCGCGCGGACTAAAGAGAAGGGCCGATGCTCCAAGGACGGGCGTAGCTTTCTCTTGGATCTGCTCCTCTTCAACGATAACTCGCAGAATGCCTTCTCGGACCAGTTCTATATTGCCAAGCTTCTCGACGCTCTCACGACGTCTCTTATCCCAGAGAAGATGGTAACGGAGGGGAACCTGCTCGCCAATCTTAACATGGATGACGAGGATGATGTTGAATTCAAAAGTTTCATCGAGAATACGATTGAGGAGATCGACAAGTATCGTCGCATGGACGAGTGGACCTCTACCCACCAGAACATTTGGACAACGACAGCCCTGAACTGCAAAATGAGGCTGATGAAGGCTCGCGTCATTCCTACCGCGCCTATTGAATTCGTGCAGTATCTGCAGGATGACAACATCGACCTAGTTCGTCTCAAGGCTTTTGAGTGCCTGGTCGAGCTGGGGATGCTTGCCAAGGCGCCCATCTTAAGGTTGCTTCTTTCTTGTCTGGGCACCGACACGTCCCCATTCGTTCGGGACCGCCTATTCAAGATATTCTGCAAAGGGGTTGCCGATATAGCTTTTGGCGAGGCCAAAATCGCCCCCGAACCCCAGAAGGAGGTCGAAGATGACGAGAGCGGGCTAATCATCGAACGAGATGAGGGCGAGGCTCAGCAGAAACAGCTTGGTGCTGACAGGAGAGACGACATCACTCAGGCCCTTCGTGCGCTCAAGCACGAACTCGGTAACGACGAGCTGGCAAGGATTCCAGAGCTGACCATTGCCATGTGGCGGGCCGTGGAGTCCTCGACCATTGGCGTCAGGGAGAAGTGCCAGCTTCTGGATCTCTGCTCGGCCATGTTTGAACCCGAGGATTCCCTCCTCATCACTCTGAAATACCCCAAGTACTGGAAGTGTGCACGGGAGCCCATCGTTCACAAGCCGGCAGTGGTTGGCGTCGCCGAGCCACGGCCAAACAAGAAGCGCCTGCTGGTTCGCTTCACGCCACAGTACCGCACGGAGCCGCGGGTCAAGGCGGTCATAGGGCTACCTCCTCCCGAGTTGCCGGCACCTGAGATCAAGCCGCCTGAGCCAAAGAAGATTAAGTTGAGCACCAAACTCTCTTTCAGCGGTTCTTCAGCCGGTGGCCCGCCTACCCCGTCTCTTCTCGGGCGGAAGGATTCAATCTCGGTCACGATGCCACGGCCTGGCGCATCTGATGTATCTGGCCTCGCAGCTGTGGCAATCCCCAAGTCATCGTTGGATTCTATCGCTGTGCAGCCGGTGACGCGACTATCGACACCTCTGGCCATGTCGCCACCTCCAATCCCCGGCCCTTCTAGCGGCTTTTCCAGAGACCTTTCCAGCGGCCCGCCTAGTCAGTCGCTGAACCCGCCCGTAAATGGCCCCGCAAAGCCGGTAGAAAAACGGCCGAAGCCACCCAAGCGAAAGAGCGAGGACAGCGAGAACATCCATCGGCCGAAGAAGATTATCAAGACGGAAAACGGTCTGGCACACATCCGACCAAGAAAAATCGTCACTCTTCGGTTTTCGTCGTGGGACAAGCTTCCCCGCAAGATTCGCGACAACATGGCGCAGGAGCGCCGGGGTCCAACGGGATCGGGGACCATTGTGGCGACCCCTACGGCTAGGCGCCTTGCAGCGCCTAACCGCTCAGCTTCGCCTAGTGTTTTGGGATCTCCAATCTTGGGGTCGTTTGCCTCAAACTCTCGGCCCACATCGGGACCCAAGGAGAAATCTTCGTCTAGCAAACAACGCAAGCCGTTGCCCTCGTCCGCGCCTCACTTATCTTCCCCGGCACAGGGAGCAACCTCGAATGCTGCGACCTCGAACGGGACCTCTACCCCTGCACCTGCCGCAGCCACACCAGCCCCTCCGAAGAAGTCCATTATCAAGCTTAAGCTGATAGCGCCCTCACGAGCCTCGCCCTCTTAGTAGTAAGGAGGGTCACTCTTTGTGAGGGATTAGGCTTCAGAGGGTGTGGTGGGTACGGCTGTTACCAGCGAGTTGGCAGGAAGTCTGTAGACTAGTTCTATCTATATCCCTAGGTAGGACTACGAACACATATACTCGCCATCGCTACGTGGAGCTAGGATGCGTATTTAGTGTTCACCTGGAGGGGTGATGTCCACTGTGTGTTTCATCATTTTTTCGTTTTTTTCTTCGGTCTCCGGTCTGGTATTCCCCCGGGGTTCCAAAATCTTCGTAAAACATGCGGGCCGAGGTCCAGGCAGCAAGCAACACAAGAGGACGGACGGACGGACCGGAAAAGTCTGGGCGGGCGAGCGGGCGGGCGAGCGGGTTTCAATGCATTATACCGTATGGTCTACGTATCATTTTTGTTTTGTTATATCCAGCATGGCGTTTAGGGTCTCTTTTTTTCAAAAAGAAAAATTATTCTTTTATATATATATTAAGCCTTTTCAACCATCAGCTTGTGTGTTTTTTCCTCTTTCTGTATTCTTGTATGATTAGCTGCGTTTAGAATTTGGATCCGGTCAGCCGGTCAGCCGGTTGGTGGTGGCTCGGGACGTCGAGGATAAGGAGGTGGTGGTGGTGATGGCGCCTGGCTCACATACAGATTGTGCTTTTTTCCTTCCCCCACCACTCTGGCTTTTTCTTTGGGGGGTTTTTTGGTATTCATTCGGGATTGTGGAAAACGGACAAAGGGGAAAGTCAACAAAACATACGGAGTACATGCGTGCATACATGCCTATTGAGTGTTGATAGGAAGCGAAGAGACAACCCCCTAGCGCGTTCAAGTCGGGGGGGGGGGGGGATGGATGTGTATTAATCAATTACGGATACAGTAGTCAGGTAGCTGTTCTCGTTCTCGAGGAATTTTCCGGTAACCGCCACCAGGGTTCTCCCTCGCCTCAGGTTCATGTGATTCGTTTGTGGTATCTTCTTACATTATTATTTTATTTATCTCATTGAGGGGGGGGAGGGGGGGGGGGGGGCCGTAATAGGAATCAACAAGACTCATGTCTCTCTGTGTATCCTCCCCGTGATCCTGTAGTCAATCATTCATTCATCTGTCTATGAGATATCAAGACCACACCAGCCCCGAGATCAAGGAGGTATACGTAGAGCCGCCCCTCAGCTGGCCGTTCACGCTCCATATTCAACCCAGAACCGACAGCTAAACGGAAAGGAAGATAGACTAGGCTAGATGTATGTGCTTCGGTAGTCCCCATTATGTGCAAACAGATAACGGTCCAGGTCCCTATGGCAGTGGTAGCCTGCAAAAGCAATGCAATCGCAGAGATGTGTCGTTACCGACGCGTAGCCAAGGTATACACTTACTCACTCTCCTGCAAAGAGAGAAAGACATATATATGGACACATGCCATGACCTGCCCAGCCTAGGCCTGCGGTGGACGGCGCCGCGGCGCCGCGAGGCCGATGCGCTCGTCGCGAGAGCGCTGCTGGGTGGTGCGGGCCTCGGGCGTCACGGCGGGCAGGTTGCGCGCGGCGGCGGACGCGTTGTTGAGCACGCGCGCCGAAGACGCTGTGCCCAAGCCGGCCGCCGCTCCTCCTCCTCCTCCCGCGCCTGCACCTGGTGCTGCTCGGCGGAACCGCTGCTGGCCCTGCTGCTGCAGCTGCTCGCGGGCGTCTTGCTCGTCGACGCGCCGCTGCTGCGCGGCCGTCAGCGGGATGTTCTGTGCGTGCCGCGCCGCGTCGCGCGCCAGGGGCGTCGTATGCTGCTGCTGCTGCTGCTGCGCCGTCTGGATCTGCCCCATGGGCGTCACGATGCGGTTGCGCGCGGTGGCAGGCGCTGGTGCTGCTGTGGTGCGTGTGGGCGCGGCAGGAGTCGTCCGGTGGTGGTTGGACCGCGACGGCCCTGAAGATGCGGCTGCTGCTGCTGTGGAATGCGCTGGCGGAATCCCCTCGTCGACGTCCATGCCGTCGCCGTCGTCCTCTTCAGACTGGTCTTCCTCCTCCTCCTCTTCTTCTTCTTCCTCCTCTTCTTTTTCTTCCTCCTCTTCGTCAGAGTCCGAGGCCCCGTACAGCCCGGCTTCGGGCGGAGAGCTCGCGGCGCCTTCGCCTCCCGCTCCCGCAGCAGCCTGGGCAGCAAGGTAGTAGGCGGACGCGTCCATGTCGTCCGAGGAGGAGACGGTGGCAGCGGGGTGGTTGTGCTCGAGGACGCGGCGGCGCTGGATGCTGCCGAATGCGCTGCTTCCGGCGGGAGTATTGAGGGCGGCGGCGCGGGACTGGGCCATGGCCTCACGACGCGCGCGCGCTTGGGCAGACTGCAGCGTGGCGAGATTGCGCATTCGGTCCCTCTCGGCGGCGCGGTCTTCGTAGTCGGCGATGTCCTCGGCCGTGATGGAGAGGACGGTAAGCGGTTGGCGCAGCATGCTGGGCTGCTGCTTCACTGTCCCGCCTCGTGGATGTGATAGGGAGGAGGGGTTGTTATTTTTTCAGGTCGAGCGAAACAATTCTTGTCTGTTGGTGTGTTGATATGCCCGAGGAAGTGTAAAACAAAGTGTGGTGTTTTTGCGACATTGTTTACCTTACCTCGCCGTCACAGGGAATAATTATGCGCGCGCTGTGGTGGTTGTGTGGGGTAGATCTACAGAGCGAATAGCCCCTCCATTCCGATGTATTTCTTTCTGCCTTGTAATGCTGTCATTGGGGGCGCCCAAGCACCTTCCGATTGCTTATCGGACGCGTTGCGTTCCTTATCTGCGCGAACCTACCATGTAAGTCTCGCGTAAAGTGCCCTCTCTCTCCTTTTTGCTTCCCTTTACCTAATCTTGGCCCCTATTTCTCTCCCCTTGTTGTCGTTCTCGGTTCATGCCTCGAGTGCAAGCAACGAGACGTCCGGATATCGGAGGTCTGCATTGTCTTCAAGGAACGACATCCATCGCGTAAGGAACTTACTGCCTCTGCAAATCAAGACCCAAGCGGGCACAAGTCAGACAAGTCCAGAAACAAGATATGCTACTTATTCACAGGGCGAGGGAAGAAGAAAAGAAAGAAAAAAAAACACTTACTTCTTGACCGTCTCCGAGTCGCCAATGACGGTCAAAGAGCGTTTCGGCCGCGTCATTGCAACTGCTCTTAATTAACCACGCTGCTCTCTCGTGACTCAACCATCATGGATAATGGGGGCCAAGGTTAATATCAAGACGAGTACCAGGAACGGAACTCACCGTTCAAGCGCCGCTTCTCACCCAGGAACCCGACCTCGCCCTCGGGGTTGCTGCGGACGAGGCTGACGATGACGGCCTCCTTCTCACGGCCCTGGAAGCCATCGACACTTCCTAGCTCAATGCCAGGAAACGCATCCTTAAGCGGGGCGAGGATCGCAAGCTACAGTATTTTGTTGTCAGCCTCAAAGTCAATGCTAGCCCATTTGAACACCACAATATGTGCAATGATTGAACGTGATCAGACATGTGTAATAACAGTATACGTTACGCACCTGAGCATTGTAGGGCGTCACCACGGCGATGTCTTCGGGCCGGACGCCCGACTCGACAAGTCTCCGCACGTGCTGCCGCACCAGCGCCGCCTCCATCTCGTTGCTCTTGCTGTCGCCGATGAGGCGGCTCTTGCTCGTCTTCTTGGCTGCGCCTGCCGCGCTGGCTGTCTCGTCGTCGTCCTCGTTCTTCTCGGGAAAGTCGCCGCCCTGCGTGTCGATGAAGATGAGCGGCTCCGTGGTGTCATCGTTGGGTTCGACCGGGTATGTGAGGTCCCGGAGCAGCCGCGCCTTGACTGCCTCGGCCGCCACGAGCTTGGACTCGTAGAGCTCGTCCGACGGGAACTGCATGATCTTCTCGTGCATCCGGTACTGTGTTGTGAGCATCCTCTTGATGGACGGCCCGTGCAGCGCCAGCAACCGGTCGAACAGCGTCGTCTCTAGAGACACTCGCCCCGCTCCTCCTGCTGCTGCCTCCTTTTGTTTTGCCGCATCTCCCTCCCCTTTTGCGTCGTCTGCCGTGGAGCTGTTGGAAGACTTCTTCTTTGAGGCAGACGACGAAGAGGAGCTGTTGAGCGACTTGATGGTCGGCGGTAGCTGCAGGTGGTCGCCCGCGCAGACGGCCTTCTTCGCCGACAGCAGCGGCACCCAGCACTGCGCCTCGAGCGCCTGTGAGGCCTCGTCGATGATGACAACATCGAACTCCTCGCCGCGCAGCTGGAACCCGCCCGAGCCGTGGCACGTCGCCAGCACCACCTTGCTAGCGGCCACCAGGCTGCTGACGCACCGCCGCTCGCGCTCGCGGTACTCCTTGCGCAATATCTTCAGCTCGGCGTATATGGCGCGGCGCTCCTTGCTGTTCCGCGCCTTGCGCAGCGACGCCTGCTTGGTGTCCATGTCGGCCCGCACGTCCTTGACGATGGCGCCCGCCTCGGACGTCCGCGTCAGCACGTCGAGCGAGTGGTTGAGCACCGACGGGAGCAACCGCGCCGGATGGCCCAGCCGGACCATGGGCACCTGGTGTGGCGCGAGCCGCTCCACGATGTTGTCGACTGAGATGTTGGAGGGCCCGCACACGAGGACGCGCAGGTTTTGCTTGACCAGCTGCAGGATCAGCTCGATCAAGGTGTGCGTCTTGCCCGTCTGCCCGTTGTTAGTCACTGGGAGATTTAAGTCTCGACATATACCTTTGAGCAACGTGTAGACAGAAACAAAAGATAGGCAGACTAAAAAGGGTAGAGACAAAAGGGGGGACTTGCCCCAGGGGGTCCGTGGATCAGGGCAATCTCCCTAGAAGCCAGCGCGAAGCGGATGGCGTCCTTTTGGGAGTCGTTGAGCGTGGGGTCGAACCAGTCGACAGCGCCGGCGTCAGCTTCCGCCGCGACCGGCGTCGGTATCGTCTGCCCAAACAGCACGCGGATGAAGATGGAGTGCTCGGCCTCGCTCATCTTCTGCAGCTTCTGCATGGTGCCGTTCATTCTGGTGCGGCGGCACGTAGACCCTGAATCAGCTTTCTCCCATCTCCGTCTTGTCCCATTTCTCCCCGTGTGCCATGGTCGTGACCGAGACCGTGACATGCCAGCAAGAAAATCCCTACAAAAACAACACAGCCCCCCCCCCCCCTTTTCCGCATAGCTTCACCGCCTCACCCGTAGCATATCCAAGCAGGAAACAAAAAAATAGACAGACTGACCTCTTGTACGTGACATCGTCGGCCAGCTTGACAAGCCACACGCGGCCGGCCCCAACCCCAGCAGCCAGACCGCCACTCTCACCACCACCACCATCCTCACCCTCATCATCCAGCGCAACAGCAATAAACCTACGCGCCACACGCGTCACGACCCCGCGTGCGCCCTTGCGCTCAAGCTCACGCACCTCGCGCTTCTTGGCACTGCCCGCTGGCTGCTCCGCGACAACGAGAATATCACCTGTGCGAATCCCATGCTCTGGCAGCTCCGCCACCCCTGACCTAGAAGTCGCAGCGTCGGGCTCGAGCTCGAGCAGCGTCTTGCCGCCAAAGCCAGTGCGCGTGCCAGCGACGACGAGGTTCGTGACGGCCAGGCCGGCGCGCTGTAGCGCGGCGGGGCTGTGGCCGGCCACGAGCGCCGCCGTCTCGGCCAGCTCGGCTTCGAGTTCCGCGAGGAGGAGGGTTTGCTGCGCGGCTGCGAATGAGGGGACGTCGACGGGCGCCATCACTCTTCCTGTTTTTTTTTTTTTTTTTTTTTTTTTGGGGGGGGGGGGGGGGGGTCCTTTTGATGAATGGAGATCAGTGCCAGATCAAGCGAGTGATGGAAACCGTGGTTATTGACCTACGGCGTGGTGGTTTGGTTTGGGGCACAGTGTTGTGTTGTGTTGTGTTGAATGAAGCGGCCGGTTTGGCGAAGATGACGAACGGACGGGCAAAGTTTTGAAAGGTGTGCACGCCGCAGCAGGTTTGAAATCATGAGAGTGCCAGTTGTGAATTGAACGACATTGAAGAACCCCCGAAACAACATGTTAAAGGTTAATTCATAATTTTCTTCATGTTGCTCTGTCTACCTATTCTCCCTATCTTCTTTGACTTCATGTTCTTATTTCCCCTTTCGTTGTATTTCACGCTCTATTTCCTCGACCTCTATTTGCCTCATGTGTGCTCTGCACGCCACTTCATCTTCCCGACAACAACCGCGTAAATGCAGCACAAGGCCTCGCAAAACCGCACAGAATGCAAGAGGCACGCTTATTCAGTGAAATGGAACGAGTTTGGTGTTATGTCTTGTCAAGAGGTGCAATAGCTACATGCACGGGGTATCTGAAGCTAACTCACGGCACGAACAGACAAGCAGTTAATCTAATTTTCAAGCCCGGCATCCAAACCATCCACAGCCATTCGTTCACTGGCTCTGCACCAGGAGAACAACAGCCAAGGACGCTACCGTGACCGCAAATGCTATAAAGGACACAAACATGATGGCGCCGCGGCTGGCAGGGAACTTCCCCTTGATGACCCAGTGCTGGGCCGTGAGGTAGCGCTGGTAGCCCAGGAACAGGATCAGGATGCTGACTCCCAGGAACGTGGCCCCCAGCGGCTTACCCAGCTGCCGCAGTGTGTCGGCGTGCTTGCCATCCCCAGCTAGTGACGTGTTAAGCCGGAAGAGCTGCGTAATAGCAATGCCGATGGACGCAAAAGCCAGCGACGTGCGCAGCCATGCTAGAAATGTCCGCTCTGCAGCCGTCAAAGTTAGCATAACCTCAGGGCTTCCGTCCCATACCAATCCAAGAGAGACTTCTTCCGCCTGCTCACCTAGGGCCAAATGGTCGCGAGCCACACTCCCCTTGTTCTCAAGCTCGATGCTCTGGAAATACCGTAATCGTTTCCTCCAAGCCGACTCCTTGTTCTCGCCGTCCGACCTTGTTGTGCCGTCGTCCACATCGTGGCCGTCTAGGTCGTCTGGACGCTGCCGCCGGCGTGGGGAGTGCGCGTGGGCTGACGAAGTCCTGCTCTGAGCGGATCCAACCGTCCTCCTCCGCGGCGACAGGCTCGTGTGCGTTGTGGTCTGGTAGTTGAGCGTGCGATGGCGTTCGGGCTGTCTCGTCACAACGTCACCATGGCCACCGGCGTGGTCGTCGTCATTGATGGCTCCTTCTTCGGCAATAGCGGCCGCGCCACCCCGCGGTGAGCTGGAGAGCGAGTATATTCCCCCCCGCGGCGAGCCGGCGAGCAACGGCTGCTGTGCCCGCGGACTACTGCTACCCGACTGTTGACCATCAGCTCGCTCGCGGGCGCCCTGTTCGTCGCAACCACATGTTAGCTGGCCATCTAGCCAAGACGGGGTCGGAACCCCCAGATACGTAAGGTATAGCCCGGTGGAGTTGGACCGGCGCCGTGGGGTCGCCGAGCAGTTGGCCTCTCGACGCGGGGATTGGGGCGCAGGGACATGGCATGGAAAGGCAAGGCGGTACGAACAATCATGCGGTCAAATAGGTCATTCGCCGAGGGGCCGAAGATGGAATCAGCAACACGGGCCATTGTTTCTGTTTCTAGAGGTTCCAAATTCGAGAGATTCGATTGCGGCGGAGCAGAATCGGCGCCGCGATAACACGGCAGGCAAAAGGGCCAAAATGATGGGTGGGGCGTCCCAAGCAATTGTGATCTCCGATTCTGGAGCCGCTGGGCCATCTACCGATGTCCGACCCTGGATGCGTGCCCATACCGGCCGATGAAACGTTGAATAGCAAACCCACTGACCTCGAGAATGTCATTGATTCGTTCCTGGGCCGATCTCCGCCGTACCAGCTGCAGCGTCAAGGAGCCCCGTCGCTCTTGGAGATATGGCTGTGGCTGAAGGCTCGGCTCGGTTGCGGTGGTAGGAGGTGGTGCATCTGGCGGCGTCGACATGTGAGTTTCAATCGCCTCTGAGGGCGCGCCGTTTTCGGCCATCGGCGGCCACCTCTCTTTAAATAAGATTTGCAAGGCAATGCAGCGGCGGGAGATGTTCTAGGGGATGGCGTCAAAGAGAGTTCAGATTGCAACCCCTCTACGCGATGCCGAGGTGCGCAAGGAATGCAACCTAAGCATATTGTTTGGGGAAGTAAGGGTTCTTGCAGATGCTTTTGCCGCTCGGATTCGAGAATTAAGAAGCCCGCTGGTTCCAGACTCGTTTTCTCCCAATCGGACAACCTGTTCACGTCATCTTGCATTTCAAGAGGAAAGCTCAGCCTTTGTGTGCGGACGTGCATGGGTCCTTGGCGCCATTCATTGGTCAATGGCGCCATGCAGGTGAGAGATGGGTTAGGGTTGCAGCTTGTGTTCTGTTGAGTTTAAACTCGGAGTTTTCTTGCCTTTTGCACCCAATCAAATATCGTCGTCGCCGTCATTGTCGTCTTTGTCGTCGATAAATGACGCCCAGGACTGAATTATGTACACACTAATGATTATAATAGGCCGTCCGGGTCCTCCTTGACTCGGTCTATGCCTATTCTCGCAGCCCCCGAAACATCGACTGCCATCCACGTGCCCGTCTCGTGTATGCCCTACGTGGTGATGTTCCGGAACGGCACCGTCGAGAGCATGATGGGCAAGAACTTGGACAGCACCGCCGCCAGCGCGATGGCGCCCGACATCCCCTGTCTGCCTGCGATGGACCGCGCAAGCCCCGAGAAGGCCGTCGTCGCCGGCGCGAACAGCATACCTCTACTCGAGAGACGTGAGCGGCTGTACGGCGTGAACGTGGACGTCCCTGGTAGGTTGTAGTAACAATTAATAAGTGACTAGGGTGAGATCGAGAGAGACAGGGAGACCTTCCGGAGAAAGTAGTATTCCCAAAAGGTGCTGATAAGCACCCCCAGCGCCGTGAAAAGCAGGCGGACGCCGTATCGAGCGGTGTGCTTTCGTAGTAGAGGATGAGAATCAACAGGCCCGACACAAACAGCAAGAAGAGCAGCCGGATGTCCCCTTCCCGAGCCTCGGGGGACATGTCCACAAAGCGCCGCCACCACGCTCCCTGTTGCCGCTTGGCTCTCAACGGCGGCGTTGGCCTGCCAGAGGAGCTGCCAGAGTCTCGTGTCCCGCTCCGACGGCCTTCGAGCATGACAATTCCGTAGTTGTCGCCGCCGCCGCCGCTCCCCGGGTGGCCGGAGTAATACCGCAGGGCAAACCGCGTGTTGTTAAACTTGTCGACGAGCTCCCTGTCGGATATCTGGCTCGAGCCGTCCCCCGAGGGTGTCGGGATCGACAGCAGCGCCTCCCTGAGCCTGGTGTTGCCGTGTATCGGCAAGATGGTCGCTAGCGCCGCCACGCTCTAGGGGTTGTGCAGAATCTGCACCAGGATCGACAGGACTATGGCCAGCAGCACTGGCACGACCGACGCCAGCACTAGTCGCCCTCGCTCATGGCGCGGAACGCCCCCTGCAGCTCGGGGGGGGATGGGGCCATGCTGTGGCGGCCGAGGTCGTGGCGGTTGGGCTGGTTCGGAATCGGTTGGTCGTGCAGGTTTTCTTTGGACCGATGTGGTTGTGATGTTGCTGAAAGCAGTGCGGGAGGAGTCTGGCATGTCAGCTGCCGTCGGCTGACTTCCTCCTGAAACTACATTCCGAGTAGTTGAGGTAGAAGAGTGGAAGGACAGGCCCTCTATTGTCTCCGACAGGTCGTCTGTGCTTTGGGTGCCGCCGCATGGTGATGGCCAACCGTCGAGCTCGATGTCCCCGTCGCTGTGGTGTTGGCGAACCCGTGCCGGCTTTAACGACTCTCGCGAGCCGAGAAAGGCTGCCTTTGGAAGAGTTGCGTCCATACTGGCCAGACCAGCACATCATAGAACTTAGCATGACGCAAGGGAAGAGAAGAAAAGAAAATAGAATGATAAATATTTTCTCTATATATAAGAGAGCATCCCCGCATCTCTACCTGGCCTTTCCCGGCTCACTCATTCCATGGAACACCACTCACCGGTTTGGAATCTGTTATCGGTATTCATATTAATTAAATCCAGGCTCTAGGCCATAATAGAGACAAGCACTCGACGTTAGTTCCGCCAGCGGCTAAATCCCAGCTTTGCGGCACAGCACAGGCTGGCAAGGCTGAACAATAGGTTGACCAGAGACGTGAGCCATGTTACAGGATGCGGGTTGCGGGTTTCCGTCGGCACCTCTATTAGAACACTAGGTAGTAGAGCCATGCGCCTTTGCTTGTCTGGTCGGTCCCAGAGGGAGAGTTGTAGTCGCAAGACAACAAAGACCCCTGAGTGGCCCGTGAATTTGCCCGCTATCTCCGGCGCGACGCTAAGTCCAGCCGGATATGCTGGAGTCGAGCAAAGAAGCGCACTTCGAAGGGCGCTCGTCGGGGCTACTAGATTGGCCACCTGGCTATGGTGCAAGCACTTCAAACTGTGGTTCTGCTACAAATCGCTGGATGCTTTGGAGGGAAAATCCGAGCCTCAGATGCTGCCAAGCCCTGAAGAGCGACGCCAACCGTCATTCAGGGGTTGGGTCGCATAGCTGTAGCTGTTAGTAAGCTCGACAGAACGGCACCGCCATGGAGTCATGCAAGTCGGTCCTCAACCACTCGGCCGTAACCTTAATGCCGTTGGTGGCTTTCCAGGCCCCCCTCGTTTTGATCGTGAAATATTCAGCAAAGGACTGGTAAATACCTTGTAACCCTCGTCTAAGTTGATACTGAAAGAAGTCATAAACGGGGTAATTTACCGGGTTTCGCAAGTAGTACGGTAGGTATACTAGGTAGATATTTATCGTGGAAGGGCGTAGACAGCAAGAGGCCGTGCCTGGGCACTGCCTTGTACACACACCTACGTGCCGTTCCCAGGAGAATCTGCGATTAACGACCTTGTGTTTGTTAGCTCTGCATCGCGTCAAGCAGTCATATTTCCGAGTGCCGAACTGATGTCCGAAAGACGGGTCTTGTCGAGAGTAAACGCCATTTCCGTCATGTATATATCAGGGGAGCCTCAGATCGAACCGTGGCAGCTGAGTTAGTCCTGTCAACACCACACATACTCGGTCAACAACATCTAGCCACATCTCCCTCGCCGACATTCACATTCTCGCAGCCAATATCACCTGTCCAAACCTGATCGCACCGACACCATGGGCCTCACTATCCACGGCAAGACGGTCGGCAACATTGGCCTGGGCATGATGAGTAACGCCCCCTCCCGCTTTCCCCGTCAGGGACCTATCGCGCCACGATAATAGGCTAACCGCTTGGATAGATCTGACCCTGCGGCCGACTAGAATCCCCGATGAGCAAATCTTCGCCACGATCAAAGCTGCTCTCGAGACCGGCAGCAACTACCTGAACGCGTCCGAATTCTACGGAGCTCCGGACCACAACTCGTTGACCGTGCTCAACAAGTACTTTGACAAGTACCCCGAGGACGAAGGCAAGTTCGTCATCAACGCTAAGGGCTGCCTGCCCAATTTCGCGCCCGACAACTCGCCCGCGAGCGTCAAGACGAGCATCGGGAACTCGGTCCGGCTCATCGGCGGCAAGGGCCGGATCGACCAGTTCGAGCCGGCCCGCAACGATGCCGCCGTCGACGTCGAGGTAGCGCTCAAGGCCATCGGCGAGCACGTCGAGACCGGCGACATCAAGGGCATCACGCTGAGCGAGGTCAACGCCGAGACGATTCGCCGCGCGGCAAAGATTGCCAATATCGAAGCCGTTGAGGTCGAGCTGTCGCTCTGGGAGCTGGCGCCGCTCGAGAACGGCGTGGCCAAGGTCTGCGCCGAGCTCGGCATCCCGCTTCTCGCATACTGTAAGACACCATGACACTGGCCAAAGACATGTCAACTCTAGCTAACCTACCATTTCGTGTCACACCACAGCGCCGCTCGGCCACGGCGTACTGACGGGCAAGGTCAACAAACCCTCTGACATTCCCGAGGGCGACTTCCGGCGGACGATCCCGCGGTTCCAGGGCGAGCACTTCAAGGCCAACATCCGGCTGGTGCGGGAGGTCGAGAAGCTGGCAGCGAAGAAGGGCACCACGCCGGCGCAGATCGCCATCAACTGGCTGCTGGCGCTCGCGCGCAGGCCCGGCATGCCGACCGTCGTGCCCATCCCCGGCGCGTCGTCGCCCGCGCAGGTCCGCGAGAACACGGTCGAGATCGACCTGACCGACGCCGACATGGTCGAGATCGACCTGATCCTCGAGGCCCTCCCCGTCGCCGGCGACCCCTACGGCGCCCACCAGATGGGCTTTCTCTCGCGCTGAGCCGGCCGAGTACTTTGCAGCGCGCTCGCTTTTTTGTAGTCTGAAATCTTGACAGGTCTTTGACTTTTAGTTGATGGGAGGTTACGGTGGCTTTGTATGCAGCAACCACACTCACACATGAAACCCCTTGACAATGGTTAGGATAAAAGATAGTTGGTGCAAATAAACAATACTCGCTGACACATGTTTTGTCGTCCATTGAATGCCTCAACTTTTATATAATCAAACTGCATCGAATCGGGCAGTTGTGTTACCGAGTAGGCGTATTCCTCTCACTTGAGTGGGGAAGAAACGCTAAAGCACTCCCGGTTTTAGGTAATAGGGTTAATTAACGGCGAATCCGTAGGTAGTCACAAGCCTAGACCCTAGCTGGGTAAGGCCAGCTCGGCGCTACATAGCTCTGTCGCCATTGATGATAACGCGGCCCGCTAATTAAGGTAGGGTGGTGCGCCCCACCCGTGTTTCCGTTCTTGGGGTCTTTGGGTCGGGCCCCTCGCCATCCATCACCACTTGCTCGGGCAGCCCACTTACCTATGTAATTGCTCGATAGGTCCCTATACAGAAAACCAGGCAAACAAGAGGCAGCAACAGCAACTTCCCTTCTCCAACGAACAAGCGAAAGAGAGAGACCTAGCCTTCCGACCATCCCGGCCCGACCCCTCTCTACACACGCGCCGCCGCCGCCGCCGCCGACGCACGTTCGCGCCGTGGGATAAAGAAAAGAAAAAGCCCGAGAAAGCTTTTGCGCATGTCTCTTTTCGTCGCGCAAACACTGCCCCGACGAAACACGACGAAGCGCCGTCTTCACCACCCCAGTTCCGCCGCGCAGAGAACCCGACCTGCTTCTGCTTCATCCCCAAACTCGCCCGAAATGGCAGACCAGTGGGTTGACTGGAACAAGACCACCCGGTCCAAGGACTACCGGGGCTCTGCGTCGTTTGCGACGTTTCTGATCATTGGACGTACGCAATCTTCCTCCCCTCTCCCCCCCGCTTCCTCTTAACCTCCCACCCCGCCTCCTTTCTCCCCTCACAACACCCCATCAATCAAAACAAAGACAAAACAAAGAATTGTCCAAAAAGTGAAAAGACGTAAGTAAAAATAACCCCTTCAACACTAACAAAACAAAAACAGCCGTCTGCTTCTTCCTCGGGATCCTGTTCGCCTCCTTCCCCTACGACTTCCCGCTGCTCTGGACCTCGGACCCCGTGCCCGCCGCCTACCTCGACCAGCTCGAGACGCACCTACGGTTCATGCACCAGTCGCCCCCTCTCATCGCGCGGCTGCTCAACATCATCGTGTCGGCCGGTTTTCTAGGGTTCTTCATCAAGCTGTTCAAGCCGTCCGAGGCGAACGTGCTGTTCGACGGCGCGTCGCTCGTGCTGTACGTGATCGGCGCCGGCGTGTACATTGCCAACATCGTCAAGGGAATGCGCACGGTGAGCGCGGGCGCGTGGGACGACGAGGGCAACAGCGGGATTCCCTTTGACGGCCCGCTGACGGGCGAGATTATCCTCGGCCGCGAGGACAGCCTCAAGGTGCTCAGCGCCAGCAACACCATCTTGGCGCTTGTTCTCGTCGGCGTCCTGGTCCTGCAGGTCGGCCAGTGGTATGCCGAGCGCAAGGAGGCCGACGACATTAAGAAGAACGCTGCCGCCGACGCTGCTGCCGCTGCTGTCGCTGGCAGTGCTGGGGGCGACGCCGGGCAAGGGAAGAAAAGGCAGTAGACGGAGGCATGGAAATCGGAAAAGAAAACCCAACCCAACCAAAAAAAAAGTGCCTAGGTTAAGGGTACAATTTCTTTTTTTTTCTTCTTTTTTTTTATTTTTTTTTACAGATATACCTACCTGGTATATGTATTGGAGAAACAAACGATTAATGCCCAATTAAGAGAAAGAAATGTATCTATCTAGTTCTCTTATGTTTTTGCGTGTGCACAAGGTTACGTTTACGTATGGGCATAAAATGCATTAATGTCCCTTGGAGGACGGACGGGTGTACTTTCTCCCATTTTAAAAGATTTACGGAATACAAATTCCACATCTCTCGCGAGCAACACTGTGAACAAGAACATTGTTTTAATTACGGAATCTGCAAAAAAAAAAAGTAAAATAAAAATAGTTACAAGAGAAAGTGTCCTTTCCTATTCCCCCGCCCCCAGAAAGCAAAGGGTACGGAAGTAGGATGGTAATGCAATAAAGAATTAGAGGGGTGTGACCGACTACGGTCTCAACCCCGGGTCCCCCCCTTTTTTTACCTTTCTTCCCCTTTCATATGTATTCATTCCTTCTAGCTTCGAGGTTGGTCAACAGCAGTCGGTCCCCCCGACGACCCGCTGCCCCGTGGAAACAGACATGATAGAAATACCGATGGCGGCGCATAGAGAGCGAGCAAATAAAAGCAAGCAGCCGGCCGGCCGACTGCCGTTTACCCATGACATGAAGAGAGGGAGGAAAAAAAACGAGTAGAAAGCCGACCAAAAGAAAAAACTCCTCGCTGAACATATGTAGCCACGGTATCTCTCTATGAGGGGTATGCAAAATATAAAAACGCTCCAGACCCGTGGGGGAAAAAGAAAGATGGAGAAAGGTGGTGCCGGGGCGGCCTCAGACCAGACTTAGATGATGCTAGGTCCTGTGACTAGGTCCTCAACCCCCCGGGTTGCTAGGTTTTTTCCGTATTGGGCTGACTACTTGGCTGGGGCTGACTACTCGGCTGGCTGGACTGGTTGCTTGGCTGGCTGATCGGCTGGCTGCTTGAGTGTAGCCGCTGTCAGGGCGGTACGGCACGAAGCCCTGGCCCTGCGCAACAGCGCCTAAGCCGGCGCCCTCCATCATCTGGGTAAATGTTGTCAGGTGGCTGTAGCGCCGCCGGTCTGGTCCCTCAGGCGAACCCTCGGGTGTTATCGTGCTTGGGTCGGCAAACACGTTGATGCTCACGGAGCTCGGTTCACGGTATGGTCGTGGGGTTTCGGGCATTAGCGCGTCGTCCTCGTTTGCCACGAACGGGGACCGGGCACCACCGCCGGACTGGGGCGGGGGCGTAGCGATCCCGACTGCTATGCTACTATGGCGCGCGGCGTTAGGGGGCTTCATCACCGCTCCGCCCGTGCTTGTCGAGTCTATTGAGTTGCGAAGAAGGTCTCCTGTAACGGACCCTTCTTGATCATCGGGAATGCGCGGAGGCGGATACCGGCCAAAGTCGGTTCGCAGTGTCGTGCCTTCGGGCGCGATCGGGTTGCTGATGAAGTTTCCAAAGGACGAGGTTGACCGGGACAGCTTAAGCCTATCCAACTGCTCCGCCGGCTTCTTCCCGCGCCTGAGGAGAACGCAAGTAATAAGGACGCCGATAATAGCGGCCATGGTAGCTCCTGCCGACGCCCCTACTATGACGCCGATGGGGGGTCCCTTGTTAGCCTCGGCGACCTCGGTGGCTGTTGGGACCGTGGTCTCTGACACCCTGGAAGCACTGGCACTGGTGGACGTGCTGCTCTCGACACTCGTCGTGTTGTTGGCGCCAATGGGACTGCTCGTGATGAAGCTGGTAGTGGCACTTGTGGTTGCGCTTGTAGTTGCGCTTGTAGTTGCGCTTGTGGTTGCGCTTGTGGTTATGGCGGTGCCTGTCGTTGACGTTGTTGCCAGTGTTTGGAAAGGAGCGGCGTTTTGGTTTGCATTCATCTGACACTCGGCACCATTGGGGGTACATGAGTAGCCAAAGGGGCAGCAGGTGTTGCTACCGCAAGTCTGCAGAGTGCCTCGCAGAGCGGTTGTCTTAACCACGGCATCTGGGTGCTTCTCGCCATCTTGCTGGTTGATATCACAAGCGATGGGCAATATCCTCGCGCAGTTGGCACCCGCAGGGCAGCATAGCAGAGTCGTGGCGCCCGCGAGGGTAATGCAGGCCTGGTTGTTTGGACAGCAAAAGTAGCTTGGAAAATTAGACTGTTTGCATTGGGAGAAATTTGCCGCGCAAGTAGTCTGGCGCTCGAACAGATTGTTTGCTGATGGGAGCGCCGAGGCGGACGCGCAGATGGCAACCAAGGAAGCTACGCGCAACGATGACCAGAGACCGGGCATCCTCAAAACACGCCTCTCGCCCCGAGGGCCGTCGGTTCGGGAGACTCTTCACTGGCAAGTCTGGCGCTGAAAGGAGCAGGGAGGTCCGGGTCTTAGTCGGCGGCGATGTTGAGGACGGGATTGCTCGTCCGCGCTAACAACGACTTTGTTGCGCGCAACGAGTCAACGGCGGATGCCATACAAGAACGAGGTGAGGCACGAACAAAGGACGAGCTTGTTCGTGCGTGCGTGGCGGTAGAGAGGTGAGGTAGGTAAAGGCCGGGGCGGAGGGGAAAAGGGAAAAGATCCATTAGGTCCGCCGCCATGGGAGGGGGGGAAAGGGAAAGAAATCTCGCGGTTAGGTATATGGGGCCGGGTCCGGCACTGGCCGGCGCATCGTGTTAAGATTGGGATGACATGACATAGATGACGACGATGGGAGGGCACCCATTGTCAGGAAACAAAAAGTGGTAGGGCCCAAGGAGCCGGTCGAACGAAGCCGTCTTGTCCAACCGACTCCCACGTCCAACTGGCTACCAAGTGGATAGCGACGACCATGTGGGCGGCGGCACCAGGCGATGCAACGGGCAGAACAAATCTATGGTGGCCCAGGGGCTGCGGACCGCATGCGGAAAAGAGTCCATGACGGAGCCAGAGCTGTTTGAACTTTGAGGCAGGGGACTCACTGGGCGCGGAGGCTTGCCATCATTGCCATCCATGGCTTTGCATTGCGATGACTCGATGCATACTTTGTGCAAGAAACGCGCTTGGGGGCCAGTAACTCGGATGACTCTGGGCTCTGGACGGACGGACTCTGGAGGTTCTCACCTCACCTCTCAGGCAGCTTCGCCAGCCGAAGGCCTGGGCACCTACGAGACCGCGCATTGAGGCAGTGTCCGGTTTGAGAGTGTTTTGCGTTGGGTAAACGACAGGTCGCCCGAAGCGCCGACGACCCAGCACCGACCGGGCCACGTCCGGCAACCACGACTGGCAGGCGATTTGGAGGGTTCAGGTTCTTTTGCTGTCTATGGTGGCAGCGGCTGGCTAGGAAGGCACGACACCCTTCGTTGGAGAAGAGCCGCGCTTGGCCGCGGCCGCGCCCCTGATTGGCCAACGGCGCCCCTGGCTTCTATTTTAAACCTCCTAATCGATCACTCGAACAGGCCTAAGTCACTGTGAGGTGTGGCGGCTGCTGGGCTGCTGTCGCTGGCCTGACAGGCAAAAGCCCACGACTACTTGCCTTCTAAGCCACACCAAAGCCAGGGTTGCCCGCATTGAACTTCTTCGCGTTTTGTAATTCCCGGGGAGAATTCGTCCCGTGATCCTCCTCAACCGGGCGTCGCGCTTCGGGAGAGGCCTCATATGATCGCTGCCCTATGATCACTGCCCTATGATCGCTGACCTGTGATCGCCAGTCGATCGCCCGTCCAGGCCTTTGGGGGGGCCCTCCGGGAGACCGCAAATCTCGCCGGATTTATGCAGCCAGCGCAGTCTTCGAGGTGCAAGATCCTTTCTATATACGTATGATTTGTTTCATGGGGCTCATTTCGGGCCACCTCTGCCTTTTCTTGACCTGTCCATTTGAAGCCAGCGAGGGGCTTTGACTTCGCGACGTGTTTGAGCCGAACCCCCCAAAAAATGTCTTTCAGCTTTCTCCTTCCTACGCCGATCAGCACAGCCGATCACGGAACTCGCTCCTTTCAGAACAAACAGCGAGTTAAAGATGGGTTAGAAACGCAACGCAACCCCCGAGCAGAGAAACTAATGAGACCGGGCCAACAAACAAACAATCAGCCCGGTCGGCCAGGCCCCACCTGCCCATCCCATCAGGGCCCGATCTGTCCCCCTTTTTGGGGGGGCAGCTGTGTTTCGCATCGCTTCCCCCACCCGGCCCGAAACAACAAGCCCTCCACATCGGGTCTCAGCCGCTGCTGCTTCGCCGTGCATCCCTGCTTCTCACCATCCATATGTTCATTTCGTCTTATTTTTTTTTTTTAAAAAAAAAAATCCCCCTCCTTCTATATAACTACCTAGGACCTGTCTCTCTTTCTCTGTGGTCTGCGGTCTGCGGAGTATTTGCCGTAGACATAATCACGTAATTATCTAGGCTCCTCCACGGCGTCATCTCCACTCCTTGTCTTACACAGAAGCAAGCAAACAAGCCGGATTCAAGGGCCCGCCCGCCCGAACCAAAAATCCGCCGGGCTTATTACTCCGTGTTAGTAAACGGGCACCCCCAACCCTGAGGCGACCAGTCCGAAACACCCCAAAAAGAGGGCACCTAGACATGCGAGACTGAAAAAGAGGTGTGTCATGTCACCGTCCAAACTTGCAGCATTGCTCCGTGAGGTCCTCTGGAAGAATGACATATGGCCGACAACTCACCATTGCAGGGGTAAAAAAGTCCAAGGCCGGGATTTAATTATTTACGTATATATTATCGCTAGATTTCAAATCCCAAATGACAGTTCGTGCGTGACATGTCTTGACGTGATGACAAAAAGAAAACTAGAATATGGGCTCTGTGCCCCCAACGGCTGAGACTTTTTGCATGAACACGCAAATGAATTATGCAAGCCCTTCTCGCCGAGGAAAGCTTTCGTTCCTCGGTCCCGTGTCTGCGCCGCTCGTTTTTTCCTGGGGGCATTTTCCAACTGTCTCACAAGCAAGCAAGTCAATCAAGCACAAGGGACGGCTCTTTTTGTTATTATTCAATGTTTTTGATTTGAATTTGTTTGGGAACCTTCAGGGTATAATCTGCTACCTAATTTTCCCCCAAATCTCTCCATGGTCGTTTTATCGACTCCCAGTAGTTGAGCGCATCATATTTTGATAGCGCCCCGAGCTCGCGTTTCCAATTCAACGCGGCCACAATTTGTGACAATAAAAAGAGAAAAAAGTCATAATCCCGTGGTATCCCGTTCAAGCGCCATCCAAAATCCCCTAAAAAGAGCAATGCTTCTTCCAAACTCCTTTTTCCATGCAGGCTGTGTATATATACGATGATGAGAGGAGATAAAATTAGTAAGGAAAAGAAGATGAAAGGAAATGTGAGGGAGGATGTGTCTTTGCAGCTCCAGTCCGAGCTGCAAAGGGCTCCGTCCCTCTAGTGTTTGTCCGTCGCATCCAGTACTATCCAGGGAAAACAAGACGTCTTCCGATGCCTCGCGGCCAAATTCTAAAGCCGAGCTCAACTCTTGAAAAAATGTGTTGCTGAGTGGTGAAAGTAGATTAAAAGCTAGGAAGGAGGCCATTCCTGCCACACATCACGCAGACGAATGCCTCTTCAAGGACCAGCTGAAGAAAGATCATTTTCAGGGTTGTCGAATGAGAAAAAGTCGCGCTCTAGATGAGCAAATAGTCCCAACCCTTCATCTGCATGACATCCCGCCAGTGGATGTATTGTTGTGGAGCCTCCGAAGTCGCGCTGATGGGCGACGTTGCTTGCTGGTCGGCCTGGAGCCAAACCTCGTGTAGCAGGCTGGATGCGCGGCCGAAGCTGCCGAGGCTGGCCAGTTCGCCGAGCTGGGCGACCCGATCCTCGAAGAAGGCGCGGAACGACGAGCCAGCGATGCTGACCGAGCCGCCCACCAGATACACCCAGGAAAGCGACCGGTCGAAACCAGTCGGGCCCGAGGGGATCTGTTGGAGCACTGTTGTGAGCTTCTCGACCAAGCCGACGCAGCTGGCTTGGGTCGGGTAGAAGCCAGGCACCAAGCTGCACAGGTAGATGCGCGCAGCGAGGCGGAAGGCTGCCGTCATGTTCTTGCTGAGTTGCTTGGGGCTGAGGGAGCCGTTGGAATTGAATGGCAGGATCGGCGTGCCCTCGCCGAGTTCCGTGAGCCCGATCTGGTCTCCCAGAACGTGGACGTGCTGGCAGAGAGTGATGTCATCCATGCCATCCTTCTTCAGGGCCTCGAGGCAGGCAATCTCCGAGATCAGGTACATGACGCGATCCTCGCAGCCCATCAGCTCGCGCAATCCAAGCGATGGGTTGGTCGGCGAAAGATGCTTCTCGCGGTAGGTGTGCGCAAAAGTCGGCGCCCGGCCTTGCATTGTCGCTCCGAGGATGTCGATCCATGCGGTGAGAGTCATGTTGAAGGGCGCCTGAGCCAGCGGCTCATTGGGGTCCGAGACAATTCGGGGAAGATCCAGCTTCTGAACAAGCGAGATGGCTGCTTGGAAGTGCTGGTGCCACGGGATGTCGGGAAGCGAGTCGTCAAAGCGGCCTACGCAGCTCTGGAAGAAGATCAAGCCAAGCGCGGCCTCGAGAATCTGCTGGTGGTTCTCGTCCCGGTTGAGCGCATCGCAAAGCGATGAGATCGTCGCATACCGATGGCGCATGATGTCGCTGTCAATCTCCTCGCCCTGGAGGCCCATGGCAGACTTGATGTGCTGGGCAGCGATGCTCAGGCAGCAGTGCAGGTAACCCTTGTTGTTCTGCAGAGCTGGGAGGATGAGATCCGAGCTGACTGATCCGTGCTGGTTCGATTCGAGAATCGGGAAGATCGTCGGGAGCACGAATTGAATGAAGTGATCGAGGAGTCGCTGGTCACCATCGTCGAGTTCGATTGCCACTTGCCTCTGGCTCATTGTCGGGCCGTGAGAGAAGTCGAAGAAGTTCACGTTGAGAGTCTCCTCCGTCAGCGACTCCCTCCGCTCCGAGTACACCTGTTCTGTCCATTCACCTTCCAGAGGGAACGACGGAAGGATAGTTCCCGGAGGCGGAGGGGTGTGGAAAGTGCTGAAGGTCGAAGTGGTCGACTCTCTCAGGGTTGGAATGTCGTTGACAAACATCTGCCTCTCAGTCTTGACATCAATCTCATAAGGCGAGAAGGGAGAGAACATGAAGTCAGTAGGCATCTGCGGCGTTGTGAAAGGTGTGAACTCGTGTGCGCTCTGGGGGCTATTGAAGCTGAAGGCGAAGTGCGAGTCGATTGAGGCCGATCGCGTGCGGTCAAGCGGGTCCGAGAATGTTGCCGAAGTTGGCAGCGAATGCGAAAGGCCCGGGGGAGAGTTGACCGATGTTTGGATCGAATGCGACGACTTCTCCGACAGCTTCTTGCGCTTGATGATCATCTTGATGTCGTCCTTGTGCTTTCTCCGCGCATCGTTGTTGCTCCACCACATTGGTCGCTTATACTCGCACACGAGGCCGAGGTGCTTGCAAGCGGTGCACATGGGAGAGCCCTCATCACACTTCTTCCGCCTCAGTCTGCAGGTGTAGCAACCTTTATGGCTGTTAGCTTCCTCCGGGGAGCCGAAGGTGAGTCGGGAAGGGGGGACAAACCTGTTCTTGAGCGGCGGTGCATCTGACTCTTCTGCTTTGGGGTGGGGTTGGTGCCGGCCTTGGAGGCCGACTTGGTCTTTGTTGCAGTTGCTGAAGCCATGTTGACTGATGATGCTTTCATGAAGTCTCCTTGGTGGTTGGGGGACAGTGTTGACATTTGTACCTGCGTGGACTTGGAAGCACCAGGGGGGTGGGGTGGGGTGAATTGGGGTTGAGGTGGCCGGGGGGAGGGGGGGTGTGAGCCTTGGCTGGGCCGTGCAAAAGCGGTAGTGGGAGACGGCCGGGGCCCTCGCTCCTTGTCAGGTCCAGAAGCTCAGGGGGTTGCTTGGAGAGCGGCGATCACGACGAATTCAAATCGTCGAGGGAAATATTAGATTATTGTACTGTTGCTGTCGTGAATGATTGACTGGATCCGAGCAAGTCCGGCTTGCGTGACTGGAATCTGGAAGGTGGATAGGCTTGATATGAGATTGAGTTTGGTTGGGCGGCGTGAGAGGAAGTAATTAAAGAGAGAGGAGGAGTTTTGTTGACTGGACTGGACTGGACTGGAGACTGGACTGGACGACGACACCTGGAATATCGAATCCCTTGGTTCTTTGGTTTGGTCGAGGAATCGAAACGGCCAGAGAGAAGAGAAGTGGGCAAATTCTTATATCCTGGCCGACTTGGGGGGCCAGCACTCAGAAGCTCGCAAATTTGCCCGTGTTCTATTTTTGAACATTGTGGGCAAAATGACCGCTTTCCTTTTTTTGTCCCCCTTGGCAGTCTACCTTGCATCGTCTGCACCCTTCGAGATGCTGGCTGCGTGTGCTCACACTTCTACTAAGAGGGGACAGGGGTGCAGGGACTGCGCTTATTGGTGCACGCCCAAGTGACGGCTGTTCGGGAGGTCTCACTCCTCGGAAGTGGGAGAGGCCAAGGACGGACCCCACCTGCAAAGACGTAGCTCTGAGAGGTGCGAGGTAGCATTTGGGGTCCGGAAGCGGGAGGTCGTGGATGGTACCCTCTCTACGTCGGCCGACACACACGGAAAAGGTAGCTGCAGGGGAGGGGAGCTGTCCAGCGACTAAACAGGCAGCTCATGCATGTCGACGGCGACCTTGACCGGCTGTTCATTGGAACGGGGGAGACCCTGTCTGCAGCGGCCTGCAGCATGGAGAACTCGAGAAGCCAACAATTGATATGCCTAACCTACTCTGGATAACCTGGCCGTCAGCTATTGCGAGCGAACATGCCTTCGGACTGGTGATCGACAGACAGCTTTGGTCTGAGTCTGATGGAACTCCGGCAAGAGGCGGATACCGTCCCTAATCACCGCAGTCCGATCTTATCGAGCCGAGGGGTCTTCACACGATACCGCTCCATTGTACGCTGCTTGCAGGATTCTCTTCTTTGGGTCTCGGCGAGACGGAGAGACATTGTACTAGACTAGCTTTCAAGAGTCCGCCAGAGAAGATAATGCGGCCCAAGGGACCGAGGGCAAAGTGTTGAGGCCGAGCTGTTGGGTTCTTGACCAATAGGCCCGAGTTTCTCCCTACACCCTCTTTCGCAGACCTCCCCTGCAAGCTTGCCTCGCAGACATGGAAATGGTGCATATGCAAACATCCCTTTCGCATTCACCCAAGGGCAATAGCAGCTATCCGCCCGCGAAGACGCAGACCCGTCAGGCAAAGAAGGATTGCTCGGGAGCGGGGCATGACGCCCATTTGCATTCCTCGCGTTCTGTGTATGCGTGCAGATGGAGACTAGATGACAAAAACCTGTGCATAGAGTGCAATTAGTTGCTTACTATGTGGCATTTCATCCATCCGGAATCACGCAGACAAGCCTGCTGGGGCGCTGAAAACATCGCCTGGCTCGATCCGAGGTGCTCTGGGCCGTGAGAATCTTGTAATATGCCATCAGACGAGACGTAAAGCAGCCGAAAGTTCCATCCCAAAGTGTGCAAAGTTGGGACGCCCCAGGCCTGGCTCTGGTCTGGTGGTCTGGCCTGGTTTGGCCTGTAGTGGCCACGGGATGTGCGTACATGGGTGTCCAGTTTGTATTGTCAAATCTGAACAGCTCGCAAATCAGCGGGCTGGTTGCCGTGGTCGAGCTCGGGATTGGCCGCCTCAAAGGTCATAACGAGCCAGTCACCGTCATGGTCCTCGCTGGCTGGCCGCTGCTGCTAATACTGCTGCTGCTTGACTTGGGCTGGTCGGGTCTGTTGGAAGCACATCCGCACGCTGCAGATGGGAAGTGTTCATTGGCAATGGAAGTGGGGACGGTTGGTGGACGAAAGTGAATGGAAAGTATTCGCTCGTGCCCGCGTGTTACCGTTGCTACTTTGCTTCTCAAAATTTCCGCGCATTTTCAGGCGGGTGTTGCGGGGTTTCTGTGCGAACGAAGAGGTAGAGACGTAGCGTGGCAGCAGCCGAGGGGACACGGAGGGGTGGGTGTGCGAGCTGGTGGTCTTGGTCAATATCGCAGAAAAAAGGCTGGTTCGTGTCGTTGATTCGACAAAGTGCGGTCGGCAGTGTGACGACTTATCGCTCGTGCATATCACCTCACGGCCCGCATGGCGGCAATCAGTTCAGATTGGCCCACGCATCAAGATCGGACAAGGAACATGGCAGGGATAAAAGACTAGTGGACTGAGCTTTGGCCAGTTATGCGGGACAGAGCAGGGGGATGTTGGGGTGGGTTGTCTTCGGTCGCGGGGATCCTTGTCGTAATGGAGCCAGGCCCCCCTTAGCGTACCCTCAGTAAGGCGACGCCAGCCTTCCACTTGCAGCCTTGTTCACAACAAGCAAGGGCGAATATTGCCCAAATTCTTTCCCACTTACACAGTTTACACGGGATTCATTGCTGGTAGGTACCTCGTATCAGGGCAAGGTGAAGAAAGCATTGGATGTCCCTTCGATTTCTTTACTCGGTACAGAATAAACCCTTCGACCACAGGAGCTCACATCATGAACGCGACGTCACTTAGGACCCAAATCTAACGACTTTTTCACGACGGTTATTAGTCCTGTCGTTTACTCCACGATCCAGGTTAGGTCGCTGAGAGTGTGGGTTGGGCTGTCAATGATCGCCAGCATTTGATATGCAGGCCCACAAACGGCTGGGTGGTCCGAAAACCGCCTCCTGAATGCATGTGGGAGAGTCGGTGGTCCAGCCCGGGACTTCACTGAATGTGGATCGGCTGACATGGCCGTGCCCAAATCTCGCGAATAGATGGCGAGCGATCCTCTCTGCTGGTGATCATATGAGGGAGAAGATAATGGGCAAATTTAGGCGCCTCTCTTCCGCTTTAGGACAAAATTAGCCCACTTTGCCCATCAGTCACCGCGATCCTCCGCTGATATGACCGATATTTGCCCGTATTACATTCGTGGGCTAATTTAAGATCCCTGTCACCCGCTCCCTATCGCCCGCTGGATGACATGTTAACACCGCTCCTATTTTTATTTTGCCCAGCTGCACGACTTAACCCAGCAGTCACAATTTACCCAATATCACATTAGCCTACTCGCAGTCCCACCTGCTGGCTGGTCCACGGCTTTGCAAGCAAAGTGGGCTAATTTTGTCCTTTTCGGAAGTTGATCCACACTTAGCTTCCATTATTGCTGACAGGAGCGAACTTAAACTGAGCCGTCCGGCCCCACACTTGAGTGAGGGAGAAATGTTAATTCTCCGACTATTTTGCCTCAGTCCATCGAGAGGCACAGACAACTAAGTGCGATCTGTGCTTTTTTCGGACGGGTCAAAATCACTATCGATTTCCAAGCTTCCTTCCATTTCGCTGGCACGAAAACCGAGAAACTTGACTCCCGAGGGACCTTGGAAACGCACAGCAAAGAGTCGCGAATTCCGACCATCTCCACGTTATATCCCACCGCCGAACATCTTTTGACAACGTTGCGAAAGCCAAGAGGCTTTAAAACACTACACAGTACAGTTTTCGTGGCTTCTCGGTGGCATCCGTGGACGGACTGTCGCTGGGGAGGCATTGAAGCATCGCAGGTCCGCGCCCCCAACGTGCAAAGCCATGGAGTGATTGTGACAAATTCACTCGAGGCAATATGGTGTTTTATTTTTCAAATTCGCCGCGCCTGCCGTGCGGCACCTTGGGTGGTGGCATCATGCTTTCCATGCTCAGCTTCATTAATTTTGCCCAACAAGACAGCCTCACAAATTTGGAACCCGGAATGGACAATCTCTCCGACTTTTGATGGCTGAAAAGGGCTCCATGGGCCATGGGGGGGCACCTTTCTCTGGCCCGCCTGAGATGGGGGTGTGGGTGTGAGCCTAGAAACAACGTTGCTTCTTTGGCTATCTAATCTCGTGGCGTTCAATGCTTTGCGCGGCGGCTTTCCCCAGAGGCACGACGGCTCTGAACCGAGCCAGGGCTGTGCCTCCCGCGAGGAGCCCACGCCAAATCGCCTGCTTTGCCCTGGCCATGCAGATCTTCATGACAACCCCAGCTTCCGCCTGGCTAGCTGTGCCCTTGACTCTGCAACCACGGCCCGCAAGCTAAACGCCTCGCGATGACCGCCGCCCTAACCCCGACCACAGACAAGCCGTGCCCAAACGGGCCTCCCCAAATCCGGGCCACAGTCATGTGTGCACCAGCCAAATTGTCTAGAGCTGAACGGAGTATTCCGTATCGACGAGCTGACAGATGACTAACTGACTGACCTGCTTCTAGCCCTTAGATATCCATGTCAGGGATAACTAGCCAGGCAAAAACACGCGACAAATTATGTCCCGCCATCTATGTTTTTTGGAAGTGAGCTCTCAGCTATGCAACACAAACCCCTCACTTGGTGGCCTGCCTTGACACTCCGCGTCCTCTGGTACGCAGGACTGGGACAGTATCTTAAGCCGTGCTGGGAACACAATAACGTTGGATCCGTACTCGGACCATCTGAAGATCCAAGCCCACAGCCCCGACCCGCAAAAATACGAAGCAATGCATGCCGTCGCTCATCAAATCGCAAAAGCCACCGTGACAATGACAGATTAGCATTGCGGAGATCCCCAGGGGCCCTGCCAGCCCAGTCACTAGATCAAATCAATTGATGCTGTGATAACGACAGGATTGGGGAATAAGAAACGAGAAACAACAGGGCCTCAGTAAAATCCCCATGGATGATGGCGCAATTGGTGCATCGACGCAACCGAGGCATAAATTGCCTGCACTTACGGCGCGCGTCCTCGGCAGAGAAAACAAGCTCATTCGAGTCCCTCAACACCAGGGGTGCACCGACAGTGCAACCCTCTAGAAAAAGTCGCCTCTCATGGCCAACCATTCACGCTCTCAGGACCGTCACCAAGAAATATTGTTGTTGATGGCCGGCCATCCACACCAACCTCTGCTCGCATCGGCCATCTGTCATGTGAGCTGGAGAAAGCTCAACGGCGACTTGGTATTCGTTCAGCGCAGTACAGTGTAGTGGCCGGTTTATTGCGGATGCGGAGCGAGAGACCGATGTTCGGAGGCTATCGTCGGCCCAGCGCCAGTCAATCACAAGAGAGAAGGGACGCTTGACGGTCCGAACAATTAATGACCAGGAATCCCGCCTCTTCTCCCTCCGAATCATGCTGCTTCAACTGCTGCATCTCGGTGCCTGGCTATCTCGACCCGCCTCAACTCTTCCGCTGTGCCGTGGAACAGAGCATTGTACGAAGTACGTATCCTGGTTCTGGCCCCGCTACTTTAAGTGTCACGCAAAGACATGCAGCTTTGGACGACTCGGGGAAAGGATTGTCCAGGGACATAACGTGGAATGGAAGCTCCAGGGAATACTGTGGTCTGCCGCGAATCCTGAAGGCGAGCATTGCTATCCAAGGCGGAATGGTTCGTTTTCCATGTGCCGTCGTCACGTTTGTACGATGGGAGCCAAGCACAAACGAGACATGGCGGAATATGGAAGACGGTACCAGCCATCTCGGGATCGGATACCTCTATTGTCATCTCAATAACCTGCAACTTCACATGGGCTGTAGGAGGTGCACAAGAAGTCGGTGTGTTTGTTGTCACACAGCAACACCCCGCCCAGATCCCAAGATGGCGGTGATGACTTCATTGCTCAAGAACAATTTCAAGACTCCAAACCCAAAGTCCCCAGACCTGCAGTGCAGCGCAGGGGAGGGAGAGGCATCGATATGAACGAGATCGACCCTCCAATCGAGGACGGCTCGCCGATGTTAGGCATGCAGCTAGCAGATCTTTGGACAAGGATAGAGTCATATAAAACTCTTCAAGTCGCCTTGAGGGATTTCGTCTTGTGCTAGGGAACGTGAGATGTGGGATCTCTAACCTAGAGAGTCCCAGCTCCGTTGTAGAATGGTGCACTACCAACTGCCAGGGCTTAGTCTCAAGCTCCAAATCTAGTAGGCATCTCACATTGGGTTTGGACGCGCAGTCTTCGACGTTAGTTTTCTTTCAGTGTTTGCGGTGAGCCCGCTTGTGATACCTTAACCACCTGATCTTTTTCTTGTCGATATTCTGGATACGGATCGGGTATTTTTTCCCCGGCAGAACTTCACCGCTGTGATGTCAAACCATCCGGACCTGGCCGGGACATATTTGGCAGGGATCGGAAGCCGGATATCCATTAATGGCGAGGTGCTCACCGCGCATTGAGCATGTGCCCAACGCCTATCGCAAGCGAGCGATTCGGGCCCGAATGTGCCGGAAGAGAAAGCTCAGAGGACGGAAGCTGAAATCTTGTTCTATTGAACGCTTCCTAGCTGAGAAATCCCCCCCGCTTTCGCCATCCGGGCCTTGGTTTGGGCCGCGTACACGGAAGAGCACTTGAGCATGGCTTGGGAAAGCTCTGGGTCATGTGCCCTCGTGGAAGTCACGTTCTCGAATGCGTCTCTCCTGGTGATTGGGTACATGTACGTGCCTCCCAATGGGGCGGGGTAAACAACTTTGCCCCCGACCCCTGAAGCATCCCTCTTTTCAGATAAGGCGAAAAGGCCAGGCAAACCTGCTTCCAAAAGCTGAAAAAATAAAGCGACAGCCGCCCCACCCCACATGACAGCTCTGTTGAAGGAACTTTTAACGTTTATGATCTCCGCTCTCCACTCCTTCCTTGTACATAAACCGGACCGTTCCACGGTGGACTAGCACGGGAAGCCTAACGGTGCTAGTGTAGTGTGCGTGCGTGCGTGCGTGCGTGCGTGGTGTGGTGGCATGAGGAGTAGCTGCTGATCACATATCGCCTAAATCCGCCTGCAATTGGCTGTCACTGAGCTAGGTTTTGATGTGATTCAACACAAGAGAAAAAAAGGAGGCAAGGGGGAAAGAGTAAAAAACGGCCAAGCCGGTATGAGACTTTGTCCAATTTCTATCCGGATGTGCGACTCTTTAGTGGGAAGGGAACATCCGGTGTCACACCGAGCTAACCCCTGCCCAGATCGGGTTCTCGATGCTGTGTGTGCTGGGCTCTTGTGAGAGCTTCGAGCGTTGCTCATGTAAAACAAGGCCAAAGTATAGAGACTATTACAATGCGAAACCATGAAGTTGTATTCAATCCCAAGTTATACGACTCACGCCCAAGACGGGAAAAAATACATGGCAGTTATGAGTCCGTTGGCCTGTATTTTAAGGTTCTTGGCAAGGTTAGGTTCCTTCAGAAGAACTCCAAGTCACCAGGTAAATCGGAGTTGCGAGAATATTAGACAATGCCTATTCAGAACACGTATAAAGCACAGAGGCATAGTAATATGGCTAGAGGTGACCTTATTGGTCCCGCTTGTGACGTTACACTGAGTCCCTTGACAGATGTTTGAGAGACTGCAATTGTCATGATGTGTTCGAAATCCCAACTGGGTTCTCTTTTGATCGAGATGTATCCTCTCTTTTAATTTGGTAAATCGTGAATTAGCAGTATCTCTACTATAATCTCTGACAACTTCCACTCAGTCTTCAATGTTGATAGGTAGGAGAATAAATTTAATGCTCGAGATTTTAGTGTGAGAATGTAAATTATCGTATTTGCTAATTTGCCAAAGACTTATACCCAACACCTTCATAAAAAGAACAGTTAGAGAGAAACATCTCTCCGTCTTCCAATGAGGGACATACCTAATTACGCAGTAACGGAGACGAAATGTCCCAACAGCGAACAACTATCTAGAGTCGAACGCGAAGTCTCAGGTGGCTCCCTATAGTAACCAGGTTCAGAGCCAAATGTTAAGCTAAAAGAACAACAAAGCAGTGCAAATACACCTTGTATGTTGAACCTGCTCCTCAATAGAGTCAACGAACAGATAAATAAAAGACAAGCGCAAACATGACTTGCTATACTCTAATGTTCGAGTTCAATTACAAGAAATAAAACATGTCCAATTTCCGAGATTAGTTAAGAGATAACCGGGCGATTTATACATGATCGGCAATTGCTTCAGCTCTCGACTCAAGCTTGTCTATGTCCTTCTAGAGAATCTCTACGATGCCCATGTTGCTTTGGGTTACGCATGGTAAAGTTCTACTAACTCTAAGTAGAACATGAAGCAGAAGAAAGACCGGCAACCTGAAGTCAAGTAATGGAGGCACCAGAGCTGTCTCTGGAGCTCTTCCCTCAACAGAATAACATGATGCTGTTAATTGAAGGCACCAAAGGGGCCCTAGGCTTCGTGGAACGAATGACTACTATATCAAGCTGCATTTTCCACGGCTTGAAAGCAACGATCATCCTTGAGACACCGCAACAAGGCGGGATGCTCTCGCGATTAGCGGTCTGCAAAAAACGTAGGCTCGCGGTCTATCGGGCACAGGCCTGTGACTCAGGCAGGAAAAAGATATTGTACACATGTATGCTGCTCTGGCCAGCGAGCAGGGGCCTCAGCCGAGACAAGCGATGGAGGTGGCAAGAAGCTCCAGCGAGTGAAACAAATAGAATTAGCACACTGTACAATACGTCGTATGCACGAGATTAGATGTATGTATCCCCCCCCCCAAAAAAAACACGACGAGCACGGCTGTCACAGAGGATCCGGTCTCACCGCCCGCGGACTCGAAGCGCCGGCAGCAATACAGGCAACGAAGTGATTCGAGATAGCGGTTGGAAACGTCGAGGATGGCCTTAGGAGTTGTGATATGTCTTCTTTTTCCCCCCCTTTGCTTCAAAGTTGACTCGAGTCTGGGCGGCTGGCGGCACACGGCAGCTCGGTACAACTATGACAGTCCCATGTACCACCTCAGCGCGGCACTCGTTTGCGGTGCTCGACGCCACGCAAGCTGCAAGATAGACGATTGACGCCGCTGCAGGCGTCGAGGCTCCATTGGGTACATACCTACCTCAAGCACCTCATGGAAGAACAAGAACGGAACAAGCTGAGAAGGCAGGTAAACTTTGCAAGGCTCTCGGCTCCCTCCGACGCTTCAACATTGAACATTGAAAAGAGCTTCCAATGGGGGCCGTGGTGTCGTGGGTGGCTAGACTACGGTAATCGGTATTGCCCTAGCTCGCCCTAGGCCTCTCCATCTGTGGCCGCCCGACGACTTGCAGGTCTCTTCATGCACTAGATGACGTTGGATGGCAAAAAGAGCGAAATGGCGCGAGCGAGGTCGGCTTGGTCGGGAAGCAGGGCCGCTGGGGTGCTTCTGGACTTTGGCCTTTGCAGCTGCACCCGCTGCAGACTCGAGGCGGAGAGAGACGAGGGAGAGGGGAGCTCGACTCTAGAATTGGAACCTAGGATCCCTGCCCTGAGGTGGGGATCTGCTGGCTCCATCTTTCCCTTCCCGCCGGCACAGTGGGGCTCGTGGAGGGATCGAATCAGGAATAGCGCCGGGGCCGCGGGCGCTTAGGACGAATAAACCGAATGGCGCCAATGGTGCAATTCGCCAATCAGCGGCCAGCCACGCACCATAAAATGGCCAGAACTGCGTGAGCACGACAGATGTCGGGCCAATGGCAGGTGCAGACGACCCTCTATCTCACCGTCTCGGCGGCATGCTGGTTGCAAGTCCAGACCGGAGCACCAATGTGCAGTGCAGCAGCAGTGTGGCCATCCCGCTTCTGCCCAACCAGCCCTCGCTCTTTTCTTCGCGGGGTGCTGTGAGCTTCTTGGAGCTGGTGTGCCGGTGCTGCTGGTGAGTTGACAGGCATGTTAGCACGCACCATGGACACACCACCGCCTCTGTCTGGCCCTTTTTGCACTGCTCCCACCCCCTACCAAACCAACTACCGATACGCACCAACAACTGCTATTATTATACCGAAAAGGACGTCTAACGATGCGATGGAGGCCACGCTACTGTGTCTTCGGTGCTATCGGGGGCCGATGGCGCTCCCCAGTAGGTGTTCTGTGCCTCTACTAGATTCGAGCAGAAGAGTGGCGTGGAACGGCCCAACGGTCCCCCCTCCCCCCTTTCTCGCCCATCTCACTGCAGACGTGCTATGTATGTGCCATGCAGAGCAACTCCCGGCCTAACTACCTTACCTAGGTGCTCGCTCTTCCATGCCCTTGCCCGCACCCCAATATCACCATAATTGACCCTCAACCCCACGGTGACACCTCACAGGGGACCCCACCGAGTTGATCCCACTTTATCCTCCTCTCAACGGCTGCTGCTTGTGCTGTCCTTGTCCTGCTTGTGCTTTCTGCTGCTCCTCCTGTCCAGATCATCACACTGCGGGTTTCTCTTCACTGTCACTCACCAATTTGCAACGGCCAAGCGCTTGCGCATGTTCTAGCTCGGTGCTGTGATTCCGGACGTCCCACAGCTTACCTACTTGCTCTTACATACCTCTATTCCCCCCTCCCTGGTACATAACCTTCTGTAGGCGCCCGCCCGGTGTTGCACTAGTTCTCTCTTCCTTTTCCCCTGGTTTGGCTTTGCTCTCTAGCAGTCAGTCGGTCAGTCAGTCACATCAAGTTGCGGGCATGCGAAGCGGGTCTCGCCTGTCTGCAATTCCTACCGGTGGCAGCGCCTTTATCGGGTCCGTTTCGGTTTCGTCTTAAGAGCTGGGTCTCTCTCCGTGGCGGCATAGTCGACTTGTGCCGAACGCCATTGCCGAGTCACCCCGTCTTCGGTGGCACGGATTTTGATATTGCGGGAAAAACACCAGATTCAAAAATGGTAGGCCCAAGAAACCCAGTGCTAGTCGTCCGTCACGAGAAAAAGGAATGGTTCTAATATGGATAACAGGAGGCCGTACAATATTCCTCACGCGAGCGGTGGTCGCAGTCGGAGATGTGCGAAAAGTCAAGGGCGCGCGAGACTTACTTCTCGGCCCGCACTTCAAAGAGACCGAACTCGGTGCACACCGAGTTCATGGAGTCGGACTGGGAGCAAGAGGACGAGGAAGAGGTCTACAGCGAGATTGAAGACCTGGACCCCGTCGACGATGGCGAGATCTCGCCCCGCATCAGCATAGGCTCAGTACGCTTCCCTCCCGTCTTCTTAGACTCTTAACAAGCCGCCGCCATTTATTTGGGTTGCTAACTAGTGCGCGCAGTCCGGCCAACCAAGCATAACAACACTCTCGTCATATGACGAAATCCAAACCCCAAGGTCCTTGCACCAGCGTGCGCCGTTCCCGTTTGAGCCATTCGAGCTCGAGTCGAAGCAAGTAGAGGGGCCGCGAGGGCCTCACCTGTTTAGAAGCTCCATGTCGTCGGCGCACTCAATTGAGTTCCAGCATGCGCTGTCGCTTTCGCCGCTCACTCCAAAAGAGCCTCGGCATCTGGACAGCCAGCTACATCATTCTGTTCACCTCACTCCTCTTCCGCAGAGAAAGAAGCGTGACACAGGGCCGTTTCGATACACGGATGAGGAACTTGACACGACGACGCTGGCCAGCTGGACTCCGGAAATGGTGGCCCAGTGGATGCTCAATGCCAACATTGAGATTATTGCCACCGACCGGTTTGTGGAGAATGACATCAACGGGGCCATCCTGATTACGCTCAAGTTCGAAGACCTGAAGGAGCTTGGCATCAGCTCTTTTGGCGTGCGAACCAAGGTCTGGGAGGAGATCCATGCCATGAGGAACATCAGAAAGCCGGACCCTGAGCCCGAGACGCCAATCGAGGATGAGCCTGATAGGGAGGTCAGACGGGAGCTGCGGAGGCAGGATAGCTCGGCTGACAGGCCGAAACGGCGGCCGAGCAAAGCGCCGCGCCCAAAGATCAACGACATCATCTCGCCCCTCGAGTCAGTATCCATTGTGGGAATTGAGCAGATGATGCCCAAACCCCATCACTGCTCAAAGGGCGAGAACTGCGCCAAATGGAAGCGAAACCAGCGCATGATCGAGGCCTTCAAACAGGACCACCCCTTTGTCAACATCGAGAGCGGTCTTATCATGGTTGCTGGAGACCCCGGGAACCCGGAGACGGCTGAGGCGATCAACACGACGGATGATTTTTTCCGTCCCGTTTCAGACGCCATCCCGTCTGTAGTGGCATCGTCTGATGTTATGGGTCCAGGCAGCCTGCCGCCTCTTCAGTATCTCCAGGAAGCAACGCTTCGGAGCATACAGTCAAGAGATCCCCAGGACAACGTGCGACAATTCCTGAACTTCCAACACCAAGACTGCAACTCGGCCGATGTCCCTCCCACACCACCATTCGAGATCTTCCCTCATGGACCCCAGAACGTCGGGGCTGCCCAAGAGCAACAGGCTCCAGGGCCTCAAGCTCGCCTCCGAGCTCTTCCCAAGCTCGCCATACCCTCCCAAGCGCCAGCTTTGGGCACGCAAGAGTCGAACCTGCCATCTGCACAGTCAAGGTCGGCCCATCCAATGTCGGCCCAGCCGATGTCTGCTCATCCATACTCAGCCCGTCCCGGATCTGCTCTGATCCCTTCTTTCCGCGAGATGAGCCCGACGACCTCGGAAGAGGCAACCCCTACGGCGCCCTACCGTTTTGGAACTCCGTTTTCCGAAATGGATGTGCCCGTAACAATGACATCGATTCCTATCATCTCCCGAGACATCTCGCAGTCGGTGCCGCCCGACATGAACTACCGCCACAACCCTGCCCCTGTCCGCTCTATGTCGAGGGCCACCACCCGCCGGCCCTCGTTCCCGGTTCTGCCCGCTCTTGATGAGAACTCCATTGTTACCCCCATCACATACAAGCCGTCGAGATCGTTTTCTGTACGGGCCGCCGCCGCCCAGCGGCCGCTACAAGCGCCGCCACGCGTACAATATCCCTGGAGCCAGTCAGATCGTACCATATTTGAGCGCGCGATTCCTCCCATGCCTGGGTCGGCAGCTAATGGCAGGTCAAACCTCAACGGTGGGCGTCTGTCACCCGGTGCCGCACCCAAGGAGGACATGACTGGTGGTGCCGCGCTATCTTACCAAGGTCTCATGAAGAAGCGCAAGACGAAGATGCTGCGTCACGAGTGGCACGAACACTACTTCACGCTGCGCGGCACCCGCCTAGCTGTGCACAAGGACGCCGCGACGGCCACCAACAAGACACTGGAGTACATTGACATTGACGACTACGCCATCGCCTGCAGCAACATGGCAAGCTCCAAGCTCAATGCGGCCTTCAAGGCCATGCACATCCGCCGCGGGAGTGGCGATGGCGCTTCCAAGGAAGACGTGGCCGCCTTCAGTTTTCAGCTCATCCCCCAGGACGCAAAGGGCGGCGCGCGCTTGCGCAAACGTGAGAGCGCCCTTCCGAGCATCTTGGGTGGTGGCAGTAGCAGCGCCAACGCCTCGTCAACCAGCTTGCCTGGACCCGAGGGCGCAGCAAACGGCACTGGCAAGACGCACCACTTCGCCGTCAAGAACCGCGATGAGCGCATTGACTGGATGCGCGAGCTCATGCTCGCCAAGGCTCTGAAGCAGAAGGGTGAAGGCTTTGAGGTCAGCGTGAACGGAAACATGATCTGAACGTGTGCGCTGTCTCACATCATCATCCTATTTTAAACTTGAATATAATACATCGCATCTATTTATCCCTTTGTTGTCATTTTCCTTTCCTTCGATGATACCTTGGGCACCAATTGTCCTCCTTTTTCTTCCCTCTCACTCCTCCTCACTTTACCCCCACTCTTCCCGCGGCGATATCAATCAAGCCTGGCATTGGCGGTGGCGTCTTTTTGTTTCTTTTCTTGGCGAGGTTGGTATCAGGGTGTGATACGACTTGGTGAATTTTTTTTTTGGAATTTACCTCTTTTTTCCTTTTTGGGGGACTATGGGACTGGCTGTTAGATGCAAGACAAGGTCGAGACATATGGCAACGTATATTACATTCCTTCCTCAGGATGCTTCGCAAGATGGCAGGCGCCTGGTATACTTGGTTTGGCGGTTCAGTACGGTTATTAAGTAGAGAAGCCCGTTATTGGGGAGGGTGGCGGCTGGCTAAGGTAGTTTTACTCTATAATGAATAAGTACATTGAACTATAGTGGGTTGTGTTCGCTCAGTGTCCTTGTCTCGTTATGTGTGATGTGGTTGATATCTACGTGGGTCGTGGTTGAGATTTACGTGAGTCATAGGGCGAGTTGGAGTTGGCCAAGTTCATCACTTCTCATCGGTTCTTCTAGATCTGCGGAATATGTTGAGTCACAGCCAGCGTCCCTCGAGGCGTATTGTGTAGCTGCATATTTGTATCTGATTAATCTTCATAGCGGCTCCATATCGCCTCATAGGTCCAAGATTACACTGCTGTTTGTTGACACTGAGACGATACTGTCTCATCTCAAATTAATGTCACAAGCCAATCACCTTACAACCAAGCCGTAGCACATTTACCTAGACTGAGGAGAACGATGATATTCAACTTTCCTTCGGCACCTTGTCAAAGTATTCCTATGCCATTTCAAACCTGAATGTCTTTCGAGTTTCTCATGTTCAACAGAGTGGATAGCTCGGCGCGGAATGAAAACGAAAACCACGCTGATTAATTACCTTGGATAACATCTGCTTTCTCGTATTCTTCTCTTTGGATGATTAATAGGAGTTGCCATGAGCGAGCTCATTGCCCTGCCTTGCGTAAGGTAGGTAGGTGGTTAGATTCATTTCTGCCCGGTGATGGCATCTCGTTATAATTAGTTGAACTATTAGACGGCGAGATCACTCACAACTATTTGTCTTGGGTGGTATTTTTTTGTGGCTTCTTCAGTTCTCGTCTTTCTGGTCTTCTCATCTTGAATCTTCTTTGATCCCAATAGTGCGCGGATTGTATGCCCGGTCGACATCTCATATAAGTTGGGTAACTGCTATTCTCACAGTCCTACAGTTAGGACGCACGAACCCAGCTCGTTGCCACTAAATCTCATCGTATCCCCATTCTACATTAGCTTTAAGTTATAAAGCTATTGCGAATTAGAAGAACTGCTCGGTTTTTCTTGCTTAAACTAGTTATGGCTCATGTGGGATGGAACTACAGAGATAGGACGAGATGAATAACGAAAGAAATATCCTAGCAATGATGACTTTCCTAGCCCCTTTCAGAGATGATTAATGCCCTGTGTCATAGAGTTTCATTGTAGACTCTACCTGGGTAACAGGGTCGAGCAGAGAAGGCGCGCCTCTACTAACAGCCTGGAGACCCTCTCAGACAAAGAGTGAACTGAAGGCCAAGTAAGGCAACCACTTGGGCGGAGGAGTGAATTGTTTCAATTATTTTTTGCTCGAGTATGCTATACACATAAGTACCTTTTTTACATGGTATCCACCTCCTCTAGACCTCGCAATGTAGCATTTCTTGCTCCATTCTATCCTACAACTCCAAGATTTTGCCGGGGCAGACTCTAGCGAAACAACCCGAGTCAAGACTCTAAATCTCAACCTTGACTACACGCCCTTCATGCCTAGCCTTGAGATGTCGGCCACGTCCTCTACCTTTTGCCAGTCGATCTTGTTCCACCAACGCTCGTAAAAGGCTAGCTTGCCCTTGTCGGGCGAGCCGTTACCGCCGAAGCCGTAGTCTGGCAGCCACACGTGTTCCCACGTGTTCAAGCAGAGGATGGGGATCACGTTGATGCCGCCCGGGGATAACATGACCTTCTTCGAGGCCTCTGACGCCCGGTTGCCAATACCAAATGCAGTGTTTTGCAGGAACTTGCGCCCCGCGAGGAGACCCTGCTCTGACTGGCCCACGGCCGTGTTCATGTCCATGTCCTGGCGGCGCCAGTGGGCATTGGGGTAGGGCGAGCCGGCCAGGTAGGTTGTGAGCACCTGGAAGGCGGTGGGCATGCCCTGGAGCGGGACCTTGACGAGCCAGACGAAGCCCGGGCCGAACATGGCATCGGCCGTGTATATCATCTCGCGCCTGAGCGTCTCGATGGACATGAAGGTCTTCTCGAGGTTCGTCTTCAGGAGTTCGCTCATTTCGGTGGGCTCGGGCGACAGCTGCTTGAAGAAGAAGTGGTTGTTGTGGGCCATGCTGGCATGGTTGAAGACGACGGCGTTTTCGGGCTCGCGCGACGACTCCATCACGACAGACTTTATGTCTTGGTTTGCCCAGTTCGTCTCTGGAGAACTTGTCAGCCAGCCCAATCGTTTCCGTCTGTGGTTCGACGGGGCGAGAGAAGCAATCAAGACGTACCGCTGGTGGCCTGGTTCAGCTTCTCGAGAATGACAGTCTGGTACTCTGTCCACGCGATCTTCATAGCGGCGGGGGAGAGGAGGCCCGGGAGGCCTGGGAGGTGGTTGTAGTCGAGCTTGGGTACCCTGTGCATCGACCTCCGAAACGTCAGGGACAGAGACGCCGTCGACAGCACCGGCGCCTGGCCGAGCTGCGGTATCCGCGGTATTCTTAACCTGGGGCGTATCATCTTGTCCGGCCGGCGAAGGATGTGGGAGAGCGAGTCTCTGTTGCGTCGTTCAATGCGTCGGTCAAGCAATGCGACGCGCGACCTCAACTTTTTTTACGAGGCTAAAGCCGAAAGCTTTAGGAGGAAGATTCGAGCCTAACAATCGAGGCAGCAAAACACGCTCCCAATAACTTCATAGCTAAAGATCTCCGTACCTATGACCCTAACCCTGGTTATCCAAGCAGGCCCTTACCTTCACTTCCAGATTGCTGCTGTTCTAACTTCTGGGTGCCCGTAGCTAGGAAGTGAAGCTGAATTTCAAAGAGAAACTTGTTTGGTGAGTACTTTGACAGCACTGGCTTCCGCCTTTCTTTGACATTTTTGTTTTATTTTCTGAAGTGTAAGAGAGCAGTTTGGTTTGTTGGCAATTTGTCTGTGCCGTTTACGACTTACGTCAATTCGGACTTGGTAGGTACAGAAGGTAAGGTACAGTAGTGACAAGCGCGCAGCCAAGCAAAGGCGAAGCTCCAACTTCCAACCCATACTACTTGCCCTTAAACCACGCAAGAGCTTCTGCGTCGAGTCTCGAGCACACTGAGCGCGCGCGCCCAACTAGGTTGAGCTTTTGCATCATGTCGCTCGACCCGCCGACATACCTCGCATCGCTGCAAAGCAACATCCGCCAACGGCCCATCCCGTGGGACGGTGCAGTGCGCGCGGGAACCCTGACCGAGGACCAACTCGCCCGCATCCGCGCCGTCGACAAGGTCAAGAAGGACGCCCGCAAACAGACGGTCGAGGCCGACCTCGATGGCTACCGCCTTCTGTTCGTCGGCGGTCCGGGCACCAAGAGCGTGCTCGAGCTGGCTGCCAAGCACCAGAACGTGGTGCAGTATATCCTCGTCCTCCTGACGGACCTGCTCGACAGTACGTCCACGGCGCCTTCCTGATTCCATCACCCCCTTCGGTTCTGCCTGCCCGCCATTCTTCGCTGTCTTGCGGTCTGCTGACATCTGTGCGCTCTCCCGTTGCAGCCATCCCCGCCCTCTCCAAAGCGCTCCTCAAATCTGGCGACCCCTATCGGCACTTCCTGCCTCTTCTCGCCCACTCCTCAAACACCGACGACCCAATCCCGCTTTTAACCTCGACTGTCCTCGTTAGCCTCATGGCCGGCTCTAGAGACGAGTCTGCCGCCACGGTGGACAAGGCGCAGCCCCTAGTCTTCAGCTACCTCGCCTCCCTGACCAAGAACTCGGATGCCGGACTACAGGATATCGGCGTGCAAGAATACTCGGCCTTGCTCTACGCTCGCTCAACCCGGAAGCAGTTCTGGAGTCAAAGAAGTGAGACTGTTGCCCCCCTGATCGACATCCTGCGAGCCGCCGCTGGCGTTCGGGAGAACGATGCCTCGGCCAGTTTGTGGAGCGGCACCATGAGCAACGCCAGGAGCGGCTTCGAGGGCTCGCTGGGCGGCGGCGTGGGGCTCCAGCTGCTCTACCATGTGCTGCTAGTCATGTGGCAGCTCAGCTTCGAGGCTGCCGACGTAGGCGACGAGCTGAATAGGTACGTCACCCCCTCGGGTTTGCATATGCAGCCACGGTCCGCAGTAAGGAGTGCTAAGACGTTGCAGTGAATACGATATTGTCCTGCTCTACACACAGCTCCTCCGGCTTTCGCCTAAGGAAAAGACTACGCGCCTCCTCATCTCAACGCTGTACAACCTCCTGGTAGCCAATCAGAACACACTCCTCCCCACAGCAGTGCTCGCCCGCCTTCCCTCGCTCCTCCAGAACATAGGCGGCAGGCAACTCGCCGATCCTGACCTGCAAGAAGACCTGGCCAAGCTGCGCGAGCTTCTCGAAGAGTACACCAAGACCAAGACGACGTTTGACGAATACGTGGGCGAGGTGAACTCGGGTCACCTGCGGTGGTCGCCTCCCCACCGCAACGCATTGTTCTGGGCCGAGAACGCCCGCAAGATCCTTGACCACGACAACGGCGACCTTGTGCGCAAGCTGGCGCAAATCATGGACAAGCCGTGGGACAACGACAAGGCGGTGCTGGCGATTGCGTGCAACGACATTGGCTGCCTCGTACGCGAAGTGCCCGAGAGGAGGACCCAGCTGGAGAAGATTGGGCTCAAGAAGAGGGTCATGGAGCTCATGGGCGAGGGCGACGAGAACGTGCGATGGGAGAGTCTTCGGGCGCTTGGCGGCTGGCTGCAGTATAGCTTTGATAAGTGAATGCTGCCCGGGCAGTAAGTCAGGTAGCTTTGGCGGCTAGGAAGCGTGGTGTTTGTTAAGCTTTGGGTCCCCTTACCGGAGAATGTTTTCATGTTTGCGAAGCTTGGGTTTTTGAAGGCTCGTGCGGCCGGCTGTAGTCATAGCTTGGAGAGAAGGGAAAGGCTTTTTAGATTGGCTTAATGGTTCCCGTCGATGCACACTTTCGGTGGGTGCTGGGTAGTATACAAGCATAAATGTCCTTTATTTTTGTTGGCCTGGTAGGCACTGCTTACATATGATATGAGCCTTGAACGGTTTCCTCCAGCGGCTTGCATCTATGTTCTTGCTGTTCTATGTATTGTATCGCGGAGAGAAAGTCACAAAGATACCTGCATACCTCCAGCTTCCCCCACGTATGCTCTCTTATCTTGTCCTTATCGGGGCTTCCCCCGCCATTATGTACCAAGTCCCCCCGTTGACATCACATCCATCATCGCCCAAAGCATCATCCTTGGAAATCAACCACAAGCTGCTATCGCCTGCTGCTGAAGGTCGTCTGTCTTACCCGCTTGATTCTCTTTGGGAACCGGCTGCGGCACCGGACCAATTGGCCATCTCGTGTTATAAACAAGGACAAAGAACGGAAAGAGGCGCTGTAGCGGCAATGGTTCAGCGAGTGAGTTACAGTACCATACCTTACGTTGCTTTAAGCCTACGAACATACCAGCTTCATTCCTAGCTCGGCTTTTTGAAGCGTGCTTGGCTGACCATCTGTCCGGCTTGCTTCCTCTGCTCATAAAGGTGTATTTTCTTGCCCATGGCGGCAGGGTTCAAGGTTCGCTGTCCGCCTCTCTTAATTGTATACACCGTCAATGTCAATGTCAAGGCTGGTGTTGGTGTTTTGCTGCAATTCAATTTCGGCTTGTCCCCGTTCGGCTAATAATCCATGGTGTTGACTTGCACTAACAGGGGTTGGTTTCCGGTACGTATATCTTGAGAAGTCTACGCATGGTTGCTTACTGAAAAGCCCCCCTTTCCACCCGCTTGCAACTTATCCTCGTAATGTGGTAACCCCGAAGCGAAGCCCGGGTTGAAAGTACTTGGGAAATATCTTCTTCGGTTTGGGCGTACATACATACATATATATGACTCGCCGTGGCCAGTCACATCTATGTTTACACATAGTTACCCTCCCGCAATACTTACTCGTTCTCTCAAATGGCTTGCGCTGACACGATGCCCTCCGCTCAACAGATACTTCACCAGAAAGCGAGCCATGGAGTACGACCTCACCGGCTGGGTGCGCAACACTGATAACAACAAGGTATTGTACATTACATACAAAAACCATAACCTAACTTTTCACTCTGAATCTATCCCCACTGCATACCCCTAGGTCCCCATCTTGGGCAGACAAATTTGCGTAGCCTAGGCAACAATATAGGACAGGACAGGACCATCGCTGACCGTATGGGTAAAAAAACACCCCGAGCTTACAGGTCGAGGGCGAGGCCCAGGGCACAGAGGAAGCCATCAGCAACTTCCTCAAGAACGTCGACAACGGGCCCAACCATGCTCACGTCGTGAGGCTGGACAGAGAGGAGCGCGACGTGGTCGAGGACGAGGCGGGTTTCGAGGTGCGCCGCTGAGTGCGAGCTAGATACAGTGCCGATGGTGGTTAAGCTGTTGGGCTCAGAGCAAGGCTGCCATTCTTTTTTTTCTTGTTTTTGGAAGGGAGTGGTCGCCCTGTGGTGAAAGGGGGGCGTTGCTAAAAGCAATGAATGCCACTCCTCCCGCTGTGTGGGGTACGTAGAGTGAGAGTGACTCGCGACGACTTGCAGAATCAGACAAAAGAGAAAGACGAAAAAACATATGCATAAACAATGCTGCCCGGTAAAGGCTCGGAACGGCTGGTACAAAAGAAAGCGAACCACAGGTCATGTTGTCGGTGGTTTGACCCCTTTTATTCCCCTATCTTGTGAGTCAACACCACGGGCACCTAAGACGAATGTACAGGACGCCAACACACGACGTAGACAACCCCGACAGATACTAAGCAAGCAAGCACATCCAGACCTGTAGTAGATTATTCGAGAATACCTGATTCAATCGCCAAACAACAGAGTAGAAAACAAAAGGTTAGCTGTTTGTGTAGATATGTGACATGTAAGTATGTATGTAAGTGAGAAGCACGCTAGCCAATGCAACTAGCCCCCCTCTCCACTAGTCTACCTCGGGAAGGTACTTTACCCCCTCCGTTTCCCTCATCTAACCAAGAGAAGAAAAATAAAACAAAACTCTCCATATCCGATGACTTGAAACCATGATCCTAAAAAAATAAAAGAATAAAAATAAAACTTGCCTCCCAATCATCAAAAAGGGGAGAAGGGAAATGGACAACTCAGTTAGCACTAAATACAAAAAAAACAACATTAAACCCCTTCCACCTTGAACGACTAAGACGGTTATTAATACATTTTCCCTTTTATCCATGTTGGCATTTTTGGGGTTTCCTACAAAACAGTTGCAGGAGAAAAACAAAGGGGAGGGGAATGACGGCAATCTATCAGCACCCCTACGCAAAGCCTTAAACGTCCCAAGGTAGATAGGCAGGTAGGTAGTTGAGCTGCATCGTCGTGCTCTAGCGTGATTAAAATACCTACAGGCACAATACGACACGACACGACACGCCATTCCATGCAATTAAAAACATCCAACCCCCTTTCCTCCCCCAAAAAGCAGCGCCCCCCCACCCCCGTTGTCGTCCGACTTCATTCCTTCAAGCAAACGTCATGGAGATTTCCTTTTCCTTGCCAAAGTCCTCGTCCTCATCTGCCCAGGGGTCCGCAAGCGTGATGTTTGGCACCGTCTGGGCCGACTTGATCTCGGGTCTTGCCGTTCCAGCCGCGGACTTGGACGTCGAGAACTGGCGGTTGTGGCCGTAGCCGCGGAGGGCAGCCGACGTGGAAAACGACGACTTGGCGTCGTCGTCTGGCAGCGTGTAGAGCGGGGCCGGCACCGCGGACGGCACCGACGACGACGACGCCTTGTCGTGGCCGCTGTCGTCGAATGCCGTGTCGAACGTCATCTGCACTTCTTCGTCGTGGGTGTAGTCGCCGTGCAGCGCCATGCCGTTGTTGCTGCTGCCGGCGCTCCCGAACCCGCTGCCGAACTGGTGGTAGTAGTCGCTGCCGGGCTTGGCAGCGGGGAACGTGGGCGTGCGCTCCAGGGATAGACGCTGCTCGTTTGCGAGGCGGCTGCTCGACGGCTGGCGTTCATGGTGAGGTTGTGGTTTATATTCCGTCGACGACCGGAGCGGCGGCACGACTTCGGCGCTCCTCGTCTCTCGTATACTGCTCCTAGGCGACCGCGTCGGTGGCGGTGGGCCGGGTTTAGGAGACAGGTCGAGCTTCATGGGGGGGAGGGTACTCTTGATCTCCCTAACCTGGAGCATCTCCTCTCCTAGATTCCCGTCCTTTTCATGCTCCTGCTGCTCCTTTGCGAGCTCGGCGCGAATGGCGTCCACGTCAAACAGCACGCCATGGTTGGGCCCCTCTAGGTCCTCGGTCTTGGCGTTGGCGTTGGCGTTGGCGCCGGACTTATTGGACTCTTCGTATAGCTCCCACTCATGCTTCTGCAATGCCTTCTTCTTCCTCCAGAAGCTGAATGAGGTCTTGCCCCTCTTTCCCTCTTTCTCTAGCTCCTTCCTCGCCTCTTCAATTTCGTTGATCAACTCGCGCTGCCTCTCTTTGTGGTCTTCTGGATCTGGCTCTATCTCGCTAAACTCATCGCTCTCCACCAGCCAGCCGCTCTCGCGTAGAAGTCGAGGCATTGCTGTCCGGTAGTCCATGTGGCCCACTACAAACTCTGAAACGTCCATATTCTCGAGGTCGGGAATGTCGTCAATTGCAGCGAGGCCGGCAACACGTCTGATGCCGCCGTTGGTGAGGCGGAAAAGATAGCCCAAGATCCAGTCGTTGCGGTTGTACCCGTTAACAAAGCGTCCAGACACCACGGTGCGCGCGCGAATGTATTCGTCATGCTTGACAACCATGGGGCTACCAAATAGAAATACGTTTTGTACCAGACCGTACGCGCCCTTCTTGGCAAGCTCTTGGAGACAAGAGAAGATGACGCGGCTGCCGAGGGAGTAGCCAACGAGAGTAATTGGACGCGTGCCCAAGTTGCGGTCAATGATCGAGTCCGCCAGAATGAGACCCGCCATGGTGGCGCGATCTAGGGAGACTGCCCACGGGTTGTCGATCAGGTAAGAAAGCTTGGTGAGCACCACAGGCAGTTGGAGCGCAGCCATGAGAGAGACAAGGACGGTGCTACCAAGGAGCTGCTGGAGTCCCTGTGTGAGAGCCTGTAACGGAGCTGGTTAGCCACGCAACCCGAATTCGCACGGTACAAAATTCTGGCAATAGCCTACCTCTGTTGCAAGGATGTTGATGGTATCACCCATGCTGGTCAACATCTCGGGCTCCCACAGAACAGAGTATATGTCGCCCATGACGGGGTCGACCGTGCTGAACGGCAACCGGACGTCATCGATCTTGCCTGTCATCCACCCGGACACAGTGACAATCAGATTTACCCGCTTATTGTTATGCAGCGGCCGGTATTCGAACGTTTTAACTGCGCCGGTCCTCCGGCCGGCTGCCCTGCCGCCGATAATGCCGCCCGACGCTGCGGCTCCGGATGTGATGACGGCAGCGCCCCCCGCGCCTGCGAGAAACCCGGTCGTGCCGGTGACTCCGATAGTGGTGAAACCTGCGGCCAGGCCAGCGCCGATCACGGGAGCGAGCAGGCCCGCCGACAAGCCAATGACCAGACCGCCGCCGACGGTAGCGAGGCCCATCATCACGTAGCGCCTCTTGAGAGCCAGCTTGCGGCGCGCCTCCATGTGCTCATCCTCGTTCCAGTTTTCCTTTTCAGCGTTTTGCTGTATCTCCAGCGCGTCTGTAACCTTCTTCTCGAACCTGCAGATATCGATCCACGGTATTTCAAGGTCCTTGCTCACCCTCTCGAGCAGCACTCTGGACCTTGCGTCGTAGACGGAATCGGCGATAAGCACGAGAAACAAGTCGCAGAGCACGGTCCACCGCAGATCAATATCGATCTTCTGGGTGGTGGGCATCTGCGACGGCGTCCTGACGGGCTCGGTTAGCTCCGAGTCGGGGTTGGCCGAGTAGGGCGGAGGCGGCTCGGCAGCCTGCTCTGCCTCGGGGGTTACTATTGAGGCCGGCCGTGGGGACGAATGGCCCGACAACGAGGGCGACTTCTTGTCCTGGTCCGCAGCCATGGGGTTCTTCACACGGGCGTTTGCCATCAGCAGGGATGTCAGGTCTGCGGGCAAGACCCCGTGGGAGCTGAGCTGCTCGATCATGATCTGCTCGGCTGGGCTGATATCCATGTGGGTATACAGCCGGATCATCATCTTCTGGCTCCACATCTTCATGCTCTCGGCAGCTATGGCCAGCTGCTTCTTGGTTCTGCTAGAGTGTTTCAGGGTCTCGGCCTCCGTTAGCATGGCGGACAGCTCCAGGCGCGTCAGGCCCACGTAGGCAATCCTCTGGCCCTCGGTAAGGAGGTCCTTAGTGGCTTGCAGCTGGCTCACAGCGTCACGCTGGCTCTCTTCGTCCTCTGCGGCTATGCTAGTCGTACCTCCCTGGTCTTTGAAGAGGTACTGCGTGTTCTCGTCCATGCTAGTGGCAGACTCGGCGTCGTCATCCAGCAGAACCCTCGTGTACCCCTTGCCAGCCCCGCCCAGCCCGGCATAGCCGTACGTTTCGTCCTTGACCTCGGACTCGTCGTACTCTTTGGCGATCAGCTTATTGTCATCGTTATACAGGTCGAACGGCGCGTAGGCGGGCATGGTCTGCCATTCGTCACCATCCTTGCTTTCGCCGTCTTCGGGCTTGTGTGTGGTGAGTTGCTGGTGCGAGAACTCGGAAATGCCCATACCCAAGCCCACGCCGCTGGGCGCGCCGCCGGTGCTTAAATCGCTCCTGTTGCGGCTGCGGCCCGATGGCCCCGTCTGATCTTTCTTGGACTCGGAAATGGCCTGGTCCGGCTGGTTTGCAGGCTTTTCCTCTACCGGCTTCTCGGTGCTTGACGCCGGAGCCGATAGTTCGGTCCCGTGCTTGGTCTGTGGTTTGGTGTCTTCGGACTCGGCGCCTGGGGGCTGCTCATTGTCCTGTGACGGCTCGACTGGGGGTTTTGTTGTAGGTGTCGCTATGTTTGTGCTCGTGCTGGCTTTTCTTGCCTGGGGCATGGGCGTCCGAGGCCCGTTGAGATCCTCGACGCTCTCGCTCCGAGACACGGCATCGCTAAAGTGTTCGTCGCTGCCTGATTCGGTGCCGTCGCCATTTTCGGGCACGACGTCCTTTGCCTTGCTCTTATCCTTTTCCTTGTCTTCGGCAGTTTTCAACGCTTGACTGCTACCATGAGACGTTGTATGCGCATCGACAGCAGCATCTTGGGTTGCCTCTGTCTCAACAGGGGCCTTTGGGCTTGTTGGGCTTTTCGGTCTTTTCTGGGTGGGTTTTTCTTTCGTCTTCCCCTTTGACCGTTCCGCGTGGTTGTATTTCCTCACGGGTAGGCCGAAGTCGTCGAGTTCGGGGAGCTCGGGAGGCTCGACTGCCATGTTGCTGGCGGCCGGTGCAGTGCTGGCGGCCGGTGCAGTGTCTAGTGTTGGGTTTTCTGGCATGTTCGGAATGGGCGGGTCGCCATATTTGGTAGCAGAAGGCGGCGGCGGAGGCGCAGCTGCAGTCGCAGTCGCAGATGCTGGTTCTGGTTCTGGTTCTGGTGCTGGCGCTGGCGCTGGCGCTGCAGGTGCAGCAGGAGCTGTCGTGGACGTGCCCCCAGCGTCAGCATCAACGTCAACGTCAGCAGCGCCGCTTCCCCTGTCGCTACCGCTACCACCGCTACCAGCCGAGCTCGCGTCGGGTCCCGGCATGGCTGAGGTGCTAGATCACCCGGAATCCTAGGAACCTAACGCGGGAAGAGTTTGGATCGCAAAATGTGAGCAAAACGCTAGTGCAGTGCAGGCACAGGCGCACGCGCAAACGCAGACCGACCCGGCGCTCGTCACGTCACGGCCAGCCGCCCAACTCGTCTGAATGCGGTTATTACGGTTTGTGCGCGGGACGATCAGGGGTCGCCCAAAAGGTGTTTCAAAGAACGGGATTCGACTTGAATAAGAGCCCCCTAATATGGATACCCCCTAAAGGTCACCTCATCAAAAGGATGCATTCCCTACGACCTGACAGGGATCACAGCGGCCAAGCCACGGTCTACTACGTATACTTGCGCATGCATGGACAGGCAGCAAATCAGTAGTAAATACACCACTCTGTGATGCACTATGTGCTAATAAAGGCACCGACTCGGGCAGTGAGCTTTTCATGAACGAACTAGATTAGGGCAGGCGGGTGGCCCAGTGTTTCGTGACAGAATCGTGTTGTAGGTACCGAAAGTTCCTGGGCTACGTGATGAGTCCGAGGGATTGTGGCACAGTCGCTAACTCCTTAGCGTCAATCTAGAAGGAAGCACGGGCGCCAGCGCTAAACTTGCCTCAACAGTCTACATTAGAGTCAAGGTAGGACATTTAACTGACTCCGAGCCTCTCAGAATATGGAAGCTAACGCCCTGTGCCGCTGTGAAGCCGCACGCAGTCCGAGTCTTTGGTACGGCAAATGCGAAAAATTCTAGGTAGACATGCAAGGTCAACAACAAATAGCCCACCGGCTTAGAAGAGCGATGTGTTTCTTGGCAACAGCCACTGGCATGGCAAACCGCCACGATATGCAGGCTATCAGGACTTCAGATGGTGGCGCTGGCATTGTATAGGTTGCATTTCAGCGTGTCTTGACTTGCAAGACATTACGACTCAAATCTCCTAAACTTGTGAATTTGGCACTCCAGTGAGTTACCCTTCAGCCGCAGCCACAGCCGCAGCCACCGCCACCGCCGCTTCAACCGCCTTGTCTCCCGACTCGTCGTCGCCGGCGTTTTCTGCAGTCTTGGCTTTCTTCCGCCGCCTTCGCTTGGCCCTTGTCTCGGTCGACGGCTCGGCCTCGCCCTCAGGCCCCGCGGCTAGTTTTCTCGTCTTTTGATCGCCTGCCGCTCTCTCTTCCGTTTTGGCTTTCTTTACCGATAAGGGGTTGGGTCCCTTGGCATAACTTCGCTTTTTCTTCTTCGGCTTCGGCTCATCCTTGGAAGCGTCTTTCTCTTTGCCGTCCCCGTCCTCGCTCCCAGAACTGCCGCTCTCGTCGCTGCAATCTCCATCCTCCTCTCTCCTCCTCTTCTGAGGCCGTCTGATGATGCCCTCAGCGAACCTACAGTGGTGTATTAGCACCCCCAAAACCGGGTTATGTCTAGTTTCACCAAAAAATGACTTACTTAACACGCTCTTCGCGCTCTCTGACCTTGACTGACTCAGAAGACATGGGCTCAAGGATCTGCAACTCCAGATTAGCCCATCTACTCAGCCTTTGCAAGTAGACACAGAGATACAGGGAAACATACCAAAACACTCCGACGCACATACATCAGCGGCGTCGGCGCCACGGATCGTAATCTCGCTCTCTGATGTGAGAAGATCAGCACTAGTTTATTACGCTTCAAGAGAAGGGAGCAGGGCAAAATAAGGGGACATACCAGTTCCTCGTCCAGGGTAGCCACGATGTAGCGGAACTTGTTCTGGCCGTTGCCCTTGGGGTCGACGACAGACATTACGCATTCCTGCTCGGGCAGAGCGTCCTCGTCCATGAGGTGGCCACACCGGCGCCTCTCAAATGTCTTTGCCCTCTCGATTGCGCCGACGACAGCCGGGTCCCTGTTGGGGCCCCTGTTGCGGTCGTAGAGCGCCCGCTTGAACAAGAAGGCGTGTTAGCATAAATACTCACAAGGACATTTAGGATAGAATATGACATACAATACAGCATTGTGTGATCATGGGCTTCAGATTTTTGGTCGACAACGTCTTCTCAAACAAGCTGATGAGGTCGACCTTGACTGTGTCGAGGAGGATGTCGCTGGTGAGCAGCAGCTGGTACGGCTGGCGGAACCCGAGGTGCTCATACGCGCGCATGAGCTTCTTGTACTGCTTGACGCGCTTGCCCATGGCGGATAGATCTAGTGCCCGTCCGGGCCGGGGGAAGGGGTGGCGGGTGAGTGCGACGTCGATGAAAAAGGCAGTTGAGTTGGTGAGAAAAGGGGAACGGCTTCACCAAGCAAATCCGTTAACTTAAGAGGCGATGGGAAACCCTCAATTTGCAGCTAGAGCCGCAGCTAGAGAGAGAGTTCCAGAGCAAGAAAGAACTGAATACTTGGGTAGCCAGCTCAGCAGTCGAGCGTCTGTCTGGTCGAATACCAGGCCACCAATGTGTTTGGCGCCCGTGCTCAGCGAAAAAAATTCCAGGCGAGGTTAGGTAATGTCAAACGATGCCCCACCTTCAGCGACCAGCAAGCCCTCAGCCGTAGGCTAAGCGTTTGCCTGGTTTTTGATCCGGAGTCTTCAGCCGCAGCCCCGCCAAAAAAACTCTCGACCCGCTTGTCACATGCAGGGTCACTGGCTCCTGCAGAGCTTAGCCCTTACCCACGACTAGGGCTACCCCTCATTCCGGCCGCCTTCGAACCGGCACGGACGGCCTAGAGCGTATCTGACATGTGAAGCCATACGTGCTTTTATGCACACACCTTGGTATCATGATCATATCTGCATCTATTGTGTACCCCCATAGACTAAACCATACCGCCCAATAACACCCCATGAAAAAGAAGATGAAAAATGGAAATGAAAAGCGGCAACTGCTTCGTCCCTAAACTAACCCGCCTGCCTCCCGTATTTTCCCCCATTTCCAAGAACGAGTCGTTCGGAGGAAAGAACAGATTAAAGGGCATCAAATCCCGCTCCAATAAACCTGCGACTCACCAGCCAATCTCCATTCCAGAGAGTAGTAGCCAAACTCATGAAAAATACACGTTAGTAGTACCATAGACTTGAAACCCCTTCGTTGTGTTAGTGCACATGAATATCGTATGCTACACACCTAGACATCGGCCAGGACTCAACCAGGCCGGTCCTTCAATGGTCATTCTTCCTGCATAGCGCAGCGACAACACTAATGTCGTCCAGCTTCCCTAAAAGTGCAACATGTCAGTAATGGGGGGAAAACCTCGGCAACGCGGGAGATGTGTAGAGAGCAAGATGGAGAGGGAGGTCAACGCACCACCCTCGCTCGCCAGGCCCTCTTCGATACCGCGCTCCATAAACGGGCTCTCGGCGAAGGGGTCCAAGGCAATGACTTTGGCGGCCTCCATCAGCTCCTCAGCCACGTATTGCATGGCGTTTTCGTCGACGCCACCGCGGCCCTTGACCTGTCCGGTCTGCCACTGCTCTAAGCTCTCGCTGACCTTGTCAACGATCTCGTGGGACCATAGGTTGTCGATGACGCCGTCCGACATGGCCAGCACAATGTCGCCCTCGCGGATCGGCACCTCGTCTAAGACAGCCGTCTTCAACGGCGTGTCCGGACTGTTGGTGCCTAGCTGCCGCGGGCAGTCGAACCAGTGCCACTGTTCCGTCGACTTGAAAACGAGCTCGCGAGTCGACGGGCGGACCACCATGACTTGGGAGTCGCCCAGGTTGGTTACGTACAGCAGTGGCTCGACCACCTCGCCGTCGCTGCTGCCAACACCATCGTCAATCCTATAGTTGCTAGTAGTACTTTGCTGCTGTTGCTCCTTGCCAGGCACTTCAGCTTGAATACCACGTCGCTGGCGGTAGTGCAGCTGCGCGCCGGCCACGGTCGTCGTGCCGAGCCAGTCGTTGGGGGCGCTAGTTGCCTCGATCGTCTGGTCGTACGCGCGCTGCAGGTAACCGACCGGGTCCGGTTGATACGTGTCGTACTGGCGCGCCGCGTCCTCGAAGATGACCGTGACCCAGAAATGCAGGATAAGTCGCGACCATAAGCTGTTGACGCCACATGCGGCGTCGCGTTAGAAAACCAATAGACAAGGCAAAAACTGTAGAGGGAAAGGCAGCAGAATAGAGCCTACCCAGCATGCCCCCTCGGCCGTGTGCTCCACGCGCCGACGCCGTCGTTGGCGCAGATAAAGTAGTCGCTCGCAAAGACGGCGTCGTCCCCGTTGGTGAAGCCCTGGATCAGCTTGCCGTCCACGTAGGCAGCGCGGCGGTCGCGGCTGCGGTTGTGGGTGCTGAGGGGGTCGCTGAAGGAGCCCGACGGCGGCGAGAGGAAGGGCGGCGGGAACGGGCGCGGGGTGCGCTTGGCGAAAAGGCCGATGCCCGTGTCGAAGCGGAATGGGAGCTTGGGGAAGACCGACGGGTCAAATGCGCCGCTGCTGCCGTCGCCACTAGTGCTGCTGTTGTCGTTCTCGTCGGTTGGCGGCGACGAAGACGACGAAGACGCCCTGTTTTGGCTGTCACGTGTTGTCGGAGGGGCAGGAGAGGACGATCGGCGGGATTTCAAACCGTTGGTGACATGCCGCGATGGTGGGAACTGGAGTGGGAGGGGGATGTGGAAGTGGTGCGGCAATGAGGATTGACGGAGCCATGGCCCTGCTGTTGCTGCTTGTCGTCGCAAGACCGACGACGACCGCGATCTTGGGTCGAGTGTTGAGGCTAGCAATCCTGGAGGTAGTCTCCTCATCCCAAAGCGGCGCACACGCGCGGATTTGTGAGTTGAGGGATGCTAGCAGACGGCATTCGAAGAGAAAGTCAGCGTAGTTGGAGTAGTTGGAGTAGAGTAGATAAGTTGAAGCTGCTAGGCTCCAAGTACTGTTGATACCAAGGTTGGTCTTCCAAGGTTGCAGGGTTCCCTCGGCACGACGCGTATGTGTATGTATAAAAGTGTACGGGTTGTATGCACCTAATTGAGGTGGCTCCGATGAACCCACTCTCTGGCCTCCGCAGCAGCGCTAGGCTGGTCTGGTATTCCGCAGACCTGGTCTTCGTCCTCCTTCTCCGTACCTTACGCAGTCTAGTGAAACAAACGCGCGACAAGCCCGTCAAATACTTTTACTCTTTAAACCGAGAAAGCGGTGTTCTGGCCGAATTCGGGTGGCGTATGGTGCCATTTTCGGCGATTCTATACTAAGCGTACATACAAGTCCCTTATAAGCACCGTGTGGGTACCTGTATTATAGCAGCCTTAGCGCTCAGCATATATCTAACCGATATATGGCCAAGAAGGGATCTCAACCGCGCAAGCGGTTGACAAAAGAAGGCGAACACATTACTTCGCAGTACTTCTCTTCAGGCCAAATCTATATACAAATATAGGTACCGTCATATACTGCAACCTTACCACCCAGTCATAAGACCCTCGCCCTCTAACACATCTTGTATCCACCTTACCATGGAATCCACGTACCCATTGATTTTCGCTTGGCTTAGTCGCCTCCATCTTTCAACCGCCAGGTCCATGACATTCGCTCTAATTCGAAGATTGGCACGGATATACTACTTCACAGCCCTCTAACAATTCTCAATTGGCGATAAATCCGAGGAGCTAGGCGTATTAAAATAGTGCTTAAGTCCATGGGCTTGTGTTACGGATCCCTAAGGAAATACACGGTAGTGGGGCACGCCCAGTTTGGGACCAGCCAATCAGGAGTGGCCCAGGGTCCCGACAGTGTTGAGTACGGGACGCCGGGACAGAGGGGAATAGCTGATTGATCTCCTTTACATAGATATATACAACGACCTTAGCCGCGGTTCTAGATAGCTCTTGCTTGATTCTTCAAGCAAGCAATACACATTCACTGCGCTCATACGCTTTGAGTGGCATACCGATTTGACTGTATTACCCGTGCGATAGGAGCTTGCCCTTTGTTCTATCTTTATAATTACCAACCCCCAGCAATCTGTGGAGCCCCTGCTCCCTTACAGACAGACGACCCTAACAGTCGAGTAGTTTGTAATAACTTGCTTCTACTCCTCGACGATATTCTTACGCCGGAATTTCCGCCTCCATGCTCTGAATCGCTATCTTCTTCCAATACGAAGGTATTACTACGGAGAAGCTAAAGACTAATAACTTTTTCTAGAATTTCGTCGCGATAGATCTATAGACTTATCTTTCTACTGTTGTTTGTTAGAACTTCGTAGAAATATATTTCGGGCTTAAAATTCTATCTAACAGCCGCCCAAACGTAGTATCTTCGGATTTCGGTCCCTTTCGGTGGCTCCTTAGAATGATGAATATAATCTGGGTAATGTCGCTCGCTTGGTTTCCGAATATGGACTTTCCCTTCGGAAAAAAAACTCTAAAATGGCATTCGTCTAACTAGCGAAAATCATGCCAATCTTCCGGGCGAGGGCGTAACAGGAGGGCAATCTTGGCTTGTTCAAGGCGATACATTTCCGGTATCCTTAAGTCCCCATGATGCTCTGGAGAAGGAATCTGGGTTTACTGAAGGTCGATCAGTATTTATTTTGGCACTTCTGACGAAGGAGAGATGGATTATATACTACATAGCAGGTTTGAAAACCGGAGCTGGCTATCCTGGATGATGAAGACAATACGGCTGACAACTAAGGAAGATGTACAGAAACGTGTGGAAACAACAGGCTTTGTTATTCTCTCCACATGGGGAGAAACTCTGGCCGTCAGTCACAAATCTCACCTGGTTATTTTACAATCTGAAAAGGGGTTTCCTTTATAGACCTGAGGGTGTCTCATAGGAGTAGGGTTAGGGTTAGACTTTACTGGGGACTTCGAGCTCGGTCAGGAGAAAGTATGGACGTTTTTGTCTTGAAACCACTTGTCAAAATGGGAAGTACCTGAGAGATATGCTAGTCTAGTTATTTCAGTTGGTAATAGGCAACATCTTCGTGTGGTTTCTCTTTTTTCTTTAAAAAATAAAGAGTAAGTGTGCAAAGCGCGCGTGAATCTAGCGCACCGCGGATGTATCGTGAACGTCAGCGATATAACTAGTCTAGTTTTGCAGTACGAGGTGCCGACAGCGAGCTTAGTAGATGATTTGTTTGGCAGGCTGAAGGGCGCCACCAAAGGGTATGCTACGCTGGATTATGAGGGTGCTGGGTGGCGCGAGAGCGGCGCGAGCGAGCGTTGCGCTTGTAGCGTGCGATGAGAAGGCATCCTGTGTTGAATAGTTTCAGGCGATGAGAAGATAGCTGACGACGAGGAAAATAGATAGGAAGAAGGACGGAGACCTTCCCCTTCCTGCATGCAGGGGGGGCGGCCACGGCGCTGCGCTGGCCATAGGAGGAAACGGCGGCCCAGTCTGCGGCGTCTACTGCGTCCGCGCCCACGCCCACGGCGATAAGTAAGAGAGCAAGAGATGGAGCCGCCAACAAGCGGCAAAACAAAACGGTTTATGGAAGGGCGATCAGGTGGCATTAAGTGAAGGCGGTGAGAGCAGACGGACTAGGTGTAATTGGTCATGAGCGATGCTTCGGACCATTTTGCAAGCACTGGCATCTACATGCCAGTGCATAAACACTAGGAAGAGCCTCCGCATTATCCAACGCCAGTGAAGGAAGGCACGGCTTCTCGGGAACCTCTGCATACCTCGAAAACTACTATATTGCCCATTTCAAAGCGGACCTTTTCTGGGAGTTCGGTGTCCAAAGTAACACAGGGCTGGGGTATCCTCCGTAAAGGCCATGACGGGAGGCGTCTCGAGGTCGAAATACGGGGGCGGAAGCCTCTTATCTCGGCTGAAGAGCTGCACAAGATGGAGAAAATCACCTGGCAATACGGCTTTCAAAACCTGGCAGGATCTTACCATTGAGGTCGGAATTCATACCTCCGCCCGGACGATTCAACGAGCGATGGGGCTGTGAGTCGATCTCAAGGTCCTTCCATACTGGCATGGTAGCGTGAGAACACGGAGAGTCCGGATCAGGCACTTGGGATCTTAGTTTTGTTTCCAAGAGACTTCAATATTAACAACAATAAACAGTAAACCCCTTCTTCTCGCGCTCACACCTCCACTTTCCGGTTCTCCGAGATCCCAGAAACTAGCTACTACATCTGGTGCTTTCCCTATAAAGGCCGCAAAGTGACAGAAAATAGGGGCTGTTATTCCAAGTACTTTTCCTTCATTCCAGCATTCCATTTCGGCATCCACAGCCTAGGACTGCATCGAAAAACTGGGTAGGTAGGTAGCTTTCAAGGGTTTCTAATGTACTCAAAAACAAGCAATAAAGAGTGCGAACCGACTCGAGCCCCAACCAAAGAAGATAAGAGTGCCTTCAGTTACCACCAATAGGCTACAGAGTCACAGCGCAGGATGACCTAGAAATCAACACCGCGGTTTGGAGAAGAAACCTACATGGTCTATGTTCCAGGACTAGTTCGTAAAAATACCCCCGTTTCTACGATTGAAGATATGAAAAGAAGAGTGCTAGATGCTAAGCTCATCACAGCCAACTTGGACCCCCTTCTTCCTTATCTAGTACGGGAGATACCAGAGACAGCTCGGGGACTTAACAAGAATGGGATATATACTTAAGCTCCCCCACCCCCAAAAAAAATTAAAAAAATAACGCGCACTGCAAACCAACCACACCACCATTTCAACTATCCACAACTCTACCAAATTGCGCCCAAAATAGCTAAAACCAATTGCAATTTAATGCCCTGTCATTGCTCCTTCTAATTCTATGCAGTCTTTAAAGATTTGAGGTATCTGGTCGATCCAGGCGTTGATTGTTTGTTGTTTGAGGTTTTTCCAACCTTCTTCGGCCAGCTCTTTAGTAATATTATCCTCCCAACAAGGCCTTTTCTTGACATACTCCTCCGGCGCCTGCCACGCCTTCTCTATCAGTGAAAAATTAGGTGACTGACTACAATTAAAGAAGCTTATTAACCCGGCCTTTGTTTTCCACTCTTTGACGATGTTGGCCTTTCCTGTGCCATGCTTAGAGTTATTATCTTCCTCAAGCACAAAGGAATGCCCTGCTCGAAGCCACGAGCCAACAACAGGTTCCAGAATGGTATCTCGGTATACCTTCATTGTCATCTTCCCATTCGTATTGGTAGGAACATCATACCAAACTAATGGGCTCTTGAAATCGTAGCCAACCGCTCCCCAACAATGAAGCCTCTTTTGATCCTGTTCGGCTGGCTCCTCCTTTTCAAGTAAACAATCTGGGCAACAACGTTCCCAAGGACGACGTATAACATGAACCTTTCCTTGAGATCCCCAACCAAAGTGCGTTTCGTCAGAGAATCTAATGTGGTACCAGTCTTTTGGATCGGGGTACCGTTCGAGCATTGTGCGGGCGTAATTCAGCCTTCTTTCTTTGAGTCGGGGTGATGTGTACTTTTTCTCGCAAGCAATACACATCCGAAGATTCAAATCCTTGACGGCCTGCCTGACTGTCTCTCCACAAATGTCGATATCGAGACCTGCTGCGGCAGGGAGAGCTGCCCAAGAGATGGTAAGTCCGTCAAAGCCGTTGTTGTCGATAAAGCTCTCAATCGTAGCCAAATGCTCGGCAGAAAGCTTCTTTTTCCGGCCCCGGGTATCTGGATAGGTAGAATAAAAGGTCCGAGCATCGTGTTCTCCGGGCTCCCTTAGATATTTCCACCCAGCGGATTTGCCAATGCGGTGAAAGCGAAAGACGTCCATATGGCTGTATTTGATGCCTTTTCGGTCGAGAAAATCGCAGTCGCCTTGAACTCTGGCCTCCTTTGGCGTCATGGTATGTGGAGGAGCCATCGCGCCGTTGTAAAGCTTCAATTTGCAATAGAATTCGAGCTAGAATGGCGATGCAAAGTTAGAATGTGTGGTGTTGAGATACTAGGAAATGGGGGTTTATTTTGGTGTGGGTGGGGCAGATTAGGATTGCAGTGCGCGTTATTTTTTTTTGGGGGGGTGGGGGGGGGGGGGAGCTAAGGTAGGTACCAAGCATTGGGGGTCTAGACAACGAACCCCTCAAAAAAACAAAAACACCGAAAGTTATCTATCGCCGCCAAGCTGTTGGGAAGAAATGCCATATACCGTACTAGCACCGTTTCGAAAGAAGTGACAAGTACGGAATACCGAATAGAGCAACACCACACCAGAGTACGGTAAACTGTCAAGACACAGCTTGACTATCGCATGATAAGCGTCATTCACGAACTTTGCAAACCCCCAGGCAAACCCGGTAGCGAGCAGGAACGCATAGATACATAGGTAGGGACAAAAATGCTCACCTTCTAAAACTAGAAAGCACAATTTCGCCGCCCAAAGTGCTGCAACCCATTGTGATAAAAATATCAGCTTTCGCGCTATGCAAGACAATCCTCGAGGAGGAAAACAATGGAGAACCCATACAAAGATCAAAGGTCGCGCCCGATCCAGCCAATGATTTTCCATGCAAAAAGAATAAGACGAGAAGTGAAAAACAAAACAGACAGAAAAATCCAACGTAATGGTCACGTTCCCCACTCTCGTCCACCACTGAATCTCTCTATCCAGCCAATAGTCCAAAACAAAAGTTTCCATGCCGTTCATCCGTGCTCATTTATGCTCATTTATCGCCTCATCTACCCCGTATTTATGTCCTAAACTCATCCCATGACCGACATCGCATCGGCTTGACCTCCCGGAGTAAGCCACTTACTATCCACGCTTGTGTTCAGCTCAAACTTCTTCGTCAAGTCCCTGACCCTGATCTTCTTCTAGAAAGCCTGGCCTTGGAATTGCACACGACCTGGCGTCCCTGGCGTCCCTGGCGTCCCTGGTCTCCCGGTGGGTGTGAACTGCCCCTGTGGTGGAGGTTGAAATCCTACCGCCTGCGGCTGCCCATTCATGTTCATACTCGGCGAACCCATAATCGGTGGAGATGCCAATGGCGGGGGCCGGGATTGCTGCACATAGGGCTTGCTCCATCCTCCAGCTTGTGCGACTGGAGGGGTATTGCTGTATGGCCCTTGCGGACTCATCATCTGCGGGCGCTGCTGTGGAGAGCCATAACCGGGTCCTGGCTGAAAAGCCGGCCGCGCTGGGCTCATGCCGCCGTTCATCATCACAGAGCCCGGACCCGTGGCATGTGGGCTCATACTGCTCATCGCGTATACCGAAGGAGCTCCGCCGCTCATCATGCCCATAGGTATCGGCATCTGCGGGCCGGCATAGCCTTGCTGCGCAACATATTGGGCTTGCTGGGCATATGCTACCTGCGCGGCTCGCTGCGCTTGTTGGTTTTGCTCCCGTTGCCTCTGGTCAATAGCCTGCGCCACTGCTTGGCCGCCAATACCTTGCCTCATCTGGGCTTTCTCGCGCTCCCTGGCTTCAATCGCACCAACAAGACCTGCTTGCGGTTGTCCGGGACCCTTGTTCCCGCTGAAAGCAATCAGCGGGCTTCCCGTGACGCGCGCAACATGCTCTTGTTCACGAGCAGACAAATAAGACGATGCTTCCCCGCTAGACAGAGCAGCCATTGTACCTTGGCTGCTGGGACGCCCAGACTGGAGTAGGTCGGCAGAGTTGTGTCGAGAATGCGACTGACTTCCAGGTCGTTTTGGAGGCGAGCTCGGAGTTCCGGACCTGAAGTCGGTCAATGTGTTGGCCGACGGGGTGCGCTGATGTGAAAACAAGGGAGCTGTGGCAGCGGCTGCGCGTTGCTGCACAAATTGTTCAGGTGAAACAACGTTATCGGTCGATGCCGAGCCGATGGTGGCGCCAGGCTGCCATGGGACAGTGCGACGGATGGTATCATCCGACTCCTGGCGATAATGGGAATATGCAGGTCCAGGTCCGGGAGACTTCCGCCCTGGCGATAAAACGCCGGGCTGCTGTGACTGAGCAACGTTAGCAGTGGCATTTGTTAGGCCAGGAACCTTGTTCGCGGGTATATTTGCGGCACCATAGTTAATGGTACGTCCGAAATTGATGTCTGGAATATTGTAGTCGGATTTGGAGTCATCCGATGGCCCGGAATCGTCTCCCACCGTCTTCAAGACGCCAGCGCGGGGGCGGTCCACAGATTCTTGGGTGTCGGTAGACCGACGTGTGCTTGCGTAGTCAGGACTCGCCGTAGAAGAAGCGTCGTCGTAATTGCTGCTGGCCGCGCTTCTCTCACTGTTTTGACGAGTAGGGTGGCGGGGTGGGATTGGTGGTAAAGCAGCGTTCTCAGACGGGCGAAACCGAGCCTGTTCGTTGCCAGCAAAACCCTGCTGCGGAAAGCCCCCGATGCCGCTGACAGGCTGTGGAAAGATCGGGGACACTGGGTTGTCTGTGGGGCGTTGCAAACTTGTCGTTCTCTGAGGAAGGGGCTTTCTGTGGACGGGCGAGACCGGCCCCTGCATATGAGGCGGCGGGCGCGCCATGCCTTGGTTAGGGGGAGGTGTGCGGCGAGGACCGGGTGGTCCTCTCTGCTGATACGGGGAATAACCGTCCGGCGGGCCTGGAGGGGGTGGAGGGCCCATACGTGGATCCCTCGGCTGTCCCGGGGGGAAACCACGACCATAAGGAGGCGGTCCACGAGGGCTCATCATCGGTGGGGTGCCACGGCCAACAGGGAGGCCGGAATGAGGGCCTGGGCGGAATGAAGGAGAAGGACCACCGCTTGGACCTGATGGATGGCCTACAAGCGGGGAGTTGGACCGTTGTTGGGCGGGCATCATATGCGGCGGAGGAAGGACCGGTGAGTTGAGGGGGGGGAACGTGTTGGTCGGCGGCGTCAGAGCTTCACGAGATCCATTGAAATTAGCATTCATTCCAACGGGGTCGGCGCTGGCTTGTGGCTGTACCGCTGGACCGCGCGGGTCTGATTGCTCTGGTGGTGATGACGCCAGACCTTGACGCGGCGTGTCAGGACTGACGTTCGTTCCTTCGAGGCTGGCGTTCGTTTGCGACTCTGCTGCTGGATTGCGGGGGTCCATTGGACCTGCGCCATCTTCAGGCTCGTCTGAGAACATGTCCGAGGTCAGGCCGCCAGCTTTGGCCAGTTGAGACAATGTTGTGCTCGACAGGCGACTGTTTGCTCTGCGCATCTCAGGAGAGTGGTATGGCTTCTGCTGCGGTTGGGCCCCTGCGCTGTGCGCAAATGCAGGGGGCGGATTGACAGGTTCTGGCGTTTGCATGCGCTGCACCTCAAGGTTATCGACAACTGCCATGCATCGTACCGGCCTCTCATCTTCGGAGCTGACCCGCTCAGGCGTCGATGCCAAGTCGCTGGCAAATGTCTTGGCACGGTCGGAGCCCCGCGGTGCGGACGGCTGGGCTTCTGGAGGGCCTTCCAAGCCGTGGGAGATCAATACTTCGGCAAGCTGGCTGTCAGAGATGTTGCGCGAGTGGCGAGAGTGACCCTCCATTGTAGACAGTTCTCGGCTGGGGTCGGGAGGGGCCGAATCGGTTCGGGGACCTGGCTTGGACAAAGACAAGGACCGGGAGGATCTGACAGAGCCGCCGTCCTCTGCAAAGCCAACACGCGGCTTTCCAACCGCCGAAGCTGGGGTCCCAAAGCTCAGCCGTTTGCTATTGCGGCTTGCGCTCCGGCTCTGACTCCGTGATCCCTCCTCCATCGCTGTCATGCGGCGCCCTGTCAACTCTTTCAGTTTTTTTCTCCACTCTTGCTCTGACCATGATGCGCTCCCCTCGGTCAAAATCAAACCGCTCACGTCCAAAAGCTCAAGATAACCATATCTCTTGTGCTTTGGCATGCCGAACATCAAGGAGCGAGGGTCAAGGACGCTGGCAACTAGACGGCCGGGGCGGCCATACAGACCAAACGTATCCCAGGTAGGGAACATAAACCGAAGGAGCATCTCAAATCCAGACACCATTGGATGAGTCTCCGGCATAATAAACACGAAGCCCTCCGTAGCCGAAGGTGGGTCCGAGTGTATCGTAATGCTGCCTTCGATTTTCAGCAGCGTCGAGCTATCAATGAGGGCCTTCGACTGCGGGTAAATGGCATATGCCGAGTACGAGTCGGTGATGGACGCGATCGGACGCGAGTGCTTCTTCTTCTTTTCGGCATCTTTCCTCGTGTCGTAGAATTTGATTTGGCCCTTTAATATAGGGGCGTGAGAGCGGTCATAAGGTGACCGCTTCTTGAAGTCCTTCTGGGCCTTCTGATACTCTTTCTCGCTTGGGGGCTCGATGACACACCAGCATCTTCTCCAGGGCACACCGGCTCCGAACCTTACGCGGACCCATTCCTGGACCGGGATTCTGGCGCGCTCCATGATGACATTGATGCTATTGAGGGTTTTGCCCTTTCCTGCAATCAGAGCGCCTGTGTATGCTTCCTGAAGTGTCAGGTGCTCGAACATAGCCAGTCGTATTCCCGCTGTCCACTGTATTAACGAGTGGTGCGAGTTAAAATGGAGCAGGTACCGATTACGCCCAGCCGTGCTGATACTGAGGATATGCTGCAGAGGCTGCTCATCGTTTGTCCGCGTCGGAAGCGATTCAATCTGCGGCCAGGTTAGAAGATCACAGGTGCATCGACAAGGGGAGATGCTGATGTTACCATTTTAATCGATGCATCTGTAAGGTTGATAAACTTGGGCAGCACTTCTCCGTCTTCTCCAGCGGCGTCCAGCTCAGCGGCGTCCCAAAGGGAGAGAACGGTGCCGACTAGCTGCGCGAAGCACTCGGTCCATGTTCGATCCGGGTTCGGCTTCCCCTCTACACACAGAACGGTCGCGTTAGCAAGCCAAAGGGTAAGACAAACGGCGCAGAGATAGCGGGGCGGCGTACTGATATCTTGGTCGTCCAACTTCAGGAAATAACCTTCCTGGTACAGCTTGTTGGTATGGCTGTTTAGGAAGGTGAAGATTGGTTGCAGCTCTGGCAGAGTGTCCTCGTTGACGTCCATCATGTGCGGCTGGTACGTTTGCACCATCGACAAGGGGCGCGAATTGCTTCTTTGCCTGCCCGTAGGACTGCTCGACACGGGCGAGTTGCTTATTGAGGGCGGCCTAGCGGCATGCTCGGCTTCTGTGGGCGATGCGGAAGTTGGGGTGGCCGACAATGGCTGGCGCAAGTCGGCGAGTTGAGGCGGCGTGGTAGTTTGCGAGGCGGGCTGGAGATCGGGTTGCGGCGGCTTGGACCGAGAGTTGGTGGAGGGAACAGGTTGGTCGTTCGTGGGCGATGATGTGGGTGTCGGGGACCTCGAGCCTCGCTGGGGTGCCGAGAACTGGGATATAAACGAACGGACTAGTTGTAATGACGCGACACCAATCAGCATAATATTAATTGGAAACACCAGATTGCAGAGCTGGCCAAGAGTTTTGGGTCGTTATTGGCGCGGGGAGGGGCCAACGGGCGAAAATCGGCCAGGGCGGCGTGATCATCCTGGGAGGCAAGCCCGGGCCTGGGCCGGCCTATGGAGGGGAAGAACCCAACATCCATAGGACCTAACATCGATAATAAACTGGAAGGGCTCGCGGGGTGCCCAGGTACGGGGCTGGCTTGCCCGACTTCGAGAACATAACCAACCTAACCTAGGACCCGGAAGGCGCGGGAGGAGGTCGCCTGTGGGATGGACGTAATGCGCTGTTGCGACTGTGCGCTCCGCTGAACAAGACGAAATTTGGGGTGCACACATACCTCGATTCCGAGCCATTTTGCCGCTTGCACTGCTGCTGAGTGCTCCTGAACAACAAAACACAAGGTCCGGTTTCCAAGAAATTACCAAGTGATGAAGGACAAGCGTTCCTACGTCAACACGCAACCTGGAACTGGGGAAGGGGTCTAATAAGGTAAGACACAATGCCCCTGGCAGGTCAGCAGTGGCTGGACGGGAACCTGATTTTGGTACAAATTAATGGTCCACGCTTATTTTTCAAGTCATAACTTCTTGTTTGTCGGTGCAGGCTCCATTGATGAAAAAGGCCGTCTTAGTTAGGCAGTCGGCCAGGTGGAGGCCGCTACGGTTGGACAAAGGAGGTGCTCCCGTCGTCAAGGCGGAATGGAACGTTGGGGTTCTATAAGGTCCAGGTGCAGGGCGGCGGGGTGCCCAGGTTTTGACGAGAGCTGAAATGGTTCCGAAAGTAATCCGAACAGCTGCCTTACAACTCTAACCGAGTTCCTTCGCCTGCATCGATGGCACTGAGGTGATTAAATCGCATGGACGTCCGTTCCGACGGAACTACAATACTGGTGAGATTTCTCAGGTTGGCAATAGTACCTAACAAGGTCAGGTAGGCAGGGTGTTTGACGGGGGAACCTAGAACGAGGTTGAGAATCGCTGCACCGCAGGACCGGCTTGGCCGAGGCTGCAAAACTCGAGTTTCCCTGACGAGCGAGAAAAGATAGCGCCTGCCCACTTGGCGTACTGGCGACCTGGCGATGGATCGATCACGTTGACATTTGCTAGCTCTCGGAGCTTAGGTCGTGACTCGAATTCTTAGCAACTGGTGCAGCGCATGTCCGATTTCCGTCTGGGGGGCTCGTGTGATTCCAGATGGTTCCCGGCAGTGTTGCCCTCCTGGTTTTTGGGATTCCTGTCAGGTTCGACTTTTCTTCCACCTCGGTGATATTTACTAGGAGGCCAGGCCGTCCTGGCTTCCGTTTCTGGTTGCTGGGTCGCCTCAGCGAACGCACCGAAACCACTGTGGGTCTGGAGGGCCTAGAACTAGAGCCTGGGGGTCGGTGTCCAATCGGCTGCTTGGTGGTGTCCGGAGTGGAAGGCTGGCAGCGGGATGAATTGCAAGAACAAGACTAAAGTCTAAATTCAGGTCGAGGTCGGGAGGAGAGGAAGAAGACTCAGACTTCCAATGTACAAAGTGCCCAGAGGAATGAGCAACATAAAACTACGCCGCAGGCAGTCCAAGTGAAAGAGAGGCGTTGACTCGTGTTTAACACTTCTTGAGGTCTCAGGCCGGGATATGATTTGACCCGAGCTCTCCGAGTCGTCAAGAAGCCAAGCTCCGGAGAGATCGGAAGGACAAGCGCTGGCAGGGCAGCCTTCCTTGTTCGGGGAAGGATTACATACAGTACGTGCTGTATTGCATGTATATACAGTACTATGGACGGAAGTTTCGCACATTGATAGGTAAGGTATTTGCATTGTATGTACACCAGTCGAGGTATGAAGGCACCTCATTCTAGGTTCGTTGCGGTTTCTTAGGTAGCGTGGTTTCCGCCTGCGAGCGCCATGCGGCTTTTCTTTGATTTCAAAAGGCGTCGACGTGGCTTTTGATCGTTCGAATAGGAAGTCCTCGTTAAGACAGCATGCAGTACGCGCGTTAGGTTAGTACTGTGATAGGTTGGTAAAAGGGTCTGCTATGTAACGAGCAGGCATCTATGTCTCTACGATCCTGTCCCTGGATGTTTGCTAGCGGGGGACTTTCTCAGGTCTGAATACTTTACACCTAAACCTCAATTGTTCTTCGCCGAGGGAGGTAATAGGTATAAGAATCCCCATTTTAGAACCTAGAGGCATATCTATTCTCTAAAAAAAATACCTATGAAAGGTCTTTTGTAGCCGGGTTATTTGCGATAATCTTTTCCTTCTTGCCAAGTACTACGCAAGCAAACATTTAGGGATTGGAGAGTATGGACGAGATCAGCAAGATCATCAAGCAGCTTACCATCCGCCCCCCTGGCCAGAGATGCAGCCGTGGCGGCTTGACACCCACAAGACATCATCGTTGTTTGCATGCCACCCATGGATGGATTCAATTCCGTCCTATCAGCAGTGCACGCAGTCAAGCGCTTTCAGTAGCAGGCGCAGTCGGTTTCGGAGGCCGCAAGTGGAGGGCCGCAACAAAGCAAGGAGAACCTACCTGAAAGAGGAGGCCATCAACGAAGAACTGGGGAGGGCGGGAGGCTAGCCCTGCCACACAGCTTCGTCATTGCGCTGAACTAGTGATTGGCCAGGAAGGATTACAGCTCCCTGTACTCGGATGGCGGAACACGGAATCTGCACCTGGAGTTCGCCAATCGCCCAAAAAGCCGCCGCCGCCAACCAACAGGAATTTCAACACCCGCCTTAAATCGGGGCTGGAATGCTGGAAACCGTGCTTTATCCAGCACCACAGACACGGCAGCACTTGCCAGAACATGAAACCTCGAGAAAACAGGGCTTGCTTACGGGTGCTAGACACCGAAATCATGAGCAGGCCGCTAAGCACCAAAGTGTCTACGCAGTACGTGGTCAAGAGGCGATACGAGCTCTGGTCCGTCTCAAGAGACCATGAGACAAGGGCTTTCTTTGCGGCGGCTGGGACTTCCACAAATTTACTGTCTTCGAGGCGGTTACAGTATAACGTGATACGGATACTCCATAGGTACCCGTTCGTATCCGGGTGAACAGCTCCAAAATTAAGTTACCTTACGCGTCCTCTCTTGGCCTTATTGCTGCGCCCATCTTGGATGATACTCAGATATGTAAGCACCCAGTTGCCAAAGCCGAAAAATTATAAGACAGCTCGCTACAGAGCCCAAGGTACATGGTAGCATCCACCCGGCTGGGGAGGCCAAGCTAGGAATACTTGTTTCTCTTGTGCTCGTACGATTAAGGGCATGCCGGATCAGGGCAGGGGTGGAATGCAGAAGTTCATTGACTTCGGGAGAGTTGATAAGTACCTACCTATGAACGGGAATGCGGCGTGCAACTTCACATTGGGTCAAGCAAGAAAAGTCTTGGCGATCTCTGCTAGTTTTAGTTCTGGAGTCAAGTCGGAGCTTGGCTTCCATTGCGTTACGTCATCGCCTGTCAAGCAAGCAGCGCCAGTGATGGAAATCCTGTCTGCAGCAGAGAACCACAGCGCACCGCACCGGCGCAAGACAGGTACATATATGACACTAGTGGCTACGGGAACTCCGTTTTGGAATACCGCTTGTGGAGATGCACTTCTTTTCTTCCTTATTCAAGCGTGACTAGCATTCTGGCTCACATGGCTCGCCGGCGAGACAGCTAGACGGCGTTTCTACTTGTGGGCGGTCGGGCAATGACTTTGTTTTGTCCCATGACACACATTTGACTAGGTCCATACTCGGTCGGTCTACACGTGTGGACGTAAATTACCTTCCCGTACCCACGTTTCCCAAGGTAAGTATAAAAATGTGATAGAAACACATTTTCCTTTCTAGAAAGAGCATGTCCCTAGTCCTTGATGTACGGCCGTACCAAGGCATTCCCCAGCAGCCCTATACCGACCCACAAACACTTGTGGCCACACATTCAGCTCTGATGTGCAGGAGTGCCTGTTGAACCCGCCTAGCAGGCGCAGCGACGGACGTCATCCCTGGGCTGAGGACGACAGAGTGAGAGACGGGAAAGAGACAGTTCTTTTCCTTGGAGATGGTTAGACTCAAGAGCTCGGCTTTCCTCGTTCGGAACAACATCAACATTTGCTGCAGATGATGTTTGCCTGTGATTGGGGTACGAAATTCTCAGTGTATTTTCCCACTAGGCAGGTTCATCTATCTACTTGGGCACTAAACTGTACGTACGACCAGACCTGCCTCCGAGGGCCTACCAGGTTCAATACTGCTAAGGCATCCATGGATCGATCATTCGTCAATCCACATCCGAGAATGTATTGTGTATTTCTTCAGTGGGCAAATACCTATGAAATAGAGAATCTGATGTAACGGGGCGTGAGAGCCTACCAATGCAAAGTACCTTTGCACATGCCTCCAAAAGGACTATCACCAATAAATCCCGAACCAGTACTGAATAGGGAGTACGGAACACACGTGTTAGTAGGTGTGAGGGCTGAGGAAAGTAACGTAACTGAATAATCCGTCAGATGAAAAGAGCCCACGCCAGCAGCAAGAGTTCCTGAATCCCGGCGCGAGTTTGTTGTCTTCGGTTTCTTGAGTCGCCTTAAGCCTATCTGCATTTTCGGAATTCTCAGCTAGCATCTCCCACTGCCACGCCTATCCGCGCAGACAGAAAAAAGACACTATCAAGCGGGCTCGCTCAATACCGGCCAGAATAACCACCCTCATCACCAATCCTCCCCCCACTATTTTTTTCTTTTTCCTCTCAAACTCCTGGTTTTGGGGGAAGCCCATGTTTGAAGTAACCAACGACGTGTCTTGTCACAGCAATCGTTCCGTCATCACTCGCCGAAGCCTGTCCCAAAATGGAAAAGCTCTTCTTCGTCTCGGGTCTCCCTACACACAGCTTGAAGAAGGAGAAGCAGGTCGCGCGAATACAGCCTGGGGCTTGCAGCGAGTCTTCAACGTCGCGGATACCCATACATACCTTCCTCGGATATGGAAACCATGAAACAGAGCTGGTCGAACCGGGATTGAGCAAGTGTGGGAAGGCTGGGGGTGGGGAGCGCGGCGTCAGGTGCAACCATCCAAGTCCCCAGCCCCTAGGCAGGTAGACCCGTCAGCCTGGGACTCACGACCCTGAGGAATGATTAGCGCCAGTGGGAATAACAGCCGAACCGAGGGAAGAGCAGCCACTCAAGCCTGCCAGTATCCATTTGTCAGGGCTCCAGAACAACGGCACTCCTCGTGGCGCGTCCCTGCGGCCCCAGCGCGTGCTTAGTACCTGCCGGCCTCGCAATTTTGGGCGACTCGGTCGAGTCTCTATGTGATGCCCCTCTACAGCATCAAAGTCTCAAGTGCACTCCTCGCACTTGCGCTTTGCACCTACCGCTCCTGAACGCTGCCTACGGGTATGAGTATTTCGCACGCGACGAAAGGGGCTGCGGGACTGAAATTCTTTCATCTGAAAGTTGGGCGTGCATTGGATTTTTCGCCTTCGCCTTGCATGGGTCAACGCGCTTGAGACGGTCGTCGACCGTTGCCGGGAAGGCTTCCGTTTCGCTGTTCGCGGACCACTATAGCAGCCGCCCCCTCCACCTCACTCAACAGGGCAGCACTTTCCGATCGACTCCGCCTCGCTTCACCTCCTGTTGTTTCTCTACAACGACGAAAAAGGAGACAACTGCATCGCTGGCAATCCGCTCCATTTTGCCCCCGCTCTCATGAAAATCGGCCACCGCCGCCGCTTTGCCCACGCTTGTTCCCCACCACGCCACGCCGCCGCCATTCACGGTGGCCGAGCTTGAACAATTGACTACATTCGTCGCTTTGGAGGTCCACTTCCGGGGCCTAGAGGCGCAAGCCCACCCCTTCAATCCTCCCAATGGATTCATACGACGATTCCCAGCCTACACAGGGTATGCCCGTTTCTTTGCTTCAGGTCTGGCCGAATTTCTAGCGGAGCCTCAAATCGCTGACCTTGTTGTGCTGCAGCGACGCAGAACGTGCTAGACCCCCGACGATTAGGCGAGCAAAATTCCGGATTCTCGGACGAGGAAATATCCGATATAATCTGCCTTCTCGTGCCTTACTCGACGGCTGCAAGGCGCGAAGTGAAAAAGAACGCTGTCGGGAACTCGCCTCATATAATAGGACGGAACGACGCTGCTCAGATCGACGTGAATTACGAGCTCGAAGACGACGCCAGCAACTTCAGCCTCGCGCCCCAGGATGTTGGGGAGTACCATATTGCGCTGAGGTTTTCGTCCCAAGTCAAGAGCCCCTTGCAGGGCTTCACATTCGGACGAAATCCGGGTCGTTGCGATATCTGCTTGACAGATGACCCCTTACGTCGACTAAGCAACATCCACTTCCGGATATACTTTAATGAATTTTCCGTCTTGATGTTGGAGGACCAGTCTACGAATGGAACCATAGTCGACGATAATCTCCTCAAGGCGAAGACGGCCATTTCCCACGAAGCGAAGCGTACACTTGTCAGCGGCTCCAAGATCAAAGTCCTCATGCACGACAGCAGCAACGACCTCGTGTTCCTTGTACGAGTCCCACTCCTCGAGGGCAAGGTCCGCGAGGACTACAAGCGAAATCTTCAAAACTATATGAACCGACGAGCGTCCCTGGTGCGTGATGTGAACGCTACTATCGTTCCAGGCCCCGGGGGACACGTAAGTTCCCAAACCGCAGGACAAGCCAAGGCGCGGATTTTTGCTGACGGATTGAGCAGGTCGACATCTTCAGGCCTCTTCCGCAGAGGGGCGCGGCAACGCCGTGGGCCGAAGGTGTCAACCACCAAGTTAACATTAAAGCGACGCCAGGCCCCAGCCACTTGGATGGGCTCCAAAAAGCGTGGGCTGGGTCTGACAAGTACAATCGTGTAGGTGAGATCGGCAAGGGCGCTTTTGCTACCGTATACAAGGTCACATCAAAGTTCAATGGGAACCCGTACGCAGCCAAGGAGCTCGACAAGCGCAATTTCATGAAAAACGGCGTCCTTGACCAGAAGGTTGAAAACGAGATGAAAATCATGCAGAAAGTTGAGCATGTAAGCCACCATACCCTTCTTAACGTCGGTCTTTTTAGTCATCTTACTCACATACTCCGTAGCCACACATTGTGAAATACGTTGAGCACCTCGACTGGGACGATAGGCTCTTCATCATAATTATGGAGTTCATCGCAGGAGGAGATCTGGGAAAGCTGATATCCGATAACGGGCCGCTATCCGAGATCGAAACCCAGTCCATGGCTAAGCAGCTGCTCGATTCTCTCGACTACCTGCATAAAATGAATATTACTCATCGTGATGTAAAGCCAGACAATATTCTTGTCAGCTCTCGATACCCCTTGGTCGTCAAGCTCACCGATTTCGGGCTATCAAAAATGATTGATAACGAGGAGACGTTCCTGAGGACGTTTTGCGGTACCCTGCTCTATTGCGCTCCCGAGGTGTACTCCGAGTTTGCCGATTACGATGAATATGGCCATCGGCAACCCCGGAACCGACATCATCGCCCGCCTGTGCGTCAAAGGTATGACCAGGCTGTTGACATCTGGTCTTTGGGCGGCGTCCTCTTTTATGTTCTGACCAAGAAGCCGCCTTTTCCGGCTAAAAATGGCGCCGGCCACTCGGAGCTCCTTCACCAAATCATGACCAAGCCTCTGGATGTGTCGCCTCTCATCCAGGCCAATGTCTCTGCTGATGGCATCGACTTTTTGTCTCGGATGCTTGACCGGAGACCGGAGACGCGAGCTACAGTAGAGTCTCTCCAAGCCCATCGCTGGGTTGGCGGTTCTGGCGCTGGTCCTCAGCTCAATGCCTCGCAGTCATACGATGAGATTTCTGACGAGGAACTACATATTGAGGCCTCCCAGTTGAGCTTAGCGGAAAGGCAAGACGATGGCCACGGTGTCGGGCTTGCTCCGGGCAGCGACGACGAAATTGTTGACGACGATGAAACTGTCAATGACGAGAACCAATTCAGCGGCTACGAGTCTGAAAAGGAAAACTATACCTTTGGGCCCGGGAACCAGCCGCAGCGGCTTTTTGGCGAAGTCAATGTCTCAGCCCTTGGAAGCTCGGGTGTGATTCCCGTCGATCGATTAAACCTCCCGCTCCCGATGACGAGTTTTGCCTCGACTGAGATACTGGGTAGCCAGCTTGAGATACGTGACAGCTTTGAGTCGGAGGACAGCTCGACGCCTCGGCAGAAATCTCAGACCTCACAGCCGCACCCAGGAAATCCACGAGCATCGATATCTTTAGGCGAAAGCAGGTCGGTTAACGCACTGAACAACATGACGTTTGATGTGGCGTCGCAGAGCTTGGGCGGGACCGAGTCGATTCTCGAGCATCTCAATATGAAATCTCGTGGAGGCTCACTTCTCCGCTCCCATACTAGTGATATGAATACGAGCAAGCGGAAGCCGTCCTTCGACGCTACGGACGAGGCTGAAGCGCTTACGTTGCGAGACCGGCGTGTTCTCAAGAGGCTTCGGTCTGAGGGCTCAGTCGATGTTGTTTCTAGCAACACCGCCGACGAGAGTGACTATGAGCTGCTTGCCTTGGTCCCTCCGGTTGCTCGGGCTCTGTCTGGCCGCCAGATCGACAGCCCTGTTCACAAATCCACGTACTGGTTAGCAGCAGACAAGAGTACATGGCATCTGATGTACCCAGAAATGACGCAGCTCCAGCTCGACGCGTTCAAAGCAGCGGCGGTAAGCCGGGGTGAAGAGTTTGGACCTGGAAAGAGTCCCTTCTGGGACTTGGCAGTGAAGTACTTCCCAGCGACCCACTGTGAGGGTGTCACGAGCGGAGGCCGAGCGTCAGGTGATGGTGGCACGGTACCGTCCACCGCCAGTGGCGAATTGGCGTCGCAAGACATTCCCGACACACAAGACCAAGGAGCATGTTTTGCGATGCCGTTACAGCCAGATACTCGGGGGAAGCCTGCCGTCGCCTGTCTGCAATCTTCTTCAGCATCGGCTGTTGCCGACATATCTATCTTGATCACCGAGTCAATGGTTTCGTGGGGCAGGGCATCCGACAATGTTCAACCATACCCACTCAAGAACGAGGCCAAAGTACCCAAGTATGCTTTCAAGATTTTGCTTTGGAGGCCGGACTACGAACCATCAAAGAATATCCGCCCCTGGAATCACAACCGCGACACAAGTGAGGAGCCGTTTCACTTCTACATATCAACAAAGGCAACCAAGGGCATCTACGTCAATGGGGTGCATTTGCCCTCGGATAACTGCAAATACGCGGCTGGGCCTTGTACCTACTGGTTCCGGCTTCACGACCAAGACCGGGTAGTTGTTTGGCAAACCATCGACGCATCGTATAGGACAGAGCTCACTTTCCGGTGTGATTGGGGAGCGAGTGCGGATAGGCGGCCCTCGCAAGGCGATTCATCCAGACCGATCCTGGTCCCACAAGCCATTGCCAAGAAGCTCGACGAAATGTGCATAAGGGCGGAGAAGAAGATACGTAACCGGACCGAGCACGATCTCAAGTTAGACGAAGCCAACCATGATGTTGATGAGCGGGAGCTCAATATCGAGCGCGAGAGGGAGCGTTCGAGCATTTTTGAACGGATGAGGCAGGAGGCGTGCCGAGCTCTGGTCTCGAAGACTCGAAGAAATAGTCCAGCCGGCGGTCCAAGCGACCAGTCAACTACCCATGACGCCTGGACGTCATATTTGACTGGTGGTCGCACTGTGGCAACCTTCCGACACGCCTCTCCGAGCACCATCGATTTGTTGAGGGGCGCCAGACGAGGCTGACCCAGTATCTTATTGATCATCTATCGTACCTGGATCTATAGTCCCAGCCCCTTTTCTTTTCGATTTTCGTCGTATTGTGTCTCCTGAGAAGTTTCAATCTGGTATCCTTTTTGTTTCTTGATGTGTTCTGTCTCTACCGGTGAGGTTGCGTCTAATACAACACACCCTAGCGACGAATAAGAGCCTCTGGTTGGCTGTCCTTTGATGTTTCACGGATTTATCTTTTGATGTTTGGCTTTGGTCTCTCCTCGTCCCTTTTTAATTTTCCTACCTCGGGTGTAATGGCGTGGTTTAATGCGCAACGGAGGAAGTGAAACAATATATCCCTATTCATTGGCTTGGGGTTTATGGCGTTTGCGGTACAGCTCTGGGGTTGGTTTTGGCCTTGAATATCTGAACAATATAAAGCAGAAGTCAAAAGAGAAACGGGGTTCTGGTGATTTCCCTTGGACGGGACGAATCATCCACGGGGAGGGGAAGAAAGATCACAAACCACCCCCTTTACGATTCTCTGCTAGGAGGTTGATCGGGCTGCCTGCCGGATAGGCGACATATATAACATGGGAGCTCGGCTGGGTCGTAAATAATCAAGTGTCAGACTCTACTAGACAAACAATATTAAAAACCTATATATCGTATACCGTTTGAAGATTGGTGGTCGCCTACCTAGGTATAATATTCATTTAGACGAATAGGAGGTTGCTCTCTGTCATAATGTACTACCGCGAATGGAGAGTCCAACACAATATTTCATTGGCAAAGAATAATTTATACCAGACAGCCAAGATATTAGTTTTCTTGTTTCCGACTGAAAAGGACCTAAAAACTCAGAAGTGGTAATTCCATGCTCTCGTATTTTCACAACTATTAATCCTGCCTCAAAGTCTCAGCGTCTGTTGTTCCAATACCTTGACTCCAAATATATTATTTATTTTTCTACATGACTCGTATACCTCACCGTGCGACACTTTACATCTCGTCCCTCGCCTTGATACCCACCTACCTGGCCCACTGAGTCATTTCTCCCGTCACCTTACCTCACCGTACCCTACCTTCTATGGTTCTATGACTCACTGACTCTCAACGTCGTCGAGACAAACGCCACAATCAAAGAAGGTAGAACCTAGAAGTTCCACAAAAGAAATTCCCTTATTGTATCCTTTGGCTTTATCTACCCGCTTTCGTCTTCTCCAGGCAAGCAACCTTGTTTGTGAGAACAGCACAATCACAGCTGCGTGGCGCAGCGGAAGCGCGCCGGGCTCATAACCCGGAGGTCACTCGATCGAAACGAGTCGCTGCTAATTATTAATTTCTTTTTTTAATCATCTACCATTCCTTTTTATTTCTTCGTGTTATTCCAACTATAACTGTCCTCTGGTTTCATTTCCTTCAAGCATCCCTCCCCTTCTGTACTTCAACTTCTCGAGGCTTGTAAATATCTGGCTCTGCTGTGCCTTTATCCGTATAGGGAAAAACATTTACAGTCTAACTGGTTTCTTCAAAAAAGGCCCAGATGTGAAGTTTCCTTGTTGCTTCCCAATAACCGAAAAACAACAAATCGAGGACAGTGCCACTTCAGAGCCAATAAATTAGAACCCACGCTATTTTTTGTATACAGACCCAACCCAGCATAGATTTCCCATCAACTCACTGTACGAAGAAATAACAGGCAAAGCTCTCTAACTCTTTTTACAGAATCCCTCTTCCCTCTAATCCACCCGGAGGACTCTAGGACCTCGCTTCTTGGTGGCCTTCTTCTTCTTGATGCCCCGATCAAATGCCGATGCTGAAGCGTGGTCACGGCCAACATTGTCAAGGTCCTTGACCTTGTAGATTCTAATAATCCAGTTCTCGCTTGTAAAGGCCTCGTCCAGTACATCAAGGGTCGGGCCAACCTCGGGTAAACGAGCTCCACGGACGCGGTCCTGAGCCTGTCCAGGAGGGAAGAGGGTGTTGTAGTTGTAGTACGACATCTTGTACCTGGGAAAGGGTCAGCATACCAAATAGCTGGATAGCTGCAGACAAATAGCACTGGCACTTACATCAAGCTGTTCTTCATGGTATCTGAGGCCTCGTCGTCGACGCGGTACTCGCCACGAGGGGTGAAGAAAGCGCGCTCGCTGACCTCTTCGGGCCAAATGCCCTCGGCAATACGGACCATCCAGAGGAACTTGTTGATGTCGTCACCAGAGTAACCGAGCAGGCCTCCGAATACGACGAGCACATAATCAACCTCGTGCTGGCGCATGATTGGGTAGCTGACCTCTTCCCTCGAGCTCATGGCCTTGCCAACAGTGGCGATGTGCGTGTTATTCCATGTGTTGTTGTCAACCAGCGTCGGGCGATCAGCCATGCCACCGATCTGGTATCCGTAATCCCACCAGGACATGATCTTGGCATCATCGCGCGTGTTCTGGCGCAGCCACTGGTACGCTTCACGGTAATCATCAATGATGTGCTGGCTGCCGTCGGCCAATCTGCTCGCCAAAACGACCGATGGCGACGAATATGCGTTGGAGGTCACCCATGTGCAGTGCAAGACGAACAGCAACAGATAGATAGTCATGGCGCCGACGACGGCACCCTTGGAGAAAATCGAGTAGACACCAACGAAAGGCTTGCTCGTCGACTTGAGACCGCCCTTAGGTGCCTTCTTCACCGCCGCATCAGTAGCCTCGTCAGACAGACGGTCCTCAGGCTTTGGCGACTTGGCACTGAGGTAAGTATCGAGGACGTTGGAGACGGCGATGGCAGCCGCGACACAAACAACCGGGGTGAGCGTCAGCATCAAACGGACCATGACACCAGCAAAGTAGCTGCCGAAAAGGGCGTATACGACAATGAAGACATGCTCATCGGCAAGCTGCTGGAAGCAGAGGTAGACGCCCGCAGGAAGAAGCCAAATGAGCATGTTGAGGTCAAAGAAGAAGGCCGGCCACGCTGTCGGCTGATGTTCTGACACCGAAGCAATGATGGGGATGTGAATCTTGGCATAGCTGGTATCCCAGAGCGAGTAAAAGCGACCGCCCCAGGGAGCAATGATACCAGCGCTGGTAGCAACAACTAGAGCGGCGAGACCTATGCCAAAAGTTCCTCCGGCAAACAGCCATAAGAAGGTCTGATACTGACCCTTGGGGATGGCCGACCGGACGTAGTTAAGGAATGCAAGCAGCTGCAAGAAGCCAAAAATGCCTGCGCAGAGTTAGCAGACCGTTACTCTAGGTACAGCATCAAAGGTGGTCAGGACGCACCCAGTGCAGGCATATGCTCGCTAGTCTTGACGGGCAGGAAACCAACGAAGGGAATCTGCATGCTGGCCAATGTCCCGAGAGCGTACCAGGTGGTGTATGCGACGTAGAGCCTGGTGCTGTAGCGGCCCATGCATATGAGAACGAAGGCGTGGAGCGGGAGGAGGCAGGTGATGAAAGCATAGCCACCCCAAGAGGCGACCATGTAGCCATAGAACAGGGCACAGAGAGCGCCCCACAGCATGGAGCCCTGCTTCAGCGCCTTGATCCAGAGATAGAAGGTAAATACAAGCAAGAAAATGGCGATGGCTTCGTTGTCGTAGCTGCCAGCAACTGAACGAGAAATGTAGCCAGGCGCGATGCCCATGAAGACGGCGGCAAGGAGGCCGGCCGACGACGACGGGGTCATTTCATTGGTAAGGAGATAGGCGGCGAAGGCGGTAAGGCCCGAGAAGGCCGGCGCGAGAAGGACACAGATATTTCGGATGTCGACGGGGATAGTCAGGGTGCGTAGGGCGTGGTAGATGATACCACTTGTCACCATGAGGCCGGGGTAGAGTGTTCCTCCCGTAACTCGGCCGAGGGGATGCCATGTTCGGTCGTCAAACCAGTCCCAGAAATTGTAGAAGCCATTCGCCACGAGGTACTTGGTCGCTCGGAAGTTGAACCACGGATCGACTGCTTGGGGTCAGCATGTGTCCTCTTTATGGAAGGCGCCGAACAATGGGGATAGTTAACGGGAACTGCTGACATTCATGGATAATACTCTCGAAACCTGACAAAACAACGCGTTAGCAAGTTATACTCCATATAATGGCAGGCGCAAACATATCAAATTGCCTGCAGAGGCACGGCGCCGCGATAAGTTCCAAGGCGCGAAAGCCGTTGCGAGCGAGTGAAGGGACAGCGAGTTGACTTACGAATCACAGAAAACAGCCGGCTCGCAATTGCGGCGCCAGCGATGAGAAAGAGAATGACAACTCGCAGCGTAGTGCGAGTGCTCTCCCCCTTGCCTACGTTGGCAAGAGTTTGAAGCGAATCGACCGACATTGTGGCCGTTATTGTGTATCGTGTTGCCTCTGGCCTGTCGAAGATGGAGGCGACGACAAGTTCGTCGCTGGCGCTTTTGGAGAGGACAGCTTGGAGCTTCCGCATCGCAGTCTAGCCCTGTCTTGGCGTCCGTTGATTGGGGGACGGCAGGTGTGTTCCTAGCGCAGCCTGAAATCCCTGCTGAGCCTGAACCATCGCCCCACTCAACGTGAAAGTGTTATCCTGTGAGTGAACCTAAAGTTGGGTGCTGTAGACGAAGATCATCACTCAAACGATACAAGCCTAACGAGGAAGCGACATGTCAGTGAACAGGTGTACGGTTGCTTATCGCGAGCTAACTAGCTCTATTACTTACTATATGGCCGTTGGACGTCAATCTGAGAAGATATACACAGCATCTATTCGGAACTCTGAGTAGGAATGAGATTGGGGGTTGGCCCCGTCTGTACTTTGGAGACATTAAGTAACATGTGCTTTATTTCTCGCAGTCTTGATGCGTAGAAAAACCTGACCATGGTAAAGATTTGGCTATGATAACTGAGACGAACTACCGCGTTGGTACCTCTTCAATGCACCTGTTGGTGCCAGTCAGATCTGCTTGAAACAAAGACAACATAGTAGACAACGGTTCTCATCAGCGGTCACGTAGGTAACTCTGTATTGGATAACTGCCCAAACGAGTTGGCCTCGTGTAGAAAGGAAATCCCAAACCTAACAAGTTTGATGTCAGTCAGAACCGCGGTTCTGTGAACTTTCCCGATCCAAATATTATCAAGGGGACTCCGTTTTGTTGTTCAGTTCGCACATCTCATTCGGCAGCGATATAGCTACCTAACCAGACTGAGATTTCATTTGGCCTCGTGGATAACACCCCAAACCCGAAAGCAAGATTCCCTGGGATGATGCAATGTATTGAGAGTGCGAAATCTTTTAATAACCGCGCCGCCGGTCCCCGAGATAACATTCATTCCTTAACTTCACCACCCATTACGCCTTTATGCAGCCTGCGCAGTCCGTTAGCGCTGCTTGGGTCTCAAGTCGCCAGAGCGAACGGTGTAGACCGGCCCATTTCCAATGGATCCGAGTGTCCCTCATACCTTGACGGCGAATTTGCGCTGAGGGAAGTGGGTTTCGCGCTTCTTGGTCTTGAGTAACTGCCTCGAGGCATCCTCCTTCGACAGGCGGCGACGGATGGCGCGGGTCTGCTTGGATCTGAGGTCGAGAGGAAGGTACTTCTTGTTCTTGTAGAACAGGCGGAGCTGCGCCCGTTGCTTCGCGTTGATGACAGTGAGGACGCGGGCAATCGACTTCCGGAGATCGTGGCTGTAAAGATGTGTGTCAATTACTATGTCCCTTCCCAAACCAGCCTGTCTCCAAGTTTATCGTGGCTCGGCCGGGAACGATTCGACGTACATCTTGGTGAGCTTGGTGCCCGAGGACACGATCTTCTGGATGCGGAGCTGGCCCAGCTCAGTCTTCAGCACACCGAGCTGCTTGACGAGATCCTCCTTGTTCTTGGTCCATAATTGGGCCGCCTTAACCTTGCTGGAAGACTGTGACATGATGGTAAGCAGTGCATCATTAAATTTTGGAGTGCAGTTGTGATCGGATTGGCGTTGGCGGGGGGCCAGGAAAACATGACCAAATAAAACCGGCATGACTGGAAGAGTAAAAAGGGCGGCATTTCACTTACCATCGTGAAGTATGTGTCGTTGAGTCGAGTGGCGATGGGAAACGACTACTGACTGCGACGAGTGTTACTATCGAGAAAGTAACGACGTGCTTGCTGTACTGCCAGCACAGTCCAGCAAATTTCTGAGAGGTGTGGATGCTCAAAATCGCCGAGCAGGGCGGAAAACCCTACCAGTCCAACTGGGCCTGTGCGCCACTTTCTGCCTGAGGCCCCAACACCCCCAAAATCCAAAAGCGGCTAGCTTGGGGTTTGGTTCTTTTGCACTTGCGCACAACTGGGGCTGCCCACCACATTTCAAAATCTGAGCAGCAGCAGTCAGGAAGTTGACGACCGACCACGATTTTGCACTAACCTCACCACACAGCCAACGATCTCAAGATGTCGTCCACGGCTCCCACGACAAAGACCTTTGGCAAGTCGAGCCGGACGGTTCCTCACCACTCCGAGAAGGCCCAGAAGTGGTACCCTGCCGAGGATGAGTCCAAGCCGCGCCAGGTATGTGGATGCAACTCTCCTCTGAAGCTGCCATTCGCGTCTCTGCGAGTCTTGCACAATTGGGGGGCGGAATTGGTGGAAGCTGAGGATGATCGATCGCCGTCGGCGGGGCGGTCGATGCGAGTTGCTCCGGAGTGCAAGGCAAAGCGAGGCCCAAGCATTGACGCGAGAGCATCATTTTGGGCGGGACTCGACGAGACTGCAAGCGGCAATTTGCAGAAGACGGCGGACACTCCATGTGGCTATTCCCAGTGCTAACAGTCGTCTCCAGATCCGCAAGGCTATCCGCTCGTGGTCTCCTCGTGGCTCGCTCCAGCCCGGCACTGTCCTGATCCTGCTCGCCGGTCGCTTCCGCGGCAAGCGCGTCGTTCTCCTCAAGAGCCTGGACCAGGGCGTTCTCCTCGTCACTGGCCCCTTCAAGATCAACGGCGTACCCCTTCGTCGCGTCAACTCGAGATACGTCATCGCCACATCACTCAAGATCGACCTGTCGGGCCTTGACTCGGAGACGATCACCAAGGTTTCGCAGCCGAAGTACTTCACCGCCGAGAAGGCCAAGGACAAGGCCGGCGAGGAGGCTTTCTTCAAGCAGGGAGAGAAGCCCCAGGTACGAGCGCCTGAGCTGGGTGAAATGCAAGACCAAGGGACTGACAATGATGTACAGAAGAAGCAGATCGCTAGCAGCCGGGTCGCGGACCAGAAGGCCATTGACAAGGCTCTGTTGGCCAACATCAAGAAGGTCGAGCTGCTCCCAAGCTACCTCGCCTCTACTTTCAGCCTCCGCAAGGGCGACAAGCCCCATGAGATGGTGTGGTAAATTTGGCTGTCGAGGTTGGGGGTGTGTGACGGGGGGTTTCGGTTTTACGGTATGGCTTGGCCAATTGCATTTGGACGTTTGACGGTTTCTCGGTCCATTACGGCGTCTGTAATCAGGGTTTACAGTCAACAAGATTATAAAATCGGGCTTTAGGCTTTGCAAAGGACGAGAGAGAGACCTGAACGACAACCGGAATAGACCAAACGGGATGCCCCGAGAGTGGACGTGGAGCGTGTGAAAGGCACTGGGCTCGTGGGAATGCAGCTAGACGCGGTTTCCCGATCGCAGTAGCTAGGCAAGCCCACGTCGGAGTGTGACATGAACAAAAAGTCCAATGACATGCTCAGTCGATACCCAATAGCCGGCTACATTGCTGAGAACTCTGCAAAACTTGTGTAAAATTGCAAAGCCTCTATCTAAGTTAGCTTCAAGGACAGTGAAATTGTGCACCCTGATGTCCCTTGCAGCCGAACCCGTCTACTGGGAGCCGACCAGCTGGCAGCCGGCTCCACATTTTAGAAGGGTTGGACAAGGATCTAAGTCCCGTCGCCTTTGTCCCGTGTCTGCACTGGGCTGGACCTAGACTGGACTATTGCCGCAACGTCAAAGAAACGCATCCTATTGACGAACTCGGTCTTCTTCGAGAACGGGAAAAAGAGTCTAACAAATGACTAAAACGTATCTACTGCGAATATAATTCGATCGTTCTATTTCCTTTTTGAATGCGGGTTGGCTAGAGCTACGACTGTTGCGGGTCAACGTAGCAGAATACCCAACCAGCTACCTGACTGACTGGTGGTGGGTTGAAGACGAGCGGGCCAGCTATCGCTGTTAGCCTTACCGGCCTGGACTGCTGGCTGTGGCGCTTCTTACGACGACGAAGCCACAACCTCAACCCAACTAAGTTCACAACCCAAACCATTCCCGACCCATTGCACCAAGGGTATTCGAATGCTGCCCGCTGGCCGGCTATCCGCCTTGATTTCCTCACTTCCACACGACCGGACATGGCGACAACGACGGCCCAGGGCTGGGCTCAGCTGCGCCAGCAAGCCCGGTCCCTCGAGACACAGGTACATTGACCGCCCCGAGATGCCGCAAGGGAAAGACACACCCGGCACGGAGATGGAAAGCGATGGCATGCGCAAGCGCAGAAGCCGTCTGCCCAGGACTGGCGTGCTAACACCGGCTGCTACAGACAGAGACACTCTTCCACACATACTCGCAGTTCTCGACGCAACCCAACATCCCACCCAAGCCGACAGAAGAGGAGCGGGCAACAGAAGCCAAGTTACAAGAGCTTCTAGAAAAGGTAAACCGCACACGAGCTAGAATCCTGTACTGGAAAGCTATTTGAGACCACTCAGCTAACCCGTGCCCCCGACGCACCCGGAACGTAGCGCGAGAGCGTCATCGCACAGCTGGGGCGGCTGCTAGACTCGGAGGCTGCGCTGACGTCGTCGGCGCTGAAGCAGAGCAACCTGTCGCTGCTGCGCGACAAGCTGGCGGACCACCGGCGGGACCTGGGGCGGCTGCGGAGCGGGCTGGGCGAGGCGCGCAACCGGGCGAACCTGCTGGGCAGCGTGCGGGACGACATCTCGGCGTACCGGGCGGCGAACCCCGAGGCGGCCGAGGCCGACTACATGCTGGAGGAGCGGGGGCGGCTGGACCGCAGCCACGACATGGCCGACAGCGTGCTGAGCCAGGCGTACGCGGTGCACGACAACTTTGCGCTGCAGCGCGAGAGCCTCGCCAGCATCAACCGCCGCATCACGCTGGCCGCTAGCCACGTGCCCGGCATCAACACCCTCATCGGCCGCATCTCGGCTAAGAAGCGCCGAGACGGTATCATCATGGGCTCCTTTATCGCCTTTTGCTTCCTCATGTTCTGGTACTTTCTCTGATTTGATCTGCCGTCCACGTCACCTACCCCCCCAAGAAAATATTTCGTAATAATGCACGCACAAAAAACAACTCTGAAAGGAGGGAGAGGATAATAAAACCAGCCGAGTAGACAAGGCTACCTGACCATAATAGAAGCCAGGAGGAGCCTCACAAGCGGAAAAAAGGGAGTGCGAGGAAAGAACGACAAAGGACAAGAGAACTGCCGGGGAGGAGAGAGAAGAGAGGAGAGAGGGCCCTGTAAAAGAAAACCGTTGTATATTTTGTCTTTCTCTTTTCTTCACGCTTTGCCGGGATAATAGCAGCATCGAATAGCGGAAACGGCGTTCATCAGTGTCTCGCGGGATTCTGCCTGTTTTTTCTTGGATTCATGTGGAGAAGGGGATACACATTGATGTCTTTATCGAAACCTCATCACATCACGAAAGTACCCTAGAGGCGCAAGGCGTGTTTGATGTTCCCATCTGGGGTTCATTTGCCTAGGTAGTTAACTACTTTGGGCACTTTGGATATTGACGAGATGTTATGTACTTGTACTTAAATACATTGCAAGAACGAGATTATTATTCTAGTGTACCTTTCTCTAATACTCATGATTCAACGACCAAGATACTCGCGTGGTAAAGCCAACGCCATGATGATAATCGGAGTGGATGATAGATATGGTGTATTCTATGGACAGGAACTAGGGGTATCGCGCCACTCACATTAATACACACAAGGTAGGTAGGTATACACACATTTGTACACGGCAACAACAAGGAAACGGCCGTCCATGAAAGCCTTAGGCGGCCCCCGCAACCCCCCTCTTCGCAGCAACAGCGGCGGCGGCGGCAGCGACCACGGGTTTGCGTACATAGTTGGCGCCGATGCCCTCTTTGGCCATCTCGTCGAGCAGCCTGTAGAGGCTCTTGACGAGGCCCTCGCGCTCGCCGGGCTCGGCGTTACCGCTACCGGCCCAGCGGATGCGGCACTCGTGGTCGACGAGGTACGTGTAGCCAACCTTGCTGTTGAGGACGCCGATGGACTCGCGGATCTCGTTGGAGATGCCGCGGCTGACGAGGAAGTAGCGGCCCCAGTCCTCGGGGGCTGTCTTGCGGCGCATCGACCCCATGAACAGGCGCACTAGCCAGGCCTTGAAGACGTCCTCCTCGACGTTGACGCGCACTAGCTGGGCGCGGCCGCCGGCAGAGGCCAGCGCGGCGTGCAGTGCCGGGTTCGCCTCGGGCGACGTGAAGGTGCGCGCCTGGTTCTCGGCCCAGAGGCTGCTGAAGACCGTCACGACCGAGGCGCGGCCCTCGAGCACGGGCGTGGTGTTAGCCGCGTCCGCCCCGGGTGCTTTGGAGAGCGTCCGCCCGTGCAGGTTGGGAAAGTACAGCGACAGGTCGGCCTTGAACGGCCGCGGCGGCGCCAGGAACGTCTTGCCCTTGTGGAACTGCATGTTGCTCCAGTCGCGGAAGTACGGCCGTGCCAGCTTAGATTTACTATACCACGATAGGATAGAATCAGCAACTACAAACCGGGTCAAGAGGGAGAGGAAGAAAGAGTTCCCCTAGGAGGGAGGTGGGATCGCGTCTTACAGCTGTTCTCGCTTGGCGAGGTGCTTCTTGTAGTCAACAAAGTCGTCGCGGCGCTGCTTCAGACTGCGGGGGTCGATGCCCGTGTTCTCGCCGGCGCTCGGGGTCGAGGGCATGCCGATGGGGCGCGTCAAGGCCGTCGGCGTGAACTCCTTGACGGAAGGGCCATAGGCGCGGGGCGCAAATGCGAGCGGCCCGGTATCCTTGGGGGCATCTTCAGCAGCCTGGCTTGCCACCTTTGCTGCTGGTGTGGCGGCAGGCGACGAGGCCGTGTTTGGTGGAGCGGCGACTGGCGCAGCTGCTGGTCGCGGCTTTGGTGTTTTGTCGGCGAGCCGGCGATACGATACTGAAAAGGACCGCGATTGGCACAAGAGGCAGGTCGCTGTTCTGCTCGGGACTGTCCGGAGGATCATGGCGAGACTGTTTCTGTAGATATGGATCAGGTAGCTATCCCATGTACTGTACTACCTTATGTACGTACGTGCTGTCGCGCCTTTGAAGCTGGGCTCAATTCGTCTCAAACTCGAGCCCCAAGAAGTTTCGATGCGAAAATAGCGTTTACCCCATCGGTCAAATCCCCACAGTCCCACCAGCCGCCGCACGGGACCCCTGTCAGACTGATCTGGGTCAGGGGTTGCGTTCTCGTCGGCAAGCTGCCAGTCCAGTCGGCTATTCGCGGGGACCTTGTTCTTCCCAACGTCATCCAGAAACAGCCTCCCTTAAGCCGCGGGCAGCCAGCGGCGCCGCGCACCGCCGCCCATTCCCATGCCAGAGGACCAGGGAAGATGATCTTTCAACTCGAGTCACTTCTTAGGAATCAGGTCACCTGAGCTTGGCGATGTGAATTTGCTGGAGTCCTGGAGTCGGCCATTGATTCTTTCTACCACAAAGTCTAGTTGTTTATATACTGCAGCATGTTTTGGCACCAGAGTGCGCGCGCGGTGCGCCATCAGCATCAGCAATGGCACCTCCACGGCGCTGTCCTGGCCCGGCGACTCGTTGCACCAACAACAACACGCCGCCCGTCCCCGGCCGCCAGGGCATTCCATGCGGCGAGAATCCTTATGGCTGTGAAACCAGTCCTGCTTGCCGACATTGGAGAAGGCATGCTTCTTTCCATGTTTCCACTTTCCATGTTCCCGCGTCTCCACGCCTAATTCGCGCCACATTGGGCGTGCGACGAGGCACTGCCGTGGGCATCAAGCTAATAATTTTGGCTTCGGATGCTTAGGAATCGTCGAGTGCGAGATTATACAATGGTTCGTCGAGCCTGGGGCCCGCGTCGACGAATTTTCTCCGCTCTGCGAAGTGCAGAGCGACAAAGCCTCGGTCGAGATCACTAGTCGCTTCGCCGGCATCGTGAAGAAGCTGCACTACGACGCTGGCGAGATGGCCAAGGTCGGCAAGCCGTTCGTCGATATAGACATCGAGGGCGGTGATGCGGAAAAGGACGCCCTGGAAGCCCTAACGCCGCCCGAACCTGGTCCGCCGACTAAGTCGTCCAGCCCCGGTGCCACTTCCGTACCGGCGCCGACGACATCTGCCCCTGAATTCAGGCCGGCAGCCCAAGGGAGTGCGCACCCAGGCGGCGCATCACAGGCCCTGGCTAGGCAAAGAGGAAAGCACGCCACGCTCGCAACCCCGGCGGTCAGGCACCTCACGCAGGAGCTGGGAGTGGAACTAGCGCAGATAGACGGGACGGGCAGGGACGGGAGGGTGTTGAAAGAGGACATCTACAAGTTTGTAGAGCAGAGAGGCTCGGTAGCCACACCGGCGGCGCCGCTAGAGGCGACTCCTAGAACAGCCAGCCCCGCGAGCCCGTTCTTGTCACCCGACGTATCGGCCGTGGGACCACAGAAAGAGACGCCTCTCGTCATGACGAGGACGCGGGAGATGATGTTCAAGACCATGACGCGCTCTCTTAGTATACCGCACTTCCTCTACGCTGACGAAGTCGATTTCACCTCGCTCGTCGAACTACGGCAGCGCCTCAACCGGGTCCTTGCCAAGTCCGGCGTGGACGACAGCCACGTTAGCAAGCTTTCTTACCTCCCTTTCATCGTCAAAGCCGTCTCGATGGCGCTATACAAATACCCCATCCTCAACGCGCGGGTCGATGTCGACGGGCCGAACGCGAATGGAAGTGGGAAGCCGATGCTCGTTCTGCGCAGCCAGCACAACATCGGAGTAGCAATGGACACGCCGTCGGGGCTGCTGGTCCCCGTCATCAAGAACGTCGGGAGTCTGAACGTCCTGGGAATAGCAGCGGAGCTCGGCCGGCTCCAGTCGCTCGCGGCGGCCGGGAAGCTCTCGCCGCAGGACATGGCGGGCGGCACCATAACCGTCAGCAACATCGGCAGCATCGGCGGCACGTACCTGTCGCCCGTGGTCGTGGAGCGCGAGGTGGCCATCCTGGGCATCGGGCGCATGCGCACCGTGCCGGCCTTCTCGTCGGCGCTGGGCGACGAGGACAGGGTCGTGCGGCGCCAGGTCTGCAACTTCAGCTGGAGCGCCGACCACCGCGTGGTCGACGGCGCGACCATGGCGAGAGCGGCCGACGTGGTGCGCAGCATCGTCGAAGAGCCCGACGTCATGGTTATGCACTTGCGCTAGAACGGGGTTGCGTTCCCGCTTTTGCTTCCGTTCCGTCATTTTACATATCGCCTCGGGGCCAAACAATAAACCTACCTTAGGTAGGTGGTCTGCTCGTAAAATGGGAGTATCTGGGTGACGCCATATCTCACTAGACTTGTTTAGGTATTTAGAGAGAGGAGAGGAAATCTAAATGGTGACGTCCCTCACTTTTCATGCCCGTCTTAGCTTTTACAGTGTTCCGTGATTACCACTTAAAGTAACTAGCCAAGTTGAGCGGTATTTTTCTTCTTCTTTTCTTTATCAGACATTTATGATTGGGCCTCTCTCTTTCTGTGAAGTCTGCGTTTTCCTCGGCGATGTGTTATGCATGTATGTGATGGTGGAGGTAATAGCTTCCGGCCTCCCGCAGCTAACCTCGATCTCCTAATAGACTTGAGATGGCCATCAATTGCCGAGCCTCCTAGGGATGGGATGGGTTTTGGGGCGTGGGGAGGACGGCGGGAGACTTTTTCTTTCGCCATTCCTTCCTTCCTTGCCTGGGCCGCGGACGTGCAGCAAGCAGGGCGGACGGAGCAAAGTCACCCGCCTAGTCTCGAGCCTCCGAGGTTTTGACGGCATATATACCTAAGGTATGTACTTGTACTACGTATCGGTCAAGCTAAGCGAGCGATGGATACATGTACATACATACATACATACATACATGCGAAACCCCTGTCAAGGCATCCAGGTGCGCGGGAAACGTGTCAGTGCCAGCAGCCGCTCGTTGGGGGAACGCCAAGCATCTGTGTGTCCGTCTTGCAGAACTCGTCCATGCATGGTGCGTGGCGCCCGGCCTGCTACCCTCGAGGCGAATGAACGGAGAAGCCAAAGGCAAGTAGGTAGGCAAGTGTCTGAAAAATCTCTACGACGATTACTCGACCCCCCGCCCCCCTATTGTTCCTCGGCAGGTGCTCGGCGTCGGAGTTGCCCATGGGAGAGGTATGGACTAGTGGCTTTGAAAGTGTGTGCCTGCTTGTCCCATTTGTGGAATTTCTTTCTTGGTTTGTTCGCCTCGGCCGTCCTGTCCCGCATGTCAATGATGCTTCCCATCCTTGGCCGCGGCCTATATCTGGCGATCGCTGAAAGCGTGTACTACCGGATGTTATGGATGGATCGGGAACAAGTTTGCCGAACTAAAGTCCTTATTTACCTCAATGATAGGTACCTCATCACAAACAGTGCAGGCAGTCAAAGCCTGGCGAGCTACATTTGACCGGCGCCGTCGTTCAAGTTGTCCTCACTTCATGAGATAAGATGGCTTTGAGGCGGGAGCGGTCCTTTCACTGTCCTGCTAAAAGTAAGAGATCTGTTGAATGATGCTCAGATTCTGTTACACAAAAAGATGGATACTGGGAAGATTACATAGCACTACCTGTGATTCTGCAAAATAGATTCGGCAGGACAGGAGCGGGGGTAACCTGGTGCCAGCGATCAACACAAAACATTGGTAATATGTAGTACCTGTCATCATAACTGGCCTGAGCTGGGCGAATCTTTTCGCTGGCTTGGTCTTATATGGTGGTTGAGCAAGTCCTAGAGGCGGGCCAGTGCTATCGAGTTGGTTACATTCCTAGACGACAACAACGGTTCGGAATGCGTTGTTACGATACTCAGCCAGTGGTGTAACAGAGGAAGCTATTCTTGGGATTCCAGCCGCCCTACGGGGATCGAGAGCGGCAGTGTCATGGCCGCGGTCCGTCCCGTGCTCTTTGTTATCAGCCCTACGACGGTGGGTTTGGGTTATCCGTAAATCCCGTTTTATCGAAGGCGGTCAAAAGGGAAGCGAAGCTTGGCGGTGCGGGTTTCGCCGTAATAGTTACTAGGCAGTGTCGAGACGATTGAAAAGAATATGCATCAGGTAAGGGTGTTCTCTCATTACGTATTGTGATTGAATGGCGGAAATAAAGAAACTCGTGAAAAGGCGAGGCTCGGCAGGACAAGATAATCGAGTTGCATGGTCGGGCGCTGATAGAAAAAGAAAAGGAACGACAGACTTGGCAGACGATCGGCGGAGATTGGAGGATAAGAAGCAGCCCAGGGCCCAAGGCGACCGAGGGTCTCGCTCCGAGTCAAAAAGAACACAGGCTCGCTCCTTCCCAGTAGAGAAACTGCGATCAGCTTGAAAACTCCAAGGTGGCGCCGGGCTCTTTCAGTTCTTTCTCTTTCCCTCATCACACCATCCATTTCATCACTGGTCTTTGCTCACTGTGAACGCGACTTTCTTCCCTGTTGTGGGAAGTGGAAGACGTCTCTCATCGCCACCTCACCGCCCTGAATATCTATGCACAGCCCAGTGCCATGCCATGCCATTTTTTAACGCCCACGGCTAGGACACGGAGCTACCCATGTAGCCCGGCCTGCCTCGATGCAAGTGCAAGTGCAAGCAAGAGATTATAACCCAAAGCTATCATCAGCGTCTCCAATTTTTCCCCCATCCATTGCCCATTACCCACATAGTGCGCCCAAAGAGAAGAATCGAAACTTCGAAGAAAGAAGAGATAGGGGGAACAAAACATGGAAGCCAAGACAAGAGCTGAAAGTCCCTGCCAAGTGTCAAGGGATTGACAGTTGTGTTGTACTCTGTATGCCGATGCGATCCGGTGGTGGGGGCGCACAAGGCGAGCCGCCCCTCCGGAATATTAGCGCCATGCCGGTTGTGTGGGTTTCGTCCAAGTCAACGGTTTTCTCTGCCCCCCTTTATTTATATGCACGTCATTTTTGGGCACTGGCCCCCTGGACCTGGTCCATGGTCTTCAAGACATTGTCGAGTGCTTCGGCCATGACAACGTCGGCTGGGCGGCTCACGTCAACCCTGATTACGTCGACCTCGGCCTTGGTGGGCGGTTCTAATATGTCGAACTGGCTGTGTACCATGTTCGCGCCCATATAGTGGTTCTGGCGGGCAAGGACCCGCTGGAGGAGGACCTCTTCCGAGGCGTCGAGGTAGATGAAATGCAAGTGGAGGTTGGGTGTGAAATATGGTGCAACCCGTATGACATCGCGGTATTTGCGCTTCAGCGCGGAGCACGTCAACACCACGCCGTCGTGGCCCTGTTCAAGCTCGTGAATCGACGCCTCGCGAAGGGCTGTGAGCCAGTCCCACCGGTCGGCATCGGTCAGTGGGATGCCAGCGCTCATCTTGTCGATGTTCGCTTGTGGGTGGTACTAAGAGTTTATGAGTATTGGATCCCCCTCCCCACCACCGACTAAGGTGGTCACCAACACAGCCGAGACTGAAACGCACCTCATCGCCCTCGATATAAGGTATATGGAGGCAGGTAGCAAGATACTTTGCTACTGTACTTTTACCACACCCAGCAGGTCCCGTCACCAACCAGATGTGGTGTTGCTTTGCCAGCGAGGCATTGGTGGACGAGGCGGCACCGTTTGTGAGACTCCCGTTGGAAAGGGCCGGCGCCGGCAGTCGCACGGTTTTCGGCGTGGACGCCATGTTTTGGCGAGTGGCGGACATGATTGTTGATGCAGCGGAGCTCTGACCGTTCACCGAGACAGGAGAATCATACGATAGCATGGTCAAGGGAAAGCAGTTCTGGAGGCCTCGTTGGCGCGGTGCGGTTAGGCGGTGGGTTCAGGGGCGGTAGTACAGTGAGAGACGCAAGCGTGACGCTATTGCATATTGATCCCGTGGTAATGTGACGGGGTGTTGTGTGGTTGTTCCTGGAGGAGTGGTGGCAGGGTGGTGGGTGTGATGGCGAAGTTAAAAAAGCCAACTGCGAATAGAGGCAGGCACTACTTGGCTCAACGATACGACGATTCATTCACAGCGACGACGAAATGCCATGAGCCTAGGGCGAAGAAGAAGGGAACCCGGAAACCAGCACTGCCAATCTCATCCAAACAAAAACAGAAGGGTGTGTCAGAAAAGGAGTGTGGCCGATGGCGGTGCGGTGGGTGTTATATAGCTGAGCATAGCAACAGGTCATACCTGCAGCGATGACCTGAAAAAACCTGCCCGGAAGGCCCAAATGACAGGCTGGGGTCTGCCTGGGGGAGCTAGAAAGCAGGCGGGTTTCCAGTGATGGAGATCCGCTGAGTGACGGGCACATCAGGTTCCAGGTTGGGGGGCGAGCGGGCAACCTTACGGATCAGATCGAACAAGAGTTTGCTAGCGGGGCCCCAAACCGTGCTGAAGAGACTGAATACTGTACGGTCTCTACGACGGGGGGGCTTGTACCTGTAAGATGGAAGGTACTGCGGTACCTGAGCCCTCGAGACCGCTGGGCCGGCGTGGGCTTGCAACTGAAAGAAAACTTGGCGCCCAAAAAGTTCACTAATGGAATCATCCTATTGGCGGACCGACCTGGAGAGAGCCGTCATGGGCCCAGAGCCATGACAGGGCCAACCCCACCGAAGCAGGGAGGGTGTGTCGGGAACGTGTAGCGACAAGTATGGGCGAAGTATCCCCCATGAAGGCGAAGTACCCGCGAACCTCGTCCCACTGGGATTCTCGGGGGAGGCTTTTTCCTGGAGAAAGCGCGGGATGAATGTGTTTTTGTGGGGAAGGGTGCGGTGTGGCTGACTCGCAGCGCGGGAAGGCTGTTGGGACTCCCGAGGGCGAAAGTTGGCTGACGATTTGCCATCACAGCAATTGCCAGTTCCGTTGTCCATTTGCGAGGAAGTGAACCAGAACAGAGCGCAAGCTCGCAAATTTGATGCACCACCAGTGGCAGTCCTCGGTAGTCAGCTGCCCCTTCACCGTGGTAAGCTGAATTGAAGTTTCAGGCCCTTCACGTAACCCAAGGGCCAGGATCGAAACCTAAAAGTTAAAAGAAAACATGTATGAAAAATGCTCGGCACTGTGCCTTGTGGCGGGGCTCTCCCGGTGCTCTGGGAGCTCAAGCTCGGGGCAATGCCAAAATGGACACGAACACCACCACCTGGATCGGACAGAAAGCAAACCTCTCGAGTCCCTATGTCCTACGCGCGTACTTCGTACCTTGACTCGGTATACATGTCGCTGAAGATTGAAGATTGAAGATTGAAGATTGAAAATGGCCTCAGAGATACACGGAGTGCATTGTTAATACCACTCTATGTGCAGGACCAAATAATCAACACATGGAATCGTACGGCGAATGCCACCCACGACGAGCAACATTTTTATAGCCCGGGCGAGACCGATCGCCTGGGGGCGCTTACCGGCCAGCACGACGCAGGGCAGGCAGAGCAAAATACAGCTTACTGCAGGTATTGCATCCTTTTCTTCGCTGTGCAGCCGTGCAGACCGGAAAGGAGGTAAGGGCTTCATCATCAGTCAGGAACTTCTTCTGGCGCCGATACCTTACTATAGTGAACTCGGACGCGCTAGCAGGCCCGAAGGACGATTGCCGTTGATCGTGTCAATGCGAACCTATGAGCCTGGAGGTGGCACTGACGCATCACCACGCAACAGATCCCACAGTACATGGTGACAGCCCGCGGTCTCCGGTGCGCACGTTAAGCTGAAATGGGTTGCGCGAAAAATTTCATCTGGAAGAAATTGCGGCTTTCTAGTTCTGGGGCTTAGAGGCAAGGAAAGTGGGACAGCGGCAAAAGAGGGCGGGAGCGAGCGCGCGCCAGCGCAGGTGTAAGTCGAGAAGTCTAGAGTGACCGACGAGGTACTCGCCCAAGTACTCGGCCGGCCCTGGGGCCAAACCGCTTGAGCTTCGGCGATGGCGTGGGGGCCGCTCTTCCGGCCTGAGCGAGTTGGGGGGTGAAGCTGGCCGAGGGGGCGCCGGCCGAAGGCCAGGGGGTGTACGTGGAAGCATCCCGGAAGACCCAGAAGAACTACCTTACTATGTACCTTGATTTCCTACCTTGTTAACCAGAAGAGGAGAAATAGCGACACCTGGAAGCTATACTAGTACTGTTTCTATCCCGAGTAATTCAAGCTATATTCGTACCTTCAGGTTGTAATTAATTGAAAACGGGAGGAACGACCTGAGATGGAGCGTCGCCCGTGTGCTCCCTCCGCAACATCTCTTTGCCTACGAGACATCGCCTACTGTGTAGGGGTATGTAGGTGCATGCTGTAAAGACACACAGCACAGTGCCAGTGCCTACCTTGGCCGTCTACGATGCCCTGAACAGTCTATCGAGGGGTCACTGGAGATGACCTTGATGAGATCGATGTGTCTAGGTATCGCCCAAAATGGAAAGGGGGAGGGGGGTCTTGGACTCTGTAACGAGTCAATTACAGTGGACGTTATACCGCAATACACACCAGGATTTACACCTTTGCCGCTGCCCGCACGAACCAATTACATCCACACACCTTACCTTAGGTTCCCTTCTACCTTCTACCTTCCACCTCAGATTCTTCTGTTCCATCGGGCAACGTCTGGGACGAGGAGGCATGGTGCCATGAAGCTGCAAGGCGGAATACCGACACATTAGAGTAAGTAACCTCGCATAACAGCACCTCAACGGGCTCAACTATACTGCCGGGCTGTCTTGGCGGTTGGCTCAAACAACCATGAACCACAATTGGAAAGTGAGGTGTCGCTAGACTTCAGCGGGCTGGAAGAGACTTCCAGGTTCAGCACGAGGCTCGACCGCCCGCGCCAAAGCCCAAGCCCATCCATCTGCACCCACCGCATCGCATGGGGCAGGCATCTTTTCTCACACCTCACTTCCCACCTGGCCTCGTGACGTGCCCAAGTTTTCGCCGCGCCTCTGCTAGCTTCCCGTCTTCGCTCCAGCTCCACTGTCCGCTGCCGCCAGAGCCCAGCGAAATTGAACACAGTGGGACTGCCCCGGGGGTCATATCCGTGCGGCCCAGTCTCCAGGAGCCGCCAGGGGAGCCAGGCACGTCCCGAATCTCAGTCATGGAAACATCGCGTCAACAAGCTGGAGCTCTTCCCCTCTGTCTGCCACCCGAACTGAGGAGGGGTTGGCGGCTTGTGCCCCCCAAACCCCAAATAACTACCGTCTGGTTCATCCTTTGGGGGGCTTTTGACCGTGTCCACTTTCCGAGTATGCTGGCTCCATCCTGCAATGCAAGGGCGTGCATCCGCCGAGTGGGTTTCGCGACATTGTTCCAATGCTCCCTAACTACCTAGGGGGGGTCCGACTACCACCCCACACCTAGACCTGAGCGACGGGTCGTGGGAATAGCTTCGACTCGCTCGCACTAGGGGGTTTGGGGGAGTTCTGCACTCCCTGCTCCGGTCACTGGTACCTCTCCGCCCGCGACATGAAGTTGTCAGACACGTCTCTGGCTTCACCGCTCAATGGTGGCTTCGCAAAACCTGGGAAATAGCGGCTGCCGACCCTATCGTGGACCACTTACGTCCTTCTCCGCGTTGTTAAGAGGGGAGCGAAACGAATTAGGCGCACCTTTTCTGCATGTCGTCCAATGCGTCTTTGACATACGTACAGTACTGTACCACGACAACCTAGGAGCATCGGGGAACAGCAGCCACACGCTGAGGAGACGCCACAGCAGTGACCACTGACCTGAAGACACCCAGGGCAGGCAACGGGAAGAAAGGCACAGCCAATGGCCCCGATCAATGGCCGCTCGCCCTGGTATCCGTACCCGTCACGGGGAGTCAAACTCGGCCGACCTCGAGGCGGGCAAGAGTGAGGAAGAGACGGTGTTTCAGACTTATGCCTTCTTACTACTTCCTGGCCGCAAGAGGTGGTCGGATCGGCTGGGGCATCAGCGCAGCCAGGGTTCCTGGCAATGAACTGTTCACTTTCCTTTCCCTATCACAGCTCGCCAGAGGTGCATGGCGTAGGCTGGTCTTGCAGATTCAATTCCGGAGCATTGGCCATGCAGGAGCTCAGACGCAATCACCAGCTCTACAAATACTCAGTACGTACCTTATAGTATAGTACATGAGTCCTCAGGTCTCTTCAGTCTTCACACCTACCCGGCCAGGTTACGCAAAGGGTAAACCCGCTTTGGCCTGGGGATAGCGTCATGTACAGAATAATGGACCGCACCAAGCCAAGTACCTATGTCGGTCTTGGGTCTGCACGGTATGAAGCTACCTACTCAGTACCTTTCGTGCCTACCTAGCCACACAACTCTATCAGTCGGCAACGGGCCAATCCCCAGAGGCATTAGCGAGCTCATGTAACCATCCCGCGATCCGAAAAGGCCCAGAAACCTTTACTTACCTTTTGACCTTATTGTGGATCGAGGCGAAGCTCACCGGGGTGGGCATTTATCCTCTTCGCCTGAACTAGCGGTGGCGGGGCTACCTTACTGTATTGAACCTCGAATGCATTCAAGAACGGATACGGACCACGAAATGGAATCTACCCAGGACAATTACGAGATCTGGACATGCCCAACCGGGTGGGCATCTCGATGTCGGGATGGATCCCTTACACACCACGGACCCTTTCCCTCGCCTGTCAGCTTATTAGCTGGCAAAGCTTGAGAGCTAGAATTCCTAGGTTCTCCCCCTTTTCCCACCTCGGTGACACCAACTTCTAGTTCTACAGACAGGCATATACCAAAGGTATGTATAGTGCAGTACGAATACCTACATACCCGTAAAAAGCAGCAACAAGCACCTAATGTAGGGGCATTGCGGGAGATGACGTCTCACCGAGCCTGATGGATCCAGACGCGCAGGTGACCTCCCTCGGCACGGAACAGAGCGAGACTGATGAAAGACAGGACCACGACTTTTCGTTGCAAACTGCCTAAAGACAAACAGGGTGTGACTGGATTTTCCGTGTTCCAAACCAGGAGAGGTACTAGTACTAACACTACATTCTTTCCATCCATTGCATACAGTACCTTGACTGCCTTGTACTTGGCTTTTCTATTTTTGCCGGCGCCTCTCACTCGCCTATTCGATTCGTCCTCAACAACGGACCTAGCTCCAACATGGAAGCTCGTCATCCTTTCATTAACAGACCTGGGCCTTGGACGTGGCTGCGATGTCGGTTCAAGCTACAGCATTGCGAAAGCTGGCATCGGAAATCGCCCCCTCTCCTGCCGACGTGCTGATGGATGATCCACACATCTATGCCATATCTATCGCCTGTATGTGCGGATACCAAGGACCTAATTAACAGCCCGCCGCAACGAAGGCGCATGGAAGCCTTTCCGGGTACCCCATTGACGACGTAGATACCGTAGACAACCCGCATTGGTGTTTCAGTACGAGCTTAGAAAGCTTCATATTCGCGGCCTTTAATCGCCGACATCGCAGCCCGCACGATGAATCCATTGGCTCGTCGTCGTCCTTATCGTGTGGCACTGTCGCTGATATCCGGACGGTCTCTAGTGAACAAGACGCCTTGTGCCAACATGTCAACTCCAAGTATACACGGGACGTCTCTTCCTAGTATCGTTTGTTTGCTTGCATGTCCCCTTGCCGTTTGTCTTTCCTTCCAACGTTGCAGTCCAGCCGCTATTTTACTCTGACTTCCATGTTCCTTAGATCCCTAGGTTACGGATACGGCGTGTACTGACCTAAAGCCCAAGGTATTCGCCATGCCCCGCTCTAAGCTGCTTCCTGTTTTGGGTAGGTGCTGCCCCTCTCTGCCCGGACAACGGAGTCTCCTCCTGAACTGCCCCTCCTCAGCGCTCGTGATCCCTGTCAGCAGGGCAGCGGGGGGGTTGCTTGAGCGGGCGAATCACCAAACTAGCGCCCTCGCCCGAAATCTATCCCGTGGGGGAAAAGGAGATCGATCTCGAGATCGGTCGAGGAGCATCGAGGTCGTGAAACAGCCATTGTCATCTACTCCCCATCTCTCACTGCCGGGCCGGACCAGGCTATGTCTGTGTCCCAGAGACGCGATGTAGTGCAACGAGAGCTGAGGTAGAAAGGATTTCTGTCTATGTTTCGGAGCACTATTGTCGTTCGTCCTCTCTCTTTCAGGATGATGAGGGGGTGTGGCTCAGCTGCTGAACCGTGGCTGAAAGGTTTCCCCGCCTCCGCCTTCTTTGACGGGTCTTGGCAACACGTGGAGAGGTGTGTTTCGAAGGTGCATCGGCCATTTTGATTTGCTGGATTTGCTCGGCGGTTTTTTTTTTTTTTGACTTTTTGGGTGCGCAGGAGAACCACTGCTGCGTGTATACCTGAGGTAGCTAAAGCTGAGGGAGGGGTTCATTCTGAATGATGTTTAGTTTGGGTTCAATGCGTGTTCCCTTTCCCCTCAGATATCGCAGCAGCCTGCGATTGCCCTTGACCTGTTTAGCGAGACAGCAAGCTGCACCTCCGACGCAGCAGCAGCACCACTACCAATACCAATATTCACAGATACGGATCCCGAAGCAGCAGCGATTGCAGTTTAGCTCCTCGTGCTGTCAGCTCGCTACCATGAACGCCCAGGAGCTCAAGCAGTACCTGGCTGATGCCCCGCCTGCCGTCGTTAGACTCGAGATCGCGAAGCACTTCGAGGCCCTGACAGACAAACAGAAGCGCTATGCCCACTTCATCAGCCAGTAAGCCGTCCCGTGTGATACTAGACTCCGTACTTTGGCCGCCGTGCTGCCGTGCTTGTTGCCCCTCCAAGTACACGCCTAGGGTAGATACCTACCCAGGTAGGTAGGTAGATAGCTAGGTAGGTAGGTATACACGAACACCATAGTAAACTCGTTGTCCCTACCGTCACGTCACATAGCTGCCTTGCCTATGCTTCCTCTCATAATGTCTATCTGAACTCGCTGACCGGTACCCCCAGGGCTTCGTTTGCCGGTAATCGGATCGTGCTTCGCCAAGTCTCGCCCGAGTCGGAGCATGTCTACGACTTTATCATTGCTCTCCACAAGGCCTCGGCCGGGAACTGGAAGGCTCTCGCCGAAAAGGCTGGTGTTGCCCAAGATGGTCTCGTAGCCTTCCTTCAGTATGCCGCACAGTTTCTGGGCAACAGCGGCAACTACAAGAGCTTTGGCGACTCCAAGTTCATCCCTCGGTGCCCCGAGTCTGTCTTCGCCGCCCTCGCCTCGACTTCGCCCGACGCCGAGAAACACTACACAGCCACCAAGGGCGCCATATTCTCCTCCGACAAGCCTGGCCTCCTTCACCTAGGCTTCCCTGACGACGGCCACCTGACCACGTACTATCCCGACTGCCCCGACATCACCAAAGACGAGATCGAAGCCGTCTCTAAGTGGATGCAGGCGAAGGGCCTGCTTCCCGAAAACACCAGGCTTCGCAAGACCCAGGGACGCGTCTACGAGCTGCTGATCGCGTCCGGGAAAACCAATATCCCCAGCGAAGGGGGCGATATTGGGGGCGAGACCGAGTACCAGGTCAGCGAGGGCCCGCTTGACGGTAAGACCATCAAGTTGGTATACGGCGACCACGCGCCTGAAATGGAAGCCATTGCCGGGTTCATCAAAAAGGCGGCCGACAACGCCGAGAACGAAACGCAGGAGAAGATGCATCTTGCATACGCCAAGTCTTTTGATGACGGCTCTCTTTTAGCCTTTAAGGACAGCCAGCGGTTCTGGATCCGCGACCAAGGCCCCATGGTCGAGTGCAACATTGGCTTTATTGAGACGTACCGCGACCCAGCAGGGGTCCGTGGCGAGTGGGAGGGCTTTGCTGCAGGTGGGTCAGAACCTCCCGGCGCATGAAGCTCGTCCGTCTGGTCTCGGAAGAAGAGCCCCCTGCTGACTTTCTTCACGTAACAGTCGTTAACCGTAGGTTCCCTCGCTCTCGCCAGAGCTGGCCAGGGCCGACAGACCAGCTCACAGTTATTTCTACGTAGTCGAGAGGACAAGGGCCTTTGGCGAACTCGTCCGGTCGGCACCGGCTCTGATCCCCCTGCTGCCGTGGTCCAACGAGTTTGAGAAGGACAAGTTCCTCTCTCCTGATTTCACCTCGCTTGAGGTGCTTACATTCTGCGGTACGCCCATTGCTTCTTGGCGGTCTCCCCTTTTAATACGCCGGGTTGTGATCTGACTTGATTTGACAGGCTCGGGCATTCCTGCCGGTATCAACATGTATGTCTGACGGTGAAATTCTCGTCACTTGATTTGATGCTGACTTTGTTACACTAGTCCGAACTACGATGACATTAGACAGCAAGAAGGGTTCAAGAACGTGAGCTTAGGTGTGTTGTCTATTTTTCTACCGCGGAGTCATGCAGAACCCCTCTCTGACGATCTGGGGAACAGGAAATGTCCTGAGCGCCAAAGCGCCCGACGAGAAGATTCCATTCATTCTCGATAGCGACCTAGAGCTGTATCAAAAGTACCGCGATGCGGCCTTTGAGGTCCAGGTTGGGCTTCATGAGCTTACAGGTATGGCGATCGCGACACTCTAGGTATACCAGCAACACTGACTTTCTCTACAGGCCATGGATGCGGCAAGCTTCTCCAAGAGACGTCGCCCGAGGTGTACAACTTTGATCACGAGAACCCCCCTATCAGTCCCATCAGCAACAAGCCCGTGACAACCTGGTACAAGCCCGGCCAGACATGGGGCTCGGTATTTGGTGGAATGGCTGGCGCATACGAGGTTCGCGCTTCTCGCCGATTCTCTTGGGATGTTGACTAACAGCGTGCTAGGAATGCCGTGCTGAGCTGGTGGCCATGTTTTTGAGGTATGCCTTTGAACTCCATCCGACATTTTCCATCGGATTCGAGTCTAACATTTGCACAGCTGCGAATTTGCTGCCCTGAAGATCTTTGGCTTTGGTGATGGCTCCGTAGACATTGATGGCGAGGCCGGCGACGTTCTCTACTCGTCATATCTCAGCATGGCAAGAGCTGGTCTTGTATCCATCGAATTTTGGGACCCTAGGTCTCAAAAATGGGGACAACCTCACTGTCAAGCTCGGTTTGCCATTCTCAAGGTATGATATTTGCTGCTCTGGGAACTTGGACCTACTAACAGTCTATAGGCTTTCCTAGAGGCAGATGACGGGTTCTGCAGGTTGGAGTACGAGAAGGAGGATCTGTCAGACCTGACTATTCATCTCGACCGGTCCAAGATCCTGACCAGTGGCAGAAAAGGTACGTTTTATGTAATAAAGAAACAACCTATCCAACATTACTGACGCTGCGACTATAGCTGTGGGAGACATGCTGCAGAAGATCCACATTTACAAATCGACGGCCGATGTCGAAGCGGGGACCAAATACTTTAGCGACATGTCCAATGTCGGCCTGGAGTACTGGGGTACAAAAGTCCGCGATGTTGTGCTCCAGAACAAGCAGCCACGAAAGGTGTTTGTGCAGGCTAACACGTATCTCGACGAGGCTACTGGCAAGGTCTCGATCAAGCAGTACGAGCCTACTATCGAGGGCGTCGTCCAGAGCTGGGCCGAGAGAGGGCTGTGACTATCCAACGGCGGCTCCGCCAGCGGAGGGCATCGGGTTGTTCTCCGCTCTGCCTTGTGACGAGGCAAAGAGGGTACCCAGACCGCGGTGATGGCTTGTGAGCTCCTTGCATGCCTAGGCAAACTAAAACAAAATTTACCTCCGAGCATCTTGATAGGTGTAGGCGTGATGTATTCGCAGTGTGATTGTGTATTTGTTAGGCCCCCAATGGCTTCAGTCGCCCTTTTATTATTTTTGAGTGCGGGGTTTGGTTGCTCTCCCATACACCAATTGCTTTGCGCATTTCCCCCGGCGCCAATTTCTGAGGGAATCAGCTAGGCACTGGCTACGGCACACACTATTTCCGAATGTGAGTACCGGTTCACTTAGTCAATAGCATCGAAACGTTGGTGTGTAAACAATTATGGAAGAACCCCTTTTAGCGGCCGCGGCTTGTTTGCGGGCAAGCACACCACCAACTGCTGAGGTGCAAAAAGCACGACACTTAAAAACGGCGATCTTGTTCAGAGGGAATCTGCTGCCCCATCTCCATCCCCAAGCTGACGAGCGTGACTCTCATACAAAATGGCAGGAAAGGCAATCGTTGATATATTTATCACTATCTTGCTGGACCAGCTAACTTTGGTAGGTATTCAAGTGTGGGGATGGGATGCTTTGGTATCTTTGCGTCTTCTCTCATACTCTTTCTCTCTATCTCTCCCCATCGTTCTAGATCAAGCAGCCGCTAGGCAGAGACCGAAGCGGGAGCCGGAGCCGGGTCTGCCGTTGGCAGCGGCAGCGGCAGCGGCGGAAGCTCTGGCTCGGGTGCTGCTGACTGAGACGATGCCGTAGCCGGCGGCTCCGACGTCGCTGCCTCTCCATTCTTCTTCGCCGCGCGCTCCTGGGCGATCCACACGAGGAACTTGAACACGTCCTTGGCGATCTGCCCCGGCACGGCCTTGGCTTGCATCCATTTTGGGAGCACACCCCGTGCGTCCGAGGCCGTCGCCATTATCCTGGTAGGTTTGGTTTTATGTTAGGTTCGTTCGTTGGTGTGTGTGTGTGTGTGTGTGTGGTGTTGGGGGACCGGGGGAAAGGCGGGCCTGAGGAATCGTACAGACGCGGGAACAGAGAGGACATACCATTCAATCTCGCCAGTGGCCGGCAGCTTCCGGATCCGCTCGACGCTCACGTACGCGGCCACCACGGAGCCCTTGGTCCCGCCGCCGTCGTCGGCAGCCGATTCAAGGAAGTCGTCGACGGTGATGCTCACGACCAGGAACTCGGGCTTCTCGCGGTGGCTGACGGCGGCCGCGTCGTCTGTCGCCGCATCCTTGTCCATGGCGGCGCACGTCATCTGCAGCACCGGAAAGGTACGGTCCTTGAGGACTGGCCGCCCGATGCGGTGGCGCATCTCGGCCATGCTCAGCGTGAAGTGCCCCCACGTCTCGCCGGCTTCCTCGGCCTCCTGTTGTGCGGTTAGTATGTTGGGGATACAAGTCTTATAGGGGTTTTCAAGGGTAACAGATCAATGCAGACAAGTAGAGAAGAGGACGGGGATTGATGCCCCCTAAACACAAGCCTTGGGTAGTACCATGCTCAGGCATCACGGGTATAAAGGGGGCGTAAACAAACACTCGTGGAGCCACAGCACAAAAGAAGGCTGGCAAAACAAAAAAGACTCACAACGCTCCCGCAGTCCCACACGGCCGCCTGCCGCGCTCCCACCACGCTTGGTGTGAAGGCATCCTCGGTCTCGACGTGGCGGTCCTTGAAGCAGTCTCGGAACTCGTGCCAGCTGGCGGTTCCCTTGGCGGCGGCATCCTGGTGGAGGGATCGGCGGCAGCTCCTAAGCAGGTCCAATGCAGCATGAGTACAGTACGAAACCGCTGTTCTGTCTTGTAGTTTGTGAAAGGCGAGAATGAAGAAGGGAAAAAACAAAACGAAACAGAGAAATGCCAAGTCCGCCCCTCGCCACCCCCTATTTCGTTTTCACTGCCAAGTCCCATTTCTCCCTCCCTCCCAGCCAGTTTACCGACCTACCAACAAACAGACAGACAGCAGACAGACAGACATGCAAGGGGGAAAAAGGAGTCAAAACATACCAAACCTCAGCCGCCTCGACTTTCTTCCCGGCCTGGCCACTCCGCGCAGCAATGCGCTCGAGCTCAGCAACATCAACCCTACGCTCAAACAGAGCGACGGGCGCGGCGCAGTCGGCTGCAGAAAACGTCTTGGCGCTGCTGCCTTTGGGCTTCCACCACCTGCTGTCAGTAGAGTTCTTAGGCGCGACGGTATCGATGAACGGGACAGCCTCCTGCAGGATCGAGATTAGTAGTGGCGCTACGCCGTCGGGCGTCTCGCCGGCTGCTGGTAGCTGGCTCGCGCGCAGCCCCCAGAGTCGGACTAGAGGGCCGAGGGTCGGGTCGTCGCCTGCCGGTTGTGGTGTTGATGATGGCGATGCCATCGCTTTGGTTGACGTGTATCTGAGCCTGGTGGTTCAAAGCTTTCTGTTTGTCTTCTTATTTTTCTTTCAGCTGTGGACGTGTATGTAAGCGTGAGCGTGAGCGGCGTTGTTAGTTAATGTGTAGATATATGCAATGTGCGCCGGATGCGGACTAAACCCGCTGAAACGGCCTGTCGTCGTGAGGGGGCCGAACGTGAAAAGCCCAAAAGCTACAATAATGATAATAATGATAAAGTCAATGAAAAGAAGAAAAAGAACTGCGTGTGTATTTCTGTGTTTTTGATTCGGCTGTCTGATGCGCGAGCGAGCGAGTGCAACACGCGTCCGTTCCAGTTACGTAGGTAAGGTAGTTGGCTTACCTACGAATACCGGTTCGGATATCTCGGGAGTTGGCGATTGACTGACGACCAGTCTTGTCTCACCGGTTCCGCGCCGGCAGCGGACACGTCCTGTGGTGTGGTGTGTGGCGTGCAGTTGGGTGTACAGTTCCCTATTCCAAAGTAAGATTGACGACGTGTAAAAGGACTTCTTCTCTCCCTAGGAATATCCGCAGCTAGAACAAACGCACTTAAAATCTTGTGATTCGGGGGAGGCGGGGTGCGATGGCTGGAAAGGGGAAACAAGCCGAAAGTCAAAAAGGACCAAACTAAACAGCCCACTCGCAAGAGTTGTGGCAGCAAAACGTGAAAGCAGAGGAAGTAGCAAGGTGGGTGGAAAAGGGGATCGAGGATATATAATAAATCCCATCCACCGATCAAGAAACGGCGAGCACGGTATGTACATACATAGCCGACAATATGTAAACGCATGAATGAAACATAAGGTATATAAATACGCAACCCCATTGTTTCTTTTCAGTTACCCCATCAAAAGGGACCCTGCTGGAAATTCGGCCACGGCGTCCGGCAGAGCTTGGACTGGACGACTGGATTTCGTTTCACAGGTGCCTCATCCATGCGTTGCGTCTCAACGCTTCCAAATCTTCCACACAGCTACTGTGGAGAGTCGTGAGAGCGTTGCTGCCTTGGCGAGGATTGCTAAGTAGAAAGGAACATTGCATGTATAGATTTAGTCCGGGGCTAATAGATCCATGAAAACAACACCGGCTTAGCAGTATACGCCTGCAGAGTTTCGTTACACAGCTAGACTTTTGGTTCTTCATAGGGTGTTTCTGGCCCCTTCTCCAAAATCCCGTACCTGGTAAACTACCGTATTCCCTAAACAGAACCCATGTCTCAGACCTGGTCGACCTTTCGCCATTTGCGCCGTTGCCATGATGCCCCCAAACCTGCCCAGTTATGCTCCCGCTTAGTCTTAAATCGTTGTTGCTACTTCGAACTCGAGGTACCGGACTTCTAGTCTCATGCCATTGATACCCATCTTTTTGAGCCCCTGGTCAACCATTTCTTCCCCGTCACCATTGGTGACATTGGATCAAAGGGCTTAAGTCCAAAAACGGACGAGCTCAGCACTGCAGCTGGTCATCAAAGACAGCCTCGAGCTTGGCGCTCAGCAGGTCTATTTTCTTGCTGTTGCCTTCCCGCTTGTGTGTCTTCATATGGCGGCGAAGCTGGTCCTGGCGGTGAAAATTGCGGTCACAGCCAGAGAACTCGCAGGTGAACCGGCCCTTGACCTCATGGGTGCGTTTGTGTTTTGACAGGTTAGACGACTCGCTGAAACTTTTGCCACATATAGGACATTTTAGTGGCTTGTCGCCCGTGTGAACACGCTGATGCATTGCTGCGCAAGAGACAGCTCGTTAGCATAATACCCATAACAAACCCTGCCTCCGCCACGGAATGTGCCTTGCAAGTAACGTGGTCTACCGGACTTGAACTTACTGAGAGCACTGGGATATCTGAACGCCTTGTGGCAAATCTCACACTCCAGTGGCTTCTGGTTGGTGTGAATAAACATGTGCTGGTTCAGAGCCTGCTTTGCTGAGAAGCCTTTGTGACACGTTGGGCAGACATGAGGTTTGTCTAGATAAAGTAAGCGAATGTCACTCTAAAGCGTAAGGGCTATGTCTCAACGTACGGCCAATATGGGTTTGCATATGTCGCTCGATCTTGCTTCTCTGGGGGAAGCCTGTGGCGTCGGGACCGCTGCGTGGACAGTCATCCCAGCCGCAGCGGAACCCTTCGGACCCCTTTTTTGCATACTTGATGTGATCGTTGGCCGTGTGGGTGAAGAGGTCGCCAGGATCCTCGAATACTTGGCCACAGATTTCAGAGCTGCTTTCCTCTCGCCAGAGACACCTGTGTTCATCGTCTGGGCCCGCTATGAAGGGCGTGGCCTCTGACGAAACAACCGAGTGGCTCCGGGACTGGGATTGCTTCATGTCCGAGATATCCATATTGTTGGAGAGCGGGGTGAAAGGCGAGGGCGTACTTGTCGAGGCTCCAGAGTCGGTGGTATCCAAAGGGGTAATAGGCGACGAAGACATGGCCTCGTTGGATGGCAAAACAACTTGACCATGTAGTGTGTTGGCCAACTCGGGTGCATTGGAAGTGAAAAAAGGCCTATGGCGGGCGTTGAAGTGGGCAAGAAAGGCTTCGGGGTCGGGTATCTCGGCTCCGCACACGGGGTGATCCTGATTCAGCTGCAGGTCCGAGCCGACTGAGCCATACTGGTCAAACGGGGACGGGTTGTCGTACACCATTGGCACGTGGCAGTTGGAATAGTTGCGGGGGTCGTCCAGTGGGCAGGGCCGCGTGCAGTTGGACTGAGTCTTGGCGGGATGGGCTACCAAGATATGGCTTGTGATATTACCCCCTGAATTGTTGCTGGGTAGCCAGCTGGAATCGAGCATGAAGTGGTTCTGGGAGGAGCCGTGGAGGCCAAATCCTAGTCCGTCCATGACTACAGGATACATGGAGGTTTAAGCAAGGCGGACACGCGGCACTAACATATGCGAGCCGGACTGGGACTTACCAGATGGTGGCAGGCCAAAGTTGTGGTGTTGCTGTTCTGGAGCGTGGTTGATGGAGATGAGAGCGGCTGCCCCGTCGACGATCTCTGCTGGCACATTGGCGGGAATTCCAGGGCAGCTCTGGTCTGTACAGGCATCCTCTTTGTTGGCACAGGCAATATTGGTACACTTGCCTGTCATGGTGCACTGGCTGTCGCAACAGCTCAAGTCGCCCATGGATTGGCAGTCATCGTCGCTCCCTTGAAAGGGGCGCTGCTGGAGCTGCTGGCCGAACCACGGCTGGTAGGGGTTCGGCTGGGAGGCAGCTATGCCGGGGCGGAAGGACATTGAGAAATCCTCAAGATCTAGGGGGTAGTGGTTGTAGAAAGGCGGTTGGAGATTCCGGGCGGGTGTAACATGGCCGGACCACCTCGGAAGCAGTGCAGCAGCAGCAGCGGCGGCGGCGGCGGCGGCAGTAGTGGGAGCGCCCCGGTGGTTGAAATAGTTTGAGCCGTTGTAGAGACCGACGCCCATGCATTGATCCACACACAGGTCGTCGTGGGACCCGTAGGTGGCGCCGTTGGGCATGCGTGCAATATCGCCGTCAGCCGATTGGTAGAAACCTAGGGACAGGTGGGCGCTGCTGCTCTGGGAATGCCTGTGGAAGGCATCGCCGTCCCCATTCCCATTCGTGGTCCCATTCCCATGCCAATTTCTGTTTCCATTTCCATTTCCATTTCCATTTCCATTTCCATTTCCATTTCCATTGCCATTGCCATTGCCCTCGCCATTTCCGTGGAGGCGGCTGGGGTGGCCGAAGGAGCCGTTCATCGCGATGTAATGCCGTAGTTCGGTCGGGCCTCAGAGGCTAGATTCGGTGATAGATTCGGTGATGGATTCGGGTGTCTCCCTTTGGCGAAGCGAGGACGGGAGGTGAGGCGAGGTGAGGCCAAACGGCGGCTCCAACAATCCTTTCCAATCAGGACAGCGACCCGGCGGCCAAGAAGCAAGCATACAGCACCGCACCACACCGGTCCTGGTCTCTGCCGATGGCTGCACTAGTGACAGTAATAGCGAGAGCGAGAGCGACTGCGACAGTCCCACGACGGGCGCACTGGGCGAGAGGCGGCTCAGTTCGGAGCATCCGCGTTGTTTAATTGAGGGAGGGACAAGCTATTATCTGCTGACGCTGGGGTCCTGCAAGTACTTGGCTGAGGACCTTGATGGCCTGGCCACTAACAGGCCTGGGAGGTACAGTGCTGTGCAGCGCGGCAGCGGCAGCGGCAGCGGCAGCAGGCAGCTGGGCGCATGTGCCAAGTTGCCCGCCCTGACAAATAAAACAGAGACAAAAAAAGGGCTCAATTGCAATGAACTACCTTATGTATTATTACACCGCTTCATCTGCACTGCATCTTGAGCCTGAGACGCCATCCTTCGGTCTGATTATATCCATCTCCTCGACCGTTTATTTTTGACCGATTCCCGCCCAAGCGTGAGGTCCTTGACATGGATTGGAAGTCAAGGCTCAACAAGCCAATGGCCTGTCACCGACGTGCGGTGGGGTAATTGGATTTGGGTCCGAGGAGCTTGGGCTCGGACCAACTCGATCGGGAATAGAGATGGGGAACAACCAACTGACAGAAGTTGTGGCTGAAACCCTTTAGCACTTGACGCCTTTGGCCGGCATTTTGAGTGATTGGCTGTGATGGGATGGATATTCAACTATCTAGGCACTAAACTTATACTAAATAATGTTTGAAATGCGTTTGTTACATTCCGAGGCCACCTATCTGTTGTGTCTTCGAAATAGGCCATGTACCTACCTGACAATACAATACGACGATTATCCAAACAGGGCAGCACGCTGTGTGTCAATACAAAAAGGCCACTTCAACCACGGGTTTGGGTCATGAAGTGCATCGGGCCCGGGGCGTGGGGTCGATACTACGAAATACCGTTGAACGAACCTCCCATCCAAAGAACCCCGCGCGTTTGGGCATGGCATGGCATGGCGGAGATACCACGCCACCCACCTAAGGGACCTTAGCTGCTAGCCAGCTTGTTCTACGCCTACTAGTAGGACGCTACTAGTAGAATACGTATGTACAGTACCTTATACATACATGCCGAGGAGGGCAGACGCGCACACAGAGAGGCTCGGCAAGCAGGCATCAGCCACCATCCCACAGTTCTTAACGACCGACCGGCGACCGGGAACTGAAATATATCCTCCATCTTTCATTCTCATCTCTTAGATTGATGGACTACTTTTGAGACGGAAATTTCTACTTACATTTTACATGTCAGGAACAAACAACTTCCCCCTTCCCCTCCTGACTGTCACAGCCTTAGTTGGTTTCGATCACTTGCTTCTTGCCAGGAACTAGGACCTATTCCATCCAGCCTCTCTGTTTCCGTCCCGCCTTGGCACACTTGACTCCAGCTAGACTGGCAACTGAGCCTTTTAGTCTCGACTTTGACCCTTGTGCCTTGTCCTCCCTCTTGTGACTTCAGAGCGGCACACACATTATTTCCCCGTTAATTCTTTCTCGTCACGCCCTGTCCGTTCGCCAACAAAACAACGACTAGAAACAAAAACCCAGCAACACCCGCCAACTCTGACAGATAATGGGAAACATATGCGGCAAGCAGAAAGCCGACCCGTTCGCGCAGCCGGGGCGCCGCCTCGACTCGGCGCCGGCCCAGAACACGTCTGCCGCTGTGCCGGCCTCGGTGACGGTGGGCTCGCCGGGGTCACCGAGCAGCCCCGGGCCCGTGTCGCCGTACCGCACACAGTCGTCGCCGACCAAGGTGGGCGGGCCACCGCGGACGCTTGGAGGCGGCGGTGCCAGCGCCGGCGGGGCGAGCCCGAGCGCCAGCGGTTCGGCCGCGCCTGACAGTCCTAGCGACGCGCGGAGGAAAGCCGCTGCCGCTGCCGAGGTAATTATGACAAACAAAAACTATAACTCTTTACCTATTCCACATGCACATGCATACGCAAAGAAGAGGAAAAAGAAATATGCTAACACCATCCGACCAGGCACGCGCAGCCCTCGAAGCGCAAAAGAAGAAAGGCACCGGCAAGATCAACAAGGCGTCGTCGCAGAGGCGCGACACGCTTACGGAGCAGCAGTTCAGGGAGGTGGACGAGAACGACCGCAACCTGCGGTACGACTAAGTCTACACTACCAACACTAACCTAAACGGCAATTCGTTTCCCAACGGGCCCCAGCTAGTCGGCCAGCCAGCGCAGCGCAGCGCAACGCAGCGAGCCCGACTACGTAGTTACAGCGGGTAGTTAGTCGGCAATTGTCTTGTCGGGAGAGAGCTGTTTCCCATCCATCCATCTTTTTTAATGATCTCGAAACGAAAACTTCCGTGGCGACGGGGCAGGCTTTCTTTCTCCTTCACACTTACATGCGCACACACGCGCAAACCCCTTAATCAATCGGCTGTGAAGATATCGAGGCGGCAAGGCGGCCTTTATCTTAGAGTGAGTGGCATCGGAGCGAGTTAAGGGAAAAGGCGGGGGTTTGGTCAAAGAAGAGCCTATAGTGAAAAGGGACATCTAGAAATGGCAGGTGAACGAGAAGGAGGAAGGGAAAGGCGAGACGAAGCACAACCACGATATGGAGCAACGTCCTTGTTGATATTGCCGCTCCATAAACTGCATGATCAACGATTCATGATTTATGATTCATGAACCAAACGTACACCTCACCTACCTCGACACACTGCCATTAATCTTGTTGCAGACCTCGTCCTTGGCGCTTGCCCGAGATGAAGGTTCGTCACTTTTACGACTTTTATTATTTAGAGACGGCTTACTGCACGTCTTCATCAGTACTCATGGATAAAAGACGCCGCCCTTCTGCCTGCTAGTGCAGGTCTAGTGTACAATGCGTCAGTCAGCAATCCAAAGTTTGAAACGAGCGAATACCTAAAGACAAAACTAACGCCAGACCAACACACTTGCGCCAATCCTCAGTAGAGATATAACTAGCTTCTTGAGTATACCGGTCGCTAGGTAACCAGGTCCCTGAAATGAAATGCCGGTAAAAATGAAGGCCCGCTCAATGGCTATTATGTGATCGTATATCTGCCGCTGGCTGGTGCGCGGTTCTCGGCGTCGGCAGCAGCGATGGTGCCTTCCTTGAGGAGTCGCGTGAGTTCCGCTAATGCGTTGCTGACCACGAGTTCCGTGTCTCCTTCGATGAGGATGTACAGCTTAGCCTCGCCACCAGGAGGCGGCTCCTTTCCAGGAGGATAGAAAGTGCCCTTGGTCGTAATCGAAGTACCGGTGGCTTCGAGAATCTTGGCCACGTTGGTGCGGTTAGTGACAGCCCAGCGAGCCTTCTGGGGGAAATCATTGATCTCGAGCGTCGCATGGAAGGCGCCGGCATCGGGACCTTTATTGTCGATCGGCTGGCCGGGGCGCAGCTGGCCGGCACGGGCAAGACGAGCGTTGATCTCGCTGATGGCCGACGCTGCCTTATCCAGGGCACCACCCTTGGCTACACTCGGGGCAGCGGCGCCGATCTTGGCAGTCGAGATCTTGATACCCGAGCTTTTGATAACTGGGCCCTTGGCGGGATCGGCATCAGCAGAGGATGTCGCCTTGGCCTCGGCTTCTTGTTTGGCCGCATCACGTGAGATAATGGCCGAAGCGGCCGACAGGGCGGCCGTCGTAGCCTTCTCCTTCTTCTTGTCCTCTTCCGCTTCGTCTTCCTTAAAGTCGTCCTCTTCGCCCTCTGCCTTGTGCGATTTGCGCTCGCGCAAGCGTGCAGCTTCTCGCTCCTTGTCGAGTCTCTCCAAGCCCTTGCCGCCAAAACCGCTGGCATCCTTGGCATTTCCGGACTTCACCTTCTCCCTCCAAGCCTTGCGCATTTCGTTGAGCCGCTCGGGAACAGGCTGGCCACTTTGTTCAAGCGCTTTGGCAATGCCGGGGGCGCAGTTCTCCTGATCCTCCGTTATGAAGGTGATTGCCGTGCCCATGTTTCCGGCACGCCCGGTGCGCCCGGCACGATGCACATAATCTTCAAGATGGTTAGGAGCGTCGTAGTTGATAACTAGTTTTAGTTGCCTGACGTCGAGGCCTCGAGCTGCAACTGACGTCGCAATTAGGATGGGGCAGACGCCTTTTTTGAAGTCCGAAATGGTCGAGTTCCGGTCTTCCTGGTCCTTTCCACCGTGGAGGGACATGCATCCATAGCCTCGCCGCAAAAGCTCGCGAAGAACGTCGTCGGCCTTCTCTTGCCTCTCGACAAAGACCAGCGAGCGTACGTCATCATCATTGGCGTACAGTTCGCCAAGAAGCTCAAGGAGGCGGACAAATTTGTCTTTTTCGTCCACAATCTCAACAGACTGCGTAATCTCAGGCGCTACGACACTGCGGCCGCCCACGGTAACTTCCACAGCGTCGTGAAGAACCTTTTTGGTCAAGGCATCAATGATCCTTGGCATCGTAGCCGAAAACAGAATTGTTTGGCGACCAGGCCGAACGCTGTTGCAGATCTTCATGACCTGAGGCTCAAAGCCCATGTCGAACATACGGTCCGCCTCGTCGAGAACAAGGTAAGAGACGCGCTTGAGGTTGGTGACGCGGCCCGCATTAGCTGCGAGGAGATCAATCAATCGCCCAGGAGTGGCCACGATGATTTCGGCGCCTCGCTTGAGCTCGGCAATTTGGTCTTTGATGGCATTACCACCATAAGCAGCAATCGCGCGAAGCTTCAACGCCTTCATAAACGGCTGCAGATCCGAGTGGATCTGGGTGCAAAGTTCTCGGGTGGGCGCCATTATCAGAGCAATGGGGCCATCATCGTTAGCTAACGGGTCTTGGTCCTTGATATGACGGAGCATAGGAAGGGCAAACGCCATCGTCTTGCCAGATCCAGTCTTTGCAACACCGATTACATCGCGACCTGACATGATGACAGGCAAGGCCTGCATCTGAATCGGCGTCGGCCTTTCGAAGCCGAGTCCCTCGATGGTATCCAGGATTGGTTGCGTAAGGCCGCATTGGGACCATTTCTGGACAGGCTTGGGGATATCCTTGCCCGAGACTTTGATGCCGTCCAACTCGAGTCTGAGCTCCGATGCCTCCTCTTCGGTCATCTGGGCCAGCTCGTAAGGCTCAACCCAGAAATTCTTTCGTATGGGGTTGAGGTTTATCTTGGAGTAGTCATGAAGGGGTATGTCCCGCTTCTTCTTTTTAGCCGCCAAGGCAAGAATGGAGGATGCGTCGGCGACTTCGCCCTTGTAGGTGAAATCTTCGTCGTCGCTGAAGTAGGCCTCGGGTGTAGGAACCTGTTTCTGGCCCGCTCGCTTGAGTGACTTGGAATTGAGGCCACCAACAGGCCCTGGCTGCTCTAGACCGGCCATGAAGGCATCAAGCGGGTCTACCTCTCCGTCGACGTCCATTTTGTCATCCTCTACGATATCTTCCTCTTCTATGTGCTTTTCTCCGTCCACATCCATCGCCATGCTGTCCTTTTGAATTTGCTCCTCCCGTCGCTCGTGGAGGATGCGGTAAGCTTCTGCTGCATCGGCTTCGTTCTGAGCCAGCAGAACGTCAAGGTCCTCATCCGCGTCTTCTTCGACACCGGTATACGGGGTGTCGTCGGTATTCTCCAGGGCAAAGTTAGGAAGCTTGACGAGTTTGCGCTTGATAATCTGCTCGTCGTTCATGTCAAGCTTGCGCTTGGCCGGCTTCTGGGTTTCAGCAGTCGTCTTCTGGAACCCGAAAGTACTAATCGCTCTATTTGCTGGAAGCAGCCCAGCGGGCTTCTCCGGGCCACGATAACCACTTCTAATGCCGACGGTAGTCGCCCCGGCCGTAACAAATTTCACATCGCCCAACTTTGCTGGGGGCGGAGATCGAGCGGCTTTGTGCCTAGCGAGTGCCTTGGGGTCAAACTTCCCGACGTAAGGAGCCGAGGTTGCTGGAGCTGGCGACACTGCAGCCGGGCTCGAGGGGGCGGGTGACGGCTTAGCGGAGGGACTAGTTGTGCCGGTGGCTCTCTGGTCCATCTCAGCTAGAAGCCGCCGGGTGGCTCCAGGAGTAACATCAGCCTCTTTGGCTTCCTTCAGAGCATGCTTTTCCTTCATGGCCTGCAGCTTGCGAAGCCGCTCGGCCTTTTTATCCGCCTCTGACTGAGGTTGGGTCGGTGTGGACTTAGCTGGCTGTGGGGGCTGGAGAGTGTCAGCGAGATTCTTATATGACTAATGCATGGTGACTTGGGCGTGGAGCCTCGATAGAAGGCTTGAGCTGCAGGGATTCGACATACCTCTAGATCTTTTGGAGTTGCGGCATCCGGTTTCCGCTGGGCACGCAGGCGGCCATCGTCGCCACGGCGGGAGCCTGAATCAGCCGTACCCTCACGACGACTGGGAGGGCGCTCGCGGGAATCATCTCGCCTGCTCCGGTAGTCTCTACCGTCTCGGTCTCGGCTTCGGTCTCTCCGTCGATCGGTGGAGCGAGCTCTGTCCTGAACCCTGTCGCGTGATCGAGACCGACGACGGTCGCGATTGTTGCCTACATCCCGGCGTGGGCCACGGTAGTAATCATCGTCTCGACGGTCTGTGGAGCGATCTCTTCGGCGATATGAGTCGTGATCTCGGCCACCGCCGCCACGGCCACGGTCGCGGTCCCGTTGGTCACGATAGCGACGCTGCGGGGTAGAAATAATGTTAACAGACGGCACCAAGGGTGTGCGAGGATATGGATTGCTGCCATTACTTACGTCTACCGGGCTGCGAGAGCGCCGTCTGTAGTCGCGAGGAGGAGGGGGTCCATCGCGGCGGTCGCGATCGCGACGCTCGTCATCTTTCCGTTTTCGCGCAGTGTGACTTCCTGCAGGAGATGGTGAGCGCGAGTCCTTGAGCCGAGCCATACTGCGTATGGTGACGGTGGCTCGGAAATGTGACTGGTGATGAGAGTACTTTCTGCGAGATTCCAGGTTTTGTCACTAGTTTGGTTAGCGGGCCAGTTTTATCTCTCTCATGCTGTCGCGATCGTTTCGTTGAGAAAAGGCAGAACGCGATGTAAAAGTTTGACGAAGAGAAGGCAGGCCAAGGCGTGAGTGTGACTGCTGGTTCTGGGGCGACAAAGTGGGCCCAGGTGGTAGCAGTGTGGGTACGATGTGATTTTCGGTAGTTGCACTGTGCAGCAATGTCCTAGGTTTTACGGAGTAGCCACCTAAGCCACACCACACAGTAAGAATTGATATCAACCAATGGCGAGCCATTTTCTAAACTACCTACTAATAAACGGGCTCGATCGTCTTCACACTGCCAGTCCGGAATGCATATTGCAAGGTACCTTAGGTACCGGGCCACCTACGGATAGATACCTGAAGATCTCAAGCAGTGCAGGCGACGATCGTACTACACGGCGGTGTACACTAGGAGCCGCAGGACCGGATCTTTCCCAAGCTCCAATGACTGGGCAGTTGACTGTCTGATCAGGTTGGCAGTCGCAAAAGTTAGGTGGGCACCTAAGGTACCTTAGGTAAGTAGGCCTATTAGCTTTCCTTGGAACCGTTTGAAGTAACCGACTTGTATAAAAGGTAAATCCAGGCCGATATCATCTCGGCGTCTCCTTAACCCGTGTAAGGATTCGTTACCAAGAACGAAGAGTAGGCTGTAAGCTTTCCAGGGCTAAGATACCTATGGCTGCCATCTCCACCTTTCGCATTTTCGAGTCGGCGATAGGCATCCTTCAGGTAGACCCGGAAAATGGACTCTAGCGGCGTAAAACATAAGGTAGACACAATTCTCAGCCACGACGGCGACGTGGTACAGCCATGATGAATGTACCCTTTTCCGTACGGATACTTCAGCGGTGATCTCAGAAATGCTACTACAGTACGGTGTACCTCTCGCAAATTCGCCTGTGCGCACTGGCTGGCTGGCAGAAAGGTTGGTGGTGCAGCTCAGCTCAGGAAAAAAAAACAGGGGTGGTTGGAGTTGGAGGTCTGAAGCAGGAGCTTGGGCGCATGTCTATGCATAATAAATAATAACACCCCCGGTAATCTCCTCACACATTTCAACCTCGCATCGACCCCGGAAGACCAAAAAAGAAGCACTAGAAGCAGGAGAAGCAGCGCTCAGCAGCAATAGCCTCTCAATTCAAACATCAACATCCCGACGATCCCGCTGAGCCGGAGCCGGAGCCGCCATGTTGACTGCAATCGGGCTCGCGGCCGTCCGGCACCTTCGCGCCAACGTTGGCTCGTCGCTCCACAGGAGCGCAAATGGCGTCGTCACCTCGCGGGCTGCCCTCCGATCCTTCGCCTCGACTGCCCTCCGCTTCGAACCTGTCAAAGCACCCGTGCAACCGAAGGCTGCCGCTCCTGCTGCTGGAAAAACGAAGGCGGCCTCGCCAGCGACCGGGGAGAAGACAGCTGGAGCAAAGGCGACAAAGGTTACGCCAGTGACGCGCAAAAAGCGGGTGCCGACAGACGCGCAGAAAAAGAGACTCGCGGAGAAGAAGGTGAAGGAGAAGGCTAACCTAGAGGCGAAGAGACAGAAACTCGCAGAGAGAAAGGCGAAGGAGAAGGCGAGACTAGAGGCGAAGAAGCAGAGACTCGCAGAGACAAAGGCGAAGGTGAAAGCAAAGCTAGAGGCACAGAAAAAGCTTCTCGCGGAGAAGAAGCTGAAGCCGCCTGCAAAGCGTGAGCTGGTCGCAAAGTCGCTCGTGAAAGTCGAACCAAAACCTCGCATCGTCAGTCCATGGACAGTGTACATTGCCCAGCAAACAAAGGGAGATACATCGGAGCATGTACTTGGCCGGGCGGCTGAACTGGCCCCCAAGTACAAAGCCTTGCCGGCAGCGGATCGGAAAGTGAGTCTTCAGTTGATTTTCTGCGTTGGGTGAAAAAGAACACCCCAGGCCCCCCCCCGGCAATACCGCTGCCTCCCCTCTTACTAATCGTCCATATTTTTCCTGCCCCAGGCTCTTGAAGATGAAGCGGGACAGACCAGAGTTGCTTCCGTGGCCAATTACAAGGCCTGGGTCGAGTCGCACACCATCGGCGAGATCAAAGAAGCCAACGCCGCCCGCAGGAAACTGAACAAACTATATAAAAACTCGGACGATGAAACGGACGCCATCAGTCTCATCCATGACACCCGTGTTCCCAAACGGCCCAAGAACGCCTATCTTCTCTTCACACAATCGCGCAGGGAGGAATTACTCGGCCAGGGGGTCTCTGGGACAGATGCTGTTGCTCAACTGGCTCGCGACTGGAACGCACTAAACCAGTCGGGACGGCAGGTATGTTTATATTCATCGTTGCTTCAAGAATCAGAATCCCCCCCTTGGGGACGGCTTTCCCTCGCTCCAAGGTCTTGACAGCCGTCAAACTGACTTATGTGTTTCCATTAGCCCTACGATGCTCTAGCCAAACTCGATTTGGAGAGGTACCACGTAGAGATGAAAGCTCTCGGGCTCAGGGTTAGAGAAACCTCGCCTTGAAACGTTGGTGGACTTGCCCGCGGTTGACTGTTACGCCATCGGGCGTGAAATTTTGTAACATTGCTTAACCGAGTCTCACGACATCTGTCTTATTTGTCTCCCCTTCCCTTCCTAGGGGAGGGAGGTTCGGCGGTCCTGCTGCTTACAGTTGGACACACGGCTCTCCGGAACGGTATTTGTACTGTACAAAACTCGTGTACTTCCAAGCTGGTTGTGTTTTTCAGTGGTTTTCTTTTTTTTTTGGCCGTGTCGCAGTCTTTGTCCGTTCCGCCCTTCCCGCCCGCCCGAAGTTTTGTACCTACATGGAACAGTTTCCTCTCGAGTGTGTAACTATATTCCCTCCCTGTGCCGGGTTGATTGGGTTTCGCGATTACGTGTGTCTGTCCGGCGTCCCAAGATATCACTGTTCTGTCCTGTACCGCAAGGAAGCCTAAGCTCCCTCGCATGTTGAGCATGCGGCTAGTTCCTTCATTTATCGGTTCTACTGCGGTGTACTCCTAAGAGGCACTAAGGGACTTTTAAGGATGAGGGGGTTTTCTTAGATAGAAATTATGAAGACTCAGACTCGCAGTACCGAATGAGGAACCATACTTCTCCGAATTGTGACTGTTGCTCTGTCTGCTTGGGTCAGTGTTGAACTCAATCAAAGCAATCGTGATTGTGATGACTACATAACTAATCCGACGTCGTTATGAGAACGGAAGAACTCGAGAGAGTTCCCAACTACCGCCTTGGTCTCGAGGTTTTGCAGCGCTGAGGACAGATGATATTGATTGTAATCTCCATTAATCCATTTATAATCAAGAGTGATGGGTAAGGATGGCCCATTATTATTTAGTCAAGGAGACTCACGCGGCATGGGCATCTCACACAAGGGAGTGGGCAACATTGTTATTTTGGTTATTTTGTAATATCTGCGTCATGTTTTCGCCCAACCCAACCAGGCCCCCTCCCCTCCCCAAATTCCCGGCTCACGATGCTATGGATAAAGGGGATCAAAAAAGACCTGTGCCTCCCTTTCCCGATCGCTTGCATCATGCCATGCTGAGACTACGCGCCATGGCATGCTCAATACACCAGAAACGCCTATAAAAAACCCCCCGAGTTGATGACGATGAAAAAGGAAGAGGAAGAAGACCTGCAAAGGGCCTTGATAAAAGGGGCGAGTTCCGTAAATCAAGAACCCCTCCCCAATAGTTAACGCTCTGCCTGGGCCCGAGCACCCATCACAATGACAGGCTTGCCGTCTGCGGCGATCCATTTTGCCCCCGTGTAGACGATCTTGCGCTGACTCATGATGTATAGCAGCAAATACATGTGGCCGGCTACGCAGCCCCAGCAGTACAGCCGAATCCAGGAAAAGGCGGGATCGCGTCGACATACGGCGCCCCACCCGGCACAGCCCTCGCCCAAGTAGTTGATCATGAATTTCCATGAGGCGTGCTTCAGGGAGAGATCCCATGTAGTGCAGTCAAGCAGCCAGTAGCCCCTCTCGAAAGGGCGCAGGTCCCGGGTCTGCGATGCTGGCTTGAACCGCCTCTCAAGGTTCAGATCGCGCGCCATCTTGGCGAGTATCTCGGTCACCATGTTTGCCGGGTCCAGTTCTTTGATTGAGGCGGGCGGGGCCGGAGATATGATCTCGAGGCCTAACTTGTCTAGGCTTTCCTGCGTGGTTGCCACCCTCTGCTGCCGCTGCCGCTGTTGCCGTTGCTGCAGCTGCGCCGATGTCTTTGCCCGCGGGCCAATGTCGCTGGAGCTGCGGGCCAGGGGCTTACCGGAGTCCGGGTCAGGCGACGAGCGTCGAAGGCGTTTGGACGGAGGCGGCTCTGATCTAGCTCGAGATGATGACTGACACTCACCAGTTTGTGTGTCGTGTTGTTGGGACGGGTATGAAGACTCGATACGAGTTTCATCGACGCGGGACGTGGGTGTGGGCGCGGCAGGAAGACGGCGTTTGATATCGGTAATAATGGGAGACAGTGGAATAATGGCGAAACGGCGTTCTTCGTCAGTGTTTGGTACACAACTATCGCCTGCAGTTGACGGCAGCGATGATGATATCGGAGGTGTTTGTGCCAGCCTTTGTTGCGAGGTTGGGGATGTAGGTAACTCCTCAGTAGTATCTGTAGCTCCTTTTCGTGGTATGTCTTGGCCCCTCGTTGTCACGAGCGATGACATAATAATAGTTGGTGGCAAGCATTTCGGCTGATTGTTGTTATCATCCTGGCTTGTGGGATGATGCTGGCTTACGGGATAGCGCTGGCTAGCAGGAAAGGCGGCGCTGGAGGGCTGGGAGGTTTCCGGGCCATCGCTACCAAGGGACCATGAAGCAAGCGGGTGCTGCTGTGCCTGCGCGAGCAGAGAGTGGTCGGACTGGGTACTGTTGAGCCTATGAAGAAAGTGCTCGAGAATCCTCGTTGGCGAGCAGTACTGAGAAATTGCCAGATTGTTCTCGGGGAGGGAATCGGGCACGACACTCGGGGGAGTGTGCCACGATGGCTCTATTTGGGAGGATTTGGTATCCATATTTCCATTTCCAGGCAGCCGTCGTAGGGTTGGTGAGGAGATATTGTCCAACACGCTCCGGAATGACAACTGCGGTGAGTCCATCACCGCCGGCCCTGTCGCCGTGAGTGCAGACACATCGTTGTTTTGGGTCGAGGGCACCTCGTTGTTGCCGGCGCCGACCCTGGTTGACAAGCCGGAGCCGAGAAAAATCGATGTCCGAGCTCTGGGCTGAAAGTTCAAGTATGCGCCAGCCAACACTCGGTATCGCGCATCATCAGCAGCTCTTGCTGGCGCGGCGATGTGAACTAGAATCTCTGTCTCGGGCCTTCTAGTACTCATTACCCCTAGCAATGCGCCAGTCCGCCAGTCCCAAGCTAGAGCCAGGGCCAGAGCCAGGGCCAGGGCCAGCCAGGGCCAGCCAGGGCCATTTGAAGATGAGGGAAATGAAAAAGAAGCAGAAGAACGTTCCTTCCGCTTCTAGCTCAACGGATTAAGTGTTCTCGGGATAAGATATGTAAGTTAGAGATGCTGTAGTGAAAGATCCCGAGAACTCAAAACATAAAAATGTAGAGTGCGCTGGCGCAATGCGTAGGAAAGAAATCACAATCCAACATGAAGAGTAGTGGGAATCAACGAAGATGCCCGTAAGCGGCAGTTACGCATAGGCCAAGCTATGGTGCCTACCGTCCGTCCCGTGATCGACTCAAAGCCAGGACCTGAGGTATAAAGGGTAAGGTAGCCACGTTCCTTGGGCGACAGCCGACGGAGACGCGGTTTGCGATGCGACAGGCGATCGTTGAAGAATCGCGGGGACCAAATAAGGCTCCCCCACTAAAACAGTCACATTGTTCCAAAAGTCGGCCGCTGCCCGACCCCCCGCAACGGCTGGGGCCATGGGGGACCTCGACAGGGTGCGAAAAATAATTAAATTGCCTGCATCTCCGTACACCGATGGATTTTTTGCTCTACAGACCCCGGTCCCGGTTAAACTCGCGTATCCTCCCAATGGAGGTGAGTGAGCTGAAGCTACAGAGAACGGACCTGACGACTCATGAGTGACATCGCAAACCTGAGCTGAGCACAACCAGTCCTCAACATTATCCACACTGTTGATAGCAATTGACGTCCCAATCGCAACTAAACCAGACTCGCTCAGCCTTGCAAGCACAAACAGACCCACGATCCCGACAATGAGCTCCGAAAAGAAACCGAATCTCGGGTCCGTGGCCGTGATTGGCGGGTGCGGGTTCCTGGGCCACCACGTCGTCCGCCTGCTGCTGCGCGACTACACGTGCTCCGTGTCCGTTGTTGACCTGCGCTGCACGCGCAACCGGCGGCCAGACTCGGACGGCGTGACGTACTTCGAGGCCGACATCACCGACGCCGCTAAGCTCGTATCGATTTTCGACAAGGCCCGCCCAAAGGTGGTCATCCACACCGCATCGCCCGCCGCACAGTCCAACGACAAGGTCTCGCACGCCCTGTTCAAGAAGGTCAACGTCGACGGCACTGCCGCCGTCATCGAGGCGTGTCGCAAGACAGGCGTCACGGCCCTGGTCTACACAAGTTCTGCCAGCATCCTGAGCGACAACAAGAGCGATCTGATCAATGCCGACGAGCGATGGCCCGTTGTTCGCGGTGAAGACCAGAGCGAGTACTACTCAGAGACTAAGGTAAGAAACGAAGGATCTACCGCGCCCAGCCTTGGCCCGGGAAGCGAAGCGAAAACCCAACTAACCACTGTTCTTTTTGCATCTGTAGGCTGCCGCCGAAGAGCTCGTCCTGGCCGCTAATCGGTCGCCCGAGTCGCCCAGGCTACTGACCTGCTCCATCCGGCCCTCGGGGATCATGGGCGAGGGGGACACCATGACGTTGTACCACCTCCTCAACATCTACAAGCAGGGGCGGACGAACGTGCAGGTAGGCGGCAATGACAATATGTTCGACTTCACCTACGTCGAGAACGTAGCGCACGGGCACCTGCTTGCTGCGCGCGCCCTCCTGGCCACGGCCGCGAGCAGCACGGTGCCGCTGGACCACGAGCGCGTCGATGGCGAGGCGTTCCTGATCACCAACGACACGCCTGTCTACTTCTGGGACTTTTGCCGTGCCGTCTGGGCCGCCGCCGGCTCGCTCCTCGGCACTGACCACGTCTGGGTCCTCCCGCGCGGCGTCGGCATGGCGCTGGGCTACATGAGCGAGGTCTTCTTTTCTATCATCCGCAAGCCGCCCACCTTCAGCCGCCAGCGCATCGTCTACAGCTGCATGACACGCTACTACGACATAACCAAGGCCAAGAAGCGGTTGGGATACCGTCCGTTGGTGAGCTTGGACGACGGTATAAAACGTTCCGTCAAGTGGACGTTGGAAATGCAGGCGAAGGAGGCAAAGGAGAAGAAGTGAGGGCGCGGTGTGCAACTGGCGGGTTTTTTCTGGTACTGTGGCGCCGAATTCGGGGCGTTTACGTTTCAATCACCGGTTTTCTTTTGCAAAAAAAAAAAGATTTATTCCTCATGCCAGCAGCCGGGCCTTGATACCTATTAAGTCTAGATGCAAACGAACACGTTGGGCTTGTACTTTACCTTTTGACATAATAATAATGAGGGCCGGGAAGTTTGTTCATGGGCAGGGAGTACGTATATCTATGGCGGAGCAGGTCCATCTTCAATTTCCGACTCTCGATTTCTTCTCCCTGGGCTGTATGTATGTATCACTTCGCGAAGAGGAGAGTAGGTAGGTAGGTAAATCCTTTTGTATTCGATCTCTCTCTCTCAAAGTCCGGTCCCTACCCGGCTGCTATCCAACTTATTCCTTTTTTCCCTTCCCATCCCTTCCCATCCCGTCTTCTCCCCTGCCTTCTACCTTTCTTAGCATGCTGTACTCAACGAGCCTCACCCACTACGACCACGACCATCACCATCACCATCACCAACACCATCACGAACAAGTCATCATTAAAGAACATAAGTCCCTCCCGAAAAAAAGATAAATATAGAACCAAATTGATATCCGGTATTTTGTTATCGAGGAAAAAGAAAAAAAAAGAAAAAAGTGAGATACAATACGCAAACCGTTTCATGAGAAGAGAAACTCACAAACGTAAGGCAAAAGCCACAGGACAGGTAACTCCACAGCAAGCCAACAAAAGAAGAAGAAAATAGCTCTTCTTCCCACTTTCCGGTTATCTCCTCATCCCTCCCCTATTCCTCGCTTCCGACCCCTTGGTCCCCCCATCGGTCATCCCCCTTTTTGCTTCCTCCAAGCATGGTGAGACAATACCAATTCAGCCCACCAACCCAGAGAGGGCGAGGAAAGGCTCGGATTCATAGCATTCCATCCTCCTCCTTTTCTCGTCCTAATTTCCTTTCCTTTCTCACACTATCGACACCACCCATTCATTCCTCGACAAAAAAAGGGGAGCTAGTAACCAACGGGGATAAACAAGTCCAATAAAGCGAGAGGAGCGGAGAAAGTCGGCCGTAGCGTACGAAGAGAAGGGGGGGGAAAGGTGATAGGTTCAGAGCCTCCTCTTATGGAAAAGAAAAGAAAAATAATAGAGCGCTCAAAAAGAAACAATAATAAAAAGGAGACAACGCCGTTTGCCATTTCATGCTTGCATTATACCCTCCACGCCCAAAACCAGGCTCCCCAGAATATTCCCATGGTGAGTTGCGGTAGGAAGAGACCCGGGAGTGGAAGTTATGAATTCAGTCAGTCGGATAGACGAAACAGAGCCCAAACTTCAAAAGAAACCTTCATCGCCATGGGTGAGTGACCGGGGAAACAGAAAAAAAGGAAGAAACAAAAATCAAGATAGTGTGACCCAGCACGTAAGGGGTATCTCCATGAACTTCCAAAAAGCACAATGGGCTAGATGCTTCCAGTCGTCAGCCCGCCACTATTCTGCCTGCCCCACGCTCCCGAGTTACGCCATTCTTTGCGGGGTTGGTTGTTGTTCCGCTCGCCGTTCTCCGGTGTCCCGGTCCGTTCGAACTGGCCATAGGGGGAGTGGTGTGGCGGGGGTGCTCCGCCGCTGCCGTCGTACGGACCTCCTCGCCTCGACTGCGGTGGCGTCCCCTGCGGAGTGTTGGAATAAGGGGCTGGTGGTTGATCCTGGACTGGTCGGACGCTGCTCTCCTGCTGCCATGCCGACGGGTCTGTTTCTACCCTTCTAGGCATCGGCCGGCTCATGTTATCATGGCGCCCCGAGCCCTCGGTAACCTCGACAAATTGTCGCGGACCCCGGCCGTTTGCGGCGCGGTCAGAAAATATTTTCATGATCTCCTTTGTTGTTATGTCCTCCGCTTTGGTATTATTTGACACAACGTTGGGGTCGTTCAAAACATCGGCCAAATCATCAGGGACCTGTAGGGTAGATGTAAGTAAAACGTAGCACTTTGGGTCGGAACACGACCTAAAAACCTACAATGCACATCTCCTGGATGTTGGTAATGAGTATGTCCACGGCCTCGATGGCATACATTGGGTCGCTGTCGAGGCTTGACATCTTTACCCGATCATAGAGAACGTTGGGGGCGATTACGGTGGCAAGATTCCTGATGTCCATCTTGGACCCCACCTCCTCATCAACCTGGTGGAACGAGCCAGCCCACTTTAGAAACACGAACAGAATCTCCAGGCAATCGCGGTGTGTCTTGGGAAGAAGACAACATGCCAGGTGAAGACAATGACGCTGCTTTTCCTCGTCCTGTATCTTCGCCGCCGATAGCCAAAGCCGATAGAGTTTATGCGTCAACAGCGGGTCGGGTAGTTCCCGGAGGTATCGCTTCAGGAGGGCAGCCACCTGGAGGACATGGATGCCGCTGAGGTCCACATTGCCCTCCTTGTCGATCTTTTCGCAAAGCTCGCCAAGCTTCCTGATGTTACCGTTTTTGCGGAAGACACCTTCGACAGAGAGATCCATCTGCCTCATAGTCGCCACAATGTCGTCGACAATAGCGGGGATTCGAAGGGTGCCGGGGCCCACACCGTCCGTAGACTCGGCTCCATCTCTCTCGACAATAACATCCAAGGGCACCCCGAAGACGCCCTTCTTTTTGACGGCTTTCTTCGTATCAGCCTTGAAGGCTTTGCCGATGTTTTTCCAGAAGGTTTGTGGTTTCTTGGTCTCGATCAAGGCAAGCAAGTCTTCCAGTGAGAAATCTGCCTCAACCATAGGATGCATGGTAAGGACGGCAAGGTGCCTAACGATGAAATATTCAAGGCCCGACAGCTCCGAGAAGTATTTCCGGCGCTGCGGCGATGGCTCTCTCGCGCCTCGTGGGTCTAGGCCGCGGCTGTCTGAGTAACTCCGCTGGTGGCCGAAGCTCGCGCCTCCGGCTCCAAAAGCGGGCTCGGTTGCTGGAGACCGGAATAGTTCTTGCCGGGCCGGCGGGTATGGCCTCTGCTGCTCTCTCGCTTGCTCGGCAGCAACGATTCGGGGTATGTCATCTAGGGTCAACGCCTCTTGGTGACGGAGCATCATATCCCCGGCGCCCTCGTCGCCAGAACCCCGCTCCTCCACAATCTGGAAGCCTCTGCTGACGCCTCCGTCCTCAGCACCGGGACCAGCGCCTGCAGAACCTGGCCTAGCGCTGCTGCTCTCAGGCCCATCCATAATCCGAGAAGTCCGGGCTTTCCTAAAGCTCGACGAAAGGTGCTTATCCATGCGGGTGCTCTTCAACCGGCGCACATCATTGAGAGCGCTCTCATAGGACGACTCCCGGTGGTGCTGCGGATACTCACCACCATATGACTTGGATCGACGGTCCCCTACAGGTTGGCCGTCAACAGAGTTGTAGCCGTTAGAACTCGGGTCGTCGTCGTTGGAGGGGATGGAGCCATTGCTGCGAAGTATCTCCAAAAGCCTCGCTAGCGCTACTTGTAGCAGGTAAATGTATTGCTGCAGCTTGGAAACCCGCTCAAATGGTGGCAGACTCCCAGAGGCGTGAGACTCGCACTCGTTGCAAAATATCTTGGAATCGTAGAGGTTTAGGCGCGCATCTTGGAGATTCCGCCCGAGTTCCTTGCTGCAGCGGGAGCAATTTGTGCAAACTACATGCCACCGTTTGTCGCCATTCTTGACGCATTCGTCCTCGATGGGTTTCAGACACAACGCGCAATGATCAGAGTCGTTGGCCGAGAGCCGCGACATGCCACTTGACAACTGTAGGGTTGTGGTTGAGTTATCCTCGGTCTTCAGGGCCTCGAGATCGCTGAGGTCCTCCAGAAATTGGTAGAGGCCCTCGGGTGTCTGACGCTCTTTCTCTATACGCAGAGCACCCTGGAGGCAAATGCGGATGAGGAGCTTAAGGTAGTGGGCGAGGCCGGTGACTAGAGTCAGCAGCTCTTGAGTGACGCCAATCTTACCCCCGCTGGGGTCCTGGGCTTTTGATAGCAGCGAAAAAAAAGCCACAATCTTCTTGCAAAGAAGCTTAGCTTCGCGGCCATAAGACAGGCCTGGATTGTGTTAGCACAAGCTACAATCCTCATCAAGTTCATAGGGCTCGCCCCCAAAAGGTTATTCTCACCTCTCATATCCAGCCGGGTGATGGTTGAATCGAGTCTGTCAGCCGACTGGAACAGGATATCAACATGCCAGATGAATTTCTTAGCAACCATGACACCGTCGACATAAGCCCCATTGCTCACATGCAGGAGCATGTCTGATATACAGGCAGCCGAAGACTCTTCAAACGTGGAGAGCACGCTCCAGATGCGGTACACCTTCTCTTCCATGCGCTCCTCTTCCTCCCGGACATGGTCGCGCCCGGCATGGTCGTCCTTAACCGGGTCGAGCGAGTCAGGCGGGGGATTGAGCCGCACATTCCAGAATTTGTGAATCATGTAGCATTCTGGATGCCAGTGTTGATTTTGACCATTGCGGAATATCTCGACAAACTGCTTGAGAATGGAAGTCCGGCAACCGCTGCATCGCTGAGCAAACTGGGTCGAGTAGTGATAGTGGCAATACACCTGGCCTTCATGCTCGTAGTAGCTGTCCTGGGCTCCAAAAATTGTCGGGCATAGAGAACATGTGAAGTGGTCGACGTGGTATTTACGGTCGAGGGCCGTGATGTAAGACCCGCGAAGCGCTCCGCCGCACTGGTGGCACAGCAAGCCGAGCCGGCGAAAGTAGTCGGTCTCGCAGAGCGGGTACTGGCCTCCGCCGTTCTCGTCGTCCGCTGGGAAGAATTTGGAGGCTACGATTTGCCCACAGTCCTGATCAGAGGGTCAGCATGTGTGCCACAAGGCCCGGGGGGGTACAGTGACTTTTGCGAGTCGGTAAACTTACGCGGCACTTGAAGCAATCCAAGTGGAAGGTTCCGTCCAGCGCGCGCACAAACTGGCCCGTCAACGGCTCTCCGCATTTCTTGCACGTCCGTACCTGACCGCTAGCTGTTCTAGAGCCGCGGATCCTTGGCCGGTTCTGTTCGCCGCTACGTCTCGACTCTGGATCCGTATCCCCGGCACTGAGGGCGGGGGAGGCGGGCGGGCCCCTTCCAGGCTGGCCGCCGCCGTGCGCTACATTATGGCGGGATGATGTTGGAGTAAGGTTGTTATGATCGTGGTCGTAGTGAAATGACGATGCATCGCCGCCTTGCTGGTTGCCGCGCCCCCAGTCGCCGCCCGGGTCGCCGCCGTAGTCGGACCCTGGCCCTGCCATGGTGGGGACTGTTGTTTTGATCCCTAGCGACCAATCTCTATTCATGGACCGCAATCATGGAATCTCTCTGGTCGACGTTGCGCCTCGGGTCGCAGATGAGACAAGTCGTTGCTGGCGCGCGAGTCGAGGGCGGGGATGCTGTGCGAAGGAGCGGGAGCGAGAGCGAGGTCTCGACATCAAGTGGTCGAAGCACAATAAAGGAAAGGACGAGAGATTGGAAGGAAACTAAACCCCGAAACGGTCGCGGTAGCGGGGAGAAGTAGTGCCCGAGGTCGTGGCCGTGATCGTTGGGTAAATGAGGGAAGATTTATTGTACTGTATTGAGGACGGCGACAGTAACGAAAACAATTGTCGTGGTGTGGTGGATGGGGCCGATGGACAATGACGGGAGATGGGGGCGGGCGGTCGGTCGGTATTCTCGAGTCGACCCTCTGCAGCCGACCACTTCAGCCGGGGTTCGTGCGGGACAGCTGACGAGCGGCGGGCAAGTACAGTCGCGCGAAACCGAAAGTGTAGCGTTCCGGCGACTTGGTCGGGCTAGTCTAGACGGTGGGCTGGATTGACGGGCAAGAACCGGAGGTCACTCAGGACGAAGGTTTTAGTGAAGGTTGGGTGTGCTTAATGGGGTGGGCGGCTGTCCAAGTCTGATATGGTTGACAGCGCTGAAGCGATCGGCAAGCCCGCGCCATTAGCGGAGACGGTAATTTCCAGCTTTCTGGCGTCCAAGTTGGGCCTGGCACGCCAGTGAGCCTAAGGACCTGCTAGTGTTACCGTCTTGGTGTAAATACCAAACAGTGGCGCGCCGGTTCGACCTACGTTGCCCAAACCAGGGAAAGGCGCAGGCTGGTATTGTACGATAAGTGGAAACACTAATAAATCAGAGCAATGTGCAGCAGGACCGGTCGGCGTGCAGTGGGATTGGATATCGACAGGAATGTCGGGCAATCTGAGGTCGGGAGCGAAGCATTCAAACAACAACTAAGGTTAGGTATATACTACTGCACAATACACAATACATTCCCTTCGATACCTTCCATACCTGTTTCACCTTAAGTTACCAACATCCCTTCAGACTCTATGGATAATCATATCTGGAGGTCCTATTATCTCTGTATGATCGGGTACGGATATGTATCTTGCCTGAGTAGAGCATTCAAGGCCTACCGAAGAGACGCGGGCTAGGAGCTGGGAATGGATGAATCAATAATCATGCAGCGAGCCCCGAGAATGCCAAAGGGGTCTCCATCGTTCCGACGCCAAGTTTTCCTTCTGCAACTTGCCTGCCCGCTTCTTCCATTGGGTATCAATGGGATACACGAGCACTTGTTTAGTTGCTAGTTCGGTTCTAGCGACGGTGTCCCGGCCCAAATACGAGAACTTGACAATCTCGAAGCTAGAAGAGCAACTTTTGGATAGATTAGGGAAAGGAAGTTATTATCAAAAAGGTTTCCCCCAGCACCTACATGTTCCATGTTTCAGGGCAACCTATCGATATTTCGTGGAGATACTCCGTACAACCTGCGGAAATGCGGTATCGCGCTAACAATTAGGTTATAAAGCAGCCCAGGGCTGGAGTGTAGATGCAGCGACGTGATGCACAATGATTTCAGCCCTTCCACCTCGCCGTTCTTCAGTCCAAAAGCTGAACGAAACTGCATGCTCGAGTCTCGAAAGTCCCCTACTTGGGTAAGGTACGGATACCTGGTATTCGTAGTTCCTTCCTTGAAGGGATGGTATATCACTTTGGGCCCTGCTTCCCTCGCTTCTGATATCGTTGGTAATTGATTCTCAGTTTGTTTGGATTTCGTCACTCATTCTGACACACTCATACACTACTGACCAAGGTTGATGGGAGCATCAAGCTGCAGGTGGGATGGGCCCCCAGCATGCAGTCTTGTCCTCCCGCCTAGCCTTAATCAAGACGTGAAACACAGCCTCTCTCTGACCGCTTATAGGTCTTACTGTGCACTTCATTTGCTAACAGTACATGCGGCCTAGATTTTGCGTGCTATGAGATGGAAGAGGTTGCGATCTCACGCAGAACCTCAAAAGGGTGTGTCAGAATCACTGCCTTACTTAAGGGGCACATTCACAGAGTGTGCCTCAAACGAAAAAGGTGTATACATGTACCTTACATACGGATACAGTGCAGCACCTTCCCACCGGCCTACTTTCCCTCCCTGGATTCGTTCAGTTACGACTTCCAGGTATCCGTAATCAGGGTCCAAAACCATATCCAGTGTGTACATCAAGACACCCAACAGCTGTTTGTCTTCTGTAATGACCTAACAACAACATAAACATACTCAGAACATCTCGACGGGTCTTATTTTAGCTACAAACTCTGAGCACATGTGCGCACCAAATTCACTTCCGAGTCGCAAATGCAACCTAACATGCCTTACCTTACATACATACACACAAATGACTGCAGACAAGATCAAACTCGAAACTCATTATTCAGCCCATCCATCCCAACGGCCCACCTCACAATTCAGCCTTGATTCGTCCAATCACCTCTACCTACCTTACCTCCATGCCTTTCGCCAACTTTAAAACCGCCAGACCCGGCAGCCGTCCGTAGTTTATGCCGGCTGAGCCAAGTTTTGTCCGCTTTCAGCTCGTAAAACACGCCGACAGGCCCCCACCCATCACAAAAGCCCTTCTCAGCTCGCTGCCTGAGAGGCAGGCATGGTATGGGTATGGTAACATCGGGGAGCAACTATCGTGCCTTGACGAGCTTCTTCAGCCTCTTCTCAATCAGCTCTCTGCCCTTGAAGGTCTGCCAGGCCTCGTGGGGCGCCTCGTCTACAATGTCCCAGTCTTCCAGGTTTGAAGTGAGGTGGGTGAGATCTCGTTGCTGTTCCAGGGGGTGAGGGCGTTTATAGTCAGCATATCTCTGGATCATGGGGCGACATTTGTACACACCTTGGCCTCCCACTCGCTGTCCCTGCGGATCTGCTGGCCCGAGCTGATGACTACGACAGGCGTCTTCTGGTTCTGGATCGTGCGGCTCGCCGTTACGTCGCGCTTGGTAAAGGAGTCGGCGACCAGGCTCTCCTGGAGCTTGGCGAAGATGGAGCTGCCCGACTGGTACGCCGCCCGGCCCCACGTCCGGTCCGCCGCGCTGCGGCCCCTGAACACGGCCCCCGTGAGCCGGTCTAGCCCGACGGGCGAGATGACGCCGCGTAGCCACAACAGGAAGCCGCGACCCGGCGCGCCCACGCGTCCAAGCAGGTCCTCGTGCAGCGGGTCGATCATCAGGATGCCGCGCACCTCCTCGCCATGCCGTGAGCTGAAGACGCGCGAGTACAGCGACCCAATCCCGGCGCTGGCGAGCACCCAACTAGACGAAGCCGCTGCCGTTAGCACAACAAACTAAGAGCTCAGAACCCGAGGGGAGATACTCACGGTCCCGTCTCTCCAGCACGTGACAGCGCCTCTCCGAGAGCGTCGGAAGCCATGCTGGCCGACAGCGGCGACGGAGCCGTGTCGCTCCATGCCACACCGGGGCGGTCGGCAAAGCAGTACCTACCGATGGAGCCGTTCTTGAGAGCGTTGTCGGCCAACTGCCATAAGGTGTGCTCGACGGGGTCCTCGCCACCCTCGAGGAGCACCGTCGTGACGCGGCGGCCCTCGGTGTCTGTCTGGTTACCGTGGCAGTACAGGTGGATTTGATACTTGTCCCCGTCGACCCAGTACCGCTCACCAGGCGGCGCCAGGCGGGCGTCGAGAGCCCGCATCGCTAGGTTGGCCGTCATCAGCAGCACCACGGCGGCGACGGCCGTCAGCACGACGCTCGACAGCAGCACCTCGACCCACTCCAGCAGCGTGCGCCGCGTCTCGGGCCGGCCCGTGAGCCGTTCTTCTTCTTCCGTCTTGCCCCACTAGGTTTGGTCCTGTGAGTAACAAGCACAACGGTGATGTATAATATGCCGAGGTTAAGGAGAACGGAGAAGGAAAACATACCTGAACGACGCGGTCAGCCCCGACGACCCAGACGGTCACCAGGGTGGCCCAGACGGCGCTCGCCACGCCGATCCACAGCTCCTCGTGCCTCATCTTCTCGACGGCCGCGATGATGATGGTGCCGACGAGCAGCAGCCCGGCCGCGACGATGCTCAGCAGCCGCGACGACTTGCTGGGCACCGCGAAGAAGAGCAGCGTCACCAGCAGCGTCAGCAGCGAGATGGTGGCGTAGCTGAAGGCGAACCACGGCGACCCGCGCGCGTGCAGGCCAGGCGGCGTGATAAAGGCTGACACGAACATCAGCACCCACCTATTCGGGGTCTGTCAGCTTCTCTCCTCTGCTCAAGTAACTCAAGCGCATTTATGTATTCGTGTTTGTGTGTGCGAGAGAGAGAGAGAGAGAGAGAGAGAGAAAGAGAGAGAGAGAAAGTGACAAGCCTGGGCGTCGCCAGTCTGCATCTCCAAACTCTTCTTCTTCACAACTTAACCACCACGGAACAGGCCCGGGTAGGTGAGTGAAAATTACATACCAGACAAAGGTGATGCACGTAAGTACCACGGTGGCGTACCGCACCAAACGGACAGTCCACAGGTTGTAGGGCGACACGGCGGGGTCGTCGGGCGACAGGTACGGCGTGCTGTCGACGCGGTTCGGGAGCAGCCGCGTATGCTCGTCCGGGTAGTGCTCCGCGGACGACGGTGGCGAGTCCGGGTTCCGGCCGGCGGGCGCCTCGTCCCGCTGGGACCCGAGGTGCTTGTTCATTGCTTGCCCCTTTTTTGTCTCTTGGCCTTTGTGTGTGAGATGATGAAGTTGGTGGGTGGCAAGCTAAGGTAACGTCGGATTGTCTGCCCTTTTGTGTGGATATTATTCTACTATTCAGTCTGCTGAGGATGGAGATGGCGGTGTTGGTGGAGAGAACTGTGAGACCTTTGCCCCGCGGTGTGGTGTGATGTGATGTAAGCGGGGGTAGAGATATGGAAGATGTAGTGCGGGTAGTCAAGGTAGTTAGGAGTGCATGCAGCTTGCCCGGCTGCCTGGATAGACCTGGGAAGGCCAAGATGGGATGCCTGTATGTAGGTAGGCTATCTTCAGACCTGTTTTATCCCGGGGTGTGTTTAGGTGCTATAGGTAAGGTAGAAAGGTCAAAAGTTGCTGATGGATATTTCATCGAATCCTCTGCGGAAACCAGGCACCTCACTTTCTATTTCCCGTCCTTTTCCTCCAGCGCACACATGCACATAATCTCGGGCAGTATACTCGATATCTACACAGTGTCGTACCTATACAAAATCGTGTAGGTACGCCCAAAATAATTGCACTACAATAGTAGCACGACAGGCGACATATTTTCTAAACAGAAACAGGCCCCGACTTACACTACGCCCCCCAACAAACCCATCGACGACGTCATGGCCCCTCCTATTCGAGATCGCGTGCCGGCCCCCCTATTGGCTGCTGGGCCGTAAGTTAGCCCAGACACTGCAGCAACCCGCCGCTAGCAAGGGCGCGCTAACCAAGCACATCACATGGCTGGGCTCGGCCTCCCTACCAACAATGGGACCAGCGTCAAGGTAAAATAACCAAAAAAAAGGGAAGAAAAAAGGGAGAGAGAGAAACAAAATAGTTTTGCCTGATATGCTAGGTATTGGGGTGTTCTAGTTGACTTCGTCCGCTCGAACTGGATAATAAGAGACAGTAAAATCCACAGTGGGCGTGTTTTGTTTAGATACTTGGGTATCTGCCCTCGGAACGCCTCGCACTTCAGAAACTTTAATTTTACGCCCTAGGCTAGGCTAGCATTGGAAGCACCATATTTCTTAACCCTCCTGCTTCCTTCCTCGTTGACTTTCATTTTTTGTTATTTTTTTTCCTTTTTTTCCTTATGTCATTCAGTTATCCCCAGAATAAGATCGAAGCAGTACCACCTATTGGAATAGCGGCATTCGTGAATGTACTTCAGGTGAAGGGAGGGCGTGAGCCACGTGCATACTCACGTGCCCGCTTGACGGGCCACGTGGTCGTACGGGCCTCGCGCACACATCCCCAAAAACGGAGTCGCACGACCATTCCCTTTCTAGTATAGATAACACAGAACAGAACCAATCCATACCCACCCATTGTAGTACTACTACACTCCTTCCTAGGCAAGCCATCAGTGGTATGACCTCAATACCACGAACACCACCAGCTCTTTTGAATCACGATTCAACCAGAACCCCCTCTCCACAACGAGTTACATCACACGACCGGCCCCCTAAACCACATCGCCTTCCCGGTCAGTGTCCCCAGCCATCAAACGGCAGGTCGTATCCGGCGACAGAGACCGAGTCCTGCCCGCCAGGGAGCGAGCAGAAGTCCGAGGAAGACTGAGACGACGCCAGAGACGGCTGGGGGCCTCGATTGCCACTGCTAGAGTGGCTCTGCTTGCGCCGCTCGGTGGCCCTCTTCCTGGCAATGTCCTCGGGGCTCGGGCCCGAGGTTAGCCTGGCGGCGTCAGCCGGGATTTCGCCCATAGGCGCGCGGAGCTTGGCGTTGGCCTCGCCATCCTTCACCTTGACCCCGGCCTTCTTGTACTCCCTCTTTTTGTGCTGTTTCAGTGCCTGCGCCGAAGGCTCGCTTGTCGTCAGCCAGTCGGCCAACTTGTGGATCTTGCTCAGCAGCCGAGGCTTGTTGTTGCTGTTGTTGTTGTTGCTGCTGCTGCTGCCGCCTTTTCCTTGCGACGTGGTGCTGGATTGGCTGGTGCTCTGGTATTTCAGGTCTCCGCCCGCCCACGATGGCTCGTAGTGGGATCTGTCTTGAGAGCTGGTCCCGGACACCGTCTGTCTGAGAGGGATATTCATGTTGTTGGACATCTCTAGGCTGGACACCGACAGGTATATGTCTAGTTCCGTAATGTTCTGCCTTAGAGTGCAGCTCTTGAGGTGAGTGCTACTGAGTAGCAGGATGGGATGAGCGCTGGCTTTAGCCCGTACGCAAAGGACGTTTATAATCTCATGGGCTGAGACGCACGATTCTCCGAGTGAACAGCTTCTAGTCCCGAGAGGAACTGCCTGGCTCTTCTTTATCCGAATCCTCGCGGGTGTGTGGCTCAGATATGAGACAGCCGGAAAGGGGTCAAGAACTCTGGTGTCACGGAGCCCAGCTTACGACACTGACAAGACCCGATCCGTGGGACAGGGCCGGGCTACTGGTTCCAGTCTAGAGAGTCAAGCACGCGTGCTTTCCGTCGCGGATAAGTATCAAGCCCGCCCCGAGTGGATGGCTGGGCGGCGAGAGAGGTTTCACAGAGGGAAACACCAGCTCTTCTCCCGCTTGGCTTCAGTAGGCGCTTTCCGACTGACAAGATCCGTCGCTGACGAGGCCCCTTCCCCCGAGCTCCTAATCGTACGAGGGACAACAGACACGGAAGTGAATGTCACGCAACACGAAAAGTCCGAGGCGTGGTTTCTGAAACCCTCCGATATGGGGCGTCAGCCTTGTCCATAGGCTGGTTAGGTGAATCAGGATAGATGGGGAAGTCTTACGGCCGATTCTTACTCCACGATGATATCGCACTAGACTGCCGGGTGGAAAGACGGGGTGGAGATAGGTCTTAGCTAGTCTAGCGTAGGCACGTGGCGCATGAGTTTGACGGCGTGGTGTGTTCCCGGAAGTCGGGCCCTGAGATGGCCGGAGGTTGTAGAGTTTGCGTGCTTAAGTCAGAAAGAACAAAAGGAAAAAACTCGGTGGTTCCCGATGCCATTCGGATCAAGACTTGCACAGTTCATAGCTCGATGCCTGGCCGAGAATGAGAGTGGTATTGTCCGGAACCTTCAAATCCTCCTTGAGGGGTATCAAGTTTAGAATCTCACAGGCCTTGCGGGATATAAGGCATCGATAGGAGCAAGGGGACGGGCCACTTTCAATAGGGGTTGATGTAGTTAGTTGGAGGTTTTGAAGAAATCAGGAATGGTTCGAGGGAAGAGAAACTGAAAACATGGTTCTGGCCATTTTCTGTTCTCCGGGTAGGCTGCTCGCCTTATGGAGCAGTGTCGATGAAGGGGACCGTCGACAATACGCCAATTCCTGAATAGTCTTGCCTTGCGCAAGGGCATGTTGAATCCCGTCCTCTTACTGGATGACATGCGGCCCGTGGGAAGGGCCCTGGTGCACAGGTGCCAGCTTGTCTTGGCACACATGGCGAACTCGTGCAGTAGTTTGACTTGCGCAGCCACTCATACCATTGCCATGTGCCTACCCGTCCCCAGTAGAGACCACCCACAGTGAGCCTTAGAGTATATCCATCCAAAATGAGTACTGGTAATTGATGTGGGCCGTCTCACAAGCAGCGAGGGGTTATAACGAAGCAGATGAGTACCGTTTTCAGTTGACTCAGGTTACACATCTTTCAAATTTCTACCCAGGTGTTGCCAAGGAGGATGCTGCCCCCAATGCAAAATCTCAAGCATTCTTCTCCGTGCGAGCTGAACTGTCTTTTAGAAAGCGACCCTACATATAACGGCGAGACTATAACAAATTAGCAGGGTGGGCTAGAGCCATGCATGGAACCAGTCAGTTGTCATTTCCATCCAATCCCGGAGGAGGGTATAAAGCCCGTTCATTTCTACGCTGAGGCTCTGGCCTACCTAGGCTCCCTATTATTACGCGTGCGTTTTTTAGACTCAAACACCCGCACCGGGAGAGAGAGTGGTCCAGGCGAACGATGGCGGCAACACCTTAGTAGTACCTATCTAATGTCTGCAGGGACGAAACAAAAAGGCCTAGAACGTTCTGCCTGTGATTAGGTCAAGCCAGGTACCTTAGGCACAGGAAGGTGCCGCCGACAGGTTTGTACTGTGCACCAGAACTGGTAGTGTAATGCAGCAAGCTGCCTTAGTGTCTTCGTATCAACGCCCAAACTGACCTGTCGACCCGCACCGGGCGAAGCAATCCCATGCAAGACCCACTTAAATCTGCAAGCTCCCCCACTATTTGCTGGGTTGACCCTCTAAAGAGTTGCCTGGAGGTGCCTCTCCCTCCACTGACGGATGCCTTGTGACTTCGGATGCGATCCAGTGCCGCTTTCTGAAGTTTAACAGAAAACCTCTGTGACTTAACAACCGCGCGTCGTGGAGCCCCTCGCCCGCCGAGTTCGGGCTCGAGTTTGCTCTTATCAGAGAAGAAGTCGGGTTCGCCGCCCGCACGCCCTGGACAGGACCTCGTTAGCTTGGTCGCGACTATGCCTGGTCTTACTATCGCTACCGGGATCCCCGCTGGAGCTGCCGCCGGAGCTGCCGCCGCCACGCAACACAGCACGAGCTCTGACCTCCACCAGAAGAGCCCTCGAGATCCGTCGCCGTCGCGACCGCCTGTCAGCCCTATCACGCCGACGCTAGCGCCAGCGCAGTTGCCGGCCACTGCCGCTACCAGTACTTCGTCTGGCTGTCCAAAGACCGACGGGGCTTCAAACTCGTCGCCGTCGAAGCCGCCAGACCCTCGCGATTTCGCGCTAGGCCGCCCTGCATTTGCGCACTCGCAGCCTGACCAGGTCGGCATCCTACCGCCGCCTGTCGTCCCTATAGCCTTCGACGACAACCCGGACGTGCTGGCCCTCAAGAGCGCCATCTCCATCCTGCAGCTGCAGCGCGCGCGCGCAACTGCCGACATGCAGACTCTCAGTCGGGCCAAGGCAGCCGCACTGGCGGACCCCGGCGCGTTCGTCGCCGACTTGGTTTTGGGGCGGGTGGGCATGGAGGGCGATCCGCTGATGTTCTCGGGGGCGCGCGGGGGTGCCGGCCACGGCCAGGGTTACAATCGCTATAGTGGCAGGGCCGAGGATGGCATGGTCGACCATGACTCCTCTTCCTCTTCGTCCGATGACGACGAGGATGACGACACGGACGGGGACGAGCAAGAGGAAGACGAGGAAGCACAACACATAAAAACCGAAACAGCGTCTAGCCCCGATATCAGATTTCCGGCAGCCCAGGAGAACGCCGAGGACGGGAATGCAGACGGCAACGTCGCCATGGCCGGGACCAGCGCCGCCGGCACGGAATCACAGGCGACACCAAGTAGTGCTGACAAAATAAAGAAAAAGAAAAACAAGAAGCGGCGTAAAGCCGAAAAAGATGTCGCCGCCGCGGCAGCGGCCTGGCGCAAGCTTCCCAAGCCACAGAACGTCGTGCGCTGCCCGCCCGTCAACTGGGCACAGTACGCTGTAGTAGGCGAGTCGCTAGACAAGCTGCACGCCGAGCAGGTAGCGGCGCCGTCGCTGGGGGCACCGGCGGTGCTGGGGCCGGGGGGCGCGTACGAGTTCAAGGCTGGTGCTCAGAAAGCGCCTGCGAACGAACCGCCTCCGCGGCGTCTCGTGGGAATTGCCGCGCCGTACACGCCGGGGAGGGACAAGCTGGAGAAGAAAGCGAAGGGGGGCAAGCGCTGAACACGATTTACACGCCTTTCCTCTCCTCTCCTCTCCTCTCCTCTCTCACCAACACACACCCAAACAAGTTGGCCCCGTCTGGGACGAGGCCATCCCAGCCTCCTTTTTCTCGAGAAGCGTCTGGGAACATTATGAAATCATGATTCCCTAACACACAACGTTACGAAGACACAACCGGTGCATAGCCTGGAGTTTTTATTAATTTGTTCATTTGAGCGATATTCGTGTTTTCTTTTTCGCAGGAGCTCAGTCTTGGGATCGCTAAATAAAAAACATGGAAATTATTCAACCAGAAGCTGGACGAGGTGCACACCTACCTTGACTAACTGTCTAGCTAGTTTTACACACATATGATGGAGGGACGTCCTCAAACTCTCTGTGTTGGGTTTGTAGTTTTAGCTTCAGTGGAATATATCCTTGGGGTTGAACCTCGTTTCTATTTGATGCTCATAGCTGTAGCGGCTAGCAGAGCCTTTCGGCATTGGCATGTTGAAGATGCTCCAGGTCCTAGGCGGTTCGAGTAGGTCTCGGGACATTTTCGTGACTCGCCCTTCGTTTGGCTAATTTACAATGAGTAGTAAACAGATTGCCAGCGTATTATGGGACTCGCCTCCAACGACAGACTGCATGAGGTATCAGTAGTACAAAACTTCGGTTCAGACTCCACATATGGCACAAAATCATACCATGGTATCTAGTCAAGTGTGCCTAAGTCCTAAAAGGCAATGAAAAACAAGCAAACGCCAATTTGGCACCCAGTAATCGAGGATCTGGATGCTAGAATTATCGTGATACGCACGCCTAGAAACCTCAAACTCCAGCCCCATCCGAGGTAATATCCTTCGCCCTTGTGTGCGATACCCACCCCGTCACCGAACCCAAAGACATGTCCGAACGCCGAACCGCTTCGTCGAGGAGAAACTCACAAGTGGAAAATGAGGCACTGTTGAGCCGCTGCCATGCATAAAGAAACAATGTAATGGAAACAGAGACGACACCATGTCAGGGGCGGCTTCAAAGATCCCTGGAGATATTGTTAGCAAGAAATGTGAAGGCCGCCATCGCTAGGTATTTTCATGTGTGATCTTACTCCATCGACTGCTGAACTGACCGACGCAGACGCCGATTGTACATTCTGCGATCATCGGGGGACCCCCAAAATAGCTTGAATGCCTCGAGGTGAACAAGCGTTCTTGGGTCGTACGGGGGCTGCTCCTCTTCCAGTGCCTCAATGACAGCCTCAATGTGAGTTTTGGCATCCTCCCGCCGGTTCGTGGCTGGGAAGTAGCACGGGGTACCATCAAGGGAAATGCGATGGTGAAACATGCGAGTCTCGAATTTGATCCGAGGCTGCTCCTCTGGAAAGCGAGGGCTGAAGCTGAATTTCACTCTGAACAAGCCTCCGTCGAGATTCGTCATGGGTTTTCCAAAATACGTCAGCAGCCAGACAAAGGGGTTGTTGTCCAACAGCTCGAGGTTGTGTGGAGTATCGGATCTCTTGAACGACTCGACGACTTGCTCGTATTGTCTCGTGAGGTTCACGGATACCGTGGTGTCGTTGGCCTTTGCCTCCAGGCCCTGCGTAGCCCAACTCTCGGTTTCAGCATCGAGGGCCTTTTTGATGTTGCGAAGCCGTCTCTCGAGTTCGGTGTAGTTGAACTTGCCCTCCATCGTGTTGCTTGAGCCCTCGAATGGCATTCTAACAAACGGCTGTCCATCCTTAACTTCCTCCTTTCCCTTCTGAACTGTAGCCAAATATGAGTCGTAATACCACAAAAATCTGCGCTTGCACAGATCCTTGAATGGCTCAAAAGGAACAGTCGATTCATCTTCCAAGACATCCATATCGAGATCATAGTTGTCTTTGGCGGTTATCGGTGTTGTGACTTGACCGTCAACTCCGATTCCGAGGTATTCCTCTAATCGCTGGATGACGGAGACCCGCAAGGTCTCGTGACGAATCTAGGCCAAAGTTAGCCCGCGACCATCAGACCAGTGACATGCCTATTAAACCTTTTGCACGTATTCTTTCTGATTCTTCTTGTCCGACGGCTCATTAGCATCCTCGAATCCGGGCTCGTTTTCGTACGGGTTCGACGACATCAGGCTCTGTATCGAAAGCAGAATCGACTCGAGGCCCTGCGCGGCCGACCACTCTTCACCCCTCTCCCCACGCCAAGTGCTAGGGGGATGTTAGTCTTATAAACGCCATACAACATCGTCGAAGTTGAGGGAGGCTTACCCGAGGATGGACCTAGAGCTTAATTAGCAGGTCCACGATTATTAGCGGGGACAAGCCGTATAGGACATACAAGCAAACACGGCCATTGGCATATATGTTGGGGTTAAATCGGCAACGGCCCCCGTTCGTGGTGGTGGCAGTGACTTGAGGCGACTTGCGCGGGTACTCTAGTTACAGAACTTGGTAAGTAAAGCGGCTCGCCGCAATCCGTACACTCTTGACGGCACGCACCTTTGCCGAACTTGAAGGCAAACTACAGGTTTGTTAGCCAAGACTGTACACGAGGTAGAAGTTAAGCTTATCATTACCTCAAAGAAGCCGAACTCGTATGGTGTCTCGTGTGGCCCGATGATTAGCGCCTTAACGTTGCGGACATCGATGTCGCGACAAGCAACAGCGAGAGCTACCAGCATCGTCAGCAAGAGAGCGCCGCAAGACGCTATACTTCACCGGAGAATCTAGAATACTGAACAACGTACACAGATCCGAGTTTTTCTGGAGCTCGCTCAACTCCTGGTGTCGGGGACGAGGTCGGTCGTGGTCAGCCTTGCAACCCCACCGCAGCCTTGGGAGGGGAAGCGACATACTTTGGTGATTCGGAAGACGGATTGATCCATGGCTGCGCTCACCGAGAAGCCTGGCTTTGCAGCTTCATAGAACAAATGGAAGCGCCGGGAAATGGTTCCACGAAGTGAATGCTGGTTCTGACTTCGGGGAGGTAGAGTCGAGGCTTTGGAGAGGTTACCGCCCAACGTTGGAGAGCTTTCAACCTGGAGGCCCGTTCCAATGCGGGAGGAGCAGGGGGGAGGGGTGGGGAGGGGAGGGGTGGGGAGGGGAGGGGAGCCTGCCTTGTGATTTAAGGGCCACGGCAGCCTGGGTTTGGACTAAATGGGGCTGACTTAGGTGACTTTCGACTCACTGGCGGTACCTCGGTTTAGGTACCTCAGGCAGCAGAGTCAACCAAAACGAACCTCAACCTACGCCGCAACAGCCACAGCGTCGGGTTTTCAAGCCTAGTTAGCCAGTTTCTTTGGCCCGGAACGGTCGAAGCAGTTAAGATACCTTACCTACCAAATACTCCAATCCTATAATGCCTTTTGGTAAGTTCTACCTTGGGTACTTGGCCTCTCTGTCTCTTTCAAGACCTAAGGTACCTACCCGAGTAAGAACTGGCGATGACGACAAGATACTGCAGGCTCTAGCAAAGGGACAACAGGAAGTCTTCTTTGGCCAGTGCAGGCAGCAGCTGAGATAGGTATTTCTTTTTTGGGACCCTTGGACAGGCCAGCTTGGATGTATCGGATAGCAACACCGCACGTACCGGCACACGACATCACTTGGAACATTGGAACAAGGACGTGTGCGTGCTGGCCATCGACATATAAAACGAGCGGAGTTGACTGACGAGTTGCATAAGCTAGGGTACCTGGGACGGTAAGAACTTGAACATTCAAGTTGGGCAGCTGGTTTTGCTAATCATGATAACCTCGGTACAATCCATCACAGCCCAAACCGGAGGGACGGAAAAGACGATAAAAAGGCCTACCGGCATCGATTTGCAGGCCATAGCGGAAGACCCAAGCTCTTGGGATTCTCTGCTGAGCATTAGTCTAGGTTGCACCTCGGAGTGACAAGATACCCATCTACCGGATGGATCTCGCCTCTTGCACAGCCCTGTGTGTTGCTTGAAAAACATGTTGCCACATCTGGTAGTAAATGACATAGTGATAAATTCCTTTTCTCGATATTACCACTTCTACGTATCAGCGGGGGGATTTTGCTTGCTCTTATTGACAGATTCGTACGTACCAGGCAGTACCGATGTACATCCTCTATACTGTAGGTGCCTCAATTCGGGAAAAGGTGTCCGGGTGGGGCGCGTGCTGAGGGCAGGGATTCGACGCGATCTCAGCGCGGTTTGCTGCCTCGACGCGTAAAGTGCATGCTTGCTGGAATCTCTAAACCACCAAACAGCCATCCGAAACACAAATTCGAGAACATTGCGGCTGCCGGACGTGGAAAGAAATCGCCCTAGTATTTCGTAAAGCATTTTGCCGCCATGGCAAGCTTTTTTGATCTCAAGGCCCGGAAGGCCGCCGCGGCGAATGGCGCATCATCGGGCAACACCGAGAAGCAGACAAGCGAAAATCCCAGAGCTCAGCCGTGGGTTGAGAAATAGTACGAGAATAATTCAGATTCTGTGCAGGATACAAACATCTACCGGCGAATAGAAAGAAGCTAATGGACTACCTGCCAGCCGTCCGAAAACCCTGAGCGATGTGACTGCCCAAGACCACACCATCACCGTCCTGCAACGGACACTCCAGGCATCAAATGTTGGTGGCATACGCTCTCCCCTTCCCTCCCCCACCCAGTAGTCCTGGCGATGATAGCGGCGGCTAATAGCCTGGATTTTCCACGCAGCTCCCGCATATGCTCTTCTACGGCCCCCCAGGCACCGGCAAGACGTCGACGATCCTAGCCTTGGCCAAGGAGCTGTACGGGCCCGAGCTGATTAAGTCGCGGGTGCTGGAGCTCAACGCGTCCGACGAACGCGGCATCTCGATTGTGCGGGAGAAGGTCAAGGACTTTGCGCGCATGCAGCTCACGAACCCGCCGGCGGGCTACAAGTCGCAGTACCCGTGCCCGCCGTTCAAGATCATCATCCTCGACGAGGCCGACAGCATGACGCAGGACGCGCAGAGCGCGCTGCGCCGCACCATGGAGACGTACAGCAAGATCACGCGCTTCTGCCTCATCTGCAACTACGTCACGCGCATCATCGACCCCCTGGCCAGCCGCTGCAGCAAGTTCCGCTTCAAGAGCCTCGACCAGGGCAACGCCCGCCGCCGCCTCGAGGAGATTGCGGCGCTCGAGGGCGTGCCGCTCGAGGACGGCGCCGTCGACGCTCTCATCCGCTCTAGCGACGGCGACCTGCGAAAGGCCATCACATACCTGCAGAGCGCCGCGAGGTTAGTGGGCGCGTCGACTGCGACAGCCGAGGCAGCAGCGTCTGCGGAGGACGGAGGGGACGGGATGGACGTGGACAAGAAGCCGGTGACGGTCAAGATCGTCGAAGACATTGCCGGTGTCATCCCCGACAACATGATTGACAGGCTGGTCAAGGCGATGCGGCCGCGGGCTGCGGGGGACACGTACCAGGCGGTTGCAAAGGTGGTGGAGGAGATGGTGGCAGACGGCTGGAGCGCGGGACAGACCATGACGCAGCTCTACCAGGCCGTCGTCTACGACGAGATGATCCCGGACACGCAGAAGAACAAGATCGTCATGGTGTTTTCCGAGATGGACAAGAGGCTGGTAGACGGCGCCGACGAGCACCTTTCAATACTTGACCTCGCGTTACGCATCTCCGGGATCATGGCTGGGAAGTAGCAGAATGGCAATCAATGGCGAATGAAAAGGGGTAATGGGTACAATGGGATTTTGGTGGAAATTTTAAATCGTTCACCAAGGGAACAGATGGGCTGGCTACATTATCCAGAGCACGTATCGGCAGATAATTGACGGTGCGTTCAGGCGAGGGGAAAGAGGCCTGGCAAGCTCTTTAGATTTCATTTTGTACCATTAGCGCCTCGTTACGGCGGATCACCGTCAGATCGCAGAAGCCCCAGAGTCCCATCCAATGTATCCCACACGTCCCCAGACGAGCGGCGCTTAGCTGCCGCTACCGCCGTCGCCGTCGCTTCCTTTCGGCTGACATGCTTTCTCGACGCCCCGGCCGACATTCCAGATGGCCGGCTCTCAGCGAGCCAGATGTCATCCTCAGCAGCGACGGCGTCCTCGCTCTCTTGGCCAGTTTGCCTGACCGGGTGCCGTCCTAGCAGCTGGTCGATCTCGCCAATGGTGTGTATCGAGTCCTCGAGCGCGAGCTGGCCCTCCTCGATCTTCTCGGCCACGGCCTCGAGCGTCGCGATCTTGGCGGACTCGGCCGCGAACACCCACGGCTTGACGCTGCCGGACAGGCTGAGCGCCTGCGAGGCGGCGGCAGCGGCAGCGCCCAGGGCGTCGCCGAATGTCTGCTTGCGGCGGGGCGCGCCCACGCCGCCCACGCTCGCGCCGGGAAGCGGATGACTGGGGATCAGCTGGCTTTCCTCGGCTAGCCGATCGAGCGCCTGGCAACTCTCCACGAGCTGTCGGGCGACGGTGGAGTTGAGGTGTGATTTCTGCGCGATGAGCCCCTTTTGCTCTTGGGCAACCGAGACTAGTTGCTCGAGGTACGGAGAAAGCAGGTGTGCGTAGGGAGGCGGCGTGGACGTGGAAGCTGCTGCCGGCGCTGTGCTTGGTTCGGCCCGGGGCTTGATGACCGGTCTGGGCTGCTGGCTGACGAGTTGGAGGAGGGCCTTCCGAGCTCCCAGGTATTGCGAGTACTTCTGCTGGATGATGGCGAGATTCTCTTCGATGCTGGCGGCGGCGTCTGCGCCGTCTCCAGATGCCTTGAAGGGTTCAGCGAAATCGTCAGTGGCGTCTCCGTCTTCACCCGCGCCGTCACCCGCCTTCCCGAGCTCGGCTTCTATCCAGTTGATGAGATGAGCCCGGGTCGTGTTTAGCGCCCCGAACTTTGCGCTTGTGCTGATGTTCTCGGGCCTCACTGTAGACCGCGACTTGACTTGGTCCAGGAGCTGCTCCTCGCGCTTCAGGAGCAGCTTTGCCCGAAGGACGTGCTTCTCTAGTTGGTCAGCCAGATCCTTCAAGCGCGAGCTGGTGGCTGTTTTGTCAAGCGTCAGCGCGCTTAGGAGCTCCTTTGGCACGTCTGGAAGAGGCCGGCAGTTGCTGAATATTTGCTCAGGGGCCAGGTAGTCGGCCGATGCCACAGGCTTTTGCCGTATCAGATTCAAGTGCTTCTCGATAGCCTGCAGCTTCTCTTGCTTTTTCTGGAGGCCGATAGTGGCCAAATGGTCGTGCAGGCGGTCAGATTTTTGTTGTTGTTGTTGTTGCTGTTCCACGGCCGTGGAGGCTTCTGCCTGGGGACGGCTGATTTCTAGGCAGCATGCCTTATGCTCACTGCGAGCTTTGATGTTGGCCGACAATGCTTCGAGATACTCTCTCCGAAGCCCCCGAACGGTCGGCGAGGACTTGGGTTTGCTCGCGTCGACGAGAGCCAGAGGCGAAGTTGCCGATCCATTCTCAAGACAGGAATCTAGCTGCAGAGCCAAGATTCGTCGGATCTGAGCCACCTCTTCCCGTGGCCGGATATAGGGATGCAGCACCTTCTGGATGCGTTGCAGGACTTCTTCAGGCGAACTCATTGTGATGAACGCCGTTTGCTGAACCGTACGGCGTCGACGGACAGACTTTGTTTACATGAATGAAAGTCCGGTGACGCGTGTAATGCACAGCTAACAGACGAGTTCGAAATTATTCTGTGCTTTGCCAGTTCCATGGACTGAGGGGCCTCATTCTCCTTTGACCAGCAAGTTTATCATAGCTAAATAGAAAGAAAGGAAGGCTGTCTCTTCTCTTTTAGTCTCGCGGGGTTTTAGGACTGGAGAAGCGGTCGATACCGACAAGCTGTTTGCCAATGACCTAGGGCAGTGGAGTGAGGTACCAGCTGGTAAATGGAGGCCTGAGGTCGAGTTTAGCTCCCTGGGCCTTACAGCCAATCAAAAGCTGTCGCGCAAGTCCGGAGGCTGCTCAAAAAATTCCGGCTGCCACTTGGACCTGCCAAGAAAGTGGACGACTTCACTGCAGCGCCCACCTCGCGATTGCCAGTTAATATCATCAAAACCCCATCTTCCAGTCACTTTTCTCCCACACTGCGCATAGGTCTTTCGATGCGTGGGTTGACTCATCTTCAGTCTGCCAGAGAGACAATAGTTTGGTTCGGGGCGGGGTCAGGCTAATTATTGCCACAGACCGAGCGCAGGCAGCCGTCGCGATACACTCTTTCCTTCCATTTCTCTTCACCAATAAAACCCAGAGCCGTGGTATTTCACCGTTGCTCCCTCTCAACTGCCCATCTTCGCGTCCTCGTTTTCCTCCACAACAACCGCCAACATGACGGACCACCATCGCGATGTCTCGCAGTACAAATACTCGGCTATGTCTAACCTGGTCCTCCAGGCCGACCGTCGGTTTGTCACAAGACGAACTGACGAGGCCACGGGGGACCCGGAGTCGCTGGCTGGCCGCCTGTCAATCAAGGATATGGGATCGCGCGTAGCCCGCGACTCGGCCCCAAAACCAAAAAAGTCTAGCACTATGCCGGATGTGGAGCGAGGCAGCATGCGGGAAGGTGCTAATATTCTACAGCACATCAAGGGCAAAGGCGACTCTGCCTCGCGTGGCGGCGGCATCCTGTCCGGCGCCGAAGCTACGATCGAAGGCTTACGGTATCGGCCACGGACGCAGCCTACACGCGACGCGTTCAATTTGATCTTGACCATCGTGGCTGAACACCTCGGCGACGTTTCCCACGAGATCGTCCGCAGTGCTGCCGACGCGGCTCTCGAGTACCTCAAAGATGACGACCTCAAAGACTTCGACAAGAAGAAGGAGATTGATGACATACTTGGCGAGTTAACGAGCCCCAAGCAGTTCAACGAGCTGGTGAATCTCGGCAAGAAAATTACGGATTACGACATGCAAGATGAAGAAGAAGAGACGGGAGACGCCGACCAGGATGGCGAGGACGAGATCGATGGCCGCCAGGGTGTCGCTGTAAATTTTGAGAATGACGAAGACGACGACGGCATGGTTGGTGTTGTTCGTGAGGAGTCTTCAGAGGACGAGGACGAGGCAGACCAGGAAGATCGTGACGACGAAGCTGCCGAGGTCGGCGAAGCAGGCCAGGATCGGGACGAAGAGGAAGCGGGTTTGGCGGACGAAGAGGACATGGTCATCGATTCGGCCCCTGACGCAAAGCAAGGCAACCTTCAGGAGAACACCATTCCCTCCCGTGACATCGATGCATACTGGCTGCAGCGTCAAATAGGCAAGGTCTATCCCGATGCCCACACTCAACACGACAAGACATTGTCAGCGCTACAAATACTGTCTGGGGAGCCAGACGAGCCAGGCGGTGAGGGAAGACAGCTTCGGGAGGTTGAAAACGATCTGATGGAGCTCTTCGACTACGAGCACCACAAGATTGTGCAAAAGCTCACCGAGAACCGCGAGAAAGTCGTCTGGCTTACGCGGCTGGCCAACGCCGACACCGAGGAAGCGCGTGAAGCCATCGAGCACCAGATGGCTTCGGAAGGCCTACGCTGGATCCTGGATGAACTTCATGGGAAGACCAGGGATGACGCGAAAAAGCCCAGGATCGAGATCAAGGTGGACATCGACTCGGCTGCATTTAAGGGCGAGCCCCAGAAACCAGAGCGCCCCGACGGGCATCTTGTCGGCGGCCTCCAACCGCGCAAGCTCATTAACTTGGAGAATATGATCTTCGACCAGGGCAATCACCTGATGACGAACCCAAGGATAACCCTTCCCAAGGACTCAACTAAGCGGACCTTTAAGGGATACGAGGAGTATCACGTCCCGCCTCCAAAGAAACGGAACGACCCAAGTGATGTCAACATTCCCATCTCGGAAATGCCTGAATGGTCTCGGATACCCTTCAGCTCGGCGAAATCCCTAAACAAAATTCAGTCAAAGTGCTATCCTACAGCCTTCGAGGATGACGGCAATATGCTCGTCTGCGCGCCAACAGGCAGTGGCAAGACCAATGTTGCCATGCTTACCATCTTACGAGAGATTGGGAAGAACAGGAATGCAAAGGGGGAGATCGACCTAGATGCGTTCAAGATTGTCTACATCGCCCCTCTCAAGGCTCTTGTCCAAGAACAGGTTGGCAACTTTGGGAAACGCCTGGAGCCGTTCGGCATCAAAGTCTCGGAATTGACGGGTGACCGTCAACTTACCAAACAACAAATATCCGAGACCCAGATCATCGTCACGACACCTGAGAAGTGGGACGTCATTACCAGAAAGGCGACAGACATCTCGTACACCAACCTGGTTCGTCTCATCATCATTGATGAAATTCACTTGCTTCATGACGACCGTGGGCCGGTCCTTGAAAGCATCGTCGCCAGGACAATCCGCCGAACTGAACAGACTGGCGAGCCGGTCCGTATCGTCGGTCTCTCTGCGACCTTGCCCAACTATCGGGATGTGGCTAGTTTTCTCCGAGTTGATACCGCCAAGGGCCTCTTCCACTTTGACGGCTCATTCCGCCCTTGTCCGTTACGCCAGGAGTTTATCGGTGTGACCGACAAGAAGGCCATCAAGCAGCTCAAGATGATGAATGACATTACGTATAATAAGGTCATTGAGCACGTCGGAACCAATCGCAACCAGATGCTTATCTTCGTCCACTCTCGAAAGGAGACGGCAAAGACGGCAAAGTACGTCCGTGACAAGGCTCTTGAGATGGACACAATTAGTCAGATTCTCAAGCATGATGCCGGTACTCGCGAAGTGCTGAGCGAGGCTGCTAACGCCGTCAACAATACGGACCTTAAGGATATTCTGCCATATGGTTTCGGTATCCATCACGCCGGTATGAGCCGAGCTGACCGTACCGACGTTGAGGATCTTTTTGCGAGCGGCCATATTCAAGTCCTCGTGTGCACGGCCACCCTCGCCTGGGGTGTCAACCTTCCCGCTCACACGGTCATCATCAAAGGCACGCAAGTCTACTCGCCAGAGAAGGGCAGCTGGGTTGAGCTGAGCCCCCAGGATGTGCTGCAAATGCTTGGTCGCGCCGGTCGGCCACAGTTTGATACCTACGGTGAAGGTATTATCATCACAACTCAGGCAGAGGTCTCTTACTATCTCTCCCTGCTCAACCAGCAGCTCCCAATTGAAAGTCAGTTTGCAAGCAAATTGATTGACAACCTCAATGCTGAGATTGTGCTTGGTAATGTCAGGGGCCGCGATGAAGGTGTTGAGTGGCTCGGCTATACCTACCTCTTCGTCCGAATGCTCCGTTCTCCCGGACTCTACAGCGTGGGGACAGAATACGAGGACGACGAGGCTCTGGAGCAGAAACGGGTCGACCTGATACATTCGGCGGCAACTGTCCTGAAAAAATCGAACCTAATCAAATACGACGAGAAGACCGGCAAGCTCCAGTCCACTGAGCTTGGGCGTGTCGCGTCACACTACTACATCACGCACGGGTCCATGGACACGTACAACAAGCTCATTCAGCCGTCTATCAACGACGTTGAGCTATTCCGCATTTTCTCCCAGAGCGCCGAGTTCAAGTACATTCCTGTCCGTCAAGAGGAGAAGCTCGAGCTTGCAAAGCTGCTCGCCAAGGTGCCAATTCCAGTCAAGGAAAGCATAGAGGAGCCAACTGCCAAGATCAACGTCCTTCTCCAAGCCTACATCTCGCGCCTGCGGCTGGACGGTCTTGCCCTTATGGCAGACATGGTTTACGTCACACAGTCGGCTGGACGTATTCTTCGCGCCATCTTTGAGATCACCATGAAGAAAGGGTGGGCTTCTGTTGCCAAGCTGGCGCTCAATCTGTGCAAGATGGCCGAAAAGCGCATGTGGCCAACCATGTCGCCTCTCAGGCAATTTCCCAGCTGCCCTCTCGAGATCGTGAGGAAGGCGGAGAGGATAGAGGTGCCTTTTAGCAGCTACCTCGACCTAGACCCTCCTCGCATGGGCGAGATGCTTGGCATGCCGAAAGCTGGCAAGACGGTGTGCTCACTTGTGGCCAAGTTCCCCCGTGTCGAGGTCCAAGCCCACGTACAGCCCATGACTAGATCAATGCTCCGTGCTGAGTTGACAATCACCCCAAACTTTGAGTGGGACGACGAAATCCACGGACTGGCGGAAACCTTTTGGATAGTTGTTGAAGATTGCGACGGCGAAGACATCCTCTTCCACGACCAGTTCATCCTGCGCAAGGACTACGCAGGATCCGATGCCAACGAACATGCTGTGGAGTTTACGGTCCCGATTACAGAGCCAATGCCCCCTAACTACTTCATCTCGGTCATATCCGACCGTTGGATGCATTCAGAGACTCGCCTCGCCGTCTCTTTCAACAAATTAATTCTGCCAGAGAGGTTCCAGCCGCACACGGAATTGCTTGACCTGCAGCCCCTTCCCGTCGCTGCCCTAAAGGCCAAGGACTTTGCAGCACTTTACCCGGGTTGGCAACAATTCAACAAGATCCAAACCCAGTCGTTCAACTCACTCTACAACACCGATAGCAATGTCCTCGTGGCCGCATCGACTGGGAGCGGAAAGACAGTCTGCGCCGAGTTCGCTTTGCTTCGTCATTGGGCAAAGCCAGATTCTGGCCGAGCGGTGTATATCGCTCCGTTCCAGGAGCTGGTGGACATTCAATTTCAGGACTGGCAGAAACGGCTAGCTAACCTCCGTGGAGGCAAGGACATCGTCAAGTTGACTGGTGAAACCACCAGCGATCTCAAGCTTCTTGAACAGGGCGATCTCATTTTGGCCACGCCGACTCAATGGGATGTCTTGTCGCGCCAATGGAAGAGGAGAAAGAACGTCCAAACTGTAGAGCTCTTTATCGGGGATGAGCTGCACATGCTTGGTGGTCAGATGGGGTACATCTACGAAATTATCGTGTCGCGCATGCATTACATCCGCACACAAACGGAGCAGCCGATGCGGATTGTCGGTCTGAGTGTGTCGCTCGCAAACGCCCGTGATGTAGGCGAGTGGATTGACGCCAAAAAGCACCACATTTACAACTTCAGCCCCCATGTTCGGCCAGTGCCATTGGAATTGCACATTCAATCATACACGATTCCACACTTCCCATCCTTGATGCTGGCGATGGCAAAGCCGACATACCTTGCTGTCACGCAGATGTCGTCGGACCAGCCCGCCCTCATCTTTGTGCCCAGCCGGAAACAGACCAGAGCCACGGCTAGGGATATTCTGACTGCCTGTCTAGCCGATGACGACGAGGACCGCTTCTTGCATGTCGAGATCGACCAAATCCAGAAACTCCTAGAGCGCGTCCAAGAAGAAGCTCTTGCCGAAGCCCTCGCACATGGTGTTGGCTACTACCATGAAGCTCTCAGCCAAAGCGACAAGCGGATTGTGAAGCATCTCTACAACAATGGCGCGATCCAAGTGCTCATTGCCTCCCGCGATGTCTGTTGGGAGCTTGATGTGACGGCGCACCTGGTGATTGTGATGGGTACACAGTACTTCGAGGGCAGAGAACATCGCTACGTCGACTACCCGCTCAGCGATGTTCTCCAGATGTTTGGGAAGGCTGCAAAACCCTCGAAGGACGGACGCGGCCGTGGAGTGCTCATGCTTCCGGCTGTAAAGAGGGAATACTACAAGAAGTTCCTCAATGAGGCTCTCCCGGTCGAGTCGCATCTGCACAGTTTCCTTCACGACGCGTTTGTGACGGAAATCAGCACTAAAATGATTGAATCGGGCGAGGATGCAATCAACTGGGTCACGTTCACGTACTTTTACCGACGGCTACTCGTCAACCCGAGCTACTACAGCTTGACCGATCCCACGCACGTGGGTCTCAGCCAGTACCTGTCGGACATGGTCGAGACGACTCTGAAAGATCTCACCGAGTCCAAGATCATCGACTTCGACGACGAGGACGGGACTGTCGCGCCTCAGAATGCTGCCATGATTGCAGCATACTACAACATCTCGTACATCACGATGCAGACTTTCCTGCTGTCTCTGACAAAGAAGACCAAGCTGAAGGGAATCCTGGAGATTGTGATGTCCTCCACCGAATTCGAGTCGATACAAATCAGACGACACGAGGAGGTCATTCTACGACGGATATACGACAGCATTCCTGTCAAGATGGCCGAGCCCGTCTTTGACTCGCCGCATTTCAAAGCATTTGTTCTGCTCCAGGCGCATTTCTCGCGCATGAATTTGCCCATCGACCTTGCCAAGGACCAAGAGGTCATTCTGACCAAAGTTTTGAGTCTCCTGAGCGCAACAGTTGATATCCTGTCATCGGACGGCTATTTGAATGCCATGAACGCCATGGAGATGTCGCAGATGGTGGTACAGGCCATGTGGGATCGGGACAGTCCATTGAAACAGATCCCCAACTTTACGCCCGAGGTTGTGAAGGTCGCCGAAAGGTTCGGCATCAAAGACGTGTTTGATTTCATGGAGAAGATGAACCCGGAGGAGAATCCAGACTACGGAAAGCTCGTAAAGGCGCTGGGCCTCTCGCAAGCTCAGCTCTCCCAGGCTGCCAATTTCACGAACAACAAGTATCCAGATATCTCGCTGGAATTTGAAGTCGAGGACGAGGAGAACCTCCGGTCTAGCGAGCCGTCGTATCTCAAGATCAAAATCGAACGAGAAGTGGACGAAGACGAAGAGTTTGATGCCACGGTCCATGCGCCATTCTACCCTGGAAAGAAGACGGAGAACTGGTGGCTGGTGGTTGGCGAAGAGAGCACCAAAACGCTGCTCGCGATCAAGCGAGTGACAGTCGGGCGAAGCCTCGAGCTCAGATTGGAGTTCACCGTTCCCACGCCTGGCGACCACAACCTGAAGCTATTCCTGATGAGCGATAGCTACGTCGGCGTTGACCAGGAGCCGACCTTCTCGGTGAAGTTGGCGGAGGGAATGGATGTCGACGACGAAGATGATGACGAGGACGAGGACGACGAGTGATATCCTAGTTACCGGAGGCGGCGAGGTGCTCGGTCTCCTGCTAATTATGCTTCGGAAATTGTACGATATTTGATCAACTGCTAACAATTTTTATCTTTTCTTTTGAACTACGCCAGAGTTCACATGTTAACTGGATTTGGATAGGCACTCAAAATTGATGTTTTTGTGCTCGAGTTATTATCGTGACTCTCCAACGACCACGTCGCCCTATCCGACGTCGCTGGGTGATCCTCAGGCTGAAGTCGGGAGTTGAGTGGGGTTGTTTCTCGGCTTGTTGTGATCAGGCTCAAGGGGGCGGATGGAGGGCTCAGCTGGGCACGCGGTCCCGCTCCAGAAGCAACGGCAACACCTGGCAAAGGCGGTATGGACCCGGCGAGCTACGGCGAGCCTGGCGATGGAGGAGTGCGACGGGGTTGTGGTTGTTGTTTTCATGAGCTGAGCTGGTTGCGCGGGCTGTGTGAGGGCGCGCTTGGGCACCTGGACCTAGATGCCCGGGGCTCGACGTGTATAGGGTATAAGCACAGGCGGGCATGTAGGCCTGTACCTAGACTTTAGTGTAGATAGACGTGTGGGCGGCCGACGTTGGCGTCGTGGATCTGACGCAGGCCTTAGGCGGGCCAGGGAGGGTACATACAGGTACTGTGCCTTAGCTGTGAGCTTGGGAGTCTGTCTCGGTCTCTCACATGGCCTGCCTAGCCGCCCCCCCTCCCCAGAACCAGAACCAGGGCAGCTCAGGACTAGGAGAGAGCTCCTACGCCGGGCGCTCGGACCACGCTTCTCGGTGCATTGCACCCAAATAATTTCTCTTTTTCGCGAATGCTCTGAAAACTTCCATTAAAGCCAACCTTGATTGTCTGGCGGCTGTGCATTGTAACCCGTATACCATCCGCGCAACTCATCGTGCTTCATCGCAACAAAAAGCCGGTCACGCGCACCCTGGGTTTTAGTCCTCCCTACACGCGAAGAACGCGTTAAGTTCTGCTTTCTGCAGCAACAACATCATCAAGCGCGCGCAACTCGAGACACACCTTCTTTTTCCTTGCCTTCGGTTGACAACTCCACACGACAAACCGCCACACCGGCTCTCACTCGACCTTCCCTATCGACATGTCTAGCGACGCCAGCCCAAAGGCGCCTGCCGCCGACGCCGCGTCAAAGGACGTCTCGCCTGCTGCTGCCGAGTCTAGCGATCAAGCCACTGCCCCCGTTGCGTCAAAGGTGGCCGACGCTGAGGCCGCGCCCGCGCCCGCGCCTGCCAAGGCTCCCGCGTCAGACGAATCTGAGAAAGCCGTTAAAGGTACTTTTCCTCTGTCCGCCGCATTACATGCATATAGATCGCGTTCTCGATACAATTAGCTAACCGTCGCATTCGCGAAAACCCAGCCGCCGACAAAACTGCCGAAAACCCTGTCGACAAGCCCAACGTCGAAATGGCAGACGACGCCGCGCCGGCTGCGGTCGAAACAGAGTCAGGTTCCGCCGAGCAAGATGCTGCCACCGCTCCTGCGGACGCGTCGGCTGCGACTCCGACGCCCAGCAAGAAGAGGGTAGCCCCGCGCAGATCAGTAGGAAGCTCTGAGTCAAAGGGCAAAAAGCTCAACAAGAAGGCTTCCAAGGCCAGGATCACGCACCTGGACGCGCAGCCGGGCGACCACTTCTTCGTGAAGCTCAAGGGGTTCCCCCAATGGCCTGTCATCATCTGCGATGAAGACATGCTGCCCTTCTCCCTCCTCAAGTCTCGACCAGTCACCGCCAAACGCCCCGACGGTACCTACCGCGAGGATGTCGCCGACGGTGGCAAAAAGGCCGCCGACCGCACATTCCCGGTCATGTATCTCCATACCAACGAATTGTAGGTTTTGGATCTACGATTTCTCTCCTGCCCTGCCGAGGGCATGTTGTTGCCACCATGCCCCCTATATTGTCCAAAGGCTAATCTTGTTTGCACTCAGTGGCTGGGTCCCGAACACGGACCTAATTGACCTAGATCCTGCGACCGTCAAGGACATGAAGACTGATCTCAAGAGGAAAGATCTGCAGGCTGCGCACGAATTGGCATCGCAAAACAACGGCCTAACCTTCTACAAGGACCTGCTGCACCAGTATCAAGAGGAGTTGCTCCAGCAAGAAGAGGCAGAAGAAAAGGCCAAGGCCGCGAAAGCCGCCACACCTAACAAAAAGAAAATCAAGGTCGTTTCTTCTGCCGACGACGAGGATATCGAGATGCCTGATGCAGCCGATGAGGAGACTACCCCGGTCAAGGAGAAGAAGACCAAGAAGCGCAAGGCTGAAGAAATCGTCGAGGTGAATAACAGGAGCCTCGTGCAGCCAGTATAGCCCTTGTCAGCTAACCTGTTCTGAACAGACACCACAGCGCACCGACTCTGTGAAGAAGCCCAAGATAAAGTTGACGACGAGCTCGACACCAAAGGCGCCCAACGGAACAGCTTCTGCATCAAAGCAAGCTAAGAGCGCAAGCGAGAAGAAGCCTGCAAAGTCCAAGGCCGCTAAGCCCAAGGAAGCTGAAGAGAAGAAGGTGGAGAAGGAAGTGGTGACGCCGAAGGAGCCCGAGGTGTCCCCTGAAGAGAAGCACGCGCGGAAAGAGGTAAGAGGCCAGAACTCTCTACCAGGGGCTGAACACGAAGCAGCTGCTAATCTAGTCCCCTTACAGAAAGAAGTTCTGTTCCTCCGTCACAAGCTGCAAAAGGGCCTCCTTACGCGGGATCAAGAGCCCAAGGAAGAGGAGATGGAGATCATGTCAGAATACGTGCTCAAGCTGGAGGGATTGCCGGACCTTGAAGTTAGCATCATTAAGGCCACAAAGATAAACAAGGTGCTGAAGGCGATCCTGAAGCTAGACAACATCCCGAAGGAGGAAGAATTCAAGTTCAAGCCGCGCTCGCAGGCGCTCTTGGACAAGTGGAACAAGCTCCTCGCTGCTGACGGCGCGCCAAGCGCACCTGCTGCGTCCGAGGGGACCAATGGAGTCAACGGCACATCTAAGGAAACCAAGACCAACGGCGTCAAGGCTTCCGAACCTGAAAAGACTAAGGAGGATTCAGCTCCTGCGGCGAAGAGCGACGAGAAACCGGCTGGCAAGCCTGCTGCCGAAGATGTATGACAACCACTCCCCTCACACCATGTATATGGTGTCCCATGATTGAGAACCAAGCAACTAACCCTGAATCTAGACTAAGGCCCCAGCAGCAGTTGAGGCGTCGGCTTAGCTGCCTCGATCAAGTCGCCCGCGGCACTATTTACTTGCCTGTGGAGGGATAAAATGAGGTCTTTTGACCCAGCAGAATTACAGCTGCTCATGACTTGAATGCGGGTTTGGCCGATTTGCTCGGCTCAAGCAACGAGAGGGGGCGTCACTCGCCCACCACGTCCCAGCCCGGCTCGAATGTCCTGATTCGCAGCAGCAGCAGCACATGGAGGCAATACCTCTGGGCGTGGTTCCCAGACACACAAGATCGTCTTTTTTTCCTATATTTCTGTAAAACTAGGCGGTTTTTCTTTGCTCTTGCTTGCACATGACCATTTTTTTTCTCGGAGGTGTCTGGTAGGCGGGTAAAGGGGGGAGGTGTTCTGGTTCGAAATACAGGCAATTATTCTATTTTTTTAACCCCCAGCTTTCCCTCTTTTACAAACCTCTCCCCGGTTTCCTCTTTTTCCTTGTTTAGTGTCTTTCTCTCGCTTTTGAGCACAGCCTTGGATGTTAGGAAAAGAAAGGCGAGCGAGGAAGGAAAATGGGGACCACGTGTATAAAGAGAGGGTGGCTGGGCTGTGCCAGCTCCGTGGACTCTTTAGCCAGTCTGTCTTGTTGGGGGAGAGGGGCTTGGTAGGGCAGCAAGGGGGGCATGAAGCCCGCCATCTTTCCTTAGCTGTCGCCGGGGAACCGGTTAGGTTCCCTTCTGCTCTCCGCCTACTAGCCAGTCAGATGTTTTTTTTTCCTAGCAAGAACGGTGACGGCGGAGCAGGTTTGGGAGAGAGAGAGACAGAGAGAGGGCAAGGGCAGATCTCTTTTTTTCGATTTCACGATTTTCCTTTTTTTTCCATCTTTTTTTCCCTTTTCTTTTTATCTTTCTATCTTTCTTTAGTTACTGACTTCGGTCAAACCTCAAACGAACAAAGCAAAGCAAAGCGAGCAGGCGGGCGGGCGGGTGGGCAAATTCGAACGATGAAGCAGGAGGGAGAGGGCAAGGAAAAATTATTGAAATTGATGTGATGTTGCTTTGTAGACCGGGGGGAGATAGCGCGAAATGCAGGCAATTTTTTGAGACGTTTTTAAGTCGTCGTTGGTCAGCGAAATGGAGTGCCTTATTTTTTTCTCTTTTCTTTACTTAGTTCTTCTCTTTTTCTGCTCGTTTGCGTCTGGTTCTTCATTCCATGGCTATGGCTATGGCTATGGATATGGACATGGCTATGGATATGGACATGGCTACGTAAGTACTACATATGGGTTGCTTCCTTTGAAAATGAATGAGGGGTTGTTTGCCTTGGCTATTGCTATAAGCCCGGACAGAGGACAGAGCCAGACAGACAAGCACGCAGACGGACAGATCTTTAAAAGAAATATAAATATCCATCTATCTTCTACTTTGTCTTCGTGCCTATATGCACGTAAGCGACTAATCGCTGCTGTAATCTAAGATGGTGGGAAGAACATGGCAAGTGGAAGTGAGAAAGTGACGGAGCAATGTGGAAGGGATTACGCATAACAGGAGGTACCTACCTACATGACTTGGGGCAGAGCCATCCTGGTCTCTCCCTGGTCTAGCAAGCAAAATAAAATAATGGGACTCATTGTCAATTTTATAGGAGTATAGGTCAAGGTTAAATTGCTATCAACATTTATCTAGATTTGTTCCTTCTACTCTCCTCATTCGTATTGTCTATTTCATTGCATTGTCTGTTTGTTGCGTCCCTAGGTCCGGTTTCGTTACGGTGTGAAAGGGACCAAACAAGCTTTGTGGCGCGCTGTGGCTGGGCACTAACAAGACGAACGCTGGGACCACGACAAACGCGTGGACGCGCCACTTTCTTCAACGACCGCGACGACGTTGCGCGACGACGACGCTTGCATGCCATATCAGGACTGCTATCGAACAGCAAACGACTAATTATGGCGGAATTAGAAGATAACACGGTATTCCAACAGGACGACCACCGGGTAATTAGCTCCATGCCGTTGCATTCCCCCATAAAAATGAGATGTGCTTTTTTAAGAAATGAAATGAAGAGAGAGAGAGAGATGATGTGTTAATATCATGACCAGGCCGCCTACATCTTCAGCGCGCCGTCTTCCGAGGACCAGCACCACCACGATGCATCTTCTTCTGCTGCTCGCCCGACGAAACGAAGGAGGGTCTCGTCCAAGAAAGACGGCTCCAAATCCCGGCAGCAGACAGCCGCAGCAGCTGAGGAAACCGCTGCCACCAGGTCGGCCTTCACGCCGCTCTTCAACAGCGAGAGCCCCGAAGCCGTGCGTCTCCGCGCCGAGTCGTTTGAGACGGCTTGGCCCGTTCTCGATGCCCGCATCCAAGTTCGTTGTGTTTTTTTTTGTTTTTTTTTCTCGTCTCGTTTTCTTTGCTTGGAAGGAAACTCTGGTATACAAAGAAAGCACTGGCTAGTACTGATACTACCGAACCGTTGCAGCATGTCCTGAGGGAAGCCAACCGCAACACCCTCGACGAGGTCACTTCGTTTATACGCAATGCCGAGGCCGAAACGTACGTGATTCCCCTCCTGTCCTTTTCTCGTCATTCTTTTCGTTGCTGCATGGAGGTGGGCTTGGGCTGTGGCTGACATCTCACAGCACCCAAATCCCCGCCGGCATCATCATTACAGGCCCCAACATTGCCTCGCAGGACCTGCTGTTTGAGCAGCTCGCCGACACGCTCTGCAAGGCTACGCAGGCCAGATTCGTGCGCCTACGCTCAGCCGAGGCCCCGAACCTCAAGGCTGCCCTGAAGAAGATCATCAAGGACGCCAGGGCCAGCGGCCGTGATGATGACGATGACACTGACGATGACGACGAGACTGGGCTCTCTGTGTGTAAAAATGTATGCTCCCCTATTTGCTCTTGTCTTGTTTTCTTCTTCTTTTCGGCTTGGATGCCGAGTAGCTGACACGTGGCATTGCCCAGGGCCGAAAATACCTTAACTACGACCTTGAAACCCTCCACGTCGCTCTCGACGTGAACGAATCGCCGCGCGTCATTGTGGCTTTTCAGGACAGTGAGGCATTTGATAGCGGACTCTTGACCGACCTAATTGCTCTTTTCCAGTATGTTGCTCGTGTTTCTGCGCAATTATCTGCCTACCTGCTTTATTTGTCTAATGCTTTCGTCACTCAGCTCTTGGCATGACCGCATACGCTTCTCTGTGCTGTTTGGCATTGCCACCTCGGTGCAGCTGTTCCAGGCGAGGTTGCTCAAGTCCACGGCCCGCTATCTCTACGGTGCCCAGTTTGACGTGGTCCAAGCCGGCTCTGTGCTGGAAAGCGTCTTCAAGAGCGCCGTGGCTGGGAGCCAGGCTCTGGTACGCCTAGGGCCGTCATTGCTGCGGAACCTTGTCGAGCGCCAGCAAGACCAGGTTGCCGGGATTCAGGTCTTTATCAGTTCCTTGAAGGTAAGTGCCGCCGCCATCGCTTCGTCTGTGCACGTGCTAACAGCCTCTAGTATGCGTATATGTGTCACTTCTATGCGAACCCCTTGAGCATGTTCCTTACTGCGGACGGCCACGTTGATCGTCAGCTACTGCAGTCTGAGCATATTCAGGCGGTCCGGACTCTTGGGTCCTTTAAGGCCCATGTCGAGGCAGCTGTCGAAGCACGGCAGTTGAACCACGCCCAGTCGTTACTTAACGACGACAGCTATCTTGTTGACCAGATCCTGAAGCAAGGGCAACGGAGGCAAGACCATGTAATGCGTCTCCTCCGTTCCCTGCATCTTATTACCGCCATGGGCATTCTTTCCACCCCCTTTACCGACCTTTATATATCAGCACTCGCTGAGGGTATTAGTTTATCCTCGGACATGTTTGCCGTCGTGGACCCCATCAAGCGACTGGGCCCGGATGGGATCATATCATTGATTCGCCGCCTCGTGAGCGCTATAGAGGCCGGCAGCCCGGAACTCGACTTACCGGGGTGGGAGTCTAAAGCTGACGAGTTGATAGCGTCTCTGGGCGAGATTCGCAACGAGGTAGAGTCGCTGGTAGAGCGTACAAAGGATAATCGTAACCCCTTGAAAAGCAAATACGGTGCCCATAGCAAGGTCCTGCGGACAACCGTCGTGGCTCAGAAGGTCCAGCTCAGCCGAGATACGGCAACGCTGACGGACGAGGACAACGCCTTCACCAAGGCGATTAACAGCCTCATGGATATTTTGTCCCAGCACATCCATTGCGACCCCGCCGAGAGCCTCTTCCTCCACGAGGCGTGGCTCTATGACTCTAAGTCGCCCTACCGGGACGTCTTTATTCCTCGACTAGCAACAACGTTTGGGAGAGCGCTGACTCGGCCGCATGACTATCTTGGATGCGCCTGTTGCGGCAACGCGGGTGGCGCAGTCGCGTCTACGCTGCCTACCACGGCTATCTTGTATCACCTATACCTAGAAGCAGGTGCGCTCATCAATGTGGCGGATCTGTGGTCGGCGTACTACGCATCGGTTGGCGATGAATCCGAACTAGGGCTTGACGAACGGACAGCCCTCGTGCACTTTTACGAGGGGTTGGCCGAGCTCAGGATGATGGGTTTTGTTCGCCAGAGCAAGAAGAAAGCTGATCACGTTGCCAAGTTGAAATGGCTGTAGCCGGGAGCGGGGGCGGGAGACTCGATTGTCTTTGGCATTTGGATGAATGCATTGTTATCGCCCTTGTTCACACTCGGAATCGGGGCTCCCGTTGGAATGTCGCCGCCCAGACAATGTCTTAGATTGTCAGACAAAGGGAAAACGGAACAAGAGACGGATGTTTCGACTCGTCGCCCAAGATAGTAGCACGAAGACAAAGAACAGGATGATCCGCTAATATACCACAAGCCGCCGTCAAAGAATATGGCTTCCCTTTTGTGAGCTGTCGTTACCCTCAAATACGCCCGCTCTTTCCCTCTCTATAGAATCGCCTTTCCCGAATCTTGCTCTCCGAGAAACCCAAGCATTGATTGTTGTCCGAAGACAACTAGAAGACTATCGCCGGAACTACTATTTTCTCTGCCTTGCTGCTGGCAGCCCACTTTCTACAAACAGCGACCGAAACCTGAGTATCACCTCTTTTTTCCCCCTCAACTTCTTCTAATTTCTTCATCCTTCTTCTTTCCCTACAGTCGAGTCATAATACTCCTTGGTTCATAATAGTCGCGACGAACCGCTCTATTTAAGACTTTCCTTTATCTTTGCTGTCTCTTACTCTCTTGTCTGTCGCTTGCTAAGACCAAGAACCACCACACGCCTGCCTTCTTGCCGTCCTCCTATACACCTCCCTACCAAGGTGCCCCCGACTGCAAGGTTTTAGACGGGCCCGTACGGCCTTCTTTATTTTTACAGAGTCAACTACGCCGACACTTGCAAAGAAGAACCCATAGACTTCGAGTTCTAGAGAGAGACCACATAAAAATGGAGATCCCCGACCACCCCCAGAAAAACAACAACGGCAACAACAACTCCTCAAAGGGGGCTGCCTTCGGCTCGCGCCGCTCAGCCAAGAACCCAGCCTTCGAGACCAAGCTGCAGCAGATGGCACTCCCACTCGCACCGCTTGTACAGATGACGACGGGCGCCGTGCACCCGGCGTTCCCGCCAACGCTGCTGTCCTTCTGGCTGCTGACCGACGACCAGCTGGACGCCCTGGCCAGCTTCTACCACCAGCGCACACCCTGCCAGTGGACCGCCCACTACCCGTGCCCCGTCACCTGGCCGCAGGGCTTGTCGCTCGAGGAGAAGCGCCGCAAGCTCGGCAAGTTCATCGGCCTGCGCGGCTGCGACACGCCGCTTCTCCAACAGACGCTGCCGGTTGGCAGCGGTAGCAACAAGCGGAAGCGCGCGGGGCCCAAGACGGAGGAGGAAATTGAGGACGAGGCACGCCGCGCTAGGGGCGCGAGCGACGACGAGATGTTCAGGAGGAAGATGTGGTAGGAGAAACAGGCAAAGGCAAAAGGCAAAGTGTTGGGCCATTTACTAATATTTTTTGTTGTTTGGTTTGCTTTGCTTGGTTGCATCATCATTTTCTGGCATATCATGGCACGCATAGCATGGCATTGCGTTGCATTGCGTCTTTTTTGGGGGGGCTGCATATATACATGCATTCTTTCACTCATTAGTCGTCGTAATAATGAATACAGAAGTATTGTCGACATTGATCTGACTCTTTCTTTAACCAGGGCCGTACCAGTCTCTCTTGCTTACCTACCTCCTGTCTACCGCGGTGATCTGGCACGTTATCAAAGTTGCGCAATAAGAAATTATATATTCACGACCTGTTGAAGCCACCCAGCGTGGAACCAGAGCAAACAAGATCTTTTTTTCATTGCCTGTGCCAACCTGTAACGCCAATAGTAATGCAGCCAACAACAACCCCCAGGAACCCCGACTCTCGTCACTATGTACTATACAGAACTAAAGAGAGGCAAGGAAGGAGAGAGAAAACGCAACTCGCCCCCGGGCACGTCTATTTCCGGCCCTTCTTCTTCTTGGACCCGCCGCCGCTCACAGGCGTCGCCGAGGGCGTGTTGGTGTCGACCAGCACGGGCTCGTCTTCACTACCGACTTTGCCCTGCGTCTTCTCCGACTCGTCCTCGAGCTTCTTCAGGGACTCGGTCTTGATGGTGGACCGCCGCTTCTCCCACCACTCCTTCTCGCGCTCCGTCTGCGCCTGGATCTCGTCGAGCCGCTGCTTGAGCACCGTGTTGGCGGCGATCTCGTTGGCTGACTGGAAGATGATTTGGCCCCAGTTCGGCGCGAGCGCATTGGCCTGTCAAGATCGCTGGGTAAGCCACTTGCTTTGCAAAATTCCGCTGCGGCTCATCCCGCAGCACTCCACGAACATACCTCCATAACCACATCCCGTAACTCTTCCTCCATCTCCTTCTCGGCGCGCTGGAACCGCTGCCACAGGTCGTCGCCGACGCTGCCCCGCTGCAGGAGCGAGCTGCAGGCGGCCTTGGCAGTGCGGATCTGGATAATGCGGTGGATGTCCTCGACGGCGCGCCGCAGCAGCGCCGCACGTATGACGCTCTCGGGGACCTTGGGCGTCTTGGCCGCCGCCGCCTTCTCGGACCCGTTGGCCTCGGGCTCCATGTGCAGGAGCGACAGGTAGATGTTGCGCTGGAGATGGGGGCCGAACCACGGCGCCAGGTTCGCGCTTTGCGCTGTGAGGAACAGAGTCAGCAAACACATCTCCCCAAGACCAGAGAGAGAGAGAGAGAAGGAAAGAAAGAAAGCAACATACTGGCTTTCCTCTTCCGGTAGATGGTGGAAAATGTCATGAATGTCCCGCTCAGCACCACCAGGTACGCAAAGGGCACAATCAGGCCCCACCAGTCGATGTCGACCATCTTCGCGAAGTCTTTGCTGGCAGCACGGTAGGATGCGATGGGGGTGACAGTCGCGGACGGAACCTGGTAATTAGAAGAGAGGAGGGAAAAAGAAGAGGGAGACAACAACCAAAAAGGTGGCTCTTCGGAAACACAAACTCTTAGCCAGTCACTAAGTAGGGTTTGTATTAACGGACGTGGTGTGTGTTCTGCTGTGGCTAGCTCGTTCGTTGCGTTGCTCCCAAGTGTCCGAATTCACCCCGAAAGAACAGCTTGACATCAAAATTCTAGGTGACCTTTCGTTTGATCTGGCTGGCCCGCCGCTTGCAGGGGTGGCTTGCCTTTACGTTGCCGGGGCTATTCAGGTTCAGGCACGCGGGCGGCTGGCAAGCGGGCACCATCTCACTGTGGCCAGGTTTCATTCCAGTATGGGTTATGTAAGCCACCCATACAGGTACGTACCCTGTCCGGAGCGAGTTTCTCCGGACTTTGGCGTTGGAGGTAACGCGGGGCAGAGCTGCTAGAACCACGCCACCACCCTGCCAATAGGCACGACTTTATGACGACAGCCAGCTTGCCAGCCTAACCCAGCCTACCAAAGCTTCAACAAGTGGGGTGAAGGTTGCAACTGCCAAACCAAACTCCAACTCCAACCACCAAGTTCCCGAGATAACGTTTCTCTGCCAAACCTCACTTCTTCTCATCATAAGATCTTTGTGCATCAGCCCGTTGCGTAAAGTTCGCGTTTCTTCTTCTGCTTGCAAGCATCACAAGCGAGAACAACTTGACACACGATCGAAGTTCAGTCCAGCTGTCACCATGCTTCTAAGGCTTCGTGCGCCGGATGGCATGTTCCGCCTGACGGTGGAGAAGGACAACACATTCGACGATCTTGGCCGCAAAGTATGACTGCTTCCATATTTCCGACCCCATTTCTAAGCTCGACCCAAGTAAGGCCCAAGTTAACAAGCTCCTGCACAGCTCCTCCCGCAGCTCCCGAAAACAGTAAATCCCAAGACCATAACCCTCTCAAACCACCCAAGTGGCGGCGACGCGAAGAAGATCGAGGAAATTGCCAAATTCAAAATCGGCCAGATAGGATTAAGGTAAGCCAGTGGTCTGTGATTCAGCCCGTCCCGTTTGGTAGCCCCCGCTCCGCCTTGCATGAACGGAGCTAACTGCCGAGCGCAACAGCCACGGTGACCTGATATTTATTAGCTATCAACACCAGGATGCTGAATCTAACGGCCACGCAAACGGCCACGCTCCGAAGTCAGCAGCGTTGTCGTCAACCAACCGCCTCAACGGGAAGCCGATCCTCCCGACAGAACACTTCCCCATCGACCCTCTGCCGGTGTCGTCCACTGCAGAAAAGATCAAAAACCCTTGGGAGACGGTTAGGCAGTCTGCTCTGGACGACCGGTTGGACAAAAAAGATGGCAAGATTCCGCGAAAGTTCGACGTAAAGATGTGTCGCCACGGGCCCAAGGGCATGTGCGATTACTGCATGCCTCTGGATCCCTTCAACGCCAAGTACCTCGACGAGAAGAAGATTAAATACATGTCTGTGCACTCATATCTGCGCAAGGTCAACTCGGCGACGAACAAGCCGGAGCTCGGCAGCTCCTTCATACCTCCGCTCGTCGAACCCTACTATCGGGTGAAGCGCGACTGCCCGGCGGGGCATCCCCAGTGGCCTGAAGGCATTTGCACAAAGTGCCAGCCCAGCGCCATTACGCTGCAACCTCAAACTTTCAGGACTGTGGACCATGTCGAGTTTGCGTCGCCGCAAATTATTGATAACTTCCTTGACGCGTGGCGGAGGACTGGAGCGCAGCGTTTTGGGTTTCTTTATGGCAAGTACGTCGAGTACGACGTAGTGCCCCTCGGCATCAAGGCCGTGGTGGAGGCAATCTACGAGCCTCCGCAGGTTGACGAGGCTGACGGCATATCGCTCAACCCTTGGGAAAATGAACAGGATATCAACCAGGTAGCCCAGCTCTGCGGCCTTGAGCAAGTGGGAATCATCTGGACCGACCTCCTGGACTCTGGCGAGGGAGACGGAACCGCCATCTGCAAACGGCACGCGGACTCACACTTTCTTGCATCTCAGGAGATCTACTTCGCCGCGCGCCTCCAGGCTCAGCACCCGAAAGTCACGAAATGGAGCGATACTGGCAGGTTTGGATCCAACTTTGTCACCTGCGTCATATCTGGCAACGAGAAGGGCGAGATCTCAATATCAGCCTATCAAATGTCGAACGATGCAGTAGAAATGGTCCGGGCGGACATAATCGAGCCATCAGCCGACCCCACCGTGATGCTCGTTCGCGAGGAAGAGGAAGACGACGGCTCGGTGAGCAGAACGCGGTATATACCAGAGGTGTTTTACCGCAAGATCAACGAATACGGGGCCAACGTGCAGGAAAACGCGAAGCCGGATTTCCCAGTCGAATATCTCTTTGTCACACTCACACACGGCTTTCCCGAAGCACCGAAGCCAATCTTCATAAATGATAGCTTCCCGATTGAGAACAGGGAGAGTCTAGGGGAAGCACAGGAGCTTTCTGCAGTCGCTAAGGCGCTTAAGGTGAACCAAAAGGACGACCGTCTAGACGTTTCTAGCTTTCATCTTTTATCCTTCATCCACCAAATGGGTGTCTTGTCAAAGGTAAGAAAGGACCACCTCATATTAAAACCCAGCTTGTTATCCTGAACATGACGCTGACCTGGAATCTCTTTGCTTTAGGAGGAAGAAGCGCTACTTTGCCGGGTGGCCACACAACACGACTTGGCCGAGTTTTTCCAACTGCGGTCGACCACAGGATGGCAAACACTGCACGCCATCCTTCAATCCACTGGTGAGAGAATTCCTAAGCGCTCCAGATCTAATGACAGCGGAGGACGTAAACTAGAGTCTTTAGCTTCGTCCTCTCGTAAAACCGCTGCAGCTGCTACTTCGGCGGCTGCGGCGGCCCTGTCTCCCTCTGGATCCTCTTTCAGATACGACGACGAGGAACCCCTTGCTAAGCGCTTTGCGGCTGTCAGGCTGAACGAGGACCGCCATGCATTATTAAGAAAGGCACCGCCGGGAACAGGTCCACCAGGTGATACGCCGAGGAAGTAGGTACAGGGTCTGGAAGGGGGCAGGGACAGGGGCAAGCCCCCTTCAGAATCGATGCCCCTTCTGAAGGCAGGCCGTTGGATCTTACACACATTGAATGGGCTCACGGGCACAATGGGAAGGGGGTACTTGACTGGCTGTAAATACAGACGTGGCCAGTGTCGCCAAGGCGATGAGGGAACATGACGCGGTGGGGTTGAGGAGAATGAATAGTAGGCGGCGTCCATATTTCAGTGAACAGCGTCTCGTACCAGCACAAGGGGTTATTTTATATATAAATAGACCACAGACGGAGATTGGCGGGGCAATTGGCAGCGGCTTGTTTTCGCTTTTTGCTTTCGGAAAATGCACAGCACGACTAGTAGCAGAATGGGAGACAAAAATGAAAATTTACACCGACAGTGTCTGAACTGTATGTAAATTGTGGCCACGGACGTAACACTTTGTCACGTTTTCACTCTCGTTATTTATTTGATAAATAGCCTGGGTTACGTTCCTACAAAGTGAATCAAATTCTATACTTATCTTCGGCGCTATGGGGTAAGAAGATAGGTACCCTAGCTGTTTCGACAATAGCGACCTTCGGTGGAGCTGTACGTCAGTCGTCGGTAATGATCTCATATCAGCGAGCAATTTTTAAAACAGCTGCTTTGCCTATAAATAGTGTGTGCCTACGACTTTCTAACTTAAGAATTACAAACCGTTCTTGATCACTATTTTTATAGTAGATGCACCGCGGAAGGTTTCTATCTCAACCAGAGCCGCGCGCCATTTCAGAGGCATTCTTTCCGTCAGGGATTCTTTTCGGGAAAACCATCAAATCGTTTTCTTCCTCTTCAGGCATTAGAATCAGTCCTTACACCGCAAGTTCGCATCACCACCTCGCGCCCGACCGAGACGGCTCCGGAGAGGTATCAGCAGTTTGAACACCACCACTGGAAGGTACATCATCAGAAAGAGCCGGAGACATCAGAGAGACGGTGGCAAAGACTAGAAGGTAGTCCCTTCATCTCTAGTACTGTCTGTGGCTGGTCCCGTCCGCTGCTGTGAACATTTGGCTGGGGGCCTGCCCGGGATGTGGTAACCGTGGTGCAACTTCACGTATAGCTCATCGCCTGGGAAGCATAGCAGCAGTGGAGAGTTAGACTTCTAGAAATAATAAACCAAAGCCTTAAGAGCTCTAATTAACGCCTTTTTTATTTCCAGTTCAAGTATCGCAATTTCGTAATAGAGGTCAAATTTTATATCGTCATTTCGTAATAAGCAGATCGTCAGAAACGATAGTTCCTCGAGAATACTTTTCAACGTCTTTTTATTTATAGACTATGAAAAGACAAGGCCCGGAAAATTTTTGAACGCCTTTTTATTTATGGAATATCCGTCGTTATTTCATGAAGAGGGAAAATTCACGAGGCAGATTGGTGATATCATATTTACAATGGCTTGCCACCAATAAACTCGGACCACCGACGGACCTCGGCGGGGATGCCCTCTGGGCGAGGCAGCTTCTCGCTCATGCACTGGGCAAAAAGCACAGCGGTCTGCGTAAAGGAATATCGGGTTAGTCTCGATGCGCACATGACACAATGATGGTATTTAGAGGGAGGAAGCAAAACTCACCTGCGGCTCCATGAATAATGGGACACCAAAGTCCACCGCGTTACGGCGCATGACGTAGTCAACGTCCATGACCGTCTTACCGCGAGCTTTGGCAAGATTGAACACTCCGCGGATGTCGTACTTCTTGAACACCTCACGGAGGGCACGCTTGTCTTCCTTGGGGAACTCGATAACCTCAATATTAACCTTGCCCTTGGTCGTCGATTCGAGGAACTGCTTGACCTCCTTGTCGGCAGCATACAGCTTGTAGCCAAGCGGGGACAGATAGTCGACCACCTTAGTCAACCAGTTCTTGTTCAGCTGACCGCCGAACAAGAGACCCTCGCCGGGCTCGGGCGTGCGGAAGTTCATGGCCGACTGCACCGAGGTCCAGTAAGCCTCGACCAAGTCTTTACCGAAGCAGGCCATTTCGCCCGTCGATGCCATCTCGACGCCGAGGAAGGGATCAGCACCGGGTAGACGGGTCCACGAGAACTGCGGTACCTTGGTGGCGACATAATCCCGCTTTACCGCCATAAAATCGGTCGGCTCGGGAACATTCTTGCCCACAAGCGCCTTGGTGGCAACATCAATGAAGTTGACGCCAAGCACCTTGCTCACGAAGGGGAACGAACGCGAGGCGCGGAGATTGCACTCGATGACCTTGAGTGCCGGGAGACCGCCCTCGGGATCGTCGGCCTTGATGATCTGCATGTTGAAAGGTCCGGTAATTCTCCAGGCCTTGGCAACCTTCTGGGCAATCTCCTTCACTCGTTCCATCGTCGTCTCGTCCAGGTTCACAGGGGGGAGGACCAGGGTAGCATCGCCGGAATGAACACCAGCCTGCTCAACGTGCTCGCTGACGGCGTGGAGAATTAGCTTACCGTCAGAGGCAACACCGTCCACGTCGATCTCTTGCGCGCCTTCGATGAACTTGCTGATAACCACGGGATGGTCGGGCGAGACATTGCTGGCGGCTTCCAGCTTGTCCTTCAGGTCGTCCTTGCTGTGTATGACGGTCATGGCAGCCCCGGAGAGAACATAACTGGGACGGACGAGAACAGGATACCCCACATCGTCGGCAAACTTCTCAGCAGCCCGGACGGACGTTAGCTCCTTCCACGCCGGTTGGTCGACTCCGATGCTGTCGAGAATCTCCGAGAACTTTTGCCTATCCTCGGCCTTGTCGATGTCACGGGGATCGGTCCCTAGAACCCTGGCACCGCCAGTCTCCTGGAGTCGCAGGGCTATGTTCTGAGGCAGCTGGCCTCCAACAGAAACCACCACACCTCCGGCATTCTCGAGTTCGTAAATATCCATCACTCGCTCGTAACTTAACTCTTCGAAATAGAGTCTGTCGGCAGTGTCGAAATCGGTGGAATAAGTCTCGGGATTATACGATTGGGGTGTTAGCTGAGTGTTTAAGGCCCAGGAAAGATAGTTGAAGGGGTAGGATAGAAAGTTGAAGGGGTAGGATAGAAAGTTGAAGGGGTAGGATAGAAAGTTGAAGGGGTAGGATAGAAAGTTGAAGGGGTAGGATAGAAAGTTGAAGGCCCAGGATAGAGATTTGAAGGTCTGTTGACAGAAACTTCAAGGCCTGGTGATAGAGAGTTCAAGGCCTGTTGGCAGAAACTCCAAGGCCTTTGACAGAAAGTTCAAGGCTTATTGTCGTTGTCCATGTACTTACGTTGATCATAATTGTCCTCTCGCCCATTTCCTTCAAGGCCAGTGTAGCGCTGACAGCACACCAATCGAACTCGACGGAACTGCCAATGCGATATACACCGCTCCCAAGAATGACAGTCCCCTTCTCCTCGAATGTGACATCATGGGTGGAGGCGTTATAGGTCGTGTAGAGGTAGTTGGTGTCGGCGGGAAACTCGGCAGCCAGCGTGTCGATCCTCTTGACCCACGGCCTGATGCCAAACTCGCGTCTGAGGGCACGAACCTCATCCTCGGTACCGCCAACAGTCGCGCCAATCTGCTTATCAGAGAAGCCCATCTTCTTGGCCTTGAAGACATGCTCCTTTTTGAGACCCTTCAGACTCCCAACCTGCTGAAGCTCTCGAGTGCAGTTAACAATGTTCTCTAGCTTATAGAGAAACCACTTGTCAATCTTGGTGAGCTCATGCACTCGGTCAACGGTGTAATTCTCGTGGAGCATGGCCTGGCCGACTGCCAACCACCGGCGATCAGTTGGGTTCTGGAGCTCAAAGTCGATATCTTCAAACTTGGCGCCCTGGAAGCCGACAAAGTTGGGATCCACCTGTCTAATGGCCTTTTGGAAAGACTCCTCAAAGGTGCGGCCAATAGCCATGACCTCTCCTACAGACTTCATGGCACTCCCAATGTCCCGCTTCACATGCTGGAACTTGGCCAAATCCCACTTGGGGATTTTTGTGACGATATAATCGAGCGACGGCTCGAAGTTGGCCGTGGTCGTCTTGGTGACGGCGTTCGGAAGTTCGGGCAAGCTATGGCCCAGGCCAATCTTGGCAGCTGTGTAAGCTAGAGGGTAGCCAGTGGCCTTGGAAGCCAGGGCCGACGACCGGGAGAGCCGGGCGTTGACCTCGATAACCCTATAGTCTAAACCATCGGGCTGCAGGGCGTACTGAACATTGCACTCGCCTACGACGCCCAAGTGGCGGACAATCTTGATAGCGGCAGTCCGGAGCATATGATACTCCTCGTCGCTCAGGGTTTGACTTGGCGCAACGACAATCGAGTCGCCGGTGTGGATACCCAAGGGGTCGAAATTCTCCATGTTGCACACCGTGATGCAGTTGTTATCTGCGTCACGGACGACCTCGTACTCAACCTCCTTCCAGCCCTTGAGAGACTTCTCAACCAGAATCTGCGGGGAGAGGGTGAGCGAGCGGGCGGCCATGTTTCTAAGCTCTTCCTCGTTGTTCGCGAATCCGGAACCGAGACCGCCTAGCGCATAAGCGGCTCGGACGATGATGGGATAGCCAATCTGGGTGGCCGCCTCGAGGGCCTCGTCGACCGTGTTGACGGCAACCGACTTTGCGATGGGAATGTTGATCTCCTCAAGCGCCTTGGCGAACAAGTCTCTGTCCTCGCTGAGCTCCAGCGTCCTCACGCTTGTGCCGAGGACCTTGACGCCGTACTTTTCGAACAGCCCCAGTGCCTGCATCTGGACACCGAGATTGAGGGCCGTCTGGCCACCGAAGGATAGGAAGATGCCATCAGGCTTCTCGCGCTGAATCACATACTCGACGTACTCGACGGTGACCGGCAGGTAGTAGATCTCGTCAGCGAGGACGTGGTTGGTCTGGATGGTGGCGATATTGGGGTTGATGAGGACGGAAGCTACGCCAGCTTCTTTGAGGGCCTTAAGTGCTTGTGAGCCTATGCGCAGTGAATTGATGTCAGTCGTTATACTTTCTCTTTCCGCCTTTAATTTGACTTGTATGGCTCATAACGTCTCTGCTGTCCCACACGGGGGAAAGCCGAGCTTGGTGACGGTGGACGGGACATACCAGAGTAGTCGAACTCTCCAGCCTGACCAATGGCAAGGCCACCACTACCAATGACAAGGACCTTCTTGACATCGACATGCTCTCTCGGCTTTATGACTCCGCTCTCGAGGTAGGCCTTGGGGTTGGGAGCGGACTGTGCGGCGACCGAGCTTGCGCATGCGGTCGAGGCAGAGAGCAGGCGCTTCTGCACGAGGCGCACGACCTTCGGCGGCGCCTGCTGGGTACGGAAAAGGCTGTTCTGCGCAGCAGAGGTGAAGGTCTTTAGCTGGGGCGTTGAGACAGCAACGCGGCGACCATGGCGGAGAAGGGCGGGGGCTCGGCCGGCCTTTTGCACGGTTGACAGCATTGTCTAAGTCGTCGTCGCGAACAGAAAGTGCAGAAAAAAGAAAGGCAAGTCGCGAAACCCGCTAAGAGTCTCTCGAGCAGCTCTCTGATTGTCCTTCGGTCTTGCCAATTGGGCAGTGCCTCAGGTCGCCAGTCCTTTCGTTTGGTCTTTTTGGCGGTGGGGAGCAGAATAAAAGCAGCAAGTCTTCGAGTCGGTCAGGAAAGAAGACCCAATACAAAAGACCGGCCTCTGTGGGGAGCGATAAGAGATAAGCTCTTGGAGGGTGACTCTTTTCCTGCTCCCGTTCTGGTGAAAATTTTTGATCCACCGCGTGCCCGCTCTGCACTTCCGACAGCGGAAGACCGAAGCATTGATTGTCTATAGTCGTACACTATACAATTGCAATCCCTGAAAGATTGTTAGTGAGAGACTTTCTAAATGCGAAAGGCGTAACTGCTTTGCAAGTTGTCTTCCAGGTTTATCTCTAGGCAGGTGGTAGCTATTAGAGCAACAAATGTATAATCGCGAAGGCAGGTACGAATACGGATAACCCTACACCAAATGCACTGGCATGGAAGCCTTGCAACGTCTTTTCTGGCCTAATTATTCGATAAACCCTACCGGTTTCTGTCTAAGTACCGTGCTAACAGTCATCTGGGGATCGGATTGTATGCACAGCAGTACCAAGAGAACGGCGCAGATGGTGAAATATCATCGCCATCTTAGCTTTTCCATCCACAACCGCTGTACCAGCCATTGGATTTTTGCAGACGCCGAAGAGCAACACAGTGCCTGTAAACCCTCTACCACTGCCAGTTTGTTTATTCACAGCTTCTTGCAAGGACACAGCTGCCCCCAACAGTCCAATATGAAATATCACGCGATATTCTCGTCGCTTTTAGTCTACCATACCGGCCGAGGTACCTTGATATCGGGACTTGGATGGAGGCGGTGGCAAACGATGTTCCCGCGATCTGCAACTCTTGCCAGCTACCCCGCCATGCCCCTCGAAACCTGACATGAAAAAAGTTTATATTCCGGGGCGTTTATTGGCCAATGCCAACGCCGTGTGCCTCGTGCGGGCAATGTTTTCGTCCTGCCATCGTGACCCCTCACGACCTTCAGTCGCACCCAGACAGACGTTGGTTGAACCGGTGCAGAGGCCTTCCCTGTCATGATAGAATATCGAGACTAGTTGAAATGTCATCATTTGATGATTAACTCGAACTAAACGGGCATACTTATGCGATAGATAAAACTCACATATATACTTAATGTACAGTACCTAGTCCCTTTGAGCTATTCCCGCCTTCACAACGTTGCCTACCGCTGCGACGTCGTCTACTGCCGCTGAATATCCCGCGACATCTTGGGTTATAAATGACTCCATTCTTGCTGCCAGCTAGTATCATATAGGCTGCAGGGGCAAGCTCCAAGTCGTCTGTGGTAATAGAATGGCGCAATCTCGTAATGTCGAGCGAGCAAGGTGTCCGTCCGATCAAGATAAACAGGAGAGCAGTGTTCACGAATTTTGAACTAAAACTTTCTAAGCACCCCTATGACTTGTTTCCTTCATGCTCATCTTCCAGTCCTGCTCCTGAAGGCTTCCAGAAAGAACTAGGATGCAAGATTAAATCTTATGCAGTCCCAATATCCTCAAGAAATATTACAGCGTGGAGGGATATAGATACCATTTTATGGGGGTGAACATTCATTCCCAGCCTTACTCCGTTGAAGTGTTACATTTTCAGGACTTGCCAAGACGCTCACAGTAATATTTTGATATTTCTTTCTTTCTTCAGATTCAAGGAGACATTAGACACGGTGCCCGAGAACAACAAGTATCCTTTAATTCTTCTTGTTTTTCTATACCATAGCACTCATGAAGTACAGACATGACGTCGTCGACGAGGTATCAACTAGCGCATAGGGGCTCCCCACTTAACTCTTATCTAACCGCACCGCTGGGTTTCTTTGAATGAAGTTCAGGTCCACCTTGTGACCAAGAAGCTCGCGAATATTCGAGATGCCGTACTTGATCATAGTTGGTCTCTCTAGAGAAAGTCCCCAGCCAAAGACGTTCATGCCCTTTGGCAGCCCCATCGACTCGAGCATTTCTGGACGGAACATACCACTGTTGCCAATCTCAACCAGCTTGTCAAGACCCTGGTGGTAGCTGAAGATCTCCATACTCGGCTCGGTATAAGGATTATACGCAGGCTTGTAGCGGAGGTCTGTAATGCCCATCTTACCAAAGAAGATATCCATGAACTCCATCAGGCCTCCCAGAGTCAGATTGTAGTCCGCAATGACGCCTTCGACTTGATGAAACTCAGCCAGATGGGTCGCGTCGACCGTCTCATTACGGAAGACACGATCGATCGAGAAGTACCGCGCCGGTGGTGGGAGGCCATCGAGCCCCTTCTTCGCGGCAAGCTTATGCAACATTGCTGTGGAAATCGACGTGGTGTGAGTGCGGAGAACCAGGCGAAGCGACTCGTCGGGGGACCAGGGGTACCGGTACCCGATCGATCCGAACTTTCCGTTCTCGTGTACCTGCCGCACATTCTCCCAGTATTGCTCGTAGTCCTGTTTGTCGTTAGGAGAGATTGGGCCAGGCTTCCCTGCTGTCTTGGGGTCTGAAATATAGAAAGTGTCTTGGAGATCGCGGGCCGGGTGTTGCTGGGGTACGAAGAGAGCATCGAAGTTCCAGAAACCTGATTCAACGAATTTGTTGGTCGGCATCTCCTCGAAGCCCATCTCGAAGAAGATCTGCCTGAACTCGGCTCTGACCTTGTTCAGGGGGTGCAGAGCGCCTGCATTCTGGTCGGCACCCAGCGCCTTGAAGTTGTATGGCTTGAACGTCGCCGTCTTCCATGCACCGGAAACCAGCATGTCTGCAGTCAGGTCTGTCTCTTCCTTTGCGATCTCGAGGGCAAACTTGGGCCCTTTGTGGATCCTGAAGCTAATGACCTTCTGCATCTTGACAAGCTTGCGCTTCTTCAACTCGGCCAACACTTTCACGTCGGGATAAGTCCGCGTTGTCTTTATAGTTTGCACCTGCTCCCGAGTCACGTCTTTTATAGCGTCCGCCTGCAATGCCGTGCCCCGTCAGTTTGGACGAACTTAGACACCTCATGATTGAGAATACGAACCGTAGTCTTGAATTTGCCCTCCTTCGTCCTGGAGATCCACTTCTCTTTGAAGGCCTTGCTCTGGCCGAGCTTTGCGATAGACTTGTCGCCGATGGCCTTCTCAATCTCCTGCACCGTCAAGCCGTCCATGGCCTGTCGCAGCGCCTCAAAGACGCGCGCTTCGTGGCTGCCATTGGCGGCAATCTGCTCGCCTTCTGGTTCAAGTGTGTATTCTTCCCTCTCCAGCGTGTCATATTTGGTCATCTCCCGGGAAGCGAGGCGGTCGAGGGCAGCCTTGATCTCGGTGAAGGTCGACTTGGGGAAGGTCTTGGCGGACAGAATCGGGGACGACTCGGACAAAGCTGCCAAGATCTCGAGGGCAAGATCCCTCGGGACACCATCGGTAGCGGCCATGGCGGCGAGACACTTGGTGTGAATGTGTTTAGTGGTGTTGTTGCTGGGGCGGACGGTGCAAAGTCAAATTCGTTGGGGTCGTCTTTAATGGTCGCAGCTGTCACCTTCTGAGTCACTGCCAGGCCACTGGTTGGATCTGTCCCGCACCCAAAAATCTCCCCCGCCAAACGTTCGAGGTTGCTCAACTGCAGGGGTCTGTGCCCCACGTTGAATTCGATGTATCGGCGACAACTTTTCCCGGCCTCCGCTTGCCGTAGAACCCGGTCCGATAAGGATTTTCCTGGACCCCGATAAGTCTTTTTGCATCCCTGAGCGTCAGTCAGGGGAGCTTGATGAGCCAAGCACGCGCCGTCCCATCATGAGGTGGGTAGGCCTTTCCTGCAAAGCATCGTCGACTGCACCACGCAGCCCCGGTTTTCTTCTCCTGTGACCCAGTTCATGCTGGGCTCGCATCTTGGCCTGCCCGATGAAAAGATTTACTAGCCGCTAACGCGCCACTCCGATCTGTACATAGAACAACCGGCTATGTGAGACAACAAACGCCCTCCCATTTCGAACCGCCTTTTGATGCGCCCACACCCCCCTTGATCCGAATTGCGGCGAGCTATGAACAATGACTCGGCCCCGGGCTCGAGCTCCGCGGCCCGCGAGCCCCTACAACCCGGCGACGGCTGGCAACAGAATAGCGGCGAGGACGGAGGCCGGGGGGAGCCGTCAGCGGAGAGCGGCGAGGGTCGGTCCTCTGCGCTGCCTTCCTTCGAGCCAACGCGGAAGCAGAAACGGCGAGAGGGACTATCTAAGAAGCTGCAGTTCATAACCCTTTTGCAAAAGAGCTTGGACACGGTCGTCTTTTCCTACCTCTGTATATTGTATTACATGGAGTTAGTCCTGCCCTGGATTTTCTCCTCAGGAGGAGCTTCAACAAGTAACTTACTGACCTTTCTAGGTGCTCCTTTCCGCGTCTTCTCCTGCGCCTCATCCCGCACTACATTCTCCTGACACCCAAAGAGGCGGTGGTCTCGCTGCCGGCTAAGCGGCCGCACGTCTTCGGCATATTTGTGCCAAACATTCTATGCATGCTCTTCCACGCCATGCTATCGCTGCCACGTGCCAGCGAGTCGGCGCGCGGATACCTGAACGGGGGCATTATTATTGACTTTATCGGGCAGAAGCCAGCGACATCGAAACTAGGCCTTTTGCTCTTTGACATAGTGATCCTCGCCGTGCAGTGCCTAATGCTGGCGGTCCATCACGACCGGGAGAGACTACGAAAGGTTCTCGACCCTTCATTACCGACCGCCCGTGCCAGTCTGGCAGAGGCGTCTTCGCCGACCCCCCCGGATCCGACCCAGGACCTCGACGCGGAAGAGCGTGGGATAATAAGAGACGAAGCGAATATTGGAGAAGACTCCGGCGGAATCGAGCTGCAAAGCATAGCTTCGAGAGCGAATAGCGCTCAACAGGATGACGTTAGGGATCCAGAGGACTCCGGACGAATGGGGCCCACCTACTACTCGTCTGCCACAAGCATTGATCTGGTAGATATCATGAGATCGGGCAGCGCAATCCTGGGCAATTTTCATATTGTTCACGCAATTAGAACTATCGGGAACGACTACCAGGCTGCGGCAGCTTACTCGCTTCAGTCTTTGGGTTATAATGCAACCCTTGCCGCCCTAGCCGCCGAAAGAAGAGCTAGGGTACAGCAGCAACAACAATAGATATTGATTGCAATGGTAGTTCACCAGCGGGTTAAACAAATGCCAAAGTATCCCACGTTTCTCTTCGTTCACGAAGTATTAGATTCGTCACGCTACTTTGCGCCCAACATTGCCCACTCCTGTGCCCTTCACCGAAACTATTACATCACCAGTGTCATCGTCGTCGATATCGCGTACTCCCCAACTGCTTGCGCCGAATGTCTTGAGGTCTCTTGCAAGGGCTATTGTCTCGTCTCTACCCACAACGTTCCGTCCAAGCCTCAGCCGGCCTACATCCTCGGACCCCATCGCCATTAGTGTCAGTACCGTGGATGATGCGGTAGAGGTTACGCAACCGCCTTGTGAGATAAGCTCGAGCAGCTGGTAAGCACACCGTGCGCCGACGTCCTCGGGCACCACGCCTCCCTCAGGGGGCGCCACCTCGTCGGCTGCGTACAGCACGCCCTGGGCGCTCGACTCGGCGACCAGACTGAGCCCGAAGCCAATGCCGAGCTTCCTCTTCTTGCCCGGGGCGTTCTTGTCGGTGGCGACGAGCGGGGACGGGTCGTACTGGGCGGCGACATGTATGTCAGACACGAGGGCGTTGAGCACGGCGCGCGCAGCGTGGATCATGCGGTTGTTGTGGCTGGCAGACACGCCGGTGCAGTAGGCGACGCCGCGGATGCGCCGTATGCGGCCCGGGCGGCGGTTGACGTGAAGCGTCTTGGGCAGGCGCACCTGGCTGGCAAAGCGCAGCTCGACAACGCCACCACCACCACGGCCACCAGGCCCTGCGCAGGAGCGCGCCAGCACGCGCAGCTCGATGCGCGTGGGTGGGATCCCGAACAGGGCGTACAACGGCAGCACGGCGGTTCGGAAAGTGTCGACCGACACGTCCCCAGTGACGTGGGTCGCGGCGGTGATGACGCCCGGCCCGGAGAACCGCACGTTGACGTGAGCCTTGGAGAAGGGGGCTAGGAGGGCCAGCGGCATCAGGAAGTAGGTGACGCCGCGGTTGCAGTTGGCGGGCAGCGAGTGCTCGACTATGTCACCGACGGAGGCACCGGCGCCGGCTACGGTGCCGGTGATTAGGCCCGGCTGGTAGACGACGGTGGTACCACTGTACGACACGTCGATGGCGCTGCCGTTGGTGACGGCCTCAATCAGGCGCAGCAGCGAGATTTCGTGTGGGGCCAGCCCCGGATGCGTCGCCGACGTACTGCGGATCTTGGAGATGTGCACCGGCCGACCCGACAGCGTCGACAGCACCAGCCGCTGCGCAAAATGCCGGTGGCCTGTGAAGCGTAGGAATTCGGGCTTCTGCTCCGCCATAGCTGCGGTTTGGTGTGGTGTGTATGGCCGTTCGCTTCTGGCTGTGATATGTTGCGGTGGGGAAATTCGTCGCATAACCACTTGCCGACCAAAAGTCAAAGTAAATTTTAAGGGTCCCGCCGATTCTGCCGGGCGGTGTAGCTCTTTAGTTTCTTATCGGCAAGGAAGGCGCGCTGATAAGCGGCTTAGTAGCAAAAAAATTACAGCGGAACAGGGGGGTTCGTCTGTGAGTCTGGGGGCTTGAGAGTGGTCTCCATGTCCAGCATCGTCTTGCATCAGACTGAGGACCAATATTTGCTCAATTTTCTTTGGCCTTTCCTTCGCTAGCGCTTTCTTTTTACATATACGGCGACGGCAGTAGCCTTGCGCCCTCTACCTCTCCCCCTCCCTGATGCCTCCCCGAACCTTTTCGTTGGACCTGAGCCGCAGCAGCTACGTCTGCAAGTCTTGCCTCACAAATCTGCGCATCTCAAATCAGCCAAAGTGGCTGGCAAGACACGGCTCAAGCGTCGCCCAGAAGGCGCAACAACCCCAATATCCTACCGGACAGAAAAGGCCCAAGCCGAAGGCTACAACTGAGACCATCTCGCTCGAAGACCTCCAGAAAGCCTTCACACAGCTGAAGACAGAAGCCCGGGAGCAGGAGCAGGCGCAGGCGCCGCCCATCAAGACCGACGACGATATATCCCCAATCGCGAGGCCAACTCAACCACTCTCTGTGCGCTATTACAACGAGATACAGCCAGGCACTTACAAGCGCATGCCCGACAAGGATGGCTTTACCACCTCGGCCAAGCTCGACACCAAGATCGAGGCAGCCATCAACGAGCTCGAGCAGCAAATGGCGAGCACGGTCGAGATGCTCCAGCAGATGGAGGAAGGTGGAATGCAGGATAAAGCCGACGACCTGAGGAAACAATTTAAAAAAACGCTCCGCGACCAGTACAAGGGCAAGACCGGCCCCGAGGCCGAAGAGCATCGGTGGCTCCGTATACTTGGCTTCAGCGGGGCCCGCCATCGAGCCGTAGCCAACCTGAACCGGTTCCTGGCCCGCGAAAACGTTGTCAAGGGCGGCGTTCCCAAGCCGAAGGATCTGTTGGAGTGCTGGAAGTCCTACTCGGCCGCCCGCAAGTCTCTCTCGACAGCCTGGGAGAATGTGCCTCGCGGTGTTTGGGATTTCCTGTGGACGACCCTGTCGTGGGAGGAAGGAGTCGACAACCCCAACCGGATGTCGCACATCTACGTCCTGGCTAAGGACATGAGTGCTGCCGGCGTGGTGTTGAGGGATTCCCAGCAGCTGCTGGCCATCGAGGCCATGTTTATCGAGGGGTGGCAGGCTGAGGCCATCGAGGCCTGGAAGAAGGCTGTTACCCTGGGATCGAAGCCCGAAACCTTCAAGGAGTACTGGGAGCTAGGCGTCCGCATGTGCTGCATCTATGGAGACACGGAACGCGCCCAGAGAGCCGCCGATATGCTCCTGAACTCGGCACATGACATGGACCCCAGGATCATCATCCCCATCGTCCGCGCTTTGGCGGCCAAGGAACCGACGCGTGAGCAGGCGTGGACCTTGTTCCGGGATATGCGGGATCTCCTCGGAACGAGCATGACGGTCGAGGACTACGACATTGTGATTGGCTCGTTTCTGGCGTGCAACTGTGTCGAATTTGCCTTGCAGGCCTTTGTCGACATGATGTTCGCCGGCGCTATTGATGTCCGTGGCAAGACCAGGCTTCCCACGGCAGTTGGCAATCATTTCTTCCTTGGGAAGTGGTTGAAACGGCTCATAGGGGCCGGTCAACTGGATGAGGCTTATCAGGTGGCAGTATTCCTCCAAACAAAGGGGGTGGTCGCCTCGCCCATTCAACTCAACGGTCTAATTGGGGCTTGGATAAGGTCAGGGTCTGCCGAAGACCTAGACAAGGCGGAAAGACTAGCTTGGGACATGATTCACACACGCCTGGAATATGTTTACCTGCGTCACCGGGCGGCATCGATGGACCAGCCCACCCGGTTCTATGCCCCATACGTTCCGCCCACGATTGGTGGAGATGGCAGCGGGTTCAAGTGCAAAGCGAGAGCCACTGCCGAGACCATATCTCTACTAGCTGAGAACTACTGCTCCCGGGGGCTTCACGATCGCCTGAAGGAGCTGTGGGAGGGTTCCCAGCGCGCCGAGATCACGACAACTGCCTTCTTCATGAACCAGCTGATCCGGTCGCACAGCCACAACATGAAAGCGGACGATGCTGTAGCGTTGTACCGATCCATGACTAAGGAACAGAACATCAGACCGGATGGACACACATTCCTCACCCTGTTCAGCACCCTCTCTGTCAATCGACTTATCCAACGTGACGAAGTTCTCTCGGCCAGGGACGTGGTCAGCGGAAGGCAGTTCTTTAGCGACATGGTTGAGGCAGACTGGGTGTTTGATTCGCCCGAGCTCTTTGGCATCCTGCCGAGGACGATCCTGTTCTCGATGCTCAAAGCACACGACTATACCGGCATGCTTGTTGCGGCGCGAGCGATGAAGGAGATATTTGCCTACACGCCGCCGGAACCGCTTCTCATCGAGCTGGCCACGGGCTCGACGATGTTGAAGGCGCCGACGAAGCGGAACTTGGAGCGCCTCATGAGCGGCACTATGACCGTCGAGGGACTGATGAAGCACCACAGAGCGGCAGTAGCACCCGGCCAGCGGCTCGACCCGGACAACATGACTGTGGACCAGAGGGCTGCCGAGCTGCATGCCGTGCTCGAGCAGCTCATCCTGCTCAAGGCCGGCTTGCAGGACGTGGACCCGAACGCCAACCTCCGGCCGGCGCTCGAGGCTGCGGCGCGCGACATGGGCGTGTACGATATCGTGATTGCCCCGGACCCGAAGAAGATTTCCAAGCACAGGAAGCTGGACAAGAAGGCTCTTCAAGAGATGTAGCGAGGCAACTGCCATGTAATATTGTATGATATACTCTAACTCTTTTTTGTATATAATCAACCTCTCGTTTCTTGCCTGCTGTTCAAGCAAACACTACTTCCCGCCCGCTGTCTCGTTTCCGCCGCACGTCTTGCTGAATGTAGAATGTAGTGTTGAGCAACCATTCGACTCAATCCGGCGTCAGGGGGTAGCAGTTGGATGGACAAATGCCCATGTCGAGCGCGAAGCCGTCAGGAATGCTGCTGAGTGCTTCTATCCAGTGCCCCTCCTGACTAGCATGGGGAAGGCAGCAATCAGGCATTGCACTGGAGGAGACAGCAGTTGTGGTACACAGCAGTCAGTCCAGTGCAGTTGGAGGAATTGGCATCAGGGGTAAGCAGCTCGATGGATTATGGATTGCGTGCTATACAGGCAGGTTAAGCGCCAGCCAGCCAGCCAGTGCCAGACTTCTGCGTCAGTCTAGTGAATCTTCGAGCAGCAGGGGGAGAAGCCCATGTAAACGAATCAGTAAATAAACAAGAAGATAGAAGGAGTACGTAGTAGGATGTAGGCTTGTTGTGCAGAGGACGGGGGAGTGTGTGCTATACATAGCAGCAGCCATGACGTCGGCCGTTGAAGAAAATTTGCTTGTGTGTGTGTGTGTGTGTGTGTGAAAAACATCGGTACATTTTTGGGTTTATATATAGCGATGCCGTGGCCAGCCATACCCCGGGAATGGGAATGGGGAGGATGGAGGATGAAGAGGCACAGGACCCGAGTGCCGATAGTCTGGATCCGCGACTGCATATCGGGCATTTTGTTTTGGGCGGCGGCGCTTGGAGAGCCCCACCCCTGGCATGTGAATTATTGATTTTTTGAGCCTCTTCGTTGCATCAGACTCGGCGCTTGTTTTTTTCTTGTCTTTGCTGGGTTTGTGGTTTTGAAGGAGGGAGGGACAATGTATCTTTGCAACTTTGGTACTTGTGCATTTGAGAGCTGTTTGTTTTCGTCTGTGTCGCTGTGTCACTCACTATATCACTCTGTATCACTCACTGTAGGTAGGTGGCTTCAGGGTTGTGTGAGTGCTTGGTTTGGAAGGAAGGTGAGTTACGGATACTCGGTGAGTCTCGACCGTTTTGGGGGATTGTTTGTTTGGCTTGTTTTGTAAAACGGTGGTTTTCTAGTTGAATGGAGTGGTGCTTAACTGAAGGGATTGATCAAGCTTCAACTGCTCAAGGTGAGTACACCCAGAAAGTGAGGTGACTGCTGTTTTTGAAAGATCGAGGCGGAATGAAATCTAGGCACCAACCGAGTCACCCCTCCAAATTAAGGTTTCAACAACACCTCAACCTTACCTGACGTGCCGTGCACCTTGCCTGCCTCAATCACTTCCGTCTTCCCGTAAGACCTCGCACGCTCGTAAAGAGCGATAATTAAATAAGACGAGGCTCGCTCATTCGCACATATTATCTGTTTTCTCGGCCAAGGCAGGAGGTAGGTGCCGTACCTTGGGCTGTCGGCTTTGTGTCGCGAATCCATCTCTCACCCTCCTTTCGTCTCTCGTAACACAAGAAGGAACACAGGAGGGCAGTCGGAAGCCAGGCCATATCTCATTCCAAATGTGCTCATCCGCCAGAAATGGCGGCCGGCCGGCTCCCCCGGCAGCAGTGTCGCCGGAAGATAACGGCGAGGACGATTACATGACCATGACCTTCGGCGACACTCCCGCACTCGCCCAGCCCGAGACGTCGCTGCAGCGGCGCGAGAGATTGCGGCGCGAGGCCGAGAAGCGCAGCCGCCCCAAGTCCAAGGCGGAACTAGCCACCGAGGAAGAGGCCCGCCGCGAGGCCGCCCTGTCGCGCTCGCTGCTGGAGCCCCTGCACGACGGCAGCTTGCGGAAGAGCAAGGGCCTTGCCATGATGGCCAAGATGGGCTTCAAGGCAGGCAGCGCCCTGGGCAAGCAGGTCAGCCCAGATGCTGCCGACACCACCGGCGGCGGCCTAAGCGGCAGCACCGCCATCGTCGAGCCCATCCGCGTCGTCATCAAAGGCGGCCGCGAGGGCATCGGCCTCGAGAACAAGCGCAAGCGCCAGCTCCGCGAGGCTGCCGAGGCTGCCGAGGCCGCCGGTGAGGGCCCCGAGGCAAAGCGCCCCAAAGTCATCGACCCTGCCGAATATCGTGCCGCGCGGAGCCGCGAGATCGAGGAAGCACGCCTCGGCAGGCTTGTCTACGCTGCGCAGAAGGTCGCCGAGAGCATGGACGAAGATAGTTGGGGTAAGGAGCAAGACGGTAATCTCACGGCAACATCAACAAAGACGACAGCCGAATCTACAGCAGGACGTGGTCCCGATGATATGTCTGGAACTGATGACGAAGCAGCAACAACAGCCATAGCGGCACCTACGAGCAAGGAGCAGAACAGGAGTAAGAAATGGACGCGGGCGAACGTGGGCCGCACCGTTTCATCGCGCCCACTGAACTCCATCCCCGTCGTCTGGCGGGGCCTGGTCAAGGGACGAGAGCAGGCCGAGCAGACCCGCCGGGTGCGGCACGACCTCGAGCAGAGCAGTTTGTCGCGTCTCCCGACGTACGACGACGCCGACGAAGACGAGGACGACCGTCGCGCGCTGGGCAAGGCGCAGACGGCCTACGTCGCGGCCGAAGACCTCGACGACGAAGACCCAGAGCTGGACGAGTTCAACGCGCTGCCCCCCGACGAGAGACTGCGCCGCCTCGTCGAGTACCTGCGTCACGAGCACTACTACTGCTTCTGGTGCAAGTTCAAGTACCCCGACGCCCAGATGGAGGATTGTCCTGGCCTGACCGAAGAGGACCACTAGCAAGCTGCCACTCGATGAGGAGTGCTTGGGAGACAATGGTCCATGTATTGTAGTTGCGTGTATAAAAGCGCGTCGACCGACCCACTGGTCCAGCTCGGTAGCAGGATGGCGGTCACGTCGGCGTATAGAGCTTCATATCGATGGCCCTACAGTGGGTTGTAAAAGTCAGGGGTATATACCCATTCAGTCTGGCCTCGCCAAGTCAGTTCCCGTGAACCAGTTGTCCACCACAAGTATGGATACTCTCAAAGTAAACGATGTCAGGCACCGACGCTCTGTCTCGAGTGTCATGGCGCTCTTTGACTCGTAAATATTGAGTTGATCCTTTTCTTGGGTTAAGAGATAGATACAAAAGAGCCTCTGGGTCCTCTCGTGCCATTCTATCCTCTTACAATAGTAGGTCATTTGCCCCTGGTTTACTCTTTCTCTTTCTCTTCCTCTTCCTCTTCGTAGCTTCCAACACAGTTATTGTCACGAGCAGCAAAGGTACTGATGAGGTTGCTAACCGTGTAGCGAGGTTCTACTAGAGTCCCTTGGCCAACCCAAATACTGGCGTTGGTTAATCAAACCGTTACACACTAGAGGGTCATGAGAATCAAGTTCGAGGAAAGGAATTATGGTTTCAACAAAGGCTGAAGAGACGCATATGGAATGGACCGAAAGTTGAATCACGCTTGGTCCGTCTAACTGAACTCCCTAAAACGCAACTCCGATGGAGATATGAAGCATTCTTGGTGTTCGTTTTAGTATGTGCGTGGTGATAGGTATGAGCCATTTCTCCTTTTTGATAGATCTAACTGTAGAAGTTCCTCCTTGAGCAGACGAAATACAACATGAAGCATTCTTAATGTTTTAACTACAACCGCCAATGCCAGCATCACTGTCCGCAGCGCTGAGGTCTTCTTCCTTTTTATTTCCACGATAACCAATCAACTATGGAGTAACTAGGTACACTTGTTGACTTGGTTGCCTGTAAATAGGCCACCTAGCAACAGCCACCTGTTGGCACAACGACAACAAGAAAAGATCTGACTGATCAACCAAGCATGGGGAGAGAAAGATCTGCAACCAAACCCCCTTTCAGTTCCGGACACCGAACCACAACCGTGTCTCAAAGTGTCGAAAACTCACCGAACCGTGAGCCGCGAGCCTCAAAACCTCGTCCACACATAGACGCCTCACTCGGCAGTCACTAGACACATGCGTCCGCGTCAAAGCCGGCAAGAAAAGGCGATGAAACACGGTCAACACACACCAAGATGACACTCACCGCTGCTTCTGCGCGACACAGTGTGCCTCTATTCTCTCCGTGCTCTGAAGTGACTTGTCCCCCCTCCTCGAGTTGACAGCTGTCTACTGAGCCCCATGGGGGAGCGCTCTCAGACTAGAAGCAGCCTCGCCACAGCTCTCTAGATGGGGGCGGGTTACGTGCTTATGGAAGAGACAGCAAGGCGTCGAAGTGGATGTCTGCATCGACATCGGCATCGGCATCGGCATCGGCATCGGCATCGGCACATGTATCGAGGGGGGAAGAGAAAAGAGGCGCAGATCAGATACAATCGTGAAGCCGGCGCCGACGTACATAGAGGGCAAATAGCCCGACAGACGCAAAACAGCACCGCGGCCCCTTTTTAGTCATGGCTCCCTACACCGGCCGGCACCCACTCACATGAGACACGGCCACCGACGGAGGCAAACACTGAGTGGGAGATAGATTCTTTGCCCCGTTTTGGTCGAAGGAGCTAACAATAGTTATCAGCAGAGCAAAGTAAGACGAGACAAGGCAAGACACCTACCTACTTACCTACTTTGCCTCCGCAATGGTCAGAATGTCAGACGGCATGTTGCGCTGAAAGGCGAGCTTGTAAGTATGCATCGTGCGCTTACTCACCTCTTCGTGGCTCCATTCTGTCTTGTTTTCTGGATACTGTGCCACGGTAAGATTTCTTCTCTCAGCCCTAGGGTAGCCAGCCTTGGGTCCGGAAGCTGTCGTTGCCTACAGCTTCTGGTATCAGCACCGGTGCCAAAAAGAAATAGTAAACCACAACTCTTGGTTCTATCTGGCCCCATCTATGTTTCGCCTTTTACCCTCCCCATCACCTTTGGGCGCCATCAGGGGCAGGCTGAGAATTAATTAGGGGGTCGAAGCCGACATCAACAGCGACATGACACGACAGACATCAAGGACAAAAAAAGTCTTTGGCCCCCATACCATACATTCTGCGAGAAGATAATCGAGGCTTTCCAATAAGCAGAGCCGATTGTCGACCTCGGAACCGAAAGACCTGGACAATCGTCATGACGACTGACGCCCAGCCGGCACAGCACTCAGGTGCAGCGTGAACCTATGAAGATGGGCGAAGGGGCGCGGTAAGCCCACGGCACATGCTACGCTGTCTGTCTCTCTCTCTGACAAACGCACCCACACAAGGCCAATCGCCAAAGGGTTGACAGAGAAAAGCCCGGGAGAAGACAAATCACTAACAGAAAAAAAAGGCAAACTCTCCGAGACCGAGCGGCACGGCTACCGGCCGCGCAACCTGTTTGTCTGTTTCTCTCTCTCTCTCTCTCTCTCTCACACACTCTCAGCCCAACCCCAACAGCCCTCCACCTCCTTCCTGCCTGTATTGTACCACGTGCGACATGTTGGGAGGCGGCGGCGTGTTGAACCCCCCCTCCCGAAAAAGCGAAAGATGGGGATTGGGAAAAAAACCAAGTCCGCGATGCATTCGCACGCGCCCTTTGTCTTTGTGTAAGGGAAAAAACCGACAGAAAAGGAAGCGGCGAGGTATAATCTTATTTCCCCGCCAAGCCGCCCGCTGTCCAGCAAAGTAACCCCCCTCTTCTCTCTGGGACGCCGAACCAGCCAGCCACGATCACAGGTGAAAGAAGAAATAAAATAAATCAAGAAAAAAAAGACGCCACAAATTAAAATCCCAATGGGATTTGTATGCGCCGCGGGTCACACTGTCACGATAAAAAATTCACTCGATTTACGTGGCTCACCCGCTCTGAGCATCAGTCTGAACCGCGCGTGGAGTTGCCACTTTGCGCCGCCGCCGCTGCTGCGGCGTCTCCTCCCGCTCCTCGCAGGTTGACAGGGCAAGCAAGTAGGCGCCGGGCGCCGGAGTCCCGGCAGTTGACACCCGTCAGTCAGTCTTTTTTACGTTGCAACGACATATGCCGGGGCACCGAAGAGACAGAAAAAGAAAAAAGGGCCGTACAACTAAGTGGTCTGTCTTGATTTGACTTTGCCTTTGACTTTTACCTTGACTTGAATGGAAAAATATTGCCGGGCCACTTACCGGACTTGGGCTGGCGAACAGGCCTCCTCGACCCGCAGGTCTGGGGCGGGCAAAGACTCTCTGAAAGGATTACGGCTCTTTGGTGGGCAGCGGGGGAGAGGGCCGAGCGCCATGCAGGACCCCGACCCCGTCGGCGACGTGAGGCATATAGCGGACGAGAACACATTCCACTATAACCTTAGGCAAGACGACTACTGCACAGGCAGTTCTTTTGGGTGTGTGTGCTGCAGGCCCGAGAGCCTCTCGGACCTGCTAACATACATACATACTGCGCAGGATGGTGGGCCTGCAGATACCTAACTGCTGGACTGCGCGACAACATACATACAATAGTACTACCCACAGGTTGGCTTTTCTCTGAACGAGATATGGGAAGCCGACGATGGGCCCTCCGCCGGCGAACTGCAACGCCCGGGCCCTCACTCACGGCCCACCTACCTACCCTACCTACGTACCCCCTCTTTGCCGGTCTTGTCTGTCCATCATGTAGGTACCTGTGTCCACATCCAGTACATACCTTACACGTTGCGCGAGCCTCGGGATGGAGCCATCGCCGAGATCTGACAACCGAAAGACAGACAGTCAGTCTGCCTTTTGGACGTCAGCACGATTTGCGGGGTAACAGTATCCGTACAGACCTAAGACACCGGAACAAGTGAGAAAAGAAGAACAAGCGAATGCGAGGAAGGAAGGAAGGAATCTCCACCCCACCTCCTCCTCCTTCTCCTCCTCTGTGTCCCTTCACATGCCCGCCATTGCGGCAAAGCAACCAGAGATGCGGGCAGGGCAGGGCAGGGCAGGATAGGGAAGCTCGTCCAAGCGTAGGGGACAGACAAAACAAGCTCCTCTCTACGACGGCACAGCACAGCACAGCACCGGCGAGGCAGGTAGGCAGACGGACAGGTAGGTAAGCAGGCGAGAAAACGGGCCAAAACGGAGTCCATACCTACCTACCTAGTGCGTAGCTTCCTTTGTTTGGTAGTTAGTAGACGGGAGGTGCCTAGTAGCCAGCTATCCCATGCCGCATGTGTAAGTAAGGTAGGTAAGGCAGGTAGGTTGCCTACACATGGACATAGGCATGATTACAGCGAGCGCACGCACGTCGTTGCCTGAAAAGGCTGGATACCTAGTAATAATATAGCCGGCGAGTAGAAAGAGAACGGAAACACCGAGAAATAGGTAGGTAATCGAGGGCCAAAACAGGCGAGAGAGAAAACCGGCCGCGGGAAAGCAGGCAGACAGGGAAAGCCAACCTGACTCTGCCCCGGCTGCAGATCGTTGTCCGCACCGTACAGCTGGGCCCGAGGCTTGGGCCGGCCGGAGAAGTCGGCGACGGAGGGTGGGTGGGTGGTCAAGATTGGCCCGCGCTTCAACGGTTACCACGTATCACTCTGCCATCCCCTGGTGGCTTGCATCGCGCCCATGTATCAACTGTGGCTGTTGCTTGACGGACGAGACATGGACAGAACCAGCCAAAAGACTTCCCTGGCTGGCTGGCTGGCTGGCTGGGGCCCAGCATGTTCTTGTCGACCATGGCGCAGAGAGCAGCGGTGATGGTGGTAATTAAATCTCTTTTGTGCGTTTTGCGGCGCGGACGGAAACAACACGCGCACACACAAAAGCGTGCGTGCGTGCGTGCGTGCGTTTGTGTGCGTGTGTGTGCGTGTGTGTGAATGTATGTGTGTGTATGTGTGT